AGCCGGCAGCCCCGCTAGTGCGACCTGCGCCGCACGCTGCGCTGCGCGCGCTGCGGCTGCTCGCGACTCAAAGCCCGGCGGGACAGTGGGTCTCCCCTGCTGACGTGCAATGGGTGCTGCTGGGACCTCTGCCGGCTGCGCTAGGTCCTCCGGTGTCAGAGCCGGCAAGCCGTACGAGTCGTCCGGCAAGCTGTCTGCTCCATGGATGCGACGCAGAGCATCGCAGAGGAGCTGGTGCCGCAGCTCCCTATCTGCTGGTGCATCCCCTCCCGACACGAGCGCGAGTGGTGCATCGCTGTGCAGCCGGCGAATCGCTGCCGCGCTGTCTGCGGGGGAGAAGTGTGTATGCCCTGCCAGCCACTCCAGGCACTCCTCGATACGCTCATCCGGGACGCCGCTGAGGTCCAGGTGCGGAGGGCGACGGTGAGCCGTCTGGGGTGGATCCTCGGTGTGAGGCAGATCCCAATCCATGGGGGTGGCTGCACCTTTATCGCGCACGCGCGATATCCTGCGTCGCAACTCTCGCTGCGGCACCGAGTATGCCTGTGTCTCCCACTCCATCGGTACCGGCGGCGGTGGCGGCGGCGGCGTGTCTTCCTCCATGTCTGTCAGTGCCTGTCTAGCAGCAGGGAAGACCTGTGCACTTCGCGGAGGGGTGCAGTCCATCGGAGTAAGCGGCTGCGTGTCTCCAGCGGGGCGAAAACGCGGGCCTAATCGCGCTACACTGATGGAGCCAGACGCACCCAGGCCAGAGCGGTCGCCACCGGGCGCGCGGCTGGCTTGTACGCGGGCCTCCAGCTGCTGCAACTGGGCACTGGGTGCTGGCTGTGTCCGCTGCGCCGCGGCTGCGGTGCGCGTGTCCTGCGCAGCGCGCTGCCGCTGACGGATCGGTCGAGGCCCTGAGCGGCGCGACGGCTCCGGAGCTAAGCGCTGCGACTGGAAGGAGGATGGCTGGCTGGGCTGCCGCAGCTGCCCCGGCCGCGTGATATTGATCCGGGTGTCACCGTCGATGAAGAACCGCTTTGGTAAGCGGCCCAAGTGCCGGTCCTCATCCGGCGTCTGGATGTATGCAAGGCACGCATTCCCGTTGCCGACGCCATGGGTGCCCACTGCCAACGGTCCTGGCAGGTCGCCGAGGAATTCGCCGCGAACAACGTATGTGTCCCTGGGGCAGCCAGCACAGTCCAGAAGGGTCTGAGTGAGACCCTTTCTGCAGTACTCGTACGGCAGCCCGTGGATGATGATGCAGGTGTGCTGGCAGTGGAACCGCCCAGCAGTGAGTTGCACCGGCACCGCTACGTCTCCGCTGCCCGGCACTGCACGCAGCCGGACAAGCTGGTCCTCCGCTGCCGCATGCCGCGCCGCAGCTGCTGCCGGGACCGTGTCAAACCAGAGCTCCACGCAGCTGTCAGCTGCGCCGGGCGATCCTCGCTGCTTGACTCCCCCGACATGCGGCGCGAAGTGAGCGATTACTCCTCTGGTGACCTTTAGCTCCAGCTGCATGCGCTCCGGGCTGCCATAAGGAACCTCCTCCTGCAGCTCAAGCTGGCCCAAGGCAGCCAGTAGGAGTGGCTCGCTGTCCCCCCACCGGTCTGGCCGCGGCCGGAGAAGCCTTGGCCGGGGAGTGCTCAACGCATGGGCATCCAGGGCTCTCTGAGGCTCCAACTGCCATGACTTGACAGTCTGCATCGTGCTGATCAGGCTGGCCAGGTGGGGGACCCAAGTTGCTGGGCAACTGCTGCTGCTGCTGCTGTGCTCTTCTCTACTACCTTGTGCTCCCCTGTGCTGATTGCTCCTGCTGATTAGCTCTTTAGGGCGTCCACCGTCCGCCGAGGAGGTCTTGGGGCCTTGTTCAAGAGCTGTGGCAGCTCCCTACTAAAGGCCTTGAAAACCCCTCGGGAAGCCTACAAAAGAGGCTCGTGTGACCTTTTCCCCTGCCCCTATTTCCTCCCCGCACTCTTCCTCCCTTGTGACACTTCCCTCCTGCCCCTGAACCCTGTTTAGCTACCACTGGTTGTCAGTATGTGGAATGGTTTTGTGGTTGAAATGCATAAAGTACAGGCACAACTGTTTCAAGAATTCAGGAGAACAACATCGAATCCCATAATATATGTCCCGCAGCGAGTGACCATGGGGATAGTGGAAAAGTGTTAGTCGCTAGTGTAGAGTGAGGAAGGTGGCTGTGCGCATCTGGTCCAGTGGAGACGGGTAACATTCGCGTAAAATATGTATATATATTGTCGATGATGATAGTGGCTGAAAATAAGCTACATTGGAGGCTATCCGGACGTGTGAGCTCGCGGGATGGCAACTGTGTCGTGGTCGAAATGAGTAAATACGCACAAAAGTAGGCAAGTGGGGTATCGATCGAAAGCTGTGAACATTCTCTACACAATGCAAGTGAGAAACTTGAAGATGCTGGTGTATCGGTGGAGAAATCGTGTGAAATCGATGTGATGCAATCTTTCCTTTTCTTCTCTTATCTTAGGCAATTTGTGTTCCAGCAGAGCTTCAACTGTGCAGCGCTCTCTGAGCACAGGCCGAAGCCTTCAATTCGCTAAGGTCTGTACTATTCAACTGTGCGCTGCCCGGAATCCTATGTTGTCACTGTTGGATTCGATCGGTATCTGCCTCCAGGCTGCAGAGCCGTATAGTGTGCTGGCTGGTGAGGTGAGGCTCAGGTTGACTCCCAAATGGTCTCCTGGGTAGCCCACCACCTGACCGATCACGCGCGGCTCCCGGCTGTTTCTAGCGCGCAGCGGCTCCGATATCAGCTAGCGATCCAGCCGCGCTGCTGACTGGCCGGAGGTGGGTGAAGGCACGCCTGCTGGGGTGAAGGTCCCGCCAGACATCGTAGAGCCGGTGATCCGTCTCGACACGCCGCAGGCCGGTCCAGTATCCCTGCGTCCGCTGGCCGGGCTGCCCGGCAAAGTCCAGCATGTCCTGCTGGCCAGCGATGCAGTTGAAGTGCCCACCCACCAGAAGCTGCCTATCCGCTGGCAAGCTGGTAAGCAGCTCCTGCGTGTAGTAGTGCGGCCGCTCCGCGGCCGCTGCAGGCGCGTAAACACATGCGACCGTATACGGCTGTTTGCTGAATGTGAAGTCCACAAGGAGAGTGCGGCCTGACGCGCTGCCGCTGCGCGCTGTAATGTCTGATGTGCGGGCTGTGGCCCTGGAGAGGACCCACGGGGCAAATTTACGGCATTGCATCTGGAGGCAGGAGGCACAGCAAAGCAGGCAAGCAACAATCACAGGCAAGCAATCACGTGCACTGCAGGCAACCAATAACGGAACATTCATGGAAGGCAAAGCTGGACATGGAGGCTTGGCTGCCAGTCAAGAAAACAGGGATCACGTTCGGACCCGCTACCACTAAAGAGGGGCGGTAAGGGCGGCCCACAGTACCAAAGCTAGGCCACAAAGTGCTGGAATTATGGAATGTAATGATGTACCAGCACGCCGATCCGGCTGACTGGCTATGAAGGGAGGACACGACAAGAACTCGAGAGCAACACACCCACCGACTGCACAGGTGGGGATTTTTTTTTTTTTTTTTAAAAAGGGGAAGCCCCCGCTATTACACAGGTGCCAGTCGCACGCTTCCCAGCACGCATGCAATAGGATATTTGGGGAAACCTGTCAGAGTTGGGGCACGCAGAGCACTCCCGCAGGAGGATAATGCGATACTTAAGAGAAGCGCAAGCATGAAGGCATACCACAGAAAGGCAACAGAAAGGCTCCTAGCGATGGGCATGTCCCAAGCACCAGAGGGTAACCTCATCCCCAGAGGCGCACTCCAGCCCGCCGGCAACGCAACACCGCTGAGGTGACGTTGGAGGACCCACGGGGCAAGCCTAGGGCTTGCAGCTGGAGGCAGGGGTCACAGCAAAGCAGGCAATCATCAATCACTGGCAGGCAATTATGGATGTGCGGGCAACCAGTGGTGGAACAGACATGAAAGGCACGTTTATACGGTTGGCCGACAGGGATGGAACAGGATCGCGTTCGGACCCATTACCACTAGGTGCCGCTCGGGGCTGGCAATGTGACCCTAAACTATGCCTCAATCTGCCAGCAAGGTGGGGCACAAGCAAACGGTGGCATATGGGAGATATGAAGCCGCAAATGAGGCGAAAAACAGGTAGGCTGGCGAGAACTCGACCAGATACACACACCCACCACATTGGAGGCGGGGATAGGCAGGAGGCATCATGTCCAAGGTCCTAGACACCCGCTCAGGTTCAAGGGTGGATACTGGGGTTGGAAACCCTAAACCCTTCAGATAGCCTTCAATGAACTACTGTGAATGGTGAGGAGGACAGACACTAAGGCAGAAGGCCACGGATGACAGGCCAAGGGGATTGTTGGGGCTGCCGGTGAGACAGAAACATCGGAGGATCACTGGAAAACTATTGATAGCCTAAAGCCCTGGGCAGGGTGGTCTTCTGTAAGCTTGCGCCAACGCTCTGGCTCTCCGGCACGGTACTCCACAGGTAGCGGGGCGCACGATGGATCCGTCTGGCCGAGGGATACCCAAGGGGTGAGCCGCGCAAACACGTCCGGTGGTGGGCGAGGCCACCGGCACTGGGTGGCGAGGCCAGTGCCCCAGGGGTGAAGGAGGCACCCCCGGGGCCGTGTTGGGCCGAGCTCGACAGGTCCCTCGACCAGTGGGTCCTCCAACGTCACCTCAGCGGTGTTGCGTTGCCGGCGGGCTGGAGTGCGCCTCTGGGGATGAGGTTACCCTCTGGTGCTTGGGACATGTCCATCGCTAGGAGCCTTTCTGTTGCCTTTCTGTGGTATGCCTTCATGCTTGCGCTTCTCTTCAGTATCGCATTATCCTCCTGCGGGAGTGCTCTGCGTGCCCCAACTCTGACAGGTTTCCCCAAATATCCTATTGCATGCGTGCTGGGAAGCGTGCGACTGGCACCTGTGTAATAGCGGGGGCTTCCCCTTTTATAAAAAAAAAAAAAAAAAAAATAGTGTGCTCCTGGACCAGAGGTGTCTCGTATGTTTCACTTACAGTGCGAGACAGCCCTCCCTCCTTTCTTTTGGCGCTCGCTCTGCTTTCATGTAAGCACACCATTTTTTGTAATAAGTATATTATATTTTCGGTACGACCTTTCTTCCCTACATCCTTTTGAGAAAAATGTCCTTCCACAATGCACCGTGCAGGGTGTAAGTTTTCAAAATTAATTTAGGGGAAAACCTACAGAATATCTTCTCACGTTCAGCGTCATCAAGTGAGACCTTTTCACAGCTTTCTTACATTACCTTCCATCCAGTCATCTGATATTTCACCTAGTTTTAATTCTGTGGCAGACATTCCAGAAATTCTCACGAGCGTTTGGCACATCTTTCAGGGATGGAAAGTAGTTGATATCCACGACATAGTGTTCACCTGCTCGCCAAAATATATTCAATCCCTTGATGCAGGCTTTTGTTCCTCATGCAAACGCAACACTCATAGCTTGTAGGCTGTGGGGCTCTGTGATATCGAGCTCACCTGTTCCATTTTCTACAATTACATCAAAACCAAAGATATTGAAATCAAGTTGCTCTCGAAGGTGTGTAGCCGCAGCTTTGATGTATCTTTCATTCAAAAATGCACCTGCAAAAGACATGACACTCTGCAACACTGACTCAAAAATGCAAGCGCATTGGCAATAGTGGTCCCTTGCGCTGCCAAAAATATTCATTTTCACCCTCATGGAAGTCCTGAATATCTTCTTCTGACCATCTCTAATGGGAACACACACCATGGCAAAACGAGATCTGGTGATCTGGTGAAAAATAGTTGAAGAAATACAACCTCACCTTGCCGGGAGCGCGTAGAAGAAGATTGCAGCACACCATCATGCACCAGTGCTGCACCAGCCATATTCTGACTATCAAACAAAACAGCAACTGGGCGGCTGTCACTCTTCACTTCCGCATTGTCCCCCGTGGAAATGTCCGGAATTGATTCCCGTTGTGTCACATGAACCTGCAATGAAAATTTCTGTTAGGGAACCCATGAGAACAAGCAGACCCTTCCACTGTACAGCTTTTGAGTGCAGACGTTGTGAAGGAAGGTGTCACCTGGTCGCCTAGGACGGAAACCTTGTGAACAACACCACCATGATTGATGAATGTCTGCGCAAATACTGGGAACGTCACCCTGGGCCACCTCTCGCTGCTGGTGTCAGCTAAGATGATGGCCATGTTGTGTGCATCGGAACAACCACATGCTTGGAGCGGTTTAAGAACAATTGGAGCAACCAAGCCAGCATCCAGTAGCTTCCGCCAAATAGCCGAGGTCCCTCCTGAGCCATCATCAATCTGCAATGCAGCAGACTACCGGTTGAGGTGCTTTGGATGCCTACACAAATAGAAGAGTAGAGTATCCTGCTGAATTGTTGGCCAGGTATCATTCCCAAACACTCACTGTCGCATGTAGGGACATCGACTGGCTCTTTGATATTGCAACTCGTGATGAGCATGCAGGCTAGTTGCCTGCACAACACCACAATTGCAGTATGCTTGTGGGAAGTGGCGATGCCATGCAGCACATTTGGAATGTGGCCTTTGCTTGCATGCCTGCTTTTCGTGCCCACCGTGCTGCCTCAGTATGTTCAGCGGTTCGCACCCTGACATAGGCTGGTGTTGCCAGCTTGATGTCATCTGCAAGAAATGCAGTTTCGGCGCCCCTGAAGAGGTTTGCCATCAGCTCGCGGTTGGTAACCTGCATTCCAAGACAGGCAAATTAGTTATCTCCATATTGAGCAGAGCTGGAGGCAATGAACCATGAGACACGAATAGCAGTGGATGGCATGCCTCCCAGTACCTTACTCAGGGACGCAGGGTTATCGAGGCAGGCAAGCGATGCTGTCAATCTAGCTGTGTCCAATAGTGCAGTCATGTCCGGTGAAAAGACGGGCTCGCCTGCTGCATCCAGTCCAAGAAGATCATCCGTGGCCTGGCCAGCAGCAGGGAAGTTCCTTGGGGCACAGAGTGTGTAACCAGGTAATGCAAGGAAGCCATGGGTGGCCGACAATCCATACCTTGTGAAGGATGACATCGCAGGAAAGAGTCCAAGGACCAGGACTGTGGACGTCAATCTTGAGGAAAGCAACTTGTTGCACAGGTACAACAGGGAGGAATCCTCGTTTGAGGAAGTCCCGCCATCGTGACGTCTTCATGGCGACACCCACCAGAAGGCATCCAGCGGCACGATGGCTCAGCGCAACAGCTGTGGCCACCTGCCAGGACCAGTCTGATCTCTAAAGTGAGCACGCTCGCCTAGACAAGTGGAGATGCCAACAATTGTTGAATATGTCAATCTCAGGGAAGGTGCAAAAAACAAGCTGCTCACCCCACTGTCGATTTCCTGCTGGATCTGCCATTGGCAGCCAACTATGCGGCAAGCCTCTTCACATTTTGTAGCAGAGGGATGCACGCAGACTAGTATGGACAGTGGATCCAATTGCATCTGCAGAATACATGCCCTGCCAACGAAACCATACGAGGGTAAGGATACAAGGCAGACTGCACCGACCAGGGTCACAAAGTTCAAGGTACTATACAAGGGACATGTTCACGATCAAGATCCTATACCTGAATCCTGCGATCGCACTTGATTGTTGGCAAGTGTGCCTCACAAGCACCGGTGGCTGGGTAGTGAGATCACGTTCCTGACAATCTGCAAAGTCTACTGCATTAATTAGCCGAAGGGCTCCAATTTTCAATCCTCCCCAGACAAGATCCTGCAGGATTGATTCCTTTCCTGCAAAAGTCAACACAAATGATGGCGGCATGAACACTCACCGTAAGCACGTCAGTGGATGCCTTCCGTTACACAGGTCTGTCGTCAAAATCAACAGCGGGTCTCGTTAATCACCTGACGAAGAAATATTGAGGAATATGACACCCGCAATGGGTCTCTGCATGTTATCCACATTCTTTCTGCGCACTCCTAAGAATGTCAGCACACATCTGTTTACAGCTGCAACATACCAACTATGATATATTCCTGGGGCGATTGTGGGCTTGGCCAATCGTTAGACTCGTCCTTCATCTAAGCTTGGAATGCTTGGGCAATGCTGTCTATGAGGTTCCTTCTGTGAAGGGTCGATGTCACCATGAGCCTTTTCCAAACGCAACAGGGGCGGGCTTCAGGCCTTCTGAGGGACTCGAGGACGACAAGATGCAATCAATTTGGGGTGCGTTCACACTAAGGGTGGGGAATTTCCCCCAGGTATTTCGATGCCAAACAACCAGCCGGGGATTCTGGGTGGGGGGTGTAGTAATTTTGGGTGGAGAAATAATCCCCACCCCTAGGCCTAAGGGGTGGAGATTTCACCCGCCACCTGGGGATTCATTGAACGTTCTCCCTGCCTACATTGCCGCCTGGAGGATCATGATTCCAAGCAATGGTTACTTGCAAATAATTGTGGTCAAGCATCATATATGATACTGGGCCACTGGGCACTTGGGCATGGTGTCCACAGTAATCGGTGAGCTATAAAAAGCCACAGAACATCACAGTAAAAGACTATTTTTGCAAGGAAAGCTTTTGACAATCACCAAATGTTTCCTTTGCCAGACACCGTAGCACGCGAATATGATCTAGAATCCAAGAGTTCATCTACAGGCACGTCTCAGCTTCAAGCCGGGACAAGTTGTCCCGGCCAAGCTGAATCATCTGCAGGGCCTGCACATGACGTTTGCATATGAATCATGCAAGGGCTGCTTGACCAGTGACAAGACCCGGTAGCTTTTGTCTATAGCAGCAGAGTAGCATGCCATGACTACTGGCAGTTGCCCCTGCCCACGGACATGGAAAGGGTGTGCGGACATGGGAAGGTGTGCTGTGCACTTCCAGCTTCAACTAAGGTGTCACATGTCTCAGCATGGCATTTTGGCCCTGCATTCCCTCCTCAGCCGCGGCTCCAGCAAGCTATGGCGGTTGTGCGCATGGGTTTGGAGCTGCCAGACCCGCCCTTACTGCTATTCAGCTCCAGTGACATCTGCTGCCCACTAATCCTTGCCCGCTTCTCAGTCGCGGAATTAATGCTTGCAGTGACGGCAAACACAGCGTCTTCTACTTGATATATCGGTTCAGGAAACGCCTGTGGAAATCGTTGCGGATTGTGTCGTTAATGTACCGCTTCTGAGCCTTAACCTCGCCCCTCTCTTGGTTGCGGAAGACGACATCGTCATCCCAGCGCTTCCGCACCTGCCCAACAGGAACAGCGCGCAAGTGAGCCAAAGCCACCAAAGGGTGCATGCCAACCCTCTGTAACATCCGCCTGCCAACCCTCAACATTCCATCAATCTAGCACTGCTGTAAAGGCAGAGGCACAGGCTTGCACTGATAGGAAGTACCGTTACAACTCATCGGCTCCCCAGTGAAGCTCACCTGAAAGTCTGCTGACTTGTCAAACTTGCCGATGATAAGAGGGTTCCCCCGTATGAGCTCCTCCTGCAAGCTTGACGCAGCCGCAGAGGCTTCCTCATCCGCTCGTTTTGCGGCCGCTTCTTCTCGCTCTTTTTTTATGCGCTCCAGCTCGGCTAGCAGCTCTGCCTCGTCGTCCTGCACGCAAGATCAACCACCGCGTGTTGAGCTCCTAAGATTCTAGCCAACAGCATGACCCAAAATTCACATGGCTCTTCCAGAACATGTGGAAGCCTTGTGCTCCCAGTCAATACCTCATCGCCGTCAGAGTCGTCATCAGACGGGCTAGGATTGTCCTCATCGTCAGCATCTATGGCTTTTGGAACAAGCATCTTTCCCTTCCCGGCCTCTTGCAAGCCGTTCTCCAACAACTGCATGTCGCTCTTTAAAGCCTCTGCAACAACATGTAATGGAAATAACGAAGAGTGACTTGCCAGGAAAGACACATCACCATTGGAGTCAGGCTTAAATTTAAATTGTCTGAGAAGACTTCTGTAAGACCCGAGTGGAAGTGTGAGGACACCTGAGAAGTCTTCTGTCTTGGTCTTCGAGTGCTTCCTCTCTTCTTCTTCCAGCTTGTCCTGCACGATGTATCGTTGTGATGTCTGCGTTGTTGGTGTACATGAGCAAACGAAGAATGATCATGCGAAACAAGGGGTCCAGAAATACATCAGATCTCCTTACCCTCAGGTCGTCCTTGGTGAGCAAGTCAGATGGCCCCTGTCCAGGCTGCCTGACACAATGCAAACCAAATTGGTCCCAAGACTGCCTAAAGGATACATGAGATCGACAGAGGGACCAGAAAATCTATGCTACTCCCTTGCACACCTGAACTTGAGTTTGGTGTGGGAAGCTTGATCCTTTGCGGAAGCCATCCGACTTGGTGCATATATCCTTTGGCCACCCTGCTCCTCTCCACCCTTTGCAGGGGCCCATGTTGGCCTATGAGCTGTCGTCATGATGCAAATAGAGATCTACAAAACTCCTCAGAGACGACGACGCAGAGCACGATTAAATATTCTCCAGAACCAGTCCGCGAAGGTAACGAATGATGGAGAACCAGACTACCGGGTTATATGGCTTCTGTAGATGCTCCAGGTTCCTGCTTCCTGCTGGGCATTTGACCGTAGCGGCGGCCGCGGCCCGCGGGCCCGGGAGGTCTGTTCCCCATGCTAACACTTTCTATTCGTTAATTCTTGCGTACTGTTTCAAAAATCTGATAGCATGGTGAACAGAATATGAGACATCGGCTCAACAATCCTGCTGTGTGGTTTCCGGTGCTATCACTGCTGCTGTTGGCAATTGCTTTTTGGCCTAGGAATACAGAGGTAACGGAAAAGACCAGCACCCTCATCGATCGCACAATCAGTAGCAGTGGAGCTGCTAGGGTCCTATGTGTTATCGGTGTACAGGTGCGTTGCTATTTTTTGTCATTCTTTCTTGCTCCGAGGTTACATACTCGAGCTGACTTCTATGTTGGCATCACGCCGTGCATGCAGACAGGATTCACGAAAGCAGGGGCTTCACCTCAATACGATTACGGTCTGAGACGTGTTGCACTCAGATCTTCGTGGTTTCCCAACACTAGATCTGCTTTGGAAGAACTTCTTCAGAAACGGGGTGTAGTGGTCCGTTTCATCATTGGGCACACAAAAATAGCAGCTGATGAGAAAGCCTTAGCAGCTGAAGAACGGGAATACGGAGGTTTTCTGCGCTTGCCGATCCAGGTGCGCCATGGTACACCAGTCCAGTGCCAAACATTGAACAACAATGGTGAAACTTGACGTCCTGTACTGTGCGATCTTTGCAGGAAGGGTACACAAGCCTGCCAAGCAAGACTGTAAGCTTCCTCAAAGCGGTCACGAGACTCTATGCAGCGGAGTACATTGTGAAGGTGTGGCGGTGAAGAAAAATTCAGCACGTCTCTGATGTGGGCCTTCTGTGACGTGCAATCATGCATTCCATCATTGACGAATCGATGTCTCTCTTCGCAGATTGATGACGATGTATATCTCAGCATTGACAGCCTGATACTTGCAACGCGGCAGTGGAGAAAACGCCATGCAGGTGTGAGCACATGACTGCATTGCTGACTGGTTGAAGCCTAGCTCTGTGGTAAAGAGGATCTTGAGTATGGCAGATTGTGTTGACAGCAAATTTGTGCAGACTACATAGGCTGCATGAAGAATGGGGATGTGTACTCCGATCCAAGAATGCGATGGTTTGAGCGGCAATGGCAGCTACTGGGGAAGACGTACTTTACACACGCATGGGGCACGTTCTATGTGCTCTCTAGCGCAATTGCAACGCAAATCTCAAGTTTGCCTGACGGGCTGCTCAGGTTCTTCGGCAATGAAGGCAAGTTGCACACACTGCTTTGACAGTCCTCATGGACCCACAGGGCAGGGCCTTGTAATTTTCCTTGTCATCTCTTTCTTGTCACAGCACCGTCTGCCAGAGCACCGTCTGTCTTGATCCCCTCTTATTGTTTCATGTGTCTCGTTCTCAGATGTCACAATTGGCGTGTGGATGCTCGCCTTCAATGTAACCCATTTTGACGATCGGCGCCTTTGTGAGACCAGCTGCTCAGCATCCAGCATTGGCGTGTATGACATGCCTCAGTGCGCGGGCCTCTGTGACCCATTGTCATCGTTGCCAGCATTGCACAGCAGCGCCGCATGCAAAAAGAACGGTCAAGCTACCCTGCCGATGCTACGACCATATTTTACCTTTGTTCCTTAGCCTATAAAGAAGGGGTGGAGGTTAGTGAAGGTGCCCTGACATGACCCCACCGCATCATGGTCAGGCACTGCAGCACAGTCCTTGCTGTTGGTGAATGCGTGGAGCCCTATCTGTGGAAGGGACCTCTTATAATGACAAATCTGCTTATTGTCTTATTTGTGCTGGGATGGCGCTTTTGTTAGCACTGACTTCATGTGGCAAGTCCTTGACCCGGGTACTGAGCAGTGCAGGATACTGCACAATTCCACTTGCAGAGATATCCACCAAGTGGTCAACCTGCATTGCTACAGAATATTGCAGAGGTATGATTGCTCGCTTAAGGGTACACTCCGTCAACGAATTGCCTTCAGGTTGATCTTGCATCGCTTGTCTCGAACAGAGTAAATTGACAGTCGTGCAACCTCTCCGGGGGGGGCCCCTGGAGGCCCGGGCCTGTATTGCAGTCCCGGGGCGGAACCCGGACAAGCCGATAAGTGCTGGCAGACGCAAGGCGTTTACTCTTTTAGTGAATGCATGGCAGCGCTGGCCACTGGCAGATTGAATTTGATTGCAGAGATTATTGCACATGCCGGCCGGCCCCGGGATACCGTATCCCGGGTGACTTATAAGTGACTTATTAGTAGCCCCGGGGTACTTATAAGCCGTGTCATCAGCATCGTCATTATGCACGGCAAGTTGTGCTGCATGCGTTCACAAGATACCGTGCATGCCCTTTTCGGATACATCATGCTAGTTCAACTTTCAACATGGCATGAATCACTTGAGTTACTTGAGTCCGTAAGTTACTCTTGAAAGTCGATCTGCTGAAGGAAGGAAGGAAGATTACATCACTCCAGCCGCCTAGGGCTGATTGGATGACATCCAACCGAGACTCCGAGTGAGTCACCGTCGGACGGGAACTTGAATGGCAGCCGGCGGGGGGCGCGCATGCATGTGGACCCTGTAGGACTCAGCGCCCTGCCAGGTGCTGACCTTTGGTACCGGTATGCTTCGCTTGTTAACAATCGCACCATTTTGTGGAAGCACAAGCTTGTCCCTGTTGATTCGTTTTATAACTTCCACCCCTTGGTAGGGTTGTAGCCGCAAGGGATGTGGCCGATCTCAACTTCGGGACTAGTGTTCCTTGAGATCAAGAGCCTGCACAAATCTCCTCCGCTTCGTCAAGGTCGAGATGGCTTATCAAACCTATGCACAATTCTCTTCAGTGCAACTAAGGTTCTGCAGCAGACCATCTACTAGACTAGGTCGGCCACATGCAAGATGTAATGCACTCACAGTATGTCGCATCTGCAAAGTTGCAGTGCTACCCGGTGATGGTATCGGCCCTGAGATTTCAAAAGTGGCAGTAGCGCTCTTGAAACAGGCAGGCCAAAAGGAGGGCGTTGATTTCGAGTTCACAGAAGCGGCCATTGGTGGAGCAGCCATAGACGCCACAGGCTCTCCCCTCCCCGAGGAGACGTTGCAGATCTGCAGGCAGTCCGATGCTGTCTTGCTGGCTGCTATTGGCGGGTTGGTTGCCTTACTCAGAGCTCACGTTTCTGTTCTGTTTCCTTTGGAACTTTCCATTTTTTCCTTGCTCAATTTTCGGTGACACAGCCAAGTCAACGTGATTTTTCTCACACAGGTACAAATGGGATCAACTACCACCGGAACAGCGCCCAGAGCGGGGCCTGTTAGGCCTGCGAGCGGGCTTGGGGACTTTTGCAAACCTGCGCCCGGCCGTTGTTCTGCCTCACCTGGCTGAGGCTTCCACTCTCAAGAGGGAGGTTGTCGAGGGTGTGGACATCATGATTGTGCGCGAGCTTGTAGGAGGGATCTACTTTGGCCAACCTCGGGTGGGTTCTTGACACTTCTCAAGCGTGCCCCATGCATCACATTGGCAGGAGATTGAGGTTTACAGAACATACTGGATGTGGTGAGTTCATATGAAGCCCACAATGAGGAGGTGTCTTTATGTCACAGGGTTTCAGCACAAATGAGCAGGGTCACAAAATCGGGTTCAACACCATGGTCTACTCTGAACCAGAGGTATACTCTCAGCTGATCTAAGCATGCTATTCGAATAGGAACTGCATTGATGCATCGTCGAAGGTTGCAACATTAGTACATGGCTTCACATCAGCTTTTTGACCTGCTGGCCATAAGAGTGCACTCTTTTCCTTCCGGCAGGTTGAGCGGATTGCACATGTGGCATTCCAGCTAGCACAGAAGCGGCAGGGGCGCCTTTGTTCTGTGGAAAAGTCAAATGTCCTGGAGGTTTCCATGCTGTGGAAGGAGGTTGTCTCTCGTGTGGGAGAACAATACCCTGATGTGGAGCTGAGTCACATGTACGTGCGCAAACATGCCGCTCATTTCCTTTGTCACCTTGCTCACAATGGTGCCGAGTAAGGAGGGCTGACGTAAGTCATGCCCGTGCAGGTATGTGGACAATGCTGCAATGCAGATCATCCGGAACCCAAAATCCTTTGACACCATTGTGACTGGCAACATCTTCGGCGACATCCTTTCGGATGCAGCGTCCATGCTGACGGGCAGTTTGGGGATGCTCCCATCTGCAAGCACCAGTGATGATGGGCCTGGCATATTTGAGCCGGTGTGTCCCTCAAATTATCACCTCATGTGCACAAACAGTATGAGGCCAACTTTGGATGGCATCCTGTGCAAAATTTGCTGAGACGCTTTCAGTATGGCCAGGGGTGGCCATTGGCTCTCTGCATTTGGTGGATCCTGATTGTTGTGAACTGTCTTGAGCATGCACCATATTGCTTTTCTCAATGTTCTTGTGCATGTGCCCAGGTGCATGGCTCGGCGCCAGATATTGCTGGGCAGGACGTGGCCAACCCACTGGCAATGGTGCTGAGTGCTGCAATGATGTGCCGCTACGGTCTGGATCTGCCACAGGTGATGAGCCATTCTGGCAGGTTTAGCATAATTAGTGCCCCCCTATGCCTCTACTTGTGTGGGCTGCTGTACGGTGAATCTGCATCAGTGATATTGGCGTTGCTGAAGGTGCAATGCCTGTGCACAGATTGCGGAGCACCTTGAAAACGCGGTGTCAGCAGCTCTAGATGCAGGCTATCGGACAGGAGACCTGCATACTCCTGGCATGCAGAGAGTGGGCTGCTCGGAAATGGGAGATGTGCTGACAAGGTATCTGGTAGGAGAACCTGCCCCGGTCAGTTGAGTTGCCAGCGTGAGCGCACTGGGGCTGTCCATTGTCTAAAGCCACTTCTGGTGACTGTTTCTATACGTGTGAACTCAACAAAGTCGCAGTCGCGTCTTTTCGAGATATGTCTCGAGTCTGGCAAGCTTTTTTTATACCCTCTCAATTGCCAGCAGTGAAGGGATGACTGCTGGCTAGGTGTGAGTTATCAAGAGCAGTGTCCCTCTGAACCCCATGGCCAGCCAGCTCATAATGCGGCTGATGTCAAAAGCATCAGTGTTGCTGCATTTTGAAATTCAAAAGATACACGATGATTTCTAGTCCATGCCTGCACCCCTCGAATGATCAGTCATGCAAAAGGGGTGAATGATCAGGCCTGGGGGCCTAGGCTTGGGGTACCCCTAAGGGTATGGAGGTCCTGAACAGTTCCAGCATCCTCAACCCATAATGCACTTTCCAGTCATGAGCATGCTCATGACCCAGATTTTCCTATGCGACCAAAGAGACTAGGTTTGTCACAGTAGTACAACAACACTCCGTTATCTTCCGTGAAGTTTGGACAAAAAAGCATGAGAAGCTCCACACAAAGCCTGCACAATCACCACAGGTGTATGACTCTGAAGAAACGCTCGTGACATTTGCACTCAGGGAGTCTGCAGTTGGGCCTGCACAACTCTGGACAGATCTCATTTGAAGCAAGACGCACCGTGAACTGCCCAATGTGATGACAATCAAGATATATGTGAGGAAGGTCCGCATGTTGCCGACCCAATGAGTGAAATAATCAATGGAGTGGTACTTCCAATCGCAAGCCAAGGAGACAAAGTCTGCCACGATGGTTGTGAGAAGCTGACACAAGGCGCTCATCCATATGTTGTAATGATTTGGCGGACTACCATTACCTGCAGACAGGCAAGACTTATTTTGCATGCTTGTGCAATACGGTCACATGTTTGCCATCATGTATCGCTAGGCATCCAAAAGACTGCTGCACTGTGTGTGCTAGCATTCCAGGTCAAGTCGATAAAGTATGGGGTGTTGGCCGCTCAACTACAAAGCACAGTGATGAAGAGGAGCATGAGCGTCACCAGAAACGCGCCCGAAGCTATAGATTGCTGAGGCAGCGACAATGCCAGCATGCTCGGCAATTGTGCTGGCAAATAACTCTGCCAGGCGTATCTGATTCATTGTGTTTGTGGCAGATATTGCCTCTGCTGTGCGGCTACCATACATGAGTTGAAGCAACATTCCACTGCCCTGCATACAACTGATGCATCATCAATGGGCTGTGACAGATTGCACACCATTCTATGTGAGCAAAACGCAGACAACTCATGGCATTGTATTGCATTGACCCTGAGAGATAAAGGCATCTTCTTGATTGACGCAGTTGGGAAGAGGGTAGAATGCATCACACCTGCCGACTCGCCAAACGGCCCGCTACACTGTAGACAGAAATCAGCACATTGAGCACCATTATATTGCTAGTATTACCGAGCTGCAAGAGGAGAAAGCGACCATATATGGACTTGTACATGACTGGCCATATCCACAAAACTGCCTGCATCAAATTTGGTACAGCACCTGCATGTAGGATGCTATGAGTTTCCTATCATGTGGATGCAGACTGTGAGCACATGCAAATCAGGTCTACAACAATTGTTTTCATGGCGGTCGTTGCAAAGGGCTGGTGATTCACCAATGTGCCGGACAGTGTTTGAGAACTGCAAAATGAGTATGCTCCAAATGGTTGGGTGCACAACCAGACGCAAGATTAGAAGCTGATTGATGCTTGTTCTGCTGGTGACGAGCCTGCAAAAGTACAGACTACGTACGATGGCCATGACCTCTACTTGATTGGTGCAATCTGCGTGAGCTGCCCAGAATTGCTTCATTTGCAAAAGAAAACAGTAATCGGAAGAACAGAGTTGCTGTACAGGTTGAGCCGTACGATGGCATGAGGAAGGAGTATATGTACACAACAACGCCTCCCATTAGAAACAGGCATAGATATCTTGCGGCATCCACTTTGTTCCCAGTATGACGAGCAGAAGCAAATGCTGTTGTTATTGTCACGCCTGCAGTCACGAATGCTGCAGGACACCACACATGATTCAGCACCACAGTGGGGAACAAGTCAGGGCATTACCCAGTGACATCACAGCTAACTTCCCTCCTTCATCAACAACTTGCTGCATCAGTCAAGGCTGTGATGGGTCAGCATTGACGCACATGGAAGGATCACGAGCAGAGTGTTGTTGAGGTCGTAATGGCCTATGGGTGCCCCAATGAGAGTCACAAGTGATGATCCAGTTGCCAAGGAAAGTATGATTGTGATATCAATGGCCCTGAAGCATTGAGGAAACATGGCATAACCCATGAGGGCTGGGAATCCGGAGATCCAGAATTGTTGGGCTGCCCAGAACAGGAGCCAGAAGACCATGATGCCTTTGTTCTGGCTGTAGTTGCCCCCATGATTGTATACACAATTGACAAAACGTTTGCTCACACCCTGCACAAGAATGCCCCTTAGATTGCAGCACCTGGCATCAGTGAGCTGCGTGACCTCCAGGAAACATACATCATTTGTCTCTGATCTGGGTAAGGCTGGGGACGCACTGCATTACTGCGAAGGGCATTGCTGCACAGCTTATTTGGAACAGCATATGACAAAGCAGCGTACAAAGCAAACATCCATGAAGCCACCACCACGACTGGAAACAGAATGGAGGTGTAAAGTCTCAGCAGCACTAAGCCGGCCTGTGGAGAAAGCCACTGTTTGCAGTCAACATAGAGGTGGAAAAATTCGTTGATTATTTTCATCTGTTATGTCGAGTATTGTATTTAAGAGAAATATACAAAAGTGTGAAAGAGAATGGTACACTACCTGGAGACCCTTCTGCCTGAGCCTCTCTTCCGCTTTGAGAAGTCGTTTTGAGTCTTGACGACGTAAATTTGCCCTTACAACCTCCCGAGAGTGTGTTGGTGGTGTTTCTAGGAATTCGTGGTCTGATGAACCGGAACCTTGCGGGTGAATCTTCGACTTTTGACGCACCATCTAAGTTTGAAGTTTTGGAAAGACTTGTGTTACTCCCAAAACTTTCTTGGACCTCGCAGTCGGTCAACTTACCCCATGGCCCTAGTGGAGCTTGCTGTTCACATCAGATGTCACGAAGTGCTGAGGATCGACAGGTGCATTTGTCGTGACAGCGCCAGACTGCCTGCAAGGGCGACTCTTCAAGGAGCGAAGCGACACGTTCGTTTTTCCGACGGGAATATGCCGTTGCATCTGGGGAAGCTACCGTGGAAGCTGCAAGGGGAGATGAAGGGCCATGACACACTTTTTCATCGGTGTAAAGTTCTGGAGCATGGTTAAAACCATGTTGTTGACATCGAAAATTGACCGATGTCTGCAAGTATTTGGCAATTCCAAAAGTACTCAAGCTTGATATCATGAGAGTACTGTCCTACAGTCTCTAGAGCTGTGTATCAACTGAGTGCCGCACCTCGAGGTGCGGCAAGTCGGTATGCACTTGCCTATGTGACTGTCTAAGAGTGTGAAATGGTCCTCCTGCGCTAGCTACTGCCAAACATAGAAGTTCATCTGGGATTTACATGACCACCTAGTATTATTGTGAGGGTACATTCAGCATTATTTTGCAGGCGTTTTGGGATACCTATTCCCTAGAACCTTTTGGAAACAGAATTCTATGAGCCCTCAGGTGCGGGCTTGTCAGTGCTGTCATTGCTTGTTGTGATGCTCACATCCCAACAGCGCTCCAGACATTGCAGCACATCTCTAACGAAGGACTCTGTGCCTTCTGCAACGCCCTGCTCTGTCAACCGGAGCTTCAAGGCCGCCTGTAGTTTGGACACCTGCAAGCATAAGCACACAACACTTTTGTGCGATGCATTTCTGTCTTCGAAATCACAGGGTCCAGGGACAACGCAAGGAAAGCATCTGCTGCTTGTTACAAGAAAAGAATGAGGGACAGCAAGGACATCACAATTGTAGGTTTCCCTGCCGTTTTTCCTCCATGCAGCACCTGCAAAGCAGACATAATTGAGGAGCTGGTCGCTGTGTACCTTGGACAGGGCATCTCCCTGGGGTTCACCATCCACTATGTAAGTGAAGGGCCGCCACGGCTGCGCGAAGTCGATGCGGGTGACATCATCCTTAACCATCTCCATGAGCCCCCGCAGCGCATCCATCTCGGCTGCGTCTGGCAGCCCCTGTCGCGCTGCTTGGTTGACTCGCACATGGAAGGGCGTGAGGGCGCCTTGCCGAGTTCTGACGATGAACCACGTGACACACGAAGCCTGAAAGCATCACAGTGCTGTCGGCACACTCCGTGAACAAACCACTGACAAACAATCCCATGTTCAACCTTGCTTCTGAGCTGTGCAAGACAACGATGCACAATCCACCATGGAGGCCAGCCAACCAACCATGGAGGCCACAGGGCAGCCATGTGAGAAGAGTTGTAGGATGGGCTTGCCGGTGAGGGTAGCTGCAAGTCATAAGGACCGACGATGGCTCCCAGGAAGGGCTCCAGCGTGCTGTGGGCGCAGCGGAACAAGGCCTGGTAGTTTCGCTGGTTTTCGTTGTCTTTCTGAGAAGGCTTTGGTGCAAAGATTGGATGCGAATGGTACCTGCATGCACCACGCCATGTCAGCCAACTCGATTCGTATCTAGCACCGTTGGAATACTGTGGTTGCCATTCGCGCTGGACGGCCTAGTCTGCAGGCAGCACAGCGTCTCGTCGAACTATGCATGGCAAACTTGTGCTCACCAGCCGACAGTGGTGAGTTTTTGGGCCTCCATGAGCGCGCGCGTCTCGACCTCGGCTGCAGGATCGAGCTCCACACTGGTGCCCGACTGAGTGCCCATGGCGCGCCGGCACGGAAACGCTCGCACCACATCGATGCGCCGCCTGTCTGCGTCCCACACTCCCCCCAGCAGCCCGATCACCTCGCTGCTGCTCAGGTGTGCATGCACATCCATCAACAGCACCGCCTGCACGATGTGGCAACCGCACCTCAGCCCCTTTGACATAGAACGCTCTTGCTTGGCTACCAATGCTAAATATGCAGGAAGACAGGACACATGCCGTCCAGGGACCAAGGAAGGGTTCAGTCGTGCGCTCACACCTGTGACAACTTGCAGGACACAGTTGAGGGAAGCCATGTGCAGGGAGAGCAGGCATGCATTACCTGCGCCTGCACGTGGACCTGGAAGGGCTGTGCTAGGGGTGCGCCAGAGCCGGGTGGTCCCACAAAGTCCATGCACTTCACCAGCTCCAGGGACTCCGTGGTGTGCCCTAGCATGGCCTTCTGGCCCTGCACATCCCTCCTCGGCCGGTTCCTGGCATATTCAGTCGGCTCTGGCGGTTCTGCATGAGGCTGTGGCGGAGCAGGAGCTGCCTTAGCAGCTGCGCGGCCCCTGTTCATGCGTGCTGCGCCGACTGCGGCAGGATCCTTGCGATTCTTTACACCCTCCTTTTCTTGGTCGGCAGTGGTGGTGGCCCCTGCGGGACAACAAAGACAATAAGATGCTGGAATGCAGACAACCTCCTCGTCCCGGCAGGTTTATCTCAATTTGATACCACCCCAATCGCTTGCGATCGTCAGTGAGCTTGATATTGTATACTCTGTTCAAAAAGTGTCCGCACCGTCCGTTTGACCGCCTGGCAGCCCACCCACGTTTGCAGCGCACCCGTTCTCCTTGTCTGCAGCAGCTGCGTCCACCTTCAAGCCTTCCAAGCTGGCCATAGCGCCGGACTGCAAACCTTGCGCATCACATGAGACAATCCAGTGAACACAACATGAGCCAGCAGAATTACTTTTCCTGTCCATCAAGAACGTCTAAGCCACCTCATGTGACCACGGCCACGTGTGACCATGTAGTTGGATCGCACTTTCTAGCATGCCGCTTTTGAAGCCATATGCCTTGGCAGCAGCAGACTCAGGATCCAAGGCCTTGCCCGAAAGCGTATAGCCTGTGCCACTTTCTGCCACCTTGGCAGGCAAGCGTTCGCCTTTCAAGCAAAGCTTGATGAAATGCTTCTGTGCATGGCTCGCCACAGATCTTGTATCTCTGGTGCCAATATGACTGGCACAAGCCTTCCAGTTCCGGCCTGCAATCAGCACCACCATTTTCTCGGTTCCTTATAGGTGGCCCAGATCGTTGGCATTGTGCGTTTACGATACATCAGTCTGCTGATATGTAGGAGGACTGCACAAAATGCACTCGTCCTATTTGCAACTGTCAGAGGATGGCGCTATACCATGGAGCTCCAAGGACTCCAGAAACAGCTTCTCCTCCTCGTCTGACCATGAGCGGGCCTTTTCACGCACTGCGCCAACATCCTTGCGCTTACGCCTTCCCGTCGCTGTCACTTCATCTACCACCACCTCCTCCTCTGTGGTCTTTCTTGAACCTCCGGCACCATTCGCTGTATCTTCTTCAAGGGAGCTATTAGTCTTCACAGCTGCACCAGCGACCTCGTTGAATTTTTCCCTGCTTGGTCCCGAGCATTTATTGGCTTTGCGAGGCCCTGCATGAGAAAAGGCATTGAAAGGATCAACATTCCCGATAGAGCGCTATCGATCCGCGCAGCCATATATTTGTCCCAAACAAACAATTTTGTTTTCGGAATTGATAGCTTAGAATATGTATCCCAGGCAGTAGTTCAGAAAGCTTGCATAGGTTGCTACCCTTCTTGGCTTTCTTCCTTCTGCGATGACCTCCATAATCGGAATCATCTGAGACATCCACAGCATATTCTTGCTCGGAGTATTCTGCATATGCATTGTCTTCCGAAAGGAGCTTCGCGATCAAAGCAGATGTCTTGTCGTCAACATCCCCCATATTTTCTCGGAAAAGGGTCTAAGATATCATAGCTTTCTAAGCAGCATTACTCTAGACGGTAATATATGTGGATTGTATGGATTCCAGGGCAGGAGAAGTGAAGGGTTCCCAACTTTCAACTCGCCTGTATAAAAATTTGAAGTAAACCTAAGTCTAAGAGGATGTCCTAAACCTAAAGGGTGTATAACAAATTGGAGCATGGATGCCCAATTGCATGCAGGTGCTGGCCCGGTTCAAACGAGGGCTGTGGGGATAGTGAGTCTCGAAGTTTGTAGTAGACGTATAGTACTGGCCAGGCCTAGGGTGGTGGGCCGCGCGGCGGTTGGTGGCAGGCTGCCGCAGCGGCTATCGATATCATGATGTAGCAGACTATGCATTCGGAATGTGCAAAAAGCCGAGTGCCTACCATCATATTAACCTCAACATCAGGTTGGCATAGGAGATTGCGTTACTGATGGTGGTGGCATATGATATGATGACTGATGATGAGTTTGAGACCGCAAATCATCCAAGCTCAGCATCTGACAAGTTGTGTAAAAGCCAGACCGTATCTAGATGAAGATGCATCTAGAAGATCTTGAACTGTATGCTGGCAGCATGCAGCTAGCACGAGGCAGCCTCAGGTGAATGAGCGCAGATCAGGGCCTGCGATCAATATATACAGTACCGGGACACTGCAGTCAGTCCTGACGTCGGATTGCAAGCAATCTGCAACGGGTCCCTAAATCCTCGACACTGATACTCATTACTTTTCACACTCTGTTCAATTTGAAGCTTGATGGTGCCACCAGCATATAGTCTTACAGCAGGCAGTGCAGGTATGGAACGGTCCAGCGCTTAAGAAGTAGCCCCTGTTGCAGCTGTTTCTGATGTGTTCTAAGGTGCACTGGCAAATGATTATTGACTGCGGACAGCAAGCTATACACTGGCATCATATTATCACACGCTTTTCCTGCCAAAAAGAGGGAAGTCATGCAGACAAACTACGTTTAAAGGCTGCCACAATCCTACCCCTTGTTGGACTCGCCAGATCCAAGCAAAGCCCCAATTTAAACGTGGGCACGGTCCTCAGTTATTATACCGGCCTCGGCCAGCCGGGGCCAACAGTACTGGCATCATATACATGACAAGAAAGAATGTTGAATGTGAAGTTGCACAGAAATGCAACGCACGCCACTCAAGGCGGCTGGGGTCCCGTATTCAGAACAACAAACTCTGCTGTACATGCTAGGCATCATCCTCAGCTCCTGATCTGGCATCGGACGCCTTGGGCAGAGGAGCGGATCGTAGCTTCTGCAGCAGCTCAGGCATGGGGTCTGGAGGAGCACCAGGCATGGTCTGAGCCCAGACAGCATCAAACATGGGGCTTCCATACACTTTGGCCTCGTTTCGGAATGACCAAATGGTGCCAATCTTCCACATCCCTTCTGGCCGCTTCTCAATGTGGTCGATCAGATGGTTCCGGTCCTGCGCAGTCCCAGATATCGCTGATGGAGTCATCAGACAGAACCATGCTTGTGAAAGGCAACAAGATGCAAGGAGGGATGGCATTATCAACAGGCTGGCGGCACGCACCTTGACTGTGTAGCGGCTTCGAGAACCCCCGTAGCACGACTCAATGTCAGGCATGGAGATGGTGCCTCGCCGCTCAGCTGACAGACTGGCCGTGGGGTCAAACACTGTCTGCTTGTACCACCCGTTCAGCTGGCCCCACACAAAGCCTGGTCCATACTTCTTGGCCAAGCCCACCTGCGTTCTCCCATGCTTATCAGGACCTGAGGAAGCAATGCCCCTCCCAGCCGCTGCCTTGCCTCCCTTCTCCTTCTGCACCGCCGCCCCCCCACCAGCTGGGCCGGCCCCTACATCTTCCTGATCAGCATCATCCGCCTCTCCTCTGTCCAGCACTGCTGTCAGCGCATCTGCAGCCTCCCCACTGGCCACGGCTGCAGCAGCCAGGGAGCCATCCCCGGTGCTCAACAGGGGGTCGTCCAAGACAGCCGCAGCCTCGACGGCGCGAGCAGACGCCGTGTCTGCCGCTGACGAGGACGGTGCTTGGTCCTTTCTGGGCAGCGCAGCCACGCCGGGGCCCACAGCCCGCTTCAGCATGAGATCATCGAGGTTTAGATGCACCGGAGGGGAAGTGAAGCCCTGCAGCAATGGGAATTGCCTCTTCAGCAGGACGCTTTCTGCTAACCTTGGAATCCTCACAGTGACTTCACACGCGTGCTTGCCAAGTCAGATCCTCTTACATGTAGAGCACTGCGTAACCTGGCCCCTTGTCAACAACTTTTCCCGCTGCAGAAGGCAGCTGGTCGTCCCACCTTGTACTCCCGCTCTGACGTGAACCATGTCTGAGAGGAGGCGTATAGCAGCAGCATGTCGGCGGCAGCGGTGTGGCCGCCTCCGCACGCCACGTCCAGGGCGCGCACTTTCTCAGCCAGAGCCATCAGCCTCGCCCTGCCCTCGGCCGCATCCGCAGCCGGCTGCAGCACCAGCACCGCCAGCTCCTCCAGATGCTTGTGGCCCCTGTGCCTGGCGAGGACCGCCTGGATATCGTCCTCATCCTCGGCCGAGCTCAGTGCACGAGCCACGCTGGGGTTGGCCAGCTGCGACGCCGCAGTACGCAGCCAGCGCCTGGCCAGTGACTTGGTACCTGATGCAAAACGCAACCATGGCCTCATGCCAGCATGGAGCAATGTGTCCCAATACAGCAGACACACCAATCAAGGCCAGACACAGGTGATGCGAGTGAGCACACCTGTCCACAGGTACTCCGCAACCTCGCTGTCTGTGAGCAGGCGCAGGGGTGCGTTGAGGCACTGCCCAGGCTTGCTTAGGCACAGCTTCACCTTGTCCAGGGTGATCACCACATTCTGCAGCCTGTTGTCGCTCACCCCTGAAGTCCACCCAACATCTTGTTTGCTGACCGTGATGCTCTTTGTCGTCTTATAATTTGCGACAGGGAAAAAGCCAGAAGATGTGCATGCATGCTGTGAGCAACCCGGCTCACCCTTGGCCTCGGAGGCTGCTGTGAAGGGCGTGTATGCGACAATGTTGCTGGGCAACGCCAGAAGCTGCTCGGGCAGCAGGCGCTGCTCCTCCTGCACAAACTCCAGAATGAGGGCTGTCCACTTCTCCAGCCAGGCCGGCACCCTTGACTGGCCTCCCCCACCCCCCAGCGCACACTCACGCAGCCCAAACTCCTGGAAGCAACACGGTAACAGTTCCCACATCTGGTGTGCCATGCACATCAAAACCAGCCAAGTCAGCAAGATAGCACCACTGCGCCTAATTTTTTCTTTGGTACAAAACGCCATAGACCGCACCTGCAAGCGCGCCCTGTCCCGCTCGGTCAGGGGCTCTGCTCCTGCCCTGACCAGGAGCGCCTGCCGCCGCAGCATGCTGTGGCGCTGCGTCATGATCTACACCAGCAATTCTTGCTTATTTAATCCATTCATTTCCAAATTTGCACATGATTCAACTATGCAGGGTGCAAGGAGCACATTCCAAGGCAGTACTCACCTGCATGAAAGCCCGACTGCCAGCAAAAGTCAGGAATGACCCTCTGCAGTTTCTGGTGCCACAGAGGCAGATTGCCGTCCGAAACTCCTTCTCACTCTCGGTGACGCATGCGTAATCAAAAGTCAGTTCCTCCCCGGGGTAGACATGGCGCAGCGTGTACACGGCAATTGTCAGGCGGCCGCCACACGCCATCACCACAGCCTGGCAATTAGGTGTGCAGCTGTGGCTCATGCGGCTCGCATACGCTCCCTGCAGCAAAGACTCTCTAGATGAGATTGTCCTGCCCTTGTCATCACGCTCCCTATAGAAAGGTGGTGCGACTGTCATTTCACAAAAAGAGAGGTATGCCAGGGTGCAGCTCGGCACACCTTGGCAGCAGCATCGATGAACATCACATCATAGCCAGTAGGGTCATCGCGTGGCCTCTCGAGCACGATGTTGTAGAAGTCTGGCAGTTCATCACCCATTGTCTTCCTGATGATGTCCTGCAAGACAATCACAATGGGTTTTGCTGGTTTGCAAGAGACAGGTCATCGATGTACATTCATCAGGTGGCTCCAGAAATTAGCAAGGAAGGCCACTGACACAGTGAGCAGGCTAACCTGCATCTCAAACCAGCGCCATGGTGTGTGCACCTCTCCCAGGTACTCCTCCACAAATGTCAAGGGCGGCAACCCCTCCGATCTACAGCACTTGAGCCCAACACCCTTGGGATGTATCCTGAAGTAGTTGGAGCCGACCTGCAGATGGGGAGCGACAATGGCTGTAAGTCTTCTACAACCCTGATCCAGGCATGGCATGGCTGACAGGTTTTGCAACATTGTGAAGAGACAATGACCTTTTGGACGCGCTTCTCCACAGCGTTGGCTGCCTCGACACTGCACATGTCTCCGGCCGCTTGCGCATGCTCTTTGACATCCTGGAGGGCCAGCAAGATGTCCCACCCAGACGCACCCTGTATGAACTCACACGATCGGACGCCGCACTCGTTGCGTAGGACAGCTACTTACACCTGCATGCCTGTGCACGGCCTCACATGCCTCACGTTTGAGCAACTCACCTGCTTGTTGATTGCTGGCATGAGCTCCCGCTCGACCCAAGCCGTGACCTTTGCATGTACATCTGGGATCCCATCTTTGACGCCGTCTGCCTTGCCATTGCTCATGTGAGCCTCCTCTGCAGGGCCTCCTGCAAGAACAGAACCCGTCTCGAATATGCACCGGCACTGTAAGAGACACAAATTCAACCGATAAATGACGTGTCTCATCCTTGTCACCTGACGCCGGGGACTCGATGGACTGGTGGGCCTTTTCGTGATGCACGACTTCGCCCTTGTCCAGCGGGTTGATGTTGTCAGGCTGCCGCAGGCTCTCCTGAAGGGTGACAGGCCGGTACTCGCCAAATGCTCCAGATTCCAGCACAGCTGTGGTCAACAAATATTTAGACGCCCATCCTAGCTCATTTATGTCTTTACTATGCAATCTTAGGGCAAGTAAAGAAGAAGCATTGAGAGTCACCGTCATGGATGTTGCGACGGGTGTAGCAGTCACACCCCCAGGTGTCTATCTCCTGCACATCTCTGCCGAGCACCAGTGTGCGCCTGTCTGTGACTGCATGGTTCAGGCACTTGGAGGTCCCAGCACACCCACAGTCTGGCCCGCACTCCAAATTTCTTGCAAGACAGTCACATTCTGTCTGAAACCTCTCAGCTTCCAGCCTGAGAATGAAATAACGTCAAAGTCAGCTAGTGTTCAGCACTGAAAACACAAAAATCTTGACAAGGCTGGAATCTCAGTATTTGGCCAGAAGGCTTACACATAGGTCCCCAGGTGGCCAGCTTGTGTGCAGTGCTGCCCAGAGCACATGCCCTTCTTTTCTGTTTTGAACTTGTATTCAAGGACCTCGTTCTCTTCTGCGATCTCGTACTTCTGAAGCCGTACATATGGCCTATGCACACAGATTGTCAGCACGAAGGAATCAGAAGAAATATTGTGGGGCTTACTGGACAACTGGCGCATAATTTACCCAGTCATGTAGTCACACCGTAACCCTATGAACACCAGAAAAGAGGCACACCTGGGAATGTAGGGTTCCTTCCTCCAATCCCCTTGCAGGTAAGGCTCCCGATTGGCCTGAATGCTTTCCGGCAGGGCGCCTCGCGAGACGACTGGGCGGACAGGACGCTGGGCGCTGTTTTGCCCATTGGAGTTTCCGGAGGGGCCACGTGCAGCATTGGCTACCGCCACTATGGCTCCATTCGCCGCCGCTGCAAAGCTGTCTGCTAGTGCTAGAAGCTTGCTGCGCCTCTCTGTTCAAGCACAGCAACCCTTGGCAAGCAGCCTCTCTGTATCACCATGGCCTTCAACCCCGATTGATCTACTGCACATTGCAGCTTCTGCTGGATGCATGATGATGTTGCAAGGCATGAAGAAATATTACGTACCTGTCTCTGAGTCATTCGCAAGACGCTCAGCTGCGGATCGGCTGATGGCAGCTAAATCCTCTGTGACAGCCTCAACGTCATCGTAGCTGCCATCCTCCAGCGTGCCGATCAAAGCAGTGAAGTCCAGGGGCAGCACACATGCAGCTCTGACAGCCTGGCAGTTCTGCACCCTCGCCAACTGTGCCTTTCGAGCCTATGCACACACACATCAACATGCTTAAAATTGAATTCTAAAAGGGCAGAAAATACCTTCCATTTGAATGTATGGATGAGGATGGCGCACCAGCGCCACTCGCTCTGCTGAAGTCTTCAGGTGGGAGAATGCGGCAGATCCCGAGCTCGATGGTGGATCAAAATCCATGGGGGCAGCATCTCCGGTTTCGTGGGGAGGCGCCTCCAGCTGGACATGCAGCGACAGGGCGCCTTCCAATCCCCTCAGCAGCTCCACAAGCTCAGCCTGAAGCATAGAGACATCCTTTTGAGACATTGCACTGTGTAGATATCCACAGAACAGGCTCCTTTCCCATGCAGATCTGCTTGACACACCAAGCTTTCTGCTCTTGGGCACGGTGCTGGTCCATGCGTGCAGGGCACTGACCGTCACAACTGCAGGCAGCGGCCCAGAGACCCAGCGCTGATCTGCCAGTCGTTTCTGTCTTCTCTTCCCACTCCTCTGCCCTGATGACTCCTCGCCAATGTCGCCATAGTAAGCTTGCTTGCGCTTCCGCTTCTCTCCGTACTCTTGGCCCGAGAGGAATGCGGCACCCCCGAGACCCACGCCTCGGCATGCCTACCAGCACAAGGCCGCACATCAGGCTGGTCAACCGTGCCAACTATTTGTGGAACACGTGGACTTTACATAAATACATTTCTGCTGGCAATGCAGTGTAATCGATCACCTGCAGAGATAGCAGTGCTGTAACATCCGGCAAGACAGCCAACCAGAAGAGGTCCTCAGGTACTCCTGAGTCTGCAGCTGATGTGGGAGCTACTGATGTGGGAGCTCCTGACGCGCGCTCAAGGGAAGCAATGCTCTCATTGCCATGGTCCAGCAGAAGACTGACTGCTTGGGCAGGACCAGATTTGCTGTGGGTCATAGCTGCATCGCAAATACTTCGAAACTCGTGCGCGAAGGTTTTCAGCGAGCACTTCCCTACCTTCAATTCCAGCGCCCTGTACACAGGCATCCAGGCCGTGATTTTCCGCAGCAGCCCTGAGGTGGGAGCCTTCGTCTCAGGAGTAAGGTAATCGCTGGAGAAGGGACCCACCTGACCCTGTCTGCAACCGCATCACCCCATTCAGTCCCTTTCGCTGAATCCAGGATTCCGTCGCCATCTGTGCCCCGAATACTCTTGAACAAGCTCACGATGTCTGGTGATGGCGATTGGCTGTTGCAGTCCCCTGTCAGGACTGGCTGGCTTTCGCTCAAGGTCAGCTCATCATGCGCGTCAAGGATGTGAACTAAAAGTGTGCTGGGGGAAGGGTACTGCACCCTGAAGGCCCTGTGCATATCCTCAACTTTGGCAATCCCGTGTTTGGGCAAAGTATCGAAGTCACACTACTTATATTTTCGTCTGACAACCTTGTCTAATCAAGATTATACGTTCTCTTCTTATTTCTCTTCTCGTCTTCTCGTGGTTACCCAGGCCAAGAAACAAGACGTGCAATTAGGACGTGTTGCCAGCACGTGCGGCTCCTCCCTCGGATTTGGCCAAGCCAAAGGCACAAGAAAGTGCTTTCAAATCTGCTATGGAGCGTAGAACAGGTAGCACGCAACGGATTAAGTCATAGTGTAATATTTAGCACTTGACAGACTTGGAAGTTTTTGTGATCCCAAACCTCATTTTTATTTTGTGTCTGCAGACTCGCAAGATCCGAATGGAGTTAAAAGGCAGAAAATGGATGTGAGGGAGGACGTTGGATGGGGGCCATCGCTTCGGGGAGGGCGTGGCAGGTGAGTGTCTAAGTGTCTTGGATCTTAAGGCAACTCTGCATATATTATTTTTAATGCTATATGGTCATCCGATGCATTGTACTAGGGGATGGGGGAGGGGTGGTGGTGATGGCCATTCGCGGGGGTTCATGAGCGAGGGACGAGGGCGGCATGGCAGGGGAGACATTGGGTCTTTCCATCCTGAAAGGGCAGGTGAGAAAGACTGATGGTACTGTTGCTGATGTCGCTCAATGGCTACGTCATGGGCCGTGCCAACGGACTTGACAAGTCTGTGGTGGTGCTGCAGGTTGGCATAGGGGTGGCCGCCATCCCGGGGGTTTCCCAAACGACAACCCCTTCATGCACCATGTTGGGCATATTGGTGCACACGGTGCACTAGACCCACAGCACCAGCTGCCCATGCCTCCACAGCAGCATCACATGGATGACGGGCATGTGCCTGGTTTCCACGGCCACCAGGTGGGCAACCTGTGCCACCCTCACGCATGCAGTGAGCTTAGATTGCAGTGAGCTTAGAAAAGAGGCGCCGGGCAAATTGGCCAACAGCTGTGAATTTGTGCAGGCAATGCAAGGAGATGGTCCTGCCATGTCAGACTCGGGACATCTTGGGCAGCATCCGGGCAGCGGGCCGCACCGCGGCCGAGGACGTGGCTGGGGCCGTGGTGGCTCAGGCAGCGGCGGTCTGCAACCGTTCAGGCGGGGCCAGGCGGGGCTGGATCCTGCAGTGCTGGAGCGTCGCCGCAAGAGCACAGCAGCCATCATTGCCCGCCAGCTTGCCCATGTGCATGTGTCAGAGAGCCTGGCAGGCCAAAAGGTGCCCTTGCACTTGGTATCTTTTGAAAGCAACAATCTGTAGATTGCTGGAAAAGGAAGACGCCTTCTTCTTCATTATGCCTCCCCGCAGCTACTGGCAGGCCGCCTTATAACATGTTGGGTTGTGTCGCACATTGTAAAGTGTCTTGTATGGCTTGCAGGGATTCCTTCATTACCAGCGATCCTCATCAGCCTTGGACGATCCCCCAGAAGCAGCTACAAGGAAAGGGTTGCCAGAAGAGGAGGTGATAAAGCATTGTCTCATGTACTCAGCTGTTGCTTCCGAAGAGAATGTGAGCTCTGGCGTGCGCGCACATGATCCTCTGGATGCATTTGAGCTCTGCCTTGATGACTACACGATGAGCGCCGATGCAGAGGAGTACTCAAGAACACCAGGGATGTCGGTCGCTCTGCAAACATCCAAGTTTGGTACTTTCCTGGCGCCAAGGGTATGGGAATTTTAGTGAGGTCCATGCACGTGTACAATAAGTAGGAGAGAGTGCAGACAGTGTAAATGGCATTGAAGTGAAATGCGAAAGCAACAAGATTGTATGTCTCCAATATTGTCTTGTCTTTGTCTTCTTGTGGATCTTGACGGCAGTTGCTGCTGGTATGCCTTATAGATGACAGCACATGTCAAGTCCATACTGCAGAGCTCGCAAAAAAGTGCTTGGTTAATGTTTGCATTTCACTTCCAATGCTTCACGCTTGCAATTGTTTCACAACAAGTGGTACACTGGCGGCTCGCTTCTCAGATTGCAAAGTCATTTTCTGATGCAAACCACAGCTGTGCAATGCAAAGAGCCCAAAGACCGAGAGAGTCTTAGACCATAGTAGACTATGGGTATACGTATAACGATGGGCACATTCTTTCCCATCAGACGCAGGACACGCTGACTAGAAGTATACTCTCCACCGGTAGCCTGCGAGCAGACATTCAGGAACGGTCAGCATCTAGTGATGACAAATCTGGAGGGCAGCAAGCAAGGAACAACTGCAAACTTTATTTTTTTCAGACACCTGAGTTAGACGAGGAAGATGCCTGGATCAGACAAGGAAGATGCCAACCTGTTTTCCAGGTGTAGTTGTCGACGATCTGCTTGAAGACAAGGCCAGCAAAGACAATGCAGACATATGATGCTGTCCGTCTGTGGCTCGGGTCGGCCAGCTTGGGAACAGCGAATGTCAGCGAAGCCACAGATAAGCCAAATAGCAGGTACATGAAGCCCATGATGAAGCCTTCCAAGCCCAGCTGCCCTTGATTTGATGGCAAGAACACCTGCAGTACCAGAAACAGTCACTTTCAACGATGGGACATGACTAGAAACCATAGCCACAGAGTTGCACAGCATCAAGCTGCCAAATTGGCCAGCAATGTGTGTGTGTTGGCTACATGTGCTGTCTGCAGCGTGCGTGCAGGTCTCACCTTGATCTTGCCCTCCTGGTCAGGGTAGTAGAGCGGAACACCGCGGATGATGTTGTGCATGCCGCCGCTGACTGAGAACCAGTAGACAAAAAGGACGCCCAGAGTCCACAGGACCAGGTTCTTCATGAACTCGGCGTAGTACAGATTGTATGCGATGGCACCCAGCGCCAGCACAGCTGCCAGGAATACCACAGGGAACAGGCCTGAGCGCATGAACGACGGCCGCTCCACCTTCTCAATGTTGATGCCTGTCTTGTCACGCAGGAATGCAGCCATGTCCTCTGCCTTCCAGTGGTGGTGGCCATAATCATCATGGCGCATCTGCACATGCGGCAAAACAAATTGATTTGCTTTTGCTCATGATGTTTGCCAGAGGCATTGTGTTCTTGTGTCTGTGGCAGTGTATAGCTTGTGCTCGTCCAATAGGGCGCTCACCACATCCTCTTGCTTAAATTTGATGACACCATCAGCTCCCACAGGCACATTGGGGTTCACGTGGACGATCCACGGCAAAGACTGGACACCCAAGCGGTGAAAGATGGCTTTGCTCTCCTTGAACTCCAGGTTCACGAAAAAGACACCTTGTTTTCCAGACTTCTTGACCTCCTGCGATCCATTCACTTATATTCAGGAGGCTGACATGGACCAAAGAGAAATATGCTGCAGATGCAAGAACGATCTTAAAGGCAGATGATCACCGTGGCCAACAGCCCAAACTCCTTGCGCAAGCCTCGCAGGTTCAGTTGCTGCTTGTCAAGAAGGTGGGACGCTGTGCAGAAGACAATCAGGGCATATGGCCGTCGCTTGCCAGTCACGTAGTCATCAAACATCTGGGGAGTAAAGTGAATAACGCCATCGGATGCCTTGAGAGACAAAGCCTCCAACTCCTCCCTCTGAAGCTCGTTCTGCTGAGCAATCAAGGTTGGCAGGCCAAACAGAATGTAAACATTCCTGTTCTGTATGACTCAAGCAACATGAAGAGGTTGTTCTCATAACACTGGGAGCTTCACAACATGTCCACAAAGCAAAGCAGTGCTCTACAGAAGTTGCAGTAATCATGACTGCAAGAGAGCACAGTAAGCCACACAGCAAGCTCACCTCGGCTCTCTTCTTCGATACAACTTTAGAAAAAGCTGTTAGAAAGTGGGGTTGGAGTCCCAGCAGTGCGATCGCGAGGAAAAGGCTTCTCGATGCCATCATCAGAGCAAAGTTGACAATCGCCGACACTTGACAGAGGTTGACGACCACTTATTGCACCCAGGACATCTGAATCAATTTTTAAATCCCATGTAGGCCAACAATCTGTGAAGCCAGGTTAAGGAAACCTAAAAATGGGCAAACTCCCAGGATTCCGAATCGGGAGGGCTATCTAAACGTATATGAATATTCTTTCAAAAGGTATCTACGAAGTCCTGCACATTTCAACGATTCCGTCTCACATCATATGATTGGCAAGACTTTATTGCCGCCGAGGGCATCTAATGTTTGCATGATGCATGATGGGGCAACCCTGTGAATCCACCCCAATTTCCAAAGGGCCACGCATGCCAAATGGGCATGCACCACAGAGTTGTGAACTTGATTCCAGCTGGATTTTCAGGCTGTTCCTTATACATCAGCTGAGCTAATTCAGCTCTTGCTAGTCCAATGGACTGAGTCCATCCGGTCAGCCTTGTGCCGCTGAAGCAGTGTACCGGTCCGGTACCTCAGGCTAGCCAGACAGCACTACCCTAGTGTCCTTTATTGATGCGCACTGCTGGCAGCCGCTGCGGCGGTATGCATATGCTTTGCTTGATAGTTGCATAGATGCATAAATGCAGTGCTTTGCCCGCAGTGCAAGCATTGCTTTGCAATTCTTGATGACTATTGACACTAGTGAGTTCTGTGCTTCTGCAGACAATGTGGTACCTAAAACCCAAACATTCCTGCCCCTGTGAATTCAGGAAGACACTAAAAGTTGCTTTGAAATATTTCCCGCACCGCCGACTCGGAGGGTGCGAGATTTAGAATGACTACTACAGTACTGTGATAGTATACGTTCAGAAGCAATTGACAGCGTCTCAATGAAATTACATCATGAAGATCAATCCAAATGTAAGGTATGCAAGATGACGGCAGCAATGCATGAATTGACCCAACCCCGGGGGTCCCTCCACTTCAAGTGCAACAAAACAATGCAGGGCTGTAAGTTTGTCGTCCGGTTCAAGTGCGCAATTGGTGCATGCACCCTCACTCTGATCAGGACTTGTCAAAATTGCCTGCGGGTAAGAAGGTGCCGCCAACATGCCATGCCATCATTGACAAGCCAAAAGACTCCGTCTCAGACCTCAAAACATCCACCCATCCCATCAATGATGCCAAGGGCCACAGGCTCCTTGTGACACACTCACAGAACAAGTCTTTCTGACCTCAAGTTGTTCAGTTAATGTTGCGGCCATATGGCTGTCAGTCCCCGAAATGGATGATCAATATGAAACCCCAAAATAGCACATTACACGTGCTGTTCAACCTTACCAGTGCAGTAACCCGTTCCACCAACCAAGCAGGCACGCCGCCGGGTCATGGAGATCCTCACAGCTTTGACTCCACGGGATACCAATTCCAACGATCTTTTGATACATAAGTGGTGACCTGCTTGACACTCAAGTAGCTGTCCAGGCCATATGTGCCCAATTCCCTGCCATATCCACTTGCCTTCTTACCTCCCCATGGTGCCTGCACACAGTAATAAGAAATGTATCAATTTGATCTGAACGCGCAGAACTCGACCTGCAAAGGCAGAACAAAATCCTTCGCAAGAGTAACGTAGCAGCCCAAGAGGAGCTGCAATCAGCCAAAGAGAAAGAGATTACCTGGCAGAAACAAGGTTGACTGCAGTTAATCCACACAATTCCAGTCTCCATTGCAGACGCCACACGCTTGCAGCGCTCAGCATCAGCGGAGATCACAGCAGCCGCCAGGCCATACTGAGAGCCATTTGCAATTGCAATGGCTTCCTCCTCTGTGCGGAAAGTAGCCGAAGCAAGGACAGGCCCAAAGACTTCCTCCCTCCAGAGACGCATCTCGGGCTTAACATTGATGAACACTGTTGGCTCCACAAAGTATCCACGCGACAGGTGCTCTGGCCGCTTGCCTCCAGTCAGCAGGGTGGCACCCTCCCTCTTGGTGTCCTGCAGGAAACCAAGCAGTAAATATGCATTCTCACTAAGAATGGAGCGTTTGACATGGTGAAATGCAACCACCCATGCACACATCACGATGCAGGCATCATGTTGGCCACTTGGCGCCCCACCTCGATGAAGCCCAGGATCTTTTCCAGCTGTCCACTTGATATAACTGGGCCCAGGCGTGTGTTGGCTTGGAGGGGGTCAGCGATTTTGATGTTCTCCGCACGCTTCTTCAGGCGGGCATAAAATGCATCGGCGATGTCCTCATGCACAAGGAGGCGCGATGTAGCACTGCATATCTGTGCAAGGGGCACCAATAGAGTTAGTTCTCCTCAAAAGCGCATGAGATGCGCTTGAAGTGCTCACATCTTCTTGTGCAGAAGACACCCAGACCAAATGTCAGTTTCAGAGCTGATCCACAAGCTGCACAGGTTTTCAGGGTTGCTTCACCTGCCCATTTGTCCAGAAGCAGCCAAAGCAGGCCCACTCCACAGCATCATCTACGTCCGCATCGCTGAACACAATCAGGCAGCTCTTGCCTCCCAGTTCCATGCAAGTCTGCACTCCATTCTTCGCTGCTGCCTCTGCAATGCGCTGCCCCGTTGCTGTTGACCCCGTGAAGGAAATCTTGGCGATGCATGGGTGCCCACTGCAAGCATCAGGTCACACCCTCTTCTGAAACGTACCACCGAAAAACATGCAATGAGGTCACTGATAATGGGCTGGCATTTCTAGACTGGAAAGCACTCTCCAGTATAAAACCAAATTGAGTTTAGTTGGGGTGCATGCGCCACACCTCAAAGGGGCACCTGCTTCCACGCCAAGGCCAGTCACAACATTCAGGACACCCGGTGGAAGCTGGACCTCCTCTGCAATGGCTGCCAGCTCGAGACAAGTCAGAGATGCCATCTCTGAGGGCTTCAGCACAACCGTGCAGCCTGCTGCCAGGGCCGGGGCCACCTTCCACTGCACACGCACACACAGACACTTAACACTATTTGCTTCCGGCAGCAGGGCGGCATAGCACCTTGGGGCATATAATGGGACCAGTCCTTACCGTCGCAATCAACATGGGATAATTCCAGGCAGAGATGAGCCCCACTGGCCCAAGCGGCTCTCGTCTGAGCACAGTCTTGAACTCCTCCATAGGAAGCGGCACTGGGCTGTCTTGGGAACCATCCAGTTTCTCAGCCAGATCAGCATAGTACTCAAAGCATCCAGCAACGTCATCCTACAGAATCAGACAAGTGAAATCTTTCGACATCATCATCCTCTTACACATCAAGGCTCAGCACACATGAGTCGTCTGGTGTGAACAAGCGCTGGGAAAAACAGCACTGGACCCAGATTGCTGATAGGTCAGGCACTCACAATGTCCCATTCAGCCTCCGAGATGGGTTTTCCATTATCCAGGCATTCCAAGCGTGCCAGGTCGATCTTCTTCTCTTTCACCTGGACAAACACTAGCAGGCCTCAGCGCAAGTATATGCGAAACTGCCAAATGCAGATATAGAGGCATCGAAAAGTGAAGCCCACCTTCTCTGCAATTTGACGAAGGTATACAGCGCGCTGATGACCAGAAAGTTTTCTCCACGGTCCAGAGTAGAATGCTTTCGTCGCTGCCTCGACAGCTTTGTTCACATCAGCTGCACCACCGCGGGGAATGGAGCCAACAACGTCCTCCGTTCCAGGTGAAATAACATCAAGCCTACCATTCGACGCAGCTGAAACCCATGCGCCATCAATGAAAAGCTCTCGGTAGGGAACAGCCATCGCAGATCGCTCTGCAAGTCGGAAAAGACACGACCAAAGTTCTGATAGAGAAGGCGCTCAATATGGAATTTATAGACAGCACGCTTTATATGTGATAGCGGCAAATGTCCCAAGCAATAAAGAACACAGAGACAGTTTCAGCATACGTACCAAGGTCACATGGCCAGGGAAATGAAGTAGCAACCCATTACGAATAAGGTTACAAATGCGTTGGCGCCGAACGAACTTCGAATACTCTGTTCTTGAGATCACTCAAACTACGGATGCCGCCAGCAGCTCCAGGGTGCGCCTGGGCTCAAACACTTCATGGGCAGATTGTGCAATCATGCATGTATGACCAACAACTGCGCCACCCCATCATAGCGTATAAATGATCAAGTCGACCGGCGCAAGGGGTTCCACGCTAAAAGTTCAAGCTTCAAGCACTTGATATTATTACAGGTCGGCAAACCCAAAGCCAGAGGCCATAGGGCATACACGCAGGGCGCTATTAGTTTTAAGGTGCAACGCAGGATTATGTGGTAGATATTCATGATGGGACAAATCATGAGCTGCATGAAATGTCCACTTGTTTGAGGAGAGGTGAAGGGCTCAGCCAACTTGGCTGCGCAGCATGCTTGAAGGTTGCAAACTGTCTTGATGTCTGCATTCTCTCTTAGCTTATCTTCGCATTGAGTATTAGTGTTATCCTTAAACAACAAGCACGGTTCATCAAGCCGGAGCCGAGTTCTAGCTGATCATTAATATTTTGCTTCATACCTTTTCACTTTGTACACAGGTGAAGTAACTGTGAAATTTCGTTGACATTTCTAGACTACTTGAGACTGCCAAGTAGTTTAATTGCAGACCACATGTGTACAGAGTATCAGCATACAGCACTCAGTGCTGAACATTTCATGCAATGAATCTGATACCAGCAATATCTGCCAGTGGTAATACAGGACTCTTGATTTAGGCTCTGAAAGAACTCATCTATGTCACTGAGTCCAACCCAGAGTCCCTCGGGGCCTGTAGCTAGCTGCAACAGGGCACTGTAATATCCCATAGACTGCGCATTATTGATTGTTCTCTGGTCGGCCCGAAGGCCACGATACATTTTGGATGGGTGCTAGAATTTGTTTGATGTTGCTGAGGGTGCCCTCTTCTGCTGCCGTCAACTGGGACAGAGCTGTCGCCACATTGTCTCGTACCTGCACATTCAATTCACCACGCACTAGTCATCAGCAATGAAGCGCTGCAACCTGTACCTGATTTATGGTGTATGAAGGCAGCATCCCACTCACAGGGCCAACCATTGCAGTGCAAATTGGAAAGTCAGCTTTCAGATGAAACCCACCTGCTCTGGCTTTGTGAAGCCTATGAGATGTGTTTGAATGGATGGGTTCCTGAGAGCTGCTTTAATTGCCAGCAGTGAGATATCGCTGCCAAGTTCCTTTGCCTGATCAGCCGCTGCCTTGCAAGCTGTCTTCACCTCTTCTGGAGCAGGGTGCCATGATGGGGGCCCCTATGATCAAAGCAAATGTTGCATTTTGAAGTTGTTAAAAAGCAGCACCGCAAGACAGGCCGTTTATTGCAATCACATGGTATGTGGTTCGTGTCAGGCAGTGTCACTCGTCATCACGGCATGAGAAGCGGGCCTGACCTGCTGTGTCAGCAAGCCCATGCTCAGAATGCTGGCATTGATGACACCAACACCCTTCTGCTCAAGGTACGGCAGAATTGACTCCAAGGATGTATCGTTCAAGCAGTAGTGGCAGTAGGACAGAATCACATCAACTGTCCCAGGCTCCACCCTGTGAGCCAACACAAGGCTGAGTGTACTGCAATAAATAAAGCACGCAACAGACCCCACACTTCTCCTGTTTAGGTGAGAGACACAGCGCACCTGTCCAACACAGTCCGGAAGATCTTCAGCGGCAGTCCAGTTATACCAATGAAGCGCACCACTCCTTGCTCCTTCAACCTTTGCAGAGCCGGGAGAGTTTCTGTAATCACCTGCATGCATGATTGACCATCCCTGAATCAACATGTTCCTGCAGCAAGGGTGGCAGGCTGATCAATGCTATTAATCATACCTGCTCTATGTCTCCAAATTCTATGTCATGAGTTTGGATGATGTCTATATATTGCACCTGCAAACACGCATCCACAATCAGGATAGGGCTGAGGAGTGCAAGCACATACAAACAATTCCCGGGCAAATCCACAGGTTCGCACCTGCAGCCGCTCTAGGCTCTCGTGCACACTGCGCGTCACTCTCTCGGCTGAGAAGTCAAAGGTATCTGCACCGTACCGACCCACCTTGGTCGCAATAATGATTTGATCACGAGGCAGGTCTTTCAGAGCTCGCCCCAGCACCTGCAAAGTGGCCAATGCCTTCGATGTCCAACACTGCAAGGTTTTCTATCAGACAGAGTGTGAAATTATCTTCCACTGGTTTGGACGAAGCAGAAATCATCTGCTGGCTCACCTTCTCAGAACGTGTCAGGCCATAGTACGGTGAAGTATCAAAAAAGTTGATGCCGAACTTGAAAGCCTCATGCACCGCCTGTACTGCGAGAGACTCGTCCAGAGGCTCCTGGAAGATTGCATAAAGCATCAGAGGACCATTCTTGTTGCATGCATTAGCGCGATCGATGTGCACTCCGGCACGCACGCAAATACCTGATAGATGCCACCGAGGGGCGATGCACCGAAACCGATGATGGGAACTGACAATCCTGTGTTTCCAAGCTTTCTTTTCGGCACTTGTTGTCCCATCTAAGGAGCTTGTCCAACGATTACTAGGATGAAAACTGTATAGGATTCCGATAGATCTGTAAGCAGGTGGTGCTAGAAATCTGTCCCCACAGCCTGATCCGTTGCTAATCAAGTGATGCTGGAGAATTTCTCCTGGTTTGAGAAATCAAATTGAATTCAACTCGAGAAACGAAGCTTTGGGTGCCAGGGTAACTCCCTCGTTTTAGTTTTAGAGGGTCTGGTTTCGGAAAAATTTCCGATATCGAAATCGCATCGCATGCACCACGGATCTCACGAAACAAATGCTGTTCTCGCAGAGGTCCCAACAACCCTTGGGACAATCAAGCAATTAAACTCGTTTTGTCACAATTTGTGGTCAAGCTTGTTCGGCAATCAGTCCGTGAGACAGACTGAGACAGGCTGCATTCTACAGTGAGTGAGTCACTGAAGGTCGCTCTGCTGTTCTACCGAAAATCTATATAAGCAAGGGACCTTACTAATACGCGGTGCTGTGTCGATTCACCACCAACAATGACTCCTGCTTTCTCCCAGAGGATGCGACACCAGTGCCTTGTGCAACCAATCCCACGGCTCCGATTACCACACCAAGTGTTTGGGCGGTGCAATATGAACATGTAAGTAAGGCAAGGTAGTTCTCTAGTGATTCCAGTCTCTTCATTAGAGGCAATATGGTACGATTTATCTGTGGGCATGACAGGGTGCCAAGAAGGAGTTTGAGGCCATTGGCTGGAGCATCAGCTGGTACAATATCTGCACCTGCCGACACTCGCACAACACAGCCCCAGAAGCGTTCGCATGCGCTGCCCTACAGAGTGGGACATGGGTTTGATCTGCACCGCCTTGAGGAAGGCCCTTACAAGCTCATCTTGGGGGGCCTAGAGATCCCTCATGATCGAGGCTGCGTTGCTCACTCGGATGGTGAGCTCCTTGCTGCTGTGCTGAGGACACTTGAGTGTTGCTTGCTTGTGAGAGTTGAATAAGCACAGTATCAGGTGACTGCCTGTTGAGAAATTTGGATTTGAGAGAACAAAGACATTCTGAGGTACCATCAGTAGGTACACCAGTTGAGATCTATTCATGGCACTGTAAATTTAGTCGGACAAGGGATCCATGTAAGCTCGGCACAACTTGCCAGAATCTAATGTATCAATTTATTTCCGCAGGTGATGCTCTACTACACACGGTCACAGACGCAATCTTGGGTGCTTTATGCCAGCCAGACATAGGCCAACTTTTCCCAGACAATGATCCTAAGTGGAAGGGACAGACATCAGACGTTTTTCTTCTGGAAGCAGTGAGTGATCACCCACTCCAGCCATTGTGTTTGAGCCTTGACAGTTTGTCCCTCTCCTGGGTTCGCTTGTAACAGTCGTGCACACTCAGAGGCTCCACTTGTGATGCAGGTCCGCCTGATGCGTGAATTTGGCTATGTTCTGGGCAATCTGGACGCCACCATTATCCTGCAGAGACCAAAGCTGTCACCTCACAAGGAGAAGATCAGGGCAAATCTTTGCGAGCTTCTGGGTGCCGATCCGTCCGTTGTGAATATAAAGGTAGGGGTGTGTGGCACAGTTGCAGTGCTTCCATCAAGGCCAAAACGAAACTGGGCAGAGAATTCCATTGGGGGCTTCTCTATCGAACGCAAATTTGTGGCGCTTGACTCAGATGCTTTGTTATCTGGTGCAGGCAAAGACACATGAGAAAGTGGACAGCCTGGGAGAGAACCGTAGTATTGCAGTTCATGCTGTATGCATGCTGATTAGGGAGGATTTAGTATAGTCATTGTTGACAACATGGTGGAATGTCAAGATGAAGTTCACTGCGCGACGACTTATCCAATAGGGTTTGTAGTTCTTGCGAGTTGCAGCCACTCAACTTGAAGAAGTTGCTGCCATATATGATCTCTGGCTTTGAGGGACTGCATGGGGATTTGCCTGTGCTCAGGCTGCGGAGCACATGCATGTCATGAGCTGCCAGGAATTATCTTTGGGCTGCCGTCTTCAATCACAGTTACACAGAGTTCCGCTCCCTGCAGCTGCCCGGGCCCGTGACACTTTTACGGGCGTGTATGGAGCCCATGGCCCCAGGTGACGGAGGGAGGTATTAACATTGAGCACCGTGCCTAGGTTGATTGGGTCTTGCTAGGATCTGGCGAGTCTAACAAGGGCCCTGGGGTAGGATTGTGGCAGCCTTAGTTGCAGCTTGTCTGCAGTACGCACCTTGCCTCCAAGTTGGCAGGAAGAGTGTGTAATACTATTATATTATACATAGTATGGAGCTCGAGCCCATTTGCCAGTAATGGCTGCAGTGCAAATAATATATGATTGGGGTTTTCGATAGCACACTCTGCACTTCTATGGCGCCACTGGCAGGAGCTTCATTCAAGTATTTGTTGCCGCTCCCAGCTAGAGTCTAGCTAGCCTAGAAGCATGATTCCGAATCAGCCGCCCGCTGAGCATATATTCTATGGGGCATATTCAAGAAAATCTTGTCACCCATGGTGGATAACAGACCATTATTTTCAGAAGCCCGAAGCCTTCGACATATGCGATTAAGATCCATTGTCTCTCCTTGCATGACTGCTCCTGCTGGCACAGAGCAGCGGCCACTTTTGCCCCCCCTCAGCTGCGGCCGCATAAACAAGGGGAGGTCCTTTTGTCCTGTTGAGAAAGGCACTCCATTCCATTCAGCTAAACTCTGCGCCCTCCTGTTTTTATAGATGATGTTATAGTGGTACAGGTAGCCCTAAGGAAAGGTCAGGATGTCGCTTGCTTTCGATGAGTTCGGCCGACCATTCATCATCTTGCGGGTGCGTTTCGTCAAGCCACGAAGTGTTGGTTGCGCGTGGAGCTGACATGTGAAGTTGCTGAGAGGATGGTCTGAATGCACGCAGGAACAAGACAAGAAGACGCGCATTCGTGGCATAGAGGCCCAGAAAGCAAATATACAAGCAGCCAAAGTGATCTCCAGAATGCTGCAGTCGTCTCTGGGGCCCAAGGGCATGGACAAAATGCTACAGAGCCCTGATGGGGACGTCTGTATTAGTAAGTTGATATTGCATATCGTGCACAAGGTCTCCATTATTCCCAGCAAGTCGATGGACAAATCACTGATCATCACCCACTGTGCTGTTGCAGCCAACGATGGAGCGACGATCTTGGAGCAGATGGAAGTTGAAAATCAAATAGGAAAGCTTTTGGTGGAGCTGTCAAAGAGTCAGGACCATGAGATCGGCGATGGGACCACGGGGGTGGTTGTGATGGCTGGTGCTCTCCTGGAACAGGCAAGAGATCCACTTTGGGTGATCAGTGACTGTCCTGGGCTGTAGGCCACAACCTTTGATGTGTGTCATGACAATAGATTGTTCGACCTCTTGTCACATGTTTTTGTCTTCTGAACCAGGCCGAAATGCTGCTTGACCGTGGCATACACCCGCTGCGGATAGCGGAAGGCTATGAGAGAGCCTGCAAAGTTTCGATCGAGAACTTGCAAAATATAGCACACAGCTTCAACTTCAGTGAAAGCGATATGGAGCCATTGGTGCAGACATGCATGACCACCCTATCGTCCAAAATGTGCGTCATATCTGTTTTCATATGTTCCAACTTGGCATGTGGTACCCAGTCTGATGTTGATGTTATGAAGCCCAATACAAGCTCCTTCACAGCAAACTGATACTCTTGCTTGCGCCTTGCAGAGTGGGACGTGTGAAGCGTGACATGGCAGAGATGTGTGTGAAAGCAGTCCTTACAGTTGCTGATCTGAAGCGGAGGGACGTCAACTTGGACCTCATAAAGGTATTGTGGCAAAGGACATGCAGATACTTCGAGCCAGGGCTAAAACTGGACGTTCTAGCATTGAGTAGAACAGCATGCCTCCTTTGATCCACCGGCGCTGATCTCCCTTGTCAGTGTGGCAGAAACATCGTTTTTGGGCCGCTGAAAGGCTTGCTGCTCTCAATTGCAGGTTGATGGGAAGGTGGGGGGCAGGCTTGAAGATGCCAAGCTTGTCAATGGCATTGTCATCGACAAGGACATGAGCCATCCGCAGATGCCAAAGCGGATTGAGGATGCCAAGATCGCAATCCTGACCTGCCCATTTGAGCCGCCCAAGCCTAAGACGAAACACAAGGTGTGCCCAGATGCTGTATTGATCTCGACCTATATGGGGCTACCTTCCAGCTACTTTGACTAACCGCTGGCACAAGCTAAGGATTTTCACGGGTTGAAGTCTTATTCCTGACGGTGAAGTGTCAATTTCTAGGTGGACATTGACACGGTGGAGAAATTTGAGGCGCTGAGGGAGACAGAGAAACAATACTTCCTGGACATGGTGAAGCAGTGCAAGGACTCTGGAGCAACACTCGTCATCTGCCAGTGGTGAGTGAATCCGGCTGTCGCAGGCAGGCAGGAGAGCATGTGCTTGAAGATCATATTTCTTTGCCGTTGTTGTCCATGCCCGCCTTGCTGAAGTGTATGGATTTCCTTGCAGGGGTTTCGATGATGAAGCCAATCACCTCCTGATGGCCAACGACCTGCCAGCTGTGCGGTGGGTTGGTGGTGTGGAGATTGAGCTTCTGGCCATGGCAACCGGCGCTCGCATTGTGCCTCGCTTCTCAGAGCTCACACCAGACAAGCTGGGCAGGTGAGGTTTTGCATCACAAAGGTCCTCGAGACGACTCCTGAGAGAACAGCCCAATTGACTCCATGCAAAACTGCCGCTCTTGCTGCTTTACTTTCTGAACCAGCTCGTTGTGCCAGGGCCGGAGTTGTGAGAGAGCTGTCGTTTGGCACGACCAAGGACCGCATGCTGGTGATTGAGAACTGCCCCAACTCCAAGGCGGTGACCATCTTTGTGCGCGGCGGCAACAAGATGGTGCTGGACGAGGTCAAGCGCAGCCTGCACGACGCGCTCTGCGTCGCCCGCAACCTGGTGCGCGACAACTCCATCGTCTATGGCGGAGGCGCGGCCGAGATCTCCTGCTCCCTCGCTGTCGAGGTGCGCCAGTCAGTCAACTGTCCCCAGGTTCTGTCAGATGCATGCAAGGCCTGGCTTGCTGGTCGTCCCTTGCATGGGCTGTGTGAACAGTGTGTGTTTGCACGGGTGGCAAGGAGACACCGTGCGCTGTGTGTGCAGGCCGAGTCGGAGAAGGTGGTGGGTGTGGAGCAATTTGCCATGCGCGCATTTGCAGACGCGTTGGACACTGTGCCGCTGGCGCTGGCAGAGAATGCAGGCCTGTCGCCCATCCAGAGCCTGACGGAGGTCAAGTCACGGCAGTACAAGGAGAAGAACCCTCACCTGGGCATCGACTGCAACAGCGTGGGCACCAACGACATGCGCGAGCAGAACGTCTTTGAGACTCTCATAGGCAAGAAGCAGCAGCTGTTCCTGGCAACGCAGGTAAGCCAGCACTATCTTATCAATCCTCTGCTGATTTTCCTCACGTACAATTTATAGCATGCAAGGCAACTAGCATTGAACCGTCTCACAAAGAAGTGCTGTTTGACAGGTGTGCAAGATGATTCTCAAGATTGATGACGTGATCCAGCCCGCCAACTATGATTGAATCCATGCGAGATTTCTTAGCACCATGACAGGATGCTCTGCATCCTCGACTTGAGGAACAATGCTGATGCTTCTGTTTTGCGAGCAAAGCTAAGTGAGGATCAGTGCACGGTATGGCAAAGAGGACTTCACCCTTTCTCGGGCTGTAAGTAAGGTAGTTGCTATGCCAGGAGCATGTGCATGCCAAGATTATATGTGCCTGTTGGGGAAGAAGAAATGAAAAGATTATTGAACCCCTTGTCTGCTTGGACATGTAGAAATGCTACACAAAATGTCACAGTTATGGAGCACAGGCTCCTCAATTTCATGAGCACAGGCTCCTCATAAGACATTGCAAGCCCTTGGTCAGTATCATCTAGGTGAATAGTATACATTGCATCTACCAGACCTGTACACCTACAAAGTCACTTCAGCGAAGAACAACCCTGTTGTGAACCAACAGAATCATGGTGAACTGCACATTCAAGCGGTGACAGACAGCTGAATAGACCAGTCGCCCGTCACTGGCAGCTCCGGCTTGCGAATGACCAAGGCCAGCTCGGGCACTCCTGCTTCCTGCACCACGGGCCCTGCCCCCGTCTGCAGCACCTTGCCCGTCCCAACTTCCTTGACGGAGAACGATTTCGCGGGGTGCCCCAAGCCGACAATGATGATGCGCTCGATGACTAGATCCGTGGAGTAGCGCGGCGGGGAGGGATTGCCAGGCAGCTCCTGGTTGCTGAGCATGCCGTCCTTGAAGGAGAACAGGCGGTGCGCGAACAGGCCGCGTTTGTAGGCAAAGCTGCTGCCATCGTCCAGGTACAGGTCGCCCGATGCCTGCCCCTCGCTGTCCAGGGCCACCAGGAGAGTGTAGGGGTCCTTCCTGGCCGCAGCCGTGCTCCGCCGCGCGCGCTCCTGCACACAAGCAGCACGCAGCTGAGAACATGCATGCAACGCCTCATTATACCTATCTCCCAGGAGTTGCGGATTCACGACAGCGTTGAACAGATCTTCGTTCTGGGCAAGGGCGCACTCTGAGGGGCATGATGTGGCCGCCTCGTAGGTAGGAGGGCACCGAGTCCATGGTGACAGGCACGGTGAGGGCGCCGCCAGCATCCGGCTTCACAGGCTCGCCAGTCCTGGCGCTGTACCAGGGGCCCTTGCCTGGCAGGAACACCGCACGGCTCTCCGCCCCCTCTTCCAGCACGGGAGACACCTGCAGCAGCATCGAACAGCTCTGTAAATTTGACCACAAACATACAATGCATTAAGCAAGCCTGCACCTCCCCAAGCTTCAAGAGAGAGGAGTGAGAATCACCAGGAGCGCGGGGCCAAGCATGAACTCGTCGTCCACTCCGTGGGTGGCTTCCACTTCTGGGAACTCATACCACAGCGGCCGCATGACCGGCAAGCCGGTCGTGTTTGCATGCCGGAAGAGGGTGTAGATGTAGGGCAGCAGCACGTAGCGCGCGCGAATGGCGTCCCTGATGCGCCTGGTGGCATCCTGCAGCGCATGGTCCCACTCTCACAAGAAGCTCGCATTAATGCATGGTATGTGCTATGCAATTGAGTGCAGAAAGAGAGCGCAGCAGATGGTGACAGTGTGGCGCACCTCTCCAAACAGCCAGGGCTCGCGGCGTTTGGCGTCGAGGTGGGCATGGCCGCGGAAGAATGGGTAGAATGTAGCCACCTGGTTCCACCGCGTCTGCAGCTCCGCATCCGGGTTGCCAAAGAAGCCGCCAACGTCAGCGCCTGCACTCAGCCAGTTAGTTGGACACAAGGTTTCAGGGCATATGGCTGTCACAGGAAAGGACGATGTGCAGCTTCAACTGAAATCTAGATATGCAGCAGGTCCAAGCCACCCCAGGACATTTCAAGGTATTGACAATGCAAGAATGAGGATCTCACAGGACAAGGAGTATGCTCACCGTTGAAAGGGAGGCCGGCAATGCCAACAGACATGATCATGGGGAGCGAGACGCGCAGGTGTTTCCAGTCGGCGCAGTTGTCACCTGTCCAGATGGGCCCAACGCGCTGAGTGCCAGCAAAGAATGCACGGCTGAGTACAAACGGCCTGTCTGCATCCGAGCCATACACTGCCTTGCCGCGCTCAATGAGCCCCTGGGGAGTAGCACTCAGTTGTCAGGGAATAGGCAATGCACACAGATTTGTCCTAAGTTCACTATGTCACACCAGTGATCAGAACAGCAAGGAGTCAAAATGGTACGGGAAGCACCTCGGCAGTTCCTTGATGGAATAGAGCGCCATAGAGGTTATGCAGGTTGCGGTGCTCCACCTCTCGCCAGTGCAAGTTGTCCTTTTGCATTGTGATCTGCATCGGGAAGCCCACTCAATGCCAATGGTATGGATCTCCACAAACCGGCAGGCACATCTCATCTGGCAGTCAAGAAAAGGATATTGACATCTTTGTAAAATACCTCAGGGCCAGTGAAGACGCTGGGCTCGTTCATGTCATTCCAGACGTACAGGTTGGGCGTGGACCCCTTGTACTTTGAGAGGGCAAACTGCTGAGCCCACCAAGCGCGCACTTCTGGGTTCAGCATGTCCAGGTAGGAGGATGATCCAGGCCAGCACCACCTGGGGTCAACCAAGGTACTTGCTAGTAATATTGCCACGTGATAGGTATTGCAGCTCAGGCAGGCTGTGGCTGTCTGCAGCAAGGATGCAAAGAGGGTCTGCAGCCGCACCCGTCAAAGTCCTTGCCATCCTTGTCTCTGACAAAGTAGTGGTTCTGCTCCGCCTCCTGGTAGATGTAGTACCCTGGATCTCGCTTGATGTGGGGGTCGATGATGGTCACAACCTTCCGCCCGTGCGACGCCACATCCTCCTGCAGCTTCACCGGGTCTGGGAAGAGGCTCTTGTCCCAGGTGAAGTACCTGCCCACCCCAGCAAAGCTGCCACATCAATTGGGCACAGAGAAGCTGGCTTCATTCAATGCAGCTATGAAAAGTATAGCAACAGCAATGCTGAGTCATCAGACACTGCTGAGCATGAAGTTGGATTAATCAACAGCCTGCATGGCGCACCTCTTCCCGTCGGTGTGCTCAATGTCCAGCCAGATGACATCATAGGGGATGTCATATGCATCAAAGCCGGCGTCCACCTGGCGCACATCCGCCTCATCCCGGTAGTTCCAGCGGCACTGGTGGTACCCCAGTGCAAAATACTGGGGCAGCGCAGTGGCGCCGGTGATCTGGGCGTATTGCTCTGAGACCTGAAACAGCATATATACAACTTTACATCCCTTGGCTGTCAACTTGCTACTGGGTTGCGCGGTACAGACTCATTTTTAAACCCCAATGCCAACAGGCTGGTCTTCTCACCTTTGCAGGAGTTGGCCCCAACAGCAAGAACAAGTCAAGGATTCCACTCTCTGCAACCCAGTTCGTGAAAGTGCCTTCCTCAGTCTTTCCCACGTCCACATACATCTCTGCTGCATTGAGCCTGCAGAAATCAAGCTTTCCCATCACTTGATGCTCTCAGTTGTGCCAGTTTGTGCAACGTCAAGAAAGCACTCCACAGACTCGAGAAGCCCTGAAGCTGCTGAAGTACCACTCTCATGAGTTCTGACAGACAATGTAGGTCCGTGGGCTCACCAGAAGGCGCCGACAGCAACTCCCAGCTTTTGAGCCCAGAGGAAAGGGATTGAGCCATAGAGGCCAAATGGAGACTCAGGTGCATATTCGAAGACATCCAGATTGTAAAGTCTATACGGCTCTGATGTAGCATTGTCAGCTGCAGCACACTCTTCAGATTAGCCTTTCAAGGCCTGGCAACATGAAGCAATTGTATTGCAAGTGAATTAAACAATCAGGCAATCTTCCGCAATTGTCAATTGCAGCCGAGAAGGCAATACCCACCGAGGTCTACGGTGGGATTCAGGGAGAGGCTTGTTGCATGCTCTGGCAGCCCATACACGTGCTGCGTATCTGGGAACTCGAGATCAAAGGATATCGCCTCTGGGCCCCTGGGTTTTGAGTCAACATGGCCCTTGAACGTTTCCTCCCACCATCCCTCTGGATCTCCTTCCTGCAGCAGCCAGAATCGGTGAGAGGCAGGCAACCATGGGCAATACTGCACCATTCTGTCAGGAAATTTCTGCAGCTAGTGGTAGTTGACGACCTCAAGTACCTGCTTCTGTCTTAAATGCTCGAAATTGAACATCTGGCGCCCGTTGAACGACATGACTGGCTTCCCTTTGATGGAGATGCCAATCTGAAATGGACTGTACTGCAGCTGCATCTCCGCGTCCTCAAGTTGCAGCAGCAAGGACTGTGCAGTTTGCGCCTTTTTAGACCAGATCGCTTCCCTGCTTCCCAGATCGTGCATGAGCACGCCGGGCACCTCGAATCGTTTCTTTGAGGCGTCCTCATTTACCAGAAGCCGCACAAATCCCTTGTACGCCTTCATAGTCAGCGTCACGTCCGTTCCCTTGGCTTTGTTAAGAAGTCTGGCGGTCACTGATGGCCCAGAGAATTGTACAGAAGCAGGATCAATATAGTATCCCTCGTCCCTTGTGCCGAGGAGCCGATTGCAAAACGCGGCATCCGTACACTTCTTGAAATCTTCAACTTTTACAGAGGTGGATAGCTGAAATTGTAAAGATGAGAAAAGAAAGATGAGAAAGAAAGATGTCAGAAAGGAGTGGTTCCCCTTCCTAGAGGGATTGATCATCTCCTCGCCCATGATATCTAACCTAAATATTTTCCTTACAGCATTCCTCTAAGACAACATATAGATATTAAATGTCAACGCAAAAAATTGTTGAGTGCAGCTTTAGGGTAAAGCGTATATTCCCTAGCTAGGTTGCAACGAATAATTCCGGGGTATCTTCACGGGGTGAAGGACGAGGCGTTCTGCTTGATTGTTCCTATGTTCGTCTTCCCCATTCTTCCTATCGTTCAGTGCTCTTGTCTCCAGAAATTCCATCGAAGAAAGGAAGCTGTTGGCATCAGCGATCGTGCCTTACGTCTTTCACATCGTGAGGCGGCATCTCAGTATTGATCACCGATCAGTACTTGCTAGCCTGAAGTAGCTTGACGGAATCCACAACAATTTTATTTTGATTTATTTTGCCATGGCTGCGCCCACTCTAGCTTCAGTCTTTGAGAGGCTGGTCTCGAAGGATAAGGTAAGCATCCCAAGACGCCCCATCTTGTCACATCAGGCATGCATTAGACGATTTCATACGTGATTATATATGACATTTACCTCACTTGAAGCAGATGTTCTTCGTATCTATCTTCCGTCTTGGCACAAATGAAGACCCCTCCACAAGGTGCATGCCACAGTTGGCAAAATGGAGGTCACTAAATTATATTCTATTCCCAAACAGGACCTGAGAGAGATGTCAACATACGACTTAATAGAGATGTTAAAAAAGCCAGAATGGAAACGGGACACCGATCAGGAAAAGAAGCTGTGTGAGCTCATCCTCAAGCAGCTGGATGACACGTCTGGAGACGTCTCCAGCCTCGCTGTCAAGTGGTATGCGCAAGGACTTCTGTGGTTTTGTCTGGTTCCTGATCCAGTGCTTAACAAGTGATGTACGATCACAGAGCGCTTTCTGTCCTGCAGCCTTGGGCTTTTGGTGCGGAAAGTGCACTGGGAACAGGCCGAGAGGATCCTAGACTTGCTATGTGCAAGGCTTGTGTCTGGCAAGAAGGAACAGGACAGAGAGATTGCCAGCATTGCCCTGAAGACTGTCATCAATGAGATATCAGGCGCTGAGCTGAGCGGCCTTGTGGTGAAGAATGTGGTGCCGAAACTGCTGCAAGGAATGCAATCAAAGGTAGCGTTTCCTCTCCTTCTCCTTTCCCTTGCTCTCTTCCATGCAGTACGTGTCCTAGTGTTTGCCCATGCACTGGAATCATCAGTGTGCAGTATGATTGCAGGAGCATGCTGACTTGGCCACAGCTAGCTTGGACATCATGAACGATGTTCTGTTGAAGTTTGGCCCTATGCTTGGCACAGAACACACTCAGCTGAAAGCAATCTTGCTGCAAGAGCTGATTGGCACCAGGGCAGGCATCAGGAAGAGGGCCATCACCTGCCTAGGTGGGTGCTGCAGCCATCCTCCAGTTGTGGTGTCTTTGAAGGAATTCTTCAGTGTCAATTGAAGTGCTGCAGACTCTTGGTGTTGGTGCAGGCTCCCTCGTGCCATACCTGTCAGATGCCCTGCTGGACAGCGTATCTTTGGAGATCCTCAAGGAACTCCAGGGGCCTGGTGCCAACTCAGAAGCTACACGAGTGCTTATACAGGCCTTAAGTGCAGTTGGGTGAGTCAAGACCAGTCATCAAAATCCTTACAAGTTCATCGCTTTCCTGAATTGCCAGAAAAAAGTCACAGTCAATTTGTCACTGAAGTTGCTTCTGACATGTGTGGCTAGGCGAGCTGCCGGGTGGCGCTTTGGCCGGCACCTTGACATGGCAGTCCCTTCGGTGGTGGAGCACTGGAAAGCTGCTGGCGAGGGAGACGATGAGCTGAGGGACTACTGCCTGCAAGCTCTGGAGGCCTTCGTCCTGCGGAGCCCACTGGATTCCAAGCGCCATCTGGACTCCATATTTGACATCGCGCAGCAGAGCTTGTCCTACGATCCCAACTATGCTGACGACATGGAGCAGGATACAGAGGAAGATGAAGAAGACGAGGAAGCGTACGCACTGGAGCAATTGCTTTTCAAGGCATTGCTCTACTTCAGAGACTCGCTCACTTGCCACAAGCTCAAGGCATGAAGAGTAATGAGACGTGCATGTGCATGCAGGATGTCGGACGATGATTTCTCAGACGACGATGACACGAGCTGGAAAGTGCGCCGTTCTGCAGCCAAGTGCCTGGTGGCCATCATCAACAACTACGCTGACCTGCTCAACTCCCTGTACCCCAAAGTCAGCCCCCTGCTGGTTGCGCGCTTCAAGGAGCGGGAGGAGAATGTCAAGATCGATGTCTTCCATGCCTTCATAGAGTTGCTGCACCAGGTATGCCTCAACCTACATGGCAAGCTTTTGCTATCATCAAAAGTTTGCCGCTCTGAATCATACCTTCACTAAACATTATTATCATCGTGCACAGGTGGGGGGTGCTGCAAGCAGGGACCGAGCTTCTCAGGCGTTCAAGCAGCTGCAAGAAGAATCGCCGGAGGTCCTGAAGGCATCCTTCCGACAGCTGCGTGATAAGTCGCTCAAGACGCGAGCTGGAGTGCTTCTCACTCTGAAAGAGCTTATCAGCGTTGTTCCAAAGTGCCTCAGCCATGACGTGGAGCAGCTACTGCCAGGACTCACTGCAGCCCTCAATGTAAGTTTACCTTTCTTATTGAGGGCACCACCAGATTGAGGGCACCACTAGATTGAGGGCACCACCAGAATGCATAAGGTCTCCGCATGGATCGATGTAACTTTGATTTTATCCGTGCCTCTGTAGGACCGGAGCAGCAACAGCTCTCAGCTCAGGATACAAGCGCTGCAATTCCTGAGCGTGGCACTGGAAAAGAGCGATCCAGGGGTCTGGCAGCCTCACGTGCCTGCACTCTCCAAACCCATTCTCACTGCAGTGGCAGAGCGCTATTCCAAAGTCTCTGCCGAGGGCCTGCGTGTGTGCGAAGCTCTGATTCACGTGATCCGTCCCAACACAAGCAGCAGTGTGCCTCCCTCCTTGCAGGTAATGATGCGTCAGTGAAATGTTCTGCAAATTCTTATTACCGCCATTGAACCGCTTGTTTCATGCACCTGAATATGCCCCTGATATCTGTTCGCCTGCAGAATCTCGTGAGGCCCCTTTTGACGTCTGTGAAAGAGCGCCTCGATGCCCAAGACCTGGACCAGGAGGTAAAGGAGTGCGCGATCTCCTGCACGGCTACCATGCTGGCCAAACTTGCAGAGTCTTTGCAGGCAGACGTGCCTGCACTGCTCCAGGTACCCAAGACCCGATGTTGCTACTGTGCAAAACAGCCATGTGATAATCTTCTCACCTTGACAACTTCGACTTGTGGATGAACAGCCTGCTGCAAGAGAGGCAGACTATCAAGCATGGGTTTTATGCAGGTTTTGCTAGACAGACTGCGCAATAGCACAACGCGCCTCACGGCTGTCAAGGCATTCACAGAGATCGCAGAGTCGCCCTTGCCTCTGGACCTGTCTCCAGTGCTGGAGCCCCTGCTGGCGGAGTTGACATCATACCTGCGCAAGGCAAACCGCCAGCTCCGCCAAGCCTCTCTGGCTGCCTTGGAGGTTAGGCATTCCGCTTGATCCTGCTCTGGAGGGACCCAGTGAGTGTTATATTGTGTCAGCAGATGATGTCAGCACTGGTGAAGCAGGGCAGTTCCTGACTTGAGGCATGTGTTGTGGCCTGCAGTCGGTCATGTCCAGGCAAGGGGCAGCAGCCAGCTCGGCCAGTGTGACAGCAGCTGTGGATGAAGTGGTGGCTCTGGTCAGCGACACGGATCTGTTGACCACCCCGCTGGCCCTCCATTTCTGCCTGACAGTGCTTCCCCAGCAGCCCCAGAATGCGGAACAGATCGCAGCCAAGTTCCTGCCAGCAGCTTTGCGGCTGGTCAAGAGCCCCCTGCTACAGGTGCGTATTTATGAGCCTGTTGTGCCAAAGCAAGATGTGTACTTGAGTTGCAAGCAGGCAACGTCAATACCTTTCCTTGTTTCGGATTAACACGCGAGTTATTTCCGTGCTGACAGGGCGCTGCACTTGAGGAGCTGCTGGCACTTTTTCCCGCTATCCTGGAGTCGGAAGGAACAAACACGTCATTTGACAGCTTGCTGGCATCACTCCTGGCAGCCGGCGTTGCAGCTGAGACGGGGAAAGCAGCGCAGCACAGCGTGGCCCAATGCATTGCAAGGATGACTGTAAATGCAGGAGCTGATCGGATCTCAATGGTCGTGAAAGGGCTTCTGGGTCAGCTGCAGGTCTGTATTCAATTTTGCAATTCAAATAAAATTGGGAGGTGACCTCTGACTAAGTATTGGGCAACAGTAGATCCGTTGCTTACATGCTCAGAATCAACAGTATGCTGAGGTCTAGAAGGCTAATAAGATTGCAGTGAGAATCTACATGTCTGCTGTGCAGAGCGGTAATGCAACATGGTCGAGTAACGGAGGGGAGGGGCGAGGCAGGAAGAGATCAGCAACTGAAGAGGTGGGCCATCTTGGAATGGATTTCCCAAAGAACTCTTGTGCATCTGCTCCCGTGCAGTGCTCACATGTGTGGTCTGGGGCTTGGTTTAGCGAATGGGACATGGTAGGCATGGTTCAATTCTTGCTGCAGACTGCTGAACACGACTGAGGTGTTCAGCAGCCATGAAATTCCTATGGCTCAAGCATGTTGGCCTGGTTTACAGTCCGCCACAGGAGCGGAAAGTGCTCGGCGGCTGGCGTTGCTGGGGCTAGGAGAGATCGGGCGATGTACAGACTTGAGTGCATTCCCGCAGCTGCAGCAAGCTCTCACGAGCGCCCTCACAAGCCCATCAGAACAGATCAAGGCTGCCGCCTCCCTGGCCCTTGGTGCTGTCAGCATTGGAAACCTGGACGCTTACCTGCCCTTCGTCATCCAGCAGATCAATGAGCAGGTGGGCGCCGGACACCCTGCATGCTATTTGACGGAGGCCTTGCTGCGCATACTGTGTGTTGCTGACCGTGGTTGTATGCTGCAGGCTGCAAATCCAAAGGATCAGTACCTGCTGCTGAAGGCCCTGAACGAGGTCATCGTGAGCCTGACATCCGACATGGGCAACAAGCAGCTGTCACCAGCACACCAGCAGGAGGTGCGCACCAAAGTTTGCTCCCAATGCTTCTTTCCTCTGTCATTCACCAATCGCCAGTAGTCATGCAGCCCGTTAGGGTGAAGGCGTCCAGTGCAATGCGTGGGAGCTGATGCATGCGTCCAGGTGCTGCGCCTGCTGCTGGCCAACTGCGAGGTGGAGGAGGAGTGCAGGAATGTTGTGGCGGAGTGCATGGGCCACCTGGCGTTGCTGTTCCCTGCAGAGGTGCTGCCCGCGCTGCTGCAGAGGCATTCCGACCCATCCCCCTCGGCCCGCGCTGCCGCCATCACCGCCGTGAAGGCCGCTGTCGTCCCAGGGCCCCACCCCATCGATGACCTCCTGAGGGACTCCATCGAGCCCTTCCTCGAGCTCATGTCCGACCCAGACAGGCACGCACTGCCTATCCTCCTAACACTCCTGCTGCTTTTTTACTATTGCGCATTACTTGACAGCACAGATACACAATGCGAAAGGGATGAATCCCCTGACAGCCGGCTGGCTTGGTTTGAGAACTCCTCTGCGCATGTGTGTGCAGGGGGGTGCGCAAGGCGGCGGTGCAGATGCTGAGCAGCGCGGCGCACAACAAGGCGGCGCTGGTGGCGGAGCAACTGCCGCGGGTGATGCCGCGCGTGTACGCGCAGACGGCGGTTGACCAGTCCCTCATTCGCGTCGTGGACCTTGGGCCCTTCAAGCACAAGATCGATGATGGCCTGGAGCTGCGCAAAGCGGCCTTTGAGGCCATGGACGTGCTGCTGGACAACTGCGTCGACCGCCTCGACTTCCAGGCCTTCATCCTGCACCTGGAGTCCGGCCTCAAGGTGGCCCCCCCCCCCTGCCTGCGCTATAAGCAATTGCTCTTCTGGCCCCTAGGCATGCTGTTACCCCTTCCAGCCTGGTGCTGTACCGGGCTTGGGTGTCTGTCAGTTGAAGGATTGTGGAGGTGCTGATGTACGAACATGGCTGCAGGACCACTATGATGTGAAGCTGCCGTGCCACCTGCTGCTGGCCAAGCTGGCGAGTGCTGCGCCGGGGCAGCTGCTGTCCGCGCTGGACCGCCTGGTGGAGCCCCTGGAGAAGACCCTCACCGCGCGCGTCAAGACCGACGCTGTCAAACAGGAGGTCTGCCCATCCCCTCAGCTGCCTTTGCTTGCCCCTCTTTGCACAGAAATAGCCAGGTTTTGGGCACTCGCCTGCACACGCTGCAGGTCTGGTTATTTAATAGTGTTTGCTCCAGAAAGTGCATGTCAGCGTAGGCAGCTGAACAATCATCTGCACTGCACAGGTGGATCGCAATGAGGACATGCTGCGCAGCGCACTCAGGGCCACAGATGCAATCACGCGCATTCCAGGCGTGGAGACCTGCCCCCCCTTCAAGCTGCTCATGGACAACACTGTCCTGACAGGCACCTTGGCAGACAGGTACAAAGCTGTGCGAGAAGAGCGCGCCGAAGCAGAGGGCACCACATCTGTTCCGGCCATGAAGTGAGCTAGTGACTGTAATTGTGACCTCGTGGCCTTATTTACTGTGGGTTTGGCAGCGTCAACTGTGATACTTGTGTTGCATATTAGGTGAGTCTTGCTGCGTTTTGCATGTGAAGACTCTGTGTAATTTGTTCGTGCAAAGGAACCTGTTTCAAGATAAAGCATGAATGGCATACGCCCCATTCACTGTGCATGACAAAACGCCTGCTTACATCATTATGCCAAGCTAGCATGGGTATCTTGCTATTTTTATACTTAGGACGTCCATCATGTCGACATGCAGAGTCAACACAGCGGCTGGTCCCTCTGATAGACAGGAATGCATCACATGCTCAAATCCAAAAATTGCACACCATAATGCGCACAATGCAAAATGGAGTTCCAGGGATCACAGAAACCTCAAAAGTAGACAAAGCTTCACTCAATAACATCGTCTCTCCATACAATCTTCCACAGTAGTACTAAAACAGCGGCAACCAGTGTGGAGAAGTCAAAAGGCGCAATCACGCCCCATTTGCAGTTGACAATCTAGCAATATTCTCAGGCGAACACAGGTGGAGCCACAGCAACCTTTTGATTTGGCAGCGGGAGAACTTCTGGGGCATTGACTACCATCTCCATGTCATCAAAGGACAGTGCAAGAACAGGCTTCCCTCCAAGAATGGTAGATAAAGCTTCCTTCTGATTGTCCTCCCTCCCATCAAAAGCCTGCCGGCACAATGTAGATGTTTTCACAGGGAAGGACGGAAGGCGAGGAAAGTAATTTGGTCGAATCCGATCAATCCAGAGAAAAGCAGCAAACTTTCAAATGCAGAAGTACAATGTACAAGCAAGCGAGCAATGTGACGAGGCGGTACCTGAACACGTGCAGGGGCCACCGCCCGAACATTGGTGATCAGCTGACACGTGTACTGCAGCAGTTGTGGGCAGTCAGGCGTGCCACCGCTGAAGCTGGGCAGCGACAGACGTATGCGAGGCCCAGGCCAGCCTTTCCTGCGCGCTGGCGGCAGTGTCATGCAGCAAACCGGCGTGCGCAGCCCCTGAGCCGGCGCCTTCCACGGCTGCAGCCAGCTGCGCCGCTCCTCATTGTGCAGCACCACGGGGCGGCTCACGGCCTCATTCTGTGCATCCTCTCCTGCAAACAGTGGTCTGCATAAAGTAAATAGCACTCCAGGTAAGCCAGTCACATTTTGACTGTTGGCTGAGCAAACAACAGCAAGAGCAGTGTTGACATGGCCTCACAGACCTGGTTCTGACTGCCTCCACCAGCTGGGCAGCCCCCTCTCTGTGAGCTCGCTCTTCTCTTCAAATGCCGCCATACGAGATGGCAGTCCACAGTGCCTTCGACCATGATTTCGGGCCTGCCTGTACTCGTGCATAGAACAAGCGCCATTGGCATCACAGGTGCGCTTACAGGGCTTTGATGCAGAGATCACAGGTGGCAATGCAATCCGTTACGCACCAGTTGCTTACGTACACCCGCGCGGCCCAAGCACAGGAGGTAGGAGGGTTCCAAACAAGTCCCGCCAGTGCTACAAGCTGCAATAATGACCCGTCAATATATTGGTGGGTCCAACAGAAGGCATTCCTTTCAAATGCACATCCAAAAATTATGTGTGAAGAAGCTTTAGTAGCACTGGATGAAACCTCGTCAAATTTGCCCACAGGGCTGTCTGTGTATCTAGCGAGGTAAAATCCTCCCAACGTGTACCTGCATTAACGCACACCTATCAGCAAAAAATCCCCAAGCAGTGCTGCCTGGCATGCATGCCCAAGCATCATGCACGCATGCACTCTCGGTGACACCTGCTCACCCAAACAGGCTGACGAGATTAAAATCTCCAGGTATGTATTTCCTTGCCTGTACTTTCACAGCATCCGTTAGGAGAATTGAATGACCCACTGTCACAAAATTAAAAGTGACAGCGGGACAAGCACCAAGGCCCAGAGGGTTACCTCTTCGACCTTTACAAGGTGTAACTGATACAAAGCCCTGCATGTTTCGAATCACCGAATAAGATATATCACGCTTGCAAGGTAGAACGAACTTGAACGTAGTGATATACAAAAAAAATAAAATACAAAGACAGCACCTGCCCTTGAATACCCAAGGTGCATCCTCGTAACCCATTCTGTCGAATTTGCTGGGGACTAATCAGATTCTTCGTGATGTGCAGCAGCTGTTTTCCTTTCAGTGTCGGTTGATCCGTTCAGATCACGTGGAGGATTAAGAGAACGATATAAAATTGATCCCAAGATTATTATCTCACACAAATCCTTGTCCATGAAGTTTGGTTCGATGAAGGACAAGGACTCATGGGAGGCGGACCAAGAATGAGATTGTGCGGAGTTACAAGTGGATTTTTTAGTCCTCGAGAAAAGAGATGGCGAAAAGCCATCTTAGCTTCCGCCACAAGAGAATCGCCACATGATCCAACACTCCATTCACCCTTAAATTCCCATCGCCAGGGGGTTCGGATATAGAACCCCCCTGTCATCGCATGCACATGCCATGATGGGTTACGGTTACGGTTATTCCGTTCCAGATCATACATGCAAGGCATCCTGCAGGCTGTAGAGCTCATATCAACGATTCCAATTAATTTAACTCTTGTTTAATCAGGCTGCTTGCTTTGACATTGACATCTCATCTGTTGGGGGAAAAAATTTCTAGGCACATGTCTGCATGGTCTCAAATTTCCAACTCTCTGTTATCTGCGCCTCCAACATAGTCTCTTAGATCTTCTCGAGAGACAATCGCACAACAACTCATCGCGCACAACACAAACCAGGCATTGATTTACACCAGAACAAAGAATATTCAATCACAATCGACAGCTGCAAATGTCCCGTCAATTTCAAAAGTCTTCTCCACGCCTCTTAAGATGTGGCAATTGCCCACAGCTTGCATGCAAGCTTCTGCAGGCCCAGGAAGGAACCGACAGTGCCACCAACTCCGAAATTTGTATCACAATAGAAAAATGCACAACTGCCACGGTTCCCAAGCATCTCTTTTTGTACTGATGGGAGCTTGCCCAAAGGCCTTTCTTTCTGTGCGCTGCGACAGGCATTTATAAGCACTGAAAACCTGGAGCACAGGACAGCTGAAGCGTGTTGCTGTGCGATATCAAAGTCTGCCATGTGTTGCATCGATTTTGCATTAGTATGTGCCTTGCTGAGGGACAGATCTGCTCAGTTCTCTGAGAACCTGTCACAGACATTCGCTTCTTCGAGTGTGCAGTATCCCTCCTCGTCGTCTGAGTCTTCCTCGTCTGATGCTTGCTCTCCCGAGGAGCGATCCTGCAGGCTGATCTTGCTCATGGCTGCCTCGATGCTGGCCTGAAGGCGGCTAAGAGGCAGGCTGCGTGGCTTGCGGATGCCCATCAGGATGTCCTCCAGCAGCTCTGCCGGCACCCTCTCATCCAGCGGCACCACCTGCATGCACAGTTGTAATGCTCTTGTCAATGAGTTGTATATTGCAGCCACAACAGGAAGACAGACCTTGACAGCAACAAAAACGCATGTGTCACAATGGAATAGAGGCTTCTCCAATAGCCTGGCTCTCACACCTTGAAGAGGAGATGCACGCAGCAACAGCAACAACAAACCCCGGCCCTTTTGCACAGATTGCCTGAGCGCAACAAGATGCCGAGATGAGCAGGTTAGATTGTGGCGGCACCTGCGTGATGCCGATGAGCTTGAGGTACTCTGCAGCGACGGCCTGCACGCAGCCGTCGAGCTCGTCCTCGTCAATCTTCTGGCACAGGTCGGCCACTCGCTGCTTCTGGTCCTCACTCAGCGCGTTGAACTGGTCTGTCAGCTCGTCCTTGATGCTGCGGCCGGTCAGCAGCTCATACGTGGTCATGCACAGGCCGCGCGTGTCATCCTGTGCGCCCCCCGTGTCCCTTACAAACGACCGCGGAGTGGAGTACAGCAACGTGCCGCTGCGCACACAGCACGCACAACTCTGTCAGATCCTTCTGCTCCTCCCAAGTGAGTCCACATCACTGCCAGCATGCCACCGCAGAGCAGCAAAATCAATGCAAGGGCCGCTGAGCAAATGCTTCTAGGAGATGTAAGGCACCGCGCTGATCAATTCTTCATCAAAGGCTGATGTCAGTATGTTATGCACGACATTGCAGGACATGACCTTGGCAAGAGTCTATTAGACAATCGCATGCATGGAGGCCATACAGATCTCCCTAACATCATATTGTGCGGCAATGATGTCAGTGCGCACCCAAACTTTGTGCACTGCTCGCTGTTGCGCATGGCCAGCCCAAAGTCGGCCAGCTGGGCGCAGCCGTCGGGGCCCATCAGAATATTGGGGGGCTTGATGTCCCGGTGTATGTAGCCATGCCCCCACACGTGCGCCAGCCCCTTGCACATACCAAGCACGATCGGCAGCACCTTGCATGTCTCAATGGGGCCGTCCCTGCGCGCACAGGGAAGATGTTCTCAGTCTCGAGTGTACAATGCTCCAGGTCCAACACCATCTATCCGGCAGACATCTCTGCAGCCCTTGTAGTGGCCTGGTCAGAAGCAACCGCAGACTACCTATTCAGGATGATGTGCTGACAGTGCTGAAGGCAGGGTCAGTGCATGGCAGCAAAGGTAGGCCAAGCGGTGCATGTGCAGGGTGGGTGCGCGCACTTGAGCATGTCGCTGAGGCTGCAGCAGGCCTTCTCCATGATGAGGCCCTCCTCAGAGGTACCAAAGAGACGGTTGTCCAGACGTGCCCAGCCAATCACCTGGACAACGTTCGGGTGCGGCGGCAGCGCGCACAACACCTGCCCCTCCTTCTGCAGGTCCTCCTTTGCTTGCGCGCTCGCCTCATCGGTCTCAAGGGTCCTGGCCACTTTGGCGGCCACCCTGAAGCTCACTGTGACCGATTTCACAAGGGCCCAGCTGCCTGAGCCCAGGTCCCCCGTCTCCTTGCATGAGCCCTGCAGGATGGCAGCACACACAGTCTTTGTCATGGCCTAAGCTTTCAAATTGGTCTGTAGCAACCTGCTCAATGACAGACAGATCTGTGGCATGCATGCTTACTGCCCTGTGCTACAGCCACTGCATCAGACTCGTGGCATACCAAACGTGGCGTTTGAAGCAAAAAAGGCTGTTTGAAAACATTGAAGTGGGGACAGGATGTTCACCTCTGGCAAGCGGCACATATTTTGTTGCTGCTCCAGTTGAGTGCGCTGCAGCTCCTCTATCTCCGCATCTCTCCCCCTCAGGAGCTTCTGCAGGGGAACAGGCTTTGTCAGACCACCATTGCAAGAGTGCTGCAACACATTGGACTTATCAGAGCATGAAGGTGATTGCACTGCATGGCATGGCATTTGCATATCAGTAAAGAGATTCTTGAAGAATGGAAGCCACCATATCTCACCTGCCATCTCTCCTCCTTCTGTTCCAGCTGGCTGATCCTGTCATCTTTCTGCCAGATGACGGCCTGAGCAGCTGCTAGATCAACCTCCTTCTCCTTCAGCAGGCCCGTTTGGGTCTTCGCTGCCGTCCTGGCAGCCTGAGCATCCTCCTTGGCCTGGCAAACCCACAACCGGCCGGTCAACTATGCACACACCTTGAATTTTGGCCTTGTTTAGCAGTAATGTGATGACACACAACCTTCAAGCACTCACAAGGTGAGGCCTCTGGGGCATACTGTCATCAGGCCAAAATGCTCACCTCTGCCTCTGCAGCAGCCATCTGCTCCAACTCCTTCTTGTGCGCTGTGTCAGCGTCGCTCATCTGCTGCCTGAGCTGCGCAGCTTCCTGGACTGCCCTCCTCGCCTGCCGAAGAAAACATCACAGACTATCATGAAGACTACAAAACAGCAGAATTCGTGTGATACAAACAAGGCAGATGTGCGTCAATTATTTCAGGAGTCCTCACCTCCGCCTCGGCTGTGGCCTTCTGCATGAGCTTGGTGGTCGTATGCACTGTCTCTTTCTTGTGCAGTTCCTCCAAAGCGCTCGGCCGCTGCCTGAGTTGAGTTGCTTCCTCCACGGCAACATCCCTGACTCCCGCTTCCACCTTCACAGGTTGCAGCGCGCACACTCTTAGGCATCACAGGTTCAAGAGATGCAACATGCAAGACAGAGCCATGATAAGCGCTGGACTTTGGTTCACTCTTGTGCAGGTAAACTGGGACATGTCAGGAGGACGAGCAGCTGCACCTTGATGTGTATGGTTGAGGATGATGCTCCAGCAGATGGAGGTGGCTTCCCTGGAATCTGAACCAATTCATCAAGCTGTATCTGCTTTGACTGCATCCAAGAAAGAAAATGCTTAAGTGAACTTGACAGGCCTCAATGAGGAAAACAGCAACTGCTTGTTTTGTCAGATCCACATTCATAAGACTGCAGCACTACGTCTCAACACATCATGTAGGGCCTGAAGTGAAGGCTAGGAGCAACTAGAATAGCACCTGCAGGGAAGCAGGTAATACTTTGTTTTCTTGGTGGGTTTTGCGTCCTGCGAGGAACTTGTGCCATGTAGAGCGCAGTTTTCCGCACACAAGAGGCATAATGCTGGTCTTCATTGACGGCACCTGCCCAGAAAATAATCCGTTCAACCACAGATCACCATCGTGGAGGTCATCGTCAGCAAGCAGCCATAGTGGTGGCGGTCGGTTCATTTTAAGATCTCAGGCCAATCAATAGCTCTAAATTAACTCCACAACATTAACGAGCTTCACGAATTGGTCTGGATCTGGCTGGCCAAGGAACAGCACTCACGAACCATTTGGCTACTTGGCAATGGAGCTGCTGCAACAGACGATTGTTGTACGCACTGAGAAATCGTGATCATGTACCTGATGGCCATCGTTGTCCAACACCAGAGGCCTTCCAATGCATGGGATGAAGCACTTCTTAATTCTCATGGCGCTGCGTGGATGTTGATCGGGTCCTCAAGCTACAGTGAGAAAGAAGTGGCGTTGATCTTGATGCCTGAAAATGTGTCAGGGAGCAAATGCTTTAAGCGATACAGCGCGCAAAACTCTATAGAAAGCCACTGTGGTAAACCCAGCAATGAATTGTGTTGAAGACTCACGGAGCTGCAGAAGCCGAGCTCGTACGTCTTTCGTCAACGCCCCATACGGGGTATATATATACGGATCCCAGCAGATCAAAGGGTGAACCCCACACCATGGCTGTCTTGAGGTTGCAAGTCATCGGATTGGTCGATGGATATCTCCCTTATGGATTTGGGTAGGGTCCTGGACTGACTGCTTAAGATGATGTTTCAGCGCTTGGGTCGCCTGCTAGCCTGCACAAGGCACTACCAGGCGGTGGCGGCCGCGGCGCCACCCCGGGGGTCATGATTAAAAGATGACTTCAAGTTGACGATCATGAAGGACTTAGTGACGCATGCATGAATCTTGTGGGAGCCCCATGCAGTGTCATTGAAGTGGCAGAAAAGGTACAACAGTACGGGTTCATCGGAAGATTTCTTCTCGGAGATGTGACAATTCGAGATGCGCAGCGAGAGCAAAGTCATTCGAATTCGAATGCCAGCCAGTTATCTAGCATGCATGCATATATGCGTGCCTGCGCATGTGTCCGGCAGGAGCCACTCAGTAGAGTAACAATTGATCATAATCATGAAGTGCATCAGTGCTTTACAAGCCAATCACTGATGCACCACCGCCACAGATCCGGATGCAATAGATCTCGATTCGGCCGACGCAAGAGTTGGCCACAGCCACAGTCGCCTTTGCAGCAGTTGCACACAAAGACCATATTTATTGTCGCATTCTCAGTCTCAACAAAAGAGAACTTCATTCAACTCAACTCCCATGATTGTACACTGCGGCACTAGGTTTGCCAAAAGAAGAAGTATGCAGCCGCTGTGCAAAGCAGCCTGCCAACCAAAACTTGCATCAGCGCGACGCGTCGCTGATGTCGCAGCACGGAGCGTGCTGCCCGCGCCGCAGTCACCGCACATTGGCGGAAGGCCGGCTCGCGTTGGGGGCGCCGCCGGGCCACCTGTAGGCAGTGGAGGACTGCTTGGCCAGCGAGGCCACCTGCTCTTCCAGGCTCTTCACGCGCAGCATGGTGCGCACAGCGCCGGCCCGCTTGCCACTGCCGCCCGACAGCGCCTGACTCGACATGTTCCCGCCGCCGGACTTCTTGAAGCTGGGCGGCTTCTCCACGATGCTTGACCGCAGCAAGAGATCCGGCCTCAGGCTGCTGCCATTGCTGCCCTGCGCTGGAGTGCTGCTGCTGCTGCTGGTGGCGGCGGCGGGGCTGCCGGTGGAGGGCCCCATCCCGCTGAGGGCTGAGGGGGCTGAGGGGCCGCGTTCGTGGCCGCAGCCTTGTTGCCGAACAGCGCGGCGCCGAACTGGCTGAAGTCGAGTCCGAGACACCGCCGTCACCGCCGTCGTCCAAGTCCTTGTCTGACAGAGCGTCTGCGGCATCCTCCACCAGGAATATACAACACCAGTAATACTCAACTCTGAGTCCCATGCCCCCGCATGGTCCTGGCTGTCCAATCTGGCAGGAAGTTCCAATCAAAGGATTTGTTGTTCTGCTGTATACTATGTAAGGCCTGTGTTGCCGCAGCCAGCTGATCTTCCATGCTCGTCAGCGCCTCCCCACAGGCTGCCTTCAATTGAGTCACACTCTCACTTGCAGACTCGGCATCAAGGCTGCCCCTCTGCAGCACAGACCAGCAATCTAATAGCAGTCTTATATGGCCGGGATTCCTTAGATGCTGCCACTTTGACATCAGCAGAGTGACATCAGCGGAGAGCAGTAAGCACCTCCAGCTCCTTTGTCCGGCGTGAGGCGTTTCTGTAGTCCTCCAGAAGCGTTGGAGCGGCTGAGATGACATGCTCCTGAACACAAGACAGAGGAAATTGAGACATCCACATGGAATAGGATGGTTGCTTCGCAAAACACTCCGTTCTATGCTTTGAGAATAATTGCATACCCGAAGGAAAAAGAGCCCCAATGTCGGCTGATTTGCAAGCTGCGCTGTGCCTCCTTCGACCATTTTCTGAGCTGTTATCACTGCACATGCCATATGAGGGCCATTCAAGTGGCAAATAAATTCTCTGATTTATGCACACAGAAGTATATACTTGCCTCGGGCACCCACCGTCCTTTTGCATGGTGACCTTGTCGTTGTGATGCTGGAGCAATGAGTATAAGGATCTGCAATGTGGAGTGTGTGAAAATAATCAGAGCTCCCGAGCAAGCAGCTGATGGTGCTTGATCAATATATTCAACACAGAAACTGCTTTATGATCTAGGCAAATCATCTGATCGATGAGCTTGATCCTTCAAAGAAAATTACTTGACCTGGATTTCTCTAGAAATTTCGCATGTACCACACGTTCATGGACTGCATCAACAACTGGAAGAAGGATAAGCGCAGCGTTGATTATCCCGGGATATCTATTCCGACTCTCGAGATGTTGACTGAACTTTTTCTGAGAAGCCGTGCATTCGTGAGAGACCAGGCCAAAAGTTTGTAGACGTGCAAATTCCAAGGTTGTGACTGAGCTGGTTGCCACCGTGGCATGTCACATGAACAGCAAATTTCCTGACGCTCCGTTTCTTTCAGAGAAGTGCTCACATCATACTAATTTTACGACTGAGGAACATTTGAGATGTGATTGTTGTGGATCTACCAATTGCAAGCAGCATGCGGCCTGTTAGAACTTTACTGATCGACAACTACGATAGCTACACTTACAATCTCTTTCAACAAATTGCTGTTGTAAATGGAGGTAGGACCCACAGAGTATAAAGAAATAACAGATCAATTGCATTGCCAAAGTAATTGCACGTCGCTGATGGGGTATTGACTCGTGCAGTGCCGCCAGTGGTATTCCGCAACGATGAGATCGGTCTTAAAGCTATCAAATCCCTCATTTCCAACAGAGACATAGATAATATCGTCGTTTCACCGGGACCTGGGACACCGAAAACGCAGCAAGATGTCGGTGAGTAACAGGTTTATTTTGGCAGCCACAATTGCAGGGCACCTGTTGATCCATTTCAGAAATCTGTGAGAGTCTTGTACTGGCTCAGGCGTCTCATTGGACGTATTGGCTGGCGAGATTGGGGTGCCTGTGCTTGGCGTCTGCTTGGGCATGCAAGCACTGGCGCATGCGAATGGTGCAGCAGTGGTGCGCGGGCCAGAGCCTGTGCATGGTCGCCTGAGCAGCGTTCGCCATACAGGCCACCCGCTGTTCAAGGGGATACCTTCAGGTCAGGCTTGCCAATATTGGCCTCTCAGACACCTTGCATGTCACAGAGTGTACATGTCGTCATCCCACCCACTCATGCATATGCAGGCCCCGATGGCAGCTTCACTGTGGTGAGGTACCATTCTCTGGTGGTGGATGAGGCTACGTTGCCGTCCCACCTTTCATCCATTGCCTGGACATGTGGCGGGCACCAGGCCGTCAGACCGACCTGCCATGAGGCGCCGTTGCTGCCCGCCTCACAAGGGCATAGCAGGAGGGATGTGGTCATGGCTCTTGCCCACGCCCACATGCCCCTGTACGGTGTGCAGTTCCACCCGGAGAGTGTGGCCACATCCTATGGGAATGCCCTGCTCGCCAACTTCCGGGACATGACAGCCGCGCACCATGGCCTGCTTCTGCCACATGATATGCCTCCAGCCATAGCAAATGGTGCTCCCCTCACACTCGCTGTTCTTATGGTCTATACCCGTTGGTTGTCATGTCGGTGTGCAAAGCAATAGAAAGGATCAAGAAGCTCCTAATGTGTGCAGTTTTGTCTGAAAAGATCCGCTGCCTGTCCCCTTCAGGCCATTCACACCAGGACATACAACAGCGGACCAGGGCCACGCTGGATGTAAGGTGGACCTGCCTCAAAGGTGTGATGGATGGGGATGGCGATGGTCAGCGCATCTTTCAGGCCCTGTATGGAGGCAACGGGGGCCGCGATGCATTCTGGCTGGACAGGTGCTTTTTGAGAATTTGCTATACATGTGGTTTTGGGAATCCTATGTCTTGCTTGCTTGGAATACAACAGCTGAGCATTACAGAGTTAAACCTGCTGACGGTAGGATGTGCATTGCATGCAGTGCTGCCACCGACAGGGGCCGCTTCTCCTACATGGGTGGCAGAGAAGGGCTGCTGTGGCGCCGCATCACTTACAAGCTGCCCGCTGCCGGTGATCCCTCAGCTGACAACCCTGGCACTGTCTGCATAGAGGATGTGAACGGCGACACCAGCGAGGTGGCCACCCTGTGGTGGCCCTATCTAGAGCAGCTTCTGCAGGACTTCACATGCTCCTCTGAGGGTGAAGACGGCCGGGGCAAGCTGCCCTTTGATTTCTGGGGCGGCCTGGTTGGCTACCTGGGCTACGAGCTGAAAGCAGAATGTGGTGCACCAGCACCGTACCGCTCACCGCTGCCTGACGCTGCCTTCTTCCTGACAGACAGGTGCTCGCCATGCCCTTCCGCAACTTGTCTTTTCGCTACTCAGGGAGTGTGCGCACAGTGATGTCTAAGGCTGTGACGCAATCATTTGTGGGTTGTGCCGTTACTGAGGGGTACTGGGCATGCAGGCTTATCGCTCTGGATCATCGCTGTGGGGATGTTTATTTGATGACCCTTGTGCACCCTGAGGATGCGGTAAGCACCTCATCAGCCAAGGCGTGGAGGAGATGTCAAGAGGCTCGCATCATGCAGATTTTGCAGCAGTCACAGCCAGGAGACCCTCTAGCACAGACACAGAAGGAGAGCAGCAGCAATGGCCATGCTGACTGTAACACGGCAACACAACCTCCTCGATGCCCAAATGGCTACAGCGCAAAGACGGTGACAGACACTGTATTGGAAGAGAGGCAACACAGCAATGGTCATGCTGAGGTATGGTATCTGGTTGCAAAGCTTGCGTGCCTTCTTTACTTTGCCGCTGTGATGTGTTTTGGCTGGCTGGTACATGCTTCTGAGAGAGAGCCTGGGACCGCAATGCAGACATGCGAACGAGTTGAGCGGCAGCCGGAGATTGAGCCCTTCCGACTGCATCGGACGCGCGATACCTACATGGCGGATGTCCAAGCCTGCAAGGATGCTCTGTATGCGGGAGAGAGCTATGAGCTGTGCCTGACAACCGCGCTGTCCCGTCGCGGAGCGCCACGCAAGGCCCTGGACCTGTACACCATCCTGCGCCGCCTCAGCCCTGCCCCCTACGCAGCCTTCCTGTCATTTGGCGATGAAGGGCCACGAGTAAGGCTTGCTCCCCGATATCAAGAGCCTTCAGACGTGTACAGAGGGCCTTTGCAATGCTCAAGGACTGCTGAAACAACCTCATGACTGCTGCAGGTATGCTGTTCCTCTCCGGAGCGCTTTCTGAGAGGCAGCAGAAACGGCGATCTGGAGGCGCGGCCCATCAAGGGCACAGCATCACGCTGCCAGGATGCAGCAGCGGATGCGGCGGCGGCAGCAGCTCTGGCCGCGTCTGAGAAGGACCAGGCCGAGAACCTGATGATTGTTGACCTCTTGCGCAACGATCTTGGACGGGTCTGCCAGGTACTGCAATTCTTAAAAAGAGCTCTTGCGTCCTGAGTGGGATTCAAACAGGCCTTTTCAATTCTTGCTTTGTTGCCCGCTATTTCAGTGCACTGTGGTACTTGCAGGTGGGCAGTGTGCATGTGCCGGTGCTCATGGAGGTGGAGAGCTATGCAGTGCACAGCCTGGTGAGCACAGTGCGGGGCAGGCGCAGGCCGGAGACGTCCATTGTGCAGTGCCTGCAAGCCACCTTCCCGGGAGGCTCCATGACTGGGGCGCCCAAGCTGCGCAGCATGGAGATCCTCGACAGGTGCGCCGCTGCAGGTCGTTGTCAGTGACCTTTTCTGGTGCCTTTCTGTGATGGATTGCTCTCTCTGACTGCTGTATATCGTGGTGAAGTACACTGAAGACGCCGATGCAGTAAGTAAAGTGCTTGCACAGGCTGGAGAAGGAGGCGAGGAGTGTGTACTCCGGGTCGTTGGGCTTCATTGGCTTCAACAATGCCTTTGACTTGAATATTGTGATCAGAACAGCAATCTTGAATGGGAATCACATAAGGATTGGGGCCGGAGGAGCTGTGGTTATACAGTCCGAGCCTGAGGCAGAGTATGAGGAGATGCGGCTGAAGGCACATGCCCTGATGAGAGCAATAGGGGAGTGTGATGGCGGCAAGGGGCCTGCTGCAGTAGAAGATGGTTTGCCATTTGCAAGCATCTAGATCTGATGGGGCTGAGATCTTCTCAGGAGTGCTCAGGGAGCTTGGAGGGAGGCTCAGCGCTCAGTGCTAGTATCAGTGCTACGATAAATAGCGTCACAGCAATGTGATCCAAAGCGAACAGATACAAACATTTGGTCGATTGATCAAGATACTAGAGTAGGCTGTCTAGGAAGTGTTCAAACGCATGCAAGTACCTTTGTCGCCTAGCTTAGATGCATTTTTCAATCTGGCCCCAATCCTGGTGCATCGGACCTCTTCACTGAAATGACCAATCGTTTAAGATCACCCTGCGCGAGCATCTCAGTGCCAGTCCTGAAAAACCTATATATCAAGATGTGGTTGCCTCAGGCCGCCAAGGCTCTGGAAATGGAAAGTGAATATACGCGCCCACGCGAACTTATCAAACGTTTCAGGTCGTTGACCGATGCGAGCTCCGTGACGAGAGTGGTGATCAAATTGATGAGGGCTGTCTTATCAAAGGACTGCAGGTGCCTGGCCGTCACAAGAAACGAGATGTCGAATCCAGGGGCAGGCTTGCGGCGTATGATGTCAATATAGTCGGCTCTCTGCATAATAAAGGCGATGCGCTTGCTTCGCAGCCACGCTTCCAAGTCACCCACCCGCTTCAGCTGCACAGACACGTGAGATGTGCTCTCAGGGTGAGGAGCATATAACGATTGAGACTGGTAACAGTAGCATTTCGGCGCCTGGGCAGGGCGAACCTGCACGTTGACTCGGACAGAGTTCAAGGACCGCTCGATGACTATACATTCCTGCTCATTCCTTCTCAATTCGATGGGGTCCAGCAGGAGCTCCTTGCTGTTCTGCAGCTCAATTTCTGGTTTATTATAGCCATCTATGTGTTGACAAGGACTATCTACTAAGACCAAGCTCCGGACGAGAGCCTCACGAATGCTGTCAACATATTGGACTCCAGTCAAGCACATGCTGCCGAACGCTTGAGTTCAGAGGCAAGCATCGCACGCAGTGCAGGAACTTGTACTTTAAAATTTAAGTAAGGTCCTGAGGCAAGAAGAAAAGAGCGGAGCGTCACGGCGAAAGTAGAAGATCTTCATAACACTGCACGTGTGCCTTGAATCTGTTCACGTGCGGTTTCTCTATGGTTGTACCTCTTGCTGCAAATTTCTGGAGCAAGAGGTCCAAAAAATTCGTAAGTTTTGCTGAGTTTGTAGCACTTTGAGACAAATAGCTGGTGTATCAGAGACAAGGATGTCATGGGGTCGTTTATCAGGATTGGCATGGCAACAGACCAGAAAGTTCGGGACAAAACCTGCTTTTATCTCCGATCTTGGAGGCAAAGTTGCCTCCAGCTTTTCCAAAGATCCAGCAGCAGCCACCCAGCAGATCATACAATCCTTGCAGCCGGCAGAGCGCTCGCTTCTGTTGGAGGCATTGAATGCTGAAGCAAGGGCAGTGGGAAACACCGCGCAGAGCGCCGCAAGGCATGTCTTCAGCAAACATACATAATATTAATAGAGCACTGCATGGCATGGCCAAGGGGTCATAGCTGGTTCTTACTCGGTGGTTCTTCTTTGGACTGTGAGTTGTATAGTCCCGAAGTGCACAGCAGCCCAGGTGCCTCCATCAGATTTCATATCTATTTTGGGGGGACAGATCACAGGCACATCAGTCCGGCGCACCCCGGCCAGCTGTCTTGGTGTCCGTGGCTCTCACTGCAGGTCTTCCTTTCATTGTTTTTGGGTTCAGCGACAACGCTATCATGGTGAGCTGAAAAATGCACCAGAAGGGGTCTGCATGCTCATCAGTGATACTTTGGGTCGTTCTTATTTGCTGATTTGTCTTCTGCCGATGGCGCAGATCGTAGCAGGTGATGAAATAGAGTCCATGTTTGGGGCAAAGCTGGGCCTATCGACTCTGGCGGCAGCTGGACTTGGAAACCTGATTAGCGATGTAATCGGCCTTGGAATGGCAGAACCTGTGCAGGTAAAAGAAAAATGCAGATGTGGTCGTCCTATAAGACTGATTGGGAAGACTTTAAAGACTCGCTTACTGTGTGTGTGAAGTGGAATTTATTTCCTGTGTCCTCCTCAGGCGCGCATGGGAAGATGGCTAAAGGCCAAACCTCTGACACTTCAGCAGACACAGCTTTGGCAGACGCGAGGTGCTTGCATATCTTAATAGTCCACTCTTTACCTTGGAATTCATGGAAAGACTGAAGCTCCCCACCCTCACAGGCATTCTTATTAAGGGGGCCGTGTGCTGTTTACAGCCGCCAGATTCTCAGGTTCATCATTGGGTATCTCAGTGGGGTGCCTTCTAGGTACGCTACTTCTTACTGTTCTGCAGGCTTAGACAATTGAGTCAACAGGCCTTTTGGAACGTGCCTTCAGACTCTTTGCGCCTTGCGGCCGGTATATTTTAAAGTGCACTGCAGAGATTTTGAGATTGAGATTGCTCTGGTTCACAAGGATAATGCCTTTGCCGACAGGGATGGTACCGCTGCTTTTTCTCACACCCAAGGAAGCGCGCAAGGATTGATTTTTGAGGAGCTTCGAAGTATGTGATGAAGTGCAGATGGAGAGGCAGACACTAGTGTTGGACATTAGGACTCATTTGTTCTTGCATAACTTCCTTGTATTGAGCGCCATGTATATACAATTTAATTGCTGGGTGGCTGTTCCAGGTATCAGTTTGCCTCTATCATATATGAGATCTATATAGGATTTATCCGAGATCTCTAGAATTAAGCAACTGCTGCGACGGTGTAAAAGGACTGATCAGCACAAGTTCAACTTGTTAAGTTAACAAGTGCTTCATGACAATGTTTAAGTGATTGTGAGAGAACATGCACTCGGCTCTTCAAATTAGCCCAATGATCAATTGCGGATGTCATTCATGTTACACACAAGGCCAGTGTAAAACAGGTGTACAGGCAATACACTGGACTGAAAGCCAGGGCATCTTTTCCCATCAAGGAATGATACCGTGCAAGTGGCCACAGGCAAGACCACTGGTCCAACTTACCCAAAGAGCCAATAGGTGTAAAAAGCCTAGCCCCTTAGCAGACCCTTCAGATATTCTATATTTGTAGTCACGTGAAGCTTTGAAGGGTCCTGCTCATGACTTGATCACTACCATCTCTCGCGCTCACATACACTCGGTGCTGGATATTGCAGCTTGCTCGTCCGGAGATTGACTTCTGTCATTGCCTCGACTGCAAAAGGGGGAAAGCACTCTGGGAATTAGAAGTTGCACAGGAACAGGATTCCAGAAAATAAATTGCAAAACTTGAGTCAAGTTGCTTGACCAACAAAAAGGACTGGGCACTCATACCTTCCATATACCGTATGCCGTGGAAAGGGCAAGGAAAACTCCAACAGTTGGAGAGAATGCGGGGTATACGACATCCTGAGCAAACTGATCCGCACTCTCTGGGAGGAAGCCCTGCATCGCCAAAATACTGTCCATCAGGTTCTCAAGACATGTGAATAAGTCGAGAGATGATGATGTGTGTCCACATATGCCCAGCCACTCACCGAGACAGCGATTAAGAGACCCTCGAGCATGATCAACAAGAATGCCAGCCCAAGAACCGTCAAATAAGAAGCTTCTAAATTGCCGGCCAGGGTTGCAGGTTCACCGCCATATGCTTGCTGCACTTGTGGTGCCACCACATTCACTTTGTTCTTCTTCTTTCTTCTCCGGCTTCTCTGCATATCACACTCAGCGTCGTCATCCATCCACAGCAAGCGTCACTCATGCCGGTTCAATGTCATGCCGCTGTGCTTGTCAATTATCATGCACGCAAGGAAATGTCACGCGCCAATTCCTCTTCAATGAGGAGATCCCCATCACTATTCTGTCCATCTGTCTGCACGGTCTCCTTGTCTGGTGTTGCCTGTCAGGGCCATATATGTTACAACCCATACTTCATAAGAAGCAGATCTAGCAGTGCGTTATAAATTGGTATGAGCAACAAGTTAGTGTGTCACAATTTCCACCTGCTGCCTTTGCACCCTCAGCTTCCCACACTGTCTTCCTAGCCCAAATCCATCTCTCTGCACCCTGCATGCAAGCTGTCTGACGATTGCATTCTGAACACCATGAAGTTCCAATCTTTGTTTGAGACTGTGCCCTGAGATTTTCCTGTCATTCACACTACACTTCGTCGCACGCCCAATACATCCTCTCATTGCACGACCTTCAGGGACAAGGATTTGGTCTCGACCGATGTTCTGGCCAGTTCAGTCTGATTAGAGTTCTTCAAGAAGAACTTGAGATGCGCAACTCCTTCGTGCCACCGTCCAAGAAGGTCAAAAGTCATCCGAGGCACGTGATCAAAATCTAGATAAGGCCTAGTACTCAGAGTGGTCAAATTGACTGCGAATTGAAAAGCAGATGGCTTTTGCTTGCTAGAGGTTGAATCGGTCTTTCTTTTGCTGATTTAAATACCCGCGCAGTGGAATTTTCGCTGATTTATATGAAAATCAGTTTGCTTGATTGCCCGACTCTAGTGTGACAGGATCACTGAATCCCCATCAGTATGTTGCATTCCATGGAGCATTCCGTGGTTTACAGCTGCACTTATGGACGTGATGATGCTGTTAGGCTGATGCCCACCCTGTGTTTGACACCCAATGTGCCCAACGTCTTGAGGTCTAGACGACCTGCATGCAGGCTAACATCTGTATGGCAGGCGGGCTGTTCTGTGCCTCTTCAATGCCGACACAAGAGCACAGACCATCGGCAGAAGACCTCGTGCTGGCAGAACCTGCTGAATGGAAGGGGCTGCCAGCCAAGCCTCACTGCAGTGTGCGCAGCCAGCGCAGCATCCTCAGCCCTCGGTCAGCTCGGCAAACCACTGGAGCCTGGATTTGACGGTGGCAGCGGAGCCCATGGCAGCGGTGGGACGGGGTCCGGGGGATCCGGCGGTGGCGGGGGAGAGGGGGGCGCAGGCGGGTCGGGGCCGGGGGTGCCGGAGGCAGAGCAGCATGTGGGGCAGGTGGGCGGGTGCGCGCCAGCGGAGGATGTTGTGCTGCTGGAGGTGGGCGGCATGCACTGCGCCTCGTGCAGCGGCCGAGTGCGCCGCCTGCTGGAGGCGCAGCCGCATGTCACCAGCGCCAGCGTCAGCCTCACCACCGAGACAGCCCTCGTCCGCATCGGCATCCCCGCCCTGCCGCTCACCGGCGGCCCTGCAGGTTGCCTCGCATGCCCACCCCATACGATGACCGCTACCATGGTCATCTTGAACTTAGTCTGTGACCCTGGAGGGTGCATGAACAATTATTCATGGGCAGTAAATTGAATGCATTCCCAAAGCGCGCAAAGCTCACCCACTGATGGCTGTGCGGCTAAACAGGCGGCGCGTTGGAGGCGGCGCGGTCATCGTTTGTGGCGGAGACAGTGGCGCATCTGGCAAAGGTGCTGCGAGAGGGCGGCTTCCAGGCGGGGCTGCGCGATGGCGCCAGCATGGCGGCGGGCGCTGCGGATGAGGTGGTGGCGGCCAAGCAGGCAGAGCGGCGCGCGCAGCTGCGCGAAGCCACGCGCCGCCTCATCGTGGCCGGTCTTCTGGCGTCCGCCTGCTTCACCGGCCACATCGCCCACTTCTTTCCCAGTGCGTGCACTCCCACTTCTTCTCTATACCAGACCTGCACATTTTTTTTTGCTTCACAATACCACAGCTGTTGAAATAAGGTGTCCCAACATCATACAATACGAGGAACAGACACAAAGCTGGTGACTGCGCATCTTGTTATCACAGGTGTGCCCGGCTGGGTGCGGCTGCTGGGGACGCCGCAGGTGCACGGGCTGATGTCGGCGGCGGCGCTGCTGGGCCCGGGGCGCGAGGTGCTGGTGGCCGGATGGCGCAGCGCGGCCGCGGGCTCGCCCGACATGAACACGTTGGTGGGCCTGGGCGCCAGCGCGGCCTTCGGTGTGTCTTGCGTGGCGGCCGCGCTGCCTGCTCTCGGCTGGCGCACCTTCTTCGAGGAGCCTGCCATGCTGCTGGGCGTTGTGCTGCTGGGCCGCACCCTTGAGCGCCGCGCCAAGCTGCAGGCCTCCGCCGACATGGCCGCCCTCCGGGTGCGCCTCTGCCTCCTTCTTACAAGACTACTCCTGGCTCTGCCTTCAAATGATGCACTCTCGCTCAGTAAGCTGTGTGTTCTGCATGACCCTTGTCAGGTTTTCTACTTTGTGGACTCACAGGAAATTTCGGAATTGGGATGAAACAATTAAGTGGTGGTGGCGTAGGGGCTGCTGCCGGCGACGGTGCGGCTGGCGGTGGGGAACAGACAGGGCTGGAGCACTGTCCCAGCGGAGGCGGTGCAGCCGGGCGCGCTCCTGGTGGTGCTGCCGGGCGACCGCCTGCCCGTGGATGGCGTGGTTGTGGAGGGCACGTCCACCCTCGACGAATCTGCCCTCACCGGCGAGCCGCTGCCAGTCACCCGGGGCCCAGGTATGCACCATAATTCCCTGACTATCCTCCTCCATTGTGCGCAGTGTGCCGGGTAGTGCATTCACATAGCACCGCTACACCGTTAATATCTCTGCCTTATGGTGGTGCAGTGTGATTTGAGCCAGAATGAACAAAATGCAGGCAGCGCAGTGGCGGCTGGTGCGGTGAACTGCGAGGGGCGAATCACGGTGCGGGCGGTGCGCTGCGGCAACGCAACGGCGGTGGCGGACATTGTGCGGGCGGTGGAGGCGGCCCAGGCGCGAGCTGCGCCCGTGCAGCGTCTGGCCGACATTGTTGCCGGTCGCTTTGCCGTGGGCGTTCTCGGCCTCTCTGCGGCCACCTTCGCCTTCTGGGCCCTTGCGGCACCGCGCTACATGCCGCAGGTTCGTGCAGCATCATTATGCCCATTTCCTTGTTCCTTGCCTTAAAAAACACCCTTATTTCCAGAGGCTGGCGCACGATCTTTGTGGCATCGCTGCAATCTGGACGGGAGTGATGGCGAGCTGACAGGGCATGCACTGCACAGGTGATAGCCCGGCATGCGAGCACGGCGGCCGGGGGCTCGGGCGCAGCGCTGCTGCTAGCGGCACAGCTGGCGTGCAACGTGCTTGTGGTCGCCTGCCCCTGCGCCCTTGGCCTGGCAGCTCCGACCGCCGTCCTTGTGGGCACATCCCAGGGAGCTCGCAGGTAGAGTCATTTCTTGGCAGGACGATCTTGGCATGCAGCAAAAGCAAAACCATATGCTGAGCATCTCATGCTGTCCCTTGTCTTGTTGGTATTTTACAACCGGCAAGCAACCATCCTCCAAGGGACTCCTGCTGTCCTTGCAGGGGCTTGCTGATCCGCGGTGGAGACGTCCTCGAGGCGGCATCTAGGATAGACAGCGTCATCTTTGACAAGACCGGCACGCTGACTCGCGGTCAGCCAGTGGTGACGGAGGTCCAGCTGGCGCCCGGATGTGCCCTGGAGCCCGCGCACGTGCTGTCACTCGCTGCAGCTCTGGAGCGCGAGTCCTCCCATCCCATCGCCCGGGCCATCACAGAGGCCGCGAGCACGTCTGGTGAGTGCCGCCAGCCGCGAGTCTTGATTTGGGTGTTTGCTTAGTGCAGGCAGCAAGCAATTGGTTGTCAGGCGCAGGCACCAGAGCATTGGTTTCTGACCTATGGATCTGAAGAGTGGGATCTGATGGCAGTCAAGGCTGCCTTGTCACAGAGATGTGGAGCACCTTCTTAGGCAGGTCATCAGCTTGAGCTAAAACTGCACCCTGAAGGTTGCGTTGCCTGTGGTGCCAGGTGTTGCTGAGGCCAGGGCAGAGGACGGCAGCGTGGTCCAGGAGATTGGGGGAGGCATCACGGGCACTGTGGACGGCCGCAGGGTGGCTCTGGGGAACTGGACGTGGGTGACGCAGCACCTGCAGGAGCCTACACCCCAGCCGCCTGATGCCGGTCCTGGCATGCCTCTGAGGGATGCGCACAGCACTGGTGCCCAACAGAAGCTACAGGTGGGCATTTCAAGGAGGTGTTCGCTTCACTTGTGCCTGAAGAGCGGCCGCAACTGGTGTATATATGGTGTGGTGAGCATTTATATTAGCAATGTTTTAGTGTTGGCTGGGTGCCTGTCAGGTGTTTGTGGCTGTGGACAAGGAGCTCGCGGGCATGCTGTCGCTGTCAGACACGGTTCGGCCCGAAGCAGCGGCCACAGTGGCAGCCCTCCAACGCGAAGGCTTCAAGACCTTCCTCCTCACCGGTAGGCTCAAGACCTGCTCGCGGCGGCTGCATGCTCATGTGGCTGCATTCATGGTTCTCGCCACCCCAGTGCCGGGAAATTTCTTTTCGCTGAAATGGGTGGTTAGCCATTATATTTCTAATTTCTAATTCTAATTCTAAAATTATCGAAGTCAGGTTTGATTTATTGGCTAATGGAGTGAGCGCATGGCCAGGTGACGGGGCGTGGAATGCCGAGGCGGTGGCGGATGCGGTGGGCATTCCGCGCTCGCAGGTGCACTCCAGCGTGAAGCCGGGGGGCAAGGCAGCGCTGGTGCGGGAGCTGCAGGCGCGCGGCCGATGTGTGGCCATGGTCGGGGACGGCGTCAACGACGCCAGCGCTCTGGCCGCTGCCGACGTCGGCATTGCGATGGGCGGCGGCGTCGACGCGGCTTCGGAGGCGGCCGCCATTGTGCTACTGCGCGACCAGCTCCCCCAGGTGCATGCGACCCCCCTTTGTGTGCTCGCTGTGTGTTGCGTGTTGCGTGCTGTGGTTGTGTGCCCAGCATGGAAATGTCGAGAATTCTGAGCAGGTATGCATGAGGAGAACTGCACGGTGATTTGATCACAGAATGCTCTGGCCGTGCAGGTGGTGGATGCATTGCAGCTGAGCCGGCGCACGTTCAGCAAGATCCGCCAGAACCTGGGGTGGGCGTTCGCATACAACGCCATTTCGCTGCCGCTAGCTGCCGGTGCTCTGCTGCCGGGGCTGGGCATAGCCCTCACACCATCCATATCAGGTGACTGGCAGTTTAGCATGTCTTTGTCGTCTGCTCAAACAACTTTTATTGCAGGATAGAAAGCTTTACTGTTTTGCCATGGACGGGTTGTATCAGAGTCATGACATCAGCAGGGGATGCTTGTGCAGGTGCCCTGATGGGATGCAGCTCACTTGCCGTCATGGCTAACTCATTGCTTCTGCAGAGAGACTTCCCCTCTCTTGTGAAGAAGACCGGAGAATCCTGATGTGTGTGAGGAAAGAATAAATTGCAGCTTGAAGCCAGGAATTCGGTATACTAGCCAGGCTCATCTGGGAAAGCTTAGATGCTGATTAACACCATGATGGGTGTCAACACGTTTGAAGCTAAAATGTGTGATAGCCAGCAGTGAACAATGGGCAGCAGAATTGATTTTCAAGTAGATCTGTGCATTTGCATGTCTAAGTGAATCTGGTAGGCTAACACATAGCATCAAGCCGGTATGGGATGCGGAAAGAGTAACGCGACATCGTCCTCCCAGCTCACATGTATGCATGCTCTTACACACTTTGTAGTGCTACCATCAAAGGCAGTTGCCATGCTGCAATTCACCCCTACAAGACAACAAGGTATATACCACAAGCTCGGGAGATGTCTTGCAAAATCTGGATCTCAAGATCTTTAGAAGGTGTGCAGCTCTCAGTAACCACACAGTTTGTCTACTCACTAAATCCAAAAGAGCAACCAGGCTGGTTCGATGAGTTTACGACAGGGACTCAATACACATAAAGCAGCTTTTGCTGCATGCCCTTGGGCTGCAACAGCTGCATGCACCAGCAGCCTTATTCTCAGCTCTGTTATGCTTGCCTAAAAGCCATGAATCTTGATCAGGTCCTTCTTTGCGATGTTGTTTGACACCAGGAAGGTTGACACATTCTTGCGCTGATCACCCTGCAGCTGGATTACTTTGCCCATCTCCGCATCTTCCACCACTGTGCCGTTGCAGCAGAACTCTGCAGGCAGATTCAGACTCTTAGTGTCTAGTACAACACTCAACCCAGCCACAACACGATCTGTGCTACTGCAGCGCTTTGGGTGAGGGATGCTTTGGGTGAGGGCCACAGTGCAACAGGAGGGAACAAGCACGACACTGATGCCAAGTTGAGAGGCATCTTACAGAAACAAAGCAAGCAAACAGGCCCTGCACCACCATGGCAACTGCAGGAGCTGTGCAAGGTGTAGGGTGATCACCTTTCTTGAAGGCCTTCAGAACCTTCTTGTAGTCAAAGCCCTTCTCAAGCCCCTGTGCCCGTTACAGAAGAACACGTAAGGAGGTCGCACGTATTGTCAACAGGCTGGCCAAGCTCCAAAGCCAAACAAGCAAGGAATCAGGACAAAGCAACAGCGCGGAAACGCAAATCCTGGCATGGTGGCGGCACACTCAGCCAAACGAACCAAATCAACGAACATATGCCATAGATTTCGCAATGCGCAGAGCTCAGCCTGCAGCTCACCTGAATTGTTGTCAGACTCTTCTTGCCGTTCCGCTGCTGGATGCGAATGTGGACGTAGTCCTTGGCATTCGAGGTGTCTCCGTCTTGGTCAGCCGCATCCGCAAAAGGATCTGCGATGCAAAATGGCGAGAATCTCAGCCGCAATCGGGCTCGGACAAATTGAAAGAGTTTCGAGAATATGGGTGTGATTCTAAAATTCAGGAGAAGCCTGACCTTCTGTAGGTCTCTGAAATTGACACCCATGTATAAATCTTCACGGCATAATACAAACACACATCACATACAATGTGCGCACAACGGTAAACTTACCAAATTGTCCTGGGACCAGACCAGCAGGCTGGATGTTGAGGTCGACTTCAGTCATAAGCAGGTAGATGGATGTCCTTCGCCTGTGCTGAGCAGCAGAAATAGATAGGCAGATGAAGGTGCAAGGAATGGGAAGGTGGGAGCAGGAATGAAGGGAAGTGGAAGGTGGTCTGAGAGGTGGGAATCAGGTAATGGCGTAATATGATGACTGGACATCATGTAGGTTTCCTGCTCAGCAGCCCAGTCCGTGTTCTACCTGTCAAAACTGGGGCCGAAGCCGGTGGACATGCACGGTAGTAAGGTAGATCAAGGCCTCATGAAGACCGCTTGTCGTTTTGCAGAGGCTCAAAAGCTCAGCTGACCAGCACCGTGCAGGCCTATACTAGTATACTATGTAGCTATAGGCCGCACCTAGCTAGGCCGCCGGCCGCCGGCCGCCGGCGCCGCTGCCGCAGCTGAGGCATCCGACTCGGACTCACGCCGCAGGCTCAGCTGGCTGCAGGGTATCACAGAGAGAAGTGCATGCAGACGTGACGTAGGCCAAGCGAGCGCCAGAGACGAGCTCCAGCCAAAGCTGAACGTTCTGAGTAAACTCAGACTCTGAATTGAACTGACACATAATGTGTCACACATTCGAAATTCCTGAAGACGAAGACCTCTAGATATCTCTAGAGCATTTGCGCAGTCATTGACTGTGTGGGCGGCACCACGACTGTGTTTTTTAGATTCCCGGACAGGCCAGCGCGTGTCTTGCGATCGCTAGCTGTTCTGCAAGCTTCCCATTATCTAAAGATTATTAAATGATAGTGACAGCGCTAAAGATTACTAAATGATAGTGAACGCTAGCTGCTTTACATCAAAATCCAGCATGTGAACATTGAGGGCCTGGATCCATGCATGACAAATCAATACGCTCGCACTGCAATAATCAACTGAGCGTCCAGTACTACTATTAGTAATACAAACTAATTTAGTCTTTGAAAGAGGTGTAAAACTTTTAGAAGTGACACCATATCATGTCCGAGACCCCTGCTAATAAGCTGATTTCCCAGACCATCCATTCTCCAAATTAACTCTGCCGTGGACAGGCTTGCGAATCAATTTCTCAATGAAACCCCTTGAAGCATCGTTCGGCATGGGGACGTCACACATTGTAGGGACAACCACAGCATGGGGACGTCACACATTGTAGGGACAACCACAGCAGGGGATGTTGAGACACTGAAATGCCTCAACATTTTGCCAGAAATGTTTGCACTTCGAGCAGCATACTCCCAGCCTCGTCCCTATTATGCCTTATTTTGCTGCCTCGACGTGGGCGCCTCCTACGAGGGCATACTTGCAGAAGACCTCCTGTCACTGACAGCCTTGACCAGGACAGCTGTTTGCCTGTGATTGTAAACCATTTTTGCATCTACTTAATTCAGGTCCAGGTGAAAAATTGCCCACTGTTTGGCGCATAACACACTCTCCGTCGGCCCGCAAGAGAACGGCAGGGCTTATCTGACTGACACTCACAAGAGGGTGGTTATTGCAACCACACAAGCTCATTACATTACCAAGTCGTTCGACTGATGCAAACCTCATTTTTTTTATTCTGAGCAAGAGTGTTACACAGGGCACCTCGTCGCACCACCCTGCTTTACGACAGAGAACTTGCCGGTGGCAGTGTCCATTTTCACCTGCAGGCCCAGGTGCATCAAGTCTGGATTCTGCAGTGGCGCCACAGGCTGCAAGTCAAGGATGGCCTGCTGGACCGGCTCATTCCCCCTGCACAGGTTGCGCACTCCCCACAGAGCCCACTCACGTACCATTGGGCTCGCATCATCCACCTGCAAATGCAAGACGCAGATCAGAATCAGGACATCGGACTGGCATTTTGTACCCCCTGTACTGTCATGCAGCTGGCTCCTTACAACCGTGAAAAACAGCCAACGAAAAGTGATGCAAGACACCGACTGAGGGTACATCAGCAGAAGACATCAACTCACCTGACACTGGCTCAGCATGATGGGAACCCCACCCAACTCCAGGATCTCATTCTGGACCTGACGCCTGCCGTATGCTGCATGCGCCAACACTGCACACCATAGCTTCCCTTCATGACTTGGACAAGCCGGCTGCGCTCAATCGTGCAAGCAGGATTGCTGGAATCAAAATCAGATATGTCCACAGCCAGGAGACATTGAGAGACCACACCCACCTGCTACTACATCAGTCCGGAAGCCCAGGTATGGGGGTAGCCTGGGGAATTTCGCAGCTGTTGAGCTGATGGAGTTATCCATTGGGCGCTCCTGGGTGCTGCTGGGCTGTCCTGCATCAGGGGCAGCAGCGCGAGTTTGCCGCCTGATGGGCCCCAGGGCCACCAGGAAAGACAGCAGCAGCGACACAAGTCCCTGCTGGCACAGCGCACTTCCCAGATTCCTGCCACATGCCTTGCCTGCGCCTCCATCATCCAGCGCAAACAGGTCCTTCAGCACCTGCAAGCATGCGCCTCCTTGTCAACGCTGCAGGGAGAGGACTTCTGGTGGGTCTCTCAGGGCAAGTCGTGCACAAGCTGCTTGGATGGGGCATAGTCATACCTGGAAAGCAGCCTCCAGCACTGACGCTTCCAGTGGGGCCTCGCCCCCTGTCTTTGCCACTGCGTAGCCCAGCTCTCGGATGGTGGTGACAAGGAACACAAGGGATCGCAGAGCCTTGTCCGGCGCATCCTCTGTTGACACCCTGCACCAAAAGTTTATTATTGGCATCTGATCAGAGGGAGGACGCGTACACGCAGTAATCAAGCTTTTTGGGGCACGTTTGCAGAAGCAAAGAGCGCGCTCACTTGAGCTGCTGGCGGGTGCTCCCATTCTCCATCTCCTCTGACAGGAGTTCCAGCAGGACACACTGCAGTGGATCCAATGTGGCCCCCACAGCATTGTCCTCGGACTGCACCTCGGCCAAAGCTCCAAAGAGCTCCGGGAGCAGACCGCGCACGTACACAAGATGCCCAATTAGCCAGCCCAGCTCCATCACTTGCTCTCCCACCTGGCACAGGTCTCACAGTTAATGGCAGCATCAGAGTGTCAATCAAAGTGCAGAGAGTGAATGGGAGCGGCTGACAAAGAAGCAGACGTGGGATTCACAATCTGTCTGTTGTACAGGGTCTAACACGGCAAGACTGACCTCGGCATTGCTACCCTCTCGAACGAATGCAGCAAGCAGCCGCCGAAGGATGACTGAACCACCGGGACCGCAGAGCGCAACTGCATACTCCTCAGACGCGCTGCAGCAATGCAACAATGCACGGCAAAGGGGACCATGCACATCACCTGCGAGAATCGCTTATCACTCACGTGCGGCTCTGAGACTCTTTCAAGTAGGAAAGTTGACACTTTCAATGGATGATAGACAGCAGCATCCCTGGTGACATGACGTAGAGCAGGGCGGACTCACGTTGGAAGGCAGCCAGATCAACGAACGTCTTTGGATAGCATGCGTTCCATACAGCGTCCAACGCCTCTCCCTCATTTGCAGACATGTTGGCCAGCAGCTGGGCAGCAACCTTGCTCAAGTGTGCTGTCCCTGGACGCCAGTAGCCAAAGGCGATAGATTACAAAACACACATGTGGACGCGACACACAGTAACCTGAAAGAAAGACAGTGATACCATCTGCAGTACACTTCGCAAGATGAGGGAGTATTCCTCTTACCGTCAGTGTTGCCCTGCATTGGATCAGACACCAAGTGCGCCACCTGCTCCGGGACCCCTTCTTCTGCCATTGCGACAGTGGCCTCAATGCCCGTTGCACAGAGGTTCCTCAGGACTCGCAGCAGGAGCAGGAGCTGCTGGCCTGCAGCAGACATTTGTGGCAGCGACCTGAGCGGCTCAACAGGGCTGCCAGAGCTGTCGTCCTCCTCGTCTTCTATTGTCAGGTAGTCAGCTGTGCTCATTTCTGCAGAAGTAATCTCCCCAGGTGGCGGAGGTGTATTGCAGTCTGGCAAGCTGCTGAAGGAGTCACTCCTTTCCATCCTATACCTGCCACTGGGTCGTTCAGGTGCATGCACAGCAATCCCGGTCCTCCCTGGCCTCAAGGTGCACTCCTGAGGCCAGTCTTCTTGAGTGAAGGTGCCTGAAGTAGGGGAGGCCTGCTGACTTGATGAGCTGGCTGATTGGTGTTCTGGGCTCGTCTGGCGTTGTCCGGCTGGGAGAGGAGCCTGCTGTTGAGCAGGGCTGGGCTGACTGACCTCAAGAGCCTGGAGCGCTGGGGTCACTGTGTTTGATGAAATTCGGGAAGCTGGCACCAGATCTGACAGAGAAACGTCTGCGGCTAACTTGGCTGCTGCCTCTTCGATGTCCTTGCTGTGCTTGCGCATCAACGCAGTCGATCTCGACTTGCCGCTTGCATCCTCCAACCGATCTTGGGACCAAAGCTGCAGAGCACTTGGCAAAAGCTGACCTAAAAGAGATGGGGCTCCTGCATGCACGAGGGCCGAGCGGGCTGCAACAAGCTGCGTTGCCTGCACAAGATGCAGCAGCTCCTGCTGTGTTTTGGCTGCGTCTTCCATTCCTGCGACGCCAATCTCCCGATTGTACTCACCAACCACTATAGGGTCAAATCTGCTGCCTTCATCAAGTTTCCAAACCAAAATTACATTAGTCGGGATGTCATGTTAGGCTCATGAGGGTTGACCCTCAAGACCTTCAAGCTAAAGGGAGGCGATTTAACTAAGCAATATGCGACCTCGACTCATTCGGCACTTGAACTTCATCTTGAAAGAAAGAATTTCTAGAGATGGCAGGACTACATAAAAAGAGGAAAGCAGACCTTGTCAATGAAGGTGACGATGACAGCGTGGAAACCTCAGACACCGAGAATGCCAGCTCCAGTGAGGACTTGAGCAGCAGCGAAAGCGATCCAGGCAATGAAAAGGATCCAGAGGATGATGACATTGTGAACATTGACTTCGAGTTCTTCGATCCTACAGATATAGATTTTCATGGCCTCAAGTCTCTGCTGCGGACATACCTCGATGGGGAAGAATTTGGCTGCTCCGAGCTGGTGGAAACCATCATCAAGCAGGTGTTCGATCTCAACAAGCTGGCTCGCAATATATACTTTTTACATGGAGACATAAGATTGCGCGACTGCTACCTAGAATTTTCCTTTGACGAAATGTGTGTATGTGAGCAGAAATCAGTGGGCACTACAGTGAAGACTTCAGAGGATGATGATCCGATCGGAATTATCACAGCTCTCAATCTCCAACGATACCACCAGCTGGGCTTTCCCAAAGAAGTCCGCCTGTTTCTGCTGAAACACTGTCAGGACAAAGAATTGAAGGCCAAGCTACAGGAGGTACGGCCCATGCATGAATCGCTCAGATATTGCGGGCCCCCGCAGAGGAATCACCACAATTCCAAAGAGAAAAACTCTGTGCACAGGTGTGGGACCAGGCAGGAACAGCACTGGTGATCAGTGAGCGGCTGATCAACTGTCCACCGCAGTTGGCCTCTCCCCTACAGCATGCGCTATTTGATGAGGAAATCCCATGGGCTACAGAGGATGAACCGTCCGAGGAGCTCAGAAACTCGTTCAAATTTGAGCGGTTCCTGTTTGTCTCGCGGGTGTATCAGGACAATTTGGAAGCGCCAAAGCCGTCAGGACCGGGAGACAAGAAAGGGAAGAAAAAGAAGGTGCCTTCAACTCAGCATCAGCATGAATGGTCAAATCGATTCTTTGAACAACTGGAATTTTCTGCTGCTATGCATGTCTTTGCCAGACCATGCAATTGCTTGCCTAGTGATTGTCTTTAGTGTTTGTGACAGGCGAACAAGCAGACAGCAACCATGGTCTATGCGAGACCGGAGGATGAGTTCTACCACAGGCACAGCAGCTGGTCGTACACCTTCCCTGTGACTAGCAGGCCGGTGCAGAAAGACGAATTGCAGCCGTTGAGGCTGGTGATGCTTCTGTCACCTGACCAGGCAGCCAGAGCGCGGTGAGATTCTGGGTCTGCATGGCTATGATCTGCTAAGCGAAGCCCAATGCAATTGCCACAATGCGACTGTCCTGTGATGTGGGTTTCTGCAGAGGTCGAACACCCTGCACATTATGAGGTCTAGCATTTGATCCTTGTGTGTGCATGCCACAGGAAAGAACTTTATAAAGTGGTGGGTAATGTGGCGCTGAATCAGCCTGAGGCTGCAGCGGGTGCTACATGATCGCATGATCGAGAGGCTCTCAGGGGCTACGGGCAATATCCCTGCCTGTGTTTGCAAATCAAGGCACCGGAGGTTGCTTTGTGTGCATGCTATTACTATTGCATCTGGCGTAATCCTTCGCATTGGAAGGATGGCTCACCGAAGGCTGTTCCTGTGAGCCAACTGCAGGCACATGCCAGCAGTTTTGTGGGCTGCTCTTTTTGACATGGATCAACCACTGGGCGTGATAATTTATGTGCGTGCGTCATGATCATGAGATGTTGAGCTTAACATCCTAACTGCAAAGCAGTCCATTGCAGGCTGTCTGAACCTGCTACTGGGCATTTCGCTATAGTGCAGCTGAACATCATCTCAGAGCGCCTTCAAAGAACACTAAGAACACTCTTACACCGATGCAAATGCTCTGTGATTTCTGGGTGTCCCAGCAGCTTCTTACTACTGGTGAATTGAAAACCATTAAATAATTTACTAGTGGACAAAAAAGCTGCAGACAGCAAAGAGGATGAAGCAGCAGCATGAACGCAGGACACTTGAGCGATACAGCTGACTGGTCAGAGCACTCAGAAAGAACCAGTACAAATCATACATAAGCGGTCCCCATTACCTATAGTAGCTACTGGCATGGTTGCTTATGTGATATTCATGCCGATTGTCAACATTTCATGAGCATCATTGGGATGCTGCCAGCATGCATCTAAAAGTACATTTCTCCACCCAAGTTTGATGCCTGGATTTGTTGCAACTGTCCTACTGCACCACCAGGTGACTGCTGCGCACTTTCTCAAGCTTCATTTGCAGGGCAGGGTGTCCTGCTGCCTCAGTTGATGAGGAGTTGTCCCTTCCATGTGTGAAGCTCGTGATCATGTCAAGGGCTGCAGCTGGCGAGTCCATGGGCACCATGTGACCAGATTCGTAGACCTTGACAAATGACAATGGCCCAGCCGCCTTGATGGTCCCCACAATGTTGCCATCAAGCTGCCAGTCCTGGAAGGGCACACATTTGCATGTGAGCGCGCAAGTCACATGAGCGAAGCAGCTTTGGTCTGTAATTTCGGCAACCCCTCCTCCCAGATCCACACTCTCAAGTCAAAGGCATTGCTCAGGCTGAAAGAAGCGAAGAATGCTCCATGTAATTGGCCTCACCTGCTCCTTGGCTTTGTCGAATGCTGTGCGCTGGCTCCAGGCAAGGGAAGACACCCAGCGCTTGTTGCCCATCCAGTTGCAGATCCAGTCTTCTGTGCCGACATAGATGAGAACCTTGATGCCGGCATCCAGCTGCGTGCTCACTCTGTCCTCATAGTTCCTCATTATATCACCTGAAGGGCCATCATCAAACGTCAAACTCACCCATTTGTCTTGGGCACGCCAGGGAAGTAAGACATTGTGGACGCAGGAACTTGCCAAGGAAGTCGTTGTAGACATCTGGGCTGCAGGACTGCCAGGGCCTATCTCCCACACCCAGCGCCTCCCGCACTTCGTCCTGGGCAAGATAGCGGTCCAGCAGGCTGAAATCTGCGCGGCACATTCCCATGAGCAATCTCAACATGCAAATGTTGCAATGCCAAGAATAATCAAAAGAAAGTCCACATATGAGGACCAGCAGCAGTACGGGCAGAGGCATGCTCCAACTCGCACACCACATTGCCAAGCCTGAGCTTCAGGAGCAGCTGTATCTTGCTGCGCTTGGACAGCTCACCATAGCAGAGCGGCCCGATGCAGGGCTTGCGGATGTCGTACACATTGAAGCCCTCTGCTTGGATTGGTGCAACAATGGTGTCCTGTCCACAGCACATACAAGCCATTGCTCCCCTGCAGGAAGGTTGCAGAGAAACGCCCTTCCTTCATTTCTATGGATACAAGGTACATGCCCACCCATTGGGCCTCACCTGGCAGAAGATGAGTGCAATGCTGCACACAAAATCCCAGCCCAAGGTGTTGCAAGCGTTGATGCCAAATCTGCAGATTGGATAGATCTGTACACATCACGGAGCTCAGCGCTCATTGCAATATGGAAAGGATATTAAAGCACGAAGAAGCAGACGTGAAAGGAACACTTACAGCGTTGAGAGTCGACTGCACATTCTTCGAAATCAGTCCATTGGCAAATGAAAAATCGGCATACGAGCCATATTGGATCGCTGGGTTTGTGAGTCCGTTCCCAATTGCCAGGCCCTTGAGATTGAATGGCTCCTTGGCAACCTAGAATTGAAAAATTCAGAGGGTCAATCTTGAATGTTGCGCATCATAATGGACACAAATTATGGTCTGCCTTGCATGACCTGCCAAATTAGCATACAGCACACACCTTATTGTGCTCAAAGATGCCATAAGTAACCGCCGGTACATAGTGCCCTGCACCCACCAAACATATTTCAGATGATAACAGGGTAAGCACATTTGAAGGCCCTCATACAGGAAGATAAAAAGGCAGAGGCAGAGGCAGAGGCGGAGGTAATGTTGCCTAAGCATAGATGAAGCGCACCACCATACGATTCGCCTGTGACAAACAAGGGCGCTTCAAAGTAAGAGGGGTGAGCTGCACGGAACTCCTTCAGAAAATCCAGCATATCTGCTGCCACCACCTTCTCATCATACACCCTGTCCCTCTCATCCTGCATTAAGTATGTGACACAGATCAAGTGTGCGCATGTGCAAAGCCACCCTTCTGTGAACAGCTGTTTCAGCAAGGAGCTTCAGATGGGTCCAGACACAAAGGAGCAGTGCACAAAGCAATGTGGCACACTCATGGTGCCAAGCAAGTGCTGTGCGCTTTACCTCGCTGTAAGAGAAGCCTGTGTTGATGGGCTGCATTTGCACGACACACAGAAATAAGCACTTTAGAAGTTAATGGCATTTTCTTACTGTGACGTCCTGGAACTTGCAGGCAGAAGCAACAAAAGAAATTGATCTAGCCAGTCCTCACCTGGTCAACGAATATCATGTTGTGTGTCTGATCCCACCCAAATTCGTTTGCATCCAGAGTGAGATCTTCGTTGATTCTGAATGGCCCGTTCTCTGTGCACCAAGAGACAACGGATGACCAAAAGATGGCACGGCATGAGGAGCATAAGTTGCAGAAAGTGAGAACCAGTTGACACAAAGACTGTGAAGAGCAGTGGGATATTGCCTCCGTACCATAGAAGATTGCCAGCTCAGAAGAGCAGCCAGGACCCCCTATGCAGCATACACTTGTTAAGCTTTCTTCACGCTTGCAGGACACCATGAAGGGTATGCATGAACAGAGAAAATACCCAGCTACACGATTGCCAGGAGAGACATGATCACACAGGGAACATATAAAAGGGTGAGTTCGGGGGCAATTGCCTGTCATCCAGACAGCAAGAGGCTCCTCGTGTCTCTTTTCAGATGCGGCCTCAAAGAAGAAGTAAAACATGTGGGCATCGTATGTGCGGTTCAACTGCGGTGACAAAGAAAAGTACAGAAATTATGGAACATTAACCTCAACAGGTGAGCAAACGATAGCCAACTACTTCACCATCATGATGTGTCGACAACTAAAAACTCCCATTAGGCAATTTTCAGCCTGAGTACTATGTCAGAGCGCCAAATGAAGGTAACGGTTATTCATTCACTTCCCTTTTCTTCCTCCTTTGCTCGATCGCGCCAACAGGCAGGGAGTCATGTGTATTGTGTACTGAAAGGGATGAGAGCTTGTTCGTCACCTTGAAATACCCTGACAATCGCAGAGGCTTTCCCAGACCAGATTCCAGGTGCTTATTGTCAGCAGCGAGATGAACATCAATTTCCTTTTCCACCAATCGTGAACTACTCGCACCAATGGCCGCAATAGTGGTGATCTGGAGGACTATCAAGCCCAGAGGCACTAACAGGAGCCCACGCATCATCGATCTGCTTCTCAACATGTTGTGGACACTATTAGGATAGCAATGTGGGTTGATCGAAGCCAAGAAATCGACAATTCCTCTTGTGTGTTGGCATGTGATATGCACGTGACAACATGCTCCCGGAAGTTTCGAAATCAAAATTGGATCAGGGTCTGCTCAAGCAGCAGAACAGCCTTTCGTGGGTTTCATAGCCATGATCATGTGGTGGTAATGGTGCTGCAGGTCGAGATCTTTGTCGAGGAAACTGACATGCGAGCTTGACCTGATCTGATCTGACACTGGCCATGCCCAGTACTGTTATTATTTTTGTGAAATATCCAACGCCAGGTACAGTGAAAACTCGTCTCGCAAAGACCTCGGGAGATGCAGCAGCCACAGAGTTTTATCGCACCTGTGCTGAGCACGTTGTGCAGATTGCCAGCAGGTAGCCTAGAAATGCTCAGGCACATTGCTCTGCTGTGACTCGCATCCACTTTTGTCAAACAATAAACATATGCTTGACAGGACTCCCAATGCTGGATGCATCGTTGCATGCCCACCAGTCAACGATGGGTCTACCAGGGACTGTGGAGTCAATGGAGTCCAGAAATGGTTGAATCCGATAGCAGCGGTAAGGCTGGCAAAAGACGCTTCACAGCATTGCTACATTGGACTGTTTTTGCCAGCATTGGGAGCTTCATGTCTTGCAGGAAGCAACCGAATTCGCAGAGCAAGCACAGGACAAAGATCTGGGCGTGCGCATGTACCAGGCCCTGCATGGAGCACTCCAAGCAGGGTCCAGTAAGGTCTGCTGCAACGGCATATTCTGCAAACCTTTTCCTGGCACGTTGTAGAGCTCACAAGCTGTGCAGGCAACAAAATCACTGACCCTGCAATTCCTCGCACTGCAGGCCGTCCTCATTGGTTCCGATATCCCCGATATTCGTGAGAGCATTTTGGATGCAGCTTTTGCTGCTCTTGACAATTGTGAGGTAAGGTGACACCCCTCGCCTAGGTTGCTTGGAGACGTGTCTATAAGAGAGGTGCGCTGAATTGCTATGGATCCCACAGGTGGTTTTTGGCCCTGCCATTGATGGCGGATTTTATTTGGTAGGAGCATCACGATTGCACTCAGTAATGTTCCAGGCAAGCATCAGCAGATACCACTGTGCCACAGTGGTGGGTGCATGCTTCTGCACAGTGTTGCATCCTTCTGGAAAAGCTTTTTATAGCTGAGAAGTTTGCACACGTGCAGGGTATTGCCTGGAGCACCTCCAATGTGCTGAGCGAAAGCATCTCTCAGGCTGCATCAGTGGGGCTCAATGTGGCGCCTTGCTCAACTCTACCCGTCTTGCGTGATATAGACACAATTGAGGTCAGATCTTGGCTCCTTGAGGCTTTGAATCGGCGATAGCGGAGTGCCTCACAGGGCTGTGGCCAATTGGCGCTGTGACTGTGGCTGTATTTGGTCTAATGGATTGCAGCCCTGTCACAAGGTAGTGACTTCCTGATTGACAAAGTGATGACCGAATGCTGTGGTGGCCAGGATCTGCAAGAATGGCTAGATGGACTCCATGATCAGACGCATCAAGTGCGGAAAATCAGCGAAAAGATTCTCGCTACCAGGACAGATGTATGACACCAGGCCCATCTGGGAGCATTTATTTATTTATTTTGGCAGCATATGGCTTCTTTGCAAGTCACTGCAGCAGCCACCACCAGACTGGCAAACCACTTTGGGACTGCCGGCCCGGCCGAGATGCCGCCTCAGAATGGCGGCCGGCTGGTGGTGGCACTTTGAATTTGCGGCCACAGCCAGCTGGAGCGGGTACTGCTGGCAGTTTTGCTTGGGCATCTTGTTGTAAGTTTGTGTGTTTTTCCAAATTAATTTAGCATTTTATCCACTCTGACTAGACATGCAATGGTGCACTTGCAGTACTAATTCTGCTGAGGTGGCACATTAGTAAGTGACAAAGCCAATGGTCCAGTCATTGTAATACTTTGCGATATGCAAGTCGTCAGACAGTGGTAGCCTTTGCTTTCTAGGCTGATCAGAGGAAGACACAGTAACCTAGAAACCTTCGCAACCTTCCAGGGTATTCTGGTATCCCCAAGTATGCTGATGCGATTTGCAGACATCGACGTGCAGTGAGATCTCGACACAAGAACGCTGATTGGGAGATTATATCACATCTTATAATTGTCTTGTACCGGGTGAAAGCAAGACCTTGGTACCTCTTCTGTCTGGAGCCTTTTGATGGATGTTCAATTAGCATGGAAGAAATATTGGTGTGTATGTATATGGGCACGTCACTTGACTCCATGATTAAGTGACGTAGCAGGCGATCAGAATAATTTGGCTCTCCCGATACCTTGATCGCCTACATCCAAAGCATGCAGGGTAAACAGTACTTGCAGATGTTGGACGACAAGTTGGCAGCGAGCGGAAAAGCTCGGCATAGTGCCTCTAAATATGATTTCGTGAAGGTAGATCCCCACCGTAATGACTTGGAATCTTGTTTGGTTTGACTCCTAGTACACAAGAATCATTATGATCCCCAATTTGGTCCCAGTTGGGTGCTCAGTTATGAATCTTTCTTGATAGTAGAGATACCCAAGATGTGTCCTGGCAACTTGGCAGGTGAAGGTCTGGGTGGGAGAAAACCTTGCACACTATTATGTACTATCACGCTTCCTCATCAGTCGCATGCTGACAGTTACAAAGATACCTCAGATGAAGGTGTGAAATCTGCCCATGCATCAAGATGTCTGCTGACTGGATGCTGTTCTCTGCACTGTGAACGGCCTGGGAGGTTTTTGGTGTTTGCAGGCTGTCAAAATCGCGTTGGAGGTGAAGAAGCACTTGGTGGATAATGACTTCATGGACATCTCTCAGGTGTGAGCTCCTTCAGTGTTGGGCGCACCTGGAAGGGCAGACAACAAGTTTTGTTACCCCGATGATTTTCAGTGTTTGCTGGACATGTATGTCAAGACCACATGCCATGATTAATCAGTTAATGAGCATATGTGAGCCGCCCGGAAGCATGGCTAAGTTGCCGAGAGCGCAGGATCACTTTGAGGCCATCTTGTTCAATGTGATGCGTGCGCGCGGCTTTGGGGATGACTATGTGGAGCGCTACAAGATGGTGACCAAGTTCTTCCAGCAGCGACGCCCGCTCATTGTCCTCATCTGCGGCGTGCCATGCACAGGCATGCAATTACTAATCTCACAGCTGCACCTTGATCATGTGTATTTGAGAGGCCCCAAGTCATGTGGTGTTGCCTGTTATTGTTCAGTAGAAAAAGCTGGTTGTAAAAGTGAGTGTGTCATTTCCAGGCAAGTCGACTTTGGCGCAGCAGCTGGCTTCCAGGCTCAACATGCCAAACGTGCTGCAGACTGATGCCATCTATGAGGTATGCTGTCCAATGGCAACAATTATGAGTGTCATTGCCTAGCAAGCCTGACATTCCCTTTTGATGAGGGGAAATGCCTGGAGTGACGGTGGATCTCAATTTGCACCTTGGTGAAGGGGCATCTTGTGTGCGCAGCTGATGAGGATGTCTGAGGATGGGCCCCTGCAGCCGACGCCTCTGTGGGACAGGGACGACCTGAGCCCTGGGGGTCTGGTTCGTGAGTTTCTGCGTGAGTGCCGCATCGTGCGCAAGGGTCTTGATGGCAGCCTCTTCAAGGTGAGGCCCTCGTGCTGTCGCTTGGGGTTGTTTTGGTTTGCCCTAATCTGGTGTTCTTGAGGCAAAATGAGCACCAGATGCAAGTGCTTGGCTGGCGTGTCTGCAGTGCATCAGCGATGGCAAGTCCATCATCATGGAGGGCATGCATCTGGACCCCAGCCTGTACCTGTACGAGTTTGCGCGATTCGGCCAGGCGCACCTGAAAAGCGGTTCTCTGTATAACAGTGACAGCAATTCGGCGGGTGCCCAGCGGCCAGACCCTGCCTCCATACCTCTGGAGGAGGGCAGCAGCCCCAGCAATGCAGCCACAGAAGCAGATGATGGTGATTTGCTGAGGTATTCATCCTCCCCATCCATCGTAAAACGAACAATAATGCCTCCTTTTCTTCAATGAAATCTCCAAGGGCAACTTGCCCAATATGGGACTGTGTGCACTGAATCTAGCAGAATGTGCTGCTCTAGCAGATTTGCTGCATTGCATGTCAAGCATTTGCAGGATGTGACTGTGGATCCTGCTGTGTGTTCAGGGTGTCAACACGCGCGGTCTCGGCGGACGAGCAGCTGATGTCACAGCGCGGCGGGCGGCGTGTCCGGCTGCCGGCCCGGCGCTCAGCCTCATTCATGCTGTCGCCGAGCCTTGCTGCCGGGCGCATGAGCCCCGTGCTGGCCAATGCGGCCGAGCTGCACTCACACACGCCCATCGCCGGCGGCGGCCTCCTCCGCCATCCAGTGCCCGGCAGTGTGCGACAGCAGCCCATCTCGGCCGCTCACCGGCGGCCGTCTGGCGATGAGGCGGCTGCCTCGCATGCGTTCCTGTCGATGTCCCCCACCATGCAGTGGCTGCAGGTACGCGCCGTCTGGCTCCACATCCCTCTTTCTATTGCAGGCAACTGATACTCTGTGATCAGGGATGTGCAGAGGGTGGTGCAAGGTGTGGTTGACACTTTAAATCAAAGTTCGGCCCCCGACAGGTGGAGTCAAGGACAGGCAGCAGTGACATTGGGCCTCGCGACGGCTCACCAATGGCTCCACAGCAGACGCCCGTGACTGGGCAAAGGGGACTGTCTGCCAGCAAGCCACCTCTGCAGTCCTCGCGCACGTGGGAGCAAATGACTGCGCAGGGCAGGAGTGTGGCCTTTGCAGAGCAGTCAGCATTGGCGTCGGCATCTGAGAACGACAGGGACCAGGAACAGCCGATGAAGACCATAGGCACCACAGGACAGGACTTGCATGCAACCGACGGTGCTAGAAGCGGACAGGGAGCAGCTTCAAGCAGCCAAGAGAGCGTCACCAGCAGAGGCGGGGATGAGCAGGTTCATCCCACCATCAGGAGAGGTGATACGGAATCGAGCAGCGCACAAGGAGATGCACCCGGGTCATCTGGCTCCAGAGAGGCGGCAGTAAGCGGACAGCCACCAGAGGATGAGGCTGTGGAGAATCCACAGGAGCACCAGGGAGAGGTCAGATCGAGCCCAGGCAGACGCTCTGATGAGCAGCTTGCAGAGGAGGAGCTGAAGCCCGGGCCGGTGTTTGTGCCCATCGTGCTGTGCATGGACGACGTCGACCACGAATTGCTGGTCCGAGAGTGGCACGCCTGCCATGCGGTAAGCCGGCCGGCGCATGCCTCAGTCTGCTGCTGCGTCATAGCATGGCACCATTGATGTGTGGTTGTGGCATTGCTCCTTGCTGTGGTACATCCGGCGCCACATTGCCATCACAGCAAGGTTTAGCCAGGTCTGTTGCAAGTGCATTGCTTGCCAGTCCTGTTTGACATGCAGCACCACTAGCTGTGTCAGCTGCATGCGTCTCATCGGCTCAGCTGAGGCTCGGCAGTGACATCCTGGCTTGGGTATGCGCAGGGTGCTGCCAGGGATGGTGAGGCGTCAGGTGGGCCGGAAGAGCGCGCCAGAAGCACTTTGGAGCGGCTGAGGGTGTTGCAGAGTCACATGTGCAGCTACGAGCAGCGATGCGTGCCGGTCGTCAAAGTGGAGCTCGCCAACTTCAATGAGACTCTGGACCGCCTCCATGACTACCTGCTGCTCTGCATACAGATGGCCATGGAACAAGACGAGGCTGACGCGCATCCTTGACTGACGTGGTCTGTGATGAAATTACCAAGTCTCGAGGTGACCACGGTGTTCTCGTCAGTGCACTAGCAAACTGGGGCAAGCAATACCAATTGGTGCCATGTAAGATCCATGGAAGTTTGTTTTTTCAAATCATGTGTACGATAGGGCCCTTTTGAAGTGGTAATTGTCGCACTGAGAACTACCATTGGCAAAATGGCCCTACCGGGTACTTGCAAGAGCGATTCAAGCGCACCGGGAGCCTCCTGCTGAGCTGATCTCTGGGGGCACCTATATGGCCAACCTTGAGTGGTGGGGGCATGTTGAGCTAGCCACCGTGATGCAACCATCAATGATCGCTTAGCTTGGGTGCCATGACTTTAATTCATGCACCTATGTAGCCCTTGGGTGCTCCTCGTCGCGACGATCGTGCTGGCTGGAACTTAGCGCAGTAAGTGTTTGACGATCATGCATGTCGTGCTAAATCCTCGCATGCCTCAGACACATGGTTGGCCTCAATGTCAAGGGATTGTAGCTCCAAATTGTGAGTGAAAGCCTACGCATTGCCCAAGTTTTGTGATTGCATTGGGCCCCGGGGCCTTGACCTGCCAAATTTGAATCCCTCGGTTTGCAGAATGCTCAGGGTCATGGAAGCCTGCACAAAGTTGCCCGCAGTCTTGCACTTCTTCCCACACATGAGCGAAATACTGATCCGTTGCTGAGCATTGACATGCACTGTGCTCTCTATCTGAATCACAAAGACAGATGCAGGCTTTTCTTCCAAAATGTGAATTGCTGCACTTCATTCCAGGATGCCCCACGCATAGAATCAGAGGCGGTGCAGCAAATAGCAGAAGCGGATTCAGAAGCCTCCATGGCAATGGGGCAAAGCAGGTCCCACCTGTCTGTGTAGCTCAAAGCCAGAAAAGGAACAGAGATGAACGAAGTACAGGTGTGCCCATAAAGCTCTGGTAGAATTACATCAGCGTAGAATTCATTAACGAAAATGTTTTCGTCGAAAGAGCTTTTTAGGTTCTATATCCAATCATGCATTTTGTCGACATAAAAAGGAGTACCAATGATGTTTGCTAAATGTTGTTTGTAAGGTAACTTGACCCCTCCCATTCGCGACCTGGAGAGGCCATCGAGGACTGTAGGCTTACAGCATGGCCAATCAACGCTTACAGGTAATTACCTGTTTTCTGGTCTCTGAAATGGCTTTCCTTGTCTGGTCCTTGCAGCACGGACCAACGAGCTGAGCACCTTTGCAGAGCTAGACCTAGATCGGCAAGAGGCTGGCTTGTTTGCGGAATCGCGTGGAGGGCAGTCTTTGGCGCTAGCACGCGAGCCAGATGTGGTAGCTGCCTCAGACTATCGAAGGCCTCCAGCAGCCTGTGTCGGTGCTGCTCTGTCCAGACATCAGATTGTCGGGGTGTCACCATCAGGCATCATTGAAATAGACGGGGGCTGGAGTGATGCATGCCTACCCTGATAACATACCTGTGTCCAGCATCCATGTTCTAGAATTCTGCCTGGTCAGGCACTGATGTGCGGTGGTCAAACTCGCGGCCGGTCTTATCGCTGCCCTACTGCTACACTGACGGTGTCAACTTCTGATTGCAGGTGGCGTGAAGAATGCAACCCACAGATATGACCTGCCTCCACCTCCACTGGCTGTGCGCAACCTGGTGCGAGCCTCTCTCACTGCAAAGGGAGCTTGCTGTCCATGCGTGATGAAAGTGATCCCTGTGCACTGTTATTTCCCTCCTGCTGCAGCATACGATCAGTAAGCAGGGGGAATTCCGCTGATGTGGCGGCGATGTGGCCACAGGTGCAGCAGGCGCAGTTTGCGCACCTGTGCACGGTGATGTCGGGGATGCACCACCGGCGGGCGGGGTACCCCTTTGGCACGCTGGTGGACTTTGCGGCGGACGAGGCGGGCTACCCCATATTCTGCCTGTCCCCGCTGGCGATCCACACGCGCAACATCATGGAGGACCCGCGCTGCAGCCTGGTTGTGCAGATGCCTGGCTGGACCGGCCTGGCCAACGCGCGCGTCACCATCTTCGGCGACGTCTACCAGCTGCCCCAGCACCTGCAGGAGCCTGCCCGCGATATTTTCCTCCACAAGCAGGTGCCCGCCCCTGCCCAGAGCCCCCTTGCCCAGCAAGCAGAGGACCTTGCTGCTCTGTTTCTGCACGTGGCTGGAAATCCCCTCACGTGGGACATACCACTGTCTAAAAACCAGACTTTCAGGGATTCCAGACTTGCTGAAAATCTCTACGGGCAAGGTTTTGGCATCCTCGCCAGCTTGAGCAGGCGTGAATTTTTTGCAACCACCAGACTCTGCTGATGCCACAGGCAAAGTTTCTCACTTTAGATCCTTGTGCCTTCTGCAGGCGACAGAAAAGAAGAACAGATGGGTGAGCGGCAACTTCATGTTCTTCCGGATGCACAGCATATCGGACATCTACTTTGTGGGCGGCTTTGGCACAGTGCAGTGGGTGGATGTGGGCGAGTATGTGGCAGCCAAGCCCGACGAGATAGTGACATCAGACCCCCACCACACACTGCAGGTGAGACCTTCAACATCAGGCAATGCTTGCAGAAACGAGCCCAAAAGGATAGTTTTGTAGCAAAGTCTTCTCGAGGTGTGCAAGGATTCTTCGAAGTGTAACAGCATGTGATTGCTGGTGGGGGCTGCAGGTCCTGAACGAGACCCACTCTGAGGGGCTGAGGCAAGCCCTGTCGCGGCCTGGCAGCGCTGTGGACGATGCGGCCTTCATTTCCATAGACAGGCTGGGAGCAGATGTGCGCGTCCGGCGAGCCACTGACTACATCGTGGAGCGGCTGACATTCCCCACAGTGAGATCCGCATCAGCACCTCCAGAATATTGCAGTGCATGGTATTTTGCATGACAGCAGGAGGAGAGCGTCTATGTGAGCATCAATTTCGTGCATGGCTTCGGCGCGTGGCATGTAGCTGCTTTGCAGATGTTGCTGATTTATGTTGCCTGCTGTGCCAAACATCTCCTGTCATATAGCGTGGGACTGACCCATGTGTGATGTGTCTGCAGCATGTTCACACGCTGGAGGATGCGTTGATGGCAATGCAGCATCTTTTAGATGGGCATTCACTATCGCAGAGGGTGTAATAGGGCCTAGCTTATTCAACTTTGATCACATGCATCATATGGCACGTGCCGTGTGCACAGTGGCTTGTAAATTGCCGCACCGGTGCTGCCAGCACAGTGTGCGGTGACTGTGATTCGGGCAGTGCATAGAGCGGCGAGCACATCCAGTGTCTGGCCAGACTGCAAGATGTAGAAACTAAACAGTTAAAAAGAGCTGTCTTGTAGTTTTCACAGTGTTTTTGAAGATACTTGTTTAGGAAGTATAGCAACAATAATGCCATGACGTAACATTAATTTTTTCATGAGTACAGTGCTCATCAATTTTGTCATTGATGTAATATTGTGATTGCTGATCGAGTCAAATTATCACCACATGATGATTTTAGGAGACCAACCTTGGTAGAGTATCTCAATTTAGTTCACGCTCATCTTGTATCAACATTCTGCATACTCTTTGTGATTTTCCCTTGTTGACGCAAGGCAGTATCTTCTCAACCCAAACACTATTCGACATCCGAGGAGTCCTCTTGACTTGCAAAACTTTGAAGCTATGAGAATTACTGCATGACAAATGTTCACACATGCCATGCACGGCTCTGATTGCCTCGTTGGCAACGCCTCCAACTTGGCATGTCCTCACACTTCCTCTCTCTTGAGACTAGACCAACACACAAGGGACCATGGATGAAAAGCAGACCCCAACTCAATCCTTCTGCAGAGCACCGATCAGAGATGCCCCTCCCCATGCCGCAGATCCGCCGGCAACGCAGAGTAGGGCACCTGCCACCTGGGCGGCAATGAGGCCGCTGGAAGTGTCGGGCACAAAGTACACCAAAGCTGGACCGAGGATGAAGAGAGCAAGTGCAAGTGTCGTCAAAGCTCCTGGCGTGTTGCTGCAGACAGCACAGCGCACGATCCCTTAGCATATGTGATGATGTACAGCTGTCAAAATGAAGCGCAATAAAGAGATCTGCAAACCCCTTCTTACCGATCCGCAGCAGCTGAAAGGAGCCCCAGAGCCTCTGCCTTTGACAGGAGACCCGACCTCTCAATGAAGGTCAGCGTCAGGCCGTTCTTCTCTGCCAGTGACAGCAGACCTGCCTGCTCTGCCTTTGATAGAAGCCTCAGCTGCTCCACCCTGCATGTAGAACAGCACTGCTCTGCTTTTGGTTGCAGACAATAGGGGCATTTCAACAACAGAATGTAGTTGCGATGTGAAAGCAGAACAATTGGTAAGAGCTGACAGACAAGCAGGAGGCAGCACCTGGACAGGAGGGCTGGCGCTGCCCGCGGTACGGCACTCTGCCTGGGACGGAAGCCCTTTCCTTTCTCGCCAAACATGTCAATAGACGTGAGCTGCGAAGCAACAGAGCACGTCAAGCAGGTCCCTGCAACTCATGAGTGCTGCCACACATCATGCATCTAGTACCAGACATACACAGCAAACTGACGAGGTGTTGCTGGGGTGGTGTGACTTTCACCTTCTTGACTTGTGTCCCAACCCCAGGTGCCTTGATAGGCTGTGTGCCAGTCTTCTTCTTAAGACCACCGATCTTTTGAGTTCCCGTGTTTGGCCGAGCCTTGAGGCGCTGCGTGACAACTGCAGCTTGTACCTGCACCGCTGATCGGGTCGATGTGGCAGCTGTGCTCTTCATCTGCAGATCTTGTCCGGTGAACTCGCTTCTGAATGGAGTTTTACGCAGAATGCTCGCCTACATCAGGGCACAAAGTCCTTAAACACCATAGGAAATCCCGGAATCAGACAAGTACTCCTTCTGCGTCATGATAGGGGTGAAAAGGTTTGATGGTCTCGATTCTCGTTCGCATGGGCAAGGTTGGCCCACCTGCCCAGTCAAAGATTGCATCGTATCGATGCCGTACTGCTGTTCCCACCAAATATCCTCTCACTCCTGTGTCGTCTCGGCACGGTCGATGAACACTGGCGCGCCAGAGTGCGAGATGGAGAGGCGATCTTATCCTTACTCACCGGTGAGGTACCACTACTGAGGCTGACCTGGCAGATGAGCTTCTGAGCTTTCTGAGAGATCCAGTGAGCAGAAATTCAGTCTGAAAACGCAAGCCAATATATTGGTAACAATGGAAGTCGGAAAATATTGCATGCGCGGGGCAACAGCATGTGTGCAGACAAAGTGCACAATTGTACCGCGATATGCAGCCAATACTGCTTACAGGCCCTTTACCGAAGCATGCTGTTGTCACAGAGTAGTAGGCATATCGAGAAGGATGCCATCGGCCCTGAACTGCACAGGACTCAGGCTTGCCTCCCCCGCAGGTGACCTGTCTGGCAATGTCAGCTCAGCTTGGGACAACAACATCATGTTCCAGTTTGTGGGTTAATCACCATCGCAATTATGTTTGATCAAGCATTCACGCTTGTGCAGGTTCAGGCCTGTGTGGAGCAGTCAGGCCCAGGACAGGTGTCCACAAAGCAGGGCGTAGAAAGGTGTGGTCACTCCTGTAAGGCAGGATCTTGATACTATCTCTATTTCTTTTACTAAGCCTAGTATCTGCTGTGCTGTCAAGGTGACAACTACTGCTTTCCTTGGAGTGGGGGCACCAGAGGCAGTGCTGGTTGGTGTGGTGGCCCTCATTGTGTTTGGACCCAAAGGACTCGCTGAGGTGCGCAATAATATCTTTCATGTGCTCTTCTTGAACATTATAATCTCTTGATTATGGCTCTCGACTATGGATGGCATGTGATAAGGAATGTTTCTAATGGGATCTGAGTGCGGGTGCTGCGCAGGCTGTGAAGGGTTTGGGGAAGACGCTGAAGGCGTTTCAGCCGACGATCAGGGAGATCGTGAGCGTTTCGACCGATCTGAAGTCGTCTCTTGAAGAGCAGATTGGGCTGGACAACATCCGCTCAGAGCTCAGGAACAGCGTCACACCAGAGCCTAGGCCCCTTCCTCCAAAGCAGGCATGCCGCCCTCCCCTGCTCTCCTTAGCCTCATGCCGATGGTCCTTACATCCAGGATTGATCTCTGGGCTTCTGCCTGCCACGGATGTCCAATGGCCAATGGCGTGAGCAGGAGGAAAAGGGCGATGAGGAGCCCGCTTCGAGCACCACTGCTGGGGAGCTGGCAGCAGAGATGGATGCTGACTTGGAGCGCAAGCGCGCGACGGCGGCGGCCGCGGCGTGGGGCGGCCAGCCGCCGGTGCAGCCGGTGGCCAAGGAGGAGACGTCCCAATATGACGGCGGCCAGGCGGCTGACAAGGCGGCCAGCCCTGCACCGGCACTGAACAACCTGTCAATAATTGAGCTGGAGGCTGAGCTGGCGCGGCGGAAGGCCGCAGAGAAACCCGCAGAAACCCAGTAGGCACCGGCATGTGCTGCGGGTCGATATACATGACGATGCTGCTGGGCAGACAATGTTTGCAGAGACCTGACAGAGATCTTTTGATTGCTCATCTTTGAGAGAAGATGTTTCCAACTTAGCAGAATGTGTTAGCAGAATTCTTTGAAGCTACTCTTTCCAAGTGCGTGCACCTCCCTCTTTACTGTGCCGCCAGCCCAGGAATGCATTGATCATGATGGCAAGCAAAAGTTCATTCGCCATTGCGCTTGTTCTTGTCATCATGATGGTTTACAAATGACACATCCAGTGAGGCGCGGCAGTGATGCCGCATCAAGTTGCTGCAAGTTGCTAGCAAAGTTGATACCGGTATTCAATCACCATGTCTGGTTGAGAAGCTAATAACTAGGCAAAGTCAGCATGCATGGAGGAACACTGTTCGAATAAATGTTCGAGGTGCCAAAAATCCTTGGGAAGGTTCAAGAACCTACGGGTGAGGTGAGTCACCTCCAGGTGCACCGTTTTCAGCGGGAATGCCATCTGATCTTTGTGGAATATCACCAACCTTCTCACATCGTCATCATCATGGTTTGCAAATTATCCTCGTAGCAGGAGTATCACACGGTGCATGGTGCCCTGACTCTTGCATGGGCTGTCGAAACGAAGAAATCTGCCCGCTCAACGCTCTCCAACTGTGTGATGTGTGGCGTCATTCGTTCATAGTATTTCTTAAACGTCCCATCGTCATAAACAAATGGATTTCAGGTGCCCAGATGAATTCGCAATGAGTTTTTTACCAGGATTTGATTTTCATCTTGTTCTCTAACATCCTTTCTGGCTGTGCTGCAGTGAGGCGTACAGGTACTCGGGATGTCTTCCAACCTACAGCCCAGATGGGAGGTATCTTGCAACAGCAGAGGACTACAAGCTCGTAGTGAGAGATGTAGACACCCTGCAGGTCGTGCAGTTATATTCCTGCCTGGACAGAATAAAGCATCTGGAATGGTGCTGCCGGTCAGAGTACGTTCTCTGTGGGCTCACTCAGCGTCCCATAGTGCAGGTGGGGGCCCATCGCTGACTGCAAGCACGTGTGCCTCAATGACCCTCTACGAGGGTGTCACCAGCCCACACCACCAGACTACAGGCCTGCAATCTTCTTCCATGCTTGTACCGGCACCCATCCTTGACAAGGTGCCTAATGATTGAGGGCTGGGCAACAGGTGTGGAGCGTGAAGGATCCGGAGTGGACATGCAAGATTGATGAGGGGCCTGCGGGGGTGAATGCGCCGCGCTGGAGCCCTGACGGTCAGAACATAATCCTGGTGGCCGACTTCCAGATTCGCATGACCATCTGGTCGCTTGTCAACCGCACCTGCTTGCACATCAATGGCCCCAAGTTCTCTGACAGGGGCTTTGCATTCAGCCCAGATGGGTCCTTGATGGCGCTGCTGGAGGTACGCCACTTGCTCCGCACGTTCTCAAGTAGACAGCACGTATCACTGCACTGTCGCCCAGAAACAGGGTGGCATGGCGGCCGCTGTGCAGCGACATCAAAGGCTGGAGAAACTGTGGAGAACTCACCAAGTGTGCTGCGGGCGCAGAGGCACGACTGCAAGGACTTCATGAGCCTGTTTGCAGCCAAGGGCTGGCAACCGCTGGCGCACGTGGCGCTGCCGACGCAGGACGCGGCGGGGCTGGCATTCTCCCCGGACGGCACCTGCTTTGCGGTGTGGGACAGCGCGCTGGAGTTCCAGGTGCTCGTGTACGGCCTGGATGGCAGCTGCCTCGCCAGCCACCGCGCGCACACCGACGGCCTCGGCATCAAATCCGTCGCCTGGTCCACCACCGGCCAGCTCCTGGCTGTCGGCAGCTACGAGCAGGTGCGCCGCTCTTTTACCTGGCGCCTGCCTGGACTTTTGCCATGGCTGGGAGGACAATAGCGCAGGGAAATAGAGGGGACTCGTCACCGACTTTGTGCCAATTCTGGCACAGCTTGCACTTTCAGGCCGGGAAGTTTGCCAATAGTCTGTGGCTCCAGTTGGGCTCCTATGTAAGGATATTTGCAGCTGCCAGCACGGCAACAAAATCAGCATCATGATGCAGGCACGCTTTCTATAAACCGAACCAGTTCAACATTGTTTAGGAGTATTAGAATCTGACCGGGTTCGATCGCTGGCGCAGGAGGTGCGGTTGCTGGACAATGAGACGTGGGAGCCGTGCGCGCAGCTGGCGCACTGCGAAGTGGTGCCCGACAGCGAGCAGCTGGTGGTGTACGAGGAGGTGGAAGACCCGCCTCCGCGCACAGCCCCCCCAGCCCCCCAGCAGCCACAGCCGCGACTCACCGCAGCAGCTCGCCCCAGGCCAGGTGCCCTCTTCTTCCCCGACCCCATGAGTGTGCCGCCCACTTCACCCGAAAGAATGGTGAAGAGGTGTGAAAAGGCATCTAAGTGATGTTACTAGCAGATGAAATCATTGTCCATTCAGGCTCTGCTGCTGGCAGAGCCCTGTATGCCTTGCTGAGAGCACCCCTTGGGGCACAGAGAATTATAGCAATAGTACCTGAGCATTACTGCAATATTAGCAATTTTTGACCACAACAGGTCATGTTGCCATGTTTTGTACATGTGATGTGATGTCAATCCAGGTGGGTGCGTGTCCCCGGGCAAGGCAGTGCAGGGGAAGAGGGTGTCAATTATGGCGAGCGCGAGATCGCAGCAAGCAGACGCAGCCCCTGCTGTGGAGGCCCCCCGGCCGGACACCAAATCCCACTACATTGTGCAGACGCTGCATGCGCGCCTGCGCAGTGTCAAGCCGCCGATCGATAAGCCCAACCCCAAAATTGGCATCGGTACAGTCCTCTACAACTTGTTCTTAGGCAGTCCTGCGACCTCGGCATACTTCAGCTGAATCAATGGGGCAATGTCTGCTTGAATAGAAAGTTATAGAGCCTATGTCATGTCTTCCTGGTCATTCAGTCAGACTCGCTTTGCCACAGCATGTTCCAATATTGAGTGAGATGCTTGGAGGTATCTTGAAAGCCAAATCCATTGAGCATTGAAGGAGACCGCTCGCACGCACAGGCCGCATGGAGTGGAGCGCGGACGGCAAGTATCTGGCAACGCGCAACGACAACATGGCGGGCGCGGTGTGGGTGTGGGACGCAAGCCGCCTGGACCTGGTCGCAGTTCTGCAGCAGGCCTGCGCAGTGCGAGATTTGGCATGGAACCCACACAGCAGCCAGCTTGCCATCGTGAGCGCCACCTCGCGCATCTTCCTCTGGTCCCCGGCTGGAGCATCATGCATGCACATCCCGCACCGCACCTTTGCAGCGCTGGATGTCCGGTGGAACAAGGACGGCACCTCCCTGCTCGTTGCTGACAGGGACAGGTTCTGCTGCGCGTATGCCAGCACCTGACCTGGCAGTACCAGTTGAGGTCGTGCTCGGTGTCCAGTGCAGGGTATTGTACCAATAAGGATGTCAAGCTTGTTCTTCGGTCAATTCTGGTTATACTTGTCCGAACAAAAACGAATTGAAAGGTTTTCCGTCAAAGCTGTTACAGATGTCTTGGATCTGACAAGAAATGCAGAGCGTCACGTCCTGCATGCTTTGCTAATTAAAGTTAGATGGGACAGCAATTAATGCAACATGTCAATTGTTTGCTCACAGATCAGAGGATTATGGTACAAGAGTCAGAATGTTGCTTCCCTCCAAAAGCTGAGAGTGCCGGCTTAGTGCAGTATGCTCGCATACTGTCAGTGTAAACCTCGCTCATTGCACTCGGCTCACAACATGCACACAGGCATGCACACACCAGTGATACTCGTGCGCTGACAAGCAGCCCCTCCGGCATTCATCCAGGCGCTGCTGCTCAGTCGTCGTCTGCGGTGGTCAGCAGCTTGGCCATGGGGTCATCTGCGCGCGCCCTGGTCATCCTGTATGCCTCCATCTCCTCTGCAGTCACCTCCTCGCCGCCCGCCAGCGAGTTGTACTTGCGTTTCCTCTCATCCTTCTCCACTGCTGCAGCCTGAGCTGCACGCTCCCTCTTCAGCGCCGCCTTCAGCTTCTCCTCATCCAGTGTCACATCCCCCACATCCGTTCCCCACACGTCGCTCTTGCTGGCAGGCGCCTGCAGCACAGACACTTTTGTCACTCCCATTGCAGCCACTGCCAGCACACTTCATATTGCTATTGTTACAAGCTTTCCCTGCCAAAAGGCAAGGTGCGTCTGCAGACAAGCTGCAATTATAGGCTGCCACAATCCTGCCCCTTGTTGGACTCGCCAAATCCAAGCAAGACCCACTCAACTGTGGGCATGGTGCTCGGTATTTAAACCGGCCCCCCCAGCCAAGGCCCACTACTATACAAGATACCATGTGTATGATATTGATATTGATATTTGTACACTGCAGCCTGCACATTTTGGATGGGGGGGCCGTACCGCTGCAGAAGAGCGAGCGGCGGCCGCGTTGTCGGCGGCGCGGCTGATGAGGTTGGCCTCCATCTGCGCGACAGCCTCTGCGGCCGCATCGTGGCCTGCCGCGCCCGTGCAGTAGCTGTTCTTCACGCACTGATGACAGCAGGCATAGCCCCACTGCCCGCTCGACCACCAGCTTCCCCACACCTGTGCACATCCAACCCCAGGTCACCAATCCGCACAAGAGCCTGCATTCCGGCCACATAGTATTGGCAGTTCCAGGGCACCCAAGACTGATTGCATTCCACCCTCCCCACACACGCCCTGCTGGCATATGTCAAGAGCAAGATCAAGTCTGCGGGCGCACCGATGTGTGATTGTTGATGAGTTCGTCCTCCACGTAGCGCGAGCGCCTGATGCCAGCCTCCCCCTTGATCACCCGCCCCTGCCACATCAGCCCCATGTCAGCCCCTGCAACCATAACCAAGAGCATGCAGTGCAAAAAAATAGGACACTAGGCATGTTTGCTGATGGCTCTATTGCAGGAGACAATCACCTGTGCATTGTACTCGACGTAGTTCTCGCTCTGCGCGAGCGCGAGCACTTCGTCGTCGGGCTGCTTGGCGGCGCTGCCGTACTTGGCCATGACCTGCTCCTTGCTCTTCCCCTGCAGCACCTCCTTCTTCGCCTTGAACTGCTGGAACAGCGCCTCCGCCTGCCAAGCACCACCCACACCCAGGCCAGTAACTCGCCGTCCCAGACATTGCTGCTGACTATTGTCCTTGCAGCATGCACCACGCAATCCAGACACCTTGACAGCTCCTCCACCAGGCCAAACAACACTATGAGAGAGACACAGGGAGGCTCCCCGCGAGTCAGGCCCAACACCTCAAGCCCTGGCCATGAGGAGGAACGCTATACTGTGAAGCTACGGGGAAGCTGCCGACGAGGAGGCAGTGAGGAAATGGGGGTGAGGTGTGAGAGGGGCGCACCTGGCTGGGGGCGGCCTGCATGTGGATGTCCTGGCCCTTGTCGTGCGCGGAGAAGGAATGCACGGCCAGGGCCTCCATGTCGTAGTAGTCACCAGAGCGGCGCACAAAGTTGTCGCCCTGGAAGGCCTTCTGGGAGGCGTCCTTGAAGGGCAGCGGGTCCTCGCGCATGGAGCGCGACTTGGGGTCGTAGTGCGCGCTGTTGGCGTCCAGGTTCAACAAGTACTTGGCCGTGTCCTCGCGGATGCGCAGGTTGCGCACCGACCCCGACGCGCCGCCCGCTGTTGTCCGCACCCGCTTCTCCACCTTGCCAAACCCTGCGCATGCACTTATGAGCTCAGGACTTTGACTATATCTCTGACAATAATCCGCAGGTCTTCAGAGAAACATTACTTGTCAGCTTCAGTGCATACCTCGACATGAGACTCTTTCATCCACATGAGTGCCGGTGCATGCATGAATACTGCATGTAACATGCACGCATTGCAAAAAAAAAATGGTAAATTGCAGTAATTTATTAGAGACAGAGGATATGGGCGTGCTGACTCAGGATGCAAAGGCAGCGCACCAGCCTCCTCCTGCTCGGTGATCTTGTCCTCGTCCTCGCGGTCGTCATCCTCCTCCTCCTCACTGCTGCTGCCGGCCGCCTCGCCGTTGCCAAACCGCTTCTCCAGCTCTGCCTTCTTGCGCATCGCCCGCTTCGCCTCCTCCACCTTCTCATACCTGAACAGGCCCACCACCCCATGCATTCATCCCCTTGCTCTACCCTCGCCGACCCCCCACAGCCCTTGCTCTACAGGGTGTGAGGGGCGTGCCCTACAGCATCCATTACGATCACCGCCCATAAACCCCCAAATCCACGGCCCCGCGATTGTCAGAGGTACGAGTCCATCTGCAATTCATCCTCAGTCTACACCGATTGACTGAGAGCACATTCTCCCAATCTGGCGATGCTGCAAAATTCCCACAGCCGACAGAGGGCAGCAGTGCTCAAGACTCTACGCAGCGCACCTGTCCATGACGCGGGTGTACTCAGAGGCGTCATAGCCATTCCAGCGGTCGCGGCGCGCCTCGTACGTCTCCAGCGAGATGTCCTCCACCTTCTCGTCCGCCGCGATGTGCTTGCTGGTCCACTTCGCGCCCTTGCTGCGCGGCCGCTCCATGCAGTCCTTGGTCTTGTGCGACATTGCCCCGCAGCTGCAGCACAAGCACAACCACATTAATAGCCCAGTAAAAGGTCTAATGCGAGACCCAGGTTTTTAGTAAGGCCTGGCCAATTGCTCACAGCTGCGTGTGCCGGTGTTCTTCATGTCGAGAGAAAGCAGCATGGCCCGGACAGGACTCACTTTTCGCATGCGCCCTTGCGGAACTTTTTGGCCTGGAAGACCTTGGCACCGCGGTCATAGAATTTGCCGACCTCGTCCTTGGCATGCGTGCGCCAATCCTTCTGATGCTTCAGCGATGGCTGGTCGTTGTTCAAGTACCTGTGGTGACAGCCCGTGCATTATCACCCCACGCCCCAGCTTGCTTGGTGCATAAGCGAAGCACATCACATGGCTATGCATTGGGAGGTTCAGAGAGATTGTCAGGAGGGGAAATACGGAGGACGGTTCGCACCAGGGCGCACTGGACATATACTGGGGAATATGAGGATTGATTTCTTTCCCCTCTTCATCCACAGCTGCCGGCGCGATACCAGCCTTACGCGCCTCCTCAAGCTCCTTCTGGCGACGGTACTCCGCCATGCCTGACATGGTGGCTGTTCAGCCCCTGGTCATAGGCGCAAATAAGCATCAGCTGGATGTGGTGTTGAAGAAAAAGAGAGACTCTCATAGAAGCGCCTTGATTGGGTCTCAGTCACTGCCTGAAGGTAGTACATTGAAGCAGCAGATACAAGCATAGTCTTGAAACTGAGAGACGCCAGATCCTGGAGTTCCAAATCTGCCAAGCAAGCGATCCTAAATACATGGAGGACGATTGCTAAAGCAGTTCAATCACCAAGATTCTGCTTTCAATCCTAACAAATAGCTACTTCGTGTCTATTGCAGGAGACACAAGCACGACGCAGGTTTTGCGAATGTAATAATATGTCACCTGCACGGGTACACCACCACTGTACTGGTTGTCTCCTGCTGGGCAGGCAGACGGCTTGAAGATTCACTTCAAACGTGCACCCTTTCTGGAGCAATGCTATCTTTTCGGACACACACGGTCCTCCTCTTCTTCAAGATATGTCAGGTGAAGATCACGTTGCTACCGCACTCCTTGCGTGCCTTCACAATTGTGTTTGCACGCGTGAGATATATTTTTGGTCACAAAAAAAGCTCAAATCTGTTCCGAGGGAAGCAGCTTCAGGTTCCAGGCTTCAGGTAGGTCAGCCAACTGTGCATTAGGTGATCTTTACGTCATCCTGCCAGCCTTGACCCAACTGCACTGTCAAGACTTCATCTCTCGGATGTTTTCTTTACATGCAAGCCTTGGCCAGAACTCCTTTGATCAATGGAAATTCAGTCAAGCATGACGCTCTGCAGCGCTACAGCTGCCCCGGCCGGGGACAGCGGGCCGGGCCACTGATACACCGTCACGGTGTGACGCTTGGCAAGGGTCACACACCCACTCATTCAGTCTTTTCTTCGAATTGCATTAGTGTCTCCTTGTCAAAAGTTATTATAAGATAACATAATCTTTGTAATCCTCATGCTGGTCAACTGCAGTCACACTATACCTTACTTTTGCGCAAGACCAAGGACTCTTTGACCCCAGTGGGTCGGACCCACTGGGTACTGCAGCATCATGCTGACAGCCATGACCATGCAAATGGTCGTTCCCCAGACAGTGGTGCTGAGGCATGTAAAATACACACTCCAAAGCATCAGGATGACCCAGTTTCTGGACTGAACCACACTGCCATTCCAAAAAGATTTTGCTTTGCTGAACAACCCCATCCTCTCCCAAGCTACTTTGTGGCTGTGCATCCTCTAATCTTTCATCAACTGCTCCTGTCAAGGTCAGTCCATCTAAGTCGAAAACTTCTCAGCATGCTCTCAACTGGGATGCTCTTGTCAAGTTGCCCAACCCATCATCAACATCCCCTAGGTGTGCTATCGGCAATCAGCACGGTGACCCTGCCAAACGATCAGATTGTTGTACATAAGGACTACAGCCAGACAGAACCCCATGGAAAGGATACACTCGAACGCAGAAAAGAGTCGATTAGATTAGATCGGCCTCCTAGTGCGGCATACTTCACCAAGGCAGGGCCCTTCACGCTGAGGGGCATGGCCCGCCATGTCCCGGAGAAACCAGCGTGTGCGACCACTGCACCCGCGCTGCCGCTACCCCTCAATGGCAGCCACAGCTCTGCACACACTCCTCGCTGCCCTGTGAGGCTGAGTGCTTCCCTGGCCAGCTGGGGGCCCCCGTTAGCCAGCGGCGCACGCTGGGCAGCAGCTGCCCTGGCCTCTGGCAGAGGAGAAGCTCAGCCGGGCGCGGAGGGGCGTCTATTGGAAGCTGTTGGAGCGCAGCAGGTTCTGCTGGCGCGATATGTCGGCGGTGGGGGGCCGTGGGTAGCCGTTGCCCTCAACCACGCTCATTTTGCCGACGCCGCTGCCGATGCTCTCAACGGCCGCGCGCGCCCCCTGCCGGTCCCACACCTGCGGCACGTACCGCTGTGCCTCGGTCTGGAAGTCCTTCACGCGCTCCCGCGGCAGGCTCGTAGCCTGCGCACACACAAAGTAAATGTGCTGAGCATCTGCATGTCTTTTGTTGTGCTGTTTGTGTACCAGCATTTGCACACAGCCAATAATAAGAAGAGGCTGGAAACGTATGTGGCTTGCACACACCTGCCCCAGGTTGCCGTTGTGGCCCGGCACGCGGCCGGGCAGGCCGCCCCCCTCCAGGTGCGCAAACTGCCGCTTGAAGTTGTCCACCGCGGAGGGGTACACAAAGTTGGTCTGCTGCTTGTTGCTCAAGTAGTCTGCCAGCATGTGCGGGTGGTACTCCAGGATCTCCCTGTATATCAGATCCCGCACCTGCGCGACGTACACAATATCAGGCCTCTCTCAAACTCACGCTGCTTCCCATGCTGATATCCTGCCCCCCATTGGTCACGCTAGCGCCGGTGGTGCAACGCTGTTGTGTGAGAATGACCACAGACGCGTTCACGGGCGCACCTCGTCGGTGGTCAGCTTGCGCCGCTCGAAGTCGAAGGAGAGTTTGGAGACGGGCTGCGCGGAGGGCTCGCGGCCGGGCTGGCTGAGGCCCGCAAAGTAGGGGTCGGCCAGCGCCTCCTCGCTGCTGGGCCGCTCCGCCGGGTCAAAGGCCAGCATGCGCTTCAGCAGCCGCAGCGCGCCCCGGTCCGCGCGCGGGAAATACTGCTCCAGGTTCACTCCCGGCTTGCGCCGCATGTTCATCAGGAATCGCCGCGCCTTCTCGTTCCTCACCTGCATGCCACCACAGCCTTAGTCAGCCTCACACATCACGCTCTGTCTTGAAACATCTGAACTTCTCTACCAAAATTGCATGGCCTACTGTGTAATACACTGTGGCGCGGATGGCCTTCAGGCTTTCGAACAAATAGGAGGAGCATGTGGTCGAGGCGCCTGCCTTTGCGATGACCTCGGCCGAGGGCGTGCCCAGGAGGTCAGTGATGAGCTCCAGCTGGTGCACCACATTGCGGCCAGGGAACAGCGGCTTGCCCAACAGGATTTCTGCAAATATGCAGCCTATGGACCAGATGTCAATCGCTGTCGAATATTTTGCGAAGAAGGAGCCGCACAGCTCTGGCGCCCGATACCTGTGTGCACAGGACATTCTCAGGACGGTGAGAACTTTTCTGGACTTTCAGGACCTTTGAACGCATTGTTGGATGCCAAGCACGTAGCTTTAGCTGAGACGACCCACCATCTGGTGGCCACATAGTCTGTCCAGAAGATTGTGGTCGGCATGTCATTGAAGGACGGCCGCGCCAGGCCAAAGTCGCAGACTTTCAGCTTGCAGTCCGCGTTTGCCAGGATGTTCTTTGGCTTGAGATCCCTATGGAACACTTTAGCTGCACGTGCACAGCCTCGCTCAGCAAATCTACAACTGCCTAGAGGGTACAACCAGGAAATAGGCAGTGGTGGAACCCACAGCGCCCTACCTGTGTGGATGTACTTCAGTCCTCGAAGCATCTGATACAAGAAAAACTGGTGGTGCTCCGGTGTCAAGTCGTCGTTGGCTTTGATGACCTGTAAGCGTGGAGACATGGATTGGAGAGATCCTTCCGGTCCAGGTGGCCAACAGCAAGTAAATTTCACTCCTAATCACCACAAAACATTGCTTGCGGAGCACGCTAACGTAGAAGCGAGAATTACCTGGTGCAGGTCAGTTTCCATTAGCTCAAAGACAACGTAGATGTCCTTAAACTCTCGAGGGCTGGGTGGCAGCATGATATGCTTGATCTCCACAATATCTGCGGTCATGCAATGTGTTATTCGTATTATCTCCCAGCACAAATTGGCTGCTGCCGAACCCAGATGTCCCAACCCCAACTTCTTCCTGGAAGCTAGCACAGACCTGGGTGCCGCAGAAGGCGCAGCAATTTGATTTCCCGCAGGATGCGAGTGGCATCAGAGACGTGATCAAACACGTTGTGGATCTTCTTGATGGCCACTTTCTCCCCTGTCTTGATATCCACCGCAGAGCACACCACTCCATAACTGCCTTTGCCGATGACCTCCTTTATAGCGTAGCGATTGGCCTCGCCGTACTCCGTAAAGAACTCCTTCGTGTCCATTCTACTGCGAGAAGATTTCTGCAATGCACCAGATAATCAGAACGGGCCTTCCATGCCGCTTCCCCAAAGTTCGCTGTGCCAAGGCAGATACAATGGGAATCCTGCCTTACTGCCACGTTGCTGCCGACCAGCACGTATCGACAGCTGATCGTCACAGGTCTGTCTTCGAGATATGTGCCGAGGATGAGCTACTGGGGGTTTGTGCGCGCTTGCGTGACTGTCATTTTCCTTCTCAGATCGGAACCAATTCGCTGGGTACCAACTTTTCAACTTTTTCATACGGCATCTCCTGCCCTGTGCCTCTCACACCACTATCTCGCCGTTCAACACCAATGAGGAATCCACAGAGTTATAAGCTGGCTATGTTCAATATCTGCCAGTAGTGCCCCTGCCCACCCGAGTCGGCCTCAGGCGCCAAATTTGGCAACGTATCCCCCTTGCATGGTAAAAATTCTCGACATTAAATCGAGAGCGGTGGGCATGGTGGAGAGAGTCCTGCAGGACAAGACGATGCTCACACAAATTTGGTCCATGTGCTGCAGCCCATATGCCCAGCCAGCCTTCGAGGGATGCACAGTTATATAACTAGCCGGTGCCGCAGCGCGGCTACTAGCAGATGCCCATCCGAGCGCTAGGAGATGCCAGCCTGGCATGTCGACATGCACATGCCCCCAAATGCAGTGGCTGCCCGCCAGGGCTGCTAGCAGGTTACAAAGGCCATGGCCAGCTGCGGTGGCAATGCGAACACTACCCAGAATGCCTGCCACAGACTAGGAAATGCTTTCAAAAATCACTACCTTGTTCAACTTGACCTTATTGAATACGGTAATGTCACATTAAGTTGTGACACTACTTGCAAGTTGCAGTCACTGGTCGTTCCTGGCCAGTGACACTCAGCACGACGACCATCATGTGACACAATCATATGACGAATGATCCCGTAACTGTTTGCCGGGCAAACTTTGCCCGGAGCACAATATAGAGCACAACCTATTGTGGCAGCGAACGTGCCAAAGTCTACAGATATTTGGTTACCTGCTCAGCATGCTTTCGGCAGGTGAAAGAGGTGAGTCACCATAACGACTCGTACAAGGTGAACACCTCAGTTCAGCAATTATTAAGTACTGTGTGCACGTCCGCTTGTGCTCCAACTGAGATCGGCAGCTTTGGCCTGTCTGGAGCCTTTGAGAACATTGCGAAGACAACATTCCCAGAAAGCGTGAAAGACTTGATGGTCACCCTGAGCATGCACACTGCTCCATGTCCTAAAAGCAAATCAGGCAAAATTTTCCATACCACGAATGCAGGCAATTTTACTGCCAAACAACTTTTGATAAGGTAAAGCAAACATCTGATCTGCCGTCACACTTAAACAGGACCTCTTCTTTTGAGGTCTACAGCTCCTACAATGTCTGGGAGGCTGAGCCGAGGACTATTGACGGAGGGGTGGAGACCTAAATATTGCCACAGGTACTGGGAATGGCCAGGAGCCACACGTCAGTAGACAGCTTCAAAATCGAAAACCAAGAATCTTATGTGCTTGCTGCTTCACACTGCTAAGCCAATTATCACCCAATAAGAAAAGGCGCCCAGCACTGTCTGATCTGCTGAGCACATTGCAGAGCGCAACATGGACAGACATTGCAAGAAAGCACAGAATAGCACACCGCGGATATGAGCTTACCGCATGAGCTAACAACCGTCTCCTCATTTTTTCAAGGGCAGCCATGCCCACGTAGAGCTTCAATTTTCTCACGCATCAGCCGAACTCGCAACGAGCAAGGCACACCTGATGAGCCAGTTCAAAAGAACGCAAATCATCCTGCGCCGTTGGTGTGGCCTTGTGGGGGCTCCGTCATGGCATCGTGGCTGCGCTTGTACATGGCGGCCGCATTTGCAGCAGCCAGTTGGTAGCCGGGGGGGACCTGCAACAAGGGGCCCTGCGGCTGGGGGGCCACATGCGCGCCCGGGTAGGCGTAGGGGGCATCATAGAACAGGCCGTCCGGGCACCTGTGCACGTTGCCAAACCAGGTGGGCGAGGTGCCGTCAGGGCCCCCCACCTCTGGGAAGGTGAGCGAGGGCTGGCTGTGGAAGCTGTAGGCGCCGGGGGGCGACCCCAGCAAGCCGGGGGTGGGCACCGCCTGGGGCATGGCCGTGAAGGAGTCGCCCGGCTGCTGCGGCTGAGGCGACCCCAGCAGAACATCCTGCCGGGCCCCAATCTGCGCCTGCAGCGAGTCCCTTGCACCCGTTGCAATCCTCACCGTCGCCTGTTCAAAGATTGCAGGATCAGGGCGTCGGCTGACCAACTTGACTTGGTATACGCATGTTTTGGCGCTCTAGTGAAATGAAGCGGAAAAGTAAACTTCTTCGAGCAATGGATAGGCAAGACGGCAGAAGCACAGCTCACTTGCGCCCTCTTCTGCTGCTGCTTTGTGGGACGGTGCAGGAAGTCCTCCAGTGGCACGTTGGCCAGCAGCGTCTCAAGCACTGCCGCTGCAGCTGCCTGTTTCGCTTCCTTCTTACCCCGCCCCTGCTCACAGCCCCTTCAGTCCATATTGTGATGAAAGTACCTTCACCTTCCCCTGAAATAAGAAGAGCCTCAGGTTGCAGTATCTCATTTCAGGCCTACCTTCCCGGTGCCACTGGAGTAGAGAGTAGCCCGATCCACAGATAGCAGCTTGGCCTCCACAGTGAACGGACCCAGGTTGCTCTCTGCCCTCTCAGAGTATGTCAACTGCGCAGATAGAGCACGCAACATGTAAGTAGTCCATATTAAGAAGCAAGAGGGATCTCTCACGTTTTGCTGTGAGTATAAAATTGGGAGGCAGCTCTTCGCCAAAACTTTGCTCTATATTGTTGTACACATTGTACACGCTCAGATTTGCTGCCTCAGTGATGCACAGCACTGCGCGCCTCGAGGCTGAGGCGGGTGGCATACTCGTGCAGAACCGCGAGAGGACTTTTGTTTTGAGCCCCCGGCAGGGCGCGATAGACCTCTATCAGGTGCTTGCAGCGAGGATAGCTGCTCAGGGGGTTGGGGTCAGCTTGGGGGTGCTGTGAGTGATCCCCCTGCTGGTCTGCACCCCCTGCAGAGTCTCCGCTGATGTGCAGGGCATCCACAGTGGGGGACGCAGGGAGCGCTGTGCTTTCGCCCTGCGGTGTAGAGGCACAGGTTTTATGATGTCCATGCACCTTTTGGAAGAAGGCTTCATTGTTCTGCTGCCAAAAGGCTACCTTTGTCTGTGTGGAACCAGCGGCCGTCAATGCTGCATCCACATCCTCCTGCCGGGATGAGCTCTTGCGCAACAATTGCAAGAGGTAGTTGATGGAGGCCTGGCCAATCTCTGCAGGTTGCACGGGAGGACGAGCTCCCTCAATATCCCATTCAGCTGTATCCGCGGCAAGGAGATGGGCACCCACGGGGTGGCCGTTCACCTGCAATGACACATTAGAATGTTGAGGCAATTTAGAGCGAGGCCTTCCTTCACCCTCCACTGATCTGAGCCAGAATCATTCTAGAGCGCAACCAATCGAAGCGACACTGCTCTGAAAATATTTGTTGATGGAAGATAGTAATATTAGGCACTCAAGCGGACGGACCTGATTGAGCAACTGACATGCCTTTGTCGCTGCTTCAGCGTTGCTAAATCTGATCACACCATATCCGCACTCTTGGCGAAACTGGAAACGCAGTACATCATCTCCAACGGCATGTATCGCCTTCTCTACCTCAGCAAAGCTTGCTATGGGAGGCAGACCGCCAAAGAAAACATCAGTGCTCCCAATCATCTGATCCCTGTCACTGAATCGCCTGCAAAGGTGTCCGTGTCATCACACTCAGATGGAGATTGAAGTAACACCGGCTTACAATCGAACCTGTCTGAGGTTTTCGAAGAGCAAAGGGACAGTATTGCTCCAGAATGCAAGAACTGTTCCACACGTGCGTGCAGCACGCACACAGCATGCTCCCATCCTGACACATCTCTCTTGCAAGCAGCTTTGCGCACTTCATTGAGCTATGCGTGAACTAAGAGCTTCGGTGAATCACTACTTGCCCTCTACTACCTGCTGTGCATATATTTAGGTTCCGGGCGCTTAGTGACAAGTGGGCAATTCCAAGAGCAACATGCATAAGGTTATATGCTGTTGCTCGAGAGCATTGGACAAGTTAGATCGAATTATACATCTGATAACAAAGGTGTTTTGTCAGATGCAAATCTTCTCCGCCTGGCGTTATCGAGCGACGAAGGAGCCGAGAAGGCTTTCGCCTCTTACTGACAGCACGTTCTACACGATATGGTCGTCAACGCCCGTATGAAAACGATCCTGAGGTACTTATGTTGACCTTGATCTTAATCAATGTCATTAGTAATCATCAACTACAGTATGTCGTCTCTTTTCACCAGTCTTCGTGATTCAGGCTCGAGGCCGGGGGTATCGTTACTTCAGAATATCAACTGAAAACGTCGCTGTCTTGCTGGCTGCTGGGGTGAGTTTCCTTTCTTGACTGTGATTTGTATCTGTCTTCCCACTAAACCATGCGCTGGGACAGATCATTCAAGATTCAGGGAATCTGACCTCGTTCGGCATCCACATTTTGCACTGCATTTTGGAGCTGGTGTTTTTTGTGAAGGGTCGTATAGCGTTGCAGATACTTGTTGAGTTGTCAAAGGCGACCGAGACCGACCTCCACCCCTGGCAGGTCATGTCCTTTCTGCATCAATGCCTGCATCTTGGTTGCTCGTGCATCTGTGCCACACTCCAGGAAATTCTAAAATTGATACTTTCTTGTACCTGCAAATGCAGGTGGAATTAGACTCGAGCTCGCTACCGTGAAGCTGTCACAAGGCACATCTGAACTTTTATCGCAGGTTGACCGCAAGTTTCATGGCAGCGATCCAATGGAGGTGTCAGAAGAGGACGTTGCTGCGTGGCATGCTACACCCAAGAAAAAAGATCACACATTGAACGTGTCAGAAATCACGAATGTGAGGGCATTGTTTGTCGCCTGCATGTTCCTGTGTTGCAATGCATCCCTGTGCACTTACTGTAGTCTTCTTTTTGGGGACCTGAATCTGTTTTGAGCTGTCTCATGAATGTGGAGACTGATTGATGTCACCACGGTGGTGAATTTGCATGCAGCGACCAGAAGAAATTTGTCAGCAGATTAATAAGGTGGAAGACGATCTGAGGAAATTGAAGGCGCTGCTTGGAGGGTGGTGTCAACAGAAGCTTGGCAGGGCCTGCGCGTCTTCCTGGCCTATGATGTGACTTCCAGGGGTGAAGATTGCTTCTTGACGCAAGATAGAAGTTATCCCTGGCCTGTGCCCGTAGCACAACACAATAGCAACAAGGCAACTCTTATGTGCTGATCATGACTGGATGATCTCCCTCGGGAGCCGTAGCGGGCACTTTTCGTTAGCAACCTTTTACAGATGTTACAGTCACCTTTATATTGTGATTGCAGTGCAGAACAGCTATGTCTAATCTGACTCTAAAATAAAATGCTATGTCTGTAACACATCTGACATATTGGGGATGACCAGGACTGCGCCCACATTGGCATCACTTCTACATGGCGCCGCGACACAACAATGTCTTCTGCACAACCTGCAGACCTGTTTCACTTCTCGACAGGCTGTGCAGCATTTTCAGCCTCCATCAGCTTCTTCATGAGCAATTGATTCAGCATCTCCGGGTTGGCAAGCCCCTTGAACGCCTTCATGACTTGCCTGCGCATGCACACAAAGGATGACTACATACACCTATACCCAGTGCCTCTGCCAAAGCTCCCTTGCCCACAACATGCTTTTGTGCATGCAGCACTTCTCATCACAAATGCAGCAGACATTGAGGGACAATCTCACTCACCCAACAAAGAAGCCTTGCAACTTCTTCTTCCCTGCGCAGTAGTCCTGCAGCTGCTTCGGGTTTGCAGCCAGTACACTGTCCACTATGGACTCGATTGCTGCAGGGTCTGATATCTGGATGAGGCCCTGCTCCTTCAAGAATGCCTTCACCCCATCCTTCCCATCCCCCTGCTCAGCACAGAGCAATTTACGTTGTTATGAAGGAGAAGTACAAAAGCATTGCCAATTTCACCAATTCAGAGACATGCACATCAAAATCATTTGTGGGAGTAAGCAGCCTTTCTGCCGTAAGTGACAATGGGGTGACATCAAAGCCCTGGCATGCATTCGCGCACCTTGAGCAGCTTTGGCAGCACTTGTTTCCCAATCTTGCCTGATATCACGCCTTCCTCAATCGCGTTGACCAGCTCTGCTAGGGTTGCAGGTGTCAGCAGCAAGTCATCAAAGCTGCACTTGCTCTCCTGCAAGCCATAATCCCCAATTTCAGTGCCCCTTCTGTGAACATCAACTAGAGTGCAATATCGTCATAACACATTTGTATCCCTTGCATGCCAATTATCTGAGGCATGCTATGCACGGGATTAGGACAGGAAGAGCCTGAGGTACAGGACCACAGGTACCTTGGTAAATGCCATCAAGTCGCCCAGGACCCAGTTTGCTGCAAGCTTTGGGGAGGCTCCAGCAGCCACCACAGCATCAAAGTAGCCTGAGATGGGCTTCTCGTCTGCAAGAATCACAACATCTGCTGCTGGCAAATTCAGATCCACATACCGTCCCCTCACTGCCCTGGGCACCTCCGGCATGTTCTCCTGCAAATACTCCTTTGTGAGCATCCACAACCTTCCTGTGCCTTTACCAATACCCTCGGTAGTAGACAAGCTCTCAGACGCTGCAGCAAAGCAACAGCAGAGAGTGTTACGGCGGAAGGGATTGCCCACCTTCTCTTCGTCAATCAGGGCGTCTGAGACGTGCAGAGGGGGCAGGTCAGGCTCGGGAAAGTATCGGTAATCCGCCAAACCTGTGCCACCACTCTCCTTTCTCACTCACTCTGTATTGAAACAGGCACCCTTGAACCCAGTCCTGCATGCAATGGGCTGGAGGGAATGGCAACTACCATCATGAAAGACTCACCTTCTTTCACACGCATGCTGAATGTTTGCAACTTGGACTCATCAAACAGACGAGTCTCCTGGACAATCTCATCTCTCCTCCCAGACTTGTGCAAACTGACCTGCTCAGCAAAAGACAAAAAGAATGAAGCTCACTGAGCACAGAGGCGCAATTGATATATGTCAGCTCAGACGAACAAATTGTGCAACTATATCACCTGTCTCTCAATCTCAAAATCTATTGCGCGCTGCATCGCCGAAAAAGAATTCATGTTTTTGACCTCCACCTTTGTCCCTAGCGCCCGGGCCCCTTCCTCGCGCACCTAGCAAGGAGCCAGACTCCACAGTGAGCGAATGACCTTTCCCAACAACTTGCACCACTGGTATGAGGAACACTCCTGGTTGTGAATTGCACAGAAGGGGCCTCACCGAGACGTTGACATCGAAACGCATGTGGCCCTCTGCCATGACGCCGTCTGTGAGGCCCATGAACAGCATGATGCGCCGCAGCTCACTGGCATAAGCGGCCGCCTCTGCACCGTTCCTCATGTCCGGCTCGGAAACCACCTCGAGCAGCGGCACTCCTGCTCGATTGTAATCCACGAGGGAGTAGTCCGAGCCAGACAGCTGGTCTGAACCGCTGTGCACAAGCTTGCCTGCAACGCAGACAATTGCCTCTGAAAATGAGATCTGGAGCTTAATTTCTTGATCAAGGGATGCTGCGATTCATTATGACTCATCACAAAAGGGTAGGTCACCCAAATGCTGCGTTTTGTCAATGTCATGCCTTCAATTCAGTGCATCACATTGACTGTAAAGCTTAAAGGATCCCTCACATCATCCAGGAGCTAGCTCTAACTAATTATGTGCAAAGCGGACAGATTGCCAACCTGCATCCTCTTCTATGTGCGCTCGTGTGATGCCCACAGTCCTGGTGCTGCCATCAGGCAACAGTGTTTCGATCTGCCCGCCGTAGCAGATGGGCTCATCGTACTGGGATATCTGGTAGCCCTTTGGGAGATCTGGATAGAAGTACTGCTTCCTGTCAAATTTGCTCTGCCTGGCAATGTTGCACTTCAGGGCCAGCCCAGCTATGACAGCCTTGCGAAGGACACCCTCATTTAGGACAGGCAAGGTTCCCTGCGCACAACACACCAACATTGCCAGTGAGTCTGATGAGCAAGTCTGCTCCTGAGGCATGAACGCCACACAGATGCAAGGGAAGGTCTAGATCATGCAGAGCGCACCGGGTGAGCTAGGCAGATCGGGCAGACGTTTGCGTTGGCAGCGGCCTTTGTTGTGGTGCATTTGCAGAAAGCCTTGGTGTTTGTGTTGAGCTGGACGTGGCATTCTATACCGATGACAGCTTCATATGCTACCTGCGCACGGCAAGGCAGTGTCATGCCCCCCGCACAATGCCCAGCAATTTTTCATGGATGATACCGGTCTGGTCTTGCCCCACCTGAGGTTCGGCTGCCACTGTAGCTGGAGCCGCGCAGCACACGTGCTTGGCCTCCCAACACCTTGGCCGTGCGCCATATGCAGGCTGCCAATTCCTGAGTGTCTGCAGAGCTTGGCCCGTCCAGGATCTGGGTACGGCAGGATGCAAGCTCATGTGAGCTGGACTTGAAACATCTGTGGAGGTGAGAAGGCTCCTCCGCCACATAAAATTTGCAGGACGCAGCATAGCTAGCCACAGAGAAGTGCCGCTAGCACAAAATTTGTTCAATCCCGATCCCTGTACTAAACTATTAGTTCAACTCTGTGCAATTTTAATCATGTGCTTCTCACCATCATGTTCCGATGAGATCAGGAGTGGTCAGTGTTGCACACAGTGCTGCGATGCTCTAAACGTCTCGGTAGGGACAAAGCAAGGATACGATAAAAACAGTGGAAGCACCGAACTCTACTCATAGACTATACAACACTTCAATGTGAAGAGGAAGGGAATTTCCCAAACATCCAAGATTGATCTCGGAACTGAGCCCAGCCAGCCTGAGCTGACGTAGGAGTGAGTCAGGGCACGAGCCCGAGGCCAACATCTCTTCTTCCTGCTGTTCGGTCGAGATTGTTTGGAATTCGTTGCCATGATGTTGCCTCGTATTGCCTTTCTCGTGGTGATCACTGCAGTAGCCAGCAAGGGGGCTTGGGGAGCAACCAGGCCCATCGCTGATGACGTCCTGTATTCACCACAGCTGACCCTTGAAGCTGCAAAGGTGATATCTTCAATGCATGCCGGGCACATCAGTGCATTCTGTGATTGCTGCAACGTTTGATACTGAGGCCAGCTTTCCATGCACAGGCCGATGCACCAGGAGCGTTTATGACCTTCACAAGGCTGTTCAACAAGAAGTACTCCAACGAGGAGGAGGCTGCTTTGCGCCTGAACATCTTCAAGACGAACGTTGATTACATCACGTCTGTCAACTCAGCACAACAGTCATACCAGGCAAGTAAACACTTCAGTGAAAACACACAGCAAACTGCTTTGAGCAGCTTATTTCTCTCACAGCTCGCTCACACTGATCTTCTGCCACAGCTGGGCCTCAACGAGTTCGCTGACCAAACGTGGGAGGAGTTTAGCTCAACGCACCTCGGATTGAACGCTGGTGAAGATGGCAGCTTCAGGTGTGCACTCCAAACAAGATCTACAACACAAGTCAATAGCTTTGCTGAGCCTCTCATTTTTCCTTTCCTTCAACGAGCTGCTTTCCCACAGGTCTTCCGCGAACACGGGTTTCCGCCATGCTGATGTGACACCCGCCAACAGCATCAACTGGGTCGAGGCCGGTGCTGTGACGCCAGTCAAGAACCAGGCTTTCTGCGGCTCCTGCTGGGCTTTCTCCACCACAGGCTCTGTGGAGGGAGCCAACTTCCTGGCGACCGGAGACCTGGTGTCCCTGTCTGAGCAGCAGCTGGTGGACTGCGACACAAAAAAGGACCAGGGGTGCGGCGGCGGTCTCATGGACTACGCATTTGACTACATCATCAAGAACGGCGGTCTTGACACCGAGGAGGACTACAGCTACTGGAGTGTGGGCGGCTTTTGCAACAAGCTGCGCGAAGGTCGCATCCCCTGCTTTTCCCAACCTTCGAGCCAAAGCTCACTCGTTTCAGTGGACCCATGCTTGCAGTGCTGGCATACTCCACGTCCCATGCTGCATGTCATCCTTGCAAGTATGAAGCTGTGATTGTTCTGTGGGCAGAGCGCACTGTTGTGTCCATCGATGGCTATGAAGATGTGCCTGTCAACGACGAGGTGGCGCTGGCCAAGGCAGTCTCAAAGCAGCCGGTCTCTGTTGCCATCTGCGCCAGCGAGGCCATGCAGTTCTACTCCTCCGGTGTTATTGCTGCCAAGGGGTCCTGCATCGGCCTCAACCACGGAGTCCTTGCTGCTGGCTATGACGTGGTGAGCATGCTCTTCAACTCCATTTGATTGCCATGGTTTGATCGCCTTCCTATCAATTGGCACAAGTCTGCAAGTTTGGGAGAAGTGTTTCATGGCCTGAGGATGACTTATGCTGGCTGCAGGATGAGTCAGGCAAGCCATACTGGCTGGTGAAGAACAGCTGGGGCGGCACCTGGGGCATGCAAGGCTACATGAAGCTGGAGAAGGACTCGTCTGTGAAGGAGGGTGCCTGTGGCATTGCCATGGCTGCTAGCTACCCCGTCAAGTCCTCACCCAACCCCAAGCATGTCCCCGAGGTGCGAATCTGACTGCTGACAATGCAGAAATTGGAAGCGGCAGCCGCCCACTTGGACAAGATATCTTTCATGCATCATACTCTCTGATCATGATGTGATGTTGGGGCAGGTGTGCGGCTACTTTGGCTGGTCGGAGTGCGAGTACGGATCCAAGTGCTCATGCAACTTTGACCTGCTGGGCATCTTCTGCCTGCAGTGGGGCTGCCAGACCTCTACAGGCATCTCGGCGCCCCAGATGGCCTAAGGATCCAAGATTGTGATCGGGTCATAGCTGTAGCAATATGGTGTATTTAATTCATGACACTCTGCTGAGCGACCTGTACACTAACACAAATGATGTATCTATGGTCCAAGACAGTACCAGTTCCTTGTACTAAATTGCATGTGTTGAGTTTCTATGTCTACTGGACATGCTATACCGTGGCCTTTTAAGTTAATCTTGGGGATGTGTCAAAATGCCCATGCTATACGGCCCAAGACTTGCCGTCCACATATCAACTACAATTTTGGCATTGACTGCCCCACTGTAACATATAAAGAAGAAAAATATTTGAGAAGAGCAGCACGTGAGCATGCCATTGGCAACCATCACGAAAGTGCTGCAGTCATGCAAGAGACATGCGCAACCATATTGGTCATGAAAGTGCCTCAGGCATGGTGCGCACGCCTGGCAAGCCTGGCATCCTATGGGTCTGGTCGGCCGCCGCCGGGACTGAAATATCTGCATGCAGTCCAGGCCTGCGCCTCAGGACAGCATGGCCGGGGGTCCTTACATACAGGGCAATTGTGCTCAATGGGTGCAGTGAAGCACAATTTGCCTGATAATTCACAGAGATCGCAAAAGTTCCTTGTCCTTGAGCATCATGATGACTCAGCTGAGTGGGTCCAGCAGGGCAAACTGCAGAGCAACATTTATTCAAGAGGTCACCGACAACAGATACCGTCCATAGATCGGAACACAAAATTGCAATTTGGTAGATCTGAATCCTTGTGTACGCCTGAACGCAACAAGAAACACTCCAACAGCAAATCAGCAAAAGTTTGCATTGTTTGATCAGACTCCCTTGGTGTGAAAAAGAGCGCTGGGAAATGGCAAATATAATGAGTGTGTACCTCAAGATGATGTGAGATGCTCTTGTCCTGCTGCTTTGTGGCGAGGCGTTTTGGGTGTTTAGATGGCCGGCATTCAGAATGCGATCACCATTTATCCTGTAGCAAATTATAATTTTGGTTCGAAAGCAGCAAAGACCGAAAAGGATACGAACGTACAGGCACGCTTGAGCCGTTGGGAGGAAAAGTGAGTGCTGCAGACTGGACATGACTGCCTACCAGGGAACTCTGCCAAGCCTATACCCCTTCTTACGCAGCAAACGCCTACTGGCTGCAGGTACAAAAAGGAGGGGGTGCGCAGATCTGTAGATGCAGTTCTATTAGTGTGGGAGCACAATCATCCGCATGTATTGCTCCTCCAGCTTGGAACCTCCTTCTTCAAGCTGCCGGGCGGCCGCCTGCGGCCTGGGGAGGATGGTGCGCAGCAGCTTCTTATTTTTGTTCATAATGTACAGTTGGCATGAGCCATATCTGGTGAATACATCAGACGCTTGACGTTGCTGCATGCATGCTTAGTGAGCTTGATGAGCTACTTGGAACGGAAAGATTGTGACCAACAGTGGTCATGTGGACTGCAGAGAAAATGGGGCTCAGACGGAAGCTGGAGAATAACCTTTCACCGGAAGCTGCCTCCCTGGCGCACCCATGGGACATTGGACAGTGCATTGCCACATACTGGCGACCCAATTTTGACATGACCCTCTACCCGTACTTGCCTGCGCACATAACGAGGCCCAAGGAAGTGAAGAAGCTGTATCTGATCTCGCTGCCAGAGAAATGCTACCTTGCGGTGCGTTGACAGCTTCCTCACAGATAGCTCTGGAGCATCCCAACCTTCAAATTTCTTTTGGCTCAAGACCCCTTGGATCTTTACTTTGCTGTAATGTAAGAAGATTTTGCAAGAAGGTAAACTCGCACAGTACTGCTGCAGGTTCCAAGGAATGCCAAGCTTATTGCTGTGCCCCTCTTTGAGCTCTACGAGAACACCGCGCGATTTGGGATGGTGATATCTGCGCTTCCTCACATCCTCAGCCGTTTCAAATTGACATTGGCAGGCTCCCCTCTTGCAATTCTGCAGCCTGAGACTCCCAGTGGAGGGCCGGAAGGGGAGCAGCAACAGAGTGGATAGATAGGAAAACATTGCATGAAATGGCGAACTGAGATGCACATGCAGCAGAGGCGCCATGGTAATTACGGTAACTTATAAAGGAGGATGGTAGCACAGAATCTAGTCTACAGATCGAGGGAACCATATGTGTATGACTGGTTAGCACAGCTTTTTGCCTAATGCTCGAGAACTGGAGGATCTGTATGTACACATAATTAACAATGAAGTGCCTTGAAGGCACTTGGCACTCTACTGCCTGTCCCAGCTACACAGTATGACCATGCCTGATGAACAGACTTGCTGCATTTGTCTCTTAAGAGCTAGCTTGCGGTGGCTTAATCTGAAACGCAGTGATTTGTAACAGTGGAAGTAAGATAATCTATCAATTCTATCTATTTGTCTAGGAAGTACAGAAGCAATCATCTAAATCAAGATTCGTTGCAATCGTTTGGTGCAAGCAGACGTTGCATAAGCAGGCTGTAGACATCTACAAAACCCACAGCACAGATCTGGCAACTTGAAACATCCATTATTGTCCAGCAGAAAATTCATATACATAATGCATACCCCAGAGCAGCATCCCCTCATACAGCGCTCAGCATCCCACGCATGCAGATATATTGGGCTGTCATAGGTCTGCAAAGCGGACTCGGCGCTTCCTGGGGGAGGCTGGCCGGAAGGAGTCCCTGAGGCCACCCACGGTCCTGGCCTCGCTCCTCCCGGGGCCAAGGCTCCTGAGCGCCGACACCTTGTCGTAGCTGCTGCGCGTCTTCTTCGCTGCCGCCTCCTCGCCAGCCCCCTCCCTGATACCAGTCAGCACCACACATCAGATGCTGGACCTCAACACGTCCAAGACACTCAATTTCACACCAGTATTCCTCTGGCCTTAACTACCCATTAACCTGTAGTTGAGGCGCCCTATTATAGCATGCATGGCAGATGTATGCAAAGGGCAAGCCTGGCTTGGCCAAAGCGGCATCACAGTCTTACGAGTCACATCTGCAACTGCGCACACCCTGCGCTCATCATGCGAGATGTGAAAACAGCAGGACAGAAGGCAGTCAATAGCGAGGACAGGGGAATTGGATCTCACTGCTCGCCACGGGAGGTTTCGCTGAAGAGATTGGCGAGCGCGTTGTAGTTGATCTTGGAGGACAGCTTCTTGGCGTCCAGCATCCGCCGCGTGGCCTCCTCCGGAGTCTCTGCAGGCTCCAACATGTCTTCTGGACGCGCCTGTGCCAATCACAAACGCCAAACACTGAGCCCACCAAACAGTGCACGAGATGGCCCATGAGCTCGCAGGAATTGCACATATGCGTGAGGAAAGGATGAGAGTAGAGGCTGGAGCACCTTGGTTTTGCTGCCGAGGGGGCGGCCCCTGGCGCGCTTGCGAGCCGGCTCGCCGTCTGCCTGCTCACCCGCCTGCTCCGCGTCCTCACCGGCCACCGCGCTAGCCGCCGCTGCCTGCACACATCCCTCCCACATTCCTGCCAACTCTTCATGCACCAAGTCTTCCCAATCTGAGGGTCTCAAGACAGAGCAACACAGGAGAGAGAGGGGTTCAAACGTGACAACACATATCCAGAGGGGCGACAGGCATGCCTGTAGATAGGGAGGGGTCACCTTGGCGGCGGCGGATTCGAGGGCGGCGGCTTTGGCGGATTGGCAATCGAGGAACTCCCGGTTGAGCTCGGTCCAGATGAGTTCCTTGAGTTTGGCCTCCTCCGGCGTGTGCAGGTACAGCGACGCCTCGTCATCCTCCAGCTCCGACAGCTCCTCGTCCGCCACGTCATCCGCCACGTCAGCCGCCGGCGCGGCAGGAACGCCCCCGGCCGCCCCGTCGAGCTCTGCCTGATCTGGCACCGCCACCACCGCAAGCCTGTCCGCAGCTGCGCCTGATGCTGGCTGCTCCTGGGGTGTTGCCACCGCTTCAGCCCCTGCGCCTGCAATAACCAGGTTTCTCAGCGCCCTCCCCCAGTCGATGGGCAACCAAGGACAGCATTCCCGGACCTGTCAGCGTGAGCAACTGGACTGTGCTGCAGATTATTGCTGAGCATTGATGAGCCTGACATGGAGTTGGGACGGACCTCCTCGCCTTGCCGGCTTCGCTCTCGTCCGCCGACTTCTCTGCTGGCTGCCGGCTCCGCCAGATGTCTCTGGCTCCTCCACTGTGCTGGCCAGCTGGAGAGCCTGTGCCACCCCCAGTAAGCCTCATCACCTTGATGTAGGCCCGATGATTGACAACAGGACAGATTGGGGCATTTTCGCAAAGTGACAGCGTGCTGAACGCACCCTAGTGTACTTCCCCATGCCGTCCTGCTGCAGCACTGCCTCCAGCTGCATCTCAATGTCCTGCTCCTCTTCCTCCTGCTCCAGGCCCGGCAGCGCCGGCAGATCCTCCTCCTGATTTCTCCTCTTCCTCTGCAGCGAGGATAGCCAAATCAGCCCAGGACACTGGCACCCATAACAAAACATCCCAACAATTGGCAGCATAGCTGTGTGCACGGGGCAGTGCATGAGAGCTACCTTCTTGGGGGCGAGGCCGGCCGTGAAGGCGGGCGGGTCGGCGCCGGCGCTAGTCCCCCCCGTGACCTCCAAGAATTCCTCGTAGCACACCTTGCACATGCCGTGCGCAAAGTGCTGCGCCGCTCCGGCAGCTGCACGGCGCCCAGCCGCTTCAACAAGCATGCAAGCAATGCTGTGACCTTGAGAGTAGAAGACAGTGTGCCTTATCTGGAGCTCATGGAGCCGCTGGCAATTTAGTTTGCCTCAACATGGCAAGGTGCACCGCTATGCTGTTGTGAGGCACGCTCAGGTGTTGGCAGCAAGCAACTCGTGCTGTCACCTCGAGGCTGTCAGACAATGTGCTGTATTTGCTAATCGCGGGGCTGTGACTGCTAGTAAGATAATTTATCTTGTAAGTGCCGTGAGGCGCACTGAGGTGTTGGCAGCCGCCCTTGGTGTGTGCGGGGGCGGGGGCGCCGATGGTGTTGAGCTGCAGCTCCTTCCTGTGCTGGGCCTCCAGGGCTCGGCCCTCGTCCTCAAACTCCTCTATGGTCAGGTCGCCGCTCGTGGTCAGCGCAAACTCCTTCACGCGCTTCGCCAGAGTCGCCTCGCCCACGTGCACTATGTTCACCACGTCCCTCTTGCTCTTCTCCACGCCTGCACCCGCAGTCATTTTCCGCTCTTGATTTGCCATTCTTGGTTACTATTCCTCCATATCTTGACAAGTGACCTTGCAATACAGCAGGGCCCCAATGCTCGCCCTGTGGCAACACAGGTGATCTAACAAAGCAACAGTGTGGGTCTGTTATGTGTGCAAAGAACGAAGGGTGTGTGGGGCGGACCGTGGATGTGGGCTGCAATGAAGAGGGCGGCGCCACAGATGCCGGAGGGCCGTCGGCCGGTCTGCATCCAGTCGCGCTTCATGCTGGCCACCAGCCGCAGCGCTGTGTTGGTCACCGCATGGAACTTGTCGTTCACGCACAGCCTGTTGGCAAAACGGTGCAGGTACAGGCTGGGGTCCACTGGCCTGCAACCGCCGCCCAAAACCTCTAGGGATGGCCTCTTTGCACAGCTACATCTCACAAAACCAGCATGGGGCGACCATCACATTCCTGATGGAGTGCCTAATTGTTTGGCATATATAAGAAGGGGAATGGTGCACACGAAACAAGGCAGTTGGTGGGGTTGGCGCACCGCTGGAACATGGGGTGCTCCTCAAGGCGGAGCAGCTTGCAGAGGTGCAGGAAGACGGCGCCCAGGGTGAACACATTGACCTGGAGCGCGTCTGAGAAGTCGATCAGCATGAAAGGCTTGGAGTCCTGGCGGCACACTATGTACAGGCACGCCGCCGCCACCTGCGCGCATCACTCACCCATCACCAAACTGATCGCTGAATTCCTGTGCCAGGAAAGGCGCCATTGCAACAACAAATTCTCAAAGGCATATCAGGCAAAGCACCTTGCACTTGGCAAGAAGAGCATGCTACGATGATATCAGGGCATGCGGCAGTGGAGGACAGGCAGAGGGAGGCAATCACCAGTTGTGTCCGCCGACCGCGGGTGAAGTTGCGGCTGAGGGCCAGCTTGTAGAGGCGCGAGGCGGCCTCCACAGTGTCGTCCCGAGGGGCAATGCGCAGCCGATCCACCAGCTGAGTCACCTCGCTCCTCCCCTTGTTCAGCGACTTTTCGTGCGAGTCCAGCTGCAAGGGCAATACTGAGCGGTCAGGTGGAAGCCCAAGGCTGCTGCATTGCAGGACTGCTGAAAAGGAGCAATAGATGTGCAGGCGAAGGAAGGAACACACGCACCTGATACCCATAACCTCGGCCACCAGAAATCCTGGCCAAGCCACGAGAGGCTGCTGCATCGGAGAGGAACTGCCCGTCTGCAGTGCTGACGCCTCCAGCACCCTTCGTGAAGGTGACTTCGGTAGAGAAGCCACCCTCGTCCAGCACAGCACCACAAGTTGTGCAACACCTGGACAAGGACACAAAAATGAGAAACGGCATGCAGGAGGGTACAGCTAAGGGATATAAGTGAGGAGCATCAGAAACAGGAGGAAGAGAACTTACTGGTACCCATTCGCGTCATCATTTTCGACTTCCACCTCTTGCTTGCAGTGACCACAGTACGCCATGGCCCTGTCCATGCCTGCTACGGCGGAAGGCTCCCCTTTTCAAGTATCGGATCTCGATCTGAATCTCATTTTATATTTGTGTGCTCAAGCCCTTCGCTGAGACAGAACGTGAGCTGACTATCAGCGCACAATTACCTTTGAGAACGATTTTGTGAGATGCCTGAACGAACTGCAGCTTCGCACTACAGTACAAGGCACAAAGTGATGATTTACGAGCACTGAGGGTTATTCGAATGGTTGCCAGAGATTTCCTGTGCAACACCAACACCATTCCTGCAGGTTGCAGCCCGTGTCTACAGCGGCGGTTCTGGTGCTGCTGACCCCAGTAGTAAGGCATGCAGCCTAGCCTAGACTAGGACTAGGACAGGAAGGCAATGTGTACATGCTGCTACAAAAAGCCTGAGATGCCATGACCAGGGCTTTACAACACTGTGATTTTCGTGTGCTGTGACTCAGATCTAAATCTGGCAGTTACCACTGGCCGGGCCATGGTATGCACCGCCGCGGTCTTGCATGCATGTATTACTGATGGGCCATTAGTACATGCCACAGTATGCGGTAAGAGGCGACGCTTGCAATGTCATCTCCTGCTTGAAAAGTTTCTTCATGAAAGTCCTAGCCTAGGTAGCTACAGCACATGCCTCTTGGGTCAAGTGCACATCACGAGCTCGAGTTCACGGCCTAAGCAAGCACTTACAGAATTCTGCAGAGAGGGCAATATTGTAAAACGAGCTAGAGTTGCTATAAAGCAGCCTGCTGAGCGTGCAAGATCTCACAGCTGTACACAATCAGATCCATGATTTCAGGGCCACAGAACCTCGCTCAGTGTCAAGGAAGTATCGTACAATTCAAACAAGCACAGTAGCTGCTGCGGACAGAGACACACAGGTGATGTCACCAGGATTGGGCCATTCGCGAAAAAGACAAATTCACCAGGTATCGACACCAAGTGAAAGGGGCTAACAACTAAAATTTGTACATTGTGCATGTGATCCTAATCCTAGGCCCCACCTTCGTCCAAGAGGACTGTCTTCTGAGCTTCAACGATTGTTGACAAACCCACTACTCCTAGACCACTACAACAGAACTCTCCTAATCCTAACCAAAAAATTCAACCCTCAAAGGCCTGATGGGAAGAGGCTGCCGTTTTCGCGTACATCCTTTCAATGGCTTCCTGGAAGGCAGCCTTGGCCTGCGGCCGCTTCAGCTTGAACGTGGGCGTGAGCAAGTTGTTCTCAACGCTGAACTGCTCTGCCACCAGCGTTATTGCAGCCACCTGCACAGTCCAGGCCTGCTGCTGTCAGCCTTGCACCACATCACATCCAGCAACACCCTCCATGCACGATGTCAAGAAGCACGCCTGATTTTCCAATTGTGATGAGAGCTTGATCCCACGCATGCACCGGGAACAGATTGAAACCTCTCCACTTCCTGGCCTGTACAGTCCTGAAAGCAACCAATACATAAACTTGCATTGGGAAGGGCATGCACAGCGCGCCTGCCGACCCCCAAGCAAGCAACAAACAACCCCGCACTGCAAGGGCAAGAGAATGCGTGCCTGCTCGAAGCCGCGCAGCTTGGAGGTGCGGCCCTCCTCCAGGATGGAGTTGAAGACGGCGGTGGTGATGGTGGGGTCGGCGACCAGGCGGTTGAGGTCCTGCGGCAGGCCCCGCGCGGCCGCCCAGGGCAGCAGTGTGTCCGGGTCGGGCACTATCACGGCCACCAGGTGCGCCTGCAGGCTGTCCCCATATACGAATGCTTGCGCCACAAACGGCGAGCGCATGTACACGTTCTCTATCTTCTCCGGCGCTATGTACTCCCCCTGCGCCCCAGCCAGCCAGCCGGTATCACAGCCTGCCTTACATGGACTCATTGTCACTCACTGGGGCAGCCGTTCCAGCACCTGGGTCTCCCCAACACCTGGGCTGCTAGGTTCCATTGACATGTCGAGCCACATGGCAGGCGTGGTTCCAGACCTGACTTCTGCACTCCTTGCCATACATTTCACTTGCAAAGAAAAGGGAATGTGGGCACGGAGAGATCAAGGCAAAGCAAAGGGGCGAAAGGAAAAATGGGTGACGCGAAACTTGAGGGCAGGGCAGACCTGGGCGAGCTTGAAGATGTTCTTCTTGCGGTCGATGATCTTGAGGCGGCCGCCTGGCAGCCAGAGGCCGATGTCGCCCGTGTGCAGCCAGCCGTCCGCGTCCAGGATCTCCCGCGTCTGCGCCTCGTCCTTGTAGTACCCCTGGAACACCGTTGGCCCACGCACGCAGATCTGCGCCCACATCAGCAGTTCTCACCCTCAGCACCTCACTGTGCACTTCCGACCCGAGTGATCCCACAACTGCCTGCCTTGCTCGCAAGCTCCCTTTGATTCTTGTGGAATCACAAGAATTTCAGGAGATCAGCAAGGGGCAGGCTGGGGCAAGGCACAGCCCCCTGCCTGGGGTCTGTGGAATCATCTGTGCTCTGCTGGCGTGCAGAATAAGAGCTCACCTCTCCGCGGGGGCAGGGCCGGTCTCCGTTGGTGTAGCCCATCTCGGGGATGTCTTCCAGCTTGACCTCGCAGCAGGGCAGCGGCCCGCCCACGTGGCCGGACGAGGTGTCCTCGGGCAGCGTCATGGAAATGGTGCACGCCGTCTCAGTCATGCCGTAGCCCTCAATCACCGTCGCCCCGAAGCAGATGCGCATGAAGTCGATCACCTCCGCGCTGATCGGCGACGCCCCCGTCGTCATTATCCTCACCTCACCTGCACGCAAGCACACACTCTTCCTTTCAAAATTGAATGCTTGTCAGTGCACACACTCCTAAAATAGGCAGAGTGTTATCTCAGGGACATACTTTCCCTTTCAATTCTTCTCACAGCACAATCCAGAAGCTATCTTCTCATGCCAACCTCAGCAGTACCTCTAATGACACATCCAAGGGAGTGATTGCTCTGATGCGGAACATCAAGACACATCAAGAATTTCAGTCCTGCCTCAATACTCCCCACTGCACACCAAGTCTCTGACTTCCCCCTGCTCTTCTCATCAGTGCTTGTTGTGACACTTTCTTCAACAAGCTATTCTACTCTCATGCAACGGGATCACTTTGGAAGCAGGGGGGCGGTGACTGACCACCCAGGCGAGCCTTGATTTTGGAGAAGACGAGGCGGTCCCAGAAGGGCCCAAAGCGGCCGCCGGAGAGGTCGCCCGCCTGCAGGGCGGCCTTCTTGGAGGCGTAGGCGGCCGCGAAGAGGCGGCGCGCGACGGGGTTGCCCGCGCGGATGGTGCCCATGACGCGGTCGTAGATGCGGTTCCACAGCCGCGGCACGCTCGTGAATATCGTCGGTCGCAGCTCCAGCACGTCCTCCAGCAGCTCTGCCACATCCCCTCTGCACGGCGTGCACAACCCCACGCTCAGCTCCCCAGGGGACTAAATCTATATCAATCAGACTAGAGCCGGGCCTACCTTTGCTTCCCTGCCTTTCTCACCAGGTGGCTTCATATCTATGGCCCTTCTGGGCTCTGGGTTTGCCATCTGATGACATAAAGATTATTATTCGTATTATTTAGCAGGTCAAGCTGGCACCTTAGGGTCCACTGAAACACAGATCAACAATAGGAGTCCCTTGGGCTTCCCAAAACGAGCAGCAAGAGATGCGACTTGCATGACAGGCACACAAGTGGCTGATGTCATGGGCTGCAGGCACATGGGTTGTGCGAGGCACCTGTAGAAGCCGATGGAGACGCCGCCGTGAGTGACGCCCACGAGGGTGACGCGCTCGTAGATGTGCGCCAGCGGCAGGTACGAGATGTGCCGGTCGCCTGGCCAGGCCACACAACAGCAAGTCAGCTCCTGCCAACCATCTTCAATGAATGAAAGCAAAAGCAGAGGGCAAGCGTCACTTAAATCTGCTTTGCACACATGAACCGGTGGCACACCTTAAGAAAACAAACTCTCCTGGACAACACATCACTTAGCCCCCAGCTTTGTGTCGCGATGCTAGCATGTTATGCCTAGATAGGCCTGAGAATCAGCTGCGATATTGCATGGGGCAGCTCTGTAACTGCTCCCTGAGCTCAAAACTATGAAGCGGCGCGCACCGGGCTGGGCGTTGAGGAGGCTGTTGGATCCGGCGGCGTCGGCGATGAGGTTGGCGTGCGACAGGATGGCGCCCTTGGGGATGCCCGTAGTGCCGCTGGTGTAGCACAGCGTCGCCGTGTCGGCCGGCTGTGGCAAGATGTGCGCGCGCGGATGCTCCCGGCCAGCCGCCGCCACCGCCTCCAGCGTGACCACGCGCGCCTTAAGCCCCGGCGCCACCCGCGGCAGCCGCTGCCCCTTCCTCAGCCCAAACACCACCTGCGACGCCGCACAGATCAGCACCTTTGAGCACTCAGCAAAGTCCTGTGGGTTCGTGATCCACATAGGGCAAAATTTTATGGCAACAGGGCTGGGAACAAAACACCATCTGTATGCCAGCAGATTCATCACAATGAAAGGATATGCCCCTCGGCCACCATGAGCGCCTCAGCGCTCTGCCTGCAGCGACTGAAAGCCCCGGTGGCCTTATCGTTTACAGAATGAACTTTGCACGGCATCAGGATTTGCATGACAATGTTGGAGAGCCAATAGGAATGGAGGGTGGAGGGCTGTATGAGGAAGGCGCACCACAAGGGAGATGGAGGGGCAGGCTTGCTGGTTCTGCAGCAGGATGGGCAGCAGCGCGACGGAGCACGCCACAGCGCGCAGCTCCGCGTGGTTGCTGATGTAGCGTACCGCGTCCGGCCCCAGCGTGTCATACAGCGGCACCGTCACGATGGAGTACGACACGCAGGCCGCCTCCACAAGCACCCAGTCTGCCGCAGCAATGACTCAGCATCAGTCGATAAGTGATTTGTCAGCAGCTTCCTGCTGCAAGCGCTTGGTACATTAGATGGGAAATGACACCGCGGCGTACCTCTGCAGTTGACGGAGTAGAGCCCCATGGTGCATCCGCTGCTGAGGCCAAAGTGCAGCAGCCCAGAGCCGATGTCTGTGCGCGCCTTGGCCACCTCTGAGTATGTCATCCAGTGGTAGGGGCCCGCCTTGCCCTTCTCGTCTACCATCCTCTGCCCGAGATAGGGCACCTGCACCGTAGACAGGGGGTGAGTCAGAGGGGCGCGCCTTTGGGTGTTTGCTGGGGAGTGGAAAGGGCAAGTGCAATCAACGGGTCTCACCTTTGGGAAGGTCGCAAAGCTGTGCTCATAATTGTCATGCAGCGTCCTGATGTGATCATCTGGAGGTGGAAAGCTATCCACGAGCTGCTCTGGGGATGTAGCCGACCTGTACAGGACAGGATCCAGGACTTAGTACAACTGTTACAGAATGAAACACAAGGCATATAAGAAGCTCGCTCACTGCATTACCTGTGCACTAGCCATGGCCCAGTTGATGTCAGGCGCTCTGGCAAAGCCACGCTGTATTGGAGAGAGTCCATTCGTGATATCTTCCCCTAGCCCTCGACTTTGCTAAACGCTTGATTAAGCTTTGTCAGATTCCATGGCCCAAAAAAACAATCTTAAAATTTCACACTACCATCTATGCTTCTGATTGAAATTTGGTCTTGGAAAAGCACGACTGAGCTGGACGGATCGCCTCGTGAACTGCTGACGAGGACCTTTAGGGTTTTCGGAAGGATAACCAACTTGCAAGGGATATATCGGGAGGGGAGTGGGTATCTAGAGCGTCTGTCCAAGACACAAGCGAGTCCCCACACCCTACTCCCAAAGAAGAGGGAATATTCAAGAGTTTCAGAACGGCATAAAGAAACAAAACGCAGTCTGTTGGCTTGTGCGGAAGTCAGCTTTGCGTAAGGGCACTTTTCGTTGCTCTATATGTCAAGATGACCAGAAAAACGCTGGCACCTTGCACGGGGATCGCACTGTTTTGTAGTACAAATTGGGGCGATCTGTGACATGCATATCAAATTCGGCATCGTCTTCCTGTTTGCATCACTTACGTTCGCCATCGGCAGCCCCTCGCAGTACGTTTCCGGCCAACAGAAAGAACCGAAAGTTTGGGCGACCCAGTGCTAGTCAGATGGCAAGATCGCATGGATGTGCAGGTCACTAGAAGATTCAGACATTTCGGGCCAGAGGCAGCAAAACTATTCCTCGAATCATCACTGGCAGTTTGGGCATTCCCCAGAGCACCGTCGTCGTCGTCTTGCTCAAACTTCTACAGACACCGCACCGTGCGTACCAGAGCAACTAAATCAACTTTTGACTCAATAATAGTTGTTTGCCGCGCCACAAGAGAGGCATCAAACACGCCTGCTTACACATCCTGGAGTAAGGCAGAGGTGCTGAATGGCTCACCTGACTGCCAGGTTCTTGGTGGAGGTGGTGAAGACAGACTCGATTGACACGCTGTGCGCACAGCTGCAAGATGAGGGAACAAGCTGCATGCACAAGTACTACAGGGTCTTCACCGGCTTTGCTGCCAAGGTAAGGCACAGCTTGTGCCCCGTGGCCGGACTGCCGTGCTACAATTGACAGTTTTGTTTGCAGCACTGAGGAACAGTATTATTGACTCACCACTGGTGGCTGTGTCAGCTTTCAGCTGGCCAGCAGCAGACCTTAGGGCAGAATCCGAGCGTCAAAGCACTGCACCCAGACGTACCAGTCTCCACCCAGCAGATCCCAACACTTCAGAAGCAGAAGAATGCGCCATGGCACCTGGACCGCATTGACCAGCAGAACCTGCCTCTGGATGGACTCTATGACTACACTCTGGACGGCTCCGGCATCAATGTGTATGTTCTCGACACGGTCAGTGGGCGCGTCTCCTTTCCTTCATCGGTTGCAGTGGCATTTGATGAGATTATCGTTGCCATTCTCCTGCAGCAACTCTTGGGTGTGGGAAAACTGTCCGAGGGTGGTGATAGAGCTGGAAATTGTTGCACAGGGAATCCGCAAGGACCACGTGGAATTCCAGTACAACGCCGCAAACAAAGCGCTGGGGCTCACAGGTGATGGTTACTCCTGATCAGCACTTCTCATTTGTATAGTGTCTTTTGTCAGAATCGAGGGCAGCTGGACGCACAGTCAGGCTGTCCAGCTTCAGAGTGAGTTCTGAAGAGAGCTCGTCTCCTGCAGGCAGCCGGGCTGTGCATGGACACTCGGTGTACAGCGATGACAACTCGGATGACTGCTTTGGGCATGGCACCCACGTGGCCGGCATTGTGGGCGGCCTGACGTTCGGCGTGGCCAAGAATGCCACCCTCCACGCAGGTGCCAGGAAAACACCTCATTCGCCCCAAGCAAGCCAATCAATCTGTCTTGAGAATTTTTGTGGCATTGTCAGGAACACTGGCAAGTGGAATGGGGTTGCAAAAGTTGAGTTGTATTGATCAGAAGGGTGCATAAGATCTGCCAAAGATTGTGTGGTGTCCAGTGTGTAAGTGCTGCCATCTGCAGTGTTTCTGATAAGAAATGGCTTCCTCCTTCCAATGTTTTGCTGGTATGCAATTCTTCAGACAGCATGAGGGTTGGTGTTGGTCAAAACAGAGCTGAGTAATTTTGATGTCATGCTGGGCTCACTCTGAGGATCAGAGCAGGCATCATCGAATCAGCCCTGCATTGGCTGATCTCATCCATGCCTGCCTGCCTGCCTGCCTGCCTGCCTGCCTGCCTGCCTGGCTTCTTGGATCTGACTGAATGATTGACTCCCTCACTCAGAGTAAGAGAAAAATGAATGACTGGCCGGCTGTGGCGGCGCAGTGCGGTGCATATCGTGCGACGGGTCGGGGCAGGCGTCGGCGGTGGTGGCGGCGCTAGATTGGCTGGCCGCCAACGTGCGCCTGCCCGCCGTCGCCAGCATGTCCCTCGGCGCTGGGCAGCCCGACAGCGTCCTCGACGCTGCCACGTCCACGATCCTCTCAATGGGAGTCACCGTCGTCACCGCCGCCGGCAACTACAACAACGGTGCAATTTCCCCCAAAGCCCCTCTTCACAAAGCATCTTTGATGCAAGCAAGCATGGTCAGGCGCCCTTGAGCAGCCCTGGGCGAGGAGCACTGAACACCTCTGCACTCTGTGGACCCTAAGGTCTCCTGTTTTGCCCTGACTGCCTGAGCTTCTAAGCTTTATTATTTATTCATCTGAGCACAGCATGCCTGCTCCTGGGCAGTTCTGATGCCGAAGTGACACTGGAGCCCGAGCCTGAAATTGTCAACCCCATGGGAGTCGTCAGTTTGTTACAAAGCATGTCACCTGCCTGGAGAGTCATCCTCATGTCGTGCTTTGAGAAGTCGTGTTTTGCGACGCAGATGCGTGCGGCATAAGCCCGGCAAAGGTGCCAGGGGCGATAACGGTGGCGGCCACAGATTCCGCGGATGCGCGGTGGGACTACAGCAACTACGGGTCCTGTGTGGATGTCTATGCGCCAGGAGTGCAGGTGCTTCACCCTAAAACCTGTTGCACAAATCAAGCCCCTGCATGCACAACTCGCAAAGGCTGGTTGACTTGATTTAGGATGATGTAGGGATCACGCCAGAGCGAGTGCGCGAGATAAGAGGAGGGGCTGTCTTTGCTGTTTTGCAAAGGATGCATCTCAGCTGAAGGGGACAAGATCCCATGCACGGGTTTCCTCTAATTTCTTGCCATCATGGTCGCGCTGAGGATTTCTAAGTGGGGGCATTGCAGGTTCGCAGCGCCATGTTCTACACTAAAACTGCCAACATCACCGCGTCGGGCACATCCATGGCCTGCCCGGTCGTCTCTGGCATCTCCGCCCTCTACCTGCAGGCCAACCCCGCCGCCGTCCCCGCTGAGGCGCGACCCCACCCCATCACAGTGCTTCAGCCAATTCCTACCGCTGCTCTCTTCCCTGCGTTGCAGTGCTGTCAACGAGCTGCACGTTGGCACTGAAGCTCACTGTTTTGAGTGACTCCCCTCAACGCCACCTGCAAATGGCAGTCAATGTTGTCGCTCCCTCCACTTCATCTGAGAGCTCTCAAGGCGTGCTGCATGTTGCAATCTATATCGGCACTACCTCTTCTGTGACTGGAAGCCTTAAGCGCAGGGCTGCTTTGGGTGTATGACCGGGCATCAGTAGCGGGCTGACACTGGGAAGGTTGGCTGCTGGTCTCGCAGGTGCAGGCATTCATCCGGGGCAATGCAGTGGCGAGCGTGGTGCAGGATGCGCTGGAGGGCACTGGGACGCCCAACCTGCTGGTGCAGACCGACCTGACGCAGGTGCCCACGATCACAATCGCGCCCGACCCGCTGCCGCCGGCCGTGCTGTACGAGGGCTCCTTCGCGGCCACCTTAAACCAAACGCTCACCCTCGGCAACGCCGCCAACACCACCGTCAACTACACCGTGCGGACCCCCTGCATTGCTCTTGCTATGTCGGAATCGTTAGTTAGGTACATACAGTGCTTTCGTCACACAAGACATCTGAGCAGCACCACCGTCGATGACACTGTGCGGCAGTTGCAGAGCCCTGCCGGTGGTGTATGTGGGAATCACTAGGCATGGTGTGTACTTGTTATGGCACACCAGACATCTGAGCAGCCCTTGTTGGCTAGAGTTGCTGAGAAATGAGCTTCAGTAGCCCAAACCAGGACAACCAGGGGAAGTTTGGCACAGATGTGATGATGCTCTTTCTGTCTCTGCGCAAAGATTTGCAGCAAATCAGCATGCTACCTTGCAGGGCTCTTTAATCTGACTTTGTCAGGCAGGCAGTCTGAAAGAATCGATTACTGGGTGCAGGTGACTGTGACGCCCCTGGGAGTGATTGGAGGCTGGCTGTCGGCTGTGCCTGCAGCGGGGTACGTCCTGCCCAACAGCAGCAGTGGCATCCTACTCGCGTACGATGTCAGCCAGAATGAGTTCCAGGGCAAGTACCAGGCCGAGGTCCTCCTCACCACCACTGCCCGCCCGGTCGCCAAGGTGCTTTCTTTTCTTCCCCGCCATGCTGATTTTACTAAAGTGCAGAGGTTGTGATTCTTATTGCTGAGATTCGTGCTGCACGGAAGCCTGGCTGGTGTCCATAGAAGCCCAAGCACCCTTATCATAGCTAGGAGCTGCACCTGCAAGCTGTGAATGAATGAATGTTTCTGGGTCGCCTGGACTTGCTATCCAGCAATGTGAGCAACTGTTCTCCGGTGAAGTCACCTGTTTATTCTCCATCCTATAAAACCACCTGTCATATTGCATTATTAGGGCTCCTGGGACAATGTGCCACTCCTGAGTGTTGTGCTGGTTTCCCTGCAGGTGCTGACAGCGACGGCGTATGTGTTCTGCGCGGACCTGCAGAGCGTGCCGGCGGGCGGCGCGCACTCGGTCAGCTTCATAAACTTTGCACTGGTGCAGGACACACGGCCGGCCACCTCCGACTGGCCATCCATCGCCCCGGAAGGTCCCCACGTCTACGCCCGCATCGCCATCAGGCGCGCTCCCTTTATCCCACCTGCCTCTGTGCTTGCAGGAGCACTGCGGCGCAAGAAGGACTGAAGAAGTGCAGTGCGGCTTGGGTCATCAAATGCAGACATGCCGCGACCAGGGTCAGTGCAGCCAGGCACGAGAATGGTCTTGGGAAGCACAGCTGAAATCAAACATCATGAGAAATCGTAAGCAAACCAGCGACTTCCCTCTTCTCACTAGCACAGGCTGGGACGTGACTGTGAATATGTGAGGCACTGATTAGCCGATATGCCCCACGATAGGTTCTCGCATCCGGTGGGCGATCTGGCGGTTGCGGCGCTGGCAGTGAACGAGGGCGCTGGTAGCGTGGAGAAGGTGGTGTCGCAGGGTCCGCGCGGCAGCATGTGCAGCGACTTCCTGGTGTACGCCAAGGTGCCCTTCTCGCCCTGGGACAGCGCCACGACCACGCTCTGCCTCTCCCTCGCCGGCGACCGCGCGCCCGACGTCTTCGGCACTGCCTTCCCCGACGCAAAAAACTGCACCACCCTCGACCACAGGCGCGCCTGTCACCCCTCCGATGTGCTGCATGCGCACAGGTTTTGCCTCCGATTCTGCACACGCAATACAAATGTGGTAGAAATTTGGGAGGCTCATCACAGCCATGCAGCGGCCGTGGCAGAGCTGTTTCCATTATTAGAGCTTGATTGCAGTGGGCCAATCTTTGAGCAACGGCAGGTTCTGCTGAGTAAATGTGGGGCAGCCGCCAGCACAGGTGAGATGTGACTTGGTGGTTCAGTTACGTGAAAGTGGCGATGGGTGCGCAGGCCGGTGGGGCGCATGTATGCTCCGTACGTGGCGGTCAGCAGCGAGGGCGGTGCGCTCACCAGTCAGCAGGCGATAGCGCTCGTCATTGTCTGGGCCGAGCCCATTACGGGCCTGGCCACCAGCCAATTCAAGGTGTGTCAGACAAGACCCTCAAACTGCTGTCATACTACTATCTTACCTCGTTCTCCCTGGTATATTGATGCTTTTGGCCCAATCAAAGCAGACACCTGCTTTCCCTGCGTCCCAAAGTTGCAATAAACCTTTTGATGGCATTGAATGTGTAATGGACTGTGATGTGGAAGGTGAGCGGGCCGGCCACTGCCAGCGTGGCTGCTCTGAAGCTTCTGCGCGGGACGTCCTCCTACTACCACCTTCTTGTCAACCTTCCCGCTGACTACACCGGCTCCGTCAGCATCACTTTCACCGTGAGCATCCCACTTGCAAATGTGCTTTCAGGCAAACGCCATTCGGCAAGTTCAAGACCTGCCGACGTGGCTCCTGTGAGTATTGTTAGAGTTGCATGCTTCTGCCTGGGCTGCTTTCAGCTGCACACCATGACTTGCCACATTGGCACAAGAATGAGCTGCTCTTGGCAGCAATAATGTACTAGAGCCTGACAATTCGCGAGGGAATGAGATGCAATTTGGAAACGCACAGGGACAAGTGAAGGATGCGTCAGGCAATGTGAATATCCCGCTCCAAGCACTGCAGTTCACCAAGACAACAGACTCGCTCCTGGAGCCGACATCTTTCAGGATATTGAAGTCTCCCGGTCTGCTGGCGCTCACATGACACAAGCCTGGATATGCCAGCTGCCTTTATGACATGAAGGAGGATAATCGCTTTCAGTGAACGGGCAGCTGCAGCACGCATCAAACAGTCGGGCAAGCTTGATGCCCAGGCGGGCAACGGCCCATCCTGATGATGTTGATGTTGATGTCAACATCAACTTTGATGCTGTGCCTACTCGCTATTGAATCAGCCTTTGCCTTTAGGCTCAAGAGAGTGTTTGGCAGTGCCTGGAATGTCTAAGGTACAGCCATGCATGTAATCATTCGAGGCCTGTGATCATGAACTTGTTGCAACATTCTGAATTGGATTTAGCTAAGATCTATAGATTGTACTAAGCTAAGAGCAGACTTGAGCTTTTCTAGCATTTGTACAAGAGTCTGCACAATTCTGCCCATCTACTCTGATGCAGGAGGCCAGGAATTACATACAGTGAGGCAGATGCATTTCTCAAGGTCTTTTCGACTTGATGCTGTACAAACATTGAATGGAAGAACACAAAGAGTGGGCAGGGACCACCTACACATAGGAATATGCTTCCACCTCCAAAGTAGGACTCAGGCCTAACCATCAGCCAGCCATTCCTTTTGCACCTGTGGTTGCCACTTGCCAGTGTCGACAGTCACAGAGTCAAAGCATTCACAGCTTGACAAAGCCTGACGTCGCCCGTTTACAACCATTATTCACATGGAGCCAGGCCTCAAAGTTCGATGAACTTGACATAGGAGTAGGACGCCGTGGAGAACTTGTGTCTGACTTGCTCAAAGGCGTTGCTGAGCCAGGAGCGCCGGCTGCTCGCCGCTGGAGGGGTGTCGTCTCCAGCTGCACAGATCAACCAGCCTTTCAGTGATGCACATTTGAGCTAAATCTGCCATGAACATGAAACGGCATCTTTAATAAGCCCAATAGTACAGAGCCTGAAGCTGCGGGGGTCCAGTGGGTTGTAGCCTGCCCAAATCCAAACCAAAACGTAGAAATTCTGGCTTGGGGATTCAGAGCGACAGCAACCTCACTGGTACATGAAGAATAGAGACTTAGGAGTGTATCATACTGTGATCACACAAGAATTGACGTCGGTCACTGCAGGAAGTTGAAAAGTGCGACTTCTGCCCGTATGTGCGAGCTGTTTTGCAGAACGGAAGTGTTCTACCTTGAGTGGCGCCTGCATCAGCACCCCTGCCATCCAGCTGCAGCGCCTTGCCTGCCAGCTTGGCTTGCACCTCCGTCAGGCTCAGCCCCTTGGTCTCTGGAAGGTTCAGGTGCACATACAGCGTGCCAAACCCTGCGCATATAAGTTGAGCTCAGTCACCACCATTTCTCGTGCTGGGCTGCATGCACAGCACAGCGCCCCTGCACAGGATTGCAGCTGAATGCGTCATACATTGACGGCCAGATCGCATGGCTGCAGTCCAACCTGGCATTCTTCACTGCCGACTACAACATTGTCTTGGTGCGTGCATGCATGCAAATACAATTATTAGCGCTACCAGATTACTTGTTTACACTTTACACATTTACACTACTACCAGAACATTGAGCGGAAACACTCTCGGTCACTTTATCTGCCTTGGGAAATCTGTGGGCCTGGGAGCATATCAGTGAGCGCTACAAAAACTTCTGGGTCATGCTACCATGCATACAACATCTCAAATGCGGCTTACAAATGATTACCTTGTGATTACTTCCATATTACATGGATTCTTGGCCTCCAAGATCTGGTGGCTGCACAAACTGCAGAATAGAGAGATGGTACAAAAGTGCAGAAACATGTGCTGGTGCACTGCATGACAGTGGGATCACCTGCAATGGCGGCGAAGACGAGGAAGGCGCCGGACTGCAGCCAGGAGTACAGCGAGAGGAACACAAAATTGGCAGCGGCCCCAGCCGCAAACAGGACGGCCATGGCAGCCGAGGAGGCAGACGCCTTAATGCTCATGGAGAACATCTCCGAGCACAGCACCCAAAACACCGCCGCTGCATGCAACACAAACACCGTCATCCCACAGACATGCCAGTCTTCCTTTTCCATCCAAATCAGTGGAGCACCTGAGGAAGTTTGCCCAATCATGTTATGGCCTGCCCAAATCTGGATTGAGCTGCAAAATCAAGGGCCGGGAAATTTTTCAAGTTGAATCAACAGAAAACTTGCAGTAGATGAAGAGTAGGGACCAAAATCTTCAAGGGAGTGCCTACATGTGGACCACTCTACTTTTCTTGAAGCATGCACAACAAGGGCAATCCAAAAGGGGGAGAACAAAAAACAGGGGAGGTGGAGGGCGTGGGTGCACCGTAGGAGGCGCTGAAGGCGAAGAGGAAGGAGCACATGGCGACGAGGATGAATGCGCTGCTGCGCAGGTGGTTGGCCAACGCCATGAGCAGCAGCGCCGCCGCGCATCCAGCCCCGCCCCACACCATCAGCGGCCGCCGACCCGCGCTGTCCACATACAGCAGTGACACCACTACCCCTGCCACCTGACCACAGCCTGACACCTCACCTCTCGTAATCATCTGTCAGGTCGATCTCATTTTACTGGTTTCCAAGGGCAGATACAACCTGCCGATCTCCTCTGTAAGGTCCATCCTATATTTACTGCTTCTTGAGGGCAGATTTTTGGACAGTGTGTTGGAAAAAGAAGTCAGGGACCTTGGGGGCTGAGCGCCGCACCTTGGAGGCCGGGATGCAGGCGGAGAGAGCTGTCGCCATGCCGTGCCCCTGCACTCCCACCCGCTCCAGCACCTGCGCGCACATGTAAACGCTGCTGTGAGCCCTCAAGACATCGACAGACAGCCTCAGCAGCAGCGAAGGGAAGAGAGGGGCTGGCTGGGCATGTGGTAGAGCAGACACTGATGGGCTGGCAGTGCTTGGCGCACCATAACCTGACACGCACTACTTGGTATTGTGCCGTGCTGAAAGGGGGCTCCGACCACCTGGGGGGCGTAGTTGACGATGGCGGTGCTCGCCATGCCCTGGTCGAGGAAGGCGATGACTAATGCCAGCCGCACTGCGCGCCGCTCGGGGCCGCGTAGCACCGCCCACACGTCCATCACCACCTCCTTCTGCGTCCTCCAGTACCCCGCCAGATCCTGTGCAGCCTTATCATTCACCGCCGGGAGCATCGCCATCCATCCTTTGCTGTAGACTTCATCCTGAGTCTGGGAACTAGGACCCGCTGCAACACCATTTCTGGTATAGGCTGTTCATGGCAATGCGGTCTTGCTTGCATGAATCTCCCTGTCATGTCGGGCGCGTGGTGGGATCAGACTGCAGGCGGTCAAGGGAACTATACCAGGGCATCGGCCAGGTGCCGCGCGGCTTCCCCAGCAGAGGCCAGGGCCTTGTGCAGCGCGCCAGAGCGTTGTTGCGACGCAGGCGCGTCTGAGTCTGTAAAGCTGGCGTCGTCATCCTTCCACGACCGCGTCCTTATTGGCGACAGACCCTGGATCAGCAGCCAGCACAATCATGGCATGATGACAGCAATTGAGATTGCTGCAATAAATTAGCCCGCCAGTGCTGCACACCATAGACTTGATTGGCATTTGTCCTATGCAAGATGGACGTGCCTGTGGGACAGTGCTGAGCAGCCTATAGAGCTTTGGCTCGATAGAGCCCTCCTGCATGTCCTCTGCCAGCCCTACGCCAGCTTCATCAACTCCCGCTTGAGCCTCCTCCGCAGAGCCCCCTCTATCTACATCTGCATCAGCACACCTACACATCACCGGCTGCGTCTTCCCAACACTTGCATTAAATATGGGCTTGGAAGCCTCCAAGCCAGCAAGTCCAGGGGCCGGCAGCTGCTCCCAAAGCTGCCACACACCTGCGTCTGTGGTGCCCGCCGATGCCACTGCTGCTCTGCCGTCACTGTCATCCCGTGCATCCAGTGTGGCCTGCTGTGCCGCCTCCTGCTCCCTGCCAGTCGGACCTCCACTCTCAGGCTCGCCAGCACCCGCAGGCCCTGCACTGCCATTCTGCTCCGCCTCTCCATCCCTCGTGTCGTGCCCGCCTGCCGATGCATCTCCGCCCTCTGAGCGGCTCGTACCCACAGACCCCTGCCCCTTGGGCCAAGCCACGCTATCGGCCGGGAGCCGGTCTCCCGCGGGGTGACCTCCGCCAGCAGCATGCAGCAAGAGGCGCTCCTCATCGCCCCTGCTTTCAGACCGCCTGCCTACATCCTTCCCGGCCGCCTGCCGCGCCGCTGTCCGCTCCTGCTTTGCCGCCTTTTCCTTCTCCACGTTGCTCCACAGCTCCATCAGCTCCTGCTCCACCTCGTCTGTCCCCACACCAAACACCTCCGCCTCACTCACACTTAGCAGGTCGTCTCTTGTGCACCCCTGCCTTGATGGCATCTTACAGGATACAGGGCTCATCTGGCTCACCCAGGGTCCAGGAACATCCACACTGCAGCCAGCCACAAAGCTCACAGAGAACAGGTAATCATAATGGCACACAATTCTGGTCCCTTGCGCTGGCTGATGAGATACATTTTCACCCTCATGAAAGTAGTTCCTGGTCCTTTGGCAGGAACACTGGGTGTTCTGCTCACCGTTCTGGAGCCCCACGCTCAGGTAGATCTTGTGGATGACAGCGAGTGCTTCGTCCAGCCGCCCGGACACCACCAGCCAGCGCGGGGACTCCGGCAGCACATACAGCCCAGCTGTATAGCGCAGGCAGCAGCACTCGTTAGGTACCCGTACTGCTGCACAGGATGACATTTGCAGACACAAGCAAGTGCATGCATGAGCCAAGAATGAAGAAAGATGCGTGCGCACCAGCCAGGACCAGGCCCAGGACACTTGGCGAGCCGACCTGGCCAAGTGCACACAATATCTCACATGGTCACAGCCACAGCCAGAAGAAAAGGCCAAGAGGCAGGAACTCTGGGAATTATTGGCAATACAGTGGTCGAGGGAGAGACGCACCATCCACCTCCAATTGTGGGGCAAGTGGCCGAAAGCCACGTCCATGGCAACGCTGGCCAGCATGCCAAAGCACAGCAGGATTTCATAGCTCTCCACGATGCGGCCTCGCAGGTGCGCGGGCGCTATCTCTCCCAAATAGGCCGGTGCCACCACTGCTGACATGCCAATCCCCACTCCCACCAGGAACCGGCCAATCAAGAGGATGCTGGCGTGAGAGGCAAAAGCCATGCAGACTGGGCCCACCACGTAGAAGAAGCTGTCCAGTGCAATAGCCTTTCGCCGGCCATAGTGCAGCATGAGGGCACCACCTGTAGGAAGGAGGCTTCTTCGTCCTTCAGACTGATGTGATTGGTGTTGCAAAAAAATGGACCGCAGTTGCTTGATGGCTCACCTAGGAAGGTCCCCAACACTGCTCCAACTTTTGCAGCTCCCACAATGGCCTCTTCCATGATCTCAGATGTGTTGAAATCATCTCGAATGTAACTGAGGGCACCACTTATTAGTCCAAGATCATATCCGTAAAGAAAACCGCCGAACGCTGCAAATAACACGACGACGACCAACATGCCAACATCAATCCCTTTCAATCATCGAAGCTGTTGGGTAGAAATGTGACAATTCACGCCGGTGTTCCTTCACTAGAAAGACATGGTGCTCAAGAACAGAACAAGAATTGCAAACGCATGTCCTAGTGAGGAGAGAGGGGCGAAGAGCAAGGCTATAGATGAGTCACCATGCATGCCAGGTGCATGCCAAGTGGATCAGGCTCCACAAGTACATCGGAGATCAGGACTCGTATTTCACATGCTATGATGAATACTTACGTGGCGTACGGGAGGCAAAAGATGAATAATTGTCTTTCACTGGTTCTCGAGAAGTATGACCAGTAACATGTTTCTGCTGTGTTCAGCATCACCTATTCCTGAAGGACCTCCGCGTAAGGATCCCGAGCAACGCTTTAGACGGCTTGGAAATAAGGACTCTGGTGGCTGTTACATTTACAGGGAAAAAAACAGCTGGTGGAAAGGTCTGTGCTCCATCCCATACACTGGTTTATTATCACGTCTTCCTATGGGATCTGTTCTTACCTGTGGTGTGTGCAACTCTGGAGCAGAAGTGCCAAGAATTCGAGTGAGGGACAAGCAGGAGCGCATCAACAATCTCTGGGGTGAGATTCTTGGCAAGCAGTTGAGAGCTAGTAAAGTGAAACAAGCCAGTTTGTTTCTGCATCCTGTGTTGCTAAATGTCCGAGAGGAGAAATGAAACGGCACTGAAAGGGTTGCTTATGTCACAACCCCTGTGAAACAATTAACCGCTGACTGGAAGCTGCTTGGGGTGTGCAGGCGAGCTAGCAGCTCTCAACGAGAGGCTTGCTGGAGGAGATGCGATCACAGCTCGCAAAAGGATAGATTACCTCAGGTGTGTGCTGATGTCGTAGATATGCTTTCCTAGCAGATAGATGAGGTCCATGGATCTGATTCTCAAATACACTTCACAGGGTGCGCAAAGAGCATTGGGCACGCATCATCTCAGCAGCTACTCAGTATGACACAGCAATCACATTGGCCCTCATTGAAGATGCCAACAAAAAGGTGCGCTACACCAGGCTGGCCCAGAAGCTTTGTCACTGCATCGTGCTGTCTTAGCGGAGCATGTGCGTGGTGCTTCCATACATTTTGTCAGAGATTCACCATGGGGACCAAAACTTTTGTGGCGCTGCAGATTGCAGAGGCCTTGAAGACTGAAATGCGAGAGCGGGCTCCGGTGCCGGTGTTGAAGAAACAGTTGCTGACCCTGCAAGCTGACCTCTCCTCTGCACACGAACGTCTGCACACCACACAGGTACTCACACCAAGCAGAAAATGGGCTGTGGGAATCTGCTTGTCTTGGCCTGGTCAAGCATGTCCATCAAGGGCACAGTCTTGCGTCAAAGCTCATGCCTTACCGCAGTTTGACTTGCCTAGGAGCGACTTGCGGAGAATCTGGCACGGATAAAAGACCTCCAGGCCAACATTGTCGTGCCAGTCATGGATCAGCAGCAGGATCCTGATACGCATCCTGACCACTGACAGGGTTATAAAGTATTGCTCCAGAGCTTGAAAGAATTGCTGCAGCGATGGAAAACAGGTTTTGCATGATGTTGACATCAGCTTTACTCTATCTATGTCAGGTAGTGAATTGTGGTCCACTTTGAGATACATCAGCCAAGGAAGACAAACATATTTGTCTTACAACTTTGAGAGCAAGTCCACTTGGTGCCTGGTGAGGAAGCATTTTTGTAAGGGTCTCAGGCTGTGCTGTAATTCCCAGGGTCAGGGGACAGTGCTTTCAACTGTGTAAACACCAGCGCTGTGGGGTGTTGGTCTAGAGATCTCCGGCATGGAAATTATTGGGAGGCATTGAAGCTGCACGTAGCGAGGCAGATCCGCACGTACTACGTACTAGAACACAAGAAGATTGATGCATACACTCTTTAAATGCCACAGGAACTGCATCCCAAGCCTAACAATTGTCATTAATCATGGCAGTTTCTGCTGCAGCAGAAGAAGACTGCAAGCCAGGGACAGGCAATCGCGCTGTCACTCTGGTGCATGTCTATTCGGTCAATGACTGTTCATTGTCTTCCCTAGGGCTGCTTCACTCCTTAGACTGAGTACACACGCTGCCATCAAGCTCAGGTGCTGCAAAGGCACAGGGCCATGCGTAAGCACTAGCTCACTTCTCTTGAAAGTGATGCATCGCATCATCCATAGTGTAGCCTACCTCTCTCAAACTCTCACACTGTCAACCCTCCGCGCATCAATCTGCCTCAGCTTAATGGACACACAAAGTATTTGCTCTGCAGAAATGATTCATGTACAACTGATACACGCAACGGGCCTGAGAGGAAAGAGCGCAAAAAAGGTCACTGTGCAGAGTAGTCAAGAAACGCAATAAAACCTGGGATGCTAACAAGAATTATATTAATCCCAAGAGCAGGAAACCCTTTTGCTTGGATTGAAACAAGCACGTTCCAGCTGGTTTCCTCAGAGCTGCTCATCTAGAAAATGATAATTGGAACCTTGCCGGCAAAGCATACTGAACTGGACCCTCGGCGCACAAGCGCTCTGGCAACAACCCGATGTCCCTTTGCAATCAGACGTGCGCGCTTCAAGACTCCCAGCTAGCGACGAGTGTGCCTTCATGCAGGAAGACAGCAGAGGCGGTGGGCTTCCATCCAAGACCCTGCCCAGCGCCCAAGCTGCTGCAAGGCTCAGCCCTGCTGGGGCGGCCCGCGCCCCCGGCCCCCAAAGCGCCCGCCGCCGCCGCGACCACGGCCCCGGCCGCCGCCGCCGCCGCCGCCGCCCCTGTAGCTGCCGTCGCCGCCTGGGTGGACGCCATATCCCTCTCCTGACGGCCCCTCTCCCCTGCCAGGCCACTCATCGACTTAATTGCCCTTCCTGGATGACAGATTATAGCATCCAACGAGATGCTTCCTTGTACCATGCCATGCAGGTGGCAAGGCAGGTCTGGGGTATCAGACGACCTCATGCCCGCAGTAGCATAATGTGAGCGGCAGTAATAATCAAGCGTCCATTAATATAGCAAAAGGGGCAGGCCTGCCGGGGTTGCGGGCACGGCTGGGCGCGACGGTCTCCTGCAGCGGCTTGACGAGCTCGTTCTCGATGGGCGCCTGGTAGCCAACGGTGGTGATGTCCAGCAGGGCGGTGGACAGCGTGATGGTGATCACAGACACGTGGCGCGTCGTCTCCAGCCGGTTTAGCCCCTCCTCCAGAGGCTCCCAGGTGTCTGTGATGTCCACAGAGCCGATCTGCGTGTTCTGGTGCAGCCCCATGATCCGCCGCTTGATGATCTCGGCTGCGCACATGCACAAGCCCCTCACGGCACGGCTCTCTCAGAGCTTCATGAAGGAGAGGTAGCTTACCTAGTATCCGTGCAGGAGGTGTGAAGGAGTGAGAGCATGAGAAATGTGCTGCAGACAATTGTGGGCAGAGCGATACCTATGGTCACGGTCTTGTTGATGGCGCGGCCCATAGCCTTCAAGACAACAGCGTCATGGCCCTTGTCCTGCATGGGCGAAAACGCATGTTGACATCAGCCTTTTTGCAATTCCCAGGGAGGGTATGAAAGCGCTTGAATGCTTAAGATTGGGTATACCGTGAGGAGGGTGGTGGCGTAGGAGATGTAGTTGCGCATCTTCCCAGCGGCCATGATCCGGACTTCATTCTCTTGAATCGTAGGCTGCTCGGTCTTCCGCTGCTCTACTCTGACGTAACGATCCATCTCCGCAGCAAGAGCCTAAAAGAGGTCAAAACACATGTCGATCAGTTTTGCCGGCGGAAGTAGCACAATTCTACAAAAATACGCAGTGGTGCTTTCTCAAAAAATCCCCACAAGTCAAGCATTACTGTTTCTCTGTCTAGAAGGGGGGATTGGGAGCTCCTGGTCCCACCACCTGAGAAAGATCATGCAATATCAAAGTTCAAGGATGACATCCTTCTTAATTTTCTTATCGCGGGATGAATTGCTTGCAGGATTGGCAGATCAGCTGATCACAGATAACGTGGAGATACTGGCGCTTACTTGTCGAATTTGCAGTCCTGCTTGGATTGTGTACTCGCCCAGGGTTGCTTGAGCGTATATTGTCACAGGTAACTTAACGGGGGAGGTCCCAGGTGTCTCGATGATGCCAAATTTACCAGCAGCGCTGGACAGTGTAGAAAGTACGAGGACCTGAAAGGAGACAAGTCATATCCGGGTGGGCCCACTAACGTGGCAATGACTCATGATGATACTTGATCTCAAGGGCAGGTTGGAGTGGCTCAGCTCGAGTCCATGATTAGGTGTTCAAGATGTGGCAAGACGCAGGCCACGCCTATGTGGAGCCCATGCATGTGCATTGCACTGCGGCGCACCCGAACAGCGCCACTGGCTGGCAGCGCCGGCCCGGCCCGGCAGGGCAACTTGAATTCAACTAGGAATTGCGCCGGCGCCTATTAGGTAATACGCATGCGTTGCGCAGTGCATGCATGCCAGTGGCATGCAGCCTGCAGAGAGTGAGATGCACTAATGCATGTGTATGCTTCTAAGCGTGATGGTCACTGTCTTTGAATCCTGCTGCACCCCTGACCGCATCATTTTCAAATGTTGAGAATGCCAGTGAGGCTGCACAGCTCCAGAGCTGCAGCTGTGCACTGAAACTCACAGCTTTGAGCATTGATAGGAGCTTCATAAGATCCTTTGATAGTTCTTATGAGCTGCACATCTGCAGCTTACTTCAGGCTACTGAAGTCCCACTGGACAGTGCAAGCACAAAAGCAATGCAGCAGTACTGTGAAAAAAGGTAGCGTTTGCTCAGCAAACTTAAATGGCTTTCAAACTACAAACGTAGTGTCAAGCGGGCCTTGCTTGACACCGTGATTGTGAGCTCAGTCAAGCAGGCCTCAAGGAGATCCCGCTGCTTCTATAGAATCTGAACACATTTATTCAGGCACAGCCCGTGCGCCCAGTCTAGAGTCAGAAGTCAAGTGCATGCGTTTCTACCAAGTCAATCTCTGACAGTGCTGATGCGAGTTCACAATGGGAAACCTTATAATCAACATCTCGCCGCCGTCTGAAATTCTGGGCTTGTCAGCTCGTAGAGACGGGAGACGGCGCGTGCAAACGCAAATTTCTCTGTGAGCCCGCTCTGCTGCATGGTGGCAGACCCCAGGGACCGCGATGAGTCTCCCAGGGGAGCAACACTGCCATCGCTCATCAGGTCTCTGCGCAGCCTTGAACCTGCATGCCAAGCATCACGATCATCCCTACAACTTGTTGCAGCGCGCATTCAGCAATCATCACAAGACATGCTTCTAAAGCAGCTTCATTAGAACTGCACCTTCAACAGCCGTCTCAAATTGGAGGCTCTCCAGATCCAGGATTGGTGCATCCCCTGGCCGCTTGAACAGGAGATGGGGAGCGCACTCAGCACTGACAATCAGTTGTGTCCTTGCATTGTACAGTTCCTGCTCATCGCAGCAAAAACAATCTCAAGACAAATGGCAACCATGGAGGAACGCTTCCACATTGTTTTGCATGCAGCTCTCAAAGTCAAGAGAGAGCTACTTACATCCACAAGGCTGATGAATCGCCGCGCGCGGTCTCTCATCTGCAGAAATCCACAACAATATGCTCAGGGTGCTTCAATGCAAAATCAGAAGCTGCCCCAGGAATATGTGCGTTGCATGCACACACCACTCAGATTAGATCTTACCTGCAACGAGAAGTCGGGAACATCTGTTACCAGCACAGCTCTGAAAGCATTGGCGACAGCAAAGTAATCCGCTGGCCCCAACGTCTCGCTGCACAGATCGTCAAAATGGAATCGAGCAACACTGTTGGCCGCCAGCCTCACCTGCAGCACACAACATGGAGCATATATTATTCAAGCAGAAAAGTGCGTCCTTTTCGTGCCCTGGTGTTGAGGCATGCTTTGGAAGGACAGTGCGACTCAGAGCTATTCTAGGAACCGGATGCTGACCTGCAATGTGCGGCCGAACAGAACAGGCAGATTTACTTCTTGCTCCTGGCTGCAGCCTTCCTCTGCCATCAGCCTAGACCACACCTCTTCAACCTGCTGCGAGGTGGACCGTCCAAGGGGATACAGGTAATTCTTGCTGGGTGACCACTCCCCTTGCCCACTCTGCAGCCCACCACACATGCCATGTATTTTGTAAGCTGGCTGCCTTTTCTCCAAGGGGCAACCTGAGGGCATTTGCAGGGCACTGAACTACCAAACAACAATCCACTGCCTCAGTAGGGCAGACCTGTGTAGCAAAAGCAAGGCGATAGTCCTCTTCGGCAGAGAGCTCCACAGGTGTGCAGGCCTTCAGGAGGCGCTCTGTAAATTGACTGAAGAGGTCCTCGTGCACGCCGTGCCGATTGAGGTCATAAGGCGAGCTGTTGCTGGTGCACACAATCACCGTCCCAAAATCCATGAGCGCCTCCATAACCCCCTTCAAAGCCACAGCTGTGAAGGGGTCATCGATCTGCATCTGCACCCACGCGAAGCATTTCAGGACACAGTTCAACCAAAGATGAGCTTTGCCTTTGCTATTGGACTCATCTGCAGAGCTTGGCTGGAGGGCAGGTTTAAGTACTTAGCTTACCTCATCGAAGCAGAGGAGTGATGCTCTCCTTGGAGTGTCTTCCCAGCCCAGATCAACATTAGTGCTCCCCTTGATCAGGGAGAGGCCAGCCTTGGAAAGGATCAGGGCGTTCCCAATGGGAGAATCACCCAGCTTCCGCTTCGCCCCCATCTGGGAGCGCACACGGCGTATGGCCAGTTTGACCTGCTGCAGGGCCTTCTGCTTCCGTGCCATTGGATCCTCCTGCACATGTCTCACATGCATCACGTGCCCACACTCAAGTGAGCTCCTGTGCAGACATCATCAATTGTGCCCCGCTTGGGTGACTAAGCTCACCAAGCTAGGAGCATCAGCTGCGGCCCCGCTCTGCCTCTCCTGCATGGCGACAGACTGGGCAAACTCATCCATCTGCTGGGCACTGAGCTGCATGCGCGCGCTCTCCAGTTTGTGCATGCGCTGATGCAGCTCATCCAGAGCCCGGTTGAAGTGCACTCGCCTCATCTTGGGCACAAGGCCCAGCTCCTCAATTGTGTTGAAGGCAAGATCCATCACCATCGTTTTGCCACTCCCCACTGATCCGTACAGGTAGATCCCCTGAGACAGCATGCATGCGTCATGGGCATGTCCAAAACTGAATTTATCCCCTGATATCATCATATTTGCGTCATGCAGGATGACGTGACTTCTCACTTTGGGGACAGCTGGCGGCGTGGGAGGTGGACCAAGCATGGATTCCAGCCTCTGCTCACGAGCCCGAGCTTCAGCGATAGCTTGCTGCACTGCTGAGGCGTCCTCACCCTCCCCTTTTAACAACGACCATGCCCTTTCCAAGTATCCTGCAGTTGTCACAGTTAAGAAGTGATTCTCTGCATGTGCACACCTGCAGCAGGATGTGTCAACGGCCCGCGCAAAGGATTGATACCTTGCTCGTCCTGCTTTTGTCTTTCCTTCTTTCTCTGGTCCTCGCCTAAAAGCTGCTTCCGCATGCGTGCACGCCGCTCCTGCAAGGAGAGTGGCAACATGGGATCATAAACACATACGTACCATTAATTTTGTGGATTTCTGCCTGATTGAGCACGACAATGTGTTGTTATCAGGTATCATGTTGTCTTCTGTTTTCACTCACCGCATAAGCTGCTGAGTCCTTCTCATACAAGTCCACCGCAGGGGTGTAAATTGCCAGCTGATCTATTAGTCTTCCAAATAGCGTGATACATCGATGCTGCTCTGCATCCTGCCTAAGGATCTTATTCTCTAGTAGTGTCTGGTACTTTTGTAGAAGCACAGCACCTACGGACAACAGACGTTTCTGTCACTAGTCTGAATTAAATTATGGTACTGATTGGTCTGACACGATGGCAACCCTCACCTGGCCCACCATCACTACTGAAATGTCTCGTCCACCGCCGTGTTTGCTTCCAGGCAGTGACTGCTCTCTCGGTATTTCTTCTCCACATTGCAACACGTGTTAAGTTTATTAATCAGAACATTTCAAGTAATCTGAAGTAAATGAAACTTCAGGAATGAGCGCAGCAAATCAATGTGCTGCTGGTGCTACGTCGACATGCGCGCCCATCACCCAATGACGTTTCCCCGTGGTTTGCTCAAGCTTGTATTAGCACTCAGCTTTTGGGATCTTAATCTGAATGTGACTGTCGTTGGCTTGCAGACAACACGTCTTGCCGACGTGAATGCTTCTCGCTGAACACAGGAGGTGCAGATTTAGGGTTTTCCATCCCCTTGGTAAATGTAGGTCAAGGGCAATACTCGAGGTTATCCAGTGAGGTTGCTGTCTCTCATATTCATCCGTTTCTCCTCGTAAAGGCACACGTTGAGTAGCAGACGACAAGCAAACGAGTAATCATGGCAGGAAAGCAGCCCCTTGGCCCCGATCAGCTCGGCATGCCGGCGTTCGACCTGAGCGCTCTGCAGAACGTCCTCAATGTGAGCCTGATTTTCGCTGTGGCTGACCTTGATTGCATGCTAATTGTTGCATAGCGTCTGAGGATGGTGTTGTCGTTCCGCAGGATCCTGATATTAAGTCAATGGCTGAGCAAATCGCTCAGGACCCGGCCTTTGCCCAGATGACAGCAGCCCTGCATGCTTCTATGGGAGCACCTGGAGGTGCGCCCGGGGAGGGTGCCGAGGCAAGCGGTGGCCCTGCCGGAGAATCTCGCCAGGCTGGAGGAATCCCAGCGATCAATCCCGAGCAGTACGCATCCGCTATGAGCAGCGTGCTGCAGAACCAGCAGTTCATGGAGATGGCTGAAAAGCTTGGGCAGCAGATCATGGCGGTGGGCCCTTCGCCTCTCGTCCATCAGTCAACGATTGCTTTGAATTATTGGAGCTGATTCCGCAGATTCTGCGATGTGCCAGCCTCTCACCAAATCTAGTAAAGAACAAGGTTTTGATCGGCCTGTGCTGTTTGGCTGGACGCAGCAGGACCCAGGGATGAAGTCCATGATGCAGACAATGCACGACCCAACCTATCGCAGCCAGCTAGATGCCAAGATGGGCGCCCTGAAGGACGACCCAGAGCTCGCTGGCATCTTCGAGGAGATGGAGAAGGGCGGGCCTGCAGCAATGATGAAGTGCGTGTCCTCCTCATCCAAGCTTTCCGAATTGCTTTTACAATCCGTTGGCCTTATCCATATAGGTTTTCATGTGCCTTTGTCATATAGTTTTTCATCTGCAACAAGGCGTCTGACTGCCAAGGGTGGCCAGATGGCCACAGCGATTCTGACCGAAATTGGATGGCGGGTCAGGTACTGGGACAACCCGGACGTGCTCTCGAAGCTGAGCACCGTGATGGGCGAGGCCTTCAACCCACAGGCGGATGATGATGCCGAGGGGGCTGCTGCTCAAGGCGAGGAAGGTGAAGAGGAGGAAGAGGAGGGCAGTGAGGAGCTGGCAACTGTCGCCACTGCCGCCAGCTCTGGTGAGATCCTGCACTTGCACACTCGCCAAATAAATCTGTGTCATTGCAACACATTCCTGAATGTGCACAGATATTGCACAGGCGCTGGCTTGCTGCTGTTTGTAGCCTCGCCTTCTATGCTTGGCTGTTTTTGTGGGATTGGGTCCCCCACGTACGTCCCCAGCAAGAGGGGCCAAATGCTGCTCATTCAGAGCTCGAGCCTGCCTATATTCCCTCCCATATTTTTGTTTGAGCGTCGACTATCATACATTGCTACTGGCTTTGCGTGAATTGGCTCATAAAAAGCCTGACTAGCGTGGCTCCTCAACACCCCGTAGGGGCTAAATCTCGTTCCCTGTTGTACTGGGTGGCTGAAACGGCTTTGGTGGTGGGCAGGCGACATTGAGCTGCTGAAGGAGTTGCTGGAGAACGGCGCGGACAAGAACGACGCGGACGAAGAGGGCCGCACTGGGCTGCACTTTGCCTGCGGCTACGGCGAGATGGCCTGCATGGACCTGCTCCTGGAGCACGGCGCGAACGTCAACGCCATTGACCACAACAAGAACACCGCCCTCCACTATGCCGCCGGCTACGGCCAGGCACAGTGTGTCGAGGTCCTGCTCAAGAAGTGCGCTCCCTCGACCCCCTGATATACTTTTGCCACAGAACCTGCAAGGAGCTTTGCTGCTGTCATTGGCATGTAGGGACATCCCATTGGGGTCCCAAAATTGCACTTGTTGGCTTTGCTCGCATTGATGTTTGCATATCATTTCACGAATTTTTGGCTTTGTACGTGCTGGAACGGCTGAAACTTGGCTGTAACACTGAACCCCATTCATTCCCTTGCTTGCAGTGGGGCCAGCTGCACCGCAAAGAATCTTGACGGCAAGACGGCGGTGGAGGTGGCGCAGCTCAACAACCAGAACAGCATTGTTGCGCTCTTTGAGAAAGAAAAGGCGTTTCTTTAGATGCCAGGACAAGGTTTGCGGTGCTTCGTGCATCTGCTGATGGCTCAGCAACTCTTTCAAGCGATTTGAATCATCCGAGAGGGCACACAGGTCAATTGTTGGATGCCTGGACATTGCTGGAGCTGGACCCAGCTTGAAGTTTGCTCAGGAATATCCTGCTGTCTCTTCATCACGTGGCATATTCGATTTTGTGTAGGCAGCATGTGCGGCAGTGCTGCTTGTCATTGCAGCAGGTGCAAAGGAATGTGAAAAAATCAGTGTTTTTCTGGTGTCAAGTGTTCTACTGTCACGGTGACTGTAACGATGTAAAGCCGAAACCTGGTGAAAGTATATGATGATTCTCCTGTCACATTGGATCATGTAAGATCTTCCGTGTCACACTAGTGTGTCAACAGTTGATCTCATGACAGTGCAATTCAACTGCAAGTTACCAATGTACAGTGTCACACGTACAGTACAGTATCATACGGTATTAATGATTGTCGTGGCGGCAGCCAGCTGGGCAGCCTGCAGCTCAGCTTACATGCAAAACTACACAATGCAGTGCATGCATTGCATTCTCAGTATATTCTGCATCTCTTGTGGATGTGGACAAATAACGTTCTCAACTCTGACGCACTTGAATCAAGCAAAAATCCTGGTGCTGGTGCCATCTGAACGGCAACGTAGGTGCCTGCAGCTGCCGACTAGCACGCCGCTTTCCCAATCTTACCACGTGGGGACCTAGTACTCCAGCTAGCTCTTAAAGTAGTCAACAGTAGGAAATGTAGGTAGTACATTATGATCGATAAGTTCTAATATCAAAGGTATCAAGGGGGATTTCAATTCAGGGCCATCGCAGCACCAAGGAATCCAACAGGCCATGTCATGATGAAGCTCGGAGGAAAATTTGTCGTTCAGATACTGAGCAAAGAGCAACAAGTGTCTGTGGGTAAGAATGATACGCGATATAAATCAACTTATTCCATTTCAATCTATTTTGCTGATCATTTTTCTGTTGATCGCAGGTGATGGTGTCCAAGTCGATGTGTCCCTTCAGAATGAGGGAGTCTTGATAAACGACCATCAAGGAGATGTGCTGTATCAATCCAATTCGTCTGACCGGGTGTGTACGCATTTTAAGTGCCCACAAGGGGTGCCAAGAACATGAGACCACTCACTTATCCACCGTGTTTCCTCTGTAATCACAGGCATGGATGGCAGGGGATGGCATGCTCTTCATCAGCTTGGAAAGAGACTCGATATCTGTGCTTGTCCTCAGATCTATAGATCCTGAGGCCGAAGCTGCCCTGGGAGAAGTTCTGCTCCAGCTGCAGGTCCTCCCTGTGAAGGATCAATTTCCTGGCCTCTGCAGATTGTCATTTTAATTGCACCATGCTTTGTGCCATCACATGCCCACGGGACACAGTAAGAGGCATCTGATCCAGGCTGCGTGCTGATCTGCAGGGCAAGTTTGATCGAAGGACTGAGGAAGCTAGTGCTGACCTGTATTTCCATTACTATTCCCTGCTGCCACACCAGTACGCCACACTGACTATGCCAATGAAGCTTGCAATGCTAGTTATTCTGGCTACTCATGCACCGGATGTCTAGTAAAGCTCATGTCGTTGCCATGCAGGCAGAACATGCTCCAGGACATGATTCGCACAGGTGCACTAGATCTCTCTCCGAGTTGACATGCATGGACCTATCTGTTGTGTTGCATGCTCCTCTGAGATTATATCATATGGCCTCATTACTCCGGCCTCCAATTCTGCAGGAACATACTACGCGTCAATTATGGGCAATGCAGTGGACTTCCGGGACAAGGTGGTCATGGACGTGGGTGCAGGAAGTGGCATTCTGTCCTTATTTGCTGCACAGGTAACTTCTTCATTTCATCATGACAGAGCTTGCTGTCCATATTGCAAGGAGAATGCTTGCATCAGTATGACATCTCTTGAGCGCTGGCTGCAGGCTGGAGCGAGAAAAGTGTATGCAGTGGAGGCCTCCAACATGGCTGCTTCTGCAAACATCCTCAAAAATGCCAATCCTGGTGAAGATATTGTTCTGTTCTGCATGTGCGCACAGCAGATGGAACTCTGTCATGTGGTGAAGTGGGACATTGCCAATGACACAGAAGATTCTAAGAAGATGTTCGCTTGCAGCTCTGGGTGCGAGAATCGAGGTCATACAGTCCAAGATCGAGGACCTGAACCTGGAAGCAAACTCCGTGGATGTCCTCATATCAGAGCCAATGGGTACCTTGCTGGTCAACGAGCGAATGCTGGAGACCTATTTGCATGCCAGAGACCGATTCCTGAAGCCAGGCGGTCGGATGTTTCCGGTATGTTGCATTGCATTTTTGCATTGCATATTTGATTATGCTGGCATTCCCTGAATGCTGCAGTTTGCAGGCCTGCAAAGCTCATGGCTGTGAAGCTCAGAGCACTGATATGCCTAGCACTGATATGCCTGTTTCAATCCCTGATGCAGCAAACAGGACGGATACATGTCGCAGCGTTCACCGATGACCTGCTTTACACTGAGATGGTGAACAAGGCGACTTTCTGGCAGCAGAATAGTTTCTTTGGGGTGGACTTGTCTTCTCTCTTTCAGCCTGCTCTGGATGGCTACTTCTCCCAGGCAAGTCCTTCTGCTGCATTACCATGTCAATGATGCACTTTTACCTTGGTGCCTTGACCCTCTGCAAATTCGACAATGACTGTCATATGACTGATTTGAGGACCACCTGATGGTCATCAGGTGGTGGTGGACGCCATAGATCCACGATGCCTGATTTCAGCACCCATGAGTCACGCAGTGGATTTTGGAAGCGCTCTAGAAAACGACCTGCATGACATCGTCATACCTCTGCACTTCCCAATGGGTGAGCCCCTCTTGCATGACTGCCTGTTGCGTTCCCGGTCAACAAGTATTTCCTAAGCATGTGAGTTTTAATGCTGACCTCGTTTTGGCAGCTGTGCCTGGGAATGTGCATGGCGTTGCATGCTGGTTCGACGTGCTCTTTGATGGAAGCTCCTCACAGCGTTGGCTGTCGACTGCGCCTGGCGTGCCAACCACTCACTGGTATGTCCTCAAATGACCTTGCTCACTTTGTAAGTCCTCAAGTTCAACTGGTGATCAACACAAGCATTGGCGAGCAGGCTGGTTGACTGGGTCGTGGGTGGCCAGGTTCCAGCTGCGCTGCGTGCTGAGTCAGCCGCTGACAGTGTACCCCGGAGCAGAGCTGCATGGCGAGCTGCGCCTCATTGCCCACAAGCGCCAGAGCTATGACATCCACCTCAGACTCAGCGTTCCCTCCCTGGCCCCTGGGGTGCCAGACCACACGGTGTGCTCCCTGCACCAACACTGTCAAAGAGCTGATATCGTGTGGTGCTCTGTAGCGCTTCCTTGCTTTTGGTTATTTTTAATCTGCTGCACACTGCTAGTGCGCTGAATTTGCCATGCTATTTCTTGTATTTCGTGAGAGAGTCGGCTCTGATGCCTGGCCATGTCTGCGACAGGTGACAGGCAAATTTGATCTGAAGGAGCCTTACTACCGGCAGCTCACAATGCCCTACTGGGGGAATCAGGCAGCAGGCAGCAGTGTTCCATCAGAGTCTCCAGCCTTGTGAGCCGCACCAGCAATGCAGCTATAGGCCCCACCACACCAATCAAACCTCCAACGAGTGCAAGGGTCTCCCGAATCTATCCATTTGCCATGCACCACAGCTTATTGGTGCTTCAGACCGTTTGCCTTCTTGTTGCTGCAGCAAATGCATTGTGTAGCGCCGCCTTTGGTACCGGTAGCGTTCGTTGCTTGGTAGCATGTGTTGTGTCGAGTTAGATTATTAGGCTGCAGTCCGGTTATTTCACATTTTGCTGGGCCGCGCTTCTTTATTATTTGTACCATGATGATAAAAGCGCCACTATGGAACATGAAGAAGAACTCAATTGCAAGTAGAGGCATCCCAGGTATCCCATGATGATGATCATGATGGATGCGAGAAGATGTTTTGAAAGAGGTCCGGGCCTGTAATTCTACTTGAAGAGGCGCTGGCCTTCATTCTTAAGGACAGTCTCTGGCAGTGACGGGGGGTGCGGGAACGACCGCCAGATTGAGTGCATTGCGACTGCGCGCATTGTGCAGCCTTACTGTATCCGATTGAGCCATGGCTGGCCAGTGAAAAAGGCTGGCCAGTGCCTAGGCAGCTACAGCCGCAGATCTGAGACTAGAGACTCTAGAGACTAGCTAAAGCTACAGCGGATCCACTGGCGAGTCTATATATCGACTGACCGCACATGCAACTTCAAGACTCAATGTAATTCATACATCTTTCAAGAAGCCAGATTTTTCTCAATTGACGAGAGAGGCTCACAATGTCCAAACTTCAGGCATGTCCAAGGAAATTTGCTTGGCATGCATACAGCATTCCCCAAGCACGTGCTCTTGCTGTAATGAGCCAACAGGACACAAAGCTCAAAGCTCAAACCTTCCTTTCTTGCTCAAAGTCTGCATCCGTTCTACAACATCACATAATGGAATTCTCATAAGCATCCTGGTTTTGGTATTTGGTGAACTGCGGTAGTCTTGGTCGGAGTGATTGACTCCAGTCATTGGCCTCTCAGAAAGTGAAGCAAGTAGCTACAGGCCGCATCACACCATCTTCAAAATATTTTCCCACTTGCTGCGAGCTCACTGAAGTGCAGAGCGCCATTGCATCTGGTCTTGTTGACTGACACGGCAGGTCTTGGAACGCAGTTTGTGTTGTGAATGACAGCAGTCATCAAAGCACAGGTACTTAAACGAAACGGAGAATACGCTTCAAGAAACGCCACACGTGAATTTGATGATCACTGCATCCTCAGTCAGAGTTCCTGTTGTGCTGGTGCCCACCAGCCATGGGGGTTCCCCTGATGGACGATACTGATTTCAGGGATCAGCCATGAGGTAGCATGAAGGGCGTGGGCGATTTCCTACGAAATGTGGTACAGCGAAAGGAGGGTGGCCTGGTGGGTCGCACCTTCAAAGTGGGCGCATACACCATAAGGGTGGAAGCCCACCTGGGAGATGGTGGATTTGCATCTATCTACAGGGCCCGAGACACCTCCACGATGACTGCCTTTGCGCTGAAGCATGTGCGCATGGGAGGCGAACCTGATGCCGTCGCAGATTGCCACACCGAGGTGTGCTATGCGCTCACCAGACGCAGCACTTGCAGGCTGCATCATGAGACCTCTTCCCTGTACTTATTATGGATCAAATGAAGTGGCTTACAGCCAGTTACTAATGCAATGATTTGTTTTGTCAACAGGTGGAAACAATGCAGCGTCTGAGGGACCATCCTAACATCCTGACACTGAGGGCAGTGGCCTACGTGGGGCCCAAGGGCGCAGAGCAGGAGGCGTTCCTGCTGCTGGACCTGTGCAAGGAGAGCCTTGTGGACCACCTGCGCGCTGCTGCAGGCCCCCTGCCTGATGCAGACGTGCTCACCATCTTCCACTCTGTTTGCAAGGCTGTGGCCATCATGCACCACCAGAGCCCGCCGCTCTCACACAGGTGACTTGCTCACAATATCTGGCCTACTACACTGAGATGCACATGTCTGCCGCAATCAATCAATGTGTGTAGACGGTCATTCTTGAACTGTCTACACACAAGGCACAACATCCTACTGGTCGGGACGACTTTGATGTTCTTGCTTCAGCCGCTATATTATTTCACGAATTTGTTGTCTGTCAGCTTGCTAATTTCAGTGTTGGGCATTAATGTATGTCTGGCAACCTGCTGCACGACAGGGACTTGAAAGCAGAGAATGTGCTGTTGCACAACAACGGGACATGGGTGTTGTGCGACTTTGGAAGCACCACCAGCTGGGCTGGACGCTATGAGGGATCCAATGAGATCATGGTGGCTGAGGAAAACATCCGAAAATACACAACACCAGCTTACAGGGCGCCAGAGGTGACGCTGCGTTGCACACTGTCTCAGAGTGGCACCCATGCGAGCTGCAATGTGTGTATTATTTTCATGGAGATCAAGTGCTTTCCTTTGAAGGCAGGTCCCTGGTTGCAGATGTTTGATCTCTACTCACGGGAGCGCATTGATGTCAAAGCAGACATGTGGGTACGTTCCATGCTCTGGCTCCGATTTCAGACCATGCCTCTTCAAGTTGTGTGGAAAGTGCATGCTGCAGCCAGTGATCTTTATTGGGAAGCCGAATATACACCAAAGCATTCCTGACAGAAATTATTGAATGGCTTGTAGTCTCTGGGCGTCCTTCTTTCGTACATCTGCACCGGGCAGCTGCCCTTCGTTGGAGACTGCAAGCTCCAGGTCAGTCCCGGCCTCCCTCCCTATTAATTGCTGCAAAGCTGCTGCAGACCTTACAGCCATTGCTCAGGTGACAGAGGTATCGTAGCCGTTCATTGCTCTATACTTTCACCAGGTGCTGAATGGGGACTACAATCTGCCTACTGGCCGGCCTGAGCCCTTCTTGGCCCTCATACGCGGGCTGCTGCGCGTGTCGCCATCGCAGCGGCTCAGCATAGATGCGGTGCTCCAGCAGCTGGAGCGCCTGGCATCCAAGCTGCCAGCATTGTCCCTGCCCTCCAGCGCGCCGTCAGTTTCCAATGGCGCCAGCAGCATCGAGAACGGCGCAAAGACACTGAAGATAACCCCGCGGCCTGCCCCCAGGGGTGAGGGATTTGCCACTTTTAGTTTCCCTGGCATATGCAGACATCCATGTGGATCTCTCGATCTCTGAATGGGTCCAGAGATGCATTGGAAGTCTGTGGTCACCAACAGCCATGCACTGCTTCAGCCGCAGGGCCCAACAGAGAAGTGGGAGGCAGTGGGCGAACAGCAGCGCAGGGTGCAGGGGGCAGCAACGGCGGCTGGGATGCCGGAGGATGGGACCTGGGCAGTTGGGAGCAGCCGCCCGGCAGCTCTGCTGCACCTGCCGCTGCTGTGTCAATACAGGTGCTTGCCGTATTCACAGCAGCAGTGCATAGCTATCCCTAAACCCATCATTACTGTGAGTCAGCGGCCCAACATTGAGTCATTGGGGCTCTGGTGTTGCAGGAGAGCCTGTCGAACCTGTCGAACCTGAGTCCGAGGCGGGAGCCAACGCCTGTCCCAGAAGCGGGCAGGAAAGAGCAGCTCCTCATGCCCAGCACCAGCATCGCAAGGCTGCCGGATCCCACCAAGCTGCCCACTCCAAAACAGCCCGGTGCGTGCCTACCCGCACCCGTGACCTGCCCTGTGCACTTTCCAAGCCTTTCCTTGGGAAGCCGCAAGCTCATGCTAACGGCTGCAACCCGCTTACTTTGTCTTGGATCATGGTGCGAAGTGACGTTCCATGCAGCAGGTGTTGGCTCGCCGGCGCCAAAGCTGCAGCTGTCCTCGCCGACGGTGCCGCTGCGGCAGAGCAGCTCGCTCAAGGCGCTGGGGGCGCGGGGAGGCCTGGATCTCATGGACGCCCCCGCACAGCTGCACAGCCGCAGCCTCGACCGGGGCACCTCTGCGGCCAGCAGCGACGCCGGCGACGAGCGGCGTGACTCGGGCGGCTCCACCGGCGCGGCCGCTTCGGCGCTGCGGCAGCAGCTGACGGAACTGGCGGAAGCCAATCAGAAGCTGACGGCAGCCATCCAGGAGAAGGACTCTCTCATTGAGCAACTGCAGGCGCGCCCCTTGCACCTCTGGAGACCTGTATCACAATCAATAACACGCCGACAGCTCATTATTAGATCCTAATGCGCTACATGCCTTCAACCCAATATTGCAGCCAGCTGTAAGCACTTGAATGGCTTGCCAGGCACCGCAAAGTGTTCTGTAATCTTCTCTGCCTGATCGCCAGCGTTTCTGGTGACGCAGGCAGAAATAGATCGCTCAAAGCCGTCCAGGCAGGCACCAGCAGCAGAGTCACAGCGCGTCAGCAGCAGGAACAACAGCCATGGCGGCTCAGCGGATGGCGGCTGGGTGGCATCTTTTGGTTCGTCGCGAGATGGCTTGCGGCCTCAGACCAGCAATCTTGCAGAGCCACTGCACCCCGGCAGCGGGACCACATCTCCCCAGGCCTCCCTGCGCTCCACTGTCTCCTCCTGGGGTAAGGACCGCCTTAAACGTGAATCCCCTTCTTTCTGTGACCTGCTAGGGCACATGGGGTTAGTACAAATCAACGAGTGTCAGCCTGCCTCGAACATGTGTAGCGATGGTAGATCAGCACTGAACTTAGCATAAACAGCACTGAAGCGTCTGTTTGTAAAGCCTGCCAAAAATATGTGGAGCGATGTGGGATCGAGTATTATTACTAATACCTGGTTGCTGGTGGAACTGGATAACATCTGCTTGCATGTGCATGCCCAGACAAGCAGCACACAGATGAGCTGCCTCGGCTGGGCAGGGTGAACTTAAAGTGAAGCAGGCCAGACAAGGTAGAGGCAGGCAAGGAAGTCCAATCTGCGGCGTTGTCTCACTGCTGGCACCAAACATGGGCGTTCTCTGTGCAGGGAAGGAAGGGGCTGCAGAGCCCGGCACGCTGTCACCAGACCACCCGCTGAAGAGCCTGGAGCAGTCCCTGAGCCAGCTGGACCCCTTCACACATGCGGCCAAGCCCCTCACAGCAGCTCCTGTGGAGCCGGCGGTTGCAGCTCCCCAGCTCAAAAAGGGGCCGTCGCGCCTGGGCATGAAGCTGCGCGGCAACTCCTTCGAGGCCTTTGAGGACGTGGCCGTGCCCAGCGATGCCGGTCACCTCAACGCTCCCGACAGCGCCACTGCAGCCTCCGCTGCAGAGCAGGGCGGCGAGGGCGCCATGGGCAAGAGCAAGGGCAAAGGGCCCCGCCACAGGCGGACCACCAGGCAAGCAGATCCTATTTTGTGGATATAAATATATGGTTGATGCATGCTGACTGTGTGGCCCGGCATTTATTTTCTGTGCTGTGGCCCGGCATCTAGATATCTGAATAGTGTGATCCTTCTAATTGACATGTAGAATGTCTGCTCAAGCTTACATGCAAAGGGACGATGCTCATGTGTGTGGGGTGCCATGCAGTGAGCCGACGCCCATTGACAGCTGGCAGCCGCAAACTGAGTGGTCGTGAGATGTTTGGCACACGGCTGTGAAAGGGCCTGGAGATCGCATGTGCACAGCTAGCCGCAGTGCTGATGACCGCGGCTGCCGTCAATTTGCATGTTTGATGTGTTTGACACCGACACGCTGTGCTGCCTGCCTGTCCTGTAAATGTTTGGCCCATGGGTGTAAAATGCATGTCCTTCTCATGAATGTGCCTGAATGCTTGCAGTGAAGATGCTTGTTATGTACGGTTATAACGTGTAGTAACTACTCGTGGTGTGTATGATAGGCAATCTGATAGGAAGCAGAGACTGTCACAGTGTTATTACGGCTCGGACCCCATGGTGGACCGAGTTTGGATCGTAGGCTTGTTGGCTCGTGAAGAGTTCTCTGAAGCATGAATGCCCCTATGATTTCTGCGAACCTTGCATTGAAGATACTGTCTCTCTGCACTTCAGTTTCAATGGCTGCCAGTGCCTGACAAGGAATGGAATTTGCTTTTCACTAAGCACAGGCGCGTGCTCATTTTGCGTCCGAGCTTACAACATCAAACATGCAGCCAATTTGCTGCTGCCTATCTAGTACGACAGCAAAGGTACACAGTTCGACCAGGATCAAGACATATATCCATACTCAGGGGATACTGCGGTCGTAAGTTGTGCCGGTGCCTAGCTGTGCCTTCTCCTTGTTTTCTGCCTCCACTTGCTCAATGACATCCTGCACCAGGAAGACTCCCGCTTGGTGACCAGACTGGGGTGTACACGACACGTGCTTTACAGTAGCAGCAAGTTGAGGATGTTCTGCTTGAGCCAAGAGTAGCAGGAGCGCTCACCATGACATAGCTGTTGTACGGTGTCTGAACGGCCTGCAGCTCTTTGGGCAGGTAGACGTGCTTCAGGGACAGGTCCATGGCACGCTTCAAGCGCTGTGTGCGAGCATCGACCTCCTCCTGGGGCAGCCTCTTCAGGGCCTCGTCCACATCCTGCAGGAACAAGGAGACACTCTTGAAGCCCTCAACCTTGCAGATCCGAAGAACCAAGGTGCCGTTTTTGCCACTCCATAGGTATGATGACCTTATTTCTAATTGTACATTGAGGGAACGATGCTCAACATAACGCGAGAACTGCTTGGGCACAACCTACCCAGCTGAACGCACCTGGTTCAGGAGAGGATCATACAGGTCCTCGTATCGCAGACCGTGCTTTCTAAGAACATCGCCCACAGCAGCCTGGTAACGGACCGCTGCCCAAGTGAGGAAGGGGTCCAACACTTTGACGAGTGCTTTTGTGGCCATCAGTGTATTCCTATCCTGTGGCCGTCCTCCTGCCTTTTTCCTCCTGTGGCCCGTTTACGATACAACTAGACCACGCCGTGCAGCTGGTCCCTGTTGTTCAGAGCTCGATCTCTTCCGCTGCCATGCGAGGGAGGTGGGAGACCTAGATACATTAACGGCACGTGAGTATCATGTGTTGTGGTTACTAACTCATGTTGGGGAGTCTTCGTTTGGCCCATCCCAGCGCCATTGTTGCAATCGATCTCTTGTAAATTGAGTTGATTGCGGTATCAAACTTTCGCCTGCAAGGATGCGCCCGAAAGATTGCAAATCTGTTGGGAAAGGACAATCACTATGTGGTCCTTGAGGTATTTAATCAACTGACAGAGCAACCAAGTGATCTCTTCGTCTTTTTGATACGTTTAAATAGAATTCAAACAATGCGGTGCTTGTACGATGTTCTGGGTGTACCCAACGACGCGGATGATGCCCAATTGAGAAAAGCATACCGCCAAGCTGCCCTTCAGTGGCATCCAGGCAAGCGATCAAACTGCCAGATTGCATAATCATGCGAGATTCTCATAATATGTCTTGCCAATCAGCCATACATCTATCTGATGTCTTCAAATGTTGGACTGCATGCTCCAGACAAAAATCACGACAGGCAGCAGGAAGCGGAGGTGCGCTTCAAGGAGATCCAGAACGCCTACGAGATACTGAGTGACAAACACGAGCGTGCATGGTAAGATCCACCCTCTGCGTATTGCTGGGTGTCTGCCTTGCTTACACGTTCAATGCCATGCCCTTGGGCTAGTTGGTAAGTGGCTATGTTAATACAAACGCAGGTACGACAGCCATCGGGCTCAGATTCTTCGTGCCGATGGCAGCTACCAGGCCGGCGGAGGAGGCTTCACCACAGACGAGGCCGCTCCCCCAGAGGACCTCTCGCTGTACCAGTACTTCTCCTCCTCCTGCTACAACGGCTACAACGATGAGCCCAAGGTATGTTTGAAGCACAGCCATCATCCTTTAGACTTTCATTGCGCACTGGCAGAAATGGGTGTAGAAGGGGGCATTTGCTGAGGCTTGTACAAACGAGCGACAACCTGGCTAGAGCACGTAAACAGAAGCAGGATCAGCAGCATATTATTGCGGCGCAGGGCTTCTACACAGTGTACAGGGAGGTGTTTGAGGGACTGGCCAGGAGTGAGAGCGAGGCCGCTGAGCGAGGGGGAAAGCGGGGGCCGGCGCCCACTGGCTTTGGCCGCTCCGACTCGCCCTGGTCGGAGGTGTCGGCGTTCTACCGCTACTGGCTGCAGTTTGTCAGCGATCGCGAATTCGGCTGGGCTGACGTCCACAACCTCGCCTCAGCGCCCAACCGCAAGGTACACCTCAAACTCTTCCCTGTCCCTTCCCATCCCACCGGCGCGGTGCCCTGAAGTGCCCTGAAACTTCTAATCAAGCAGCTCTATTTATCGAGGTTGATGCCCCACAGCTGCCTGAACTTGGCCAAACAGTCAGGCATATCAGAAATTAAGCGTGTGACGCGGCTGGCGCGGGGCGGTACAATTACTGAGCACCGTGCCCACGGTTGATTGGGTCTTGCTTGGATCTGGCGAGTCTAACGAGGGGTAGGATTGTGGCAGCCTTCAAATGCAATTTGTCTGCAGGACGCACCTTGCCTATTGGCAGGAATGGCGTGTAATAATAATAGTAACAATTAATAATAATATTAACAGCATGACATGGTGCAGGTGCGGCGGCTGATGGAGGAGGACAACAAGAAGAGGCGGCGCGGCGCGCGGAGGGAATTCCAGGAGAACGTGCGCAGCCTCGTGGCGTTCGTTCGCAAGCGCGACCGCCGCGTGGCCGCCTGGCAGCAGCAGGAGGAACTCCAAAAGCAACAGCGCCTCGCCGCGGAGGAACAGCGGTCAGTCCCTCGCTCCCTGTCTCCCTGTCATGATGCCTTTCGCGCTACAGCGCTATAATCTCACTCCGGCATGTGATGCCTGATGCCTGCTGTGCAAATTGCAGCAGTGAACCAAAGCCTATTCAAATGGCACAGCTAGCTGGTTGTGTGATCTGTGATCCCATTTGTGTTGAGGGCGGCAGCGGATGGGGTGGTGCAGGAAGGAGGAGGAGCGGCTGCAGCGCATTCAGAGGGCACACGAGTATCAGGACGCAGCCTGGGTGGACGCGGCAGTGGATCACGAGGACAGCAGCGATGATGACGCGGCGTTCGTGCAGGACGAGCTCTACTGCGTCGCCTGCGACAAGTTCTTCAAATCCGCAAATGCCATGGCCAATCATGAAAGGTGAGCTGTCACCTTGTGTTTTTATGTTTGTGCCTCGGCTCCCTGACTCCCTTTATAATCTCAGATGTGCCAATCAAGATTAAAGGATGAGAATTGTAAGAAATGCTTGCAGGTCAAAGAAGCACCTGGAGCGCGCAGATGCGCTGCGAGCAGCCATGCAGGAAGAGGAGGATGCTCTGTCTCCCATAGCAGAATCGGACGCTGAAAATGACGTCAGCTCAGCAGGGGGCGATCCTCCCGATGATCTGGCGCCACCTACCAGCGAAGAAGAGGACATTCCTCGAGCATCTGGCAGACCCAGCACAGATCGGGAAGCGAGCCCAAAAGCGCCTCTCAACGGCCTTGACACCGGCCAACAGCACAGCACTGATGGATATGGCTCCCTGGACCAAATTCTTGCAGACTTGGACGCTGGTGCCCAGAGAGCCTCACAGGACAGGAGTTCCAGCGAGGAGGCAGAGACAACAGGGAGCGAGGATGCAAGTGAGGATGAGTCAGAGGCTTCCGAGGAGAGCTTGGATGAAGATGCCATGCTCGCCCGGATGGTGCAGGCGCATGCAAGGGTCAGCAAGCCCAGACCCAGCACCCGCAGACAAACGCATGCTCGGGACAGCGCTGACACAGATCACAGGAAAGCCGAGAGCACGCCACCGGAGCCGGTCAGCAACAGCACAGAGGCGGCTGATGATGGAGCAGAAGATCTGGCCAGTCCTCCTGCAGCAGAGCCTTCTGATGGCGCAAGCAGCCCAGCACAGCCTGAGAGCACTGAGGCAGCGGCAGAATCGACAGCAGAGCAGCCGCCAGAGGATGACAGGTCCAGCCGGAAGCCCAAGAGCAAGAAGGACAAGCGCAAGGCGAAAGAAGCTGCGGCAGCGCAGGACGGCCTGATTTGTACAGTCTGCAGGGCACAATTTGAGACTCGCAACCAGCTGTTCAAGCACATCGCTGACCGCGGTCATGCACAACTGAAGTAGGTTTTCTAGCATGCCTTCAAAACTTGTAACGTTCCGCCTTCTTGGCTATTCCATTACAATACTGGACAAGCTTATGCAGTACTTCACTCTTCTCTTCCTTACTAGGGAACAAAGGCTACAAAGGCTGAGGCAATTCCATCAATGTATAAACCACGGCATTACACCCCATTTTTGGGTCTGAGCTCAAACTTCTCCTTCAAGAGGACGGCTACATCATGCAGAGACCGGGCAACAAATGTGGGCACTTGCTCGCCCAATAAACCTATTTCCTCAAGTGAGCGACCTTCCTCATCCAGCAAGATTGTAGCCGCGCCCGCTCGGTTTCCACACACCACCTGTACAACATCAATCATCATTTCAAACAGGACCAGTGAGCTCAGCCTCGTTGAATCCTCACTTGACTGGATCATTGAATGCAGTATTCCAGGAATTTCCCAGACATCCTCAATAAGACAATGAGCTGTGAGGAAGACTGGTGACCGCAGAACATACATCGTCTTTCGCAGAGTCACCTATCACCACCGCATCAGTAGGAGAAATACCCCATCCCTGGACACCATGATAGTTAGAACAAGTCATTTCTTAGTCACAGAAAGGCAAGGTGATGTGGCAATTGCGTTGCAAACTGGATGCAGGGAATCTTGGCAGCTCAGCATACCTTGCAGATGTGAAGAACTGCCGCAGGACTTGGTTTATAAGGCATAAAGTCCCTTGCCAGGGCGGGGGTAAACGGGGGCAGCAGCTGGGACAAAAAATGCTGGTCGTGGAAGTATTGTACAGCTTTAGCAGTGTTGCGTGTCAGCAAAGCCCTGCATGTCATTTGCCAGTCTGTTGCGACCAAAATAGCAGCAACAGCATCATCAGACCTCTGGAAAAGATAGCAGTGATATGGACCCCAGATGGCCGACTACCTTGGGATGTGCATCGTGTCCAGAAGGGTGCATAGCTCAACCACCCCAGGATTCAGGGCCATCTTCTCAAGAGCCTGCACTGCAAATCTTGGAGTTTTGCACATGCAAAGGATCAATACAAGCAGTTTGACAGACGTGGGCGCTCTGTACCTCATCTTCCACCTCTTCAATTAGCCTTTTGGCTTGTTCCTGTTTCTCTACAGGCCAGCTCGCAATCACGTCCAGGAGGTCCCCCGTTGGTATGTTAACGCGACGCCTGCACAGACGTTCCAAATCTGCATCTCCAGTACAACATCCCTCAGGAATGCAGGAATGTGGGAGCTGAGATCAGCGCACCGCATTTCTGCAAAATCAATCACTGGCACGGTCAAAGTTCCGTCCATGTCAAATATGACACCTCTGATCAGCCTCCTAGCTGCATTCATCTCCTGCTGTACTATCAAATCCGATAGGGTGCGATCCTGCGATCTGCTGGTGCTACTTGCCAAAAAGTGACCGGCACTATGCGTAAATTTGCACTTAAACACAGCTTGGTTGATTTGCAGATTCAACTTTGGCCGACAATGGAGATTGCTAGTGCAGCCGAGCATCAACAGCGTTCCCTGTCGGGCTGGAGCCTAGGAGGGACTGCTGATGATCAACCAATATTTCCACTCATTATCAATTCTTTGGACTGTAGCTTATGCATTAAAAAGAGATGTTTCATGATGTTGGAGAATTTCCCTATTCACATGAATGGTTCGAAATGCTGTTGCAGCCCTAACAGCTGTAGGGCTTCCCCCCCGTTGGACCTACGCGGTAGCTGGCCCATGGGGGCGTCGAGGTAGCTTTCGCTGCCAGCAGCTTCTTCATTTGGACTCGAGGAAATAAAAACATCAGTATTGGATGCGACGATGTGACATCGTCATCTTGCAAAAGAAATTTGGAAGGCATTAGACGATCAAAGCTTGGCAACGGCCTTGGTCGTGGTTGTGTCCACGTTGCGGTGCTCCAAGACTATTTTGTTCAACTGCTGGCAATTTGTAAAATGGGCAACCACGCTTCCATTCCTGAAAGAGTGCGTTTCAAATCATGAAAATTCGTTTGATTCCATGGTTGAGGGTTCTGCGTGTCCTCTTTCAGTCTAACACAACATGGCCACATGCAGGTCTACATTGCAGCCAAAAGCAATGACATTGCCGGCCTGCAGGTATGACTACGCCGCTCCTCCGAGGAACACATTGTTTTCGCTGTTGTTCATGCCTCCAACGGCGATTGTTCTGTGCTCTGACACACCTGTGTTGGGGCTTCCAGAGCTTGATCAGAGATATCAAGAGGAACAGGAGGGGACCAAACTCTCTAGAATATCAAGATGAGCGCCAGTGGACACCATTGCTTATAGCTGCTGCCAAAGGACATCATGACTGTGCAGAATTGGTAGGTCCTTCTGCCTCTGTCCAGCCTCTTTGCAGACAGCCTGTACAGCCGTTGATCATCTGAGATGGCATCATGTTAATGGTGCAGCTTGCGAGAAATGGCGCCAGTGTTCACCATGTGAGCGGTCGCCCTGATGGCACCACTGCGCTGCACGAGTGTGTGGCCAGGGGACATGAACGCGTGGTTCATCTGCTCTTGCACTACGGCGCATCTCCCTTCCTTGAAAATGCCCGAGGTGAGTCGTGTTTCATGAACTGAACATGCTGGATTCGTGTGTACGTCTTGCTTTTCCTGCTTATCAAGACCCAGGAAAAATGGCGGATTTGGATTGGCGCAGGGCTGACCGCGATTGACGTGGCAATCAACAACAGAAATGTGGCGATGGTGCGGAAGCTGGAGACCCGCGCCCAGTTTCAATCAATGCTGCTGATGAAGGTGCCCAAGTGGGCCAACCTCGGCACAGAATGGAAGCCCAGGTAGCGCACCCCACAAACTACCTGCACGCTCTCCTCCAAGAACATTCCTGGCCACTGGCACACCTACATGTTATCAAGTACGATTAAAAAACAGCAGACGCGCTTAGCTGCATCTCATGCTGGCTCTGCCCCATTGACCATGCCTAGGAGCTAATGAGGCTTCTGTCAGAGATGTGAAAGATAAAAAGGGCGACGAGGATTAATGAGAGCGAAAAAGAGATCTAAAGAAGCAATTCAATGTCTGCCGTGCAGGTGGGTGGCGATAATGCCGCGGTATCCGAGCCCGGTGGCGCCGGCTGGCACGGAGCGGCTGGTGCGCACGCTGCTGGTGGCCTACAAGGGGCGCGACCAGGTGGTGCCCGTGCTCAAGGTGTGGCTGGACGGGGCCATCGCGCGTCCCGTCGTGGGCTACAAGGGCAGCTCCGCGTTGCAGTGCGCGCTCGTGCTGCACCGCCTGCACGCAGCCCCCTCCGGCGCCCACCTCACCGGCGAGCAAGGTGCGCTGCCATGTCCCTTGGTGGCTTCTTTGACCTAGGATTGGCCGATGCAAGCCAAATTTTACTTCTGAGCTCGAAAGCAGCGCAGTCTTGCCTGGACTGCTGCGTGAACCTGCAAACTTCTTTGCAGAGTCTGATCACGCAGAGCCAGATGTCTGTTGAGCAACTCTCTGACATTTTATCATTGTTTGAGAGTCACCCATGACGCTGCATCTGCGATCTGCTTGTGATTGGAGTGTTGGGGGGTGTGACTTAGATTTGTTGGTTGCTTGGGACAGGGTCTGGCTACACGCTGCACATCCGGCCGGCTGATGAGCAGCCTGCAGCCGCAGCCGTGCTGCGCCATTTCATCAACATCGTCAACCACAGAGATGGGCCGCTCCCAGGTCTGCTGCTCCTAAGATCTAGTCAAGATTCTCAATCAGGCATGTTTCAGCCAGTCAAGCTGTATGGTCTGACATGGATGCTGGTTTGTGCACTGCAGTAGCCCAGGCGGCTCAGCAGGCCCCAGCAGTCGTGGGGTACCCTGCGGTGTCCCCTTCCAAACTTCCCGAACCACCGCTGTCGATCATGGCCTCCGCAGGTGCGTCATGATCACCTGAGCTGTCCGTAAGCAGCTCATATGCACCTGAGGATTGCACATGCAAGGCAGATTCCCCAACGCAGTATTTGGCTGTGCAGCAGGCGCTGGCGAGTCTGATGAGGATCTGGCGAGGCGCCTGCAGGAGTACTACAACAGTGAGGCAGGTGGTGGCCAGCAGCCGCCTCGAAAACCAGCGGCCACTGTGCACTCGCATCCTCTGCCCGCCACTCCGACAGCGTCTGCAGAGCTCCCAACCTCAAACCCCCCTACTGTGCGTGCTCTCCATTGTTGATGATGGACCTCCATCTTTACTGCAACTGGCGTGACAGTCATACTTCTCTAGAGCGATTAGCTAGTCTGGGGATTTTGCGAGCAGCAGTGGATGAAGCAGATGAATGCTGTGCAGATTGGACCTGGGCCCCTGCAGAGCAGTGCAAATGTGCACTACCCGACCATTGTTGGCGGCATCCCTGGGGTGGGCACCAGTGCGAGCCACAACGAGGGCAGCACGCCCGTCACACAGCAGCCGCCCACTCCTGCGTAAGTGTCATTGCCTAATACCCTGTGAACCCGTATACTGATTACTTGATTGCCGCTCTGCTGCATGTGTGTAGTCATTTAAAGAAGGTATTCTGCCTGGCTTGCTTCTCTTGCATGTGTGATGATTGTGAACTGCTTCTTATGCAGGCCTGATGGCAAACAGTCGACAACGCCCCAGCAAGCAACTCCTTCTGCCCCGTCTGCCCCGCCCATGGGTGGCACATCGATGTACCCAACAATCGCCAGCCCAGAAGTGTCTTGGCCAGGTCTGTCATTCACACTGATCTCCCGGCCTTCAACCCTTCTTGAAGAGCTAGCCCAGTGGCGCCCAAAGAATCTGTTGCATGGCATTTCAAGCGGCCTGCTCACACCTTCAGTGCCTGCCTGCAGGATGGTTTGCAACGCTGTCCAGTGCACCCAGACCTCCAGCAATGGCGGCCAGCACAGCGGGTGACGGCAGTGCAGCCACTCCCGCTCAGCAGCCTGCTGCGCCCTCAGCCCCTGTTGCGGCTGAACCCCCTCCGACAAAGCAGAACGGCAAGCAACCAGAAGCGGCAGCGCAGCACACTGACTTTGACGATGACGATGGGATGTGCGTGGTCTGCATGGAGCACCCCTGTGAAGCAGGATTCCTCCACGGCGAAAGGTCAGCTCTGCCTGTAGTTTCCCGGGCTTCCCTTACCAAGATGTAGTGATATTTTCTGCTAAAGTTCGCAATGCAATGAGTGCAGCTGCTGAGAGACTGATGCATATGTTTGCAGTGTGCACAAGTGCTGCTGCCGGGAGTGCGCGCGCGCCATCAAGCAGTCCCAGAAGACCCCTCTCTGCCCAATGTGCAGGTGAGCCTCTTCCCTCCACAGCGCTGTTGTTTGCCAGAGATGCGTATGCCCCTCACATTTTCTGACTGTGTGCTGCCTGTGCTGCAGGGCACCAATTGACGGCTTTATCATGAACTTCTACTAGAGGAGTGGATAAGATGCGTATTGTGCCTTTTGGGGCGAAGGGCGGTGATGACATTCCAAGCAAGATCATGGCGGATTTGCTGCACCCGAGGCTCCAATAACATATTTGCCCTTTTGTATCTTGTGTACTTGCATAGCTATATGTGCATTGTTGTAGGCTTAGGTATAAGCTTGATTGACTCGCTCTGTTACATTCCATGATTTCATAGCCTGGAGAGACCAGCCACTGGCAGGAAGTCGACTCATAAGTCGTAATTACTAAGTTAGAGAATAGTCCTTCCCTGAAGCATTTGGACCAAAGTCTTGTGTGCTTGTGGTGTTTACCATCTTGGATTCTGTCAATGTCAACATCAGAAGGTGACTGGTGGAATCTTTTATATTCAAGTATATGTCCTTTGGATTTTAACACTGTGGCTCTGCATTACTGCTGCGCATGCTGGTGGGCTTCACGCTTCTCATCATGATCATTCAGTACACTGCTTATCTACAGCAATATTGCTGTCAATTTGCATCTCCGGATTTGTGGAGCTAGTTCAGCAATGTCGCATCCTCATGCTCACACCGTGATAGTATACTCACATATAATCTAGTGAAAGCCTGCTTAGGCTGCATTAGACAAGGACTGCAAAGGTCTATAAAAACAGCACCCTCTCTTTTTGCAGAAACTGCGCAGCATGCTTCATTGCTGCCATAGATAAGACTATTGTACAAGTTGAGTTCAATGAATTCATGAAGTTCAGACACGACAGGCATCCACCATCTCTCTGATGAGAACCTCACAAAAATATCCCAGACACAGCCAAAAAGTCTAGACGAGCAGCACTGCATTGATGCAGCCGTCGTTCTCTGGGTTGTTGGTGACCTGAGCGTACTTTCCCCAGACGACCTTACCACCAGGCGTCACAAGACCCAGCTCGCTCACATTCACCTGCAGGCAGCAATGGACAAATCAGAACATTTTCATGTCATCAACCTTCAACGCCTTTGACTGCTGTCTATCTCAGTGAAATTCAAGCGAAGTGCAGCGGCTGGTAGAGCCAGCTAAAGTACGCCTGATGGTGCACATGCCACGTAGGATGAGTTGCACAAACCCAGCCTGCATCGTGGTCGCACCTCAATGACTGTTCCCTTGGTGATCACACCAAGCTGAGTGTAAGATGCGCCGTTGGGATTCTTCTTGACGCCCAGAATTTCGAGGCAGAATGTGCACTTCAGCTCAGGGTGCGTCACATGTGCCTTCTTCATGCGCAGACCTGCGCAGCCAAAGTGTTTGGTGAGCGAGGGCACATTCCCACCATCGAAACACGGCCATCAGGAGATACACGACTGCGCATATTGTTTGGGCCAATTAGGTCTATCAGACGCTCACCGCTAGGCCTGATGAAACGCTCATACTTGGGCGGCTTTCTGGTGAAGCTGGGGCCTACAAAGGTGACCTTGGTGACCATCCGCTTCCAGGCCTTCTTCTTCCGCTTTCCAGAGTGCAGCACCTTGAACATCTCGTCCTCTGCCACTGGTCGCACCTGCGCACAACTACCCCATCAATCCTCTGCCACTAGTTGAGGAGCATATTGCAATACCTGCGCGCAAAAAACAGGCAGATTGATGGAGCCGGAGGTGTCACCTTGGGAAGAGGAACCTCCCACTTGCCCGCCTTCTCTTTCCTCTTCTGCTTGATTGTGTTGCTGAGCACCTTTGCGCGATCCACCTGCGCAGGCCACAGATTTGTATGATCAGACAGCCCTGCAAAGCGACAAAGCAATGCACACACCGCACTGGCTGAAGAATCAGCAGCATAGCTGATCAAGGCCAGAGGTGTTTCTGCACCTGTTCACGTTCCAGCAGGTAGGCAGGGACAGCGCTCTGAGGGGCACCATCCTCTGCTTTGTGCTTGTTATCCCGTTGCTGATGCATGGCGATCGTCTTTTTCATCGTCGCCTTCTCTGCATGCCTCTTCTTACTGTACATCTTTGCTTTCAGACCCAAGGCCTTCTGTGCAAAAGCAGCCCGCTTGTGCACGCTGCGGGCCTCCTTCTTCCTCTTCTTCTCATGGTAATCGAGCCGGAAGCCATTGCGCTTCCGATGAAGCTCAATGTGCTCGCCCTGAGGCATGTTGAGTGAAAACTCTTGTACTCAAGACTCCGATCAAGCCAGCTATGTGACAGTGCGTCCGGTGTTCTTTTCTGGCAGTGACTTTGGCACAGAAGCCTACTATATTCAGAATGCTGATTTTTGTTCGGTAGATCTCCTTCAAACAGTTTATGAAGACGGAAGAAGTCAAGGCGGCCAGGACCTAAGGAAGAGACCCCGGTGCAAGGGATTTACACGAAACCCTAATCTCTCTCAGTACATGCCAGTCCTTAAAGACGTTAAAAGTCAGACAGGATCTACGATATTGTTGCTTTCGACCCTACTCAAATGTGCTTGTAAAGTGCCTTTCAACCTGCTCCAGTGATGCAAGAAAGCATCCTCCATGACAGGCTCGCAGCCCACCGCCGGTACCGCCTCCGAGGCGTCCTGTGGTCATAATTTTGATGGTCAGCCTCAGGCTTTGACTGTCAGGGACTATCGAGACTCCTCAGCTCAATGTTGAGAGTCACTCGGCGCAAGAGAAGATGAATGCGACAAGCAACTGTGATCATGCATGCATAGAAATGATCGAACATTATCATAATAAGCAGTAGCGATACCAAATATCATTCCTTCAAGTTGATGCACATCTGGGCCGAACTTGCCTTGGCAGGTAGAGCATTGCGCTGATGGTCCCCATTGAACTCCGTCAGAACGCATGAGGTCTGGCAGTCCTGAAGTGTATTGAACACTTCAGAATTGATGTACTGGTCCATGTCCTTGACCTGCTGGAACATCTGATCTAAGTTCCTCTCCTTCATGGATTGTACCTACATTTGCACACAAGTTTGCTGGCATGGTAAAGTCAATGCGCCCTACAAGAAGTGAAAAACTGAAAAGAGGACACTTTCAAGGAAGTGAGCGAGAATAATGGGACTCACCGCTCTGAGTCTGGCGGTGTCTGACTGCTGAAATCTGCTGATCTTTGCTTGCAGGTTCAAGCAGGCTGCTGCAGACCTCCGATACTCCGCCGTCAAGCGCTGGTTCTCTTGCAAGCTCTTGCTCTCAGCATCCGTATACCGTTGCTGCATGCATGCAGAGGAGATCAAGGCTTGCAAAGTGCTGTCATGACTGAAGGCTCCTCATATGGTAAATCAAATGACAATCTGCATCCGCTCTGGAGCACACGAGGGAGTTGAAGTGTCGAGCACACCTTCAACCCAGACAGGGAGTCTCTCAGCTGAGCAATTTTGCGCTTCTGTTGCTTCAGCGCAAGCACATTTTCGGTTGTCTTCTCCCTTAGCATATGTTCGTCATTGACTAGCTTGTCCTCACCCAATTGATAGGTGGCGTGCATTTCCTCCAGCTGCAGCTCCATTTTCTGCAGCTCCATGTTGAGCCTATCCCAACAGTCACACAGAGCACGTCAGTCTACAAGGAGCACTGTCCATCCTGGCCTTCTTTGGAGAAGAGCTCTTAGTTCAAGCCAACTGCAACAGTGAGTTCTGCACAACTCACCGACGTCTGAGGTCATTGTACTCATCGTTTGCATCTGAGTGCAGCTTCTCCAGCTTCACTTCATGATCTTCACTTGTAGCAAGATACGTGTCGATGTAGATTTGCTCCTCGTCACCCAATTTCCCAACGATCTCATCTATGGCTTCCTTGCACTGCTCCAACAGGCTTCTCCGCTCCTGTGCAGAACAGAAGAGTGTCAGGAGCTCAACATATGTGAAGTGTCTCCTGCACTGGACAGCAAGTGTGCACAATGGTAGTTGCCTCATCCAGAGCAGCATCGATGCGCTCCATCTCCAAGTCACAATGCTGCCGCAGAGAGTGGGCGTGGCTTGCCATGCGCCCCAGCACATTGTCCACATCCTGCCAGACACCAGGGCCTCGCTTTGCTTCTCAGTGATGACCTGTATTCAAGTAATGGGGAATCCTGCGGCCATGCATCGCTGTCTCACCTCCGCATGATTTTTCAGAATCCGCACGTGCTCCACCTCCTTCTTAGCAAGGACATCCCGCATTTTGCTGATGACGTCGTCCTTGAGGGACAGCATGTCATTGCAGGCCCCCTGGTGCCCGACCATTGCTGCATACAGGTCTTGCGGCACTGCCATGGCCTGGAGTGCTGGCCAACGAGTGTCAAGCTCTTCTTGTGCCAACATGCTGGCCTCTGCACACTGCAGCACTGTCTCGCGAAGCTCCTGCAGACACCCTTCCCTCGTCACTTGTGAACATCATTGCGTCAGCCAATGAATTTGATCCCCTGCTGCAGGATCGCTCACCTTCCTTTTCTCCTTTTCAAGTCCTCGGCGTGCGTTTTCATGCTCATCGTTCTGCTGCTGTATTGCAGAGATGTCCTGGTTGATGTCAGATACAAGCGCAAGCACTCTACGCCTGTTGTTCCCAACGTCCACTGTCTCTGCCCATTGATACTCCTTCTCTCCATCTTTCGTGACTCCTGGAATGCCAAAATAGACGTTTGCATCCCCACTATGCTGAGTATCTGCATAGCCATAGCAGCAGAGCTAGGTTGATTGGCAGACCTAACTGTGATGGGCTGAGCTTCGCTTCGATGCGTGCCTGAATTCTACTGCGTCTTTCTGCGATGCGGTGATCCCTACCAAGTACATATCAGTACAAGTGAGAGTATTCGATCTTAGATTTACCCCAACATGTGGGCACTATTGCCGGCATTCCAGAAAGCACAAGAGATCCCCTTACCTGGCTGACTTCTGTTTTAATATGTCCTCCATGGTATTCTGCCCCAAAAAATCACTTCTTGGAGCTCCGATTGGCCTTTGCAATCTCTCAGCTGCAAATCTATAAATAGGTAGGGTTGGTAGAGAGGGTTCCAGACATGGCCATGACTCTTAAACAGTCCCCAGCATAAGCAGACAGCCCCTGCAGCACCTCCCTACAGTCTATATCCTTGACCCAGATAAGATTTCCTTTAACGACCCATATCCCAGGTCAGTTTCGATCCTCCCAGGCTAAGTCTTCGTTTACTATATGCAGCAGTTACCACTTCACACACCTGTTTTGCACTGGATTTTGACGCAAATATTGCAGATTGACTCCCAGTCTCCCAACGCTTCGGGTAACCTTCTCACCTTCACTTGTTCAGCTTGTCACACCATATGATGTATTGCATGCTGCTTTGTTTGTGTTTGGCATTTTTGGGGGAAGTAGGGAACACCGTTTTCCTGCTTACCTGACTGACACATGACTCTTAAACTTTCCTGAAACAATAATTGATCCTGACCCAGAGATTTATTTTTGCTGGACGCTAGTGCCCTAGTGAACCTTTTAGCAAGCCCTGGTTTCTCACTTGACAGGATGGGATGGTTATCAAAATAAGTCGATTGACGCATCCTGTTTGAGAAATCGATCGAGCAAATGGATACCGGTGGGCCATCAGGGTTTAGAAATGCGCCTTTGACAAGAACATTAGTCGGAGCTGTCTGCCTGACATCCTTGCTATGGCTCACTGGAGTGATCAAACCACACAGACAACCAAGCAAAGTCCTTCTTCTCTTGGCATTTCCTCAGCTGGGCTCGTTGATCTTCGGGCCGGCGCTGCTATATCAATTTCGAAGCTTGGAAAGGCAATCTGGAACGGCCAAGTTCGCAAGTCTTGTGGGCATGGCTTTGATGCTGCAGTACCTTCTGCTGCTTGTCCCAATAGGCAAAGAGCTGCCTGCAGGGCCATTTCCGTTGATATTTGCATGCCTCACGCTTTTTCTCATCGAGACTCCGGCCATGCAGCACTTCTCCATCTTTGGCGTTAGACTGACTGAGAAGGTGCGAGACAACCTCTGTGCATGCCTTCTCTTGCCCATTTGTGCTTAGATGCTCAATCCCAATATGATTGAACTGGGGAAGCCACCCACTAAGGTCCATGTTGGGAGTGCTCCTCGGCAGGTCTTCACCCAGGCTGCAGCACTGCAGCTCGTGCTGTCTTCCCCTCGCAGTGCACTGCTGCTGATGGCTGGGGGCACGCTTTTAGGAGCCCTCCAACACTTCAATTTCATGGGCATGAGAGACTGGAAGGTGGCGCTATCTCATCACCCTCCTTCTCACCTGCATGCTCTTCAACCATTCCAGCACCTTTGAGCGAGGGACAGATTTGTCACCCCACAGCAGAGCTTCACCTTCAGTGGACGAAACTCGAGGGAACTGATGGGGGGTAAAAAATGTGAATTCCCAGGTGCCAGGGGCGGTGTCAGGGAGGTTGGGCAGCCTGTTGGCGCCGCTGCTTCAGGGGGACAGGCAGGGGCACAGGACGATGGTGCGGGCGCCGCAGAGCGGCTCGCGGACGGGGGCGGCTGTGCAGCGGCCGCTGGGGCAGCGGGCAGCAGCCAGGGCGCCAGCGGTGGCAGCCTCTAGGGAAGGTGTGGAGCAGCTGGTGGCCATGGGTTTCTCAGAGGAGGCGGCGCGCGTTGCCCTGGCTCGGTCTAACAACGATGTGCAGGCCGCCACATCGCTGCTGCTGTGAGGGCGGGATGTAGATGTCAGCATGCAGACGCTTGTATACTTGCGAGGGTTGGCGCATGCAGGATGTTTTATTAGTATCGGTCAGCTGCGGGAGTCCCCTCAATGGTGTCTTGATATGAAGGAACTCAGTGCAAACTTTGGTGTGACAGTGGCATTTTCGCGGGTCACCCCAATAGTAACGGTTATCATCGGAGAGCAAAGTTCTACAAGCCATGTTGCACGATTGTGGGGTTATAAACAATGCGGAGTGGAGCAAAATTCTAACTAGGGGGAGTTGACATGCTTGCAGTTCCTCACAAAGGCCATAGCAGGCAACTACAAAACCCCATTGTAAATATGGCACTGCCCCAAAGTACCTCCGAGGAGTCCTTACCAAGGCTATAAAGGTTGCCGTCTGGAGACACTAACTTGAAGATCTTTGAAATATCAATTGGTAAGTTCACAAGGTATTCAAAGGAAAGCTGTCTTCTTTTGCGCACAACTCTGCTACCTTAGGAATAGCTAGGTGCTCAGTCGCATGCAGTCGGCAATACATACTTTATGAGAAAGGCCAGAACTACTGTTGGTGCCTTGCCTAGGAAGTATTAGCCTGTTCTTTAGTGTCCGCCATTGGCCAGAGGTGCGGCATGGATCCCTTCCTTAGACAAGAGGTTGCTGGAGGTGATGTGAGTCTTCCCTGACAAATACCCATCCAGCGTCCCTGCAAATCCATACACCATATCATTACATGCTGTCCTTAAAAGGCAGAGGAATGCTTGCGAGGGTTGCAATGCACATGAGATCCCACAAAGCTCACCAAGCACGCCCAAAGGGAAATGCGCACCTGAGGCGGCAAGAATGAGGCCCAGGAACAGGGGGGATGCTTTGCCCGGCCGCGACTTGAACTCCGGGTGGAACTGGCTGGCCACAAAGTAGGGGTGCCCCGTCAGCTCCACGATTTCCATGCGCTCCCCCGTCTCATCCTTGCCCACGAAGCGCAGCCCTTTCGCCTCCAGCTGCTCCACCATCGTGGGGTTCACCTCGTACCTGTGCCTATGCCGCTCGTCCACATACTCGTCCGCCTGCCAACATGCCCACAATTGTCACACCTCGTATGTGCGCACTGGGTCTGCTTTTATGGGCACATCCAATCGGCATTTGCCCACCTGCATATCTGAGCATCATGCACACTTTCCTGTGGCACTTCTTCGCACACAGTGAAGTATAGTGGATTGTTTCAATAGCTATGGAAAAGCAGTAGAGGAGGGCACCTGGTAGAGGCGGGCGGTGATGCAGTCCATGGTCTGCAGGATGGTTCTGCGGGATCCCAGGCGCATGGTCCCCCCCTTGTGAGTGGTGGACCCCTCCGGCATGAACACCACCACCGGCGTCGGTGTGGCCGGCTCAAATTCCGCGCTGTTCGCGTCCGCCAGGCCCAACTCGTTCCGCGCAAACTCTATCACCGCCGTCTGCACGCACAGCTTGTTGCTTTAGTGTCACGAACGGCTGAGTTAATGACCCTGTTGCTGAGTTGTTGCTAAGCACCAGGACTTGCAGAGGCGTGCACACCAGAGCACCAGAGGAGAGCAATGAAACAGGGATGAGGCCGTTGAAGTACAGGTGGCTGCACCTGCATGCCGAGGCAGATGCCAAGGTAGGGGACCATGTGCTGGCGCGCGTACTGCGCTGCCAGGATCTTGCCCTCCACGCCGCGCGAGCCAAAGCCGCCCGGCACCAGGATACCGTGCGCCGAGCGTATCCTCCGCCACGCCTCCGCATGCTCCCCGCCCTCTCCTTCCTGCGCTCAGACGCACAATATTCCATCACCCTTTTTCCCTTCAGCACATTTTGCACACATTGCTGTTGCAGCATGCTCACAAACATTTCCTGTCCCCTAATGTGTACCTGGCAAGTAATAAATCAATCCAAATTGCAATCGACAGGATGATGCCTTCCACATCATCAATACAGAGCTCTGTGCGCTGACAACAACATCACTTCAGCTTGAGAGCAGCATAAAATTTCAATCAAATTCCACAGGAGACATTGGGCCACGAACAAGTACCTTGGCAGCGTCTTCGAGGTGGCTGGCCTCCACCCAGAGCACGTCCAGCTTCCTGTTGGCTGCCAGGCAGGCATGCTGCAGGGCCTTGAGCACGCTGAGGTAGGCATCCGACAGGCCTGTGTACTTGCCCACCATCGCGATGGTTATTGTGTTGCTCAGGCCGTCCCACTTCTCTGCAAGCCCCACGCGCCACCCTGCAAAGACACCCCACACCATTGAGGCACTCCCTTCAGTCATAATGTGCTTTGATCTGTCATGCATTGGCTTTTACAATGCGGATAATGAGACTTTGTGTGTGAGCGGCCAGACCTGTGAGGTTCATGTTGCTGTAGCCGCCGAGGCCCAGGATGTCGCAGATGGACTTGTGCGCGCCCTGGGCCTCCATCATGATGGGCACGTGCCAGATGTTGGACACGTCGCACATGTTCAGCACATGCCTCGGCGTGACCTGGCAAAAGAGGGCCTGTAACAGCATACGAAGCAACTCACTTAAGTACCCTTCAAGATTCTGCTCAATGCCGGAAAGGATGCAAATTGCAATGAGCCTGGTCACCCCAACGGACACAGATTGTTCGTTTGGTACACAGTAGATTCATGAACTGACTGGACGAAAGCATGGGGGCTCACGAGCTTGTCACGGACGGCGGGTGAGAGGGGCTCCTGAGAGCGGCATGCGAGCAGGTGGGGGTTCATGCCGAGGGAGCGCAGGACGGCAACGCTGTGCTGAGTGGGCTTGGTCTTCTGCTCGCCCACCACGCCCAGCACCGGCACCAGGCTCACGTGCACCACGCAGAAGTTGCTGGGACCCACCCGGAACTGGAACTGCACGGAATCAAACCACACACCATCAGATTTCCATGCATTGTGCTCATGCCTCCTTTTAGCTCAATCCCCCACCCTTGACACAGCATCCTGCATGCAGGCTGCCACACCAAATTCTTTGGGCGGTGCATGAGGCCATCGGTTGAACAAGTTCAGATCGAATACATCACAGAGACATTCCATGAAGACAGGACCGACCTGGCGCAGGGCCTCAATGAAGGGCATGGACTCGATGTCGCCGACTGTGCCGCCAAGCTCAATGACGCACACGTCCGGCGGCCCATCGCGGCCGTCCACAGGGATCCCCGCCACGCGCTCTATCCAGTCCTGGATGGCATCTGTTATGTGCGGCACCACCTGGACCGTCTTCCCCAGGTAGTCCCCCCTCCGCTCCCGCTCTATCACCGACTGCACCCAACACCCCTTCTTCACCATTCACCGCGAAATGGCCCTGTCATGGAGCTTGCTGGACACCTAACACAGGACAAGGCAATACCAGAGGCTCAAGGACCCACCTGGTAGATCTTCCCTGTGGTGAGGTTGTTGTCCTTTGTGAGGGTGATGTCGAGGAATCGCTCATAATTGCCCAGGTCCAGATCCACCTGCCCATGTACAGACCACCTGTGACACTGCCGCTATGACTGTGCTTGCCTGGCTGAACACAGGAGTAGCTAGTGACGGCAGGCCTCACCTCGCCACCATCATCCAGCACAAACACCTCCCCATGCTCAAATGGGGACATGGTGCCAGCATCTGTGTTGAGGTATGGATCTGCACGACACACAGTATTCTGGTCTCAGTCACCCAGCAGCCTGTACTGGGCTCAGTGGAAATGACAATTGTGAAGAGTTTCGTGGGCAGGGCTCATAACAGGGTCGTCATAGGCGTACATCACCCCAAGTGAGGCAGGACAAGACGCACTGTTGCCAATGGGAGCCACGCTTACCTATCTTGATGGATGTCACCCGGTGCCCACATGCTTTAAGAATTACACCGATGCTGCTGGCTGTGACTCCCTTGCCTAAACCACTGACGACACCGCCACTTACAAGCACGTACTTCATTATCTACGGTGTGATGCTTAGCTGGGAGGACATCGTATTTCACAACGTTCTCGGCTCATACCAGCAACACAAACACCGCAGCATCTCGTGCAATGATTTAAATTACCTAATATCTATCAATTATCTGTTATACCAATAATACTTGCCAGAAGGCGCCCTGGATGAATTGAACAGCCGCTGCTGCTGCTTTCGCAGCACGCAAATCGAATAACCTGGTCCAAACCCCTCTGTTCAGAGGGATTACGTCAAACACCTCGCAAGCCCTAACGCGATTGGGACGCTCGCTGGATAAGCATTGAAAAGGAGTTTCTAGGAAGAATTTCATTGAAGACCACTGTCATATTGCAGATCACACACAGACAGCCATCGAATGTCAGCACACACAAATTAGTGCTAGTACAGTGCTTTTCTTCTTATTAAGATGTCACTGTCAGCCCGTCGCCGGTCGTTGAATAGCAGAGGAGACTGCACAGCAGAAGTGGACTTGGCTGACAGATATCATTTTGATCTCCTTAAAATTTTTGATAAGCACAGGAATCAGTCAGAAAAGCCACGGCCAAAGTCACGCGGTAAGCTCAGGAGAAGAAAGAGGGCATCTGCCTTCGCCAGTATGTCAGGTAAGACATCAGTGTTCTTGACCCTTAAATCCTAATTTCGTGCTCGCAAGCTGATCTTTGTTGCCTTTTACAGAAAAAATCAGTCCTGTAGACTTACCCCTGTGCTGTGCAGACAAGGCTCTGGCCGCTCCTTCCACCGTCAAGGCCAGCAAACCCAGGTATGTAGTGGATACTGAGGCCCCTACATGGCGGGTGGTCCTCGGCAACATCGCTGCCGGCGCCACGGCTGGAGCTGTGGTGGAAGCTGGTGCTCCCTTGACCTCTGTCACCTGTTTCCGAGCTGACTCAACAAGCTCATTTGTATTGTCTTTTGCTCAGAAATCATAGAAATGAGCTCTCAGGTAATCTTATCGAATGCCAACTTGCATGCGCATGCAGCCCTCTACCCCCTGGACACGATAAAGACGCGGCTACAGACGGCCACGTCAGGGGGCGGCCTGCGAGCACTCTGGCAGTCCGGCGGCAACAAAGCGCTGTACAGCGGCGTGCTGGGCAACCTGGCGGGCGTGGTGCCGGCCTCCGCCATATTCATGGGCGTGTACGAGCCCGTGAAGACCGCTGTAGAGCGCCGCGTGCCGGAAAACAGGCAGTTCCTGGGATCTCTGTCAGGCGGCGTAGCTGCCGGCCTGGCCGCCTCCTTTGTGCGCGTGCCCACAGAGGTCGTGAAGCAGCGCATGCAGACGGGTGAGACTCCAAGCTGCTGACATTTGGTTCAATTTATTGATGTCTGTGCAGACCCCAGCATCAATGCTTGGCCATTGATCATCAAAGTGACATCAGGAGCTGGTTGAATATGATGGTCATAGCTGATATTGTTGGCTGCTTGCCATGTGTCACAGTTGACAACCTTAAAGGTCGTTCAGGGCGCTTGATTATATCAGGACTGATCTGCAGGGGAGTTTACCGGCGCGATCAGGGCAGTGCAGGGGATAGTGCGGAGAGAGGGCGCGAGGGGCCTCTTTGCGGGCTATGGATCTTTCCTGCTGAGGGATCTCCCCTTTGATGCGATTGAGTTCATGGCGTACGAGCAGCTGAAGAAGGCGTACAAGGTGAGCGCCCGGGTCCCTTTATTAAGATGCTCTGCTGAATCCATCCTGCGCGGTTCTTAAGATCCCGCATCCTTGCCGTGCATTACGCACGGCTCATGGGGCGAGTTTGAGTCATGACCGCGCTAGAGCAGATGCCCATGGCGCCAGCGTTTTGCTGGCGTCAGGGCTCCCTAAGGTACCGTGGTGCTGGATCTCCCATGCAGCACTCACCTCAAGCTGGGGAGTACATTCAGAAGCCAGGCACTCTGTCCTGCATGTGCACATGCCGTCCTGTGCCAGGCCATGCCAGTTCACAGTTTTGGCAGTCTGAGATCTTGAGTCTGAAGTCTTTGGGTTGTGTCTTTGTTAGGCTTCGCTGAAGCGTGGCACCAGCGGGCGGACAGAGCTGTCTGCAGGAGAGACTTCAGTGGTGGGGGCGCTGGCCGGGGCAGTCACTGGGCTGGTGACAACGCCCCTGGACGTCATCAAGACGCGGCTCATGACGCAGGGCGTCAGCCGAAAGTATGATGGCATCTTTGACTGCGCCCGCAAGATCGCACAGCAGGAGGGCACTGCAACCTTCTTCAAGGTAAGCAACTCCTCAATCCCCTTGTGAGATATCCCTCGTGAGACCCTCTAGCCAGCCTGTAGGGAACCTGATTTAGCCTGGGCCTTTGTAAATTACTGGAGCCCAAGGTACCAGCTCAATCTCTAGATGGAGCATCTTCATTGGTCGACATGTGTTTCAGGAAAGCAACGCAATCCTTCTGATTGTGGCATGCTGAAGTAGCACAATTTTGTATTGCAAGGACTGCAGCATCCAGATTCAGACATGCTGAGCTTTTTTATCTGTGCAGGGTTGGGAGCCGAGGGTGCTGTGGATCAGCATAGGCGGCTGTGTGTTCTTTACAGCGCTTGAGGAGGCAAAGAAGTTGTACGCTCCCAAGAAGCAAGTGTCATGTTGCTCATCGTGAACAAAGATCCAAGTCCATTATCATTTCGGACGAGACTGTAAAGTCTGACAGCTGAATGAGTGTACAGTAGATTTGATACCCATCTTTTACTGTAGTTTTGCTCATCAATGCAATTCAACTGAAAGTAGCCTTGATTGCAATATTGTGGTTATTACAATCGTTCCATACCGTTTTCCGGTCTTATGCTCAGAGCAACAATGATGTCATTGACACACAGGACTAAAAAGACTCACACGTAAGGAATTATGTCACAGGGGGTGCCAAATATATCAACAAGACGTCCTAAGCTGCAGGTGCTGAGGCGAATGAAGCACTTTTGAGAAGGTTCTCTGCATCCTGCTCTGACGGCTGCGCACCAATGGCCCCTGGCTTTGTAGTGGTGAATGCTCCGCAGGCTGCTGCAAACTCCACAGCTCGTCGCAACTTGTCAGCATCCGCCTGCAATGCCCCTAGTCCTCCCAGCTGCCGCACAACAAGGCCACACGTTGGAAGTGCAGAATGATCTGACACTGACTGATAACACAGTGATGCACAGGCAGGCACTGCATGAAAGAGCACTGCATCGTATCAGGCAACTGTTTGGGGCTCACCTTCACAAGGGATGCTATGAAGCCTCCCAAGAAGGCATCTCCAGCGCCAGTCGTGTCAGTGGACTCCACCTTGAGCACAGGAACGATGCCTGTGTAGTCTATCTTGCCACCAGCCCCATGGAATGCATAGGAGCACCCAGCCCCACCCCCAGTCACTAATACACCCTTCACTCCTGGCAACTGCTCCAGCACCTGCGCAGTGGACCAAGATCACTTTTCCCTGAAGATGAAGAGGAGGCGAAAAGACTGCCCCATATTACTGGAAGCTTTGGGATGAAGATTGAAGTAAAGTGCAGCCAGGAACACGCCTTGTCTGGGTGTTGGAGAGCGTCGGAGGCGGACAGGCCAAACAGCCACTCAGCCTCTTCATCCGACAGTTTCACGATGTCGGCCTTGCTGACATAGGGCAGAATGATGCCAGGTGCCTGGTTCTCATCGTCCCAAAAGACCGGCCGCCAATTGACATCGACCACCACCTGTCAGCAAAGTAATCATGAGCAACACCTAATAGGATGCTGCCTCGAATGTTTGCATGAGCTCTGCATCCTTGCAATTGCAAGATCAGTTGGCCCGGAGACGCACGACTGCGCTGCCGGACTTGGCAGCCTCGACGGCTTTGTGCATGGCTGCAGCAGTGACTGGGAAGCTGAGGCCAAGGGTGCCTGTCACGAGGGCTGATGCGCTCTGCAGCGCCTCGAGGGGCAGCTTGTCTGCTGATATGGCAGTGTCCGCAAAGCTCTCATTGGGCCCTCCAAAACCCACAAACTGGCGGTCCCCTGAGCTGTCGTAGACCACCAGCACATCTCTGGTCGGCAGATCCACCTGCTGCACACCGCTGACATCCACTCCCCGCTCTGCACGAATGCACAATGCGAATCATCACATTATCTGTGTAGCCTAGCTACATGACAGCCGCTGCCAGCTGAGAAAGACCTGTGTGTATGGGGCTTTCGGCCTTGCTCACCTGACAGCAGATCCATCATCTGTTCGGCCAGGTCATCTTTGCCCAGGGCGCTGATGAAGGCAACCTTCACATTCAGCTTGGCGATGGCAGCAGCCACATTAGCGGGTGCACCGCCTGGATAGGGCGTCCTGACAGGCAAGCCAGGCAATCCCTCAATTGATCACTTTGAGCACACTATCTTGAAGGATTGAAGAGCAAGGCTCTCGGCTACACTGTAGCTTCCCACACTGACGAATGAGACATTGTGACGTTGTGCAGAGCCAAGCAATGTTGTGGGGGCGCAATACGCCAGATAAAATGCATACCATGACTTCACTTCCTCCTTTGGGACACCCTTCTCATTCGCAAGGCAATCTGCACGCAGACTACCCTCAAACAGATGTTGGTGGAACAATGAGAGATGATGCCGATGCAATTGCATTCTATGGAATAGTTTTAATCATCAGCGTGTTAAAAACCTCAATCAATATCGCTCCTAGGTTTGTGTACGTCTGTGATGGGATCGCACCGAAAAGGGCTTCCCCAAAAGATATCACCGTGCCGGTAGGCTGACCGATTCCGTCTCCAGCCATCGCTTGTATCTTTTGCAGTCGTTTGGACTTCTTTGTATGTCTTCGTGGCAGCTGAGGGGTGACAGGCGAGGAGCGAAAGGGATGTGCACTTGAGGGGTGCCCGTGTAAGCCCGATCTGATCCCCATGTGCTGGGCACCCGCTATGCCCACCATGAGTGCTAAATTGCACCGAAAAATTACAAATACCCAAAAGTATAATGACCTGTGTTCCACAGCTTAGAGCGTCCTGGTAGTGCAGGGTTTCTAGGTGGTATTGTCATTGATTATAATAATCGAAGGGTTATTCAGTCCGACATACTGACCCTGCATTAGTTGTGCCAGAGAGAACCTCAGTGAGGCTGATTTCGACTCAAAGTTGGAACGCGTCGAGAAATACTTTCACTTGATCGTGCTCGTAGCCATTGTCTTGCTCAAGCTTCATCCTGGACGATTCATAAACGACAAGGTCGAATGCTTTCCAAGCGGGGAGTCGGGGAGAGCCTGGCTTCCTCGAAAGGGACAACAAGCTGGCCAACGCGGCGACTTCCTAGTTCAGCATGCCAAGCCCGGCACCCTGCACGTATTGAGCGCCTAGCAGGTACTCTCTTCTGCCAGATTCGAAGGTGGTCGGGTGCAAGGAAGCTGGTTTCGTCACGCAGATGCGGGGCGTGACCTGGACGACGCAGTCAACAAAGCGGGGGATGGATTGATGTCAAAGTACTTCAGCAATACATGAATGATTGTAACAATGTTCATAGGAGCCTTGTTGATGCTTAAAGAGCCCAGACTGTCGTGGCATCCATTTCGCAAAGCTCTAGGAAATTTGCTATTATCCTGGTTCTTCAGATACTTGCTGTCAAGGCTAATTGTCCCCTATTTTGCTCTGTTCAGGATCGTGTGGACAGTTTGCTGGCCGTTTGTATGGACTGGAGGCCAGTCAGAGACCTGTGGGGAGCTTGGCTTCCTCGAGAGGTCAGATGAGGGTTACCTGCCTGCGCGCTGGACCAATCAGCAACTACAACAAAGTAGCACCGTAAGTATCCATCAATTGTCTTTCCACTTGCATGGCGTATCTGGAGCTGCTTGGCGGGCACTGGGGATGTGCTGAAGATTGTACAAATATCTTGGAAATGTATCTTCTTAACAGAAAAGCATCATCAGCTGTGTATCTGCCTCCGTCGTCCTCTTCGTTTTATGAAAATTATACGCAAAGGTCAAGCTTTGACAAACTATGGTTGCATGGCAGGATGACAGCATGGTCGCCTCTACGGAGCGTCCAGAGCTTGAGCAAGTTCTTCTTCATATCTGGAACTGCCACGCTGACAGCCTGGTATGCGCATCCGCACCTGCTGAATCTGGCGGCGCACGTCTTGAATCTGGACTTCAAGGACAATGTGACAGCGTTCCAGACGTCCTTCTTCTCCTTCCTCTCCCTGGTCTTCGCCATCTACAGCGGCAACACCATGGCTTTCCTTTATGATGTACGCTTCTATATGGCCTATCCTCGTCCAATATTGCAGTACTTGTCACCATGCTCTTGATGCTACTCCAGTATCTAATACACCATGCTCTGATCTGGGCCTTTGTGTGATCTGTGCAGCGGCAAAAGGAAGTCGTCAAGAATCTCTACGCGGAGTGCATGGCTCTGGAGGAGCTCCTTGAGGAGTCTGTGAACACACTGGGGCCAGATGCCAGGGACATTCTGGCACAAGTCAGGTGGGTCACTCGGTCCCTGGAGTCTTAAGATAGCGTTGACTGTGTCATAGGAAGGTCATTTTCTTTCATGGGTGATCGGCGGCTGATTTTGACGAACAATGTGCAGGTTGTACATTGATCAGGAGATGTACATGCCTGAGAACCAGTCTCCTCCTCTCGGTGAGGGGCATGCTCTGGCTGCCATCCGCGCCAAGGCCCGCAACTACCGCCGCGCAGGCACAGATGTTGGAGAGATCCTCCAAGCCTCTCAAAGGCTGGCGCATGCTCAGGTATGCATGTCGTTGTATCACGCCCACATGTAGGAATAATATCGTAAGCACTTTCCTTCCAACCCTTGCCACTGTTGGATTGCAGTATGGCCAGTCCTTGCTTATTGGCTGCATACTGCAACTTGGACTCACACATTGGATTTCTTAAAACTCACTGTGCCGTGTGTGTCTGCAGAGTGCCAGGCAGGCCACCGCGTGCAGGCTACTGCCACCAGTGCACTGGGCACTGCTGTACACCATCGGGGCGCTGTTTGTGTCGACTTTCATCCTGTTCGAGACAGGTGGCAGCTTCAGCAACGAAGGCCGGCACATCCTCTTCACCGTGCTGTGCGGCCTCATGTCTTTCGTGCTTGTGGTGAGTCCACCTGCCCTGCAACTGCTCCTGCTTGAAGTAACGACCCTCACACCTTGTATTCCTTTCCAGACATAAAACTTGTTATTGTCTGGTCTGACACAAAAGCTGCCGATGCAGGCGCTGCGTGACCTGGCGGACCCACATGAGGGCGTCTACAATGCCACAGCGCTGCTCTCAGAGCGCCTCTCCTACATCAACTCCATGCTGAGCAAGTACGAGAAGCTGCCCAGCCGCGCGCCCACCGTGGCCGCCACCATCGGCACCTCCGTGCCCTCCAGCACCATCGAGGACGCAGCCTCCAAGACCGGCGCCAGCGGCCTGCTGGGCATCATCGGGGCGGCCGACCAGCTGGTGGAGGACGCCGCAGATGCTCTGTCAGACAAGGACTCGGACGACGGCGGCGACGGCGGTGTCCCGGACTCATCCCTCAGCCAAATCGGCGCTGCTCTGTTTGGCGGCAAGGCGGCGGCCACGGACGCGGCCCCCTCAGCCCCCAGCGGGATGGGGCCCTCCACCGGCAGCCCCGCCGCCGTGAGCAGCAGCAGCAGCGCTCCAGAGAGGAGACAAGAGATGGCAGCCGCGGCGGCAGCTTCCCCAGCGCAGGGCAGCAACGGCAGCAGCCCAAGGCCAGACCTCTCGCTGCGGTCAAGCATCGTGGAAAAGCCGCTTAGCTTCAAGAAGTCCGGCGGCGGGAATATGTCGAGCCAGGCGCTGTCCGGTGGCACTGGCAAGCGGGCCGGCGCTGCGCGCACCCTGCTGCGCGTGAAGAGCCTGGAGGAGCAGGTGGCCTCACTAGCCAAGCAGTCCTCCCCCGCCTACAGGTGGCCCGGCGGCGCGCCCAACGCCAGCCGGCCCTCCGCCAATGTGCGGTGACTGCGGCGTGGGCAGCACACGTTGTGCTGCACCATCAGCGACGCGTCGCGCTGATGCAGGTTTTGGTCGGCAGGCTGCTTTACACAGCGGCTGCGTAGTTCTTTTGGCAAACCTAGTGCCGCAGTGTACAAACATGGGAGTTGCGTTGGATGAAGTTCTCTTTTTTGAGACTGAAAATGCGACAAGAGTAGTTGTAGATGTGTAGTGCAGCGTATCTTCTCCCTTTGCAAGTCTGAACTTGCTGCAAATTCGATCAGGAGTCAGGCGACTCTCGCAGCCCTGCATTTCATGCCACACAGGAGATCTTTACAATGGTCCTGATTGGGTGTCATGCACGAATACGAGAGCAAGGCAAGAGACTGTGTGGTAGCTGATGAGCTGAAGACTTGTTATGAACTTGTATTAATATTTTTGGTGAGACAAGCTGGCTGGCGATGTTGTGCCATGGGAATTAATGTATTCTTGAACGCATGCTCACTTGCACAACAAGATTTGATCGACCAGCAAGAGGTCAGGAGGACAAGTGGGAGGATGCCAAGAGGATGTGAGGGAGTTTGAAGGATCAGTGTGACTCTAGAGGTGCTTCCTTGAGTTTCTTCACTGAGAAATATGGTCTTTGTGTGCAACTGCCATTTCTAGGCCACTGTGGCTGTGGCCACCTCTTATGAGGGGGATCTATTGTATTTAGATCTGTGCACATGTGGTAGTGGTGATTGGCTTTTAAAGCGCTGATGCACTTCATGATTATGATTGCCAGTCACTGAGTGGCCCCTGCCGGACACATGCACATGCACGCCTTATGTGCTCATGCTAGATCACTGCCTGTGGCTCGCATTCAAATCGCTCCGCTGCGTATCCTGACTTGTCACACCTCCATTTCTTTCAATGAACTCGTATCATTATACCTTGCTTGTCACTTTCAGTGACACTACATGGGGCTAACACAAGGTTCATGCATGCGTTTCCAAGTCCTTCGAAGAATGAGTTTATGATCTTCGAGTCAACACTGTGGGCATTAAGTCGTGACCTCCGGGGTGGCGCCGTGGCCGCCACCGCCCGGCAGTGCCCTGTGCAGGCAACCCAAGCGCTGGTTGTATGCAACTTCATCATAGCCAGTCAGTCCGAGGGTCCGGCATTGAGAATCCTCAAACGCATCTTCCATCTGTACTTTAACACCGAAAATCGGACATGGCGGTAGGCGGCCTGGAAGCAGGGCTCACCCTTTGATCTGCCTGGATCCGTAAGGGGCGTCGACGAAAGACGTACGAGCTCGGTTTCTGCAGCTCCGTGAGTCTTCAACACAATTCATTGCTGTGTTCACCACAGTGGCTTTCCATAGACTTTTGCGCGCTGTATCGCTGGAGGCATTTGTTCCCTAAAGCATTTGCAAGCATCAGAATCAACGCCACTTCTTCCTCACTGTAGCTTGAGGACCCGATCACAGTTTACGCAGCGCCATGAGAAGCAAGAAGTGCACCCTCCCATGCATTGGAAGGCCTCTGGTGTTGGACAACGATTACCATGAGGTACGCGACCAAGATTTTTCAGTGTGCACAACATGCGTTTGTTGCAGCAGCTCCATTGCCAAGCAGCCAAGTAATTGTGCGTTGTGTTCCTTAGCCCTTTAGAGCCAGACTGATCAATGAAGCTCGTCAAACTTATTGACATATTTCAGAGCGTTTGCTTGGCAGAAGACGTGAAATTGTACCACCGCACATTTGTGGCTGCTTGCTGACGATGACCTTCACGATGTGTGAGTTGAACGGATTATTTTCTGGGCAGGTGCCACCTGTGGAGTACTTGATTACACCTCAGGTGCGCCTACAAGGGCGATCCGTACGGAGCAAATTCTTCGCACGCCCAAGTATTCGCCCAGACCCCTCAGCATCCTCCAAGGTGAACGCCATCGCCTGCTGTAAGCCTCACCCCGGGACCTGGCCCACAGAACATGTGCTTTAAGCTTATGATATTCGGCTGCAAACTATGCAAGTTCCTTCGATGCTCATGCCTCGTCTGAATTGAAGCTGTCTTCCTTGCAATGCAGGCACAGCAGAGCAAGCTCGCTCCTGGACTGGTACAGCGCCTGGCCAAGCGCCTTTCTATCGCTGTGGGCTATCCCTTCATCTTCAACAACAAGGTGCGGCTATTCATACCTCTGATCCTGTGACGCCTCCCTTCCAATGTACAGCCAAAGTCCAGCGTATGCCATGGTGTCCTTGTGGTCACCCTCTCATGCATGCTGCAATCCGTGCACCTGTGATGTCTGACAGTGTGTGCTGCAACCTGTGAAGGTGGACCCGGGAGTCAGGGATGCTGCCTTGGAGGAGCTCCCCCACATTAGGCAGCAGCTGCTCGCTGCAAATGAGCAGAATGCCATCCTCCGGCAAAATGCCGCTCTTTTTGCTGGCCAGCTTGGACAGAAGGAGGCAGCGGTGAGCTTGTCATCATCAGCAAAGCAGTGCTGTGTCCCCTTGTCCATTGGGAGGTTGTCTCTGCTTGGAGATTGTCATCACTATTGTGTGAAGTGTTGACATGTACCTTGCAGGCCAGGGCATCAGAGCAGGAGGCAGCACTGCTCAGGCAGCAGCTCACTGATGCCGATGAGGTGCACAGAATAGAGATGGAGGAAAAGGACTCCCAGCTCCAGCAGATGGTTGCACGCGAAGCAAAGGTGAGCCTTCTGACCAGTGCTGGGGACTATCCTTGCATCCTTGTGACCTGTACGAATCAAAGCCACTGGTGTGCATGAAAATTGATCAACTATGGTTTCTTTGTCAGGCCAAGAAGGCAGCACAGGCGGCCAGGTCACTGCTGGTGATTAGCACGGCGCAGCTCAAGGACAAGACTGGCCTGCTGAAGGAAAAGGAAGCTGAGCTGGCAGCTGCACGGGACACCATTAGGCAGAAGGAGGCTATGATCAGCCTGCTGAAGCAGATGGAAGAGGTCATATACCTTTTGCCTATCAAAGTGTCATCCTGTGATGCTCATATGCAATCTGCCAAGCAATGCATGTCATCCCTGCATATTCAGTCCATGACTAGTCATGGCACAAACGCTGCAACTGGAGTCTGACAGAGCGCTATTCGGTACAGGATGAGCTGAGTGAGGAGGATGAGGACACAGAAAATGAGTCTGATGAGGAGGTGCAGGACGAGGAAGCGGAGCAGGTGCAGAGTTTCGGAAATCTGTGCCGCCTACCAGAGGTACCTTCCCTCCATTTTATTGCCAGTGACATGCAGAGCCTGTCTGTTGTAGACACCTTGCCCTGCACCTGTTGCGAATTGGCAGACTTCTTGCACGCGCCACATGCCTGCAGCTGAGGCTGTCATATAGTACAGTAGCATGACTGCACTCAGCCTGTGTTGCCTTCCTGCAGGGTTCCTGCACGGTGACTGGCGAAGTTGGCGAGGGCGGCTGCGCCACCATCTTGTCGGTCAACATGAGCTACGAGGCCGTGGCCAAAGTGGCCCGGAGATTCAAGGACAAGGACCAGACCCAGGATGCAGAGAGGGACCTGCACAACGAGGCGCAGGTGCTGAGCGTACTGCCGCCGCACCCAGCTCTTGTGAAGGTGTTTGGCTGGGCAAGCATCGACAACCCCCTGACTGGGACCCCCCAGGAGGCCGTGATCATGTAGAGGGCCTTGTGCAGCCTCAGCGACCTGCTCAAGTGCGCGCTCCTGCCCCCTTCATCTCCTCTTTCCCCTTGCACAGACCCTGCCTTGAGCGCTGCTCGCAATGCTACCCTGATCTAGAAGGATGGCAGAATCTGGCATATTTCAATGTTTAATGTTGCGGCCCTGTTGAAGCATGCGCTCGAGACTGACATGCCTCTGATGGGGCCACAGGGAGGGACGGCTGACTGGACGCCCAATGGAGACACTCAAGGCGCTGCTGATCCTGTACGACCTGTGCAAGGGGGTGGCGCACTTGTGGGGGCATGGCTACATCCACCGCGACATCAAGCCCCCCAACATTCTGATGTACCTCGACGGCTGCGCCAAGCTGGCCGACTTCGGTTCCGCCATGCTTGAAGACGACCCATGCACCGAGTTCAGGTGCGCGCTGACATCAACACCTGACATCACCGCACGACGTCAGCATCCTCATTCTGGCTCCCCCCACATACAAGTGTCCCCCACATGCAAGTGTTTAGCGGCAAGCGCCTAGCCGAAGGTACCCTCAAAGGAAACTGCATGTGAAGTGGCGCATGTAGAGAATACAGCAGATGAGCCTGACAGGATGTGTTGCGTGCGCAGCGGCACGCCCCTGTACTGCACGTCAGACTCCTACCTGGACATGACGGCAAGCCAGCAGGACGACAAGCGCGCGCTGTGTGCGACAGCGTGCGAGCTGCTCACCGGGGGCGAAGTTCCAGACGAGCTGCGGGACCAGTACGACAGGCTGTCAGAGGCGCAGAAGGAGCTGGCCGAGGCGGAGTTTTTGCGCGGGGCGGAGCAGTGCCAGTGCACCGACATCTGCTATGACGATCGGGTCACCGCCGCAGAGCGCCTCGGCTTGATCGGCATCACAGAGGTACGCAGCCCTTTGTAGCACAGTGGCATCTGCTTGGCGTGCCTCCCTTGGTTGTTCCTTGATTGCATGCAGCTCCTGCCTTCTTTTTTAGACTGAGATCACTGTGGTGATGACTGCCCAGGGGGTGCCTTGTGTCATCCCAATCCACCATGCTGTTCTGGCTGCAGTGCACAGGGAATTCTAATTAGGCTCGCTGCTGTGCACGGCAGGTGGTACCGCTGGATAAGAGGCTGCCGGCAGAGCTGCTGGAGGACATCCTGCTGGGCATCCAGGACCCCAGCAGCCTGCCGCTCAGCTGCCTCCAGGCCAACATCATGTCAGCCATCAGCAAGATCAGCCAGTCATGAAGTGAAGCCTGGCGCGGAGGAGTCTGACGATGAGGAATTCTGATTATACTGAAGAGACAAAGTTGGAGACAGTTGCGTGGAGGACTTGAAAGTTGCCGCACAGAAAGGTGCTTCACACAGAGCAGGAATGAAAAGCTTGTTTCAGTTGGGAGCCAAGCAGGCGTGCTGCGCCATGCTGCCTGTCTTGTTTCCCTTGAGCTCATTGAGTTGTCCTGAGCTCCAGACAATATAAGCCGGAATTGTATGTTGGGCCCATGGGCCATGAACGCACGAATATAGGCAGATTAGGCATCCGCAGTCCCAATGGCGATCTCGATTTGTGGTTGAGGATCCTTCCCTGAAACAAGGCTTTGTTAGTTGGGCAGTTGCATATGCATGAGGTTGCTTGAGATGTGAAGAAAATGCAGACTCTGGTTTGATAGGACCTTTCTGCATAGGGTTGACGGCTATCTGTACTGCTTGATATTGTTCCCGTGCTTGCATGTACCCGACAGCGTACTTCTTGCTTATTAAGCTTGGTCTTACAGTTGAAGAAACCCAGGCAAACCGGTTTGGATACCCATGTTGAGAAAGACAACAGACTTGGTTTTAAAGAGAGAGCCCAGTGCAGAGTAAGCAATGTTACATCTTATGAGAAATTTTGATCCGGAGTAGGCTCTCGCACTGCGTGAGCAGCGGCACATTTGTAAGCAACTCAGCGAACATCGCAACTAGAACCGTTCACGTGCACACTTTACTCACGTATGCCTAGGCACACCTAAACTACTGCGCCTATGTAGGCCTATACGCTGGAAATCAGAAGTTCAATCGAGTCTGCCAACCGTTATGCTCACAAATCGCACGTGCATTCAGCAGTGCAGCAATATCTATTGCGCTTGGTTTCAAGCCTGGCCTTGACGGTGCTCGGTTGCTCGCACAACACATCTCTACCTGACTTTCCCTGCAAGACTTGCAGTCGGCTCTTTTGTTCTGAGCTTGTAAAAGCAGCAGTGGTCACAGACCTGGATCAGTCCGTGATAAGTGAAACCTGGATTCTCATGCTACAGATCACCCTGCCTGCGCTCCCCTGTCACTGCCGCTCCTTAACAGAATCCACTCATTCCATACTCTTATGTCCCTGCCACAGGTTGGTCTGGCAGGAGCGGCCATGGTTTCAGCGCTGCAATTGCCTCGTTGATGCCCGTCACCAACACCCTCACGCTCTCTGCATTCACCTGACCACAGCACGTTGCTCTCCTCTCAGTAACTGAGGAGTCACAAGTCACCCAGCCAGTAGCATCTGCAAAACCCTCTGAGGGAGCGTAGCAGCCTGACGCACACCTGAAGTGGGGGCAGAGGGAAGTTGCCCGGCGGGTACTCAAAAGTGTAATCTCTCTTGTCCCAATGGTAGAATTCGCTGACCCCCTTCCCATACATCATCGTCCCAGCCTCATCGTAGTCATTCCCATAGGTGTAATCTGCCCCACAGCACGATCCACCTCAGAACTTGAGTGAGACGCAAAGAAGGTGGCATGTGCATTGCTGTGCAAAGGAATGGGAGGGAAGGAACTCACGAATGATGAAGACCGGTTTGCCATCCCTGCTTGTGAGTGATGCATCGAACGGTGGCTGCACTATGAACTCGCCTGCATGGCAGTTGCTTCACTCATCTCCATTACTACATTCATCACATGCTTGAAAAAGGGAAAGAGATGGACAAGTGTGAGCTTACCGTGCAACTCAAACTCCAGAGGCCCGCCCGGAGCTTGAGATGCAGCAATGCTGAAGGCGAACATCTCAAGGATCCACCCAAACGCTTGGTTTGCCTTGGGGTCATTCTTCATGCGTAGAGCAATGTCATACCAGTCCTCCACTATCAAAGCCAGCAGGTCTCTGTGCATCATTGTAGGAGCATTGCCTGCAGCACATCCTTGCTCACACTTAGGAAATTGAGGAGCAGGCTCTCCAAACAATAGCAGCACAATTTATATATACGGGGGGCGAGAGTAGCGATTGTCTCACCTATTGGTAAGATAGCGTCAAATGGCACATCCTTTTCGTTGTAGGGATCGATGACTTCCTTATTTTCTCTGGGAAGCATGTAGGTGAAATGGTATGCAGCAGACTTCGTTGGTGTCGCCCTACGACTCAAAAAGAGTCAAACACAAGTGCCCCTTCCAGCCATATCCTGCAAAGGGAGCGTGAGAGGCTGGCTGCCAACTTACCAGAGAGGTGGTGGCCGCACAAAGATGTAATCAGGCTCAATCATGAGAATGTACCGCTCTTTAAGCGTGGGCACAAACTTGCGGACCCACTGCAAAAAACCATATGGCCTGTTGAGCACAATGAAGCCCTGATCTAGTCCCATGGGGAGCTTGTCCACCACTGCTGTGGGAATCTCTTCCATCAGCTTATCCTCCTGGCCGCTGCGTGCAAAACAGATTTCCTGTCATCACGAAGATCCTGCCAACGATTGCTGAGGAGATCACTAAGTCAATATGAGGGCAGCAATGCATGTGTTGACAGAGAGAATGGGGCTTGCCTGTGCAGTAGTCTGGTGAACCCGCCCATAGGGCTATCAGGATATTGTCGCTTCATCTTCTTGTAGTGATAGTAACAGATCCGCACTTGCCATTCTGTGTAAAGGCCACCATCTACTGACGCCACCACATGGTATTTGTCCCCAGGCGCTGCAGCAGAAGCCCTGTCTGCAACCTTGGACTTGTGCCCATCATCCAATCTCCCACCTCCCGCATCCCCAATCTTCTTCTGAGGACCTGGATACACATGGAGCAGTTTCAAAGGACTAAATGATGCCTGTGATATTGCAAATGAAGCATGGAAGAATTATAGGAGACGCACCTGTTTCTCCTGCACGCTCTAAGCGTGGCCTCCGTTCTAATCTATGCTCTCGCTCGAGAAATGGCACATTTTCGACTTCTTTCCTAGCAGCATCAATGTGATGCAGGCGATGGTCCGGTAATGTAGACAATCTGGACAAGTTTCCCCTCAAATTATACACAGTAATCGCTGCCACTGCAAGTACGGTGACGATTATGAACGTTCTCGTTCTCATAATGGTGGCAAATTTTTGCTTTTATCTTGCAGTCGCATCGTTCTGCACTGTCCCTCACCCCACAAAAGAAGAGCATCGTCGGTTCCCAGGACCGATTTCTTGGGCATGTGTGCCCAGTCCATTGTGTACTGGACCATCAGAAACTCTTCCTGACTTTACATTTGAAGGAAAGCATTTGCAATTTCGATCTGGAATGGCCTGACTCTTCCATGATGCGATTGTGCATGCGATGAAACATCAAGGGTGAATGGAGTAATGGAGAGAGGCAGCAAGTTTTCTTGGTGAACTCTTGATGTCAGCAACTTTCACCTCGATCATCACGTATTCTCTTCATTTGAAACTGTTGTGACTGTTCTCTTCGCCGAACCGTGTGCGCGTTAGACATGCAGAGTTTGACAGCTGGAACGGAGCACTAACAAGTCTTAGGATGGAACAGGGTCAACCGTCTGCAACAGATGATGCCAAGGTACGTCAATTAACCTTATAATAGGCAACTTGTGACGGCTTATCTGCAAACTGGCAACGTTGTCACTTTCACCCCAACCACCTGTATATCTCTCCATTCACAGGGGTGCCTGCGAATCCTCTCTAAATTTTGCGGTGTATTTATGAGTATCTCACTCTGTGTGTTTCATCTTCACATCTGCAGGGCCCTCGGAAAAATCTGCTGGGTTTTCTGGCTCATCGTCTCAAACAGAGAGAGGCCTCAGCCGCTGCGATGCCTGGCCATGATGGCCCATCCTCTGCAAGTGGCAGCAAAGAAACTCTGCGAGCATCTGTGAAAGAGGAAATCAGCACAGCGTCAGGAGCAGGGTCCCTGGCATCAGATGGCTCTGAAGCCTCTGAAGAGCTTGTCGAGAGGCATGCCAGCCCCGCCCGAATAGGGCACTCCGCAGCAGAGATTCGTGTTGGCACGCAGCCAAGTGCATCTGTCTCTGGGGCAGCAGCCAGGGGAGGCTTGGGCACTTGGCTGACGAGGATTACTGGCGCCTACTCGACAGCAGGTAAGGAGCCTTTGCAATCACCGGGCATTCAGGGCTTGGCGATTTGGGAAAGAAATTGGCAGGGAGCAGTGCAGCAAGGTGTCATAGTTTGAACATGTGACTTGGGCTGCTTGCAGTGAGGGGACTTGGGGGCAGCCTGCTTCGTGGGGACAAGCTGAATGACTATGCAGAAACAAAGGACCGCTTGGAGCGCACGGCTGCTGGTGCGCAGAATGCATCTGATATTGTCCCAGTCCATCACATCGTCTCCCTCCCATGTGTGGTTGGTCTCCACGTCGCGTGTAAGGAGGACAGGGGGTTCTGGGTGCTGCAGATCTTCATGGGGAGGTGCGCATTGTGGGGCTGCGCCGGTGGACGAGCATCATGCAGTGCCTTAGCTCGCAGGTCCAGGGGCCCATCTACACCACGCAGCCCCTGTCTCCCGGGAGCCCCAACGGCGAGGGCGACTGGCAAACTTTTACGCAGGTTCGTCCTTGCAGCCACACGGTGTTCCTATCAATCCTCCTCTGCGCAATGACATGTACAGGGGCTAATCATACTCCATGGCTCATGAATGGTGAATGCTGGTGCAGGTCGGGGGCACAGCGCCGTCATCTGCAGAGGCGGAGGTGGCAATGCGCGTGAATGACATGTGGTTCATGGAGCCCGGTGGCGAGCCCCTGACTTTCAGGGAAGTCTTCCTGAAGAGCCGCGCGCTGGAGAACATCATCGCAGGTGAACAATCAATTCTCACTGCTCATTGGTTCACTCTCATGCAGGCTCTTCAATGTCTGCAACCTTCTCATCTGATCTAATCATGCAGGGAGACTGGGCCATCATCGCTCAGCACGCATTGTGTAATGCTGTGCAGGGTATGCCAAATGGCCGCCAGCGGATCCGTCCGAGAGGGAGCTACTGGTGGACCTGTTTGCTGTGGCGCTGGGCGGCGATGCGCAGCTGCACAGCCGCCTGGTGGATGCGCTCATGCGGCTGACTGAGACCTGTGCGCGGTGGAAGGAGGCCGGCGCCAGCCCAGAGGAGTGCATGAGCATCTCTTTGCCTGTTGCGGACGCCCTGGGCTCCCTGAAAGCTGCGGTACGCTCCCATTCAACGCAAAAGAGTGTACATGCCATATGTTGGATGTGCGCAAGATAGCGACTCATTAGACATGGCTCCTTGCAGGTGGCTTTGGTGATGAGATGGGGAATGGCAAAGAGTGTCTGTCGTCTGTGCAGGCTTCCGTGGCCATTCTGGATCGCAAGATGGCGGCCCTCAAGTCAGAGATCTCGCAGCAGGCAGCGTTAGCGGCTCAGAAGCACAAGTTCAACCAGGGCAGCGCGCACCCGACGGGCGATGCCAGCCCCCGCCGACTCGCTTCCGGCCTTGCCGCCACAGCGCAGGTCAATCCCCTCCACATGGTTTTCACCTGTGATTTTCCCTTGGCGCAGTGCTCGTGATGAGAAGTGGTGCAAAGGGGTGCGCCGCCTGTGGGACAGTGCTGAAGCCAGAGTGGTATGTGCAGGTGATGGCGCAGAGCGAGCGGCTGTGCCGGCTGGCGGCGGAGCGGCGGGCACTCGTGGAGGCGGCGCTGGCGGCTGATGTGTCGGGGGCGCTGGCGGGCATGCAGGACCGCGGCGCAGCGCTGTCGGCCGCCATCCTGGACGCGGAGGCGCGCATAACCTCCGTCCTGCGCCAGAAGCGCGACGGCCAGTCCAACCGCGGTGCGCGCCCGTAGCCCACATATGAATTTTCGAGTTCACAAAGTCTGGTTGTCCCTTAGAATGTCCCACTCGTGGGACTGAAGGATAGGGTTGAGACAAGAGAAGGCAAAGGCAACAGACACCCCTCGCGGTACCATGCCTTTGAAAATCCAGTTCAGCAAACAGGAAATCCAATGCCATACATATCTGCTGAGTATCTGAGGCCGAGGGGTGTTGGGGAGCGCAGGGCGCAAGCTGCAGTCGATGGAGGGGGGGCTGCGGGAGGTGGGCGAGGAGATCGCGGGGCTGGACGCGCGCCGCAACGCGCTCCTGGCACAGCTGGCGCAGCTGGAGGCGCAGCTGGCGCAGGCGCACGCGCGGCGCGCCGACCTGGAGGAGTCTCGCAACGTTTTTGAGGAGGGCGTCGCCTTCTCCCTCGACGCCCTCCAGCACCAGGTGCGCCACAAGCTTCCCCCCTCGGTCCCTGACCTGCATGACATATTGCCTACGAAAATGCTGTGCCAAAGGCGTGCATTTGCCATATGACTGCCTGTCTTCCCTTGCAAATTGGTTTAGCTTGTGTAATTCTAGCATGCCAGACTTGCAATGGGGAGAGCACAGAACCCGGAGAGAGATAATCAGAAACTTCTGAAATTGCAGATTGTACACAGCCTGTATAAAGGTTGCGCTCACCAGTGTGAAAATTGAGGCCGCCTGCAGGGCCACCTATGCAGGGTACTGCTAGTGCCCATAACTGCCAGAAGTGCCAGACCGCAAACCCTGACACCTGGGTGCATGGGGCAGGTGGACGAGCTGGCGGCGGAGCACCGGCGGCACAATGCGGAGTCGACGGCGCTGCAGGAGGGACGCGCGCTGCTGGGGGTGCTGTCCGGGGAGGCGCCCGGCATGCTGGCGGCCGCCGTGCGCTCGGCACGCGCGACCGCTACCGAGGCCGCGCAGGACTTCATCCACTCGGCCTGCCGCCACCTGTACTTCCAGCGCGCCGAGGCCCAGCTGCTCCTGCGCAAGCTGCTCTTCTGCGCCGCCGAGCTGCAGAGTGAGAGCCCATCCCTGCCACTCTGACTGGAACAGTGGCAGACTGTTGCGAGAGCCTCTAAACGATGCCCCACAGGGAGCATGCTACAGAACACTTGTGACTCCTTCCAATCCAGCTGTGCAGCTGTGTGGGCCTCCTGCGTTGGAGTGTGGGGTGCAGAGGTGCGTTGCATCTGGGCTGATTGCCTGCCTTGCGTGTCTCACCAGTTCTTCCGATATGAATGTTTGCTGCAGGCCTGTGCACGAAGGAGGAGAGCGCGGCGAGGATGGGCATGACGGCGCTCACATCAGACGTGGCCGGTCAGAGGCGCGCGCTGCAGCTGACCTTCCTGGAGGCCGAGGCAGCAGCCACCGCCCGCCTGGCCGAGGTTGACGCCGTTCGCGCCGCCGTCGAGGCCGCCTGCTCCATCAAGCTGCCGCCCTCCACAGCACCGGCAGAGGTGCGCCCCCCCTAAATTACGCTTGCGTATTATTTACAGTCATACATGATGGCTGATGTGGTGGAACAGAATTTGGGCCCCTGGCCTTCATTGCTATGTCTGTTCCTGCCGCACCTTGCCAGAAGGAAAGGTGATACCCGCTTTTAGGGCTGCCAAGATTCTACTTTGTATTGGAATACACTACTATTAGACTATAATTAGACTATTATTAGTAGATAGAATGTACACTACTATTATACACAGGCTATGTAGATATGCTGGGGTTGGCATAAAGATGCTCGGTGCAAGATGGAACATGATTTTAATTCTTTGTGGCACCCCACCGCCAGGTGACCGGCACGAAAGAGAGCAGCGTGAGCAGCACACAGACAGAGGAGTTTGTGGATCTGCTGGCGTCAATTGCAGAGCTGCGCAAGCAGATAGAGGGCCTGGACAGGCCTGACAGCCTGCCTCCCCCTGGCCAGCCGCTGCCAATGGAGGTGTGTTTTCAAGCGAGCGGATCAATAATTCAGGCTGCACGCACGACCTTCCTGGTGCATGCTTGCTGTGACACGCGCGCCTAATGCAGCTGTGAATGATGCTGACATGTGTGTTGTTGGCACAAAAGGTGCTCGCAATTGCTGAAAATTTGAATGGATGTGCTTCAGGAGGAAGGCCAGATGGTCCCAGAGGCCGAGGGGCTGGTCGTGAAGACAGTTTCAGGAGCAGGGCCGCAAATTGCCGGGTCTGCAGGTGCCCCCCATGTGCCGCACATAGAGGCAGAAGAGGTGTCGCCTGCAGAAGACTTTGCGCGCGATGAGAGCCCGGTGCGGACCACTTGACTTTCTGTGACTAAGAATTGAATGGGCGGAATCTTTCAAACACCATCTCATGCAATCTCACTGAAGCTGCCACCATACTGCAGGACGCCGTGCAGCTGGAGTCACTGGTAGATCAAAAGGCCGCTCTGCATACAGAGGAACCTGCCCAAAGCGTTGTGCCGCCCTCTGGCAGTGATAAGGTGGAGGAAGAGGTCACAGCTGATCCACCAGCAGGTGCAGAGCCACTCAGTGCTCCTGCTCCTGGTGGGCATGGCAGCCCAAAAGATGGCCATGGGACCGGGGATGCGGTACAGGATGGCTCAGATGACATGGAGCAGCAGCGGGAAACAGACAAGCCTAAAACTGTGCATGCTACGGCAGCGTCAGCTCCGCACCAGACAGAGGAGCATCTGCCTCTGCCGTTGCACGATGACTGAGCAGCAAGGGAGACAATCTGTTGTGCCGCACATGTGCTGCCAGTTCCGCAATGATGTGATAATGGCTGCTGGCCGCCTGTGTGTCTGAGGCTGTGGGGCACTGCAGCTCAGCTTGCCTTAAAATACAGCAACTGCAGGCGCCTGTTTCATGTGCTCGTACCTGTGGGTGGGCATCTCCTCAACAATTTTTGATCAGTTCTTCTCTCAGTTCCAGACTGTAGGAATGATTTGATTGTACTGTGTATAATGTTGGGCAACATTTGTATGGAAATCTACTCAGTACAGTATAATAAACAGTACTTTTGTATTCGCACAACCGCCAGGGGCTGGCGCTGTTTCTGCTATAATTGTGTGATGGAGAAGCCTGTTGGTGTCGTCCATGTACTGTCTTGAAGCATGTAAAGCTCCTACTACGCAGTCTTTGAGTTAAATTCAATCTCACATGGGACTTGCAACATTTCTTGTGGGCTCGATCGCGTACTTGAAGGCAGTGCCTGCCGGGCACCGTGCCTGGCAGTCACTGCGCAGTGACTGCCAGGAACTGCCTGCCTCAGTGAGCCGCGCTGCATGCAGTTGTCACACACCCTCCTGCTGCACCATTCTAGCCTTTTCGCGACCAATTCAGGATCAGATGGGCTTACATGCTCCTGGATTTTTCGACCCTCTTGGTCCACCCCATCAAAATTCAGCTGACCAAGGATCAGCTGTAGCTAGCTAGGGTTTGATCTGTATGCCGGCAGCACGTGCAGAGCACCGTTGCGCTTTCTCAACTCTGCCCTCTCTACCAACAGAAAACGATTTTGGTGAGGGTCACAACACTAGAATAAGTTGTTCAAGGAAGATCCTATCGTGTCTGTTGTGTCTGGTGGCAATGCAGGTGAAAAGTCAGATCAAGCAAAGTTGCGGGCGATCCCCAGTCTGCAACGCCGTACGTCATCAGGCAAGATAATAGATTTGCTTTATATACAATTTCTACAGGCCAGAAGAACTCATGTTTTCCGTTCACTTTTCCAGAGCTGGACGGCTGACACATCTTGAGGGCGTGGTGTTGTGTTCTGCTCGTCCCTGTAGGTACTGAGGCAGCATGGCTCGCAGTTGCGAATAATACGGCGCGTTACTCATTATGCAAGACGAGGCGAGACAAGGTGCCAGTCCACTGCAGCAGTGGAAGAGGCACCTGTAGCTGAGGCCCCACAAGCCAGACCTCCACCTAAAATCGCTAGCAATGTTACAGAGCTCATAGGCAACACACCTATGGTGTACCTCAACAAGGTCAGCACTGCATTCTAAAGCGCCCCGTGCATCATAGAAACCTTCCGTCTCTTACATTGTAGAATAAGGCCGAGGGCCTGAATCACTACTGCAGCTGAATGCTGTTTTCCCTGTGAGCTTTGCTGGAGAGGGTCTTGATGGAGCCATATGCAGGTTGCCCGGGGCGTAAAAGCACGCATTGTTGCAAAGCTGGAGACCCAGGAGCCTTGCCGCAGCGTGAAGGACAGGATCGGCCTCAACATGATCGAGGACGCCGAGTCCAAGGGCCTCATCAAGCCAGGTCAGATATAACCGTCAGTCTTCACTCCACCGCTCACGTGAGTTGGGTTTACAGTGCCTCACAGCTTTTGTAGCACTGTCAATGTCCCTGGCATGACTGGGAAGCATGAATGACTGGTGCGTTGTGGAGCAGGGAAGACAACGTTGGTGGAGCCGACATCTGGCAACACAGGCATCGGGCTGGCGTTCATTGCAGCAGCCAAGGGCTACAAGCTCATCCTGACCATGCCCGCCTCCATGTCCCTGGAGCGCCGCGTGCTGCTGCAGGCCTTTGGCGCCGAGCTCATCCTCACTGACCCCGCCAAGGTGCGCAGCTCTGTTTGGTGTCTATGTACCGGCATCGGCTGTTGCCGATGAGGCTGCAGTTTATGCTGTCCAAGCTGATGGCTAGTCTCACTTCCACCCCTATCATTCCAATATTATTGTCAAGTCCAAGCAGCATTGCTCACATGTTTAGTGTGGCAGGCGATGAAGGGCGCTGTGGCAAAGGCGGAGGAGATTGCGGCGAAGACAAAGAACTCATATATTCTGCAGCAGTTTGAGAACCCAGCGAATGCCGACATCCACCGGCTTACCACCGGGCCCGAGATCTGGAGGGACTCTGCCGGCCAGGTCAGCCACACTATGTGGCGTTACATGTATACCTGCAGGATGTTAGTCTCATGCAGGGCCCTTCCACAGAACATGTTCCAGACTTTGCGCTTGCTGCTGTGCATGGGGCTCCGTGCGGCGGGTCATTTGCAGGTGCAGTGAACGATTGAGCCGAGGCGGCTGTCATGACATGTCATGTACAATTCTGCGCAGGTGGATGTGTTTGTGAGCGGCATCGGAACGGGCGGCACGATTACAGGGACCGGGGAGTACCTGAAGAGCCAGAAGGACGTGCATGTGGTGGCAGTGGAGCCCAGCGAGAGCCCTGTGCTGTCAGGCGGCTCCCCCGGGCCCCACAAGATCCAGGGCATCGGCGCCGGCTTTGTGCCGGGCGTCCTCAACACCAAAGTATACGACGAAGTCATCCAGGTCAGCGCCGCCGCCTCTTTTCCATATACTCCCTTCCTATTCGGTTCCATCTGCAAATTCCGCGCCCGGGCACAAGGCACCGACGACAGCCTTCCAGTTCCTAGTAATACCATATATTGCAATGTGTGCATGTTCTCCTGGGCTTCTTCAATCAAGGAAACAGTGACCAGCAGGGACTCTAAGAATTCTCTTAAGGGCAGAACAACAGACATGTGTGCTGGTGTCTACAGTGCGCATGCAAACCCACCACTTTCTGACTACTCGTGTGTTTTTGTGCTGCAACCATATGCGCACCTTTCCTCCTGCAGAAAAAGCGCGTGTAACAAAACGTGTAGTGTTTTGAACATGTGCGTTTATGGTGGCAGGTGAGCAGCGAGGAGGCGATAGACATGGCGCGGCGGCTGGCGACGGAGGAGGGAATCTTCTGCGGCATTTCCTCGGGAGCGGCCGTGTGCGCGGCGCTGCGCGTGGGCGTGCGGCCCGAGTACGAGGGCAAGCTGATCGTGGTGGTGCTGCCCTCGTTTGGGGAGCGCTACCTGTCGACGGTGCTGTTTGCAAGCACGCGCGAGGAGTGCCAGCAGATGGGCGTTAACGAACGCGTCCTGCTCTCCGACCAGTCCGGACGCCAGTTCTTCGTGCCGCCCCTCTGATGCATCATTGTTGCAATGGCCTGACTTCGGATTTGTCAAAAGCGTGGAGAGTGGCTTGGGGAGTGGGAGCGGGTGGTTCTCTTGAAGTATTTGCAAAAAGGGCCGCAGGGCCAACAAACTCTGGGGCAAAAACAATGGAGGGACTGGCTCTTGAAAGGTGCAGCCTCGGCAGCTGTGGCTGCAGAGGAAGCCGGGCTCTTTGGAAAGAAAGATTTTGTGATTGAAGTTTTGAAATACAGTCCCGTTTCTTTTAGGAACGCATGCATTCATACAAGGACAAAGAATTGCGTCAATTTAAGTTTCATTGACCTTCTTGCAGCTCCTTGCTATCAGTCACAGCACTCAGGCCTGATCATGACAGACATGTTCATTATGTAAGCAGTCATTCGAATGGTTCCTGGATGCGTTCTAGCAATTCCTGCAGACATTCAGCTACGCATGCCACTGATTCATAGGCATTACTCCAGGCACAACCTTACAGCATGCCTGCATCTCACAATTGCTGCAACCTCTTTCTGCGGAGCCCCTTGGGGCCCTCATTTGAGGGGGCTCGTCTCCTGCCAGCTGGCGCATGTGACTGCGATCTCTTGCGCTGCTTCCTCTCCGCATTCTTGTGCCGCACCAGCAGCCGCAGGGGGACGCCTGGGAAGCCAAATTTGGCGCGCAGCGAGTTGAGGATGAATTTGGTGGTGTTGTCCGACAGCTCCTCGGCCCCCGAGATGAAGGCGGCAAAGGTGGGCGGCCGCGCAGAGACCTGCGTGACGTAGCGCAGCCGCATCACCTGCCGCCCTGCCGCCGTCCCCCTGTACTCCTCCACCAGCTGCGACAGGCACAGCAACTGTCTCATCCCTTGGCAAATGCGTTATCTCCTGATTTAAATGCAAGATTTGCTCAATGTAATGCATAAATAAACAGCAATGCCGGCTTAGCATGCGGCCCTGCAATGGGTGATTCTGTTAAAGGCATCTATTCAATGACATCCCTCCCAAATAAGCACAAAGATCAGGATCGTAGCAATTTCCCCTTGTCCACTGCAGTGGACATGCAGAGCCTCTGCATTGAACATGCAGAGCCTCTGCATGCTGTGATCGACAAGACAGGCAAGACTGTGCTAGAGAGAATGCCTGCCTTGATGAGCCAGCGGTTGAGGCGGGCTGTGGGCACGCGCTGGTTCCAGACCCGGAAGGCTTGCAGCGCCGTGGGCAGCACCTCACCCGCGCCCGCCCCCGTCAGCGCCGACACGCCGATGCAGGGCACACCCGCCACCTCCGGCAGGCTCTCCTTCACCTGCTCCTCCACCCTGCCAACCACCTGACACACCCCCACACCACCTCCGCATCAAGCTCACATCCACAAATATGCAGTGTGGAAAAGGGGATAGCAGAATTGATTGGACTACAGTAGCAGTGCTGGAGCCAACACAAGCCTCCCATGCTCGCGATGCAATACCAGTAATGAACCACTCACTGGTAGTCAGCCTGCAATACAAGAGCTATGATCCTCGTGGCATGACAACACATTGATCCGGTAGAATACATGGTACAGGCCTATGTTCAAGATGTGAAGGCAGCAGCATGCAGCGTTAGAGAAGGCGACAAAAGCACTTGTATGGCGGCCACGGCGCACCTTGTCCCGATCGAGGGGGGAGAGCAGGTCAAGCTTGTTGAGGGCGATAATGAGAGCGCGTCCCTCGCGCACGATGCTGCTCGCCAGCGCCAGCTCGCGCCGCGTCAGCCCGGCACCCAGCTGCGTGCTGACGGCCGCGTCCACCATCAGGACCACAACCTGCGCAAAATTGAGCGCGTGTTCCGCCTGCCTCAGCGCCCCTCCCGCCACCGCCCCCCTGCCGCCAGGGGGAGAATATTACTACAAGCACTATTGTAACGCTCGCATGCATTTTCACCCATTTCTGTCACGGCTATGTGTGTTTTTGCAGCACCTTCTCCAACCTTCCCTGTCCTTGCAGCCTCAGAATATGTCATGATTGACATACTCAAGCTGCGACCAACCAACCAACCAACCAACTGTACAATGACTGCATGTTTACCTAATTATGCCATTTTATGTGCTCTGCCAAGCTTCCTCTTAAGCAGGCGCACGCTCTGCATCAGCAGGTGTCATGGGGATGGTGTACCCCTGTGCATGCACATACAGATGGACCTGGTGAGTCACCGGCAGCCGTCTTCGGGCAGCTTGGCGTCGCGGATCCAGCCGGCGCTGTCCACCAGCTCAATGGCGTGGCCCTCCCACTCAAAGTCCTCCGCCACGGCATCGCGCGTCAGCCCCGGTTCTGGACCTGTCAAGCTGCGTTCCCGTCCGAGCAGATAATTGCACAGCGTCGACTTGCCCTGCGCACAGCATGCCACTGCGGTGTCACAGGCAAGATCTTGCAGCACGTATTGTGCGCACACGCTAGAGAGGGTCCAGATCATGTTTTCTTTGCTGCGCAACATACAGGATTGCATGATTGCAGGATGGCAGTCATGACATGGTTGAAGTGAGGCCTCACCACATTGGGCTGTCCAATGACGGCAATCTTCATGTCTTGTGGGCCTTCCGTGTCATCCTCCCCGGCTAGCCCGGGTGATCTTGCCTTTGGCGCTGCCTCCTCTCTCTGTGATGCCCGCTCCTCAATGATCTTATCTATCATTGGCTGCATGGCCGTGTACAGGTCTACCAAACCTTCACCTGCACACCCAGATGTTTCAGTCCCAACCGTCCCAGCCATCATGAACAACACTGTTGCATCTCAAAGCACAATACTGGTTGGAAGTGTTGGGTTTTGGGTAGCAAAAGTGGCGGCAGGCACGCACCTGTCTCAGCAGAGATGGCCACTGGCTCGCCAAGCCCCAGCCTGGTAGCCTCTGACAGCGCGTCACTGACACCTGCACATACAGCTTCACCCCGTCAGGGATATCCCCCACACAGCGCGTGCATGAACGTTATCTGGGGACATTGATGACGACAGCTGTTTATTTGGAGCAGAAGGGGTGTGGCCCCACCAGAGACGCCGCTGCGGCCCCTGCGCTCGGCCTTGTTGGCGGCCAGCAGGACGGGCGCAGTCAAGCACTTCCTGAGCCAGGCCACGAGCGCCTCGTCCTCGGGCACCAGTCCGCTGCGTGCGTCCACTAGCAGCAGCGCCAGATCGCACCGCCTTACAACGTCCAGTGTGATGCGCGTGGCCCTCTCCTGGATGCTCCCCTTCGCCATGAACGGCTCCAGGCCTGTTGGGGACCGAGCAAGCACCGACAGTCAGAAATGGTGGTCCGAGGAGGAATCTAATGATGCATGCGCATTGTGTGCGTGGTCAGGAGTCACCTGAGGTGTCCACAGCCATGAAGCGCAGGTCGGCCAGCTTGCCCACTCCCCTGCGGTAGTCTCTGGTGACATGGCCCTCTGGGGTGTTGTGCACCTAAGGAAGCACCAAGGCACTTGGTGCTTGTCACCAGCTTCTGCATAATACCTTGCCAAGAGGAATTAGTTAGTAAAAACATAGTCACGATCATTCATGATGGAGCAATGGCCGCACCAGGGCTAATTTGCAACGTGAGAACCTGTTGAACAGTGCTGATTTTCCAACATTTGGTCGTCCTATGATCGCTACCTGCATCACAAGAGATGGACAAAACATCAGCTTTGGTTTTCACGCATTGCTTACTTCGTGACGGAATCCAGAGTTAGGAGTGGGCTGCAGATGATGGAGCCATCCCAAGTGATCTGTGAGTTCACCACTGGCAAATCTTCTGGGGGAATTGGCGGATCCGCAGCAGCTTTCAATTTGGTGGTGAACGTGCTGTATAGAGCAGCAGATCGCCTCCTCAGTGCTGTCGCAGCTCCTTTCAAGACGCTCATGAGAGTTGGCTTTTTGCTCTCTGTATCCTGCACGGTACGGAATCCAGCAAGGCGTCTTTATTCATTCTTACGATCACAACGATAACCTCCGCTTCACTCTTCACTCCAGTACTTGAGTTGAGAATTTGAGGTGCCACCCGTGCCTTCCGCTTTGCATGCATGCGCACGTGACCAATTTGTATATCCTTCCAACTTGTAGGTGTGGCACTGGGACCCAATGAAGAAGCACATTCTTCGATTATCACCATTGCATTCAAAGTGCCAGATGAAAAGTAGTATGGACAGGGTCTTTAAGAACCTTCCCGCGGGCGGCATTACTCTTGCTGCGAGTATGTGCATGGCTTGCTCATTGAGCTTGCAGCACCTGCAGGGTCATAGCGAATCAATCGGGATCCCTTACACTGAAGCAATTCAATGTTGTAACTTGGTCCCTTGCATGCTCCTAAAATACGCGTGAGGCACAATTATTTGTGACCTTCAAGCTACACTCATTCAGAAATCCGTCTTCGCTTGGCGCGAGACAAGCCTCTATGGTGCGGGTGTTGCCCTTTCTTGTTTTCGTCTTTCAAGCGCTGCTTCAAGACTGTGTGCTCCTTTTTGAGATGCAGCATCCAGGCTGGCACCTCCATCCCTGATGACAGCATGAGATTTGCGATTCGGCGCAGCTGCCCTGCAGAGTCCAGGAATGTATTAGTCAGCACACAACACGAGCAGCAGCACGTAATGTTTAGCACCAACCCAAAAACCTGTACTGGCTTTGCTTTTTGAACCACCTACTTGCAAGGTCTAGTAGCTGTGCAGAGATGGATAATGCAATCAGTCTTAGATCAGTCTTAGCTTAAATCTAAGGAGAGTATGGCCAGTGATTTGAGCTAGTTCTTGCCTGCATCTCGCTCCTCAAAGAAGGTGATGGCCTGGCCAGTGCGGCCGGCTCTTCCAGTACGGCCCACCCTGCGCTCAATGTCCCTTCTCTCAATCAACCCACAAGCCGCAGGACCCAGATGCATCAAGCGAGCAGCATGGGTTCTCCAACACTTGAGAGCTAGAAATCATATCACCTAGTTGCGAGTCACCCTGCCCATTTGCTATCATCGACAGTCCAAGAGCGAGAGAGAGAAGAAGCCCAGTACTCTCACCTGTGGACATAATCCACGGCAGACAGAGGGAAGTCATAGTTGATGACAGTCTGGACGTTCAGGAAGTCGATGCCCCTTGCCATCAGGTCCGTGCAGACCAGCACATGCATGCGGCCTTCCCTGAACCTGTCAACCGTCGCCGCTCGAGCTGAGGGCGCCTGATCCGCTGAGATGCTGTCCACCAACACCCCTTCCAGCGCCAAATCCCTGATCAGCAAACCCAACAATCTCCCTTGTTTTGTCCCTGTTTTGTCAGTTTGCAGCCCTAGCATCTGCAGAGGTACGGCTTGACCTGGTCTCTCCGAGGAATCAACCAAGGCAAGCAAAGGGCACAGCTGTAATAGCCCAGTTATGGCAACTTTGACAGCATGCACCAAAATGCCCCCATACATCATCGGCATGCAGTCCTGAGACCTGCAGAGATACGGCTCGATCTGGTCTCTTCAAGGATTCAATCAAGGCAAAGCACAGGGCACAGCTGTAATAGCCGACACATGGCAACCTTGAGAGCTTGCAATCAACAATGCATGGTCCGTCTTGCCAGCGTGGTAAGTGTAAGTGCCTGAGTGTAATCATGTTGTCAATTGCGATCGGTTCCAATAAGCACCTGTGCAGGGCGGAGCAGCGCTGCTTGGAGTTGGTGAACACGAGGATGGGCGGCCGGGTGCCCAGGCCCAGCAGGTCGCGCAGCGCGATGAGCTTGCCGGCCTCATTGCCCACAAACACCAGTCGCTGCTGCACGGACGCGGCCGCGCTGTTGCGCTCGCCCACCGTCACGCGAACCGGCTGCTTAAGCAGGCTGCGCGCCAGCTCCTCCACCTTCTCTGGCAGCGTCGCGCTGAAAAATGCAGCAACCTGCGGCCCATGATATTCTCCTTGCTGATGTCTGCTTCTCCTCCAGCTTGTCTAAGTAGGCACCTTGCCTTTGGTAGGAAAAGCGTGTAGTAACATATACATTTCTGCAGTTAGTAAACTCCAACCTGACTTAATTGCTATTCCCCAGTAAGCAGACATGGTGTGATGGCAGTGCTATAAGAATAAAGCAATTACAAAAAGGGGAAAATAAAGAGCGGTAGAGGTAGAGCCTGTACCCTGCGAGGGTTGGTGCATGCAGCCACGACCTTGTCCATCTGCGTGACAAAGCCTTGGTCCAGCAGCTTGTCTGCCTCGTCAAAGACCAGGAACTCCACGCTGCTGAAGTCTGCCTTCTTCGCCAGCTTGCTCAGCCTCAAAGGTGTCGCCACAACGATGTCCATCTGCAGCAGCACTCATTCATGCACTCAGATAAATTTATTGATATAAACAACGGAGAGTTCTTTGCATGTGGAGCAAGGATACATGCCAAGGAACAATCTAGTAGAATGAGATCAGAGTGTCCAAACATACCTTTGTGAAGTCAGTGCCTGCTGTAACCCCGGCTGCACTGAGCAGGCAGCAGTGCAGGTGCAGCCCCTTCACAAGGCGAGTCAGCACTCGCGCGATCTGAGCTGCCAATTCCCTTGTGGGGCCCACCAGAAGAGCCTTCACCCCTTCTCGCCCCTTCAGGGCGCCCAGCTTCGCCTGGATGATGATGGGCAGCAGATAGGCCAGCGTTTTCCCAGAGCCTGAAGGCCAATTATTTTATATGATACGGAGCTGCATGACTTGCACCACTGCCCCAGTCATGAAGTGTAGATATGGGAAGCCTACCTGTGGGTGCCACACAAAGGACTTCTCGCTTCTTCAAAAGAAGGGGCACTGCTTGTCTCTGGATGGGGGTGGGCGCAAGAAAGCCGCTTTCCTCGATATTCGCCAGCAGCTTTTTGTAGAATTTCCGTTTCTTGCACACATCCGAGAACTCCTGCCGAGCAAGATCAGAGTCAGTATCAATATGCAACAGGGCTTTAAGGTAGAGGAAGAGCAGAAGGCAAAATTTGTTACCTTGAGAGGCGCTGGTATGTCGGTGCCCTTAACATATATTCTGTGCTGCTTCCTCAGCGCATGGACGTCATCCTGCGACCCACTCCAGCTCGAACATATCCTAACGTCTATTGATAAGCCCCTGACAATTAGTGAAGGATGTGATACGCCATTTCTATTGCAGTGGGAAGCTTCACCTCAGACTGGACTGAGGGACCAGCAGACTGATGTGAAGACCTGCGATCATGACTGGCCGCAGCAACCTCTGAAGAGGCTGCTAAAGTACTGGCAACGTGCCCATCGTGCGCCTTGTCTTCTCTCCTTTGAGGAAACGGGAGCGCAGTCAGAAGCGATGTCAAGGCATCGTCCGTCCTGCTTTGTCCTTTTGTGCCCTGCCGCTCCATTATCTGCTAATACTTAGCAATCTGAGGTCCTGCCAAACAGCATCGGGTGCAAATGCTGAGAGACTGCGCTTGGGACTGCAAAGCGGGTGCATTCTGGCTCCACGTGAGCACAGCATGCATTTCAGCCTAGTCCTTCGACTCCATTCGCAATCAGCGCACGAAACAGACCGTCATTCCCTGGCAAATCAAATCAATACGCTGACCTTTCTTGTCTACAGGTGGTAACACTAGAGATCTGACGTCTTCAAATCAGAAATTTGTGGGCTACAGTACAAGACAGTCCTAGTTGTCTAGGACAAGCACAGTCAGTCTCTATATTCCACTTCCCGTTGAGTCCAGGGCATGCAAATCACCATCGCAACTCATTGTTTCAACCAGAAGTCGAGGATCCGCGAGTCCTCCGATGAGTGACCAAGATGATGACCATGACCAAGACTTTGTGATCTATGGAGATGCTGAGGAAGCTCCATATATCTTCAAGGTGACGAGAGACTCCTAATTTTGTCTCTTAAAGCTCTGCTGATATTATGGCCATCTCCTTCACGCATATAATGGGGTTGCAACAGGGACCTGCAGATCACCGTCAGAGGAAAGACACAGGACGAACCTATGCCAGCTTGCATCAGCAGCTTTCCAAGAAGCGTGAGGAGGTAATGCAATTTCTCTTTTTGCCAGACGCAGCTGTGACAGCGATTGCACTGCCCTCAAGCTAATTGAGGTGCTTGGACTACAGGAGTCGACAAATTCAGCGTTTCTTGGCCATGACCGGCACATGTCAGAGCAGCCACAGCCAGGTCACCAGGCAGTGCATGGCGGAGCTCCATTTGGCGAGAATGTCATTGCAAATCTGGAAGCAAGGTTCAAAGAGACGGCAGTTGGCAGAACAGCGCATACGGAGCAGCAGGCAGAGCCTATGATCGCTGAGACAGCTGCGATTGGAGCACACAATCCCTTAGCAGCACTCGGCCTGCAGCCACAAATGAGCCACACACAGCAGCCCAGCAGGGAAGAGGATCTTTTGCTCGACAGAGCTGGGACATCATCTGGCTATCACGGGGCGCCAACAAACAGGAAGAAGAGGCAGCTTGGAAGCACATTGAGGCCTGCAGCGGAACAGCACGGTGGCTATGGCTCAAAGAGGAAAACACCGCTATCGAAAGCACAGCACAAATTTGCAATCCGAGAGTCGTCGCTGACAGCTGGGGAGCAGACATCAACAAAGACGGGAGTCCCAGACATCCTGAAGACATTGAAGGGTCTTGATGCGCGAACACCAAGGTTTGACGCATTCCACTGCTGGCAATCTAGAATATATATTTCCGATGTAAATGGGTTGTTGACTCAGCCCATTTGCATTCCCTGTAGCAAAAACATGTCCAATTCTCCAGCTGGTAATCGCAGGCATGCAAGCAGCGAGGAGAGGATAGAAGAAGATGATGAGAGGAGCGAGGATGCCCAGGAGCCACAGCCCGGGCACAATTTGCCATCAAGGCAGGCAGCAGCAGCACTGCCCATGGTCATGAGTCCAGAAACGCCCCAGGTGGACAACAGTTTCCTGCGTGCACGACGTGCAGATGTGGATACCATGTGCATGCAAACCCCTGCAGGGGCTGTGCATGCTGACATGCTTGGGGGAGCTGTCAGCCCGGGCACTGCGGCCGGCAAGTCAGCACAGAGATTGTTCTTAGCATCCGTGCTTCAGGGCGCTCAAATTCCCATCCGGCAGGTAAAGCAACCCCGCCTGGTGTAATTTTATCGATTTCAATAATGCATGCTAGGTCTCTCTTGAAGGCAGATGGGATCAATCAATCTTGCCTGCCACGTGTGGCTTAGATGCTTACCTACGATGGTGGATCATCAGATGCAGACTGGCAAAGGGGCAGCAAATGGGACTTTAGCAGCACGCCTCCAGCATGAGGAAACCTTGATGGCACATGGAAGTGGTGAAGACATAGTCCAGGTGAGTGCAGTTTCTCCATAATCATATATATTTAATGGCTGTGGATTTCTAAATGACTGTCTTTTGCTGTTTGCCGATGCATGGTGGCCTTTATGCAGGTTGAAATCCTGGAAAAAGAACAGGAAGACAACATGATCAAGTGCCGCTGCAAGAAGCTGGGGGAGGAGGCAGGGGATAGGTTCTTATTTGCCTTCATAAAGTCCAGCGTTTCAGTGAACATAGACGTTGGTTGCCGCATGACAATATGCAGCCCTTGGAAACTGATGCAGCTGCGGGACACTTCAGCCCCGCTGGTGTTTGTGTACCATGCACGCAACATGTAACTTCATAATTTAGTCAGGAGGGTTTTCGGTGGGGCATGAGGCAAAAAGGAACACCAGCTTTGCGAGGTCAGTCACCAGACAATATACAATCAAGATATATGAAACTGGCCCCCGCACTGGTGCTGAAAATAGGCCAAGATAATAGTCTCTAGACTAGCTAGTATAAATCAGTGCACATGGCCAGACACCATTCAGACGCCTATTCTTAATACTCGCTTGTGTTTACTGCAGCTTTACCAGAGCAACATGCAGTCTGTTCAGTGTTAAACAACCTTTCATAACAGGCTCCTGCACTTGCTAGCAGACCAACGGCTGAAGCACAAGTCTGAGCTAGAAATCTGAGTCCCTGTACACATCAATCGCTCCATGTGTCCTCATTGTCACCATCCTCTCCCTCAACTTCTTCATTTGCGCGCCTTGGGGCTGCCCAGGCAATTATCTGGCAATCGTTTGATCCAGTGTAGAGTTCCTGCCCACAGACACAATATTGGATAAGCATGCTTTGTGTCTAGGCTTGCCCGGCGCATGCACGGCACTGTCACAGTATGACAGAAAAAGTCCGCCGAATGGTACAGTGTGGTATTCGAGAGGGCATTTGCTAAGAAGCGTATGTAAATATCCCACCTGATTTGTTGGGTTGTAACAGCAAGCATTGACTGTGTCCATGTGCCCACGCAGCAGTGCATGCAAATTGCCCTCAAAGATATCAAATTTCTGGATGACACTTCCTGACGGGTGAAATACCATGTGCGCATCAGCACTCACTGCAATTTGGCGACCCTGCACGGACCATCTCACAGACTGAATGACCAAGAAACATTTTTCTAGAAATCTGCAGTGCAATCGGCTCAAACAATGATCGAGCATGTATATTGAAGAGCTCAATGACAACATTACCTTTTTGGCTCTGTTGAAGGTGTTGGGATAGTTCACAAGGGTATTGCTGCGCAGCACAGTCCAACTTAAAAGCTACCTCCCATGCCCAAAATTGTGGAGGATGCAACACAAACGTGCATGCAGCAGCAAAGAGGCAGACAGAGGCTGAACCTGTTGTGCTGAAGGTCCCACAGGCGCAAGCGCGAGTCTGTGCCAGCAGTGAGGCAGTGCATTCCGTCAGGAGTGGGCACCACGGCTGTCACTGCACCATCATGGGCTGTGCGATGTTGCGCTGGCCTGCTGACATTTGCGCCATCATTTGCGCTGGTTTCCAGCCTGTACTGCCTGACATAAACAAAATCTACCACTTACTTCTGCGTCAAGTGTAGGCTGTGATGTCTTCGCATGAGGATTGTTTAACAGATGCGATAAGGCCTCAAGGATCCTTATATCATGCTTACCTAGAGGCGCTTGAGCGGGGTCCAACATGTGTGTCATGCTGATCAAAGTTATGCACACACCCGGACGTCCTGATGTCCCACAATCTGACCTGCACATGGTGGGTGTTCATCAATAGCAAGAACTATCCCTTGAAACACTGTCAAGGAAGTCGTTTGGAAATGACTATCAGACCTGATGCAGCAAGAGGAGCATTACCTGGCCATCACATGACCCTGTGATGAGGTGCCACTCGCTGGAGAGAGACCAGTGCAGCGCCCACACCGCCTCCCTGTGGCCCACAAGGCTGTGTGTGAAAGCGCCGCTTGCAGGGTCACAGAGCTTCACCTGAGCAATCCATGCCAAGGTCAAACCATGTCTCCGTCCATCTCTGTCTCATCGCTGCCGCATACTGTTATGCTGCTCCCCAAAGGAAAACAGTGTAGTGAAGAAAGACACCTGCGGCTCTCCACCTCCCACTGCCACCAAGCAGTGCGCTGCAGCCACGTGGGACATGCCGAGGGCATACACACGGACTGGCAGCGCAAAGCTGCATGCCACTGCTAGCACATTTGTGTCCCAGATCTGCAGTGGTGCACGACTTGGTCATCAGATCAGCGCACTCGTTCCCTCCCTTGTCAACATCAGAATGACAAAGATTCAGGGAAAGTTGGCACTGGGCATGCCAATGGTTCACCTTGACTTCCTGGTCAAAGGACCCGGTAACAAACATGCCGGTATCAACGGGGTACCAAACAGCGCTTGTAACGCTAAACTTGTGGCAGTCTGGATTGGTCCTGTCCACCTTGAACAGGGCTCTGTGCTCTGAACAGCCCTCGGTGAAGACTCGGTGTGACTGCCGTCCCACAACCTGGGGTGTGCCTTCCTGCATGATCATCTCGGTCAATGTGGGAAGGGAAGTATGGGGGACACAGCAAAGAATCTGCCAACCCTAAATTGTTCAGGTCTCAGGGTGGGTCAAGCCTCACCTGGACGTCATATCCAGCAATGGATGCATCTGCTGCAGCACCAAGGAGATACCGGTGGTCGATAGAGTCTAGCTCCAAACTAGTCAGGCCCCCCTTATGGGCACTGTCTATGGCCTTTTCCGAACTGACTTGCAGCGATTTGACCCTGAGCAATACGGATTTGTGAATCGGCAGGTAGGTTGAAGAAACTCATGCAAAAGGGCCATATACGTTTCACAGCGTCCACCTGTTCTCCTTGATCTGGGAAATGAAGGTTTGGTTCTGCTGCCTTTGACGCTCAAGCAATCCTCCGGTTATGCTGCTGTGCATTTCATTAGTTCAATCTCATGACCCCGCGTCTTGAGATTATGTGGTTGAACATCCGTTATAGATCATGCCAATATCTGCAAGTCAGAGTAGATACTTGACACTACACGTGCTCATGACAGTGCAATCGATGCAACAGAATGCCAAATTACAATTCCTTAAACACAATTCATGGGAACTTCGAAGAACAAAGACCATCATCTACAGAGTACCGAGATAGCTTCCGCTTGGAGCTCCTCTGGCTTCCCCAAGTTGGGAAGCTGCCCACCCAGGTCCTCACAACAGCCTTTCAAGTCCTTCCCTCAGTCCTCAAATTTAGAAAGAGTAACGGGCAAGTTCATTCCACCGTCCTACCTAATGCTGGCTTCAAAAGGTTGAAATACAGCTGGATCCCCCCCGGGCCTGGAACGGTTTCTTGTGCACAAGTGACTCACAAGATCCAATAGCTGAGAACATCATCGTCATCATCAATCTAGAGAAAACTAACTACAATGAACTGAATTGCTCATCTACAAACGCACAGACTGCCTGGCTTGAAGAAGAGCAGCTGAACACATCATGGATATTGTTCTATTGCCTGATTTCTGTCCAGAATATTTCTGTACACTCCCCTCAGGGATATCCTTTAATGAAACCATATCAGTAGCATGCATGGGTGTGGGACTGCACCCTACATTGTACACAGATGTAGGATGTACTGCACCCAACAGTTGTGGTAAACCTTGCATGCCTACCTCTGCCAGGTGTGCAGCAGCACGCTTGCCGGTGCCAGCACAGCTCAAGCCTTTGACACAGACACGCGCCAGAAGAGCAGGCGGAGGCCCTTTTGCTGCTTGGACTCCTCAGCATTTGCTCCCCACTCGTTGTGCAGCCTCTGCACCAGCAGCGTGCTCACCACTCCCAGCGCGCCACTCAGCAGCTTGAACACCAGGGATGGCTTCTTCTTGCGCTTGCCGCAGGTGGCCAACTCCTTCCGCGCATCTGCCAGGGCATTGTTCACCTGCATGTGTCATATAGGCTCTGTTGGTCTCTTTTGACATTCTGTCAGGCTAACTGAGCACTAAGCTGCATGCTCCTGACCTTTGTCAGCATTAAGCGGGGCAATGCAATGCCTCAATGCCGTTACAGTATCATATATCAAAATCTGCATTGCAGTCCGTGTGAGAGGCAGGTGCGCACAGCTGCCAGCTGCTGCGGCAGGTCCTGCAGGGCCTGGGATGCCTCTGCCAGCTTGGCTTCCAGCTCGGTGATCTGCATGTCCCTGCTGCGCAGCAGCTCAGCCTGGATGCCCATCTGCCGCTGCAGCTGTTCAATCTCAGCCTGCCGTGCCTCCTGCGACTCATCAGAAATGGCTGAGTCCCTTCTCGCGTGTTTTGTGAGGTGTGCATCCATTGCATGATACAATGCATTGTGGACGTGGAACACTTGAGCTTGTACAGATATGATTGCAAGGTGGTTGTGACCTGATCTTGGCTCATCTGCGCCTTCAGGGTCGCCACTTGCGCTTCAGCTGTCTCTCGAGCAGCGTTCACTCTTGCCAGGGTGTTCTTGATGTTCTGGAATGCTCCAGCCAGCGCTGTGATCTCATCATGAGCAGCCTGCACAAAATGATCGCAATCACCGTTTTGTTTGCCGTGATCCCCTGCAAGGATGGATGCATGCCAGACAAAGCGTTTTGCATTGACACAGATCAGCAGTTGGCGCACACCGCGAGTTCCAAGCGCATCTTCTGCAGTTCTGTATCACGGCTGCGTGCTGTCTCTGTTGCCTTCTCAAGCTGGCTCTGCAGATGGTCCTCTAGGTCCTGCTTTGAATGCTCCAGGTCCTGCTTGGCATTCTCCAGCTCGCTGACCTGGTGATGGCCATCCCATAATGCTCAGGAAATGCAATGGGACACATGCATTGCTGAAGCTGATGTCATGCATCAAGACAGGAACTCGCCATGACATACCTTGGTGCACCCTGCAGATCAGCATAACAGGTGCACAGCAGAGGCTCACCTTTTGCAGCAGAGCCTGCAGCCTGACCTCCAGCTGGTCCTTGACAGCGATGACTGACTGCAGCTCCTTGCCTTCCTGCTCCAGCATCTCCATGAACTCTTTCTTTTCTGACCGCTCTGTCAGGAGCTGCTGCGTCAGACTCTGTAGCACCTGTGGCGAAGTAAGTCTTTGATCAGAAGAAACCACAATGGCCGCAAACGCCTGAGCAGTCCGAGAAAGACAATTTTGTGGGGGAGCCTGGAATTTATTCAGCGCTGGCATCCAATTCTTTGTACCTTGCTGGTCACCAGTTTGGTCTCATCTGCAACACTGCAGTGGCTCTGCATCGCAAAACCCTGTGATTCCAGTGACTGCACGACAGACTTGTACTTCATCAGCTCTTCCTTCAGCTGACTGTTTGAAGATCTGACTGCATTGTTCTCCTTGCGAGTGTCCAGCAATTCTTGCATGAGGCCAAGCCGTGGCTTCTCAGAAAGATCCTGCAGGCAGTTAGGACCGTTGTCAACTTTTGCTAAAACTGTGATGTCCCATATCAGTATCTGCAGATTTTACAAAGGTGTATGATCACCTTTTTGCTCGAGACACTGGGTGGTGTGCTTGTGCCCTCCCTCAGAGACTTCCATGACGATGTTGAGTTTCCATTAACCACCTTAAAAGGTGGCCTGGACAGCGGCCCACCTGCAACTTGGAGTCCAGTTCATGAATCAGCGCATTCTCTGGGGACCCTGGCTCCCAGGTATCTGAGCAGAAGATTGCTAGTTTTGTCAGTAAAGGTGTGCACATGCAGGTGTGGTGTCTTAGTTGGCCTGACGTACTTGATGTGACGGTGGAGGTGGAGGATGATACGGAAGATGTGCCATTGGAGAGCCGGGATGTCCTCCTGGTCTGTGTTGGAGAAGTGGAGCGTTGAAGGGATGGCGTCGCGGTTTCCTCCGGGCAGGTGCTCCCTGTCGGCGTGGGAGCTCTGGAACCAGTGACCCTCTCATCTTTGGCCTTCTTCATGCTTGAGATGAATGGCGATGGATATGTCAAGTCGATTTCCTGGAATAGACTGTCACTTCAGATGCACAAAGTCACTGGCAAAAGGTTGTTATGAAGTCATCAACAAGGACAGAAGTTGACCGTCATCAGCGGGTTTCTTGGCAAGGATGGAGACTGCATGCAGTTGTTCTCCTCGTCAAAGTTGCAAATTGTGCATCCAACAATTTGCTGTCAAGTGGCTGTTTCAAAAGGGAGGTAGTGTTTTGAGGAAGGGAAACCCTTCTAATTATAGACCTCAAAGGGTCGACTGGCTGACCTCATCCCCCGACATTGTTGCCTCTATTTCGCTGTCCCGACAGTGAAAATGAAAGGGATTAGTTTGGACATATATTGAGGAGTGTAAGGCGGTGTGTACGGAGCAGCTCTCATGATATATGAATATTCGACTTCATGGGCATGAAGACGAAGTGAACGCAATCTTGGCAGGTCGCTGCATCGAAAAGTCATGTGGAGGTTAAAGAGTGGGGAGGACACAAAAGGACATCCTTTTCTGCAGTCCTTGAATGATTTTCAAGGACGCCAGGTGTGGGAACTCGACCCTGATGGTGGATCACCAGAGGAGTTGCAAGCCGTGAAGGCAGCTCAAGATGCGTTTACCGCCAACAGATTGAGTCAGAAACATAGCTCAGACCTCTTGCTGCGCCTGCAATGCTCTGGGAGCCTTGATGATCCTACAGCACGAAGGAGGCAGTCAGGTGTGCAGTGCAGTCCGTATGAACTTTGATCTCGATGCAAAATGCTGCTTGGTGATTGTGTCCAGGTAACAAGTGTATTTAGGTCAACGAAACATGAGCTTTTCCCATCAAGTCATCTTGACAGGGTCCTCAGACAACACTGTCACTGGACAGGGGCTGCCACTGGGCCAGAGGTGACATCTGCACTGCGCGAAGGCATTTCATTTTACTCCAAGCTGCAACAAGCAGATGGTCATTGGCCTGGCGACTATGGGGGCCCCATGTTCCTCATGCCGGGCCTCGTCATCACTTGCTACGTGACGGGCTGTCTGGACACAGTCTTGACCGCCCCTCACAAGGCAGAGATGCTGCGGTATCTGAAGAACCATCAGAATTCAGATGGGGGCTATGGCCTGCACATTGAAGGTCACTCCACCATGTTTGGGACTGCTCTCAGGTACGGAGTCTCGCGAGCAAATTTGTTGTTCTTCGGGCACAGCAGAGCACAGACACTCATATGCCTCTCTTGTGCTCCTTGCAGCTACGTGACAATGCGGATTTTGGGCCTCCCAGCAGAGGATGAAACTTGCGAGACTGCACGAAGATGGGTAAGTGGTGGGGGTTATTTCTTATACCATAATTAGGAATCTCATGTGGACTTGCACGGGATGCAATGAATGGGATGCAATGTTGACAGCACACCTTCTGATCTGCAGATTCTCGATCATGAGGGGGCGACACACATTACATCATGGGGAAAGTTCTGGTTGGCGGTCCTGGGCTGCTACTCCTGGGACGGCATGAACCCGACCCCGCCTGAGATCTGGATGCTCCCCTATGCTTCCTGGAGTGGGATCGGCCTGGCACACCCGGGCCGCTTCTGGTGCCACTGCCGAATGGTAACTTCTGCTCTTAGACTGAAGGCACAAATACACATGAGACAGCATGCTGCAGTCTCGTTCCATGCGCTCGTCACAGGAGCAGCGCAAGCATGCATGCTTCAGTCTGGGCCACGGAAAGTTTTATCTTTTCTGAGAGAGGTAGATTTTACAGGTGTATCTACCCATGAGCTATGTGTACGGCATGCGGGGCACTGGCAAGCTGACTCCACTGGTCCTCAGCCTGCGGAAGGAGCTGTACCCGGGCAGCTACGAGTGCATAAACTGGAATGCTGCGCGCAACCAGTGTGCCTCGACCGACCTGTACTACCCGCACCCCTGGATCCAGGATGTGCTCTGGTGGTCCCTATACAAGGCAGAGGGGCTGCTGCTGGGATCCGGCCTCCGCAAGAAGGCCCTGGCTGAGGTCATGCGCCACGTGCACTACGAGGTCAGTGTGCTCTTTTGAGCGCTCTCTGCTTCTCTGTATGCCTTTCGTCTTCATGATGGGGGCTTTGCGAGCTGTCGAGTCACACTTTGGTGCTTTCATTGCCTCCTGCTCTTCACTGTTGGTAGTTGAGATGCCTGATTTGCAGCTGTGATGATGAGCATGCTGCGTGGCTTGCTGAGAGAGTATGTTGGTGTGTGGCAGGACGAGAACACGCGCTATGTGTGCATCGGGCCTGTTAACAAGGTCATCAACATGCTGTGTTGCTGGTTTGAGGACCCAGACTCTGAGGCCTTCAAGAGGTACTGCTCATTCTGCTTGGCATTCTGCCATCCCTCCTGACAAAGCCACTGAGACACATCAGGAACTGCTCCTAGTGCTAGTAATCTGATGGTCATGTCATGTCATGCACGCAGGCACATCCCGCGCCTGTATGATTTCCTGTGGGTGGCGGAGGACGGCATGAAGATGCAGGGGTACAACGGGTCCCAGCTGTGGGACACCACATTCGCGGTGCAGGCCATCTGCGCCACCGGCCTCGCACCTGAGTTCAGCGACTGCATGCGCCGCGCCCACCACTACGTGGACGTCACACAGGCAAGCATGCATGATCATCCATCATACAAACCAGAGACAACAGTGCCGCATTCCATGTCAGTGACGTCGCTGGCACAAGGAGTACTCTCTTCAGGTGGCCCTGCTCGTTGAAATGGTGGAGTAAGTTTGTGCCTCTGCTGTGCTTGACAGGTGCGCGACGACTGCCCTGGGCCCCTGAGTGCATGGTACCGCCACATCAGCAAAGGGGCCTGGCCCTTCTCCACAAGGGACCACGGCTGGCCCATCTCTGACTGCAGCTCAGAGGGCCTCAAGGTGATCATCGCTCCTTATGACCCATCATTGGGACCGTCCCCAATATTCATGAAAGTAAAACAATCACATGCTACTCATAATTTGTGTGTCATGTGGATGAGCTGTTCTAGACCAAATGTACAAAATACAGCTGTCTCATTGCAAATAAGTTTACAATATAGAGCAACTTGTGGGTGGGCTTTGCAGGCCTCTTTGTCACTTGCCGCACTGGATCCTGCCAAGGTTGGCGCGCCAATCTCGGATGACCGCCTCTTCGATTGCGTGAATGTGATCCTGTCCTACCAGAATGGCGACGGCGGCTGGGCGACCTATGAGAATACGCGCTCCTACTCAGCACTGGAGGTACCCTGCGCATGCCTCCACCTGTCTCACCCACCAAATGATGCATGGGCACTATGGCACCACATCACTTGTCCTGTAACAGCTGCCACGCTGGCGACTTGCCGTGACAACAGCTGGGCTGTCATGCAGCTGATCAATCCCTCGGAGACCTTTGGGGACATCGTGATAGACTACAGCTACGTGGAGTGCGCGTCCGCCTGCATGACAGCGCTGGCCGAGTTCCAGCACAAGCACCGGGAGCATCGCAGCGCGGAGGTTCTGGCCTCCCTCCGGCGCGGCCAGCGCTTCATCGAGAAGCAGCAGCGTGCGGACGGCTCCTGGTACGGCTCCTGGGGCGTCTGCTTCACCTACGCGGCCTGGTTCGGGTGAGCGCCTGACCTCCTTGCATCACACCATCAATGACACTCCTGCCTTCCTGACCTTCAAGCCTTTCAAATTGGTCCATGCGTCTTCAAAGTCACCACAAGGCCTCACAGGAGATTGGGCAGCTTGCTCAAGGCACCTCAGGTTGTTTTGAATTGATAGCCAGGCAGCCTGTTGTGGGGAGGGCAGTTGTGCTTCTTTCGGTGTTTGCTTCTTTTTGGAAGTTATGTGGGCGGAGGTGAAGTTGTGGCGGGCTGGCTGGTGCAGGTGCGAGGCGCTGGCGGCAGTGGGCAAGACGGTGGCGAACAGCGAGGCGCAGCTGCGCGCGTGCGAATTCCTGCTCAGCAAGCAGTGCCCCGACGGCGGCTGGGGCGAGAGCTACCTCTCCTGCCAGGACAAAGCGCGCTCCCACATACCCCCACATACCCCCTGAAATCCTCGTAGATCCCCAACCACATCCACCTGTGCAGTGATGCTGGCAAGGTCGTACAGATGATGTGAGGATGGTATGGTTGTGTTATATGGGGAGTCCTGATTTTAGGGCCAACTTTTGCCCTGCAGGTGTATTCACAGTTGGAGGGGCAGAAGTCGCAGGTGGTGAACACAGCCTGGGCGATTTTGGCGCTGATCTCAGCGGGCTATCACCACCGGGACACCAAGCAGATCCAGAATGCAGTGCGCTGCCTGCTGCGGCAGCAGCTGCCATCGGGTGACTGGCCGCAGGAGCACATCACTGGAGTGTTCAACCGGAACTGCATGATCACATATGCCAACTACAGGTGTGCCTATTGCCCCCACTCAAGCTTCCATTGGCTGCATGGAAACAGGTTCAGAAGGGATATGCTCGCGGAGAAAGCTGATGCGTTACATGGCTGCTGTGCTTGCAACAGGAACATCTTCCCTATCTGGGCACTTGGGCGGTACAGAGTTGACGTCCTGAAGCTCTGAATGGCAGGAGCTGCTCCTCAAAGCCTCACCATATATATATACTGCACCTCAAGCAAACGGTTTTCCTTCCAAGTACATAGGCTTCTGCAGCACTGCGATTTATGTGAGCGAGCGAGTAGGTAGCTGAATGGAGAGCATTCTTTGATACGTTCTGGCCCATACTGAATGGGCCAGTTGAGGGAGCCAGTTGAGCGGATGACTCGGGGATTTGAAAGGGTGGTGTTGGCATTGTGATCGCAATTGCCTGATTAGGTATTCCCTGAGAGCATTGTTTACTAGCCCCCGTTTTTGAGCTTGCTGTATCATGGCTGTGAAACAATGGATACCTGATGTAAATACCTGCTCTGCCAAAACCTGAAGCCTCATGGATCACAAAGGGGCAGGACTGAGGACAGCATTGTAAAACACGTGCAATTGATCAGCACAATGACCGGGCTCAGTCTGTGCAATTTGCAACGTTGCAGTGCAGGCTACAGCTGAGCATGATGCTTATTCCTAGTTTACACAGACTTGCTCCTTATAAGCCTTGTAATTACAGAGGAGTTCACATTGCTGGTGGCCGCCAAACTGCCTGATAAATCAGCTGCATTGCTTTTCCCCCAAACCCGGCACTTGCAAGCAACAGTCAAAATTGTGCTACACTATTATGTAATAATGGATCTCTTCCCAGTGCTGTGGATTGCTTAGCAACACATGGGGAACCCCGCATGAGTCCTGCGCCATGGCCAATCCTGCTTCGACAGGGCATAACACTCACACGCAGAACTAGTGCCCATGCTGAAGTCTCTAAGCCATCGTTTATGGGCTTACAGACAGTGGCCATCTATCATCGCATGTCATGACCGGTCAGCAGGCTCCTCCTGCCCGCCTGGTTGCTGCTCCAGAGCCTGTGCAGCTGCTGGGAGGAAAGGTGACTGGCGCCCCGGTGGCGGCCGTGCTGGCCTCAACTCCCCATCTCTGTCCACATACCTGCCACCCATCACCACACCTGTCACCTCCTGTATATCCTCATGGCCAGGCGTGCATGCACCTGCTGACTGGATGGTTGAGCAGATATGCAGATGCTCCGGCAGGGCCAGGAAGTAAGACTTTGAGCAGGTGCATGGCGCAAGTGCAACATGCATGTGTGCTAGGAGCTCACTCTATGTAGGCCATGTGCGCTGCATCGTTGGTCCGCTGCCTGGTGCGCAGGATGCGCGTGTAGCCGCCATCGCGATCCTTGTATCGCTCTGCCATTTCTGTGAACACCTTCTGCAGCACGTCGTCCCCGCGCACCACTGCTGCAGCCTTCCGTCTCGCATGCAGATCCCCCTGGTGGGATGCAGCGAGCATCAGCAAGATGACGGATACACAGCAGCACATGGACAACAGCCAAATCAATGTGTGCCATAGCCTCACCTCCTTGCCCCAGGTGATGACCCTGTCTGCCAGCTTCCTGAGCTCCTTCGCTTTGGCCACCGTCGTTTCAATCCTCTCATGACGAACAAGCTGAGATACCATAGTCCTGAACAAGTAAGAGCCAATTAAGTATAATGTTGCAATTTAGACAATTCATTTATGCAATGAACTTGCTAAAACAGTTTATACCTGAGCAGTGACCATCTGTGCGCGACAGTCCTGCCTAGATTGCGGCCAACGACCCTATGTTTCATCAGAGAGAAATTTCAACGAGCATTTGGAGCTTCGTCCGGCCTATCTAGAAAAGTAGGACCCTGGCGATCTTGAGTGATCTGGTAATTTACGCTTTCCAAACGTCACAATGGCTTGCAGAACGACACAAGAACTGTCTCACACAGCTGAAATCGAAATGCAGGCAAAGAGAGGCTTGAGCTGTCGAGAATGGAGGAAAGCAGACTGCAGCACCAGCTGGCAAACCCTCTCTCGGTTGTAGGGTTTTGAACAACCTCTCTGGGCCTCTGATGCTCTGGCTCGTCCTGTTGCTGTCTTTTGCAAATGTAATAAAGTAAGAGAGTAACAGTATTTCGATTATACGGGTATCTGCTGAGCCCAGGCGTGGTATCGATTATTTGATCCCATCAATCGCTGCTGCAATCAGCACTCCCTCCACTGGGCTGCTGATAGGAAAGTGATAAATACTTGACAATCACTCGATCTTTATTTAATTGTTATATTCTCCCACATGCGACACTCCGAAATGGGCTGGAACACGGGGAGATGTGGAAGCCTTCAGGCCTGACTGCCCAGCATTAGCTGGTACACCAGTCTTGCAGATCAATCTCGGGACTGGACAGGAAGATGACATGGGGCTTCGGGGGTCTTGGCACGAATGGAGATGCAGCATTTCATCCTGGACAAGCAGCTCTTCTGGCAGCTGCTGTGCTGGTCAGCCTGGCCTGCTTCCAGCTGCTGCGAGGGCTGTGGCGCATGGTGGCCATTGAGAGGGGCCTGTCTGACGTTCCCAGCGCTCCGGGGGGCAACCTGCTGCTGGGCCATGTGCTGCCGCTGCTGAAGGGGACCCCCTGGGACATCATGGCTGCCTGGGTCATCAAGTGCCCACCCCTGGTAGGACGGGCTCACAGCACTTTGCCTTTAATGATCATGACTGTACTCTGACAACAATATGCCATTGTCCTCATCTTGGACATGCAGGCTGGGATCATGCATGGCTTTAGGGAAGTGCATGGAGCTGTTGACCACTTGCAGCAGAATTGTCCCTCCATGCAGACCAGTCCCTGCATGAGGTCCTGGTGTTGGGATAGATCAAATTAGCGGACTGAAGACCTGACGATGTCAGGCCCATCACTGCTCAGTCATGCCTGACCTCCGTGTCCATATGTGACAATGTCATACCTCCAGATCTTAATATCTCAGATTTAAGAGCATCCAGGGACAATGGGGACGCGCATGGCATGTACAATTAAGTGATAATCTAGCTAGAGCATGAGCAGGATCAGAATCGGTAGCACCAGAGAAATCTACCGTTAGCACCAGAGAAATCTGTTAGGCAGACATGCAAGCAACAGTACAGATGACAGACAAAGCATGTGCAGGTGCGACTGCGCATTCTGCAGCGCAGCATGGTGGTGGTGGGCAGCGCGGAGGGGCTAAAGCGGGTGTTCCAGACCAACGCGCGCAACTATGTGAAGGACCTGGACTTCTCCTTCCACCCCTTCCTGCCCATCCTGGGCACGGGCCTGGTGACTGCGCAGGGTGCCCTCTGGCAGTCCCAGCGCCTGCTCATGGCCCCCACTCTGCGCGTCGACGTCCTCGACGATGTGGTGAGCCGTTCCCTCCATCTTTCCTGCCCTGCCGGCTGCTGAGGGGCTTCATACCATTGCTTCTGCCACCGGTCTCTGACCATCAAGGTGTTCCTATTGAGAGGAATCATTGCCGACAGTACATTGTCATGGAAGCATACCGGGCTGCACTGAGCTTCCAGCATAGCAGGCGATCATGCTATTGGCATCACAAATCTGCCTATGACCAGACTGTCACAATCGTACTTGCACCTTGTCAAGAACGCATGCCAGCAGCGCATTGCCAACGAGAGCCTGCTGCACTGCTTTGACCTCCCAGGAAGACAGACAGCCGCCAGGCCCGGTGCAGTGCGTCAGGCAGGCAGTGAAGCATATGCACATATGGGGATTTGGATTGTTGGGCGCGAGGGATTAACCGGGGCCGGTTGGGCTGGTGTGCGCAGATTGGGGTGGCGATGCGGGCAGCGGACCGGCTGAGCAGCAAGCTGGAGGAGGCGGTGGCGGCTGGGCGGCCAGTGGAGATGGAGGAGGAGTTCCGGCTGCTCACGCTGCAGGTCATCGGCGAAGCCGTCCTCAGCCTGCCGGCCGAAGAGTGCGACCGGGTACGACGCAGCTCTGCACTGCAAACCCACCCGCCCATATGTGTACCTTTTGTAGCGAGGGAGGCCTGTACGGAAAGGCAGCGCAATCCTTTCACAGCGCACATGTCCATGTGTCTCGTTGCACTGCGCCCATTACTGCGCCCATATTACTGAAGGGTGTATCACCGTTCTCATGCGCTAATCCGCCCGAGCCAGAGCAGACAAAATATGCAGAGCGTGGAAGCCTGCACAGAGTCGTGTCCAAGAGCCACTACTGGTACTCTGCCGAACTGACTTTTTCAACGTGATTTTGGAACTTCAGTTCATTGACATTGTAGAACGTCTGACATGAGTAACAGCACCGATGCTATGCGCGCAGGTGTTTCCGCAGCTGTACCTGCCGGTGATGGCGGAGGCGAATCTGCGCGCGATCCGCCCCTGGCGCCAGTACCTGCCCACGCCCTCCTTCTTTGCCTTCCTCTGGCGCATGCGCAGCCTCAACTCCTACATCCGCACCCTCCTGCGCACGCGCTGGCACAGCCGCCACCAGCGATCCGGCGCCCCCAAGCGTGACATCCTCGACCGCCTCATCACCGCCATCGAGGTGCTGGGCCGCAGCAGAACTTGCTTTTTTACAGAGAGAATTTGAATCGAAGATGTGATGCTTGCATGTATCTCTTGTGTGGATCTCTTGCATATGTTTCTTCAGATGCATGCCTGGAGAGCTCAGTGGGGCTGAGATTTAGTCGCCGGAGTTAAGTACGTGAGGAGCAATTTGCACTTCATTGGTTACCAGATGGACTGCCGTTGCTCAGATGAAGGGTGTCTGTTGTGCGTGGGATGCTGCTTGATGGTAAGGAGTGTGGGCGCTGCAGGCCAAGGGCGGCACGTGGAGCAATGCACTGGAGACGCAGCTGTGCTACGAAATAAAGACTTTTTTGCTGGCCGGCCACGAGACGAGCGCTGCCATGCTGACGTGGACGCTGTACGAGCTGACTCAGCGCCCCGACGCGCTTGCCAAAGTGTGCACCCACTCAGTATGCGGTGCCAGAGTTGACCTCAGTACACTCGATTGTGAACTTGGCAAGCATGCGCCCTTGTGTTGTTGTGTGTGCTGCAAGGCAGTGTTCAAAGAAGATCACTGCTGAGAAAGTGCCTTGCTGCAGGTGAGGGAGGAGGCAGTGGCGGCTACAGCTCAGAGCGACGAGCCGAGCAGGGCGGCCGCAGAGCAGATGGTGTACACAGTCAGCTCTCTGAAGGTGCGCCCCGGCTGTCCTCCCAACCTGAACCCATCGTACATGTCCCCCTTACTGCCTTCTTAGCCCACCACTCGAAAGATGGGACGGGTAAGCACCTGGGATCTGAGTTTGGAGTGTTAGTGTGCTACCCTGGAGGAGAGTATATGCTGGGTGTGGGGAAGGGGGCCCCCAAACAACCCTTAAATAATCCTGAGGTGTTACAGCAATAGCAGATGCGCTCAAAGTGGTGATTCATGGAATGCGTGCAGGAGACGCTGCGCAAGTACTCGGTGGTGCCGGTGGTGACTCGGCGGGTGGCGGCGGACGACGCGATCTGCGGCATGCGCGTGCCGGCCGGCACGTACCTGGCATGCTGCCTGCAGGCGGTGCACGCGGCCTGGCAGCAGCCGGGCGCCTGGCGCCCCGAGCGCTTCCTGCCCGGCGGCGAGTATGACGGCTTCAAGGAGGACATCCGCCCCTTCATGGTGTGCATTGCTCCTCCCGTCTCATGCGTAAACGTCAACCAGGGTAGAAGAACGCGGGATTTTCCTTTTCCTGGCAAGCCATGAGCTCCATATTGCAGCTCATGCACTTCATGGGCATTGAGCAGCTTATGATGGGATGACATGCTGTATGCCATTATGCCTTCTGTGATTTTGGTCTTGGGTACAGTCAACATTCCTGGAGACGCAATTTTCTCAAGAACTCCATCTGATATTTTTTACTGTGCTGCCTGCAGTTTGTGCCGTTCATCCAGGGGCCACGGAATTGCCTGGGCCAGTACTTTGCACTCCTTGAGGCGCGAATAGTTCTGGCACTGCTAGTAAAGGTCCGTCCCCTCTCCACAGACATGGTCCTTACCGCCCATAAATAGCCGAATTTGAGAAGTTTCGCTGCCGCCTAGATGGTGCCAGTGTGCTTGCATGCCTGGCAGGTCTACCAGAAGTGTTGCATGATTGTACACATGTACAATTCCTTTCTGACGTGAGTTCTTGACTGTGTGCAGAGGTTCAAGTTCCAGTATGCTGCATCCACGCCAGCTACCCGACATCCTAGCGTGATCCCTGTCGGCCCAGCAGATGGCATGATGATGCATGTGAGCTGAAACGCGGCATGATGCCACGATGGAAGTCTTCCTCCATTTTTGGGAGGTGGCAGAGAGTGGGAAACACTAAAATACATTCAGGACTGATATCTTGGAGCGCGCCTGACCTAGCATATATGTGTGAACCTCTGAGAGCAGTATTGCGCAAAAGTAGAAGTTTTGTGATGAGAGTTTTCACACTTGGGCACTGCCCCTAGAGCAGAAATCTGGTGCATTTTGAAAGAATCCTTCCGAATGCAATAAATGATGTTGTGATCACTGCGTGATATTGAGAAGTCTCCGAGGTGCCTGTCAGGAATTTAATAAATGCATCATATCAAACATTTGTGTTTTAATAATCCTTGCAGAACCACTCTATGCCTTTTCAACAATGAAATTCCCAAGCCAATCAATAATCTCAGATGTTGCAGCACATGGAACGCTGCCAAAATTGATGAATACAGTACATGGTGGCATTTGCTGTGGACATCCATATCTGTGAGCACTGTCGTATATTGTACCAATTCGACGAGTACAAATTTGCGCTAGCGGGCTGCACCAGGGGTCGCAAAGTAAGAAGGACAAAACCACTGAAACACTCAAACTCATCAGCACGTCAGACACTGAGATTCACTGTTTTCAGTCGTCGTTGCTGACCACATTTGGCGTCCTCCCAACGTTGGCCAAATCGTACTCTCCCACGAAAGGAAGATCCGCCTTGTACCACCCTGCAGCACGTTTGGAGATGAGTACAGCCACCAACATCATGAGCCTTGTGGGTACATGAAGCAATACTGACATTACTAGGACCACAGAGACACACAGCGCTGCTGCGAAGAACATGGCTCACCATATACTCCGCCACCAAGATGGAGCACCTCTCCAAAGTTCTCAGACACGACGGCCTTGTAAGCAGCCTGCGCCAGGGCAGCAGCTTGTTGCTTCCCCAATTGGAAGTCACACAACACAGGCTTCCCAAGGCACTATATGGTGCTATGCCCACTCGCAGATATATGATCTCAGGCCAATAAGCTGATGATGCCGGTTGAGAGATCTGCAAGACCCATGGAAGCACGTCAGAGTCAAGTCACCTTCAATGAACGTGATTCCTTTCCATACTGGAAGCTGGCATTTGGTACTAATGATCCACCCGCCTCACAAGCAAGGATGATCTTTGCACCCTTCCCTGCCGCTGCCGTCAAATCCTCCACTGTGCAAGGCATGCAGGCCTCATCAATAGGTTGTTCTTGATAATGGAATCCCTGAGCACATGGTTTACAAACACAGAGACGCCCACAAAGTCACAGCCAGCTCACCAAATGCTGGGTTTGGCTCCACTGGTGAGACGCCATTCAGAGCCAAGGCGGTTGCACGCAGCAGACCAGTGAATGACATTTGGCCCAAACTAAACTTCCTGAAAAGGGCTGCATGTTTGGCGCCCTCTGGGTGAGCCTGCTCATAGAGGTCTCTGGGTCTCACATCAACAAGCACCTGAGATGCATCAGGTCACAGAAGGTCAGCAGTGAGCTGTGGAGCAGCATATGGACAACACAAGGAAGAAGATGGATGACTAGTTGAGCTATGCAAACCTCCACATCAATTGAAAATGAGGAGCAGGCACTCACATATCCCTTCTTTACGAGCTCCGCTGCTTCCTCAGCTTTGATGGTCTTCACTCCCCGCTTGTTCAACGTGTCATAAATGTACTCCCACCTGACACAATGGGAGAGTGATAAGTGGCATTGTCCAACTACGTGGCCTTACATGCAGAGGCTCCGAGGCTCAGTCCCTCACAGCCATCTGCACATGTCTGCATGTAGAGGCTAGGTTGTGCACCTTGGCAGTCTTCCCCCTGCAGTGCCAACTGTCTGAACTGCGGCCGCCGCTCTGGGCGTCTGCACCTTCCGCAATGCTCGTGTGCTAAGATGCCGCAGTTTTCGACCGGCAGATAAGGGGCTTCCCTTCTTGAATGAAGAGGTGGTGAACACATCACTTGTGCATGGTCTGGAGCACGGAGAGTTGATCGACGCCATCATGGTCAATGGGGATGCAACACAATCTCTTAGTTTAATGAATATGAGGATTGTCTCTGTTGTCGGAAAGAATCGAAATTGAGAGGAGAAATCCACACGTGCAAGACAAATCCTTGGAATCCAATCCAGGCCGGGGGGACCCTGCAGGGGGGATCGGGGTCGATCGGTCCTGATCAGGCTCACGCTGAATCTGCCCAGAAGTTTCCTCGGATGCAAGCAGCAAAACAAAAGATAACCTAGTTTGATGAGCTCTACACTTTCAAGGGCCAGGTATTTGTGTTCCTAAGTATCACTCCTTATTCCTTTGTTCTTTTTGGAGCTGCAGTATAAAGGATGGGTGATGAAGCAATCGAGCAGACTTTGTTCGTTGCAAAGGAGGTGCAGGTATACAGAGTCCCACCACGCCCGTCATCAGGTGGTCACAAAAGCGGTGACTGGAAGGTCGCGGATAGGATTTTCCAGGGAAGGCTGCGTGTGCTGTCCATCGGGGAAAAGTGTGAGCTGAGGTTGGAAGAGCCTGGCAGGTGACTTCTGTCTTCTGCATGTCAACATGAAAATCCTCATAATGATCCAATACATCAGTCGACACAAGACATTCTGCTGGACAGCTCTTGCATGCCGCTCCTGAAGTCAATCACCACATGTGGCCCTCTTGCAGAGTATAACTTGGATTTTCCTGTGCAGATGCTGTTGCTGACAAACGATTAAGTTTTCAGGACCTATGCTGAACTGATTTGTTCTTGCATCAGTGGGGAGCTGTATGCCATGTGCCCGGTGCCACTGGGACAGAGGGCAGTGGCGGTGGAGCCAGTGGCGGACAGCTCCCGCTACTTTGTCTTGCGACTGGTGGATGCCACAACCAAGCGGCATGCCTTCATTGGGATGGGCTTCACAGACCGCACGGAAGCATTCGACTTCAATGTTGCGCTGGTAAGGTGTCTTCCTTGGTTGTCTACTTGTCTGGCCTCATCGTGCAATAAAGACTGGCCTTGTACTCTGGATCTGCCAACATCGTCCTGGTCTGTGCTGGTGCAGTCCGACCATGAGAAGTACATCCGGCGAGCAAAGGAGGTGCAGGCAGCTGCGAAGGATGATGCACCATCCGGTGCAAGCGAGGCTTCCAGCCTTTACAAGAAGCAGGACCTCAGCTTGAAGGAAGGCGAAACAATCAAGTGCGATGCTCATGCCAAACAGCTTATTGTACCGATTAGCAGTCACTTACAAAGCAGTTGTTCGTTATCGTTTGGGAATGGTGACACCGAAAATCTTGACCATATACTGGTGAGTCTCACCCCATCTGTGTGCCGCCAGAATCAACATGCGGAGGGCGTCGGGAGATAAAACGACAGCCAGCACTGGCGGGCTCTTCTCTAATCTGCCTGTGGCAGCCTCGTCACAAGCCAGTCAGCTCAAGCCTCTGGCCCCACCTCCTCAGGCCCCTCTGCAACAGGTACTGCCCATGATATGACCCCTGGCAACAACCGAGTGGTAGACCAGCCCTGCAAAGGATTTTGCTTTTCAATACTTTTAAATCCTTGCAAGACTGATATGGGAATCTTCTCACATTGCAGGAGCGGTCAAGCGCCCCAGCAGGGGGATTCAGCAGCACTCTGCCTTCCGAGCCTAGTGGGTACGCAGACCTGCTCGGGGGCTTTGACAGCGATGCATCCGATCGTCCAGCTGTACAGCAGCTTTCAGATCAGATGGATGCCTCGCATCCATTTGGCACCCAAACAGCCACCGTTGCAAAGAAGGAAGAGAACTGGGCGACATTTGAATGATGTTGCAGAGCTGCTGGCTGCATAGATGTCATGCAGTTCTAGAACGCAGATCTGTCATGCTCTGGGAAGATGTACTTGTGCTTGCATGGAAAATGGATGGTCAGAAGGAAGCACCTGCAAGCACAACAATTGCAGATGCGAGGGAAAGATGATTTGCGAAGAAGGCACGATTAGATAATTATTCTGCCAGAGTCATCAGTGATGACACTGTGGTTATCAAGTGAGCTCGAGTGTATGTGATTCTGAGACTATAGGGCCGCATGAAGCGAGATTTTGAGCAACCAATGGCATGCAAAGTATTAAGGAAAGTCAGAGAAGCAGTACCTGAGAGCTTTTTCATAGGCAGTACCTTTTACATGATTGGGCACCATCATGGTGGCCACTATCGTCGCGACATCGTCCGTGGCTGCGGCGCCAGCGGCATGAACAAGAGGTTTAAAAAAGCTAGAATTTTTAATATAGAGCATCATGGCTATTTGCCTGTTGCACTGCTTCAAGACAATTACCCAAAAATTCAAAATGAGAAGATCAGCCCTGGATCTAATCTAAATTTAGATCTGACTCAGGAACGTGGGACGGAAGGGCCAGGTGCCCCCACGTGCTGATGGTCCTTTCGGAAAACGCACATCCTCGAGCTGTGCGATCGATTAAAGCAAGGGTATGGAGCATTAATGGTGAGTATAGAAGTCCCAAGCATGTCTGTGACAACCTTTTGGACGTGATTGAGTACACCGTCGTTTCCAAGAGAGAAGTCGATTCTCGTACAACACCTCTACGCGAGCATATGGGGGAGATCGGCAGAGCAGCATCTGCTCCACCCGAAGTTGTAATTTCTTTGAACGCAGATTCTAGTCATCATGGCGCTGATGCGTATTCAGCGCAAGCCAATGGAGATCAACGATCCGGGCACGATCCTCTGGAAATCGGCTTTCCTTATCATCCCCAACCTGTGAAATATGGCACAATTGAAGCAACGGTTTGTATCTATAAACCCTTCCAATGTCTGATCATCAGGCAAGGTTGTGAGGATGCTTGCGTGACTCAGCAAAGGTCCATGTCCCGAGGTGTGCGCCTGCTTATTGTGCATATGCACCTGCTCTCAGGGGACGACTTCCAACCATGTGTGGAGTTTTATAAAGCTCCTTCCTTTGAAGCTAAAAGGTGAGCGTTGAAAGCATCGAGATGATCAATATTTCACAGTTGTTGCTGAGCTGGGATATCGAGTGTCCTTATGCTTTGTAGGAGGACAGGACACGCCTCTGTCCATTCCAAGTGCTCTTGACATATTCTGGAGTGGGTGAGACGCCTTAGCCTCCGGCTACACCTAGCTATGCGTCTCTAGTACTGGCGATCCACTCTGCAACCTTTATCTAATCAAGGGGACCTGCTGGAATCCGGAGTCCTCACTCAAATCCGAGGTGCAGGCTTGGAGCTTTCTGCGGCATTCTTCTGTTGTCAGGCCTGACACAATGGCTCGAACCTGCATACAACCTGCCGCTGCTCTATGCATCCTTTGGTGCCAGCGCTGTCCTTGTCTTTGGCGTCATATCTTCGCCCTTGGCACAGCCACGAAATCTTGTAGGTAGGTGGCTCGTGACCAATTGTTTTTTGCAGTAGACCACCCTTCAAGGAAATTTCTGGCTGTCCCTGATGGATGTTCTGGGGACACATCAGAGGACGCACTAATATGTAAGGCTGATCTGCGCAGGGGGCCAAGTGCTCAGCGCAGTGGTGGGCTGCGCGATTCGACTTGCCCTGAAGGACGTGCTGTGGGTGTCAGCAGCACTGGGAATGAGCTTGGCTCTGGTGGTCATGATGCTGACAAAGACAGTCCACCCACCAGGTCTGCTCCTGCTCTCATGTGATGCCTTCTAGTGACTGTTCCACATTGGCGATCTAGTTGTGTTTACGGAAGACGACTGCTCATCACCAGAACATTTGGTGCTGCACAGGTGGCGCAACAGCTCTTATAGCTGCGACAGCCAACCCCCTCCGTCCCTGGCAGGTGCGGCACCAATGTACCTTCTGCATTTACAAAATTCAGCGCTTGCTCTGAAGTGTACAAGCATTGCCAATAACCCTCTTGCCTGTGGCTGCAGGGCTTTCAGTTTGTTGTGTGCATCTTTATCGGATCTCTGGGGATGCTCTTGGTTGCACTGCTGTTCAACAACCTCCATCCGAAAAAGCGATACCCACTGTACTGGTAGCACGGTACTTCCTGTGACTATTCATGTGTGGGCTCATGCCCTGGTCAGAGTCCATGTGTCAATGTCTCGCATTGTTTCATGGTGTTCATTGGACATTGTTGAATAGCTATAGGACTGTCCCCAGTCCTCAGCTCTAGCAGCCCCGTTTAGTTGCAGGCACATTATTGGATGAATGTGAGCTTGCAACCCTTCTTATATGACGTAATGTGTTTTGACAATAGATTGACGGGGTGCATGAGCATGATCTTTGGGATGAGAGGCATCATCTGATTCCAAAGGAGACACCAGGTCCCTTAATTTGCCACATTTGCTTTTGTTCAGTGTTGATGTCAACAGAAGTATTCAGCTGGACTCATCATGTGAAAGGGCATTTTTTTAGGAGTTTTGGTAGTACATGTCCTGACTAATGCTGCAACCTTGTGAAATGGCCTGCGGAGTCATCCTTGCATTGAAAAATTATTACACGCTGTCAGAGCCATTTCAGCTGCTGATGTTGCAGGAATGAAGTCTTTGTATACAGTATGCATACTGATATCGAGCTCGGCCTTGTAAGGTATCGTACACATTTGTAGATCCGCTGTGGCTGGAAAGCTATTTGGGAGCCAGAGAGCTACATGAAGCCTTAGTGCAAACCACTGCACATGTCAAATCAGAAACATGGTGGTTCTTTGCATGTACAACACAACTGTCTGCAACCGCTTGAAGCATTTCAGAGCATTGGAGGTGGCAGTGCCTTGTCTAGTCATCTTCCCTGTATGGATATATCTCATGCATCTGTGACAGCAGCTTCAACCGCAACTCTGACACATCATCTCCTCTCAGCACGTCCTTTACAAAACTGCATGATACAGTAATGTTCACCTGCACCCACAAACAGGACCTCCCTTCACTTCCCAAAAGACTCAGGAATATTTGAAGATTGCAGCCCTGTAAAAGAAGCAGGCAAGCAAAACATCCAAATGTCGTATGTACGCATTGCTATGTTGCTGGGACATGCTGACAAAGTATGACTTGATTCAACGGCTCCAACTTCCAGATCAGGATCTGTGCACCCACCATCTCAAGAGCTCCCCGAATCACGCCGCACAGGACATTGCAGTAGATGAGGCCTGAATAGCTCTCTGGCAGCTCCACAAAATCAGTCAAGGGGTTGTCCTCCAGAATCTGTTCCCCCCAAACAAGCATGCTTGGATCTCTCCTCAGAGCTGCCAACCATCTTTCATTCCACAGTGGTTGAACACTTTTCAAGCTCTACCGCTTACCAGGCTGCACTCAGTACTGTCAGCGTTCCAGTTTGCAACCGCTGCTGACGTGTTGAGGAACATTTTGAAGCCGACCTGCAGAATCATGTTCAGGCGAGTGAGGATGTGCAGCTGACTGGGCAAGCTTGCATTAGAAGTCCAGATGAGTCAGACCTTTGCAATCTTGTCGGCAGTGTCCCTGAAATCAACGCATTTGCCCGTCTTGGACTTTGCCAGGAACTCATCTATGAGCCGAATGCCAATGTTGTAGCCCCTGCGATCAAAGGGCAAAACCTGTGAAGGCACCCATTCAAGGCTAGCACACTTCCACACTCTTGGAGAGGACTCTTGCACTCACATGGTGTCCAGCTGCTTGTTGACTTCATTTACATCTTCAAGATCCGCAATGAGCTGCCTGACCATGGACCCATAAGTCAGAGTGAATATCTCTGCGTTCTGCATGGCACGCACAGAAGAGGTCACGATAACACGAGTTTGGTCGTTGGACAAATTGTCACACTCCAACATACACTTCAATTTCATCGATGTTAGGTCAGGTGCGGTGAAGGTCTCACTATCGAGTCCATGATGTGTCAGGTTTCCCTCCTCATAAAGCGCCTCCCGAAAACGTTTAGGCGATGAAAAATGTATTGTTAGAAATATACTGATCTTTATTTCAGGCTATCATCATTTCCTTGAAAGAGTCAAAAGTATTGAACAGCACTATTCAGCGAGATCAACAGTGATGCTTCCAGGAATGTTCCTAGAAGGAGTGCACTGGGGGTGTCCCGTTTGTGCAGTTACAGATAAATAGTGACAAAATCTTCTATGTGCCAATTTTGTCTTGAAGGAAGCAGATCTGCCGAGAGTTCTGAAGGCGAGCTAAACAGGGATACAAGCTAGACGAGGGCGTGCCTGTTTGGCCCATTTGGAACCTCGATCGAAGATCAGATTGGCAAATGTTGACGACTTTAAGGACACGAATAATAATGTGTTTGTTATGACTTTGACTGTATTTTTATGCATTTCAGATCACATATGAAATTGCAGGGACTAGGCAGACCTTGGTCACAATACTGCCAGCACATCTGTGGCAATCCGGTGCACAGGAAGGGCTTTCATGTAGTAATATGCAGAGAGCACTGTAGGAAGTCTTTCAGAAGGCTTCAGAATGTAAAGGTGCAAAGTTTTGGAGGGAAATTGTTGTCCAACTTGTTCCAAAGGTAGGCCACCAGCCAATTTTTACTAAATTCCCATGCATGCAGATGTATGTCTGATATAGAACACTTTTGTAGGGACGTAGAAGTAAAAGAGGAGGAGGACATCATCATCGAGGAGTCAGAGGCTGCTGACACTGACTCAGTGAGTCTCCCAGCACCCGTGTCTGAAACTAGGGGCCAGTCAGACACATCGAAAGCTGAGAAATGTCTGCCTGCAGGATATCATTGTCCTCCAGGAGATAGAGCTCCCAGGGGATGGGCGCAAGGTGCAGATAGTATTTACAAGGAACGCAGAAGTCAGTGCCTCTGTGCTGTCGCAGCTCATAGAGAAGGTATGATCCTTGGATCTTCAGCACCCAGCTTCTGCAGACGCGTCATGCTTTATCCTGCATCCGGACGCAAGTCTGAGCCTGGTGTGTCCTGCAGGTGGGATGGCCAAAGCGGCCCGCCAAGAAATTAGAGACTGCTCTGCTTGGGAGCTATCTTGTCTCCTCTGTTGTCCGGCGGGAACTGGACCCCAGTGGAGCCACCGCCAAAGAGCAATTGATAGGCCTCATACGCTGCACAAGTGACCATGTCTTCAATGCAACAATTTGGGATGTTCTTGTCGATCCAGATTACCAGGTAAGTGCTTGCTCAAGGGCTTCTCGTTCACCGTGACAAGAGGTGACACATCATCTGGAGGGGAGTCTGAGCCCTTGATGCTGCTGAAGGGCAAAGGCATCGGGCGCTATATGGTTGTGAAAACAGTGGAGGCTCTGAAGCGACAACAGATCGGTAACATCTGCCTCTTTGCGGATTCGGAAGGTGGGTCATGCAATTCATCAAGACATGCTTATGTCATCAGCCTATGCATTCTGGCCTGCTCCAAAGTGAATCTGCTTCAGAACAGTACTGGAGGATGTAGTCCTGAAGATGATTTCTTCTTGCAGCTGTGGGCTTCTACGAACAATTGGGATTCAAGTGCGATCCTGACGGTGTCAGGTACTTCACCCACCAATTTGCTCTAATCCACATCGAAAGTGGTTGTCTGAAATATTATTTTGATGCAGTAAAGCCTCGGGCAATGCTCTGGTGCGCGTTCTTTAGGCATGTGTGCTTCCTCTCTTCATTTCTGACTGCATCACTTATTGTCTGCGCTTCCGCAGGGGCATGTTCTGGAATCAATAGATACAGGATGAGAGGTCATATCGGAGTTGTAGAGTGCTCAACTGAATTTTGGACACTTGCCATTAATTGCAATCAAGAGCGAGGGCTACTTGTACATTAATTGAACTGCTGTTGTTGCTTCAATTATTTTTTACAACTGTGTCTATGACGGAATCTGTCGTCAAATAGATATCAAAGGATTGATTAATAATATTTTGGTGGTCTGTAAGTAGTTTACAAGTGTCCCTGTGGTGTATGTTGGATTCCCATGTGCATGTGGTGGACGATGCTATGATACATGATCTGGTCGGCCTGGCATTGACAAACTCAACTCTGCAGCGCCGAAACATTAACATGCTCTTCACTTCAGCGCAGCGGGTATGGGATGGGCCGCAGGTGGCTTGCCATGCGCCTGCGCGTCACAATCTTGCCAGAGCTGACGGCGTCTGCCAACTTTGGCGAGGGCATTCCAGAGGTTGCGGGGCTGTCAAAGTGCTTGAATGCTTTCTCCACTGTGTTGGGGGGTGCTTTCTCGGCCTCTGAATCGATGGCTGCCACAATGCGCTGCAGCCTTTCCAAAGCCTCTTCCAGCTCAGCCCTGAAAGTACAAATTATGCCAATCTCAGCAATGGTGCTGGATACTAAGTGCACAGTATCTGAAGGCTTGTGACAGCTATAATACAGACGTGATATGTAAACGCGGATTACCTGAGGGATGGCATGCCATTGGTGATCGCAGCAAACTTGTCCTGCAGCTCAAGCGGCGCAGGAGACAATGAAGCATCAGGTGGGCCCGCCTCTTCTTCACCAGACTGCTCTGCATCAGAGCCCTCTGGCTGCGGAGTAGGGCGACATGATTCAAGCATCCCCTTGAATCTGTTGGACAGCGCTTTGGGGACAGTTGTGCGCAGTTGAGCAACACGGCGTGCAGCTTCGTTCACCTGCACGATAGCTTCTAAACGTCATGCACTGCTTGGAGACCAGGCTGCGGGATGCAGACTGCCTGTGTTGGGGCCACTGTACCTCTGTCTGCAGCTGCTGGTTCTCCTTGTCAAGAACAGCGAGCGCATCTGATACGTCCTGGGCAGCATCATCTGCTCCTTCCCTGCATTCGATAACACTGACAAGGCTGGAATGCATGGATTATGCACTATCAATCAGAGTAGAGCCAGAAAATGGTGAAACATCCTTTTGTATTCTTTTCAATTTTGAGTTTCCTGTGCCCACCTTTCCGCAGCCTGTGTTGTCGTGCAGATATGTATCTTCGCAATCAATTGATCCTGCACGCAGAAATTGTCTTAAATATGATGTGACTCACCTGGTGAGGACGAGCTTTAATTGCTGAAAGCAATGGCACATACCGTCCTTTTGCGAAGAAGTCTCTCCATTGCCTTCTCCTGATCTGGCGAAATGTCTTGCGATCCTCTCTGTCGTTACCAGAGAATTGGCACTTCATAATCCATGTACGATGTCAGAATCTTAAAATATAGCTGGGAACAAACTTTCACACTAGGAGCTTGGAAAGGGCACATTTGGACACGACCAGACCTGCAAAGTTTCACGTCTCGCAGCATGAAGAGCAGATTCGATCTTGGTAATATCTGCCTGACAATTCAGTACAACTGCAGCCATTGAAAGTTCGTTAAAGCGACAGAATAACGGCCTCGAATTGGTACAGAAACTTCCGGTCGAAGAACGCAACTTTTGAGTAAATTTTAAGGCGGTCTACGCCTTTAGGGTCTTCACCCCCTTGCAGAAAACAGTGGAACGACACAGATTCGACACAGCATGACTAGCCTCGCCTCGTCTGCAGATGCTCAGAAGATACGCGATCCCCAACTAAAAATTGTTATAAACGCGATTTTGTCAACATTCTTGAAGATCAACTTGTTTAACATGACGTATCTCGAGCTACCCCAGCAATTATGATGCTCTGGTGCTGGTGCTGCTGAAGAGAGTCCTTGTGCAAATTCCATGTCCAAAGCACAAGGAAGGTATTTAGCATTCAGGCGATTATACAATGTTTAGCTCGCCTCTGTACCGCCTGAATATTGTTGACAGACCCCTTGCGAAAGGAAAAGGAGAGGCAAGTGTTTCTGTATCCCTGGTATCATTCTAAAACCTGCCACAGATGCTAAACCTTTGGTACCTTCGCGATCGTCATCACATCTCACATGCTGAGTAACATAGCACCATGTAGCTTCCTCATGTAGCTAAGCACACTCGTCTGACAAAGTAGATCTATGGCATCCAGGTCAGCCTCAGCGCTTTTTCCTTTCTCTTTAGTGAGCTTGTGCAGTATTGCCAGACAAAGGTTTCAAATATTGGTGAGTTGGAGAGAAGGTGAGCCTTCCATCACCACCTTTTGCTTGTAGGGCTCTCGCAGTGGATCCTGTGCATCTATATCCCAGGCTCCCCACCTGCATCTGTCTCTGGTCACGTGATAATGCATGGAAACGTTTCTGCTGCAGGCTTGAGGACATTGGGGCTGAGGTGGGCCTGCGCCTCTTAGAGATTCTCTGCTTCAGGGAGAAGAACAGTAAAAGGGACATTAGGCTATTGGACGTCCTCAAGTTTGTTCACACTTCATTGTGGAAGTACCTCTTTGGCCGGCAGGCAAAAGACCTGGAGCAGAGCAACACGGTAGGCATCCACTGCGTCCCTCCGTAGACCGCAGCATCACAAATCGCAGGACCTTGATCTTCTTCATGTATACTGGCTGCAGTAAATAGTGTTGCTGTGCAGGCAGAGGATGAGTACATGATCAGCGATTATGACTTGTTCGTGAACAAGTTCATATCAGTCCCAAAGGACATGGGAGCGCTCAACTGCGCAGCATTTGTTGCTGGCATTGTGAAGGGAGTCTTGGACGGCGCTGGGTTTCGCGCAAGGTCTGCACACTCAAGACCATCCTGTTCTGCTTTTCTGCAGCTCTTAGCATTGGTTGTGAGACACTTAGATTGCAGGACTTCAGACCTCTAAAAGATCAAGTTCTTTCTTGCAGGGTCACGGCTCATTTTGTGCCGGTCAAGGGACAACCGAAGCCAAAGACAACCATCCTGATGAAGTTTGATGGGACAGTGCTTGCGAGGGAACACCGCCTCCCATCTTTATAACCACCGCCTTCGTAATAGTTCCTTTCATATCCCCAGATAGTTGCCCTGCTGGTCACAATGTTACTGTTGTATTATAGTTGCCAGCTAGCAAAGTTGAGCTCAGATGCGCTTGAAATGGCCTCATGCAAACACTGGCATTTGAGCCCTTCTCACATTTGCAGTAGCAGCGCTGCACTGCTAGCAGTCCACAATCAGGGATTAAGAGTACTGATTCTTGACTGAGCTGAATACAGCTCTTGTCTGCAAGTTGGTGACTCTTAGTTTGCTTGTAGATGGCTTAGATCTTGTAGCAATATCAAGTCGGTTTGAGCTCGGCTTGGAATACACTCAGGCTCTTGCAGTCACGGTGACTGAATTGCAGCAACTGACGTCAAAAGTTGCTTCAATCTTGCTAAGTTGAGGTGTCCTTCTATAAGGTATGGTATCTGCACTTGTGCATCTGCCATTTCCCGGCATGCTCAGGGCCGGGCGACTCCTGGCTGGCCAGAGTGCGGATGTGATCTGAGCCAAGGCGGCCTTGAGGACGGCCAAGCATGATCACATGCAGATCATTTGATCATGACGGGGCGTCACGTACGGGATGCGTCGCCCATGGGATGCATGCATGCATGCGCATGGAATGATTTGTTCATCGCATTTAAATGTGCAACTTGCTCCCTGTTGTAATGACTCTCATGCCTCCTACTGACATTGCCAATAGAGACAGCTGAGACTGCACTGCAGTGCAGTTGCACAAAGAGTAGTGAGACTCTCCTCGGAGGAGGAGCTGCCTTTTTAATGATTTCTTTCACTGTGTCCGACAGCCTGACTCAGCTCGGTGGCAGAGATCTTACCCAGCCCTTGCACAATACAGCAAGGTCTCAGTTGAGGCAATTGCAAGAGAAGCAGGACTTAGAAATAGTTCAACTGATGATGTCCACTTGTGACTTTCCATGCAGTCATCCTACAAAAACATGCGGGGTTTCACCCTTTTCTTGCTCCCCTGCAACCTTGCTAGCACGGACACACCACTAGAAGTGAACTGGGAAGGGCTCCCAGGCAGAGGCTGATGACTCATCACCTTTCAACACATGCGACTTAAAAGAAATTCTCTCAGAGAAGTTGTACAGAGGCCTACAGTATACGTCATCAGTGACATCCAGCGTGCTAAGGCCTCTCACTCTTCACAAAGGTCGTGGCGAAAGTTCATCTGGTTGAGTTGTACTGGGCATTGGTTGGTCAACATAAAAAGCAGCCAGCGATAGATCGCAGATCAGGATGGCAGTAAGTCGAGGAGGATACAGACCATCTGGTGTTGAAGGAAGAGATCATGCATATCGGATGACAGTTGAAAGTCGTGAGTTGCACTGGCCCTTGGCAGCTCAGAGATGTTATATCTTTTGAATATGCTGAACTCTCGTCTCGTAATTAGAAAATGTGTGAAGCAAAATTTTCTATGATCTAACTCTTCTCTCATGCAGGCTACAAGGAGCTCCCCACATTGAAGAAAAGGCTGAAGCTGCTGGCATACATCAGTGTGAGTGGCATATTGCTTTCTTGACCTTTCCTGAGAGATGGAGCGATCTGCGAGACATTGACGTGACAGACGCTTGCAGGTCATCATCTGGGTGCTCCTAACCATTTTACAGACGTTGCCCATATGGCACAACCTGCAGTCATTTTGGCCGGAAGGTGAGCAGCTCTTCAGCGCTGCATGCACATGCAAGGATGGACCTTCAGTGGGAATCTCACCCTCTGTGCTACATTGCAGATGCTGCCAAGAAGATCACTCTAGCAGCACAGGCAGTCACAGGAGCAGCCATATGGACGTTCTCACTCTACTGGTTCGGTGAGCAACTCTGATTAAGCAAAAATCTGTTACAACTGCGAGCCTTCTTGCGCATATTAATCATTGTTGCGGCCCTCATGTGCTGTACTCGCCAACTGCAGGCACTGGCGGCAATTTCTGGCGAGATGATTCGCCTTTGCTCTTGAAGGCTTATATCACGTGCAATATCGTTGTGGCCGTCACGGTGAAATCTCCAATTCAATTTTACAATTTGATTTGATCCACATATGTTACTTGACCTGCACTTCTGCGGGCAAGACAAGAACCACAGTATGTTGGCATGCTCACGTGCGCAAGTTCTGCTCTGTTGCAGGCAAGTGCTCTCCTGTACTTCTGGAAACTGCAAGAGCATATTGGCAAAGGTGATCACTACAATATATCTTGACTGTGCTCAAATATTTACTCTGCTTCCCCTGCTGATATGAGCCGCTGATTTCCTGGTTGAAGACAGGACAGTGACACCGACTGTTCTGATGCAGGCAAGCTGGCCATGCAAGGGATGGAGGCTGCAGAGTTGCTTCTAAATATCTTTGGCATCATTACAAGCTTGGCTACCTCATACGTGGCACTCCGATACTTGAGATTGAGGAGCGATGCCAAAAGGAGTTGAAAGTCTCAGCTTCAGAGGGCTTGTCCATGCAGTGTACAATCCCTTCCTTGTTGTTTCCTGTTCAATTTTGAATTTCAATAAACTTGAGATTTCCCTGTCAAGGACTGCGGATTGTAACACAGGGTGTACATTAGAGAAACGAAAAACTGTTCTCTTTTCTTACATGTTCACATATTTCCGTCTGCGGGCTAATGTGAATACCTACACTTATAAGTTGTACTGGGAACTTCCCAGTGGGAAGCAGGCACTGCCCTCAAATCCAAATCCTCCCCAAGCCAACTCCTGATGTTGAATTTATGCAGGGTCTTCTCTCCTTCAAGTTTTACCTTGGTATAACTGTCACAGTTATACCTGCAGCAGGGCCTGTTGCATGCCTGACACTGATTTCTTGGAACACACAAATTTGAATCATCCGTTCTGAGCTCAATCTTTCATGATTCCCAATTGTTGCATATTGCATATCCCATTATTGCATTGGTTCCTGAGTCCTGGGATGTACACAGTGCTTTTGCCAGGGCCCTCAGGATAACCGTGCACACTGTCACATTGCCTCCTAGCAGGCACAGCTGGAGGGAGCAGACGAGGCGGCACCCCTGCCGCTATTTGCTGTAGCTGACAAGTTCACATCCACAAGGTCTTCCTGCTTTGCCGCCGACAGGGACTCCATCCCGGGGAGTGCAGCTGCAATCTTCCTGAACAGTGCCTGCAGGAAAATTACAGTGCCACTTCGTTAGAGGACTGCATGAATTCCATTTCACTGAGAGCACTTCATGCAAACTGCCAAACTCGTTTCCAAGGGCATCTTGTGAAATGTTCTCAGCAATCACCTTGATGTTGAAGCCAGCTTTCGCGCTGGTCTCAATGAACATGACATTAAACTCGCGTGCTTTGGCATCTCCCTCCTCGATGGAAACTTGCCTGCTCATTCATCAAGGCAGCTCAGGCAAGGTTGGGGTTTGTCGCATGTCTGTCGCATACGTGTCATGATGTGGCTAAAAACAGCAGCACACCTTTTGTCTACCAGATCTGTCTTGTTGCCCACAAGAACGACGATGACATCACTGCCACGCTCAGTCCTGACCTCTTCTATCCATCGGGCTGTGTTGAGGAATGACTGCCGGTCTGCATGCATCAAATCATCAACAATGCAAGACCTGATGTCAGAATGGGCCAAAGATTGCAGATGGTCTGATTGGTCTTGTGACTTTCAGGCTGTGTAATACAACAGTGGGCTAGAGCCGTACTGGACACGTCGTACACCACGACAGCAACTGAGGAGTCTCTGATGTAGCTTGGGATCAAGCTCCTGAAGCGCTCCTGCCCTGCTGTGTCCCTGCATGCATCATAGTAATACCTTCACAAATTGATTTGTGTATGTCACAGACACATGCAATGGTAGATTCTTTGCAATTAGCACCCAAACAGAACGGTGTGGGGGTGCTGTAGAGCAGTAAGCTCACCACAACTGAAGCCTCACTGTTCTGTCCTCAAGATACATTGTCTTGGAAAGAAAGTCAATGCCGATGGTTGCCTGCATTGCCAGTGCATCGTTACATCCATTGAATGCCTGATGGAACACTGTGCAAGTTGAACTAAGAAGAAAGAGAGTCGACATGCACCTGGTAAGTATTGTCGAACTTGTCATACATGAAACGTGTAATTATGCTGGTCTTGCCAACAGACTGGTCTCCCAGGAACACCTGCATACGAAAGAACTCTCGAATGTCTTCTCCAAGGATAGCTGGAACACGAGATTGTGAAAGTCCCTTGCGCAACCCACCAATTTGTATTTTGCCAGTGGCGATACTGTGGTGCTAGCGGCCATTTCTGCTGTATCACCAGTTCCTGATGCGTTCTATGGCCAGCTTCAAGAGCAATCAAAATGGAGCCAAGTGCAAGGCTGCTAACGATGGCTCGCGGAACTCGATTCTATGCGCATGGAGCATCTCGTTGAAAAGCTCTCGATTCTTCTGAAGATGCACACTGATGTGCACAATTATGCATAGCATGTACTATCCCAAGAACTATGCTTCACTGCCTGTCGAGCTCGAGGGAGTGATATCAAGAGAACAACCCTTAAAGGGATTTGGGAAGAGGCCCCAAACCAAACCTGGTGTTGACATCAGTATTGAAGAGATTTTCACACACTGAAGTTTCTACACTGTCTCTTGATCCTGTAAAGAAATTATTGCAAGTGAATACAACTAGTACAATCGACATAGCCATGGCCTGCATACCTTGACATCTGAGATCATGTCGAGAAGCCGAAGCAGGAGTAGAGAGAAACATCGAAGAAGAGACAGATCTAGGAGCAAAGAACGCAGACCACCGCGCAGTAGATCAAGGTCTCCACGATATTTGCTTGTTTGCAGTTTGCAAGTGACGTACCTCGAAGGCTGACCTGAACCAAGTCAATACCAATAAGAATTATTCTCCAGCTGAATGTCGAATGACCGAAATGGCATGCTTGGAATTGCGCGTAGATGCTGTGGTCCAATCATCTCTGAATTATTGACCATGTGCACACAGGGACAGGGACAGAGACAGAGACAGGGAGAGGGACAGAATCAAGAGCAGCAGGCATCGACATCAGTCACGAAGCACAAGTGCAGGCAGGGACAGGGACCGCCATGGGAAGGGAGACCGGGTCAAGAACAGGGAGAGGGAGAAGGATGTAGACAGGGCCGGTGAACAGGCTGCCTGCCGGGAGTCTGCCAAACCAAGGTGAGTACTTTTGTGCTGATGGTGTGCATTTCGTCACACCAACAGAGGGAATGGCTCCCATCTTGTTGCAGGTGATGCTCTGCAGTGACAGTGTTCATGTTGCTGCAGCAAGGACTCTGAAGAGGCTAAAAAGAAAGCTCGGTTGGAGCGACTTGCAGCTTGGAAGCAGCAGCAGCAGCAGCAGCAGCAGCAGCAGCAGCAGCAGCAGCAGCAGCAGCAGCAGCAGCATGGTTCAGAGGAGCCAGCACCAGAGCCATCTTCTGGGCCATCGGAGCAGCCAGCGAATGTTTGGTGAGGACCTAACCAGAAAGGCTGCTTCCTTTTGGGATGCCTGCATGCCAATTATCAACTGGTCATCCTCAAAATAGGAGAGTGATGTTCACAGATGAAAGTGAGTCGCTAAGTGTGCAGGTTGCCATGGGAGGATCCTTCAACAGCCTACGGCAACTCAATTCCAGCGGTCCCCACCGAAATCCTGACAAAGCAGGCAAAGGCAGCTGCAAAGCTTGCTGAGGAAAAGGTGTGCTCACACATGGCATTTTGGCAGTCACTCCACCCCTGTTCTTTCCTTTCGCGGATTTCAATTCAAGCGCACAGCTGTTTGCCTGGCGTGGAATGTGATCAAGAAGAGGCTGCTGCAGGCACGCGAGTTGGTGGAAGCGGATGGTGTAGATCCGCTGGATGCATTTATGGCAGCTGAGATTTTGCCGGAGGTGAAGCAGAAAGAGCAGGAGGAGGCAGCCAAGAAGGAGGAGGAGCGCATGAAGCTGGCAAAGCAGCTGGCGGTATGATTGTCTGGCTCTCCCTTGCAGACTTGAAACGATGTTGCACATGCACCAAGGGCATGTCATTCAGGTGACTGTAGTCTGAGCCAGCGTGTGGTGGGCATGTATGCAGGAAGGCAAGATTCCAAAACTTGATGAGATCTTGGATGACTCTGATGAGGAGCCGGAGCCAGATGCTGTCATAGAGATCCCCCTGAAAAAGGTGAAGCTGGTGGTGGGCCCTGGCGGAGAGAAGATCAAACTCATTGAGAAGAAGTCCAAGGCTCGACTGCAGGTAAGCCTTCCCCAGACACATGCTGTGCATTGTTGACCAACACATGGCTCTGGCAATCCCCAAAGAAGTGCACATTGCAACAGCATGCATGGGGCTACTGATGGGTCCTTGCTGTGCAGATTGTGAAGGAGGAGGATGAGTTGAACAGGGCATTTGGGTCAGGACCTGTGAAGCCTGTGCTTCCAAAGCCTGCAGACACTGAGGAAGGCCCAAAGATGACAAAGGTCATGATCTTTGGCAATGCCAACCAGTGCGAGATTGCGCAGCGCATGATCGAAGAGGCCATCGACAACAAGGTAATCTGCTAGGAGCGATAACTTCCATGCCAAATAGTATGCCATCTTAAAGCCTTCGTCAGCTTCTCCTCTGAGGCTATTCCCAAGGCTCTTTATCGTGTGGTGGGCCTGTTCCTGAGAATGGCATTGTTGTGCATTGAAGGAGCAAAAGGCAAAGCAGCGGCAGAAGGAGTATGAGAAGAAGAGGGATGCCAAGGCGCGCGACAGGCAGTTGTACCACATGCGGCACACCAGGGACTATGAGACGCTGGAGCTGCCAATCGGCGCCTCTCGTGTGGAGGTCAAGGCGGCTTACCGCAAGCTGGCCAAGCTGTGGCATCCGGACAAGCACCCGGACAACCAGGAGGAGGCCAAGGAGCGGTTCCAGAAGATCTCAAAGGCCTATGACTCCCTCATGCTAACAGAGGAGGACGCGCGCATTGAAGCCCTGGCTAACTAGCATTCTGCAAGTGTTGGCCAATGCATGTATTGAGGGGTTGCCTTGTGGACACAAGAGATACACGGATTGCACCACAAGTAGACTAGCTCGACTTTTACTAGCATTCAATATCGACATAGTACTCTATTAAGATTACTGTGCATTGCACCGGGCAGGGAGTATGGGCACTAATATTAGTCTGCAGCAGCTCATGCTTTATATTGAGCTTTGGCTCTGCGGTTGGCTCCATCGCCCATGGGGAACTCCATACAGAATTTAATAATCAGCACTCAATAAGAAACAAGATCAGCCAAAATTTCAGGCAAACTAGATTCAACAGTGATGTGCCTCTGTAAGATAAAGATCCTACAGTAGATGCAACATGTACAATTGATATTGTAAAACCTTACTTCTACAAAGTTGTTTTACGTGCATATAAGTACAATTATCACATTTTGTACGGCATGCCTAAACAAATACCTCAAAGTTTTGATCTGATGTGCGGAGACTGGACGGAGCCAGACAGTGCACGGTACACAGCCATCTTCAGCTCCCACGACTCATTACTGCCCAGCTGGTTGGTGCAGTCATGCAGCACCAGGGTCCCACCAGAGGCTGCCTCAAGCTCCAAGGGTAGCGGTGACATCCTCTCCCATGAGTCCTGGCTGCCGGGCATGACAACGACGAGCAGAGGGATGCGTGCAGCTCGCGCAGACTCCAGCAGCATCCTCACGGACTCTGCATCCTTTGCAATGGACCCCATAGCGGCCTCCCAATCATCTGCATGACCACTCCCTGAGACTGCAGCATGGGCTCTGAGGCCGCTGCTGAATTGCCCAAAGATGCGCCCAGCCTGCCGTCTGCTGCCTCCAGTGGGAGAGCCTCTGAGACAGAGAATCAGCAGTTGGGGCGTGGGCTGCGTCTTGAGGGCGCGCCACACACGGCCGTGCTGCAGCAGCCTCAGCTGGGTCCCAAACCCTGCCCTCACGCTGCCTGCGCCCTCCCTTGCCCGCACTGTCCACGTGGCAAGCTTGGAGCTCGCCTGATGACCAATCACGGACGCGGTCGCGTCCGCTGCCCATGAAAAGGCGCGCGCTGCCGGCCTGCCGATCCTGCTGGTCAGCGTGGCACTGGGATGGCCATAGTCACTCCGTGGAGCGTGCTGCTCATCCGGGTCCGGTCCTCGCTGCCATGCTTCCAGGGCACGCGGCTTGCTGGAGTGGACCTCCTCAGAAGGCTCGAGCTGCTCGCCCAATGCTGGGGGCGCTTTCTGCTGCTCCGCGGTGGCTTGCAGGCGGCGCGCCACAAGGCCGGACATAACAGGGAAAGCTGCGGCCCTGGGCGTGTCCGGCCAGAGGCTGACAAACCTCACGCCCCCTGCAAGGGCTGCGCTGAAGGGCGGCGCCTCGCATCTGGCCGACAGGGCCGGGGCCGCGCAGAGGGCCCCCATCAGCATCTCCGCTCCCCTCGCCGAGTCTGACAGGACCCATGCCGTGCACGGCTGGAGCGAGACGCCAAACCGCCGCACGAAGAAGTCTGACCTGAGTTGCACTTCCAGCAGGCCCCCTTGCCGCTCATGCTGCGCCAGCAAGCCCCTCTCCACGCTGCCAGCGATTGCAGGAGGCAGCACTGTCTCCAGCACCAGCTCCTCTGCGCAGTGACTGTCCTCTGCAGCAGCCTGCTGCTCTGCCTGCCGGCCTGTGATCCTCTCCCTGACCAGCATCCCAAAGCGCCTGCCCATGCTCCACAGGCCGGTGCCTGCGCTTTGCGTGCCCTCCACCGTGTTTTCCCCCCAGCCGGCTGCCGGGGATGTGTCAAGAGCGGAGCCAGCATGCAGCGGGGGGAGTGCAGGCGAGCTGACGATGCGCGCAGGGCACCAGGCGCCGCCGGCTGCCAGCACTCGCGCTTTGGTGCAGTTGGCGAGGCCCCTGCCGCGCACAATGATCCTCAGCGACATCCGTGCACTCGGCGCAGGCGGCTCTGCGCTGCCTCGTGCTCCCGCTCCGGCCCAGCTCAACCACTGCCGCGAGCGAGGCTGCGCTGCTGGGAGCTCTGGCCCGGCCTCCACCTGAGCGAGTAGCATATGCCAAGTATAAGCCATCCAAGTCAATCTAGGGGGACGTTATCCTTTTTTAGAAAGTAATGTGGTCATTGGTGAGCAGCAGGCGACGTTCAGCAGAAAGGATGCTGATCAGAGAGGTCTCTGCGCACCGCTGCGAGGTCTGCTTTGTCGCCGTGGCCGCCTCCAGTCTCCCAAGGCCTCCAAAGCCAGCGAGGAAGTGAGAACGCTGCTAGCGGAGTATGAGATGTGCTGCTGGCTGGTTTCATCTGATGGTCGGTGCCTTCTTCTGGGTGTCCAGACGCAGATCCGGTCTTCGATAGCGGCCCTATGCTAGATTGCGCAGCCTCTCCCCCATTCCACTGCCAAGGCCACCAAGATTGCACCAGTTTATTGCCACTGAATCCGGGCTGCTGAGCACTGGCAGGTAAGGTCTGCCTGGCCGGCTGGATCAAGCCTGTCAGAGCACTCAATGTGCTGGCCCACTGCATGTTTGGCCACCTGCACCCACAACATGGCACATGAGCTTGCTGGCACCAGGCCTAAAACTCAACCCCCTTACTCCAGTGAAGAGAGTGTACTTGCAGAGTGGTGACACAAACCTGCTGCTCTGCTGGCCTCCAGTAACGCCAAGTCCAGGGGCGGAAAACTGCGGTCGCGAGGGAGGCACCCTGGCGCAGGCCACTGCCACGTCCAAGCACGGCGCAATGTTATCGCACAGCTCCGCCGGCCGCGCATTTCCGTTGAGCTGGACCCGTCCGAGGGCTGCTGCGCACAGCGCGGCGGCGCGCCGCCGGACGGCAAACATGCGGTGATAGGTGAGCACGCTCATGTAGCTCCTGTATGTTGGAACAGACAGGCCCAGATAGCCCCTGTCTCTGAATGTGCGCTGCCGCTCAGGCGAGCCCGTCAGTGACGCTGCTTGCTGAGGGCCGGGTGCGGCGCCGGACTCGGTATCTGGATCTGTCAGGGCCGCCAGAGTCTCTGCGTCTTCTGCCGAGTTCTGCACCGATGTCAGTCGGAGGGGTGGCTCGCCAGGGGGTGCGTGCAGGTGGTGCTGGGTCCCAATGTGCATGTAGATGGGCAGGTAGCGAGCGGCTGTGCTCGCAAAGTCACCTGCGCGCCCCAATGGCCCAGCAGGCTCGTTCCTGCGCAATCAACATGCACTCAGCATTCCAGATCACAATTTTTATCTTCTTCCTGTCAGGTTTTCCGTCTTCTATTGCAGTGCATGGGAGTCCAACAGGAACACAAAGAGGCCCACCTGACGAGCACAGCAGGCTGCTGCGTAGCATGTGATGCAGGTGCGGTTGCGGATGCATGCAGAGGCTGGCTGGTCGAGGGGTTGCTAGCGGCCAAGTCTGCTGTGAAGGCTCTCAACCTGTCCAGGCTGTTTCTGAGCCTTGACCTCCATGCCTGCGCTGGCGACCCGGGTGGCCGCTCAGAGCTGTTCTGACCCTGCCTGTCACCTGATGCCTGAATGACTTCTGCCTCCGTGGGGCGCTCCACGGCATGCTGGTCATCCAGTGCATGCGCACGCTCAAGTGCCATTCCTAAATCCTGATCCTCTTCCTCCAAGTTGGGGCCATGGTGGGGTCCTGCAGGCTCTCCCTGCTCTGGCAGACCCTGACTCTCTGGTACATTTTTATCCTCAGAAGGCTCTGTGAGCATGGCCTTTGCAGCGGCTGCTGGCAGGCTGGCACTGTTCTGCATGGCCATCAAGCGCGGCACCACATCCTCTGCAATATGCAACAGGGGGTATTCAGTGCCACACCCGCCCCATTACCCTGCAAGAACATCTTATCCTTTTGTATCATAGGCACCGACAAGAGTGTGTCAAGTCAACACACCTGGCAGCGCCAGGTTATAGAACAAGCTGCTCCATCCCTTGTATGACACTGTGTTGGCCAGAGCGGAGTTCCCTAGTGGGGGCGCCGCAAAAGAGATGCATTTGACGCTGCCATGCTCTGCCACGTGTGGGGGTAGATCGCGAAGCAGCCGAAGGGCACAGAGCTGCGCCACTGCACCGCCCAGTGAATGGCCTGCGCACATAGAGACTTCAGCCTTTGAAGAAGAGCATGCTGGACTGCAAATTGACACTGAAGCAACAGCACAAGAGAATGAGCTCCTCACCACAAAGGACGAGCCGTTTGCCCTGGTGGGAGGCATGAGCATACAGGAGCTCCACTAGCACGCTCTCAGAGCGAGCTAGAAACCCTTGATGCGCAGTCGGCACATCCTGTGCAAGCAGCGACGTTGTGTCAGTCACACTCAGCCCTTGCTAAAGCCTTCATAGGTATAAGCATATGATCAATGGGGCCCTCACCGGGACTTTTCCAAGGAGTCCAGGCCAGAGGGCAGTTTGGACATAGTTGACATCTGAAATGATATCGCGCATGGCCTTTGTCCCCATGAAGGCCACATACATTGCCTCATCTGAGGTCCCAACCACATATCTGCACATAGAATGCAAACACTCACATATCGGTAAAGAGTGGGGCCCATATGCTTGCACCAATTGCATGCACGTAGCAGTGACACACACTGAGCTGCAGAGGCTGACCTGTGCTGAACATGAGGGAGGCTGCACTGTATGCCCGTGACAGTGATCAAGCCGGGTGTGAAAGATCTCTGGAACAGGTTGAAGGCCTCCACCACGGCCTCGGCCCCTCTTTCATGGGCTCTGTATACACTCTCTGAGAGCAGGATGCAGTTGAGAACGTCCTGCCCCATTTTCATAGCGTACTGAACGGAGAGCATGAGCAAGATTGCACGAAGGGAAGCCTTGCACGAAACATAGTAAAGCTAGTCTTAACGTTGGACCACCTAAACATTTGTCTCGGGGCTGCTTACCTGCACCCCACGTAGGTCTGCAACGTTGAAAATGTTGCATAAGTGATCCTCATTCTGTCTGTCAATTGCCAAGGTCATGGTATGGCCTCCTGTAGATTGTCACATCCTCATCCATTCACAAGGGTGGTGCAGGACATCGAGGTCCAAGATATCGTTTTCTGATTCAAGTGGGTTTACTTCTGATCTCGCGTTGTTCCTTCGGCTTTTGTGCCTTTCCTTTCTCTTCCACCTAGGCAAGAAAGTTTATGATGTTGACACCAGTGACGTCATGACATTTCTCAAATCGATCCCCGAGGGATCGAAAGGAATTGAAGAAGATCAAGCCACATGAAAGTTATGAATTGAAAAATCAATTGTGCCCACACGCCTCCATGGCAGTGCCAGGGGTATCTGGGGCAAGCCTCAAAACTCAAGAAGGCCGAGTACACTTTTGTATCCTCTGTGACTATCCTGTGGCTGTATACGGGCGTGTTTGGCCTTGCCTCCATACCTATTGCCTGAGTTGCGCTTCAAGCGTGTCATCGTGCTCCTTGTACGCTCTTTGCTGCTTTGATTGCACCCTGGCCTCCTGATGATGGAGGCTGATCTGCTTGCTTGCGTATCATTGAGGATTATGAGATACTTGTCAATGAACAGTATTTATTTCCTTGTGTTTCTCTTCATAATTTGGCAACGAGTGCAGGTGTCAGTCTGATATCCTTCGGGTTGAGCGGGTCACAAGGGAGCAGGGGCTTCATATATCACCAGCCACTCTGCAAAGCTTCAAATGTACGTATCACTGCCTTGCTGGCATGTGCATCTGTTCGCATCGAGCCATGCACTTTGTGCTAATAACATTTCATGTTGACTTACAGCTGAGGAGGACCTACAAAACCATGCAGAGGAGGTGCAAAAGCGCTTGACCACAATTTTGGAGGCAGACCGTACTTGAAAATTGCGGGTATAGGGGTTGAGCAGCAGTAAATGGTCGGTGGGAGGGTACAACATGGCTGCATTGCAGGCCCACACTGCCATGTGACAGCATGCTAGCTATAGCACAGATATGGCTATGGATCACACTGTGATCATCACCGATTGCATCTGGTCTTCTCTAGGGCTCCAGAGCGCGCTACAAAATATTGGAACTGTTGGAACCTTTAAAGTTTGCAAAATATATTACCTCATCTTCATGATGCATAGTTCAGCAGAGGAAAGCTTTTTGTTTGCGTCCCATGTAGGCGCCACTTCAAGTTGCAGTTCTTGGTTGATAAACCATCATGATGATGGAAGTATAACATGCTTGTTTTGAATGTCTCATAAACAATACTCACAGCAGCAGACCTTGCAGGCCCAGAATGTGCAACAATGTAATACCAGTCCTCAAGAGCGCTGCAGCTGCTGCTCAATACGGGCTAGTGCCAGAAGTAGCACCAATCCTGTCCATCAAAGTTGAAATGCTCGCTGAAGTCTGTGAGCCGGAGGAATTCCACCCAGAGACACCCTCACATGTACCACTTCAGGCGCTCATCCTCTCGCATGGCTGCATATATTTGTACAACCTGGGCAGGTCCAACAGAGAGTCAGACAAATAATGGAAGCAATTCAAAGCTCTCATGCTTGGAGAGTGATCAAGCCTGGCAGGGACGCATTGCAGGAGGTAGCAGCAGGTTGTGATTGGTGCATTGTGGTTTGCAGCACCTGGTCTCTATTTTGTACAGTCACAGGGCCAATTGTGACAGATATGTAGGAGCCTTTAGCAGAAGGCCGCGAATTGACGCTCTCCTCGTGAATAGGGCTGCCGATCACACGCTCGACAGCAGAAAGCATAGAGTCCACAAAAGCTCCACCTCCCACGCCAATGGCCTTGAAGGTTCGCTGTCCTGGGTAAGTGTTGACCTGTAGAAACGAACCACTTATGTACCACAAGATGGTGATTGTACAGTGCAGAGCAGCCAGGTCCTTTCGGTGCCCAAAGGACAGCGAGTGACAGGCTATCGCAGGGGCGTCACACACCTTCTCATCCAAGGCTCGCCAGGCTTCTTCAGAGTTGTCTGAGGGGCCTAGTACAAAATTGCGTGTCTGGGCAACCCTCCCGCTGCTACTGCTGATGCCTGCGCATAATGAGAAGGAGCAGATAAGGCTCTCCTGCAGGGTTGCCCAAAATGCTGCCAAACAGATATCCATCCTCGTCAACCTAGGGAGACATGTTTCGCTTGTCAGATCTGCATCGGAATTGTATTGCGCTGCCATACCAGAAAGGGTCTGAGTCAGAGCTTCTGCTGGATTGAGGCTGGTGCTTCCCTCTTCACTATCTGATGCACGCCTTCTGACACGTTGCCCGATGACCACATCACAATATTTGATGGGATTTGACAACCTGCGGCCGTCAACGAGGGGCAATCTGGCGCCGAAAAGCTGTCTGCATATGTGCATCGGCGACTTCACCTGTCCACCTCCTGACAGGCTTCAGCAAAGCAGGGTCGTTAATCACTTCTTCTTGAGTTTTTCTAAGGGAATAACTTCGAAATTCACATAAGATCTCATTGGAAAGGAGATCACAAATGCAACTTTTAGGCACGTGACCTCTACATGCACGCATGTGCGTCAATCTGCACCTTTCCTGGGCCCAGAAGCTGCAATCGTCAAGAATTTAGGCTTTAAGCCTCAAGCTATCGACGCATCTGACTCTGTGGAGTGTAATTCAACCATTGCCGTATGACCCTGCGCGGTGCTTGATGTACTGTCTGGGCATCCCAGGCAGTGTCTTCCGTCGACTTGTGGCCAATCATATAGGAAACGCGTCCACTTCAAAGTTGCTATTGCGATCACACATAACATTTCCTTATCCCTGCCGCCACCAGGCCAGAGGTGCTTTCAAAGTCAGTTGCTTCACTAAGGTGTCAGGTCTCATGGCGACGCCTGACAGCGATCAGGAGTTTCAAGACGCGATGAATGCGCTAGGGACTCTGATATCTGGCAAAGCAAGAGGGGATGGTAAGACCTGGAAAGATGCCTTCGACTATATGCAAGTGTATCTCGAGGTAAGCAGAGTCATAGTTTGCTGCTGGTAGTCCTATGGTGCAACTAATTCCTCATAAACGTACTATATCCTAATAGTTTGGGCTCTGTACAGCGACTGGACTTGGACAAGAGGCTGAGCGACTTGAACGTCGTGCACGTGGCAGGAACAAAGGGCAAGGTAACCGAACTTGAATCACCTGTCATCCACGATTCTGAATGTGACGTTCCTTGCTGATCAGCGCCTTGAGGCATCAACGACTCCTGTGCATGCAGGGCTCCACCTGTGCCATGGTGGACAGCATCCTTCGATCCTGCGGTTACAAGACAGGCCTGTTCACCTCACCACATCTGTGGGACGTTCGGGAGCGCATTCAATTGAATGGGTGAGCACATATATCTTAACTTTTTCTTGCCGTGCACGTTCTGGAGCAAACATTCACTGCAGTCTCACTGCTGGTATCACCTTTGAACAGGCAGCCAGTGAGCCGGGAGGTGTTCCTCCGGGAGTTCTGGAAGTGCTACAAGCGGCTGGAGGACCAGGCCGATGAGATGGTGGGCAAGGCCGCCTACTTCCGCTTCCTCACACTCCTAGGTATCATCCAGGCATCATCCCAATCTCCACTGTCTGACCTCCTTAGTATGCTGTCACTATCTTCTTCTGCATTGACCTTGCAATGGAGTGATCTTGCAATGAAGTCCAATGCAGTAGCAATGGAAGTCGGATGGGAGCTCGAATGGCAAAAAGAACAAATTCGTGGTCTTGACCATGCCCTTAAGTGCCCACATCTGGCATGCAGGCCTGCAGACGTTCCTGGCGGAGGAAGTGGATGTAGCAATTTTGGAGGTGGGCTTGGGCGGCCGCCTGGACGCCACAAACGTGATACGGGCGCCCTTCGCGTGCGGCATAACACCGCTGGGCTACGACCATATGGCCGTGCTGGGCCACACGTTGCCGGAGATCGCGGGGGAGAAGGCCGGCATCCTCAAGCCCGGCTGCCCCGCGTTCACCGTCCCGCAGCCCGCTGACGCCATGGCGGTCATCGAGGTGAGCAAAGCAAGCTCCAGCATGCTCTTCTGCTGCAGAGGCAGGACTATTACTGCCACCTATAATCCTAAAAATTGAGAGTCTAGTGTATTGATCCAGTTTATCGTTGTACCTCCGTTGTTGTACAGACAGGTTGCACCAGGTATTAGGGAGGATAGCTTGTGAGTTGCCCATTGCAAAGAATTTACTACCCACCAATTTGAGCACGGCCGCTCCTTTCTCAATGCATTACTCACAGAGCGATGGGGTTGCTCTGCAGGCCAAGGCCAAGAGCGTGGGCGCCCCCCTGACGGTGGTTCCAAGCCTGGAGGAGTACGAGGGCGGAGCAGTGCTAGAGCTGGGCCTGGCAGGGCAGCACCAGCGCAGCAACGCAGCCCTGGCAATCAGCCTGGCGGCTGCCTGGGAGGCGCAGAGGGCCCGGCAGCTGGGCACCAGTGGCGCAGCCGACGCCGCAGCGCAGGCCGAGGCGGCTGAGCGGCGCGCGGCGCTGGTAGCCGGCCGGCAGCTGCCGGCCGAGTACCGTGAGGGCCTGCGCGCCTGCCACTGGCCCGGCAGAGCTCAGGTGCACTCCTTGACGTACATCCCTGGCCATATCAACATTCCCTATAGAAGTGCAACATCTGCCTGGAGTCTGCAGTAGCCACAGTCCTGATATGGCTGAGGGCGTGTCGGGGACTAGCTGCAGGGACTCCTAACGCTAGGCGACGCTCACTTTTAAACTGTATTTCTGCAGCTGGTGGAAGTGCCGAATGAAGACGTGGGTGACCTCAGCAATGGGGCTGTTGGGGCTGCCAAGTCGCCGTCACGGCTATCGTTCTACCTGGATGGCGCGCACACAGAGGAGAGCATGGCCACCTGCGCCACATGGTTCGCGGACGCCGTCGGCACCCCTGGACAGGGCCCGGCCGCCGGCAGCAACGGCGCGGCAGTCGAGACACAGCGGGTCCTCCTGTTCAACTGCCTGCAGGTGCGCTGGGACGGCCTCCCTGTCCATACTTGCACTTCATTGTCACGACTGGCAATCTAGTCAGTAATAAACTCGAGACATGAAGGCAACATGTGCAAATCTGGGGCCCTCTGTGTCTAGAAACACTGGCCTTACCAGCTTGCCATGGCAGTGTCCAAGCCATTGACTGACTGTGAATTTGTCGAATGACTGCTTGGTGTGGCTGAGCAGGAGCGTGAGCCGCAGCGGCTGCTGCGCCCGCTTACAGAGGTGCTGCGGGAGCGGGGGGTGCCCATGCACCAGGCGCTGTTTGTGCCGGCCGACTCCTCGTACTCCTCGCTGGGTCCCCGCTCTGGCGCCCTCGATCTCTCCTGGCAGCAGAGCATCCAGCGTGCCTGGGAAGTCGAGAATGCCCTGCCGCCTCGGCCGCAGGCGCGCCCCCACCATTCTGGCGCCTGGTGCAGATCCTGTTCTGCCAGAGTTATGGGCTTAGTTTCTGTGCACAGACCTCTACGCAGAGCTGCAGGCCTGATGCACATGCTGTTCTGCCAGAGTAGAGCTAGCGCTTATCTGCTGTGAAAGGACCTTCCCGCAGAGCTGCAGGCCTGCACCTGGTTAACTGTGGTGTGGGCTTGCAGGAGGCGGTGCGCCATTTTCCAAGCTTGGCAGCGTTTGGGGCGCATGGCGCGCAGAGATCAGTCGTGGCGCCGTCCATCTCCTCGGCGCTCGACTGGCTTAGGACATGTGTGCGCGAGAGGCCAAACGTCCGCGTGCAGGTCATCTTCCGATTATTTCTTGTCAATTGTGATCCTCCTGTAAATTTGTATGCAGTCGCAGAGCTCATCTGGAAAGAAAATATCTCAAGCAAGAAGAATTCTGCATTCTCTTGCATGACTGACGCGCGTTGTGTGCTGCAGGTGCTTGTTACAGGATCCCTATATCTTGTGGGAGATGTGTTGAAGCATCTCAGCAAGTACTTGTGAATATCTCTTTGCAGTACCCCCTGGAAACCCAATAAAAATCTCTGCGCCCGATTTGCACCACTTAGACGTTGCCATATGTTCAGACTTTGTCACTCTTGACCCTAGCATGGTCAAGAGGTACTTCAAATGCCAGGCAAATGTTCTGGCACCTACAAATTGATGCATTGGGGCACCATTCAGCACTGCAGATGGCCAGCACTGAAATTTATTAGCGATGCTTCATATATGGAGATGCCCCTAGCCAAAGTGCCGCTGTGCAATGCCAACATTGCGCGGTAGGCTGATCATTCATTAGTGTCGCTGGGTAAAAATGGAGATGTTGATATCATGTGCAGTGCGGTAGAGTGCATGTTGCGCAAGCATGCTGCAGATTTAATCAAACAAGTTGTGCCACTGTAAAATAATGCTTTACATCATGCAGTGGCCAGCATGCTTGCACCTGCATGCACGACTGCAGTGCTCGTCAACATCACCTGCTGGTGCGGTTGCAGGCTGAGCTCAGCGCTGCCGACAGTGTCACAGTGACTGTCCGCCGCGTGGCCGCCGCATTGTGTTATATATATGCATGCAGCCCTGCAGGCTGCCGAGCTGGCCGCCAGTGGCACTATCGTAATTTGCACACCATGCCAGAATTTCATATGGAGGGAAGGGAGAAAGGAAAAGCTTAATCAATTACAGTGCCAGACGTGCCAGCGCAGGGCACTTTCTGTTATAGCCTGCCGAGTGAAGCTTCCCATAATTTGGAAGGTGTCCACGCGGTGAGACATTTCTCTGCCTTCTTAAACATCATCATTCCACCTTGCTGAAGAGATGACTTGAATCTTCCGAGTGAAACTTTGGATTACCGAGGCATCATCAAGATGGCTGCGGAACTGCCAGTCACGGACGATGAAATGATAGCTAGTTGTCGCGCAGAATACGAGAGGCTAAGCTCCACAGCAGAAGGTCCTCACGCTTGCTTCAGGTATATTAAGAATGTTTGGCGGGTGCTCATTGTTCTTAGTGTATATATATATATATATATATATATATATATATATATAGATATAGTATTCTGCTGCAGCAGATTGTGTTCTTGGAAGAGCAGGCAATAGCCTTTGTCCCTCACTCCCTGTATGTGCATTTAACGATCCGAGGCTGACTTTGCTTACAGGCTGGTCTGGACATTGGTGCACTCCAGCAAGGACAGCGACGTGCGGAGGGGTCTTGACCTTGCAGAAGAGCTGTTGCAGTCAAAGAGCCTGGATGAGCAGGAGCAGAGGGACTTGGTTTACCTTGAATCGGTGGCATACTACAAGCTGGGGAAGATGCTGGAGGCAAGGAGGCAGCTGGAAGAGCTGCTGAAGGTCTCCCCAAGTTTCAGGCAGGCGCAGACACTGAAGGCAGCAGTGGAGGAACAGATTGTGAAGGAGGGTCTTGTCGGCATTGGCCTGGCATCTGCACTTGTCGGGCTTGCCGGCGTGGCCATAACTTTAGCATTTGCGAGGCGGTGACAACAGTTGCTGTAAACGCATCATCGCCAGAACATCTTATCAGCCGAGCGTTGACGAGTCACATGGGGCTATTTCTTTCCAGATGCGTGCACAACCCACAGTGCACCCTTGATGCAGAGATGTGTCATCTCTTGTGAATCTGATGACGTTGCAGTGAGCCATGTAGCTTTCTACCAGCACAGATAGTGACGGGCTAAATTCACTGAACATTTTCTACCGTATGCAAAAGTGCAATGTGCACGTGCAGAGTGATATGGCTCTTGTTGCCAGTAAAACGTTTGTCAAGCTCCATTACATCTGTGTCAGCCAAGGCAGACGCTTTGATATGGGATAACTTGATCCTGTCGGCATGCTCTCAAAGCATCTGTCCTTGACCTTAAATTTACACTGAGATTCACGACATTTTCTCCCAATGCTGGCCAGCATGGGCACAATATTCACCTCAGGCTTTCTTCCTCACAAGTCCTTTGAAGAAGTCGAGGCTGCACACCCCAAACCACAGTATAATGAAGCAGTTTGGACATGATGAGATTATTGACAAAGTTCGAGATAGGCCCAAAGCAAGCCACCCGTGAGCATCGCTGGGCACCCTCCTATTGGTATCATAGGATGTTCAGCCATAAAAATTGATCTTTGAGCCTTTGAAGGTCACCTGTTGCCATCAGGATGCAACTCGTATTGCTCCCCACTCTCGTTCTGTGCCCTCAAGTAGCCATTGGGGGTCAGGCCCAGAATCACCAGGGGGACCTGATGCAGGGTGCCTCCCTGCTGCTCTTCAAGAACGACCTTCAAGCACCAGTAGATAAGTCAGATATGGACATGGTTGCCAGTGTACAAGGTGAGAGGCATGTCATGAAGCAACAGGAGGCCCGACCTTCTGCCCTGTGTGCAGCCATGCGTCAAGGTATGCTTGCTGCAGCGGCTCAAAGCCGCTGCTCAGCAGAACTTCTAGAAGCTGCTCCAGCCGACTGAGGATCCCACAAAGCAGCACCTGCCAGAGCCAGAGGAATCACAATGAATTGCACCTTCCATAAGAATGGGCAGGTTGCTCACAGCCTGGACACTGCAGCACTTCCTTGGAACTCACCTCTGGCTGCACTGGCTGGGGCGATCCCTCCAGACCCAACTCGCGGTGTTTTTCCTCGATGAGAGCATCCACGCAGGTTGTGGGCTCTCTGTTGCTGAGGTTCAAGCCAATGCCAATGACCACCTGAAACTGCTGATTGCGGTATGCTGACTGGCACAAGATGCCTGCAATCTTGAGCTGGTGCCCATATATATCATTGGGCCACTTGATGCGCACATCCACCTCGTTACCCTGTGCAGAAGCCCACGCTTCAATATCACAACTTCCTTGTCAACATTTACGTCCTCCATTTTAGCACCCATTGCAGTTTAATGCAGGATGCATGGGATGGAAGACGGACCTTCAAGCGGTGCTTTGCTTGTTCCTGCACGGCTTGCACAAGGGCAAGGGAGACAACATATTGTACAAAGGGCAGGTTCTGACCTGCACAGTGCGGAGCGTGTGTCTCAGACGTGTTCTGATCGCCGCATAGTGCAGGATGGGCCCCTAATGGCGACAATGCAAGCCGCAGAGAACGAGCGCAATTCACCTTGGATGTTCAAGTGAGCACTGGTAGAAAACATCAGGCAGCCCTCTGGCGACACCCATGTGTTCTGGCCGCGACCTGTGATCGATACAACGCACTTCATAGCGTATCCCTCAAATCGCCTTCAACAAGCAATTGACAGCTGTCTGCTCTCAGCTCCTGTGTAATGAGCGCACCTCTTCCTTTGATTTGGCGGTCAGCAACACAGACCGTGCCATTGAGGAAATGCCCAGGATTGTCCTGTAACAGCGTCTGAGTGGACGGCAGGGCCGTTGAAGTCAGCAAGACTGATCCTTGCGATCTGGTGTCCAAGTGTTGAAAGAAGCACTGGGGACGAAAGAGCGTGGTTGGATGGTCGTGGGTCGAAAGGAGATTCACGATCACTTCACTTGCAGTCTCAATACCTCTAGATGCTAAAAGAGGGCCCTGCACCACACATTTTCTACTTTGGAAGATGATGATTGCAATGCAAAGCATGAAAGCCATTGATCGGCTCTAATGATAGTGGACACTGACCCTTTCGACACTCCGCTGTGCTTGGTCGAGAATTTCCGGTGTGCTAGCAGAAATATTGACAGTATAATTCTCAGGTCCTGTGGACATCGATGCTTTGACGATCCTAGTTGAACAAGCTGGCTTGATGCTAGGAAACCTTCCGATTGACGGAGAGATAATTGAGAAACCTGTCCTTTTGCAAGAAATCGACCTTAAAGAATGGAAAATTCTCATCAGTTTTGTGTCAGGCATCGTCAAATGAGTGCATCTGCATTCCATTAAAAGACTTAATCTTGGAAAGCATGCAGCTGTACCGGAACGACGGCGTTGTTTAATCAACCAATGAATTTAAACTGACGACAACTTTTGGTCCAAGAAATCTTGCGAGGACAGTCCATATTTCTGTTTGTGTTTATCAACGTTCGATTTCGGAAGAGATTTTCCTGTAAACTTGAGCAGTGCACGTCGTCCTATTGTCTGCACGGGAACACTCAATTGTATCAACCATGGAGTCCAGTCAGCAGAACGATCGTCTTCAGCTGCTAAGAGACAGCTTTAACGCTACTTTGAGAAGTGCCTTCGTAAGGACAGATGAGCAGGTGTGCATGCAACAGAGGGTGGTTTTCAAGCCAAATTCATATAGTGTGATGCAGCGTCTTTGAGCTTTCTTTCACTATGCCTGCAGAGCTTCAGGAAGTGTTTCCCGGGCTTCCATGAGCAGCATGTTGCCGCATTTTACGAATGCTACAGACAGGTAAGCATCCCTTGACTCGCAGGAAGACCTCCTGCAGATCTTAATTCCAGGCACTCAGTTGTGGCTTGCTTTCGTAGGTTCTGTTCCAGGTCCGAGGAAATTCCCAGGTAACAGAGCCCTCCATTTATAATCACCATTCTTCCTGCAATGATGATTTTGAAGGTAATTGCCCGTGCATCCCATAATTTTATTCTGAAAGCTGAACTGTTTTCACTGCTGACAGGCCGAGTTTGATGTGATTTGTGAGGAGGCTCAGCTTGCCCAGAAGTTCATGATGCTTAATCAGCTTTGCCGAGAGCAAAATTTGACAGACAGCCTGGACTCAGCCAGGTGACGCCTGCTTTCACATTTCAGCAAATCTCTTTCTGTACAGAATACAGCAGAACAGAAATGCACTGTGGAACATGACTGATGTGGTATGCATGCGCAGGGAGTCTGAGTCTCCAACAAATCCTGCTGAGACAGTGCAATCTCAGCGGGTCATTGCGAAGGAAGCGGAAGTAATACAGCTGATGCTCCTCTTGGATGAGGTAATACCGGGTTTCCCAAGGGCATTCGCCAGCTCTGCATTGCATTTGTACATTGCAGAATGAGCTGTTTAACCAAAAACCCTGTGAGCGTGTGCAGGCAAAGGCAAGGCTAGAGGCCAACAAGCGGGAGCTCACTGTGAAGCAAGGAACATTGCAGCAGAAAGCAGACTCATACAAGCCACTGCTGTCCTCTGCCGGGCAGGTTCGCGCTTTGAACTCCTTTCAGTAAGGCTGCACATGTAAGCTGCTTACCAAAATGTGGCAATCCTGCTCAACCCCTCTAAAATTAGAGGGGTTCGTGCCTCTTGCAGGTGCACGAAGCCAGCAAGCTTTGGAATGGCAGGCAGTCTGCAGTCACTGTCCCATTACCTTGAGTTTGATGAGCTTGTAGATATGGAAGAGCAGCATTGACTGCCCTGGAATGCTATTGCGAGGCTTGCAATGAAGCTGATGGCTGTACAGTATTCATAGTCTTGACACATGCCTGAAAATAAGGCTTCTGATCAGGCAGCCTGATCAGCCTGATCAGAAGCCTTGTAAGTCACAAGTTGTACCAACAACAGCTTTCCTAATACAAAGCACAACAGCGCATGTACATATGCAGAATACAATGCAACTTTGAAAGCATGCAGCGCAGCGATGCACACATGTACATCTTTATCACGAGATATTCACAGGCCTGCCTAGGCAGGTGACCCAATATCAAATATACCTCAAAATCTAGAGAACTGACCATATACAATAGCACTATAAAGAGCCTGCACTCAATGAAATTATCACTACAGTAGTGACACTGCTTGGTTTGTTTGTTTGTTTGTTTGGTTTGGCTCTCCACAAGCACTTGTGTACAGTAATGTAGTAAAGCAGTGGCCATGGCCTCCAGGTATGCTCTTTACTCTATTCGTATAACGCATACAAAACATGCTGATGCGCATTGGGCCAGAGCATCTGGATCCCAGTCAAAAGCAGGGGGACTTCTAGCTGAACTCAGGCACGTGCACACACTCTCTCAGTCTCTCAGTCTACTTCCACATCAGAGTTGGAGTCAAGGTCAACTATTTCACCAGCATGAGGATGGGCTGCAAGAGCAGATCCCATGCTTGCCCCTTGGTTCAGCTCAGCAAGGCCCTCCCCTGACTCAGCGTCATCAACACCTGCACCAGCAACATTTTCAAGAGGGCGGCATGCTTATATAACAGGTGCAGGACAGGACTGCATTCATCCCACTAAAGAATGGGCAGAGATGGAGCAGTTGTTGCGAGCCTCACCCCTCACAAAATCACCCAGCCAATCCCTGAACTCGTCTGGCATCCTGTCGCCAGAGTCTTCCTGCGAAGGTGGCTGCCGCCCAGGCGGCCTCACAGCGCCTGAGGGATAATCTACAAGAACACATGCACCTTGAGAAATCACTGCGCTCAGAACTGGAATCCCTTCAAACATGTTTACTTCTTTATTCCCACTGTGTTAAGGGAATGCATGCTTACCATTGGGCAAGGGCGGAGGCGGAGGGACTGCGGCTGGTGCAGGCTGCTGGTATTGGGCATATGAGGCATTGCCCCAGGAGACACTGGGGTTAGCTGCGCCCGCCAAACTGCCCTGAAATACAGCCATCCTCCGATTCGGCAAAGCTGAGCATAGAGCAGACGATGTCTCTGGGAGGCAGGCAGTGCCAGCTGCGATTGCTCAAGGAGGAAGAAACCCACCTGTGGTCGCTGCATGTAGTTTTGAGGTGGTGGCGTGGCATATGATTGGGCCATGCTGGCCTGCTGGTATGGCGGTCTGTATCCGTTTGGGACTGGCTGGGCCTGGCAGTCCATAAGACCCCACTTAATCATGGGGAACCATGCAAGCATCACAGTATGCGCTGTAAGGCCAAGTCCATTCAGGGCAAACCAAATGTGTGCAGTTGGCAGGACAGAGGGACAGGCCCTTACAGCATATGCTGGCATGGAGGCCTGCGGCCCAGAGGGTCTGTGCATGCCGCTGTGTCCCAGGTTCTGCAGAAAGTGCGGCATGTAGCCTGCACGTACAAAAAAGCCTCTCATCTCCGCACTTCATTCATTGCTCACTGATGCTACCACAACAGCCATAGACTGGTGTTGTCACCTTGGGCAGAGGTGCACACATTCTGGAGCTGACAGAGAGACACTGTGCAGTAATGGTAGCGGCTGCGTACCAGGAGGGGGGCCCTGTGGCGGCATAGGCGGGTGGGGTCTTATGGGGAATGCTGCTGTGGGGTGGGGAGCATGCTGGGGCCAGAGACCCAACATCCCTGCGGACACAGCACGCTACTTCAATCCCAGCATTGTATGCTCGTCAATGGCGCTTCTGAAAAGCTGCATGCGATTCTCAGGTAAGGCAGCGCCAAGGCCACTGCTTGCTGTGCAGAGGAGTTTAAAGGAATCTTGGAGAGGAGAAGAGATCTACCCGAGTAGGGCGGTTGCGAGGCTGCCGAATTGCTGCCAGGGCCACTCGCTGCAGGCTGAGGCACACTCGGCCCTGCATTCAAAAGCCTGTTCTTGTCAGCAGAGCCACACCCAGATGCAAGCCACTCCTCTTAATGTGACCACCCCACCAGCACTGAGAGATACTATACGCCTGACATCGGGAAAGGCGACTGACCGGACGGTGGGCGCTCCGGCCGCGGAGGCAGCCGCAGTGTGATGCCGCGGCCGCGAACGACGGTGCCTCCCCCGGGCCGGTCAGCCGCTCGGTGCCCGCCGGCGGCCGGCAACGAGCCGGGATACGGCCCTACGTAGGAGCGTCCAGTAGGAGCAGGTCCCTGCTGCCGGCCGTAGGAATTGGGCGAGTGCTGGAGTTGCCCGCGGCCCGACGAGCTCGCTTCTGGCTGCGGCGCGTGCCCTGCCGGTTGATACCCCTGAGCAGAGCAATCATCCTCAAAGACTGCAGGCTTGGTGGATGTGAGGGACACTGCATGAATTGCTCCAAGCAGGCAACGTTCCAATAATCCACGTCTTGCACCACCGGTAGTTCCAAGCCTCTTGGTGACGGAGGAAGCCTATTCAGTAACGCACACATTTTGACACTCGTGACCCCTTACGCTGCCGATAAGATACAATCTCACCCTCACAGAACCACGTGTTGAATAAAATCTCTGAAAGGGCCTGCTGGAGATGCAAGGGGCCTCACTGTCTGCTGGTGCTGCTGCGGTGGAGCTGGTGGCCGGAGCGGAGCGGGCGCCGGCCCTTGACGAGACATCTCTGCATCGTCTTCCTCGTCAGAGTCGCTGATGACGATCACGTCCGGCGGCGGCTTGGGCCGCACTGTTGACTTGGCCGCAGCTGCCGCCCTGCGCAGCTCCTCGCCCTCTGACATCTCCTCGTCGCTGTCGCTGTCAAACGCGCCCGCGCTGCCTGCGCTCGCAACGCTCTCGGCATCCACTCTGCTGCAGTCTGATCCTACTATTCCTGTTCTGTACTATTCCAGGTTTTTTGCACTGCACATCACCATTGCGCCTTGCATTCTACAGATGCGGAGCAGACATATGCTGAACAATGGCAACGCGCGAAGCGAGTTTGACTGGGGTTGTTGAGGACCAAAGATGCGCAGAAGAGAAGAGGGGCCGACCTGCTTCCTGTTTGGCGGTTTCAGGGTCAGCCTTGACTTTGACGTCTTCGATGGGGAGGCTGGGGTCCTCGGAGATGGAGTGCCAGCGCCCCTCTGTACCACCCACGCGCCACTCCCCGCCCGGCGACACCTCCACCTCTGTCACCTCAGCCATGTCCTGCCCCGCAGCAACATCAACTCCAGTACACCCACATCAATTCCAATATGTGCACCCAGTGAATGCTGACACCGACAGATGACATTTATGTCTCCAAGGACCGCCTTGAATCCATGAAGGGATAGAAGTTGATTGCCCCGGCGAGGATCAGTTCTCGGGGCGCACTGTGGCCTCCTCAGCGGAGGCCACCTCCCCGGGAAAGTAACACATCTGGCAGATGATCAGGTGCACTCCATAGAGCGTTACATAGCAGAACCAGGCAGCGTAGCGGGGACCCTGAAGTAACTGGACTGGGCTCACGGCCTGCACAGCAGGAAAGTAAAGGAAGGGGCACCTTGAGGCGGGCGAGGATGTGGGAGAGGTAGGCGTCGACCATGAGCTGCTGCACGGGCAGGTTGCGCATGGAGTGGGGGCACTGCCATTTGCGGCTGCGCTGCACCACGTCCAGAAAGGTGTCCAGGTCGAACGCGTTGAGGCCGCCCACCGACGCAAAGCGCGCCGGCACGCGCATGCGGCTGCCGGACATGGGACACCGCAGCGACACCACTGTGCGCCCAATCTCCACCTCGTCATCACTCTCATCCCCTTCCCCCTTCACGCCGCGCGTCTGCATTTGCACATTTGCAGCGCTTCAGCAGCGCGCTGATGCCCACACTGTTGTCATTCGCACATGCACTGTACTGTGCTGATGCCAAAAACGATGCCATTTGGACCCGCTCTCTAGTGTACTGATGCCCCAAGCGTTACCAATTTAAAAGAGGGCGCCATGTGGCCCATGTGACCCTGTCATTTTATAAGCAGTCTCGTAGGTTGGCCAGACAAGGCATATAGCTTGTAGCATTCTTGTGACATGGGGCCCAACCATGCGAATAATTGACAAGGATAATGTAAGTGATGGGTCACAGAGGGGCAGAGTGTCACCTGGCGGACGACACGTTTGAGGGCGGCCTGCTCGGTCTCAGGCGGGGCCATGAGCGCCTTGACCTCGTCCATTGTCCGGCGCTGCGCCAGCTGCACCATCACGCAGAAGCTGCGCGACTCCATCACCGACACCCACAGCCGGTTGCGCCCCTACAAACCACCCATGCTCACATTCAGATATGGCAAGCTTTCCAGCAGGCCTGAAATATCACACATCAATTGGTGGCTGACTTCCCAATGCATGGGAGCTTCTGGGACTCACAGTTGCTTTGTCCAGCAGGGTAACAGGTGCCGTGGAAAGCAAAGCATGCTGCGGAGTCTGACAGCAAGAACATGGAAAGGAGCGGGTACCTGCGAGCACATGACGCCAACGGAGGCAGGCTCATCCCGAGCATTGGCGCCCAGCTTGGTGGCAGAGTTGCGGGAGTAGGGCCGATACAGCATGTTGTTCAGCCGCAGGTCCGCATGCCGCGGCCAGTGTATTCGCATCGGCACGCTGTCTCCCATCATTATGCATGCCACCTGCACCACACGCTTCAGGCTTATTGTTAATTGAAAAAGACACAGCACACGTCATTGAAGTGGTACTGCTGCTCGGTCTCACCAGTATGATAAGAGGAGGAATTGCCATACATCTCCGCTTCAGACGCTAAGCAGCATGGCTTACATCAAGCTTTACATCAAGCTGGACAGCATAACAAGCATGCAGAAAGAAAGCTCCACTACACACTGCTGTGCAGTCATATCCGCTGGCTCAGGCACCACCACAGAGGTACCCCTGTGGTCACCTGCAGCTGGAAGTTGTGGCTCTGACGGCGCGCTGGGTCGATCTGTGCGTGGGTGAGCATGAAATTGCGGTCTGCCACCTGCACGACATCCTCCTCCTGGGTCCTGCCATCGGGGAAGCTGCGCGGCGGCTGCACGGGCGCCAGCTTCACGGGGGACATGACGGGGGCCCCCACGCGGCGCCAGAAGGGGTCCGCTCGCGCCAGCCGACACAGCTCGCATAAATAGTGCTCCGGCATCACGTTCAAGTCCACGCCCACGCAGTCGCAGTGCTGCCACACCCCGCATGCCTCATCCTGGACCCCACAATACTATCTCACAGCCCCAACAGAAGCCAGGACTGAAAGTAAGCAGGACATGCCTAGGCAGAGTCTTTGAAATGTCCGGTAGCCAACCCAACTGAGGTATCGACTCATCCAACTTTTTGTTCTCTCTAAACAGAGGCGTGGGGACCGAGGAAGACGTCCCCCACCTCGCACTGGATCATGGTGCCTCGGTCATAGTTGCTTCCACAGATGCATCTGATCTGTGTGTTACTCCTCGCGGCTGCTTGCACTGCCGCAGCTGCATTCCCATTCGGCAGAATAGGAGCCGCGGGAGCCAACGGCACATCTCCAGAGCCCTGAAGGTACCTGCATGGGACGTGGCGCTAAGGATATTGCCAAAAGAGCACCATTCAAGCATTACTATTGGCCCAGGAGTGTAGCAACAAGGGAAACCAACTTAGAGGGAGGACTCACCCTGCAGTTGGTATGGTCTCCCTGGCTGGAAGAGCCTCAGGGCTGGGTAAGCCCTTCATGCGATGGTATATCTGGGTGACCAATCGCGCTGCATGCACACAGACCGGGTCAGCCCAGCGAACACATTCTTGGACTCTTCACACGAACAGAAACAGGATCAAGCCAAAAGTATGCAAGAGAAGCTGTGAGGAAGTCCATCAGGTCAGCACGGAGCGTGTGCAACCTGCTGTGTCGAGTCTATGCTGCTCCTTGGGAGGGTTGACCCCCCGGGCGGCCACTCCAGTGTAATCGCCAAAGTAGGCAAACAGACGAGACTGGAGCTCCCCTTTGAGTCCCTTTTTGGACAGGCCGAGCTCTTGCAGGCACAGCTGTAGCTCGGCCACGCGGAAGGCGAAAATGTACCTCCTCAGAGTGGCACTCGCCATAATTTGCGCGCTGGAGCTGCCAGCACGAGTCCAAGAGCCTCCGCTCAACTGCCTGCAGTCAAAGCATGCAGGCACCCCATTGGCTTCTTCCCACACGTTGTTACAGTGGTTTTCACAATCTGCATTGCCATCACGTAAGCCTCGGGTCACACGCCAGGAGTCCTGCTTCCAAGCTGCCATTTGACATGAACTTTGTGACACGGGCTGATCGCCATTAAATAATGAAATAACTCTTCTGTATCAATCTATCGGTCGTCGAAGAATGTCGATGGCCCGTTGGGAGAAGAAGAGAAGTGACACAGGATACGTGTCCTTCAGACACTCTAGCACCTAAAACGACGTCGATAGCGTGGGATCCATCACAGTAATTGGTGCATTTAATATTCTCACACATATCAGGACAAAAAAACTTAATGCCAAGCCAAATGAGGAGCTGGCGCACCTTCCTAAGAAAATCTCTTGTGGCGATGCGCTTTGCTGCCCCGAGACGACAGTAGCACTTGGTCGAAGACCTTCATGGATACAAAATACATTCGATAATGCCGAGTCTTGCCTCAATGGACAAGGGTCGCTCACGCAGCATTAAAATTTGTGAGTGTCGACATGACGTCACGCTTACTAAATCATAGGTGTTTATCCTGAAGTTGCGAGCCCCACTTTCGTTTTGTCCGAAAGGTCCAAAAAGCAGGCTTACAAACACTTCAGTTGAATTTGTATTTTGATGCTTCCTAGTTGCAGCAACGTATTCAGGAGTGAAATTTTCTGTTTGAAGAATCATCTGTGGACGTGGGTTCCCTGAGACTTGGTATCTGATGAGTGGAGTCTTTCCGAATAGTCTTTCCACAATATTGCTTTGACTAGAGGACATGGTGATAAGCGCAGCACACCCCGCTTCTCAGGAGATAACGGAGGTGAAACGCTCTTGCCACATTCAGCGTCTTTCAACGGAACGATGCCTCATCGCTGGACATAAGAACATCTCTGTATCGCCGCTGAGTTACCCACGATGCTATATCAGCGAGCCAAAGAAAGCTGTGGATTGACTGCATCATGTATGTATCAAGATGTGCCCATCTCTTATATGGAAACGTCATTGCGCCAGGGACACGGAGGATGTGGCCTACGCGATCTATGTCCTCAGGATAAAAGGAAAGTTGCCAAACTTATACGTCAGGTGGTCGACTTGCAGCAGGAAGCTGAAGTCCAGCGCTCCCGCTCAAAGGTGGGTGCTCGCTTCTGCCGCTTGCCAATGCTTGAAAATGTGAATAGTGAAGTACACTGAGAACACCCAGCTTGATATCCTCTAGCTTCAATGCAGGGTCATGAGGACCAGACCGAGCAGCTCAAGCATCTGCGTGAGAAGAACAAGGAGATAGTCCAAGAGAACACAGGGTAAGGATCAACTTTTCACGTCTTGTCATTTGGACCTCTCCGTGGTTTCATTGTGCAGATCATCCTTGAATCATCCGATCCGACATACTGATTCGCAGCCGTGATTGCCGACAGGTTGCGATCCAAGCTCGCGCATGCCTTGGCTCTGCTGCGCATGTATCAGCACAGAGTGCAGCTCCTGGATGCAGCTGCCAGCCACCAGGAGGCTGCCCGTCCATCTGCGAACAATACAGGCCAGCCAGTGCAAGGTAGCGCGCAGCCAGCAGAGGCTCAGAGCACAGGCTATGAAAATGCCCAGGCAGCACGTGATGGGCACGCGCATGCTACAGAAGCACCGGGAACATTCGTGGGTGTGGTGGGGATCCCTGCTGCCTGCCTGCGACAGCCTGGACAGACCGCCAATGATAGCTCAGGGGGTTGCGTAGACAAGCTCAGTCATCAAGATGCTCATCAGCAGCAGCTTGGCGCCCCAGAGGTCCACCGCGACAGCATGAGTTCTCATGCATCACAGCAGCCTGACAGCGAGACCAAGCTTCCAGGCGCACAAGGCTGCAGAGAAAGCCATGATGGCAAGACCCAAGCAGAAGCGACTGCAGATGAATCAGCAGGACGTCAGACGGCAGCAAGAAAGCTGCACCTTAGCTCAGAAGCTTCGTCAGGGCAGACATCAGCATTGACTCAGGCCCGCATGTTGCGCTTTGACCCAACAGTGGGCAACTGCGGCGCATTCTTAATCGTGGTGGGTGACGAGTCATCAGCCGCCAGCCAAGCAACATCTGACAGCGGCGCCGATGCGGTCTCTGCTCAGCGCGAGGGGCAGAGCGCCCAGTCAGAGGGGCTTGTAGCTGGGAGAGGGGCGCGGCTATCCCATGACAGTACAGAGGAAAGGGCCGAGATGCCATGCCAAGCCCTGCCGCAGCCAGGTCCCCAGACGGCAAGCAGACCTGACACAGGGCGCACCTCGCAGCAGAGCGTCGGGAAGGATGCGCAAATATTGCTCAGCCCGAGAGGCAGCAGCCCCAGGCAGACAGAGCGCAGCAGCGGCAGCAGTGCAGGCATGAGCTCCAGGCAATTTGGGGGCAGCCTGATGGATCTGGTGGCAGAGGTGGAGCAGTTGATTGGGCAAGGGGATGGCAGCTGCAATGGCTGGAGCCACTGCTCTGCCGGTGGCAGTCAAGGTCACAGCGATGTCACTCCTGAGGTGCCTGAAAGCTATGAGGCAGCAAGCGCGCTGCAGGATGGCTACTGCCAGAAATGGATTGGAGACCTGGTGCGTCCTACAATCCCAGTGCCATCATCCATCGTATCAACACGCTCTTCCTACCAGAGGCAACGAGCATGCATATATGTGAGAAAATTTGTTGTCGTCAGCATATGATGAATTGGTGCCGTTGCAATGCTTGCTGATGTCAACTCTGGATGTGTGCAGGTGAACGGCCATGGCAATGGCAATGGGAGACCGAATGAGAGCAGGCTTATCACTCGGTTGACAAAGAACCCCAAAATTTGTTGATGCACAGGTTGCATTTCAAAAGTTGTTTTTCCATATAATGATTATTTAAGCAATGCTGGACATCAATTTTGATCTACCGTAACTTGCCTCAAGACCTCCAGTACGTTGAACTCGTACTCGCAAAACAGTTCAGAATAAGAAACTGAGGCATGCGCTTTGAAGGTGTGCAGACTTAACTTGTACGGTGTTACTATGTTCATGAATACTCCAGGAATATCTCCTCTCAATATCGCAAATCATGTACACTTACACCGACATCATGCCGACTCAGGAAGGGCTAAACATCTCTCAGAAATTCCTCCTTCCGCCTGTAGTACTCGTCCCATCTGAGCTTGCTGTAGCCGAAGTAGTCAAAGTCGATGGGAGAATAGCGCGCTTGGATGAGGGCCCAGATGCCCCAGAACTGGTGGGACACAAGCGCAAAGAAGTTCCCCTCCGCCACAGCTGCCTCCACTTCCTCATCCGACTGCAGGCACACAACCAATGATGGACATGCAATGGTGACAAGGCAGTTTATCACTAGCCAATATATATGCACATATCTGAAGCCATCGTTCAGAGCATCTGAAAGATGGCCAGTCAAGATTATAGATAGAAAAGTTGTTGGGGCAATGCCGTAAAAATTCAAAGGGAGGCAGTGAAGACTTTTGAGGGGAAGGGATACTGACTGGAGGGCTGGTGGCGCCTTCGCTCAGATAGGCCCGAATGAAGAGGGCGACATGCTCATTGTCCGGGTAGCGGCTATATGCGCACTCAAAGCCGGCATACTCACAGAAGTGGTTGCCCCAGTCGTAGCCTCTGTACGAGTGGCAGCCGTACTCAAAGTCTATGAACTGCATGGAGGGCATTGTGCCCACTGCCCCTCTCGGCTCAACCTCCTGAACATCACAGTGCCACGCTGGACACACTCTGCAGCATGCAAACTGAGAGGATTCCTGCAGAGCTGCAACGATGGCATGCTTTCAGTGGCAGATTGATGGGATCATGACTGTCTCTGGATGTAGCACCTGCTTTGAGACAAGAACATTGCCGCTGAGGAGGTCGTTGTGGCTCCAGACGACCGGAGACTGCAACTGGGCGCTCTTCTCTTCTGTCAATGCAAGCTCTCTCGCCATGGCCCCAAGGTCAACAGCATCGTGTGCTCTCTGTTTCTCCTCATCCGCATACCGGATCTCCTTTGCCATGTCCAACCTGAGACACGCACAGTGACATCTATGAGATAAAAGTAGATGCCGGGGGTGATCCAGCAATGGGGCGTTGCCAAAGCCAATTTGATAAGAGGAGGACTTGAGGGCGCACCATTTCCAGAGGGTCTTGAAAGGCTCGGCCTTGCCCTCATTGCTGCCATGCAATGTGATGGGCGCAGTGTGGAATTGCTTCAGCCGGCGGGCTATCCTGACTGCCATAGCAGGTTCTGTCATATCCTCTGGTGTCAATGTCCGCATGTCCAGAAAGCCCTCCACCCTCCCATTGTCAAAGGTGCTCAGAATCTGTGAAACAACCTAGAAATCAGTATTTGCAATCGACTGGCCCTGAGCTCGTAATTGCGGTGCTCAAAGGTGATGCCTTGCTCACAAGGAAAGTGACGTTGGAGCACAAGACTAGGATGCTTTACCGGTGCACCGAAGCCAGCCTCATTCAGCTGCAGCAGGACCTCCCTTTCACGTTCTCTGTCAATCAGGAGGTCTGTCTGCTCCCCAAACACTCGCACCACTACTGGTCCCAGTCCACTTTTCAGTGATGGTGTCAGCTTCCACAAAAGATTGGTGATCCCTCCCGAGATCTCACTCACCTACATCATACTAAAGCGCTTAAGGAAAACAAACTGCATCCAAGGAAGTACGTATACTGCTAGACGTCATTGGAGATGTCTTCTACTACATACCGTGATGTCATTTTGAGACATCTTGTCCCATCCTGACACTGTATCAATGCATATTTGTTTTGCCTGGCGTTCGATTTGTGATCTATCTTGTTTTAAGCTGCACAGTAAGTTCTTATGTCCGGGCACTTTATGCACCATTGCTGGAGCGAGCGTTCCACTCCGGTGCTCAGCAGGTCGTTGGAAGCCTTCCTTTCTTACATCAATTGAGGATTTAAAGAAGAATGCATTCAGATATCCTTGAGAGCGCCTGTCAAGACCTACCCTGGACGTCCGTCTACATGTTGGGTCAGCGGCGTCCCTACAGTGTGTAGCTGCACCGTAGCTATCCATTGAGCGTCAAGAAATGAAGCACATTCAAGGATGTGTGCCAGGGGGACAATGTCATGAATAGCTGCATGTTACAGATTTCATGGCCCACAAGCTCAGGGGCCTACAATATCCAATTGCAAAGTACAGGCAGCTGCCCCTCACTGGCGGTCACGCATGCATGAGATCCGTACGATGCTGCCGCGTGCATGAGCACATCCGATGCGAGCCGAAGTAGTATGGCATGTGTTACAAGTCTCCTTCATAGCAGATTTGTACTGTATAAGGCCCGCTCTTAGCAGCGCCCCAGGCTGATTTAGCAGCATGCCGGTGATCATGCACATGTGCTCAGCTCTTGAGTAGATCTAGCGCTCCAATGCATTCTCCCATTCTATGAGTCAACCAACTCTAAGCAAGTCCCCACTCTCCAGAAATTTACACCAGTAACACCAGTAACCGGCAAACAATCTGACAACGCATGCGTTTGGACTGGTAACCAGTCACTGGTCGCCTTCAGTACACTCTTGGTTCAATGATCAATGATCATGATGCATTGCTGGCGAGAAACTGCTGGCTACCTCTAGCAAGTCATCACTGCTCGCTCCAGGAAGGCCGTCAGTGCGCGCTCCTTGTCTATCTCACTCTGCGGCTGCCGCTCAGGCGTCTGCTGCTCACCACTTACGTGGGCACCCGGGCTAACTGAGACATTGTCGAGTCCCTGAGCCAGGCGCTCATTACTCTGCAGCCTTGCTTCAATGTCCTGCTGCAGCAGCGCCAGTCTGCGCGCAGCACCGGCGCGCTCACATCGCGCTGACTCATCGGCGCTGGAGGGCACGCCTGCGAACACGTCGGCCATGCCGGCGCCGCTGCTCGGGGACGCAGCTGCGGCAGAGCTGCTCGGCAGCTGCACTCGAGCTGTGACGCCCGGGCTGAACCTGGGCGCCTGAATGCCATGCGCTGCTGCCTTCACAGCCAGAATCCCTCCCAGACCCCCTGTGATCAACCACACAATTGAGACCACCAGCCCATTGACAATCATCCAGGCTGCAGATGGTACTTAAGTTTCACCTGCGCTCCTTTGGTCAAGAAATTTAACGGAGCCTAGTGGCGCACCGTTCCATTTGCGTTTGCGGGGCGGGCTGTCCGGCTCTGACAGAGCGCCGGTTAGAGCCATGGTGGGAAGCTGGAGATTGGAAGGCGCAGGCAGTGAGTGCTGCTCCGGCTCGTCCACCATGACTGCTGGTTGCAGGTTGGCCGCCTCCAGGGCAAACAGACGCCGCACAAAGGCCTCCGACAGGACGTGTCTCCAGTCGCCGCCTGCGGGCGCGCTTCCCAGTGCATCCTGCACGTACTCCGCCACCTTCCGCGCAACATCTGCAGGCAAGCAAAATCTATCTCAGCTCATATCTCAGATATTGCTTTCTTCAGATGTCAAATGCCACATGTGACCCAGAGTAGTCAACTCCCAGCCTCTATTCCTTCAAACAAGAGACAGATGCCTGCACAAAGGCTCTGTCCTCTGTTAGGGAGCCTTGAGAGGAGCAATCAAAGCAACATTCACAGGAGCACCCACAGAAGAGTGTACACCTTCATGGGCGCCCAGACGGGGATAGACTGGCAGGCGCAGGTTGCGCAGGGCCTGGCAGATGCTGGCCTGCACAGCAGGGTTGTGCCAGTCTGCAGGCAGCGTTCCCTCCATGCCGGCGCATTCCAGCGGCGGCCAGCGCCAGGCGGCTGCGCGCGATGCGGCCGCGGCAGTCGCGCGCCGCTCGGTTGCCGCCAGGGACTCGTTGAAGGCCGCCACCCAAACCGCGGGTGTGGAGTCGCCACTGAGCGCGCCCGTCCGGGCCCTCAGCTCCTGCCGCGCTGCTTCTCGCAAGTCCACCACCTGACATGTGCAGCAAAGCGCTTTCTCACTTTAGAGGAGGTTCAGAAGCGCTGCATGCAATCCAACACAAAGGGATGCTGCAGCGTTGTCATCACATAGCCAACAGATGCGTATTCACTTCAGCAGCTTCCAAAGATGACCCAGCAATGCAGGGAATGCGCCAGACTGCGATCGAGCAACAATGCCCACCTTGAGGCGGAGCTGGTTTGGGGCGCGCGCGGCCAGCCACAGGAGGCCCTGCTCGAGGCTTCGGTTGGCGTCGGTTGAGGGAGGCGCTGCGACGCTGATGACCTGCCGCTCGGCAATATGCTGCGACAGTTGGGTATCGCTGGCCAGGACGCCGTCTAACCAATGCTCCAGGTCTGACTCGGTCAAGGACGTGCTGGAGGATGCCAGCAGCAGAGGTACCTGAGGAGTGGAGCACATCTTCTTGTGAGCACTAGTTGCTAGGGATGTAACACTCGAGCGATGTGACTAGAAGAAGGTATGGGAGAATGATTACTACCAGGTTGAAGGGTGTCGTACCTGCACGCCGGTTCCTAGGGAGTCCAGCACAGCATGCAGCCTCTGATGCGCAGACTTGGGATCATCCCCCTCTGTGATGTGCAGCAGGATGGCTGCCACGCCGGAAGTGGCAGCAGTCAGATGTTGCTGTTCTCCAGCTGTGCTGCCCACTGCTGCGCTGGCATCACACACGCAAGTGTGCAGGACCCGGTCGCCTCCAGAAGGAAGCGCCTCTCGCAGGCTGCTCAGAGCGGTGCATGGCATGCTCTGGGCTCCAGTGTCCTTCAAGTCCCTAGCAGACCCAAGAACACAAGTGACTCAGGTGACTCAATGCCACGGCGCAAGCTTCTGCGGCGGTTGTGTTCAAGGTGAGCAACTTCAAAGCAAACTTGAGATAGGTTCACTTTCAGGCAGGAGAAATGAACCCATAAATTGCATCTGTGGTAGCATCAGTTTTCAAGGATGACAGCACTTTGGTCGGTGACTAATAATTGCACAACAAGCGTCACCTGTTCAGCGACAGCTTGGACCACAGCCATTCCTGGGAGGAGTCCAGTGCGCCGGCAAGGCCCTGCAGCAGCACCAGCTTCCAGAAGAGGACGGCGGCTGCCGGGTTGCGCGCGGCCAGCGCCGGCCCGAGCAGCCGCGACGGGTCCAGAGGGACTAGCAGCTCGCGCATGGCTGCCGCCCTCTCTGTCGTGCTGCACTGCGCTACCCTGCTGCCCGCCACCTGGCCAGCCGAGAAACCATGGGATGAGTAAGAATATATTTACAATACAATCTGGTGGCACGCATTGTGCAGCTGCTAAATGCCCCGTTGCATCCAAGCTTGTGCTGCTGTGATGGTCATCGAAGTAAATGCATCTTGCCAAGTTAGTCACACTGTGCAATAAGGAGGGTACGACTTGAAAGAGTAGATCGAGTGGCAACACAAACCTCCTGCTAAGGGAGACAGGCACAAGGCAAAAGAGGGAGGGAGGCAGCAGGTACCTCTGGCAGAGGTGCAGCAGAGGGGCTCCTGAAGGGCCCAACAGGCCGGGCATGCATGCCGACGTTGACGCGCTTGAGGGCGTTGAGCAGGCGCTCCTCTGCCGCGCGGGCATCTCTGGCGCGCTGCACCGCGGCCGCCCACAGCCGCGCCGCCTGCCGCACCAGCCGCCACAGCCGCTTGGCCGCCACCGCCCTCAGCCCCTCCTCCTGCAGCCGAGCTCCCCTCATCAGCCCTTACCTTCCTGTTATACTGAGATGGGCAGTTCGATCATGCATAGGATGTGCGCCTGATGATGTTGCTAATGGGCAAACACCCCGGTTTAAGCAGGTTGACGCAGCTTTTTTTCATTTGTTTGTCTTACTAATGAACACATGAAACAAATCTACATCAACGTGCTTCAACCGGAAACTACATACAATAACAGTACGGTAGACGCTGCGCTTGTGGGGATGTCAACATGCCAGGAAAATGCAAGTCACAGCTGGAGCAGTACCTGGCGGCGACGGCGTTCCAACTCTAGCCGCTCGAGCTCCAAACGCTCGCGCCGCTGCCTCTCCTGCTCTGCTCGCCTGGCCTCCAACTCAGCCTGCCACCTGGCCTCTTCCCTGTACACCCCCAGCATCCAGCAAAACTTCTGTTGTGCTCTTGCAACACGAAAGCACAATATCCTGCATGAATTAGCCCGCGAACAAGAGGCACAAGAGCATAAGTGTAGCATGACATCATACTGAACATGCCTCATGTATTCGCTTGTAGGAAAAGAAGATGACAAGACCTGCGTCGGGCCTCGGCAGCGGCTGCTTGCGCGCGCTCCTCGGCCTGGCGCAGCTGTTCGAGCAAGCGCTGCCGCTCTTTCGCAAGCCGCTCAGCCTCGGCCGCAGCGCGGTCCCGCTGACGCTGCAGCCGGTCCGCTTCGGCAGCCGCTTGCTGCTGGCGCACCAACTCCGCCTGCCTCTCTGCAGCGGCCTGCAGCCACCAAACATATCAGCGCCTCATGACCGCCTTTACAGGGTAGTTGTACATATGCATCTGGGCATGTGGCACACATTTTGCAACCAGCAATCACATTTGGCGGCACCCTGTGACCATTGCTGCACAGTGCACGGCATGGGTGGAGTCCAGCATCAAGGCATGTGGCACACGTTGGCAACCAGCACTGAAATTTGTCGCCAAATCATGACCATGATTGCAGGGTGCGCGGCAGATATGAAGTGCAGGGTCAGAGCATGTGGCCTATACTGGCCATCAAAAAATCCATGATAAAGCAGCTGACATCAAGTACAGGAAAATGTGCACTCCTCCCGCAAGAAAATCACCTGCTGGGCTTCTCTGTCGCGCTGTGCTGCCTCCCTGGCGGCCTGCTCCTGAGCCGCCCTTGCAGCGGCCTGCTGCCGTGCAGCCTCCATCGCCTGCTGCTGCGCCTGCTGCCGCTCTGCAGCCTCTGCCTCCTGGCGCCACACCCACAAACACTCTCTTCAGCTGCGCACAGCAACAGACACTCGGACATTACGCACAGCAACAGACACCAATGACGTTGAGTAGATGGAACTCAAGCAGGACTGCAGAGTCAAGTTAAGGTTCACACCAGGCCGAGAGCTAGTGTGAGCTCACGGCCCAGTATGCTCACCACTCACGGCTTTCCATGATGCTTACTTACTTTCCGAGTACATGGAAAGATTTCTGCGCACCTGCTGTGTGCGCCTAGCGAGCAGGCGTTCCATCTGCTCTTGGGCGAGCGCCTGCGCCTGTGCCGCGGCTCGGGGGTCGGGCACGATGCTCTGCGCGACCTGGCTCCGCAGCGGCTGCGCCTTGGCGCTGATGGCGTGCGAGCGCCGCCGGGGCACGTTGTCGGAGTTTGCCTTGAAGCCCTGCATGGTCCAGGCAGATCTTGTGATGGCCACACATAGCTGATTGATTCCCAGGAGCAAACAAAAGCGGATACTCTTGCAAGGCGCGCTCCTAGCATGCATGCCACGAGCAGCTGAGACCTGTACTGGCTGTTGACGGCAGTACGTGAAAGGCAACCAGGCTGAGCAGGGCAGAAGCACAGCATGCAATAGGTTGGGAACGTGCCCTGGGGAGGATGGCAACAGGTGTGTTGTCACCATTGGCAGTGACCTCCAGCCCGGCGGCTTCGCACAGCTCAGCAGCATCTTTCAGGGAGTTGAGGTGGACGCTGTTCTTCAGCTTTCCTAGGGAGTACTCCAGGCCCCTGCTGGCCGGACCAGACCCTGCACCAAACAACAGATTCTAGCTTGGCTGTGCCAGGTCGCCAGTGAAAGAAAGGGGCCTGCACCTGTGGAGGCAAGTACGCTGAGGGTCTTTATATGTAGACGACCCCGCACACAATGAGGAAGAAACTAAGCAGGACGTGATATTGAGCAACATAGCAAGCACAGCAGCTCTTACACCGCTCTGGCTCTAGCTGCGTGCGGGAGCAACGGCAGAAAGGGGGCGGCACCTGTGGAGGCGAGAACTGTCAGCGCTTTGGCGCGGACGCCGCGGAAGTACATGTGGGCGAGGCAGCCCTGCAGGTAGGGGGCGTGCGTGGCCAGGCGGAAGAAGGCGACCCATGCGCCGCTGTCCAGAGCGCGCTGCATGGCCAGCACCCGCTGCACCTCCCCGTGCAGCAGCACCTCCGGGCACAGGTCCTGCCACACACAACTGAACCATCAGCCTATGATGCCTGGGATGACAGTCCATTCAATGACGTTTCCATCAGATTCCCGAGAAGCTGCAGGGGATAGGAATCCATGAGCATCACGCTCACACAGCTCCTGCCGCACAGCCTGCCACGCCTGACATGACAAGAAGTTGCTTGGATCGTGCAGTGGACATGATGAGGGGCAAGACAGGAGGCCACAGGCAAAAAATCCATTACAGGCGCTGCAAATCCTCACATGCCATTGGCTTGCTCCAATTGTGTGTCGGGTTGAACATGCATGAGAAAGGGGCCTTTAGCATCAGCAGTGCTGCACATGCAGGCAACGTGCGGAAAGGGAACGCTTTGGAGGTTGCGAGACAATCAGGGTGAGGCAGGAAGACTACCGAGAGGGCATTCTGGTACTCTGAAGAATTATAGCCATAGCGGCCGTGGGTGCCGATGAGCGTGAGCAGATGGTATGCCCGGAACTCCACCTCTGTCGCCATGGGCGTCCCCTTTGCGCGCTGCTTATCGTACATCGAATTGAGCGATATCAATGCCTGCGGACACAAGGCAAGTTGAGGAGCTTTGAAAATCGTCAGCAGAGACAATGCTTGCAAGAAGGACAGTCAGATATGGTCAAGAACGCCAGCAGGCATTGAAGTGTGAAGTGTCAGTCTTGTAGGCACCTTGTTGATCTGCTCCAGGTTGAGGTGGCTGTTGAAGGCTTCCTGGTCTGCGGCGGCCGTGGTCTCCTCGCACAGCTCGTGCTCCGCCAGGATCATGAACCGGATGTGCTCCTCATACATCTTAATTGCGTCCGGCCCCTGCATAGCACCCCCTCTCACAACCTGGTGCTGCACTCCTTCCAAGCATGGGCACTGTCATACAGAGCTGAACACCATTGAGAGTGCATGCCTTGGTCTTGAATGCGTCAGCTGTTGAGAGGTGCTGTTGTGCAGACATGAGGAAGTGGGTGATTGTCATCACTGCATGGGGGGGAATAAAGCACCTCGAAGCCCTGGACGAAGAGGTCCTGGCGGACGCCCCTGAAGCGGTCCCACAAAAACTTGTGGATCTCGACCAGACGCGAGTCCTGCCGGTCCATGATCGCACGTAGGTGCGCCATCGTCCGCTGCAGCGCTTCCATCGTTCGGAAGTTCTCCGGTCTCTGCTCTATCTGCAAGTACAGTCACCTCCACCCTCAGGCGAGACTGTCTCCGACCCATCTCTAGAACCTCCCAAAGCTCTTATGGAACTGCACTGTGCCCATCAGAGAGGTGCAAGTGCATTTGCACACCCCAGAAGATCTACAAATGACCCCTTGCTGTCAGTGTTCACAATGAGCATGGGTTCAAGTTTGCTGGCGTGCCCCTGGCGAGTGGTGTATTTGCGCACAAACTTGTTATTGTAAGGGAGGTGTGACGCACATTACGGGCGAATTTCTTGACGGCCAGCTCCGTGGTGGTCTCGGCGCGGGTCGGCACCATCCGCTCGAACGAGGAGATGTCTTCGATCCGCATGCGCCGCTCGATCTCCGACGCCGGGCACATGTCAGTGCAGGTGCCTTGTATGGTGCCCTGCTGGATGCCCCCCCCTGCATGGCACAGCGGTTTCCTTGACCCTATTGCGGTGGACCATATCAAGTGGCCCATATAATCGTTGCCGTTGACAATAGCTCCCACCCAAGCCAATGAACATACAGGTACAAGTGGTGATGAGTGTAGAGCGCACCGTCATCATCCATTATGCCAGGGCCAGCGTCTGCATCGTCTCCCATGGGCTCTGGGCTGGCCCGCCCTATTGGCGACGGCTCTCTGGAGGGGGCGAAAGCATGCGCACCAAACGCGGCACCCTGGCTGGAGCCGAGTCCCCCTGGCACCTGGATGTCCTGCAGGCTGGCCCCAAACCTCTGTGACCGCCGCTGCTTGGCCGACGCGTCCACTGCCGCCTTTGTGCTCGCCGACTCTGGTACCTGACCACGACGCACCCATGGACCTCATCACACTAGGCATGCCTGTTTTTTGTGCACCATCAGAGATGCCCGCCAAATATTTTGAGATGTTGAGAAGCACTGCGGCTGATGCCATGAGGGATGGGTTTGAGGGCAGGATCTCACTTGAGCAGCCTGAGTGCTGGCCGATGGGGCAGAGGCGGCTCCCAAGCGCCCGAAAATGGTTGATGCGCGGCCAGGCGCCTTGGCACTGTCTGGCCGCGCGTTCTGCTGGGCTGCTGCCGAGCTCATGGCTGTGGAAGGCCACGCCGTGCTGGGAGTAGACGGCCCCTGTGAGCCTGCCGCCACTTGGGGGCTGGCTGATGCGCCGGCGCCGCCAAAGGGGCTATCTTTCTGTGCAGGCTGCCGGCCAAAGGGAAATGAAGTAGATGGAGTGGCAGCTGGCTCTGCAGGGGTTCCTCTGCTGCCGCTCCCATGGAAGGTCGGCATACTCTGGAGAGCTGCCTGCCTCTCTGCCTCGATCTGGGCCGGAGTCATCTCTTTTTCCTCCTCTGCTGCATCGGCCAGCGCTTCAGGTGCTGCCACGATGCTGCTGGGAACATGGATCCTGGTCGCACTCTGCGGCCGTGAGAATGGCCTCGGCTGGACACCCTGCACACGAGTTTTGGGACATGAAATCCACCAACTTACATCATCAACAGAGATTGGTTGACCTCCTGGAATCTCACGCAGAGGATGTTGCAAATCACAAGTCTTGCTTGCCTCTCAACTTGATGAGGAATATGTGAGCGCCCACGAAAAGGGATTGATCGATGAAATCGGATTGAGCCAACTTGGGCAGTAACAAGGAGATTTCTGACAGACAACGCAAAATTGGAGTGCACCTCTTCATCTGCAAGCTGGCCATCTTCAGCCTCCTCCCGCTGCAGCCTCCTGGGTGACCGCCTGGCCTCTGCACCGCCGACACCCAGGTGGCCCCTGATGTTGAACAGGGGGCTGCCACGCGCGACTGGTCTTGCCCTACCCGCGGCTGACGTCCCTGGAAGCCTGAGCCTCGGCAAACCGCGCGCCGAGCCGCCAATCTCGCCTGGAGACCCGGCCTGAGCTGCTGCAAAGAGCCCACCAGCTGCTTCTTCTGCCTGGCCGCCTCCTTGAGCTGATGTAACCGTCAGCCTGCTCTGACTGCCCCACTGGGAAGCCACTGGCAGGTGCCGACCCTGTGCCCCTGGCGCGTCCACCTACGGTCCTCCCTGTGTATGCGCACAGTCATAACCAATAATCAGACTTCATTTACATCAGAAGCATCATTGAGAATCAAAAGTATCAGAGCACAGACTGCACTGTGGAAGTGGCACACCTCGGAAGGCAGTCCTGCCAAGGCCACTGCGCGGAGACTCCGCCACACCTCTTCCAGTGGAGCGGCGCACCACATTGGCCGCAGCCTTTTGTGCCGCTGAGATGGACCCAGATCGGGTGCCCAATATGCCTCCAGCGCGAGCCTTGAAGGCGCTGGGCCTTCGCTCCTGAGACACCAGGAAGGGCAAGAGAGTAAAAAAAGCAGAAATGTGCTCAGGAATGTGCTCAGGATTGGATAGTCGAGACTGCAAGTACGTATAGCACGGACATTTGGGAAATCTATCGACCATCAGAATAGGCGGAGCGCACAGCTTTGTCATCCATGTCGATGTGTGCTACGCATTGCAAGTTGTGAGCACCATCTTCCACCCACACAGAGCCATGAACTCCGACCTGAAACCGTTAATTTTATCTTTCTAGAAAATTGTGCAGAACAAAAAATTGGTGTATCCTAGCCCCTGCTCTTGCTAGGAAAGGTCTCATCCCCTCTGCTTTGCTCAAAATTGGCCCAGTGTACGAAGATGAGCACGTCGAAAAAATGGAACAAAGACTCACATCAACAAATTACTCATATTCTGAATTTCACGTTTGACGAGGAAGGAATCTCAATATGTTGCCCGGCATGCATTTCTGTGAGTCAGCAGATTGTGTCCTGCCGACACCTTACCGCGCAAGCTCCATGCTGATCGATAGATCCAAAACTCCAACAGTTTCTTGCATGCGTTCATTCGTTCAACATTGAATCCAATCAGTATGCATTGAAGACGCTCTAGCGTTGTGTTTCTGGAAGGCTTCGCAATGCCCATCAAACGAGATGGGCTGGAAAGTGCAGGGTTTTAGCGTCCAAAATGACTACAAAATAAACATCTGAAACTGCCGCACGTTTCACAAGTGAATTGCTTTTCTCTGCGCTTTTCGAAACTGGCAGATAGTCTGTGATGTAGAGGCCTGCATCAGACTCCGATGACTACTCGAGCACCTCAATATGGCGTACCACCTGCCGGTGAAGTAAAAACAGCTGCTAGCACTCTCAGTGGGACTGCGTCCAGAAGCTACAATGTGGTACGTGAACCTTTACCTTGCTGGTCTCTTCAATTCTTCAGATTCATATTGGTCCTTGTTGGTGTTAGGATATAGCTAAATCTCCTGATCTATGACAGGCAAGCGTCTGGGAGCATAGCACCCTGCTGAGTGAGGCACAGGAGAGGGCTGTTGAGTCCATAGCCGCGCTCTGCTCGCAGCGACCACTCCCTGAACACGTGCGAGCCAACTGCTTCTCACATTCCTCCATCTCTTGCCAGCTCTTATGCTATCAGCTCACCGGTATCGCTCTGAAGGCTTCCAGCAATCAACGGCAGTCCATGGGCCCGTGTCCACAGCGCCTGATGATTACTGCAGGTATCAGCAGAGCAGGCAGCGCCTGGGAAAGCTGAGCCATCAGCATCAGAGGACAGGGGGGATGCTGTGTCTGTTGGAGCACTGGAGGAGGTCGTGCTGCAGAACAGCAGCCAGTTCTACCGGTGGCACACAGAGCTGGAGGCAGCACGAACCCTGGAAACAGAGCAGAAGTACCGGAATTATGCAGATGCGCTGAAAGGCCACCTTACCTCTTGCAATCACCTTCTTGAAAAGGTGCTCCTCATACTTGTGAACACCTGCACTGCCACTATCATTGCTACTATCTTCCAATGTTTATGTCCACACTGGACACTGATAACTCCTGGCTGAGTCTTCCAGTTCTGCAGCAAGATTTCGTTGGAAGACATTTCAATATACTCAATTTCTGGGGCGAACGCATATTTGCTGGACACATTAAACATAGGGTGCAAACAACCGCTGTGACAAAGGGCCACAGCTGACGTTCTGCTTGTCACTAGCGCCTGACGAGGGTGCGTGGGGCTCTGCCAGGTGGACAGCACGCTGCAAGGCTTCGACACGCTCAAGACACAGCACAGGAACGTGAGCGCCAAGACGCGGGCGCTGCACGAAAGCTGCGAGCGGCTGGTGGACGAGAAGGAGCGCCTGGTCGAGTTTGCCGAGGCCCTGCGCGCCAAGCTGGCCTACTTTGACGAGCTGGAGCGCATCGCCTCGCAATTCCACTCCGGCGTCATGGCTGTCGACTCGGACCACTTCCTGCCCATCCTCCACCGCCTGGACGAGTGCATCACGTGCGCCCCTGGCCCCCTGACATGCTTGATGCAAATTGCCCACTGTGCCCCCACCACCAACGCTCCCTGCTGCGGGAGTCGTGCCACCAGCAACTGCAAGTCCCACAGTCCCTACCGACACCAGCACTGACCCATTCATGTCGGCCATTTCTAGGATTGTCATTCCTGCAGAGCCACGCTGCAAGCCTGCAGGTGCAATGTAGAAAATTGAGGCTATAAAGGCACATTGCTGCTCAAGCTTGAAGAAGGAGAGCGTGTGGAGCCCATCACGTGGAGCACAACGAGATCCAAGGGTTTGCTGTGTCTGGTGGAAGTTGGACACCAGGGATGCATGGCCACTGACATAGAGACTTGTCAGTTGCAGTGTTGGAGTGAGAGCTGTGCCTGTGTGCGCAGGTATGTGGCGTCCAACCCCCAGTATGCAGACTCGACAGCCTACGCCGGCAAGTTCCGGCAGCTGCATGGGCGCGCGCTGGCCACAGTGCGAGCCAAGGTCCAGCAGGTCATGCGCCATGCATCAGAGCAGGTGTGTTGTGCCTTGAGCCTGCATATGCACCTCCTGCATGCAATGAGATCGCTCAATGACATTGCAAGCAGTGCTTGTGCTTGCCTTGTGCTGATGCTGCATTGCCAAGTTTCACATGTGGGCCTTGGGATGCACAGGTTCAGGCGGCAATTGTAGAGGCGAAAGCTTCCAGCAGCGGGCGCCGCAAGCCAGAGGGCGGCAGTGGCGCGGCGGCCAATGGCCTGGTCCGGAGCGGGTCGGGAAACGCCAAAGTGCCTCTGGCGGAGGGCGCCGAGACAGCGCTCCTGTACGTGCGCTTCCGCGCTGCCGCAGAGCCCGGCCTCAAAGGTGAGCTGGCCAATTGGACCACTCAATCCTGCTTGCACCTGCAGGAATCACTCTCAATGGCGTCTTCTGTCAGTTTTCATGTGGCACTTGAGACTTGCGGAGTACATTTGAAAACAGACGCGAGAGTGGATTCAAGATTGTCCCAAGTGGATAGTCAGCGAGTGGATTGTCCCCTCCATCACTTCGTCCACTGCCTGGGTACATAGAGTCAGATGAAGGAGGTATTGCACAAGTCAGGCGCATTGGAGTCGAGCTAGATTGTGTTGATGCCCAGGGTTGCTGGCGGGCGTGGCGGCGCGCGCGAAGCGGCCGGAGTATGCGCAGCTGCTGACGGACTGCCAGCGCGTGTACTGCGAGGTGCGCCTGGGCCTGGTGGCCGAGATTACCGCCGACAGGATTGCCGAGTACGCGCGCGAACCGCTGCCCTCCCTCACGCGCTCCGGCTGCTCCTACCTCATGCAGGTGCGCCTTCCTGCTCCTTCTAGACATGAGACACACCATGGCACTTTCACCGTGCCTGATGGGAGCCTGAACGTGCAATCCACTATGTCATCCCGCCGAATGTTGCCTTAATAGGCCCGCCAAATACATGTTGTCGGACTCAAGGGAGTCTGATGTAGCTTGAGTCCATGGATTGCTGGAGCCCATTCTGAGGTGTTTATCAGGGAAGCACCAAGAAGTCATGAGCGCTGGTTGCGCCGTGCATCTTTTAGCCTCACTTTTCAAGTCCTGGGGGTGATAGAGAATAGTTGACCTGCTGCTGTACCTGGCATGGCAGGTGTGCCAGATGGAGCACCAGCTGTTTGAGCACTTCTTCCCGGAGTCTGACAGCGACAGCGGCGCGCTGGCGCCCCTGATGGACCCCCTGTGCACCGTCCTGTACGACGCCCTTAGGCCCGTCTTCATCCAGCTGCAGAGCCTGGACGAGCTCTGCGGCCTCGTCGACATCCTCCAGCATGAGGTGACTGTCCTTTGCTCTATCAGGCTCATTTTTGGCAACTGTGTAGAAAGTTGAGTAAGTGAGGCCCCAGCTGCCAGGTACGCAGATATTAAGCACCATGCCCATGATTGGGTGATCTGCCAAAGTCCCAAAGGACAGGCTTTGTGGCTTCACATGCAGCTGTCTGCAGAAGCAATCTCTTTCTGCAGGAACAGCTTTGAGAGTAAGACGCAATGTCATGTTTTGCCATGCGCCGGCAGTCATAGACGAACCAAGAAGTGGTGTCCTGTTGGCAGGTGTTGGAGGAGCAGCTGGGGCGGAGAGGGGATGCAGTGGCGCCGCTGAGGCCTGTGCTGCTGCGCACGCTGGCAGACATCCAGGAGAGGCTCACCTTCCGAGCACAAGCCTTCATCAAGGTGTCTATCCACTGTGCACACTGGCTGCAATGCTTGCTGCTATCATGACACGTTCCAAGACTCTATCACCAGCACCTTGCCTCATTTTTTTTCATGGACAGACTTTCTTGCTGTTTGCCAGATGGCTTGCTGTACAAACATTCATCAGAAGCCACTTGGCAAGTTCTGCTCCTCTTGTTGCAAAAATCCTGAAGGCTTGTATGGCAGCGCTCCACTTATATACCACTGCTGAGAGAGTGTCTGTGTTTGGGGTGCAGGAGGAGGTGACAGGCTTCCAGCCAAAGGCGGAGGATCTGGACTACCCCAACAAGCTGGTGCGCTTGGCTGAGCAGCCGGACGCGGCCGTGCCAGACTCCCATGCCGAGCAGCTGCCGCTCATGACAGACAATGGGAATGGCTCACACGCCCAGGACTCCACAGTGAGCTCCCCCCTTCCACTTCATTGGATGATTGCAGCATACACAAGAACATGCTTGCACAGATGGCATGGCATTGGAGTGTTATTTGATCTTCAATTGTTGTTGGTGCAGCGGGAGAGTTCCCTGAATGCCTACACGACCTGGTACCCTCCGGTGCAGCAGACTCTGCTCTGCCTCTCCAAGCTCTACCGCTGTGTGGAGGCCAAGGTCTTTGCGGGCCTTGCGCAGGATGCTGTGTCATCATGCGCTGCGACTGTACAGGTGAGAAACCTTAGCTTCAATGTCATGCGGCTAGTGACCCCAAGTCTAAAGACCTGCTGTTGGTAAATAAGGCTGTGAAACTTTCACATGTATCACTGAGCAGCGGGGCTGTGGCTGCAGATGGCTGCTCGCGCTGTGGGCCGCAGATCGTCCTCCATGGATGGGCAGCTCTTCCTCATAAAGCAGCTGCTCATCCTCAGGGAGCAGATTGCTCCCTTTGAGGCGGACTTCTCTGTCACAGAGAAGGATCTGGACTTCACCCACATGCGTGATCACCTGAGGAGAATACTTGCAGGCATGCTTTCTCTTCCGTCTGCAACTCTCATGCTGAGTGCTGTTACCTTGCTGTCTGCCGTGGACTGCAGTAATCGTATTGAATCTAAAAGCTGACTGCCAGAGGGCCCTAATGCAGGGCAAGCATCTCTCTTCGCACTGTCATCCGAGAATGCAATGGTGCAATTCATGAGCAGAGGAGCTCCCAGATTGATGGAGAATTTGGTGCGCTGCCCACATCCTGCCACTGAACCTTTGAATTCTCTCTCCCATGGTGACTGCATGTGCACAGCTCTCGCCACAGCTCTCGCCACAGCTCTGGCCAAGGATCTATCCAGCGGGGTTGGTGTTGTCAAGCATCTAGCAAGCAGCGGATGTGTGTGGATGCAGATTGACAGCAAGAAGGAGCTGGAGAAGCTGCTGAAGGCGACGTGTGAGGTGTTCATCATGGCAGTGACCAAGCTGACGGTGGAGCCCATGCTGAGCTTCATCACCAAGGTCACCGCCGTGCGCGTCGCCTCCTCCCTAAACCCTGGCCGCCGCCTCCGCGAACAGGTGCCGCCGCATCACCCTTGAACAGATATGTGACATCTCTGATATGTGTGGGGTAGGGGCAGATGCATGTGGGAGTTGCTCTCTGTGATTATCTGCCAAGGTGCAGGTCAGACAGGCATGTCGCCCCAAACTGTAGTCCATGTCTTGGAAACGCTTAAAGATCGCTAGATACTCCCAGCCAGGCTTGTCTGTTGCGCCCCTGCATTGATGGAGTGCCACAGGATAGGGCGCATGCTTGTTCTGAAGTCCGTGGATGCTAACCCAAACTGCATGCCTAACTTTTGGCAGCAACTGCTGGCTCAGGAGGCAGTGCATGCATGACAATCATTCACAGATGGGACGCATCTAAGGGTCATGTACTGGTGTTGCTTGGGAGAGGCGCCAGATATGGGGCTTCAAGATACGAGCGCGTCTCGAGACCAGCAAGAATATGCATGTGCAGGCGTTCGCTGCACCGGAGCGACTGGAGGAGATGGCGGTGCGCGTGCGCGAGGCGCTGCAGAAGGAGCTGCCGGCCGTGGTGGCCAAGATGCGGCTGTACCTGAACAACCCGGCCACGCACGCCATCCTCTTCAAGCCCATCAAGTCCAACATCGCCGAAGCGCACGGTCAGATCGCGTCGCTGCTCGAGTCGGAGTACACACCTGAGGAGGCGGCCCGAGTGCCGCTCACCTCACCTCAGCAGCTCGCGGCGCTCCTGGACAGCTTGTGCTGACACCGGCGCTGGTACTCGCCATTCAATGCTACTGGTGATGTTGGTGCCTTGTGAGGGTTAGATGGATGTTGGTGCCTTGTTCTGTGCTGTGACGGTGACAAGTGAGAGAGGAGCAACAGCGAGACTGCAACAATAGTCAGTTTAGAGTCTTGCTTTTCTATTTGAGGGGTAGTGGTTGCCACAACGAGTCCGCAGATGTGATGCACTGATGCACTGGCACCAGCTGTGATCACAGGACGGTACTCCCAGCAACTTGTATGCTTGATTTGATAAAAGCCTTTCCACGTCAGTTATGCAGCAAACATCTCGTAGGTCTCTCTGGTAAGCCACGGCAGATGCAGGTGACATAGACATGCCAATGCACAGCTGTCTATTGACTGCAGTCCAACCGCTGTGACAGTATTACAAGCTTGACAGTCCAATCTCAATGCAATTAGTCTTCTCGGGAACCCCAGTATCTTCTCTGCTGGCCATACAAGTTCAATCCTTTGTCGGCTTCCTCAATCACGTTTCTCACTTCTTCAGCGCTGATCCCCTGAGGCAGATCTTGGCGGTGGGCTGCGCAGCGCAGACCTTGCTCTTCAGGAGCGAGTTGTCCACGGCCATTGACGGGGCAGCGAAGATGAAGAGAGCGGCAAGGCTGGCTGCTGCCACCTGGGCGATCTTCTGAGGCTTCTGCTCCTGTGAAAACATCATTCTTGTTAGTAGACACGTCACTGCCTGTGAGACAGCAAGGCACATGGCCCAGGCTACGTGCTGCAGCTCCTGGCAAAACAGCTATTTTGAGAGATCCATAAAGTCTTTTATAGCTCATTACAATGCTCACAAATCTTGCTGTCGTCCTTCTGCACAGAAATGCCCTCCCAGCCACAATCGGATGCCTCATCTCCAATCCCTGCCCACTAATTTGTACCAAATGCTGCGGGCTTCAATGTTGCAAAATGCTTTCTGATGGCAAAAACACGTGCATTAGAACCGTTAAACCGACTCTCAGGCTCACCTCAGTCTTGGCAACCGCGACAACCACGCGAGAGCGAGCCTGACGGGGGGCTGACACACGCACACCCGCAGGGCGCAGAGCAGCGCATGATGAGGTGATAGCGGCCATTTCTGCAGCTGTGTCTGGAACAAAAAGCCTGGATTGTGCTCGTTGGCCTGGAACTCTTAAGAGAGAATGTGAGATCTCAAACCTCATCTTAAATTCCCCGTGGGGTTTCGAAGCCCTCTAGGGTCTATAAAGGATTTGAAATGACGACAGCCAGTGAACTTTCATATTCGCAGAGATTCCCAATTTTCCTGTGATACAGAAGCAACTTTCCTGGAATTGTACTGAGAGCTCGGATGAACGTGGACTGATGCCATTCACTTCCTGCTTGAAAAGACAACATATATCTTCGTGATACTTTCCGACTTCATCAGTCTTGTTTCGTCCTCCCTTTAGGCATGATTGAGATGCATTCAAAAGGGAGACGCATTTTTCATGAAGAAAATCTATGGAGTTAGTACATTAAAGGCCGTTCTTCATATTGCATTCCCTTTCAAGGCAGCATGTTAGCTGGTTCGACCAGTCGAAAAATTCCAATTCTGGAATAGTGCGCCTGAACAGAGAAGTCTCCGCACAGTGATACTGGTGTAGCCCACATAGGCGCAATCATCGAGCAAAAGAAGAACATTTAGCCTGTAAAGGTGCGTTTTCTGCATTTTCTGCAGCATGGTATCTGTTGCCCATAAATTACACTCATCCTGTTCCTCCAAGGACGGTGCTTTCCGCCTGTGATAGAGGGCTAAGCATGTCAGTATTGTGGTGTGCGGCAGGCGCATGGGGAAGAAAGGGAAACGACAAGGCAGCAGCCTGAGGGTCCCTGGCAGGTGTGCCCTTAGGCCTCTTATATGTGCTGAAAGGGACAAATTCGCCACTGTAAACAACTTACAAGTACTTTCTCCGCCATGCAGGCATGTAGCCATCGTCAGCACAGCTACAATCCCATGGATGACTGGGACCGCTGTGAACCCTCTCCTGCGTGCGGCATACATGGCCCATTGCACAGACCTGAAGGTGAGCAGCACATTCACTTCATGAATACCTGCCTGAGTTTGCTTGCCTGGTGTCCATGAGACTTTGAGCAAAATAGACAACACGGTCCAGGTGACTTTCGTGGTGCCCTGGCTGGCGCGGTGCGACCAGGACACAGTGTTCCCAAACAACCTCAGCTTTGAGGCGCCGCATCAGCAGGAGGTGTGCATGCGCGAGTGGGTCAAGCAGCGCACCGGCCTCTCCCCAGAGTTTGACATCGTCTGGTACCCGGGTACGCAGAGCATCTCCGAAACGCTGCTGTGGAGTATAGCCCGTGCAGTCCTGGGTGCTTCCTGGAGCAGCTGTCCAAGATTCTTCTTGCTCTGGTTTTGATGGAGGTCTATGGCGAATGCCCAGGGCGATATGACCGCACGATGCTGGGGATCTTTCCGGTGGGGGACTTGACCAGGGTGGTGATGGAGTGCAAGGCTGACGTGGTCATCCTGGAGGAGCCTGAGCACCTGACCTGGTTCCACCACGGGCCGCGCTGGACAGAGCGCTTTAACCATGTGGTGAGCTGTTCGTTCTTACTCCCTTAAGGGTGTTTATGGAGCCTGTGGGAACAGGCCACAGACTAAAGCTTCCAGACTCAGGCCACATCAACAGTGTCTTCTACCTTTGCAGCGTGTGAGCAGGGCAAGTGATCATCTGCAGGTGGGCATCATTCACACTTCCTACAGGGAGTTGAGTCGCCGCAATGCGGGCATCGTCATGTACGGCATTTCCACCGTCTTCAACTCGCTGCTATGCGCCATTCACTGCCACAAGGCAAGTTCTCCTGCAGATCCTATCTGCAGCTCATGACTGGACAGTTTCCCGGGCCGCATTATAGCATGCGCACATAAATGTACGACTTTGGGGACTGAGCAAGACCTGTTTTCCTTGACCAGGTTGTGAAGCTGTCAGACACGGTGCAACAGTTTCCGCGCTCGGTCACCATGTGCGTGCATGGCGCAGCCCCCAGCTTTGTGCAGGCCGGTGCTGCCAAGGCTGCTCCTACAGGTGCCCACGGCCCCCTCTCTGTCACTGGACTCCAGATTGATGTGTACCCTTCATACATGGCAAGATGCATGCAGGCGCTGTGCACCATGGCCACGCAGGATGCAGCTGATCTCGCAGCAGTGTGGATTTTGCAGAGGGGGGCAAGCGGTTCAGCAAGGGCGCGTATTTTCTGGGCAAGATAGTGTATGGGAAGGGGTGGGAGGAGCTGTTGGCCCTGCTGGACTTCCACCAGCGCCACACCAAGGACAAGCAGACGTCCCACCCCACCATCGATGCTTACGGCAGCGGCGAAGCATTCGAATCGGTGCGCTACACTTGACTGTGCAACACAGGCATGAAGCAGGATGACAGTATGAATGCAGATGGAGCTGATGATGTCCTAGAGGGGGGGGCAGTTTGCAGATCCCATCTGTGCGCGCAGGTGAGGAGAAAGGCAGAGAAGCTGAACCTGAGCATCAATTTTCTGGGCAGGAAAGACCACCTGGACCCTGCCATCCAGGACTACCAGGTGAATTTACCCCCACAGTGCCCCCTTGTCTTGCTATGGGCGGCATGTTATGGGGACTCCTGAAGCCAATTGCCATATCAAACTTCAGAAATCAGACATTCGCCCGCATCGGCGAACACTTATTCATGGGAAGGCAGCGTATTGGCAAATAAGATTGAGCCAATACACTTCGGCCACCTACGGTATATCAGCACCACAACCTCAGGCTTGTGTCTGTGCTGGGGTGCATTGTCAGGTGTTCATCAATGCGAGCACAAGCGACGTGGTGGCTACCACTAGCATGGAGGCGCTTGCGATGGGCAAGTGGCTCATCTGCGCGAAGCACCCCTGCAACGCCTTTGTGAGCACCTTCTCCAACTGCCTCGTCTACAGCAGCCCCGCCCAGTTCAGCGACCACATTGAGCACGCCCTCAAGCAGGAGCCCCCGCCGCTGTCTGCAGACGAGCTCAGGTGAAGCCTCCCGCTGTCTTAAGTGCCCCAAGACCTGATAACAGTATTGCACCAAATGATCGCCAAATGACATTAGGCACAGAGCCTCTGAATTTTTCAGAAATTGCCAGAGTCCAGAAAGCCTGGCAGAGTGTGCCATGCCCAGACTTGACATCAATTTTATAGGGGCAAGGCTTGCATGGCAATCATCTCGTCTCAGAGTTGACGGTGGAGAAAGGAACCAATGTGGATTTGAGATGTCTGATACACAGCAATCGGCTGCACAGGAATCTGGGTTGGGAGGCGGCGACAGAGCGCATGTTGGATGCCGGGTCCATAGAGACCCACGAGTGGCCCGGCAACTTTTCCACTGCCCAGGAGAGGATGCTCTGGTCCATGTACAGCTCCGTCATGGGTGCGCCCCCATCTAGCCCCACAGTCTTACTCCAAAGAAGAATTTTGAAAGTAACATGGAGGCATTTACCGAGGTGAAAGCAATTGATGTGCTTACCTGCCGCTTGCGCCGTCGTGTGACTCGCCCTGATTGAGACTATCTGAGGAAAAGACAACAGCTGTGCTCCCTTTGAAAATGCTTGAGCCGCTTTTGCTGTGGCTGTGCTTGATCAATGGGGTCTCTTTGCTGGGTGAGCAGGCATTGAGCCCATCCGGGTTGCCATCAACGCTGGGCCAGGGACGCTGCATGCGCCTGCGGACATCACAGCCTACGATCCCAACCGGGCCAGGGCAGCCCGGCCCAAGACTCTGTTTGGCTGGCTGCTCTCGCTGCGGCCGCGCATCTTCTTCTCCATCGGCAGCGACGTCTTCCGCCTCGGCTTTGGCCAAGACTTTGAGCACAGGTGGCAAAGCTGACAGAGGAAGGCTATTCAGAACGGCATGCAATTCGACAAGTACTGTCCCTTGCTCTGCCGATTAGATACACTTTGACCCTCACGAAAGTCCGTTCTGAGTGCCCCTCCTCTGACGGACGCTGCGAAATTCCAGCGAGATGCACTGCAACATATGTGCCCAAATGGTAACGGGTGGTCCCAAGTGTCAAGGACCAATGGCTCACACCTCCTAGTCTTGAGAAGATTTCTTGGTCGTGGTATCAAGGTTTTGTGGTTACTGGTTCTGGAAAAAGGATGGAATTTGAGTAAATAAGACAGGAGCGGGATTGATCCCGATTGTTGTAGGCTTGCTCAGCTTGGAGTATGTAGCTGTCCTTTTCAGCTCCTGTTGTGGGCATTTGCTGACCTTCTCATTGAATCTCCTAGTCCCCATTTGCATTGATCTGCAGATGCAGGTCATTGCGTGTATACTAGACCCAGTAATGCTCACGACGAGTGAAACCTACAGTAGTCCGCAGTATTTGGGGGCTGCACAATTCTGTCAGATGGCACATGGCCACAGAGGAATACTGGTGCTTTGATTGCGGACATTGAATGGTGAACTGCACTCCTCCCAAATCTCGTTGACGGATGTGTCTGGTACAATAAATGAGTATCCCTTGATGCGCATGATACAGCATGCTTACAAAAGATAATTTGTTACTTCATGAAAGGCAGCCGCAGCTGAAGTAGACGTGCTGGACCATGATTAGACTGCAGCAATAAATCGACCCTGTTATTTATAGGAGAATTCTCGAACAATATGCCCACAGCACTGGGCCAGTCAGAACGCTTTCCAACTGGTGGTTTAAACTTACTGTCCGGACCCGCATTGAATTCTGATAGCCGATGTCTTGAGATTCACGAGCTGAGCAGAGCGCAGAGCTGATCAGCTGAGCGCTCAGATGGCTCTCAGCTTGCCAATTGGTCTCCCGGGTATGCTTCAGTTGCAAATCAAATATTCCTGACTAAGCGTGCATGCTACACACCCATTATGGTGAATTTTCAAGTACCTGATTCTCGGAAGGCTTCATGCCTTTATGACACATCGAAAACTGTTGCACATCCTTGTGTGGCTGCATGTCCATAGACAGAGAACCCCAATCTCAGCCATGAATGCAAGGAACTAATCAAAGATGTGATCCACCTCGAGATCAGGGTCCAGAAGCGCAGGTCCATATGTGGACAGATCAAGCCCATCCAGGATGAGGTTCTCAAAGGCCTCCTCCAGGTTGGTCTCCCCAATCAGCACTGCTCCCACCAAGCGCCCTCGCAGCAGCAGGACTCGGACGAACGTGCTCTCGGGAGCCTGCAGCACACACTCCCTCTCAGCATGCGCTGCTCTTGACCTTGATGCAAATGAACAGCCCCGTCCTATCAAGACAAGTTGCAGTCAGAAAGGCTTGCCTTCGCTGCCGGAAACCCGTGCACCATTGTGTCGCCGAAAGAGAAACCTTCTTATATATCACTTGCGCCTTAGGAGAACTCAGGAAGGTATTGAAAGCGGGGGCAGAAGGATCTCACCTCGGTGATGCGTGAGTAGCTGACCATGTCAGACTCGGGCTCATGCTCCAGGCGCTGCCCATTGTACTGGCCAAGGAGGACGACCTTCTTGCCAACAAAGCGAGTCACATGCGCAAACAGCTCAAAAGTGAAGCCACTGCCTGTCTCCTCTGCCACACCCGCCATGGTGTGCGCCGCATGGGCTCCCATCTGACGCGCCTGCACAACCAGATCACCTCTCTGCGCTGTGCATGGGAATATTTGCACCCCCATGCCACAAAAAAAACTCCTGCAAAAAGCTGCGTGCATGCCAAGTATGTGGTTCCAGGAAGGCCACCAGGAAAGATTGAGCAGTGGGGCACCTGAGTCCAGAGGCGCATCTGGAACCAGTGGGGCTGCAGCTCTGATGACCTGACAGTGCACACATCACCCGCGGCCCATACGCCCTCTACAGACGTCTTCATGTCCCTGCTCAGCACCAAATGATCATGTTAGCATGAGGAAAGTAATGATGGCAATGACGACGTTGCGACACAGCAGTGATGCAGAGGGAGTATCACGCAGACCTGTTGACCAGCACACCGCCGTCGTCCTCGCTTCTTTCAAGCTCCTGCGGGAGCCAGTCTGCATTGGGGGCCACGCCGATGGCGCACACCACCAGGTCTGCTCCATGGCTGTGGCCATTTGTAAGCTTGACAGTCACTGGCCAATCTCCTCTATCTGTGACCTGGACCACATGAAGCTGTGCGTACCCGTCGGGCAACATGCAGAGAGACACATCCATTCACACCCAGAAGGCCACCACAAATGCTGCAAACGGCTGTAAGTCATCGAGCAAGAGGTACATAAGACTTGCAGGATTCCAAGGAGAAATTTGCTGCGCACCAGGCGCTCAACCTCGCAGTCATTCTCTACAGTGATGGAGCGCTCTGAAGGCCCTGACGGCAGCGCGGATGTCCAGCGTGGCCCCACTGCATTCCCAAAGCTGCGCCCCTGTATTAAGCAAAATTTCAGACCACTCAGCAAAATGAGCTTGGGACAAGGTGAGAATATTGAGGACATGACAATCACCTGGGTGGTCTTTATCGAGTACGAGGTGTTTCCATTTGATGTGCTGCAGGGTGTCTCTATAGCATTGCTCTGTGTCCGTGTCCGCTGTACCTGCTCAAGGGCTTGAACTCAATAATTGTGAAAGAGGGGAATGTGTCTGCTGCCCTTGTTCATCAACAACTGCTGCATCAATTTGCTGTATCAACCGCACCTGAATGTCTGGGGTGATCCATCCTGTTTTGAGCTCACTCAACAGGTAATCTGCTGCATCCCGATCGAAAAATGCGTCGCCAATGTGCGAGTGGCGCGCAACCCATACAACCTGCATCGTGAAGAAGATTGAACAGCTTCTTAGCCCACTAGAAATCTACTCTCTGATTGATAAAGATACAAAAAAAACAATCATAAAAGGACTCACGAGGATCGCCATTGCACCTGCATGCCTTGCAGCGCATGCACAAGCTCCAAAGCAATGCCTCCATTGCCCACCAGCACAATGCGGCGCACACTTGGCAGCCGGGACACCAGTTCCTCCACAGTGGTGCTGTCCCTCAGGGTCACCACTGAAGCGTGCTCTGCCAGACTCTGCACATTATGCAGTGAGTCTCAGCAGTGGCAAGCGCCGCCCTTGCACGGGGTCCTTGACAGGTGAGGTTGGGTCCCCAACTGCACAATTGCAGTAGAACTCCCACCTTGGGGACCGCACCCGTGCAGATGCACAGCCGGTCATACGTGCATTCCCCGCCGTTCTTCAGATGGACTCTTTTCTGCAGTGTGTCTATTGCAGCCACTTCGTCGATCAGGACTTCCAGGTTCGCAAATGGCAGCGATGATAGGTCTCGCTCCACCACTGCAGCATGAGTCATCTTCGAGAAATTTTTTAAGCCCTCGAAGAGCTTTGTACCGGGACAGATGCTTTCCACCAAGGTCAACGCCTACCAGCTTCCATCAGTTTCACCTTCGAAGTCTTCAATATTCTGGGTGATACGGGCCGTGGTGGTCACTCCCTGCATCCATTAGTACTCAATTTAGAAGGCTCTTTGCAAAATTGATGGTGAATTACTGACCAGATCGCATGATACCAAAGCATCAAGTCCTGCTTGTTTTGCCGTGTCCGCTCCTACCTTCAGAACAGGTGCAGCAGATATGAGTACTACGTGGTCATCTGGCTTCACAAGGCGGCATAGCTCTTCGGTACAGCAAGTTCCAGCAATCCCACCCCCAATCACAACGTACTGCATGTGTGGCAGAGTTTAGATCCCGCAAATATTTGCACTGGACCTTCTCGGCTTCTCAGAAATCTCTCAAAACTTGCCCCTGGGTCAAGCACGACTGCCCTAATGGCACTGTGAACCAGAATTGAGTTCGAGATGTGCAATGCTATGCGTGCTGAGATTGGTAATGTTCACGTCATCACACAACCCTCGAGAACCGACTAAGATAGATGCCTGTCTCAACTGAATTTGAAGTTGATCTAAGTGAGTCATCCTTTCTTATGACTCCATGCTGAACACTAGGTGCACGTGGAAGGTGTGTGCATGTGGCGGCTGGTTCAACAGCGAGTAGCTGGTGCCTGGGGCGAGCCAGTAACTGCGCATGAATCATGATGATGCATGTACAATATATGCGCCGCTAGCCAGCGCATGGCCGCACATGGCGGCCACGCACTTGCAGTGCCACAGGTGTTCAGAACTGCCATGTGTCCAAGCGGTAGAACCGTCTGCTGCGCAGCATGCTCCGGTGTCAGGCTGGTCAGAGCACACTGTGGCATGCATTTATGCATGTAGGGGCACAGAGGTGCATTCGCAAGATAGCATAGTGCAAGCCAGCTACAGCAGACAGTCTACATCTGCAAGATCCATGCCCTTATTGAAGCAACATGTTGACAGGGCAGCGCCGGTCATGGCCACAGACAGCGCCCAAGGCACCGCCTGCAGTGCATGTCATCTGGTGGCGCTGCACGATGACGGCTAAAACTCTTGCTAGCTTGCTGACACTGTCACCATCCATGGAACCTCCTTATCCATACCAAAGGATGAAGATAGAAACATTGGAATTGAGCACCAACTGCTGAACTGAGCACCAACTGCATGCAGAACTAAATCAAACATACCTTGAAGGCAAGGCAATTGCTACTGTTGGGTGCCCAATGATATGATCTCTCTTAAGAGCATTCATCAAATGACTGCGTTTGTAGCCCCAGTACCCCAGGGCACCAAAGCACATTAGAATTTTCAGCGGTATGTATGCCTCTTTATCACCCCAGATCTCTCTAAGCACAGCCTGCAAGCCCTGCAGGTACACCTGAAACGAAGGGATACGAGTGATTGCCACCTGGGGCGCTTCTCAAGGCATTTCTTGCTGATCAACCCCTGTCGGATGCTCCCTGCCAGAGCACACCCTCGCGGCCACAGCTCACCCTCAAACTTGAATTTCTGCAGGCACGAGTCTGGCAGGCTGCTGTGCAAGGCTGACACTGCCAGGGAGCCCATGCTTTTAACACACATATGGCACCACATTCCGCCCCAGACATCAAACCACCCATCCTGGCACATGAAGCACACATTGGTCGACGGCGTGAAGGCCTCGAGCAAGCGCAGCGGCTGCTCGTTGGACCCAACATCGCGCATGTGCAGCAGCACATCAGTCAGGCCGCTGGGCATCTTCAGGACTTCAGGCAGCTCCACAAGATCAAGTGCATCATTTGTCCACCTGAATGTGCGCAGCATCGGCAGCACCCCGCGCCACACCGGATGGCGTGCGCTCTTCTCAAGATGCACAACCACATGCAACGCTGCGGCTTGCGGCAGGGACAGCTTGGATGGAACAATGTGCTGCAGCTTCACATGGCGCAGGTTACGGAGGCCGCCAAGGGCGATTTCTGCCTCGTGTCCGCCTTCCTCACAGGTGTAGCAAATGATGCACAGGGTCTGCAGGGCCACAAGCAGAGGCAGATTGCGCGCGATTGCTGCGAGGTCCACTTGCATGGTTTCCAGGACCAGGTGCTGCAAGTTTGGCAGCGGCGGCAGCACGGAGAGGCTGGGAGTGTGCAAGCACAATGTGCAGAGGCCGCCAGCATGCGCAGCCAGACGAGAGAACAGCTCACTGGCAGCAGTGCTGGCATCTGCGCCCTTGGATATGTCGTTCCACAGCATGTCCAGCTGCAGCAGTCCATTGGCATTCTGCTTTGCAGTCAACAATACATCGATGACCTCGCTGCTTGTCTCTTTAATCAGGCTCAGAGTGAGGTGTCGCGTCTGGCGCCAGCGTGCAATCAGCCATTTTGCGCCTGTCAACACATTGCAAATCTGTCTTCATCGGTAGACATGCAGGGCCTTGCTGTTGCAAATGTTGACTGTGCAAGCGAGTTCTAACAGTACTTTATTATTGCACTGTAGATAGGGAGCAATAAGTAAGCTTCTCCGTACAGAAAGAGCATGAAGAATGCCTTTTTTGCAAACCAGAGGAATGCAAGCAAGTAAGGAAAGCAGATTTTGGTTGAGACGCCTATGTCTGCTCACCTGACACGCCGAGTAGCACATCTGAGGTCCTGACAGAGAGAAGATCAACGCTCCAGGTAGTCTTGGAAACCCCTGACACCCTTGCCCACTCTCGCAGACTCATGTAGCAGGCCACCCTCTGCCAGATCTCCTCGGGGAGGTCAAATAACATAGCCGCAACAGGCCAATCCTGCTTCTGTAATTGTGTTGAAATATTGGAATTCGGCAATATTATAGTATCGAAAAGTGACAAGCAACAGATGAGAAGAGGCATTAACAACACTGCAGTATTGTTGTCAGCTGACCTCAGCAGGTAAAGTCCAGAGTGTGACCTGGTCTTTTGTTGACATTTCTTTCGCCATTGATATATATGTATTGAAGCTCAGTAAACTTTGCAAATTGGCCGGATGTGATTCTGTGCTTGCAAATGAAATAAATCTGTCTTTGATCGATCCAATAAATGCCAAGGGATTACTAATCGTCAAGAAGATTACGAAGGAAAACTCGTTTCTAATTGCAAAAGATGTTTCTACCCGAGCAAATTGTGCTAGAATTATTGCAATACATCTCGCTGATTGAGAGAACACTGATTGTCAGCCCTTCCAAGCATGCGAGGTGGAGTTGCTTAAGCACGGCCGGATCTGCAGCTGCATCAGCTGCAACCGCGCTCGCGACACTGCACATGGGGTCAGAATGGCACTCAGGCTAACAACGGATCGAGTGAGCAACTTCATTGCAGCTGGCTAAGCTCACACTCAATGTCAGCCACTACACAACCTGCAACTCAGGCAGGCAATGGTCCTTTCATGACTGCTTAGGTGCTGGCCAGCAACTGTTGACCGAACCAGACCTGGTAGCAGACATCTGCAGAATGACTCCCAAAGTGATGTATCTCAAACACTTCCATCAGTAACATATCACGCCCACCGTACAACTAAGGGTGTCTTATTATTAGAAAGCCGCCTGTTTAGAAAGAAAAAAATCCACCCTCCAATGCCTAAACAAAGAAAATTCCCAACGGCTTTGCTAAACGAGACTGAAGGAGGCAACCAACACAATTGATTATGCTGACAATGGTATACTCCATGTGCTACAACACAATCGCTCCAGATCAAACAAAAACAACCTCCAACTTGGCGCATGGATTGCCGCTGACAATTCCAGCAACCTTCAGGTCAGTGTCTAGGGACGCCTCTCCATACAACGCAGCCCTCTGTGTCTGCCCAACCTGATACACCCGGTAGATGCGCAGCTTTATCAGCGTATTAAACTTTCCAATTTCCCGGGCCCCGCCCTTGAAGTCCGGTCGGTGGGACTGCCAGATGGGCACTTGCCCCGCCCTGCCGAATGCCTGATTGATCGCCGCATGCAGGCCAGCCACTGTGAGATTGCCGCCATCCAGAAACACATCTCTGCTCTCGAACCGGCCCCTCTCCCTCACCAGCAAGTGGTGCACCACGGCCCCGCCGGGGGCGCGCCGGCAGCTGCACGGCGGCTGCCGCTGCAGCTGCTGTGCGGCTTCCTCGGCCGTGCGGATGCGCGTGGCCAGTTGGATGCAGAGGCTGCAGCTGGAGTGTACCACACTCAAATCCAGCAGCGCCAAGAACTTGTCCTGGGGCCCAATCTCCTTCCATGCCAGCATCTCATCGTACGCCGTTTTGTTGCGCAGCAACTGCTGCATGCGCGCGGCCACTGCCGGGATGTCCTCCATGCTCTCCAGCACCAGCATACTGTTGGGCGCCACCTCGTAGTCCGCGATATTCGTGGCGCCTATCACAATGGGCACGCTGCCCGCCTCCAGCGCCTGAATGTACTTCTCCGTGATATAATCCAGCTCCTGTGCACAGCCATGCACACCAAGCCATAAGACGCAGGAAGAGCTTTGACCAGCTTTAAGTTGCTTTGGTGATGGTAGGCGCAGCACTTTCTGTGCTATCTTGGTGGGGACTCTGACTCTGAGAGCCTTTTGGTGCAACAAAAAACCAACAGGTGTAAGGTGGAGCTCCAGGCAGGCCTTGTCAGTACCTGCGAGTTTTCAAATGCGAGGGTGAATTTATAGCGTCGCAGCACGTCAGCCTTGGGGTCCCTGGTGTCCACGTTGTGCAGGCAGCGGCCGTAGGAGTGCACTGTAAAGTTGGCGCTGAGTGCCTCCAGCGCCTGCAGCCGGAAGCTCTTGGCGCCGCAGTTGGAGATGAAGGCCACCACGTCCGCCTCCTTAGGCACCAGCGGCTTCATCACCAGGTACTCTGCACCAAGGCACAGGCAGCTCGTCTCTCTTTCTGCTAGGACGCCAGATGCAACTGTCAGACTGTGCTGGTGCACTAGCAAAGCGTTTCGCTAGGGCACCAGGGCATAAATATTCCATGTCTCACTATAACTTTGCATTTGTGACCTATGGCCCGGGGTGATATCTGCTTCGGTGAGGATGCAAACGTGCTGTAATTTGTCCTTTCATTCATGATCTTTGAGCAGACACAGTAGTGTGCGGCCATGTCAGTCAGTAAAAGAAATTCAGGCGCCCACCTGCCCATGACAAGTAGCTGGCGGGGACGTCGGAGTCCAGGCGGGTGGTCATGACGATGTCATAGCCGTCATAACGCGCGCGCTCCACCGCCAGCCCCGGGTAATTAGACATGCTCTCCATGTTGCGCACCACTGAAAGGCCCGTGCCCGGCGCGGCACCGGCGGCCGGCCCGAAATGCGCGTCATACAACGGCGTCCCCTCTGCCGGCTGCCCGGGGCCGCCGCCCACCATCTTGCAGGGCACCGCGCAGCCTGCCAGCTCGGTGTCCTGACCGTAGCCCTCCATCACCGTGATGGGCTGTCGCTGGAAGTCTCGTTGATAGACACGCGCGTCGGCCTGCGTCAGCCATGACTCACAACTCTGCCCCGCCGGCGCCATTGGGACGGCGGCCGCGGCTGCCTGCCCTGAGAGGTCAAAGCCATGCAAGGTTCCCGCGGTGGTGGCCGCTGCTGAGTCCACGGAGGCCTTCGCTGATCCCCATCTGCCCTGCTGCAGTGTCACCCATGGCCCCTGGGGTTCACCCTGGTTCTCAGGGGCAGTCTCAGGTAGTTCCAAGCTCTTCGGTTGGCCCTTCTGAGTGCCACTTAAGCTGCCCTGGCCGGCGCCTCTGCCACCAGCCCCCAGGAAATCCGTCCGCACATCCACGCCACTTTGCACAGCGTTCTCAGCTGCATCGTCTCCTGCGCCCAGGCCTCCTGCAACGGCTTCTTTCCGGCTGACTGACAGTCTGATTCTGCCCTGCGTCTCAGACGCCAAGCCCTTCCTCACTTTGATTTTGATTGCTTTGACCTGGCCACTGCTGCCTGCTGCTGGTTGCCCGGGCACAGCCTCTGCGTGCAGTAAGGCCGCCGGCAGCACAGGAGACAGCCGTGCGCTCAGGGGTGCCCAGATCACATGGACCAGGCTATGGCTTTTCCATGAGTTGTAAGCGAGAGAGCCAACGAGCACCGCCAACAGCAGCAGCCTGACATCCTTCCACCTCATGGGCTGTCCCTGTCCAGTCAAGAAACTTCCCTCTCTATGTGACTCGAATTGATCAGTATGATAGTAGCAAATTCTTATAGTGCGCCAGGAAAGATGAGACATAGACAGTCAACACACAGGAATGCATGTGCATGGAATGTCACATGCCAACATACCTCCGCTCACATCTCAGATCCTGCTGCAAGCTAATGTACACAGCATTTTGCCCATCACAAAGTCTTGTAAGGCAAGGTTCTGCCCAGAACGGCAACATGATTTATTGCGCAGCATGTCGAGACGACGGTGGACGACCGGAATGGCTGATCGGATTCACTATTCAAAAAATTCTGCTTGCCGATCTGAAAGCAAAGCTGCACAAAGAGTCTCCAACTCAATTAAATAAGGGCGAGACTCCCGACTAACAGGAGTGCTCTTTATAGCTGAACGACCGCCACGGGACAGAAGAGTCTCATCGCGGCTACAACACCTACTTCCAACATCAATGGAATGAACACATACACATGGCATTGCCTGATAAGAAAGTCAACAGTGTGCCCCTTCTGTCTTGGGGCTTTCGTACGTTGCGCGACCGCCAGATTAGTAACCGGCTGGCCCCCCGCTCCGCTTCTGTGAGGGGTCCCACAACAGCACCTGCACCGTGGATCTTGTGCTTAAAGCTGGGGTCAGGGTTTGTTAGTGTGGCAGCAGAACCATTGCATGCAGAGTTTATCATCATGATGATGTTCTAAGCAGATTTGCATGACGCATCAGTGATGCCACAGCCTGTGAGTGTGCCGCACAGTTGCCAACAGTTGCAACAGTTGCTGCAGGGCGCATGCGGCTAAAAGTACGCGGCACTAGTGCGCCGACATCATCATGCAACCCTAGCTGTACAGCAACCCCACATGTCATGCAGATCTCAATGCGATTAGTTGGGGGAATATATGCATGTCATTTGTAGCCTGTAGCTAGCTAGATTCAAAATTGGCAGCGCTTCCACTACTAGTACCAGGCTGGCTGGGCTTCTCATCATGATGTTACATGCATTACAGGTGGCCACGTGCCACGCGACTTGATGACCTCTCTTGCCGCATGCAAAGTCAGGATTCCTACATCCATAACGCTGGGTCGTCCCTCAGCAAGTGCTACGCATGTTCCATTACACCGAGGAGCCTGTCTTCGCGAGCAGCATAGATCATGGCGGTGTTTGGCGCCAAGCCTTGGTCAACCACCACCAAGAAGCCATGGCTCTCCAGCAGCGTCTTCACCCTTTCCATGCGCCCTTGAATGCAGTGTACCTCCACCACCACTTGCGCCACCCCCTCCCACTGGGACAGCCCCAGCAGCACATCCTCCTCATCTCCCTCGACATCAACCTGGGTGTCAAACAAGCGATCAACAGCCACCGCCATGGTAGAAAGAAAACACATGCACTTCAAATTTACTTGGCGGCAGTTCCTTTGCTGTGTGCACCCAACCCTGTAGCCCATTTACATGCAAGTCATCTGGCAATGTCAAGATGAATCCAATCATGTTGGGGGAAGGCGTGCAGCGATGAAGGAAGATACCTTGAGCAGATCAATCTGCGTCACAGCATGATGGTGCATGAAGTCATCAAGCGTGATGACCTGGCAGGCGTACGTGCTGGCGCCCTCAAATCGAGAAGCATGCATGCAACCAGACTGCAGCGCTTCCTTCTCTGCCGGCCGTGACGTGGAGTTCCCAGGCATCCTGGGATAATAAGTGAAGGGCGCTGTGCCAGCGCTGCTGCCAAGCGCCACAGGGACAATTGAGACCTGCGCAATGCAACAACGATTCTGCATCATGCCTTGCTCAATCAACAGCCACCATGGGCACCTGTCACGATTTATATTCCGTCCGAAAACTCCTCAAAGGAGATCGTCCCAAGAGTGCGACGGCTGGACACACCTGCGCCTCAGCTCCAAAAGCTTCCAGGTTCTTACTGAGGTGGCAGATGCTGGGCGGAAGGGGCTCCAAGGCCCAGATGTGTTCTGGTCGTTCGCCCCTCTCCCTGGACAGAAGGTATAAGGAAAATAGCCCTGCCCACATGCAGCACCACCAAACTATGAGAGGGCAACTTTCAGGGAAAAGATGCAATCTTGGGTGACATGGAGGTAAGCATGAGAAGGGCCTGCAAAAAGGCACCTATATTGGCGCCAACGTCCACCACAACATCCCCTTCCTGCACGGTGATGCCATGCTGCAGGTAGCAGTGGTCCTGAAAGATCTCTCGGTACAGGAAATGTGCTTCTGATGGGCTGCTGGCGTGCACCTCCCAGCCGTTTGGCAAGCACACCAGCTCCTGTTCCAAATCATCTTCGATCGCCTGCACACCAGGCGCTCAATATCTCCCTTGACTTCTCCAGGGCCTCCAATGACTCACCCTAAATCACCTGCACAGTATGCAGGCGCTCAATCCTTTCCTTGACTGTTCACATAACCAGCTGATGATAAAGCTATTCTGGGGCGGATCTGCACCCTACCTCAGCATATGGCTGAGAATGGAGAGCTTCTCTGATGTGACTTGCAGCCACTGCAGCGCCGTCCTCAGCAGAAATGTCTGATTGCATCTGCTGGCAGCTGCTTCTCATGGCATCTGAATGCACAACTGCGGAGAGTGCGGCAGACAGCTTTGCAGCAGCTTCCTCCGCTGACGATTCCAGAAGATCCCTGCCAGGCAGCACCCTGGCAAGGTTCATGTGCTCCAATTTGTCCGCCTGCAGCATCATACCGGGTGTCATATCTGCAAGCCACCCGGGCCTATCTCTTACTTGCATTATAATAACGCGATACAAGACATGCATCGCCTTATGGATTGGAGACATCCCACAGTGTAACGTACCCACATGAATTGGTCAAATTGCAGAGGGTAGACGACTGATGGCAGGCCCGCTCGAAGCGCGGCCGCCACAGTGCCGGCGCCGCCATGGTGCACAAGCGCACAGCACCGCGAGAAGAGCTGTGCATGATCCACAAAGCCTTCCGTCACAGCCAGTGCGCCACTGTTGCTGTTCTGGCAGAAGTCTTTGTGCGCAGTAAGGAGAGCGTCCCATTGGCCTGCCCAGCATGTGGTGGACATGATCAAGTGTTGAACACAGTATTGCTGGCTCTGCATGGGACGTGGGCAACAGTTTGCATGAGTAGAAAACATGAAGCAGCTACCACCTGTCAGCAGTACGCCGCGCAGACCGGATTGCTTCAGAGCAAGCGCCATGACGTTCACCAGGCGTGTTGCATCGCCCAGGAGCCCCATCGAGCCCATGCTTCCAAAGTCCATGCAAATAAGTGGGGTCTCATCATCCAGCAAGTTCTTCTCACAGCTAGCGTCATCAAGATTTATGGAGCCAGCAGGCCACATCAAAGGACCCGTGATGGCTGCCTCAGAAGTCCCTAATAAGTGTCCACATCCAGGACTATAGGGGGCACTTGACACGTTTGTATTTCCTCTGTCATAACTGCTTGTTGATTTGCTGGGCGTGTCGCTGCCATGGTCATCTTTTAGACTGCCCTCTGCCTGCTTCCTTGCCTTTGCAGCTGCTGCGCCACCGCTGTCTCTTTGCGGGTTTGTATTAGCGTTCATGTCCGGACACTGCCGGCTGCTCTCTCGCATCGTCCCATATGCTAATGGCTTGCAAGATCCACAGACCTGTGTATATATTCATCAATCGGCACTGCTGTCATCTGTCAAGATCAGTGACAGGATACTGTTGCTGTCTTATCATTAGCATCCTCACCTCAATTGATGATGGCCAGTTGGCCGGCTGATTCACAAGCTGGGGGCTAAGGCAGAGCAGCAGGAGCGGTGCAGGTGGCAGCCTTGAGGCCGTCTGGTAGGGGACAGCAGGCAAATTAAGGCGCTGCTGCCTCCAGACTCCCCAGCGCTCTGTAAATAGCGGCCACATCCAGTGCTCGATCTCCGCCCAACTGACCCCCTCACCTGAGCCATACACGGCTGCGGGGTTAGACATCTTCCCTTCTTTGAAGGCAGTCCTGCATAACAGCGGTGTGCATGCAGTATGTCAGGGAGAAGTAGGAAGCAACCCACCTTTGTGCTGCAAAGCGTCCCACAGCCGAGGATAAGCAGCCTTCAAGCGGGCCTGGAATGATACAGGTGGAGGGTATGGCAGGCATGCCGACACCACCACGCTGGGCACCCTGAGCGCCTCAGCTATGTGGAAGGCTTCCAGTGCAAAGAGATTGTGCACAATGAGCTTGCGCGCAGTGGCACTGCAACGTTCCTCTTGCTTGGCTTCCGTCGCGGCTGTCTGTACAGGGGCTTTGATCTGGACCCCAAGTGCTTGTTCGCATATCGCAATGCAAGCCTCCAAATGCTGATCCACGTGCTGGGTACCAGGCTGGGAATTTTTGTTCCAAATCCGCGCAGGTGGCAGTGACAGCCCTCTGAAGAATACCCCTGCTGGTTCCACCAGAGGGAGAAGCCAAGACTGCACAGCGCAAGAAATTTTGAGGCACTGCGTCCATTCAGCAAGCGTGCTGCATAAATACTGATCACTCAGTTCTTAGCTTCTCTGTTGCTGGTACCTGACGTGTGAGAATTGGGTATCGTCATGCCTTTGCCAAAAAACAGGCGTACCTGGTGATGGATATGGGATGCTATGACGATGTTGGTATTTTCATTAGAAAGCTGGATTGCTAGCTGTGCCAAGGGCAAAATATCGCCCACGGATCCAATCGCAAGTATACAGATCAGGTCGCGCTTGACCATAGAAGGTCGAACTGATCGCGTTGCCTTGTAAAAGTTAATATGTGTGATCTCTTAGCAGACTTCACAGGACCTATGGATCCCTGTGGACTGTTGCTGAAGAGTTTGAACACAGGTCAGACAATGACAAGGGAAATTTATATCGACACTCGAGTGGCGATGCCCTGCTTCACTTGATGATCACGAGTGTGATGCGAGTCTCACTGCGGTCCTTTGACATCTCAAAAGTCACTTCCTTGTGCTGAAAGGATTTTGAGATATACAGGGATCGCTAGAGCTTGAACTTTGGGCGGTGTCCCGATTATTCCGTGGTACAAAGACTGACCAGCCGCACATTGCCCGGAGACAAGGACCAGCGAGGCAGCCATTGGAATCTTTGAAGATTGCTTCTGTACTTGGGATCGCCAACTAATTGCCTAAAGACCGGTGAGTCTAGCGCGGTAGGGCTGTGCATGTCGACCTAGCTTGGTTAGCGCAACGTTCCATCGTCAGGCCCAGAAAGCGCGCGTTACTGGCGGCCCTCTCACACCTGCAATTATATATTATTTACTGCTAGTTTGGCATGTGTAACGGAAGGCGTATCGATCATGCGGCTGCGGCGCAAGGGTGCGATGTTCTGAGAACGCGTGGGAACTCTTGTGCAGGGACAGGCAGCTCAGTGATGGCAGTCATTGCCAGACGTGGTGCTGACAAAGCCCATGTGCTGTTAGTAGTGGGTGTTGCACTCCTGGTCCAAGGCTGCCATGGCCAGCAACAACAAGTGGCTGATCAGAAGAGCACCACTATGTCCTTCCTGGCGCCCCGGCAGTCAAACCCCCTGCCCCTGCAGACCCTCAGTGCAGGCCCGCCCCAAGGCAGAGTGAAGGACGCTGTCACCCCCATCGAGCGGGGCGATGCCACCTGGGGCTCCTTCCTCACTAGCACAGACCTGGACGGCCTCAGCAACAGCCCCACAAAGGTGAGACCTCTGAACATGCCCGTTTCTTCCTTGAAGCATAATTTCTCCTGCTCCTGAAGGTGTTGCAAAGGCCAGCGGATGGCAGGGGGCATCTCAAAGTTTCTTGCACTCCTTTGTGCAGGGGAGGGCGACACTGAGCCTGAGCGGGCCGGACACAATCTCTTTCAATATCACGCTCAACCGCCCCTTTGACATCACCAACCAGCTGCAGTCCGTGCTGCTGTCAGTGCCAGCCTTCATTAACTCCTCTGCCGTCACGCTGGCTTCGATGTATGGCCCCAACGTGACAGTGCAGATGGTACGATCCCCCCTCCTACAGTCCTATTGTATTCCACTGGCTCAAGTAACTAGGTGACCTCCAGGAAGGGCATCCAATTTCAACAGGTACAGCAGGGATGTGTCAGAGACAGGCCTTAGCCCAAGGGTGCTGGCCAAATGTATCTCCTGAGATTGGCACTCATGCTCCAGTTGTGAGGGAAGGTGGGATCATTAGCTTTCCTGGCTTCCCACGATAAGCACTGTGGGTTGAGGGGACTTGTGGGGTGATGCAGACGCAGTTCAACAACGGCAATGGCACGGGCATCATGATCACCGGCAATGCAGCGGCGGCCGTGCCGTTCCCGGCGATTGTCTCCAACCTGAGCGCCGGCCATGCGGTCATCAACCTGTACACCACCAACTTCCCTGAGCCGGTGACGCCCATGGGCTGCTGCAACAACGCAGAGGTGAGGACTCAATCCACTACTGCCCCTCTATCTGGGGCAGGGGATTATATTACCAAGGAACAAGGTGCCAGTTCTTAGGACTTGCTGCATCAAAACATCCCCGTAAAGAGCGCTGCATGTTTTAGCAAACATGAATTTGCTAATATTGAGGGGACACAGGTCTGTCATGAGCCTGGGCTTAATCATCCTGTAAACAGCTGCTGACTGCCAGAGCTGCCGGCCTAGAAACGGCAAGCAGCGCTGATCTTGAGGGCCCAGGCTCTAAAATTATTACTGCTGGCGCTGTTTTATTGCCGACTCCTGCTAGATGTTCCTTTTAGTGGTGGATCGTCCATCCTGCTTCACAACAAAAAAGGTGGGGTTGTGCTGAGTACGGATGTGGGTTCTCTACCTCGCAGCTGCGGAGCGAGGGGAACTTGGAGCCGCTGAATGCGGCGGCGCTGCCGGTGGGGGGCCTGCGGCAGGACCACCACGGCGTGGAGCAAATGCCGGTGACTCCCGGCAATGCGCTGCCATACCACGCCAACCTGATGCCTTTTGACGCGCGCATCAACACCACCGGCGGCGGCACCATCGGCATGCTCGTCGCTCCCGACAACTCCTCCATCGTGCGTGCCAATTCCCCCTATCATTGCAGGGGAGCATAAATCAACTGGTTCACCATGTCATTGCTCTCCTGGTCATTTTGTGCTCCGCGCTGGCTTCCATACCTTGTTTGCATTGCTATTTCATTGTGTCTGCAAGCTTTGACATCTTTGTGGAAGGACCCCCTCTGTAGGGCCACCCTTCTTGCATGACGAGTTGTTTATAACGAATGTCCAAAGTTGACGACCACCACCACCAGAACTAAATTGTGTGTTAGGAAGTCACCTTGTCTGTCGTCCAGCATGGCTCCCTGACACTGTTTTCACTGTAGGCACCCAGTGGACCACAGTAAGAAGCGCTCAAGTGCAAGCGCATTGTATTGTAAGTAGCACTCAGTGGTGAGGATGTCAGTGTCTAATTGCCGTGCTGTGGGTGGTGTGCAGACGTACAACGTGACGCTGGGCGGTCTGGCGCCGGGCAACGAGATCTACAACGTTTCAGTGTGGTTCCAAATCGGGCGCTCGCGGCAGCTGGGCTGGTTCCCCTACTCCCTCTACTCCTTCGCCAGCAATCGCCTGCCCACACCCAAGGGCGGCCTCATTGCCCCAGTAGACGGGTCCAACTTCACCCTCGCCACCGGCTGGGTGGGCAGGTCAGTTCCCCAGGCTGATGTGGAGGGATCAGTCAGACAACTGGGCAGCATAATCTGCAAGTTTTGATCACACCCAGTTCCTGCTGAATCCTCCAGCACCCGAACTGCTGGCACTCTCATGGCGTGTGTTGGTCAAGTATTCCCACCATGAGGTTTGCTTGGTGTAGCACAATCCTGAGATGTGTAGGGTGCAGAGTCTGTGGAACCGTGGAGATAACTTTGCTGGAATTGTTGCAGGGTCATCAATTGTAGAAGGGGCTGCATTACTGAGCGTGGGCTCTCCATGTGCAGGTTTATTGACCAGAGCCCTTCCAGGGCGCTGAGCACCAGCGCAGCCAAGTTCACCTTCAATGACCCCACCTACGATTTTGGAGTGCAGCAGCTCCTCAAGGGCAATGTGTATATTGTGATCGGCACCTCAGACCACCCGCAGGGCGAACTGCAGGGCCACGCTGTGCTGGGGTATGCAGCTCAGCCGGCCAAGCGCTGAAGATCTTCTGGAGATCTAAACCTGCCATCCGTGCACTCTGGTGTCCACTAGCAGACTGACAGCAGCGCGGCGCTCAAATGAAAGGAATGGTCAAGATTCACATCAAGAATTTGAATTTCATTGGCTAGACAATAGCACAGTGGGATGATCACTGCTGGCCTGCATGCCCTGTGTGATCTTGCTTCTTCACAGATTTTTCATTTTTGACAGTTGTTTTCACAAAGTTGTATGGAGCATAAGTACCTGCCGGCCACCCATGCATGCGATAATCAATTTCATAAAATAACAACGTTATTTATTACCTACCAATGTTTCTTGTGCTGTTTAGGCTGTGAAGTATATATGTGAACAAACGTCCACATTGTGTGAGTTGCTTATGTATGTTGATATGGGGCGTTTCCCAATGCGGATTCCTCACGGACAAGGGAAGAGAAATGCCGGACTGCTTCACCATGAGACCCTGTGTGCATGAGCGTTCTTCTAATCAGCAATTATAATTATATGATTATAGTAGTGTTGTATGACCTATGTATCACACCTGTGACTAGTATGGCTTGTAAGGCTCTTGATCTGACCGACTTATTGCAATAATCAAAAATTTGATCTGTGATCTTGTCCAAATCACAATTTCCCCCGGGCTTTGTTGGCAATAATCAGCACACATTCATTCAATTTTCATTCACTCAACGTTTATCACAGGCATGCGTTCTTCACAATACTCAGCAAGTTTTGAGATCGGTCATGCAAGCAGATTTGATGCTGTCCACAACAGTGAGCAATCTAGTGACTTCACGAGCACCGGTGTCCCTATACTAGATCATGTGCCGTAAACGACACAGTGCCGGACTGCTCTTGAGAAATGCCAATGTCACGTTTCTGCCACTCAGGGGATGTCATCGTGGTCGTGGCGGTACCTCTCAACCTCAACACCTGCAGACAACATTTGCGCTCAGGCTACCTCGAAGAAAGTTCAGGATTGCGCTCGTCCTACTCAGAAGTAAACCAGGAGAGAATGCATACATGCATCAGGATTGTAGGCAGGGAGGGGCTGCTCTGGACAATTCATGGAGGGGTACATGCAGTGACCAGACGGTAGTACTGCACAGAGTGCTCACCAAGGTACTTGACCACGCCCTCAATGGCAACTTGGGGCTTTTGGATCTTGATCTTGATGCCCAGCACCTTTTCGTAGTCCTGCAGCACCGTCCCTGCAATGTCCTCGGCCACGGACTCGAGCAGCTTGTGAGGCTTGCCCTCCATGATCAGCTTGATGTCTCTGCAGGCGAAGCCGCTCAGTGGAAACATCCCTCTTCATGAGCACTGCAATACTGTGGACCTGGCAAGGCAGAGCAAATGTCACCACATGACTTGTTGCTAGTACTCTAGTGGGGGGGGGGGGGGGGGGGGGGCAAACATGTTTCATTGAGCATAATTGCGCACTTGTACACAGCTGCGTAGTCCACAGTATCCACCAGCTCATCGCTCAGGCCAGGGGTCTGCAGATCGCAGAAGAGCTGTGCATCCACCACAAATTTTTGGCCCAGCTTATTCTCCTGCAGCCAACATAGATGCAGTGGCTGTTGATGTGCTCAATTAGCTCAAAGAATGGTACTTGATTTAAAGGAGCAATCATCTCATGCACAGATATCAGTATTGCATTGCAATTACCTCTGGGAGGACGCCATGGTATCCGTGGAACACCAGACCATTCAGGTGTATTTTGTCAGGGCCTGCTGGGATGCCTGGCACGATGACCCCCGTGGCATAGCGCCTATGCGTTGGGACGACAGTCTGCATTCCACAAAACTCACATCTGATCAATTGTTTTTTCGTCTCTATACAGAAATGCAAGTGCATGGCAAGGAGCCAGGCGTGCTTCTCACCCTGTTGTAGGACCTGACTAGGCTGGGCAAACGCCTCCACATGTGTGCGATCAACCAATCAAAGCTGAAATCGCAGATAAACTTTACGATCGTTCTGTGATCCGGATTTGAGACCTGCTCATGGACTTGTCAGAGATGAGTTGATGTGAGTGCTTCCTCAAACTAATTGTATTTTTTGGTCTATGGTGTCATAGGTCAATATATTACTATTGGGATAATTTTGCATATCATTTCAGTTCAAATGGCACAGGAGGAGCTCCCAACAGGAAAATGCGTCACATGCTCGCACGTGCCTCCAAACGCAGCTGCCTGTTTTGGTGCCGCTGATCCTGGTGCCGTGGCCTGGGCGTGAAGCTAGGACAGGATATTGTCAATGCCTTACCATCAAGGTGCAGAATTGTAAGCTGTGTTAGTCGACAAAAGACGTGACCAGACTCTTCTACTTTGCGAACACCCCTTTGATACAGGAGCAGACAAATTACTGCAGGCTGAGTACTTGTTGGAATATGCAAGGGCTGCTCAGTCCTTGGAGGACATATAAATCTCCACAAACGTTATTTCACAGCAGCAATGTGCCGTGTCCCTTCGCGAGCGTGGCTGGAAGATCGGCTCTTGGGCCCTCACACCGTCTAGTAAGTTTCAGCTGTAGACTCGTACAATTCGTCATTAAAAGTGCAGTCCATGCATAGGTCTTTCGATCAATAGCCATAAGTAGCAGATAGCCATCACAATGACATGCAGATATATCAGCTCGCTATCAGCAGCGTCTGCAAGTGCTGACAAGTCCCATACCTGTCCCAACACACATGATCCATGCAGAACCTCCTGGAGGTACACATCAGGACTATGTACTGAGGAATTTTGCACGATCGCAGGTTGTCACGTGCAACAGACCACCCAGCAGAGGTGGGGCGAGCAAAGGGGGCCGAGGTGGTGGCACCTCTCGCGGCGGCAGCAGAGGTGGTGGCAGAGGGGGCTTAAACTCTCGCGGAGGTGGCAGGGGAGGGGGCCGCGGTGGCAGCACCACAGGCTACCGGCCGCCACCTGGGCAGGTGCTGTTTGGGCCTCCCTTGCCCCCACATCTTGGCAGTGCAGTCCCCCAGGAGTGTCAGGTGCAAACGTGCTGTCAGCTGGCTCAGGTTCCCGCCTGTCCAACGCATCTTTGCTCTGGTGCTGCAGGGTCAGTTTCCGAGGCCTCCCGGCCAGGAGCCGTACCAAGGCGGCAGGGGGGGATTCCAGCGCAGGCCCTATGAGCGTCCCAGGGGGCAGTTTGACACATTCATCAACGATGAGATCGAGTGAGCAGCTCTGTTCTTTTATTCTAGAGCTGCAAGCGTCATTCTTGTGTTCATTTTGCTGCCACTGGTATTGGATCAAGGGGACAGCAGTCTGATGGCACAGTGCGCAGTGCGGACGAGGTGCGGGTGATAAATGAGGAAAAGGAGCCACTGGGGATAATGAGCTTGATGGAGGCACTGGACATGGCGGATGAGGCAGACGTGGATGTGGTGCTCATCACTCCTGATGCTGACCCGCCGGTCGTGCGGCTGATCCAGTACTCCAAATACAAATTCGAGCAGGCCAAGGCCTCCAAAGAAGCCAGCAAGAAGCAGCGGGAGGCACGGTGAGCTCAGCAGTTTGCTTAGCTGATGTCTTAAAGTGTGGGGACATTGCCCTGGACAGAATGAATATGAGAAGTACCTTGTGTTTGCTTTTTTATCCTGTGTCTCTCTGTACATGATTGCTTCACTTCGTAGACTTTTTATTGGTCCTTCTTTATGTGTCTTGAAACATGCACGCACATTTTCTGGCATGTGCATGCTGCAGGCAAGACTTGAAAGAGTTGAAGTTCAGACCGAGCACAGATGTTCATGACTACCAAGTGCGCTTGAGGGCGGCTCAGAAATTCATCGCAAAGGTGAGGTCATCGACAAAGACTCTTCGTGCACCTACTGGTGTCTCAAAATGGAAGGGGTTTTGCGCACTGTCTGCAGTGTCCATGTCCAGCAGATGAGACTGCGTCCGCATTGCTGTGCAGGGAGACAAAGTCAAATTGACCTTGACATTCAAGGGACGTGAGATGCAGTTCCAGGAGATTGGCAAGGATTTGTTCAAGGTGCGTGCTCGGCCTACATGATCCCCTCAATCCTCTCCCTTATGCTGTCTCCTAGAGTTTGGTCACAAGCCATGTCCCCCAAGGATGATAGCTTTAATATCACGATGTAGCTTCTGGGTGTTGCAGAAATTCGTGGAGGACGTTGGAGAGAATGCTGTAGTGATTCAGGATGCTCGCATGATGGGCAACCAGATGACACTCTTGCTTTCACCGAACAAGAACCTCAGAACTTGATGACTATGAAGCATCGCTGATAATCCAGTGCGCTCAATCTTAGTATGCGACTGAAATACCTTGGAACTCAGGCTAGCACTTCTTGTAACCTTACAGTTGATTCTTGACACTTATTGATACATTATAGCCATGCACTGCATCTGGTGTTTTACACTGATTTCAATTTATAACTGTAAATGACTGTTCAGAATGCAGTTCAGACGGTTTTTTGTTGACATCAGTGTGATCAACAATACGATTTAACTTCTTCGTCATCTCCTACCACCTACTTTTGAACACTTTGCGCCCTTTGCCCCTTTCTTTGCTCCTGCCCCATCTGCCTTGGCTGGTGGCAATGCAGCGCTTGCATCGATGTCTGCTGCCAGCGGCTGTGGCACATCTGTCTCCATGTAATCTGCCTCCCCATCACTGTACAGGTCTGCGTCATCCTCGACACCGGGCTCCGCTTGTGCAACAAATGATGCCTGCGCATGCATGCACTCAGCACACTCAAGGTCTCTTACATGACCGCACAAATCAAGCGCCATCAGCTTTTTCTTCGCTGCAGCACATCCTGCAAGAAGAGCAAATTCAGGGTCAGTAAAAATTGCATATGCATCGCATGAGGTCCGGCAGGGACGCCAGCAGAGGCAGACCTTTTCCCCAGCGCTGTTCAGATCCTCCGATGGCCCGACCTGGCCCTGTATGACCTTGCTGAGGAAGTCCACAAAGGGCTTCTGTGGGACGTACAGGCACCTGCGCACCAGACATGCACGCGTCATGGGCAGGCAAACACGCACTGCTGCACCCACCCTCACATATTCTTACCCATGCATCACAGCTGACATTCCAGGAGCTTGCAGACCCTGCATGGCTTGACATATCCTCTACTGAGCCCCGCCGCAGCAAGCCAACTCCCTAGGATTGTTGACACAGGGATGCAGCGAGCTGTGCAGTGCACTTGCTGGCGGAACTTTGAACATTCACACTGATCGACATCAAATGAGTGTGCGAGGCGCCGCACTTGTTGGCGGTGGCGTGCTTAACCAGGTTTCTCCAGTGTCCGTCCCGCTCCAGCACCTTGAAGTTGGCGACCACGAGCAGGCTCGCCCGCGCGCGCGTCAGGGCCACGTTCACTCGCCGCTCGTCCGCCACAAACCCGATCTTGCCCTTGCGCTGCGTCGACGAGCGCACCGCCGAGAATATCACTATATCCTTTTCCCTGCCCTGCACCCCCAGCCGCCACCGCTGTCATGCACCTCTGCCATGCTCTTCAGAAGCAGGGTATCCACAATGGCAATATAATTTGACAATGATGGGTCTGTTGCGCTGCAAGAGTTACCATGATACCATTGCAGAAGTCTCTTCTGAACACCATTCCTCTGTCAGGTGAAGGTAGATTGCAGCAAGGAAAGATCCTTTGGAGTGCAACCATCCGATTCTTCTCCTAAACTGCGCAGGACGCCCAGCGAGATTGCACGCAAGCCGTGGCAGTGTGAAGGAGATCGTAGCATGCGCAAATGCAAGAGAATGAGACCTGGAAGCCGTCGATGGTGTTCACATCCACGAGGTGCCGTCCCTCCGCGCCCAGCGCCTCCACAAACTTCGCCCGCAGCAGCTTCACCTGCACCAACCGCACTCTGCTCAACCGCCGTCCCACTGAGACACATAGTCATCTTCCTGTACGCCCAATGCCAGCTGTCCCTGAACAGGTCTCCTCCTAGAAAGAGGCGCTGAACGCGGTGAACGCGGTATTACCTCACTGACAGTGCCCCAGGCCCATGCACACAATGCAGGCGAGGCCAGGCAACATGCTAGAACTGGCAACATGGACAGAACATGGATAGAACATGGACAGAACCAGGCTAGCCTTTGTGAACCCCCATTTCATTCATTCACTAATAGGGCAATGGCCCCGGCTGGCTAGGGGCGGTATAGGTACTGAGCACCGTGCCCACGATTAATTGGGCCTTGCTTGGATCTTTTCAACAAGCGGTAGAATTTGAAACCTTTGACTGCAGCTTGTCTGCAGGACGTACCTTGCCTTTTGGCAGAAACAGCGTGCGTGATAATAGCTCTCAGGTGCGTCTGGATTCTGCAGGGTCCAGGGTTATGAAAAGAGGGCGGGGGGTGGGGGTTCACCTGGGCGGAGTAGGGGGAGATGATGGCGACCTGGTGGGAGGTGCGCAGGTGCGGGTAGCGGGAGACGAGTTCCCGGTAGATGCACAGCACCATCTCGGCCTCCTGCTTGTTGATGATGGAGGTGGCGCCCTCCTCCACCATCTCCCTCCCCGCCACCTGGAACAGCGCCAGCGGCCCAAAGCACTGCGCACACACATCAGTCACCTGTTTGTCATCTGCCTCCTTGCTTGCATGTCCTACCTAACAGGAAGCCCCTCGTCTCGACTCCTGCAAGGCTTGACCATATGCGTGCGGCATGCGCTCAGGGCATCCTTCGAAAGTTTGTGTGTTTCTCAGGACCAGGAAACCCTGCTGGAAGGCAGGAAATTGCTCACACTATAATACTGTGTGTTGGCGGGTAATGCATGCAGGACATTGTCTTCCGATGCTGAAGAGCATATGAGTCGCATGGATGGGGGCGCACGGCGTGCTCGTGCCAGGCTCGGGTGGTGCTGGCTTCGGTGCCCTCGCCGTCGCGCAGGCTGCCCTGGTAGAATTCAGCCGATGGGAACGCCGAGATGGCCGGGTGCATGCGGTACTGCGTGTCGAGCATCTGTTGCAGACGTCAATCACCCATCAAGTAGCACTCTTACAATGTTAGCAAACTCAAAGCTAAAGGCATGGAAGTGGACCTCTGCAGCAGCAACATGCGGGGTCCACAATGCGGTACTCTGGAGCCTAGCACTAACACCAGCATCAACTTTGTTTCTTCCATTTTTTTGAGGAGGAGTGCTGGAATCTCGTGCTGCTGACCTTGCATGGCAGCTTGGGAATTGTTGTTGAGACCATGCTGTAGCATGCATTGCAGGGTGCAGGTCTGGATTCATCAAGTTGGTTCTGGGTCGGCGAGCCCTGGGGACTTGCCTGCACGGGGAAGCCGGAGCTCTGCAGGCGCTTGAAGAGGGACTTGTCGTAGCCGTGCTCGACCGCCCGGGAGGAGATGACCGTGGCCGGCAGCTGCACTGGGTCGCCCACCAGATACACCTGCGCTCGCAGGCAGTCTCACTACAAACTCGGCCTCTCTGACCCATGCAAAGCGCTTGTGATCTGTGCTCACAAGTGACAGCTTTCCACACATCCCAATGATGGCTGGCATTGCAACTGCCACGTTGATAAGCCGAGATCCAACTGGGGCCCTATGAATATTCACTGATAGCCTGCCCAGAGCACCTGCTACACTTATGGCTCTGCAGTGAACCTGCTGTCAGTCCTAATCTGCCAGGCAGACAGGCGAGCAACAATGCAGATGGCATACAATGGACTTCGCAGGGTGATAGAGCCCTGCCAGATGCATGGTGGGGGTACCTGGTGGCAGCCGGTGACAAGGGGGACGAGAGTGGAGGGCTCAACGGCCTGGGCAGCCTCGTCGATGACGACCACATCAAAGGGGCGCGACATGCGCGCAAAGAGGCCCGAGCCGGAGAAGGAGAGTGTGGAGCACACGATGTGCGCCTCCTCAAGGATCGACAGCTTGATGCGGTCGCGCGCCGCCGGATTGGATGCCTGCCCGCCCTGCGCTCCCAGGAAACAAACTATCACGTCAGCCGGGACGCTGACGCTGTGACACCAGATGGTCAACAAGACCAGCAAGGCAGTGGGGATAGCTTGGCTGCGACATATCTCAAAGAAGCATCCCTGAAAAGAGCAACCCTTCCTTTGGAGCAGCTGATGCTCAGGCTGTCAGATGTCTGTAAAGACAGCATTCAGTAATGCGGGGGCGTCAAAGCAAGGGGAGTTGGAGCATCTTGTCGCTGATGATAGAAGGATGCTTCTACTTTGAGGCATGGGGGGCAGAGGGTGCAGGAGCTTTGCCTTGGCTGCGCTGCGGAGGCGCTGCTCTACAAGAGCATCCAGCGAGACAGCCTCCACCGAGTGGTGCACGGAGAGGCCCACCCGCACGATGCTGGGTATGTACCGGTTGCCCTGCCTGCCACACCAGACAGATGTCAGACCCTGCATTGCGGAGACGACTGATCTCTTTGAAGATGCATGCACCAAGAGCATACACTATTGTCCGCTGTTGATGCTGCCTGCAAGGCGGCTACGAAGGCAAGGTTGATAGTGATCTGGCCCTTTTCATCCTTGCCAAGCCAGCCTTCTGTCCCCTTGCGCGGGACAGAATGGTTCTTTGTGGCAAACATGCTTACCTGACACAAGGAACTCCTTTACCCCGATTCCGAGCTCATTGTTTAGCTCTGGCACGCTTGCATGGGCATAAAAAAACGCACCAGTCCAGGAGGCCGGCCTGCAGCAGCCGCGAGACGATCTCGTCGAGGGCGGAGTTGGAGGGCGCGCAGACGAGCACGTGCGCCTTGGGCCCCACCGCCTGCCCCACTCGCACGGGCGGCCGCGTGTCCAGCAGCCCAAACGTTCCCCGCTCGCTCTCGGCATCCCTCCCAAACACATCGTCCCTGCATGGGCCCAGAAACATCAGCCCTGTCTGCTGTCACTGCGGTAAAACCCAACCAGACATATCGTGCACTTTCCACATGCACAAAACAGCGCACCCAACAGCAAAAACGCCCAAAAAAATCTCGCGGCAGACTGCATGCAGCCCATTATCATCGTCAACATCATCAACGCTAATCAGCGGCATGCAGGCAGGACTGAGTGTCTTCAAGCTAGTAATAAGTGCTTTCATAAACCCGTCAAGCAGTAGGTGACCTGGGGTCGGCGCTGCCGGCGAGCCAGGGGGCGGCGCTGCGCCAGAGGCGGCGGACGTCGTCCGTCACGTACTCGGGCATGGGGGCTGCCGGGGCGCGCTTGATGAGGCCAGCGGAGTGCGCCGGAGCCGCGTGCAGTATGATGGACAGCAGGCCCAGAATTGTCCTCGTCTTCCCTGTGCCGGGAGGGCCCTGCACCACAGTGAACCACCATCGTGACAAGATCATACACAAAGGCAAGAGAGACCTGAGCAAAGCAAGCAGTGCAACAAAGGTAGTTTGCCACCTGCATGTCATTTTGGAGGGCTCAGCGCTTACACACACTTCAAAACAGTGTGTGCAAGTGCCAAGGTTGCAGGGATTAATAGAGTGGCAGCAGGCAGAGGGCGTGCGGTGAGGCCATGTAAGAAAGCACGCCTGAATGAGGACGACCGGGGACCGGTCGAGCCCTGCAGTCACAGCGCTCATCTGGCTCTCATTGTACTCTGCCTCCATCGCCTGCTGCACGCGCTGCAAAAAATACAGGCCCACATTCACCAAGCCATTCAGTCAAACAAGCACCCTTGGCGCTCAACTTGTGCTTCTTAGGCACTTGGCTTGACAGGGGCAGCCTGGGAGATGAAAATATCACAAGTCCATGTACCAGACCTGAGGGATGCACAGGGCCTGCTTGCCGTCCTTCAATGGAGGCTTGGCGGAGAGCAAGACGTCCTTGAAGGACAGTGATGGGAATGCATGCAGGGCCGTCCACTCGCGGATCAGCGTGGACAGGTTGCACAGGCGCAGAAGGAACCAGCAGCTGTTTGCAGTGGACAGACCCGCTCGCATGGCCCGCACCCTGCAGAGGAGACACAACCTGGTGACTGCTGCCTTTTTTCTGGGCGATGTATGATAAAATGCCGGGTCCAGGGATACTGTGAGTCAGTGGGTCCAATCTTCTTGCATGTAAACGCACCTCAGAAAAGCACTACAGAGCTCAGAAGCATGCCGTTTCAAATGCACTTACCGCATGTTCCTGAAGCTTGTGTCAGTCTGAAGCATTCCTATGCCTACATATTTTGCAAAAGACACGAGAATGAACGACAAAGTACAGGCATCGCACCTCTGCATGCCAGCAGGATTGCCTGCCTGGGAGTCATCTGACAGGTAGAAGCACACGGACAGGCTCTGCTCCCCCTCCCTGCCCTCCACCTTGCCCAGTGCATGCAGCTGCCCAATGGCATCCTCATCCTGGAGATACACAAACAAGTGAATCCTTTGTCCTGGGACTTCACAGAACATTCTGCCAAGGCAAGCACAAGCAAGCAGCGACTAGCTGTTGATAGTGCAGCTGTCGCACATTGGGATCGTCCTTTGACAGGAGGATGGCGTCGTTGTCCCTGAAAGTGCTGGCCACCCCGGCCGGCAACGCCAGACGCGCTATGAGGAAGTCATCGGTCTGCAAACATAAATCGATCAGCGACATCACACGCGCAATATGGGCACAGATATCTGTGTGTAGAGTCCCAGGCAGGAATCCAAAGATGCCACTCCTTGTCCTGAGAAAACAATCAAAACAGGCGCCGGCTTTCAATGAAGAGCATGTCACCTGCTTATAGGCTGCTAGGACTGCAGGATGTGGTTGGAACATGACCCCCTCATCACTGCCTTGCAATATGAGGGCTCCCAATTCTTCAAGCACTAGTGGCGCGAATCGGAATATGTAATCCTGCACACAGCAAGCAACACACTGAGCAAACCTGGCTTACCGCGTGACAAAATGCTTTTTCAATGATTTAAAAACCAAAGGTCAGGCTCAACACGACATTCTTCTTTGTGCAGATGTCCTAGGGAACTCTCATCAAAGCTGTCCTCACCTCTGCAGACTCGAAAGATTGGGGTAGAGCCTCAAGTTCCTTTGTCACACCACCATCCGCGCCAGCACGATCTGCCAATTCCCAGTAGTCCCAAGCTAGAAAAACACGTTGTAGGCCCTCTACACTCCCACGAGCTGCCCCTCCCAGCATTGTTCAATGCTTGGTACCTTCTCACAGAGGCATTGGCATTGCTACCAATCCAGTCAGCTGCCGCTTATTAGAAACTCATCATATTTGACTCGATGGATATCAACGAGCTCCTAGATTACTCAGACGACCCATTGCGACCTTTCGCCCATTTTCAGGCATTTACTATCCCTAGGAGGCACGCAGCCATGGCCTGAGAGCTGTGCGCTGTACTAAAATCTCGCGGTACACCATGCAAGTACTAAATGAGCATTATTGCTGCAACAACACTCAAGGCAAAGGTCAGTAGTTAAATGGAAGAGACTCGAGAGAAGAATACGCCAGCATCAATGGGCTTGCAGCTTTCCTAGCTTCCTCGATTTTGGAAGGTGCGTTGGCAGCTACTTTGCATGCGTCTGGAAGACTGATGGAGTAATTTGCAATTCTCTGCCCTTTAATTTGCGTGGGCTCGAAAGGAAGACCATGAAGATCTGAATGCAATAAAGTTCTTCCACATGCATATCATACAGTCACTACTTGCTACTGTAGAAGTACCTGGCAGGTGGGGACATATATGCATGCAATTAGGATGTCACACAGCTGCAATTTCGCTGTACTCATGATGACATGATGCCAGTCCTCTGGCATTTTCTTGTCAATTTGAAACCTTACAAAAAAGAGATGAGCACAAGCTCTAGCATATTCTCCGCCTCAACTTCAACTGCCTCACGTATGTACGGCCTACTTGCAACTGAGTGGCACTAGCAGGCAGCTGCCATCCACAGATTCCCCCTAGCACCAACATCCGTGATGTCCAGAACAGTACATCGTGCCTAGAGTTTTGAGTAGCAGTACTGTATCCAACCCGCGCAATATTCTGTCAGATGGCGAGACATTAAACATGCAGTTTTGTCCATGGAGTTTGATACAGCCTATCCCAGAACTTGGCTGAGGAAACCACCAGAGAGTGTTGCAGATGGCGAGTCTCCTAAGGCGCTGCAATGACAATGATACATGTGTCTTGAGAGCACACAGTGAAAAAGAATGTCTATGGAATGGTGTTACAACAACCCCCAAAACTGTCTGCTCGTGGCAGAGGCACAGCAAGACTCAGAATGCAGCGGGCGGCCTTCTGAAATGACTCATATAGCTGTACGGTCTGTGGCGCGACAGCATCTGCACCTTGATTTCCTTGATGCAGCCGCAGATGCTGGTCTGCAGCCGGTTGCACTCACTGTTTCCTTTGCTGGGCTTCCGGGTGCTCTGCTTGGGCAGACAAGGGCGTCACCTCAATGTGAAGCTTGTGCGTGGCTTGTGGGAGAGAGCAGGGAGGAACCGAGTGGTTAAAGAGAGCCACGCTGCGGAGACCTGTAGGGCAATTTCTTGTTGTGCATGGAAGCCCAAAGGGGTGTTGCGCCGGCACAGGGCCTTTCCCCCTAAGCCTTGGTCTTTTGGTTTGGCAGAAACCAACATTGGCAGGGGTTCAGTGGCTCAGGCTGAGCTGGCGGCTGGCTAGGGCGGGCAGGCTACTCGGCTGACACAAAGGTAGATCCGGTGCGGCACTCCCAGAAGTTCTCATCGAAGCGCTGGCAGTTGTTGAGGGGGTGCAGGCAGCAGGCTCCATCCCACTGCTGGTCGATGCAGCTCTCGCTGTGGCATGTCCCGCCCTGCCAGCAACCCCACACACTCAATAAATACACAGTCCCCTGATGTTCGCAAGCCACATGGATTATTTCCCACCCCACTGTGTGGCCATACTGGAGCTAATGCATGTGGAGTTAGGGCCTGTCTAGGCACCCCAGCATTCCTTTAAGGTCAAGCTAGCACTTGAGTGTCCAGTGAATCATGCATGCACAGAATGGCTTGAAAAAATAAAGGGGACGGATGTGCAAGGTGGCTGAAGTAATGGGCAGACCTTGCCGCCGCACTGGACTCCTTCGGACACCCAGATGAGGCAGTCAGCTCCAGCGCCTCTTGTGGAAATGCTCTCGATGATGTACTTGCTGATTTGGCCTGCTGTGAAGTTGGCAATGGGCGCTGCATCCTCAATGCCTGCAAATGAGAGCAATGCTTTAGCATCTCTGCAATGAAGAGGCTGCGCTGCACAACGTGACATATGATCAATGAAGGATTGGAAGCGCTGAAGATCATAAAAAGGGCAATGCATGGCTGGCGAAGCTGTGTGGGCGCGCACTGATCATTCCGTAGTTGCCCCCTGTGGAGTCAGTGAGTCCCCCGCCGGAGACATCAGCAGAAGCTCCTGGGTTGCCGTCCACCGGAGCGCCGATGCCGCTCACATCTGCGCTGGCTGCACCGGCACCACACAAAGCTCCTCTTGTGCCAAAAGAAAATTGCAGGACAATAGCAAGAGGGCTAAAAAATGTTTGCAGAGCTTGTCTCCATGCGAGGAAACTCAATAAGTTCTATCTGCATCGCCAACCTAGACAATTACAAAGGCATTCGTGCCCAATGGTCATGACACTTGATTGCAGGGGACATGGCACTCACCGCCGAAAGAGAGGCCGTTGTAGCCGTGGGGGAGGACAGCGCGGAAGGACTGCAGGTTGGTCGGCTTGGTAGCGGTGGCAGCGAGGCTCTTGACCTGCACGGTCCTCTTGGGCGCCTTGGCCGCCAGAGAGGCGGCAAAGGACTTGGTGACCTGTGCTTTGGCCCCATGCTTGGCTGCCAGCACCGTGGGGCTTCCCATGGACCCCCCAATCGCATCCTGCACCCCATCATCGCCACTCGACACATGCCTTTGGTGCCTCACTTCACATGCTACATGCGCACTTGCGGGACACTACTGCCTGAGAGCCCCTCACTGGCCTGTCCCATGAGCGCATAGCTGTGCTGCAGTGTGCAGGGTCTGTAGCACTGTGCCCGACAGCACACATTGCAGGAGCTGAGTTGGCAGGGGATGCGCGCCTTGGGCACTGTGGCAGAGTAGGAAGAGGTGGTGATCAGGGTGTCTGGGAGGCAGGTCCAAAGCATGGCACTGTTGCGCGCGCAGCTGAAGGCCTCGCCCTTCATGCTGGGGGCGCAGCACGAGCTGCTCCACACAGCATCCTGCATGGCAGCCCAATGTGAGTTCCCATCCGCATGAGAATAATGAACAGCCTGCAAGCACTTATTTGATGTCAAGAACACACCAGATGGGCAGATATATGGTACTCCTGCATTTATCTTTTGTGCACCACAAGACACCTCATGCCCTTTGTCAGGGAAATGCCCAGTAGCTGGCAATCCTTCCCCTGCAATGACTTTTGCAAAGGATGCAGACAGGACAAGGCAAGGTCGACCTGGATTCTGTTCACACGAGCAAAGAATGGCAGCCACATTGGTGTGACTGATGACAAAGGTGTGACTCACCACGCACTGGTCCCCGTAGCAGCCCCCCGCGGAGCCGCCACACTGGCCGTAGGGCATGACATAATGCGTGCAGGACGACTCGGAGCTCAGCGCCTTGGCGAAGCTGACCGTCAGCGGCAGCTTCTTGGACAGGCTGCTGGTGTCAAATCCATCCGGGACGGGCAGGCACTGCAACACATAGAACACCATCAAGCATGCTCGGCACTGGCAGCCAGCCAAGCCGTCAGTGTCCCTATCGAGGAGCAGAACGGTCGTAGAAATGGCTGTCGAAGGACAAAAGAGACAGTGTCTTGTGAAGAGGGTGCCCTGCAAAAGCACTCTTGAGCAGTTGAGATTGGGGCCTAGTGCACACCTGCCAGTACCAGGGGTTGGCGTTGCTGAGGCAGGTCCACGTGGTGGGGCAGGCCGTGGTGTTCCATGCGAAGTCGCCCGACTGGTCCGGCTGCGGCGCGTTGTTGATGCCTCCGCACTGCGCGTACGGGTCCAGCGGAGCTGCACCGCGCACACAGCTTTAGCATTGCGCGCGCAGAATGTGCATCTGTTTGTCAAGCTTGGCCATCTGATCTCCTGCTTCAAGCATACAGGCTGCTTTGGCACTTGGCAGCAGCAGCAGAAGTTTTGCATGGGATTGTCTGTGTTGCGAGGAAAGGAGGGCGGACGTCGCCACTGACAAGGTGAGTATCTACAAAGCCTTGGTGTGTAAAAGCCAAGAACGAGCTGCAGGAGAGCACACCTGGGGTGCCGGGGGCTTGAGGTGGCTTGCTGCCGGGATTTAGCTGGGCGATCTGCTGGGGCGTCAGGTGTTCGCTCTGCCGATTTGCCGCATCCCACATTGAACCGGACGAGTCCCCTCGGTCGGCGGGGGGTGCAGCGGGGGGCACCGGCACCGCCGCTGGCTCTGCCACGGGGGTCTCGGTGGGCGTGTCTGCAGGGGTGATCAGCGCAGCCGGGGTTTCCACTGGTGCAGCAGGGGGCGTGACCTGTGGAGTGTCCGGGGGCGGTTGTGCTGCCGTATCTGTCGGGGGCGGCGTGGCCGCGGCGTCTGTCGGCGGCGGTGGAGTCGCCACAGGTGCCGCGTTGGGATCTGGGACGGTCTGCAGTGAAGGGTTGTCCGGGAACTGCACGTTGCCGGTCACGCGCCCCTGCATCAGAGCAGCACTGGTTCACGAATGCCACAGAAACGAGGCAGTGTTGGTTCAAGGGATGCCAAAGACAGGACTGCCCAGAATATTTTGCAGCGTTGCCTGGAGACAGTGAATCTCCCCAGATCCAAGATCTAGTGAGCTGCCACTAAGCTCTTTCCCAGGCTACTCATCAAATTGGGGCATGCACCAGTGCCCCTCATTTTTGTTCGAACAGAGATATGCAGGGTGGAAAGTACAACAGGGCTTCAGATGAGTGTGAGTTTTGGGCTCACCGTGGGCGAAGAGGTGGCGACGGTGTCAATGACGGTGTCTCCAAAGATGGAGGTGATCTTGACTTGGGCGGGCAGGATGAGGGCCTGGTCATTGATGGCCTGGATGACAAAGTAGTTGTCGCCCACCCTGTTCATGTCGTACCATGTCCCCGAGAAGAACCACTGCACGCTCAGCACCGGCACCCTGCACCGCAGAATCATCACTGATTCATGAGATTTCCAGACACCCCTTTGAGTGTGACCAGGCACTGCTGGCGTGGGCCTGGGTAAACACCAAGCACTGTGCCCACAGTTGATTGGGTCCTGCATGGATTTGGCGACTCCATCAAGGGGTAGGATTTGTGGTAGCCTTCACCTGCAGCTTGTCTGCAAGCGCACCTTGCTTCTGGCAAGAACAGCCCCTAATAATAATAATAGTTTGTGTGCGGCAAAAGAAGACAAAACATGCAGCAGTGATCCTCAGCAAGCTGCATGAAAGCAAGCGATTGAGGCAGGGATGGGGCGTGCCTGTGGTTGGCGATCTGCATCTTGATGTAGTATGGATTCGACCCCTGGAAGGAGTACACAAAGGGGGTGTTGCCGACCGCGCACTGCACGGGGTACCACTCAATATTCCACCGGCCATCTCCAGCCTTCTCCTGGTCCAGGTCTCCCGTCTTGCACTCAGGGCAGAGGTTGGACACCAGCACGTACTGGGTTGTCAGGGGAATGGGGTCGCCTGCACCACAAGGACACATCTTTGTCATGCATGCATGTAAATTTTGGAAGAGGCCAGTCTAAATTTTCCTGTGTTGCTTCAACGAGGCCCCAAGGTGGTTCAAACAGCAAGTAGGCAAGTTGGAATCTGGGCTGTGAGAGATTGGTGAGATTGAGAGAGTGGTGCTACCTCCGCTGCCCGGGCCAGTCCCTCTCATGGCAATGCACATGCCGCAAGTCTGGGAGTTGAAAAGGAGAGGGGAGTCCATGGCCACCCTAAAGGAGGTGCCGGCAGCCCAGGGAAGGTACTGTGCGTCTGAAAACGAGAAGCTACAGGTGCCAGACCCCTGGGCGTCTCCATAGTAGGTGCCCTGTGACACATAAGCGCAGTCAAGAAATTTGACACAGTATTTGTGACGTTCCACTTCTCTGCAGGAGAATGTTCAGCAATTGCATTGTACAGCCTGCAGTTCATGCAACCTTTGATACATACGGTTGGGCTGCGACAAATGAGTCAGTGCACTACAGGGGCCATCTCTCTGGCACGACAAGGGTCTCATCCATCCGCTTCCACCCTTGCATGCAAACTTAGAACACCGGATGTATCGACCATTGGTTCGGTACAAGATTCTTCAGCAGGAAGAATGAAGCCCAAAGAGAGTTTTATGGGTAGCTTACATCTCCAGTCCATATATTTCCGAACAAGCTGACAGTTTGGCCCGATGTCCGCAGCAAATTGACGAGGCCCAAAGCTACCCCAATCAATAGGGCGACTTTCATTGGCGAATTTTGAGGATTACAAGCGAAACAGTGAGACCTTCAGTAGGCTCCCCTGCACGAAATGCTCCGCATGTCGTTGTGGGCAGCTTGTGCATAAGCTGTAAGACCTATTATTTGGCTTCTATAGGCTCAAGGCCTAACCAGTGCGTGGTTTGGGCTTCTTGTACGGCGCCGTAATTTGTCTTTCTGTACCTGTTTTCCTGGGTGTTTGAATCCAGATCCAGCTGTCGTCTGACGTGCACGATACACGTGTTGACATCACTAACGTCAGCGAGTCCAAGTTGCGAGGAGTTTTCTCCATAGCTTAAATTTTCGTCAAGATAGTGCATCGCCAGCATTGGTGCGAAGAAGAAGTATTGTTCCCACAAGAAGAATGGGTGCCGTTGACCAAGAAAAATGTCAACCTTTCAGCAGGTCTTGCTAGCCTGCACATCTTGTTATACACATACATGATGCTGGGCATTGTGCCACATAACCGCGTAGAGGTACGACGCAAAACCATTGGACAATAAATCTAAGCGGTTCTGCTTGGGATGGGGACGAACGGCTCAGCGTACAAGAGGCCACTACCCCGCATTGTAGGCCCCATTTCCATATATATACTTTTTAAGTTGTTCATCGTGATCGAATGTGCGCCGATCGGCATGTTAACGAATTTGTAGTTCCAGCAATAGTTCCAGCTGTCCCAACAAGATGTCTTTCTGTGCAGGACAACCTGTCAAAGCTGATCATTCCCATTCTTTTGCTGGGAGTCTATGCGTTGTGGATGCATGATCGAAGTAGCCGTGTGGTGAGTCGAACTTGCAGCTTAATCCCACTTTGATGCCACACAGACCCTGCAAATCCTTAGCACTCCTTCTTCACCATCAGCTGCCAGCAAGGCTCTGCGATGTGTCAGGCGCGCGCGGCAGCACAGGTCCACACGGATGCTCTCAGGGACGAGGAAAAGCCTTACTTCAACTTCCAACAGATGCAGCGAAAGGAGGTGAAGACTGTCCTTGGCCACGCTTGTTGCTGCACATTTACTGAAGGTTGGCGTTGCATTCGGTGTTACAAAAGCGAAATTTCGCGTTCCTTGTGCAGACGATCGTTGCAGATTTGGAAGAAGATAGCAGAGCTGCACCCCTGGATCAGAACAGGAAGATGATTGGGGCTAGAGAGGGCATACTGCAAGCACAGGTGTGCACAGCGAATGAGATTGCTGCCATAAATTGGATGACAGCGCTTCTTGGCTGCATCGCTTTCAATGCACGCTGGCATGTCTTGAGAATGGCACGAAGCAATTGGTCAATTAAGGCTCACACGTGCTTCTGCAGGCTACCAGGCCAACAAATTTGAGTCTTGCTGGTCTGCCTGATGGTGTTGGGAAGGAGGCGGCAAATCTGGCAGTGCAACAACACATCACCGGCCAGGTGATGTAATGCCATGCACTGGAAGACGCTTTTCATGTCGAGCTAATGTTTCAAAAAATGTCTGTCAGTTTCTCAGCGTACCTTCTGTGATGACAGGTGCCGCTGGGTACAATGGCGCAGTTTGACGAGACAGTGAAGCGCTTGAGGGAGACACAGGAGCTTGCCAAGTCGAGGGTGGCGAAGGGAGCGGAGGGTGTTTCGCAGACAGAAGCAAAAGCCACCCTGCTCGACCCTGAGGACACAAAGCAACCAAAGACCGAGCTTGGCAAGTGAGTGGTCACTCTGGCCCAGCCCTCAAAATCGTTGCCCGTGGCAACCACTGCATGCCTTGGATTGCTTTGGGACACGTATCACCAAAGTGCCCCTTCAGCTCGTTTGCAGACGCACCTTACCTTCTTTGCGTGCAATAGTCATAAAAAGAAATTGCCCTCGTAGCGCAGACAGCAGAGGTGATGCATGCAAGATCAGCTGCCAGGGTGTCTCTTCTATTCTGGCACTGCTTGACTGCAGCATTGCCACGATTTGAGCGTGCTGAGGTTATACTGCTGCGTGTATAATTGCAGGCGGCAGGCAGCGGTGAAGGCGGCGATGCGGCACAGCTGGAAAGGGTATGTGCAGTATGCGTGGGGAGCCGACGAGCTGCTGCCGGTGTCTCGGCGCGGCGGCACGGCGTTCTGCAACACGGGCGCCACTCTGCTGGATGCGCTTGGCACGCTGTGGATCATGGGCATGCGCAAGGAGTTCGGCCGCGCACGCGACTGGGTCGCCGACGAGATGTCATTCGACCTGTGAGCGCCCGACCTTTATTCCTTCATCCTTTATTCTTACCCTTTTGTAAGTTACCTCTTCGCAGGTGGCTGCGTGGCATATTGTGAAGCTCAGCCGAGCAATGCAGCGACCCTGATAGGTCTCATCCCTACCGTTTGGGAAGGTGGTATGACTGAAGTCAGGCTGTAGCACAAACTGTGTGCTTGCTGCCCGCGCACTAACACGACAGCTGCAGGGAGAGCTTGCCCATGAGAAGCGCGCTCAGTGTGTGGCTGAGTTCTGGTGCAGGAACTGCCAGACGTCGCTGTTTGAGCTGGTCATCCGCGCCGTGGGAGGGCTGCTCTCTGCCTACGACCTCTCCGGGGACCAGGTCTTCTTGACCAAGTGAGCGCCTCCCTTCTTTCAGCATCTGTCTCCACTTACCCTCTACAGAGCTGCCCAGTCTCATAGGCACACCAGGATACATCATCGCATCTAAGATCTGCTTGTGATGTTGCAGGGCACAGGCCATTGCAGACAGGATGATGCCGGCTTTTGACACGCCCACGGGCATCCCTCGAGGCACCATAAACCTGGGGACACAGGTCAGCCAGGCAACCTCCTGGGCCGGCGGCGCCAACGGCGCTGTGCTGTCAGAGCTGGGATCCGTCCAGGTGTGCCACTTGCTCTTCCCACATCCTCCCATGCAGACACTTGTATCCAATAATTGAATCAGTACTAATCTGAGGGAAGAACCAGAAGCATGCTGCAGCAGCCTCCTTCAGCATGCTGTGCCCCTTGCTGCCACAAGGTTTCCCATTACTTTCATTGGTGGTGGTTCAAGTCGGATCAGTATTGATCTGTGGGAGGTGATTGACTGATTGCCATTGGCATGCAGATGGAATTCATCCACCTGAGCAGGCTGACGGGGGAGCCCAAGTACGGCGTGGCAGCAGATCGCATCATCAAGTTCCTGAACGCAACTTTTGACCAGGCAAGTTCGTCATCCTGCTCACACATCCCCGCCTGCCTCTCACCCTCCGCTGTGCACTCCCCACGGCTCCAACAGCAGTCCTGAAGCTCCGTCACAAGACCTACACAAGCTGTGTGGTATTGTGTCGCTTGGAGGCCAGGGTCAGTGCTATTAGTGGGCTCTACCTGCTCGGCCAACCGAAGGATTGTCGAGGATTGTTGGCTGATGGAATTCACAAAGGAAATGTTCCAAGAATGGGGAGGGTGACTGGTCTTGACACACACCCATGCGCTGCATTGCGCTTGGCTCCTACATTGCAAAGGTTTCCCACCCACACATGCTCCTGAGGTCCTGCTGCGCTGGGGACTAACGTCAGTACTGCTACAAAATAAGCCACCTGTTTGGCCAGCTAGAGCTCTAAGGGATGAATTGCAAATCAAATTGTTTGCCTCATTTTCTCTAGTATCCAGACGAAGTGTGGATGGAGCATGCTATCACAGCATACAGGGCAAGAATGTGTATATGACATGGCTTTGAATGTTGCTGAAAGGTGTGCAATTTCACACCGGTCATGTGGCTTGTGGTCCAGGGCCTGGTGCCTCTGTACATTAATCTGGAGACGGGGACGGCCTCGAGCGGGCAGGTGGGCGTGGGGGCGCTGGCGGACTCCTACTACGAGTACCTGCTCAAGGTGTGGGTGCTCAAGGGGCGCACAGATGAGATGTACCGGGGCATGTGGGTGCGCGCCATGGACGAGGTTCTGAAGCGCCTGGTGGGCACTTCCTCAGACGGCCTCCAGTACGTGGGCGACATCAACGGGTGAGTAGCCCTCAGCAGACCATATTTGTGCTATTGTGCAAAGGTGTCACATCTAATGCCGTTCTGGAAGTCTTGCATGGCAGGGATGAGCTCATATTCCTGGATGCTGCCCTAAACATTGCTGGTGGACACAGCCAATGTATTGCATGCGCTCTGCTTGCAGAGAGCTTCTTTCTGGTTGTGAAGGCGGTATTGATGAAGCAATGCTTTGCCTGCTTTCCCCACTTCAACCTTGGCCCCACTTGATGGCCATGCCCACAGGATGTCACTCGCTGCTTCTGAATGAATGTGCTTGGAAACAATACTGGTGCTGCTGCCGAAGAGATTGATAGCTGTGGTGTGGCAGGGGGGTGTTTGTTCAGCGCTTGGAGCACCTGACGTGCTTTGTTGCCGGCAACTTGGCGTTGGGAGTGCACACGGGGGCGGTGAATGGCACGAGGGCGGAAAATTACATGGCGCTCGCCAGGAACCTCACCAACACCTGCTACCAGATGTACCGCCACATGCCCACAGGTCCACACGCCGCCTCCATTCTCCAGTCCATATCAGTGCTTCTAGACACTTCCTGCGCTACTTGTGACGATTTTGGGGTGTTTGGAATATATCCCTAACATTGCATGTCAAAGTATGAATGTCTGCGCACCTCCAGAATGTCAGCACAGCAGTCCCTACGCTCCTATTGCAGCACTGGCAGAAGCGGCAGGGTCGCCAGCACTTGTGCAGAGGAAAATGGTTGCGGCACTGGCAGGGTTGCCAGCACAAGCGCTGAGTGAAAGATCATTGGGGCACTCTGGCAGAAACGCCATGGTCTCCGCCACACGTGAAGAGCAATAAATGAGGGGCGGTGTGTGCAACGTGTGCAGGGTTGGGCCCAGAGCAGGTGAGCTTCCAGACGGGGGTGATGTCCAAGGTGACGGGCTACAACATCCTGCGGCCAGAGGTGGTGGAGTCCATCTTCATGATGCACCGCATCACCAACGACTCCATCTACCGCGACATGGGCTGGACCATCTTCCAGGCCTTCGAGACCTACTCCAAGGTCATTACGCCGGCTCATGCTTGACCCCTTGACAGTGGCTAACCATTACAGGGCTTCTCGTCCATAGGAATGCAGAAAAATGACCCATGCCTCCCTTGCACAGAAAATAAAGAACTGCAGTTGTTACTATGTCTACATTTATTCTCCAGTGCTTGCTTATTGCAGGCTGGGGCAGCTCTTGCTCGGGCTGATTGCTTGTATCAAGAGCAGTAAATGCCTTCAATGTAAAGGGATATTTAGCTGTGGATATTCAAGTCGTGCATGGGCTTGTGCAGGTGGAGAGCGGAGGCTACTCAGGGGTGGTAGACGTGGGCATATCACCACCCACCCTGGACGACAAGATGCAGTCCTTCTGGCTGGCGGAGACCCTCAAGTACCTCTACCTGCTCTTCAGCCCCAGCAGCACCATCCCTCTCTCTGACTGGGTCTTCAACACCGAGGCCCACCCCTTCCGCCTGGGCGAACCTGCCGCCCGCATCAATAGCACAGCTGCGGCTGCCGCGGTGGAGTCCATGTCCTGACGCAGAGGTGTGTCAACGTGACCTGCATGACAGGCGGCCATGTGCAGCGCGCAGTGTGGGCAGCCACTGCCCCTGTCCGCGGTGCACAGGAGGAGTGTCGCCAGCAAAACATCAAATTATTGGAATTAAAAGTATATGGTCACACACCAGAAGGAATAGATTGAATGATCTCTGAATCATCTTGAAGAGTCATCCCATTCTTGCAGCTGCTAACAACGCGAGCTGGCAAGAACATCTCAGGCAAACATTTTTAAGGGGAGTTAATACCAGCGGCAGGACGTACTTGAAGTAAGAGTAATTTATCAGCAGCCCAAGTTCTGTGATCATGACAGTGTGATGGGTCATTTCTGCTGCTAGTCTAAGCGTTGTTGACATGTGACACCGAGTGCAGTCAAGCTCAGACACCGAAGATATTGATTATATAAATCAATATTGTGGCGCTGTGACGGCCCGTGAGGGTAAGCTTTATGATATATATGCATGGCCCTGCATTCTGCATTCTCCATGCATATGCTACAAGATGTAAAAATGTGTTATGAATGATGCCTGCTACTTTGAGAGTATGCATTGCACGCGCTTGTGCATCGTGCCAAGTGGCACGGCCCGGCCGGCCTTGAATTTGGTTTCAAGTTGAAAGGGTACTACGTAGTACGTGCACGTCTACTGCTATTGGCCTGCATTTTTGAAGCATGTTTCAGCTCTATAGTGTTGTACATCCTCTCCAAATACGATTGCTTCACGATGAAAGACAGGACACAGGCAAAAAATTCCAGTTGCTCTGTACCTTCATGAAGCTTCCATGCGAACACGTGCTTGACAACGTTACGTCACTGGCTCTCGTCTTCAGTCTCGAGGTTCTCCCTCCCTCCTACCTTGAAGTTTGCCATGTTGATCTGAAGAACTTTGTATTGCATAGGTAGCTCTGTAAGGTGACTTTTTCACCGGGTGCAGGCAAGAATCTAAAAATACACTCTAAGATCTGCTCAGTCCTGCTAGGGACTTCGTGAGATGGCAAGCACTCTCCCCCAGGAGGCAGACCTGATGTCCTTGGGAGATCATTGTGAAGAACCAGATTGCCAGCAAATCGATTTTCTGCCTTTCAAGTGTGACGCTTGTCAGAAAGTGCGCTGCTGATCTGCTTGGAAAACGGGAATTTCGATCCCTGAAAACATTGCTAGCAGTATGATAAAGTATTAGTATCACAAATGAAAGCTGACACATGAAGTTGAACTTAGAATTTGTCTCTTGGCAGGTCTTCTGCCTTGCGCACCGCAAGTATGCAGCTCACTCCTGTCAGAGAGCTGGAGAGCGTGAAACAGCGACAATCATATGCCCACTGTGCGCTAAGGCCATCAAGCTCCTGCCGGACCAAGATGCAAATGCTGCCTTCGAAAGGCATACTCAAGAGGTGCGTTTCTCTGTGTATGCAACCGATCACTTTCCTGGTGAGGACTGAAGGCCCACTTGCACTGACACCTTGTATTTTTCTGTGACAGGCTTGCGACCCAATGAACTACACCAAAGTGCACAAGAAGCCCAAGTGTCCTGTGCCGAACTGCAAGGAGAAGCTCAACAGTGTCAACACCTACAGCTGCAAAACCTGTGGGACAAGCGTCTGCCTGAAGCATCGCTTCCAAAACGACCATGACTGCGCCAGCCGCTCTGGTACGATACTCACATCCTCTCTTACAAAACGCCACGTCCACATTCACCTGAACACCTATTCCGTCCCTAAATCCAACCATTTCTTGGGTTTATCGTGCAGCAGCCCAGCAGCAGCCCCTTGCTAGCAAGATGCGCAGTCTGTTTGGGCTTGGCACACCTGCTCCCAGCAAGCCTCAGTCACGCCCAGCCAGATCTGGGCAGCAGAAAAGCGGGAAGGTCAGCGAGCCTCCCCCACCAAGGCCGACTGCACCGGCAGCAAACAGGGCTGCAGCAGAGGCGGCCGAGCGCAGGAGAGCACCCCCTAAAGTGAGTCAATGTTATACCTTGCAGCTGTGAAGCATCCATCATGTTCTATACAATAAGACATCCTGCCTTCGGAGCACGCTGGCGTCTGATACCAATAGCGCAAGCAATCCGCTGGTGTGATGTGGCGCGCTGTGTACACAGGGGGCACAGAACGGCAGCAGCAGTGGGCTAGAACGGTGTCCACAGTGCAGCGAAACTTTTCGGACACTCCAGGAGCTGTTGTTCCATGTGGATGCTTTCCATCCTACTGGCAGTTCCCATGCAGCTGCAGGCATGACCCCTCTCTATTCTTGGAACTGCAGAGTTGGCCAGTACAGACACATGCAGCAGTGTCCTTTTTCTGTTCCAAATGGGTCACGTTCCGGAGAACAAATGGGAGATTGCGAATCGAGAGAGAGTGAGAGTTGGGGCATGTGCAGGCGCGGAGCAGTGCCCGCAATGTGGGCAGCATTTTGCAGATGCTGTAGCCCTTGTGGAGCACGTGGAGCAGCAGCACAGCAGGAGCAAGGAGCTGTGTGTTCTATGTTGATGAAGCTTTCAGTCTGAGCCAGACTCTGGCATTGTGGCATTTGCAATTGCAACATTGTATATGTTTCCCCAAGGGGCTAATGTTTACTACCAAATCAGCAAAATCAATTGACGCCCTTGCTTGTGCAATAGGACGCTGCAATTGAGTATTTCTTTAGTACTAGTCCAAGCATCCTTGAACGTCTGTAAAGTCACGAGTGATATCCACTCTCTCACAAACAAGGCAGCACTGTTCCTGAACACTCACCAAATCCAACCCGATATCCATCACCTTGACAGTAACCCCTCAAAATGACAGTGTCTCCATCCAGTAGGTACTTCCTCTCCTCTCCATTACTCAACTCAACACTCTTTGATCCGTTCCATGTCTTCTCCAGCAGACATCCCAGGCCTTGCCCATCTTCCTGCAGAGGCCCAAACAGAGGTCATCCTGTGATAATTCTGCATTCTGGCACAACAAAACTCCTCTGATCAGGCAGTGTAGCGAGCTAAGCCCAAATTAAGAGGTTGGATGCTCACAGTGTTGCAGGATATTGTGCCAGTCCCAACCAGATCTCCCGGCCGCAGGTTGCATCCCCCGACCGTGTGGTGCGCAACCATCTGGGGCAGTGTCCAGTACCTGATTGACAGCAGCAGCTCTGTAAGCACGCAATTGACCACAGCCCACTTGCAACAGACCACCAACATTCCAGGTCTGCACACAGACAATGCCGTCGCAGCTGAGGGAAATTCATGTACTCACAGGTGCTTGAAGTTTGACTGCGTCACAACTGTCCTGCCAGTGAATTCTGGCGGCACGATCTCCACATCCAGGTGTATGTCATAGCTGTGCCGATCACCCGCTTGCAGATAGGGCAGCACTGGAGGGTCCTGATCTGGCGCTGGACAACTGTAAACACTCACAGAATGTCATAACAATAATGCTTGCGCAGGGCGATAGTACATACAACTAAACACAGCTGTTGTACTTAGTATCCCCCTGGCTTGCGAAGCTCAAGGGTGATGCAGAATGTTGAATTTTATATGTTTGTGGGGACTGCACCTGAATGGACGCAGCGCATCCAGAGTGACAATCCAAGGGGAAATGCTTGAGGCCTGCAATAAAACATGTGGATCAGCATTGTCCATCATTTTTCACCTAACCTGGTCATTTTTATTTTTGAGGCAGCAAAACGCCCACCCAATTCTTGCTATTGAAGGGACCAAGCGGTGCCATTTCCCACTTCTGGATGTCCCTTGCGCTCCAGTCATTCAGCAAGACAAGGCCGAAAATGCTGTCCTCGGCCTCCTCAATGCTGATGGACTCCCCAAGCTGATTACCGGTGCCCACAAAGGCAGCCTGCTCACCGACAATGCCATCAGCCATGACTGTTCTGTGATGATCAGTTTCATAAATCCACGCAATGAAACGGGCCTCCGATGACACCTTGTCTCATATATATAGAGTCCAGAGCATTGCGCTGATGCTTTAGGGGCGCACACCATTTCCAGCTCAAAGTCTAGGACGTTGCAAGGCATCAAAGCCGCACTCCTGCTGTCCTTCACATCTGTCAGCACCTGCCCACTGAAAGGCGGCAGATGTCAGCGTATCAGCCACAAGTTAGGCTCTAGAATGTCAAGAATGCATATCTGATGCTAGAGGACTGCATCTATTGGAGACTCTTACCGAGGGCGTCGCACAGGTGTGCCTGACACAACTATAGATGAACTGCGGCCATGGTATGCCACTGGAAGGCTCAGCCTGCAGAACGCATCGATCAAGCATGAAGTGGCTGGATCGAGGACAGCACCGAGGGGCAGTGTAGGTGCACAGGCACAGCACCTCCACATACCAGTTTGGGCTGAGAGCGTTCTGGGCGCCTCGCAGCATGGTGCCACAGTTTGTTGCATGCTCTCGGGAGAGATAGAAATCGGTGTAGTCTCCAATTGAGGCTGGAAGATGCATGTTGACATCGGCCTGCACCAACAGCACAAGACTCAGTGCGTGCACGCAGCAGATCAAGTGTTTACTGAACAGATGCCATGGCCGCGCTCAAAGTGTCCATGGGTTTTTTTCAACCTGCTGAACAAATGCTGCATCCCGCATATTTCGGTTGTCTCTCAAGGTCGGAACATCAGCACTTAGCAATTCAATCAGTGCAGCTCTGGTTTCCTGCCAGATCGGCCTGCCGAGAGCCATGAAATCGTTGAGAGTATCCTGTATGCACAGACATCCAGGTTGTAATTCCTTGTTGCCTGCCATACAATTGGATTTCTATTATCTTGAGGTAAATACTAGCCCATCGAAAATCTAGGCCTTATACATGTCTCCTCTGTGATGCACCTTCTGAAATGCCCTGTTGATGGGTTCGGAGAAAAGCCCTGCTCTCGATATTTCACTGAGGTCTAGGATCTGCGATCCGATGGCTACACCAATTCTCTTTTCGTCCGATCCTCGCTTTGAGAACACCCCATAAGGCAAGTTCTGAATGGGGAAACAACTAGTGGACTCGTAGGGCACGAAAGACTTGTTGACTCTAAATGGTATCATTGCTGCGAAATTCGAGATGATAAACGAGACAGTGATGCATCAGATAATGTTGCGCATGCTCTTGGTCATCAACGCAGAAGTCCAAGAAGCTTTGGAGGAAGTGCCCAATTTGGCAACCTGTCGGAAAGTTGGACAATTTCCTGATCGCTGCTCAGAATGTAAGGAGAGAGCGATTGAATACGCTGAGAATCATCTATTTTGTTGCACATTCGGTACGAATGCCATGCAGCGCTCTATTATAAAAGCTGCGCTTTTTGAACAAGCTCTGTCTTCCTCAGCTTGTTTGCAAAGACAACACTGTCTCCACGCCTTGCCAATCCACACTACGCACTTCGCAAGAAGGAAGCTGCACCTTTGTACAGTTGCATTGGCTCGCAAAGGATTGGCCGAACTACTATCCATACGAGAAAAACCGTAAGTGGTGGATTGCTTTCCTGCCTGATTTTTGTGTGGCATACGAACTGCTTAACAGGTGTTGTGCAAGTTTTATCTCTTGTTATCCTCCCTGATATGCAGCACACGTGTCTGCAAGCACTTGTGCTGTGTAAGAGCTAGGAACTGCAGGACACCGATCTGGAGTCTACGAGCAAGAAAGTACATTGGGTCAGCTCGTGAAAGCTATGTATTGCTTGTAGGTCATCGAACTCGACAGCCCTCTTGAGGCCACACACAGTGTCCCCACGCCTGGCCGTGCCACAGCACATACCCCGGCCCCCATATGTGGACACTGGGGAGAATCCATGGTTTGATGACATCCAAGTACATGACGCGCAGGTATAACCCTCTTAGCACGCCCAGACTGTTTGTCACCTCTTCCATTGACTTGCCAAGAAGGGGCATGATGGGTGGCATGGCTTGCAGGGTGTACAAAAGATGCGAGCAGCGGGCAGATTAGCAGCTGATGTGCTGGAGCATGCTGGCACATTGGTAAAGGTACATGGCTGCATTTCTCATGCCTGCTGCGTTATTGTTCTGTTGCCCAATTGCCTGAGCGGTCCTGAACTGTTGATGAACCCTTCTGCCGCGCCTGCAGGCCGGAATAACAACTGATGAGATTGACAAGGCGGTGCACCAGATGATCATTGACAATGGAGCCTACCCTTCTCCCCTAACGTATGGTGAGACATCTGCCAGCACCACACAGGTGGTCAATATCAATTCTTAAATACAGCCAGGATCATGCTGAGTTCTGAGAACACTACGAAAACAATCTCAATCATGGAGTCTGGCGCTGCAGGAAATTTTCCAAAAAGTGTCTGTACCTCGGTCAACGAATGTGTCTGCCATGGCATTCCAGACGCGCGGCCACTTGTGGATGGAGATATTATCAACATTGACGTGACCATATACCTCAATGTGAGCAAGCCTCAATACCTTGACTCCTATGACCTGATAGTTAGTGATGGCAACAGTAGATAGGATTAGGTCCACATGCCCTTTGCCAAAAAAAATGCGGTTGCAGGGGCACCATGGAGACACCTCAAGGATGTTCTATGTCGGGAAGGTTGATGACAAGGCGCGGCGGTTGTGCGAGGTGACGCAACTTGCCATGGAGAGCGCCATTGCTGAGTGTGGGCCAGGTGTCCCTGTCAGGCACATCGGCAAGGTGATTTTTTTGTACCATATTGTGCTAATTGAACGACGCTCAGTGTGCTCAGCCCATACAAGTTGGTCTGTATTCAAGTTCTATTTTCTTCATGCCACAGCGTGCCTATTGCGCTTCAGGGGAGGCAGATGGCTGGTGTAAATGCTGACATGCCTTTGCCTTGTGATGCGCAGGTAATTCATGCCATTGCGGACAAGCACAAGTACGGCGTGGTGAAGGAGTTTGTGGGTCATGGAGTGGGGAGAGTGTTCCATTCTGCCCCACACGTGATGCACTGCAGAAACAACGAGCCTGGAGTGATGCAGCCGGGGCAGACATTCACCATCGAGCCAATGCTGACGGAGGGTGACACAGCCTGGAAGATGTGGAAGGACCAGTGGACAGTGGTGACAAAGGATGGCGGGCGCACTGCACAATTTGAGCACACCATCCTGATCACCAAGACCGGCCATGAAATCCTCACAACCTGGCCAAGCAAGCGATGATGCGGAGAGGGTTATGCCCTGTTAATTTACGGTGTCTTCGGTCTGACGTAATCACGCCGAAATCATGACGTCAGTACGGCAGCCCCCCAAAAAAGGACTCATTTGGATTTTTTGATTGAGCTTGGGTCTTGATCACTGCTTGAAATGATCACACATCGGCATAGACTGGGTGGATCGAGTTACCGATCATGATGTCTTTATCAGACATTCTTGCAAGCTTAGGAAGCTCAACTCGTGATACTGCTCTAAGAAAGGGTCACCCACAGCACGGTGCTCATTATCTGTTCAGAAGATATCATGTGCCCTGGACAAAAATCTACTGGCAATGCCATGATGGCTCCTAACAGAACAATAAAGCTCCATGCCCCTTGCTAAGATGCCACTAGCACGTTTGCTATCAGAGTAACCACACATGTATCAATCCAGGCCGATAGATTGAGCAGGCCCCATCTCTCTCACACTGAGCTTTGCTCTGCAGTCACTGCTGCATTCTAAGAAAACTCCCTTAGTTTCGATCAGGAGTCCGTGTTAGCTGCGTCGCTTTTTTCTTGCAGGCCTGTTTGTCCTGCAGCAGGCGGGCCCCCCTCCTCTCCTGGGCTTGTCGGGCCCTTGATCAGTGTTCTGATGTAATCAAAAGGCTGCACAGCACATACGTGCTCGTCATTGGGCACAGAAGCTTCCCCTTCTTCTTATGCCATCATGACCTTGCATTTGTCTAGACAGCCTCTTGCACATAGCACATTGCCCCTGTGAAGAGTTCTGCGGCACTGGGCATGTGCCACATTACTGAACACATGCAAGTAATAACTGTGGTGGCACAAGCATTACCTGCACGAGCCATATGGCCCCAACTGCTGCTGTTGCCCCCCACATAGCGGCAGCTTTTGCATCACCCGGTGAAAATCTCAACTGAGGCGGCAGGATCTGCATGATCAGCATAGAGCACCAGCTTCATACAACTATTGAATTGCTTAATCATAATATATGAAGGAATGACTGTAGATCGAGATCTTGTTGGAGTTGCTTGGGTCATTAGGGCAGGCGTGACGTTGATATAATGCTCTCATCTCAGAGAGGCAGCTCTGTATCATTCATAGTAAATAATGTTGCGTTTTCTTTACATTTAGAAGACACTCACCCCTACCAAACCACCCCTCGGCATCCTCCACGAGCTCTGCAGGATATCCCCCTTCCAACCAGAAACAGCACTAGCCCGCCTGAACGATATCGGCAGCCTCCACGGGACCAACAGGTACCCTCTGATGCAAAGATACAAGTATTGTCACCTCGCAATGTCCTTTGAAAGAAGATTCAGGCTCTGGGAGTTTCTTTCGTTGCTGCCCTCGGGGTCAGCAAGATCAGGGGTGAGCCCTAAGAACACGTCTTCCTGGAAACGCAACCTCGACAACAATTTCGTCCACGCCGCAAACAGTGCAACGGAATCCATACTAATGTGCATTGCGATCTGGTTTGAAACTTCTACAATTTCATCACGATTTTAAATAAATTTATTGGTCAGCTGATCTAGTGACAAGGAGTGAAGGGTTGCAACAGGCTCTCTGATCTTGGAGTTGAATCTAGCATTGCAGATTGCTTGATTTCAAGGATGATTTTAAAGAGATGATGGGCCTCAAATCAGGCTGTGGTGGGATTGGTGTTGATGGCCAGCCTCTACGAGGTGCTAGGAATAGAGGAGACTGCTTCCTTGGAGGAGGTTAAAAAGGCATACAGGACAAAAGCACTAGAGCACCACCCTGACAGGTTTGCTGCCTACCCTTCTGACCTTTCATCTGTACATTTTGCTCATCTTCTCTCGCCAGTATTAGTACCGTCTGTGCCTGGAGCAGGAATGTTGGAAATGCGAGCGCTCATGAAGCCTTCCGCAAGGTCACAGAGGCATACGAGGTCAGCCATTTGTCACTACAGACCTCCACAGATTTGCTGCCTTCTGACGCAACATCTTGCAGCCAACACAAACACGGCCCCTGTGTACTATAGACACGGCTGTAGCTGCAGGACATTTTCTGATCGCCTTTGTTTATGATTACCAGGTGCTGCGCGATGCTAGCAGAAGATCATCCTATGATTCCCTGCGAAGGGGATTGGGAGGCATCGGCAGCCAGGGGCCTTACTCATCCAGCAATTGGCGCCCCGGAGCAGATGACTTCGAGGAGGCCTTTGCCAGTTGGTTTGAGCGGCAAGGGTAGGCTCCCGCATTGCTTCCTGTTGCACTGTGAAAATGCGCCTTCAGCGGACCTGCGTGTGTGCATGAGCATCGTAAACAGGGTAGCACAGCGAAAATTGAGGCTGTGACAGGTTCAAGAGGAGCATGGATGAGCAGACCATGAAGGAGCGGCGCGAGGCGACGCACAGGGCCAGAGCAGCTGCTTGGGAGGCTGAGAAGGCTGAAGCGCAGGCCAACAAGGTCCGGCTCTCGGATACCCGCTTCCCTGCTGCAGTGCTATTTGTAGCGTTGCCGTCATCAGATCGCTGTCGCACCTTGATGTGTTTCTTCTGCGCATGGGAAACACAGCACGGGGAAAATAATTTTCTAGGCATTGTCTCATGCCACCTGACTGCATTCACAACTAATGCATGTGGGCATGAGCTTGGGTGATCTGGGTTGCAGGAGCGATTTGAGCGCGTGCGGTGGAGGACCAGGAATGCGCGGGCGGTGCGCCATGCGCAGGTGCTGCGGCGCTTTTGGCACACTAGCCAGGGGCTGGTCTGGCAAGACGCGCTGGTGGTGGTCATGCTGGGCCTCTCCCTGGGCTTGAGCGCTGTGCAGCTGCGGCCCGCTGCCACGGCAGACAGCTCCGGCAAAGATAAAAAGGGTCCGGGCGGCGGTGATCCCACGGAAGGAGCATGACACCAGAATTGTTGAGTGACAACTGTATTATTTTCGATTAAGCACCTTGGCAAGTCAAATGGCAAGGTGCAGAGGTTCTTCCTAGCATCATGCTATGATAGCATCTCTTTCAAAGAAGTTCTATGTACATTCTATGTACATTCCCGGAAGGGCCTTACCGTGACAAGTTGTACACGTACCGGTGTGGTTTTGGTGTATCTGCAGGACTTCTGCCAAGATTGTTAGATTGCAGCAGCAAGGATCACAATGCAAGGTCACATCAATCTATTAAGGAAGAGGCATGCATGTTTCCTTTCTCCCCTCATCGGAACACAACCCATCAGCGTAGCCTCAGTAATTTGAACCGAGGCGGATCACGTAAAAAAAAAGGTCCTTTTCGGGGAGAAAAGCACGGGAGTATTATGACGAGAGACCAGACGTCTACTTCTAAAGTCATCCTGTCATGTCGATCTTGAGACGTTGTGTGTTTGTCTTACTGAGAAAAGATCGGAGAGCCTTACGTGAAGCCTGACGCATCCGCCGTTAAGGGAACTCAACGTCTCGTTTGGGCACATGCAGAGCCAGAACGGGCCTCCGATCTATCCATTAGATTATGATGGATTCCAAATTCCGGACATGCTTGGTGGGGCGTCTGCGACCGAATTTCCCCTCAGCCAGCATCTCGGAACCGATGTCCTGTTCCCACTGGCTCCGCTGCAGCAGCCTGTACATCTTCTGCCAAACTTGAGCATGGAAATGAATGGTCTCTCCTACGGGAGGGGCATGCTACTCTCCACCCCGCCCCAGTACAACCACCGATCTGGCCAGCATATGGACCTTGCAACAGCCCCACCAGTCAGCGACAGGGAGCCTCTGCATTCAGTGTCAAGCCGATCTCTTCCAGAGATGACATCGAGGGAGAGCTTCAAATTCGAGCAGAATGGCTCCAAGCAGCAACACAGCTTGACTACGAAGGAAATAGTGCGTGAGCAGAATAGAAAGGCAGCAGCTCGCTTCAGACAGAGGCAAAAGGTGTGTTGCATTTCTTGTAGCAGGGTGATATTCTACCTCGCCATCGTGATCTTTGTGCTCAATTTTGATAGTCGAAGAGGCAAACCCTAGTTGTCTGTTTTTGAATAGGTGGAGCTGTACCAACAGCTGGCTCACCCTACTCATGCATGCAGATGCAAACTTGGTTTCATGTCAGAGAATATATACCATTCCAAGTTCAATGCTTGTTGTTTTGCAGGACAAGTTGAGGGAGTATGAGAAGCAAATCCAGGACCTGACTGCAAAGCTCAACGCTGCTGAGAAGGAAAAGTCCACATACGAGCTGAAGTGTGGCGAGATGGAAAAGGTAGAGTTTTTGGCAAGCGCTGTAAAATGCGTTGGTCGCGTCCTCTGTAGGTGATTGTGTGTTTCCCTGCAGTTGGTTTTGACGTCGTGCCACATTGCCTCAGGTGGTACGAGAGAAGATGGGCAGCATGACAATTCAAAAGGTGAGATGCCAAGCTGCTCCACAATCGGATGCTCCCGGCTTGCGTCCTCATGGCATTGCCTAGCGCAATTGTGGTACTTAGTATGGTGCAGCCATGCGATTTGGCATTTAAAATGGGGTGCTATGCTGGTGTGTGCTGGCCCCGGCTCAAGGGGCGCGCTACAATACTGAGTAGCATCCCCACAGTTGATAAGATCATGCTTGGATCTGAGGAGGCCAGCAACGGGCAGGCTTTTGGCAGCCTTGACATGCAGCTTGTCTGCATGCGCACCTTGCCTCTGGCAGGAAATGCGTGTAAAGATGATGACGAGGGCTGATTGGTGAATTGCAGGCCATGCAGCCGGGCGAGACCCATGACGAGCTGGCCAAGCGGGAAGCGTTGGCAGAGGCTCTGACGCGCTTCTGCAGTGTTGTGCGCAAGGGCCAGGCACGCAGCATTGATGAGCACGAGCTCCTGACAGCGTCCGGCAAACTCAGCATGCAGCACATCCTGCCCATCTACAACGTGAGGCCCCCGCTTTTGACCCCTGGCTGACGCTTCTTCAAGGCAGCAAGCTGTTTGTGAAGGGGCTTGCTGACAACTTTCTTTTGCCCCATGCAGGAATGCGCGCAGGAACTGGCGAGGTGTCTGGCCGACGGCGGGGAAAGGAAGGGCACAGAGGCGTACCTGCGCATTCAAGAGATCATCTCAGCGCGGGTGAGAGCTGCACCACCAGCTTCACTGTGCCTTATCCCATGCTCGACTTCACAGGAAGCCCTTGTAATGGATGACTCAGCAAACTGTAGCTTTGACAGTGTGTCATGTTTGACTGGGAAGGTCTTGGATGAATTGACGCAAGCATGATGATGACGGCATTGAAACAGTGTGTGGGGTGTGGCGCAGCGCAACCTGTTCCATCTGATGGGCTGGCTGGACGCGCAACTGTTCCGCAGAGCTGCAGCCATGCGCTACGGTGGCGCCTCGGATGCAGAGCCCTACACAGACCCCGGCAAGGACCACTGGCGGAAAGTTGTGGTGAGCTGCTCTCACTCTCCCTGTCTAATTTTGCTACTCCCAAAGAAGAACAGTCTAGGCCAGTACAGCAACTTCTATTTTCTGAATAGTGGTGGATTGTGAGCCATTGGTTGAATTGCTGCGCGCAGGAGGCCTCGTCCTACACGCCAGAGCAGAAGCAGGGGCTGCTGACGGCGCAGAACGTGCTGTTTGCGCGCATGCATGAGATCCTGGAGGCGCGCGAGGCCATCATGAACACGCTGCAGGTGGGGCCTCTTGGCCATTTTCCTCAAGCTGCGGTCTCTTTTGAATTGTATCAAAGGACTAGCAAGGTCATCTGATTCAACACATGTGGCTCGTCTGGAAGGGCACCGGGCTGTCATACAGATTCCCTGGCTTTCTTAAATTCAACGAGATTCAGATATAGGAATGTTGAGAGCTTTTTTGTGTTGCAGGCAAACTTCCCCTGCGCTGAGACGGAACACAAGAACGCGCCGCTGTATGTGCAGGTCAGGCGCCCTTTTGTACCTGTGATTTCACCTACCTTTTCCACTGGCTACTGCAGCAGATCGCTTTTGCGCGTGCCATGAGCAGATAGAGTTTTGTGTGAGGACCATGTGCTGCGGTGCTGCGGTGCTGCAGGCGTGCAAGGCGGCGGATGACCTGAAGGCCAATCTGGAGGAGGAGTATGTGGCCGTGCGCGAGTTCATCGTGGAGTTTTGCCGCTGCATGGACTTTGTGCAGCACGCCAAGATGCTGGTGGCTGGATGTACGCCCCTCCCCACCCCTGCCTGCACATTGCACCCTTGCCTGCACTTTTGACCCATTTCTTGACCAATACATGTTCTCATTTTGTGCTCCTGGGCCGGGGACTGTTGTGTTGCTGCTGCAAAAGCTTGTCTTGCGAGGCAGCCGTTTCTCTTTTATCTGGCGCTCGCTGACCGTGATGTGTACATCTCTCAAGTTCAACTGACAGTGAAGTGACACTTGTCATCTGGGGGTTGCAGATCCGTACACGCCGGACGTGCTGGCGATAACAGGCATCCTGCGGGAGGAGGCGGGGGCCCCGCAGAACATCAAGAAGGAAATCCTGCTGGAGTCCCTGCCGGAGGCCAGCCCCTTCAGGAACCTCAGCAGCGCCCTTGCCTGATGCCCGATGCCGTCAACAGAGATTCCTTACTTAGAGACCTCTGCCTGATTATGGTTGGCCATCCCCTAACGCCCACCCCGGCAGACCCGCCCTGTGCCGGCTCTGGCCTGAGCGCGCTGCGAGGGGGCGACAGCCAGTCTCCTGATGTGGCTGTCAGTCCTCTCGCCGGCGTGCTGCAGGCAGGGCGGCGGCGCAGACCCACCATGTAACTTGCTGCTGTCCACCAATTTTATGTTGCATGGACGTCTTGGAGCAAGAGAAGGATGCAGCTGTGCTGTGTGTTGAAGAGGATGGTTGGAAGCAGATGTGCAGAGGACAACTGCACGAGATACATCAAGAAAGTGGTCAGACACTGCTAGCTGTTTTTTGGAAGCCCTTCGCTGCTGCATGGGGAAGCAATGGTGTGATGAGCATGATGAATTTGTGGACTTTGCACATGTGGCGTGTTTCCCATGTGAGCTGACTGCCTCATCTTCCATGCATTGGAGGTTTGAATAGGGCTCTTGACCGCTCTTGTGACATGATCATGTTCTTTTCTGCTAGGAGCCTCACTACTGGCCGGGTTGTTGGTGGCTGTGGAATCTACAACAATTACAATACAATTTTCCATTGCATGCTGGGACAGTCAAGGTGCTTTGCGAGCGTGTCATATGTCAGAATGCATGACGAATGTGCGCTTGTGCTTGGAGTAGCTGTTGGTCCCTCGCCAAGTTGTCCATCAACAGGTCTGCACTGCAAGATTAGCCACCAAGATGTGTATGCATATGGAAGCCCAAGCCTAAAAGGACAATGTGCAATGGTGTTTTTTCTAAAGGTGGCAGCTGTGTGTGAGACCGTGACAAAGCACAAATATATTGTTGCAATGCTTTGCAAGTTTTTCATGCGCTTGGGGCGCTGACACCTGCCAGCTCATACGTAGACACCTTGGCGCCAGATGGATTTCCATGCCGGCCCAGGAATTGCAGAGCAGGCAGCCAATTGTGCTGAATTTCCTTCTTCTTTCAGTGTCAGCACTTGTTAGTCGCATGTGTTGAAGGCTTCAGGAGTCCTTAAGACTTCAAGTCTTAAGCACAAGTTGTGCTGGATGTGCCTGAGTATTTGCTTTGTTCTTTAAATGCGTTCAAGACGGCAAAGAGGCTGGCAGCTTGCCAAGTCATGATCATGCTATTTGGTCTACATCAGTGTGCCTGTATTAATGCCACAGACATGCATGTTGTACAAGCAGAACTGACTTTGGTGCTCTTCAGCATCGTAGTCTTGCTATTACGTGATACTGATACTGATCTGTGCATCTGTTGAAGTTAACACCATCTTCACAACGCATCGATCATATATATCTGTCACCTTACACAGCAAACTCTACCGCACAGAGCTGGGCACTGCCTTTTGCTGTGGCAACTTGTAAGATGCCACGTAGGGATTGCCGCTAGGGGTCACTGACATGGTGTTGATCACTCGCCTGACCTAAAGTGATGTCAACAACACTTCCAAAGCAGTCACGGCATTTGTGCCCAGATGCCCATGCCTGATCCGTAAGCAACACTGCCTCCTCCAAGTACTATTGAAAGGTTGCAGCTGCAGTAAGCAGCGTACCCCTATCACATTTCCATTGACATACACAAAACACTTCCCTGTATAATCTGTTGGTACTTAGCATTATTAGAGCAACACAAAAGGGCATGTTGGCCCCCTCGGGTGAGGCGGCTGCTGTACATCAAATAAATTGTTGGACAGTACAAACAAATGCCTGGCTTGCGTGCGGGCCTCAGGATATGACCATGTCTGGCGAGCAGGCTTGAGAGCCCAGCTCTGGCCCTCAACATCAAGAAACCAGCCCAAGTATAAAAGTCAACCAACTGTAGATGACAAACCCAGATCCTGCAAATTGAAGACACCCACACCCGCTGAGGGTAGAGGACGCCTCCAGCAAACAGAAGTGGGCACGTCGAATTCCAATAAAAGTGACCGGACGGAAAAGTGTGGAAACGCCCTGTCTGCTCCTCGGCCAAAGTTGACGGCCTCATGTACAAAGCGACAAGGGCTCAAAACTGACGTCTATCTGTTCCTGCCACCTGATCGAGGCTGCGCGTGAATCGCTATGTCACACCAGCCTCGTCTAGTTGGCTAGGCTGATCCGCCTCCCGCATGCATTGGCAGAGGCTCAAACATCAGCCGGTACATGCATGCAAACCATGTGTCATCATGCCATCCTCCCAGTGGTGCTGTGGCAGACTGCAACGCCCTTCTCAATATCAAGTATCCAGTGCCTCTATCTACGTTATTACCTGCCCATGATGGCAGAAGATCCAAGCAAGCCTCCCAGAGGACAGCCTCTGGGCGAGCTCTGCTGTCCGACTCCATGCTGCATGCAGTCTACAGTGCTTCTTTCTCTCTCTCTTGGCATTCTGTGTGTCTTGGCACACGATGATGATCGTCTAGATCTCTGAGCAGGGGTGGTGCGTGGCTGTGGGGTGATGATCTGCGCTGCAACATCAGGCGATGGAGCGCAGCATGCGGTGCAGGTGGGAGGCGAAGGCGCGCTGGTCCTGGGCGGATTCGGCGGCAGAGCGGCCGCAGAGCACAGTGGAGGCACCGAGGCTGGCGCCGGCCTTGACCTTGGCGACGAGGCGCATCTTGTCCATGGAGTTGATGCGGAAGCAGCCGTCGATCTTGAGCTCGCTCAGCAGCGGCAGCCGCAGCAGAGCGCTCACCGCGTCGTGCGTCAGCGCCGTCGCGCCGCACAGCGACAGCCGGAACGGCTTCGCCTCCCGGCCTGTGAACATCCGCAGCACAGCGTCAGCAGGGCCAGAGGAAACCGCGTCTTGAGCTCAGACAAATGCGCCTGTCATCAAGCATCCCTGCTCTGCATGCCGAGACTTCTGCTAGCCGAGAGGCAGCTGTGGGTCTCTTGAGCACCGTCAGACAAGCGCGACTGCTGTCAAACCACGCTGCTTAACATGTCATGTGATACACATGAGCTCCACCTGGAGATAAAGCTGGATGCCTCATGATCGACTGCATTCACAAATGCAAGAGTGCAAGAGAAGGGTGGTGAGCGTGGGCATAGAAGAGCAGAAGGGAGTGCATGGGGGAGGGGCGTGCCTGCGCGGGCGTTGACGCGGTGGCAGATGGAGTCGACGAGCGCGCGGACGCCCTCGTTGTCGAGGTGGCTCTGGCTGGCGCGGTTGATGGCGGGCTGCTGGTTGTACATGAAGGAGTTGAGGCGCAGCTCCGTCAGCGGCAGCATGCCCAGCGCGTGCAGCTGCTCCGGCTGCAGCGCCATGTTGCGCGGCGTCATCTCCAGCGTGCGCAGGTTGCGTGCGGCCAGCAGGCACCGCACCGTCTCGTTGACCGCCTCCGGGCAGGACGAGGTGTAGCTCACCTCCTCCAGCTTTGGGCTGCAGCAACACAGAGGCACATTGTCTCAGATCGAATTCTATCCGTCCTAGCAGGCCTCACTATGCGTAATTAGGCTTGCCTTACCACCCCCCACTTCCACATCCAACACTATGTGGGCATTGGAATAGAGAGATATCCTTGTAAGTCAGTGGGGGACTGTGAAATAACGCAATCATAGGAGGAAATGGCAATCAGGATGTTTCTTACAGAAATTGCGGACACAGATGGATGTGGTTGGTACGGCAACGTACCAAAAAGTGGTGGCAACGCGCATCAGGCTGGGAGGCCCGTCGTAGGTGAAGGAGCGCAGCTCGGACACCTTGGCCAGCAGAGCGGCAGCGCTCATGTCAACCTTGCAGCCCAGAATGCTCAGGGTGCGCAGGGCCTTGGCCCTGCTGACGCTGGGGCTGCTGAAGCCCTGGCCCTCCCAGCAGCTAGGCAGATTCTCCAGGTGCAGCACTTCCAGGCGAGGGCAGCGCTCCAGCAGGCCGGCGATGAAGCCCCCTCGGACGCGGGGCAGGTTGGTCAGCCGCAGGCGCACGAGGCGGGGGGTGAACAGGGCCAGGCTCGCGAAGCCAGCGTCCGTGACGGTGGAAGTGTCCTGCTCAGCAGAAACGCCACCGAATCAGCTTCCCCGCCCCCGACTTCAGGCGAAAGGAACCAGCTTGAGCGATCATACAGGCACGTACCTTGACCTCGATGGATACCAGCTTGTCTCCGGCAGCTCTGGCGGCCTCCAGCAGCGTGACATCCGTGATACCCTCGCCGGCCAGAACGACCTCCGTGTAGCCGGTGAGCAGGCGCGCGGCGGACTGGAAGAAGGCCTTCTTGGCGGCCGTGCTGGACTTCCGGAACGTGAGCTCGGCAGGCGTCAGGGGCCGGCCCACCCTGTTCCTGCCGCAGGCTCGCAGGGCGTCGAAGTGCAGGACGCCTTCCTCAAGATGACGCGCTACATCCCGCCACTGCTTGCACACGCCGCACATGGACATGAGCGACACCAGGACAGCCTGGCTGTCTGGCTGCTGCACCAACCGGTCAGCGACATTCTTGATGACGGCGTCCGGCAGGTGCATCCTTTCCCCAGAACAAATTCCCCCCCCAACAAAAGCAAGTGACCACCCAGCTCGATCGAAACCCTGCCGCAGTTCAACAGTGTGCCCCTCCCAAAGCTTCGGCTGTGAGCCTGGTGAGCGACAGTTGCACCGGCAGGACCGAAATATTTGTGACTATCCGAAGTTATGGATTCTGGTGATGATTGACTGATGAGCTCAGCGTCACTGATGTCATCATCCGGCTTCGCGGCAGTGCCAGATTCAGTGACAGACAGAATCCTTTTGTCACAGTGACAGACGACGGGGATGAGGGATCACTGCTCAGCGGTAATCATGGGTGAGCTGCCCTAATCGGGGAGCTGGTGACAGGGAGAACACTTGCGAGCGGACTTATTCATGAGAGCGCTCAGTGACGCATGCATGGCACCGGGCCGGCGTTGTGCGAGCCAGCTAGATTCAACTTGAATATCATTTGCAAGTTGCCCTGTGACTCACATCGGATGCGAGTCTGTCAAAGAAGAGATGAAGTCCATGCAGTCAAAAGATCACTGATGTTCACTGTGATGATCGCTTATGAAAATATGCATGCCCATGGGCATGCCATGTGCGCAAGATTGCAATGTTGATGTACATGTTGACATCAGCAGCGCTGCTGGCAGCCACAGAGTTTTCATGATCATGCTGGTGATCGAGCAACTTCAAGTTGAAGTTGGCGAGTGCCGCTGCAGCAGCGCACACAAGTAATTACTCGTGCTTCAAGCATCCCAATGCCAGCGGAACGGTGGGCCAAGAGCCCTCGAGGCGGTGAGAATCATCAGAATCAAGGTGTGATGCAGCCTGCGGGACGAAAGTATCAGGTGTGCACTGAGGATTTAAAGATGATCCGCTTGGAGGAATCTACCGAACATGGCTTTGAAGGTTTTATATCAAGAAGAGGGCATCTGATCAATTATTACAGCACAGTGACCATTGGCCACACCTGGTACTATTATCTCAGCGCCTTCCCAACACATCACAGCATTGAACAAAGACATCTCGCGAAAAGACTTCTGCCAGGTGTCCAGCATATGCGGCAACACAAGCAGGAGCCCAGACCAGAACGACAGGCACAGCCGCACGCCACGTGCGCGACAGGCAGGAAGACACGCAGAATTTGCTAGGGTACACGCGCAGAAGCAAGAAAGGAAACGGCTGCGCAGCCGCGGCGGCTGCAGTCACGGGGCAACTCAGGCGAGGCCGGGCTGCTGCACCGGGGCCTGCTGCGGCTGTGGGGGCGCCATGGCGGGGGCGGCAAAGTCCTTGACGTAGCCCTCCTTGTCCTTGCCCATGCCCTTGTCGAAGGAGGTGTCCTCGTCCTTGGGCGCGTGCACCACCACCACGTCGGGCATGGTCGCCTTGGGGCCGGACTTCCCGGTGGGGTCGTGGTTCTTCATGATCCGCACCTGTGCCAGGACCCGCCGAATCAGCATACCGCACCATACCCTTAAAAGATTGTGATGATGGTGCAATCACCCTCAAACACCCGCCAACCTGCTTGCATAAACTCACAAAAGACAGGATGCAGCCTAGGAGGTTTGTTCTGGCCATAGGGTGCCAACATGCACCCTGATGGCTACATGATTTCTGTGATGACCAGCAGTATGGAACTGTGTCCAGTCACTCACAGTGCACATGGGGAACACCACAGCAGGCAGGGCTGTTGCAGTGTCAGAAGAAGAGGTGAACAGATGGGCACCTTGATACCGAGCACGCCCTGGCGCAGGAGCACGTGGCGCACAGCGCTGTCAATGTAGTCATTGACGGGCTGGCCGGAGGAGATCATGTAGCCGTCCTTGAACTTCATGGCCTTGGCACGCTGGGCGCGCAGCTTGCCGCTCACGATCACCTCACACCCCTTGGCGCCGTTCTCCATGATGAACCGCAACACACCGTAGCACGCCCTGCCATGTCACATTCACGCTCAGCCCAGAATGCGACCACAGCAAGGAAACAACAAAACAATGACCCAGTGATCTGCAGATGCAAGCCGAAAGGAAGGAAATTTTACCTGCGCACGGCAAGGCCTCCCAGCAGCTTGTAGCGCAGGGACTCGGCCTGCGCGATGGCGCACAGCCCGCGGTTGGCCACCTTCTCTGCGTACAGCTCCACGCTGTTCTCAGGGAACTTGAACCGCTTCTGCACCACCGCTGTGAGCTCCCGAATTCTGCGTCCCTTCACGCCTGCAACGCCACAGTACCCGTATTTATATCTCCACAAGCACAAGAAAGACCGTGACTCGTGTCCTCAGCAAAGCAAGAAGAAAATGCACAATAACATGATCAGAGGAATGCATGTCGACAGCTGATCCATTGCAAGATTTTCAACAGATTATAAATGATCACTTGTAAGAAAATCCAGAACCTCGAGCTCACCTAGCACGTTCTGTGTTCTGGTCGCCCTGATGATAATCTCAGTGCGCAGCGGTGTGACACGGACCTCCACGCCGGAGTACCCGTGCTCTGCGAGCTCCCTTGTGAAGAGCTCATTCAACTCGGCGTAGAAAACACCGTCTGCTACGAACTGCAGACACAGACAAGTGGTCAGCACGTCTTTCCAAGCCCTTTGAAGAGGAACGGCCCATCCATCGCAGCAGAATAATGCTGAGTTCCGTCTCTGAATTGCCAAAAGCAGCATATGCCCTGATCATGGCTCACCTTACGCTTCTTGCTGATGGCAGTCGCCATACTGTGCAAAGCTCAAGGATTCTCCTCCTCAATAAATCAGATCCCAGTCACCTGATGCACGGCACCACCTTGCAGTCCTGCAAAGTGTGTATATCAAATATTGAGCGGAGGTTCGTGCTCACTTGGGACAAGGTGATGGGAAGGCTTGGCAAGGATTGTTGCGGCTGCTGAGGGCCAGGCGGACGGCGGCGTTCCTGCAAATTGCGGGAAAGCTCAGCACAGCAGGGCATGCAACGTCCTGTCTCGGGCTTTGGAAATCCAAGAAATCGACTGAGCTGTACTTCGTGTAAAACGTTTCTGTAGCTAGCCTTTGGAATTGCAAAGGCAGGCTTTGATGTGGCGATGAAATTCACGTAGGACTTGCATACTAAACAACAGAGTGCCATGACAAGAACGGTGGATGGCCCCCATCAGGGCCGCATCGTGCAAATCGAGGTTGATAACTTCAAGTCATACAGGGGAAGACAGATTATCGGCCCTTTCTATGATTTCACTGCTGTCGTGGGAGCGAATGGAAGTGGCAAATCCAATCTTATGGATGCCATCAGCTTTGTCTTGGGAGTCAAGACAGCTCAGCTGCGAGGATCCCTGAAGGAGCTGCTGTATCTCAATTCCGAGGGCAAGGACGAGGAGGACAGACCCAGGAGGGGCTATGTGAAGCTGGTATTTCAGACATCTGATGGTGAGGAGGTGCACTTCACGCGTGCCATTATCCCCAGCAGCGCGTCAGCTGATGCGTCCTACCAGTCGCAGTACAAGATCAACGACCGCAACGCCAGCTGGGAGGCATACAACAACAAGCTGAAGTCATATGGCATCTTAGTGCAGGCTCGCAACTTCCTGGTGTTCCAGGTGATCCCCTGTCTCGATCCTTTGATGCAGGTCACCATACATAGAAATGCTTGAGCTTAAACTTTTGTGCTGGTTCTTTGCTCCTGCTCGTCCTGACTAATCCTGCTGGATGATTAAAGTTGCTTGTATGCAGGGAGACATCGAGTCAGTCGCAGCCCTGTCTCCCAAGGACATGACCAACCTGGTGGAGCAGATATCTGGCTCTGCTGCCTTCAAGAAGGAGTATGACGAGCTGGAGGCCAAAAAGGCAGAGGCAGATGAAAAGACCAGCTTTGTGTTCTCCAAGAAGAAGGCAGTCATGGCAGAGAAGAAGCAGAAGAAGGAGCAGAAGGAGGAGGCTGAGAAGCACCTCTGGATGCAGCGGGACCTTGTGAGTTTGCCATTTCATCATTCCTTGGTGCCAAAGTGAAGATTTGGTTGAATTGAGTGTTCAAAGGAGTGTTCAAATGTGGCTTGACAAGATCTTCGCATGATTGCTGCACAGGAGGCCCTGAAGGCGGAGTACTACCTCTGGCAGCTGTTCCAGATCGAGAAGGACATGGTGGGGGTGCGCCAAGAGGCTGGCAAGCACAAGGAGGAGCTGAATGGTGCGGCCAAGGTGCTGTACAGCTGTGAGTCGAAGGTGGAGCAGAAAAAGAAGGCTGCAGCCGGCTTCAGCAAGGAACGCCTGCTGCTGGAGCGCAAGCACAAGAAGCGCAAGGCAGAGCTTGAGAAGAAGGCAAGCAGCATCATAGCTCTCTTGCAAGTCGTTGCATGTCATTGCTGTTGTGCCGTGGGTGTTCAGCCCACCCTGTGTCCCACACATCACAGCGGCGGCATGCCGCAGTGTTTAGCATTCGTTCATTGCAGTGGTTAGCATCTCTCCAATACTTTGTCATGATACTATGCTATGTATGTACCAAGATGGGCGGATTTGATGTGGTGGATGTGGGGTGAGCAGAGCCCAGACTCAGCCAAGGTGAAGGAGGGGCTCACAAGGCTGCAGAAGCGGCTGAAGGCAGAGAAGAAGAACGTGGAAGACAAGGAGAAGAAGCTCCAGGAGCAGAAGCAGCACATCACCAAGCTCGAGACTGACTTGAAGAACATCACTGATGGTGAGACAGCCGAATAAAAACTCCAAGCATATGCAATAATGCTCACAGAGCATTTTTGATAGCACATGCGAACGAGTGATAGTCTTGATTTGAGAGTTGCTGAATCTGGGCTGATGGAAGCCTCGAGTGTTATGCAGCGCAAGAGCAGCTGGAGGAGGACATGAGGACTGCTTCAAACGAGGGGCAGGTGCACCTAAATGCCCAGCACCAGGCAGAGTTCTACAAGATCCAGGAAGAGGCCAAGTCCAAGACCTCCAAGCTGCGCTCCGACCATGACTCCCTCCAGACAGCCCAGGTACCACATTTGATTGCCGCACGTATTGCACTGCTATTTGTGCCATTTGTCCTTGTTTTGTCCCAGATGTTTGATTGACAAATAGTGCAAGTGATCTTGCATGCGCGCGTGTGAAGTTTAGGCACCTAAGACAAGTGCATGCGTGTCATGTGCAGGACGCAGACGTGGAAGCCCTGAGCAACCTGGAGGACACAGAGAAGGATGTGTTTAGCCGCGTGGCGCAGCTGGATACAGACCAGGCCAGCCTCAAGGAGAAACTCGCCAAGACCCAGGCTGAACTGGCAACAGCCAAGCAGGAGCTGGCCGCCAAGAAGGCCGCCCACACCACCATGACTGACGAGCACCGGCGGGAGCGGTGAGCTTCTTCAAGGGCATCACATCTCACGCCAATTAGAGCTTCATGGATGGCTTCATATTGCAGGGAGTAATTGGCATAAACATGCGATACCCTGCTCAAGATTTAGCGAATGAAGCACCGCCACCTGACCCCTGACATACAGACACTCTGGCAGAGTTGGAAGGTGATCTGCATATGACCTGGGCATGTGTCGGGGTGACTGTCAATCAGTGACCACCAACTTTCCTGAGACATGTGCTGGTGGGTGGGTGGCAGGGCGCAGAGGGACGTGCTGACGCAGAAGCTGGAGGAGGGGGAGGCGCAGCTGCGCGAGGCCAAGGCCGACCGCAAAGAGACCGAGCGCGACCGCCGCATGACCACCGCCGTGGAGCAGCTCAAACGCCTGCACCCAGGCACGCCTCCACTGCCCTAGACATATTCTAAATCTCTGCATGCCCATTCATCTTGCTCCGCCTGTCATCTCCCGAGCGTGGTACTGGCTTTCTATGTACTCCCAGTGCTCTCTGTTGGCTGTGCAATTGCTGATCAGAGTTAGTAAGGTTAATAGATGTCAAAACACAGCGAGCAGCAGAGAATGCTGTTTGACAATGGGCTGCATGTGGCAGGGGTGTTTGGGCGGGTGACTGAGCTGGCAAGGGTGAGCCAGGCCAAGTACAACCTGGCAATGTCGGTGGTGATGGGGCGCGACCTGGACGGCGTCATCGTGGACACCAAGGAGACCGCGCAGGACTGCATCCAGTGGCTGCGCACCAACCAAGTCGCGCCCATGACCTTCTTCCCCCTCGACACCGTCCGTCCCAAGGCACGCCCTCGTAATTTGATCACTCGCGATGTGTGTGACACAGAGACTATGGTGCTCGTGTGGGCTCCATGGCATTCCTCTGCTGTCCAGAACCGCACACTCTGCTGCTTTGCAGGATCCTGACGCAGCTTGACACACTGTTTGTTTCCACGTCTTGTTCAGCGCCATGTGTGCTAATTCTTGACATTCTCATTGTTGCAGCCGGTGAATGAGCGGCTACGGCTGCTGGGCGGCACAGCCAAGCTGGCCCTGGACCTGCTGGAGTATGACACCTCCCTGGAGCGAGCCTTCCTCACAGTGTGCGGGTGAGTGCTCTTGCTAAGCCCATCCCTCTCCCCCAGCATGTATACATCAAGACCTTGCCAAATGGAGAGGGCTTCAAATGCGGGCATCAGCGCGCTTGAGCTGGCTTCAAAGACGTGACATGGCATGTGCTGTGGTTGTGCAGGAATACGCTGGTCTGTGACAGCGTGGATGAGGCGCGGGCACTGGCGTACAGCGCCAACGAGCGGCACAAGGTGGTCGCGGCGGACGGCACCATGATCAGCAAGAACGGCTTCATGACCGGCGGCCTGACCGGCAACGAGTCCGCGCGCGCCTCCCGCTGGAACGACAGCGCTCTGGACGGCCTCAAGCAGGTATGCACTGTGGCTTCCTGTTGATCCAGATGTATTTTTACGGGGCACCTGGATCTGCATGCTGTGCACATCGTGGTACTGCAAGACACTCAGGAGCCATTCACAGTCCTCTTATCCGCTGAACTGATGGATCTGAGCTTGACTTTGAGACGGAATGTTTGAGGTGATTGGGTATATGTGGATCAGGAGCGGGACAGGGCGGCAGAAGAGCTGGAGAAGCTGCCCTCCCAGCGCGATATGGTGCAGGTGGAGCAGCAGCTGGGCTGCGAGATTGCCGGCCTTGAACGCGATGTGCAGTTCAAGACTGGCGAGCTCAAAGGTGCATTGCTCGACCCGCATCCCTGAATGAGCACTGGCAACCCCTGATCTGTTGCGCACAGCTTTTTTCTGCCTGGCTGGAGTGCCCATGGATGTTGGCATATTGATCAAGATAAAGTAGGTGTTGGTCCTCCTTAGTGCTGGCGGACTGTGTTGACCTGTGCAGCCACCGAGCAGAGGCTGAAGAACGCAGCCAGCGAGGCGAAGGCGCTGCGCGAGGAGAGCCACAGGAAGCTGCCGGGCGCCACAAAGCTGCGCAAGGCCATCGATGACCGCGCCAGGAAGATGGAGGGCCTGCAGAAGAGGATCAATGAGATCGAGGACCGCATCTTTGCAGCCTTCAGCAAGAAGGTGTGCTTGTGTTCCTCACGGGTCCAGTGAACATTAGGCGCACATGTCACTGTACACAAGAACGAGTATTCCAGTGACTGCAGATGGCAAACTTCTGAAGCTGACATGTGAGGATCGTGCTCAGGTTGGCGTGGACAACATCCGGGAGTACATGGAGCAGAATGCAGCGGCCACAGAGGACTTCACCAAGAGGCGCATGGCCCTCACATCTCAGGTGACAACGTACATCACTTCGCTTCATTAAAACTCCTCTCAATCTCTGCAAGATGATCCTCGAGGATAGCAGGAGACCCACCTCCCTCAGATGAATATTTAACATGCATCGTAAGCAGAAGGAAAACGAAAAGGGAAGGAAGTTGTTATATAGATGTTATTTACACTGGCGTGCTCAAGACTCGAACCACGGACCAGTGGGACATTATTACTCCATGACTCGACCACTACATGTACATCTCTGCAACAGAGCTCCCCCCTGCACACCCCCATGATGATGATTTGCTGTGCAAGGTTCTATATGTAGTTGACCGTGCACCCAACACAGCAAGATGGAATACTTGAATATCATTCATGTCAGCATTTCCACAAACTCTGAGCCATTGTCATCACGTCTCCTCGCTATAAACCTAGTTGCTGCTATCCCTCATCGATCGGACTTGTCTCACCCAGCCGCAGTGCAGGAAGTATATTGCACAGAAGATCGTCTTCCAGGTAGCGACAACACACCCCGACAGGGTCCCATGTTCTAATCATTCTGGAGCAGCATAAGCAGTGCATGTGATCACCTATGGGCGTCACTCGGGAAATACTCAATTCTTACTGGCCATAACCTTCTTTCGCCGTGAATAGGAAATTGTACCCTCAACACTAACCCCTCATGCGCTTGCCAATTTCCCCATACATGTGTCCGAATTTCACCATGACAAACAGCAGGGTCCGCTCATCAAGCGCCTCTTGTCTGTGCAGGCAACAAAGCTGAAGCACCAGCTGACGTATGAGCAGCGGCGGGACCTGAAGGCGGACGTGGCGGCGGCCAAGGCAGAGGTGAAGAAGATACAGGAGAACTTGGAAAAGTTGGAGGCGGAGGCGCGAACTGCTGCCGAAGCTGCAGAGTCTGTGGAGCAGGAGCTGGCTGCAGAGGTGCGCAGTGACCCACAGTCCCCCAGCTCCTCCTGTTTTGCACCGACGTTGACGCTCCCTACGAGAGGGTAGCATATGCCTGCTGCAACACATTTGGGACTTCCTGTCTCTTTGTCCCATGCTTTTGGCGTACCTGTAGAGTACGGCACCTCGTCAATGATACCAGCTGGAAACGTATTTATGCTCTTGCAAAGTCTTTCACCACTTGCTGTGTTTGGTGATGTCATGCCATGTTGAATAAGAACCACTTGTGCAGTCGCTTTGATGCGCTGGATGCAAAAAATGTTGCTTGAGAATTCTGAAGCCAGAGGTACGCGCGTGCAGACGGCGCGCATGGAGGAGCTGAGGGCGCAGGCGGAGGCGGCGGAGGCCGAGGTGCGCGCGGCCAAGAAGGAGGTGGCCCGGCACCAGGCGGAAGGCAACGCCGCTCGACGTGCGCTCGCCGCCCACGAGGCCGCCCTGGAGGCCCTGGCCACCAAGCGCTCCGATCTGCTCGAGGCCGCACAAATGGAGCAGGTGCATCCCTTGCCCTCTTCCCCTTCACACCAGATTGCCTGCCTTTATTTTATTCACAGGCAGGTTCAAGAGTGGCTTTTCTTAAGTTGAGCAGCGGGAGTCATGTTGCTAAGTGCGGTGCAGGTGGCGCTTCCGCGCAAGGGCGACAAGGTGCGGTCCATGGACAATGAGGACGAAGAGGAAGCAGAGGATGATGCAGCAGAGGACGGCGCAGACGAAGGTATAACATGGCCTACCTGTCTTGACCCTTTTCTCTTGCAGCACCACAGCACTGCTCCCAGAAGATTCTGGAGCAAAAGCAGCTAGACCTTTGATGACGGGGCTGAATGGCAGACAGGTCCCTGTGAGCATGCATGACCTGGTGGGATGGGAATTTACTTGCAGATGAGGAGCGGGCGGGCACCTCGGGACGCTTCAAGCTGGACTTCTCGGGGCTGAAGCGGCAGCTGACGGCGGCGCGCTCGGAGGCCGACCGCGAGTCGCTGCACTCCGACTTCCGGCGCGAGATCGATGCGCGCGTTGCCGCCCTCGCCCACGTCGCCCCCAACCTCAAAGCCCTCGAGCAGTTCCAGGCCGTCAAGGTGAACATCCTCACCCCTACTGCTAATTTTTTTGCCTACTCGGACCCCTGCCAGCTTACTTTCTTGTGGCCTGCCTCTGTTAAGCTCGGACATGCTGCCCCGGTGCTGCTAAGCACTGCAGCAAGGGACCACCTGCCTGGAGAACTTATTAGTCTACATAATGGACTCTATGCATGCATATTTCATTGAGAGATGGGCGACACTTTCCATAGTTGCCGGCGACCAGCAGACCCCTCTCTAGGTAGATGGTATTTTTGCAAGGATGCTGCGCGGAGCTGAAGCTGGCTGGGGTGGCGGGTGCAGGCGCGGGAGCGGGAGCAGGAGGTGGTGCTGGAGGCTGCGCGCAAGGAAGCCAAGGCAATCGCCAAGGCATTCAACGGCGTGCGCCAGCAGCGCTACGACGCGTTCACGGCCGCCTTTGAGCACATCGCGTCCGTCATCGACTCCATCTTCAAGGACCTCACACGCAGCAGGTGCGCCCAAGTCATTGCTCTGCACACCTTCCACGCCCCTGTCCCCTCTCCGCTACGCCACAGCTTGTAGCAGCTTGGCTCACACCACTGCACATGGTGACATTGTCAGCCGGATGTACATCACTTTGGGGTCGAGGTGTTGCGTTTAGGTATCTGTATTCCATGGACCCAAAGGCACCAGCTTGTTCCCTAGGTATAGCAATCTATCACATGACATTCAAAGCAGGGATGCAATATTAACTGGTTAAGTTTTCTGGGGAGCAGCGTGCACCCGATGGGCGGCACGGCGTACCTGAGCCTGGAGAGCACGGACGAGCCCTTCCTGCACGGCATCAAGTTCACCGCCATGCCGCCCACCAAACGCTTCCGCGACATGGAGCAGCTCTCCGGCGGCGAAAAGGTGACCGCCCGCCCTTTTGGAATCTTTACTCGTTATCATCTCAGAATACAGAACCACCCGCTCTGACTGAGCTGCTGAACAAAATTCCAGCGATCACTTCTCACCAATTTGCTGGCTAAGATTTTCTCTTGCATGCCGTCTGCTGTTGTGCAAAGCTTCTCAGAGTGGGGCTGCCACAGGGGATTTTCAAGGTTGGCCTTTAGCTGGTTTTTCATGTCTTTCTGAGTGCATCCCCAACGTCAGTGCGCTTGGAGCAGCTGCATCTTCTGACTACCAGCATGACTTGTCAGGGAGGCTTTCTGAGGGCGTGTGCTGTGGCTGTGTGCAGACGGTGGCGGCACTGGCGCTGCTGTTTGCGATCCACTCGTACCAGCCGTCGCCCTTCTTCGTGCTGGACGAGATTGACGCGGCGCTGGACGCGACCAACGTGGCGCGCGTGGCCGACTACATCCGCGCCAAGACGCGGCCGGCCGCAGCCGCGCGCTTCCAGTCCATCGTCATCTCCCTCAAGGACAACTTCTACGGCAAAGCCGACGCCCTCGTGGGGGTCGCGCGCGATGTCGACCACTGCTGCTCCGCCACCTACACTTTTGACCTCACCCGCTTCGGCGCCGGCTGAGCCCCCGGCGCCACAGCGCCTTCCACCAAAGTGCAGCGCTTCCTTGGCAGCAGGAAGTAGCTGGCAGATGCGAAGGAGAGTGTCTCTGCACCTTTCTGAGTGTGTACATTTGCAATGTTGCCAGACTCTAACGTGCACTCATGGCGGTGGCACGGTGGTCAGAAGAGGGGATTATATTGACAGTGTCATCAGCCTAGAGCTCTGCCATAGTGTATGCATCAAGTGATCCACAAACGCACCCCCTCATCTACCCTCCAGAGTTGAGGAGTTTATAGGGCCTTGGGGCCTGCTCAGCCCACGTGGGGCAACATGTCATTCTCAGAGTGTCAGCCTGCGGGCGCCTGCTCTGCTGTGTGAAGATGGTTGTTCAGGAGGGGACGCAATTTGACATTCATGTTCTCTTGCGCTGCCGAATAGATACTTTTTCAGCCTCGCAAAAGTCCGGTCTGTGCATGTGTCCTCCGTCTGATTTTGTCCTCCGTCTGATTTTGCACAATCACAGGGGAATGCCAAGAGGGGTTCCCGCACCCACACCCTGCTGCATGGTGCAGTTTGCTTTGTGCTTGAGAGCGTTTTGAACCTTTATGAGCTTCGTGGTGCTGTAGGATTTGTGTATATGTTAAAATGAACTGAACAGTGAACTCCTAGGAATACAAAGGCTGAATGGCAAACTTTATGGAAAAGGCACTGTCAACTTATGAAATGCAGCAGTACGAGATATAGGTGTCTTGTAGTGGACACGTGTGGAACATGGCACGCATATGCATCAATTTGACTGTCGACATGGACGTCCATGGTATGCTGAAGACCGGGATACTCACAGCATCATACAGGAATTCCGGACAGGTCTTGAGAGCGGATCCACTTTCACCAACATTATGTCCATAGCTCATGACAACATGAAACACGGATGCGTAGCATGTCCAGCTAAATACACCACAAGTGCAATACTGCTCATGAGCGATACAGTGCTCATCAGCGGCTGACAATACTTGCAAAAAAAAAATTGTTGTGTCTTCCCAAAATTGTACAAGCCTTGCGCGTCCTCAGCAGTCAGCAGAAGTTCAGGTGCACAGATGCACAGATTTGGCTACGGGAATCGTGGTGCTGAATGCTGTTGATACATTGCTCCCAAGAAACGGAGCTTTTCTTGCAGCGCTGCCAGGGTCACTGGAAAGGCACAAGAGACAGGCTGCCTTTCAAGAGTGAGTCTGCCATCATCTCAATCCTCTCCTCTCCCAGCGCATTTGCAAGGGCTTGGAGGAAGATGTTAAAACAAATACACATCAAAAATGCCGACCTGCACAGCCATAGTTGAGGACTTCAGCTCAGCAACAATTTGTAGCTGCCGGCAGTGCTTTTTTCCAAGGAAAAACGCAATCACAATGTCTTCCTAAGTTAAATAGCGTAGACAAAAGGGAGCCAATAGACTCACCGCAGCGCGTCCAAAAAGGCACTCATGTCCTGAAAAGAAAGACACAGAAGCATGTCAGCAACAGGACACTTAGAAGTAGGTCAGAGGCAACCTTTGACAGATGTTCAGACAGCAGATGGGTGCACACCTGATACCGATTGATCGGCTGATCAGTGAAGGTGCGGACATTCCAAAAATCCAGAAACACTGTGTAAAACGCTCTCCACACCGCCATAAGCCCCAGGACACCAGCTGCAGTCACAAAAGGCTCCCCTGTGCCTGTCATCATGGAGAACAAAGCAAGTCACTGCCATATCTGCTCTGCCCAAGATAATGCAGAAGTGGACATCAAGCTTTTGTAATCCATTTGGATCCCTTTAGTCCTTGCTGTCCACGCACCTCTGGCTGCCAGGGGTAGCACGTGGCCAAAGAAGGAGTCCCCAACAAGGTCATTCCCTTCCGCAGCCGTGACCAGGATCAGGTTGCATGCAGCAATCGGCATGGCAATCAACCATGCCCCACTCACCCGCGCCAATGCAGTGGGCAGATCTGCAGCATGTCAATGACAGTCGGTATTAGCTTTGAGCACATGGTCGTGGTGCAACAGACGAGGGTGAAGCTCAAAAGCATGGCTGTGCCGGCGCTAACCAGAGGTGGCCACAGTCTTGTAGCCGCCCAGGATGCCACAGGCGCTGACCCATGACACGCACAGAGTGAATATGAAGATTAGCAGCTCCTCAAAGCGGACTGGGTTGAAGTGCAGCGGCGCCGTCCATCCAGGAAAGTCTGGGAGGAAGAGCAGCGATGTTATCTGCATGTTGAAAAGAGATGTCAAGGCAGCTCACACGTGATGTTAGGGACCAATCCACTAACCAGCACTGCTGTCTGGGTGTGTCAATCTCCATGGGTGAGCCCAGCATAAAGCAGCTTACCTGTTTGTACAGGCAAAAGGATGTGAGCGCAAGGCAATCCCCAACCAACAGCTCACGATTGTCTATCTGGATTGCGCAAGTTTTCAAATTTGCTGTTCTGTCAGTGTAATTCTTCCTCGTCAAGAGGTTCAGTTGAGACGGTTTGTTGCCCAGCAGAGGGCTACCACACAGTGGCTGCCTGGTAAATAATGCTCCGCGTGTCCTGACAGACCTGCATCGAGGGATTTATTTGCATAGATCAAGGAGGCAGCTGAGGCAGACACCACAGATGTAATGCGTCCAAGACGTGTGAAAAAGCACAATAGAACAAGGCAGATCCTCAATGAAATAAGAAATTTTCCAAAAATCAATTCTGCTCTAAGTGTCATGTAGAATAGAGCGAAAAGCTCCACAAATCAAGTGCAGAAATATTACAGGGATGCACACCTCGAAAACGAAGTGTGCCGGTCAAGACACGCAGAAATGGGGCCTCTGCATGCAAAGGAAGCCATGCAGTGTTTGCTCCTCACCCAATATGGCCCTACAACGTCTTTGCGAGACTCTTACTTGGGCATTGTGAGCACGTGAGCCCAGTCAGCCTTATCTGCTATCCCAGCATGGCATGCATCTGAAACTTTCTCCTTAGCAGTCTGTCTTAGAATGGAGATAAGCCAGAAGAATGAGACACAGCTTAACTAGAGTGTCTGCGCCGATATAGCCCTCCCAGAGGGCGGCATGCAACATGCATGCATGCATGCGGTCAACGATTTGGTGCATGTCACCACTGTTCAGGAACAACTTTGCTTGAACGCTGTCTTAACGCTGAGAAGCTATGCCAAAGCAAGGTAGTCTTCGAGCTCTGTTGGTCAATTGCATTAGCAAGCAGTCTATCAGCATTTGCAGAGAGCTAACTATAAAATGCACTATACATAGCACAGCACCGGTGCCCACCAATGCATTTCAAATGACTGCAGTTCATCCTATTGCAAAAGTGGTCTCTGCCGTACGAGATGTTGCCAATTTCAAATTAGATATTTTGGTACCCAGTGCAGTGCAAAGATTGCATGGTATGTCTGTCTAATTTCTCTGTTCTTCAGTCCAGCTATGCTGGCATGCCTACTTGCGCAAGAATAACTCCTCTCAGAAGCCCGTCGACAGTTGGGACTCGAGCCTGGAGATTATGGTCCCCTTCTCCTTCAGCGAGCGGAACAGCTTCTTCATCTCCTGATGGGCGCCCTGCCGCATGTGCATGCACATCCACCCCACCCGTCTTTGCATGCAGTACTTCTTCTTCTTCTTCCAAGCAGTAAACACCAATGCACAGATAGACTGCAAAAGAGCAGTGTGACAGGGATGTCACCTGTGAAGAGCGTTTCCACAGAGCCACCTCTGCCTGCAGCTCAGAGATGGTACGCGCCATCTGCTGCAGCCGGTTGAAGCTGGGCGCTGCATGCACCGCCGGATTCCACGCCACTTTTGTACCCTCATCCTCCGTGACCGCTCCCAGCTCGCTGAGACTGCCCCGTGGACGGCGGGCCTGGCCCTTCGAGGGCGCGCGTCCCTGATGCACCCTGGGAGACTTCCCCTGACGGCTGGTCCCAGTGCTTGAGCACTGCGAGCAGGTGTCTGACGCGTCCTCTGCCGCCCCATCATCCTCTGCCTGAAGCATGCAAGACAAACACTTGGGTCGTCATCCCTTTCTCTCATAATATTCTGTGACCACAATAACAAGGGAGACAAGCTGCAGCATAGGTGTGTTTGGACACTGCTGCGCAGCAATCACAAGAGTGTGGAGGCACACTTGTGTGGTGCTGGAAGCAGCGGCGAGCTCGCGTGCAGCAAGGGCCTTCTCGGCCTCCAGGCTGCGAATGAGTGCGATGGCCGCCGCCATCTTCGCGCGCAGCGCCTCCGTCTCTTGCGCCAGCTTTGCAAGCCGTACGTTGTCATCGCATGTTGCCCTTCCCTTGGCTACACTTGTTTTGCTGTTCTCGCTGTCAGGTGCGCTGCTGACAGGAACACCTGCCACGTTCATGGCCAGCACCTCATCATCAGCAAAGGGTGTCTTCGCTGATGGAACATGCGACAGGTACGCCTCCAGTGCCACATCTGGTCCCCCTGTAGCAGCGCCTTCTGCCTCTGCCACAGAAGTTTTCTCTTGCGTGACCGTCTCAATGAGCTGTGCCTGGGGTGCATCCAAGCTGGCACTCTGACTATCTGTAGTAAGCTCTACTGCCAGCTGCTGCTTGTTCTCTGCTGTCACCTGCTGCTCCCCAATGGCAGGAACATCCCCGACTGCTTTGACTGTCTCATCAGCTGCAGCAGCCGTGGACTTGGCTGAAAACTCTGACTGCTCTATTGTGTCACGCTGCAGGCTGATGCTGGCGCTCTGCTCTGCATTTCCTGGAGGATTGATGTCCACTTCTGCAAGTGGTTCAGTCTGACTGCCTTGTGCTGTTGACTGGATATTTGACTGGGGCCCAGTCACAGCAGCGCTTTGAGTGCTGCGAGCCTGCTGCGCCACCGCCACGCTGTCAGGAATGGGAGCGCCGTCTGCACTGGAGCCTGACCCGGCGCTCTGTAGCTGGGCCTGCCTCCCTGCTGCCGGCCTGCGCTGCTTTGCCCTTGCCAGCCTGCCACAGCCACAGCACTTCACACTTGTCTTAGCATGACGGCAAGGGTTGCAAGCATCACTTCCAAGGGGAACTGCAGTTGATCCAGGCATATCTATGATAGGATGTTCACATGCTGTAAACGGGTGCCCCAACAAATTACTAATTCTCAGAGAAGCACATGTCTGCAGCATCAGTGCGATGTCGAATACACTGTATACTAGTGTGGTGGCGCTTACTTGGCAGTCAGGGCGGCCTTCTCGGCCTGCAGGATGGAGATGTGGGAGGCGGCGGCAGTGGCGTCACCTTCCAGGGCCGTCACTCTCAGCGCTGCCTGCTTCAGCGCCCTCTCCAGCTCAGCACACCTCAGCAACAGCCAATCCCCATCCTCCCTGCGCCACAACCCTGCCACCCAAACATACGCCTGAAGTGTGTACCAATACTTTATTCCATATACTGCACCTTTGCGCAGGGAATGCCAAGACCTCGTTGCATGTCCCATGGGACAGCCTTCTGGCACATTCCTTCTTTCAGGGATTTTAAACAACAAATTGCTTATCTTTGAAGGAAGCAGCACAGGTGTGTCATCAATGCAGAGGACATGGGGGCCTGGGAGGCTGACCTGACTTGTCTTGCCCATCGGTCACGGTGCCCCAGTTGGCATAGATGACATCCGTGATGTCCTCAATCTCCCCTTCATCAGTGTGCCGCCTGCCTGGGGCCCTGCTATCACTATGGAGATACCCCATAAGTATTTAGTATGGAGATAAAACAGGGTTGTGGTGCGTGTATCTTCAATGCAACAAGCACGCAAATAATGCAAGTGGGATGTTCAGTAACGGCTTTGCCACACCTGCTGAAAGCCATGGCGTCCTTGATGCTGGGCGGAGACCAAGGCTTGCCACCATGCACACTGCTGACGCGTCGCTCTCTATTTGTCTCCGCCCCTGCGTCGCGCTGCTCCAAACTGCTCTCAGCCGCTTGCTCCTGCTGCAGCGAGGCCCAGCTTTCCCTGATCTTCCTGGCCATGCTGCGAGCGTGCCGGCCCCTCAGAGTCTTCTCGTGGTCTGACCCGGCCTCCTCTGCTGCAGCTTCAGCGGCGCGGCTGTCTTCTGCTGGCGCTGCAGGCTCCAAAGGCTCTAATGCGTCACTTGAAGCGGTGATCTCAGGTGCAAGCATTGTATACTCTCCCTGCGGATCTGCTTGCTCCGACAAGAGTGCATCTGCCAGAAGTGACCGCATCATCCTTTGCTTTTCTGTAATCTCATCTGCTGAAATTGTCACCTTGCGGGCCTCCACTGTGCGCTCTGCCTGCGAGTCTGCTTGCTCCGGCAGAGTTGCATCTCCTACCGGCACTTGCTTCATGCCATGAATGAATGCAGTTGCTTCACTGCTCGCTGCTGCACCGCTGGGGATATCCACAGGCACGTCAGGGGCTAATGCTACGGGCGGCGGCGCGTCATCGGTCACCCTGCTTGGGCCAGCCGTGAAGAGGGGGTTCTCGGTGATGCGCGCGATGTCAGGACGATCCCTGCCAGAGCGCGGCTCGAAGACCTCGCAGCACAGCACTGCAAAGGCCTCTGGACCCTGCTGCGGCTCTGACAGCGGGTCCTCACTTCCGCCAGCATTGAACAAGCTGTCAGCTGAGTCCACAATAACCGAATCATCTGGGAGTGTAGCAGATTCCCCTGTCGCCGGTGCTGTCGCCAGTGAGTCCTCCGCTACAACAACCGGCAAAGGTGGTTCCTCTGATGCAACCATCTGCCCTCCCTTGTTCACCATCACGGCTTGCTCACTGCTCTCGCTAATATGCAACAGCAGAGTGTCAGGCGCCCCTGCCAGCAACACTGGCCGCGCGTCTGCTGCGACGTCGTTCTCCACCCCTGGAGCAGCACCGTGCCAAGGGGCCACCTCAACAGAGGAGGCTGACCCATCCGCTTCGCTCCCTGGCAGCATTTCAATCGCGGTCAGCCCCAGCATATCATCCGACACCTCCTCGCTGCCGCTGCCCCCTCCGTTGCCGCGCTGCATGTGCTCCAAGCCCAGGCTGGCCGCGTCAGTCTCCACCGGTGTTCCCTCCTTCATTAAAATAGCAGCGGTGTCCCTGACGGGCTCCGGCCCCGCCTGCACGATCAGTTGAAGAACCACCGGCGGCTGTGCAGCCCACTCCCTCTCCTTGCGCCCCTCTGCGTCAGCTCCCGCTGCCACACAATTCAACTCCGCAGCAGTAGGTGGCTCATACAGGAGCGCGGCCTCCCGAGGCGGCTCCTGGCACATTGACACCAGCTGCACCGGCGCAGCGCTGGCAGTCAGCTGAGCCTCCAGTCTGGCGGTCTTCTCATGCTCGGTGATCAGCTGCTGCTGTAGAGTGCCCTGCACCGCCTCTGCATCGGCGGCCGCCGTCTGCGCGCGCTGCAGGCTCTCCTCAGCAGCAGCCAGGGCCAACTCCAGCCGGGCCTGCTCCTCCAGGGCTGTGCGCAGCTGCGCCTCAACCTCCACAAAGACTGCCTCGCTCTGGAACAGCGCTGTCTGCAGCGCACGTACCTCCTCCCGCTCCTTTGTCAGCTCCTCTACAGTCTGGCTCAACTGCTCCTGCAGCTGCTGAGTGACTTTCTCGGCCTCATCTGTATCCGATGCAAGTACCGGTGTCGCGGCTGCGCCATCTGAGTGCCGGCCATTCTGGGCGAAGTGGCGATAGTCTTCAATCTCCACTGTGCCAGACAAGCTGACAGCCTCAAGGAGTTGAGCTGAGACTGCGGTCTCTTCTAGGAAGTAGTTGTGGACTTCCAGATCTGCCGTAGCCGCCACAGGTATGACATCCATCTCCCCCCAATCCATGTTTCCCTCATCCTGTGCAAAGTGGCAATAGTCTGTGACCTCCACTGTGCCAGCTAAGCTGATGGCTTCAAAGAATTGAGCTGCAGAGGCGTTGTCTTCTATGAAGCCATTGTCAGCATCCCGGTCTGCTGTAGCTGTCACAGGTATGATGACATCCTGGGGGCTGGCTACCGAAGCAGAGTGGCTTCGGTCTGCGACCTCCAGTGAGCCAGACACGCTGATAGCCTCAAAGAACTCGGCTGCAGCCCCGTCATCATCCATGAAGTCGTTCTGGGCGGCCGGATCTGCTGCCCCAAGCGGGCTCTCTGGTACCAGGATTGTCTTGCTCTGCGGTGCTGTGGCGTCCCATTTGTTTTCTGCTACGGCTGGTGGAGCGGCCTCCTCTGCCCTTGCACCATAGTTCGCCTTGATGGTGGTCTCGCCGCCCCCGCTGCCTGAGCACAGCATTGCCTTTACAGTATGATTTTGACCTTTTGAATGCATTATTATACAATATACAAATGTTCATTACTCCAGTCAACACAACTACAGGATGTCGGGTTGGGAATGGTGCGGTCTCGCACCTGCAGAGGAGATCGCCGTGAGGTGCTTCAGCCGCAGTTCCATGTCCGCTCGCTGATGCTCTGACTCAGCCAACCGCGCTTGCAGCGCCGCAACCGATGCTTCAGATGCCTTGATCTCCTCTGTGAGCCCAGCTGGGGCCTCATGCCGAAGCTGCTCCTCGCTCACAGGGGATAGCGCCAGGTGCCCAGAATAAGTTTCCAGCTCTGCAGCTACGTCCTGAGCAGCAGTGGGCGCTTCTGCTGCTGTGGAGGTAGACTGCAACAGTTCATCTGGGCTCTGCACATCGGATCTTGGTGCTGCGTCCCTCAATGGGGTGACTGGCCTCCACCCCTTGGCACTGTCAGCTGCAGCCAGGTCCATGACCTGAGCCTGCAGCGTTTCCCGGCGCGTCTCAGAGTCTTCCAAGCGTGCCGCGAGCACCGCGCTCTTGGCATTCGCCATTCTAGTGTCCTGCAATGCCGCCGTCAGCTCACGCTGCCACGCATGCACGCCCTGACCGCCCTCTGCCGCTCCTGCCTGGACCTTTAACTGCCCAGTCGCCACGCCATCCTCCCTGGCAGGACTGTCGGACCAAGGTGCAGCCGAGGATGACGCCAGGTCCAGAATCTGGGCCTCCAGAGTCTCCCTACGCCTCTCAGACTCTGCCAGCTGCGCGCGCAAGGATGCAGCCCTGGCCAGTACAGCCGCCAGGCTGGCGCCACCTGGCATGGACGAATCCCCACCATCCCCACCGCTCCGTGACTGGCGGCTAAGCTCCTTGCTGTCGAATAGCTCATCGCTGAGGCGCTCAGCCTCCTGCTGCGCGCCGGACAGCTGCCCGACAAGGGCTGTGTACACTGCCTCGAGCGCCACAATGTGGCGGGTGAGTGCGGCTGCATGGTCCTCCACCTCCCTCAGGTCGCTGGTCAGCTGCGAGTTAGCAACATCCTGAGCAGCGATCTGCGCCCTGCACTCGAGATTGGTCTCGTCAGCGTCCCTCAGCGCCTGTTGCAGGAGCAGAGTCACTGCTTCGCTGGAGGCCAGCTGGGACGCCCAGTCATCCACCTTGGTGGCCTCCCGCTCAGAGCGGTCTGCCAGCTCAGCTTGAGCTTCTCGGCACTCGGCGGTCAGATCGGCGGTGACAGCGGCATGCTCTGCTGCTTCATCGCGTAGCACGTTCACATCTTCCTCCAGAGCTGAGACGTGGAAGTGCAGTGACATCTGCGCGGCGTCCTGTGCAACGAGCAGCCTGCCCAGCTCGGCTGCATGCTCTTCCTCATCAACCAGACGCGCAAGGACATCTGCTATTTGAGCTTCCTGCTCTGACATGTTCTGCCGGCTCTCTTGCAGGTGCACGCCAGACTCGTGCAGGGCATCTTTCAGGGAATCGCACTCGTCCTGAAGGCAGCCGAGCTTCTCTGTCCAGACGTCCTGCAGGAAGCTGATCTCCTGGACCTGGTCTGCCGCAGCCGCTTCCGCCACTCTGCTTTGATGCAGCTGCTCCAGTAGAGCACTTTTCTCGGCTGCCTGCAAGTCAATCTGGCCAAGCAGACTGCTGACCAGCTGGGCCGTCACTGCCGGCTCAGGAGAGTGCGCCACGGATGCATGTCCAGCAGGCACTGCCGCTGCTGCTTCCAGCTCCTGGGCAACCAGCTGCTGCCGCAAGCTGTCTTCCAGCTCGTGCACTGCGGTGCGCAGGAGTTTTCGCTCCCTGGAGGCCTGCTGCAGCTGCCATGCAGCCGCCTCTCGGCCCTCCGCGGCAGACTGTGCTTCCTGCCTGGTGCCATCGAGCTCTGCCAGCAGCGCTGCATTCTCCGCCAGCACTTTTTGGTGCGCAGCAGAGCTGACAGTGAAGGCCTCCTTGGCTGCTGCCCCCGTTACTGCATTGGAGGCCTCCACCGGTTGCGTGCAGGAGGCGGCGGGTGGAGGGATGCTATCATTGCTGGGGGTGTAGGCCACCTTTGGGGCAGTGTAGGCGCCAAATGTGGGCACGTTGAGGTACTGTGCGGCGCGCTCTGCTGCCGAGAAGGCTTCCATGGCCAGCACGGTCCCCACGTTCATGTAGGGATGCGTCGGCACAGCCAACGTGTCATTCTGAGGCGACACTCCAGGCGCTGACGCCGGCTGCTGCTGTACCAGTGCTGCTGCTTGGTTCTGTCCAAAAACACCATCCAGACCACTGGGGATCTGCCGCGGCTCTTGCATAGCCTGGATGCCCTGGGTCTCTTCAGAGCGTTCAGAAGAAGTCTGAGCCGCAAGTGCTGGACCTGCCCCCTCCCTTGGCTCAAGCATCCCCCCCTTCTCCGCTGTGCCTGCTTGCTGCCCATCCTGCAGCACCTGGTCGGCCTGCAGCTCTCCCCTGGCCTCTGTATCGCCTGCCACATTGGCACCGCTCTCCAGTGGCGGATTATGAACCACTGAAAGCTCCCTCTCTGAGCCAGCATCCAGCGGCTGCCCGGGAGTGATCACATCACCATTGCCTGGTGTGCCATCACTGATGGAAGGCTGCAGGTCTGTACTAATCTGGGGCTGCACAGCGCGCTGCTGAGCCAGATACAGGGCCTGGCGCAGGTTGTTGCGCTCGCTGGCGAGTGTGTTGCAGCGTGTCTCCAGAGCTTGTACTGCCTCCCTCAGCGAATCTGCCTCTGACTGGGTGCCATTGTCATCGGCATGCGCTGCCCGTTTGACGTCCTCCAGGGCGCGGGCCTCCTGCAAATAACAATCAATGATAATGTAAGTGTGCTTGATGTCTCTAGATTTATTCTCCAATTTTCCTATGGGTATAAGACAAGGAGATGCATTCATGAACCAGTTTGCGATGTAAAAACAAGAAGCAGCAAGGTGAACCACAATGTACCTCGAGCTGGCTGCCGAGCGCTGCAGACTTGTGTTCTGCCGCCAGGAAGGCGTCTTGCAACTCGGCACTGCGCAGCTTCTCTGCGGCCAGCTCCTGCTCGAGGCGGGTGCAGGTCTGCTGCAGCGCATGCACCTGCTCCTGAATAGGCTCGCTGGCCGCGTCAGCATCCGCCGCTGTGGCGACTTCTGTGGTCCGGCTCGCGCTATCTGCCGGGTTGTCCTGTACAAGTGAATGTAGAATAAGTCTTGTAAGAATTGGCAGTATCCAAAAGAGCAAAGATAAGTGCAGGACATGTAGCCCTGCCAGGGTGTGGCACACACTGACTGAGTGGTGCGCAAGAATCTTAAGACTTTTGTCTCATTTTTCATTTCACTGAAGGGAATACCTGGGATGAGCGGCGGCTGATGCCTGACAGGGCCTGAAGCAGGCCGGAGCTGATGGCGGCACACTCCTCTCTGGACGCAGCCAGCTGCTGCTCCAGATGCTCCGAGCGCAGCTGTCAGCACCAGGCACTCTGTCAAAATGGCTTGTATTTACGACGGGTGTGCTTGATACCAGGAACAGTCATGCTTGGCAGTTTCGCTGCATTTGCCAAGCGCGACTTTGTCTGCCATCAATATCAGGGTGCTGTTCAGGGTGTGGGACGGGCAAGCACCTGCAGTTGGGCAAGGAGAGTTCTTCTGATCCCTGAGCTTCTTCGCCGCTTTGCTGAGCCAGCAATAGCAGACTCAGGGCTCATGTCAGCGCCCTCTTGGCTGACGATGAAGAGCTGCAGAGTGACCGGGCTCTCTGAGGGCTGAGCAGCAGAGGACAACCCTTCACCTGTGCCCGTGACTGCATCAAGCGTGCCTGTCTGGCCTCCTACAAATGCCACATGGGAGGAACCGGGTAGCAGGGAGTGGTCTTCCTCTGCTGGCAAAGGCAGTCCTTCTTGAGGAGGCACAGTGCCAACCAAAGGCACCATGTTCACCTGTGAGCACCATACAGTTGTACTGTCATGTGCACACTGTGGCAAACAATATTGTCAAGGCACTGCAGCCATAATTTTAGTGGAAAATGGCCTTTACAAGAGCCATTCATGATCATCATGATGGAAGGCTTCATTTCTGGCAGCTCTATGGCGAACAGAACGATAAGAACAGCTGTTCATGCTGTAGCATGGAGTAATGCACCTGCCCCAGATTCTCGCTTTCCTGGTTGAAGGTTGCATGAATTTCCTGCATTGCTTCAGCTGCCCTCCTCCTCCAGTCTGCCACACCTGTGCTGTCTTCGTCTGGCTGATAATCCCCAAAGGAGAAGTCAGCTTCCTGCAGCAGAGCTGCAAACAAAGAGGATTGTCAGGTAGTCTGCAAGTGGACACGTCCTCTGATGTCCCTAATATGGACATGCTCTTGCAATGGTATTACTGTTTATTAGGTATGTAGCACAGAGTCTAAATAAGGTTGCTGTTGTTTCACCTTCAATCTCCTTGTTGCGGAGCATGAGCATCAAGCCCAGTTGTTTTGCAGCTGCCTTGAAGACAAACACTTCATGCTTGAGCTGCGAGACCTGGTCCTCCTGTTCACCAGAAGAGCTGTCCCGACCAGAGCCCTGTGCCACATCAATTCTGTCAGCCTCCTTCTTTTCTCACTGAGCTGGACAATACTGACTCTCCAGGAAAAGTAGGTCAGTAATATTACTGGTCAGGACACTGACCTGGATTGAAGCCAGTTCCATGAGGGATGCCATTGACGTTGTCCTTTCAGGCAGCAGCAGCATGGCCGCCTCAATGCCCTGCTCACAGCAAGTATGTGGGTTCAATAGGTAAGCCCAACAGAGCCCAAGGTCAATCTTGTCCACGTCAATTGATTGCATTCTGCTTGGACGTGAAGCAAACCTGGGCTGCGCTTCTGAGGGAAAGCGATGTTTGCAGAGGCAGCACTCTCTGATGCTCGTGCTTGAACTCATCCTGCATGGTAGTCACCCTTGGGAAATGAAAAAGTGCTTGAGAGTCATGCACCTGCAACTGATTTGTATACTTAGCCACGTAATCAGTGTCATAGAATGATAATTGCATTGGACGCACACAGACCTGCAAGGCTTCATACGCCTTCTTCTCAAGCTCCTCTTCCTTTTCGGGTGGAATCACCGACTTCTGTACGCACAGGAGATCTGTTCAGCGATAAATTTACATAAGTTGCAACCTCACTGAAAATTGTCGGTTACATAGGCCTGATTGATGCTTCACTCTACCTGCCGCAGCATCGCAGCTCAATCAGATGTCTCGATGGCCCAACTGCTCATTTGCAGAATTTGTCTGACGAAGAATTGTGCTGTTTTCTAGGGTGTATTTCTTAGCCCGAAGATCGTCTGTCTCTGCGCCAATCGAGCAGCTACCATGAGATGCGATCGAACTCCTATGATGATTCACACGCTAAAAATAGAAGTGGCAGGGAACGCCTTGCTTTTGCTGCGGGTTGGCCGACTTGCGCTTTCAGTTGCAAGCCTGCATTGCCCAGCAAAAAATGCTGGAGTTCTACTATGAAACATATGTAGTGCAAAATCTGTAGGCGCAAAGATGTCTGCCATCCCAAGTCGGGAGGTGACGTCGGCGCAAGTTTCAGCAATTTCCTTCGGTTTCTACAGTGACGAAGAGGTATTATTTTAAGCACAGCATAAAAGTCAAACCATTATTTTGATCACGACCATTTTGACGTTTCCACATTCTAAGTTCAGCTCTCTTGCCAGTGATAAGTTAGTGAAATTGCCCTTCACTTCAGAAGTGATCTGGCTACTAGAGCAGCTGTTCATTACCATTGAAGGTGTAATGTTCAATCAAACATGCATGTGATGTACTCGACATAGGTCTGTCTGATTATCTATGTGCCTGGATTGCAGATACGCGCACTTAGTGTCAAGCAGATCGTGAGCCCCATTGTGTTTGACAACCTGAGAAATGCAGTACCTGGAGGCCTATATGACCCAGCCATGGGGCCCCTGGAGCAGCAGGGACAGTAAGTGTTTCCTCACAATGTCTCGTGGGCATGCTCATCCTGCAACTGAGGAATCGAAAGTGTACTAGGCACCAGCTGCTAATGACAATCTGCCTGTCATCGCAGGTGTGCCACATGCAACCAGGGCTACATGTCCTGTCCAGGGCACTTTGGACACATTGAGCTGGCAGTACCCGTGTACAATCCTCTTGTCTTCACGTGCGCCTTCCGCTCTGATTTGACACGCACGCTCCTAATGCTATCACCATCAAAGGACAAGTTGGGAGAATACTCTCTCACCTGCACTCACCGCTTGGTCTTGTGCACCACAGGACGATGTATAAGCTGCTCAGATGCACCTGCCTCCACTGCTTCAAGCTCAAGATGCTCCAAACAGAGGTGAGTGCGACCATGCCCAATGCCATGTTCCCACACAGCTTTGGGAGGGTGGCAGCAGTGCAACACTAATGCATGCTGAAATTTCCCAGGTGGAGCAGTACAAGCGGAAGCTGGAGCTTCTGGCGGAGGGGAAGCTGGTAGAGGCGATGCATGTTGTCACTGGAGGCAGCAGCGCCACTGCCAAAGCTGTGGAGAAGATTGGCGGTGATGAACTTGAAGGTGCGCAGGAGAGGCTCTTGACTTGTGCATCATGTACTCTATTTGACCTTTGTAATGCATAAGGCTTTGGGCAGTATTGCCTTGAAAACGCAGCGGTCGTGTCGTGCTGATAAGTCCAATGAAGCATGTGCTGACATGCTGCATGGTCTATTGCAGGTGGGGTGGATCTGATGGACATCGATCCAAAGCAGGCAGGGGCAGAGCAGGCCAGGCTGGCAGCAAAGCTGGCGGGTCTAGGGGATGTTGAGGCTGCAGAGCGCCGCAGCTCCCATGCAGCTGCATCCACCTCCGCCGCATCCGCTCACCGGGAGAAGATGACTTCCCTCTCCCTCGAGGCCATCCGAGAGACCGTGGGCGAGTTCTTCAGGCGCATGCCTGTGCAGCAATGCGCCAACTGCGGCGCTCATGCCCCCGTCTTGAAACGGTAGATTGCCTGGACTTGTTCTGTGCAATCTGTACTCCATCAGACTCTGCTTTGGATGTGCTGTTGTTCTTGCATGTCCATTATGGCTCTGTCCTAATGTATGCAGATAAGATTGGCAGAGGAGATGTGCAGAGATTTTTGGCAGTTAAGGTCTGTGATGCTGTGCAGGGACGGATGCGCGAAGGTATTCCAGAAGCCGCTGGACTTTAAGAAGGTGGAGAAGAACCGATCGAAGGGCATTGAAGTTACCAGCGCCCTTAAGACGTCCCGCAAGAACGAGGTGAGTCTTGAAGCTACACCATGTGGAACATTGAGTGGTTTCAGTGAGCATATTGTTTGTTGTGCTGTTTTGCTGACGCAGTGCATGTACAAAGGTTGAGGAGATGGAGGTTGAGCTGGCGGAGCAGTTGGCGAGAGCCAGTGAGAGGCAGGGGGAGGACCTGATGGAGGAAGATCCCAACCAGGCTTTGGTGTTAAAGCAGTCAGAGGTGCTCAAGGACGCTTCCGAAGCCGCCTCTGCCGCCCAGAGGTGCATTCCCCTCTTTGCATGCTTTCATAGACTTTTGCAGCAGCCACATGATGATCCGCATCTTGGGATTGACGCAATTTTATCCAGAGTTCCGTACGCTGTCAAAAGGTGGGCATGTTCTGCTTGACTGTCATGGCATGATTAGGACAGGTCCATCCAAATCCAATAAAGCAACGCTTTATCGCATTTGATATTCGCCATGGTTTAACTTTCTATCAACCCACTTTTCAAGGTTTTTTTATTGTGAAAATCAAGTTGAAAGGATTTCATTCTTGAAGTAGAATCTAAATCAGTTGCACGTGCATAGGCCGCGGTTCATGACGGTGGCGGAGGTGCGCGAGGTGATGCGGCGCATGTGGACGCGAAACGCCGACGCGCTGTCGCTCATGTACGCGCAGGACTCGCGGCTGCGCATCTTTGGCTTCAGCGCAGGCGCCGGTGGGGCGCAGCCGGGGGCGTTCGAGGATGCGTACAACATGTTCTTCCTGCAGGTCGTCCCCGTGGCCCCCAACCGCGTGCGGCCGCCCAGCTTTATTGGCGACGCCGCCTTCGAACACCCCCACAACATCGCCCTCACCCGGGTGCGCGCACTTTGTTGAAGTGTGGCTGGACACTGTCATGCTTTGGATCCCAAGCTAAGCTCGTCATTATCATCCAGGAAGACGTTTCCGGCACTGCTGCTTTTATATCCCCAATACTCTTATGTGTACAGTATAAGCAGGTGCGTGCTGAGTTACTTCACAGTGCTCACCCCAACACACGTGAATTCTGGCGCAGGTTTTGTAAGTATGCTGTTGTCGCCCGAGCCTGGGTGATGCCTTTGCAGATCATCAATGCAAATCTGGAGCTGGTGAGCCAAGCGGCGGAGCCGGTGGGGGCCACAGAGAAGATTCCGGAGAACAGGGTGGTGCTGCGGCAGAAGGGCCTGGCGGACAGCCTCAGGACATGGCTGGCGCTGCAGGGGCACGTCAACTCCCTCCTCGACTCCACCACTGCCGGCCCCGGCGCCAAGGGCGATGTGCAGGTCTGCCCACCTATTACAGTCCACACATCACCAGGTTCTTTGTTTGCAGTTGTGCAAAGCCCTGATGTTGATGAGAGCGTCCTGAACACGCGACTCTTATGCTTATGCATGCTGGGGACCACGATTGCCTTGCAGTGTTTCTCGTGTTTGGCAACAAGACGGAAGAGGAGCTCCTATAGAAGAAAATATAGCGTTGCAAAGATTGAGCGCGTCTGCAATTTGGGCCAGGGGATAAGGCAGCAGCTGGAGAAGAAGGAGGGTCTGTTCCGCAAGAACATGATGGGCAAGCGCGTCAACTTTGCTGCGCGCTCCGTCATCTCCCCGGACCCCTACCTGGCCGCGGGGGAAATCGGCGTGCCGCCCTACTTTGCCGTGCGCCTGTCCTTCCCCGAGCGCGTCACTCCCTGGAATGTGGCGGTGCCCTTCTCTCCTTCACCCTCTTGCTTGCCGTTCCATTGTGACAGAGGCTCAACATGCTGTCTTCATTGTCCCCTTTCCATGTGAGATGGTGTTTCTGAGCTGGCATGCGAATGTACTCGGCTGAATTGCGGTGAATTGCTGCACAGGAGCTGCGCGAGATGGTGATCAGGGGTGCTCATGAGCATCCGGGCGCAGTGGCAGTGGAGGACGAGCTGGGACGAGTCATCCTGCTGCACAAGCTCCCGCTCAATGTAGGGTGCCCTCCACCTTGTTACCGCTGTGCTTATGGCTCCAGAGCTTGTTTCCTTTCCTGTTGGAATAGTGCAGTGGAGAAACCAGCAACCTTGTCTTGTTGTTTTGCTATATGTTAAGATGCTACAGTAGCTTGGCATGTCAAAACGGTGCATTGCAGTGCGCACTGCTTCTTTCATTCCCACCATGATAGCAGCTGAAAGTCTGGGATTCCTGGCTCTGTGCAGAGGAGGGAGGCGGTGGCGAAGCTGCTGCTGTCCAAGGCAGGCATGGAGGAGGCCGGTGCGCGCGGGCGGAAGATTGGAAGCCCGGTCAGCGGCGGGAGCGGCGCGGGCAAGATTGTGTACCGGCACCTGCGAGACGGCGATCTGCTGCTGACTAACCGTCAGCCCACACTCCACAAGCCCGGCCTCATGGCCCATCGCGCACGTGTCCTCAAGGTGTGCTTGCCGGATCATTGCTTGCATGCAGACCTCTGCTTGTGCAGCCATTGGCAGTGTCTTGTGGTTCATCAATATAAGCATCATCCTTGGCCAATGCTATACCATGTTTTAAAATATGATCCTGCGGCCGTCGTGTGCATTATAACTGCGAGCATCATCCTTGCCCATATCAATGGCTTCTCGCAGATGGGTTTCTGCTGTCTTTCACTGCACAGTGCTGAAGGCAAGGTTGTGCATGGCATGCGCAGGGAGAGCGGGTGATCCGCATGCACTACGCCAATTGCGCGACCTTCAACGCGGACTTTGACGGCGACGAGATCAACCTGCACCTGCCGCAGGACAACCACGGCCGCGCCGAGGGCTACGGCATCGTCCACGCCGACGAGCAGTACATCGTGCCCACAGACGGCAAGCCTGTGCGCGGCCTCATCCAGGTACTTACTAACCTCACTCTGGGCATCATGCTGTGGACTGAGCCACTGCGTTTTCCTTGCATGCATGACGCGCTTTGAAGATTTATGATAGAGAGCTCTGCAGATTCTGCAAACATTCTGGTGGCTCACTAGCCGCTCAAAACAGGGTTGTGTTGTGAAGGGACCCTTTGGGCGGGGCTGGAATGATGGATGTTATCTTGTGCTGTTGCAGGATCACGTGGTGGGCGGGGTGAAGCTGACAAAGCGGGACACCTTTTTGACGCGGTCGGACTTCATGCAGCTGGTGTACGCATGCTGCTCGCCCGCACGGCCCGGCCTCAAGGACGTTACCGACCTACAAGTGCCCCCTCCCACCATCTGGAAGCCGCAGCCCCTCTGGACCGGCAAACAGGCGAGCCACCTCTTGACCTACATATTCACTTTGTCCCAAAGGCAGAGACATTCAGAGACCTTCTTGCCCTCTGACTTTTGCATATCCACACAAATACATCATCCCCATAGGAGATTCATTCTGAGACGTTGTGACCTCCAGCAGGCGGCGAAAAAGGTTGTAACAAGGGGTTGCTGTGTATGGAACAGGTGCTGTCGACGGTGTTGGCGCACTTCACAAGGGGGATGCCACCGCTGACGCTGCGGGCGGGGACCAAGGTGCCGGCGGACTTCTGGGGCAAGGGCGGCACCGTGCACTACTCACTGAATGGCCGCGATGTGGAGTTCACCTTCCCCAAGAGCGGCGAAGGCAAAATGCTGGTGGTTAACGGCGAGCTCGTGACCGGCGTGCTCGACAAGGCAGTCTTTGGCAAGTTCGGTCTCGTCCACGCCGTGCAGGTCTGCTGCTGCCCTTTCTTTAACTCTCCTGTACAGAGACCAACGCCGCAATCTCTGTGTGATTGTGCTGCAATCACATCACTGTGCCTTGCACTTTGAATGCAACGCCTGCAGATTCACAAGGGCCTGTGATCCTGTTGCCAAGCACAGTGCCCAGCAACTGAATGCAATGCCTGCATGTTCACAACGGCCGCATCCCTGGATGACTGACACAGCTGTGCTAGAGGCGAGGCTGTCAAGTGCTAAAAATGTGAGGTGCGTGCAGGACCTGTACGGCAACGCGGTGGCGGGCAGCTTCATAAGCGCGCTGTCGCGGCTGCTGACGTACTTCCTGCAGATGCAAGGCTTCACCTGCGGCTACGACGACCTGCTGCTTGTCAAGCGGGCCGAGCGTGCGCGGACGGAGCTGCTGGACACCGCGGAGACGGCCGCACTGGCCGCCTCGGCGCGCTTCGTGGGCGAAGAGGTTCCCCAGCTCTTGCAGGGGAAAGACAGCACCAAGCCCAAGCCGCAGTCTGACATCCCAGTGAGCCTGAAGTCTCCTCCTCAATTTTTGAATAGAAACTCATTGTTGCAATGATTCCCTGGACATAGTGACGCTTTGCGGGGTCCCGCAGTCGCTCTCGCAGCTACAGATCGCGTGGCCTGTGCTGTGCTGCAGCATGCTGGCACGCTGGCGTGGCTTCTTGACAGCTTCTTTTGTAAGTTGCAGCTCAGATTCAGTTTCGTTTTGTAATGTTTCAACAATCACCATGCAGGAGGAGGTTTGGGAGGGAACGCGCGGCGCGATTCAGAAGGCGCTGGCGCAGCGGTACCGGCAGAGCAAGGAGGCCGGGGCAGGGCACGATGCGGTGGCGACGGCGGCGCTGCACCCTCTGGGCAGCGACGTGGTCAAGGTCTGCCTGCCAGATGGGCAGCAGAAGCCTTTCCCGCTCAACTGCCTCTCCCTCATGACAGTCTCTGGTGCCAAGGGCTCCAATGTCAACTTCTCCCAGATCTCCGCCCTGCTGGGCCAGCAGGCATGCACCTCACTTCCTTTGCTTCCTGTGTCAAAAATATGCCCAGCACGTGTTGCTCGTTGCAAGTTTCACCCTGTGATTTGGGGAGAATGACCCGGAGAGTGAATTTGCACTCGCCAGGACATACTAGTCCGTGCATGCCATGAACGCAACAAGCTTGGCAGTCTCCTGCATAGGCTCGTTCCTCTTGGAGTTTGCTGATTCATTCCTCCTGGCTGTGACACAACTTTGAGAGAGGTTGGATTGCCTGAAGGAGTATATGAGCTGTTGGGCTTTGCCAGTACCTGAGGGGTGGTTGTGAGGGTGCGCGCAGGAGCTGGAGGGCAGGCGAGTGCCGCGGATGGCATCAGGTAAGACGCTGCCGTGCTTTGCGCCGTTCGACCCGGGTGCTCGCTCCGGCGGCTTCATCGGCGACCGCTTCCTCACCGGCCTCAGGCCCCAGGTGAGACCTGTGTATAGTTCCACAAGATCTCACTTGGAGCTCTGGCTGCGCCATGTGACATTGGCTTGACCCTTCTTGTGCGTTCTACTCCTCCTTGCAGCCCTGTGTTTCACAAAAGTCCGGTCAACGCTGCCAAAAGTGGATCTCTTGGGCTACTTTGCTATATTTGCTGAGCAATCCGAGCGGCGTGTCGCGCAGGAGTACTACTTCCACTGCATGGCGGGGCGCGAGGGGCTGGTGGACACGACGGTGAAGACTAGCCGCAGCGGCTACCTGCAGCGCTGCCTCATCAAGAATCTGGAACCCCTGCGCATCCACTACGACCACACCGTCCGCGACGACTGCGACGGGCATGCCCCCTCCTCCCCCTCTGCTGGCCTCTTTGCTCAGTCCTTTGACTTCACTGGACCCCATTTCACTTCAAAATCACCCAGATTGATAAGATTGATACCTGTCAATGCAACATATCCAATGCAAGTTACTTGATGCCTGTGCTTTCCCACAGCCTCCTTCAAGGGTATTCATTGTTGTGCATGGAATGAACTCCTCTCTATTGTTGTCCCGCTGAGGGTGCGTGGCATTCTTCATGTCTGCTATGAGGCTGCTTGTCTGACACAAGTTAGTGGTGCGCAGGTCGATTGTGCAGTTTGCGTACGGGGAGGACGGCATAGACGTGACGGCGCGCTCGTTCATGCGCGAGTTTGGGTTCTTGGCGCGCAACGCCGACCGCTTCACGCAGCAGGTCGACCCGGCCGGCGCCGAGCGCGCCAGCCGCCTCAGCAGCCTTGTCGACATGGAACAGGAGGCCCTGCGCCGCAACAGGTGCCTGCTTTTCTCCCCCATCAGATACCAATGGCATAACGCCACCTGTTCCTGTTGAGTCAGGGATCCTCAAGACATGCACAATCCAGGGACGTGTGCTCAACTGGGGGAGTGAGAGCCTCCAGGAACACGTGCCACCTTACAAAGCTCAGCAGCGGGGAAAGACGCAGCATGCATGCAAATGACACGGCTCTGAGTGGTTGGGACATGGGAACATCTGCAGGCAAAGGCAGAGGCGGCTGGAGAAGGGGCAGGTGAACAAGGCTGCGCGCGATGCGCCTCTGACGGCAGACCTGCCGCTTACGGCGCTGGGCGTGACGTCGGAGGCGTTCCAGGACGCGCTGGGCAGCTTCGTGCGCTCCAACCCCGAGGGCGTTCTGCAGAGCGCGGCGTCCCCCGCCAAGAAGGTGCGTGCGGCCTGGCCGTCCGAAAGCTTCTGAGTGACAGCATGGGTCCTGGAAGTGACCCCTGACCGCTTTAGTAAGGTGTCTGGACTCTGAAAAATTTATTCCAGCACCGAGAAACATATTTCAATTTTGGCAGCAGGAAGGCTGATTGGAGAGGGCTCCATTGTTGCAAGCTGCTGTGTGCAATGTTGGTGTCGTAGGCTCCTGCATGTTGCATCCAACGAAGTCTGGGGTGACATGTGTGCAGAGGAAGAAGGCAGCGGAGGCCGACGCGGCGGCTGCGAGCGACCTTGCGCCGCGCTCGCCGGAGGGCTTTGCGCGGCTGATGGAGCTCAAGTTTCTGCGCGCGCTGGCCGCCCCGGGCGAGGCCGTGGGTGTGCTGGCCGGGCAAAGCATTGGGGAGCCCTCCACCCAGATGACCCTCAACACCTTCCATATGGCAGGTAATAAAGCGCGGCCTGTCCTCTCATTGTGTTGCTTTACATGGCGATTATGACCATGCAACAGCAGGCCACATGATGCTGGACAGACTCCATACGATTGGCATTGTGCATTACATGGCAATCCGTTTGGGGTCTGCGTGCGCTTTTTGGCTTCCTTGGCACGGTTGTAATAGCTCTGTAGCTAGGGGTGACACGCTGGCAAAAGTGGCAGAAGCCAACGTAACCCTCATAAAGACAATCAACGTCAGAGCACGGTGAACATTTTGAAGGGGTCGCATACATGCAGGTCGCGGTGAGGCGAACGTGACGCTGGGGATTCCGCGGCTGCGTGAGCTGCTGATGACGGCGGCGCAGAGCATCAAGACGCCTATCATGACACTGCCGATGCTGCCGGACCGCGACAAGACCGACGCTGCCGCCCTCGCCAACCGCCTGCGCCGCCTGCGCCTCGCAGAGGTTCGCTGCCGCTATAAGTTGCTCTCTTTTGCCAGTGACACAGTGATATGCCTTGCTTGAAGTTGTCACGAAGGCTCTGATAAGGTGCCTTCACAAGAAATTCCAGCCATGCGCATCTTCAGAGCCATGGCACGCTTAGGTGACGGAAAAAAATGGTGCCAGGCTGGTCTGATGCATTGATGAAGGGGCCGTTCAGATGGGGTGGCGTGTGCAGGTCGTAGAGGACATAGAGGTGGAGGAGAGGTATGTGTTGGGGGAAGATGGGGGCAGCGGCGGCAGGGGCCGCGAGTACAAGGTGGCCATGCGATTTGCAGACCCTGCTAAGTACCCCCCAGAGGCCAACATCTCCTACGAGGAGGTGCTCCCCCTTCCAAATGCTGCTTGCCCAAGCCCGCTCAGCGCATCTTAATGGGTGTTTTCTAGTGTACATGAAGCATCTACCAGTAAATATCCACAGCTGTAGGGACTGCATTGAAGGGACTGGATGCTAGGTCAAGCAGTTGTATTGTTTCGGCGCCAGATGACTTGTCACTGAGCCACCCTGTACTTGATTCAACGGAGCAGTGGAGACTCGCATGGAAAATGCACAGAACTCAGGTGGAAGCTGGTGGCAGGTGGTGGAGGCGTTCCAGGAGCCCTTCCTGCACCGGTTGATGGCGACGCTGAAGAAGGAGATGCGCAAGCTGAGCCCCAGCGAAGCAGTCGGCAGCATCTCCATCGCCAAGCTCGGCGGCGAAGAGGAGGGCTTCGGCGCCTCCGGCCCCGGCCCCGGCGCCGGCAGCGGCGATGACGACGGCGCCGCGGCCGCGCGCAAGAGCGAGAAGGTGAGAATTCTTGCGCAAATTGCAGCTTGTGCCACCTCCCGGAAGGCCAAAGAGCTGTGGTGCTCGTTGATTACAGCTTCAGCCCAAGATGCAAGAGCTCGGGGCATTGCACTTGGCCGGGCATGCAGGCGGTGGCAGAAGCGAGGGCCTACTGCGGGAAGGCCTTCTACAATACACAAGGGCGCTGGTTGTTATGGTTGTTTGTTGTTTCTTTGTTATGAAACACATGCAGAAGGATAAGAGGGTCAGACATGTACAGGTCTTTGCTTATGATGGCTGAGCTTAGCAAGTGCTGCTGGCAGGATGACGAAAATGAGAACGAGGAGCTGGATGAAGAGAATGTGGAGGGGAAGCTGGCGTGGCAGGGCGGGCGCACAGAGGAGGCCACCTACGAGGCCGGAGACGCAGAGGACAAAGCCGCCAGTGCAGCCGCGCAAGCACAGGCCGCGCGGCAGGCCGGCGAATACGAGGTGAGGATTTGCTGCTAAAGCAGCCTGGCACTGCCTTACTTGGTATCGCTGCTTTTGTTGGGCTTCTGTCTGAGGGTTGGAGAGTAGCCTACCTTCTTGTCACCACCTGTTGCTTATGAGTGCTAATGGCGTCAGATCCTTCTGCAGATCAGATAAGGTTATTTCAAACATATCGTTTGTGCCGAGGAAGCCTTGATGGGAACAGCTCGCACGAAGCTGACCCCTCTGATGCAAGGGCATCCTGTGCACAAGCACCATCTCTTCAGACACTGCCTCATAGAAGTGTTATGAGAACTCATTTGCACTGCGTCTATTGGTATACAAGGCAGATGAGGCTTGATATTTGAGCGCTCAGGATGAGGATGAAGACGGCGAAGTGAGACCCGGAAGCGAGGAGCCTGCACCGGACGCGGTGGCGCCAGCGGCTGAGGCAGCGGGCAAGGGTACGAAGAAGGGGCAGGACATCCGCGCCATGTCTCGCGTTGACCTGGAAGCACGCACATGCGAAGCTGCGCTGACTGTGCCCCTAGACGCGCCCAAGGTGCTCATGCTCAAGCTGGTCGAGCAGGCGGCGGCCGAAACTCTGCTGCGCGCCACTCCCGGTAAGGACCTGACCAACTGGAGCTTGTACTGAGCCAGCATGCCGCACCTGCAGGGGATGCAGAGCAAGATGATATTGTTGTGAGTGACCCCATGTGCTGGGAAGTGCAAGCTCGGACCGCTGTGACTCCTGTGCTGTCAGCCCCACACTGGCGTTGTGGAAAAGCAGCAGTGCAAAACAGCTGCTTTCCTGATGCCAGGGCATGGCTGTTATCACAATGGTGGCTGCTACTTTATTGCAAGCGCAAGATACCGCCGGCAGCAGCAGTGGGATGCTGAGACAGGACATGTCGCGCAGGCATCGAGCGCTGCTATGTGGTGGAGAAGAAGCCGGGAGAGAAGGGCCCCGCGGTTACAGTCCAGACAGACGGCATCAATTTCGAGGGCGCCTGGGCCAACTATGACCTCGTGGACGTCACAGCCGTGACCGCCAACGATGTGGGTGCGGTGCTGCGCACGTTTGGGGTTGAGGCCGCACGCGCGACCGTGGTGGCTGAGGTCAGCTCCGTCTTTGGCGCGTATGGCATCGGCGTGGACCCACGCCACCTCAGCCTCATCTCCGACCACATGACCCACCAGGTAAGCACTACTCACTGCAGGAGGCCGTGGCTCTGTTATCAGTCCGCTAATTTCCCAGAGGGTCCCCAAAGGAGCTCAGATCCGATGTGTCATGTCATTGTCGTGCATTGCCAGGTAGCAATGGTTCTCTGAAAGTCCTGCCTTGGTGGTTGCATGTCTCTAATTGAAGACCTGCAATCTTCTTGTGTCTTGTGTACTTTTTTACGGCTCACCACTCGAGCCGTGAAGGTCTGGCAATTTCCAGGCAGCCCTTGAGGCACAACTGAAGCACCACGGCGCTGACTGCTTGATGTGACAACTGCGCAGGGCGGGTACCAGCCGCTGAATCGCATGGGCATCGAGGGCAGCGCGTCGCCCTTCCTCAAGGTCACCTTTGAGACAGCCGCGCACTTTTTGACCGACGCCACGCTCAAGGGCTCCACCGATGACCTGGCGTCCCCGGCCTCGCGCATCGTGGCCGGCCGCGTCGTGGGCGTGGGCACCGGCTCCTGCGAGCTCATCCAAGCCCTCTGATCAGGGATTTTTCTGAGACAACTGAGGTTAGTGAGGATGAGCCTAGAAGAAAGAGACGCGGCTCTTTACCTGGTCTGATCTAAATGGCCCGGAGGAAGCCCATTTCAGGCCGCTGTCTTAGTCCTTGGCAGTGTGGCTGCAGCTGCGCTCCTTTGCATAGGTTTTCTGGCAACTGCATGCAGCCCAAGGGACTAGATTGGCCCTGGATGTCTGCCGGGGGACTTGTGGCTGAATACATGTACTTGGATTGTGGTATGCAATGGGCAGTGTATCTTGCGGGGCACGTGTATGGTGGGCGGGTTTTGTCTGAGCATTGGAATGCATGCACATGCACGTTCCTTGTTGATGTGTTGCTTTGTGACAGATGTATGCATTAGCCATGCAATCGTGTCGAGATGACGTCATGCAGGGTAGTAGGGACATGCTGAAAGGGAAGTCAATCTTTACAGTCATAGCTAGAAACATAACTGAATTTCTACAGTAAATATATCACAATATAGTACCGGGATGATTGATTGTCTTTTGTCATTGACAACTAGGTTTAGGATGGTGAGTCAGATGTTAGCCTGCTTCACTACAGTAATCCTAGAAACCAAGGTGGTAGTTACTGGATCTAAACACCCCTCTCCTGAGAGGTAATTGAAATCTATAATACTGATGGAATGATTTTGAACAAATTATTTGAAATTGTGTACAGAAAGAACCTGCAAGTACATCACTGGTGCATTGCTCATGGCCATAGCCACTCATGACAAAAGGGTTGACTTGAAAGTTTCAAGTGATACAAATATCAACCCTAAGGACTCCAGTCTGACATGGTCCTGTGCTACTCGTCGCCTTAAGCATGCAAGCTGTCCAGCACCTCGAGTTCAGCCTGTGAGCACATAAAAGAGTCAGCCTTGTGGCCTCCACAGTGACATGCAGGTAGGCAGAGAGTACCATGCCCTTTTGATGGACTTCCCATTTACACTTGGAAGTCATTTCGCATTGTGCTCTTGCAAATGAGGTCTTCGCAGCAGGGAGGTTGTGCACAGGTACCTTGAGCTGCTCCATTTTCAGCCCCATTGAGCGCTGGAGTTTGGATCGCTCCGACTCCTCCAGGCTGTCCAACAGCGCCTGAAAGTGCTGCAGTGTGTCTGCGACAGCCTCCTTGGCGGTCTCATGTGCTTCATTGAAGTAGACCGTTTCAGCCTCCTGTGCAGAGCTCTGTCCTCAGCATTTTGTCAAATATAGCACAATAAGTGAACCTGCCACGCAATGGAGAGCAGCTCAATGCGTCATCACGGGATACAGATCAGCCACTTACCTCCTTGGCATACTCGATCTCGTCTCTGGCAGTCACAAAGGCTTCATTGATGGTGTCTATCTGCACACAGGAGGTCTTCCCTTAGCTAATATTATTATAGGCAGCTTTCACTGCATAGACCTTCTGCACGCAATGAGACTCGTACTGATGATGATGCTGGCACCACGTGGTAGGAATACCTCTGCTTGGTGCTGGTCATCGGTTGAGAAGGCGCGTCGAGCCCTGGTGCAAGCGCAGGGAGCTTGCTGACAGCGGCTACAGCACTGCCGCGTGCCATTGAGCTGCAGCGCATATGAACGTGCGCTGTGGAGACCCCTGCTTCCATGATTGGCTGTGCTGACCATGGCTCCATACTTGGTGGAGTGCATGCCAGCAAATGTTGCTTGCATGCCAGCAAACAAAGCGGGACCACTGATGGACGTGATTAACCCAGCACATCGGGGACATTGGCAGGAAAGACTGACTACACAGTGCCCGGGGTTCTCTACAGAGCAAGAATTGCAAGAGCAATGGGGTCCATGGCCGCCAACAACACCACTGCTGGACGAGTGGCTGCGTTGGCTGCTGCACTCGGAGCATCCACAGCCACCAACGGTGACGTTTTCATTGCGTGATGTGCCCCAAGACGCAATTCGCAAAGTGCTTACAAAAAGCTTTGATACAGCAGGATCTGAAAAGTGCCTTCCGGCAGAACGAAAGATTGCAGGCATCTCTACTAGTGTATCTAGGGTGTCTTTGACACTTTGGTATGGAAAATGTGTCTCGAGAAAGACTTTTCAGACTGAAAATTTCAGTAGTCCTCTGAATCAATTCGCATTGAATTAAAAATCAAGCGTATCCAGCTGCTGAACCTTCTTTTCCCCTTCTGAATTAAATTTAATTTGTCTTTCCATGTTTGAGATATGTGGGACGCTTAATCAGCCCTGTGTGGCTGGAAAAAGTGTAATCTCTCTCTCTCTCTCTCTCTCCATTTAAGAACGGGAACGATCTCGTGTCTCTCTCTCTGTCTCTTTCTCAATCTAGGAATCCCTTTAATGAGGTCCATCGTGTTTTCCTCATGCATGCATCAAAGTTGTCTACACTAAGTCAAATTCTGAGGCACGGAGCCGCAGGCGGCCTGAGGCACGGGCAGGCACAACTTGTGCCAGCCCGTGCCTCCGTGTTGAACTTGTTGAACTTGCACCCAGTGTAATTTTCAAAAACACTGAATAGAAAGTGGGCCTTGAACATTCACTCCAGCAACAGCTACAAGATCCTCCTTCCACGCTACCATTCTTGCCAGAATTTCCCTGCAGGGAAGCCACAAATTCCTCAGAAATTCTGGCGCCCACACAGCTTCTTCAAGCAGATATTGCAGCACGTGGTAGCGCTGTGCTGTCAACAAATAGCCGACTGTGTCTGTATTGTCCACCTCAGGCATCATACCGGCAGCAGTCAGGTCATCCAAGCTGAATCGCTCCTCGCCAGCGTCGCCAATGCAGTCCACAACAGCATCGGCTGAGTCAAAGTCCTCTCCAGCCGTGTAGCGTGACTCTGTCACAATGCAGCGCATTCCAGCCGCTTTTGCAGCCCGCAGCCCAATCTGGCTGTCTTCTATCACCACACACCTGCAGCAAGGTATTTGTGTTGAAGGAGCACAGACATGAAACATAGCCCCCAGCATGAGTGGCCCAATGCTTCTCCTGGATCATGCAACAGCCATTGATGCCTTTCACTCCTATATGACCCGAATGACCTGGGCAGAAAGGCCTCTGCCCATTCTGACATTACAGATCGATGATTAACCACCGTGAACTGAATGACGCATGACTAGTCTCACCTGCTGGGGTTGACTTGGAGCGTCTCGGCGGCCAGGTTGTAAATGTCAGGGCTGGGCTTCTTGGCCTTCACGATGTCCCCGGCAAACACGCGCATCTTGGCCTCGACCTCTGGGCCCAGCAGCACGCGCACTATGGTGGACACCGCCCGCTCATTCGAAGTGCTGCACACCGCCACCGGCACGCCCTTGGCTATGGCCTCCCCTGTGATTGTCACAGCACATCTCAATTCTTTCCTGCAAGCATTCCCACAAATGCCGGAGGACGACCAGATCATCAAGCTACTCCTGACGGGTCTGATCCTTTCGTGAGGGACGAAAACCCTGTGCTTTTCAAGGTGCAGAGCACAATGCCCGGCTGCTCAGAGTTAGCTCAGTGCTCAGCAAACATTGGGCAGCTACTGTTCATGAGAGGCGCACCGACGAGCCGGCTGACTCCAGGACGCAGCGGCATCATGCCAGACTCCACCATGCGCATGAAGATGTCTGTCTTCAGGAGGTGCAGCTCCTTCACCAGCTCCTGCCGCTGCTGCACGTCCTTGATGCTGAGGAAAGGCTCCTCGCTTTCGTGTTCCTGCCATGTGCATACAGCACGTCGCTACTGGACTCTGAAACTCCCGCAACATGCATGCAAATCAGGAGACATTGGCACGACAAACGAGAGGATGTCATTCAATGGCTCACCGTGAAATATCTGGTCATCCTTTCCTTGCCTCCCCCAGTTTGGAGCAGCACCCCGTATAGATCCAAGTCCCACTCGTGTTTGATCCCTGCAGTGCCCATTCTGATAGACTGGGTGGAACTAGGGACTGGGTGGAACAAGGTGGCATGTTCTTTCCTGAACTGAGGCATGATATTGAGGCACTTGAGCACAGCTCCACACGTCCCCACCTTTCTGCCGGAATGCCTCATTGAACGCGACCCTGTGCCCATCTGCCTCTGTGTCTACGAGTACTCCATCACAGTCGAAAAGCAATGCCTCCGGCCTGTGTCATGGAAGTTGCTTACTGTCCATGGTGAAGACGAACCAGTCTGGCTGTCAAAGTCCAGGGCTGAATCAGCTCACCAGTTCTGTTTTCTCTCTGCTCTGACAGCAAAGCAGAATCGAGCGCTGCGCCGAGCGATGGTCTGATTGCGTCCGAAAGTTCCTCTTGTCCGATCGACCAGCACTTGTTGCCTCCAGCTTGAACGCAACAAGTGGGGGTATTGTGAGGCATGGCTTGAAGCCATGCTCGTGGGGACTGTCCCCGCCGTGACTTTCGCTTGGAGACATTTCTGCAGCATTTTCAGAAACGATATGCGGCTAGGAAAATAGCAGCTATTACTTTTACTTGTGCCCAGCCGGTGATCGAAATCGTCACCTTACAAAGTAAAAGTCGTGCTTGATAATCAGACTTACAAATGCTTTCACAGGAAGACTGGAGGTTGCTTGTCCAGGATTAAAGTGATGTTGGTGTGGGGACCCAACCTCTATCAATCATCTGGCTTGTGTTGCTTCTGCATTTGTGGTCCCGGAGCGGTCCCCCCGTTCCATTCGTGTTTCGGGTTCCAACTTGGCTCGGAAATTGCAAGCAAGTGCATCTATAGTGAATCTTTCAACTTCGATGGCCGATCATGCTCAGGATGAATACTAAGAGCCAGACAGCGATTTGGTAGCTTTCAACCCGACGAAATTGCTGAGCGGCGACGTCTGTTCCACATTTTTAATGTACACACAGATCAGGGAAGGGTCGACGCTGAGAAACTTGATTGGAAGTCGAGTGCTAATTTTTATATCACTTTTTGGAGTCTAAGTATTGGATTTTGGCAAGATCGGCGACATCTGAGGAGAAGCAAAGTGTGTCCGCGCGTGAGTTACGCTAGGTGCTCGTTTGTGGGCGGGCTTAAACACGACGGAGGCCGAGATGGAGCCGATGAGTCTGCAGGATGGCTATGCGGACTTGCAGCTGCAAGACTCGCTTGGGCCGGAGCTGATGAAGATGCTAGAGGACTTTGGAGGTGTCGAAGATGAGGCCTTTGGCAAGGGGCAGGCAGCAGTGGGCACAGCGCTCGATGCTGCACTGTACGGGGGCCTAGAACCCTTTCCAGAGGACGAGAGTGGCGTCCCACTGCCCCGGGAACCCTCTTCGTTTGGAGTGAAGCCCAGCAACTTTAGGATGCCTACCCCTGTACCTCCACATAGCAGCAGCTCTGGAGCCCTTCCTGAGCTGTGCCCGCCCCCCTCGGCGTTCCAGCAGCCACAGTATGCCAGCACTGCGCCCTTGACGCCGCCAACCCCTAGCAAGAACGTGACTCAGAAGCCCAGATCAATACGAAGGGCGCGCAGCAGCATGGCAGCCCAGGGCCAGTCCAGGAGCGAGAGCGAGCCGCAGGAGCTCTTCATGCGGCGAGCAAACTCATCAGAGCTCCCAGACGCAGCTTTGCCTGGCCGGCAGGGCAAGGGCAGCTCCCCTAGGTCCAGCAGCACTGCCTATGTGCCGTTCTCAGCCCTGAACGCCGTGGAAGTGTATCCAGAGGTGGGCTTCCTCTGCACCTGGCGTCTCTGAATGTTTCACTTTGTCTCCGTAATGGCTTTTTAGTGCTCCTGTGATGATCAAATTCGTCACACTCGGCATTGTGTCAGCATTAGGTGAGCTGTTGTGCATGACATGCAGGAAGCGCCGATGACGGCGAGCGGAAGGAGGATCAAGCGGAGAGGCTCTGGGCGCAGCAGCTGCGATGAGATGGAAATTGGTGTGGGCGGCACAGCAGCGGCAGCGCCAGCCGGGGCCGGTGGGGAGCACAGCGCGCTCAGCAGCAACGGCGCTGCAGAGGAGGCCGATCAAGCCTCTCGCATGCACCAGCTGCTGGATGCTCAGAAGAGAGCCTATGAGGTGTGCCCTCTTGCCATCCCTAAGCAGTCTGCAGCAGCGTGCTCGCAATTCTGCATGTAATGTATCACCAGACTACAGCGTGAAATGTTCAATTGGTAAGAATGGATTGTGCTACTGTACAGGCGAAACTGGAGGACAGCGGCAGCCGTGCCAGCGACCTGGCGAGGCAAATGCTACGCCTGCAGGTAATATCATACACTTTGTATAATGCAGCATTATCAGTCTGGCGCTCTATGTCAAGTCACTTGCACTCTGCTCACTACCTTGAATTCCTTCCAGGTGCGGTTGTGAACCAACATCAAGCTACCTTAGGCATGTCTGAAGCAACTTCCAACATGCTGTGATGCACTGTCCAGATGGAGAAGCAGTTGCTGGAGAAGACTCTGCAGCAGGTGCTTGAGAGCTCCGAGGCAGACCACGACGCCGCCGCGCCGCAGCCGGCCCCCCAGAAAGACGCCAAGGCCGCAGACGAATCCCAGGTACATATACAGGCCAACACTCTCTGGCCTTCATACCGTTCGTGCACAACCTCTGGTTGCTCAGATAATGCCATCAAGAAGACAAAATCCTGCTCAGCCCTGCGCGGGAGAGGGCCGCTGCTATTCGTCAGTGTGGGTTTGCTTCTGCTGTCTGATTGAGAGTTGCAGTGGGTGAGTTTGATGGAGGGATGGTGAGTGTAGGCGCCTGGCAAGGCGCCGGTGCTGTTCAGTCCAATGGGGCAGTATGACGCGGAGGCGGTCCTGCTGGTGTCGCTGGCTGAGACGCCCATAACGCTGACGGCACACCAGGTCACCAGCATGCCCTGGAAGCAGTTCGTGCGCCTCATGAAGGTGCGGCCCCCTGTCTCTCTCAGCGCCCATTCTCCCTTGTCACAGCGGCTTTCCTCTCTTGGAGCCATCAAGAATTCTGTATTATTATTAATACTGTCAATGAAGCAAGCATGTTGTTGGCGGGGTTTCCCCGTGTTTTGGCTGTGCATCGGACGCTGTGCATTGAGCAGATTGCATGCTGCACCTGGGTGATTGTGTGGGCACGCCCTGCCTTCTGGTTGATTTTATGCTGCATTCATTCTTATGCATACACACATACAATACTGGAACAGCCAGGCGGTGGCTGATCGGCGGTGTGCATTGTCCCACAGGCGTATATAGGGGCGATAGGGCAGCTGCTGCCGGAGGCGGAGGCGCAGCCGAAGAGCGAGGCGGCGCGGCGCGCGGAGCAGCTGGGCCGCGAGGCCATGTACATCGGCAGCTGCCTGGCGGCCGGCATCCCCCGCCACACGCGCACGCTCTATTGCCTCAAGCTGCAGGAGTCCGGGCCCGAGCACTCGCGCGCGCCGGCGCAGCTCTGGGCCGCCATCACCCTCCACCTCAACCTGTCGCCAACCCAGCGCCAGGTGCGCCTAGCCCCTTGAAGATGACCATTGTTGCCTAAATAGGCTTTTGCTAGTGAATGAAGCACGTGCACGAGCCTGCCAAGATGCCCTAAGGATCTAAGGCTGCCTCTTCATTTGTGGCTTTGTGAAGCTGAGCCCTGCTGGAAGCCCCTAAGTGAAAAGCTTGGCGCATCGTGAAGCTTAGCATGCATGAAATTTAATCATTTGCTTGACTGGTTGATGCAGACATTGTACCAACTGATGGTACACCAGATGCTTATTGACTATCCTGCATAGACTGCCCACGACTGAGATCTGCGCGGTCCTTGATCCTGCAGGAGATAATCCGGCGGCGCAAGGCGTTCCTGACGGCAATGGCGGAGCTGCTGCGGCGGCGGCGCGCGATCCAGGGCAGCCTGCCGGCGACTGACAACCTGCCAGAGGGCAGCATCGCGGGCCTCTCCACCGACTACCTGCGCACCGCCGACGCCGTGGAGCGCATGCAGCACAACCTGGAGAAGGACCACTCCCTCGTGCGCCGCTTCACCGGCGGCATCGTTCACCAGGTGAGCCTACTTTTCTTCTCTTTTGATTTCTGCACTTGCACAGCCAGATTGGCAAGGCAGATCAGAATTCTCTGGGATTGCCCAGACATTGAAGCATTGCCCCATCCTGGGGGACTGTGTTCACTTGAAGCTCTGGCGCTTGTCGTCTTGCTTTGAATAATCCTGGCCTGCACTTCCTTGTGTTGGAGTCCTGCGCCGCCCTCACGTGGGTCAACAGGCCTGGCCTCCCTGCACCAGCCACCTGCCAGTCGCGTGGCATTGCCGCATGAAGGTTCCTGGATGCCCGAGGGTGGTATGTGACGTCACGTTTCTCAAAATTCCTGAACGCTGAAGCATATTTGGCAATTTGTTGCAGGTGTGGACGCCGCTGCAGTTTGCGCGTGCGCTGGTGCAGAGCTTCCCCTGGACGCCCGACCCGCTCTCAATCGCCAACTGCGTGGCCGAAGCCGCGCGCGAGCCCAGCGCCGCGGAGCTGCTCTCCGGGCGCAGCGGCTCGCTCGGCTCCATTGGCAGCGGCGGCGCCATCAGCACCCCCAACGGGGACTACAGCCGCCTCGTCGGCTGGAATTTCAACGTTCCCTCCTCGGCGCGCCCCGCTGCGGCCGCGCCTGGCCGGCCGGCCAGCAGCGTCCCCTCTCAGAGCGTGTCCGGGGGCGCCCGGCAGTCGCAGGGCGGCAGCGGAAGCTTCATGCAGCAGTGAAGCTGCATGGGTAGACTTAGTGCTGTCAACTGGCGCATCGTGTGGTGCCATGACATGCATGCACCATGCTCTGTCCGTTATAGAGGTTCCAAACACCTTGTTGCTTCAAGAATTCTGAAGCGTCAAGGTGGCACTGTAGTTATCCTGAACATGCCGCTTGATCCTCATGAGGGCGTCATTGATTCAAAGACTGCTTGCGAATATTAATTGCTGCAATATTGGTCCAGTTGAATACCTAGCTTCTACAGGTCTGTTAGAAGGGAGACTGCAGTTAGCAGACTGCACACATTCATTTGACGTACCTCAAGGACGGCCCCCAATATGATTGCAAGGTGTTCTGGGAAGGCTGCTTCCAGATTCTAGATGAAGCAGCTGCCTTTCTTGTGGGAGCTGTCGAGATAGACAAACAGGGTTCTAAAACCTACCTTGAGTCTTGTGTGCATGTCCTGTCCTGTAGATACACTGCAGAATTCTCAGCACACAAGCCTCAAGGTATGGTTTGGCAGGCTTACCTGTACATGTACGCGAGTTGCATGGCCAAGTCTTTTCTGCTTCATCAGTAAACTATTGGTGGGGCTGGTGCATCAGAGTAGTGTTGCAGGAGTGACATGATTGAGAGGGCCCGAGAGTACTCTCAGCTCCTTCTGTTGTAAGGGAGGCCTCTTGAAGGGTCGCAGTAAAGCCAACATGGATCCATGCATACTTTTAGAAGGCTCAAATGGCAGCCTTCTCCCCAGCAAACAATTCTGTGGGACTTGCATGCATGCTGTGGGCTAATGTAAGATGCAACATGAAAAAATTGTGTGACATGAAATGGATCAATTGAGCGCCATATGCATGCAGGGACGTTGCACAACTTGTGCATGCTGGGCAACAATGGCATCACAGGTAGAACAAAATAATATGACAGGATATTCCGTAAAGCCTTACACGCGCATTGATTTCCAATTGCGCGGCGCCTTCGTCACACCCTGCTCAATCACACCCTCAGCGAAATGCATACATGAGCAGAGTGCATGCAGTCATAGCCATGAAATAGCATATCACAAAGATACAATTCACAGCAAAGATAAGGCGCATTCAGACAAGCCAATATCATCAGAACAAGAAGTCAGGGGCATCTGTCAACAATTACACAGACCCGCCACCCGCCACCGCCCCTCGCAGTACAACAGAGCTGCCCACGGATATCAAGAAGGGGATTCTCTGCTGTCAGCATTTCTCACCTTTTGTCAAAGGGACAATACCCTACAGACAGGCCAATCCAATCTGACCGGCCTTTTGCGACATGACCTCAGAAGCACGAGAGCAGTATGCTGGAGCACACAGCTGCAGAATGAATGCGCTGCTCTCATCTCACAGAGACGAGAGTGCTGAGATTGCTGGCTGCCTGCTGCTTTGGTTGCCATTTACTAGCCTATTTGCCGTCTGATCTTGTTGCCGCCATATTTGCTGCTGCTCCTGCTTGCTCAGTATGATTGACATAAAACAGACTGCCTCAAACAGCAAGTGCAAGAGTTGCAAGAAATGCGCCTCCATAGCCCTGACTATGTCACCGCTCCTCTACATACCAGGGCATATTCCGGGCTTTTTAAAGACGCCAGCACCTGATATTTTCCTGGCTACGCTTAGCCAGTGCGACTATAAAAAATGATGAGCTCAGCTGCTTTATAGGGAATCATTCATTAAATAGTGCCATCCACAGGATGGCTCAGCACCAGACGGGCAGGACAGCCCAATACCAACTTGTTTGTGAGTCTCAAGAACAGGATCTTCACTTTCATAGAGGAGTCTGAGCTCTCCATGACAGAGTAGGATTGCTCCAATATCCTGCTCAAGGTCATATCAAGCTGCACAAACGACTTCACAGAAGGCAATGAGAGTCTTCACTGCATTCATTCTACACTGTATACTTGTCAAGCACCACAGCATTGTCCTCTTCACATACAAAAACACAGGAGGAGTGCTGGATGCACGACACAGCTACATGCTCTGAACAGCAACTCTCTACACGTGGCCGCAGTCTTCCTCCTGTCCTCAGCACGCAGGGAAGTAAGTACTCACCTCTGTGCAGGCACCGGCATAATAGCCCAAGCAAGCCCAAAGACAAAGCAAGTCCCTTGCCTGGATGCCTGCGCGCACATCACAGGCATGTGGTGTTGTACATTTCCATGCAAGACGCCATCTGATCATCTGCACAGGCATGTACTGCCGCAAGAAAGCAGGTAGGCTATGCTAATCAGGCTGGTTGTAGGCGTTGATCACAGGAAGGAGGCAGTGTGCAGGCACAGCACCTGGCCTGCACAGAGGTGATGCGCCCGGCGCTGTCACCGGTGACCTGATGTCCTGAGGCCGGCGGCAGCCTTCGCCTGAGCGCGCGGCCGGCTGTCATCCGCGGTGCCCTCTTCCCGAGTGCGTTTCTTGCGTGACAAAAACTCGCGCAGATCAGTAAAACCCTCCCTGGGCGACGCCTCGTCAGCATCCATGTCCTCTGCAGCCGGGGAACTCCGCTGCGGCCGCCTCTTCTCCTGCATCCACAACCATTCCGCTTAAGAATATTCTTGCTAGAAGATCCCGCTGCACTGTCCAAGACTATCAGAGGTGATGAAAGCAAAATGGTGCCCAAACGATTGTGTCACATGTGGGGATGTGATAGGGCACAGACCTTGATGGGTCGCTCAATCTGGTCAATCCTCACTTGGGAGCTCACTTGAGAGCGGATACTTCTGCTGTGGGGTACCGTCTTGACTTCCTGCAATCAGCCACAGCCGCAGTCCCTTTCAATGGGTTTGAAATCACCCTGCACAGACACCAAATGCACAGAAAAGACGATGCAGCTTTTGACAGTGCAGGTGTCGAGCTGTGGGGACAGACCTTGGAGCCAAGCCGGGCAGCTATGGGCAGTCTGGCAGGCTGCTGGGGTGCGGCCTGCGCAGCGTTGTCGTCTTCCTCATCTTCGTCAAAGTCCACCTGCAGGCCTGGATCTGCGCCCGCCGCCTCTTCTTCCTTCTGCGGCTGGGCCTTTGGTGCCGGCTCCGCTGGAGCAACACTGGGCGCCGATGCAGCAGCCTGCACCACGCATCCAGTCACTCGCTCAGCCAACACCATTTACACCCCATGCTATGACCCACACTTACCGCATGCATGAAACAGTCAACTGAGATGCCGGCACTTTAGCATGTCCCAGGCCACACTTCCTTTTTGGCCCCCTAAAATAACCCAACTTTTTGACAATGAATTGCTAAGTCATGCAGGCCGCAAGGCTGTCAAAGGGCTACCTTGGGCGCGGCGACAGGGGCGCTGGCGGGAGGGGCAGCGGCGGCGGCGACAAGCTTCTCGAGCTGCATGACGCGCGCCTTCATGGCCTCAAACTCTTCGGCCTCGCGCTGCTTCCGGAGACGCTCATCCGCGGCCACCACGCCAGCCAGCAGCTGCTGGTTCCTCACATTCTCGGCCCGCTGCAGCGCAATCTGCAGCTTTGCCATCTCCAGCCTCTTGGCCTTCAGCTCCTGCATTGTCACCCCACAGCAAACCTCAATTACCATGCACCAGATCACAGCATATTTGGTCCCATTCCTTTTCAGCGTGCTCGCTCATGGTCAAGATAGACAGTGTCTTTGAACATGCAAGTGTGTGGCCCCTGCTGTGAGACAGCCCAATGTCTCACATTGGCATGGCCCCAGGCCCCAGGTACATCAAATGACAGATTGCAGCACTCACTTGCTGTAAAGAACATTGACTGCAGGGCACGCACCTCGGCCTTCTTCTTTTCCTGGGCTTTACTGGCGCGGGCCTTGGCTCGCTCGGCCTCCTGCCGCTCCTCCTTCTGGCGCAGCTCCTCGGCCATGTCCCTGGGCCGCAGCAGGCCCAGCAGCGGCGCTGGGTCCTCCAGACGCCCCTGCAGCCGCTGCGGCACGCTCACGTGCGGCTTCGCACCCAGGCCGCCGCCATTCCTGCAAAACCCAACCACTTCAGGAGTCAGCACTGCAGCCAGGCAAGTAATCTGGGTCGACCAGCCAGTAATTGGGGGTGAAGGAGCAGGTGTGACAGGGAGCAGGTGAAAACGAGGGTGGCATGGAGCGGCACCTGACAGAGGCGCTGGCGTCCATGCCCAGCGCAAGGTTGAAGTCACCGGCACCGCCGCGCCTGCCAGCCGCCGGTGGCGCAGGCCGCGCCACGTTTCCATTGGGCGGCTGACTCACGCCGGGGCTGCGCTGATCTTGGCGTCCGCCAAAGCCCCCTGCAGCGACAAGGGGCAACGGAGTGTCAAGCTTTGCTCTGGCTGTTGCGGAGTGCTTTGTTGCAGTGTGTAAGAATGTGCAGGGCTCAGACAGGACGGTAGCAACTCACCAGGAGGCGGGGCCTGCGGGTGCGGGCCCTGGAACATGAGGTGCGTCATGTTGGGGGGCATGGGCAGCCCAGCAGGGCCGGCTGGGTGATCTGGGCCGCCCTGCATGCGCCGCTGGCCGGCATCCCCTCCCATCTGCGGCGGTGCCCTGCTCCCAGGAGGCTCCTGCCAGCGCACTGGCTCCCTCGGCGGCGGCTGCGGCGCTGGAATTGGAGCGTGCCTCCCTCCTCTCTGTGGCACGCATGACGCACTCAGATCAGGTAGGTTGAGACAGTCGATGTCGACGAAAGAGGGTCCAATGTCTGAGTGGATTATGGACAATGGACAGGGGAGGGTGGGTGCTCACCTGGCGTTCCTGGGAATGGAGTGGGGGGGCAGGGCCCCGGCCTGGTGGGGGTCGCGGCTGCCCTGCGGCCATGGGGATGGGCCGCGGCATCATCTGCATTGGCCGTGCGCCCATCATCTGTCCTGGTAGCAGCATGCCCGGCGGCATTGGCAAGCCAGGCATGCCAGGCCCCGGTCGAGGCATGCCCATACCTGTCACACAGCATCGACTCTCTTTGCCCAAAGTGACATCATATGACTACAGATGTTTCGACGCAGATACGAGCATGAAAGTGCACTTTTCTTCCATGAGAGTAGGGCTGTGTAGGAAAGTGAGGGATTGTGGCGCACCGTTGGGGATGGGCGGTGGAGTGGGCCCGCGGCTGTGAGGTTGGGGCATCTGACGGCCATTATGCACACCAATGCCTTGGGGCCCTCTGTCCTGCTGCCCCCTGCCAGATCTGGGGCCCTGTCTGCCCCTTTGAGAGGCGGCTCCGCCCCGGGCTTCGGTTTTTGGTTTGGCTGCTGCTGTGGAACCCTCCTGTCCCTTGCCGGAGGTAGGAGCTGGGATGGGAGTGCGTCCTCCAGCTGTTGACGGCTGCTTGTTTGTGTCCTCTACATTCTACAAACCAGCCAAAAGCAAGTTCCATGTCAACCAAACAGACCACCCTCCCCTAGCAGTATCTACGTGCGGGCTATGAGAGGCAATGTAACTTGCGTTAATATGTGGCCCTACCTAACAAAACAATACATAATGTTTGACCTGTCTCATACATGCAGAACTTCCATATGCCCTGCACTCCATAATGTCTCTTTGTGGCAAATCCACCACGGAAGTGATGACTTCTATGTATTTCAGAGGACACCATACATTGCATACAGCCATTCTTTTCCATAGGACACTGCTTTACCCTTTGAACTGACTACCAAAACCTTCTCTATGAATGTTATGTAGCTGTACATGATGACAATGTCTGGCAACAGACCTCTGTTGAATTTCCTTGCTCGGGTTCAGGAGTTGTGTCCAATTTTTTTGCAGGCTGTGCCCTGGCTGAGGTCCCTGCCGCAGTTCTGTAGAAATTGCAAATGCGTCAGCAACAAGAATCAGGGTAATTTGGGAAGCTTGAGCTTTGGTGCCAACATCCTTGGATGTGAGCCATACCCTTTCAAGGAGCCATCCTCGAAATCTGGTGGTTGATCATCAAAGGTGAGCTCTTCTCCTGCAGAGTAATTGACGCATGAGCGACTCGGTGCGAAATCGATGCTTACCAGCAAAACACTTAGAGGAAGATAAGCCCAAACCCACACTTATTGTCAGAATAACATGGTACGCTGCTTCTTCCGCACCGTTATTTCCATCCGCCTCGAGGTCTTCGTCACCTAGTGCTGCTTCATCTGCAAGCAATTGCAGCATAAAATTCACCTTCCAACCTGATCACTACAACAAAAGGCAGGAAAACAAAACCTGTCAAAGCGAATTTGCGCACCAAAATCCTCATCGTCGAGGTTGAAGTCGTCGTAATCCACTTCCTCGCCTTCATCCTCAAGATCCTCCAGCAGATACTGTTCGTCCGCCATTGGAGGGGAGGGACAAGTTGTCAAGCTGCCTTGCAGCCCGATCCTCTACAACTTAAGACCAGCTCACCCTGGTGCACCTTCTATGGTAAGGATTTGCACTTCTCCCCCTCCAAATAACCTTTACTGAGATATGCGAGGAGAGGAGAGAACTTGATGGCTTCTATTAGGTTTAAATTTTACCCTTGAATTCTAACCCTGAGAAGCAAAGAACCGCACCAATTCTTTGCCATTCCTGGGCGCTACAAGTGGTAGGATGGCAAACCTTACTAGCACGATCTTCCAGCATTGACAACTATCCCTCTGATCGCTCATTGATCGCGAGCCAGGGACTGCACGCCCATTTCATCATGAAGGCTTCACATCAAAGGTGATGTGTCTGTGGTGACGGTGAAGTATGTCCAGCACTCCATTCTCCATAGAGCCTTTCTCTCGCGCACCTCCCACCACCAAAGACTTTCAGCAGACCGCTGACCTTGAACTGGTACGCCAGTATACCATTGAACCAACGCTATGTATACCTCGTTTGCTCCTGCACAATTCATTATGGTAGCTGCATTAAGCAGTTGGTAGATACAAATGACATTTTGACGCTCTCGCTCTTCTAGTGTCTTCGAGAACAGGGCCTTTACGAGAGCAATGAGGAGGCAGTGCTGCGAGAGGAAGTGCTGGGGCGCTTGGACAGGCTTGTGAAGGAGTGGGTGCAGAGGGTGTGCGCCTGGCTGGGCTTGGGAGAGTTTGGGGAAGTTGAAACAAATGCGAAAATCTTCACCTTCGGCTCTTACCGCCTGGGTGTGCATGGACCTGGTAAGTTTCTTTTCTAAGCTGGCACTGAGATACCAATTTGTGCATCAGAACGATTGCTAAACCTTGGCAAGTCCTTGAAACCTTTCATGTGTTGCGCAGGGGCCGATATTGACACCTTGTGTGTCGGTCCGCGGCATGTGTCAAGGGACCTTCACTTTTTCGGGACTGAAGAGCACTGCCTGCAGAAAATGCTCTCCGTGAGTTCACTACCTTGCTGCTCACCATGTCCTTCTGTCTTCCTGTAGACCTGGGAGAAAGTCAGCTTGTACATCCCTCATGCAGATGGCTGTCAGTCCGTAAAACATGCAAGTCTCTTTTTCCAAAAGGGGCGCCTCAATCGACCTCTCAGTGTGGCTTACTGTCACATGACATGGTTGAGCACTGTCCAGGACCTTCCAGAGGTGACAGAGCTGCAGCCCGTGGTGGACTCGTTTGTGCCTGTCATCAAGATGAAGTTCTCCGGTGTCAGCATCGATCTCCTGTACGCCCAGCTGGCCACTGCGGTGGTGCCAGAGAACCTGGATGTGGGCGCCATCTCCACTCTCCGCAACGCAGACGACAAGAGCGTCCGATCCCTCAATGGCTGCCGCGTCACAGACACCCTCCTGAACCAGGTATTCAATCTGACCTTTCAAATTACTGGTGTGACAGTGTAGCTGCAACGAAGCGTGCAAGATAAAGTGCTTTCTACTTGCTGCATAACAAGTGCTTGCAAGAATACAGTGATTTGCATCCGTAAAATTTGTTACACCTTTTCAATGGCCGTGCAAATGCTTTGAGTCTGTGAAGATCACCCACATCTGGGTGCTTGGAAGAGAGCAGGAAGTTCTGATGCCGATGCCATGGATTCTGGGAGACTGGTGTGTGGGAGGCTGACTTCAGGACCTCGTGTGGTGCAGGTGGAGTCGATCGAGACCTTCCGCACGGCGCTGCGGGTGATCAAGCTGTGGGCTGAGCGGCGGGGCATCTACTCCAATGTGGTCGGCTATCTGGGCGGCGTCAATTGGGCCATCCTGGTGGCCTACACCTGCAAGCTCTACCCCTGCGGCATCGCCTCTGTCATCGTGGACCGCTTCTTCAAGGTGGCCTGCTCACACCCTTACCCCTGCGCATGCATGCGGGCATCCGTTTCTTTCCCAGTTTCCCATTGTTCTAGCCCGCTGCAAGCAAATGCGCTCTTAATTTTGAACGACACTGGGCTTGCCGCATTACAGCCTTCTCCTTCTTTCCATGTGCTGGGTGTTAGGCAGTCTTGTGGAGTTCCTTCCTTGAGATTAACGGCAGTGCACAGGGTGTGCAGCGCAGCGCTGAGGTGGGCAAGTGGTGTTGGGGTGCTGCAGGTGTTTGCGAGGTGGCCGTGGCCGACGCCGATCATGCTGCGGGAGATAGAGCACGATGCGATGGGGCTGCAGGTGTGGGACCCGCGCATCAACCCCCGCGACTCCATGCACCTCATGCCCATCATCACCCCCGCCTACCCCGCCGCCAACTCGTCCTACAACGTGTCCGAGAGCACGCTCGCCGCAATGAAGGCGCGCACACAACTCCATCAAAGTCCTTGCCGGCCGAGCTTGGAGCTCATGTTGGATTGATTGCCTGCTCATGGGCAGCTGTCAAATGTGGTGTCTCCCGTTAGCACATGTGTCATCACCTCTTTGATGCTTGGGCAGAGTAGATTGCACTGCCAGGCAAAGCTGATGTAGCCTGTCTGCTGCAGGAGGAATTTGAGCATGGCGAGAAGGTGTGCACGAGGATCTTGGCCGAGGGAGGCCTCACCAAGTGGCACAAGCTGCTGGAGCCCGTCCCCTTCTTCAGGAACTACCGGAACTACCTGCAGGCGCGCCTCTTCCTCACCCCTTCCCAATTCATCCCATTTGCAACCTGCTGCTTTATGCACTGTATTCTCCAGGAGTGTGCCATGATCTGATGCCCTCATGTCTCTGAGAAGCCTTCGGCGCAGAAGCAGGTATGCAAGAATGCCCAAAGGAATGCCAGGAAAAACATTATCTCCGATATAATGTGCATGCAAATCTCTAAATATATGGGGGCGCTCCTGCTGACGGCTCTGGTGTGTTGGGCAGATTGAGGTGGTGGCACTGACGGAGGAGGAGTTCAGGGCGTGGGACGGCTGGGTGCACTCGCGGCTGCGCCAGCTGGTCATGCGGGTGGAGCCCTTTGTGACGGTGCGGCCGTGGCCCAAGGCCATCTTCCCGCCGCGTGGCCCCGAGGCGGCCGGCCAGCCGCGCCGCTGCTTCTACTTCATGGGCCTCAAAAAGAAGCCGCTCCCCTCGCAGCCCGGCGGCCGCGCCTCCAGCGTCAATCTCAACAATCCCGTGCAGGAGTTCAAGAACCAGGTGCGCCTTCCCCTGCACCCTTGTGCAGCAGATGATGGCTTTACATAATACCTGGACATCGTTCCTGCTTCCTTTTGTACTATTTTGACAGAACGAGGCAAGAGCCTCGAAGTCTTAACAATGCTCAGCACTGCATGGTGATGCAGGAGGCGAAAGAGCGAGTAAAAAGGTTCCCGAGAAAAGATGTGGGGGTAAAGTGTGTACTGTTGCAATACTTGCGCATGCAGGTGATGGGGTATCTGTCGTGGAAGGAGGGCATGCACGTGCTCATCACGCACCAGATGCAGAAGGCGCTGCCATCCTTCGTCCTGGACAGCCTGCCCCAGCCAGAGCCTGCAGAGAACGGGGCCGCACCTAAACGCAGCGCAGAGGCACCGCCTGACGACGAGCGCCCCTCCCCTGTGCGCGCACGCATTGCGCAGGAGAACAACGCCCCAGTGCCTTCGACGTCAGGTGTGCACTGTATCCTTTCACCTGTTTAATTCGGTGAATTCCGCTGTTTCTGAGTCTCTGGCAAGGCTGGCGCATGTGTCGGTATGCCTGAGTTCATTGTGGCTGGGCGTTGTGAGGTCTTTTGAAGCGCGCGGGATGGTGCAGGAGGGGAGGCGGCAGAGGAGCAGGCTGACCCGCTGAAGCCGGGCGATGGGACCAGCATAGAGAATGGGCAGTCAGCGGCGGCCGCAATGCAGCAGGCGGTGCTGAATGGGAGGCACGCGGTCGAGGGCACGCATGCAGTAGGTCCAGGCACGGCTCCGCGCACATGTCATCGCACTATGTGCTTTTATTATGCTTCTTTCTTTTGCCGAATGTACACGGTGTTTGACACCTTGTTGGTGCAGGGGGCTCGTCGCCAAGCCACTCTGGCAGGACTGCAGCAAATGGCACGAGCCCGTTGAGGACAGACAACCACTCAGGGGCGCTGAACTCTCCGAACCGCAATACTCCGGACCTGGCCATCGGCGAGCTCAATGCGCATGCACAGGTGATGCGCCCTTCTGCTTGTGGTAGCTCTTATAGCTTATCACAGCCCACTGTCATATCCAGCCAGTAAGATAGCCTTGGGCTTACCTTTCCTAGAAGGTTCATGTCGTACTTCTGGAGTACTGCTGCGAGCTTGGTTGCTTGAGCCTTGGAGCGGCTGCCAATGTGCATGCATGTGGGCTTGCAGGCGGTGAGCGCGCAGGAGGCGGCACGGCCGCGCATGTCGAGCGACGCGGTGGCGGCAGCGGCCGAGGCACAGATGGCGCAGCACGCCGGAGACGTGGGCGAGTGGCTGGGAGTGGACTCGGGGGCGGCGCCTGCGCTTCAGGTAGCCCTGGCAGTCGCGCCAGGGAGGCCCTTCCCCTCTGCTGCTTCGTTTTGCATCTGTGAAAATGGATCAGTCGTTCGTCACGGCAGCCAAGGTCCTTACGGACAGAGTGCTTGGGCCGACATCCCGTTTATAAGAGAGAGTGTGAAGGCTGGGGCTTGGCTTTGCCTGAGGTGTGTTGGGTGGGCAGGAGACTGAGGATGAGATCAGGGAGCGGGCATACAACAGGCGGATGCAGGAGCTGGAGGTGCGTGACCATGCCCCTTCAACAGACACTGCAGCTGCCCAGATACATGCGCAGGGCTTGAGTTGGGGGATGGCTTCCCCTGACACTCCTCGATTGCGCAAAGAACGATGTCCATATCTGAACCCCCGTGGCAAAGGGGGTTGAGGTGAGCAGAAATTCATGTCTACAGTGAAAGGCCAAGAGTTGTGGGCGGATGACGGTGTGTCAGTCAGGGCTGATGGCGCAGGCGCGGCACGAGGCGGCTGTGGCTCCCAGGCGCGCAGCCGGCGTGAAGATTCGGTGAGTGGCTCGTGTGGCATCATGACTGCATTGAGCATCCAAGGTGATGTCCCCTGCTAACCTGGCTGCTTTCTATAGGCCAGATGTGGACCTGGCACTTCACCTTTTGGGGGAGGGTCCCGATCTTTGTGTTGCATTCACTGCTTGTCCTTCTGCATGGTGGCAGGTTAAACAAGCCTGCTGGAAACTCCAACGGGAGCAGCCGGGGTTGAGGCGTGGGTGCATGCAGCAGTTGGGACGGCCAGGTGAGTGCACACCAACGCAGGTCTTCGCATTTGCTTTCCTCTGTCAAGGTGTGCCGCTAGGACGCCACTCTTTGCATGTCCCTACTTCCCCAATGTGCGCATCCACGACAGTAATTGAGCGATGGTGCCCTTGGCTCGCCCGGACCTACCCAGCAGCGTTCTGCAGCAGAGGCAGCTCCGAGCAACCCTCAGTGATGAACTCCTAGAGATGGTACATTTGCACTTTGGGTTCAGCTTCGGGGCACCGGTGGGCTGCCTTTGATACCTGATTCAAGGGCCCTTTCATGGGCCATTTCCCTCTCCTGCCTCTTGTACTGTACTTCTAGACCTGGAGATGCATTTGTCAGAACGCAGAAGCACCTGCAGGACTAAGCATGCGGTTGTGAGTTTAGCACGTGGGATGTGAGGCTTTCCATATCTGACACCCGAAAGCATCTCATGCAAGGTTTGCCTGCTGGCAGTAATCTGTGCTGATGTGGGCTTCTGATGGCAAGGCATTTTGTGCTGTTGATGACTCTTAAATGATGTTGTATGGAAAAACCTTGTAAAGCGACGTTAATGAGGTGCCTTTGAGATGCTGTCTTCTAGACAATTCGATTAAGCCATCCGCTGCAGCAGGACCTTCCATTCCAAAGTACCGTTACATCAAGAATGTACAAGGCATATGCATGACCCTCAATACACCGGCCAAATTGGAAGCGCTCACACTACCGCAAATTGCAATTGATCATTGAAAGCGCGTTGCTTTCATTTACATTTGCATCCTCTAGGACCTTATTCAAGCAGACAGCACCACCACTCCATTCTCAAACAATTCATGTTCTGCAGAGCTGCTAGCTGGCACAAGCTTGAGCTCCATTAGGCTAACACGATCAGTGCACGATGTGGGGAACCTAGCAGTTTCTGCATAGCAGATGAATAGATGAAGACACAATTCAATTCAGTCCTTGCAAAATTGTCAGTCTGCATAGTGCTCAGGCCCATGCTCATTATCTCCGGTGCTATAATGACATCCTAAGTCAGACTTATTCCCCGGATGCCAATCGCATCACTTTGGAAGATTTCACAGGGCCAGCTGGCTCACAAGACTGGTCAGACATGATCTAGAATTCGCTGCTGCGGCGCGCAATATGAAGCGCAGTTTCTAATTGTACAAATGAAACAATTCCCAGACACAGCCAGGTTGCCCCGCCAAAGCCCACTCCATGTGCATGGCCGGCAGGTGACGACATCTGACTTGTGCTGTGATATACATGCTCTCCCTGCTGCAGCAACACAGGCTATGTGCACTGCCATCAGACAAACAGCGGCATCTGCAGTCTGCCGCTTGCAGGGAGGCCGCTGCCCATGTACTGACACATCACTGGGGCTCTGCTTCCCCTATGACACGTTTCTTGCTCCGCCGAAGCACGCCTCCATGCAGAGGCGTGCGCGCCAAGACCTTCAGCTGCCGCAGGCAGTGTGCCACTTGCTCCTCACTCACACACAGGCTGTATCCCAGCTGCTTCAGCATCAGCAACTCCAGCTCGTTCAGCTCTGCCGCTGACACTCCCCCAATCTGCACAAATGACCCCTGTCAAGAAAGCCCCTTTGCCAGCAGAACCCAGGGAGTACTACATATCACTAGACAGCTAGGTATAGTACCCCCTGCAGAACCCAGAGTCTGTGCACATGCCTGCCTGCTCTCCTCCAATGCTAATGCATGCGCTGGACGGTGTTGCATGAGTCCTGGGCAAGAGTCAGAAGTCCCACCTTTGCCCAGTAAGCGTTGTTGTACAGATTGTCGTCCATCAGTTTGGCAGCGAGCAGAACGCTGGTCAGCACTAGGCGATGCGCATTGGATCTTGTCAATCTGTACACTGTGTCGACCTGCGCACATGAGGGTTTCTTATGAGGGCCTCCATGAAGACTGAGCGACCATCATGAAGACAATGCTTCGCATGCGCTGACATGGGTTGGAGAAAGAGTAAATTGCTCGATGGGCCAGCTATGATTACCTGGGCTAGCTTTTGCAGGTAGGAGAATGCCATGCAGAAGCACACGTTGCTGCACTTTGAGTATCTGCTGATGCGCTGGATGTAGTCCCGCAGCGAAATGAGGGGCACACGAAGCCCGTCAAATGGTGACAAGCGCTGGGAATGGGATGCATATGCTGAATCCTGCAGTAGCACACCAACTTGAAGTGACGCAAGAAAGAAGGATTAATCTCTGAGACGAGTGAACAAGTGTGCCGCTAGGAAAGAGGGGCACAGCAAGGAAATCATTGGCAAAAAGCGTAGTGGCTAGGGTACCATAGAAGCAGCTCTCACCTCTGCTGCAGAGCTGACACGCTCAAGAACAGCAGACAAAGTCAGCAACAACTCACAACAATCCTCCTCGGTCGATTCTCCCACCTGCTTGACATCAAGTTGGCACCTCAAAACGCAAAGGATTTCTTCACAAATCCTCCAGGAAATTGTTCACAGCGGAAGGAAGGTCGAAGGAGCCTCCCAGCAACGTATCACAATGCATACAGCCTGGCAGCATCGCAGAAGCCCAAGTCGTACCAGCTCAGGGAAGTACAGTTCATCGCGTCCGTCAGATCCAGTTTCTGAAACATCCACCGTCTTTGCAACGACTGCTGCTGCGCAAAACCCTGAACTTTGGTGGTCGAAAGCCGCCGCATGGGGTAGCCCGGGAACAGGTGTAGAGCACACGTGGTATCCTAGGACCTCTATCGCGAGCATTGCAAGGTACGAGACGATCTAATGAGATAATCTAGATTGGCGACCACACGATGTCGAAGGATGTCGAAGGTTGCGGATGGTAGGGGTTGTTATGAGGGAGACACCCCAGACAGACACATAAGCGATGGAAAATTGTGACTTGCCTAACCCAATCAAAATAGGGGAATATGGTTTCCTTAGAGTTGAGTGGTCTATCACGCCTCCTTTCCATCCAAGCAAATTCAGGGCGCTGAGCACACAGTAGCCAGTTCAGGCATCTTACTCATGGCGCCATAATATGTTTGGGGCTGATCAAGGGCTGCAGTCTGTGGGTAGCATGCAGTATGACAAAACCAGCTCGATGTTGAGATATAGCTTTGGAGAAAAGAGTGTGAATCGCTCTGCGGCCGACTCAGTCAGGCTCAGCGGGCTGCCGAGTGCGCCGGCCGTGGGCGGGACTCTTGGAGATATCCAATGCTCTATGGATTTTTGAATGCCAGTGTACTACATAGTATGTTGAAGTCACAGTGCTGCGCATTGCATTGCAGGTGGCCAATGCATGTCGCATGCATGTGCGTCTTACTAACCCTTCTAATATAGCCGCCGCCAGTCGTTCGCGCGCTCCGAGTGTTCACGTAGTTCATAGTGTGATCGGTACTAATGAGTAGTAGATGTGGTAATCAGTAGGCTCTAGTGGCAGCGTGAAGCCTGGCTGCATTTGCGCAGAATCACTCTGCTCAGCGGGCTAGGCTAGCCCGCTGGCACCATGATATCAGATGGCATCTGAGCCTCCAACAGCACCACCGACACTGTCGCAGCACCAGACAAAGCATAATCTGGTAGCATTAATAAGCTGGTGACAAGAGCGTCCTGATCATAGCCATGCACCACAGCTGTCTCCGACACATCATGATGAGTCATGCTTGCGCAACAGCAAATGCAAAGTGCACGCAGCATGGCATGCATACGGACTTTTGTGCCATGTCTCAGACAAGCAGATACGCCAACGTGGGACTAACAGATACGAGACGTGTAACATGCATCACCTAGATCGCACCAGCGCCAGCACAGCACCCACTATGGCATCTCAGGTCTAGTTCCTGGGCCTCACTAAGGCTGCCTTGCACAACTTGAGGCTAAGAATCACCTTCAAGACACCGGTGATAGTCTTCAGCGCACTGCAGTAGACAATACGAACGCTGCCTTGTCCTAAGCTCCTGAGCTCCGACGTCAAGGCTGCATCACCAACCTGGATCTGCTCCACTGCTTGATGCTGTGAGCATCATGTAGAGCTGGGCCACCCCATGGTTCAGTAAACTTCCCAGGGTCGCTGAGCAGCTGAATCATTCCTGCTGGGGTCTGGCTTCAGCTGGCTTATGCTAAAGCAGGTAAGCCACTCGAGCTCGTGCTTTGGGATTTGGTTTCACATCTTACAGCATTCTGCAGGTTCTGCTAGGATTCATATCTTTGCTACGCAGTCGAGCATACCTTCTCCCTGATAAAATTTATGAACGTGCTTGTTGTTAAGGAGTTGCGCTGCAGCCTTACGCGGGGCTGGGCCCATCTGGATCCCTCAGACCTTCCAGAGCCTGAATTTAATTCCCATAGAAACTGCAGGTCCACACTTAATTGCCCTGTCAGTGGGCCTACAGCACATCAGTGGGCACACACAGCACACACATGTTATATAATTCTGCCTACAAAAGGACCAAAGTGCGTCAGACTGCATCAGAACAGAGAAAGCGCGCACTTCAAGTTTTTTATGCTGTTGCACAAGTGACTGTATGCACAGAAGTGTCTGACACTTGTCCCCGCAAGTGGCGCTCTGTCTTCTGTCTAACGGGCAGAACGTGCCAACACTGAGGCATACATTTGCACCTTGGTATGATTATCAGAGGCTGCCATATGCCTCTGTGAATGAGCAGTGCTGGAGCCATGCCAGTGGCATTCTCCAAATAAAGTGATATACACGTTGCTTCCACAGCCAGTAGAACGCTGACTACGTGGAAGCGGCAAATACAGCAGCTACTGGAGGTTCCCACAGCGACAAGCTTGCGACTACTGTAAATACACTGTGCTCTAGAGTCTCTCAAGCACGTCTGAACATAGGACTACCTCACGCCAGTCCACTGTCAGCAAGCGCCACCACTGATCCCCCCTTGCAGGTGCGGCAGCTTCTGCCCAAATGACTACTAAGCGGTCAACATCACCATAACAGCCTTGAACGCCGTGCAGCACAAAGCGCAATAACCTTCTAAGGATGGGTCGAGATTACCCTCAGAAAGAAAAGAGGTGATACTCCGCGGTTAGCGCGGTCGCCAGCCCGTGCGACAATATCCTTGTCTCATTCCTGAGCAATGCGAAGGCGAATCGCTGCAGGAGAACTGACCAAATGTATGAGATTTTCAAGGGGAAACCAGGACAACGCTGCGTGCTGTCCCAGTGTCCGCACGGCATCATTGCAGCATCCAAAACAATTTTAATACAAATTGCTCCTGAGTATCTCTTGTTTTGCGAGAAGGCGCAGCGATTGCTGGCAGCCAAGGCAAAGGGGTTTAAATATATAATCACCACGCAAGAGTGAACTTTGAGATTGATCATTGCGAAGGAGGAGGATCGTGCATTGAAACGACTTCTAATAGACATGTATGAGATTGGAGACATGTTGGGACGCACAGGATCGCAGGACCTGAGTCAAAATTTGATGTCCTTGAAACTTCGAAGGTGAACCTTTACGCCCCTCAAGTTTGGCGGATTGTGTGCCTGTGTCCGCCCCTTGGCAAGCTAAAAGAGCATTGCGCCCATCGTTTTGTAACTTGGGATCATGTATACCCAGCAAAGACACTGCACTGACAGGAGCAGTACCTTTGGCAAGCAGGCCGAAAAACGTATGCAAAAGTACTCAGAACCCTCCCATACCTTTTGGTTGCATTTGGGTGCCGTTGCTTGGTTTCTGGAAGTTACAGTGTCCTGGTTGCATTGGTCGTGGCTGTCGTGCAGAGATGCCGAAGAGGCAGAGCACTGCAGATTTGGCAAAATAGCTATCGTTGTCCCTCCTCGTTGACGTGGACAAGTAAAAGTTTGAAGGTGGCAGCGGTGCAGGAGGCTGCTGCGCAATTAGCGCCACCCCGACAGCTCAGTAAGGATGTGGCAGGGTGAAGAGGCTGGACGAGGCTGAACCCGTGTACTCTTTTGCTGATTCAGGGGCTGAAAGTCACGTTGGGCCTTCAGAGTGTTATGGAGGCCGCCAGCTTGCAGTGTCAACTTCACGAGCAGCCGGAAAATAATAGCGTTGTTCAGCCAGCTGGGATGTCTGGAGTCGACGTGGTAGACAACCTGATTACTGAACAGGGGTTGACGACCTCGCCCGTAGCAGTTTCTGAGAGCACGCCACCTGTGGAAAATGGGGCACATGAAGTCCTGGTGAAGCCAATGATCGAAACAGAAGCCCCTAAAGGCGAGAAAGTCGAACAGGAAGCGTCAAAGGGTGCACAGGAGCAGGAAACTGGCCAAGCTGTAGATAATATCCCAGGTCCAGAAGACGGCGAAGGTGTGGTCTCCTTGTTGGACAATCTGGTCATGAAAGCATGTCTTTGATCACGAGGCCATGCAGTGCTACACCGAGGCCGTCTAGGGCATCTGTCTTCAAGGTTTCACCTTCCAAGATATTTACAGGAAGCCTGACCTCATGCTTTTCTGTGCACTGCTGCAGGACTTGCTTGTGCCAATGGTGGGAGACAGCGGCGTGCCAGCGCCCTTGCTGCAACCCGCAAGGTTTCTGACTACATTGTGCAGGAGTCCAAGTCCATCAGGGTGAGCTCCGGTCCTCCTGTGAAGGTCGAAAGGGCAGTGGCAAGTTTCAGATCTGATCATGTGCATGTGGTCAAAGGCGAATTGTCAATTTTGTATCCGCCTGCTACCCAGGAACTGCGCAATGATCTCCAGGCAGAGGCAGGACAGGGGGGCAAGAAGCAGGGCAAGAAGAGAAAGGCGGTTTCCCCAACCACGCCCCTGGCTCCCCCTTGTGTCAGCAAGACATCTCCCAGCAGCTCTGCAGCCGAGGCCTGCACCCAGCAGCTGTGGGAGGGCTCTTCCGATGGGGAGGCGGGACCACTGCCTCGCGAAGCAGCAGCTGCAGCACCCCAGCAGGCCAGCATTGCAGAGCACCCCACAGAAAATGGGTGCACAGAGCACCCTGTGGATCCTCCTGCAGAACCTGCCGCAGTGCCGCTGCAGCAGCCAGCAGCGGAGCCAGTGAATGGGCTTGAGGGCTCGCATGCACCGCTGGAGAAGGAGAGCCAGGATGCAGCACCTACGCCTGCGGCAGATGCAGTGCCCCTTTCTGAAAATGCAGACATGGCGGGCGTCTGTGGGGATGGCAGCACAGAAGCCGGTGATGGGCAACCAGCCGCACCAGCGCCAGAGGCTGCTGCTGATGAGCCAGCACAAGGAATGGGAGGCGCGGCAGCTGCAGAGGAGCTGCCACAGGCGGATGCAAGCACGCCTGCTGTAGAGGTGCCTCATGGCGGTGATGGTGCTGGCGAGGAGGCTGACGAGGAAGACAAGGAGTGGCCTCCAAAGGGATCTTTGGCAGCGGAAGCGGCGCTGCTGCCAGGGAGGACGCAGTATGTGCGCAAGGTGAGCAAAGAGAAAATTTCTTTGAATTGACTCTGACACGCTGGCTGTATTCATCACGCATTCTCTCTCAGGAAGCATGCGAAGCATGACTGAGACCTATTGTCCGGTGTGCAGAGCGCGCTGGAGGCACGCACCAAGATTGCGGGCCCCCGCTTGAAGCGCAAGTACACCAGGCGGAAGCAGCCCGGAGCTGCGGGAGAGGCGGGATCAGAAGGTGATGGCGACAGCGGCGATGGAGCAGCCGCAGAGGGGGAGCAGCAGGATCCGGCAGAGGGTGTCACGCCGCCGAACGCGGCAGGCGAAGGCGCCGAGAAGGCGACATTCTTCCCGAGCGGCAAGCGCCGCGGCCGCCCGCCGGGCAGCCGCAACCTGCGCCCGCGCGGCCGCGGCCGCGGCCGGGGCCGCTGGGGAGCCGGCGCCCGCCGCGGCCGCACCCAGGACACCCCCTCGGACGACGATGGCGAGATGGTCAGGGACGCCAACCTTCCGGCCATGTCCCCCACTGCCAGCTACTACAAGGACCAGGTCTGGCGTCAATTTCCTTAATGCCTTGGACCATTCTCTGCCTCGTCTTGTGGCCCCCTTAGTAGTGTCTTTGTGTTGTTATCTGAAATACTGGCTGATGTGGATGCACCTGCTGCAGGAGATGGACATGGACACGCTGCACGGCTGCACTAAGTGCCGCTTTAACCAGACCGGCTGTGGGGCGTGCCGCGACGCGCCCATCATGGAGCGGCCCAAGTCGGTGCGCTGGAAGCCCGACGCAGCACGGCCGCAGACCTCCGTCCCGTCCGCGCCCACCTTCTACCCGACGGCCGAGGAGTTCACGGACCCCGTGGCCTACATCAACAAGATCCGGCCTGAGGGCGAGAAGTGCGCACCCGCTCTTTGCTGCTGCGTTTCTGCACGTCTACCTCTTTTTCTAGACTCCTCTCTTCCTTGGTCCGGCCGGTCTCCTTGGGTCTCTTTGAAGAAGGAAGCGGACTATCGAGTTCGACTTGCTGAGGAAAATTAATGCTGGGAGCTGAGAAGACAATTGGTGATTTGCAGGGCCGGGATTGCCTGCATTGTGCCGCCTGAGGGCTGGGAGCCGCCGTTTGCTCTGGAGAAGGGCACTAATGGACAGAGCGCCGAGAGCTTCCGCTTCAGCATCCGCAAGCAGCTCACCTCCCACCTGTGCATGCGCGTGGCCAACACCGGCAAGGCCACCAAGCGTGCTCCATCTAGGTACGCAATTCTGCCTGCAGGAATTGATGCGCGCTGCAGAGAACGCTTGTCAATTATTTACAGGAAGACCAATACTGGAGCACCTCTTACCATGTCTCTGCTGCAGTTCTCAGCACTGTAGGGCAATGTAGAGGCAGGGAGAAGAGAGTTGAAGACCGGGGGCTGTTGTGCAGGTATGACAGGGCAGGCGAGGATGAGGACCCTGCGCATGAGCATGCTGACTTCGGCTTCGTGACTCTGGAGCGCCCCTACACGCTGCGGTCCTTTGCTGCCTACGCCGACTGGGTCAAGGCACTGCATTTCAGCAACCCCCCGCCAAAGGTGGGCTTTGTCACTTGCTGGAACCATGGAGTAAAGGGGCATTCAGCGGTTTGGCTGGGCAACATAATATATGCAGCCCTCAGAGAATTGTAGAATGGCATGTGGGTCTCTGTGCTTCTTGCCATTGTCTCATTAGAGGAGCACTGATTGACATGGGGTGCGTTTGCATGTGCAGGCGTTTTCTGAGCCGATCCCGACGAAGAGGCGCAAGCTGTGCAGCTACTCTGGCCCAGAGCCCACGGTCGAGGAGATTGAAGCCGAGTTCTGGCGCATCGTGGAGTCCCCTGACGAGGTGCGCCTTAGCAGCCTGATCCCAATTTGCCTTGTCAAGTCACAATGACCATGCTTTTCCTTGCTGTGGCTCTAGCAGGAGGGCTTGCCATTGATTGATCCCATGTCTTCATCTCTCACAGCTCAAGTGTCTGAGTGCCCCTTAGCCCGAGCCAGACCTGCCTTTCCCGAATCCCTGCTATGCATGCTGTAACAGGGTGCACCATCTAGAGGGCATCTGGTTACTGATGACCAGAGGAACACATTGATTGGGGCCTTGTGATGTGTCTGAGCTGAGTTTTTGGCAAAATTTGGACCGTGCAGTGGGGTATTGTGGTAAGCGGATCTGGGAGGCAGGCGATGACTTGGGCTGTTGTATGATGGCAGGTGGTGGAGAGCCTGTATGGGCAGGACTTAGACTCAGGGCACCACGGGTCAGGCTTCCCTCTGCCGCCGTTCCGGCAGCGGCTGCTGGAGGCGCACCTGGCGGCCACGGAAGGCGCCAAGAAGGACGGCGAGAAGCGCAAGTTCACCCCCGAGGAGACCGTGTACAGCGAGCACAAATGGAATATCAACAACATGCCCCGCTGCAAGGTGCGTGCCCCCTCTGCACAAATGACTTCTGCAGACCAGAGTTCTGATTTTGGATGTGACATTGAATATTAATCTCTTAGGTCTCACTGAGGTTTTGCCTCTGCGAAGCTATCGTTGTCCTTGACAACTAAGTGGGGGAGAGTGTAACGTTATAGTTATGTAATGTAATCGCGTGACCTGCATATCTACGTCACCCTGGATTTATAATAGACAGAATTGAATTTTGTCGAGAGCCAGGACTGACATGCTGTGTGCTGTGCTGTGCGCAGGGCTCAGTGCTGCGCTACCTGGTGGGCGAGGAGCTGATCACGGGTGTCATGGTGCCCTGGCTCTACGTGGGCTCCTGCCTGTCCGCCTTCTGCTGGCACGTGGAGGACCATGCGCTCTACTCAGTCAACTACCTGCACATGGGCGCCCCCAAGGTGACCTTTCGACCACGTGTCACTTAGTTGCCTTGATCGGTTCACAGACAATATTTATCTATTCTCCTCTACAGGAAATGTATCATTCAGCAAGGTTGTGTGGTTGCAGGTGTGGTATGGGGTGCCTGCGCATGCGTCCGAGGCGCTTGAGATTGCCATGCGCGATGCGCTGCCTCACCTGTTTGAGCACTCGCCTGACCTCCTCTACCAGCTGGTCACACTGGTGTCTCCCACCCAGCTCAGGGTGCGGATGCATGCTCACCATGTCTAGGGATGAAGCACAGCATGCGTTCAATGTTATAATGTGCCCTGTTGCTTTTACCTGGGTGCCTGTGGGACCTTTTGTGAGTGTTGCTGGTTTGTTCAGGCGCGCGGCGTGCCTGTGCACCGGCTCGTGCACAAGGAGGGCAGCTTTGTGATCACCTTTCCCAACGCCTACCATGCCGGCTTCAACACAGGTGAGGCCATGCTAGAATACCTCAATGCTCGTCTTTTCCCGTGCTGCTCGAGGCTATCCTGAGGATGGGGTGTTCTACAGGGTGTGTCGTGATTGCTGAATAGCTGCTTATCCTTTTGGGGAAGGATCAGGATCTTCAGATTTTCTCAAAATGGGGTTTGTGGTGCTCCAGGCTTCAATTGCGCGGAGGCGGTGAACTTTGGGCCGCCGGACTGGCTGCCCTGGGGCACCTACGTGGCGGACAAGTACCGGCGCGAGGGCCGCTCGGCCACGCTGTCCCACGACGCCCTCCTCATCGCGCTCGTTGCCGCCGCGCCCGACGTCAGCGCTCGGCTCATGCGGGAGGCCCAGGCGCGCGCACTTCCCGTAACACTAAAGCACACTCCTGGGAAGCCCAAATTAGTGGTGGCACAGAACAACATGATCCTGGCAGTGACATGTGCTGTGTGTAGTCTGATCTGCAAGGTGGGACCCACCTGTGATCTGAATTGAAAGTCAGGCTCCAAGGGTTGTCTAGTCGTTGGCTCAGGTGTTTAATGGCAGGTAGCTGGGAGGTATCTTTTTGGCGCAGCAAAATACTTTTGCACACCTTGGCAGGAATGAATTTGTTCTTTTTTTGTGCAGGCGGCAGAGGCAGAGAAAGTGTCAGTGGTGCTCATTCCCGACGAGGACGCTGTCGCTGTCAAGGTGGAGCTCCGCGTGCCTTCAGTCGAGCCGGCAGCCGCCAAGACAGAGGACGCCGACGTCAAGATGGAGGATGCCGCCGAGCCCAGTGAGGACGACAGGGCATGCTCGCAACAGGATGCCACCACATCTGGCCGCGACTATGTGCCTGGTGTGTAGCTTTTCTGTCAACATGCGTCACCTGCTGCCCTTCTTACAGCAATTGAATCTTTTTCGATGCGCAAATTAAGGCCTCAGATGACCTCTTCAGTAGGGCCTCTTCAGTAGGAGATGACGTGCATGATACGCAAGGCAGGGATGAGGACAGTTGAAGCCAAGTACACACATGTCCTGTCATTGGATAGCGCAGGGGATTTGGCAATGCAGTGCGGATGCAAGGTTTAGGATTGGATTGGCCGCAGGTCTGATTGTAAAATGTGGTGATGTGCAGGGGAGAGCACGGACCTGTCCTTCCTGGATCCCATCAATCGGGCAGACACGCCGCCCAGAGCCATCCAGCTGGCAGCGGCGGAGCTCAGCCTGCGCCTGGAGCAGAACCGGCAGCGCCTGACGGCCGGCCTTGCCGACGCCGTTGACACCATTGAGCGCCGCCGGATGTGCGGCAAAGCCGGTGCGCGCTTGTATCCTCTGCATGCTTGTTTCGCATACGCCTCCCTGCTGGAAGCCCTGGAACTGTTTAATTGGGTCGAGCAACACACCTGCCGTGGTGGGCCCTTTGCCGGCCTCCTTGCATGCATGTCAATTGTGGGAGACATCGTGAAATGTCAGCTGAAGGGGAGGTGCCTGCGCACAGGTGCACTGGATGCAGATGGCGTGCACACAAACACAGAGGACGTGGACTGCGAGGTGTGCAAGGGGGACCTGCACCTGTGGGCGGTCGTGTCGCCCAAGTGCCCCGGCCGCGCCACCTGCGCCGAGCACGCCTCCGCCCTCGGCTGCCCCGTGGACGACATGGTCCTCCTGTACAGGCACGCACCTTGGTCGTATCCCCCTGCGTCTTAAAAAACTGCAATGATTTCTGTGGCTCTACTGCAATCTGGAGCGTTGGGTGGCAGTGTGTAGAGCATACACAACTGCCTCATGGTATGTTTGGAAGGTGGGGATGCACTGTTTTTCAAACTTGAGAGATATGTTATGAGCTGCTCCCACACATGTGAAGCATGCAAGAGTCTTTAATGCTGCACCTGTGGAAGTCGGCTGATCTTTGCCACTGTGCTGCCCCTGCAGGTTCACACTGGAGGAGCTGGAGGCGTTCCTGGAGGACGCCAAGCGGTGCATCCCAGGCGCCGAGGAAGCCATTGCGCAAGCCCTGGAGCACAAGGCCCACCAGGTGCGACATTTAAGTGTCGCAGATCGGCCTGCCTTACCTTCGATATCGGCCTGCCTTACCTTCTCAGCTCTCTCACATCCTCTTAACTCACCCTGCATCTCTCAAGTCATATTTCTATAGGGCTGACTCTGAGGGTAACAAGTGCTGATGGGCCTGTCTTAAGAGGTGGGTGTGCGTTTTGCAGAAGCATGAGCCCGAGGTGGTCAAGCTGGGCCCCATTTCCATGGGCGAGCGGCTGCGCATCGGCGCTGACTTTGACAGCGACGAGGAAGCCGATGTGGCCACGCCGGCTCCGACGCCGCCGCCGCAGCAGCCCAAGCGGCAGTACAAGCGCAAGACCGCCGACACCAGCGAGGGTGCGCGGACCTGGCACGTGATAATTGAGACTTTGCTGCCCTTGCAACTCTCAAGATAGGAAGACATTTTTGAATGGTGGATCTGGTGCTTGAGTAGATTGGACGACTTCGAGCAGATTGGTTTGAGGGAGTGCTGTTGTCCTGTGCAGGGGTGATGAAGCCGAAGCGCAAGTACACCCGGAAAAGTGACAAGTGGAAGACCAAGAAGGTCAAGTTCCTCATGTCGGAAGACGAGGATGAAATGATGCCTGGTGAGCCTCTCCTGCGTCTTGGTTACAGTCAAACTGCGCGCAAGTGGGGACAGATCTGGCTTCTTTCAGAAGATGGGCTGCAATGGCTGACAAGAAGTATCTGCTGTGCAGATGCAGAGGGAGCAGATGGTGATGCGGGCGCGGAGGCGCCTGCCGGGGATGGAGTGCGGCGGACGCGCCGGCCGCGGGCGGCCACGCGCAACATCTCCGAGCTGCTCGCTGACGCCGAGGACAGCTTTGGGGAAGAGGAGGAGCCTGAGCCTGAGCCCGACTCGGAGCAGGGTGCGCTCCCGGACCCATGGTCATCTCCTCCATGCTATGGGTGTCCAATCACGCCTTGATGCGAATGGGCAGCGTCTGCTTGGTAGCCACAATGACTGTACTCTCCATGACTCCATGCTACGCAATGCAGCATGCCTTTGCATTCAGTGTGCTGACATGCCGACAAGGATGATGACGTGCACACATGCTCGAGCAAGGCGGTGAAAGTGCAACAGTGCTGAGCGGGTCTGTTCATGCGCGCAGAAACGAGGCGGACGAAGCAGCGGTGGGGGCTGCCCACCAAGAGGGGCGGGCGCAGGAGGTCGGAGGCCGCAGAGGAGGAGGCTGAAGAGCCCCTGCCAATTATTGAGCATGAGCTGGACGCTCAGCCTGCCATCCATGAGGTGGGCCCTGGTCCTGATACAAATTTCATGCTGCTACTGCTCTTGCTCCTCAGTTTGCGTGTCAGGGCTCGATATTTGCAGAAGCAGATTTGAATGAATTGGATTGAATGTTTGTACACGGAGATGATCGGGCTGCTGTGGTGTGGCAGGTATCGCGCATGAGCGTGCCCAGCGTGCCAGTCCCTGTGTGGCCTCCCGTTGTCCCACCGCCTGTTGTCTCCCCCGTCGCTCCCACCCCAGCTCCTGTCATCACCACAGGTGCTCATTTTACCCCTTGTCCTGTCCTCTTGTCTGTTGCTACATCCTTGGCTCCAAGACAAATCCATGCAGTGTCAGGATGTCGATGATCTACGCAGCCTCTGGGTATTGAGACAAATTGATTGATGCAGGCGCGCCTTCGCTGCCGCCTGCGGCACAGCCGGTTGCAGCGGCGCAGCAGATGATCCCCATAGCAATGCTGGCAGAGCTGCAGCGCGTGATGGCGCACAACGCTGCCATGGCCGCTAGCGCCAGCACACCCCCGGGGTCCCTTCCCTTCAACCCCTACGAGCTGCTCGCACACGGTGCGCTTTTCTGGTCCTGACACTTGGCATTTTCTCTTTCGTGTCGTATACATGTATGATTGCGTCTTGCTTGGATCAGCTAAGTCAAAGCAGGGGTAGGACTTTGACATCTCTTACATGCAGCTTATCTGCATATGCAGCTTGTCCCTGGCAGGAATGTTAGATACAGAGGGACACTTGGACGCCGATTAGTAGTGCTGACGGTGTGCGTGTGCTGTCGCAGCGGCAAACGACCACCAGAACGGGGCCCAGGGGATGCTGCCGCTGATGCAGACGCTCGCACGCCTGCTGCCCATGGCCGCTTACCAGGCCAGCCAGACACCGCCCGCGCAGCAGCCGCACCCCACCCCTGCGATGCACTCCTACCCAGCCGCCCCGCAGGCGTCACTGCCGCCGCCGCCGCCGGCCCAGCCGGCCGCGCACCCCGCATACCCGGGCGGCATGTCCGCCCCATACCCGCACTTCTCTGCGCCTTTCCCCGGGATGCAGAATGCCCCCGGCTGGCCGCCGGGCTTCGGCGGCAGTCACCCGACCTACCCGACGCCTGCAAGCGTGGCCGCCCAGCAGATGGCGTGGCAGCAGCAGCAGCCGCCTCAGCCACCGGCGCTTGCTCCCCAGCAGCCCGCATGGCAGCCTGCTGTATTTCCGCCGCAGCAGCAGGCGACGCAGCCTGAGCTCAAAGAGACGCTCGCTCAGGCGCCGGGGCTGCATTTTGCCATGCAGAGCCCCGCACAGTCTGCGCCGCAGCCAGAGCAGCCGATGGCACAGGTTGGGCAGTCAGCTGCAGGGGCTGAGCAGACTGCACCGCCCCTTAATGCTGTCATGAGCGAGGCGGCACAAGCGCATAACAATTGGCCGGCAGGCTTTCAGCAGGTTGCTCCCCCGCCGCAGATGGAGCCCCTTGAGGCCGCTGAGTTCACTGCAATGATCAATGAAGCGTCATCCCACATCGGCTGACTATCGATGTTCAAGGGTTGGTATTGTCTTGACAAGTCTGAGGTACACGTGTGGTTAGGAGCCTGTTGGCAAGAATGACGTTAGTACTTATGGACACGGAAGGTTTCCTGGTCGTGCGTCACGCAATGGTCGAGGGAAATGTACTCATTATTGCTGTGTTTTCTTATTGGTTTGTTTCTCAAGAGCATTTTTTGGAGGGAAGAAAACAGTCATGTATACATTTCAAAGAAGTACTTAAGTGAAAGCTTTCACAGAGGTTTATGACAAAGCCCGTCACGCGTCCTCGATTTTCGATTGTATCTACCAACATAGAAATGGATGTCTTGGTCATTCAAGTGTGTAGGATTGCACTGTGTGACTCGCTTTTGGCACATACGAACACAAAATCGCATTTGTTGGCTAATCAGCTGATATTGAGATCAATCAACAGCTGCAGCACCAACAGAAGTATTTGTAAACTATTTTTGCAACTGACACGTTCATGTCGTTATGGCAGCATCTAGCTCGCTCTCGTGCATGCGTACGAACACTTCAATCAGATTCAGCCTACAGCAGTCAATTGCAATCAAGGGAAAACTGCCACTTAACCCAGGGGTTATGCCCTCGGATATAATGCAACCAGACCTATGTTCTCCACCCAAGTTGCGCTGAACAACTCCATGAAAGAATCAACAACGAAGAACGCCTGAAGTCAACAAGAACAACTGCACCGATGCTGAAGGCTAGACAGATCTATTTCTATTGAAGAAACTCTCGCTGAAAACAACAGGATCGACGCTTGCACAAGGCTCCTTCCTGCTCCTCGTCACAGGCTAATACTGGGCGTAGTAGGAGTTGCTGAGGGGCTGCTGCGAGGTGAAGGGGGCTGTGCTCATCTGCGCCTGTTGCCCGGCAGCTGCCCCATATGCCCGTCCGCCGTACGCCAGCCCGCCCAACTGAGTAGGGTAGACCCCTTGGTTGCCCACTCCCCCAGGGCTCAGCTGCTGCAAATCCCACCCAGACAACGGTCACGGAGCAGCTCAGCAATTGCTCAACAGACCAAATGAACCTGCCGCAACACCCCGTGCATCTGCTTCCTTTGCAGACCAAGCTGAAGCTTGGCTCAAGCACATGCACTGCATGAGCATAGATCCCATGCACTGCCTTGTCTAGAGGAAGAGGCATGCTGACATCAAGGCTGACCGAGCGCCAGAAGGTAGGAGGACGGGCTGCCTCACAAGATCACGTCATGCAACAACAACACAATGATCCCCAGGCAAAGGAGCAATGTATTGATTGCCATCCAGTAGGCATGTGGGGGAGCCGTGCGCACCGCCTGCTGCTGCTGGGCCGGGTACTGGGGATACTGCGCAGCCGGCAGCTGCTGGCCGCCGTACAGCAGGCCGGGCTGCTGCTGGTACTGCTGCGCCGCCGCATACTGCCCATACTGCGCCGCCTGCAGCTGCGCAGACGTCGCCATGTAATCCATCTGCCCCTGCTGCAGCCGCAGGCACCGCATTGCGAGTCAGACATGGGATTGTTTTAGGAATGTACAGAACCACGCTTATTGCCTATGAGCACTTCCTACTCTCAGACTTTGCTCATTGCGCCCACAGCATTTTGCATATACAGTAACACAGCTCAAGCTCATCGACAATGGACCAGGTTTGCCCGCCACAGACACACTTTTGGTGTGTTACAAGAAGAACAGCAGAGCTGGACGTGCAGACCTGGTAAGCCATCTGCCCAGGCAGGGTCGGGTAGGCGCCCGGCTGACCGAGCTGCCCGTTGTACATTCCCTGCCCCTGCTGCAGCCCAAGGCCAGCTCCTGTGAAGCCGCCCAGCAGCTGCCCGCCTGCCAGGCCCGACAGCAGGGGCACGCTTGTCCCCACGGCCCCTCCCGAGCCTGTTTTGGACTGGTGCCTCCCCCACGAGCACTTGACCATCTGCAGCAGCACCACTGCTTCAATGTTGCTGCGCATGTGTCTCCAGACATGACAGTCCGTTACTGGTTCATCTAAGAACCAATATAACTCAACTCCTGGCTGAGACAACTCCTATGGAGCAGGAACATTGAACACATCAAGGCTCACCTTGCCCTTGAGCTCCTTGCCATTCATGCCGACGATGGCCTGCACGGCGGCGGAGTGGTCGCGGTACGTGACAAACCCATAGCCGCCCTTGTGGCAGGGCTTCAAGCCGGTGATCTCGCCATACGCCCCAAACGCAGCCCTCAAGTCCTCCTCCATCACCTGAGCAGACACTCCCAGTTCAGCGCCAAGTAGACTATGTCATTGCCGAATGAAGTGCGAAGCTGTCCCAACACTGATCATGAAAGGCAGCCATTTGGGAAAATAAGCACGAAACATCACTACCTGGAACAGATGCCAATGTGTACTTAGCATGGTATGGCAGTATAACTTGGAGCAGGAGGGAGCATGCATGCACCTCTGTGGGCAGGTTGCCCACGTACACATTTGTGTTGGCAGGATCTGCCCTGTCCACTGTGTCAATATCCAGGCCGGTCACTGCCTCGGTCTTGTGGTGTGCCCAGCCGCACCGGATCTTCCACTGCCCCACTTGAGCCCCGTCCATCTCAGCCAGCGCCTTCTCTGCAGCTTCTTTGGTCCTGCAATGTCCTCCCAATAACACCCTCAGTGCAAGGTCAACCCAGTCTCAGCTTTCCGTTATCGATAGAGGCATGCTGCTTAAGACGGCGTCTTTAACAATACAAAGGAAGCCGGGCCATGGGTTGCTGAGCCGCAAAATTTATTAAGGAACGTAGTGTCCAAGGAAAAGGCCCCCGATACAAGGTCTTCAATGGATAGAAGAAGGGTGCGTAAAGGGCACTTGAGACGTGAGCATCCCAATTCAAATCTGAGGAGAGCATATAGCAATATAACTGCAGGCAAAGAATTCAGAAGAGGCTGAGCAGCCATACCTGAAGGAAACAAATCCAAAACCCTTGGAGCGGCCAGTGCTATGATCCCACATCACACGGGCATCAGAGCACTCGCCAAGGTGCTGAAAGGCTTGCAGCAAGACAGGGTCTGCCACATCACCGCTCAGGTTGCCCACAAAGATGTGGGAATGGGAGGCTGTGTTCTCTGTCTTCTCTTTCTGGAAGGCCCACTGGATGCGCACTTCCTATGGGAAAAGATGCAAAAGAAAGGAAACTGAATTTGGAATATCGTTCATCTTGAACAACATTGATGAATAGACCACAGTTAGGAAGTCAGTGTACAGTGGAAGTGACCGCAATGGACGAAATGATCAGTGAAATGCTGCAGCAGCAAGAAGGGAGAGCGAAGCCAATGGAATTGGTCAACCTCGCATGAAAAGTTGATATGAAATGGCAATATCATGCGTAGAAAGCAACGGCATCATACTCTTTCGGATAGTCACTGCCAGGAAAATTTCATGAATCCAGGTCGCACTGGGGATGGTTCTCATGGCACAACAGCAGCAGATGCACAGGCCCCTCACCTTGTTGTATAAAATGCGGCCGTTGATTGTCTTGAGCGCTATTGCAGCGGCCTGGTGGTCCTCAAATTTGACAAAGGCAGAGCCAGCACTGTTACCAGTGGCTCTGTCCTTCACAATCCTGACTTCTGACACAGTGCCCAGCGTGGAAAAGATGTCCTGCGTTGTGGGTAAGACAGTGGCTGTCACTAGCTTGAAGTGTGATCCTCTGCCCAACTCATGTGACTGGCGATTAAGAGTCAACACACAGACAGGCTAGTGCAAGCAAAGGAAAAACTCTACCTACAGAATGCAATCGAATGAGGAGTGGGCCATGGAAGCACCTGAAGCACTGCCTCGTTTACGTATGGGTGTAAATTTCCCACATACAGCGCCTTGGCATCCTCGTTTTCGCCCATGCTGAGTTGATGGTGGTACTATTCGCTTTATTCCTGCTCAGTCACAAGCCTGGTCAACTTTTGCAGAAGATAGACATGGCTTCATCAGGACATGATAAGCGTTTGAACGTAGGAAAGTGGCCTCTTAAACGGAACTCGCCAGGAAAAATGCAAAATAAAAGCAACAGGGCTCACTGAAAGCGCACTTACGATGCTCAGCTTTCAGACGTATTGTCTAGCAAAGGAAGGAGATTGGCAGAGCGCTACTGCCTGTCCTCTTGTGCGTTGAGAAGGAACAGAAAAGGAGGCCTCAACCGATAGAATTCCGCCAAAATTGAGTCTAGCTTTTCCTATGCCTTTCTAAAGAGATGAAGAAGAAGCGCCAGCTGGCCATATGGCCAGATGACCACCTGCCATGATGATTAATTCTACCCGCATCCAAAGTGATGCCAGATCTCTTGCAAAGCTTCCTAATTAGTTATTATTTATAAGTATATTGGGGAAGCCTGATCCATTGTTTATGTTTTTTTGTGGATTTTCACACAAGAGGCCAAACGAGCTAGCTACTAACTAACCTGACCAGCGAAGAATTCTAATCAGTGATACGATACGGGAGAGAATTATTAGAATACATCTACATTGAAAAGCATCAGACTTGACGAGGCCTGATCCAGAGAGGGTGTGAAGTACTAGGCTTGATGCTTCCTCGATGGATATATTGGGCACGTCTGCAGCGATGACAGTGGTATCGATGCTGTTCACGTAGCATTCATCTCCCCAAAGTACACACGATCTGATACAGTATGATGGTTTGTCAAGCCCCAAGATGCTGGGGTCCTTCGAGCCTATCAGTGCTTCCAGCTCCACACTTTCCAGCGTACAAGAGAAATCTGGCAATGAAGGTAAGATTATTGTGATCTGAGCTGTCCCTCTCTTTCAATCACGTGGCTGCAAGGATCTTGTTCATGGCTTTGCAACTGTTCTGCAGGTTCGCTGCTCTATCACCCAAGAAAGGCAACATGTTAGCGCACTACAGAAAGAGAAGACCAAGACACAGAAGATCTTTGAGGAGATGGAGAACAGGAATCAGTCCAGATCAAAAGGTAAAGGCTGTCCCATGCATGCAATCAACAGTCTTTGAAAAGCCATTCATCGCTTGGATTGTGTGTTTACTGATAAAATGGCTTTGATCAGCTGGGGGAGCTGGTGGCAGCACATCATTCATGGCGCTGCAGAAGGCGGACGAGGCATGGAAGCAGCTCAGATCTGCAGAGGTGTGCCTTGTGTCCAATCTTTGGAACCGCCACACGGATCTCACATCTCAATCAAGTACAACGGCGGACAGAAGCTCACAACGACTGTGTCCAGGCAGACCTGCATGATGGCAAGGCGGTATTACCTGGACCCCTGAGTCGTGTGTGCACAGATGGCAGGACCTGCGCCGGCCTTTGTGCGGCAAGTGAAAGAGCCGCTGCAGGCGCCGCCCCGCTTTGATGTGGTCATGTGCGGTGGCACACTGGGGATCTTCCTGGCATGCGCTCTGCAGCTGAGTGGGCTCAGGTGCGGTTATATGTATGAGATGATCTGGCACATTGATCCCCATCTGCCTTATCTTAGGTCTTTGTGGGTAAAGATCTTCTGAAGATATTGAGTTGAAAAGTTTGAACCGATGTGAAGTATTGTTTGCCTGTTCCTGCAGTGTGGCTGTTGTGGAGCGGGGTCCTCTGGTGGGCAGGGAGCAAGAGTGGAACATCAGCCGCAAAGAGTTGATGGAGCTGGTGCGGCTTTATCCTTGGACTTGCCCATTCCTGTTGCTGCAATGTTTGTGCAGGACAGCAGTGGAGCGATTGGGAGTCACCTACCTCTAGAAGGGAGTAAGCCGGGATAATAATTACATTGTAAGATGTGTGCCCTCACTCAAGTGATGCCGACTCAGGTTGAGGAGGGGCTCATATCGAGAGAGGAGGCAGAGGAGTGCATCGGCATGGAATTCAACCCTGTAAGGCCCCAGCCCAGTTCTCAGAGAACGCTCGCTGCCGCAGTGTGAAAGAGCACACACTTCTCACACTTTTCTCATGTACCGTATATGGTTCACCGGCGAGACAGCTTCAACAAGCCTCATTGTGGACGGGTTGGCTGTCCTTGTGCAGGTGAGAGCAGGCTTCCACGGAGGGGAAGATGTCTGGACACGTGACGTGCTGAACCTGGGCGTGCGACCAGACAAGCTCATTGCAAAGGTGAGATTGCAGCCTGTGGGGAATTGTCCATCAGGTGGTGTATACACCATCCCTCACGCCTATTGCAAACCACCAAGCTGCTGACTTGATGCAACTCTTGTTGCAGGTAAAGCAGCGGTTTGAGGCCGCCGGCGGCACGGTCCTGGAGTTCACCGGTGCGCAAGGCGTGGCAGTGCACCCCAATGGTATCTCATTGGACGTCCCCTTGGCTGCTTCTGCAGACAGTGCCCAGGCCCAGGACACCAGCGGTGCTCAGAATACGGACGAGGCAGATGGCGGCATCACCGGCCGGCTGCTGATTGACTGCATGGGCAACTTCTCGCCCATCGTGCGGCAGGCGCGCTGGGGCCAGCGGCCGGACGGCGTCTGCCTGGTTGTGGGCACCTGCTCGCGCGGCTTCCAGCACAACAGCACCGGTGCGCAGTTTTCCCATCTCATAAAGAAACTACCAGTATCTTGCCGCCAGCGCAGCGCAGGCAGATGTCTACGGGGATTTCGCGAGGGATCCATGGCAGCATCCTCATGCCTATGCAGAGGAACTGTACACGATCAAAAGCCTGTGGAAGTTTATCGCATGTGGTCAAGCGCCGTGGACCGGAGTTCTTGCAATGCTGGCGCAGGCGATGTGATATATACGAACATGCCCACAAAGGGCCCGGATGCGGCGGTGCCGAATGTGCAGTACTTCTGGGAGGCTTTCCCTTCTGGCAGCGGTCCCACAGACAGGACCACCTACCTGTTCACCTACATCGACGCAGACCCCGGCAGGTGCAGCGTCTCATCTATCCTTGCACACAAACCTCTGCAAGGCCTGCAAAACTCAATGCACACGAACACCTGTCCTTCCTAGTGATGCCAGTCTAATAAGAGATGCATTTCCTCAGGCCGAGCCTGGAGGCCCTATTAGAGGAGTACTGGGAGCTGATGCCGCAGTACCAGGGCGTGGAGCTGGAGTCCCTGGAGGTGCTCAGGATCTTGTTTGGATTCTTCCCCACCTACCGCCAGGTGACCACCTGTACCTTTCTCAGGCAGCCATCATCGAATCCTTGGATTGCAGCCCTATTCTGCACGAGGTCCTGCATTCTGCCAGTTGGTCTTTTAAATGATGTTATGCAGGCTGACGGACGTTGTGTGGGTGCGCAGAGCCCGCTGCGGCCCCAGTGGGACAGGGTGCTGCAGGTTGGCGACGCATCAGGCATCCAGTCACCGCTCAGCTTCGGCGGTTTTGGCGCACTCACGCGGCACCTCGGGCGGCTGCGTGCGGCCATCACAGAGGCTCTGGAGGCGGACGCCCTGGATAAAGAGTGTCTTGCGCAGGTGAATGCCTACAACCCGGGGCTGAGCGGGGCGTGGATGCTGCAGCGCGCGATGAGCGTGCGGCCCGGCGAGCGGCCAGACCCCGGCTTCATCAACTCCCTGCTGGCCAAGAACTTCGCGGCCATGCAGCGGTTCGGCGACCCCGTGCTCAAGCCCTTCCTGCAGGTGGCCCGCTGACCTCCCTCTCCCCCCCCCCTTCCGGCCGCTGCAGTGCTGGTGATCTGTGGCTGAGGTCGTACTTTCAAGTTCACAATGACCATTCCCACACAAGCATGGCATCACAGAGTTGCACAGTGTAGACGTCTCGACGGATGGCTTGATGTGCGTGCGGATTTGCAGGATGTGGTGCAGTACGGCCCGCTGGGGCTCACTCTTGTCAGCCAAATGCTGTCAGATCCCCTGTTTGTGCCTGCCATCTTCCGGCATGTGGGCATTCCGCCCATGCTAGACTGGCTGAAACACTTCACAGCCCTGGGAGCCTACACTCTGCTGCACAAGGCGGGGAAGCCTGTGGTGAGGAGACTAGCTCAGAAGTCCAGTGGGAGACGACGCTTCAAGCTGAATAGGCTGCTGGATGCCTGGAAGTATGGGAGTGGCTCTGACTTCAGGTTGTGACGAGCAGCATGGCAGGCGAGAACTAATTGGCACTACTGTATAGATTTGTAGCAGGACGTGCATTCGACTCAGAATTCTGCAGCTTTAGATAATCATGCTCTTGGCCACACATGTGCACGCCTTGTGAGAGGCAGCGTGCTGTATACAGAACGTACTCTTAGAATGAGTCAGGACACATGTTAAATTCAGGGAAATGTCTGACATGCACGGGCTAAAATTTTTAAAGCTGAGATGCTCAACATGAAGTAGTTCTGGAATTGTCAGGCAAGATAATCTGTCGAACAAACCATTCATGTGTGCATTCTCTCTGTTTTAAACCGCTTGCCGTAATTGTCACTTGCATCAGCTCATTTGCATCAGTGCATCCCACAGAACGTTCCACATGAAACACCCATTCCAGGCATACATGCCTCATGATGTGTGCACAGCAGCATCATATCCTGCTGATTTGCAGCACAGCCATTGAACACAATCGTTCACAATATGTTTGCCGCATGCATGTCTTGGCTGGTGATCATGCTCCGTCTGTCTGCATGAAGGGATTCTGAGCGAGCTCCTCTGTGCCAGCTGTAGGAGACACCATCATGACAGCGGTCCCTCTGCACACCTGTCACATCCAACGGTGCATCAAGCCTCTCCGCATGACAAATGCCGGGCCCTACGATGCCAGATCGGTTGGCAAACAGCTGGGTATATAAGGAACCCATGTCGCGAGCCTTACCACAAGTCCCAAGTGCCGCGTCTCATTTGTTGTCCTTAGCATGTCTTCCTTGTCTGCGCCAACACAGAAAAGGAGGCAATCACAATATTGTTAGAGATCTCTAGCAAGTATGTGCAGAGCAGATACGACCTTTGCCTAGACACTGAAGGTATTGGACAGGCGCACCTCTAAGATACTCCACTGTCTCATCCAGGACCAGGTTAAGTAGCTGATCATATCCCTTCAGGGTCCCTTCCACTGCCAAATAGAATCGAGACACGTCAGTAGTCACCCCTCGAGAAGTAATCATATGGCTCCACAGCGGAGAAGGCAGCTCACAGTGAGATCAAGAAGCAGCATGGATGAGAAATTCGATTTGCTTCCTGCAAACAGCATTTTCGCACCTTCACGGCCTCCAGACAGCTTTACACGGACGCCCTTGTCGATGAACTTGGCCAGATCAAGAGCATTTTCTTTCCTGGACATGTCTGCTTTTGGTCCTCTCCCTACTGCTGCATGTTAATAGCTCAAATAGCTTTGTTCTATGATTGTATGGGGTTAATGATTTTCAAAGTTCCAAGACTGCAAAGTGAGTCAGCAGTGCAAGGTAATGCAGGTCCTGTCTCCGTGCTTAACAGCAGTAGCTTTTGCTATTGGTGATCCAAAGTCTCAAGGTTTGCATCAGATTAAGTAATCAACGAACTTTTTACCTTGGTTTCATCGAAATGATCAGACGCCAATTGAGAGGTCCTGAGAGTTAGTCAGCTTCACGTAATACACGGTGTTCCATGTCCTCGTTGTTGTCAAAGAAGATCATCAAAACTTCTGAGATAGTTGCACGAGTTATATACATTGCTGGTCAATTTAAATTCCAGAGTCCAAGCCCAATCGACTAGACAAGCTTTATCGAGGACGATCACTTACAGCGGGTACCTTGCTGTTTAGGGAAATTGAGAGCTGCGCTTCCCCTTCGACACAATCAAAGCAGATTTGCCATAGTTTATTATTCTTAGCCCCAAAATAACGAAATAAACCTCGGTATTCTCTGAGACTGATCGACAAGCACAACCTCCACACTTTTCCCTAAGACACGACGATGGATGATGATCTCGACTTCGATTTTGAGGGATCACTGCCTCAAACAGCGCCTCCTACTGCTGGGCAGGCGAATGGACAGGTAGGGAGCATCTTCACGCGTTGGCATTGGGAGCAGAGCTGCCTTGGGCAAAAGGTAGATCCTTTGTTTCTTGGCTGCACTTGATCGTTGCATTGAACAAGTTGTGTGGTGCTGTAGGGCCATCAAGTACCTTTTATACCCGCAAATGCCAACATTGGGCAGAGCTTGGGCAACTTCAGGAAAAACTACCGTCAGGTAAGCAGCTGTTGTCTTTTGCCTCTCGGCGAATGTGCCTGATGTTTATCTTGCGTGTTTTACAAGGAGACTCAACAATTACTTTGGTCGCTGATGGTGTCTTTGTCCCTGCAGACTGTATGCACATACTGGCTGAAAGGCCTGTGCATGAAAGGAGAGGAGTGCGGCTTCCTGCACCAGTTGGACCCCCAGCGCATGCCTGTTTGCCGCACGCTCCTCAAATTTGGGGAGTGCAAAGATCCAGAGTGCCCTTTCAAGCACAACCTGGAAGAAGTAAAGGTAAGTGCAAGGATTATGCATTGCTTTCCCTTGCCATGATTGCTGATTTCATATCGAGAACCAGCATCAGGGATGAAGCTGAGGCTGGTGTGTGCTGGGCAGGAGTGCAACATGTACAAGCTGGGATTCTGTGTGTACGGGCCAAGGTGCCGCTTCAGGCATACCCGGCTGCCCGGACCGCCGCCTGACCCCGAGACCTTTGAGGCTGCGAAGCCACGCGAGTTCCGGAACATCAATCTCATAGTTAACAGCTCTGGCGGAGGCAGCACCAACTTTGGGGGAGACAAGCGAGGCAGCTTTGGAGGATCCGACAGGTAATCATTTTCCCTATTGAGGCTTACATGTAGAGCATGGGCATTGCTCCCCATTCGAGTGACAGACAGTGAGCTGACTGCCTGTATTTGTAGGGCTGGCCACTTGATGCAGTGTGATAGTGGGTATCATCATCTCCGATGATTATTAATCCGTGTCTGATACACTGGATTGGTGTTCAGGGGCCCGCGTATGCTGCCAGCACCTTCAATGATGTCGTAGCAGTGAGGAAGGCAGCTGTGAGCGTGCTTACTAGTGTTTGAGCAAAGAAGGAGCTCGCTGCCTGCTCGTAGAATTCCAGATTTGCACCAGTCAGACCAACAGCATGTGAACAATGAACGATCGTGGAACTGATTTGCACCAAACTCAACAAACAGAATATTGCGGCAGTATGGGAGAGAATTTTGGCTGTAAGACCAGGATGACTGCATAATGTAACTTGCATATTCAAGTTCAAAGTTCTTCGTGGTGGAATTCATATGAGTTGGAAACCCGGCGATACTTTGACGTGAAATCTGGCTTTGAGAGAATTCACTGCATGAATGGCCTGTTGATGTTGTGTTGAGTGACGATGAGCACAGCATGGGTATTCCCACAGTGACTTCAAGCTGTGAGAGCTCCAAAAATTCGTGTAACGGTTTCTCTATGGACAGTGAGCAACAGCTCTACAACCATTTTGCATGATTTTCTACTCTCAAGATCTGAGGCTTCAAATCCAAAGGCACATCCACTCGAGTAGCTACTCCTTTGAAAGGTCAGGACAAGACCGCTGACACTCTTCATGATCAGGGCAGAGCTCAACCTGCGCAGTTGTCATTCCTACATTATTTTGGACACTATGGAACGGACCGTGATGGTGCAACCCAGCAGTCAACTTCCTGGGTACGATTGGTCATCTCAAGAGGTTTTCGACACATTGAGAAAGCTTTATTGTCCTTGTTCAAGTATTTTGTGCAGAGTAATGCCATTAGGTCCTGATGCTGTAATCGCCTGACTTACAGACTTTCCTGACCCACTTTTCCACCTTGTAGGAGCTCTTCTCCCACACTTTCAGGTATTGCACGCGCAGCCCAGATGCGCTGTACATGGGCACCTGCACAGCCAGAACCCACATCTTTCACTGTCTCCCCTGTGAGATCTGCTTACCTCTTTTAGAAAAAAAGCACATGATCCGCTCAGAAGCCTGTCATGCGGTACATCCTAGCACACCATCTGGCTCTATCAGGTATAGACTGTAGCATTATGTGCAGAAGTGTTCACATAACAAAGAGGGTGTCACCTGGAAGTTCATGGAGATGGGCGGCCGGCTCCAAGCCTTCTTGTCCCTGGTGGTGGCAATCAGCTCCACGCTCGCGATCAAGGAGTGCTCTGTTGCGCCGTTGAAGCGCTTGATCTTCCACACCAGCGCATGCTTCTTCGAGTCGTACTTTGCCTTGCCTGCATCAGCGGAATTTTTGTCAAAATAGGGTTGGGTGGTAGCTACGTCAAAGCCACGTCGTCACTGAAAAATTAATGAATAGCATCAAAACATGGTGGGGCTAGATCAGACGCAGGTAGACATAGGAAACAGCCCCATGACATGAGCCATGAAGCTGACAAAAGTGGAGAGGCAAAACGGTTGTCGTGCAAAGAAGAGGAGGGTGTCACCTATGCTGGTCTGAATGTCTGCCTTGGCAGTTGTATCGGGGACGGGGATGGTGATCACCACGTTGAGTGCAAAGTCCTTGCTGCCAAAGCCCGCCTTGACCTTGATGTTCACCTGCATTCGCGTCCGGCCCAGCTCGCTGATCAGCGGCGTTACCTGCACAGCCAAGTCAGTCCAACAATCAGCATAAGCAACACCCTCCACATTCTTTCAATCGCCGCCTCTCACCTGATGATCTATTCCTGAGGCTCAGGTAAACTTTCAGTCGTTCCAGAAACACAAGCAGTGCTGATGATGGCGCACCAGGAATGGCAGGGAGATGCCCTCTTGGCAGCGGTACTTCATGAGCTCGAATTCGCCGTCCGGCGGCACAAAGCTGACCACCTTCTCGGTGTTGAACTTGCCCAGGTTCACGCACTGGTGGAATGTCACGTCCTGCAGTGGCCATAATACCAAATTACTGACAGTTGACCCTTCCTACATACTGGGATGGACGCATCATCACACCTTCCTAGCCCCACAGAATAGCCACACTGTATCCTCCATGCAAGGAGGCTCTCACAGTACGGTCAAGACAGCAACATTGAAGACATGGAAAACAGAAATGCGAATGAGAATTATGCAGGCCAGGAGAGACATTGCGCAATGCAGCAAGCAGCGGCCTTGCAAGAGGAAGTCCACACAGGCATGAGCAGGGCCGTGCTGGGGCGTACCTCCAGCTTCTCGTTGAGGCCCAGCTTGACGTCGGGCATGCCAGACAGGAAGACCTTCATGATGATCTTGCCGTTGACATCGCAGCGCAGCACTGTGCCCTTGCTGGACATCAGCACGTTGACCTGCTCCACTATGTCCAGGAACACCTCATTCTTCTTGTACTTTATGTTGTCCGTCCGCCACCCCACCGCACCCGTCACCTGTGCCCACCACATGAATCTTCTTTGAAAATGGAAGCGCTTAAATTCACCCACCACAAGTGAAGAAAGGAATGCATCAGTTTCAAAGGAGAGGCCACCACGAAGAGCTGCAGTCCTTGTGCCCTGGGTCTCAATTATCAACACCATCTAGCCTGACAACACTACAGACTGCCCTGTATAAGCTGGAGACTTGAGATGTGCACCTGCAAGGTGGCATTCTGCGCTTCCACGTCCCGCTTTGCCTTTGCAGCTTCTGTGATGAACCCCTTCTGGAAGATGTACTGCTTCAGTATCGAAGGGTCCACAATCTGCAGGAAAACCAGACTTTAGCGGCTGCATTCAACCACTAGATCCGCTACCTTGGACACAGCGATTTTGGGTGACAGAGGAGCTCAGAAGCAATGTACGGCCTCACCTGAGGGTAGCCAAAATCCATGATTTCATCCAGGAGCTCATATATCAGCACAAAATTGTTCTTTATGCTCTGCTCGCTGCACTCCCCGCCAAAGTAAGCCTTGCACAGCGTCACAACCTGCAAATGACATGCAAAGGATCATCAGAACAAGGGTTGCCTGCATGTCAGGGAGCTCTGACAAAGGAGGCGCAGAAAAGGTGCCCCAAAAGAGCGTGATCAGTCCTAGGGAAATTTCCGAGAGGGATTGCACGTACGTTCGTCATGAATTGAAAAGCCATCATGACGTTTGCATTGCTCTTGGTGACGCCCAGGATGTAGACGTCGCCGTGTCGCATGTACATGAAGCTGCAGGACCCCAGCACTCGGACAGGGGTGAGGTTCGAGATGTTGTCAGCCTCTCTCGAGTTGAGGATGTGCGTCCTGAAGGTTGCTGCTAGGTTTCGCCTGGTGGAGGCAACATGAGAAATAAAAGAAGCTGTTTGTTGTAAGCCACATCTGCCATCCCACAGTTGACTAACTCGCAGCAAAAGGCTCTCTTGCTGGAAATTCTGCACTGCATCTCAGGATTTTGTGGGTTGGGGCGTTTGCATACTTGCCAAAGCTGAGGAAAAACCCACGTAGCTAGCACAAGCAAGATGACAGGGCTGAGACGTCCCAGCTTGGCAGACTTTGCTCAAGAGTCTGGTGCTTTTAAAATGAGCAAATGGAAACTGGAGAAAATAGAAGGATCAGAAGAAAAGATGCTTACTCGACATCATCTCGATATGTCCGCTGAATCAGGATGTCGCCCTTCATATTTAGAAAGTATATTGCTGAACATGCAGACGCCATGACGGGCTGCTATGTCAAGTAATTTCTATAAATGCTTGACGTTAAGCTAACTCATTGTTTCACACTGCGCTGCTGTCCAGCACACAGAAAGTGCACGTGTCGATGCTTTTCATCGTATTGACCCAGAAAATGATACAAACCTCAACGTCCAACCTCTTGCTCGAGGATCCACGGCTTCAGATACGTTTTTGACTGTCGAAATGTTCAATCTGAGGTTGACATACCCGCTTAAGAATCTCCCCAAGCTACCTCCGAGACTCGTGCGTTGGGAACCCTAATGGGGCCCTCGGTCTTAATACCCCTGCATTATCGTTCAGAGGAAACTTTTTCAAGGATATCTCTTCAATTCTTGCTCCTCTTTACCATTGACGTGTACTGCTATGCCACTGCATCAATGGAATAACTTCCCCAATGTCAATATCGCGGCCGCTGCGGCCGGTACACCTTGGGCGATTTGCCACCAGTGGTCTGACCTGCTTCACGGAAATATTTCACCTCCAGCTAGCTACTCACTGCAGGTGTGTCAAACAGTCATGTCTGATCATACGTTGCCTCATACAAGGATTACATGTTTGGGATACTGTAGCAACCATCCTCTAGATAGCATCAAATTGTGATGCCCCTGCAATGCTCCACGTGTCATGCACTATGGCAGTAAATCATGCGTTTGAAAGCGCCCGCTCGGTCTATTATCTTTGCTGCATATGATACAAAGGGTGCTGCGATGCGATGAGAGGCCAGGCCTCAATACAGGTTGTGCAGGTTCAGGCATGCTCCAGCACGGCTTCATCCAGGTACACCTCTGCTCCGATGCTCTTGAACTGCTCCGACATCTCCGCCATGCCAGTCTGCAACAACCACAACACCCAACATCAGCGCAGCCATCTCTCTGGTGCGCCTTCATCAGTAAGACAAAATTCAAATTTTCTTCTGAATATTAAATGCGTTCCACTGGTCAACAATAACCAGATGACATCTAGATGAGGTTCCCTATTACAGCATGCATGGCAGGGATGCGTAAATGCCTCAGGAGACTCTAGATCAACTTGATTCAGAGTCCCATGAAAGCCTGGCTGGCAGTGTGGAGAGGCTTGCTGGATGTGGCATGCGTTGCACAAAATGTGGGATGCAGTGCACAACAGGCAGTACCTGGATGGCTTCGTCCTCTTCCATCTGGTGGTTCTTAGCATACTCTCGCAGGTCCTGTGTGATCTGCAGCCCACCCAAAACACTTTTCAGGCAAACATTCATTCCCCACATCATTCCCCACAGACAAGCTCATCCTTGCCGCAAAAGCTACACAAGTGCAGTGAAGTGTGAGCTTGTCTGGGAGACTACCATTCTCAGACAAGTCACAGGGAATGTGTATGGTGTTAAAAATGAGTAGTATTGCGACTGAGCCACAAATGTTTCATCGCACTCCTGGAGCAAGAGAATGGGTGGAGGGGCGGAAGAGAGGGCACCTGCATGGAGCAGAACTTGGGGCCACACATGGAGCAGAAGTGGGCGGTCTTGGCGGGCTCCTGGGGCAGCGTGGCATCGTGGAACAGACGCGCAGTGACAGGGTCCAGCGACAGGTGGAACTGGTCATACCTGCACCCACAACCCCACATTATCCCCCCCTCCAGACCTCATATGCATCCACAAGACCCTAGGTGCCAGCTGGCCTGCTACATTATAAAGCACCTGGCAGGAAGGCAGCAATGCCAAGACTTCCTGACGGGAAGGATGTGTCTGATGCCATCACACAAACAAGAAAATTTGAGGGATTAGGGCGATCAGGCTGCAGAAGGATTGGCTCACCATCTGAACTCGAAGCGCGCCTTGGAAAGAGCATTGTCCCACTCCTGGGCATATGGGTGGCCCTGCAGCACAGACAGCACAGATCAGGCCAGACACAGCAGTACTGACGCGCTTCCAACAGAGCAACTGAGCAAAGGGGGGGGAGGGGGGCCTCAAACCTGACCATATGCAGGGCCATATGCTATGATATATAAGGCATTGATACCACGGCATACAGGGGCATGGGCATGACTCACACCTTTGCAAGGTCGGCCGCGTGGGCGGCGATCTTGTAGGCGATGACGCCGGCCTTGACATCGTCACGGTCTGGCAGGCCCAGGTGCTCCTTGGGCGTCACGTAACACAGCAGCGCCGTGCCTGCACCCATCACCCACGCATTAGCAGTCAGCACATCCTCACACCTCTCACCAACCCCAGTATCCCATCAGCAACCCCATGACTGCCTTCTGTCTCTGTTTTGAAGGTGAGCAGGACATCAAATTATCAACAAGTGCCTTTGCCTCTGTTTCCACACAAGCAGGATATCTGTGGCTAAACAAGGGTGCCCATAGTCTGTGAAGGCCCCCTCTAAGAGCGCCGTTTATTGCAGCTATGCCTGGCAGCATCACAGTCAAATCTCAACGGAGCCCTCGAGAGAGGCTGCACTAATGCAGAGGGTGTGGGCAGGGGATCGCACCGAGGGCGCCGATGGTCGCAGCTCCAATGGCGGAGGTGATGTGGTCGTAGGCCGGCGCGATGTCAGTGGCCAGGGGCCCCAGAGTGTAGAAGGGCGCCTCGCTGCACCAGTCCAGCTGCTTCTCCATGTTCTCTGGGATCTTGTGCAGCGGCACGTGGCCCGGACCCTCGTTCATCACCTGCAGTAGACACCATTGCTCATCCACTGCTTTTCTGCAGAGCTCAGACTGCTCTGCACCCTCTTCACTGGCCATACAACAGGCAGGCTTCTGCAGCTCTGGTGTCCGATATGGAATGAAAGAGGCATCCAAATTGGGTGCTCCGATGGGATTGGGGGATGGAAGAGGATGTACCTGCACATCCTTGGCCCATGCTCGGCGGGTGAGCTCGCCCTGTGTCTTCAGCTCTGCAAACTGCGCGGCATCGTTGGCATCTGTGCAGCAGCACACACCACAAGTCATATGTCTGCGAAGCATCTGCAAGAGCTGGCATTAAGACGATTTGAGAGGAGCTGTGCAAGACAAGTGTCAAGGAGTTTTGGGGCGCACCGGCGATGCAGCCCGGCCTGAGGCCGTCCCCAATGGAGAGGGTGATGTCATACTGGGCGCAGATGTCCAGGATCTCGTCCCAGTGCATGTAGGCAAAGTTCTCCGTGTGGTCCAGCAGGCACAGCTGCGCATGTGCAACCACATAATCTTACCACCCACTGAACAGTTGCCAACATGCACACGAGGTGCACTCTTGCGCACGGGAAGCTCGAATAATGTTAGGACCAATGCATTGCCGCAGCTGCCCACCTTGGCGTGGATGGATCCGCCGCGTGAGACAATGCCAGTGACGCGGTTGGCGGTCAGGGGAATGTAGCGCAGCAGCACGCCAGCATGGATGGTGAAGTAGTCAACTCCCTGCACACCACACACACTATCTCATGGGTAGTATGTTGACCACAAGAGAAATTATACTGCAGCAATAAAAACTGGGTGAAGCAGGAAAAGGTGTTGGAGGTGGGTGGTCACCTGCTCGGCCTGCTCGATGAGGGTCTCGCGGAAGAGCTCCCAGGTGATGTTTTCCACGATGCCGCCCGCCTTCTCCAGGCACTGGTAGATCGGCACCGTGCCCACCTGCGCATTCAGATGTGAGGCTCAGCCAAGGACTTCTTGACCTGTCAACTCTCAACACATAACACCATGGCCTGGACATCAGGCAACGCCTACGCAGCATTGCATTGGGGGTGAGAAGGGATGCCTCACCGGCACGGGCGAATTACGCATGACCCACTCGCGCGTCTCGTGGATGTTGTTGCCGGTTGAAAGGTCCATGGCGGTGTCCGCGCCCCAAATGGTGCTCCACTGCAGCTTTTCAACTTCCTGCATGCGCAGTCAGCTTTCAGGGCACAAGTACCCAATAAAATGCTTGTGAAGGCCACAAAACGGGGATTGGAATGTGCGAAGCCCACCTCTTCGATTGAGGAGCTGACGGCGGAGTTGCCGATGTTGGCGTTCACCTTCACCAGGAAGTTACGGCCTGCGCAGTGCACTTTCAGGTTTGGTCCGTACATATATGGGCCTAGATGTCCTGGTGCAAGCCCCAAAAATGTATGAACTATAAGATATGTGTGAAGGTGGCGGACCTACGACTGTTGGCTCCAGCTCGAGGTGTCTCTTGTTTGCTGGGATAATGGCACGACCGCGAGCCACCTGCAGACAGCACGCCGCATGCCAGATCCCTGTCAGTCATTTCTGGCTGACAATCCTTGCATGCATGCTAAGAATGCTGATGGTGCGCTGCGTGTACCTCTGAGCGGATGAACTCTGGGTCCATGCGTTCGCGAGCTGCGCAGAACGCCATCTCCTCTGTGATGATGCCCTGCTTGGCATAGTACTGCTGCGTCTGCACCTTGTCCCCCCTTGCCTCCCTGGGCTCCACCCACGACGACCGGATCTTGGGCAAGCCCTCCCTTGGGTTGACTCCCTGTTGCAATGCACATCCATGGGTCATGTCAGACCACAGAAGCTCCTCACGGCAACTTGGGCTACTCTGCAAGACAGCCTGGATTTTGGTGGGTGGGGCCTTATGGCCGCCCCACCTGAGGTCCGCTGGTGTCATACAGGTCGAAGTGACCGTTGTCATCCTGCAGATGCACGCGGCGGAAAGGCACCTGCACAGATCACTCTGCAGTCATGACAAGGAAATAAAGCCAGCTGGCCTCAGCACAAGACAAACATCAGGCAATGCGCATTATACGCTTAGAGCATCTCACCTTCAAGGTCTTTCCGTCGTGCTCCACCTCCCTGTAGCACTTCTCACTCCCAGGAAAGCAATCCTGGAATGTAGGGCTTTGTCGGAAGCTCAACTCCCCCTGCCCAGGATCCACAGCGCATTTATCCATCAGTCGTCTTTCGAAGATTTACTTCGAATGCATGCTAATTTGCCTTTTCAGGCATTATGCAAGCAAGCAAAATTTTGTTTGCACCCTATGCATGCCCATCGCTGACCTTCTGGGGCCTGTTGACGCTCTGTCGGCTGGACAGCGCCTTCAACTCGGCAAATGCGTCTGTTTGCTGCAGGCGTGCTTCCTCAGCATTGTCCAAATAATCCAATCTTTCAGGTGCAGCGATTGCAGTGGTCTTTGCTCCCAGATGTCGCTCTCGGGAGTGGCTGTTCACCCTTAGCGGTGCCCCAGCTATGCTGCTGCGAGAGGAAAGGCCCCCAAGGGGCAGCTTGGCCAAATTCGTCGTCATGATCGCAGATTGAAAATATCTACTGAATGCCTCGATCTTCGCTAGGCAGCTGTTGCAAATCCGACAAAATTGAGAGCGGTTGCCTGAACAGGACAGCGACCATCAGCTTCTCCAGGACAGGAAGCTACTTGTCCCCAAGACCAATTTCATCGAGGTTACACCACACCAATTGCAGGCTGCAGGTCATACTCATCCAACTCTCACAGATGTCAATTTGTAAAATTCAACTTCCACATACCATATACCGTATCGATACCTTCCGACACCAATACTAGACGTTGCACAGCACCTAGATGAAGAAATTTCTTTAAAGTGTTACCGTCCCACTCAAAGCAATCAATAGTCAATCAGCTTGAGCGCCGCATGCTAATGCTTGACCACAGGGAAGCATCACGAGCATGCTGGAGCAACCTCAGGTTCAGATTGCAAGCCTCAATGGCCGTCAAGTCACCGCTATTGATGAACCGAGCAGGTGACATAATAAAAGGTCGGCGTCGGCATGATTGAAAGTTGCACAGCAGGTGCATAGAATTACATTCAAGAAACGCTCGCTGCCACATCCAGCCTGGATGCCGCATGCTAAACGCTTCACCACAGGGAAGCATCATGCTTACACAAAGCCCCGGATTGGAAAAGGGTACATAATTGGGTTCAGCCTCGCAGGGCCGCCAGGGCAGGGGGAATGAGGGTGAGGATGGAAGGGTAGGCGAGGAAATAGATGGCGGCAGGGACGGCGGCCTCCAGGTTGCGGTTGGAGGGGGACCAGAGGTGCGTGGGGTAGTAGCGCCAGGGGCCCCACAGCACACTCTTCTGGGGGTGGTCCAGCAGCAGCGTGTTGTGCACCGCGCAATTTCCCGATCCAATGTCCTGCACCCACGCCACATTCCCACAGCACCTTCAGCATTGCCTTTGAGGAAACACACACCCCTAGATTGAGGTAAGTGGGCATGTGCTGCATGTTCATCAAGCCTCTTTGTGGCACGGACGCGCATCTGGGCCACAAACGTCATCACAATGCAATGGTGGAGCATGAGTGACACGTCTTACAAAGAAAAGAATTTGCAGGAGTGCTGACGTGGCAAGCGTTCTGCAGGTGGGCAAAACTTGTGTGGGTGGGTGAGGGCAGCACCCGGGGTGTGTTGCCGGGGTAGGCGCCCCAGGTGAGCTTGGGGACGCAAAAGCCCAGCATGGTGACCACATTGATGTTTACGCTGCCGTAGCGCAGAGCCGCCACCGCGCGCTCCACCGCCTCCCCATGCGCCGCAGACACATCCGGCGGGACCTGCACCCATAGCCGCGCAATTTTTTGATATATATTATTATAAGTAGTGGTGCATGCTTTTCCTGCCAAGAGGCAAGGTGCGTCCTGCAGGCGAGCTGCAGGTAAAGGCTGCCATAATCCTATCCTTTGATGGACTCGCCAGATTCAAGCAAGACCCAATCAACCGTGGGCACGGTGGTCAGTATTTATACCGCCCCCCGCCAAACGTATATCAACTTAAATAACGAATGCCCCAGGTCAAATGTGCGGTGCAAGCATTTGTGCCAGCAGACGACTGCAAGATTTCGCAGAGGCAGGCAGCATCAACAGAGCAAAGACATGCAGAACGTTCAAAATGTCGCCCGCACACACGGGAAACCAGAAATTCTGAGTTCCTGGACAATTGCAGTGTCCTGGGCAAACTTTGCAAAGCCTTGTACATCCCAATGGAATGTAAAGGACCGGCCAACCTTGCCCAAGAGACTGTCCCTCTGAGCTGCATGCCCCACTCCCTTGCAGTACCCCAGATATGTTGCTTCCGTGGCCGAGCGGAGGTTCAATTAATGAGAGCACGGGCGGACGGACCATGAGGGAGCAGGAGAGGGTGCCCCAGCAGCGGTCGTTGGCGTACGCAACAGCTGCCTTCAGGAATTTCTCCGGGTGGCCCCCCGATCCTGGCAGTGCCACCTCCTGCAGCGCCCCGCACCAGTTCTCCGTCTCCGTCCGCGCCTGCGCACACAGCTCCACTGTTTTATGTGAGGTGTAACTCACGATTTCGTTGGAAGATCTAGGCACCAGTTGTCCGGGCAAAGTGACTCTTAAACTTCTTGGCTGCTGCAGAGAAGCCTATGCCTGTTACCACTGCTGCACTCCCAGTCAAGCGCATGCAATTGATGCTCCATGCAGGACCAGCTGATTCATGTCCTCTACTCGACGGTACGGACATGTGGCCATCTTTGATTGTGCCTAGGGAGAAACTAGGATGAAAGGATACAACGGCGCACACCTGCTCGGGCGTCAGGCCGGACTTGAAGAGCCAGGGGATGTAGGAGGAGGGGGCGCCGTCGACCTGAGTCCCCAGCTCCTCCACTCCCGGGATGGCCGCCTTGAATGCCGCTGCGCGCTTCTCGCTGCCGGGGTACCACGCCACCCGACGGGGTTCCCTGTCCAGCCGCGCCCTGCAGATCCCACATTTCTTTGCTCATCTCTGACATCTCCATTCTTATGAAGGTAAAAGATCATCAAGGCTTCGCGATGATCACATGCCAGTGGCTCGAATGCCTTGTCGCAAACTCTTCCTACAGCTGACTTGTGAACAAATGCACCCCAACAGAGTAACAGTAATTGGAGGCTGCTGCAAGTCTTATTACTTATTTTGTACAACATGCTTTTGAAATAATATGACGCGCCTTTGAAGATTATGACAAATGCTGGGGGGTGGGATCGTGCCTGATGGCCTGCACGAGGGCCTCACGCTGGGGCCAGTCAGCATCAGTGACCAGGATCTCGGCCTTGGTGCAATTGTGGCCAGCGTTGTGCACCAGGCCCGCCACAATCTCGTCCGCATAGTACTCCATGTCATCCTGGCTCCATGCTCCCGGCGTGATGATATAGGGCGTCACGCAGCCCAGCTCTGCCCCCACCTCCTTCTTCAGCGGCGGCTGCCCCACCTGCACCCAGCAACATATCCTGATGACAAGATCTCATGAGTTATTGGTATTTTTACACGCTTTTCCTGCCAAGAGGGAAGGTGCGTCTGCAGGCGAGCTGCAGTTGAAGCCTGCCAAAATCCTGCCCCTTGTTGGACTTGCCAGATCGAAGCACGACTCAACACTGGGCACCTCTCATGGATACTCCAGCAAACATGACGAATTGGCTCCTCGCAATGTCTTGCAAGTAGAGTGGCTCTTCTGGTAGAGAGTCACCAGTAAGGAACCTGGCTGAAGGTTGCAAATGAAAGGATCAAGATGTGTGCTTCATGTGAGCTGTATGAATGTGGGCATGTAGGGAAGCACGCCTTCTTTTGGTTTCCCCAGACCACGGCGTCATAGGTGGCAGAGGAGCCTGTCAGGTGAATGGATTTGACGATGGGGTGGCTGGTCAGGAAAGCGCCCTCCTTGGCGCCCCCATACACAATCTCCACGTAGCCAGCCTCCACCAGGGGAGCATACGCCAGCCTGCACCCCCATCAATCATACTGTCACGTGGGGGCAGCGTGAAGTCTACAGGCCCCGAACAGTAGCAAACCCCACAGAACACGCTGAAGCTTCTATCAGAACATGAAAGTGTAGGGGCCGCTCAATCGCTGACAATCATCTTTTTGCCAGGCTGGTTGCAAGGGTTTCAATTCGATGCCAAGGCAAATCAAAGGCACGCTGGCAGGATTGGTTGGCAGATTCAGGCAAAATGTATCCCGGCAGACACAGTGACAGCACCTGATGAATTTGCCCAGGTACTCGTTGACAGGGTTCATCTTGCAGACAACGACGGCGTCATCGACAAACAGCTTGTGCAGGATATCCATGCAGGCCACCGGCGTTTGGTTGCCGGCGCCCAACACCAAAGCCACATGTCCTTCCGCCTTCTTTCCCTGAGCCTTCGCCCTGTAATTGGCTCCCTGCACAGGGGCATTGCCACCATCACCTTCAGTGATATGCCGCATGAGATATTAGTATTGAGATGCGTGAGCCAGGCTATTTACATTGTCACCTCCAGAGGCTTGGCAGGATTAGTGAGCAGAAAAGGCAGCAAGAGACAGACCTGAGAGGCCGGCTTGCCGGGCTCTATCCACACCTCTCCCTTCATTCCTCCAAAGAACAGACTCTCAACCCTGCACAGTAAATATTTAAGACCTCACTTACTTTCCTCCTCAGTGTCTTGGCCATTCTGACGACCGATCCATAAATTGCAGGCTTGCAAGCATGCAACAAGGAGGACGAGAGCAAGCTCTTCCCATGGGGCAGGACAATTGAGCCGAAGCATATCCAGGAGGGCAGGAAAAAAAGCTCACCCCAGGGGAAAGGCATCCACAACGACTTGTCCATCCGCCCGCTGCCTAACTCCATTGGGCGCTGGCTGGCCGCCTGCAGCCATGGCCTCAATGAGCTCCCTGATGCCCCATGCCACTGGCAGCCACGCCATCCATTCCTCCCCAATTCCCGTCCCATACGACCCCTTGGCCGCTGTTGCTGCCTCCCCAGCCGCCTTTGACACCTGTGGGTGCATCCCAGATGTGAGGAAGCCAAGGCTGCAGCTGCACTCGGCTTGACCTTCCGTGCACACTAGCGGCTATTGCAAGCTGATAGATTCAGAGGATTCACGATAATTTCTGCGGATTGGGGGAGTTTTGATGCATGCTGCTCACATCTATGACGTGCTTCAAGGTCTCTCGCAGCAGTTCGCCCCGCTTCAGGGTGGTCAGGTTCGCCCATTCCTCCTTCTTGGCATCCAGTGCTTGCAGGGTACTCTCCAATTCCTTCAATGGAGTGGGTGGAACCGGTGTAAAACCTGAGGAAGCACACGAGCTCCACCTTCTGGCCAGATCCAGGTACATATTCTAAAATAGCAAACGGTGTCGAAGTTTTGTTTCAACGTCAAGAGGCAATCTCTGACGAGTCAAATTGGATTCAGGAATCCAGATGGCACGAGAAAGCGCGATATATATGTTGGGGAGAAGAACACTCCCAACTCGCATGCCATAGAGAGTTCAAATATGGACAGTATACCTGTGGGGAGAACCACTGGCTTGTGAAGGGGCTTGGTAGGACTCAATAAGTAATTGGCTGTGCCCAGAACTGGCTGGAAGACGCCTCCTATGAATCGCCACATCTTGGAAGCCCTCTTGGAAGCCTTCTTGGAACCCTTCCGTACTCTTCGAGGCTTCTCACTGTCAGGCTCCTGAGATGAGACCCGTGCGTTGATACAAGGAAAACAACGAGAAAGAACTGATCGTTTCCTCGATGGATGTCCCTCTGTAGGTGCGAGCTTGTACTGGGAATCGACTGCACTACTTGCTGTTATATGCACTTGCACACCAATACCGCCTTGCTTCATTGTTACGCATGCATGACATTGCAGCCTCCAGATCACAGACAAGAGTACATTGCTTCTGCTCCTGAATACCTTAAAGCACCCGGGCTGTCGAGTCCAGTTTGTGACACTGCAAATTACGAGCTCCAGCTGGAGCCTGATCGGGCAACCGGGCAGCTGCTGGCCATCGAGGTACTGATGTCAACAGAGATATTAGTGCAGAAATTGGCTCACAGTGTCGAGGATCAATTAAAGCGAGTCTTTTTACGGTAGAGAAGCGGGGTAGCAATGCTGAGACCCTGGCGAATGAATTGCTCTCTGCACCAACCTGTCCTTCTGTGTTGAGATAGCTCGAGTCCGTGACACTTTGTATGGCCGATCATCTTCTCAATGCCCGCCCCGCTGCGTGTAATGTAATCCCAAGGTCGTTGTTCGCGCGCACAGCATTTCCCGCAAGAGGTTGTGGGCAACAAGTACATCATTCAGCTGGTTCAGCTGGTAGGCCAGTATTAAGGCGACCAGCTGCGACTCCATTTGCACTTCAGTCCGTCCTTGATAACAATTGTCTTCGGTCAAAGAGATCGCTACAAACCAGAGCGTGGACTGGGGCCTTCACCGCTCCCACCAGGAATGAAAATGAGCCTAGCACAACTTGTACTGAATTTCGTCCACCGCCTACATTCTTGCAGACGTCAGGCAGGATCATTGCAAGTGCGTACAAGCCTCGCCTTTGACAAGTGCATGACTTTGGCGGCAACCAAGAAGCGTTTGAAGCAAATTTGTGGTGTATGTCTATGTTCGTGTTGAGTTCTTGTCTCACTGACTCCTTGCTTGGCTCAAAAGGCAACAGTCGCGATATCAAGGAGCACGGAGGCTCTGTCCTTAAACGAACAGATTTCCGAAGTGTTGTCTGGTGTGCCTGCGCAGTTGGAGACATCCACGGGGATGTGCAGAAGGCGATAACGTCCCTCAAATTGGGGGGCGTGCTGGTGGAGGACTCCTGCGGCCGCCCGGTGTGGTGCGGGGGCAACACCGTCGTGGTGCAGCTGGGAGATGTCCTGGACAGAGGGGACAGCGAAATCGGTGAGGCTCCCTCTGCGGGCCCTCGTGAGGGCCATCATTCAAGCTGAAGACAACTCCCACTGGTTTAGAGGCTCATGCAGCCCTGTGCAGTTCTCATAGACCAACCATGCAGAGAATTGAAGTCTGAGAATTCACGCTTGCAGGCGCTATCATTTTGCTGCGGGAGCTGGATCGCCAGGCGAGGCTGCAGGGCGGCGCAGTCTACATGCTGAACGGCAACCACGAGAGCCTCAACGTGGCCGGCAACTTCAGGCGCGCCTTATTTGCCCATCTCTGCCCTCTTGGGAGACTGGTTCTACTCCCAGCAGTCCCTGGCAGAAGTGCCATGCCAGCTGCCCTGGGCTGAAGCTGCCAGGCAGCTGCTGTGCCCGCAGGAGAGGCCCTTTTTGCCTTAGATATGTGGTGCATGGATGCCTACTGAATGTTCTGAGGAGCGGCGCCGCAATGTGGCGCAGGTATGTGACGCCGGGGGGTTTCCGGGAGTCAGGGCTGGTGGCGGGGCTGCGAGGAGAGGCGCTGGAGAGCGTGGAGAAGCGGCTGCGCGCACGGCTGCACCTCTACTCGCCCGGCGGCCGCCTTGCCTGTGAGCTGGCCAAGAACCCCACCGTCCTCATCATCAATGACACCGTCTTTGCGCACGGTGGCGTCCTGCCCAACCACGGTGCGCTATCCCTGCCGCCCCGCACTGCCGATGCATGTCTCTCACATGCATGTCTTCTTTTGATGCTGGACGATGCCTGCCTTGCACAGCATGGCAGCATCAGCTTCTGCTGCATGGCCACAAGCAACCATGCCAGTTTTGCAGCACTTCCACAGATTACTTCTGAAGCTGTAGTTTCCTTGCTATCAGAACTTGCATTTGGTCATTTGTGGGGCCAGCAGTGAGTGTATCAAGAGTTGCTGGAGCATTTACGGAACTACCTGCGGCGCGCAGTGAAGTACGGGCTGGAGCGGCTGAATGCTGAGGTGGCGGCGTGGATGCGGGGGGCGCACATGGCGGACGGCACCAAATCGCGGCCGCCCTACCTGGCCATGGGGGGCCCCGACAGTGTCATGTGGAACCGCCAGTTCGGCCACGAGCGCTTCCCCACCATGCACCAGCGATTCCGCGCATGCATGGACCTCGACGCCACCCTGCGCCTGCTTGGCGCCCGCCAGCTCATCGTCGGGCACACCCCGCAGGTGCGCCCCTACCTCATACATTGATGATGTTCTCTTTGCTGCTGCCTAAACTGAGTGATTGGCTCTGCACTGCATGCTGCCATGCCGTCATGCTCGCTGCTTTGTTTTGCATCCACTGTTGTGATCATCAAGTCACAATTGAAGCAATTTGTTTGTAAGTTTTCCTGAAAGTTGCGCATCCTAGTCATGCACCTCTCTGAGAAACTTATGGTGGTCACAAGGTTTATTGGTTTTGTGCAGACAAATGGCGCAAACTGCGAGTGCAACGGGCGGGTCTGGCGGATGGACGTCGGCATGTCAAAGGGAGTGCTGGACGCTGCTCCACAGGTGGGCAACTCACATCCACAATGCAACCACCTTGAGAAGCTTATCTCACTGTGGATGCACGCCCTGCCTCTTGCTCGCAAATTTTGCAATGTGCAAGACCCCGGCAGGCACAGGCAAAGAAGCGTGAGTGACTTTCGGCTTGTCCTAAACTTCAAGCAGTGGCGGATTCATGTCTGGCGACCGTTGGTTGCATCACGCTGCAGAATGTGACTTCCTGGGCAGATTGCCGAGTCAATTCAGAGGTGGGTCTTGACCAGTGCTGTTTGGGAGCAGGTATTGGAGATAGAGCCTGAGGATGCCAGCGGCAAGTCCATCATCCGGCTGCTGTGCCCTCCCAGCGTCCCCAGAATGCTGCTGCCAGCACCCAACATGGCACAGCTACGCACGCACTACCCCCTCTGAAGTGCTGCCCCTCCTGCAGCATTATATTCTTGGGGGCCTCTATTGCTCAGTTTCTCTTGAGCGAGGGAATGTATGGAGAGTTGCTTCAGTGCCCCACAGAGAGCGTCAGGAGAGGGCAGTCAGTCTGCATGGACGGTCTCTGCAGATATCCTTGTCTTGTTGTAGAGCTGACCGTAGTGGGGAACGACTGGTATTGGCTGGCCAGATAATGATTGTGCTGTATTCAAGCTCATTCAACAATGCCAGCGTTGGGGCATAAAGAGCATCAGAGGACACTTGGTGCGGATTTTATTGGATGAGTGTTGAATTACAAAGGAGCGGAGAGAGTTGCTTGCCTCATAGGCGCCGGTATATGTTGCTGTGGGTCTGCCAGATGAGCACGCGATGTTGATTCGTCTGAGAGGAGACACTTTTCTAGATGCATCTCGATGTACCAATTGTACTTGTGAGGTATGCTTGTGGCAGGTCGAGAGAGCACTGAAGAGCCTTGTGTGCAATGTCGTGCATGCAGGCCTGCTATCGTGTTGCGTGTGTGCTAGATAGAGTCCGAAAATTCTTTGTATTTGTGTGGATTTTCTCCAATTCGGACCATTGGGACTGGGACCATGCATGGTATATGATTCTTTGCGTTCATTCTTGTAATAATTTTCATTCAAAACCTCCTCCAGAAGCCATCATGCTTTTGATCATGGTCGTGACCTGCTGCAAGAGCAGGGTGGAAGGAGAAACATACAAAGCGTAAATATTTGTATTATTGTTATCCATCATTGCTATTATTCACATTTACATTTGGGCGAATCCAGCTATGTCACATCCTTTTCACCCGCATCCATGATCACCTCACCATTCCCTCTAGCATGCTTTCACATTCAGTGCATGCAGGGACAGCCACCTTCATCATGATATCAGCGTTCCATAATTTAGCTCAACCAAAGCATTCCAAGCCATCTATAAAGTTGGACACTTGCAGGAATCAGTCATCTCGCACATGATAAACAGTGACGATAAATGCTCTCAGGTTCTGCACAAGCAGGCCAACAGATCTCGCAAAAGTTTTGTTTCACGCAGTCGCTCAAAAGTGATAGCCTGAGCACCAGCACTTAACATGCAGCATCCATACGTTCTCACATCCACACAGTATCCCAGCTTCTTTCATATGTTTGGAGGAGACACCGTCTCAAAACTCAGCTTGACTCCATCACAAATTACTTTCCCTCGCAACTGGTCGTTCCATGCTGCACCGACAAATCAAGAAAATGGCCATGGACGAGAGGTTTTCAACAGCGAGTGCTGCTTTCAGTTCAGTAGACCCGCATGTCATGCACACCTCAACAACCACACTGGCCAACGCACACGCTCTCTCAAAAAGCAGCTTCAGATCAAGTGCTTGCGCTGCAAGTTGCAAAGTTCCGCACATTTATCCTGACGAATTCCTACTCTCGTCGCTTGCAAAAGGATCCCTGCATGCGAGGCTTGGAAAATAAAAAGCACCAAAGCCTTCACACGGAGTGCCAGACAGACTGGAGACTGACGTGCAAGGTTGGTGAGACATCTGCAAAATTGCCACAAAGGGCTGAACAGTAAGATTGGTCCATCCAGCAGCTCAAATCAAAATACACACTGATGTGTGCAACTACCTCTACATACAGGCTCTGCAGCGTTCCAGCTGCTTGTTCAGTTGCACTTCTACATCGAACATCTCAGGCAAACCCCTTGAAGCTCTCGCACGCCCAGCTCGCAGTTCTCTCGAACCATCTTCTACAGCACTCTTCGCCACGCGTACAGGGTCAATCCCGGGCGCATCCATTCAACTCTACTAGTTCCACTGCCGGCGTCCTCACATGGCAGCATGTGAGGCAGGCAGGTCAGGCCGGGACACGACACACTTGTGCAGCGAGTTTGCAAATGCACGGCCGCCTCACAGGCCCGTGATGATGCCCTGGCGCATGCCGGTGCGCAGCATGTCGTTGGCCTTGCCCAGGGAGCCTCGCAGCTGCCAGCGCAGCGCAGATGCAGGCACAGGCTCCTCATCCGCATCCAGCACGCTGGTCGGGGAGTCGGCGTCCTCGTCAGAGGCCTTGGGCCACGGCTTGGTGGGGCCGATGCGCCGCGGCGGGGCGGCCGCAGAGCCGCGCCCGTCGCCGAGCTCGATCGCAAGCAGCGACGCGGCCGTGCGCGACACGTTTGCGCGGCAGCGGCCGCTGGCCGGGCCCTCAGAGGTTGTGCGCGCGACCGGCACCGGCGGCCCGTCCCGGCCCATGCGCGCCGGCAGCGACGACCGGCGCAGCGAGGGCGGCGGGGGGGAGACGGTGGGGCTCGCCAGGCCGGCGGCGGCCGACACGTCGACGGTGAACTGGCCAGAGGAGCTGTGCTTGGTGAAGCAGCCGACGGAGAGCGCGGGCGTGCGGCGCTCGTCCGTGGACCGGCGCGGCCGCCACTTGCTCAGCATCGACGGGGCCTGCCGCCAGGGAGGCAGCGTTGTCCCTGCGCCACCAAGAAGCTACTCAGTATCCTACCGTCTGCACCAAAACAACCCTTGCACACTTGGTGTGCCACGACTGGATAAAAAGCAGCACGTAGGCAGAATGTAGAGGGGCTTTCAAAAAATGGAGGGGCCCCACCGGTGCCTCGGAAAGCGGCGCTCATCTCAGAGCACAACAGCTCCACGAGTGCCACCAGCCGCTCCTCGGTGCCCACAAAGCACGCCGGCACCTCCTCCAGCAGCGCTGCGTAGCGCGGCGTCGGGTGCGCGATCTCAAACTGCTCCTTGAACTTGGGGTCCACCAGCACAAAATCATTCCCTCCCTGCGCCCACCCAAAGATATCTTGTCAGCCGTGCTGTCCATGCATGCATAAATGTATCACCCGGCTGCTTGGCATCGAATGATGGTGTATATGTTGATATGAAGCAGCCGTGAGGCCTTAACTTAAACGGAGCGCGAGTCAGGGGTGGGTAAAGCTGCATGCCTGCAAGCGCACGCAGACGAAGACATGGCGCAGGTTGCGCAGGCATTCGCAGCCGCCGCCGCCGCCCAATGCGGTGCGCACGGTCACAGAGTAGCCCTGCTGCACCAGGCGCTCTGCCAGTGTGCTTGCCTCCGGAGCCTCCCCGCGGGCGCTCTCGCTCTCAAACATGCACTCCACTTGCTGCATGAGCTGCACAGGCGCACAACACAGCAGGTCAGATCCCCCGCTTGCTGCATGCAAGCATGCAAGATGGGCGGCCTGCAGACTCTGGCACAGACACATGACTGGAAGGGAAGACTGTCCAGCGCACCTGTCTTTCAGGTGCTGACCAGGGCTGTGCGAGATGTTCCAGTCGCCTTTGGGAGTCATGTGCTGTCGTCTCAGTCTCCTTCCGCCCTTGACCCTCCTCAAGCTGCGCGCAAAAGCCCACAAAACTCAGCACACCTCTTGGACCAAACAGTGCACACTGAATATTCTGAACATCGGCGCTGGCCTCATCATGCAAAGGGGCAAGGCGTCTGGGCTGTACCTCCATGTCAAACAACAGGCTTGGGACTTTCGTGAGTGGCTTCTTGGTCAACTCTGGTTTCCTGTCTGGCAGCTCCCCAACCACATCAGCAGCATTGCCTCGGAAAAACTGCAAGGGGTTGAGGTCCCTCATCGTGTACACCTGTGCACCACGATCAGCACTATTAGGCCGGAGCGTTATGCAGTACATGCTTGTCACGTCCCTGAGATGACAAGGAACGGATTACAACTTCAACAGAATTGGACCATGCATATCAACATTGGCAACAGGGCACCTCGTGTTACTGTGGACAGTCCTAGCCGCCTAAATACTAAAAAGTCTGACCGGAGCGTGTAAGACTTCTGCCCAACAGGCTCCCGCAACGGGACCGTCTACGATTTATCAAGGGATGTAAGCACACGTCTGCTGAAGTCTTGGAGCAGCTAAATTAGCCCTCAGCTCCCTGGTAATTGCTCCACGCCAAATTTCCTGTCCAATAACAGAAAGGGCGGGGGACTCGACGCGTCTGCCCTAACGCTCCCAGGTCGCGCTAAGCGGACCGCACAATCTCCTTTCCATCCTACAGAGAGGTGCTTCACGCTCGACAGCACGACGCGCTGAACAAGAGCCTCGCCCAAACGACATCGTGACCCAAAACTCAAAGTCCGACGTCAGCAGCTAAATTATTCTGTCTTCCTAATTGCCATTGACGGCCTCGGCGAGCTCTTAGAGCACAGCCGGAGGCGTTCGACTAGCCAAGGGACACCATGTTGGCGGCACTGTGTCAAGGGAGGCCCGCAGCCGTCGCTTTTACCCACCTTCATGGCTGCCTTCCGAGGCTTCGCTCGCCCACCTCTGCCACCAACTGCAGCCTCACGCGGATCCAACAACCTGTTCCACACCCTTCTGGACTGTTTCCTACGACTGACGGGTTGTCTATGGTGTGTCGGCGACAAAACTGGGCTCGGAACCTAAAGATTTGACTGGAGATTCCTTTCCAAATGAGGACCTGCACACTGACTGTACCGGCACGTGGCGAGAATACTTTCTTCATTTCCAGCCGTTCGTTGCTGCCAGGCTGTACTGTGTGGGCACTTCTCACCGTCACTTGTTCAGCTTGTCACACCATATGATGTATTGGACGCTGCTTTGTTTGTGTTTGGCATTTGGGAAGTAGGGAACACCGTTTTCCTGCTTACCTGACTGACACACATGTCGCCCTTGGAACCGCAATCCGCGCAAACTCCATCCTTGAACTTCACTTGAAGCTGATGCGTCACATGGTGAGTCTGGTTCATGAACCATCCCAGTCATAGAGTTTGCGCCGGCACTCCGCAAATATCCATAACATTGTCCAGTGTGGCGTCACACGCATTAAATGAACTTCATATGAAGACTATATGAAAATTTGAAGACAACAGCCTTTCACAGCCGGCTCAGCCTGGCTGGGGCCTTGGAGCACGGCTGGGCCTGCGCCAGAACAACTGTGCCTGCCAGAAGTGCTGATATCATGATGTCAACATCGATGGCACAACAATTATTTGTGCATAAATGCATGCCAGCACAATTATCCAACTGTCATGATCGCGATCAGCCTCTGCAGACTCCTATAGGAGTTCTCGGACTCTGTCGGACATGCCTGCGTTGATGATCTCAAATTTGATGAGATAATGAGATTGCTTCCTTGCAGCTGCGGATTCATGTCGATCGTCATCATGCAAATTTACTTGGTTGACGCAGGATGTTGTCTACACATCTGCACTGCAGCCGTTTCTGAGCCTGGAGCTCAATCTGCAAAATAAGACATAACAACGGCTTCATTTCCTATTGAAGAAGGCCCGCTTGGCTGCGCCTGGTGCCCCATTAGTTGGCCTGGGGCATCTCCTAGTCCTAAACACTCTCACAGGCCCTTGACAGGCGTGACACCACAGCTCAGCACCACACCCAAGCCGTTGCAGCAAACATCACCAGAACGCTCTCATGTGCTGGTGGCACTACTGAGGCCAGAATCAGACACTCAGAGCAGCTCCTCCTCATCGTCATCTTCCTCTCCGCCGTCCAGGCCCCAGTCATCGTCCAGCTCAGCGTCGTCCTCATCATCCCCCTCCTCAGCATCCAGCAGCAGATCGTCCTCGTCAGCCGGCGCCAGACCTGCACCAGCGGCCACCCCGCTGCATCAATCTTTCCCGTACACACACCGCGCATTTATAAACACTTGAGAAAACACTGGGTTCAGACCATTCCTGTGGCAACAAGAGCTGTCAAGCAAAGCGCAGCTGGCGGAGATGTACTCGTCCAAACATATTAATCTCCTCGCCAGCAGAGACAATGACACATGGGCAACTGACCATGCCTCCATATATCCATCCTGTCTCACTGGCACTGGAGCAAAGGCAGATACACATGCGCCTTCCAATTCGAGAGGCAGGCACGGTGTTAGCCATCAAGCATGCCTTGCAGTTGAAGGCAGCTATAAGCAGGAACTGGTGTTGACATCAGCAGTAGCGCCCAGCGCACCTTCTTCGGCGTGCGGGGGCAGGCCAGTGGGCCCGGGCGAGTCCAGCAGCTCGGCCTCCAGCTCAGCGGTGCCTCCAGTTGGCGCCGTGGTGCTGGGCGCCGCCTGCACCTCCTCCTCCTCCTCCTCCTCCTCGCCGCCTGCCAAAAACACAACGCAGCCGTCAACGAAACGTCGACCAAAGGCACTTTCACTGCGTGACCAGGACTCCTCATATCCCAAAGCTGCACTGGGAGCAGGAGGGCGTGTGTAGCCTATACACAAATGCGATCTAGCCAGGAAGCAAGTGTGTGAGCCGTCATGCAAAAGGTCCACCAAGCATCCCCATGCAGACTCCCCCCTTTTCCAGGCCGAGAATGTGCCAATGCATGTCAACAACAGCAGCAAGCTGGTCTCCAGGTCGATTGAAAATTGGGTTTTGCAGAGCAGAAAGCCATGTAGGAGGGTAGATTGAAGCGGTAGGGGGGCGCGCCTGGGGCGGCGTGGCTGGCAAGGTCGCCGTTGGCGTGGGGAGTGGCGGCATCGACGCTCATGGACTGCATGAGGGACAGCAGATCCTCAATGCCCTCCGCTTCCTGCAGCTTGAACGCCGACGCGGGCTTCGACACCGCCTGCTTCTGCGCCTGCACGACGCCCAAAAATGACAAGCTTACAATCCCATCTGGACCGGAGGTGTCTTTGTTGCACACATTGCACGATATTGCGAGACAGCCCGTTCTCCTTGTGTTCCTCGCAATCACTTGCACTCTATTACCATTACACTTACTCACCCAAGGTTGGGGCGTAAGTTCTTAGCAGCATGCATGCCATGTGTTGAACGGTGATTCTCAGGAGAGCCACCCTGTGAAAGCCCACGAACTGGACACAAAAAGCACTGGCATTACTGGCACAGCTGAGCATTAGCAGCAAATGCCTTAGCCAGGGAGTAAAGGCAGTCTAGTTGGATCGTTGAAGCTGGCGTACCTGGTACTGCTCGGCGTGGAGCGCGAGCTCGTAGTTGGGGAACAGGTTGGGGTACTGCGCGGGGTCGGCCAGGGACTCGGCTGCCTTTGCGTTGATCTTGGACAGGTCGTCCCGCCACACCTTCACCACCTGCCCCGCACACACAGACGCTCTCAATTTTGCCAACCCCACATACATGACAGCAAGGAGTGCAATTTGGCCTCTGCAGCAAATGTCTGCTCAGAGCGGGTGCACATTGCCTCCATGCAGCAGAGCGGCGCAGCTGTGTCAGACTCTCAAAAGTACCCTATATTTTTCAATGGGTACACACAGGTACACTCTTGCCTTCCCAGAAGCTCACTCTTACTCCAGACTGCGGGGGCTGAGCAGGCACACAGACAGATATCTTGGGAACTCGAAGGGGAGAGGGAAGTAGCTCACCTCGGTCATGCGAGAGGGGAGGTAGGTGCGCGCGAAGAAGGCGGCCTCGGGGATGCGGCCGGTGGCGAGCAGCAGGTCCACGCAGGCGGACAGGTTGCCCAGCAGCAGCTGGCACAGGAACACCACGTTCTGCCGGTTCTGCGCGCCAGCCGCCTGCACCAGGTCGGCCAGCCCCGTCGCGCTGCCCTTGGCCGTGTGCAGCAGCAGCAGCCCGCTCAGGTCCCCAGCCTTCTTCAGGCACTCCTCTGCCACCTGCCGCCACATGCATACGGTCAGGCCCCATTGCCATATATCTCTTGTACCTCCCCGTCTCTTTCAACCTGCAAGGCTCTTCTCACAACTCCCCTCTCTGCGTCTACTATATCTCACATTTTCCTTCTGTTGCAGTCCGTTCTTGCCCACAGACATAGCCGCATGCTGGGTTGCTCCTGCAGAAAATGTTGCTGCACCCGTTGTTTCTGAGAGGACGCCCAATGCTACAAAAACAGCAGACTATGTAAGAGATGCAGAGGCTTGAGGACGGGCAGGTGGGGAGGGGGCCTCGCCTGGAGCTTGCCGGAGGAAAGGGCGAGTTCGCCGAGCTGGCGCCACTTGAGCTCGGAGCCGGACTGCTCAGCCAGCTGCAGAGCGGTGCCCAGCTCGCCCAGTGTCACTGCCAGGTCGAAGCGGTAGTCCGGGTCCGTCGCGATCTTCAGCGCCTCCCGCTTCATCTCCCGCCCCTCCAGGAACCGCGCCACCGCGTTGCGCTGCTCCTGTACACACAAATATGGCACATTTGAGCACTTCTTGTCTTCGACATTACATAGAAATTGCATCCAGATGTACAAAATGTCCATCCAACAATGCATCGTCGCACTTTTACATTGTATGTCAAGGCCATGTGAAAGGCGGACCCAATACACCAGTGCACCAGGGAAAGATAGCTTCGGTATCCTCATATTTACTGTTTGGGTCATAACGGAAGATGCTTGGCTTCAACTGTGTCTGAGGACACAAAGGATGAGTGCTATGGGGGACATGGAATCACGCAGCAAAAGAGCAGGAAGGAGCAGGCGTGCCTGAGGGATCTGGGGCAGGATTTCGTTTGCGGCGGCATAGTCCTTGCGCAGCACCAGTGTCTTGTACTCTATCAGCGACAGCAGCAGCGTGTAGCTCATCACGCTGAACTCCTGCACAGGGGCAAGCCACAGCTCAATACACAGTTCCTTTACAGTCACTCAATATGCGCCCCAATGCAGTTGCAATAGAATTGACCAACACCAACACACGCACCAGAACTCAGTACCAGCATGATTACAAATGCCAACACAGCAATAGCAAGGCCTTCTCACCACAAGCAGCGAGATAGCAGAGAAAAGTTGTAAGGGGAGTTTGGGTGGGGGCTGACCTTGTCAATGAGGTAGACCTTGGACTGGGAGGCCAAATAGCCCAGCAGGTACATGGGTCTGTCCAGGTGGAACATGGTGGTGACCTCGCCGCCCACACAGTAGTTCAGCCGCCACGCCCCATTGGTGTAGATGAAGCAGTCCCCCACCCAGAGCCCTGGCAGCACACCGGTCACATCAGGAATGGTCAGGCCTTCTGCACAGAAGACAATACAGCATTCTACTAATTCTCTGCTGCCCGCACCTGGTCTGTCTTCCCTTGCATTGGCATGCAAATACAATTGCACTTTTATGGTGGTGCACGTCTCTAAACTGTCTGAGATTGCATGCAAGAACTGAGCCACAGCAATGGTGGTGCACGCCTCGCAGTTCTCTGATATGCATGCAAAGAACTGAGCAAAGCAGTGGTAATGCACCTGTGCGCACAGTCTCGGACGTCTCTGTCTGCAGCTCAAAGGCTTCGTCGATGCCGTCCTCGTCGAACTCTGCGCCGGAGGCTGCAGCCTCCTCCACGGCGTCGCGGTTGAAGCGCAGCACGTAGAAGGAGGCCTCTGCGATGATGGCCACCAGCTCCCCGCTGTCGCTCCACCGGATGTCCTTGGCCGGCACATCGATGCGCCGGATGACCTGCACAGGAGCGGCTCCCCTCAGACACTCTGCACAGCACTTCAATTACCACTGCCCTGCGCTCATGCCCACCCTCTAAAGCTAAGATGCCCAGCAATGCCAAAAGCAGGGAGCGCATTGCAACAGGGAAGCATGTTCTTGCTGCGTCATGGGCCCCACAGATGCATTTGTGTGCAGCAAAATGTAAAATTGAGTTCAGTAGATAATACTTTAGTGATACTCCCAAACTTGCGCAAATTTGCGCAAATTATGGACAAAGATGATGCAGCCAACAAGGGCGATCCTTGCTCACCACAGAGATGTACCAACTCAGTGGATGGTTGCAAATTTGAGAAACAGAGTAGCAAGCGGGCACACACCTTGGCGGTGGCCCAGTCGTAGAAGCAGACAAAATCGGCGGAGCGGACTGCGAGCAGGGTGCCGCCGTGGATCTCCTCTACGTTGAAGCCCGGCTTGACCTGCGCGACCTCCTTGAAGTTGCGGAAGATGCGCACGGAGGAGCCACTCTCGCGCGTGGCAAACACGGAGGAGTCGTCGCCCCACACGAAGCTCAGCGCGGAGCCGTAGCTCTTGTTGCGCCAGGCCAGCGCGGTGTACATGATGTACTCGCCGTCGCCGCACACCGCCACGAAGCGGCCATTGGGGCTGTGCACCAGGGTGCTGGGATACATGTCGCAGCTGCCCAGGTCCTTCACCGCCAGCGGCAGCCGCTCCCCATCCGCCTGCAGCCACAGGGGTGATTAGTTATATTCATATTTAGAGATTACCTAGAGCATCTGTCTCTCATAAAGTGGTCTCGACACCCACACGGTGGCATTCAGAATGCATGAAGGGCATGCACGGGTGGACAACGAGGCTGGCACGGGCTTGTCACACACACACGGCGGCATCCGGAATGCAGAATTATATGGAGCATGCGCGGGTGGACGCTGGGGAAGGGGTTGGCCTGAGAAGAGTGTGCTGCAAATCAAATGAAAAGGAGGCTCACGTCCTCAAAGTCGGCGCCGAGGGACTTGACATTGACGGTCTGGATCTCGTTGTGGCGCGCCCAGATGATCTTGCCGCTGCTGTCCATGGACGCCACCGGCTCCTCGCGCCCGATCTTTATCAGCACCGTGCCCTCATCGAACCCAAGCGCCACGCTGCACCCACGAACAAAGCAATCAGCGCTTGACTTTCACTCATCTCATATTGTCTACTTCCCGCAGAACAGCAGCAAAAACATTGTCATTGTGCCTATAGTAATGCATGCTGCCGGTCATACAACAGGCGGTAGACAGCTTTTTGTTGCACATGGTATGAGTACATGTTTGAGGTGCATCCTCTACAACAGGGCCGGCTCCTTAGTTGCCCACTTATTGATCACTTGAGGAGCACCGAGGGATGGCAGGGGAGAGGGGCCGCGCACTGATTGGAGCCCTTGCAGGCGCCGAGGGCCCAGAGGCGCTCGAGGCCGTAGTTGATGGTGTTCTCCAGGCGGTAGGTGGTGCTGTGCCAGATCTTGACCATACCGTCCTCGGAGCCCCGTGATGATGATGGGCAGCTCCGGGTGGAAGCACACGGCGCTCACGTTGTGCGCGTGGCCCTCCAGCGTCTGCACGCACGCCTTGGTCTGGTAGTCCCACACCTTGGCCAGCTTGTCGTCCGCGCCACTCATCAGGTACGGCCGGTCGCCTGCGCAGCGCAAGGAGCAAGGAAATTAGAAGGAACATGCAGCGAAAAGATATGTGCATCAAAGTTGGTACTGCGAGAAGACATCAGCCCCTTCCATGCGCGCATTTTCAGTGAAGGGCATCCCATCGGGAACTTCAAAAAAGGATCTTGGCAATCTGTCAGGCATGGTGCCAACTGTATTCTTGCAAGATGGTCAGGCTCCAGGTGGATGCCATCTTAGATTGTGCAGGTGCGCACCTCCAGTAAAATAGTCCACACAATTGACGCCCTTCTCGTGGCCATCCAGAGTGAAGTTGGGTGTGGGCTGCCCAATGCTCCACACCTTCACGGTGCGGTCCAGCGAGGCGCTCGCAAACGTGTTGGTGTCTTTCGGGTTGAACACCACCTACAGAATTCCGCTGAATCAGCCTTCGCCGTGCACTCTGGTAGACAGGGCCATGCCTTTTGCAGCACGTTCTTCCACTTCCATGCAAGATGGTGCGTCAGATAAAAGGCACTGCAGCATGAAACCCGAGCGCGCGCCTGCATGACGTAGTGGGAGTGGCCCTCAAAGATCTGGTTGCAGGTCCAGCCCTTGTCCCAGTCCCACAGCTTGATGAGCATGTCATCCGAGGAGGACAGGATGTAGGGCAGGCTGGGGTGCACAGCAATACTCCTGCAGCACAATTCCCAGTGAGCCTATCAAGGTCTCGTTTGTGAGTGGCTCTGAGGCGAAGAAATCTCCCGTGCACTGCTGCAACATGCGCGCACCTGATGTAGTCTGTGTGTGCCTCGAAGGCTTTGACTTTGTCCATTGTGTTGTAGTTGTACACACGAATGTACATGTCGTCCGACCCACAAACAATCCATTGCTTCCTCGCCACAAACTTGGCAGCCCGAACTGCGCACACATGACAATTTGATGCACTCTCTTGGCAACTTTGTAGAGCTGTAAGTTAGAGAAAGTTGAATGCCAACTCACCTGGGAGCTCTGTGACTTCGAATGACTTGATTAGACTCTGTAGCGGGCACACAGCAGGTTAGTATTTTGAATCGAGATCACAAGGACATAAATCAATCCAGCCGGCCCTCACAGGTGCTGCCAAGAAGCTCCTGCCTCACCTGGTCAGCTGTGCTCCAGATGTATACATTGCCGCTGTACAAGTTAGCCAGCAACCTGCACACAGGCATCATGAATTCAATTGTGTCCTGGGTGTACTCCTGACAAAACGTGAACATCTGAACCCCTGAACCACGATGAAGAGCATTGCTCACCAGGGCTCTGTGGGATGGAGGTCAACTCCCTTCACGCGATCTGAACGCTGCGTGAACTTTTTCTGCAGAGAAGTACACAACAATTCTGAGCATCCTATTTGCTATCAGGGAAGACAACACAGGCCTGCTTCTCTCCTGCACCTAAATCCGATACCGAAATAATTATCTAGAAAGCCTCACACTGGCAAACAAAATGTGTTTATAGCCTCAGAGACAAGATATGATTAGAAGTTGATACAGGTGCCTACCTTGATCTCTTGCTGTTGGACACGAAAGTCACACAGCAAACATTTAGTAGTAGACTTTGCAAATGCATGTCGAAATATGTAAGCAAAAAAGCTCGTGAGCATATGTGGCATGTCAAATGGGAATCCCCACGGCAAGGAGGAAAATGTGATGAGCTGCTTTAAGAGTGTCTGTGAACAAAGCAAAACATGCTGGGAGTAGTACTGAGACAGGATCCTTACCACCATGGCGAAAGATGTGAGCTGCTCTTACGCACTCATCAACTTTAAGAATTCAGAATGGACACCGGACAAGAGTAGCTGCCTCTGAAAAGAGTCATCAGAATACAACCCCACTCGTTTTATCACTCCTGGCTCCTGACAGGCTCATGCTGTACACCAATATCCTGCAGCGCTTTCTAAATCTCTCAACGCATTGCTACAGGAACACATGATTTGGGAGTTTGGCATTTATACAGGTTCTATAAAAGTCCAGGGATTTACATCAGCAAGAAGGGTCATTAAAGTTTTTGGCGCGAGAAGAAGTCGCAAAATCTTCCCTGTCCAGAACTCAAAGGTCAAAGTTGCACATTGAATAATATCTGTTGTTGGAGCAGGCTTCAGCTGCAGTATTTGAGGTGCGTACCCATATTTCTGCAGTCCTTGTCAGATCTCCATGGGTCACACATTTGGTGCACAGGAAAGTCGCTGGCTTTGGTAATATAGCGAAAATTATTGGTTGATAGTAACCAAACATATCAGCATGTTTCCATCAAAGACTGCACTCTACCCGATTATGCAGGCTTCTTATGGTTTTGATTCTGCAGTCAGATGTGCTGTGAATATCAGGCTTTGCCGAATTTCTGCTACATTCCTGTGTGTTGATCATATCTTTTGGTAAGATGAATGATCTTTATTTTTTATACTGACATGGTTCTTGCTGTATCTAAGGACCTCTGGAGTTCATCACCTAAATCAGAGGCCCACATGGCGGTTGGTAAAGGCACGTCAGCGTCCTGTGGCGATGCGTTTCCTTACAACATATATGTATCGAAACCGAGGACCGTTGTTTGAACGCATTGCGTATGCTTAACTGGTTTCCCTCACATCTTTGTGGCAACGTCCAGGGAAGCCTAAGGATGAGAAGCGTGTCGAGAAGAGGAAGAGGAAAGCTTCAAACAAAAACATTCACGAACATGCCAAATACGTGCGTTCTATCCTCGTGCTTGTTGACAGCTTGTGTGATGAGGCGCCATATGTCTTGCAGCAGCGTATGTCAAGTGGACCAATTTTCAGGTCATGATGTGATACAGCTTGAATTCCAGGTGATCACAGTTGTGAGCGTCCTATTTCTCCTGTTGGTAGCGCTTGTCTGGTACTGGGCAAGCCGGCCATTGCCCATCAAGGATGACTAAGGGGACCACTGGCAAGAAGGAGCGGCATCTTTCTTTGTGAGACCTTGTGTGCAGATCACGTGATCTGCTGTACAAAAGGAGTTGCTCCTGAAACGCAAGGCCTCAGATCACCAGCCAAGCTGGCCAGGTGCAGCTGACTCCCTGAGGCCTCCGCAATTTTGGTAATTCTGCCCAATGCATACCCCAGCTCTGTACTGGGTGAGACTGGTCCTGCTTTTGCTCTGAAGTGATTGCGGCACGAATAGGGGCAATGGCATGGCGTGAGGTGCCACGGAATACTACTGGGACAATGCCAAGTCTAATCATTTGCAAATGTGTAAATTGAGTCCCATGGCAATCACTTTCAGATTTCCCTAGGCTTACTAAGTATGTCTGAGATACACCAGCTCTCAGCCTAATGGTCAGCTGTAAACTACATTCACACTCATCAAAATCTCTGCCTTGACAGTCTAAATCTTGCACGGCAATCCGCATGTTCCATGACCCTACTATCTTCCCCTACTATCTTCTGCAACTGTGATGCGAGCTGAGTCACCTGCGCATGCCCAGTTTCCAGAACTTCATTTGAATGCGAAGTGATTGAGGGTGTCGTAAATACCTCCTTGCATATCACAACGGGCGCATGACACTATCGAATATTGACGTCTTGTTGTCAAATCGAACGATACACATGAATCAAGTTGATGTTGATGTCAACATCAACAGCTGCGCTTACTGAGCCTCGACAATTGCAAGCATCAAGCCTGGTCACCTTCTTGACATTTTCGTTAGACATAGCGCTCCACGTTTCACTGAAGGCCCCTTCTCCAGTGGTTGCCAATTGGCAAGATTGCAAGATTGATTTGCGCTGATTTATGAGCAATGCTAGTAACAAGTATATAAAGTGGCTTGGAGGACTCGCCACAGCAATGTCCCACACCTGCAGTGGTTTGCACAATCTGTGTGGCAAATATGTATATGGTCAGGACTGAGCTGCAAAATGAGGAAGTACAGTTCATGCTCCATCACTGGGATATGTGATCCTGCCATTCATGAATGGCTTCATGATCACAAAGTAAAGATTTTTTACCTCACCTGCAGCCAGTGCGAGTGGGGAAGGACATTGCCAAGCAGTGTGTACAGCATGGGCTGCATGAAGCCAGCAAAGCCGGCGGGTCCTGTAAATGACAACAGATTTTAGTAAAGTCACGGTGCTTTGACGTCATGAACTCTGAAATCAGCTCTCATCAAAATCATGTCCCTGCTTCTCACTGCATCCAAAGCACTACATGACACAGATCTGCATGGAAGGCACCTTGACTGATATGCCAGAACAGCTGACTGTCATATAGCCGCAGCAGAAATGCTACTGTCCGCAACTGCCGATACTGAGGGCCGTAAGATCCAGTCAACGATCCGGGCAACCACTTCTGAAGGACAGCTGCAATCACCTGCATGCGTGCAACACAGCCTTGCCTTTTATAACTGGCGTGGCGACACATTGCCTTATGCCAGTGGCAGCTACAGTCACATGCCAATTGCACAATATAGCATGACCAGAGCTTCACCTCAAAGCATGCACCGCTGTCACCGCCGCACAGTATCACAAATGGCAAGGCCATGGTGGGGAGCGCTGCAAACAAAGCCAGGCTCGGCTGCCAGAATGCAAGCGCGCTCAACACGCGCTGCAAGCGGCCCATCAGCCTGGAGTCACAACCGTAATGACCCGCATCCAAGTGTGCAAAGGCTGGGTGAATGCCAAGTCTTGACACCTCCTGCACACCATTGTGATACCCACTTTACTTAATCACTGGGCAGGTTGTTTGGGGCCACCTTAGTACCTTGATTCTTTGAAGGCGTGCTGCAAAAGCTGAAAGGCATCATTGGGCATTTTTATCTGGGACTGACCCGGAAGGCTGAGGCATCGCGGGGCACATGCAGGAGATGCTGCCAGATTGCAAGGCGGTGTCTGTCAGGAAGTGTCCCATGCAGTCTTAGGTAGCTTAGAAACATATCAGTACCTGATTCCAAAATATCGTGGCTAGTCTCCAGATCTGGGGGGGCAAGCAATGTAATCAGACTTCTGGAGATGACGCCTTTTTGGCATGCATGCAAGAAAGCAGATATGGAAGTCAATTTTGGTGGAACATGCCTGTACAGGACACAGCTGAACACTGTGAGGTTGTCCCGTGGCTGGCTGGCTTCTTGCTTGTGGACTTTCTGCAGTTTGTCAACCCCAGGGAGTCCACAGTGGCATCGCGAGCTTCTGTTTTCCTCAACAAGAGCAGGTTGTTCTTTGCTGCTCTGTTGCGCACTGACCGCAAATCATAGACAAACATCTGTCCCCAGTCACAAGATGCTTTCAGGCTCACCATAGGTATGGAAACATCAATGTGAAGCCAATCAATGCATTGCAGTGTCAGGGAGAACCTCACCTGTTCAATATCTGATATGAGTGCCACATGATTCCCATCTGCCGCAAGGGACATTTTCAGGAATTTTGCTCCCTTAGCAGGTGGGCAGATCTCATAGCACAACGTGCTTGCAGCAACGTCTACAAATCTCAGCCCCCCGTCGCCACACAGCACTGCAGAGCACAGAGCACAGCGCCTCTCATGTTCATCAAAGCAGCACGTGTGAGATGTGCACAGAAGAATGTTTGAAAGGGATAAACGACAGAGGCGGATATAGCTGTCTAGAAGCGCAAGACAGGGATGCATGCGCACCGGCCACTGTCAGGCTGTCTCCCATGAAGTCCACATGGATTGTGCTGCCAGCGCTCTCTGGTAGGTGAATGATGTACTGCAGTGCGCTCAGCACTTGGGATCCTGGGCTGCCCATAAATATGTGGACAAGCAGCACTGGTGCTGCAAGGCCCGTCACTAAGAGGGAGCCATTGGGGCTGCATACTGCTGTGGTGCAGGACACTGCTGAAAGATCGGCAGGCAATGTTGATTTTTGGAGGACCTGCCGTGAAGCTGTTTCCCAGAGCCATGTGGTGCCATCCTGCAAATATCACACACAGCATGCATAGGCAAGATGGGCAGGGTACCGGTCCAAAACACGACTATTGCATCCTTTGAGCCCAAAATGATACTCCAAAGTACTGTACCTTGAAGACTGTGACCACAATGGCATCTCCAGGCAGGATGTGGGACATGACCGCCCCGTGTGGTTGCCCCACCAATGTGCAAAGGCGGTGATTGTTGGCCAAGTCCCAGAGGAGAACGGCATCTGTGGATGTAGTTACAAGCAAACTTCCGGCTGCGGAGCATGCAAGATGCTGGACGGGCCTGTAAAAGCAAACTTTGCTCAGCATAGCTGTCTCAAGATTGACACAGAGGCAAATCTGCACTCAGCCACAATTAACAGAAAGCTTCACTCAAAATTCTCAAGACAAGAATGGCCGTATGTATGGACAGAAAGTATTGCCCCTTGTGTACCTTCTGTGACCCCGAAAAACAGCTTTGCAGCTTCTCGTGTACGTGTTATACACGAGAACTGTTCCATCCTGCAGCAATCGATTTCATGCGGACCGCAGCCAAGATAAAGATGCGCTAGCTCGGCAAAAGGGCAACCTTGAGGCACCTCGTTGCCATCAATCAGACTGTGGTGCGAACGATGGACTTTACCTGCAGGGCAACAAAGACGTCCCCCAACACCGTTTTTGAGAAGAGAAGAGAGCTGCCAGGAAGCGCACAGCTGGCAACAAGGCAATATCTATTCCTGTAGCGCAAGAGAAGCAGATTCTTTAATGAGTTCAGCTGTTGCACTTGGCACCTTAGGTAGAGTACTGAAATCGAGCCAATGCCGCATCCCACTGTTGGCTCACCTGTCCAGTCTGAAGTGTATCACTTCACCTTTCTTAGTGGTCGCAATAAGATCCATATTGTGTATGGCACAACTCACATACGAGCCGGTTCCAAGTTGTAACCCTTCTGAGCTCTGGGACGGTCGAAGTGCCTTGTGTACGTTAGGAACAGACATGAAACTCACATGTTTTGATGATATGTGACCAAAAGTTCCGCTTGTAGCGATGTGTCTGGTCGAAATTTTGCTCCTGATGTTGGACATTTTTCCTAAAATGGAAGTCAAAATATTCCAAAGTGACCGAAAGCACTTGCACCTCCTTAAAATGTGTATATGGATGCAATTTGCGTTTTATTTTCGCAAAATGGTGGATGAAGTCCCCCCATGACGAAACTAAATCTAACCTTGGAATAGTCCGATGAGCGAAGCTTGCTGCATGTGTCTCGGCCACGCCTTCATCTCTCTTCCAATTTCCTTTACTTTCTTTCTCGCCTCGATTGCTCCTGTATGCACTGAATTGAAGAATAATCGGTGTGCTGGAATATAATGAAATGATCCAGATCGATCGCCTGGTCTTGGGCACGGAGGTGGAAAACCTCTTAGTAGAGGTCATCTCACTTGAGGGAGTCGACCTTGACAGCAAACCTGAAGATCCCGCACACATCGCTACAGTGGGAGATGCTACAGGACAAATAAGGCTCGTCTACAGAGCATCTACAGCTTGTCGCCCGACGCAGGTCAAGAAAGGGAAAACGTATCTAGTAACAGGTGCCTACTCAGTGCCTCCATGGACGTCAATAACACCGAATTAATGAAAATGTGTTCAGCTATTCATCCTTTATGATTCAAACTACTTCTAAACCACAGTACTCTTTGCATGGCGCATATTCTGAATTACAGACGCCTTCAATGCAGGCAAAGTGACTTCCTTCAAGGGGCACATTCAAATCCAGATAGGAAGCTCCTGGGGCAAGGTAGAGCGTGTCAATGGCGAAGAGGTATGCTACCACACAATTTGATTCAGCGAGCATTCCAAATTGCGATGTTTTGCAGGTCGAACGACTAATACTCCCAGCTGTGCAGGTTACCCAGAGGTTGCTTCCTAGCCCAGCCACAGACCTGTCGGCTCCGGAGCGAAGATATGGAGTGCTTCTGCTGCGAGAGCAGGAGATCGTCTTGGAAGCCTTTGTGTCTAAGGATCGGGGCCTGGTTGCCTCAGAGCACGCCCTTTATGTTGAAACAGACCATTCCGCTGCCTGCAGGTATGGGTGGCTATGCCGGGCCGGTCTGATGGTAATGGCGCTGAGTTCTGTTGGCTTCATTGGCATCTGGATTGTGAAGTGGCGCAGAAAATTGCTTTCGTACTTACTAGTCATTAATACTGCATGTCTGCCCCTTCCAGGGCGCTTGAGAAGGGGGTGGAAATTTTGCCACACAGCTTCCGGCTGCTGCCCCTGCCCCCTGTCGAGCTGTACCAGCAAGGGGCCGAATGCGTGCTGATCACAGCCATCTTTGCCGCTGTGCTGACCAACCCCGATGACAAATTTGCCATCGGCGCTCTGGGCGCTTGGCTGCCCGTCTCTGAATGCTTGAAAGCGGTGCGCCTCAGTCACATCCCTCCATCTTTTCTATTTGCAAAAGGCAGACTCGCCTGAATGCACGAGAACCCAACAAGATGAAGTATATAAGCTCAAAGATGGCGTTGCTGCGCAGGCGTCAGGACAGTGGAGGGAGACATTAGCTGCGCTGTTGCAGCAAGCTGCCAGAGCCGCAGCTGTGGGCCTGGTGGATTTAAGCCTTTCCTCCTTGTTGAGCAGCGTGCCACTGCAGTCCCCCAGCACAAGCGACAGCCATCACCCCAGCTATGCTCCTCAACCAGCAGAAGAACCCCAACAGTCTGCCCATAACAATGGTGCGCCCAAGAGATACACGCACATTCTCCACTTCTGGGAGCATCTGCATGTAATTGCACACATGACATGATTTGAATCTGAGAATTCTGTTGAGAATTAAATACTAAATGTGAATGTGATGCAGAGGCTGCGCAAGCCGGAGTTGTCCCGGAGCACAAGAAGCTGCCGGTGACGTTGCTCAGCGGCTTCCTGGGAGCGGGCAAGACCACGCTGCTGAGGCACCTGCTGACAAACAATGCTGGGAGCATGCGATGCGCAGTCATCGTCAATGACATGGCCGAGCTCAATATTGATGCTGCCCTCGTGAAGAACGGACAGCTTGTGCAGGTGTGTGCTTTTCATCGCAGAGTATGTCACTGATAGCCCTCATAGGGAGAGGGCTTCTGGACGGGGAGCGCTGCATCTGATGGGCAGCGCAAGGGGATATATCTTGTCAACTTGCATGCCCTCCCCAATGCTGTGTCAGAGCAGGATTTTTGAAGGGAGGTTTCAGGGTCCTCTTAGCTTTAGGGGAGTCATTGTGGGGATTAAATCAGGGTTGGCCTCGCCGCGAGCTGCAGGGTGATCGCAACTTCAAGAGTGCTGAATTCAGGTCCACCAGTGCTGGAGGTCCTTGTCCAGGATTGCCCAATGCAAAATTTGCCATGCGCGCAGGCGAACGAGGAGTTGGTGGAGCTGAGCAACGGGTGCATATGCTGCACAATGCGGGGGGACCTCCTACGGGAAGTCACGCGGCTGGCGCGCGGCGGCGCCTTTGACTACTTACTCATCGAGTCCACTGGCGTCAGCGAGCCCATGCAGGTGCGATCCACACCCACTTGCAATGTAAATTTCCAATTTCCAAACTCAAACCACGCATTCGCTTTCCTCCAGATTGTAAGCATTGAGGGCAACGCTCCAGGGCAGCTGCAGGCACCTATGGAAGACCTCAGGGCATCTCTTGCCTCGCGTCCTCGCACACAGGTTGCAGGCTGCAATCGGAAGAAGTGAAGCGCCAGGCAGCTGTTGATCTTAAACAATTGAGACGCGCTGCTGCTGTGAAAGAAACACGTGAGATGCGGGGCAGCTTTTCAAATCTAAAAATTCAAATGTGCGGCAGGTGGCGGAGACGTTCACGCTGGAGGTGGAGGACGGCAGCCTGGCAGAGCTGAAGGACATTGCGCGCCTGGACACCTGCGTGACCGTCGTGGACGCAGCGCGGCTGATGACCAATTTCCTGTCCCTCGAAACGCTCAAGCAGCGCGACCCCGGGGTGGATGACGAGGACGACCGCAACGTCGCAGACCTCATGCTGGACCAGATCGAGTTTGCTGATGTCATCCTGCTCAACAAGGCGCGCTCAAGTGTACCCGTCCATCAAACGGGCCCCAGCCGGCTAATCAACTGCCTAGTGATCTGGAAGGCGTGTGATCTGCTTCTTCTCTCCATGGTCATTGGAGGCATGCCCGTGCATATGTGGCCTTCTTCTGGCAGGCGTCAAGCTTGCGTGCACGAGGACTTGCTCTTATCCAGACAGCTTGGAGTCTGGGAGTAATTCTTAAACCCAAGGGAAGTGCGCATGCATGGATGACTGACGAGGTCCCGGGTGGCTTGCAGGCTGACCTGGTGCCAGAGGCAGACGTGAAGCGCTTGACAGCGCTGCTCAGTTGCCTGAACACCGAGGCGGAGGTCGTTGTCACAAGGGAGTCGAGGGTGGATCCCAAGGCTGTGATGGGCACTGGACTCTTCAGTCTTGAGAAGGCGGCGCGTGCTGCCGGCTGGCTCAAGGTGCTCACTCTTTGCTACACGCTGTCTCTAGCGTTGCGGTCTCCAGCCACTCACTCTTGTGTGTTTGTACGCCTGGCAGGGGAATTATCTCAGTTTGGACAATCAGCCGACTGCCTTGGTTTCTGGGGACTGTGCTGCTTGTTGCCCATGAGCTTGCTGGGTGTGCATGCAGACGCTTCAGGAGGGTGAGAACATGAAGCCGGAGACAGAGGAGTATGGAATTGGCAGCTTTGTGTATCGCGCGCGACGGCCGTTCCACCCGGAGAGGCTGCACGCCTTCATTGCATCCCACCTGCTCCTGCAGGAGCCGGACTGGTCGGATGCCCTCGCTTCTGAGGATGGTACGCTCTTTATCTCTCTGGGTGACTCCTGCTTCACTTCTTTCAGTATGTACCATACCTTGCATGGATCTGGCAAATTTATCAAGGAGGTGGGGTTGTGGCAGAGTTTACATGCAGCTTGTCTGCAGACGCACCTTGCCTGTTGCAGAAACAGCGGGGTAACTTCAATAATAACCATATCAGAGGAGAATGTCCCGCCAAAATGCCCGCTGAAAGACTGTTGGCCCCCCCTTTGCAGGTGAATGTGACCATGAATACAGTCATGGAGAGGGTTGCAGCCATGACCACAATCATGACCACCACCATCATCACCATCACGCCCCCAGGCCAGTGGTCTCTCAGACTGGCACCAGTGACAGCCCAGAGAAGGCGGCACAGCGGGAAGCGCTATTCTTCTCTTCCTTTGGGCAGGTCCTGCGCTCCAAGGTGGGCATCAGCAAGCACCCTTATTGCTTCCCTGTGACACAGAGAAGCCCTTCCCTTGCCCTCCCTTGTCAAACGTGGCGGTGTGCAGGGAAGATGTGATCAATCCCTTGCAGAATCAATCCCTTGAGGTTTAGAGTGTTTTTCTTGGTGGGCAGGGGTTTATTTGGATAGCGGGGCGGGAGGATCTGTGTGGCGAGTGGAGTCAGGCGGGCGGCATTCTGCGGCTGGGAGTGGGAGGCCCCTGGTACGCAGCCCTGCCAGACGAGGCGTGGCCCCAGGAAGAACAGGCTCGCGCAGACATCATGAAGGTAATTTCCTCCCCAGATTCATGCTGTGTATTTTAGAGTGCATGACCCGCACTACATGCTTTAACCCTTGGCACGGCTTTTCATGCAAGAGGCTGCGGCAATTTATGCCAGGTGATGCTAAGTAAAGTCTGCATTGCTCACAGCACACTGGATGCACTGCACTAAAGGTGGTCCAGCAGGAAGAGATCTCACACATTGAGTAAGGTGATGCAATGACAATTGTTCTGAAATGGCGGTTATTGCGAGCAGGACTTTGAGGAGGGAGTGGGGGACAGGCGGCAAGAGCTGGTGTTCATCGGCATCGACATGCAGCGGGAGGAGCTGTGCGCTACCCTCAACACATGCCTGCTGACGGACGCCGAGACGCACCAGCATGCGCAGCAGCTTCCCCTCGCAGACCCCTTCGCGGAGTGGCCCTCTCTGGAGCAGATTCTGGACGGCGGTGACGAGGAAGCCGACGACGCCAGCCTTGCTGACTCAGCCAGCACACTGAGCGGCGACGAAGAAGAGGAAGACGCTGCCGAGCCGTCCACGTCAGCAGAAGGGGAGCGTGCACCAGAGGAGCATTTAGGGCAGAAGGGGCAGAAGAGGGCGGCCAAGGGGGTTGACCCCGGGGAGGGGGGCGAGTCGGATTGGCGGCCCGGGTCGCTGCTGATGGTGCAGCGCGGCGGCGCGCAGGTGCAGCCTGTGCTGGATGCGTTGCAGCCAAGCGCTGGCGTCGCCGTGCTGGCCTGGCATGCCGACTGGTGCGTTACCTGCCGCACGTCTGTCCCCGCCCTGGAAAGGTATGTCCTTCTGTCCTCTGCTGCTACCGCATTCCTTGTTGAACACCCATTATATGATGTTGACATGCTGATCCTTATATGCATGCGACATTCCCGATGCAAGATTATTACGGACATGCTGCACTTCTTTGCGCCGAAGTCTTAGGCATCAACTGCATGTTGCGTGCTGTGCGCAACACAGATATCAGAAGTGCATGCTAAAGGCAAGCTGGCGCTATGCCATGCACGCAGCAATTTAGCTATTTCATGCGGCACATGGCTGATGCTGAATTTACATTTTGTGTGGGGTTCAGGATGGCAGCAGAGCGGCCGGACGTGCCGTTCATGCTGCTGGACGTGGAGGCGTCAGCGGCCAACCGCGCGCTCGCCATGGAGAAGACTTTGACCAAGCCCACGAGCCAGCGGCGGGGCGCCAAGCCCATCCTGCGGCAAGAAGCCAAGTTCCCTGCCTTCAGCATCCACCTGGCGCCCTCCATGCAGCCCCTGCAGCTCTTCACCGGGCCCTCTACTGCGCTCAAGCAGCTGGCCGCTGCTCTCAAGGACACCCCCCTCAATGCGCCCATCTCATCCGCCCGCACCCAGCGCAAGGTCAGCGCCGCTCTGCAACCATTTGTGCTTCCTTGGTCCCAATTGAGATCCAAATTTGAAGGATTAAGAAGGTCTTGAGACGGGATGGGCATTTCACGTCTGCAGCTGTCTGATGTCAAGGCAGGAACGGCTGTTGACTTGTTCTGACAAGTAGGATTCTATTACAGGCAGCAGAGCAAGCAGGAGGAGGCGCTACTGCTGCGGCGACAAACGGCGCGCCAAAGGTGGCAGCTGCCGGGAAGCAGGGCGCAGCTGTAGGCCAGCTGGGGCTGGTGAAGAGGGGAGCAGCTGACCTCAAGCAGCGCCTGCAGGAGGCCTCCACAGCACAGCAGCTCATGGTGCTGCTGTGGACATCCACTGCGGACGAGCGCGCCTGCAACGAAGCTGTCAGGAACCTGAAACGTGTCGCTGGCGGCTATTCAGGTCAGCGCCTTTCGTCATTTATTCCGTATAATGTTTCAACTTGACCAAAGCCTGTGCAGCCTTCTGATTGCCTTAAGAGACTAGCATCAAGACCCAAGATGGGCTTCTATACTTGGTGAACATGAGCAATAGTCTGCCTATCTAGTTTGTCCTCTCAGCAGACAACAGCTCAGCTCAACTTTTCAGGCCACAATTAAAGGCGGCAGCAATCAGGCATCAGGCGGGAACATGATTCTGCATGTGTGCTATCGCAGATGCAGCATTCTTCCATGCCCCAGCAGATATGTCCAAGGCAAATGCGGCGCTGGGCTCGGCCATGGGCGTGACACGCTTCCCCTGCTGCCAGCTCTTCCGCAGCATGAAGGTCCTGCACAGCACCACCGACTGCAGCGCAGACGCCCTCAGCGCCGCACTCGCCCAGCACAGCTCGTCCCCATCAGGAGCCGACGCAAGCAGCAACCCCGCCAAAGGCAGGCAGCAACCGGCAGGGGCGTCCAATGGCCATGCAGAGGGTGCGGCCAATGGGGGTTCTGCGAATGGGGGTCCAGGGGGAAGCGCCAGTGGGAAGGCAGAGGCCGGTGTGATTGGCAGCGGCGTCTATGACCCCCCGGCTGGGAAGGAGGCCCGCGCGGGTGCCACGCGCATTATGCCTGGCGGCAACACCGGCTACTTCTGGTGCGCGCTTGCGCGGGACCAGTCAATGCATGTCAATGTCGAAGTTATCCCCATGCACAGCCTGTCAAATAAAATGGGTATCTTGGCACTTCAGCACGTCGGTCCAGGGATGGCTCGCAGTGCTCTAGCTGCACATGTGTCATCCTTGTGTGCCGACTGTGCTGGTGATCAATTGCTTCTGGGCTTCAGTGATGCTGGATTTCTCAGCCTGTAGGGTTTTCTCTTCTTCTCAAATTTGACCATTTCAATCACTGAATTTCAAGTTTGAAGAAGAAACTATTGCGGCGCAGGCCGAAGATGCCGTGCCTGAGGTGCGGCTGCCCCTGGTGGCTGGGAGAGGACTGGGACGCCAAATGCGCGCGATGCTCCTGGGACTGCCAGAAATCCGGCTACGACGACGATTCCCAGCCGCTGCCGCCCTACAAGAAAAAGTGGGAGGCCTTCATGGCCGCCATTCGCGCCGGCACCACGCCCGAGTATACACCCAAGGGGAAGGCTGCAAAGGGTAAGCGCTCAGCTCTTTGAAGCCAGCGCCGCAGGCAATTGCTTGTTTGAAGAGACGGTGGGCAGCATTCTATGCTCTTTTTTGTGTTTGTATGTTTCTTAGGAGGCAATTAGAACGCCACTGCAGATTGCAGGCTGCCATTGCGGAAATTCATGTGTTTTGCTCAATGTGTTTGAGATCAATTGCTGCCAGAAAGATTGACGTGGAGATTGGCAATCAGAGAGGGCTTTATTGGCAGCACATTTGCACCCTCAGAAGAACATTAGGCCATATTTGGCGAGCTCTGACATGATTGAACATGTCACAAAGGCTGTGCGAGTCCTTTGGGAACGCTGCAATAAGCTAACTTTGCACAATTTGCATTGGGTGTAATTATTACACTGTAATATATTAAGTTCGAATTCCTGGGGGTCGTCAGGCTGTGCATTTACTGATGAACCAAATAGCCTGCAAAGGCCCCCTTGACCAGATGCGGCATCTGACAGGCAACCAGATTTCAAAACTTGATGAAGACATGTTACTTCTTCACATAAAAGTGCGGTGCAAGATTAATTTCCCTATGATACGTCAAATCATGCTACAGTCGTAGGGCTTGAGATCGCTCATCTTCACGGGAAGTGTTTCAATGCTCAGACCATCTCTCTAGATCACGTCAAAATCACGTCTCCTCGAAGCCAGCACTGCAGCTCAGCCATGCATTCGAATCATCTTAAAACCTCTTGCACAAGAATAAGTGTGACTGCTGTCGGGTTGCTTGGCTTACAGAACAAGGCATGTGACCCACTTCAGGAGTGGCTTTGGGGACAACGGTCCCTGACAGCCAGCGTTTTGCTTACTGCCTCGTGTTCACATACTAGAAATGATTGTGTCAAGTGCGGATTGGAGGATGTGCAGGCTCATTGCTCCAACCATGCCAAAGAGAAAGGAATGACTCATCATGCTCACGTGGAAAAATATGAATTGCTCAATGAAAGCTTTACGAAGTAAATACGATGTATTTACGAAAGTCCCTGAAGCACTCGTGCCCATCTCAGTCTGGTGCTGAAGAAGAGATTTGCTGGCTTAGTTTAAACATCAGGGGCGAGTTGGGTCATACACCTTTTCATTTGAACAGAAAGAGTGAACGTGGGCATTTTGTGAAAGTGTGCTAGGGATGGCCAACATCGTCATCTTCCAAGGCGTAGAAATAACAATTCCACCCGATGTCACCTTCAGTCATACCGATGGATGCTTGGAATTCGACCTGTCCACAGGTTTCACGGGGAAGCTTATTCTCAGACATGGTGTGCATCAACCTAATCTAAAGATCGTGGCATGCCCTTCCGTGACCTTGCATATGCCTTGATGCATTCGCATTCCATCACCTCTCTCTTCCCTGTGGACTTGTTGTTGAGGAGTGAACTTGGCTCCATGATGACAACTGAGAAACTCCCTGTGTGCATGTGCAGCACAACACCAGAATGCCCAAACTATTTCAATACAGCCAGTGTCCGCGCATATCACTCCAGCCCTGCCGAGCCTAGTATTTGACAGCCTCGAGCTCCCGCCTGGAGATCAGGCACTGGGCGGCGGCGCAGGCACCAGCGCGCGTGCTTTCTGGTTCAATTCCTCCCCTAGACAAACCCAGGAACCCATGCCAAGCGCTGAGTCACCGCAGCAACCTGCAGCAGACCTGAATCCGCCAGACGAGGTTGACAGGGCGCTTGCTCCTCTCCCCCCATTAGAGGAGCAGGCACCGGAAGCTGCCGCAGCCAGTGCAGCAGCCGAGGAGGCATGCGCAGATGCTGAAGCCAAGGCAGTGCTGAAGGAAGCAGGCCATAACGCCGAGGCTGCAGAGAACCCCTCAGTCAGCCTTAAAAGGGAGGAGGGTCCAACAGCGAGCCCGAATGCCGGGAAAGAGAATGAGTGCGTGACGCCGCTGCCTGCACCGCACTCCAGTGGAAAATTGTCCACTGGCAAGAGGACTTCTGACGGAGACAAGAGCGGGTGAGTCTTCTATCAGGTTGTCAATTGATATCTTGATCTGTAATTGCCAAATGCATAATCTGTTCGTGCTGCAATTCCTTCTTGCTGACATGTGAGGTTGCCGTTGCTCCAGGTCAAAGCTGGCCAAGCGCCACAGAGGCCTTCTGCAGGCCGAGTCACCCACCAAAGGTAATCAAGTCAGCAGATTAACCTTCAAGAACCCCCCCAGAATGAGCCAAGAATTTTGCAACGGTCCTAAAGCTGTCAGTGAATTAATGGATCCTTGTTGGGTTTTAATTTCCAATATTTGCTGGTTTTGCATAGAGTTTGCATTCCGCTGGAAGCCTCTAGAGGCAGTGAAGGCGGCTGGCACAGAGGAGACAGCGCCTGCAGCGCGCTGGGGCTCCTCCTTCACAGCCCTCTCAGAGACCAAGGTACTCTTGCTCTGCATCGCCACAGGACTCCCACACATCCACCCATCCATCAGCGACACACATGAGATGCACTTGATCTTAGAGCGGCACAAGCTGATGATACAGTGCTCTTCATCACGTGACTTTAGGCAGTGCTGATGCGCAGGGCTGCTTGTATGGGGGAGCGAGCGAGGAGGGCCCGCTGGGGGACGCGTGGCTGTTTGACGCCGAGCGGCTGGCATGGGAGCAGACCGCCAACTCCGGCTTTGGCGGCTTCCCGGGAGCCGCCAAGGCCTGGCACGCAGCTGCCGTGCTGGAGTACACCGAAGTGCGCTCTTATACTTCTCTTGCAAATGTTGATGCAACCTCGTGCTTGCCTACAGTGAAAACCTCCTTCTGCAAACGTATATTTTCCTCTTCCAGGCTGTCTGCGCATTGCTTTGTGGAAGCTTTGATGCGACAGAGGTCTGGCATGCTCAGGCCTGCATGGGTTCAATTGCCATTCAGTGACTGGACGCTGACTGGACTGTATGGTTATTTGCAGGGGAGGCAGCTGCTGGTGTACGGGGGCGAGCGCAGCACAGCAGAGCCTCAGGGTGCAGGACAGGAGGAAGACGAGGATGAGTGCGAGCCCATCGCGGACGTGTGCACTCTGGACGCCGCCGCGCACTTCTGGGTCACCCTGCCCATGGACGGTGCGCGCCACTTGCACTCCTCTGGACCCTTTTGGCCTCCGATGACCTTAAATCGGGGCACTGTATAACTTGACATTCAAAGCGTGGATGCTTGGGGACAGTCCTGGCTTGGTCTATGGGCGTTCACTCAGATTCATGTAGTTGCATGCAACACAACACAGTGGCGGCATTATTCTCGGGCCAGTCTGCTTGAAGCCAAGGGAACTGTGGGCGCTGCATATTGGCAGACATGCGGGCTGACACTGGCATTCCTCTTGTTTTGCTGGAGTCTCTGACAGTGCCTCACGGCGGTGATCAGATCTTTGGCATTATTTCAGAGGGTGCGCGGCGCAGGGACGTCCGGGGGTGAGGCAATACCGGCGAGAGCGGGCGCCACCATGACTGCCCTGCCGGACGGGCGTGGCTTTGTGTTCGGTGCGCCACCCCTGCAGCCCTCCTTATCAGGGGACCCTAAGATTTTGTTGATTTGCAGTCCCCTGCCCTGCCCTTAACTGCCGCGATAAACATGCCGATAAACATGCCGGGCTCTGCTGGCCCCTTTCCCAGATGAGGAGCTGGACAAGAATGAAATTTTGGCCCCCTTTGTACATCAGCTGTTAGCTATTCTAGTAACAAGGGACTGTCTTTGAGCATTCCTGCTTTCGAAGGCATGTCATAGCGTGCCCAACTGAGATATCATCTGAGGCCTTGGGGTCCAGAGGACAGAAAAGTACTTCCCACACAATGATGTGGGCAATGGGTGAGATATGTGATCAGTGTTGAGGGGCCTGTGGATGCCTAGCCTTGCCGATCCCTTCGTCAGATGAGTGCTATCACAAGCAGCAGGACAGGGGTCACCATTCCATAGCTAGTCTATTAGCTATCAAACCCGCAGGATGGGCAGTGTGGCTTAGATTTGAATTTGTTGTGGGCAGGTGGGTTGGACGTTGAGGGCAGGTACCGCAACGATGCGTTTGTGGTGGACGCCAAGCGCATCTCCTGGTTCAGCCTGGCCGGCATCATGAAGGGGGCGCCCCCCAAGCCGCGCGCCTACCACAGGTGCACCACCCCTGTCCTGCGCACACAGCGGCAGACTCCAAGGCAGAAGGCATGAGCAAGCACTAAACATTTGGCTTGGCGTCTTTGGCCTGCCGGGATATTCCACCCTGATGTCTTCTATGGTGTGTGCAGCGCGACCCTGGTGGGCCAGCGCATCATCATCATTGGCGGCCTGGGCGCTCGCGTGTGGTCCTGCAAGGAGGTCAGTGCGTATGATCCTTTTCCTGGGCTCACCTTTGGAGTTGACATTTTACATTTTACATTTGAATCCTTTTACACATTCTTTTCCATTTTACAGAGACGGAAGAAATTAGGGAGCACCTGGCACTTTGCAGACCGTGAGGGGAAGTGGGTAGAGCTGGGGCCCCCTTGCATGACTAGCGTGCTGCATACTGCACAGGAGGCTGTCTTCTAGCAATCCTTGATCCAGCAGCAAAACACACACCCGCAGAGTGCCGTAGGCCATGTGCAGATCGGCACAATTCCTGGCCGCAATGGGTCAATCAAAAGGCTGGTGCGGCTGCGCAGGTGTACTCGGTGCAGGTGGGCAGCTGGAAGTGGACGGAGCACACGAGCGAGGTGGAGGGCGACGCGCCGCAGCCGCGTTCCGGCCACACGGCTGTGGCGCTGCCAGACGGGCGCCACCTGGCGCTGTTCGGGGGCGGCGACGCCGACAAGGACCTGTTCTACAGCAGCGTCTCCGTCCTGGACACCGCCACCTGGCGCTGGTCCACCCCCAAGATCCAGGTCATCCACCTTTGCCCGCTCACCCCACCCACTTTCGCAGTACTTTGCCTTTTGCCATGTTTCTTGCAGCGCTGCAGTACGGTTTTGGTGCAAGGAGATACCACAGTCCAGGAGAGCTTTTTGGCAGGCCGGTCACCGCTTGTTTCAACAGGCAGGGCGTGGGGTTTCCATAGCCGTGCAATGCCTGCCAAGCACAAGTTTCACAGACAGCCAGTCCTCCCCCTTGCTGTAGGACGTTGTTGAGCAGAGCTACTTGTAATTCCTGCAACACCCAGAGCAGCTCCCTGTTGTCACTGCAATCTACAGAACAGCAATGTTCATGAACATGCAGAGAATGCGCCAGAGGGGTGAGGAGAGTGTATCCTGCTGCGCAGGGGGTGGCGCGGCCAAGCGGCAGGGGCGGCCACGCGAGCGCGCTGCTGCGGCTTCCCAGCGGGCGGAGCGCTCTCGTAGTGCATGGCGGTCGCACCTCAGGGGACAAGCTGCTCAAAGACACCTGGATGCTGGAGCTGCAGTAGTCATGCTAGAGCCATTACCGCCGTATCATTGTTGCATTAAGTGTAGCTGCACCGCCGTTGTTCCAGTGCAGCTACTCTGCTGACATCCAGGCCAGCATCTCACGGATTGTGGGAACTGGAGTCTGTGCAGGATTTCTTGGACTCTCTTTTCAGCACTGCTCTTCGCGCATGCGACCCTCACAAATTTTGCTGGACTATGAAGTTTAGGCATGCTCAGAGTGACTATTTGAAGTGCACTGCCATGGATTGCAAGGATTGACGTTGTGCCACTGTTGACATCAGCAGAGTAGCAGATTGCGCTAGGCAGCAAATTGTAGGAAGACTCCCGCTGACCAAGGGCATTGCTTGAATGAATAAAGCATCATAAAATAATTGCTTCATACCTGCACGGCATTTCTTGATGTTGCTATTTTTTCTTGGTTACACTTTACATGGCTCTTTCTTGAGCCTGCAAATTATATACAGACAGCCTGAATTTCGGTCCTAACACACTGAGCTGTACACCACGGAACGCCACGTTTGCAGCTAAGCATCTGTGTAGCTTACACTCGGGATTGCACTCCAGATGGGGCAATTAAAGTGAACAACAAGATGGTAAGCTGATCAATGGCACGGAAACTTGTGGACAGACTTTCCCAACTCTCAACTCGATCGTCTCAAATTGTGAGAGTGCTGGTGCCAGGCACTAGTGTACTGCCAGCAAGGGTTTTACCCTCCCTCCCAATCTCGACCCTTGACCCTTACGTGTAACGTAAGGATCCATAGGCCGCATGCACAATTCTTCAAAGGTGTGCCTCGTAGGAACAAGATAGCCATGCCAAAATTTGTAAACATTTCTAGGCAGCGACACCACCTCCGGAGAGAAGCTCCTTACAATTGTTCCGTGCATGTGCAGTGTGAGCCAGTTGGACCAACGAATAGGCTAGGCATTAGCATCTTACAAGCCACTCTCCATCGTTATGTCAGAGATAAGCGCCAGTCCAGGCGTATCAGGAGCGAGCTCGGTTGTCCAAGACGCAGCTTCTACTGAACCATCACACTCCAGCCTACCCTCATGGCCCCTGATAGGTACAGACCGGACAAGGTTTTGTATGTGATTGCTCCCTGCTACCATATGACAAAACATAGGTATTGACCGGTGATGTGCCTGCAGACCAAGAGGACCCAGCAGAGAAGTTTGAGCTTCTGCTACAACTTGGTGAGATTCCTTAAATCCCAATACCTGATGCTAGCTTTTAGTTTCTTCCAACACGTCTTCATACACTTTCCTGTTGCATGTGCCTCATTTGATGTGGTACACAGGCCAAGGATCATATGGGTCCGTGTACCAGGCAAGGGTGAAGGACTCAGATGAGACCGTGGCCATCAAAGTCATACCAGTGGGAGAGCACGATGAGATTGGAGAGATCCAGAAGGAGATTGACATGCTCAAGGAGTGCAACCACCCAAATGTGGTGCACTACCTGGTGAGCATGCATGCCGTTTATGAAGCAATGCATGCATAGCTGTGCACCTCCTTGAGCTCTCCAATACCATACTTTGAGCAGAGGCTTTGCCATTCAATGGTGCAATCCATTGAGGCACCTTCACTGCTATGGCAGGGGAGCTGGAAAACGAAAGGGGCGCTGTGGATAGCCATGGAGTTCTGTGGCGGTGGCAGCGTGTCAGACCTGGTGCAGGCAGCCGAGGGTCCCCTGGCCGAGGAGATCATTTCCTACATTTGTGCAGAGACCCTGGCCGGCCTCAACTACCTTCACGCCATCGGCAAGGTGCACTCTTTGTATGTACTTGTGCCAAAATGCAGTCCCCCTAACTCTAGACGACTGAATTGTGAAAGAGGTTCTCCTTGTTGGCATGCTCTCTCGTCCAAAATATCTATTTTAGGGAACAGAACTCTGGATCTATTGATCCACACTCGGCATACATAACTCCTAGAAATTTCGATCAACAATTGACATGAGCAAACCCTGAAAGTAACTGCAATGTTTCTGTAGGTGCACAGGGACATAAAGTGCGGCAACATTCTGCTGACGGAGGCTGGAGAGGTGAAGCTGGCGGACTTTGGGGTGGCAGCGCAGCTGACGCACACCATGTCCAAGCGCAACACCTTCATTGGCACGCCCCACTGGATGGCACCAGAGGTCATCCAGGAGTCCCGCTACGACAGCAAGGTGCAGGAAACTCCTTCCCCTATCTAGCTCTGAGGTGATTGCTTGACCTGCTAAACATGAAAGCACCTGGCGGGAAAAGCAGGGATGCAAAGACAAGCCTGGCTCAGACAAACCTCATGACATCATAGGTCCTTATGTCGCTTCTGCCAAGAAATCGAGTGCCACAAGCAACCTCAAAACATGAGGGCGGGTAGAGGAAGATCCAACTCTGCTCTGCGTTGCAAGAGCGGCCTGCTGATCTAAGGAGAAGTCAGAGCCTTCAATCTGACTTTCATTTTCGAAGCAGATGCAGTGCATTTCATCATGGTGCAGGTGGACGTGTGGGCGTTGGGCATCAGCGCGATAGAGATGGCGGAGGCAACGCCCCCCCGCTGGGCCGTGCACCCCATGCGAGTCATCTTCATGATCTCGCGCGAGCCGCCCCCGCAGCTGGCCGACAAGCACGCCTGGTCCCCCGCCTTCCAGTCCTTTGTCGCCTCCACGCTGCGCAAGGTCTGTGCGCTGATGAGCTTCCCTGTTTGTCACTGGCACAAACAGCGACAAACTGTTTGTCACTGCTACTTGTACCTGAGTCAGGTAACCTGACTGGCATCTGCCGGCTCCCAAAGATTGACTGCTCACATTACGCTTTTCAAGACATTCAAGTACGCCTTACTGCCTGCAGTGACAATGTGCAAATGTGTGATGTGCAAGGTGTAAATCGTCATGGGCGGAAAGACGATGAACTTAGATTACTTGTGTTGGTGCAGGATCCTGCGGTGAGGCCGGCAGCCAAGGAGCTGCAGCAGCATGAGTTTGTGCGCGGGCCGCACGGCAGCGCAAGGACCCAGGCCCTGCAGCCGCTCATAGAGCGCTCGCGCGGGAATGCTGCTGCCCTCCTCGCAGAGCTTGAAGGGCCGCCAAAACTACCACCAGGCGTCAGGTGCACACACAGCCCTGATGCTGTTGAACCCTTAGTCCATGTGAGAGACCACCCTTGCATTGTGGTGGAAGCTGCCGCTGTTGTCTGCATGGCAAGGATCTTGATTAGTAGCCGCGTTGACTACCATAGATTACCTTGCTTGATGAGAGGGAACTGAATAATGTGCTTGGGTTGCAGTGTGCAGCCTGGGAATGTGACGGGCCACTTCTCATGGAGGGATCCCGCGGGGCTGGCAACGGGTACATTTGTCGCATCTACCCCGGACTGGAAGGGAGCCGATGACGCAGGCACCCAGCAAGCCTCCCCCTCATCCGCAGCCGGGCCGTGGCCCAAGTCTGGTGCAAAACGTGCCCCTCTCGACGGCCTCTATGGGAACGGCGCTAGAACAGCAGATGCGGTACCCCTCTCGCCCCTCGCATTCATGTGAAATCTTCAACGCCATGTATGATGTTCTAGGCATCACACAGCTGCCAGCTAGCAAAATATTGGAGCGCCGGCAGGGTGCACCTTTACGTCCACCTTTGCGTCCTGCACCTTTGTACATTGGAAATGTAATCGCAGTTGTGCCAAAAATTTTGTGCAGGACATGCCAAACGGTCCATCATCGTCTGCCTACACAAATGCATCTGGCACAATGATCATCAACCCTGGGGACACAATGGGCGCCAGCGGGGACCCCATGGACACCGTGATTGTGGCGGAGAATGGGAATGAGCAGAGCAGTGACTACCTGGCTGCCCTGCGAGCAGCGTCTTCAGACCCTTACAGGTGGGCTTCACTACCATTGAATACGGTTCTTAATTCTTGCCCTGCTCCATTCAATTAAGAAGAGAAGTGTATTCCACCATAAGATTCTTAGGGAGGTGAAGGTGGAATTTTTAGGTGGAGGGACTTTCTGTGCCGTGGTTGCGTGCTCATGGGGGTAAATCACACTTGCATGGCTGCAGGAGGGATGTGAAAGGGGCGAGGGGAGGTATGGCAGAGAGCGCTGCCCGGAGCAGGCAAGAAGATGATGCGCTGAGGGAAAAGGAAGTGGCAGTCCAGGCAGACAGCCACCCGGAAGAGGAGACACCACCAAAGACCTTCAGCCATGCACCGTCCCCCAGCTTGGATGCCACACCAAAACCACTGGATGGCAGGTAAATACTGTCCAAGGACTACCTTCGGTGCAACTGCCATGTGATACCAGACTTGTATCTGCCGCTCATTATCAATCTTTGATCATCGCACGCATGATGTGACTTTAGAGAAGGCAGGGTGGGATGGTAGCCATGCCGGCGTGCTTGTTATGTGTGCCTTTTGTGGAAAGGCATGAGCAATTGTTTCGTGGCGCGCAGAGCAACGCTTGCAGACAAGCTGCGCAGCCTGTATGACAGCGGCGCAGTCCCCTCGCTGCCCTTCCTCAGTGCCTCAGACGCCTGCCCCATGGCCCTCCTGAACGATGTGCGCGACCCCTACAGGCGACCAAACGGCGGCTGCCAAGCCACGGTGAGTCTCCCAGCGGTGCCTGACGCCTCCTCTATTTGGTGCTCTGTGCTTTGACTAGTGGCTTAATTCATTTGTGCAATTTGTTCCTGCAAACACCCACATCATGGTGTCGTTGGCGATTGGCTCATTTGCAAAAGAAGCTTTTCTGACAGTAGAGTGTTGTGGGTGGGTGCGCAGGGATACAGCATGCAGCAGGCGCCAACAGAGGATGACCTGGCAGCAGCGCTGTCATCCCTGATGGGTCAGCAGCCCAGCAGAGAGTCCCCTCCCTCAAAGACCCCCCCGTCCACCTTCAACTCCTCAGCGACCCCCCCTTCCACCATCCGCAGCGGCATCACAGCCTCTCCCTACCCCCAGAGCGACAGCACAGCGGCCGTCCCACCAGATGTGGCCAGGCGGGTCAGCCAGAGCCAGACACTCAGCAATCTGCTGCGCACTCTCGCGCACCACAGGCGAGTGGCAGCCACCAGCATTCTGTCTCCAGAGGAGGCCCAGCAGAACCAGCAGGTTGTGAGTAACACCCAGGAAGCCCTCCGCTGCCTGCTCAATGTTCCCTGATGTGAGCGGCCTGGTGCAAGGAATTGTGCTATTTTAATGTACATGTGTGCTGTGTCGTGGAACGAAGTTGACAGCAGGGAGGGGAACTGGTCCAAGAGCGTGCGTTTATTTGTGCTGAGAAATAGTGATCGAAGTGCATTGCAATTGCTTCAGGCTTCAAAGCAATATGCACCATGAGCCCATGACCGATGTCAATGCAAATCCACAAGAGGCTTGTAAATCTGTGGAAAAGCATTGCTCTGCAGACATGTCTGCAGCCTGCTGGTCCCGGAACAGGGCCTTTGCCAGGCTGTCTGGGTGATCAATATCATGATAAGGGCATTATGCACGATCCTACGGGATGCGCCAGCATGTTATGCAATTTGAGGTCTATATGGAACTGCAGCAGAGGGTCACCAACTTCACAGGCAATGAAGTCAAGACCCCATCTTTGCTGCCATAAATTTGAGTAGCTTACACGTCTCGGGCCAAAAACGCAGTTTGTCAACCACGTGACGTACTGTTGTCCTCCAACTTGATGCCATGGCAAAGTACGGAGATACGAGTGCAAGCATGCCCATCCCAGAATACTGACAGAGAGCATTGCATCCGGATCACATGCAGCACCGCTGATGCAGCTGCAGCCATCTAGATGATGCCTATCCTGTTGGCCACATCAAGGGCATCGTAGTCTGCTGTGAGCCTGACGTATGCCTTCTTGGAGCCGTCTGGTCGGATGAGAGTGTTGATCTTCTTGGTGTGGATGTCGTACAGCTTGTTGACAGCGTCCTTCACCTGGCTCTTTGACGACCGCACGTCCACAATGAACACCTGCAGACAGCACAGCAGCAAACACTCACTCTGGGAATCCTTCTCGAGCCCACAATAGAGGTTGCCAACACTATTGTCATGCAAGGACATTTCAGCAAACCAAAACTTAGCATTGCAAAGTCTCAGCCAAGTCCTTGCGGAACAGGGAAAGAAAGAAGAGCTCACCAGTGTGTTGTTGTCCTCAATCTTCTTCATTGCGGACTCAGTCGTGAGCGGGAACTTCACGATCTGGAAGGCGTCAAGCTTCTGTGACGGGGGAGCACTGCGCAACAAGCAACCTTTTTTGTCAGGAATTGCCACATGTCAATAGAAGAACCCCAGTGAGAAACCTACTGATCAACGCGGACTCCCATCTCAGGAACACAAGCTGACATAGCACAACCAGCTCGTGCACTTGAGAGGCTGTTCAACGGCACGACTATCAGGCCTTGCAATCGAACCACCTATTCTTAAACCTGTCTGAATCTCATACAAGCTCATCCAATGCTGCGATAGAGTACCGCTGCTGCTGTCTAGAGTCCTCACCTCTTCCTGGGGTACTTGGGATTCCTGTCGTGCTTGAAGGTCTTCGGCCTGTGGAAGACAACACTGTATCTGGGCTTCCTCTGCTGCTTGAAGGTAGTCTTCTTCACTGCCTTCAGCGCCTTCTCGGCCTTACCCTTGGCATCTGACTTCCCTGCAGCACAACAGATCCCAACTCAGCGACTTGGCACCCCAGGATCTGCGCAATGGCTGCTATACAGGCTACCAGCGCCTGTACAACCGGCATTCTGACCCTTCCTCAGCTTTTCCCACTGTACTTCTCCCCACATCTTTCCCCGTTAGACGCCATTTTCTCAATAGATGGTGAATGCACTCTGATTGCAACTACGCTTTCAATAACAGTTTTCCCAATCACAGCCATGAAGCTGAGAAGATGAAGGATACGAGGACCATCATGAGGCAAGCACAGCGATGTGCAAAGACAGAAGACTGCGTCTGAAACCCTCGCTCTTAAACCGTAAAAAGACATTGCAGCTTACCCTTTGGCGCCATCTTGATGCACGCCTCGCAGATCAGATGCACACCACAGTAAAGCACATTTCTCTTGTATCACAGCCGCCTGAAGCGCTTTCTTTGATTGTACCCTGCCATACACTCAAGAAGCGCCGTCGGAGACGATATCTCAAAACCATGCAGAGCGTATCGACACACGTGCAATTGACATGTGAAAGCATTGCTCCACCTCGTCTTGGTGCCTTCCTCCGTTGAGCCGTGCAAGAAACTAAAAAACACGCCGTGATGGCTGGAACGAAAGAAATCACCGAATTGGGCAGCAAGTCTGCGCTTGGATCTCGCATCTTACCCACCCATGGTCGCTGTGCACCCAAGCATGTGAGCCAGAGGCGGCCTGTCTGTTTGGCAGGCCGCAGCACTGGCAAACGTGACGGGCAAGCCCAAGTCGTGCGCGCTGTGGCAGCACCAGAAAAAGAGGCTTACACACCCCCACCCTTCGAGTCATGGAACACTGGAGCGGTTCTGAAGAAGAGGACGGACATCAAGACTATCATGATACTGGGAGCTGGCCCGATCGTTATTGGCCAGGTACTTCTTTGCTTTCGATTTCCGAGTCAAAACATTCCTTGCTCCTACCTATATGATTTCCTAATGTAATTTGTGTACCGCGCAGGCCTGCGAATTCGACTACTCAGGCACCCAGGCGTGCAAAGCTCTCAAGTACGTTCAGCATTGCTCAATATCACGTGATTTAGAGACTGCACTCGCCATGGCATCAAGCATGGTACTGACATGGTTTAATGCTTCATTTGCAGGGCTGAGGGGTACAGAGTTGTTCTTCTGAACTCGAACCCGGTGAGGACATTGCTTTTCTAGGGTTGGAGGCTTCTATCATTTGGGAGCCCCCAATGCATGTCCCACTGTTTAGTATTGCACCTTTCATTGCTTTCAACAGTTTTGTGATGGAGGCATGCCCGTGTGCAACCTATGTATTGTGTTGATCTCTGACCTTTGTGTTGCACAGGCAACCATCATGACGGATCCTGGCACAGCAGACAGGACTTACATCGGGCCAATGACACCGGAGCTGGTGGAACAGATCCTTGAGAAGGTGAGCTGCAATTACTCTGCAGCCATTTATTGAGAGCCCAAGATGGGTTTCATGCTTTACCTTACTCACTCTGGACGTTCTCACTTCAGCACTTGACATCAATGACAATGACTCTGCAGGAGCGGCCTGAGGCAATTCTGCCAACTATGGGAGGCCAGACAGCCCTCAACCTCGCCAAGGCCCTTTCAGAGGTGAGACATGCTTCCCACATCAGTCAAAGGTGCAGCTATGTACAGCAACTGCGGAATGCTGGGCAGCTGTGTCAAGGTGTTCCACCATCCTACTGATCAATATGTTGATGTGTTCCTGCAGCAAGGGATTCTGGACAAGTACAACGTGGAGCTCATTGGCGCCAAGCTGCCATCCATCGACAAAGCTGAGGACAGAGAGCTCTTCAAGCAGGTGGGGCTTTTCTCCTCTTTCTCCTACTGTCTCCATTTCTGCAATGACTGCCCGGCCCCTCTTTTGCTGTGCTTGCAGCAGTGCAGGAGGTGTGGCCACCTTGCATCTTTGGTGTGAATGTGTTTTAAAGAGGGACTAATGGGACATTTGCACCCGCGCAGGCGATGAAGAAGATTGGCCTGAAGACACCGCCGTCAGGCACAGCGTCAACCATGGAGGAGGCACTAGTGATCGCGGATCAGATCGGCAAGTTCCCCCTCATCATCCGCCCCGCCTTCACCCTGGGCGGCACTGGAGGAGGCATTGCCTACAACGTCGACGAGTTCCATGAGATTGTCGATGCTGGCCTTACCGCCTCGCTCACAAAGCAGGTGACGGCTGCTGCCTCTTGCCATGCACGCTATACCAATTCCCAGTGCAATGTGTGATCAACACTGTGGATTTTTGGTATTGTCAAGTGTGGCTCCCAATGGATAGATATCTAGCAATGATAATGGAGACTTCCTTGTCAAGTTTCTGCAAGATGGTCACGTGGGAAGCAGCCCTTCCCCTCGTCTGTAGTGCTCATTCTGCCTAAGATGGCTGTATCTCTTGAGCATGATGGAGCGGATATTTTGCGTCTGCAGGTGCTCGTTGAAATGTCGCTGCTGGGCTGGAAGGAGTATGAGCTGGAGGTCATGCGCGACCTGGCAGACAACGTGGTCATCATCTGCTCCATCGAGAACATTGACCCCATGGGTGTCCACACCGGCGACTCCATCACAATCGCTCCAGCACAGGTACATTTTCCTCCCTTCCTCCTCCTCCTCCTTACCTACTCCTGCATATTCCTCCGCTTTAGCTAGTGCTCATTCTCGCTCCCTCTGCAGGCTTGCTTGCTTTCGGTGGTGCTCTTACTTGCTGTCTCTCCAGATTTTCACGATGTAGCCAGTGCTCAAAATTGCTTCCTGCGCAGTTTACCCCTGCCTGAGCCAGTGCAAATCATTGCTTATTGGTTTGCAATGGACCTCTGAAATGAATGTTGGCCTTGCTGTGCAGACTCTGACAGACAAGGAGTACCAGAGGCTGCGTGATGCTTCGGTGGCCATCATTCGCGAGATGGGCGTGGAGTGTGGAGGCTCCAACGTGCAGATGGCAGTCAACCCCGTAGATGGCGAGGTGCACTTTCCTGCTATTCTGACTTCGCTGTGCTTCCAACGATGCCAAATGCGCCTTCCTGCATGTCTAGAACCGCTGTGCACTGCAAACATCTCACCTGCTGCTTTCACATGCTGAAGCATGGGTCAGTAAGAATAGTCTGGACCAACTTGGAATGCGTGGTGAGCAGGTGATGATCATTGAGATGAACCCGCGCGTGTCGCGGTCGTCTGCTCTGGCGTCCAAGGCCACCGGCTTCCCCATCGCCAAGATCGCTGCCAAGCTAGCCGTGGGCCTCAGCCTGGACCAGATCGCCAACGACATCACCCGCAAAACCCCCGCCTCCTTTGAGCCCTCTATCGACTACATTGTGACCAAGGTACAACCTCATGCCTCTGTGCCTGGACATATGCATTGGGGACATTGCCCATGTCCTTTTTTCTGCCGCAGCATGATTGGCAGATAGGCTTCTTCTATGACATGTGCATGGTGCAGCATGGATGAGCTGGGTTGCTGATGCGTCAAGCGTGCTGCGCAGATTCCCCGCTTTGCTTTCGAGAAGTTCCCAGGCGCGAAGGCGGAGCTGACGACCCAGATGAAGAGCGTGGGAGAGGCCATGGCCATGGGCCGCACTTTCCAGGAGTCTTTCCAGAAGGTACTTTTTGCCAATCTCCCCCATTCACACCCTGCCTCTAAGCCCCCAACATGCTCTGTGTGGCCCTCGACCTGCTCTGCATGACAATTGCCAGACCTGGTATCAAATCTAAAAAGGAGACTGTCCTGCCTTATGCACTGTCCTGCCTCAGGCCTTATACTGCGCTGCATGGCCCTCGACCCGCTCTGCATGCCAGCTGCCAAAGCTGGTTTTTTGAAATCTCATGTTATATGCAGGCTCTGCGATCGCTGGAGACTGGGCTGGACGGCTGGAGCCTGCCCAAGAACTGGAAACGCATGACGAGGCAGCAGGTTGAGTACGGGCTGCGCGTGCCCAACCCAGACCGCATGCTCATCGTCAAGCAGGTGACCTGCGCCCCCCTTCAACTGCCAAACACACAGAAGGAGCAGCCTGTTCCCGAACGTTTCACGATTAACATACATGAAGGGCATTCCTTCAATAAGGCTACTTGTTCAAGCTATTTTATAAGCAACACTCTCTATTTGCATACCATTTCGTTTGCTTTCTCTCCCAGGGTGCGTGAAATGGGGTCAACATGTAGCAGACCTTGTGCATGGAGCATGGTTGGTGGCCTCTGATCATGTGTGGTGCATGGGTGCGCAGGCATTCGAGGACGGCTTCACAAAGGAGCAGCTGTTTGAGCTGACCAACATCGACCCCTGGTTCCTGTCCCAGTTTGAGGGCCTGCACGAGACGGAGGAGTGGTTGCGCACGCGCAAGCTGGCCGACCTGTCCGCCGAGGACTTCCTGCAGACCAAGAAGCGCGGCTTCTCAGACCCCCAGATCGCCCGCGCCGTCGGTGAGTCATCACCCTGCCTCCTGCCCCCATGCTCTTCTCTGCACCTACTGGCCCTATGATGTGCACTGTGCTACATCTCAACTGCGCCCCTCCCAAAAACTTGACAGCCGTCTCGGTTGCGCAACCTCTTGATGACCGAGACGCAGGCGGCAGTGCAAAGGACACTGTTCCCCGGTGCTCTGAGGCCGCAGCTGAGCTCTACAGCAGGTCCAATAGGGACACAGGCTGTGTTATCGAGAAGGCATCCGGTGCCGCAGTGCGAGCGCTGCCTGGCTGCGCGCAGGTCAAGCAGGCTGTGTGAAGATAAAGCTCATGTTGGTGTTGTCGTCTGAGTCCTGCTGGGTATTGTGCGCAGGTGCGAGCCCGAGTGAGGTGCGCTCGCGGCGCAAAGAGCTGGGAGTGGTGCCCTCCTACAAGCGCGTGGACACGTGCGCGGCCGAGTTTGAGGCGGAGACGCCCTACATGTACTCCTCCTACGACGGCGACTCCGAGGCCGCGCCCTCCTCCTCGAAGAAGGTCCTCATCCTGGGCGGCGGCCCCAACCGCATCGGCCAGGGCATCGAGTTCGACTACTGCTGCTGCCACGCCTCCTTCTCCCTCAGGTGCTATGTTGCTGCCTTTTGTCCCTCAATATGCTTGTGACACGTGCATCAAGCTGCCTTGCATCCCTGCAGAACATGCCCTGTAGAGTCGATACTCCACGTGTTCTAGTAGTGCGCTCACAGTTAGAGAGGCAGAGTTGGGATTCAGCCTCACGTATCCACTTCCAAGCAGAGAGGGATACCCATGGATAAGGTGTAATAAACTTTTGAGAAGTTGGGAGAAGGTTTGCAGAAGTGAAGGAGGCTGAGCATTTCAGTGTGGCAACAGGGCGGCGGGGTACGAGACGATAATGATGAACAGCAACCCGGAGACGGTGTCCACGGACTACGACACATCCTCCCGGCTGTACTTTGAGCCGCTGACGGTGGAGGACGTGCTCAACGTGATCGAGACCGAGCGCCCGGACGGCATCATCGTCCAGTTTGGCGGCCAGACGCCCCTCAAGCTGGCCGCACCCCTGCAGGAAGCCCTCACCAACAACCCCATCCCCGCCGCCTCAGGTGGGGACCCCCCAATTTCGCTTGATGTTTTATTCTGAAAGCCAGGAAAATCGTAAGTGCCCTTGAAGTAATTGACGGTGCCTTTGCATGTCAGGCATGCTCTTGCTCTCCTTGCAGCTGGCATCTGTGTTACAAGAGAGTCCGCAACCTCAAAGGCTGCACAGCAGCAGCAAACAGGACTGTGAATACGACCCTTTTTAAGGCAAGAGTGTGAACCTAATCGAGAATTGCCTGTGTCCAAAAGACTGCACGGGAGCGGCAGACGGCAATTCCGTAGACAAGTGTGTGGACCCTGACCAACGTGCGCGCGGGTGCAGGCGAGGGTAATGTGCGCATCTGGGGCACGTCGCCGGAGAGCATAGACGAGGCGGAGGACCGCGACAAGTGGTACAAGATCCTGACGCGCCTCGACATCAAGCAGCCGCCGGGCGACATGGTGGTGTCGGAGCAGCAGGCGCTGACGGTCGCGCAGAAGCTGGGCTACCCCGTCATGGTCCGCCCCTCCTTCGTGCTCGGCGGCCGCGCCATGGAGATCGTCTACACGTGCGTTCCCTGCGTCCCTGTCACATCAGCCTCCGCTCTTTCCTGTTGTGGATTGGAATTCATTGTCTTGATCATGCATCTTCCAGCGTTCCAGCCCCTGTCACCATCTTCATTGCTTGGCAAACTTTGCTTCCCTTCAGTCCTCATTGTTCTTGCAGTCTTTGTTTGCATGTTATCTGTGATTGTAGACAGGTGTAAGGGCAAGCCGAGCAGGCGTCTCAGCAGCCTCTAAATATCAGGGCAATCTGCAAGCCCGTTGGCCCCAAACGTTGTCTCTGCCCATACAGGTGTCCATGGGAGCTGTTGGCCCTTACTATGATCTGTGGAGATGCCAATAATTCTTTGGGCTGGCGCAGGGACAAGGACCTGAAGCGGTACATCGAGAACGCGGTGGAGGTGGACCCTGACCGGCCGGTGCTGGTGGACAAGTACCTGGACCGCGCGGACGAGCTGGACGTGGACGCGCTGTGCGACAAGGACGGCAACGTAGTCATCTGCGGCATCATGCAGCACATCGAGCAGGCCGGCGTCCACTCCGGTGCGTGGCCCTTTTTATCCCCAGCTACCGTTCAGAGAGCAGCAAGCGCAGCAAGGGGGGCCCTGCAACGCAACCACACCTGCAGCAAGGGCAAGATTGTGTCGTTGATGCACCCTGTCACACCTGCGAGGCAGCCCTTCCTCCCTTCGTTGACGCTCCCTCGGTCTTGATGTCTGCGTTTTCTATTGACTTGGTTCAGCTCGGTCGTTTGCATGTTTCGTGCATCGCTGCTTGCATGCCTGGGTCCTAGTATTCAGTGAAAGTCTGTGTTGCAGACCACACTCTACAGATCACTCAGGCAGGCCGTCGCTCTTCTTTAGCACTGTCCTCTCGCTACAAAGACACAAGTGTGTATTTGAGGTTGAGGCTCGTAGAAGCACAGAAAGTAAGTGATGAGAGAACAGCAGTGCTGAGAGAGCATGTGTGCATGGTGCAGGTGATTCGGCGTGCAGCATTCCGCCGCAGACAATCCCTGAGGAGTGCCTGGACACAATCCGTGACTGGACCACCAAGCTGGCCAAGGCACTCAAGGTCATCGGTCTCATCAATATCCAGTACTGCATCCAGGACAACGAGGTGCGCCCCCAACGCCCCTCTTCTCCCCCCCGCGCAGCCTTCAACTAGATGACTTTGATGTGGTGTCCCCTTTCCTCCAGCCCCTTTGCTTTCTCATGTCATGGTAACCTTCTGTTCCAACCCACTGCTGCATTCGACCCATCCTCAGACCAATATTGGCCTCAGATGCAGTGTGCATTCCTGGACCTTGCCAGCAAGGGGAAGAATTCATAGCGCCATGGCTGGATCAGCTTCATGTTCTGAGGTGTGCATTTGTGCATTGGCGGCAGGTGTACATCATTGAGGCGAACCCGCGCGCGTCGCGAACAGTGCCGTTTGTGGCTAAGGCGATCGGGCACCCGCTGGCGGCGTACGCGAGCTTGCTCATGTCCGGCCAGACTCTGTCTGAGATCGGCTTCACCGAGGAGCCCGTGCTCAACCACGTCGCCGTCAAGGAGGCCGTGCTGCCCTTCGAGAAGTTCCAGGGTGAGCCACAGCTCCAAACTGAAGTCATGCCCATGCTGCATGCCTTTCTGCAGCACATCTGGAAGGTGCTCAAGCACCATCACTGCGGCGGAGACCAAGGCATGGCGCTGTGGGTGTTGAGGTGTTGAGGTGTCTTGCAGTATGTTTGCCACAACCACAATCTCCTCTGCGACATACTGTGAAGATCTTTAGAGGAACAAGACCTTAGAGTAGGTACCCTCAAACACTTCCAAACATTCAATACTGCCTGTACTGAGGCTGATGGTGGCGGTACAGGCGCGGACACTCTGCTGGGCCCTGAGATGCGGTCGACGGGAGAGGTGATGGGCATTGACAAGACGTTTGCCAAGGCGTACGCCAAGGCGGCCATCGCGGCCGGCCAGAAGCTGCCCGCCAGCGGCAACATCTTCATTACCATGATCGACAAGCACAAGCAGGACGTGATCCCCATCGCCAAGAAGCTTGTGGTGCGCGCCTGCCTCGGCTTCTTCCGCCCTTCAACTGTTTGCCTGCCCATGGCATCCCCCTTTGCAGAGTTCTTCTGCGGTCTTCCAAACATAGCAGCGGCTGCAGAAATGCGCAGCAGGAAATGAGAGATTAGGACCCAGGCAGGGTGCAGCTCATGGTGGCAAGACCTTCCTGCAAGACATCCTTGCACCTCTCCTCTCTTGTAGGAGTGATGCTTGCCATTGAACTCGATAAAAGGGTGGCTTCTCTGGATTTCTCAATGTTATAGCCTTTTGAAGGGCTGATTGGAATGTGTGCTGGCTGTTACATAGGAGCTGGGTTACGGCATCGTGGCGACGCGCGGAACTGCGGCGGCGCTGCGTGAGGGCGGCGTGGAGGCGACGGAGGTGCTGAAGATCCAAGAGGGGCGGCCCAACGCGGGCGACCTGATGAAGAATGGCGACATCAGCATGATGTTCATCACGAGCACGGGCAACGAGGAGGACGTGCGTGACGGCAAGAACCTGCGCCGCCTCGCCCTCGCCCTCAAGGTCCCCATCATCACCACCCTTGCCGGCGCCCGCGCCACCGTCCAGGTGCGATCTGGACTTACTGTAGTTTTTTTTTCAGAAAATCGCCCATGCGGTCCTGCATTCGTCTTGATCTGCGATCTGCTGCTGTAGTGTGGCCACACTTTCGAGATTGCAGTCTTTGTGTCTTGTTCATGTTTTGGTGGACGAAGATCGACGAGTCGGTCAAGAACACCTTGTGTTCCTCAGCCTTGGGACGATATCTATTCCTCATTTTCACATTCGCATGGAGATGGCTTGAGCTGATGGACATAGTCACTGCTGGTGTGTGCAGGCTCTCGAGGGGATGAAGTCGGGCCCCCTGGAGCAGGTGCCCATCCAGGACTACTTCCCAGCGGCCAAGGAGCTGTCCCCCGTCGAGTTTGCTGCTTGAATGAGGCTTTGTCGGAATTGTCAGCTCTTCAACCTGGTTTGTGCATGCCAGCACGTGGAATGGTTTAGACTCTGGGAAAGTTGTCATCACCGCTGCTGTTGTGTGCTGATTAGTGGGCGCTTTTTGGTCACTTTGTGACGCGGTTGCATGGCGTGTCGCTCTCAGACGTTCAATGTCTGCTCCGATGCACATGCCAATAGTGTTGAGAGAGCTCGTTTGACAAAGACATGCTGCACTGAGTGCCCAAAGTCCTCTTCAGTAGCGATCTTGTGAATCTCTGTTGCGACACATGGCACACCAAATGATTTCTGCAATGATTGGCAGAATAGTATGGAAAAGGTCTCAGCAGTTCTGTTACAGCAGGACCAATCAGGTCAGCACCTGAATTTTTTCGAAATGCTCGATGCATAGTCTTCTTGAGACTCTCCCGTTGACCATGGTACCCTGCATGTAGCCTTAAGCAGCCTAGGGCCGCAGGAGGCTCCGACCCGCTGGCAGGGTACTGCTGTAGGCTAGTTCAGTACTAGCTTACTCTGATGCTTGATGTTGATACTTCTCCAATGGCAACCCTGATTGTAGTGATGCATTGTAGCATGGTGAAGGTCCACTTGAAGCACAGTTGAGCCCAACAAAAATCCCTGCCTAAAAGTAAAAATATGTCTGGGTGGGGTTGCAACGCCTGCATGCATGAGCCGCTTTGCGAGTCCAGTTCTTCCACAAAGCTCCCTTCCTAAGTTATTCTATCCGCTGCTATGTCACCTTATATGAAGCTCAAATCCTGCTTGCTGCACTGCACAAATATTCACGATTCTCTGCTGAGGGTGTTCACGTGTGCACAGCATCTTTACACGTGTTGTCCAGCCCATTTCCCCAAAAGATCCCATGCATGTGGACAACAGCCAAAGTGGCTGCCGAACAATGCCAAAGTGCTCTGGCAGGCGCGAATGTGTTGCCTTGTCAGATCAATTTGATGTTGATGTCTAGCCAAGAGAGATGCAATTATACTGAATCTCAACACAAGAGATTCTCGTCCTTTTTCTTCAGTGTGTGCAGCTTACGATCCTTGTTTTCAACTCAGCTTCTTCCACTTCAGCAATTACAGCAACAAAGGGTTGACATTGAGATACTACATACAAGCGAAATGAAGAATATCATGCCATAGGATCTCTGACCAGCTTGCGTGCCAACAATATGGCCGCGGTACAGAACACCATTTAATATGTAAACGTCCATGAATTTCACAGTCCACATTTATTTGAGCTTCTCGAGACACTTTGAAGCTCACGCCTTTGCTGCTGCAGAGCCCCTTCTTGGACAAGATCGAAATTTCCTTCAAGAATAGACATCTCCCAATAGTCGAAGGGAAAATTGAAGGTAACAGGAAACTATTCATGCTGGCGAACATAAAGAGGTCTTGGTTGCGTGGTGGGTGTTGGTGAAGCAATTTATGTCTGACTTGTTTGCTTGCTTTCATGCCACTGCAGTGGATGAACTTCTCCTTTTGTACAAGCAAGCAAAGGAGAACGTCGATACAAAGAAATTTGAAATTCTGGCAGTGTAAGCATGCCTTCTTTCTGAGCGTGACTTCACTGGCCAAATGCCTCTGAACAGTCAAGAAACAGTCAGGATTCTTGCAGCGACATCCCAAAGGGCATTGTGGACCGCTTTGATGAGAGGGCCAGCCACTCAGCAGATGTGGTGGTTGTGTACAACCCCGAGAGTCCCGATGTTTGTACTGTGGTGTTCTACGCGGACCCAAGTTTGCCGCATGCTCTGCTGCATGGAACCTTCTCCAAGAGGGTGGTCTTAGAGCTGACACGGAAACTAGGTGCCACTTTGATCCCTCTTGAATTGAAGAAGCTTCTGATTCACACCTCTCTTGTCCCTTGCAATTTGCGTTGTCTTCAATGGGTTGCATGGGTTCAGGAGAATACTTCGCGGAGCAGATTGAGACGGTGCATGATGCGCGAACTACGCTGAAACTAGGCCATATTCTCATCGGCAAGGAGGGGATGCTGGATTTCTGCACAGAGAGCTACTGCCCAAGGTTGAGAACACCAATAACGCAGGTGCTGAGCCCTTTAGATTTGTAGATCCAATCACGCAAAGATTGCCGTGTCTCATCCAGATGTGCCCTTGTATTGCAAACAGGGTCATTAATGTTTGAAGGAGCTGTTCTCAATGAGAACATAGCTGAACTGATCGACGAGATGGGCGCCTGGATCGGCAATCCGACCGTGAGGGTAATTATCACGCATATGCTCACAGTGAAGGTGTGATCATGTGTGCATTCCAAAAAGACATTCTAGGAGCGGTCCTTGAGCAAATGGTGCTATATTAGGTAGCGATTGGCATAAAGGTGGAGATACTAGGGAGTGTTGGGATGTGGCGGGAGCCAAGGTTGTACCTCCTTGCCATTGAAAAGACAAGAGATCAGATTATTGTGCATGAGCCCCTCAGCTTTGGGGCAGGAACGGCCTGCAATGCAGCGGGTGAGTCCAAGTGTAGCTTGTTACGTGCTTGTTCGGCTTGTTTCAAGCCATTGGGTATCATACTGATTGAGAAGACATTTCTGCCATCTGCAGGTCTGCAAGATTTCACTCCGTCCATTCAAGGCCACTTCCTTTTTGAAGGTACATCTGATGCCGATCGACCAGAACTGAATGGCAAGCGCTTGACAATCGACCTGTACCGATTCCGTGAGATGATGTATAACTACTATCAAATTCCGGAGGTTAGCCCCTCCTTGTCTCTTTGTGACTGTCCAGCAACACATGCTTGGACATGCAGCAGTGCTGCACCCTGACTTGCAAATTGTGATGCACAAACAGGTCTTAGCATATGTTGTAATTTTGATACCCATTGCCAGGCTTTCCAATCCAATAAATGATCAAATACATGTCTTAGGGTGGGGACCATGATGTTCGGAGGATGGCAGAGCATGCTGCCGCAGCGGAGAAAGTGACCAAGGTAGGCAGCCACCGAGGACATTGGACCAGCAATCCATTTCATGATTGGATCTTTAAAGGCACCGTGCTGCCACCATAACAGGCAATGCGTTTGCACTGGGTTTTGATGTTGTTGGGAGCGATGTCCCAGAGCACTCCTGACAATGTGCCAATTGATATTTGTTCGGAAATGGATCCATGACTTGTTCACTTGGTGCAGACCGTGGCTGAATGGGCAATTCTTAAGGGCTTCGAGCTTGCAGAGCGCCGCCACATCCCAAGTGGCCCTTCCGAGTCAGCAAAGAGGCGCCGCCTCGCATCTCATCTAGTCTTTGTCGGACGACAGAACTGATTAGTCTGTCTGATTGACAGTGGGTTGAAAGAGGATCCAGCAGAATGGGCAGAGTTCAAAAGTGAGTTAATGTGCATCCTTGGTCACGCCAGCTGGTAAATTGTCTGGAAGGGGTCAAAGGTTTGTGCGGGCAGAAAACAAAATCCGAGCGAGCAGCTTTAGGTCAAGGATTGTGATAATTAGAAGCTGCCACTTAGAGAGGTATGTAAATATCAAGGCAGAGCAATCTTTTCTGTTGATTGATCTAGTAAACGATTCAACCAGATGGACTTTCGAAATGATTGAGGGAGATAATCCCTGGTTTGAAACAGCACCGCATTATTACAACAATAACATTTGCTGCCAGCTTTTCTTGGCAAAGGTACACTGCAGTAACACTGCATGTGAATGTAATATTAACGCAGCGCTGCCAGCGCTGCTGCATTGGCATGCATCATTCACCCTCTGCCATAGCAAGGTCTGGATCCTGCCGTATACAGGCAGGCATACACCCGACGCACTCAGAATCTATTGATCATATCAGAATGGCTGTGTCCTGTACTGCGCAAGTATCTCCTGTTCAATCACATGGGTCTCGCCGGCAATGATGAGCGAGTGCAGCGGAGGTCCAAAGTCAACTCCTGCCAGCTCAGACATTGTTCCAGCCACAATCTGCTGAGTGTCCGAGCCTATCCGTGCCACGCCCACACACAGCGTGTCTGGCCCATAAGCCCCCTCCTTGCGATCCTCCTCAATTTCCAGCAGCTGCTCTATCGCTGTGTTCACTGTCATGTACCTCGCTGGCTCATACACCTGCAAAACGCACGTAGAAAATGCAAAGATACACCAGGCAGTGCAAGCACCAAGTATGTAGGGGGCAGCCTCGCACTTCATATGCATTACACAAATGTCGCACCCTGCTACAAGGTGCCACAGCACAAGATCTCCTGGGCTGATTAAAGTTTTGCTGGATGTGGACTGACATCTATAAGGGAGAATTTGGTTGACAGGCAAGCTAGATGTGGCCTGGGTTGGGGGATTAGAAGGCGGGAGTACCTTGCGGCCGCGCGCCAAGGACTCCAGGGATGGCTCCTTGACCTTGATGTCCAGCAAGCACAGCGTGTGGAGGCCGCGCTGCCTGTTTGCAGCTATCCTCGGATAGAAGCTGTCCGGCCGCCAGCTTTCGGTGAAAAATACTATGGAAACAGCCTGCACAACACAAACAGTGTGATTTAAAAGCAGTCCCTATGGCATTAGAGGTTGCATAGTCAAAGCAGATGTCAGCATCCCAAAGTGAGCAAGCAAGGCAGCTGCAGAAGCAGCTATGAAGGAACCCACCTCTCCATAGCGGTACAGCTGCAGACCGCAGGCACCGACAGCATTCATGATGGAGGCATTATGAATGACACTCACAGGGATTCCCAGCGCTTTCGCCCTCAGCTGAAGGTCTGTGTGCGTTGTTGCCCTGCAATGACCCATCAAATCTCATGAGTGTCATCTAGCTATGGAGAGGGCAGTGGTTTAGAATGCAGGTGCACCACGCGCAGACTCCTCACCCAAAGGGATCGCCAACGACTAGGAAGGCTACGTCTTCCTTGTCAGCGCCAGAGAGGATCGCATCCACCTGGCTTTCAACCATTTCGCGGTCTGCAACAATGACTTCCTTGCCATAGTACTTCTCCTGAAGAGAATGAATGCAACCCCTTAGCGTGTTTGCATGATACTACTGGTGTCGCGGTGGTGCAATCAAGTTGTCTTCAGCTACTGGCATCAGAAAACACCCACCAAATTCTCTTTCTGTACTAGGAGAATTGAGGTGTAAGCCTCCAAGTAGATGCGACTACACCCTCTCACCGCCTCGAGTCCCCTGCACACATGCAAATTATACTCTATAAGCGGAAAACAGAGAGATGTGCTCAGTGCATGGGCCAGTCCGGGCTTGCTGGCTCACCTGACAGTGATGTCCCTCTCGTCAGCCAATCCCAAACCAATGAAGTACAGCACCATACCCTCTTGATCAAGTCAATCAATTCAAGAAATTGATCTCCTTGATCGCGAGGGATGATGCAGGACGAGACAAGACCAGATCGTTCTGCGGCTCAATCTCAGATCATTTCAGAAAGTCTTCTAAGCTCACGCGAGCTGGATCCATTAAAAGATGCGCTATCCTCACAGGTGATACGAAGGGTTAATTCCACCGAGCAGCGCTGCATTGGAGTCCCGTTGCCGCAGCTGGCCATGCTTTGTCATCGCAAGTGGTGAACTCGTCCGCATAGGTGCATCCACGTGCGTCAGTAAGTGGGCTAGACATGACAGGCTTGTAACGACCTCCTCAGCAGCTCTAATGCATTCATTCTAGGCACGATAAGATAGTGATTAGGTGCCTTAGCCTTCGAGGGCACCATGGCACTCAAAAGTACGACCACATCAGACCAGCACTGCCTGGTACATCAAAGAGCTACTTTCAGGTCCAGACGGTGCTCGGTTTTTCACGAGATTAGATCATACAAGCAGCTTCATGTTCTACAAAAACGACAATTTCTTGCGCAGGTGCACGAGACATCTTGCTACTGAATTCCTGCATAGCAGATCACTTCTGTAAACAGTGCTAACCAGTCATGTGTGTCTTACTTTTTGGCACAGGCGTCTGTGGTGAGTCCAGAAATTCAGCAGGAGAGCCTTGCGGAGAGGATTGAAAGCACAAGTGGTGCCCTGCCTGCCCAGCCAAAAATCACTGGTGACACAGTGGTCATCACCGGAGGCAGCCAGGTCAACATCAAATCCCATTCAACAAACTGAAAGCTTGCTGAATTCTTGTGCATCTGTGAGGCGCCTGTTGGTGCTAGATATCCAAACATGATCCAACTCACTGGAGAGTACTTGCCATGCAGGGGGTTGGCCGAGCCACAGCGCTCCTCTTTGCAAAGAATGGCTACAACGTGGTGATTGCAGCTCGCAATCCAGAGAAGTTGAAAGCAGCCGAGGCAGTGCTCGCAGGGGCTGTCACGGGAGGCAGAGTCTGCTCAGCAGTTCCCACTGACATCACTGATGAGCAGTCGGTTGCAAGATTGGTGGATGATGTTACTGCGAGATATGAGTGTGTGAGCGTTCTCATCAATTGTGCGGGTGAGACTCTCATACTCTTCAGCAGCTTCTTATCTGGCATTTCAATTGAGGCTTAATGTGCACATGCGAGACGCTCTGTCATTGCAACATACTGGTTGGCAGGGGTGTGTTTAAGTGGGACATTGGAGAGCACTTCCATTTCAGACTATGTTGACCAGATGAATGTAAACTTCATCGGAGCGGTGACCATGACGAAGGGTAGGTCCCTGGGTCCCCGCTGAAGAAAGACTCCACAATTGCCATGAAAGAGCAGTGGCGAGATGTATGGCTGTACCATCGCCACCATCAATGAAAAGAATAGCGTGCGGGGCCGGTCGTGCTGAGATCCAATCATCTCATTTTGAGTGTATGCTCCTGGCAGGGTTCCAGCCAGCACTCATGGCAGCAGCGGAAAAAGGGAAGCCAGTGCTGGTGAATGTCAACTCGTTTGGGGGGCGAATCCCCCTTCGCAACATGGCCGCCTACACAGCATCCAAGTTTGCTCTTGCCGGCTTCACAGACGCCATCCGCCCTGAGTTTGCAGACCTGGGCATCCACGTAGCGCAAGTGCACCCAGGTATGCTGGAGCTTTGCAAACTTGCAAAGCTAAAAAAAGTAGGTTTACAACAGCCCGGAGCGAAATTGTCAGCGAGGCAGTTGGCTCTGCTCAAATGACTGTAGGTCACATCTCAAGTAGCTTTGCACCCAAGCACTTATAGCAGCTTGGAACCTTGGGCTCTGTGCTGCCCGCACGCAATGCCCGATCTTGAACGCATCCTGCAAGCAGCCTGGCGCACAAATAAGGGCAGATGGCATGACTTGCTGGCAGGGGTGATCAACTCAAACTTCATGGAGCGGGCGGGTTTCCGGGGGCCCAAGGGGGAGCAGGCGCGGGCAGTGATGGAGAAAATGCTGAAGGAGCCGCCGCCAGGCATTGTGCAGACACCCGAGGAGGTGGCCGCGCAGGTGTTCGCTGCAGTGCAGGGCCGCAAGGATGAAGTCATGGTGGGGCCGGCCTACAATGCCATCAATGCGCTGTACCGCTCTTTGGGCGTCAATCCGTTCTCTGTCGCGCCCCCATGAGATGTTTCTCGATAGATCTCGATTTCCGCCCAACATTGGAGTTGCTACTAGCCTAGTACCTCCCTGTACATCAGTGAAATGCATGAACACTTGTTTGCTGTAGATATTCTGAGATTAGTGCAGCTGCAAATCGCTCTGCTTTGATGCTGGCATCAGCATACCATTTTCTCTATTTTCTGCACATGTGGAATATGGTGTACATGTGCACTGTGTCCTGCACGTGGATGTGATTGGAGACAGAAGAACAAAATTCTGCATAGTGATGTATTTGCTTCGTCCGAGAAAGCTGTGATGTTCCTATGATGGTGAATGCTTGTGATGGTCACTCTCAAATCTCTTTCTTTCCAGCTGGATTACAGTGCTGCCAAAGCGTGCCAAACAGGAGCCACCCCCAGCAGACTTGCATGCTGTAAAGAGTCGCTACACTGTTGATCAGCAATCATCAGACCAAGGCACCGAGCCTACTTTGTGTGTGACTACTTTATTACACGATCCCAAGCATGCCCAAAGCATCCGCTCGCATAGCCTTTCTCAAGCTAGACCCAAGGCATGCACTGGGGCTCCTCTGTGGCATTATTGCATCTGCATGGCTTGTATCAGCGCCTCTGGAAGACTGCTGCCGGAAGAAAATCTCACAGGCTGCTGCAGGAGTGAGGCTGAGGTGGGGCATGGCCTGTTCAGGCCTCCTCCTCCTCCTCGGCCTCCTCCTCCTCCTCAACTGTGGCCTCGATTCGGCCGGCGATGAGGTCCAGATCCCTCTGTCCGTTGGGGGTGATGGTGCGGCCCTTGGTCGCGGCGCTGGTCGTCACCACATCGATGTCCCCAAGCTGCACCAGCACACACATGTACTGTCAAACACTCTGCAGACACGGCCTTGTAGGAATTGTTCCCCCAGGATGGCAATTGGTTTATAGCATTGCTAGAGAGTTCAAGACACCCATCTGCAACTTGTACACATCATGAAGGTGACATCAGACAGAATGCAAGACACTGAAGGCTGCAGAGGTCTAAGAACGTCCCCCAAGCATTATTGCGTTGTGCGGCTGATACATTGACTTAGCTGCCGTGCACAAGAAGCATTCCAGACACAGTGCCGTATGCTGTGTGGGCTGACCTGCTTGAGGATGTGGCGGATGAGGCCTCTGCTGGCACGGGCAAAGTGCTCGGGCACAGTTCCTTTCCTCTTGTTGCGGCCGCCGTATTGCCTGCTGAACGCGCCCACTCCAATGTTCTGCTTCATGTACACCTTCCTCGCCAGCGATGCTGCATTCATGCAAACATGGAGAGATCAGGGCATGCAACTTCTTGAGACCCGTGGTAGGCAGGGTACCAGGTGCTTATGTAAGCAGGAAAGCGGTCAGTGAACTTTGAAGACTGATTAACGTTGACCTCATCATTGAGTCACGTTGTGACTCACAGGCCGTTTTATTGACATCATTCCGCTGATCGAGTCTCACAAATAGCCGTATCATGCTAGGCATTAGTGCCATACATCCATAGAGCATTCTGCTGAGACTTGTCTCCAGGCTGCCCGTTGACTCCCAGCCTGCTGCATCTCAAATTAATTGAGTGACTAGTCCGCTTGACTCTCACCTGCCCTGATGTAGTACCAGTCTGGGTCATAAGGCGCCAGCTCCTTGAAGGGAGCAGTCTTCACGATGTCCACCCAGGCAGGCAGCTGGATCTGCAAATCGAGCAAAGATGCCGATTAAATTCACTTTCCAAATATAGAGGCAATACCCTTGTGGCAAAAGTGCGAACCAGAGTGACCGAGAACTCTCAATAAGAGTCTGCTCCGCCCTCTGATTGCCTTTGGTCCTTTATGGACAATCCGTATGGCTGCCATCGGTCTTTCAGCTGCCATATGCATTCTCATCAATACTGCAATTTCTTATCGGTCGCATTTGCAAACTCCATCATGCCACACCTGCGCACCTTGTCATTTGTCTTCAGATGGTCTGCATATGCCTTGATGAACTCCTCTGCAGGCACATCTCGCACACCACGAGGTGCAGGTACCATGCTGGGACCTTGTGTCTGGCCTACTTTTAAACCAGAAGCTGCAAGATCCTGGGTATGATCGATGTCAAAACAGCCGCCAGCACGCAGTTGTAAAGAGGGAACATCGCGGACTGAAATTTATATTATCGGGGGTTAAGATCAGAGATTACACAGGGTTCCATCGTCCAAAATTAGAATCGGCGATGTAGGAGCTCTGCCGAATCTATGTTGCAGTGCTGACCTTTAGTGTGTACCGGAGAAAGTGCGTGATGTTTTGACCAATAGAGAATCGCTCCAAGGTTTTGAAAAGAAATCTGCCGCAATGGCCCCGAAGGTGAGCCAAGACACGCTGGTGCAAGATTTCTTGGGGATATCTGTCCCACATTTACTTGAACACTTCATGAATGAGTTTGTGGTGCAGAGGAATGCGGCGAAGGTAGAGACCGCAGAAGAAAAAGCTGCTCGGCTGGAAAAAGAGGCACTAGCTGCTCAAGAGGCAGCAAAGCTGAGACAGGAGGCTGCCCGTGCAAGGATTCTGGAAAGGCATCTCAGAGAGCAGGTGGGCCAGTGGTATATCACAATGGACCACCAATGCACGACGATCGGACATTCTTGTGATTGCTACGTCAGGGCACAATTTCCAAGAAATTCTGCTGTGACGCAGGAAATGGTGCGCATGAACGCCCCAAAGGTGCACAATGAATGGCGGCAAAAGATGCGTGCAGCAAAATTGGAAGAGCTCAAGGCCGAGGTCAAGGTCATGATGGAGAATCATGAGCACGCCATCAATTGCCGCGACTCCATGGTACAGGTGCAGACAGCAGATGTTCCAATCACACAATGGAGTTGGAATGCCCATAATGATTGGGGGTAGATTGTGTTTTCTTTGGCCCTTCAGCGGTCTGTAATGTGGCAAGGATCTATTCTGTCAGGAAGCTTCCCCATGATGCTTGCCTGATGCTTGTACAGTGCCATACACGGTTATCATGAATTGGGGATGATGCGGAGACTGCTTGCAATTGCAGGGATTGGACCAGGAGCTGGAGGAAGCTGAGGAGCACCACGTGCGCGCACACCAGGGGCATGCCCGCTGCATGGACACCCTCATGCAGCTGCATACCGCCCGAATGGCGTTCATCCAGCAGCAGTTTGACACAAACGTCAAGGTGGACCCTGAGAGCTGATCTCACACTGATCCGCCTGACACACTTTTCAAGTTCAAGTCTTTAACATATTGCAAGAGTGGCCATGCTGAAGGGTGTGTCCCTTGTTGCCTGCAGGCCTTACAGGCTGACTGTGGCAAGCAGAATCAGGAGATTCGCGCTGCGTTCTCAGCAGCCAAAACTGAGCTGGGCTCCAGGACAGCGGCAGCGCAGCAGCACTTTGACACTGTGCAAGCCGATGCGCAGCTGACCTTCGAGACCGCCAAAGCTGAGGCTCGGAACGGGGAGAGCGAAGAATACAACGTCCTCAAGCTCTCACTAGAAGCGCAGGTGCGTGATCTTGTGCACAACATGCCCTCGGGAAAATCTCCAGTCTGACTGTATCAACTGGACAGACATGCAAAGTAAATTCACGACCGTGTCCTGTTGATGGCAACATCAATGGAAAGCATGCACCTGCCATGCAGGTGTCAGAGATCAGGAAACTGCTGCAAGAGGCGCAGGCAGCCTATCAGAAGAACACGAGCGCCACAGCACAGGCATACAAAGAGCTCAGTAAGTCCGATGCGGAGACATCTGCCACCATTGCAACCAAGGCAGAGGTCCAAAGGGATCTGGCAGATGCACTGTCCCACTGGCGCTCCAGGGCTTTGGCTACTGCTCGCGAATGGAGCGCCCGAAATTCCGGCATTGCAGCGGAGCGCGCAAGTGAGCATCCTGCATCACATTGTCCAACTCAAACTCAAAATACCTGGGTCTGGGATGAGTGGCATGACAGCAGGGTAGGCTTGCTCGTCACGACAGCAGGGTGATGTAGCATGTGGTGTCAGCAGGTCAGTCAGGTTTTGGTCTGGATGCAGGGCTTCAGAGGCATCACAGCGTGCTGAGAGCTTCTTTGCGCAGCTTCCGTGCGGAGCAGAGGGGCCGTTTGCTACTGCTGTGCAAGCAGAGGTAAGGCTGTCAGACTGCTGCATTGTTTGCAACCACTGTGGTCCGACCGTCTCTGTGGCAAGGAAGTGGATAGGTTCAGGGACAACACACCAAGCACTGCCGTGTGTATGCAGTGCCCTGACAGAGGCGAAATTGTGTGAGAGGCTGGCGGTCGGCAGTCGCATTCTGCAGCTGATTGCACTGTGCAGAAAATATGAGGGAGGAAAGAGTCGTGCTGGGGTTCCCAATAGCTTCCTTGACAACCCACAGATTCAGGGGCTCCGAGACACCAATCCAATGTTGGTAGCACATCATAAGTCCCAGCAGACGTGTCAAAGCAGCATGGATGCCAAGCGAGCTCATGCAGTCAAGAAGATGCCAGAAAGAGAGAGTCTGGCAGGAAGCAAGGAGAACAGCTTGATTGAAGACGAAGATCACAGCTGGAAGATTAGAGCAGGGAGAGAGGCTGGTGAGGGCGAGAGGCTACTGGCTGATCTACTGGGAATTGATCCAGGGCCCCTTGGGGTGGCGAGCGGGAACACGGCAGATACAATCAATGCACGGACACTTACAGAGTAGAGAATCAGCTTTTGTGCCAAGAAGCAGTGGAAAAGTTCATGTACTATATAGTTGCCACCGGTGAAGGCCTACTTCCGATGAGCAGCATATGCATGATGCAACAATCATAATAGGGAGGCCATGCACCTCATCACATGGCAGAACTGCGGTGTGCTGCATTCCTAGATATGTCAAGAGGGTCAACATATCTTGCATATATCATGCAAGTGTCCGTATCCCTGTGTTGGTTTTCACGAGTCTTTTACACACGGCGAGCAGGAAACGCTTACTCCATGAAATGTATTGCTGGAAGTATGACACACATGAGAATGGCATCAATTGGAATAAAACAAATATGCTTGACCAGACCGCGCAAACAAAAATCTTGCTAACTGAAGAGCCCTGACAGTGCAGCGAAGTTCCAAAACTTATACTTGTTCCAGGAATTCTGTTGCTATGTTCTCTGCAGTTCAATGCACTCTCATTTCTGCCCGAGCTCCACGCATAGTTCCTGCTTCACGGTAGCACCTTTTTGCACAGTACCAGGAGTAGAGCAAAATAGTGACACTCAGGCTTAAGCATCAACAGATGCAGGAAGGCCAGCCTTGCCCCCTTTGGAGCCACGAGTGCGGCTGACACCCAGGTTGGGCAGGCCCTTATTGAGGCCCTCCAGCAGCACACAGGCCTTGCACACATCCTGGCTGCTGATGTACCCACAGCGCTGGCATTTGCCAGCAACAGGATGGCTCTGCCCCCCCTTTGCATCCAGCCGGAACTCCTCGGCTGACCTAATGAGATCGCAGATCGCTCGCGGCCGCACCAACTGCATGTTCAAGCACAAGATCAGACTTTGCTTTCACAGCAAATCCATTTGACACCACCTCAATCCCAACCAAGGCAACAGAAAAAGTAGCCCGGCAGCCTGTCAGGAATATTTTAACTCTCAACACGAAGGGTTGTTACAAGATAGGACCCGCAGTGGTCTTCAGCAAGGTCAGTGCCACTGCATCCCAAGTGCCAGAAAGAAAAGCCATGTACTTGCAGTGAGCAGGGGAGGAGTGGCCACCCGTGCCTACCTCCAGGTCCTTCACAAACTCGCGAGCAGCACCCCGGGCGGCGAAGGGAGCATAAATGCACTCGGTGGAGAAGTAATCCAGCTTCTTGAAGAAGGCATACATCACAATCTCCTTCTCGTAGGTGTACTTGAAGGGCTTCACGCGCGGCTGCGCCGAGTCCTCGCCGGTTATGATGTTCGCGCAGCGCCCCAGCCGCGGCACATCCCCCCTCAGTATGTTCAGCAACACCGTCTCCGCAATGTCATCCGCATTGTGACCTGCATGCCAGCAAATTGTTCAAACCTACCTTGTCACATGGTCTCCAGGCTCACCCAAGATCACTCACAGCGCTGTGCGCATGTCAAGTAAGGCTCAATCATGCAACAATTCAGCACAGGTCTTTGGCCGCACAGCAGAAAGTGCGCACCTGTGGCCATTTTGTCTGCCTTCATGAGGGCGGCCCCCCTGTCCAGAGCCTGGCGGCGGAAAACACCGCAAAAGGTGCAATTGTTCTTGTGGCCAATGGCGCGCACAATTTCGTCCATGGTCCACCCATATAGCTCCTTGTAGCTCAGGATCTTGAGCGGGATGCCATACTGCTGCTCGTTGCGCTTCACTGTCTCCAGGGAGTCGTCCCGATAGCCGGTGATGCCTTCGTCAATTGAGAGTAGGAACAGGTCCAGGCCATAGCTGTATCGCTCGTTCAGCGTGGTGAGGATGTGGGCCAGCACGGTTGAGTCCTTGCCGCCTGCTCAGATTCAAGACAGCTGGTCAGGGGGCTGGCAAGGTGTGGGCCAGGAGAGCATTAGTATTGCTGTAAGGACTCAGGAGAGATGTGCTATCCACCTGATGCTGCCACCGCAACGCGCTCCCCAGGAGAAAAGAGCTTGTGCTTTATGATGGTCTGGTGAACCTCATCTTCCAGGGCTGCATAGAAGCAAGTCTTGCACAGCTGCGGGTAATCAGCGCACATTCAGATACATTGGCATTATACGGACGCTGCCTTCGGTAAAGGCAAGACTTCAACGATCATGTGATACTTCAGCAGTACTAGCCTTCACGCAGACGGCTGTAGGATCAAGGAATGAGGAGCTAACCTGCTCCGATGTCTTAGGCCGCTTCAAAGCCGCTTTTTCTTTCCCACAAGTGCAGCAGATCTTCACCATTCTCGACCAGGGAGTCCGCAGACACAGGCAGGGGTGAACATCTCATGTCATCAAGTGCATGAGCTGCAAGGGCCAAACGTATTGGATCATATATTGCAAACAAACTTTATGCAATAGCGGTACTGTACATTTTATTTGGACAAGGTTGAGAAGCACAGGAAACTTGAGGAGTGACTGACGTCACCTGCCACGGTGGACTCCAAGAGTTTGAAATCTGACTGAACAGCCCGGATTCACTGTGCCGAATATACAGTAGAGAGAACCCACACAAAGTCAGCAAAGCATTTTTGTTGTGTACAATACTTGAGGCAGAAGATACTCGTCATGATAGTGTCTCCAAGGCCCTGACATTGCAGTGTTCCAGAATGATTGCAACGTCTTTTGATCAAGTGGTGGATGCATTCTCTGCGAAGATGGCCGAATTGAAGGCCTTGACACTCCTGCGTTTGGAAGGTACTGCATCCCCTTTCACAATATCACTTCACACGCTCCCACACAACAGTTGTCCTGTGCTGCCAGCACACTTCACTGATATGCAGCGACTTGCAGGATCTTCCGTGGACCTGTTCACAGACGAGCTATCAAATCTAGAGGTAGGCGATCATTTACACAATGCTTACGACACGGTGCATGTGAGCCCTTCTCTCGTGTCACCTCAGCGCAGCCTACAAGAAAGGTGAACAGTCCTGGTACTCTAGGACAAGGTTCGGGGACTGGAGGACAGTCTTCGAAGCATCCAGATTTATTGTGCACAAGAGCGGGCTGCACTCCCCAAGGTAAGGGCTGCCATGTTTACCTCTTCATCCCTTCCCTTTCCTCTCCCATCCTTCTGTTCTGAAAAGTTCCCATTTCAAAATGCAAGTGCCAATCTATATGGCCTCAATGCCGAGACTGCTCAGGTGGAAGCTGTGGTGGAGGCCTGTTCTGCGCAGCATGGGCAGCTCCAATTCATGGCACAGCGCCTGCCAGCGTTCTTGCCCGGCAGTACTACTGTCCAGGTCCCCACAAGCTCATGTCCAGCCGATGGAGCCAGCTGTGCAGACGAAGCAGACAAGGCCTCCGCTGGCAATGAGAACGTGCCCAGCAACCTGCCAGCCAGGCCAAGCAGTGCAGACAACATGGGGAACAAGAAGAAGAGGGCACCTGCTCCAAGGAGGTGCACTTCACCCATAATAACAACCCAGAGATGCTTCACAAGGGCAGGATGGAAGTGCACCTGTAACCCATGAACATTGCGAAGCATTAGTGTGGGGATGGCTATCACCACAATATCATGATGTTCTCGGTTGTTGTCGCAGGTATGTCATGAATGACGAGCTGTCATCGCTTTCTGCATACATGACAGCGCGGCTCAGCCTCGAGAAGGTGCTGCACTAGAAAACTTCTTGGGGATGGACACTGCAAACTCATAATGCTGCTTTTACAGGCCCTTGGTGCAGCTCAATGTGCCTCACAGTGCTCACACATTTCTGCGGGATCCAGGTGAATGCAGCGGTGGATGATGCAGCCACAATGGCAGAGGGCGTGGCGCACATGCTGGCCACAGCCAGAGCAAGGGGCAAGATGGCGACGCACGATCGCAAGCGCGCACAGATGCTCATGGTCAATGTTGCGGTATTCTCATTTCCTCTGAGGTGGACACAGCATCTCAACAGTAGCACCCATCATCGCAAGCCTGATGGCAATTATCCCTCTGGTGATGTTGAGGTGACGCTGCAGGGCAAGGAAGGAGTCAAGGGTCACCACTGGTTCATGGAGCAGGACATGAAGAGCGCAAACATCCTGCGGCCAGACAAGACCGGCAAGTCGCTGCTGACAGTGCTGCGGCATCTGGGCCGCCTGCACGAGGTGACCACAACTCTTGCTGTCTTTTAATGTCCAATCAAAATTTTCTGCCTTCCTGACTTCTGTCACAAAAGCTTCGTGAATTGGTAGAATATGGGTCTGACTGTGTGGAACCGGGGGTGCAGCTGCGGCTCAGTGTGGAGGGATCGATGCAGCCAGTATACACTGTGCAGTAGACAGCCTGGCTGCGGCTTGTACACTGAATGCGCACTTCTCTGAGAGTACGTTTGATATAATATAGGAAAGACAGCTGTTGCAGTTCTGTTAATGTGAAGATGAGTATTGTCAAGGCAAGCAGGGGCAAGGCATAAGATTCATTCCCCAAAGAACTCAAAGTCTGTTCGGCACTCAACATGAAGACCGAGCAGTTACAGAGTAGAGTGAGCATGTCAAGTTGAAGCTGACTCTGTAATTTCGGGCAGAACATTGCAATTGGGTTGAGATTGATCTCAAGCTTCTGTGCACAATCTTCTCTTACATTTATGAAGGGACCATCACAGCAACTCAACTTGGACATGTGTTTGAGAATGATTGTCATCAAGCAACATCAGGACCAGGGTTACAATATGCCTGCTCACCCACGCAGGCCTGCATGCCTACAAAGCAGTCTCAAATATGTCAAAGAATGTCCTGCGTGCCCATACATTCTGGCATAAAGGATTCTGTGTGTCAATTATGATGTCAACACTTTCAGCTAAGCACCATTACCGAGCTCGAGCACTGAGCACTTCTGAGACCCGAAGTCTTGAGAAAGTGGCAAGAACAGTGATACGGTGAGCCATGTGACTCCTCAAGGATCCACTTTCAGAATCCTCAAAGTGAGCATGCAGACAGCGGAACATATTTGAAGACCAGACATCCACACAGAACCAATTAGCAAGATATGGTATTCACAGAATATAACCCAACAGCACACCATGCATGCACTGTGAAGCACACTGCCAACACTACCAACACATTTAGTATTCTTTGCAGTGATGCAAAGTATAATAAATGCCAAGTGAGCATTCCGATTGTCATGACGCTGAGCACCTTGAGAGCTTCAATGCCATGCGGACCCGAGGAGATACACTTTGCTGGGGGTAAAAGTCCACCCGCCCTCATTGGACACCTCGGCTTAATGCCATGTGCAATGAAGTAATGCTTGCTTGCTGAATATCAGTGTCCTAAAGGCATGCCATTCCTGCATGCCGCCCAAGAGACGCAACATGCCTCACTCGAAGAAGTAGGTGCAGTGGTGGTACCAGCCCTTGCGCAGCAGAGTGAGGCCGCGGCTGTCCACGTCACAGCTCATAGCCACAACTTCCACTTCGCGCAGAGCCTCTGCGTCTAATTTCTTGCTCAGGCCGCGCAGCAGCGCCTCCGCAGCCAGCTTGGCGTTTGCAGCCGCCACGTCGCTCGCCGTGGCGGCGTTCCTCACAATCACACTGCGCCGCTTGGTGTGGTCCGTCACACCTGCGCATACATACAGAAATCTTGACCTGGTGAAGACAGCCCTGTCACCCTGTTGCAATCGGATTCTGCCCTGCCCTGCCATACAATTGCAGATACACAATGCCCTTGCTCACCATCAAAAAAATGGCCCTTGCTTAGTGTGCAGTTGAGAAATGACGGGATGAATACATAGTAGTCACCTATTGTGTCATATACATACTTCCATTTTCATATTCGATAATCAGGATGTTGCCGAATATTTGATCTGCTGGACCCTTTGAGTACTTCCCAATGGCGAAAGGCTGCATGGGATGTGAGGGCGCGCACTGTGGCTGCCGTCGCTGACGGAGATGGAGCGCCTGGCGCGGGGGGCCTCGATGGGGATTCGGTGGGGGTCCGGGGGGATGTCCTTTGGGTGGTCCCTGTCGCGGCCCTGCTCCTCCGCCGCCTTCAGCCGCTGCAGCGCCACCTCGTCCACCGCCACCTCCAGCTGTGATCGGCAAAACACCTCACTTCAGCCTCCAGGAATTTTCACTGATTCAGGTATGCCAGCACTTTGAGCCAGTTTGACAGCGCTTTGAGCAAGCAACCCTGGTGGGTGCAGTCTGGCTTTGGTGTACAGGGCTGCCTTCACAGAGCGGTCTGCTGCATTTTGGACATAGAACGCTGTTGGGCTTATCTTGAACTACAAGAAGTATTGAACGTTATTTCCAAATCAAACTATTGGCCTTATATATGTTGTACCAAGACCCAAGACCAGCCCGAGCCAAGAGCATTGTGCCACCAAGGATCGGCAAATATATGGTACAAAAGGCGTACTGTGTCTCCTAGGGTGTGGACGACGGTGCGGTCGGACATGTTGAGGAAGGAGGACGTGGCCGCATTGCCTCCGGCGGCTGTGCGGGCGCCGCCCCTCACGGAGCCGTCGGGAGAGCCGCTGCCGCGGTTGCTGGGGTGGTTGCTCTCATCCTCCTCCATCCCCGCGCCACAGTAGCACGTCAGAACACTCTTCAACAGGCTGCCCTCCTGCGCAGGCATGGAGCAATTGTTAGCAAACAGAAACCACACTCACAGAGCAGTAAATATTGTTTCAGGGGCTTTTGTGCTGTTACCAACGGCACTCGCTGCCAAGGACAATCTGATTACTTTGTATCTGCAGATGCATTGAGCCTGCAGATTGATATCCAGCAATTGAGGAGATTCAGGCGTGCCTTGATGCCGCTCCTGTCTATCCTGTCGCTGCGCGTGGCATCGGCCTTGGCGCCTCTGTCCACCTTTTCAGCGGGGGGTTTGGGGGGCCCCAGGCTCTGCACAGGCTGCCAGCTCGGCGGGTAGTGCAAAGAGGCAGTTGGGGATAGCCAGGGCCAGACTGAGGCTGTCCTGTCCAGCCACCGGTCAATGGCTCTGTCGACTGCCGCGCACTCTGTGTGGCCCAGCACGATGACCAGCCGCGCCCCCGTGTCCTCCATGGTCTGAGCGATCTGCGCTGCAATGCCGGGCGTGGCGATGTTTCCCTGCCCCCTGTAATGTAACAATCTCCTCCTCAATAGATGTTTGGTATTGTGGACACTGCTGGGGAAAGAGCTTGCTTGATAGCCTATCTGAAAGGCCCTTGCTGCTGTGCAGATCTGGCTGCAACGCCTACCAATGCATGCCATTGGCAAAGCAGGCATGCCATGCTCAAAGAGATCTGGGCAGAGGCAGACCTGAGCAACGTGATGTCATTGGCAGCACTTCCAAAGGCCTCAGGTAGCGGCACATCACAGTCGCTGCATGCAAGCACAATTGCTTGGGGCTCTGCTCCAGTGCTGTCGCTGCTGCTGCACGTGGTGAGATCCCCCAGAGACGCGCTCTCCCCCTGCATGTTGATGCCACTGCTGGGTTGATTGCCAGTGGCCACAGGATCAGACATCCAAGAGGCGAGGGTGCCAGGGCCGAGCGAAATCTATGTGTGCCAGGGTTTTCTTCAGAAACGGAGAATGCATGCCTTTCGAGCTTGCTCCCACTTCAAGAGCAAGTCCTCCAGTGTCACTTTGGCCTTTGCGCGAATATTCCGTCGGTTGGCATTTTTCCTCGCGGCCCTGGCCACTTCCTCAAGCGACAGCTGCGACTTTGACCCTTTCAGAGAACTTTTGACGGCCTTCTGTTGTTGTGGTTTGCCCAACGGATTTGCATCCAGCTGCAATCACAAACGATTCATTTGTCTGACAACACTTGCTAGTCTTGCGAAGTTGGGCATCGAGCCTAGACGGTCGCAAAGTGGTGACGAGAAGACATACCACGTTTGCAGAATCGTCCCGCATGAGCAACTGATGAAGAATACTGTTGGATTAGATGATCAATGAGCTGATAAGTAAATGGCTCTTAGTGACTGTTCGCGACATAAGCATTCACAGTCGCGCTCTTCTCTAGCAGCAAAGAGGCATGATCAGAGGTCCTAAATGTGACGACCTCAGCTCTAAGATATAGAATTCACACAGAATGAAATATTTTTCCTGTTTGTACCTGCAAAGCAGTCGAAGAGCCCTCTTTGGCCCAAGAGGGCCCCGTGAGGGCCACGTGATGGTTACGTGATTTCCTTGCTTCAATGCAAATGTCGATTTTCTAGGTGTTTTTTTGCATCACGAAGCTGATACATCACGTCAATATGGGGAGAGTGAACTGCATGTACCCACCATCGATTTCTCGATGACCAAAACCCCTCTTTGGAATCTACCGATTGGATTATGATGGAATCTCAAACTTAGATAGATGCTGACTTCAAATCTCGATATGTATAAGTAAAATATCAGCCTAGCAAAATTCTACATATGACCAGTGATCTGCCTCTAAGCACGCCAGCCCTAGCGTATGACCAAGAATCCAGTGCGGCATCTGAGGAAGCACCGGCAAAGGATCAAGTGAGATCTCCATTCTATGCACTCAGATTATCAGCATATCCTACAGGCGTCCGTCTTCGTTGCTGACATGTGAATTTATAAATGACTACTTGGACATGGGGCATGCAGAAGTCTCCCGATCTCGTTTCAGCTGCAGCCCTTTTGCACGATCTTGGTCAAGAATTCACAATCTTGAGAGGCGATGTCGAGAGATTGACCACGTCACTAAGCGATTCAGTTCATGAGGCAACACAGCTGACCCTGACCCACACTCGGCTCTATGACTCAGCGGTGGAGGTCTTACAGGTGCTGCAGGATCACCTTAGCTAAACACTTCAATCCTCAGCAAGAAGTACATGTGTGGCAACACTCCTGCCATACTGACTTCTTTCGAGCCCCTGCTCCTTTCGGCAAACATGCCACTTGGCAGTTCTTGTTACGATTTGCACCTGTGCTCTCCAGGAAGCGACAGAGGAAGCGGTGGCCGTAGCAAAGCAGCTGGCGCAGCAATGCATAGCGCTCGGCAAGGAGTTGAGGGGCACAGATTTGCTGGCTGAGAGGGTGAAGCGGCTGAGGGCTTCTGTGGAGCAAGTGGAGGCACAGGTCAACAGGCTGCTCTGACATGCATGCGCTTGGTGCTGGTTTTATCAGACCACGCCACTTTGTCCCTGCTTTGCAATGCAAAGTTTGTATGTTACCTCATGTGATGGAGGCAGCGCCTAGCAGTCATCTGGACCTAGACTGCAGAATGTACGTGTGCACGCGCTTTGCTAAATTTTCCAATGCTCGAGCCCACGAGCAGTGATAGATGCACTGTATTTGTCAGCCACTGATTGGCGCATGGTTGCAACGATTTCAATTGATGACAATATATACATGAGCTTAAAAAGATAGTGTCCAAAAGAGTTTCAAACCATTTGTATATCAGAATTCCTCTCCAAATATATGCCAGAGGTCGGATTCAGATTAGAGAACGAGGTACGCAGATATTGGCTTCAGATTGTAATTAACTCCAGCTTCATTGACGCTTCCAATGTTGGTCACGATATCTTCTTCTGTATTTGTGATGCTCCGCTGAAATCCTGCTGCTTGATTTTCCGAAAAGCTCTCTGAATCATCCATCTGTACATTTGCATGACCAGTACCTGCGCGAGATCACACAAGACAGTGTCAATAATACTCTGTGCTATGCAGCATCTCCTCCAAAACAAGATTATCTCTGGAGCAAATTGCTAAATATTCACCAATTTGCGCCCAGTGCTAAACCACAGAGTAAATTTAGTGGGCATACCGCAATGGGCGCTATGAGGACTGTGATCCACAGGGGCAGGCAGGGTGCGGAGGTGCCTGCCAGCACAGCTGGGATGCACTTGGCCACCATGTCAGGGAATTGCACCATGTAACGGCCCTCGTCCATGCCTCGCAACATCAGCTCAGCCACCTACACGCACCATACGCATCTGTTTAGGCAGCGCAAGTGATCAAAAGCAATTTGCCCACAGTAACATACGTTGCCTCTGTTCTGATACACGGCAATGCTAGTGCTCATTTAGAAAAGAGGGATGCAGACATCAAGGCAGAGCGAGCGCCAGAGATGAGAGGAAGGGCTAGCAAGCTTACTAATATACTGTAATTTTATGATGTGTGCAGAAGGTGGAAGGATGGACAAAGCAGACCTGGCGGGCAGGGTAGACATTGACGGAGGGCAGCTCGTCAATGAGGGCTCTGGTGCGCGCGTTCATGGCATCCAGCATGCTGCTCTGCGTCATGCCCGGAAAGGCAATGCTCAGCGACACTCCTGAGTTCGCTAGCTGCAGTGCAACCACAACTGTTCATTCCTCCAAGATCTACGGGCCAGCATGCATTCATGCCTCGTTGTGTTTGTGATCCACTGCATGCATGTTAGCCTTGCTGCCAGCGCGTTGTAAGTAGCGGTACCAAAGATGATCATCTTGCAGAAGCAGTCCAGTTATTCTGCGCACAAATTCAGCCGCACCTCAAACTGCAGCGCGTCAGCAAAGCCCCGCAGTGCAAATTTGGTGGCGCTGTATGCTGACTGCCCCGGCAGCGCCACAAAGCCCGACAGGGAGGACACTATCAAAATCTGACCCCGGCGCCTGCACAGCCAGGAATCCCATCAGTGCTGGCAATGGGTGCACAATTGATTCTTTGCTTTGCAGTTTTGCTCCTGTGCTCTTAGCTGCAGCAGGGGGAAGGATCGGTACCTCTTCAGCATTGAAACAGTCCCTGCTTTGAGTGTGTAGACAACGCCCAGGTAATTTACCCTATTCAGGTGCTCATACTCCTCGACTGACATCTCCTCAAACAGTGCTGCGCCATGCACCAGAGATTTTCATCCAGAATATCAGTCACGTGGCATCTGCATGGAGTATGGGTATGATGCGAAAGGAAATTCACAGGTACCGCTCGATGGTACTCCAGCATTGGCGATTACAACATCTATTGGGCCCAGCTGGTCCTCCGCCTGTGAGATAGCCCTTTGCACCTGAGAAAGCAAAGACCTGTCGGCATCGTGTAATGGAAGAAAATTGTATCAAAAGGGCATATTGGGGAAGATCTGATGGAGCACCTCTTTCCAATCACCAACGTCCACTGAACAGCTGAACAGTCTTTTCAAATCTGTACAATCTTTGAGTAGATTTTTGGCTGCAGCCAGCTTTGATTCCGATCTGGATGCGATCGTGACCTTGGCTTTCCTTTCCAGGCAAAGAGTTGCGAGTGCCAGACCGATGCCATCACTGCCACCTGTGATGAAAACATGCTGGTCTTCCCAGGAAACGTCACGATGCCGCCTCTGCCACCAAAACATGGGAAATTTAATTACCGGGGACCTTTAAGAAATGCTGAACTGCTTTCTGTTGAAACATGCGAAATGTCAACCTTGGACCGGCACCCTGCACATGGGATGACGTCATCTCGGAGAAACTTACGAGACGAGATGAGGAGAAGTCTTCCCCGATGAGCACATTCCGAAGTATTATAGGCTGTTTGCGGCAAGGATGACATCAAAACATTTATTTGAATCGATATGGTGCTGTCATCTAGTCTGCAAGCTTCCTGGTTCTTGAAACAACACTGTCGGGCTTCAGTCGCGACAAGCATGAGCACGTTTGCGCGCCCCACATCTGTGGAAAAAATACCTGCCGGTACGGGTGATCTCATTGTCCACCTGGTGAAGGAGTCCTTGTATCCATTAGTGAAGCTTCTGACAAGCCCTTGGTGTCTTGCGCAGTTTCGCTGCATGTCTCAAAACCAACGTGGTGGCTAGAGAGCAGGTTTCACTTCAGTTTCGCAGACTATTACAACCCGCAGGTGATTCGTCCGCTTTTAAACAGACACTCATTCAAATTCTAACCGCTTATGTCAAGTTCGAGCTGTCTGAATCTTGGTCTTGACCCTGCAGAACAACAATTTTGGAGCTTTGAGAGTCTTGAACGACGACCTCGTGAAAGGAAATGCTGGCTTCGGGTACGTCCTTGGCAATTCTGTCTGTGCTTTTACACCGAGAACCATGAGCTTGCCTAGTTGTCAGTGTGCTGAGCCATCCTCCATCTCATGCGCATGAGCGAGTGCTGCCCATTCTCCAGAAATCCTTATATGAAGTTTTGAGTGTAATAGCCTCCAGCTGATCATGTGCCTTGGGAGCTGCAGGACACACGGCCACAGGGACGCTGAGATTTTCTCCTACGTTGTCGATGGGGAGCTGACACATGCGGACTCCATGGGGAACAAGGAGTCACTGGGCCGGGGCGCTGTTCAGTACCTGAGCGCGGGCAGCGGCATGCGGCACTCGGAGATGAACGACGGCGATGAGACCACGCGCTTCCTGCAGATCTGGATCACGTGAGCTGCCCAATCCCCTCAGTTGCAGTTGAACTCCGGTTCAAGCCCCTTGCACTGTCCCATCCTGGGCCAAAGGTGTCATTGTTTGCTGGCAAGGCAATCTCATCCCCTGCAAGAATTTTTCTTGTGGCGATTTCCAGGAAGATGTTATCTTGGATACTTCCAATCTAAATGTTAGCTCCTGGGTACAGTCCAGACCAGCGAGGACACGAGCCACAGTATGGGTCGAGAGAGTACAAGCCTGAAGATAGGCATAATCAGCTCCTGCACCTGCTGGGCGGCACTGGCACCGCACCAACCTGGAGCAATGTCAACAGCTGTGGGCAGCCCATCACCCTTCATCAGGTAGGCTCAATGCCCATCCCTCAACAACCCTATGTCATGTCATGCTCTACTGCCTTTCAGCTCTTGCACTGTTTCGGTGTTCACTTTTCCCCTATGGCAATATGCCAATGCTCTGCCTGCCCTGCCTGTGAGAGTGGATAGCCTTTGACAGATTGCCATGCTCTGTGTGCAGGACGTCAATGTGTATGTCTCAGAGAATGATGGAAGTGTGGCGCACAACATTGTGCTTGGGGAGGGGAGGCAGGCGTATTTGGTGGCAATTGAGGGCAGCTTGGATGTGAATGGCACAACTCTGCAGAAGCGGGACGCAGCTGAGCTGGTGTCTGGCTCCCAAGAAGCGCCCCTCACCTTGACATCTGGCAGCCAAGGATGCCATTTTATGCTCATTGAAATGGCAGCGAGTTGAACAGAATTTCAATTGTGGAGACACTGAGTGTACTATGGAAGCACTGTCACGATCTCCTGACATGAGTATGTACACACAGGAGCTTGTAAGCTTATCTAGGGGTAGATGAATGGAGCACATCAAGTTTTTTTCGCGACTCCATTAAGCACCGACTGTTGTGTGTGACTTGTGATAAGTAGCACAGAGCATTCTAAGAGGGTGATAGACTATCACTGATAGTTGCAGTGCAGGCCATAATATCAGGTTCTCTTTGAGTATTTGAAATATAATTTTGTATAGACATTATAATTATGACATGTCTTAGCTTCATACAATCACCAACTTTGCAGGTTTCATGAGCCGACTCACTTTAATCATAAGCGCGTGTATGTATCTTTGAGCTGCTACTAATTTTTACACTTGTTTGCCCAAAGGTAACATAGAGTTTCACGTGCCAGAAATGGCAATCCATTCAAAAATCTCTCAAAGATTGCCATGCGCCTATACATTGGGTTCTTGAAGTACACAAAAAGGGGTGCGATGTGCCTGTGACCCATATTCACCAGAAGACAAGGTACACACAAAAATCTAGCCATGGCCCAGATCGAAGACAACGAGAACTGATTTTCGTGTGGCACGACTGTTATTATCGTATACATTTCACTACTTCAGATGGGCTTGGGCAAGGACAAGCAGCTGCGATACGGTGTGCTGGAAGAACACGCTTCCAAAGAGCAAAATTGGCAATCAGGAGGCAAACTTTGTGAGGTCCAGAATGGCGCCACCAGAGCCGGGGGGTGAGGCAAAGATGACATTCTTCCAGCCTACAACAGGCTCCCAGCCACCCTTGCCATCCTCCTTGAAGTCCTTCTGTGACAGCTTCTTCGCCTCGAGCTTCGCCATGTAGTACTTCTGCTTCACTTCGGCAATGAAGCTCTCCACCTTCCCCTGCACCAGCACAACCTGTCACGACCTGTTCTGGTGCACAGCATTCTGATCCCCACAAAGACTCCTGTGCAATTTAATTGTTTCCTGTAGGCCTGCACAATTGGCGCTGCCCATCGTGCATTGCCCCAGTGTTCTGGAGAAGATCAGCAGTCATGCGCACTGTCATTGCAGATCTTACATCCACAATGCATATGTCGGGAGATGAGCACGCATGCACACGCTTCCCCAATTCAGTAGCTAGGCTCCGTAAGGGAATTCTCTGTGCAAGAAGAAAATCACCTCTGGCACAAGGGAGACGGTGCAGCCGCCCCAGCCGGCACCGGTCAGCCGCGAGCCGAGCGCGCCTGCATTGATGCTTGCCTCCACCAGATGATTCAGCTCCTCGCAGCTGCAGTCATACTCGTACCTACACACGCGCAGCCGCACCCAGGTTGTTGGCCAAAGCACAACACCACCTTTGACAAGAGCTCCATGCAATGATGAGTTTCCAACACTGGATAACTCCTCACAGAATGTGAAGCTCTGAACTGACAGGCATCGAAAGAAGGCGACAATCAAGTAGCGGTCTCTTCAATATTTACATGCTATAACGCGGCGCATTAATTGTGACAACTGCACGTACCGGCAGGAAGCGTGGCTCTGTTTCATGAGGGTGGCCAACTTGTCCAATTTCTTGGGCTCATCGTCCTGCTTGGCTTCGCTGTCGCAGATTGCTTTGAAATCCACCACGCGCGCTGCCTCTGAGTACACATGCAGCGCGCGATCGCGCAGATTGAAGCCTGAGCACCAAGGCCAAAGTTCACTACCATGCATGCGATAGATGCCTGAGTCTCAATGCTGAGGATTATTTGCGTGGAGCTGCCAGGCTAGGCATGCTGTGTGACACTTTGGCTCTCTGTGCAGAAAACAAGACGACTGCTGATGTTTGTTGTTTTCAACTAGGAAAGTGTACACTGCTTCAGTGACTAACAGTGTTCTTGGTGCCAGCATATGCACCCTATATGCCATTCACAGGCGAAGGACTGGCCGCTTTGGCATCTACCAAATTGCATGAATGCGAATGCAGGGAGGCGAGAGCGCACCGGTTTCTTTGCAGCCGATGCCTACAGACTCCAGTTGATTGTTGTTGCCCTCGAACATCTTTTCCAGCTCGACACCCAGCAGCTGCTCCAGCTCCGCTTGCGTGTACTTCTCCTTGTCCAAGTACTTCTTCACCACCTCGGCCTCCGCGCCCGTCACGCTGCCCTTTGGGCCGGCCAGCATTTTGCTCTGGGCCGCCCTCACATCGTCCTCCACCTTTTGCAGTGTCTGCAGCTTCACAGCCTCCGCCTGCCACACCAAGTATCTTGACATTATATTTTGAATTCCAGCGGCTCTCCTGTGCAATTCCTTTTGAAGCACACACCAACATCTCTGAGACAAAGGCGCATTTCTGAGAGGAGTATTCAGACTCTAGAAGAAGCTCAATGCACTGACCAGGGCCAACATGTCATTTGTCATCATACATCCTTGTCACGAAGGTAGCATCAGGCCATGTGAATGTCGGAGGAATGAACAGGAGCGCACAGGTTCGAGGCCGAGCTTGACTCCGAGGACGGCTGCTGCTAGGCGGCACTCCACGACGCGCATGTTGTACTGCCGGGCCGCCCCCTCCGCTTTCTTTGACACCGCCAGTGAATTGGCGATCACAAAACTGGCCCCCTTTGGCAATGGCGCGTCCTCTGTGCGGATCTGCAAGAAAAGCAGCAACCATCAGTCATTTGCACTACATGCATGTGATCCCGTGTTTGGCCAGGCTTCCTGCGCAGCATCTGGCTCTGGGGACGTATATTATGCGTTTATGAAGGGTCTTTGCTGCGCTCTGACAGGGACACACACCATCTCAAGGTATGTGTATCGATGCGCAGGATATTCATCAGTGCACACTGCAATTGGTATGATTAAAAGCAGAAGGGCTCACCGGGTTGAAGTGCACCAGCTTGGCCTTGCCCAGCTCGCCCATGATGGAGATGGCCTGGTCCATGCCGCCAGACTCTGTGCCCACAAACTTCTCACACTCCGCCGTGAACTGCGCCACCTCCTGCAATTTGCAAAGCTGCATTGTGAGATCGGAGATCACCCAGCATTCACCACAACACTGTAATGTGATCAGAATGGCATAGATGCAGTACACACGGCCTCACCGATTGCACAAGATGCCCAGTGTGTGACATGGCCAGGAATGCAAGCGCAGAGGCACAGACAAGCGCTGAGGAACTCGAAAGGCCCGAGCCTGCGTCAGGGCACAGGGAGGGGTGCTCTGTCAATCAATCAGGAAGTCTGGATAGGGCAGCTCACCGCCTGGAGCACGGTCTCGCCAAGCAGGCCAAGTATGGCCAGCGCTGTAGCGCACACAAGGGCAGCAGAGCTGGACAGCCCGGAGCCTACACAGCAGGCAGGCTGGCACTTGGATCTGTAATCATGTAAAAACCTTATGGGCGTGCATGGAAGCACTTTAGGGGCAGAATGCGAATGAGTGCTCACCTTGCGGAACTTGGCCCTCAATCAGGAGATTGAGGCCCGTGCTTGAATTCCTCTGCAGATGCTTGCAGACGCCAATGTACGCGGCCTTCACGTAGTCGACCCATGTGTGGAGAGCAACCCCAATGCGCTGCACACAAAACGGCCAATTCACCTCCCTCACATCCTGCCAATTCAGGAAAGATAACACCAGGCATTACAACAATTATACGGTCCTTGACTATTTGGAAAAAGTGGAGCACCTCAGCGTCAATGGTAAACTCCTCCTCTGTCAAGCCTGGTGCCAGAGTGGCAACGTGCACATTCAGGTCGCTTGCTCTGCCGATGGCTACTATCGTGTCCTGTAATACAAAAGAAAAATAAAGAACAGGTCGTATCCTCTTCAACGAAAATTTCGGATCCTGGAAGCTCGCTCGGGTTTTTTTATTTTCCATCAAGAGGGAATGGGATCTTTAAAATCCGACTGGCGCACCTGTCTGATGGCCATGGGCAACACTGAATAGCCCTCGTAATCTATGTGTTCCCCAACGATGTTCACGCGACCTGGGAGGAAAATATGGCGGTGCATCAGCAACCATGGTAAAAACTAGGCGGCAGCCAACAGGGTGCAAAAAAATCAGCATATGGTGAAGCTCACCAGGAGACCTGCCGATGAATTCTGGAGCCACTCCGTACTTGTTCTTGAAGTCATTGATCAGGTTGGCGTACCGTTCTGTGGCACCTTCCACTGTTTATCATCACACAAACGATCTGTCAGGAATGGCGAAGGGCAAGGTTGTATTTTGCTGGGTTGGATTGACAAGTGGTACGTATTGCTTCAATTCAGCACCTGAAGTTCCATAGAGGGAGTCCAGAACGCTCTCCAATTCCTGTACACGATAGACTTCCACCGTGCGGTCCGCCATATTGAACAGCCGGGCTATTTACGTCCAAATCCTTCAGAAAAGAGCGACAAAGCTTCGGACGGCATTAATGGGGCCGTTTTGAGGCCAGATCGGTGGCTCGAATTCTTCTCTATGCAGTACGAGGTTTGGCCGGCCAGCCTGGACAGCGAGCTCGAGGGCCAGCTGGCCCCTGAATTAGAACACCAGAGGGTGAAAACCCTCCAGTGGTGCCCACCGCCGGCGCAGGTGCTTGTGCAAGCCAGAACAGCATTCAACCTTTGCCTGCTGCGTTGAATAACAGCGTATAGAAACCATGGCTGACGCACCTCAGGACGATCACCACGGACACGATGTGCACTTTGAGAGTGCTGATGCTGGAGCCTCTCTGACATACCCCCAGCAGGCTGGAACCATTCGCAAGAACGGCTTCCTTGTGATCAAGGGCCGCCCCTGCAAGGTCAGGCGATTCGGTTCTGACCTGGATCTCGATGGGAACACTACTTTTGCTGTCACTTTTCGGCAGCCAGAGTCCTTGACATAGTGTGTGATGCAACAGTATTGATTGCTTCGCTTGCATTCAAACATTTCTTATGGAAATACGCCAATAGAGAGTTCACATCTGCCTGCTTGTGATCAGCTGTGGACACGCATCTGACGAATCTAAGTATGGTGTGGAACAGGTGGCTGATGTGTCCACTTCAAAGACCGGCAAGCACGGTCACGCCAAGTGCCATTTCGTGGCCATTGACATCTTCACTGGCAAGAAATATGAGGATCTGACTCCCTCTTCCCACAATTGTGATGTGCGCCCTTTTTACCTCTCCTTTGCCTCCATCCCTGCCTGTGGTGGAAGTGGTTGGAATGCGTTCTGAATTCATTTGACTTCACAAAGAGCAATCACACCGGTTTTCTTAGCTTGCGTGTCTCGCTAGAGACACGAGTGATCCCAGGTGTTCTCTGAGAGAGAGCATGTTGTCTTTGGTGTGCAGGTGCCTCACGTCAGTCGCCAGGAATTCACTCTCCTGGATGTCAACGAGGATGACTTCGTACGTCTCTTGCTCATATTGACTAAATGTTGCAAAAAGGTGCTAGGAGAGAGAGAAGACAAGTTGCGCTTGCTTGGAAAGGGGGCCAATGTCTTGTGTGGCACAGGTGTCCCTGATGGACGAGAGCGGCAACACCAAGGATGACCTGTCCCTGCCAAAGGGTACTGACGATGCCGAGAAGCTGGCCCAGCAGATCAAGGAGGACTTTGACGCCGGCAAGGAGCTGGTCGTCACTGTGCTGAAGGTGTGCATCTCCTCATGGGTGGCACTCCCTGCTTGACTCTCTGTCGCTTGCATGGGCTCGTGTGTATCAGCCTGCACATTATCTACAGCGTTATTTGATTGCGTGCTAAGACCAATATTTTCGCTGCAGTCTATGGGTGAGGAGATGATCAGCGCAGCCAAGGCCGCTGCCGGCTCCTAAGCCACTGGAATGGGACTTTCTCTGCTTGCCGGCCGGCTAGCATGCCTCTTGACAACTGTATCTCGGAAGTTGGCAACTGTTGGATGCTAATCCGCGCGTCTTCTCTGGGGCTGTGAGCTGATCTGCTGAGCATAAGCAGACAATTGAATATGCTTCTTGGAATAAGCACTGCCTCGCTTGCGGCTGCTCGTTTCATTTCAATAGACATGCCAAATGGCAGGAAGCTTTGCATCTGGGCATCTGCGCAGGGGACGCGTCTGATATTGATCTGGCAGCTTGCACCTGAGTGTTTTGCTCTGTGCTGTTCAGAACAACGCTAGCCTTGCCCGCAATGTGGACTCCATAATGCTTGTTGCTCCCTCTTTGTCTAGTATCTAGATGTCCCATCAGTAGTGGTGAGGCTCGTGGGAAGTTGCGTCCAGTCCAGAGAATCTCCCAGACTAGAGCTGGGTTGTCCTGGCTCGACACAGACATGCCTAATTGCAGGGCTAAGAATTTGGTGCTTGACTGGGCCCGAGGGGAATTGCAAGTTGTTGAAAGGCTTAGGGATGCGAAAAAAAGCAGTGCCAAGCTGGAGCAAGACTCTGTGGTACACACTTTGTCAGCCTTCACCGAATTTGGTGTTGACGATTTGTTGGTCAGGGATCTCAAGTTCCTTCAAAGACTTTCTGTGTATGCACCCACCGTTGTGCAGCGTTGTAATGCACATTTCACCTTACATCAGCCACTATAGGCAGCAGAATGCATTGAGATGCCGCGGAGTGCAGGCTGACGCCAGCCGGTGAAACTGCAAAAATGCATGCAATGCCACTGGTGTACCCAGAAGAGTCGGCTCAGCCAACTCGCCGGCGGCTGCATTATGCATATATGCTCACCATCAATGCGCTGCGTGCTCCTTCTACACAACTACGATAAAGAAGTTTGCCCAGAGGTTGCATTTTCAAGACAGCAGCAAAAAAGCTTGCGCAGAAGCTGGTTCCCCTCGAGCATGAGAGTCCTTATCCATTATCGGTTAGTAGTACCCACGCAACTGCGCTTTTCCGAGTTGGTGCCGCCTTGGAGGTTCATTGTGAAAGTCTTTACCCCGTAGTAACCTATTTGAGCATTGCTTAAGTTGTAGGTATTATCAAAGATAGTGCCTTCACCAAGGAGGACTGAAGATGAATACTTTGAAAACAACACACGATGTATCAAGTGCACGCGTCCCGATACATGTCTGCCATGCGGGATCCCGACGACTTGCCAGCTCAAATCGGGTGAATTAAATCACGTCACACTTGCTATGTCCGCGCATGGCAAAATCAATAGCTTTGAAAAAATTGAAGGAGCATCCTCAAGTCATGGAACACAGAGGAAGTGAGGAAGAGCGACGGATCAGAGATAGCGTCTGAACGTTTGCTTCTTGATATACAGGCAATGCGTCCAGCACTTTGCAGCAAGCTCCATCCATGCAAGGACCGGACAGGTTCCTGCAGGATTTTTGCACAGGCTTCAGAGATAGAAGTGGTGAATCCTGCATCTGAGGAAGCCAGCACGTCGTTGGCACCCAGTGCACAAGCACAGGCTGGCGAGTCAGTCACAGTGGAGGAGGAAGTGCTGCCAAACTCCCACATCCGACTGACTGTCACAGTGCCAGTGGCTTTTGTCCGCAAGGCATACCTGCGCGCAATGAAGAAATTACGCGTCGAAACAGATGTCCCAGGATTCAGGAAGGGCAAGAAGGTATGGTTCATGCACCTTTGCATTTCATGCGGGTGCTCATGTGGGAGTATTTGTGGCCCAGAAGCAGCGCCCATCCAGCATGCATCTTTGATGGTGCAGGTACCTGATCGTGTAGTCATCAATGCTGCTGGGGGCCCGGAGGCAGCCAACGGCGCCTGCATGGAAATCATTCTCAACGATGTCTTGCCAGTGGTGCGGCTCCTGCAACTGGCAAAGCCGTTTGATGTCTTTTAGAGTGCTCGGCGTGGTACCAATTGTCCAGGTCTTTTCATATGTATGCTGTGAAAAGTATCTCAGCGATCCCAGTCAAATGCAGGCCCTCCAGAGGTACAAGGACACGGCCATAGCCGAGTCGGAGCGCATAGAGGAGCAGTTTGATGAGCTGCACAAGGTCTTCAGCCTGGACAGCAGCTTCACCTTCCATGTCGGCCTGGACATCCAGCCCACGCACTCCTGGAAGGCCTCCTACAAAGACATCAAGGTACGGTACATGCTGCACCACCTGCTGGCCTGCACCCGGCGCAGAAACAGAAAGGCTGCAATCACGGCTCACCATGCCGGCCCCTCGATCTGAGCAGCATGGATCTGCTGCTGTGCAGCTAATGGCCTAAGGCCATGTCCCGGCCGGCCGGCCTGCCGCAACAGTTAACTCACAAACTCAACGCACATTCAAGGCCATGTTACAGTACCGTAGTGACCGGTCTAAATTCCGCACTTCCAAAAATCGAGATATCAAACAGGTTCCCGCAGGGCTTTCCCACACGATCAAAAGGACTATTTTTGGATCCCGCAATGCCGACATCGGCCCATCCTACTAGTGTTTTGCAAAATTTTTGGCCCGACATAGTTAATTAACGATCCCACAGGCACTTTCCCGCACGACAAAAAGATATTATTTTTGATTCCCGCAAGCTTGAAAACAATTGTTTTGTGCGAGGTTTAGACCGGTCACTACGGTAACACCCTTTGTTGTTGAGCGCATGAGGTCAGAACACCGGGGGGACTGTCACAGGTGGAGGTGGGTACGCTGGGGGGTGCGGAGGATGATGCGGCCACAGCGGAGGCGAAGATCCTGCAGCTGCGCAAGAACAAGGGCACCATGAAGCTGGTGGCGGGGCGGCCGCTGCAGCATGGTGACGTGGCGATAGTGGACTTCAGCACGGTGCGCACTGACACGGGCGAGGCCATCACGGGCTCGCAGCGCCGCGGCATGCAGCTCGACACCGGCCTCGGCGACCGCGCCATCGGCCTTGTCGGTGCGCCGCCGCGCCCCGCTTCCTTTACTTCTAATTTTGAGTTTAGATCTGAATTGGAGCATTGAGGACTGCTCCGGAGCAGGCACCTCCTGTGGCAATGTATGGTGGCATGCTGCTGCAATGTTGACACGATGAAAATCTGCCTTGAGTTTTGGTCTATTAATGGTTAAAGCCGCGGCAAGCCTGCCCCTGTGCCTCTTCTCAGGGGCATGAAAATGGATACCTTGCTGTGGAGATTATTTGTATCTACAGGATTTGGCTTGAATGTTTGATGATCGGCACGAATGATTGATAATCTGCAGGAGTTGTGGAGGGAATGGTGGGCATGGTCGTGGGTGAAGAGCGCGCCATCACAACTTCGGTGGGGGACACCTGGTGGGAGCCGGACAGCCTGCGCGGAGTGGAGGTCAGGGCCGACATCAAGCTCAATGAGCTCTTTGAGTGGGAGCTGCCTGAGGTGCGCCCCCTGCCTGCCTGCATGTCCTCACACGACAGAGACACTGTGCGCCACACTCTGGAAACAATATGCTGGCCAACACGTTGGGGAGTCACCGCGATAAGAAAAAGGGTCACCTGATGCTAGCGTGGACGTGTTGTCCATTTGAGGAGCGAACCGGGCAAGTGCTTACATGGTCAAGGGCATCAGTGCCATATCTATTTGTCTTCTATTGTCAGATTCCGTCCCGGCACATGAAACGTCACGGGATGTCCTTTTTCATGGAGCAAGCGAGCTGACATCACGCTGTGCGCGGCAGCTGACGGAGGAGACATGCGCATGTGCCTCCGCAGCTGACGTACAGCCATGTGATTGCCCATTTCCTCAGAGCAGATCCCTGCGCACAGCAAGCACTCAGAAATGTGCCGTGTCCCTATTGTCAGCTGAGAAGACATGCGCGTGTGCCACTGCAGCTGACGGATGATCTGGTGGAGGCGTCCTTCCCGGGGGTGGGCAGCGTGGAGTCGCTGCGATCCGCGCTGGCCGACAGCACCGCGGCGCAGCGCGAGGAGGACCAGAAGGAGGCGGTGCACGAGGCGCTGATCCGCGCGGTGGCCGACTGCGTGGACGCCGACATCCCCGACTCCGCCATCCGCCAGCTGGCCGAGAACGAGTACCAGGCCAAGTTGCACGAGATCCAGCTCAAGGCAAGCCCTGCAGCAGCCCCGCTTTGCAATCTATGAAGGACAGACTTCACAATTCAATGATCCCCCCACGCAGGCATGTTTAGCGCAAGCAATTGTCTGAAGGTTCTCAGGACTGGAGTTGGTGCCTGGGTGCTGTAAGTGCATGTGGTGTGCGGCTAGTTCCCTGGGGCTTAGGCCAGGAATGAAGTTCTCGATAAATTATTCTGAAGGGAGTTTTTGTGTTCTGTTGCGCAGGAGAATCTCTCGTTTGAGCAGGTCAACCAGCTGGCCACTCCAGAGATGCTGGCAAATTACATTGATTCCAGGTGATCTCCCTGCCAAAAATGCAGAGTGGCCCTTGCTTGTCCTTCCCTCTTCCTGTGACTTCAGCAGTCGGAAGTGAGCAATCGGAAGTGGATTAAGCGGAAACCATGTGATGAGAATTGCTGGTGTGGGCCAGGCGGGAGAAGCTGCTGATACTGCAGAGGGCGACGCTGGGCATTGCAGACATCTTTGAGCAGGAGGGCATGCAGCTGGCGGAGCAGGATATCAGGAAGGAGATGGAAGACGCTGCACATGACTTCAAGCAGGAAGACCAGGATTTTGATGAGTCACGGCTGCGTGAACAGGTGGAGGAAGTGTTGAAGGTCAGTAGCTAGATTTTTCTTTACTCTGCTTTGAAGAATTCTGGTGATTGTTTTGGCCCTTATACATTTTTACATCTGCAGCAAATGTGCTGTCGTATGTTGTGGAGTGCACTGGCATTTTGTAGAAGACAGCGTTTTTCAGACGAGGGAGGATCTCTTAGGCCAGCATATATTTACAAGTATTACACTGCACCCATGACACTCTCGTGCCGAATGCATGCAGGCACAGAAGGTGCTGGAGTGGTTGGAAGAGAACACGACGGTGGTCATCAAGTAGAGCCATGAAGACTTATTTGACAGGCTTTCATTGAGTTGCAAGAAGTGCTGAAACTTACGTGAGACATATCACCTCTTGCCTCACTTTGGAGGTTCTCTTCTAGAGCTACTAGACCAAAATAGGATTGTGAGGAATGTCATATTGTTGTAATAACTCTGTACGTATACGTATCTGAACCTTGAGTGATGCGCCTACATGCCCCAGCAAGCCTCTTATCTGGGCAATAAGTGCAAGACCTACCGTTCTACTTCAGGCCGCTGATCAACATCTATTGATGATCTGATGAATTCAGCATGCTCGCTCTCCCACGGTTGTGCAACTGGATCACATCAGAAAATCTTGAACACATCTCTGGACTACCATAACTTAACTTCTATCTGTGCTTCAACCAGTCGCTCAACTCATGTCAGTACTGCTATCACAGGATCCACTGTACACTGTTGACTTTTGTTCTCGAACACAGCTGCTGCTGAGCCCAATGCGACCATTCCTGCTCTATGATCCTGCTTTAGAAATGACTGCAGCAAGACCCTTAGCAATGCTGGCCTTGCCGTCCGGTGAAACGGGATCTGTTCCCAAGTAGAGATCAAAGAATGCCCTTGTGAAGCCTGGGGCGTGGACTTGACCCACCTGCTCATGCCACCAGAGATGTAACCTCCCACACACCGCGCATGAGAGTCAAGCAATGAAGTAATGTTTGCATTAATGACTTCTGCAGTGTCTCAGCATGCCAAGAAAAAGAGTGTTCACCTCCTTGTTGCCTATCCTGAGGGCCAGGCTGCCGTTCTTTGTGTTGGTAAAGCTCATCTCCAAGCCCTTGTAAAATTGTGCACCCTTGAAGAGCGCCTCAAACTCGTCGAGAGCAGCCGTGTCCCCAGTCTGAATTAACAACAAATCTTGCTTTGCAACCCTTAAACCCATAATTTATATTGCCACTCCACAACAAGGGCCTTGTAAGAGGCCTTTTCTTCCAACAGAGTGTAAAACGAGACCACAAACATACCTGTTTGAGGCGGGGTTCCAAGCTTTCACGCAGCCCCTTTGAGAAGCGTGACTGATTCACCATGCCACTGGTGACCACAATCCTGACGGTCTTCTCGATGTTGTTGGCTGTCTTCAAGCCTGTCATGCCAAAATGTCGGACCGGTTACACTGCACCTCTTTCATGCAATGCTGAAGTTGCACATGCCCTCCGACAGTGCAGTGTGGTAAAAGCCGCAAATACCATATATGACAATGTTCCACAGAGCTGCATTGCTGAAGTTGCCTTCAGAGAATTATTTTAAACAATTATCCAGGCCAGATGTGTCACTCACGCTCTGCAAGGACCTGGTTGTGCTCCAGACTCACAGGAGGGAGACAGTCAAAATCACGGCCCAACTCTTGTTTGGCTGCTCTTGAATCAATGTAAAATCCCATGGCGTACACTGCAGAATGATACAAACGAGGGTATTAGCATTCTTCTTGATGGGAGCAGGAGGACAACATAGGTGCAAGGCCAATCTCAATTTGTCTGCCAGACAAGCAGCGTGAGGATACCTACCATCAATGTTCTTGAGGCCTGCCAATTTCTTAGCGCGCGCCCTGCGGCATCAGCAGTTGGTAGAGTAAAGTATACTGTTCGGAAATGATGGAATGCTGTGACAGGGGGCAGTAAGAAACGCAGATACAGCATCTTACCCTGTCCCAATCAAAGCTGGACAGTCTTTCTGTGAGATATGACAGAAGGTCTCCGGGAATTCTATGCCAATCTTCCTCTCCATCCTGGGCACCAGTCCAATGCCAGGCGAGGAGATCGACGCAAATGGAGCGACACCTCTATTGCGCTCATTGATGCCGCGCAGAAGATTCTCTCCTACATTGTTGAGAAATCTAGATGCACGATTATCGCTTTCTGCACGAGAAACAACCTCGACGCCATCACTTTTACTCAGAGCAAAGTCGCCGCGGGTGGAGAACATTTTGATATCGCCCTGCTTGGTCTGTGCCCCAAAACAGCAGAATCGATTGAAATCAATAATCTCCAGTTGTGATGCTCTTCCCTTTCCTTTCCAATGGGAGAATGTCGATGCATGTCCTCTGCTGACGACAGCTTCCCAATAGCACAGCTTTTGGAGGAAGCTGCAGTGCGGATGCCTGCTGATGCCGAGCTGTCTAGCTGTTCACTTTCCATAATGTCAATTCTGATGCGATCCTGAATCTTGGATGTGAAGGTTGTGCTACTTGACACCTGGTATCAACGATTCAAAGTTCTGACGAATCATGGGACAGGCACCTTCCAGTAATCAGTTTCTGACTGACAGTGGCCCCTCACAGCGTAAGACCCAGCAGTCAGCAGCAGCGCAAGCTACGCAGCCTGGGAAACTCCAAAATTCCATGCCTTTCACTGCCCCATCCAGCGGTCAGTATAACCGCGGCGGTCTGGCTCACGTTCAGGGTGCTCCTGATGCATTGCAGTCAGCGGGAGTGCAAGGGGAGCAGATGCCACTGGTTAGTTATGAGCATGTCATGTCCATCGTAATTTCTTAAACATTGATTATTTTTGTACACAACAGTTTGCACAGCTCCATTGCACTGAAGCTGTTGCTCTTGTGCGCAGGGGTACTGGTTATTCAAGGCAGCTTGGGACCAGACCCATGGCACAGCAAGAGTTGACCTCATGCGCCCAAGGTATCGTGTGGATCAGCATGACTTCAAAAGGACAAAACCCCTGCATCTCATGCATGGCTGCGCAAGTCTGGCTTACTTATATTCATGGAGAGTAGGAGGTGTATCCATAGCCTTGAAAATCCGGATGTCGTCCTACTGCAATATGATCACGATGACTGCAGGTTTCCGGAGCTGCAGCCTGGTGGCAACCTGTTTCATGCGAGGCCGGCAAGGAGGAAGCGGGCTACACGGTACGGCCATCCCTTCTGTTGAGATTCTTCCGAGTGCATGTCCTCAATCAAACAATCTAGAGGGTGACATCTGTGACGATTGACATGCGCAGTGTGCCAGCGCGCAATCAGTTTGTGAGCGGCGATTCAAGCACAGATTATCTGGATTCTCAGGGCGGCTATGGCTTCTTCGGGCGTCCAACAGGTGCAGGGATGCTCAATATTTGCTCACTCCTGGTGACTTACCGTATACTCATTTGGACCTACAGACCAGCAATGGAGACAGGCGTTGCTGCTCTGTGGTTGGCATTGTTTTGAGGGGGGCGTTTGTCTCCAGGTGCAAGAATTAAGATTATGAGGTCCATTCAGATCGGCAGGCCACAAAATGCTGCCGGGGTCAGCCCCAGTCAGACCCTTTTGCCGCAGGGGACGACTCCTCCTTCATCCACCTTGCCTGCTACAGGGCTGCCCAAAGCTGCCACACGGGACACTGAGGCATCCAGCAGCACTGATGGTATACCTCAACCTTGCACTGCATCTAATCTTGCAGAAGAGCCGAAGTACATTGCATTCTCTCAGATGCTTGCTTCTCAACCACTGATCTGCCGCCTCCAACAGAAGGAGTGTTCTTAGGGACTGGTAACATCATTCAGAGAGCAAAAATTGAAATGTGTTTCTCAGCAGTTCCTGCTGTTCACGGAAGTTGTGGCTTCACAGGTGCCGCACAGAGCGATGCAGAGCAAATTCAGTCTGCCCTTAAGTCAGTTCAGGCCAAGCTTGGGCGTTCTCTGAGGGCACCAGAACGGCCCCTATTGGATCTTGGCGTGGGCCTCTCCTACGAGCTGGACACATCGGACGCCAGCCTCTTAGTAAGCCCTTAACTGTGCTTCCCCTGCATAGGAGGACTAAGTGTTTGCAGTGCAGAAGCTTCTACAAATTGGTCCTGAATCCCTTGGTACTGGACAGGATTGCATGACATGGCATCCTTGTGCACCTGCAGGTCCGACTGAAGGTCAAGGACTGGTTCTCGCTGAGGGTGCTGCCCAATCAAGTGCTGAAGGTGAACAAGCGCTGGCAGCTGGGCAACAGCCCCGTGGCCCTGCGCGTTAACTACGAGTGCCCGCTAGACAACCTTGCCAACCCCTTCCAAGCACCCTCCAGGCTCATGGTCAGGTGGGTCTCTCAGATGTTCATCTGAATGCTAACCTCAACTTGTCTGCATGTAGCTACTGAAACAAGCATCTAGCTACTGATTAAATCTTTCAATGGGTGCATGCAACACAGAAGAGCTGACTAGAATCTGCATTTCCCTCAGGATGGAGAACTGCGTTGGGAGGAGTGTCCATCTGACACCTTCAGGCATTGATTTTGACGAGCACGTCTTCCGGCTGGGCGAAGGCACTGTGATGAGGGCGGCAGGCTCTGTGCTGTTCCCCCGGCAGCTCCCAGTCGAAGAGGGCGAGAAGCTTGTGAACTTCCGAGTGCAAAGATTTGGCTTGAAGGCTCTGTGGTGAGAGGGCGGTGGAAGCATACGACTTTATGGGACAATCAACTTGCGGAAAGAAACGCTGTGTGCACAAAGTCGGATGAGTTTTGAGTTGAAATCATCATGCAGCAAATTTTGAAAGAGGGAACCTTATTTGATAGCTATATGTAGTCTTGCTTGTCACCAGAGCCTACCACTTGATAGATCTGTCTGTTGGTGACAGAGTGATTCAATTGCAGACCCACACCGTTATAATTTTGCCCATTGAGCCTGCCATATCTGCACAGGATGGTGCAGTGATGTAACGTTTGCACTGAAAGGATTCAGCACAGTGGCTCGTAGAATAGGTTGCTTGGCCAAATTCATCCAGTATGTCAGGTTTATTGCTGTCTTGGAAGTCTTCAACACAGGTGTCACCGGCTGGAATGCAAATCAGCCTGGTTCACGCCTCGAGCTGTGCAGACCCCATGAGATCTCTCTGTAGCAGCTTGTGGAAATGGAACATGGGCTGCTCCAAACCAGGAGCATACCTGTGCGCATGTCACAGGTTCTCACATCTGTACCCTGTTTGGTACACAACAGGACTGCAAGTAGCATGTTCAATCCTACGCACACAATTCACAGCAAGGTGATGTGTCATTTAAGAGCCATGAGATTATGGTGTACAGCACCTGCCAGTATCATAAGCGGGAGAGTGCAAACCCCTTTGCACAGCCTCACAGAGAGCAATATCTTCCTGTTGCACCTGACAGCAACACCCAGAGCTCTCGATCTCGATCTGCTCCGCATGACACTCTATCACCCCAAATGGCAAGGAAGGCATGCCTTGATGTCAACGTGCGCATGCTGACACCAAGGAATCCAAGGTGGGCCACACCTGATCACTGTCTGCAAGGCTCGAATCAATCAGCGATGAGTCATGAACAAGGCTCTGCTCGAGCCAGTACTCAAAGTGCACGGTGCATCTCCTGGGTCCATCCGGAAGCACCAGATTTGTATCCATCCAGGGCCCATAGCGATTGATCATGAGATTGGGGTATACAAAAGCATATGCTGCCTCCCTTTCACCTGAACAAAGCATTTGCATGACTCCTCAATCAGGACAGCAAGACAGGAAAGCAATGCTAGGGAGCAACCCTACATTTTGGAGGTTATTTTTAGGGTTGTGGATTTGGACCCAGGAGACTCTCGAGGTATCATACCTAATCGTACTTTAGCTGCATTCTTAGGTTGACAGCTTTGGATTGAGCAGCTTTCATAGATGGTGCTGGAATACGTAGTCAAATCCAAACCAGCTGCAAGATCAGGATGCGCTATTGATACATGGTAACCGCCATCCTGCAAAGCATGCATCAGACAAATGATATTAGGAAGGCATAGAGCGAGGATGGCAAAGCACATCTTCACCCTCTTTATGCGTGCAGCCCAATATACACAGCGCACCAGGTAATTATCACAAAAAACCTTCCAGTTGCATTGCAGGGTGTAGCTTTGTGAGGCGACGTGCACAAGGTGACTATCTGCGATGCCAGCGGCCTCCATAGCTTGCAGACCCTCCGGTCCTAGCTGAGCTTCAAAACTGCCAACACCTGTGCAGCACGTGATGTCTGTACACCTACTGAACACAATTTGTAAGGAAAAAAAAAGGGAAAACCAAATATAAAGATCCAGTCCCTTATAGCCGCTTACCATTGCTGTCAAAATTCAGGAAGATGAAATGACCCCATGTTCTCATGCGAAGCTGTCTGAGGCCATAGTCGGCTGCTCGGAAGTTCTCAATTCCCCTCATGTGAGGTGCTCTGCGCAGCCGTCCATCCAAGCCTGGGAAACATCAAACGCAGGAGGGTCAAGAAGCAGTCCCTAGAAGCTATATTGCGCCTCAGATGGCAATGAAGGCAGAGAAGCATACCATATGTCCAGCCATGATAGGGGCATGTGAAGCAATCCTGGCGTCCACTGCCCAAAGCCACTGCTGCTGCATGGTGTCTGCAGACCTGCTCACACCCAAGCAACCAGATTTAAGCCACAAGATTGTGACAGAAGTGACAGAACAGCAGCCACAAAGCATGGCGACAGGCCCGCACGACATGTCCAGGCCCAAGCAGCCAATTGGGGCATCGCACATTGTGAAAGGCTCTGAGTTGGCCGTCAGCTGAGCGCGCCAGCACATACGGCATGCCCATGTACGTGCCTGCTGTAAAGGTTCCAGACTCCTTCAGGCTCCCAAGGTGTCCAACATAGACCCACGAGCTGCTGAACACTCGGTTGGCCTCACTGTCCGTGTGAGCTTGGGAAGTGTACCAGGAACTGGGTGGCGTCGATGCCTGTGTTTCAGCCCAGCGATGTCTCAATATGAGGTGTGCTTCATAGAATGCAAACAAGTGATATGTAATTCCGGAGCAGAACCCTCGTGCCGCTGACCTACCTGTTCGATCGGAACCTCAGCCGATGGCCAAGGCTCAATGACACCAGAAGCGGCAGGACATCTTGATTCACATTTCACCTTAGTCCGTAAACCATTAAGAGCTGTGAATCGCCTGGAGAGTCCAGGGCCATGAAGGGGGGTTCCGAGACTCCAGCTTGGTGCGCTTTGGAATAATGGGTACCACAGTATCATCTGCAATTTTTCCAACAAATCTTCTTGTTCGATGTCTCTTCTGATTACATCAGGGGACAGACGGCAAGTCTGCTGATCAAACGAGGAAAAGAGGATGCTGCAGGCTAGATTGTCTTGTCAAGCAAACGTGATGTGCATTCACACTCCATTTGTGAGAAAGATTGGCAACCGAGGCTCGTCGCATTGTCTCAGCACCTTGACGTTGAGTATCTGAGTATTCCTTTCACATCATGGGAACCTCAGCTTCTGAAGAGGCGGGGCCGAAATGAAGCTACGGAAGCTCTCGTCACTTTGATCGTCAAATCTTCTCAGATCTAAGACTTGTGTGCAATTAATTTCGTAATATTCGATCGATTACAAAAATTCTCCGTGCTTCCCGCTTTCTCCAAGCCTACTTTGTCGGGTACAACTTCGTGATCCCACGCAAGATGGGCAAACAAGTTGCGTTATTTGTGCAAGAAAGCAACAGGAAAAAATCAGATGCAAAAGTTGATATTGGAGAGAAAGATATCCCAAAGCCTGGACCTGGCGAGGTCCTCGTCCGCATCAATCTCCGGCCGGTGCGACATCACCTGTCGAAGAGGTGTTTTGACATTTCCGCAAGCCACTGTAGTTCTAATGTAACGCTTACATCGCAGGTGAATCCTTCGGACGCCTACATGGTCAATCTCACGTACCCTGGCTTCAAGCCCCAGACGTTTCCTGCCGTTCCAGGTGGTGAGGTGAGGTTTTCACGTGTGCATTTCCGTAGTTCACACAGTTCCGCTATCTTAGTCCTTGACCGTTCCATTGTGATTTTCGGGTTGATTTGAGGCTCTGTTGGCAATGCAGGCCGTTGGAAAGGTGGTGGAGAATGGTCCTTCTGCCAGCAGGTTTCCCATCGGCACTCGTGTTGTGGCTGTCCCTTGGAACACCTACGATGGTGATGGTAGCTGGCAGCAATACACAGCTGTCCCAGAGGATGTTTTGGTAAGCAGCACAGTGCTTGTTGCAGACTCATGACACCTTCGCCTATTTATGTGTGCAAAGCCCCCAAAACCACAATTTATACTAGAAAGGTGTCTATGCATCGCAGATCCCTGTGCCTGACAACGTATCTGACGAATCCGCATCTCAGTTCCTCATCAACCCAGGTAGGTTGAGGCAATCTGCAGCTTTCCCCATTTATGCACCACAGACACTGCACAGTGCTACCACCTATGTTACTGTAACGCAGATCACTACATAGCATGGGCATCAAACAGCCACTGGCAGCAAGGACTCCAGACGCCATTCTGCAGACCTAGCAATAGGCATGCTGTGGAACTTTTGGCAGAGTCTTGCTGAATACCCGCAGTGACCGCGTATGGCTTCCTGGAGACGCTGAAGGTGCCAGAGGGCGAGTACCTGCTGCAGACTGCGGCCGGCTCCGCCATCGGACGCCAGCTCATCGTCATGGCAAAGCTGCGCGGCGTCAAGACCATCAACCTGGTCCGCCGTAAGGAACAGGCCCAAGAGCTGCTGGACATTGGGTGCGCTGCCACAATCTCCTTTCATGCAGTCTTGCACAAGAGCTGACAAAGTGGGTGACTGAACTGAAGTGCATCCGCCTTGCATATTCCTCAGGAAATCTTTGAATCTTCACTTGGATCACCAATTTGTTTACTAGATTGCGTTGCAAGTCCAACAAAGACCCCTGTGGCCTGAAAATGCTGCAAAAGTCTCCGGGTTGTACTCTAGTAGTTGAAAAACAGTGAGCAGGCGCCTGGGGCATGCAGGGCCGATGAGGTCATTGTAACCAGCAATGAGGACGTGGTGGCTCGCGTCAAGGAGATCACCGGGCGCAGGATGGCGTATGCGGCAGTTGACTGTGTCGCTGGGGAAATGACCGGCACCGTCGTTGCGTCTACCCGCGACCATGGCACTGTCTATGTGAGCACACCTCTTGGTCTCTCGGGATGTTCGAAATTAAAACCAGGAATCGCCCAATACCCTTGCCTCAAGGCGCTTGTTGCCAGGATGCTTGGCAGCGCTGCTGCAGCTGGGTGGACATGATTGCTTCCTTTGATTGTATTGGGCAACAGGGACCTGCCACTGCTGACAGTGCGATGGGTGCAGGTGTATGGGCTACTATCAGGCCCTACTTCCACAGTGGGAGCTGGGAACCTGATCTTCCGCAATGTCCACGTCACAGGCTTCTGGTGAGTGCGTCGCTGTCTCACTTATTCTTGAACCCACCCACAAGTGCAGCGTGTTGAGACCGTCCTGATCAAAGAGTTATCATAGCACACAAGCACACAAGAATGTGTTTGTGCTGCCACACAGGATGGTGACGTGGCTCGAACAACTGGGCGATGCAAAGGCGGAGAAGCTGGGAGAGGTCATGGACCTCTTTGCACGAGGCATCATTGTACCGACCTCTGGTGATTTCCCCTGTCCCAGGCGTGGAAGTGCAAAGTTTGAAGTTTCCCAGATGTCAGTGCAATCTACAAAGGAACAGAAAGGCAATGCATTTGCTGCAAGACCAACATGGTCGAAGTCAACAATGATTCTTGCAAACGAAAGAAATTGTGCGAGTCATTGTCAGGCTCATGCGTGCGCCTGCATGCATGACTGATATGAGCCTGGATTGCATGCAGGCAAGAAGTTTCCTTTGGAGCAAGCCAACGAGGCGATTGCAGAGTCTTGGAAGGTGGCAAAAGAAGGGAAGGTGTTCCTGGAAGGATGAAGCAAGATCAGACAAGGTGCCTTTTATGGCAGAGGTTTCATTTTCAGATACAGATCAGACCACATTGCAGGTAAACATCATGCCGGTGCATGTACAAGACACCGCAGCAATTAAATGCAGCGTCTGATGCATCATATGAGCATTGAGGCTCCAATTATTAGGCAGGGGACCGGTCTGTTCACAGCTCAGAGAATTTGCAATGTTACTGCAAACACTCAGAACCCATAAGTTGCAGCTAGCTGTTGTAATGGCATTATTGTATGCTTTCTGGCATACCCATCGCAAGCCTGGAGGAAACCTGATCAGCTGGTTCCAGCAATGACACTCTCTGCATGCTTACTATCTAAATCTGCATGAATTGCTGCATGTTATTTGGGCACTGCCACAACCTCCCTTTTTGCTGATGCTGATTCACTCTTGCATCCCATTGTAAAAACTCTCTCACACCTTTATCCTTGCTGAGCAAGTCTTGCTCCCAGTTGCTGCCCAAGCCACCATGGGCGCCACAGGCAGATCTTGTCTGTCCATCTCATGATGGTTTACCAGCACATGTACATTCTGTTCAGTGCCGCACACTACTGCTACTTTTCTTCGCCTGCAGCTCCCATGAAATCCTCTCGGCAGACAACAACACCACCATGATGAGAGCAACCTACACAACAGCGCACGTCATCAGATTGCTAGGAACGAGATTCAGTGCTCTCTGCCTTGAGAGGGGTCCGGCACAGAGAGTAGCAAGGAGAAACATTGGGCTGAGCTCACCATGATGACCTGGGATGAAGTTGGCTTGAAATCGTGAGCTGGCCTGCAAGTCCAGATAAACTTTCAAGATGCTCGTGGATTGCTCATGTAATCCTTGGGCAAATGGCAACAGAGTGACGACTTGAGTCCAGGATAAAGTCTCACCCAAAGCTTGCCTCCACGGTTGCTACCAAGCGCCTGAGATCTGCGTCACACACCTCTTTGTATCACAGAAGGGCAAGAATTCTCCGTCCAGGGATACAATGTGCTTGCACAGCATTCGAATTAAAATTACGAGGTAGCTAGGAACTTACGAGGCTTTATCGCCCTCCAGAGATCGCCCTTATATCTCCTTTGTGAGAAATTTGTGAAGAGCACATACAAGATTTTGAATTGATGCAGGGAAAACAGAGAAAATATGAGAGACAGAGGAATTCCCCAAAGAAGCAGCACTACCAAGGAGAGTGCTCTTGCTATCTCCATTGCGAGTGCCTACGGTAGCTGGCAATCCCCTGGACCTTCCTCCTTTCTCATCGACTGCGTGATGATCAGCGATCGCAAGTTTTCTCTGCTTATTGCGCTTTCTCACCTCAGTTCATAATCCCGTTCTTGACACCGGAACTCCCCGACACATTGGGCCAATTCCCTGAACGGCTGGGCGTGGATTGGATCGAATGGAAGGACAGCTATCAATTGCCCATTACAATCAACAGAAAGCTTGTGAATAGCCGTTACATTATGATGTCAGCCAGCCAATTGCAATGCACCGGTTCGTGCAGTGTGCTCAACCGACAAAGACTTCAGCCTAGCCATGCTTTGGCTTTGAGGTATGCCGTCCCTCTGCCGAAGGGTATAAATACTACAATGTAGGTTATTGATTTGGTAGATTTGAAACTTAGTAATTGGAATCGTCTGTGCTATATTGCACCTGCCATTTCAGCGAATTTTAGATCTGGACACCTGTTACCCACCTGTGTTGCAGGTCATCCAATGCACGCAGAGGCGATCGCCGCAGCCTTAAGACATGTGCACTGTTTGGCAAAGGCGATGGGAAGGTATGTGTTGCCACAGTCCATATACATGATGCCCTCTTTTCCTGGAAGTTTCAGTTGTAGTGACGTGTCAACACTTACTCGCGAGTCGCTACTCCAGGGAGGAGGCAATCCTTTCGGAAACATGGCAAACATGATGGAAAACGTGAAGAAGGCTCAGCAGCTGGTGCAAGTGGAGGCAGCCAAGGTTCAAGAAGAGCTTTCAAAAGCAGAGTTTGACGGCTACTCCAGTGATGAAACCATCCGGGTGGTGATGTCTGGCAACCAGGAGCCAAGGAGCGTCGACATCACCGAAGCAGCAATGGAGGCAAACAGCGCAGAGGTCAGCTTGCATGCGCTTTGCTTGCTTAGCATCCCGCAGCTTGTCAATGCATGTTCAACTGCATGAACCTAAATTGCAGTCGAACTGGCCCACAACCTTCTTTTCTTAAATCGCAGGAGTTGTCACAGCTTGTCACAGAGGCGATGAAGGATGCGCATGCCAAGAGCGTCCAGGTCTGACACCTATTGGAGCCTTGTTGACTGCAGCTGTTTTGCAGAACCAAGGCTCAAAGAGCATTACTTGCCATTGTGCATCTCATCAAGAACATCAGTACAATACCTGCCCGAGCAACAAGGTATGCAGGCAATCTGTTGAGCGCTGTCTAATGTCGAGCATTTGTGATGCAGGGCATGAAGGAGCGCATGTCCACTCTGGCTTCCAGCCTGGGACTGGGCGGCCAGAACAATCCACTGGGGCTTGGTCAGTAGCTTTGCCATAGACCAGGGAACAGTGTAGCTCCAAGTTTTGGAAGCTGTGTGCAGTAAGTGTGCACACTGCCAATAGTGATGCAGGCAATCGTGGAATTTATGACTGAATGTGTAACCGCATGTCGCTGTGTGATTGTATGGCAGCTGCTGATTTGCCTTGAGACACGATATCAAATGTTGCGTCATTGACGGCGCCATTTTCATCAGATTCACGGCATGCATCACCTTACAAAAGATCCAGCTTGGAGAAAAGCTGCATTTTGTCGATGCATCAATGGTCTTCAGAGTCGGTGTGATGCTGCTCAAATGGGTGCCATCTCTACGGCAGCAACAGGTATGCCCCCGTCATAAAACTTCTTGATGATGAACTTGCATGGACACTGCATGCTCTGAACACCCTCAACCCAATTCGAAACCCCCAAACGTTCCCTAAGCAGCGCTCCTTCACCGTTCCTACTAGATCAAGCTCTTGCGCCCACGGGTAGCTCCCTGGCCGGCGTACTTCCTGGGCCGGTGGGTGCAGCCAAGCCATTGTCGCTGGGAGGGAGCTCTGTGGGCGGATAGTCAATGATGAGCTGCTCCACCTCATCACCCATGAGAACCTCCTTCTCCAGCAGCGCTCTGTGCCCAGCATCCAGCGCTTCCTTGTGCGCCCTCAGCACCCTCTGCGCACATTGAAACAAACAGGGTGATTTCATCAGTGCTGCATAACTAATTGCCTAGCACATTGAGCTGTGGTGCAGGAAAGCACACGAAAGCAAGCACTTGGCCAGGGTGCTCTGCCACAGCTTGCAGCCTGCTGTCTCATCCCCTGCTTCGGAAGTTGCTACAGGCCTCTCTGCAAAAAGGACTATTGGAGAGGCTGGCATTGGAGAAACATGTTCATGATGCTCTTGCAGTACGTAAAATTTGGGTGGGGACACACCAGGTTGTCTTCGTATGCCGACAGCATGAGGTTGTGCGCAGCCGTCCGCATACCGTCACTGGTCTCGTCGCTGGGCTGGTACATGGCGCCCTTTACTGCGCGCCCGAACAGATCCCTGTCTATGTTGTCCACGCTCACCTGCCAGCCACCCACAACAGGCTTAAGTTTGTCTCATCCCATGGGTAACGAGATTTCCCACATTGCTCCAGTCTCTGAGGCGCTACCCGCCCATACCATCGCATGCTGGTCTCAGAGCGAGCCAGGCATGTCTTTGCATACCTGCTCTGGATGCCATGTGAAAGATTGCCCACTTAGATGTCAAGCTAGTGCCTTTGGGTCCAGTGGATTATAAGCTCTTCGCATGCAACTGTCTTATGATAGACTTACGAATGTGGAAGGCTGGAGCAAGGACACAGCATGGCACAACTATGGCATGCTTGACGCATTTATGCTGAAACTGACCTTGACATTCTAAGAGGATGACACAAACATGGCAGGGGTATAAGTGCAGGGGATGCGGCCGGGGGCGCACCTCGAAGGCGCGCTTCATGAAGCCGATGGGCCGCTGCTTGGGCGCGTACATGGTGATGCCGGCCTCGGTCATGCCGTAGGACGCCACGATCTTCTGCGCCAGCCGCACCCCGTCGCGCAGGTCCGATACCGAGTACGTCGACGGGCCCTCCTCCAACAGCACCTGCAATGCATGCACACACAATCAGGCAATTGCTCTGTACATACTCAAACAATGCAAAACAACTGCGAGGCAGCTTTCTCCTTCGTTGGCGCTCGCTCTGTTTGCATTCTCCCTTGGCTTGAATAAAATTACACGACATTAGGATATACATAATCACCTGGACATGCACACACAAGCGCAGTCCCTGAGCTCTGACAGTGTAGCAGGCACCAACTCTGCTGAAGGCCAGCAGATGGCAGAAGCAACGAGAACGCATCCAGGAAGGACATGTGACGGCCTGGAAGACTTCAGCAAGTAGATTGGGAGCAGGCGACGTTCAGAGGTCAGCGCTTTGTAATAGATGGGGCGCGCACCTCCTCGGCGGCTCGGCCAGCCATGATGACTTGCAGGCGCTCAAGCATGCGCCCCTTGGTGGACATCGTGTAGTCCTCGTCCGGGCCGCGCAGGAAGATGGTCCGCGTCCAATCCCTGCACCAGACAGTGGTCTTGCCCCTCACAATATTGAGGCTGCACTAATGGAGATGTGATCAAGTCAGTCGGGACACTGAAGAGCCTCATGCCCTGTTTTCGTGCTGGGTGGCCGCCGCACATATTTTTTGCCCCTCAGCAGCAATGCAGGGTATGAAGCTAGTCTAGGCAGGAAAACACCCAGGCGTCTGCCAGGCTGCTTGTCTCCAGCGGTAGATCTGCTTCCAGTACATGACTAAAACAAGCAAACAAAGGGCTGCAGCACTCATCAAGCAAACAAAGGACTATCGACGAATATAAATAGTGTCGACCAAAGATGCAAAATTAAAGGGGCGCACCGGCCGCGGGGGACCATGGAGACGCGCTCGACGCGCTCCAGGCGGGGCTTGAGGCCCTGGGACTCGCGCGCCTGCCGCGCCACCGTGGCCACCAGCGCTTTGCCCATCTCGTGGATGGCAAACTGCTTGCTCACCCGGAACGTCGCCGGCATCGACGGCCGCCGCAGCCCCTGCACGCCACACATGCAACCCCCACGTTCAGAACAGTCCACCTGCCATTACTCATCACTCCAGTGCACAACATCCTCAATATCCTGTTGGTTTTCACCGCTGTCAAGATGGCATATGCAGTTTGTGGGTGACGTGCCATGCAAAAGGGGACTGGCTGCAAGACAGACGGGGAGGGAGAGGCACCTGGAGGATGCGGTCCATGCCATTGTAGATGTCGGCCCTGCACACCAGGCTCCCCTGCCGCCGCACGCACTCCAGCGCCGCCTCGTTCAGCACATTCGCCAGCTCAGCGCCTGTTCACCCACACAGCCATCAGCCCAGTGGCATTCTTGAACAGGCTACAGACCACACCAGATGGAATTGAACAGCTTCTGCTTGGTATGGTGGACTCTGAGGTTCCTTGCAAGCTAGCACGGCAGAGGCACGCACCCGACAGGCCGGGCAGGTCACGTGCCACTTGGCGCAGCACGTCGTCAGTGACATCCTCGTCCAGCTTCAGCTTGCGCGTGTGCACCTGCTCACAGCAGTGACATGATGTCATTCACCGCCCTCAATCACCGCAAACCTTGCTCCCGTCGTTCACAAATTCCGCGGTCCCTCCAGCGCGGCATGCATGTAGATTGCAGCTGCTTGGAGGGTGCGAGAAGCTCACCTTGAGGATGTCAAAGCGGCCGTCAGTGTCGGGGCGCGCGATCTTGATCTTCTCGTCGAAACGGCCGGGGCGCATGAGGGCGGGGTCCAGCAGGTCGATGCGGTTGGTGGCGGCCACAAAGACCACGCCGCTGTCCACCGTGAAGCCGTCCATCTCCGACAGCAGCTGGTTCAGCGTCTGCTCCCGCTCCTCGTTCGTCTTCTCACCTGGCGCATCACGCAAGCATTCACGCAACCACCTTCCCACAGTGCTTGACCTTGCTGGGCATAATCATCACAGCTGCAGTGGGAGCGTTGGTTGCTGAGCGTAGTGGCACAGGGTAGCCAATGGCGACGCCAAGCAAAGTTGAGGGTTCATGCATTTTGCAATCCTAGCCATGATGGGTCTGCCAAGTTACTTGCTACACCATTGTTGGCATTCGTTAGTGTTATTCTGAAAGTATACTTGACGAAAATCCCACATCACAATCTGCCCAGCAAGCCCTCCGTCGCGAAAGTAATTTGTGCACAAGATACGCAAGAGGACAGCGCGCTCGCACCAGCCTGGGCGCGCTTAGTGCCGAGGGCGTCGATCTCATCCACGAAGATGATGCAGGGGCCTTCTTGCACGCGAGCACGCTTGAACAGGTCTCGCACACGCGCAGCGCCCACACCCACGATGGCCTCCACAAACTCGGAGCCGGCCATCTGGTAGAAGGGAACGCCTGCCTCCCCGGCCACGGCCTTGGCCACCAGCGTCTTGCCGGTGCCGGGGTCCCCCTCCAGCAGGATGCCCTTGGGCAGCTTGCCCCCCACCGCCACAAACTTGGCTGGGTCCTTCAGGAACTGCAGCCACACCCCACCATGTCAAGCACAACACACATGGATGGCTGCATGAATGACTGTTGAGGAGACTGAATGACATTTCGTTTTTACTAAGATTGCACGCTTGTTCCAGCCCTCAGGGCTAGGTGCATTGCAGCAACCTCTCAACGAGATTTGAGGCCACAACAACTGGCTTTAACAGGCTTGTGAGGAGCACAGAATACAAGCGACAAGCGTCAAACCTGTTGATCCAATCACAAGCAAGAGGAAGCTCTGCAGGTAGTGCATGTCGCCTGCACCGAGTTCTTGGCATGCAAGGACAGGAGAGGAGGTGCAGAAATGGCAGACCTCCACAACGAAGCGGAGCTGCCGGACAGCTTCGTCGCAGCCCGCGACGTCCGCGAAAGTGACGCCGGTGCGGCCGTCCTTGCGCGCCTGCCCCTTGCTCTGCGCAAACTCTATTGCCTGGATAGGGTCCGTGGGCATCTGCTTCCGCGGCCTGCAGTCATGACAGTTTCTCTCAGCAAATCAACAACGAAGAGAGACATCAGTGTTGCTTGCAAGCCTTCTGCAATGTTCATAGACATAGTCTTCTAGGGTAAGGCATGCATGACACTTGCGCAGCTTTTGTGCAAAAGTTTGAGTCTTGACAGGGTTTTGGGGGGGGAGGGGGGGAGAGTATCACTTGAAGATGCCGAGGCCCAGGGAAATAAAGAGGAAGGAGAATGCGAAGGCGGCAAAGGCGTAGCCGGTGAGGTCGCTCCAGAAGATGTGGAGGGTGGGCTGACAGGGGGTCATCTTGTAGCTGACATCCACCAGCTGCTCGCCTGGGCACGTGTACTCATACTTCTTCTGGTTCACCCACAGATCCTTCTGGAAGTCCTTCTCTGCATTCTTGGGGATCTGCTGCTCGTACAGCTGGAAGAGCTGCTCAAATACCTGCGCGCAAACCCAGCTATTTAGTCCTGAGTCCTGAAATGTTTTAGGGATATCGTACCACATACAGACTGCGAAGGAATAGCTTGCACCTCGATCTGGCCATGGGACCAGCAGTGAAAAAAAGCCCAATCAGAAACAAAGATCCAGGTGCTCCTATATGGCCTTTACCTGGTTGTAGCCCCATTGGTGCATGGAGACATTCTCTGTGGGTACCCTCTGTGGCCGCCAGATTCCACCCTTGGTGCCACCAGCCATGAAGTCCTGCAGTTCTCACATGAGCAGGCTCAACAAATATATTGCCTAAGAAGAAGAACTTTTTGTACACGCTGACAAGAGTCAGAAGAATCATGCGTTCAAGAGCCCTGTGAGCTGTGGGTCAAAACTCACATGTGTGTAGGTCTCGGCCCCTGGTGCAGGCATGTTGACCCAGGAGGTCGTGCCCTTGGAGTCAGTGACAGTTGCCCTGAATCCAGGCCACGACGGCTGCATCAGCCGCCCACTGTCCTCGAAGATTTCAATCTTCCAGGGCTCTGAGTCCTCCTTGTAGTACTCGGATGTCCAATTGCGCTCCCTCAAGCCCTGCAGAGGGAAATTGTACAGCCTTTGACGGATGTGCTTGACAACTAGAACATAAACCTGTCACACTATCTCCAGCAGCATTAGTAAGAACGGCATGTTTTAAGTGATGTAAAGTATTTGGCATCTTACCTGGTACAACTCCATGTATGACATCTGGTGAAGCTTTGTCCATTCCGGCTCCTTTGCCACATACTGGCCTGAGGCCGTGATGACATCCTTGGGCACCCACTTGTACTCCGACTCCTCCCTGGTGCCCCCCTCCCTCTTCAGCGTGAAGGGCAGTGATTGCGTCACATCCTCCAGCGTGGGACCATCCTGCTTTATCCTCCTCAAGTCCTGGACACACTCTCTCCCTGACAAAGGACTCTTGTGCGATCTGGACAGGTATCAGATCCAAACAAATGCACATGCAGGACAGATGGAAATTAGTATTATGTCTTCAAATGTACCTTCTTGGCAAATTTGGGGGCTGGTTTTGGCGGTGTTGGAAGGACCGGCACTTCCTGCAGGGACAGAAGGTCTTGTCAGGACATTTCTCACCTGGAGGGGATCCCCAATATCGCGGAGATGAAAGGCGCAAAAGACTGGTCCTTAGATGATTCAAGTCAAACCACTGGCTGTACTCGCATCACTGAAAGTATTGAGAGGCAGCACCTGTTCCTGTGATTGCTTAGCTGGGCAAGAATGCCTCCATCGCAAGCGGACTCGCTGCTGCGGTCTTGAAGGAAATCTGATCTGCTGGTTTTTGCAGCAATTAGCTGGCACAAACACAGCATACCCACTACTCTTGTTTTGCACTGCATTGGCTTTAACCTGCATCAGGTGAAAGAATGCTGTGTCTATAAAATCTACAAAAGATCAATTACACAATAATATGATTACCATCTGTGTTTGGACAGATCACTTGGCCTGAGAGAAGAGGCAATAAGACAGGTACCTGCGGTCGTGAAGTCGTGCTGGCTTCTGGACAATGCTCTCGTCTCGAACTCCCTGGGAATCAGTGAAGATCGTTAATTATGATGCGATTTGAAATGCAACACTTTGCACTGGCAGAAGCATCCCATTCCGAGTGCTAGTATAGCGAGTCTCAATAAAGTGCATTGAAGAAATGCGCCCTCTCTGAGGGTTCTAGATACTTGAAATTCGTTCTATAAATACTAGAACCTCTGAGGAAGAGACAGCTTGCCTAAGTAAGGTGCACATGGCACAGGCAGCATAGGCCGTCGTGCTGAAAAAGGGAACGGCTGGATGCTGTGCATGCAGGTCATCTTCTAGGATACGATCTCAAATGACCGTTCTATCCTCTTCTCCTCGTATCCCAGTCTCATCTGTTGCAACTATAAAATGCAGAACTGCAAACATGCCTTTCTCGATATACTACTTTACAGCGCCACTGTCATGCAGAGGATAGCCTTTCATCTATGCTGACATGTGCAACTTTTCGCAGTCATTATACAGCTATAGTTATCTACGATTTGTGTCTGCAGTTGGCTTTTGTGCTTCCTGGAAGGATGAGCTTGTACACCCGGACATGACTGATGATCTCGTCATAACATAGCCGACCAGAAGTGCCATGTGCCAGAAATTGCACAAGACGACACACGTCTCTCAATCTAAGCTGATTCCAGAGTGAGCCTGCTCCTTCCTCTTTTTTTTGAATTGTCCGGTCGAGGTGGGTGCAGGGAATGGGAAGATCAAGATAGTTAGACACACATATCGCCTTGTTTTAGTGTGATAGTACTGCTCACACCACTGACGTATTGCTCACATACACTATGGTGAATCCTTACTCCGGCAAGAGCGCGCTCGCATCGGTGAGTGACGATCAACTGGGGGGACTTCTTTTTGCTACTCTTAGGGTTGCCTGATCTTGGACAATATTCCCTGCTGCTGTGTTCACAAAGTGTCCCTTGGATATCAGGTGCTGCGAGTGTCTGCTTTGGGGGTTGGCGTCATTTATGGAAGCTGGAAGCTCTCGAGCCTGCAGGTGAGCTGACTTTGCAGATTGTTCAATACTGTGCAAGGCCTTGTCTCATCGTTCATTACTTATCTTGGATCTAGCAAGTACGACGTCCCCTTCATTGCTGAGATCGTGTGTGATTCAGATTCATTCTTGTTGCATGACCTGTTCACTTCACATATGCAGAAAACTGCAGCAAAGGCCAAGGCCAAGACAGAGAGCGAAGGACATCATTGATCCTGCATGAAGGGAGGGGATGCAAATGCATTTACCTCCACAGTCTCACTGTAGTGAGCATTGCTACCTTTTAGTACGATAGTAGTGAAGCTCTATGATTGACCAAGCCACAGCTCTGTTGTGAGAGAATTTTGAATGATTGCTGAGTGTGTGCTGCACTTCATGCTCTTTCGAAGTGCATTTTGGTTGCATTTTGCCCTTGTCAATGGAAGGGCTTAAATGGCTTCTTGTTGACATCAGGATGGTGTGCCAATGAGATGATGCTCTGTCTGCTGTAGATGCCCCTCACAATTTCCTGTGGCATGCTGCCATTTGCATGTGGTCATTCACGCAACCTGCCCAAGGAATGTAACGAAGAAGACGCACGGTTCATCGCCGAAGATTTCCACTAAAATGTGTAGTCAATGCCGTTCGATCAGCTTACATGACAGCAGCATGGCCGATGTGATCCAGATGCCTGTGTTTGCATGTGGTATGCTGTCATGGACATGGGATCGCTTGAGGGAGCTGGATGAAGCGGAAATTTCCATCAACAGTGGAAAAGCAGTTGAGTCGTCAGTCACGCGATTACATGATGCTAGCACAGATATCAGTTCTGTGGGCGGATACCACACAGGTCACAGCTATCTGGTCCGAACAACAATGGTCAAGGCGACACTTTTTTTTCTTTTTAAACCTCAAAGAGTCCTTTTGTGCTCACAGCACTGTGCTAGTGTACAGCAGGGATGTACCCCTTAAGGACAGGAAGAGCTTCACTTCTTGGCTGGGGCTGGTGCTATCTGCTTGGGAGTCTCAGTAGGCACGCCCTGCAAACAGCCAGTCAAAGATTGTCAGTCATGTCTTGCTTGCAGCTGTGATCCGACCAGTTCTGGCGTTCCAGGAGATAGACCTGCCTGAAAGACTGCAAGCACACTGGCATCTACACACCAGCAGACACCAGGACGACAATCCCAGCAGAAGTAACAGCAGTATGCAAGATGAGAGCAAAGGGTCTCACCGATGACAAGCGCTCCTCGCGCCTGGCAATCTTGCGCTCGCGAGTGGTCTTGTTCTTGGCACGGCGGGCCTCAAACTGGTCTGCAATGGCCTTCTCACGGATCTTCTCAGCCTTCTGCTTGTGGATCGCCTCCATGAGCACACGCTTGTTCTTGTACACATTACCCTTCACCTGCAGGGCACAATAGCACAGCTTCCATCCCTGCCTCACACAGCAAACAAAGACCAATGACATAGCATGTGATAATTCGCCTGTTACGCACTCCATACAGTGTTCAAGAACTTTGAACACATCACACCACTCACCACACATTGAAGAGTGGCATGCAGCTCACCTTGTGGTAGAGCTCGTGGTACAGGTGCTTGTCGATCTTCTTAGAGTCCCTGTACTTGCGAAGGAGGCGGCGCAGCACACGCAGTCTGCGCATCCAGAGCACCTTGGTGGGCAAGCGAGCCTCCCGGGTACCCCTCCTCTTACCTGCAAGAGCACAGGTAACAGGTTACAACAGGACGTACTTCTCACCAAGATGTTGGTAAAGACAGGATGTTAAGTTTCAGGTCTGATCGAGATTGATGCAGTGCCATTAATCAGGGCGAAAACCAGGTGAAATTGTCCAAGAGCCAAAAGTTCGTACCGTAGCCACTGTGTCGTCCCTTGGCCTTGGCCTCAGCAGCAGCACGAGCACGGGAGCGAGAGTGAATGACAACAGGCTTGCGAATGACGAACCCATCCTTAAAAAGCTTCCTGATGTTTTGCCCTGCATCGATCATGAGCACACGTCAGTACAAAGAAAAATGTGACAAAGACTGATCAAGATACTTGACTTGCTAAGTAATTGCAGAATTCTCGCTGCACGGGTTCCGTTGCAGCGTCATTCAATCTCATGCAATGCTCAAAGCCAGTCACATAAGAGCTGCACGACCACTCTCCAAGCATATGAGAGGCCAAATCGCTCTTGCTGTGAAAATGTGCTGTGCACCGAGATTGGGAAGCAATCCTCGCTATCTGCTGCTAAAGCAAGACCATATATGAGATGGCCATGATCTCGGACAGCCAAGCTGCCCATGCCTGGTCCAGGCCCAATAACATCACACATGGGCTGGAAACTCACTGGAGTTGGCCATAGAGATCTCGTTGACCTCGTTGGGGTCCAGCCACACTTTCCGGAGTCCACATTTCAGCACGGACGCGGCGAGCCGCTTCTGCAGCTTGAGAGACACCATTGTGCCAGTCCTTCCTGGCGGCTTTTTGGTGCAGCCTGCAGCAGCTTCGATGCTTTTGTCGCGATATCCCACCGACCCTCCACTTCGAAAATTCTCGCCCCTGAGGCGGCGGCGGCAAAAGCGGCGCAACTGGGACTGGCAAAAGCCGAGCGCCTTGTCAATTCCTCAATTCGCCGTTCATTTGCCACCATCACAAGACCAGTCCAGCATGCACGCATACTTGAGCTCACAAAGCTTCAATTCTGCCATGTATTTGCATCTGGTGCTACACTATGCGTGGCAAATCCGTGAAAGGAGATTTTGCTTCAATTGAAGCCTTGCAAGCTCAGGCTGAAGGTTAACCACGTTGTAATAGTAGAAAAAGTTTGAAAGCGAGTACTGTCTTATTATTAGACTTTAGGCCACCATGACGAAGGCGGCTGCAACTGATGCATCTATAAGGCAATGAGGTTCATGATGAGGTTCACACCATGAGACAGCCAACCCTGCTAATTCAATTTGTGACTGGCAGCTGAACAACCTGAAAAAATTGCTGTGGCAATATAAACCCTAGTTGAATGGCATCATGCAATGATTGCGCAATGAAGTCAACAGATTGCTTGATCACCACGAAGCATCAACAAAATTTTCATCAAAATATAAAATGATCACAAAGCAAGCACATTATCACGCATGCGCATGCTATTCTCTATGCAAATTCATACATACAGATGCAACCATGAAGCTCTCCACTGACTCTCAACATGCGTTCAGAATCTGAACTTCACATTGAATAATAGCCTAATTCCGACTCAGCTCCTGTAGGACAATCTGCAAGTTGCAGGCTTCTTGCTTGATCGCAAAGCTTCAAGGATGCAGCTCAGTCCAAGGATGCAACTCAGGTCTCCCCAACACGATGCAGGACAAGGCCAACGGGGCAGTGATCCGAGCCTTGCACATCTGGCAGGTGGAATATGTCATGCACCCTCTCTGCCAGTGCCTCAGACACCTGTACCAAGAGTATCATCAGAAACGGACAACAGCAAACTACCTAGTCTGATTGCTCCAATACATGACATAACTTTTTAGTGCTCTATAACTCAACAGGTAGCATTGATTGTGCTCTATCACTCACAAGGCAGCACTTCCTCACCAGAAAGTAATCCAAGCGCCAACCCCGATTTCTTACTCGGGCTCCAGTCCGGTAGTTCCAGTATGTGTAGCCAACCACATCAGGGTACTTTTCTCTGAAGGTGTCCTTGAAGCCTCTCTGCAGCAGCTGCGCGCTGAAGGACTTCCTCTCTTCCTGCACACACACATTGCGCGAAACCTCCCTCATGCACACACTTTGAAATGCCCATTCACGATCGTCCTGGAGTGAAGCCATTTGCTACCTGACCTTGTTACATCATCTAACTCATCTGCTACTTTGAAAATTTCTGGAAATCAGACCGAATTGACCAGCAGCACAGACACCCACCTCTGTGAACCCTGCAGATTTCAGATTCCTTTTCGGGTCGTGTATGTCAATCTCCTGGTGAGCGCAGTTTAGGTCCCCAGTGAGGATGACCGGCTTCTTTGCTCCCAAGCCGGCCAGGTAGTCAGCGAAGGCAACGTCCCAGGAGCCAACCCTGTACTCCAACCTCTTCAGGCCCTCTCCAGAGTTGGGCACGTACACATTGACAACTGCGCACCACAGAATTCATCTGCCGAATGAGAACTTTCAGTCTGTGCTCGATCACAACCGCAGGTGACTTGCGTGGCAATATGGCAACTAGGGGGCTTAGATCCCACAGCTCAGCAAACAAGAAGGCTGATATGTTGACAGGCAACCCCACCGTAGAATGATGGGTACTCTGCAGTGATGACGCGGCCCTCCTGGTCATGATCTTCCTTTCCCAAACCATTTGTGACGCTCAGGGGCTTCGCCCTGGGAAGCACATGCCGGTCAACCATCCTCTCCACTTTCCGTTCAGCCAATTGATGCCCTCCCTGGCCGTGATGCTGCAGGAGGGCATGGAAAGGCAGAGCAGAAGCAGGTGTATCACCTTGACAGCACTGCAACTCCAGAGTAGCCCTTCTTCGCGATGGAGTTGTTGAAGTAGAAATGCCAATCCTGGAGGCCAGGCCGGAGAAGCTTCTCACATGCTGCAACATCGCTGTCCTTCAATTTTGTCTCCTGTAGGCAGAGGATGTCTGCATCCTCCGAATTGATCAGTTGGCCAATCGCCTCGGCGTCCTACATGCAAGATGCATGAAGAAGTCATCCCGCTGGTCCCCTACCAGAAGGGCTGCTGCACTGTTAGAATTCATGTGAAATAAAGAATAAGTACCTTCTTCAGTGTGGACCGCAGGCTGGCAACATTCCAGGAGAGGATCCTGTCAGCTGGTCCGACGAGCCTTGATGGACGCATATCTGTTGTGTACTCATCTGCAGCGCATACATATCTGAGCTCAAAGATGCACAGGGTTGACGGTTTCGAGTGGCTGTCAGTCGTCAACTTGATTCAACTTACCCCTCTCGACGGTGATCTTCTGGGCGCCAGAAACAGTAGCAGATGCCAAAAGCATGCCGTCTTTCTCTACCTCTGCAGCTACGACCTGGACATCTATGACGTCCGCTTTCCTTTTGACCCTGTTCCATACCGCAAGATGTATTGGTCCATTGCCGCACATGTCGTCCTGGGACGGCATCCTAAGCTCCACATATGCAAATCTCTTTGTTATTCCCAGCACAACCTAGTATCTCAGACTTCAAATAGCTTGATGACTTGCCTCGCCGGTGCCACCATCGTGAAGATTGAATTCCTGAACTTGGTGTTCAGAGGTCTTAACTGACTTCGCCACACGAAAGCAAACTCACTTACTATCGGCTTGACAATATTTGGACGCATCTGAAGCGCAATCAACAGCGTGTAAGAGACATATTCCCAGTGAGGCAAAGTCTGGAACCGTGCATCCCTCCATTCGGCAACTGCAACAACCTAGCTGATTACGAGTGCATCCAGCAGAGCTGAATGCTACCAGCAAGTAATTAAGCTCGGGAAACCGTGTTCGTGCCTCCTCCTCACTTTCTTGTCAGAAAAGTGGCACGTGCGTGCATGCGCCTACCATGTGCAATTTGCTGAACGTTCTGGGGGAGGAGCATCACTAACGGACAATCTTCTTTCTACAGCTCATTTCCTGACTTGAAACTCGAAAGAGTTACCTGCCCGCATTTGTTTACCAGGTTTCAAGAGAATTCCAGATCCCATTGATGGGCACAGCATGGCTATGTGGCCGGCAGTAACCTTTACAGCGACAGCGATTGCGCTGATCAGTACCATCGTTATACATTTCCAAGATCAAACAAGTGATCCTGTAGCAAAGTTCGCCTCTCAGAACTTAAAGAAGTACGATGATGATCTCATTCAACTTGCCAAGATAGCTTCGATTTCGTCGCTACCTGAACACAATGCAGACATTCTAAAAGCGGCAGAGTGGCTTGTTCCCAGATTGAAAGCTGCTGAATTGGAGGTAGACACCGTGCGTCATGTAATGTTCTGCTCAAGACACTGCTCTGGGGAGGTCATACGCTCATGAGCTTGAGCGTTGTCTTGCAGGATGTAAGGATCTTACAGACCAAGGGACAGCCAGCTGTTTACGGCCAGTGGCTGCATGCAGCAGGAGCCCCCACAGTCCTGATCTATGGCCACTACGGTACTGCTCATGGACACCGCTTCCCCCTATTCTTCTTCTACCCTGCCCAGGGCACAGAAACAACCCCTCTAACAGCTGTGGAAATGTGGTAGATGTGCAGCCTGTGGACCCATTGGAGCTGTGGACAAGCCCCCCTTTCAATCCCACTGTGACCCGCACTGGGAAGGGCCAGGGGTACTTCAGAGGCCGAGGGGTGTCAGATGACAAGGGTGGACTTTTGCAACCTGTTCAGGTCTGCCCTGCTGGCTAGCCGGCGCAGTCCCGTTTGCTATTTCGGTTCTGATCAAGGTAGTGGCTGCGAGGATAGCAGAGTGTGAACATTTCACTTTAAAGCTTACTGGGTGTCTGTTGTGAATGATTGCAGGCTGTCGAGGCGTACCTGAAGACCAAAAAAGCTCTTCCTGTCAATGTCAAGTTCTTGCTGGAGGGGCAGGAAGAGATTGGGTCCCCAAATCTGGCTGAGCTGCTGGCAGAGCACAAGGAGCTCCTTGCTGCAGACATGGCCCTCTCGGCAGATGGTGGACAGATCAGTGAAACACAGGTCCACCATTCTTCCTTGCATGTGACCTTGCACATCGCAATATTGCACATTTGCCATCCATACCATGCGTGTCCAGCCCTCGGTAATGAAATTTGAGTGTAGTGTTTGTTGCTTGTGTTCCAGGCTGGCGTCGTGCTGGGATTGAGAGGGGGGGTTGCCTTTGAAGTGGAGGCACAGACCGTTGGGCAGGACCTGCACTCAGGTCTGTCTTCATGGAGGAGCATGCCTGGCTTTTGCTTCATCCGGGCACAAAAGACTGCTCTTTCCAAGGGACACCGCATTGTAGCAATTCTACATGTCATACTTTACATCGTGCATTCTGCAGGTCTGAAAGGCGGCTCGGTGCAGAACCCGATCCACGCGTTGGCGCAATTCGTTGCAGACCTGCACGCTCCCAACGGCAGTGTTGCTGTGGATGGATTCTATGAGTGAGATTTACCCTCAATAGTCCCATCCCAGTCTATCTAATGCTAATCAGAATACTGCCTATCATGTTCCTGGAGCGAATCCCACTGCGCTCCACGTCAGTGATAATTAACTCGTTTTTGGGTCAGGGGTGTGCGGGAGATCACAGCAGAGGACAAAGCAGATGCTGCAGCTTTCCCTTTTGATGAGGCAGCTGAGATGGAGATCCTGGGCGCCCTTGGGCCCCACGGCGAAGAGGGCTTCTCCACCCTCGAACGAAGGCATGCATCCCTCCTGCTGCCCTGCCAGATTTTGCCTAGGCAGCCTGACTTTCTGCTTTGAAAAACATGACCGATCCTGAAAGTCTCCTCTTAGAACCAGTGTCCTCAGTGGGCAGGGGTCCTCAGCATTTGCCGATATACCAGAATTGCTGTGTATTCTCCGAAATGAGGGAGGAAATGTTGCACAGCTCATGTCAGGCCTAAGTGATGCACTACGTTGACACAGCGAGGCAGTCCTTCCTTCCTTCTTGGCGTTCACACTATCCATCATGCCCTGCATTCTGTCTAGTCTACTTGATGTTGTCTGCGTTGAGCAGAGGGTGAATGCGCGCAGGTGGCTGCGGCCAACGCTGGAGGTGGTGGGAATCTACGGCGGCTTTTCAGGCGTTGGCATAAAGACAATCGTGCCCTCCAAGGCAACCGCCAAGATCTCATGCAGGCTGGTGCCTGATCAGGACCCGGACCATGTCATGTCTGCCCTCAAGAGGCACGTGGATACGCACGCCCCTGCGCAGACGCGGCTGACATTCACTCCCCTGCCATTTCGCGCACACCCCTACATCATGCCCCGGGACACTGTCGCCAATCGCGCCGCTGCCAAGGTGACTGCAACTCTGGAGTTTCCTGTCTACAGGAAGACCCCATCTGCCCACAGAACAGATTCTTCTGTGCTTTCCATGCCAAACAGAAGTTAGTAAGAGTGTTTCTTATTGCCAGAGAAGCTCTGAGCAGCAACGCTCATGATTGTGCACAGATAGATGTGAGATTGCTTGAGAGAGGCTGAGAAACTGGCAAGCATGGCTAAGGGCAGGGTAGTCACTCAATGCGGGGAAGGGACTTGCAGGTAGTACAGAAGACGTTTGGTGCGCCGGCCCATTTCTATCGGGAAGGGTGGACGATCCCATTCTTTGATCTGTGCGCCAGCTACCTGGGAATTCAACCCCGTTTCCTTTGGGTTTGGCTTGCCGACAGACAGCACCACGGGCCAAATGAGAAGTGATTTTTCTTGTAAATCGAGGTGCTTCTTGTGGTGTTGTTCTAGGTGCTGGGAGGGCTGTTTGGTACTGTCAAGTTCTATCGCGATGGCGGAAGCATCCCGGCTCTGGCGCTCTTCAAGGAGCACCTGAACCTCTTCATGACATGCTTTTCTTTTGGCCTTCCCGATGACAACATTCACTCACCAAATGAAAGGTGATTTTTGCGATGCATCTCAAATGTATGTGCAAGTGATCGGAATCAGGCATGCATGCAATTTCTTGCTTAGGTAGCCAGGTGGCGCCTTTTTGCATTGTATTGTTAACAACGTTTTTGTGTTGGCCCAAAGCAGCTTCAGCACGGGAATCGTTCCTTGAATATGTGTGTGTGTGTGTGTGTGTGTGTGTGTGTGTGCAGGTTCAGAGTGTCCATGTATGACAAGGGCCGAGAAGCTTGGATCCGGATGCTGCAAGAGATTGCGAACCAGGCTGCAAGTGCCTGAAGCTCTAGTTCAAGATTGCAGCAGCTGGTTCATTTAAGATGTACTACAAGCCACGTTGTGCCAATGTGGTCAAGGTCTCATTTGTGGGTATACAACATGCACATTACATAGACGTAGGACTGATGTAACCTGAGGTTGACAATGATAGGATTATTGAAGGCAAAGGCTGCAATACTGTTTTACAGCTTAAAACCACCATTGGGTACCAAAGAAAAAGGGAATGTACAGTTCTGACAGAAAACACACATCGTCAATGCAGTGATGTCACTTCTGCCATGCCAGCAAAATCGCACAAAAAGCAATGACTCTGCATAAATCTGAATTTTTAAAAATTGAAAATACACATGCTTCTTAAGCGTCAGCAGCATTCACAGATATGTCCAATTGGCAGGCAACCCAATTTCATACTGGGGCAGGATGCGGCCATGCTTCACACTGCTGACTGCCCCATACTTCTAACAACAAATGTACTTCCCCTACATGCACAAGAATAAGACACACACTTCAAAGGATACTTCGCTGGCATTCGGCTGTCCAGCAGGCAGATTTTGCTTTGTGCAGGCCTGTCTGCTAAATCAGCACAAAGCCATATGAATGTGAAAAACATGCTACAAGCACATGGGTGCCCATAAATATTATGCTGACCATTTCCCTTGTGCGACCTGTATTATCCCACACTGGCGCATTCTTGGTTCCGAACTCTTGCTCATCACCACGCACCGAAGCTCTCTCTACAGAACCTTCCTCGCCAACCACTCTTCACCCTCCAGAGACAGACTGTTCTACTCTGCCAATTGCCCAACAGAAGTCCGTGATCAGCCCCTTTGCCCCTCAATACACACACCGTTCATCTCCGCCAATTGCTCAACTGCAGTCCATAACTGCATGTGCCCTAGTCCTACCCACTTGGAGGAGCCCTAGTCCAATCCGTTGCCATTATTGCGGCCCTTCCTGTGCTTGGAGGCTCCCGAGGGCGGCTTGCGGTTGTGCCACCAGTGGGACTCCTTGCCGTCTTCGCGCGGCCCCTCCGGAGAGACCATCACCGCCGCAGTGTCGCTGGCGCTGAGTGCAAGCGGCGGCGCACGCGTTATGCTGTGCCGCGCCAGATTTGGATTTGTACTCACCCCTGTAATGCCCATTATTCCCCTCAGTACAACCCCATAGTTTCCTCAGTACGACACGGCATGTTGTTGAATGAAGCTGCACTCCTGTCTGTCAGTAACACCTGGCAGGCCCACACCAATGTGGCAAGACGACAGTAATGTTCAGGCTTGATGGAGGAATGATTAGAAACAACAGTTGACAAAAGACAGTGCGGGCAGAGAGGAAAATTGCTCACTTCTGATGGAGGACTTGGCAGGCAGTTCTGACACCGGGTCGATCTCCTCTTGCTCGGTCTTCCCATTGGGTGGTTCTGACCCTCCTGCACCCATTCATGTCAGCATTTATATTGAATTTTGCAGAAGAGGTGCTAGACTTGTTTGCAGAACACTCACACACATATAGCTATCAGCGATCAGCAGAGGGGACACACCGCCAGAGGAGTCATCCGCCTTGGGCAGGTCCTCCGAAATGGAGCTCAGGTCGAGCAGAGAGGCTTCCTTGACTCCGGGGGCGTTCTCTCTCGTGCACACCATCAGAATGGCGCCTGTGTAATTAACATGGGAACTCCTCAGCAAATGGTAGCAATTTTTGGGAATTCTTACTCCAGGCTTTTGTCTTTTAGAAAGGGTTGGCAAATATCCCATCACAGATTGCAGCTAATTAGCTCGAACAAGATACTTTGAAGGCACTGCGCTTCACAGAGATGGCAGTCTAGATGGACGGTGACTGTGAGAAAGTTGTGAGTACCTTCTGGGCCGGTGACAAAGGGCACGAAGGACTCTGGCTGTTCAGGTGCCATCTCCTTGTTGAGCACGATCCAGGGCAGGATGAAGGGCGCCTTGTACTCCAGCATCTCGTCCTGCTCTGGACTGGTCTCCTTCCCTGCCAGCCAGCACCCAAACACATCACACCCGCGTAATTTGCCATTCTTGCTCCTGCTCAAGATGTTGCCAGCCCGCTCAAGGCATGCTGATCTCCTGAATATGACAGCTGTGGCCGAGCGGCACCTGCGGGGGTCTTGCAGACGACGGAGCAGTGGGAGCCGCTGGTGCTGATGATGCCGCGCAGGAGCACAGCCGAAGAGCAGTGGCGGTACCCCACGTTGGCCGGCAGCTCCACCAGCTCCGATGATGTCAGCGACTGCACCAGCTGCAGGTACGCATCCCACACGCGCGCGCGGCCCACCTCCTGGATGTCCTGCAGCAAAAAATTGAGGAAAAAAATAAATTGTAAACTCAAGTTTTGAATTTGATTATAGATTCAAGAGAGAAGTTCTAAACCACGTTCAAAACTTATTACAACCCTGCGCAGTTCTAAAGGTGCTGCCGTATGCGCTTCCTGCAGTAAAAGATTTTGATTGTCCCGTGGACTCTCCAGCGGAACAGAGGTGGGGCGTGCATATTGGGAGGGCAATGCATCTGCATGGCACTGTGGGAACGTGCTCTACAAATTTGGAAAGAAATTAAATGCATTCAAATATTCTTATTCTCTATATTCTCTATTAAAAATATTTGGCACAATTGTTACCAACTTGATTGGTAAATTCAAATTGCCAAAAAACATACAAATTTTGCCTCGCAGCTCAAATGGCAGCTGAGGTATAACAAAGAAGAATGCAGCGGGTGGTCTGGGTGGTGCAAGGACTGACCTGCATGGAAGCGTTGTCGAAATCGGTGGTGGACAGCGCCCCAGTGAAGGACTTGTCTGCCCCAAAGGGACCCTCCTCATGCATGTCATCATCATTGTCCCTGAGTGAACATAGCAGGCTCAGCGCTTCAGCGTAAATGCTCAGGTGAATTGCACTATCACACACAGTGCAACTGTGACAGGACTGTAGGGCATCTGAAACTGCACTTGCAGGCTTGACACCTGGAATTGAAACAACAGCAGCCTCCCTTATGAGCAACCCTATCAAGATCCCCAAAACACTCCACAAGTGTCTCAGGTGCAGTGACAGCCTCTGCTGTGCAGCATGAGTGCTCCGCATGCTGCGAAGGCTAGTGGGGTGTGACGCACTGGGGAGTGTGATGGATGTGCAGGGGTGCAGGTGCAGCTGTGGCCAGCAGGGCGGCCAGGTAAGTCATGAGCCAGGGCTTCAAGCGCTCCACCACAAACAGCGCAGCCATTCGGAACATGTCCACCTCCACTTGCTGGAACGTGGCATCCCCATCTGCGCACGCACCATGATGACGTCATCTCACTTGCTTTATTTCACTCCCCTGCTCATCTCTTGTATGCGGTCTACACCAAGGGCGGCTGACGCCTCAAGAAGCTCTCTCCATCGTTGCAGGCCACCAAAGGTGAAATATACAGCCAGCAAATGCAGGCAACCATCAAGAATGTGGAGACATGGTAAAAGCTAGTCTTAGGCCAAGTCAATGGTGAAGGTGCAAGACATGGGAAAGGGAGAGAGGGGTGCGCACTGGCAGCGAGGCGGCGGATAATTTCGATGGCGCTCTGGTGCACCTCAAAGACCACAGGCCCCTTGCCCAGAGCGTTGCCCTCTGCCACAGCCTCCAGGCGGCCTCCAGGCAGGTGCTCCCCTGTCAGCGAGTGGTACAGCCCGCTTATGCCACCTGCGCAGCACGCACACTTGTCAGCATCATTCCATTGTCCTCTGAATTCACTACGTTTTGTACCGACCTAACAAATTCGCATCCAATTGGTAGCACTACTAGGCAGCTTGGGGACTTGCAGGTGAACAGCTATGCACAGGGGAAGTATCGGCATGAGAAGGGGTGAATGGCGGGGTAGGTGCGTGGCCCATGCTACCTTGTGCCTTGGAGGACGTGAGACGGGCACAGTGGAATGCCATGATGCTGCTGTGGTGTGCAACAGGGCAGAAAGTGGGGTTGGGCGGCGCACCGGTGCCGAGGAAGTACTCCTGGGTGTTGCCGAGGGGGTCGCGATAGCCGATGCGCACGAGGCCGTTAATGACGATGAAGAGGCCGCGGCCGTCCTTGCCCGACCGCACCATCTCCTGGTTGCGGCACATGTGCAGCTGCCCGTGCCGCAGCACCACCTGCGCGCACATGTTCGCAGCACGCCTCACCGCCTGACACAGGAAGGACTTGCTTCTTGCAGAGATACACCAGTGAGGCTGAAATACACCTCAAAATGTCAATGCGAGCAACCAAGAGACAGCCTACACCCCTCCTATGAGGTCACAAACAGCAGAGAATTAGCAGTCTCATAGGATTGATGCAAGCTATCGTTTGGCATGCTGTTGCTCCTGCCCACTACCATGTTGAGCAATTTATTGCAGCTTGCTGTATGGCTTTGCAATTTGTCTAACAGAAGGCCATGACGAGAGAGGGTCAGCACAAGCATTCATTTCCATGACAGTGTCTATCTGGAGGGCTGAATCAGAGCAAGGAGGCATGCCTCGACTGCTCGTGGGGGCACATGGCGGAGGAAGGGCAGGTTGCGCAGCACATCAAATGCCATGGGTGAGCGCCAAACAGGGCCTTTGCGTGACAGCTGCCGCTCCCGCCTGTCTATCGGCCTGCGCGCCCCGCACCACACCATCCCTCAGAGTGTCTTCACTCGTAACCAAAAGATCACAGTTCTCACCGATGCCCCGCATGCATGCACAACTTGCCTCGTACAGACTGGTGTGCAGCATGCCGGTGCCGCGTGCACTCATTCAGCATAAGCAAGGCAACATACTCAAGAGGCATTCCGGGTCTTGCTGCACACAGGAGCTGCATGTGCTCGTTGGGGGCCTCGGCTGCCCTTCAAGGGGACCAATTATTATTTTGAGTGGCAAGGGAGGGCTGCGCACGTGAGAAGCTCGTCGCGCTCGGCGTCCTCAACGACGCCGGAATCGAAGAGCTGCTTGACAAAGTCGGCCTGCTTGCGCAGGACGGCCATGGTGGCACGGTAGGACTGGATGGCCTGGAAACGCTCCGGCGCCTCCACCTCCCGCTCCAGGATGAAGCGCCATACCTGCCCCAGCTCGCTGTCCACCTCCTGCAGCAGCGGCCCCGTCATCGCGTTCGCGCGCATCAGCTGCACCTGTGCGCACACCCACAACAAGCTCTTCTCAGCCACCATTATAAAGAGTCGTTAGATGTTCAACATGCCCATTTCAGCTGCCGCCTTGAGCTTACCTCTGCATGGCAGAGGTGCCTGAACCGAAGGAAAAAGTTCCAGGCATGTCATGTGCTTGTGCATTGCAGAAGTCCTCCAGCCACGAGGGGGTGCTTCTAAAATGGAGCGGAGTGGAGTTTGGGACTCTGCTCGTTACTCCTTCTGTGAGCAGGAGAAGCTGATTGGGCAAAGGAATTGAGAAAACGGGTGCACCTGAGGGGAGTAGGTGAGGCCGAGCATGTACTCGAGGGCGACCTCGCAGGACAGCAGCATGGCCTTGCTCAGCACCACGTGCGCCAGCTGGCCCGCCTGCAGCAGCGGCCATGCCAGCCCCCGCCGCACCGCTTGCCAGCAGCTATTCGAGTCCGGCCGCCGCCGCCGCAGCCGGATCACCGTCTGCGCATGACTCAACTCCTTATCACCCTTTTTCATTTGACACACCTTTTGGCATGCGTGCCACACAATGTGATGGCTGCACTGAGCTGTGGCAGGCATGTGCATGGCAGAGTTCAGTGCGGTGTCAGTGATGGGCGATCGGGGCACCGCACCTTACGGAGCAAGTAAACGAGGTGCGCGAACCAGCGCATGAGGCGGCCGCCGCTGGCGTCCCTCTCCAGGATGCTCCAGCCACTGCGGATGCTGTCCGGCTTGTCGATGATCGTGTCCATGGCATTGTCAAGCACGCGTAGCGCCTGCACCAAAAAAATTACTGACATGTCATCTCGAAATTGCATTGCAGAGCTATGCAAGGACAGCCTTGTTATACTTCATGGCCGCGCCACCTCATAATGCTTCCTGATTTACCACTGGCTTGTTCATGATCTACCTTCATACGTGCACACTCTCATAAACGACATCCACATGTGCATGCAGAAGGCAATGAGTGGGGTGAGCGGAGGTGTGTACCCCGGTGGACAGCAGTCCTTCCATCCTCTTGCCGTGGAAGTAGCGCTTGAGGCCGATGGCCAGGCGCACGCGGCGCTCGGCAAGGTCGCTCGGATGGAACACCGTCGCATCGTTGTCCAGCTCCTGCACCCAACATGCCCCACCCTTTCCACCTTGCAGTCTTCAGCATTCACATGTTCTCCTGCGCTACGTTTTGCTGAATGTGCAGCAGTTTCTCAATAGCCATGACCCTGCTGCCGCAGCGATGCAGACAGATTGGAAGAATTTGCACACCTCGGCGTCAAATGCATCGGTGCCCTTGCCTTCGTCGTCCGGGGCTGAGGTGGACGGCGGGTGACTGGACCCGGGGCCCCCCGGCTCGCTGAGCTGGCGCTTGAGGGCGAGGCCAAGCGCTTTTGTATTTGTGTCGCCGGCCGCCCACGTGCGCTCCTGATCAGGCGCGGGGGAGTTATCAAAGGCGCTCTGCAGCGGCCCGCGGGTGTCGGGTCCCTTGATCGCTGACTGCATGAATGACTGCGACGCCGACGGGTCATCTCCTGTCGCACATGTCAGATTTCAACCCAGCATTGCGGCCTACCCATATCAAAGACACCCCTGTTTACCTTGCTCCTTGGCATCTTAAGAGACAGACACTTGAATGTCCCTGGTACATCCCATTTCTCGAGTTGTCTCTGCCGTGCAATGACAGCAGATATAAAACTCTTGGACGGCCAAGCGGCATGGCTACTCTACACAGGATACCAAAACGTTTTAATAAATCCAGGAACAACCAGTCAGCCAGCTGATTAACAGGGCATGGCACAAATCACAGGGTGAGGCAGAACCGCGCACCGCCGGCGCAGGACGGCTTGAGGTTGCCGAAGGCCTCGAAGAGGGAGCGGTGCTTGTCGGGGCCGTGCATCACGGAGCGAGGCCAGGAGGAGCCCGGGTCGTGCGGCATGGAACCCGAGCGCGCGGCCGCCGCGTAGCGCTGCCCGGTCGCGCCGCCGATGGTCGACACGCTCTCCGGGTCCTCGCCCTCGCGCATCCCTGAAAACGCCTCAAACAGCGAGCGGTGCTTGTCGGCCCCCTGGCGCACCACAAGAGAAGTCAACATCATCACTTATTTAATTTTGCATCTATGTTTCACCATCTATTTGTTTTACATTTGAAATTTGTCCTGCGCTGACCAGAAGCTATGTAATGCACATACTCCTTCATGCTCCCAAGCAGTCAACGGCATAAAGCGTGGACTGATTGAACCAAGGGGTAGTTCTCAGGATGCAATCACTGGGTGTTGTGTGGACAGGCCGCCATCCAAAGCAGGCTTTGCGGACGGCTTCCAGGCAAAACAAAGGGTAGCGCAGGATGCGAACGCGCACATGCATGATGCTGCGGTTCCAGCTGCTGGTGGGCGAGGGCAGGGTGCCGCTGCGCGCGGCGGCGAGGCGCTGGGCTGCAAGCAGGCGCTGCTGCTGCCCCGGGGAGACTGGCGTGCGCGGCTGGCCGGCGTCAGGGAACGCCTGCAGCAGGGAGGGCCGCGCATCGGCCCCCTGCGCCACCGCGCGCGGCCAGGACATCGTCGAGGTGAAAGACCCGCGCGCGGCCGCCTGCTTCACCGAGCCCTTCAGCAGGTCGTCCCCGCTGGAACTCTTAGGTATGCTGGGGCCAGCCTGCAGACAACAGGGACCAGATTGTGTGATAACCTGCGTCTCTTGAGCCAAGAGTACTGCCGCCTCCACACCCTGGGGGTTTCAGCGGTGTTGTTCAATCGAGGAAAGGACACGTCTGGAGCAAACAAGCACCGAGCTTCTCCTGACCACCAAAAGCCACGCATGCCAATTTTTGCTGCAAAATGGGCTGCGAGTCCTCTTGAAATTCCGAAAGCAAATCGGTGCAAAAAAGATGCAACAGGAAACAAAAGGCTTGCCTGGCCAGGTGGCGGTTTGGTCTGTCCAGCTGTGGGGAACGCGGCCAGCAAAGACGGCCGCCCGCCCTCGCCGTGCGCCGCGCTGCGGGGCCAAGACACGGTGGACGATGCGCGCACATCCGCGCGGCTTTCCCCAGCTTCCCCGTCGGCCGGCGCCGTTGCGCGTGCCGGGCCCTCTGCCGGGGGCGGACCCCCCGCCTGCTCGAGGGGAGTGGACCCCAGGTTGGAGCGCGGCGGCGAGGAGCGGCCAGCCCCGGGAAAGATGTTGGAGAGTGGGGGCCGCCGCTGGTTGCCGCTGGTGACGGAGCGGTGCCAGGACACCGTGGGCGACCCGCCCCGCGGCGTCGGCCCCTGCTCGATCTCCCCGGGCACTGTAGCCGCCCTCAAGATGCCCGTGCGGCTCTGCACAAGCAACGCAGCACTTCAAGCTCCTCATAGTATACAAATGCACTAGGTTCACACAGCGCCCACAGACCGTCCTATCCCGACCCGCATGTGCTCTGATGGGGGGTTCAGGCATCTCACTGTGTGAAGACGGTGAAGGTGGCATCACAAAGGCACAGTCAGGAGCAGACCACATGCCTGGTTGGTCATCTCGACGGCGGGCGCAGTGAGGGACATCTGGCTGTCGTGCACGGACTGACTGGAGGGGGCACTGCTGTTTGTGCCGGAGGCGGGCGCCGTCCTGGGGCTGGGTATGCTCTTAAGGCTGCCGCCGCTCGCCAGGCTCTGCCCGCCCGGCGCCTTCATGCGCAGGTGCTTCAACTTGCGCGTCGCCGTTGCCAGACGCTCCTGCCACACAACCAAGGTCCTCTCAGCCGCCGCCAGATGCATGTGCAAGCAACTGTGCAAGCAGCCAGCAACACTGAGAGACAATGACTGTATGAAGCTGGGCAGCTGGCAGTTAAGAGCTGATTGTGAGCCGCCACAACACATTAACTTGGGGGACCTAAGGGGCGGAGCACGGCCACAGGAAGGACAGTGAGAGGGCACAAAATGAAGGCTGACAGGGCAGCACCTGAGCAGGGGTGCCATAGGAGAGGCTGAGGTTGTTGGTGGTGCTGATGGAGTCGCTCCAGGCAGCGCCAGCCGGCACCGGCAGGGGGCCGCCCGGGGTTATGACAACCTTGCATGCGGCCGCCTGCACCGCCTTGGCAGAAGACTTTGCACGCGGTGTGAGCGCTTGTGAGTCGAGACTGCCTATTGAGGACGTCTTCTGCATCTCTGACATGGTAGCCTTGCCCTTCCCCTTCTTGCCGCCGTGCTTGCTGCCATCCTTGGCCCCCTGCACACAGATTTTGGCCCTTGTTAACTCTGTACACACAATCTGAGCCAAGCACACCTAGGCTGATCAGCCCTGCTGCCGAGCTGCTGCAAGTACTTACAGCCAATCGACGCAGACAGAAACAGGACCACCCTTGCACAGTTGGGGCATCAATCAGCACCTATACAACAATACTGCAAATGGGTGGAACACGTCGCAGACATGCATGATCAGAAACACGTAGTACGCATCAGCGTCTGAATCTGTCATAGACTATGCATCGGCGACTGGGGGCTGTGTCGCGCACTGGTAGGTGGGGAAGGTGCGAGGCATCCACGCCAGTGATGGCTTCCACGGCTTCTGGCAGCTTCATGGGGCCGGCCTGGCTCTCCCGGTTCAGCTTGACAGGCTTCTTGTCGCCGTTGGCCCTGTCCTGCGCAGACCGCGCGCCCATGACACTCTCGCGCGCCAGGAATGGCAGCTCGTTGTGATCCGAGGAGCCGTCCTCCGAGTCTGACCCGCTGCCAGTGTCCGAGTCCTCAGCTGCAGCAATAGGAGGTTGAATCAATAGCACTGGGCGAGGACAAAATTTATGCATGCGCTGCTGCATGCTTAGTAGTGATACTGACGGCACCTCAGCAAGCAATTGAGAAGCATTGGAGCAAGGCCAGCATTCATACATGTGCCGCCGCATGCTCACAAGAAGAACTTGCAAGTGGTGCCTGGCAACGGATATGCCTAGCTAGTAGAGTCCTTCCAATGAATTGATACCATGGTGGTTGGTCCCACGCTATTGATATGTACAATTCAAGTGCGCAAAAGTTGAAGGGAGCTGGAGGCCATGTCCGCACCAAAGCCAGTCTCAAGATCGGCAGGCATGGACCACTCGGAGGCGCGGCCGAAGACGCGATCGGCCTCCATCATGGTGAAGTTGGAGTCCAGGCCGGAGCTGTTCATGGACCGGTTGGTGGGCTTCCCTAGGGCCCCCCGCGTGTGGTGACTGCCATTGTAGCTGTGGCTGTGGGTGGAGGTATCCTTCTTCCTGCAGGGATACCAGAATAAATCTGGTTTATTCAATTGCATCCATTATCTGATGGCCACTTCCAGCAGTCCTTGGAGGGTCAAAATCTGTGCCACTATTAAAGAAGACAGCGGAAATTGACAAGATGCAAGAGTCGAAACTGTACTCTGATCCATGCCAGTGACGCCACATACAGACATCAGACCTTAATGTTCATGTCAAGAGGGCGAAGGGACTCAAGACATAGGAGCGCACTTGGCAGGCTTGTAGCACCATGTCCACGGCAGGTACCACACGCGCACTCTGGGCGCCACATAGAGGGGATCCAGGTAATGTTGGTAGCACTCTTTGAGATCCACATACTTCTCCACCCCGCCCCAGTCCACCCCTTGCACACATCACACTCGCTCAGCCCGAGCTTGCAACTACTTGCAAGTCCCTGCCTATAAAACCTGTTAGCTCAAATAGGTGCCAGTGCGTTCTCCACAAAGCACAATTGTTTCCACTTTTTGAAGTCAAGGAGAGCGCACACCTCTGAGCATCTCGTCCTCATCGTTCCTCAGGTCCCTGATGGAGTGATTGGTGTGGGACATCAAGGCATGGACAGCTCTCTTGCGCATCCTCATCTTGGCGTCCGGAACTGCAGCACATTACATGTCATGCACAGGCAAAAGACTCCAGTGCTTTGCACAGCCTTGATCAATCAAATCAAAATGTGTGCATCAGAAGTGGTGATTCAGCGCTCACCCTTTGCTAGCCCGCTGACCCGCAGGAAGAAGGGCAGCAGGGGTGCATTAATGACCAGGGTCATCAACACAAACCCAGCCGTCCACAGCACTATCTCCGCCTTGATTTTCTGCACAACGATCACAACCTCGTCAACAGGTGAGCCTGTCACGGTGCAAGCATGCTCCAAGCCACCCTTACAAAGACAGCACGGCTGTGCAACCACATATGCACCCACAGCCAGGGTCATCCCCGTCTCCCTTGTGATCACGTTTGTGATCCATGTGCTTGTGCATTGCAATGAGAGGCAGCGCTGGCGCACCGTGACTTCTGGGCCAGCATTGCGAGAGGCAGGGTCCACCACGACCGCCTGAGTGAGGATGAGGGAGACAGAGCCTCGCAGCCCGGCGACGGTGGCGAAGGCAATCTCCTTGAAGGGCAGGTCCTGACGGCTGAGGCGGAACAGCGGCCTGAACAGGCAGATGAGCAGGAAGCGCACAATGAAGATGATCAGGTAGACCAGAGGAAACCGCCACAGCGTGCCCGTGAAGGCCGACAGCTGCCCCTGAGCCTGCAGCTCCTGTGCTGACCTGTGAATGACCACTTCGTCAGTGCTGCAGAAGAATCACACAATCTGTCTGTCATGTCTGTGTAGAAGAGGAGAGGTAGACAAGCCAATATGAGCAGTTATGAGCATGCACTTGAGATAGTGGGCAGAGGGAACGGAACCCTTTATGGACTCACGAAAAGAAGGCCCAAAGAAGAGGAAATGAAACTCTCAAACAGGGAAGGCTCAAAAGCATGGGGCAAGTGTACAGAGGCTTCTGTTGACTGAAGATAGTGCAGTCCATGGGGGACCGCACCTGACGAAAAAGTTGATGCATGCAACACCGGAGTAGAAGAAGACAATGGCATTCACAATGAAGGCGATAGTGTCCCAGAACGCATCAAAGGCGCCGCTCTCCTCCACCTTGACTGACATGTCCCACTTGGAGGTCGCCGCTCCATACAGACCAAACACAGCCACCGCAATCACCCCTGCCCCACAGAAACTCCTGTCAGAAATGCCAGGAGATGATCTTTTGTTGGAGCCATGCTCAGTACCTCCAATATTCCATTCAAAACAACTCCATTTTCTGTATCCTAGCCCATGAGAACATGCATGGGAGATTGCTGCAGGAGTGCTCACTGTTTCTTACAGACTGTCACAGTGTTCGACGTAAACATGCCTTTGCTAATTATTTATTAGGACCCCTCCTCTTCCTGTCAGATAAGCGCGCACCTGAGACATGGGCTGGGGCATTGGCGGTGTAGTAGGAGAGGTAGCCGATGGCAAAGGTCATGGCGACCTGCTGCTCTATGCCAGCGCCCAGGTGGCGCATCCAGCGCAGAATGTAGCGCATGACAATCCCAAAACCCAACCCAATCAGCGCGCCGCCCACAGCCAACCACAAAGTCTTGGAGACTATGTTTCCCAATACCTCCCCACCCGACGCAGTCTGCCCATTCCGCATGTCCTGCACCTGTGCATGCCACAGCTGTTTCTTAAGTGCCATTCCTGAAGCTATTTTTCCATCTGCATGGCGCCACACGATATGCCTTGACAGTCAAATAGCTTGCACAATAGTGGATGCCGACACGGCATGCATGCAAATAGTGCTCAAGGTGACCAGGACAAGCTCACCTCAGCCAGAAAAATGGTGAAGAGGGTGATGGAAGACGCGTCGTTGAGCAATGACTCCCCTTCCAACAGCAGCCGCAGACTCCTGGGGCCCCCACCTTTGCCACACAAATCTGGGATTTTAGAACCCAACAAGAAGAAATAGCCGATTTTGCCTCGAGGGAACTGCAAGAGGAACTTCCCAGAGTCAGCAGCAGCAGGCTGGAGGAACCCTCACTCGTCTTCATGGTGGCAACAATGGCCACAGCATCTGTGCTGGCGCACATGCTGCCAAACAAAGCCACATACTGCCACGTCCAGCCATCGCTCCTCAAGTCCAGGACATAGAGCATGATGGGGATCAGCAGGCCACAGCTCCCCGCCACCACCAGAAATGCCAGCGTCAGGATCTTCACCCATGCCTGCTCCCAACACCCAATACATCTTCAGCCTCAGAAGCATTACACAGCGTATGTGGAGCTGTAAGGTACAAAAGCAGCTGAGAACCGCTGGATTTTGGGAGCGCACCTTCTTGAAGAGGAAGAAGTCAATGCGCACGGCTGCATCCAGTAGCAGTGGTGGCAGGAAGACATAGAGGAAGAGCTCGTAGGGCTCTATTCCTAGCCACCAGGCAATGGAGTTTCCCAGGTGGCCCATACCGCCGTTCGTGGGAAACATGAAGGCCTGAAGGATGCCGCCTGGCAGTATGCAGTCACATTTCACTCTGAGTCGGTGAGGTGATATGAGTGACAGCAAGAAAGACAGCAGTGCCGATGCCAGTCAAGGTCTCGCATCACGAAGGTTGATGAAGGGATGAGGAGGCTACCAGCAATAAGGACCATTGTGGTGGACATCCTGCCCTGGAAAAGGCAGGCGAGCACCACCGCGATCGCTGGGAATAGCAAGACATCGAAGCTGGACTCTGGAACCGTACACCAAGTGTAGCTCTCTGCACAGGCACAACATGATCAGGAGGAGGTTATGCAGACAGTACTGGGGTGCAAATGCGTTGTGAACTTATTTGCTTGGCGACCGGTCTGCGATTCTGACCCAGCAGTGCGGAATCCTAATAGCTGGATCAGACACTTGTTGTTTAGTCAGAAGACGAGGGAGGAGCTCCACTAGCACGGCCGCATATGCTTAAGATATCAGAGCTCCAATATCTCTTACTAACAGACAACCGATGTCTAAATCTACCATGGAGATGACAATAAGCAACTGTTTTCCCCGTTGGTGCCTGCCAATTTCCACCATTAGGTTTTTAGCAGGTCGACATCAGCATGACATCAAGTCCGAAAAATCCGCGCACCTTTATTGTCATAATGTTCGCTGTAGGAGATCTTGTGGTCAACGCATACGTCCGCATGGTGGTCACCTTCGGCGACCATCACCAGATCAACTCTTTTGTATCACAGAGTATCCTTGTAACTTTGATGTCCGTAGAACATTGTACTTTCACAGTCTCGGCCATAAAATCCTTCAAGCATGTGTTTCATTTCATTTTTTATCCTTTGTACATGGAAGCAGGCTCGAATGCATCGCGCGCAAGGATGTCTGTGGTCAGTCTCGCACCAGTCTGCCGAGGCGTGCCCTGCACTTTGTGGTGTTGTGGGATTTCAGGTCAATTGTGTCCAATTTCGACAGGTATAATGTAATGATGACGTACATAATGCATAGAACAGCACGCAGGAATTAATCTGATAATGGCGTCACTGTGTTCCACGTCGGGTAGAGGCAGCCAGATCCCTTTCATCTGTGTCTTGAGATGCAAGAAAGCTGGTGGAATCTGGCAGGCAGGTCAAAAACGAGCTTTGAATGAATGTAGAAACAGTAATTTCAGATCTGAAAGTGGACCTGAAGATAAGCAGTGTCTTGAGGAATCTGTGCATTTTGAGCTGCCAGACGAGCTCCAAGGTGTGACACAGCCATGCATGCGCCACAATCTTGGACCTCGCAGGGTGTCACAAATTTTCCAGCTGATTATCAAGGTTTTTATCAGGAGCCAAGCACATCTGTATGCAGGGCTTACAATCAGCGATGACGGTCAGTATCTGGTGGACAGCAAGACTGGAAACACAATAAATGAGTTCGGTGCCACGCGCTTTGATGTGGCTGTGCGAGGTGTGGGGTTCAGTCTGTACATCTACTATTTTCACACATGAAGAGCCACCAAGGGATTTTCCACCAACAGCGTTTCTGACTGGAAACTCTCACTGCTGTGCTGCAGCACTGCGGGGTGAGTTTGACCCTCCGAAGAATGTCGAGGTAATCATTCTCTGCGGTACTGACTGTGTGAAGATTGAACTAGACGGCCTGCAGTATGGACAAGTGAGGCTCTGGCATCAAATGCATGAAGATGGAATGGGAGAGTGGCATGCAGACATTGAATTCGTGCATTGCAGAACACAGAGCATGATGACAACATTCTCATAGGGGCTCTGAAACGATTTCCCCTGATGTACACATTCAACATTGTCTTCAAGGGGAGTCAGGTAAGGACTTCACCAGCCTGATCATAGTTAAGAGTGTTTGTACAGGCCGCGAGCTTGGGTACAAACTTGGCTTTGACATCCTAGCTGGCGTGCAGGACGAGACAGAAGTGAAGCAGTTCATTAGTGACACATTAATGAGGTGAAGTCCACAGCCTCTTGCAGAAACATCAGCAATGTCATTAATTCCCAAATGATATCTGCAAATCAGTGGTGACTGTCTAGACCACTGCATTGCTAAAGGCTGTGACGGGCGCCCGGAGCTTTACATGCGATTGATTCTGGGCTAAATTTGCTGCAGTGTGAGTGGATCACCGTACCAGGAGTGCAAGCTCTCAGAGAGGCTGAGTGGCAAGTATTTGAGCGTCAAAGCATCGGCACTTGTCCAGAGCCCTGACATGATTGCATCGGTCTTCCAGGAGCTGGGCAAGGACCCGAGAGTGATAATGAAGTATTGATATGATCTGGCTAGTAAAGTACAACTCGTAGTCATTATGGGAGAATAGTCGATTTTATCAGAGGTGCAATAGGTATCATATGGCTGGGCATACATTGTAGCGCAGCATGCTATAGCTAGCTAGCTGTACAGGCCTGCCGCAGGCCTAGGATCCCCCAAAGAATTGCGAAGGCACACACACAAATTCTGCTTTTAGCCGGAAATTCTTAGGATGATGTCTCCTCATCAATGAGCTGCAGGTTCTTCACTACCATGTTCAGTGCTCACCTTTTTCCTCGAGCAAGACTGGCATTCCATGCATTGATTAGTAGCACCATTACTAATAGCAACTAGCTGGCATTTATTAGCAAGTGTCGTAGGCGTGGCTGCAGCTGGCCGGCCGCCGTGGGCATTCACAGATCAAGGACTTCTGGACGGCATCTAGCGAATGGCTGTGAATGTGTGATAAGTATTGTTCGACGCCTCTGTCCTACTGAGAAAACGCTTCAATAGACTTATTTGAAGTGAACCCTCCAGATTATTTTCTTTTATCCCTGGCACGTGCACGCATTACCCAGGCACGCGCTCTTCCAGGCCAGCCACGAAAACACTCTCGGTTGTTCGTCGCCTTCACGAAAGAATGCTTGAAGCTTTGTAGGAGGAATAGTGGGAGTTGTGTGTTGTTCACAGGTTCCAACAGCGTCGTCCAAGTCGCATTTCAAAAGAAGGAGGGGCCCTGTGTCTTCGCTAGGCAAGCCGCCCTTCCTTTAACGTCCGGTCAGTGTGGCTGCTGTAAATTAGAGAAGAACTAGTCTTAAGTTGCTACCGGATAAGATTGTGGACACAATTGAAGATCAGCTCACTAGTTGCTGTGTTATCGAAAGCCCAGAAATCACGAGGCACCTGTTGAGAGAGACGCACTTGCTGTTGCATACTTCCTTATATGATGATCAAAGATTCTAAAGTTCGTTTTGGTGATAATTGCTCCGTGATTGGAGTCTCACGACTCTGCACATTCGATATGCTTTCTCAGTGCTTGACCCGGCTCCCTCGTGTGAATAGAAGTGGAGCTACAGCGCGATGGGGAGTCTTTCATCGGCCAGAGAAGTAGCACCCGAGAAAGGGATAGGCTTTGACAACAGAGAATCGGGAGGAAAGTATGTGAAGCCCGCTCTCGGAAAAGTCGATGCCGAAGGTCCGCCACCACCTAGCTAAGCGCAGATACTCGTGCGACGAATGTGTTCTGAGTCGCTTGAGTTTAATATTTCCAATGTCAAAAACACAAAATCGAAGGCCCACCACGATGAATGCGTCCCTCACTCGCCTAGTTGGTATCTACAAAGCCCTAGTGCAACTGTTACCGATAGATTGTGACATGGCTTCTATGTGCACCAGGGGAAACGGGGATATTTGCAAAAGATGGGATTGAAGAAATCCGACGCAGGTATAAACGGGTGCCAGATGTGGAGGACCCCAGTGATCTTGAGGCCCTGCTGCAATGGCTGCGCAGCAAAAAGGACAGGTGCAGCAAGCTCTTCTTTCAACACGTGCTTCCTTCATCGCTAATCAAAATATTCGAAAATCACGAAAATTAGCACCAATTAAGTTCAGTAGACAATGTTTGACTGGAACGTTGTGCACAGGTTCCAGAAGCAGCGCAAAAAGGACGGTCCGCTAGATTACCTCACTTATGCGCTCCCTGCCACTCGCTGGCTGCGCAACTACAGCTTCAAGCAAAACCTACTGGTGTGCAGTCATAAGAAATCCCCATGCAGACACCTCTTATGTACACCCCCTGTCTGAGCCGCATGCATGCATGTCCAGCAATGCTCCGGCAGCAGTGGATCCACAGATTATTGGTGAGAGTTTCTGCTTCAGGTGGCGCAGTGCCACTCATTCCATATTATCAAATATACTGTTGGCTGATCTGAAATCTGCAGATTTCTTCTGCTGGGAACAGCCACTGACGCCTGATACAAGCACGATGAATACTACAGCAGGAGACCTCACATGCAAATGTGTGCATGTGCAGTATGACCTGGTGGCAGGCATTTCCATCTCTGCCATGATAGTGCCCCATGGCTTGAGCTATGCCAGCCTCAATGGCGGCCTGCCGCCGGTGTTTGGCCTCTACAACGGATTTGTCACCCTGCTCATCTACTCAGCATTTGGCAGCTGCCGCACGCTATCCGTAGGGCCCATCGCCATCATCTATGCCCTGGCAAGTTCCTCCTTGCACCTTTTTCACACATTCTCACAAATTGCATTATCTGCAGCGGTGGCTTGCTCAGAGCACATTGCCCAAATGCACTGCTGGCCATTGGGCATGGAGTTACCCAAAGCTAATTAGCTAACAGATAAAGCGAATGGCTTTGTAGCTGCCAGTGACTTGATATAAACCAAAAAGATCAATATAAACCAAAAAGATTGAGGCATGACCAGCACCACCAAAGAGAAGAAGCATGCCGGCATGATACACAAATTTGTCTTTTGAAAAGCAGCAAAGTGCTGCTGCCTTAAGGCTGCAGTCTGCTGCACAGGTGTATGACGGCGTGAAGGACCTGAACCCAGTGTACACCAAGATCACGGACCATAACAATCCAAAGGGGGCAGAGCAGATTGCTGCGCAGCTCGACTTCAACACCTACGTGATTCAGGTGCGTGTTCCGCTCAATCTGTGAGTTCACTTATGGTGGCGCATGCAAAGGTTTTTCTGAGGATGGCTTTGCGTGGGAGTCTTCCTGGAGGATGGCTTGCATGTGAAACATGGGCAGTGAGAGCATGTGACATCAGAGGCCCAAGCAATAATCCTGCTTGCGCAATTCCTGCAATGATTGCTAAATTTGTTGCATCAGCTCCCGACCATCACTGCTCTGCTGTCTAACCAAATGCTGATGTATCCACAAGCTAGTCAATGCAGATTTGCTACCTCGAGGAATGCGCTTGCCATGGATTGTTACCAGGACGGCCTGCCAAATAGCTGATAACTCCCTCGACGCATATCCTCATTTGTGAATGTGCCTACTGACATCGCCAGTGAATTTAAACAATCAAAGTGATGGTGTGCTGATGTGTGTGCCCAGGTTACCTTTCTGGTGGGCGTGATTCAGCTGCTGGTATGGGCGCTGCGTCTTTCCTTCCTGCTCAAGCTGCTCTCCCGCTCCGTCATGTCCGGCTTCACCACCGCCGTCTCTGTCATTTTCATCACTGCCAATGTGCGCCGTCCACGAGACCCTTTGACCTCTCAAATCCGGGATGTATAAAGTCACTATCAGGATTTCTAGGATCCCCTGTAATCTTTACACTGTTCTGCTGCCTGAACTTGTCAGCCCGCTCATTACAGCGCCTCAGAGATTCACTCAAGCGTCAGGATCTGATATATCAGAAGAAAGGAAAGGAAGCAAGCAGAAAAGAGGTACATGTGCATGCGTGTGATTGTGAGTATGTGGCCATCTGGACGTACTCGGATTCTTTGATGTTCATGGCTTACAGAGTTTTGGGTGATTTGGGCTGTGCAGATTAAGAATCTGGTCGGCTATTCCACAGCGTCCTCCAATCGGGTATACATCCAGATCTACTACATCTTCAAGAACATCCGCGGCTTCCAGTGGCAGGAGTTTGTCATGGGAGGCCTGCTGCTGCTCCTGCTGTTCTTCTTCCAATTCCTCAGCAACCGCAACCCCAGGTGTGACTTGGGCTGTTCCTCCTTGAAATTGTCACATACAAGAAGAAGAAACCTCCCACGTCTTAGTGGCATCTCCCTGCAACTAGCATGGTGCTGACTTGCTCTGCAGTGGTGCCAGAATTTTAAAAATCTGTGATAAATGTATGAGCTACTTCTGAAGATACTGGAATTTGTTCATCCTGGGAGATCGTTCCAAGGAAGAAAGCATGGTGGATGTGTGCACACAGGAGGCTGCGTTTCTTGAAGGTGTTTGGGCCGCTGACAGCAATGGTGATTGCCATAGTTCTTGTGGTCACGCTGCACCTGGACAAGAGGGGCATCAAAGTGGTCGGCAAAATCCCCAAGGGCCTGCCGCCAGTCACAGTGCAGCAGTGAGCATCTCTGTTCTCACCATTGATTAGCTTCCACTCAGTCCTACATCAAGGACAATTGTTGTATTTAAGCAGTTCCTTTTGCCAGTAAGAAAGCTGCTGAAAACTAGCCAGAAGTCCTTCTGTTGACTGGCATGCTTCCCAGAGATGGCAAGGTCATTATGCCAGATCTGCAGGGGTGCTTGATCCATGACTTTGCTTGTCATCAGGTGGTTTCCGATGAAGCACTTTGGGAGGCTGCTGACGGTGGCCATCACGGCCGCTGCTGTTTCTCTGCTGGACGCCAACGCCATAGGCAAAGTGGTGGCCGCGAAGGGTGCGCCCAATCCCAGCCTCACTCACCGCTATATGTCCACCTAGTCACGGCAGAGAACATGAGCCAGCAGCACATAGCCTGTGAACTTACTTGATTATTGCGCTCTGCCTGACCATGTTGTCAGAGACACGTGTCCTTGTTCTCACACATTCAGAAGGATATGCTGACCCATGATAAGTTGGGACTATAGGCGGATATAAAACGGACAACAGTGGAGAGTTTCTAGCAATCTCCCTCATGAACCTGGTCGGCCCCATCTTCAGCTGCACAGCAACTTCCGGCAACTTCTCGCGCACTGCGGTGCGCACAATTTTCTCCCCCTGCGTCCATTTGTTCATGCCCTGAAGATGATCCTTCTTCTATTGCCAGCCGCTCTGCAGACCTGCGCATCACCTTCCTGTTAAAATCCAGCACAGTCGAGCATGCTCGTCCTAGCGAACATAATTGGCAACCCTCCATTGGACTGTCTCTTTCCATGTTGAGTCAGCCACAGGCATTTTGAAAGAGCCCTCAAACATGACTTATGGCGTGTACATTTGTGCTATTTCAATTTCAAAAATAAATTTCAAAACTTGACCCTGAGGCATGTGTGCACAGGTTTGGACCCAGATCGGCGGCAAGACGCAGCTGGGAGGCTTTGTGACAGCCTGGATCGTGGCGCTGTGCTTGCTGGTGGCCACCGGTGCCTTCAGGTACATACCCAACAACACGCTGGCAGCCATCACAATCTACGGCCTCTCCGGCCTCTTTGACGGCCAGCACGCGCTCTACCTCTGGAAGGTCTGCACTCCACCGTTATATTACTTTCTGCAGTGTGGTAATTGAGTATTGCTCACCGACTACTACCCAGCTCCCTAGCCTAGCAGCTGGTGGGACACATGTGGGGGCTTCGGCCGTGCAGGCCTGCAAGGGACTGAAGCCCATGGCAGTGCAGCCTTAATATCTGCATGGCGGTTTCACATTATCGTGTGTGGATTTGAATGAGTGGCGGAAATGGCTTCAAGTTGCGCTCACTGTTGTGATCAGCAGGAAGACCGGCAGCTGCAGGGCAGGGCCATGTGCAACGCTGCTGTCCACACAGAAAGGATCCGGTTTCTCTCTGGTTGTGGGAAGAGGCTGCATGGCTGATGCTGCATGCATGCTTGGGGACAGGTCGGCAAGACGGACTTCCTGATCTGGAATCTGGCCTTCTGGGTTGCCACCATGCATTCTGTGGAGCTGGGCCTGGGAGCCTCCATCGGCGCCTCCATCCTCTTCACTGTCCTCCGTACAATCTCCACCCAGCTCAAGCACAAGGGTGAGCTACCGAAGCTTCCCTTCTGCCCGGAATTGAGTTCAAGGGATGGACGGCATACAAGGGGGGTATTCTACAAGGTTTGTGAAAGGCATGTGATGACGATGCTTTCAAGGAAGCATCACCGGGATGCCTATCATGCTGAGCGCCTTCTCTTGGCAACAAGTGAAACTCGTCTGCTGCATGTACAGTATGCCGGAATATCAGAACGGGACAGAACCCGCGATTTGATTCGATAGGCAAGCTGAAGATTCTTTTCAGAGAATCAACGTAAAAGGATGCACATGTGGAAACGGTGGGCATGCGAAAAATGATGCACATGTGCCTGCAGGTGAGGTGCAGGACTCCAGCGGACCTGTGTACCGCAGCGCAGCCCACTACGGCGCAGCTGAGCTGCACCCCTCGGTGCGCGTGGTGGCAGTGGAGGCTGACATCTACTTCCCCAACGTGGAGGACCTGCAGGACAGCCTGGCAGAGCTGCGCGAGTTAGAGGCAGTAAGTGCATAATCTGGCTGTCACCTGCATGCAAGGCGAAGTGAGAACTGGACACAGCGGTGAAAGTTAGACATCTGGTCTCTTCACCAGTAGGAGCAACGAAGGGGGTTTTACTGTTCTGCGGCAAGCCTTGCATGCATGGCAAGCTCCACTGAGGGATTCCTTCATGCCAGACATGTTACCATGGGCATGTGCTCATGCAGGCTCGAGGGAATCAGCTGTCCTTCATCATCTTGGACCTGTCGGCTTCGCCACACATCGACCCAACCGCCATCCACTTCCTCAAAGAGATCATCGCGCAGAACGCAGAAGGGTGCGCCGTTGCTTCTGCCTCACCCATTGTTCACAAGCCCAGCCTTCAGAATGTAAAATGACCTCTATCACTCCCACTGCATGCTTTCTTGACAATTGTGAGTACCATTGCTGGCAGCAAACAATTGTTGGCCACCAGGGAAGAGAGTGTGGGGCCTTGGTCTGGCGGTGCACTACAAAGCTTTGCATGCGTGTATGGCAGTGACAATAAGAATGGAATGTGGAATGCAGGGGCGTCACTGTCTTGCTGGCAAATCCCAGCCAGCAGTTTCAGGCCACCCTGCAGCGAGCGGGCGTGCTGGAAAGCGTGGTGGGCGCTGCCCGCCTGTTTGTCAGCGCCCGCGATGCTGTCAGCTTTGCGCAGGACACGCTGACAGCATCCAAGGTGTGAATTCAGCACTGTGCGGTAGCGTATGCCATGGCACAATTCGTGCGGAGCTGGGAATCATGACTGAATTCACATGCTTTCTGGTTACGGATGTGCAAGGCTGCGCCTCGGCTGTGAGCAGCGTTGACATTGTTACATGGCCAATGTTTGCATCCTTGCCTACCAATGAGGCCTCGCCAATGCGGCGCTGAAGTATATGAACAATGAAGAGGGTCACGTTCTGTTCATTTTTGTAGCTATGTATGAAGTGCACACTACACTTCTGCAAACGATTCTTGAGCAGTTCAAGCAGTGTATTCTAATGACCAACATATTGCCCTGACTTCCAAGTTGACAGATTTGTTTCTCTTAGTGCAAGATAACATTGCACTTTTCTAATTGTAAAAGTACCGTTATCCACTAGCCCGCATTTAGCAAGAAGTTGCCCAAATCATGCATAGAAAGCACGGGTTTCCTGCTCCCTCGAGCCAGCGAGCATATGTTCAGATGCCACATATGCTTTGCAGCATTCTTGAGATACACCCTCCACGGACTGAGCCCCAGATCACATGCCTCCAGGGCACAGCGCTTAGGCGCAATCGGCACATCACCAGACACCCAGATCACGACGGTCAGCCGTAGATCGCAACAAGCTCGAGGATGTCCGGCATCTTGGCGATGTAGTCGAAGTGCCCGGCGATGATGGATGTCAGGTTTATGTTCTCCACGCCGGGGCACTTCATGGGGCAGAGGCCGCCGGCGCCCTTGACAAAGCCGTTGGCGCCGCGGTAGATGAGCCCGAGCACCCAGTCGCGGCGGCTGTACGCGTTGACGAAGCGGCCGGCCACCGCGCTGCGCGCCATGGCCCACCGCTCCAGCCGCGTGCTGACGGGGACCCCCATCAGCACCACGTGCTCCACCACGCCTGTGAGGACAGATGACAGCAGGTCAGGCGCTTGTGTAGAAAGGGTGGCAGCTGCAACAGCATGTGAGGAGGACCTCAGTGCGGCTGTGTTGCACGGCTGGCCCGCAGTGGGGCTTGACAACGTTGTACAGTCGAGGCTCTCCTTGGGTAGTTTGCATTGAAAAGTGATCAGAACCAAGCTCGGGCTACGTCAGGCCCTGCCCTCATGCCCGCGATGCATGCCCATGAATAGCTTTTTCTTGGTGTCAGCATCAAGATGGCAGAGAGTGTGGAGAAAAACTAATGACACCAACCATTGACAAAGCACAGTCGGCAAGCCACTGCCGGGCACAGTGACCAGAGCCTCACACTGACACACGCTCTTCACAACTGTGCACAGAGCGTCCAAGTGTCCTTGACCGCTGCCACTCCAGACAGAAACAAATGGGGAGAGAAACCAGTGGAGAGAGGAAGCAGCGCACCCTTGGCGTTGTTGCGGCAGAGTTCGAGGAGGCAGTGGAAGATGAGGCGGGCGCCCATGGAGTAGCCGACCAGGATGACTGGACGATCCCCGTGGCCGCCCGCCATCAGCGTGTGCGCCAGCAGCACGCCAGCCTTCTGCGCGCGATCCAACGCCACCACCCAAGCGTGATCTATCATCTGCACATCCCAAGCAATATTATCATCATTGTGAGTCTTATTGTTGATATTAGTATTAATATTATCACACGCTTTTCCTGTCAAGAGGCAAGGTGCGTCCTGCATACAAGCTGCAGTCAAAGGCTGCCATAAACCTACCCCTTGATGGACTCGCCAGGTCCAAGCAAGATCCAATCAACCGTGGGCACGCAATATTACATACAGCAATCACGTGTCAAAAATCAGAATCGCAGCCATCATGAGCGCGTCTTCTGCGTACGGATTAATCTCAACAGTGGCGATTCTAGAGCTGCAACCCAACACAGCCGCCGTTCCTGTTGGTGCCACACATCACGCTGCCTCCGCATCTGGGCATCAAACAAATTGCAGCGGGAACAAACATGCTTGAACAGCCTCATGAAGCTGCATCCACCACACCAGACCTCGCTGTGATTGAGCCTCTGCACATGTCTGGCATTGCAAGTGCAAACTGCCCATTGAAGATCGGTTCTTCAGGCGATTCTTTCAATAAACAAAAAATTGTGCATGAAAGCGAGGGGCCGCGCCTGGGAGAATGAGACGAGGAGCCAGGGGGTGGCGAATGCAGCAACGAGGCCGGTGTAGAAGAAGTGGGTGATGGTCAGCTTGGCGATCTCCTGGTAGGCCTGCTGCGCCATGAAGCTGGCAATGGCGGTGTTGAGCGCCAGCAGCTCCTTGCTCTCCCAGACCAGCGTGAACACCTCGCTGTCGGGGGCCTTCAGCGTTGACCAGATCTTCAGGTAGTCCTTGCGGTCCCCTACCCACCCGTTCACGCCTGCGCGCATACTTTTTTTGTGAGGTCACATATCTTTCACAAGGTGGCGACAGGTAGAAGCTGCATTGCAGAGAATGAGCCAGGGAGCCATGGGATTACAAGCCGCACTGTAAACTGACAGATGCACGCCTCCCCTGCTGCTCACATCAGGAGCGTGTGAATGAACGGATCTTTGATGGTTATTGTGCGCAAGCGTGGCACGAAGGTTGTGGTGCGGCGAGTGTGACTTGATAAAAAAAGGGTAGAGAGAGAAAGTCACCGATGGTGAGGGACATGCGCATGTCGTCGGTCCTGCTGTGGGGCGAGATGGGCGCGCACAGCAGCGGCGGCTCCCTGAACTTTGGCTTCCACAGCCACCTGTGGCCACAGTCATACCCCCACTCAGCCAATCCCACTTTCGCAACGTTGTGTCTCATCAAGACTGGAATGACCTGCGCATGTCATGTCAGCAATTTTGAGGTCCAGAGCCGCAGGCACATGCATCCCTCAGAGAATTTGCACGCACCTGATGCCTTCCTTGTCAGAGCCGCCCCTCTTCTTCTTTGGCTCCCCCAGGGAGTCCAGCGAGGCGCTGCTGCCGTACACGTTCCCTCTAGCCATTCCAGGCGAAGTCTTTTTATCTGCCTCACCCGCCGCCCCTGTCCCACTCTCCCCGCCCAGTTTCCCGCTGTCCTGCCCTCTCGCACTCCCTACAGCAGATTGACTGGTCGAGGCCAGTCCCCCAGAAGCCGCCCTGCTGACGTGCTCCATGCTGGGCTTCTGACCGACCGGCTTCTCTGAAGAAACATTCGAGGCTTGCTCTGAACCCGACTGGGCTGCTGTGCTGGTGCTGGGGGAGGTTTGGGGTCTGGGGCTGCGCTCTGAGACCACAACCGACGGCGCTCCCATGCGGGGGATAGCGGCAAATGAGATGTGGCCCGCGTCCAGATCTGGCGCCGGGGGATCCTCGTCCATGAGCGAGCGGCCGTGGGCGGACGGCTGCAGCTCCTTCAGCTCCACAGCCACACTGCATGGCGCCGGTATTTCATCCACACTAGTGCACCAGCCATGACAATAGCACATCTCTGTAAAATGTCTGGTACTCCTTTGCAATCTACAAGCATTGACGCTGCTGTTACAAGGCAACATGTCCAAGCTCTTGGAACAGTGGAATTGTTCCTGTGGCGCTGTTTCTGCACTGCTACTACAAACGTGCTGTCACAAAGGCGCTGTTCGAGTGATGAAGGAAGGTGGTACGACAGGGCTGTCACAAAGACCCTTGTAACAATAGCGCCAATGTGTCAGCAGTGACGTTACTTCAGTTGTGTTCTGTAACGCTACTATTGATACAGTGGCATTGTTACGTTGTTATGCTCCTGTCAAAATTCTGCTATGGTCGGGAGTCGTTGGAATTTGAAGGCGAGGAAAGGCACCTGCTGGCGCGGGAGTGGTTGGAGGGGGGCTTGGGGTCATTGGGGCTACGGTACTGCAGGAAGGCGTCCAGTTCCCCTCGAGGGCTGAAGGTGGGGTTAGGCTCGGCCGGCCGCTTCTGCTGTGGAGTGACCGGCGCCGCCTGAGCATCGTCCCAACTGGACGCCCAGCCCTGCTCGCTGTCTTCCTTGCCTGCTCTGGCTGCCTGCTTCTCCGGTGCCCCCTTCAACTGTTCTGCTTCCTGTGCGACCCAGACAGTGACTGTCAGGTGCAAGACATGCTGAGGATGCACTTTGTTCTACGGGATACTGTCTGAAGACAAGCCACATGTAGGTCCATGCAAGCGTTAGATGCCACTGTAAGCTGACAGAAGACCTGAGCGCCGAGGAATGCGATGCTTACTTTCCTTATTTTGATGAGCATGCCTGAGCGGGAATGCTTTGATGAGAGTGCGGCATAACACACCTTGAGGGGACTGATATTGTGCTGCTCGTTCTTGTCTAAAGCGTCCAGCGAGGCTGACCCCTTTAGGCTGCCTGACGACTCCAGAGGCGGCGGCACCTCATCCACATTCAGCAGCGTGGACTCGTTCACCTCCCAGAACCCAAATTCCTTCACATTCCCTGCATTCCAAAGGACATTGATAACTGAAAGATCAATTCTCCTTCTCCTGACCACCTGCACCTCATAAAATAATGCCCGATGCTCCCATCAAACTCGGAACAGCGCAGCATGGCAAGCCGATGCCAGACAGCTGCACACGCACTGCTTCAGCTGCTCTACTGTAAATGATTTAAAACACTCAAAATACCACAGGTTTAAGGAAGCTCCATGTTCCAGCAAATATATTTCAATCACTGAAATACCAGAAGTCGAGGGAGTCAGAGATACCTATGCGCCGCGCCATGTGCGTGCCGGCATAGCTGCCGCCAGCGACGCCCATGCTGGACACCACGGCTGCCGTGCCGGCAGTTGTCGCCAGGAATCCGGACGTGCCAGCCGCAGCCGCCGCGCCGCCGCCCGCCAGCGTTATTGCCGCCCCGATCCCCGACGCGATTGCCGGGGCCGCCAAGCCCCCTGAGAGAGGCACACTTCCAGCTTTCAATCCTGCCATTTAGGCAGTGAAGTAGCACTCAGGTGCAGCAATGAAGCGCAATCCACTTGTGCATGACCGGGGTACTCAAGAAACACCCCAGAGCATATGCTGCAACACAGCATTGCAAGTTCTGCACACCAGACCAAATGCAAGACCAGCAGGCTGAGTACCTTTGCAAATGAACTTCTGCAAATAGTTTAGGCGTCAAACTGTTCCAGGCCACAATTGTCATCATGTCACCAGCCTAATATATCAATTCCCTGAGTGTCTTAACTGCGGCCGGGCGGGCGCACCAGTGAGGGCAAAGAGGGCGCCAATGCCGACGGTGGTGGCGCCAATTTTGGCGGCCCAGACGCTGTTCTCCCAGGCGGTGGCAGCGCGCTTCTTGCGGCCGTCCGGCTCGTCCGCGGGCAGCAGCAGCTGGTACGCAAGCAGGTGTTCAAAGTTGGCCACAGTCGGCCACGGTACGTTCAGCCACGAGGCCACCCGCCTCAGCGCTATGCGCGAGCGCGCGTCGTACCAGCGCGCCCTCGGCGGGTGCCTCTTTGCCGCCCTCTGCAGCGGCCCCTCTGGCTCCTGGCCCTCGCCTGCGCAATGTGAGGCCATATTCTTTACACCCTGTCCTGCTGCCTCAAAATGTGCTTGAGGGAGACAAGTGAGGTTGTATCTAGAGTAATGTTCAATAATCCAGTGCCCTCAAGCATTATGCTGCTGCGTGAAAGTTGGCCACGAGATTTTGCACCAATCCAGTGCCCAGCATATGAGGCACCTGCTTGAGCACAGGGGGATTGGATGAATTGGAGAAAAATTGTGCCGTGCCTTGGGTGGTTTCCTGCGGCTGCGGCTGCGCAATGCAGCTCTCCAGCAGCTCCCACATCGCCGCCACGGCCTTGTGCGAGGGCTTGGCGCGCTTCTGCCCCAACCGCCTCGTCAGCTTCCCCTCCAACGCCTCGCCCGGCCCCTCTGCACCTCCTTTCCCGCTTACACTGGCAATTGCATCACTGTCCACTGCAGGCTGTTCCCCAGTGCTTGCAGCATATGCGTGGCGTTGCGCCTGCGTGTCCTGGGTAGCGCGCGAGGTGACGAACTGCTCGCTCTGCATGGGCGGCAGGGATGCGTGCGATGTGCCCGGGGGTTGCTCCGCGCTCGCGTCTGGGCTGTGGATCATGGACGACATGAGGTCAGAGTTGATGGCCTGCGTCTGCTTTGACGCCTCCCCGGGATCTGCTCTGCGGGGCGTCTGCTGCACCGATGCACTGCTCGCTTCCTCCCCAGCTCCTGCACTGGCCGGCTCGCCTGCTTGCCTGTCAGGTTCCCCAAATCCCCCATCCCTGAAGCCATCCTCTGGGTTCTGCGGTGCTTCTGCCAGGGTGCTCCCTGCTTCATCAGGCTGAGCAACCTGTTCTGGCTGCTCGGCAGCTGAGGGCTCCACTGCATGCGCGCCCGGCCTGCGCGCCATGAGATGTGCAAACACCAGGTCCGCCTCTAGCTCGCTGTCACTGTCATCCAGGAGCTGTTCGGTCTCCCTCTCCAGCACGGTATCCTCTCCTGCTGCCTCTGCAGTGCCTGCCCCCTCTGCCTGCTGCCCTGAACGCGCATCTCCCGAGCTGCCTGGCACGCTGTCCGGGTGCACATGCGCGCTGGCCGCAAACGGGTCCTCTGCCGCTGCATTGCCAGGGGTGTCCGGCAGCGGCCTGCCTTGAGAGGCTCTGGAGGGAGACTCGGTCAGGCCCAGCATGTCGTCCACTTTGGGCAGGTAGCCGACGTGGGTGCGGCTAGCCTGCGGCCGCTGCGTGGAGGCGTCTGACAGCGCGCGATAGGACCGGCCGGTCACGTGCGCTGCCGGCAACGTGCTATCTAGCACCTGCAGCCCAGCATGGAACACCACTCAGCCTTCTGCCGGGAAGGAGTGGTGCCCAAGATGGCAACCTGTAGGAGCCAAGCATTACTTGCATCTCCTAGGACTGCTCAATGAATTGTGGGAGCGAAGTATGGGTTTACCTGTAGGAAAGAGGAGACCAGCTGCAGGTAATGCTGGCGCCGTTCAAAAGTGATCCCGCCCACCTCTGGCAGCCTTTTCAGGCCGCTCCTGCAACACAATCCTTTCCCTTACCAGCCAAGAACAATAATGTAACAGACATCATCAAGCACTACCAAGAGATCATTGCACGCATGCTCGGAGAAGGGCAGGTGCATGCACTGACCAGGAGCGCTCTGGGATCTTGAGGGCGCTGTAGAGGCGGTCCAGGACGCCTGCCGGGCCGCAGCAGTCCCAACCCCAGAATGCTGCCCAGACTGCCTCGCTTGGCCCCTTGTGTTCCTCAGCCCTGTCGGCCTCTGCCTCCCAATCGTCCTCATTGCCAGCCCTTAAACAGCCGTGCAAAACCCACATCATATTTAGAACGTAGCTGATGGCATTCGATCGCGTCGCAATATGAAAGACAGGCTTCACTGATGATGTCATCTTGGGAGAGGGGGAGCCTTTTACCCCCATGGTGAAGGCTCTGGAACGTCACTGCCAGCGCCGTACTCCACCTACAAATGTGGAGTATTGTATTGAGCGCCACTGTGATCCAATCGCCCCACCCAGCTCGCACAAAGGAATTTCCAACTGACATGTGCCAGGTGGCAGGTTGTTGCAGGATGGTCAATACCCAAAAGTGCGCATGCAGTCACGTCGGTGAACTACCTGTGTCGAGTGCAGTGCAAGCGTAAAGAGCGCTGCGCAGGCATATCGCTCCTCTTCTCCAACCTCCATCTGCTACTGGCGCTCTTTTACTAGCTCTGCTTACAACTGTGTAAATTGTACACAGTTAAACCAGTTCGCTTTCCCATTTATATCATTTTCATAAGAAAGATTTAGTTCCGGGTATTGCATGAAGTGCTTCTGAGCTGCTTTGTGCAAAACTCTAGTATGCACGATTGAAACACTTAAAAACATTCAAGACCCAATCGTTGCGTGAGAAAGAGGAACACTTGTCGCATTGTAGAAAGTAGCAGAATCAATTAGTGGTCAGCTTAGCGACCGATGGTTGATGCCGGATTCTGAGTGTCGCTTCCGTCTCGAGCAGCTTGTCGTAGTGACTAACCGGACGTGCAAGAAACCTTTCTATCCAGATCAAGTCCAGATGCTTTTGAAGCGTCAAATTTTGAAGATGTTTGTGGTGATCCAAAGCATTCATGGTCAGTCTGCGGGACTGCAGCATGCCCATTGTGTTTGTTGTGACTAGCTTGCGTTCCTGTCAAAGTGTCTCCGGAAGCATCGGAAGCGCAATTTTTTGCGGCACAAAAAATTCGAATAATAGAATAATTCATAAGTGCAGATTACAGCTTAGTCAGAATAGTTTGAGGGCACAAGTGCAAGTTGGCATGCCCATGCCCACTGAGGGACATGCACGGGTGAGGAGGCCCATCAAGTCGTCTCACGCGTGGAAAAAGGAGATGGAAGCAATAGGAATTAACAGATTTTTGCGTTGATCGCATGTCAGGCGCTTCAACTTCTTCAAAGTGCCCCCAGACCTCCTCAGCTTGTTGTCTTCGACCTAGATTACACATTATGGCCCTTCTGGTGCGAAACCCACTGAAATATCACTGAATTCTGGTAGCTAGAGATTAGTTGAGTGACCTACCTGGCTGACATGTCGAGAGATGTTGAGAGCTTTTGAGAAGGCCTTAAGGTTTGGCACTGCAGGTGTGAAATGTACAGCGCCAGGGACGAATTCTCTCTGTATCCAGAGAGCCAAGGCATCCTTGAGGCCTGCAGGTACAGGACCTTGTTAGACCTGAGCAGATCCTGGGCGCTGCAATTGCGGGCTTTGTCAAACGCCACCAAACCGCTACTTAGGAAGGATTTTCCGTGGTTGTCTCTGAGTGAATACACACTGGTGCATGTGTGCCAGAGCAGAGAGTTGAATATACCCATGGCCATCGCTTCGCGGACGCCCACGCCAAATGTGGCAAAAGCTTTCATGAAGAAGCTAGGTGAGGCATGACATGCAAGGCTACTGCTTGTGCATTCCTTCTCCAGTCAAGAGCAGGAAACGCACGAGGGATGAAGTGGGAGTTGCGCTGCAGGTTGGCCTGGCTTGTTTGACAGTGTACAGCTCATACCAGCATCGTCAGGTTTCGATCACCACAGCGCTCAAAAGGACACAGCCCATTTTCCGGCTATCAAAAGGGAGCTGGGCATTCCGTACTCAGAGATGCTCTTCTTTGACGATGAGTCTCCAAACATCAGCAAGGTGATTTTAGTTGTAGTCTTTAATTTGAATGCATGTTTGAACTGCTGTTTGCCGGGCAAACTTTGCCCTTGTTTGCAGCAGCTTATAAGTTGGCATGGACCCAGTATCAAGGAGCTCAATCTCATGAGGTCCTGCCGGACATGTCATGCATGCCAGCACACTGCTGTGAGAGTTCTTCTCGTATGCAGGTGACTCGGCTTGGAGTCACTTCTATCCTCGTGCCTTCAGGAATGTCTGTTGACATGCTCAGAAAGGGGTTGGAGCAGCACGCCAAGAATGGAAAGTAATATGAAGTGCAATCAAGCAATTCCAAAGATGAAGATTTGATCGATTAGATTGTAATCTTGGCGTTCCAGGGCTGAAACACAGATGAGTCACGTTTGGAACCCTTGCAGCTCAATATGTCACAATGATGAACTCATATGGTTCATTTATACACATGCAGTGTCTCACATCAGTACAATGGCCCTTGCAGCGTGCTACCCTACTCTCATATGCTATGCACATGTGCCCTTCTCCACAGCTCAAGGCATGAAGCATCGCTTGTCCATGATCTTCACATCCTTCATCAACGGCCTGAACGGCATGAAAGCCAGAACATCTCTCTCCAGGTCTACTCCCGGCGCTATCTCTGTCAGCTCTATTCCCTCTCCCTCCCTCAGCCTGAACACTGCTCTCTCTGTCACATACAAGATTCGGCGCCCCTTTGCAGACGAGGCTGCAAATGTTTTTTCGGCCACTCTGCGCTTGAACTTGCGCGAGCGCCCCTCCTGAATAATCCTCAACTTGCCATTCTCCACAGTCACCTGCAACATCACCTCTGCATCAGCTGCTTGCACATGGTGCTTGAAATTATGCATACCTTGGATTGCTCAGAAACAAGGCAGATCGCCTCAGGCAATGTAGCTTAAAAACGGCTGAATGCAGAGAGTGAGACCACGGAGATTGGAGGGCACCTTGAGGCCGCCAGTGGTGAAGGTGCCAGCAAAGATGACCTCTTTGGCTGCCTGGGAGATGTCTATGAAGCCACCGCAGCCAGGCTGCCTGCCAGGGAAGCTGTGCACATTCACATTGCCTTCCTGGTCCACCTGTACACAGACGTCTCTCACAATCACACTGGGGCTGATAACAAAAAGTGCCTCACAATGTTGTATTATATATATACATAAATTGACAAGATATGAGCGGTCTATGGGAGGACAAGGCGAAAATGTCACCTCAGCAGCGCCGAGGCAGGCCATGTCAACACCGCCCCCATTGTAGAAGTCCAGCATGGTTGCGCATGGCACGATGCAGTCAGCATTGTGCGCGGCACCAAACCTGCGAAAAGGTAGCATGCAGTCAGTGAAGCACTTGATGGCCACGCAAATGGCGCGGCACTTGTCTTCACTTCAAAAGATATCTTCCCAACTAGTATGCCCTTCAGTTGAACAGCAGCAGTTGACAGGCTGGCTGTGTGCTTCCTTCCTGGAAGAGACCAAGGTGTTGCCGTGACAATAGAAGGGAGGAGGTGAGCACCTCGCAGCCCCGGCAGGGAAGCCTCCAAACATGCCCGCCTCTGTGGTGAGGTGTGCTGGCAGCGCATTTGGTATCTGTGCGCTGCCGTGGGTCGCAACCATCCTAGCCACTCCCTGCAAAGCAAACGCGTCCCATCAAAAAATGCCTGACCCAATGGATCGCCCTGCCGAGGCTGCTCTGCAGCATCAATACCAGGGAAAGGGGGCCCTGCGTCAGCTCAGCCTGACTTGCGTGCAGATTGCAGACATCACACAGATACAGATTCGCATACTGCATGCAAGACGTGGTAAACCACCCAACATACTCGTCCTGGTTGACTTTGACGGGTGTCTGGGTGCATCAACAGGGGCAGACAGGCATCACCAGTGTTCCAAACGTCTTCTATCTTGCATCTCCGAGAAGCTCTAGAGCGCCTCAGCAAGCCCTTGTTTCTTCGGACTGCCGTTTGGATCAGAGGCAACAGCGTATGGCACATCTGATTGTCCCTTAGGTTTTGCTAGCAGCTGCTCGGGAGAGGCATGACGTGCCTCTGGCATGCCGATGCCCAGGTTGACGATGGTGTTTGGCCGCGAGATCTCCAGCATGGCCCGGTGCGCAATGATGCGCCGCTCGTCCAGCCGCATGGCCTGGATGTGCGAGGCCGGCGCCCGGATCTCCCCAGTCAGCGACGCGTCGTGCCCCGCCATCGTTATTGTCTGCCGGTGCAGCTCCGCAGGCGCCACCACAATCTGCACACCACCCACTCTCAGTCTCTTACATTTAGGAATTCTTGAGCTTTTTTTTTTCAGATCTTCAAATAATCGCTGTATATACTATAGTGCATACGATCTTATCAAGATTACATTCTGAGGAAAACTTGAAAGAAATACAAACAAACCCCTCCCTCATGCATGGCTGCCACCATTTGCAACTCTTGTCTGTTCCAAAGCTGCCTACGGTTGTGGGCTCTTCCTGTTTGCTTTGTCATGTTTTGTAAGTGAGACAGAAGTGTGGCTTGTATATGACAGGCTTAGACTTGCTGGTTCCCAGGTCTTGATGTTGTGCTCATGTTGCCAAGAAGCATGCACAGCCGTTTCTGCGGCTGTTGTGAGGGTGAGTTGCAGTCACCTTGTCGACAATGGCACCAGGGAGGTGCACCAGGCGCGAGTTGAGGCTGCCTGGCGCAACTAGCCGCTCCACTTGCACTATGACAATGCCCCCAGAATTGTGCGCCGCCATTGCCTGACCACACACCCTACATTTTAGTCCCATCCTCTGCCAATTCACCGCTCAAAAATCATGTTTCATGCCTTTGGAATAAGTTCCCTTGTGAGACCCTTCAAAAGCTTCTGATAATTTTTTCATCTTTGTCGATGCATCCACAGTGCGCAACAAAGGCAACAGGCCATGACACAGGCAAAATGTTACAGCAAGGGCAAAAGGGAATAGCACATGCAAGGGGGTGCAGCACCTGGTTCAAGGCGTCTGTGAGGAGGGACTCCCTCTCAAAGGTGATATTGCCGTCCAGGTCTGCATTGGTGCCGCGCAGCAGAGCCACATCGATCTTGGCAGGCGCCTTGTACCAGAGGTACTCCTGGCCTCCAAGAGTGACCACCTCCACTGCGTCTGCCTGTGAGGGACTGTTGATCTTGCCGCCCTGCTCGCGCGGATCAACAAAGGTCCCCAGGCCGATCTTGGTGATGGGGCCCGGCCTTCTGGCAGCCACATCCCGCAGCAAGTGAGCCACTGCACGAGACATTCATGTTCAACGTGACACCTTCTAAAATTTGGGATGGCCTACACAATCAAGCCGGCTGTCATTGGAATTAATAATTGGTTATCAAGAGGGGATCACAGCTGCTTACTCACGCCAAGCGGCAGGTTCCAAGCAGTGATGGCGCCTTCCGTTGCCAGACGCTGAAACTCGGGAGAGAGCCCAGACCTGATACCACAAGGAGTCAGAACAGCAGTATGCCCTCGTTGAAATGCTGCAAAGTTTCTCAGCCAAAATGCTTTAGACTGCATGACAAGGTGATTTTTGGTACCAGGCAAACGTGTAGCGAGTGACAAGGCCCTTTGTGGCTAGTTTTCCGAGCCCCCGCCCCTTGCCATCGCCAACAGCAGCAACATTGAACAAATGGAGATTGCTTGGCTGTCCACACTGCTCGAAGCGCTCTCTTATAGCATTCACCAAGAGCTCAGGATGTCCTGCATCACGGACGCGCGTCAGTCAGTGCAGAGGTCCGGAAAGTGAGTCCAGACACTGAAACAATCGTCTGTGCTCATACCTGATCCCACAAATCCCGAAACAGTTATTGCTGCATTGCTGGGAATCAGCTGTGCGGCTTCACTTGCGGTGATGACTTTGCCTGTAAGGTGACTCTGTTAGTAGACTCCAGCTCCAAATTTTTGCTGCAAGGTATTCAAATTCAGAACGGCCTCAGACACATTGTGGACTTCTGCAGGGTTAATCACCTTTGTCTGTAGGTGGGCTTCTCACACTAGCCTCGCATGGGTTTCTAACAATATTACGCTCATGGGGAAAGGAGCACAAGTGATTGGTGATGAGACGTATTCTCCTTTTTGCATGTGCATCCATTCTGTAACATCAAGCAGCAACTCTATGGGTACGTAGACCTCCGTGTCTCTGTTATGACATCTGATTCTCAAAAGCTACTCAATTGTGCTCTGGTGAATCTCATGCTTCGTTTTATGATATCGAATAGATGAACACTTGAGTATCGTACGATGAGTGATCTGAGCAATCCGGGGTCCTGAAATTCAACATTTTCCAAGCTGCTGACTCACATGCACGTGATGCACATGACCTTTGACTAGTCTCATGGACTTCCCTTGGATACGAAATTTTGGTGCTTTCCTATCAAACATTTTGCTCGTCCCTGTGCTCTTCTTCTTTTTTTATCTCGACAAGTCTCGAGTAACCGTGCAAGTAGTCATGCTTCCAATTGTGGGTCTGCTGCAGGATCAGTCCGGCACGGCCTGCAACTTACTGTCCTTGCCCGATGCAATCTTGCCAGAGATTTTGAAATTCCTCGATCGCCTAGCGCTCTGTGCCATAGCCCAGACCAACAAAACTTTCTTCCAACTGGCAGGTACGAAGGCTTGCTTGAAGACGTCAGAGATATGTTTTGGCTCAGTGACGGCTACCGGTGTTGGAGATACATCTTAGAATTGTTTGCAATCTGTAGGGATGTCGTCACTGTGGCAGGATGATCGCGATCGCCGCGATTCAGGTGCAGCCTGCTCCCTCCTGCAGCGCCTGAAACTTCTCCAATCTGACGTTGACATTACTGATCCTCTTGATCAAGCATCGTGAGAGTCACCTGCTGATGTGGTCCCACGCGTAGAGGACCTTCTATTCTTGGCGGCGCGCCTCTGCATGTCCAGGGCTTTACACCTCCCTCCTCAGGTGCTGTTCTTTCAGTGTCCCTTTCCACTGACATAAGTCCCTGTGCAAAGCCTTGCAGAAGTGGACACTTGAGAGGATGATGCCCTTTTCCATGGCTTCAGGTGTTCGTAGTCCAGGCTGACACTGGGCGTTCCTCTAGGTTCCCAGTGATTGTGCGCACACTTGACTTGCGCAGTATCCTTGGCTCCCCGGATCTGGAGGGGATCGCAAGCACTGCTGCCTCCGCAATCATGGTAAGCAGCATTTCCTCAGCAGACCTTAGACAAGAAAATTGGTAGGTCTTGAGTAACATTTTCCAATGTCCTTAATCGTTTGTGACACCGCTTCTACGTCTGTGCATGCATCAATTTGCAGGATCAAATCAGGCGCGCTTCAAAGAGGAGACAACAATTCCCAGATACTCCAATGTGGCCAGCAGAGGCCTTTCTCCATGTTCGTCCAGATAACATCTGTCTTCGTTTTTCTCTGCGAGCCTCAGCCGCTGCTCACCTAATGCTCACAGACATTGGGCAACTGCCTTGGCAGAGCCTGGTTTCCTCGCCAGATGCACAGTGCGCACCTGTGCTTACCAAGGAAACTTTTGCATGATATGAGAGAATTGTGTTCAGGCGTAAAAAAATGGCAATTGAGCAGAGCAAAATCTGGAGTCTGAACAAGATCCCTTCCTGCTGACAGAAGGATGCATGCGCACCGCACCATGTTGGCAGGCGCACAGCTACCAGTCATTCCAAGGGATTATCTCTGGAACAGCCTCCAGCATCGTTGGTCCAGTGTCAAATCTGGTGCCCATGAACACCAGGTAGCTAAGAGAACATCATGCATGGGGAAGCCTGTTTCATAAGTTCAAGAGCCTCTAATGTAGTGCAGCTGCAGTGGCCCTGATCTGTCGTGTTCTTGTGCCTCTGTACAGGACAAGCCAACGACCATATTTTACCCGTCTAGTGGCCTTAAAGCGCTTCAAGTATCCTTGAAAAGTGCGGCGACGTGGTGCACAACTTTGCTTGGATGGGGCAGCATTGAACGGCAGGAGGCCTATGAAAACTTGGAAGCCTGGCTTGGTGCTGTGAAAGAGGTCACAGGGCATGCCACTCAGGTGGATGTTGCGTTGCTGCTTCAGTTGCGAAACGTGTACAAGGTGAGCGATTGCGCTTTGAGTTGCACCCTTCTTTACTGGATCCTGCTGCTAATTGGCATGTCTTTCATCTGAGGTTGTACTGTTGTTGATATAGTTGGGAGATGTTTGATCTTGTAAGATCCCACAGCATGTTGTGTGTGCTTTTGACAAAGGTGGCAGATCCTACACGCCGCCACTCTGGCGAGCGTAGCGACCAGATTGAAGCCAACGAGGTCTCACACAAAGTAGGGCGAGCCGTTGTGGCACACATTCAAGCGCAAATGCAGCAGCTCCTGCCTGCAGCTCAGACTCAGCTGCCCCCCAGCCTCTGCTTTGTCGCTGCTGACATAGTCAGACTGCGCCGCAAGGAAGCCGTCCCACTCCCTCCCTCAGAGGAGCTGGCACGCGTCCTCTTAGAAGCTGGAAATGCTGAGACAACTGGGGAGGAGCTGCTTCCTAGCGCGGCTGTGGCTCCCCAGCTGCGGCTGAGGGCACGGCTGCATCTGGAGGCTCTCAAGATTCTGGAGTGGTGCTTCATTGTGATGGCCACCGAGCAACCTTCCTGATGGTTTCCATGCACCTCTGTACTGTATACAAAGCCAGTGCGTCGGCCCCGGGTTCCGGCTGCAGGCGGACCTGTGTATGCCCTATGACCCTCTGGGCTCTGGGTTCCCCATTGAAAAGGTAAATGTCATTATCACTCAACATTGGACAATGTATGGCGGGTTGCAAGCGCTCGCCTCCGAGGAATATACAGGGGACAGGTCCAGACAAACACTTGTGTAGTGCTGTAGTGCTCAAACCTAGAAGCCCCAGTATATAATAATTTTGGTTTGACTACTACAGGTATCCCCTGTACAGTATTTAATAATGTACTTTCAACATTAATCATCCTTACAATATTTCTCTCCTGCAATGATATGTGCTTAACCTTCGGACATGAGTAGAAGTGCTAGGCCTATTGGCAGGATTACTGGTATTCCAATAATTTCTTTAGCCAATTGGCAAGCCAACTAGCAACTGATTGATGGAAAGTTTCCGAACCGAATTTCTCAAATTATCCAGTTGGAAGGTATATTTTCACCTTTCAACTGAATGTTTGGAGAGGAACCACGGCCAAAACATCAGTCCATGTCCCAAAGCTGATGGACAACTTGTCCTATTCGTACCACTCACACATCTCTTTGATGCTTGATCCTCGACTGTGTGAATCTTTTTGAATGTCAAGAGGGGCATCACCCAGTTCATGCACCAGGCCTGGCATGGCCAGCTCATATAAAGATTCCCAAAGCTGGTCAAGAACATCAAGGTCTCAGTGCAGGACTTCCTGCCCTCATGCAACATCGCCTTTGGCCACAGCTCAAAGAGGACATAGTCGATGCGCTTGTCTGTGAGCAGAGACACCATGCCTTCTAGGATCACCCCATCAAATCCCTGCGTGTCAACCTTGACGATGTAAATGTCACCCTCATACGTGATTTCCTGGAAGTGCGCATGAAGGGACGTGGACTTTATTGTCAAGACCTTGCTGGCCTGGAAGCCATGCTCAGACCCATGTGCCCGTATTGCCCCTCTACCTGGCAACCTGTTGGGGGAAAGAAACGTGATCTGAACATATTAGTATGGCAAGATTCTCAAAAGACTGACTTCGATCATGATCTTGGTGTGCACTGCTAGTCCTGAAGGTGCAACACCATTGCAGAGGCCTTGCATTTGAGCGATCTGCAATTAAGGCATGATCTCGTTGCAATCCTCTGAGCGAGTTACAAAGAACTTTTCAGTTGCACTCTTGATGGGCTGTCAACTTGTGTAGACAGCCCATCATCAATCGTTCAGGGCGATTGGGATTATGTCCAAGGTACAATACCTGTTACTCACGGCCTTGCGGCAGACAAAATCAGCGCTTCTGTTCACTTGTTCATTGCTCTTTTCAACTACTGAAGCATGATTGTGTCTAGACATACAAGATATTCCGCCCTAGAATGCTCGAGTTGTGGATGGATCCGCGCCGATTCGTCTGCATATATCTTGCACGCCCTTTGCATGACTAGCCAGCCTATAGGGCATTTCTAATGTCAGGGAATTGTGGACAAATGTGAGGTCATCAGCTCGAAATAACGAACTTCCAACGAACATAAGGGATCTCTGTTAAAGGTTTCTGAGGATCATAAATGCTATTCTACTTTTGTGAGCGCTGTATGAGATCCCATACAGGGAGGAAATCTCCCGTCAAGCAAAGGGTGGCACATCATCTCAACCCTGCCGCAAGGCAGGACGAGGCAACACCAAAAACATATTGAAAGTACCTCAAAATGGATGAGGAAGATCTTGGTGAATCGCTGCCTCTCACTGGCGTGGGAGCGATGTTCATCGACGAGGCCGTTCGGGCACTGTCCGAGCTTACGATCTCGCCATGCCACACGTTGGAGGACGTCCACGCCCTTTTAAAGCAGGTGATATTTCCCGCAATACAACGATTTCGAGAAGAGCAGATTTGATTGTTAAAAACAGATGGAATGAGCTTTTCAAGCTAATAAAGACAGTCACCACTACCGCTGAGGCATTGACGGTGCGTGTGCAGAGTAACCTGCTGCGAGACACCATGCTAGCAGGACACTGTGCAGACTGCCAGGTGATGCAGACAACCCTACTAAGATTTGTGGAGCACAGAGGCGTACAAGTCGTGGTGGACGTGCTGGAGAAGTGTCTAGCGGCAGGCTGCAACCTGCAGTGGAGTTCAGATGAGAGCTTCGGCATTGAGGGCTGCATGAGAACCTTCCATCTGCTGGAAGTCATTGGAAGCTCAGACAACATTACAGTATGGCAGAAAGCATCCGAAACTGACAAGAGGGCAGCCATTGGCCTCGTCATTCACCTGATAGAGGCAGCCATGCAGGTGCTCAACTCTGCTGACAAGATAGCAATGCTTGACCTTTGAGGGAGGCTTATCAACTGCTGGGCCTAATATGTTTGCCAAATTGCTGCAGGGGCGGTTTGTGGACGTGCGAATGCAGGACTGCTACAATGTTGTCAAGTGCTTGCAAGACCTAACCTGCCTGGATGCGAGCACCGCCAGCTATTTCTTTGAGCTCGGCGGCTTCAGCAATCTCAGCGCGCTCCTGAGCTGGCCGGAGGCTGACATGCGGCATGCACGCTGGGCTGCAGCTGTTGTGCTGAAAGATGTGCGCCACTCTCTGTGTCTCATCATGATGCTTGTTGAGTTTGAGCAATACCCTAGAAGCGCCGCGTTTGCAGAAGGAAAAAGAGATGCAATTATAGGAGAGACAGGGAGAGTCTTGCATGATCAAGACAACCGCATGGCATCGTTTTCAAGGTCGTTTACAGCCAAACTGGAGGGAGTACAATTCTGAATAGTGTGCCTGTTGAATGGGCGCAGTTGGTGGCGCTGGCGTTGCCCACAGCGAAGGTGGCTGACTGGCGTATTGCCAAGGACAGCGTGCAGGCCATCAGCTGCCTCATTGAGGCGCTCTACCTCTTCAGCAAGGATGGAAAGCACCTGCTGTATGAGAGCAGCGTCCTGGGCATTCTGCTCATCCTGCAGCACCTGGGCCAGAACCAGACCTATCTTGCCATCATCACAGGTGCACTTCATTCTTTCTTTGTCCCCATGCAGAACTAGCAATAGTGCTTTTTAGACTAATCTGAACCTGCTTATACTAAATGGAATGGTGCACCGATGATGGCATTTTATATTGTGATGACATGCTTTTCCTGCCAGAGGCAAGGTACGGCTTGGGACAAGCTGCATGTGAGAGCTGCCAAGTATTCTACCCCTTGATGGACTCGCCAGTTCCAAGCAAGACCCAATCAACCTTGTGCACGGTGCTCAGTATATACACCGCCCCCTGCCAGCCGGGGCCACGGACGCATGCTCTGACTTCCCAGGATCTCTGCTGCAGGTGTTGTGGAGATACATCAAGCGGGCAACTTCGTGTTCCAGTACGTCAGGGATAGACTGAGGGATCCTCTCACCAAGTCATTGGCAGTCAGAGTCGGCCTGCTCTGCTTCCCAAATGGGTTGGAGGAGCCCTCACTGGTAGGCATAACAAAACCCTGACTGAAAACAGGAGCCCTTGCATGTAACCTCCAACTGTACTACACTAGTACCGCACTATTACTACACATAAGTATGACATTAGTAATGCTCCACAGGTCAATCTGCCGTAATCTGGGACTGAGACAAAAGCATGCTTACCCTTGTCGGCTGTGCCATTGCAGGGTTGCCGAAGGAAGGGCTTGTTGAGATTTTTTGGGCGGGGAGACCCTCAAGAAGGCTACTCTCCTTTGCCCACCTGCTGACCAGACTCAGACCAGTACACTGGGGACTGGGGACAGTGCACCTATATGCAAATTCCCAGTCATCTTTTTTTTATTTAAAGATTATATCGTGCCATTTTTTCCTTGTCTTCATTTGACAGCGAAAGCACCATGGTTCATCTGGTGGTCATGACCCCAGGTTTACAATTGTGCAAGTTCCAAAATTGTCACGTGACAGCCTCTCTATTTGGTAGTGTGTATATAATTGTCGGGTGGCTCTCTTTCGGAAGTAAATTTCAAGAAGAACGAAGCTTTTACCTGCTCAGAAACGACCATCAAAGTCAATTGCTGCTGATATATCATCCATGGCCTAGGAACCAAATTGTTGGGAAGGCAGAGCAACCCAATTTGTTACTGTACCATGTGGTAGTCTTTTTACAGACTCGTTGTCAGACCTTTACACTGTAAAGTTTACAGCCAATGGCAATGCGGCTACAAGACTACAGCACCCAATTGGATCTTGATGACTCATACTCTGAGAGGCCCTGGTCTGCATGCATATGTGACATGTAACGTATCCACCCAGCTGGTCACTAGCCAGTGCATTGCGCAGGTGCCACCGCCACTTGCAGCTGCAAAGCAGCGCGGTGGTGCAATGATGTGTCAGGACTTCAGGACCTTGCGGTCGAATTCCTGCTGCAGTAGCATTCACAGGGTTCCAACTGCAGACGGACCTGTGTATGCCCTATTATGGCCCTCTGGGCTCAGAGTCTGGGTTCGCCACTTATAGAGACTAGATTAGATTAGTAGCATGCCCAGTGGGCCAAAGGGCATGCATGTGCGTGTGTGCCTGTCTAGTACAACACCTGAATGTCCAGGGGTCATCAGATGTTTCGTTTGCTTTCAAAGTCATGTCGCATCAATGCAGGTCTCGAACTTAAGATTATGATCCCAGATTCCACCATGTGGATCACATATGACATAATCCCCATGGCATCGGCCTGTCCAAGAGAGGACACTCCAAGAGATGGATCAACACCTAATCTGATACTGGCGTATCCACGAACACTCCTTCAGTACGAGCACTCTGACATTTGCTTGAATTTTTGTGTCGTGCAACAGCACTGATGTGCATTTATTCATAGCTTACGCTGAAAGCAAACTTAATCATACCAGAGGAAAACCAAACTCTGACAATTTTGTCCTTCCACGCCGCCGCACGACTCGGCCAATTGGACAAAAGCAGATGCGGGGCTGCTAGGATGCATCCAGAGACCTTCTTATGTGCATTATCGTGCGCTGAGGAGGAGATATCGGGAAGAGAGCAGAAGCTTCTTGAGCTCACAGATGCTTGACGCCTGCCAGAATGGCAGAAGCGAGCGAACAAGGACAGAAGAAACGGAAACGCTCGGGACCTCGAAGTCGAACAAGCAATTTCCTGGGCGTGACACGGGTGGGTGTGGCTTGATTGTAATCTCAGAATCTGGCTGAAGCTGCAGCCCAACAGGAGAAATCCTTTGAAGCTTTGCCTTACTGTCTCATTCTGGGCACAGTACAAGAGGACAGGGCGATGGGAGGCCCATATTTGGGACTCCAGCGATCCTTCCAGCAAAAAGGGGCGACAGCTGCATCTTGGGTCATTCCCAAGCGCTGAGCCTGCAGCACTGTGCGCCCCCAATCCCTTAGATTTTCTGTCATGCATGTGAATTACTGGCAGCCTCTAAATAGGGGGGCAACCTTAATGAGGCGCTCTTTTGTTGGGATCCAGGGCCTATGACAGGGCGGCTGTGAAGATGAGGGGCGACTCTGCCAGCCTCAACTTTCCAAACACAGACTATATGGAGGACGCGTTCATGAAGGTACAATGACTTGCGAGTGGTATAAGGAAAGAAGGCCTCAAACTTCCCCTTCTGCAGAAGCACACCGCATAAGGTCAAGCGTGAGCTCAAGTCCTGATGGTGCTGCGCAGAAGTATGGGCACCTACCGAAGCAGTCCTACATCCTCAAGCTCAGGCAATGGGCCCAGGCACGTGCACCACTCTATCCTCTGCAAGGCAACCTGACCCCCAATTGTCTTCGACTCTCAACAAATAATATCCACCCTGAAGGCTTGGACCCCTGATTTGCCTGTGACAGGTGTCCTGCAGTGCATACCACGCCATAATTGTGATGTTGAATGTGTAAGGGATGGTGCAGAGCATTGAGGGGAGTGGGGATGACGCGGGCCACCCAGGAGGCAGCAGCGACAGCCCGGCAGCAGAGCAAGAGGCCGCACTGCCCAGGAGCATTTCCAGCCACCGGCGCAGCTCACAGGCATTGCCGGAGCTCTCCCAGCCACAAGGTGCTTATTATTGACTTGATCAGCAGATCCCATCAGCACATGCAGTACAGTAGCACACACCCGACAGCCCGACTGGACAACTGCACTGTGCCGATGAGGTTCCTTTTTGGAATTCTATATCCTTGTCGCCTTTCTGCATTTGGACCATTGCATCCCTGCGTAACCTTCTTGCAGCGACAAAGGCTCGTTGGTCCTCTAAGTGGCTGTGATCCCGGCATTCGAACAACAACAGCCAGACCGTCAGCATTTCCCACAGGTCAGGCGGCGGGTGCGAGGAAAGAGGTGCAGCAGGAGATGGCAGCCACAAGGAGGAGCTCGCGCATGGCACGCAGGCAACTTCAGATGGGCGCCGGGAGATCGTTCGAGCAGCCGCCGCGGCCGCCGACCTACTTTGGCAGCGTTGCGCTCGCAGCGCACCCCTTCCCCACCGTCTCCACCATGGCATTGCACTTCGGTGCGCGCCCCTTTCAGTGACCTCTAACCCTGACTCCTACACTACGGATTAGTCAAAATTGGCAATGAGGTGCGCCAAAAATTCATTATGTCCCTGAGCCAGGCGCTGCATTAGTGTTCACTGTCTTGCGCCCTGGAGATGAGATGGGAAAACTGTGGCAAGTCCAAGACCAGGTAGATCCTAGTCCACATCACATCAAGGGTACTGAGCGTCAGATCTGCAAGTGCCGCTGATCAGGCTCGAACCAGAATTTTTTTTTATTTATGCTTGAAGGGAAGCTAGGTGTCAGAAGCAGAGGGCTTGTGTGTTCTGATGCAGGGGACATGCCCGGGAGGGTGTCTGAGACGTGGCTGGACATGACATCCAGCGACAGGAGTCACCATGAGCACGACGGCGGCGAATGCACAACCCCTCTTGGCCACCGCGCCCGCTCCCCTTTTCTCCTAGGCGCGTCCCCTCTTCCTCGCTATCACATTACAGGGTCACCCTCTGTTCCAGTGGCCAGCAATAATCCTGCGCGATGTGTCCTGCTGTTGCAAAAGCTCTACACAGTCCTTGCCAAGCTGGCAAGGTACCTAATGCACCTTGCATTATGTTTTTCAATTCCAGCCACATCCAATGATCAAGCCTACTTCTGAAATATCTCAAAGGTGCTGTGAAGAATCTTCAATTTGAAAGTTGAATGTTGATATATTTCATATTGAAACTGAGGATCACGTGGGGATGCGCAACGCAGGGGCTCCGGGGCAAAGCATGCTGCGGCCGGAGCACTTGCTGGCTTCTCACCAGCTGCCGGAATTTCTGGAGCAGGAGGACCGCGCCTGGCACAGCAGCCATGGCCTGGCCAGCCTCAGCAGCGGCTGGGGCCGGGAGGAAGCTGCCAACTGGCCTGTCTTCCCCGGCAGCCCCCTCGTCAGCATACCAAACCCTGCACAGCAGGTGCCGCAGTGCTCCCACACAAAATCTCAACTAAGATTGTAATATTATAGAGTACTATGTATACTATTCTGCACTCCTTGGCAGCTAGTAATTAGGCATCTTCAGCATTCGTTCCTTTATGAAAGGGTCATCAGCCACCGCCATATGACAAAGCAGGTCAACATAGAACAAGCATACTTCTGCTACACCCGTCAGTATTGAGTGGTTGGAATAGAGCATTGCCGTGCAATTCAGAGTGCAAGGGGCTGCTCATGCATGAACATGCTGTGTGTGGTGCACTGCAGGCTGCGCAGAGCGGCATGACGAGTGCAGCACCGCAGCACGCCGCGCGCTTTGCTCCTGTGGAGAGCATGCTGAGCAGGGTCATGGCCCGGCCCGGCTCTTCCAGAAGCGCTCCCGTGCAGCGCACGCCCCTGGACGCCGGTACACCCACTCTTCACATTCAATCAAAGTACTGGTAAAGTATTAAGTGGCATGTCCAGCATCACTTCGTCACAGCCTGCAGTTTCCACTCCGCCACGGGACTATAAGAACCCAAATGTAGGCAGTACATATCACGTAGTAATTTAGATTCAGCAGGTAGCTGATGTTGAGCTGGCATACAATGTGACCCAGCCCCTTCCAACTGCTGCCCTGTGTCTTGTACAAGTATGGGCTCTCGATGCTGTACAGGGCCATCACAGGGGCTGCAGGGCTCTGGCAGTGAGGGGCAGCAGAGGAGAGGCGGCACCGCGCCGGTGAATCTGCCGCACCTGCCCCTCGGCTTCCCAGACCTTCACCTGCACCTGATGCAACAGGACGCTGACGAGGGCATCCTAGTGGATCAGCCCAGGTCTGCCTACCCATGATCAGCTATCAGATTCCAAGCTACTTTCCCACCAAGTCTGAGTTGGATATTCAGTGCTGGCAATCTCTGTCAATCACTCAGTGCTGGTACAATTGCAGCCTGTGACGTCTCAATGCCATGTGTTTGGGAGCCAGAACTATCAAGAGGAGCACTGACTCAGCTGCCCCTGGCCGCCAGGGTGTTCACTTCAGCGGCGCAGATGCTGTCGGACATCCTGCCCTCGACGCTCATCACCATCGGCGCGCCGCCCCCGGGAGACGGCCAGCCGCCGCAGCCGCGCCCCCGGTCCGCCCTGCCCTCCGCGCCAGACACCTCCATGCAGCACTCCCACCACCGTACCTCCGTCAGTGCTCCTGCGCAGCGTCATCCCGCTCCCGGCATCACTAGGCAGTCACAGCGCGCCGGCAATGTTCACGCATGGGAATGCCTACAGCCAGAATCGGACACACAACAGGCCGAGCGGCGCGCGCGGCCGATGGGCCGCTCTCACAGCTTCCCAGCCCATCTTCAGGCCCAGCTCGCCCCCTCCGCAGGCAGCATTTACGGTCTGCAGCTCCTGCCGTCCGCCGCGATGCTCCGCACTGCATCTCACTCTCAGGCGCTGGGCGGCGGGGCGGGTCTGCATGCGCACCCAGAGCGGTCTGAGGGGGAGCCAGATCTGGCGCCGGTGGTGGAAGGCGAAGGGGTGGACCGCGAGGGCGGCGGGGAGGCTGCGCCAGATCAGGCGGCGAGCCAGGAGGAGCAATTACTCATCTCGGGCGGTTCCGCGCACCTGGGCACCGGCATTGGCCTCGTGGCGAGCGTCACGCAAGAGCACTCCTCCTGGGCAGATGCCAACCCAGAGCCCGCCCCACAGCAGGTGAATCTTGTCTCTCTGGAACTTCTTTTGTTTGTCGCAGACCATGTGGCCTCTGAAGCTTTGCATGCCTAGTAAATTTCTTTTGAGGCGCTGGTCAAGAATGGAATTGCACAGGGATATCCTCTATGGACGTCTGCCTGGGTTAGATCTCATAGTGTTGGTGTGTTGGAAATTTTGAGGGTGATTTATACTTGTGTTTGTGCTGGAGGTTGCGGCTGCAGCTGAGCCTGATGGAGAGACATAAGGTCCAAGGCTATGGGGCACCATGGCCACCAACAAGCGTTGGATGTGATGGCGACCGGCAAAGGCAGACACTGAATGCAATACTTTGCATATCTGCTATCTCCACAGAAGAAGGGGTGCACCAGTGTCCACAAGTAACTTATCTGGATGTCCTTCTTCTGGGCGCGATTTGATGGAGGCAGAGTTGTTTATCCATGCACGGTACAGAGGTAAGACACACGAACAAGAATCATGAATTCTTTGGAGAGATGGGCGCTGAGACACCGCAGGCATCATGGCGGCATCCATTTCTAAATTATTATTCTCCTCTCTCTCTGTCTGGTATGCATATTCCTTTCTGCTGGTATGTTCTGGAGTCTCTTTAGAGGCTCTGGACATCAAAGACCCAAAGGGGCCAAAACGAATGCATTGCATTAGCAGGTGCTGCAACATGCACGCAGCCGTTTGCAAGTATGGGCAATTTTGTTGCTTGATTCTAGAGTACCAAAAGGGGTGCACTGGGATGTGCACAGACCGTCTGAGACAGCTGGCGTGATCAAATGAGTGTGTTTGATAATTTGAAGCTCTGCTGCAAAGGCTCATCAGAGCTTCGGAGCACGCAGCCTTAATTGATGAATGATCCATGAATGACTTACAGCTAGTTGCTTCATGTTTGCACAGCCCGGGTTGTAAAGAAGGTGTGTGCGGTGTCACTGGAGGGCATGCAAGATGCATGTGCACGTAGATTGCATTCAAAAGTGCCCCTGTCGTCCTCTAAAGTTTTCTTCTGCAAAATTCTTCTGCTGTTACAAATATCTTTGCTACAAGTGTGCACAGGACATGAAGATGCATGCTGCAAACCCTTTGCATGCAGGCACATGTCCAAACAATATAAGTAATACGGGTGACATGTCTCGCAGAACGTTGCTCATGCAATTGCGCACCTTCTAGACATCAATGCATTTCTAAAGTGAGTTCATGTTGGTTCCAGGGTTCTTTGCCATGTCACGTAAGGTGCATGCAATGAAACTCTTCACATCACAGCACAGCACGAATCTATATCTTGCCTAACATTGAAGGTGATCTCTGTGAGACAGTCAGTTCCTTCCCAGCCGACGTTGTGTCTAAATCTCGGCAGCTGTCATGCGTCAAAACAGTTTGCGGGCCGAGGTGAAGCCATTGCAACTCAATTCCTCCTCCTTAAACGCCGCTGACTCGAAAAACTGCGCACCCTGCCCACCTGTAGCAACCGCAGCGGCACTCAGAACTTACAACACTGAATGACCACATAATAGACAAGGCCAGTTCCCCGCTGCCGCGTTGGGAGGAGACAATCATGCAGCAGGAAGAGAGAGTCGGCTATCTGTGGCTTGTCACATGGAACCTGGACCAGGGTGAACATGGAACCAACCAATTGGGCTAAGTATGAGCTGGCGAGCCGCTGTCAGAAAGATATATTATCTCTTCAAGCTCAGACAAAAGCTGACCCAGCTTTTGATGGTATAATATTTGCTTGATGGTCTAAGGAGACAAAACCAGGGCAGGTTTGCGTGCTGCAGTTTTTCTTGTGCTGCGAGCACAGCAGGGACTTGTAATCCACTGGACCCTAAGGTGTTAGTTTGACCTGCTAAATCTTGTGCATCATAGGGACTTGTGCAAAGGAAGGAATGGGGCGGACCTCCGGGAGAGGTCTGCAGGGCTGCAGTGGCGCCGGCGTCAGGGCTGGTGTCGCCGTACAGGTCCTCCTCCTTGCTGCTGCCACCATCCGACAGGAACACGAACGAGTCCTCCAGCTGCGTTGTGGGCAAGCCCCCGTTCTCACGCGTTCCCTCCCCTGCCACATCATCATCCGCTGCGCCTGCCGTGCTGGCCGGCTCTGCCAAGGCGTTGCCGTTGGGCAGCGCATGCTGCTTCGGCTCTGCGCGCTGCGAGGCTTCTGCCGGCTGCTCAGAGTTGCAGGTGGCTGCTGCTGCATTCGCCATGTCCCCATCCGGTAGCTCCTCTGGCAGGGTGCCTGCTGACCAGACAAACAGAACATATGATATGTGTCCCAGCGCACCAGAATGCACTTCAGGTACTTAATTGTCCTTTCTGCACCACCGGCTTGCAAGCATCCCTAAGTGCATTATATCATTGTCCAATACATGAATGCATATTTTCTGCATTTTAGTATGTCTGAACCCTCAAGGGTCGGTATTTTGCTGCCTCGGTGGAGTGTCCTTCAATAAACCCACTGGGCCATGCAACAACGACATCAATGTCAGGGAGGGATAGGGTCGCACCGGGCTCCAGCTGGGCTTCGTGGCGGCGGCGGTAGAAGAGGAGGTAGGCGGCCTTGGACTGCACGGATGACTCATCGGCAGGGCTGACGTGGGAGTCGTCAAAGCAGTGCCAACCGTCGTCGTCCATGCGGCAGTACGCCGTGTAGTGGCCCCCGCCCAGGCCGCCAAAATGGTTGCTCACCGCATACAGGTCGTACACCGGCGCCACATCCTGCAGATGCGCAGCTCTTCTCCTCAGCATCTCTTTTACGTTGTAAAGGCGCAAAGACTCCATTGACTTCAAGGTCAGGCAGTATCAGGTCTTTCGTTGCACAATACATCGGCAATCCAGCACATTTGCTGATGTCCTCCCAGGCTGACACGCGAGTGTGGGATAGTTATCAAGACCGTGCTGTGAAGGAGTGATCCTCGCCTGGCAGAACAGGCCATGGCCGAAGGATATGGTGATACATACACGGCTGAGCAGGGCAGGAGGAAAAAGCTTGGAGGGCCATCAGGAGCGGCACCTGCTCGCGGAGGAGGAAGGAGGATAGGTCGAGGGCGGAGAGGGGGAAGTGGACGGGGGCGTCGAGTTTGTCGCGGGAGTGGCGCGAGTAGGAGAAGCGCTTGAGGTGCACCACCAGCAGCTCCGGCAGGCTCCACAGGTCTAGCTTCTTCTCCGCGCGCACGTGCTCCTTGCACCGCCCGCAGTACCACGAGTCTGCCGCGTCCAGCTGCTCCGGCTGCAGGAACGCCTGCGCACAGATACGCATGTCATGACCACATCATCGGTTGCTACTGATTACTCACTCATTCCCTGAGACCTTGGAAAGGGCCAAGACTCCTGGCACTGGTGCTTCCAAGTACCGTTCAATAAATGCAGTAAACTGCAGCTCCAATGTGCTCAGCGCAGCAGAACAACACAGTGTAGCTTCTTGTATGCGACGTTCGCTCGCTCACGATTGGTCGTCGGTGTGAAAATCGGTCAAGCTCAACTTCAGGCCCGACCTGAGCCCGCTGTGCCCGGTGCCAGAGTAAATACACACAGCAGGATCAAATCCAGCATGAACTTGAGATTGGCCTCTAGTGTATTGCTGATGATTTGTCACCCTAAAGGCATGGCGAATTGCGCAGCAGTACGACTTCAATCCGATCAACAGTTCGCATGGTTCGTCTTCCAGGAGTGCCTGGGCATTGACCATGACGCCTGTTGATAGGAATTCGCGCCAATCAAGCCCACTCTACAAGATTTGAAGTCAGAACTAATTTATTGGTGAATCAATGAGACCATGTGCAGCCGGGTGCAACAGAAGCCACATGCGCACCTCGACGCACTGGTGGAGGCTGAAGCTGGTGCTGGTGGTGGCCTGCTCGCGCTCCTGGGCGGCGCGCGCACTGTCGCTCAGCCGCGGCGACTCCAGCGCCGCCACGTCATACTCCGCAGCGCCCTCCGCCGCCCACTCCACTGCAGCAGCGCACATCGATTTTTTTAAATCCGACCCATGGCGATGTATTGCCAACACAGTGGGGTGCCTGAGTTTGACCTCACAACACTGACTTTGAAGTGAAGAAAGGAAGAAATGCAGAGTGGAGCACCAGCAAGCGCACAATCGGATCACCGAGGACCTCCAGCTCTTCCCATACTTGGTAACACTTACAACCCATCAAGCAAGTGGCCATGCAGTGGATCAGCTCTACTTTCAAGAGAGAGAAAATCAGTACCAGGGAGCTGCAGCCAGCAAGCTTAAAGATCACGGACTGGAGGCAGTGACTCATATCCACAGTTGGGTCAAATTCATTCCCGCTCGCTGCCCTTCCCATGACCAGAGCCTTGTCCCTACTTTTCAGGAGTGTCTCTTGCACACATTTGGTATGAGCGTGCCTGCAAAGTGCAGCTGCTGGGCAGTAGTGCTGGGCTCCACGTAGAGGCGGGTGCCCCCGTTCGAATCAGCCCACTTCAGCCGCCAGGGCCACTGTGCCTTCACGTCCCCATTGGCCAAGGCGATGGGCTCCGCCGTTGCATCATCATTCTCCTCGCTCTGACTCTGCGCACACCAGTCACACACTGCTATCATCCTCCGTACTCATTCTTGCTCATTGACGTCTGCCTGGCCTTCTAGATTTCAATGCCACACCAGCACGCAAGAGGCACTCTCTGTGCAGCCATCAGGCCGGCATTTGGAGACTTGTTCAATCGGGCAGTGCACAGACAGGTGCAACTGTGCCCTAAATGAGTCCAAATGACAGGCCGACCAGATTGCTGCAGAAATTTCTTCCTGCTGTGAGTCACATGCTGTGATTACATGCTGTGGGCCCAGGCGCACCTGCTGCCACATGTTGAAGGGCTGGGCTGTGGGGATGCCGCGGGGGCTGTTGTCAGGGCTCACGATGGGGCTGGCATTGGGAGTGGCCTGGGGGGTCACGTTGGGGGCCGGGGAAGATTCCAGGCACTCGTTTCCCAAAGGGGGCGGGCTGTCTGGGATGGAATTTGGGTCCGGGTCGGGGCCTGCATCAGCATAAATTCCAGCCAGTCGAAACATATGCATAGCAGCCTTGGCACCCATAGCCTCTGAGGCTCAAAACATAGACCTGCAGCAGTAAGATTCCTCAAATGCATGGCAGCCTCAGCGCTCACAGACTCCGAGTTTAATACACTCCTGAAATCAGTCGATCCTTGCATGCAGGACCAGAAACTTCCACCAAGCAGTGAGCGTCCTCAGGGCAGGCAGCCTGAGGTAATCCGCCACATCAGAAGATCGAGGTGGTCACGCACCCATGCCAGGCCATGTGCCTGAGACATTGCCCCAGGTGTCATCGTCGCCCACCCAGCCATCGTCCACTGCATTTGCTGGTGTTGCTGACGCTTCTGCAACACACCAACCAGCCTCAGACCCATCTTTGTCAAACGCCTATATCACTGGTCAATTTTTAATGTTAAGACCCCAGATACATCCAACTTGCTGTACTGTGCTGGCATGAAAGACTCCAGCGTGGGATTGATCAGGTTCAGCAGGCCCACATGTGATACCAAGGTGGAAGCATGCACACCTCCCCATTGCAGAGCACTGCTCTGCTGCTGCTCCGCTGCCACCTCTATCCGCTGCTGACTGGACACCTCGCCATCTCCTGCTGAGACAATGACAGCCTTGCTCTCACTACTCACCCCAATCGTGCAGGTTGAAAATGAACAAGATATGTCAGGCTTGTATGAGAACGAATTTTAAATACTAGGAGGTGCAGTGGATATGAGCGCACCACTGGCGCCCTCCGGGGCTTCCACTTCAATGGGGACAGACTCTTCGTCGCTAAAGGGCTGATTGAACTCCGCAGCGGCGTCCACACGCTCAGGAGACATGTCATCACCTGCCACACAATAAGAACATGTCAGCACAGAAAATGCTTGCACACAAACATGCCGCATAATTGCCAAAATAGAAGATGCTGAAGAAGAATAGAGAGACACATAGAGAGAAATTGCCACTTGCCCAGAAAGGATATGCGCAGGATGTATGCCTGTTGCCCATCTCCAAATTGACTGATTACTTTGGCATTTTACTTTGCATGGAGTGCTTGGGGCAGGAGACTGGCACAGGCTAATGAAGCCGCACCTTTGGGGTTCTCCAGCAGCTCAAAGGACTCGTGCGGGGACTGCAAGGGCCCCGACATGTCCTGTAGCTCTTTATCGATATCCATTGCGCTGGAAGGAGAGGGCCCCCCGAAAGCAGGCAGGGGTGACGCGCTCCCAAATACATCTGCTGGTGCGCCCGGTGTTGGGGTGGTGCTGCCGTTGGGCAGGGAACTTGCCCTCGCAAACATGTCATCTGCAAGGTGCGCCCACGCCCTCAATACCCTGCCTGCCAAATTGATCAGCTGCAATGAGAGTTTGCACTGGACATACAGCTGCAAGAGGCATGGGGCACATTGCCCTGTCAGAAGCATGGTGAGCACACGGACTGCGCACCAATGGCGGTGGACATGTCTCGTCCACTGGCGCTGGGGGCATTTTCTGCGTCTGATGCTGGGTGGCTGGCGTCCTCGACCTTTGGGCGCTTGAAAGGCCTGCAAACACACGGAGCCACATCTCACATCACATGTCCTGAGCTGGCCAATTCATCACTGTAAACACACTGGCAAAATCATACTCTCGACTTCCATCCGGGTCATTACAGGTTGGGAAGCTCGTTTCTATTCTGGTGATAGTTGATTGTTTCTTTCCTTGAGCGACACCAAAACATGCAGGAACATGAGAAGAGATTGGTCTCACCTGAGAGCGTCCTCCAGCAGCCTTTCCACATTGTTGGGCCGCTCCACAGTGTACTCCTTCTGGTTCCACTCCAGGTTCTCCTTTACCGTCTGCTCGCGCAGAGCCTGGATGTCATCCTCGGGCAGGAACAGCACCAGCGGCGCTGCAAACACGCTCGAGGCCTCTGACCCGCCAAAGCCCGCCCGCTTGCGCAGCCGCCGCCTGCGACCATAAGACAGCAGATGTTCTCTTCTCTCCTTTTCTTGCTTCCTAGCATAAATTTATCAGAGTGTGCAACCTGCAGATACGCTAGCAGCCGAGCAGAGCAGAGCAGCAGCCTGCAGATCATTCGTGGATCTAGTTATGCGCCGATGATTTGGCAGGAATGACATGCCAAGAAACAATGGAACCACAGGAAATCTGCTCCCAGCAGAGTGGCGCCAGAGCAAAACATAGAGGGTGGAGGCACCTCTGCAGTGACACTGCATGTCCATGCATCCACCAGAGCAAAGCCATGCATTACAGAGAAGGGTGCAAGCACCTGTGCAGAGGGAAATGCATGTGTGCATGCCTCCCTGTGAGCTTTGCGAGGGGAGAAGGGTGCCCGCACCTGTGCAGGAAATGGACCTCGCTGTGGCCGGACTTGGGGCCCTCGGCAGGGGAGGCATAGCGGTAGGCCAGCAGCTGCGCGGAGTCACGCTTTTCGGGCATGGGCTGCCCAGAGTCAGTGTAGGTGCGCGTGATGCGGTTGCCTGCCAGCAGTGCTAGCAGAAGCACCTCCATCGGGTCTGCGCTGCCGGCCACGCCCGCATGCTGAGCCAGCGCCTCATACACCGCTCCCACCGTTGCTACAGCCAGGAATAAAAACAAAGTTGGTACGGTGCAAGTTGATGGAAGATCTTCTGTCATCTTCTAGACAGATGGAAGCAAAGGTATTGGCGAGAAGAGCAGCTGTGAACTAGTGCCTCATACACCGCTCCGACCGTGGCTGCTGCAAAACATTGTAATCAATTGATGCAGAAAAAGAGAACATGACTTCATGCTTGTCGCAACTGTGGACCAGGGCCTTATCTGCCGCCCCAACCGTGGCTGCATCAAAAGCTTATAGAGTAAGGGGCCCAGCTCATGCACAGAAAGACACAATGCATTCAAATGACCAGATCGGTAGTGCACCCCTGCTACAGGCAATCATAAACTCCAGAGAACATTTATGTCTTTACCATGGATGTTGGCCGGAAGTGCCTCACACGGGATTTGCCAAACATAGCACCGGCAGTCGCAATTCAAGCATGTCCTCAATGCATGCCAAAGAAGAGGGTCGCCAGCAAGGCGTGATTGTGAGGTCAGACCTGTCTTGGGCACGTCGATGGCGTGGATGATGGGCAGCTGGGAGCCGTCGACATAGATGAGGGTGATGTAGAGGGTGCGCGTCTTGGAGGAAGGCAGCGGCAGGGACAGGTACATGAACGGGTCAAACTTGACCGAGGAGAAGCTGCACTGCGGGCAGACCAGGGTGGACTTGTACAGGCCCTGCACGCAGCCACAGGGACTTAGACTCCTCGGTCCTACACTCTCTTCAAGTGTTTATTTTGCAAAACAGGATCCGCGGGCCGGTCACAAATTGACATTCTCCAGGATATTGGTGATCAGGCAGTTCCAGTAGAACATCTCGCGTCCTCCTGGATCGACACGGTCAATTACAACCTGGAGCATTGCAACCTCTTACATGATAGCACCTGTCCTATGACAGACACACCCTTGGACAGCTGTTCAAAGGCATAGAACCACAGCATACAAAGCACCTCCACATTCGGATGTAGCATGACCATCTAGCATGGCCCTGGGTGACTGGCACCTGGAAGTGGTCGACGACGACGGAGTCGTTGCGCTTGCGGTAGTTGTCCCAGGCCTCAGCGGCGACGACCTTGTCGGGGCGGCCTTCCGCGTCGGCCTCTTCGACATAGGGCTTCTGGCGCACGCGGTTGAGGTCCTCGTGCAGGCCGTCCAGCAGGAAGGCCAGCAGCTCCTGGCTGTCCTGCTGGCTGTAGCCGCCAAACTGCGGCGCAAACCGCGCCAGCGCCGCCTTGAAGCCCTTGGGCGACACCGACCCCACCCCGCCCTGCGCAGTAAGGGATATATGGTATGTACATTTATGAACAGCGCCATAGCGCAAGCACTTGCAACAGTGAGGGCCGGCGATTTTATATCAAGATCTAGTGCAGGGGGTGGATACATGAAGGTAGTACAAGAGGGTCTACGATCAGTGTTCTTGGGAAGTAAAAGCAAGGGGCATTCACATGTCTTCCTGCTGCGCAAAGCTGAAATGATCATGGAAGGCCTATCATCTCTTAACCGCCTCAGTAGCCTCATGAAGTTGGTGCATGTGACCCCAACGCATGCTGTGACGTGCGCTCTGGTTTTAGGATGATCCTACTTTGCTTGTCTAGGAATTGCATGCAGGTGTCGCGCACCTGCCAGAGCAGCTTCATGAGGCTGCCGAAAGCTTCCGCGAGCTCGCCCTTGTTGCCGAGGGGGTTGTCGGGGTTGAGGTCGCGCTTGTAGGCGCCGGTAAGGAACACGCGCACCAGGGGCGCTGCATGCGCCAGGCACTGCACGCTGCTGTTCATGAAGCACGTGTTGCCCAGGTTGGACAGCCCCGCCAGACCCCTCTTCCTCCCCTCCACCTGAAGGCATCAAGGCACACAATATAACAACGACATGGAAGAAGAATTGTCCTGCATGTGTAGAAGTGATAGAGAATGTGGACATGTCTACCCAAAATACTGCAGTGCCCCTTTGCCCAAGCCAGGCCTGGCACACATCCATGCTATTAAAGCTGCAACAGGATGCCTTAATCAGAGATCATCTGGTCACTAATGACTAGCGGAATACACCAAACATCCACACAGCCTGCAACCCTCATTTTGATAGTGCTGCGGCTAACGCAGCGCCCCTTGCCTGGCACAGGCCACTATGATTAACAGAGCTAAGCTGCTGGCAAATATTTTCCATTTCCTCGAGGCGACGCACACCTGGTAGGTTGTGTCGGTGGAATAGCTGTTACGTCCAAATGAGTAGTTGCTGGTGGTGTTCACATTTGTGGTGGGGCGGCCCAGCTGGATGGGGGTGGCCTGGCTGGGGCCAACAGTGCTAGCCCCCCTCGGCTTCACCTCGGGAAAATTGCCATCCTCATCCTGCAATGTGATCACAGTGAGCACAAGGAATCACAAGCATTATCAAGATGCCAATAAGAAAGTGAAAGCCTGTCACGCACAAGAGCAGAAGGACGGGCCCTTGACACACGAGAGAGAGTCACCTTCTCTAGCAGCATGATCTCCTGGTTCTCGGTGAGTGTGCCCTGGGCCAATTTCTCATCAGGACTGTCATCCAGAAGGCCATTGGGGCCGTCATAGTAGTTGCCGCCCCAGTAGTCCCACATCTTCACATCCACCTCCTCCAGGTTGTACACCTTGCATGCCTTCTCCTTGAGGTCAGCGAAGGTCGCCTGCACCAGCAGCAAAACTCTGCAGTGCCTGCCATCAATGAAATCCTTTCTTTGTGGTGACACACAGCAATATCCATCATGTTCAGGCGGTTGAATGCTGTCATGTGCTTCTCTCTGGCATCTGCAGCCTACCTCCACGCTGACACTGATGGAGACAGCACTGCCGGGATCAGAGGACCGCCTGATGCGCAGGACCACGGGATATATCTCGACCACTGCCTGTCCTTTCTGCATCACTACTCTGCGTGAGATGACCGGCCCTCCACTATACAGGCCATGCAGGTAGGTCCAGGCCTCCTCCGACAGCAGCTTGAACTCTTTTCCCTCCTGCAGATGGGGCTTGAGCTTGTCCACAGCACTACTGTCCAGGATATCACTGTTGTCGATCGTGCCAGGCCGTGCATGGCTCGAATGTTCTGCCCTGATCAATTGCTGCCCTCCGGGAGGATAGCCGGCATACGCCTCCCAATCACGAAACCACCTGATCGACAAGACGATGATCAGTCGACGATCGTGACACCAGGATGCAGCCAATGCAAAGACAACCATCTGAATAGCATGCAATGCTTATATTTTTGGAATGCGGTTCAGATTGCAGTCCACTGGCGTAGAAAAGGAACGGACAAGGACCCATCGCCAAGAATAAGAAAAATATCGACAATTACGAAGCAATGGATGCCTGTAGAACAATTTGGAAGACTGATGCAGTCAGATCTCTCTGTAACTTACGTCTTGCTGACGAGGTACTGATTGTCTCCTTCCTTCAGGGGAAATCGGCTTCTCTCCCGCTGTGCAACCTCATGAGCTTCCTGCTGAGCATCTGCAGATGTGTCTGCTTCTTCGTTCACTGTCTCCATATCGACCAAGCTAGGCTCCTCATCGTCGGCAAGGGCCGCGAGATCATCGTTCCAGTCCATCACAAGATTTGCAGTAGTAGTTGCTTCACACGATTTTGTCCATTACGATCAGGAAGATCATGCCGATCATGCTTAAATTGATTTTGCTACAATTTTGGATGCTGATCTGCTTGCAAATTGAGCTGTTGTGAGGCAAGACGTTCTGAAGCAAGGCTTCAAGCATAAATTAGGTGATTCTTTACTAAAGCTGACGTGATCTGTAACCGTCTGCGCCCTGGCATCAGGGCAGCAGTGATTCGTCGCCATTTCTTGGGCAAAAGATTGCAATAGATAGACCAAAATGTCACAAGGCTCTTGGAAAGACATTATCCGTTGACATCTCCCTTCGAAGATTTTTCTTCGAGGTGCTCCTATCGGGATGTCTCACGTGTGGTTTGACCCACGATTTTGAAACCTTCACAGAAGAGTTGCAATGGAAGACGTGTCTTCAATGGATGGCACTGTGGCACCAGTAGATCCGGGTGCAGGTAGCCACACGTCTTCCTCCAGTGGTCACGAGGCGACCCATCTTTCTACAGGTAATTTACGTGAAATGCGGTTGGCATCAACTTGCGCGAGATATTGGAGCCGATGGCGTACATGCAGGCTTGTAGCAATGATGTTACTCTATACAGTCTGTATGCGCGTGATTTTGTAATCCCGAATGGATGTTTTGAGACGTGTTGTTCTGACAATGTACAGGCATGATGGTGTTCTCAATGATTTTATGGATGTCTCTCGGGCACAAAATATCGCACAGGTACTCCCTCTATCGATAAATACCTGCCAGTAGTGCCTGTACTTGCGACAGCAGCTTCATCAATCTGGGAGGTGTATGCCAACTGCATGGTGTAACAGCAACTTTCTGTGCCCAGCTCAAAATATGTGGGAGAAGGAATGTCAGCCGCCGTCACGGGGCTTGCCCTGGGTGGCATCATCCTTGTACTCAGTGGCATATTACTGGACGGCGATCTGACGCAGCAGTTGCTGACTTTCAATCACTCCAACTTCTTTGTGTGAGCGGTCCAGCCTACTGCCTTACCATGGCCCTGACACTAAGAGATTTTTATGCACGCATTGCCACCAGAAAATGCCACATTCCCTTGACCATCTCTTGATAGTTTGCATGCGTCACTGGAGCCTTACTGAGCGGCTGTGCATGTGCAGGTTTTTCTTGCCGCCCATAATATTATACGCCGGGCTGTCAGTCAGAAAAAAGGCATTCTTTCGCAATCTACCCACGATAGCAAGCCTGGGAATCTTGGGAACCTATATTGCTTTTGCAGTCATCGCCGTCACTCTGTACGGCTTCTCAAAGTTCATCAACATAACACTCGCGGTGAGCTGATCTCCTGCATAGTTTCATCAGTAGTGCACCCCACATGCATAACTTCGACGTCCTAGTCCTTTTGTAGATTTTCTGACACCCGCACCGCACACCACATATGTGAAACTTCAGTGCACCAGTCGTCCTGTGGTAACGTCATCTTATGGTGCACATGTGTGGGATCAGGACTGTTTGGCTCTGGGGGCCATATTTGCCACCACGGACAGTGTGGCCGTGCTGCAAGTGCTTGAGCAAGACCGGGCGCCGCTCCTGTTCAACATGGTCTTTGGGGAGGGCGTCATCAATGATGCCACCACTGTCGCGCTGCTGCGCACTGTGCAGGTGTGCACTTCATCAGGGCCGCTTCACAGCTTAGACAATAATGACCTTGATTGCATGCATTCCTGAGGTTGCTTCTGAGCCATTTGCAGCTATGAGAAACACTGTTGCAATGAAAGAGGCCCCTATTTTCCAGGCAGCGTTGTGTTGAGTGCTGTCACCCCGGGAAGATCACTAAAATAAGATATTCGCTGTTCTTGGCTGAGCCCTGCCGGTCTGTGGATTATGCAGCGCCTGGGCGAGACACCACAGATGAACGCGGCAACAGTGGGCATCATATTCGGCAAATTTCTGTACCTTTTTGCAGCAAGCCTGCTGCTGGGCCTAGTCTTTGGCCTCTTCTGTTCTCTGCTCCTCAAGAACTTCAACGTGCCACATGCACCACAGGTTCGCTCCTATACATGATGTCATGCCACACTGAATGGCCTTCTTGCCCTTACGACTTCCTGTCATAAACAGGAAACGACAGAATGTGCATTCAATCAGTACACGGTGATCAGGACTGTCTGTTGCTATCTCTACTTAATACATTTTAGAGACCTGTTGAGAGCCGCCTGAGGCTAGTTAGTCTTATGGGCAGACTTCAACCTGTCCATCACCATGGCACCTGTATCTACCATGACAACATGCCCCCATGAATTGCAGGCGGTGGGAATAGTGGGAATGGTGGCTTATCTGAGCTACCTAGTGGGTGACTACACGGGGCTGAGCGGGATAGTGTCGCTCTTCTGCTGCTCTGTCACAATGAGCCACTATGCACTGCACAACATCACCAAGCAGCAGAGGGCGGCGGTCCTCAGCTTCTATGAAACAATCTCCTTCATGTCGGAGGGCAGCATCTTTGTGTACGTGGGTTTGGATGCTCTTGATCCTCTCAAATGGAAGGTGAGTAATCGCCAGCATGCACTTGCCACTTGACACGACATGACGTTTAGCAACAGTTGCAAACACTTTGCCTGTGCTGATGACCATGTCATTATATAACATCAGAGTATTGCACACCTTTCCAGTCCAAGAGGTAAGGTGCATCGTGATACAAGCACCAAGTACTTCATTTGCGCCGTGGAAAGATGCTGTCTGTCTGGCAGTGCCAGTGCACACCACTGTATTCATTTGATGTACTGTGTTGAGTGCAGAACACATTTGTGGGGCCGGCGATGGCGCTGTTTGGCATCATAATGGTGCTGCTGCTGGTGAGCCGCGGGGTGTTTGTGTTCCCCATTCTGGCCGCCCACAACTACTGGTCCAAGGAGAAGCTGCCTTTCCGCCAGATCGTCGTTGCCTGGTGCGCGCGCATGCCAATACAGAAGCAAACAAGCACTTTTGAAAACCAGGAATTTGCAATGCATGTGTTTCTAAAACTCCAGCACCCATTTCAAGTGACATTATCATTAGTAACAATAATATCAAACGTTTTCCAGCCCTTGAGTCCTGCAAGTGACATATTGTATCATCAAATTCTTCCGCAAAAGAAGGGCTCTTGAGATTGGCAATCAGGAATGAGACAGCAAAGGGAAAATTGGAATGGTTGAAACGCCAGGTCTCTGATGACCAAATAACTATATAGCCCCTTTGCGTGATCCAGGCCTCCCCTTCACACATTCCTGCCATGTATTCTATGGGCAGGCTCCCCCACTTAATGGTCATCTCCTTACAACCAGAGAGAATTCAAATGCAGGTGGGCGGGGGCGATGCGCGGGGCGGTGTCAGTGGCGCTGGTGTACCTGTACTATGACCCAGATGGCACGACAGTGGACCAGATGAAGTCATCACTCATCAGCATGACGCTGACAGTCGTTTTATTCTCCACCGTCGTCTATGGAGCCATCACCAAGCCCATGCTCGATCTCCTGCTCGGTGCCAAACGTGCGCTGCCCTCTCCTCTGTGCTTGTTCTGCACATTGCCTGTTTGAAGAGCATGACAAGGGCATTTCCATGCATGCCAGCTTCTGGACATTGCTTGATCTGTGTTCTGCACTGAAATTGATGTTCAGAGTGAGGCATTCCTGAAGTTGGCTGATAGCGTGTAACTGTCTGAGTGAAGTCACAGTTGCAATCTGCCTCTGGTGAAAAGTCCATGCTCCAGGTCAGATCCATGTACTGGAGAATTCTTTTCCCGTCAGGTTTCTCTCTATACTGAATTGACGGAAGAGCCAATGGTGTGGCAGTCTGCCGCTTCATCGAACACCTTCATCGGGCATCGAACACTCACTGGCTTGCAAGGCGCATGCATGCGTATAATGCCGATGGTGTGGTATGCAGCGCCGAGCGAGCAGGGGGAGCATGGGGAGGAGGGCATTGAGCTGATGATGCAGACAACGCCCCACAATGGATCCCCCAAGATCCCCGCCGCTTACTCAGTGGTCGATGTGGCGCCCTCCGAGAGCGGCTATGAGACCGATGCCACCGCCTTCAGCGAGGGAGCCTTCTCGGACGACGATGATGACCTGGACCAGGGGGAGAACGAACGCAACGGGCTGCTGACTCACCACCATGCTTCAGGTGACCACATCTTATTTCTTACATGCTCTTCCTGCCAAGAGGCAAGAAGCAAGTCGCAGGTGACCACATCTAGAGGACTCAGATCTGGGGAACCGAAATGTTTTGCATGCAACGGGACAGCAGCAGCATGCATGCGTGCATGCTGAGAGAGGGAGGACCAGCCAGCTCAGGGACTTTAATTTATGTTGACATGGGGGTGTAATTACACTAGCTAGGGTTGAAACCATTCCCCTTGTGTGGGCAGGTGCGAGGGTGGATGACAGGGTTGGCGAGGAGGAGGTACTGCAGGACATTGCAGACCATGCAGCGCCCAGTCAGGCGGCCAGCCGGCCCCGGCTGCAGGCGAAGGACCTGCACCCCATCCTAGTCAAGGGCGATCTCAGGCGGTTCCAAACGCCCCCCGCTGACTCACTGGTTAGATCCGGCTCGCAGCCGCTGCACACTAGGTGGGACGAGCCTGCAGCTGCCTCCAGCAGGTGCGGTACATCCCAAACCATTATTTTTGAACATTTGTAGCCATTGTCATGTGGGGATCTCTCAGAAGCTGCCATGGCCGTGGCTCAAGAACAAATGTGCCATTGGATTTTTTTGGGAAATGTGCGGAAGGTTGAAGTGTAATATTTTGCCGGGCTGACAATACATTCTTTACAAAATCCATGCAGTCAGACGTGCATTATGCTTGACGCAGGGGTGCAGCAGAGGCCCAAGCGTCTGCATCGAATTGGGCATTCGCAGATGCTGCGGACCCAGCCATCAGCAGCTTTGCAGTGCCGCCCGAGGTTGCCGCCCCTCGAGCGCCGCGCATCAAGTTTGGGCCTGAGCCTCCCAGCCTCAAGAGGTGCCTGCCCAGTCCGACACCTTTCAGTTAACCACTGGATGGGACCCTTGCTTGGCACTGCAGAATTGAGAATATTTGTTTGCCATGGTACATGATGGGTCAGACAAAGCATAACACACCACATATGCGCATGAGGCCATCCCTGAACACTGGAAGGAGAGTTGATGCTCTTTTGACGGTCCAGAGACATGGGCATTTTTCTCACGACCAGCATGGTGTTAAAGTCATATTGTCATGTCAAAAGCGAAGATCTGTGCCACGCAGGACGGCGTCAGAGGGCTCTGGGCTGGCATCCCTGGCTGCGCCGCCACTGCCAAAGCCTGCCAAAGTGCCTGCCGGCCCCAGCACAAGCAGCGCTTCGCGGCTGCCTCTGCGCGCATCCATCAAGTGGGCCTCCCGTTTGGACTTGACTTGAGCCAGTGGAGTTGTTTTTCAATCTGGCTCCTGGTGCTTGCAGCTGCATCAACGCTACTCTGGCCCAGTAAAGTCTAGAAGATCCTTGTTGTGATTGTTTTTATTGTTGATATAAATTATTCGAGGAATATGGAATGCCCATGGTGGCTGCTTAGGAACTTGTGAGGTGCCAGCAATCATCTACATGACCTGACAAGGAGCCCCAGTGATAGCATCACGTTTTTTAATTGCGTGCATGCAGGACCGTGGTCAAGGGCAAACGGCAGTCGGTGCAGCTGTCAGAGTGGTGGGCTGACTTTGATGAGCGGGTGATGAGGCCGGTGTTTAACAAACCAGATGCACTGGACAGCTGGACGCCTCGATCAGGCAATATACCAGGAACCCTCATGCATGATGCATTCAAGGTTGAAGTGAATAACATTTTGCGCATTACAGGCTTCCAGGTAGCTTTATCTTCCCTTTCTGTTGACTGCAGGCGATCATTCAGAGGCGTTGGGGCAGGCTTCGCTCGCCAAGAGTCACTCCCTGCAAGCACTCAGACCGCCCCTTGCGCCTGGCAGCACTGTGCCTGCTGCAGCGCCATCCATCCCAGCCCAGAAGCCTCAGAGGCGCAGCCACACAGAAAGTCCTGCAGAGCCTTCACGCAAGATTTGATAAGATTTATTCGATTGTTGGACGCCAATCAAGCACCATCGAAACACCTCTTTTGCATGGTTGTAACGCCTGCCATTAGACAGATTAGGCTTACCTGCGAACCTGACATTCGAGAATACAGACACTTGAAACAAGTCCGACTAGATCTAAGACTTTGAATTTTGTTGAGAGTGTTTGCGTACTGTGCGGGGCTGGAATTGCTGGCTTGCGTTCTTGCGGAACATAGATCGAGACATATAGTGCATTGGAGGCAATTTAGAATGCTCTAGTTGACCCACTTTCCTTTTGAATTTCACAGATCTATGTAATGTGTGCATTGTATACGTGATGACCCCAAAGTGTCAAGTTGCTCTACCTCGTATCAAAGTACCAGCAACTGTTCTACCAGGCCTAGGCTTTCGTCCATTCCAAAATCTGCACGATGATATCAGGATCGGCAGTCACAAAGAGCAGCTTTTCACGCAGCAATACAATAGTGTCATACAGAGGAGATCTGTCCCTTCCAATGTTGAGGAGAGGCTGAAAGTAGTCCAGAGATTGTCTCCCTTCAAGCATCAGGTAAGCTATGCTTGATCCAGCAAAAGGACATACCACTTCACAGAAAGAGGCTGAAAACCACAGTTTCCTTATATCTGTGCAGGTTAATTTGACAATGCCAGAAGAAGGGCACTTGCTCAAGGGCCTCCTTGACGGTGTCCTGGACTCCTCAGAAGTAGAGCAGTGGCTTCTGCAAGACATGCAGGAGCTTGCTCTGGACTTCTGCAGCCTCCTCGGTGCGCAGCTGCTGCTTTAAGATAGTGTTTCGTAACAAGAGCCTGAGGCAGGACACATCACCTTGAGAGCAACAAGTTGTACACAGAGCCAGCACAGTGACAGCCATGATGTGTCCTTCAGGACGTGGACGTCTGTCGGCAACCTTGGCACTCATTGACAGGACTCTCTGCCCAAGGTGGCACGCTGACCATGTCACGGTGAGCACTGTCTAGCTCGCACTTTCCTACAGCCATCCTGAAGGCACTGGCCCCGTCATGTGCCACACATGCTGTAAGACCAGATGGAATCGTATAAGGAAGTGAAACGAGCTGGTCATGGGTTGCAGATGCGCTTGCTGTGCACCTATTTTGGAGCCGGCACAGAGTTTGTGGAGAACAGGTTTGCAGATCGGCGGCCCCTGCAGCGGCTGCTCTTCCAGGACACACAGGGGTATGGCGTCAGGGACGAGCGCGCAGTGCAGGCAGCTCTGCCGGGGGATGTGCTGTACCTGAAGGGGCATGCCTTCCCAGGCAATGCAGGTGTATGTCTAGCTCTCTTCTGCGCATTTATTGGCTTAGTCCCGCTGTGTGCTCATGAATTGCCAAGCTGCCATGTCCAATGCACGACCTGGAAGTTTTGGTGAAATGACCATTTCAGTGGCAGCTTCCTGCAGCTCCTTGAGTTCATTTTAGTGTATCTGAGTTCATTTTAGTGTATCTGGTCGAAAATTGGTCACTGTTTGTCACCACACAGGGTGTGGAGCTGTGCACCGCTCGCCGGCAGCAAGTGCTGAAGAGCCTCGCTTGGTCTTCACCCTGGACGAGGCACTTGCCTTGCCCGAAGAGGAGTGTAATTGTGGGAGGCCGCACTGAGGAGCTGTAGTGAGGGGTTGCAACTTACATGTCAAAGTTGCCCCTAGCTAAGAAGAGCTTTTGTAGTAAAGTAGTATTGCTGAGTATTGTGCACGGTTGTACCATAGCACAAGTAGACAATTGGAAACCAGCTGATGCCCACACGGATACATTGTTCGCAGCAGAATTGCATGATGGAGTCAAGAGACCCTCTAGACTTCCAGGAGAGAATTTGAATGCAACCAATTCTTTGAAAGATTGGTCATGTCAATTTGGATGACATGTATGAGGAGTTCACACATCAACAACCGAACCACACACCCTTGAGCTCACAGCTAGGCAGCGTCTTTGTCAATGCATGTGCCTAAAATTTAGGCCCAAGATGACTGGCAACAATTCCGGAACAACACCGGATCAACTAGGCGGATAACTAGGCAGAATTGCTGCTCTCCAGCAGCCCTCATTCATCCTTGACACAACAGGTCACTATCACAAAAAAGTAGCAGCACACTTAAGTTGGACCAGGCCACTAACATGAATATAATGATGCTATTGAGCAAATAGTTTCTCAACGACTCACAAGGCTTGGGCGGCTGACAACTAATTGCACTGCTACAGACCTCTACTTTGACGTAGCAAGAGCTTGTGCCAAGCTCTTTCTAGCCAATCATCCTGCCAACCGACATTTTCAGTGTTCCTCAAGTTTGCCTGCCCCGCACATGGCAAAGAAAGAACTGACAAGCAAGCAGATCTGAGCCCTCCATGATTGCCTATCTTCACTTCTTCTGCGCAGATGTGATGGGCCGATCAGGGGTCTTGGGGTCTTCAGCATCAGCATCCAGGGGGCCCCCGGCCGGCAGGGGATAATCAGGAGGTGCGCTCGGCCGCATGGGGGACTCCTGCGACAGCTGGGAGTCCTGGGAACGCCGCGCGAGACCGGACACCCTCTTCTTCATAGCGCTGTCCTCTGTCCTCGCCGCCTCACCGCCGTCCGGCTGCCGCACTTCCTTCATCTGCACACCCCACACAGCGCAAAAATCAGTGACCCCCGTGATAGTATAATAGTTAGCAGGCATTTAAAACCCGGGGAGATTTAGACTGAGCACCAAGCGTGCTTAGAAGGTGGATAGCTGCCCAGTAAGCGTGCTGGGCTCCTGAGCATGAAAAAGTGGTCAATGCGGAGATCCACATCCAGAACAGAAGGGCAGTGCATAATGGTGATGGCTGCGACAGCATTGTGCTCGGTGCAGTGAGACAGAACAGAATAGCACCTCGATGGGCGAAGCAATGCCCGGAACAGTTTCCGCGCGCGGCGGGTTCCGAACAGTGGGCAGCTTTGACATCAGGCGTTTCATGGGGGACGGCTGCGCGGAGGCGGGCTCGCTGTCGAGGCCAGAGTGTGCCCCATTGAGGGCAGAGGGCTGGAGGGGGCCGGGACCGGGGGGAGGAAGTGAGTGGCCGGGGTGCGAAAGCGATGCGGCGTCCTCGTTGATCGCGCTGATGCGGCGCTCGCGCACGGCCAGCTTCTGGATCTTGGGCGCGATGCCGCGCAGCTGCATCGGGTTGAACAGCATCCCCGCTGTGCCCACGTGCTTGATGTGCACCTGCGCCAGTATGGTTTATATTTGAGCTGGGTGTTTCAGTGCTTGTCATGCCCTTGGGTCTTAAAAGACACGATGAGGAGATCCATGGCAGCAAACAACATTGCGCTGCTTGTGGCGGGCACGAGAAGGAGTCCCATACAGTCCGAATTTTGCCCCCATGACGTTGGAACTGCAACGCTTTGGCATGGGGTCTGATGATGACAGTGAAAACTGCTATTCACCAGACTTTCCGGCAGGCATGTGTGAGCAGCTCCTCGGGCCTCACAGAGTCATCTCTAACTGATGGTCTGCTGAACTTCGTATCAGGGGATGCCGTGAGATGAGCTGGCAGCAGTAGTTTGCAGATCCTGCTGGCATGACTGAGCAGAAGTGCAGAAGAAAGGCGTGCAGGCTCAGGAGGGTGGGACTCCGGGCGCACCTTGAGGGGTTCGCTGTCTCCGGCCGGGATGATCTGCGGCCAGGGCTCTCCATCCAGCTGCATGTGCGTCAGGGACGTGTCGCCCTTGGTCACACCTGCACCACAGCAACACCCGCTCGGTATACTTTGCGTAAACGGAAGACGTCACGCAGCTGCCTTTCCCTTTGAACACACAAGGCAGATGCATGTAAACACCTCCGGCTTATGATCCAGCGGGAGAAGCCCCAACAAGGGCAGTGTAAACAAGAGCAGAGATAACTGGCTGCACGGGCCCACAGATGTCTGGTGTGATGCGTATATTGCAAGACAACGTAAGGCCTCATGTGGACCAGACATGAAGCAGGGCTGACCTCCTGCGCGGAGTTCCAGGAGCACTTCGGTGCCCTGGGCCAGGCGCTTGGCGTGGATCTTGGTGGTGAGGCCTGCCATCACCAGCGCCGTCTGCCACCCATTGCGCAGGCCCACCACCTGCAGCAGCACCCAGTCATCGTCACTTCAGTGCACAGCCATTCCATGCTCAAACTGTCAGATCCGCAGCCCAGCTACCAGGAACAAAACGGTTAGTAAGCACCCGAAGGCCACTTCAAAATGGCAGGCATTGACGTCTCCAACGGTGTGATCAGTCATCAAGCCCGACAAAGCCACGGGCTGGGTCTGTGGGTGCCATGAGACATAATACAGAGATGCCTGTCGCAGAGTTCGCCTAAGTGCAAGCAGAAAGGGTGCGGCTGGGCCATGCCTCGATGGTGCCGTCGTTGAAGATGGGGGTTTTCCAGCCCTTGGCGGCGTCGCGGGCTGGGTCACGCAGGCCCCACAGGTCGCGGCCGCCCGCGTAGCTCTGCAGGTTGAGCACCGCCAGCGCCTTTATGTGCCGCGACATCGCCACCTCCACCCACTGCCCCGCCACGTTGCGCACCTGTACAAGTTCAAAAGCACCCGCACGCCTCAAAAGCCTGACACAAGGATCCTCTGGATCCCTATTCTGGGGCTCTTCTGTACCCTTTTGCAGCATGTGCCTTGCCACTTGCATGCTGGTGCCCACCACTTATACAATCTGCAAAAGGGCAGATGCAGTAGCTCACAGTGAAATGTGACTAACTCAGTTTGGGCGGAGATAGGAGTGCATGTGAGAAGCAGTAAAGGTAGAAAGAGTTCTATAGGGCATTGGATGTGCAATAAATGGCACAGGCTGGGCAGCGGAGGTCACCTTGAGGCAGATCTTGTTGCGGACGGGGGGCGCATTGCAGAACCAGCCGGTGGTGCAGGAGAAGTAGCCGTACCAGCCCTGGTTGATCATGCGGCTGGGGGCCGCCCAGGGGCGCTTCTCCCGCAGGCTGTGGAAGCCGTACGCCGCTTGCGCGTCCAGGCCCACACTGTAGTAGTTCCAGAACAGGCCCTTCACCTGCACGCGGACAACCATGCAACGCTCTCAGGACCATCCACTCTCCCAGGGACCACAAGGCTGGCTGTTATGAACATCGACAAATGCCCAAAAGAAGGCCCCCATATATGGTGCTGTAGTATGTATGACAGCCTTCACTTGCAGCTGGTCTGCAGACAAAGCTTGCCTCTTGGCAGGAAGTGCGTGCATAACAAATTTAGAGCTACACATGGTAACAAACCAATAAAGCAACCACAATCACCGCCTCAAAAGGTGAGATTAGTACCTTGCTGACATCCTTGGGTGCGGGTGGCTCAACAGAGCTGGAGTCCACCACCTCGAGGGAGTGCGGCAACTCCTTGAAGATGTTGCCCTGGCCTGTAACAGCCAGCAGAGCAGTCAAGCAGCAATTCTGTGTTGGATTTGATCAATTGCATGGTCATGCATGGTAGGTTGTGTAGATGTATGCCATGGGCTCATGCAGGGCTCACCAGAGGTGAGAGAGATGCTCCAGGTGTCCAGGTTTCGCTGCTCGGCATCGCCTATCCTCTTCAGCGTCTCGTAGATCGTGATGTGTTTCTGCAAACACACTCATTTCATGCACCTGCTTTAGGTTAAACAAGCCGGCAATATGAATCTTCTGCAGCTATTGTTCATGCCGTGCACTCTTGATGAAGAAATTCAGATGAGTAGTACACTTCAAAGAAAAGCAGGTGCTTGGCCGGAAGATCAGGATGGGTGCTCACATCGATCCAGGACTGCAGGAAGGTGTTGCCCCAGCCGAAGGACAGCGACAGGTCATTGCCGGTGCCCAGAGGCATGACAGCCACATAAGGGGCAGGGTCCAACTCCAGATCCCTGATCGTCTTCAGGATCCACGCCACGGTGCCATCACCGCCCGCCGCCAGAATCCGCATCTTCCTGCACATCATACCGGGCTCCCTTCAGGCGCTTTGCTAAAGAAGTAATGATGTCGTGAATGTGACCGCCATCATGTGATCAGCCTCTGTGTTGACACAGCGCTCCAATTGGCAGAGCGGCAATGCTCTTCAATGGGTGGGGATTTGCATATACCAAAGAAACTGTATGCAAGTTCTCTGGCACTGGCGTGCTCACCTGCGCACAATAGGGGCCCAGGTATCCCCAGCTCTCTCCTGCGCCTCCAGGTTCTTCCAGATGTGTTTCAGCACCGGCCCTGGGCGGTACTCCAGCAGATCATACACCTACATGCAAAACCCCTCAGCCCATCAGTCCACACCAAATGGAAACTCTCCTGTCATGTCCTCCCAACTCTTTCACTGCCCCGGATAAACAATTCCAGAGGAATAAATAACAAAAGGTCACACAAACCTGCGCGTGGCCAAGTGTGTGGTAGAGGACCTCTGTCAGCTTGGGCCCAGCACGGCCCCCAGACTTGGAGTTGATGAAGACAATGAGGGGCGCCTCTGGCAGCTCTGGAGCCAAAAACTTCTTGGTGTCCACCAAGTACGGCGCAGGTATCCTGCAGGGGCGCACCGGCACAGAACAATCAGGTGGTGTGTGGACCCAGGATACTTGACACTCACTGAATTGATCAGCACTCACTAAAACGATCAAAAATGAAACTTTGTGCACGCAATGGTAGCGTCAACAATCACCTGTACGGCTCTCGCAGATCTGTGAGTGATCGATAGAGTGCATATTTCTCAGGATCTACAGGCCCTGCCTCCACCTACAACCATATTTCAGGGATCAGTGTTAAGGCAATCTTCACATCAGCTTCCAGGAATTCGATCTATAAAGACAGGAGGTGCAGTCTGCCAGTATGCCTGGTGGCCCCTCTCACCTCTGCGGGGCGCCTGCCAGGGTTGTGATATAACTCTCTGTTCCAATGCCCCTTGACGCCCGTCTGCAGGCAGTAACAACGCCCTTCAGTATTTTGCAGATCACTGAAATGCAACTCATCAGTAAAGCATTCCTGCACAGCATGAACCCGGTCTGGAGCGATTGGCTCGCAGAATATACCTCATTCTGCTCTGTCTCTATTGCAGACTCGTCATGAGCAGTTATAGGAGAAGATTTGGGGTCCCCATGCTCCATAGTAGGAGTGATGGCTTGGTCTTATTCACGCCGCGTCTGTGATCCCGTGTGCAGCATCCACAGATGTCATCTTTCACATGTGATTCTTATTTATCTCCTTCTGATGCGCATTAGCGTTTGCTCTGCTGCCTGCAGTGAACTATTTCTCCATGCCAGGCTGCCACCTACAATAAAATTATTTGGAAGGGTACGATTCGCGGCCGATCCTCGCTAATTCTGCCAAAAGGTAGGTGCAATCGACTATACAAGGGAGCCAAGGACTGTTCGTCAGATCGATGTCTGTGTGCCTAGTCTTTGACGAGGTGCCTCTGTTTTCGTACACTCAAAGGAGGAACGTGCGTGCTCACTGAGATCTATATTTTAAGGCAAAGAAAGGCAGCTTGAATCACATGGTCATCGATGATTTACGTGTATAACGATCAAGACATATTAAGGTCGGGACGAGGTTTCTGTCGGCTCATCCGGCAACAGCGAGTTTCGCACAGTGGGATTTCAGCCGAGGCGATGGAGCATGCATTGCGTATCCTCTGCCGAGAAAATTTTTCTTCAAAATTAAAATATTATGAAGAGAAAAAATTGACAGAAACAATTTGTTGAATTCCTCAGACACGTTTGGGTTTTCAGTGGGCATCAATTTGCATTGTTTGCTCACACTGATCCTCCGCAGATCACCAACAACATGGGGAACAATTCTGCAATGCAATGGTGGGAAACCCTTCCACGATTGTAGATGACTGCCTTGTCTTATCAGATATTTTGATCGAATTCGTTAGGGCACAATCAGTCTTTGGTACCAAAAATTTCACCCATCCTGATGAACAGGTTGGTCCCTGCCTTTGTTGCTGTCACTGCTGCAGCAGGCGCATATTTATTGGGAAAATCAGCAACAACGGATCGAACGGCCGGGAAGAAAAATAAAAAGGTGAATTTCCTTGCACCAGGATCACAGAGAGTCACCCTGCTGGCAATGCCCTCACCTGCCTGAGTTGTACCCGAGCTCTGGCACAGAAATCGATAAATGAGCCTAGAATTTAAAATCTTTAGACAACAATGCAGAACATGAATGTCAAATGGTTCTTACAGAGATGCCTCGCCACTGAGTGCATGACTCATCCGCAGGCCTTCCTCCTCGTGATCACACACAAGTACAAAACCATCCGTGACAGAGACCTATTCATCAGCCTCTTCGAGCCTCTAGCCAAGTATGTTGTCCATCATGAACCTGAGACACTGGCCTATGAGCTGTCTGTCTCAGACAAAAATCCGCTGGAGATCATCATCTTTGAAAGGTACGTGTACAGGCACAAGAACTTCCCCTATTTCTCGCTAATCAACAGGGATAGACTGCTTCTGACTCATATCAAGGGATGCTAATTGTAGCTTGAATGGGAGTCCAGTATTACTGGTATTTTGTATGATGGATTTGTGCTCGTACTGATGCTCATGCTTTCTGAATACCCAGGTACACAAGCCAAGCAGCTTTGACAGAGGTGCACCAGCAGAGCGCACCCTTCAAGAAATTCAAAAAGGCTTGGGCAGAAGCAAACCTCGAGTACGAAAATAAGACGGGGGAGTCGTATATCGAGAAAGATCTGGGTTACATGTGAGAAGAGCCAGCATACATCTAGATGAGGACTGTTTTAGCAGCTATTCCAGGTCAATAGCACACGTTCGCTCACTCATATTGGACAGAGTAAGAAGCCCAGACAATCCGCCCAAAAACTGCCTACTCTGACACGCGTGCTTGAGGACAGTAGCCATTCAAGGACCACAGTTGTTATACAGAACCGGTGGTGCTTTCCCAGAATTTGAGGAGTCTCTAAAATGGTCAACACAATTTTATTCATGGCAGCCGCACAGTAATTTGCGATAAGGGATACACTTGTGATCACATGAATGTAAATGTTAATCATCAACTGATCCAAAATCTCACACGCCATTGCTCTTAAAAGAAGCACGGCTGGCGAGTCAGATTGTTTTTCATGAAGCAAAATTCCTCGAGTCATTTCTGCCAGATGTCATCATTGGCTCACAAGCTGTAAAGCACAACACATTCAAAAAATACTGTCTTGTTTGAATTCGTGGACAAGTCATGCAAACCGCATGCGCATAAAATACATCGCCATTTCCTTGGTCTCTTGGGGGCCTTGACCAGCATTGTGACACGCACAGGGCCTAACAACATCACAAAATTTGGCGCCACGGATTTCGGCACAAACGGTGATTGCCTCGTGTTCCAGGGAAAAGCTAGGTCTTTCTGTTGTGTTAGGATTCAAATTGCCTAAGAGACGATCATGGGCTCGAATTGTTGGATGACGCCCCGGCAGAAGGGGCAAACCGGCGCAGCCAGGCCTCGCGCACACAGCTGGTACGCACAGCGGCCACACAATGAGTGCCCACACCCTGCGATGCTGATCTCCAGGCCAGAGTCCATGCATATGGCACACATCTGCGCACGACACTATCACGATTCAGCGCTCATCCTGTGCTAAAAACTGTACCTGATGCCTCGATTACGTTGCACTCTCAACAGAACAGCCATGCCCCTGGTGCCCACACCATGCAGCAAGACACGGGGGCAGATTTCCTCCTACAAGTTACCACTGCAAGGTGAAGACTGTATAATAAGTGACTGTGTTGTAGTGTACCCACCTCTGTCCAGGTCTTAGCAGATGCGCGCTCCTTGCCCTTGCAGGAGTGTCTGCTCGGCCCCTTGCCGTCACCCTTGCCTGGCTTCACGTCAGCAGCACTGCCTGCGGCGCCCTTGCTGATATCAGCATCTATGCTGCGCCCATCCCGCGACCCGCCAGTGTCTTTCCTGCTCCTCTCCAGCGCTGCTTGCATGTCCCCAGCAGCCGGCTCTCCCCAGCTGTCTTGCTCCGCGGGAGCCACATGAGGCATCAGGATGTCTTCTGCGGCTGCATGGGAGTGTCCGCATGCCAGGCCGCCGTTGCAGGCCCCGAGCTTGCTCAGCAGGCTGGGGCTGTGCTGGTAGGCCTTTGACATGCGAGGCCTGTCAACTGACTTGCGGCCACTGTCAGAGGTGTCGGTCTCTCTGGGGCTGCTGCTGCTGCTCCTCAGCCGCGCAAAGGCGCTGGCCACCTGAGCAGCCGCCAGTCCCGGCGTGGGAGGCACAGAGCCCTCCCTCTGCAGCGTGCACTGCCCACCACTGCCAACATCAGGTGCTGGGAGTCTCGCTGCAGCGCTCCTGTAAGCCACCTGAGCAGCGTCGGTGGGCAGCTGCGCGGGCTCTTTGTCGGCCATGCTGATTCTGGCGAACGCGCGCGCCACTGCCGCGGCCGCCGCGCCGGGCGGCGGAGCGACGGAGCCCTGGCGGCTGATTGCATCAGGCTCCTCCACACTGCTCGCTGGCGCCACTGAGGGGTGCGCAGCACTGCTGGTGATTCCTGAGCTCGCGCCAATCGCTGGGATGCTCTGGCGCCGGCCGAATGCCTGCGCGACCTGCGCCGCTGCCGAGCCCGGGGGCGGGGGAGCGGCGACCTCTGCAGCCGGCGGCGTTGCCCCTTCGATGTGGTCATGGTCTTCCAGCAGAGGGCGCATCAGGGGTGACGGCTGGGCGGGGCGTGTTCGCAGGGTGTCTCTGGGCTCCTGTGCTCGCCAGGGGGCGAGCTGGTCTGCGTTGAGGGTGTCGAAGGCTGGAGCGTTTTCATCCCCCAGAATCCCCTCGATGTCGCACGACTCCAGGATGCTCTCCTGGCCGTGGCTGCTCCAGCGCGCCCTCCCGTACCCGTGCCCACCCCACTCCGCATAACTGCAAGCATACAATTTCATTGCTCAATGACAAACCCACAATGGAACTGCTTGGATGAGCCCAACACTCTAAGGCCTACATATCTACCATCAGAAAAACGCTCGGAATATAAAAACTACCGCTGGCCACAAAAAGAAGCTAACGTAGCAAAGATGCAATTATTCAGATCCTCACTTAGAACTGGACGAGGGAGGGTGTGCACACCCACCTGGCAGGATGTCCGGCGCCGGAGCAGGAGGTCTGCAGCAGCTCAGCCACGTCGCTGGTCTGCATGAAGCGCCCGCGAGCAAAGAGGCTGTCGGGGGAGCTGTGCGCGGCCTCCCCGCCGCTGCTGACCAGCCCCAGCGCATTGTCCGAGCTGTGCAGCAGCGCGTCGCCTGCCCTGGACTCGCCAAATGGGCTGCTGGGCAGGCTGTCTGAGCCCAGCAGCTCCGCGGACTCGAAGGGGTCCGTGGGGGATCCCGCCATCCTGTAGGGGGATACCCGCTCCGGGACGTCGTCTGAGATACTGAAGAGGCGGGATCGCACGCGCAGCTGAGCCATGGCCAGATTCTGGGGACTGCTCGACCCTGCAGCGCTAACGTCCTCTGGCTGATCTGGTCCTGCCCTGCTGTGCGCCTGCTGGTCCTGGAAGGCTGACTTCACGAGGGCAATGCCCCGAGTGCCCTGGCCCAACGGCGAGAGATCTGCGGTGGGGGCGTCATCTGACATGCTGCCGCTTGGCTGAGGCGTACTCGGCTGAACAGCCTGTGATGTGCTATAATCAGCAGCCGGGCTGCGGTCTTCGCTGATGCCGTTGAGGTGTGGCTGCGAGGGGCCGGCGTGCAGGCTCGCCGGCCCCTCTCCCATATTGTATGGAAGCAAAGGGAGCTGCGCTGGACTGGCGGCTGGCAATGGGGAGGCCCAGGTGCCGGCCTCAGAGGGCTCTGACAGGCTGTCTCCCGCTTCTGATGGGCCTTCTGCCGCGCTCTCGCTGTGTACTGCTGCATGCGCGCGCTGCTCTCCCCATTCCCGCTCTGCGCTCGCAACTTCTCGAGCAGCTTCTTGCCATGGCGCAGACACCGCTGCCACCGCTACACTGCCAGCCGCATCAGGCGGGATAAGCAAGGCTGGCACGGCATGCGGTTGCAGCGCTGCGGCGGAGGAGGGGTCGGCTGCAGCGCTGGGGGCAGGCGGGGTTCTGGGGGGAGTGGGCGACAGGATGAGGGCGGAGACGCTGCCGGAGCTGCCGCTACGGCGGTGCGAGTGGCGGCGCCGGCGCGAGACGGAGGCGGCTGCAGTGTGGCCGGCCGTCATGGCCGACAGCATCTCCGAGGCCGACCCGTGCCGCGTCAGCGTCCCCGACAGCGTCTGGCGCAGCCCGTGCTGCCGCCGGTGCCTGCAACGGAATGAAACATATCAATCAATCACCAATACAGCAAAAATACTAATTGAACTGTGGTGGATGGTGCCCGCATCCCTGAGAATGCATTGGGGTAACATCACCTTCAGGTGACACAAAGAGGGTGCGTGGCTAAACAGGAGAAATTCAATGCCAGCTCCCTGGAAGCAAAAAATCAGGTCTGCGGTGGTCTGGGAGGTCAAGAGAAGAGGGAGGTTACCTCCGACCGCTGCGGCTGCTGGATGCTCCAACGCTGGCCACCGTTCCGGCGGAGCGCACGCTGACATTGGACGCCTGCCTGTGCAGCGACCCCGACGTGCTCGGCTGGTCCGGCAGGCCTGCCGACGCCAGCGTGCGCGCGCCGTGGCGCGACGAGGAGAGCTTCTTCAGAGCGGCCTGCCACAAACCCAGGGCTTCAGATGGGCTTCAGATGGGCAGCGCAAAAACTTAGGCAGGCATGCAGCTGCCCCATATGCTTGCAGCTTTTCCATGCAGTGTGTCAAATTCCACCTTGAAAATGTGCCCTCTCAAACCCCAATGAGCATGCTCCGTCCTTGCGGGTCGCCATGCTGTCGTCACTGCAACGATGTGGAAGATTCCAGGTGCTATATGGGGCTTTACTGACCTGCACAGCCAAGGCGGCGGCAGCGGAGCTGGTAGGCGTCAGGAAAGTCGGCGGCTGAGGGCCCTGCACCCCGGCCGCCATGGCATTTAGCGCCGCCTGCACGAGCGCCCCAGCCGCATATGCCTTGGCCGCCCGCTGCTGCGGCCGCTCCTCGCAGCCCTCAGACCTGCGCTTCAGGCCCGAGCAGCTGCTCGGCTCTCCTACAGCTGATGATGTCTCCGGCGGCCGTGAGCTGCTGTCCTGAGCTGCGGCCTCCGCATGGCTACTGTTGGAGCCAGCTACGCCTTGAGAAGAGGAGTGTGCTGCAGACGGTGCTGATGCAGCCATGTACTGCTGGGCTACAGGGCTCGTGGAGTCTGTCAGGGAAGCCAACAGGCCCAGCAGCGTGGACAGGGACTCGGTGGGCTGGCCGTGGGGCCCCTTGCTGCGTAGCGCTTCCGAGACTTCCGCCGCCACCGCGTTGAGTGCTGCTTCCTGCACCGGCACAGGAGAACACATGAGAGAGTGGCGATAGGGAATCCTTGAAAGCCTATCGAGAACATCCTTGAATTTGTATGCATGAACCAGAACTCAAAGAATATTAGAGTGGCTGGCGGGCGGGAAGCAGATGGGCGCGCGTACCTCGCTGGCAGGGTCTGCTGATGTATGACACCCTGACTCCATGTGCAGGGTGACTGCTCGCAGGGATAGCAGCAGCTTGGCCCGCTGCAGGCAACACAAGGCACAGTCAGGCTCATTGGTCCAACTGTAACAAAACACGTGCGAGCCTTAGGCTGCTTCAATGGTCCACGTCACCGAAACGAAGCAAGCGGGGGGCTTCAAGGGCTAGCCCACCTGCACAATTGCGGCAATGACAGCCTCCTGGGACACCTGAAGTCGATCAGGGCCGCGGCTGCTGCGGGACTGCTGCGGCTGCTGCTGCTCCGGCCTGCCGTGGGCGCTGCGGCGCGGCTGGCGGGGCGTGTCTGAGAAGGTGTGCCCTCCCGACAGCGCCGGCGCAATGTGAGCCTCTGATAACAACCGTGCCACTGAGTGGTGCCCTGCCAGCCGCGCCAGCTGGCTCGCCTTCAGCCCCCTCGCATTGCGGATCCGCTGCAGCTCCATGCCTGCACACACCAGAAATCACGGTGTGTCTCTTTTCCCACGAGTACCATTCGATCAGCAGACTGGAGTTTGGTCCAAACGTTTTGCAATTCAGGCTGCATCGCAACTAGAGCCGCAATTGTGAATAGTGAGCGTGGTGTAAACTTGTAGGCATGCAGTCCTGTGACAGCTGCTGCTAATCAAATGATGTGGCAGAAGGAAGGCTTGCCTGGGATGGCTGCCTGGCTTTCAAGCAGAGCGGAGACACAAGCGGCATGGCCTCGCGCAGCAGCAATGTGCAGCGCCGTCGATCCCCTGGACAGGTTTGGGTTGAGGACCCCTGAGAGGGTCGGCGCGTCCATGGATGCGCCAGCCCTGACCAGCGCCCTCACCACTGCCACGCTGCCCTTGATCGCCGCCAGATGCAGCGCTGTCAGCCCAGAGCCTGCCGCATGCAATCCAAACCATCAAATCATATCATGAGTCCATGTCGTCACCAGACTCCTCTCAAGTGCCCCATCTCCCTGTGATCCCCCTCAAAGCACTGCCCCGTACTTTGAGAGGGCCCACTTTCCACCCACTCTCTTCAGTCACTACCCATCGCACTAGTCCTGCAGAACAAATTGTACAGAAAAGCGTACTAGGACAACAATAAAATAGAGATTCTGCCAATTGCAGGTTTCAAAGGCCTACCATTGTGCAGGTCGATGAGTTTGGTGGGTCCAGTGTCTCCCTGGACGATGACCTCTCCCAGTAGCACGGTCCCCCCCTCGCCATCCGCCTGAGGCCGGGAGCTCAGCAGCGCATGCAGGCAGCCAGCGTTGCCGTGCTTGGCCGCTATGTGCACGGCGTTGTCGCCGCGCGATGTCTGAGCATACACGTCCGCCCCGTGCACCAGCAAGAACGCCACACACTCCACGTGCTGCGGCGACCTGTTTACACAACAGGCAGACGATCATGACCCAGAATAACCCGCTTGCTGTTTTGTTTGTGCTGCTGCATCAACGGCAGAGAACCGGCTCCCAACAACTTTCTGCCTTGATTTGGGAGGTCTGCAGGAAGTGTCCAGGTGCGCTATTGAGGGGACAAGGGCAAGCGCCTTCAGACGTTGTTGGCATTGAGGAATCTGCAAGAAGTCCTGAGTGATTATGATTTCTTGGGTCATGGGTAGACTGCTCTCACCCGTACATGCAGGCTCGCATGAGCGGCGCCTGCCCTTTCGAGGCTCCAGCATTGATGCACTGTCTGATCTGCACTCCGCCGCTCTCGCATATGAGCTTCAGCAGGTTCCCATTGCCTTGCTCTGCACAACAGGTTACTGTCAGCCTTTATGTGAGTCTTTTCTTGACAGTGAGCAAGGAAAAGAGAGCCATTTCCAGCGAGAAGGTGTCAGGCACGTCGGCGCCTTACCTGCTGCTGCTATCAGGGCATTCCTCACCCCAAAGGTGTTCAGCCAGGCTGCTGGGCTGGCAGTGATGATCTGCACGATGACCACATTAGAGAATCTCAGCATGACACCAGAGCACGCCAAAGTTCAAGAAAAGCCAGGGCTGTACTGAAACAGGGCTGCGTTCTTACGTCTTCCATATCGTGATGATCCATGCCTGGATCCCTTCAGCGGGAGCATTGATCTAATCATCCAAATCTTTGAAACGGAGAAGAGATGTACTCTTTGACAAGCTCAAAGTAAGAGGACCAACCCAACTTCAAGCTCTCTGAGCCTCGATCACCTCAATAAAATGGCTTCGTGTTGCTCATGCGAACTGACGTTTTCGTCTTATCAGGATCTAATGGTCCATGATCTCCGCAGCGAGTGCACGCTACTTGGAATGAGCATACGCTAACACGGCGACGTGCCGGTGTAGGTAAGTCTCGGTAGAACTGAACTCTCCCCCGCTTCAAGAGCCTTTTACTGGGAGCCAGAAGCATCGCACCTCTCGAGCTCCATCGATATCACCAGCTGCCGCTGCACTCGCAAGAGCTTTCGCCCCTGAACGAGTGCTCCCCGTATTACCCATAGGCCGATTTGAACATTAGCATGCTGGGTCCTGTTCGCGGCCAGACGCTGCAGATATAGATGTGTTTCCTGAGGACCGTAGCGAAATATATAAACGTTCGATCCTCCTGAAGAGTACTGTGCACATTTATCTCCCCACAACCTCCATTTCTGCGACGAAGCCGGGGTGGACGCGTCGAACCACCCAGAAATTTCTACTACAGCATCTCCTTTGCAATTGAGCATCTCCCTTGCCCTAAAGCTTGCCCTCTCCACTTGCCCTTCACCTAAAGTTGCAGCGATAAACATGCAAGAAGGCAATCTATCTGCCCTTCCGGTTGACCTTCATCAGGACTAGCTTTGGCGTCAGCAATGCAAGAAAAAATGCACATGCTGCTGGCTGCCAGCCGCGGCCGCTGGAAACGCGGTGCATTCTCAGGGCATCGCAGCAATGATTCTTGGTTGCAGCGTGGGCCGGCACGCCTGCCAGGTGCTCACTGTTTCATCATGTTGTATGGCATAATAGTACGTGTAACACGACACACAGGATCATTGGTGCAATTGCCCGGCAGGCAGAATGCCATGAGTAGTACTCATTGAGTACCATGTGTAAAATTCTAGTGACACACATGTGTTACCATTACCGGCTTGTCACGGCATTATGACGAGTCCCAATGGGCCCTGCTGTCCACCGTCGCATTGGCGTGCAAGGCCAGGGCACAATCACGGCACACAGTCACCTCCCCTGCAGATGACCCATCACCTAATACTTCCACCCTCTCGCAGCCCCGCTTCAGCACATTGCAGTACGCTCCTGCAGGCAACTGCGTGTTGAACAGTCTCCCGTGGAAATCTGCGTCCGCGACATTCAGAATGATCATAGCCGCGCTCCCTCGGCTGAACTGCACCTGCTTGCCGTCCGGGCTCAGGTACCAGTGGGATATGCTAGCATGCCCAGCCACCTTCCTCCATTGCACCTGCGCAGCAAGCAACGTGGTCACCTACCCACACGAGCAATAATCAATATAAGGCATGCGCCAAGAATGTGCAAAGAATAAGTTATCTGCATGGCGAGGAAGAAAGGACTATTCTTCAACCAAATACTTTGCTAAGAGCATGAGCAGACAGGTGCAGGGCTTACCATGTTCGCAATCTCTGGCCAGCGGTGCTGGCAGACCCACAAGGCGCCGTCTCCGCAATTTACTGCTCCATTCTCCCCATGCACCGGTTTTCGGGGAGCGCCATCCCCATGCCGGCTGTAATAGTAGCTGCTCAGGACCTGTGGTGAGCCATAGGGGTACGCCAGCGTGAAGGCCACCGCCGTCTGCACCCAGCATGCATAAGAATCATGCTTGCCCCCTGGCCCTCAATTTAAGTTACTGTTTACAATGGTGTGACAAGAACCTGAAAGCCTGTATGACACCAGTGCCTACTAAACATGCACTTTGAAGGCATTTGGCAGTGCATGCCCATCGCTGACAGGCACCGCGCTCTGGGCAAGACAAAGACCTCCAATGTCTAGCTACAGGGGTAACAGCAGCAGACAATGATATCGGTGTATTAGGGCCACTCCGCATCTAGTTTGCTGATTCCTCAGACAGGAAGGTGACAGGAGGCGCCGCACCTTGTACAACTCGCCGTCCTGGTAGGTGAGGGAGATGCAGGGCGCCTCAGGGTCGGGCACGTGGCAGTTGCTCTGCCGGTCGTGGTTCTCCACAAACACCAGCGCGCTGGCGGACGGCAGGTGGCCGCACGGCATGTACTCGCTGCCCAGAAACTGCAGGTTGCGCTGGCTGAAGCGCTCCCACACCAGCTGAGCCCACCGAAACTCTATCACCTGGGCCATGTCACCATCTGATCACATGATGTCATCCTCATGCTGCCTGCATGCTTCCTTGCCTTGCTGGCTCGCCTGGTGGTTCTTGGTGGAGGCTGTGGAATTAACCTGGCAGCTGCTTTTCATGCAAGAGCCAACAGTTGATAGACAGTAAGTGTTTGCTTGCGACTTGATTTGACAAATGCGAGAGTAATGGGGCCTGCTGTTGATGAGTGCCCGTGAGGAGGTCTCAGAGCACCTGTCCAAGCCCAGTGTACTCTGTGGGCTTCACAAGCTCCCCACAGCCCTCCAGAACCTCATGGTAGACATACAGGCTGCTGTTGACGCCCTGCAGGCACCATGTCTCCATGTGCAAGTGCATAGAACTCATCCCTTGCGTTCACAATTAAGAAATCGTGGAACTGTCTTGACAAATGCATGAGCACCGCAGCACAGGCCGCACCTGCAGGATGCTCCCCACATCCCAGTGGTTCATATGCTTTGAAGCATCTATGCGCACGCCGGCAACTCCAAGCGAAGCCAGTCGATTCAGGTACTCTGTGATGTGCGCCTGCAGGACCACAACACCTGCCGCTCAAGCTGCGCATCTCCTGCCACTCTTTTTATGGCAGTGTCATGCACCACAGCTTGGCACGATGTGTTGAGGCTAGCATGGCTGAGTGTGTGAGTAGCTGAGAAACAAGGGAGCAATTCAGCACCAGAGGGGCTGAATGCACCTGGACAGAGGGCTTTGAGGTGTCCAGGTCAGCCAGGGCTCCCAGATCGCACTGCTGCACGCAGTCGTAGCAGCTGAAGAAATCCTGGTCCTGTATCTGGCAGTTGCCATGCTGCTCAACTCCAGCACCAGCCCTCCTGTGGAAATCCGCTGCTCCAAACATGTCCCCGTAGCCCTGCCTGCCATGTAATTGCTTTCTTGTCAGCTCCCCTCTACCACAATTTTGAAAAGGAAAGCTTTAAGTTGTGTTTCTTAATTGTAAAGCTTGCGCATGTCACAAGCAAGCATTCTCAATTCAAGGGTATTGATTAGGGGTGGACCTGTACTGCCAAGGAGTGGAGGCTCGGCCTCGCTTGGGCGGGTCTCCCAGCTGCCCTCCAGCCATGTGATTGATGACTACGTCCACATAGACGTCCACACCATGCGCGCGGCAGCTGCGCACCATCTGCACAAATTCCTCTTCTCCCCCGGAGCGACTGACCAACTTGTATGACACCGGCTGATACCTTGTCCACCTGCAAGGATAGAACACTTAACAGGCTCATTTCAAGGCTTCAGGAGACTCTTTTGTCAGATTGCAGAGCTTTGATCAATATTTAGCAGGAAGATTTGCTTGTATGACGGCCCACGGCAACCTGAACAGGCAGAAGCTTACAGCATGCGTCATGAGCAGGGTAGCTTCTCTGCTCACCATGGTTCTTGCCTCGTGTCCTTGTCAGGATAGTCATCCACAACAATGTCCTCGTGTGGCGGTGATACCTGCACTCCGGTGTAGCCAGCACGCCTCAAAAACTCGCCTGGGCCAACAAATGAAGGTTAGCATGCAGTGTAATCATCATGGCTATTCATGACATGGAAAATGCAGGATGATTCTGCAGGATGCGCAGTTGCAGCAGCCGTTGCAAGTCATGCATATGCACTTACATTCCTTGGCGACGTCGCTCCAGGACCACTCAAATAGATGGACTTGAACGCTGTTCAGAGGGTCTGGGACTGGCCGGTTGTTTGTGAAGAAGCATGCTGGTCTACTGGTGTCATCCCAGCAGCATCCCTTTGCTTCACAGCTGCTCCTTCCGGGTGGTCTGAATAGACCTGCAGGGAGCCCAATGTTGTCTTTGAATGTCATAAACACCCAGGAAATTATCAGTGGAGATCGGCATGAAGTCCCAACAAGAACCTAGTACAACGCTTTATATGCTGCTTAGAGTGCATGGGCGTTGATTTCGGCATACCACAGTCGACTTTATCTGAAGAAAATGAACAAAGTGGCTGATCGTTCAGCTGATCGCCAGGCCTGAGGCATCGAATGGCCAGGTCACCTCATCAAACTTCTAGATAGATCAGAACGCTCGATTGCAGAAATGTGTCATATTTACGTACTCTTAAATTCTTGAAAACAAATATAGTCCACGGTGAAAAGATAGGGCAGGCACAGTGAGGCAAACAACTCCACCTGCGTGATCCAGTTGGAATGCTAGCGTCTGCAGAGACAGTCAATATTATGAAGAGCAGAAGATGCAGGCATGACATGGTTTATGTTCACGCCTGCATATTTATAGGTGCTCTCCCAGCATTACTGTCTTGATCAATTCACAAGAAAGAAGTTGTCTGTCGTCATTTCGTTTGTATCCTGCCTGCATGGCAGGACATATCCCTGGGAGTTGTACTGGATGTTAAAGGTCAACCCATGGGATCAGCAGATAAGATTGTATTAATTTAGTTTCAGAGATTCTCGCAATGCCGCAGTTGTAGCAGTGCAGCACTGCCAAGACCATGCACAAGCAAACACCGTGATTGCCACTCAACCATTCATGCAAATTGCCGGTATTCTCATGCGATCACGCAGGTGTAATAAGCAGGGCCTCCTAGGAAGCAATGCGCTCAAGTCTAACTAGCCGCATGCTTCAGGCTTTGCCATCTGCAATCCACAGGAAGATTGGCGCTGACATGTCAGAACTGCGCGCTGCAAAGAATATGTAGAAATCTAGCTGGGAAGCTCTTGATGCTGTCTCGTCTGGCGCTGCAGTAGCACATCAACAGGACATCAACAGGCGCCGGTCTTGTTTGAGTGCAAGGATGCAATTGGTGCAGCCTAAATTGCGCCCGCAGATCCAGAATCTTATTCTGACACAAGGTTCAAAGCCCACACGTGATCAAGCTGCCTTGCTCGTGCAGATCAGGACAACCTCGCCAGTTGTTTACGTCCAGTGCTGGATAAATCACCACCTATATGCCTGCATGCTTGCTCAGCTTACACCTGCACCAAGAGTCTCCCGCCCATTCTGTTGCTGTGACAGGTCTGCTGGTTCCAGAAGCATCGTGAAATTCGAGGTCTAGCTCCCCGGACGCCCAGGCTTGCACAGGATGCCGAACTGCTCAGGCCAACCTCAACTTCTCAGCTAGGGCTGCATACTGCCACAAACTCCTCATCGCGGATGTAGGACTCTGATAGGTTCCCTTGCCGCCCGAGCTGCTGCTTCTGCTGCCTTCCGAGCTGCGAATGCCTGATCAGTTTCCACCTCCACAAGGTGCTTCACCTGTGTTGCCATATGTGTATCACTGAAGCATTCAATTGAGACATGGCAATGAAATTTTGAGAAAGAGCTACAGGTGGCAGGCCTGGCCGTTGCAAATTATTCGCCAGCAAAGTACCTTTGAGATCGCGCCCCTGGTGCATCCATCATTGTTCTGGATCACTGTTTGCTCTCTATATCGCAAGCCCAGTGACTCCAGGGTCTTGCGTTGCGTCTCACGAGTCCCAGCAAAACTGCGCCTGAGAGTGATATACAGTTTTCGAACCGGCTCGGCACTCATCTCTGCATATTACTGTGTCATCAGAGCTGCCTTACAAACTAAAGCCGGAATGAGCAGCCCGATGATCCCGAAATGATATGCTGTAATCAAACTCAGATTCGATCTAGAGCAAAATGGTGTTCCCAGTACTTGCAGGCAGATCGGACACAATGTATGCCGTGCAATTCCGCAATTAACAACCTGAAGAACTGAAGTATTTCCTGGAAAAGCACGCAAAGTTGCCATTGCAGCGAGGTATTTCCCCTAGCCCCACCTTGTTGGAAACGCTGCGCGTATCCAGTGGATCATGTCCAATGAATGGAGAAAATCGGATCATAATTCTAAGCAATTCAATTGTTGAAGCTTGAAGGCACACAAATAAGCAATTTTGAGTTTGAGCCACTCCCAACATTATGCAGTGTGTAGCCTCTTCCGGATGCACCATCCTGAGCACTTCCGAAAGCTATAAGCTCAGATCAGCTCCGCTTGCAAGCCTGCGACATGGTCATTATGCATTCAAATCGGCGTCTGTATGCACGAGAAGGGGAAAAGCTGGTGTCCTTCGAGTTGCTGCAGTTGGTGGTGGTGAGAGCAAGCTTCCACCTAACTGAACCTTGGATAATAGTCTCTCTTTGTGAAGCAGTGCCTCATGCGCCATCGCCCATTGATGTATCTCCCGCTTTTGCAGGGCCTGATGACAAAAAGACCCTGTCTCGCGAAGAGGAGCCTGATCAGTGAGTCACCCCCTCCAAGGTCTCCTGCAGTACTATGAGCAAGGATCAGCACTTGAGCGCATGGAATGTTTGCAGGTATTGGCAGACAGCAACTGAGAGGAAGGGGGAGAACCCCCTGAAGGTATGGTCAGTGGGTTCCAATCGAGGTGTTGAGTCTCTTGTGATTAAGTAGTTCTCAATTGAAGGACTGCCTCCAGCTGATACATGCAGATGCACAGATAGTCTGGCCAAGCAAGGACTTGCAGAACACTCACATGTGTTGCATGCATGCAGGATCCTCTGGCCATCATTGGCATTGTGTCAATACTGCTGCCGTTTATTATCCTGGGCATAGCCATTGGAACCGGAATTGTTGATGTGAACGCTGGCAGAGGTTGAAAACGCCTTCTTGAAGAGCAGCACCTGTGATGCTGCAATCCTTCACCAGGCACTTTTGCTGCAGCTGTTGCTCAATGCCCTTGGACAAGTGAAGGTTGTTTTCCCGGTACTGTGCCTGCCAATAATCAGAGTGCATGCAACGCACTGATGCAATCGGCGTTGAACAGTGAGCTTGTATGATGCTTCAAAAAGGCCGTGAGAGAGCGTGTTGCAGAGGTTTCTGGAAACTTGACAGATTATGGTTACTATTGCGATTCGCTGAGGGGATTGAGATCACGCATCATAGCTAGTGAGTGCAGCCATGGTGTCTCGGCATATTGTTACATCCCTCTGCAAGGGAGACGCAGGGTCTTGACAGAAAACAAGCTTGGCAAATGAAAGCCATCAGGTCATGATTTGTCCGCATCAGATTTAAGACACAAGTGCAAGAAGTTCCACACCAGCGCAAGACTGTCTGCAATTTCAATCATGCATGTACGTTGCAAATCACAGAACACGCCAATATAACAAATAGCATATGCTTGATCTTCTCAAACCTCACATCGCTATACAGACATACTACAATACACGGCCTGATCAGCCGATTGGATTGAACAACATTCAGAATCAATTGCCCCCACCCGATCATATAGTGCTTGCAACGGTCCCTCCTGAAAATATCCGACACATAGCCTGAAACTCACCAAAGTCAAATCCTCAATTGCATTTGTTCCCTCCACAATGGTCTGATGAATCATCCTACAATCATACTACAGTGTTCCAACACTGAAGTAGCGCATTCATGTTTTCAGCTCTATTCCCTAGAAGGACAGCACACCCAATGAAATCAAGACACTAGCAGAATCAAACCTCATCTACCGCAAGCTGAGCCCCTCAGGGTTTTCCTCATCCCAAAATCCATACATCTCAACAAGCCTTTTCTGGCTTTCTCCTTGAAATTGGCCAGTTGCCACCAACAGGATTGCGCAGACATCAATCCCATGGAACAGGGTGGCAAGGCTTGATGACATGAACTGCTCATGTGCGATCAGTGACCAGCCAAACAGACATACAATCAGCGATTTCTCACAACAAAGCACTGCAGGACAAGAGAAGGATCAGCATCATGCTTGTGCAAAGCAGAGGATGGCTAAGAGCAACTCTGATTCCTGCAGAACAGCACAGAACCAGCCTGCCAAATACATGGACTGATAGTATCCCATCCCTATTGCTAGAGCCCCCTCAATCCATCCCTGCACAAGCCTACCTCTTGGGAGAGGCCTGGTGAAACGGGCCTGGCTCACCTAGAATTCTAAGGCCTTCGAAGGCCTCTAGCACTATAACACTACCCTCATAACTTGTCATTGTGTGTCTCCATTGTGACAACATGATAAGATTTCAACCCATGCTCTTGAGCTGCCTTGAGTTCCCTGGCGTTCATAAACTAGCAATGCATAGCAACAACGCGCAGGACGCAGCACACTGGAAAACTGCAGAAGATGCCTCTGCGTCATGTGCAAAGGGACTCCTCCTGACAAAAGCTGATGGCCATATGCCAGCAGTTGCTGCAATCCGATCACCAAGCCGGTGGGGAATAGGACATTCAAATTAATTGCCAATGAAAGCAAGCACAAATTGCTTGGCGCCTTTCCTGCTCCTCAAGTTGGCAGCTTCACTTAAGATCAGTGAGGACATAGGATACCACTAATTGCTGGGCTGCATTGGCTTGACTGCTGCGCTCTTCCTGGAGGCATCCGTTGCTGGGCGCTGGCCAGTTGAGTGACTACCAGCAGCTCAGGTTCTGAAACACAGGCAGCCTGCGCATGGCGGTGTCTGACAGGGGTGCTGCCGGGGTGTCAGTGCTTGCCAATGGGGCATACCATGATGCCTGGAAGCACAATCAAACAATTAGCCCCAAGGCCATGTCATTAAGACAACTGCTGCATCAGTCATGCCATGCATCTGGCCATTCCCATACGCAAGCTGAATGAAAAATGAAGCCATCGCAGGTTTGTCAGACGCACCTTGTCCTCTGAACCATTGAATGCAGCATACTGGGGTGCCATGGTATTATTCAAATTTCCCATGAATATGCCAGGCACCTCAGCGCAAGGCACAGGCGCCATGAAGTTGGGCTGCAGAAGCTGCAACCAGAATGCCAATTGTGCAGCATCCACCTTGAGACCACCTGTTGACACAAAGACGAATATTAATGGCAGGCCCAGTCACCCACTGCGCTTTTTGCACCATGCGACTTTATGCATTTTGAGAGGCTGCTCATCTGTATCATTGACTAAAATTGTGGGGATGCATGCAGTAGCGTTGCACAAACCGCACCATCCATGTGAGTGCCGTGGCCGGTCAGGGCCCTCATATCAACATGGCCATTCATACCCAGGGCATGGTCAGGCGGCAAGTCAGCTGCAGGGAAAATGTTCTGGCAGCTCGCAGTGCTCCAAGCAGCAGTGTCATCCCAACCACTGCAAGCAAAAAGAAATTGTCATTTCATGTGCCGCATTCTCGCCAGCATCCACAGGAAGGGATTTCACATGCATGCCTTAGTATGCTTATATGCTTCATGCCACAGATAATACCAGCAGCAAATGCTGCGGGTTTACATTGTGATATGGAGCTGCAGTCACCAATTGAGCGCTCCTGACAACCAGCAACAAATGATCAATGGAGCATGCCAGCGAGGCTCACCTGGCAGCTGCCTTCACGGGGTACATGACAGAACCCAGGGTGCCGATGTGGGGTCCCTGCTCAGCGGCCGACGCATGCATGAAGTTGGCGGGTGCGCTGTTCGCCTTGTCCATCATGCCAGGCAGCATGTGGGCGCCTGGTGTGAGGCCGGTGACGCCGGAGGGTGGCAGCGATGCAGCCGAGGTCTGTGAGGCTTCGCTGTGGATGAAGCGGCAGCGGGAGCCGTAGGGGCAGGCGCCAGTCGTTGCAAATTGGCGGCAGGGCTGCACGGCAACACAGCGAGCTATGAGGCATGCATAGCAGCAGTCGCCAACTGTGCATGCCTGGCGATTCACAATGTAGTGGATTTCACGTTGCCATTAATGCAAGAATCGAGTTGAAAACGGGTTACTAAGGACCAGACAAGTGTATGTCATCCCACACATGTTCTTGCCATGATCAAAAGGGTTGAAGGTCACATAAGGGATCAAGGTGGCCCACCTCGGTCTTGTACTTGGGATGGCGCTGCACAGGCTTCAGCTCCTTCTCCCCGTGCGCAAACTGGCACTTGGATCCGTAGCGGCATGAGCCTGACTCCTTCCAGCTGCGGCACAGCTCCGTCTGCAAAGCCATGTCACCAGCCTTTTCATGCACGAAGGCTCAACTCAATTTGTCCGCTGGTTGGTGAGTGTTACAGCTGAAAGACGATTATCTGGGTGCTTTTGCACCCTGGCTTCCCCACAGTTCTTATGTCTGACAGTCAAAGCTGATGGATGCATGCCTGCTCTTTCCATGCACAAATGCTGGACCCTGAACTGGAGCCTTCAGGCAGCAACTAAACCTGACAAGCCCCGTCTTTCATTGCTGTTGGCTTTCAAGAATCATGAGGAGGCAGGCCTGTACCTTGTAGAGGGAATTCGGCATGTTCCTGGACGACGGAGACCCGGTCGAGCTGGAGCCAGCTGAAGACTCGAGCTCGGTTGACGTCCCCCTCGTGAGCTGGCCGAATCCGGCTCCTCCTGACAGGAGAGACAATATGGAGGGCTGCATCTGGACATTGAAGACGCCCAAGGAAGGCGATGAGGCCGGACTCAGGCTTGAAAACATGCTTGTCTGTGCAGATGCCGAGGCGGCTGCTGTGGTGCTGCTGGAACCACCCTTGTGAAGGGTTCCGTACATTGGCTTAGCCAGGGAGCTTCCCTGCAGCACTGGATCGCTTGCCACCTTGCGCAGGCTGCTTGAAAGGGAGGGGGGACGTGCAGATTGCGGATCTGTCATCCTGCCGACGGGTTGGGTCGGACAGTGCAAGACGTGCTCGTCTGCAGGCGTGCTCAGCTGTCCCATGAGGTCAGGGCTGCCTCTTGTGGTGCCTCTGAGGATTGCCAGAGCTGCGCTGGTGCGAAGGTCATTCATTCTGTGTTGAGACATTTGGCGAAGGTGAAGAAGCCGTCGGGCTGAATGAGGTAATGCCTCCAGGGTGGATGATGATGATGGTCTGACATGCACATGACAGAGCACATGAGCACTGCTGGACCAATCTGTCTCCTTCTGTCACAACTTCTCAAGATGAATCCAGCAGTATTTATATCGCCCCCCGCCAGCCGGTGTAGATATTATTCGAGAAACACAAGAGGCTTCTCGAATAATATCTACACCGGCTGGCGGGGGGCGATATAAATACTGAGCACCGTGCCCACGGTAAATTATGTCTTGCTTGAATCTGGCGAGTCCAACAAGGGGTAAGATTATGGCAGCCTTCAACGTTAACTGCATGTCTAATAATAATATTAATATCTTCACTGTGTGAAGTACTATAACTCTGCTGTGGACCACTTGCAGCACCGTATAGACAGGCATAAAAATAGACGCAACCGTGGGGCGCAAACGCCTTACCTGCAAGTCATTTAGATTCCTTCTGCACGTGCATGCGCATGCACGGGCCGCGCCTTCTCATCTACGCACATGACTATGAAGTGATCAGGCGCCTGATGCTAGATCTAGCATCTAGATGCATGTGCATGCTTTAAACAAATTTGTGTACATGCTGCATATGATGCTGGGTGCATGTGCAGCCAAGTTCTTCCTTAGGAAAGGTCTGAGTCATGATCATATCACACCATCTGATGGACACCTTTTACAGAATATGTCATGCCGCAGACATGGTCAGTCCAGACAGTCTCAGACGGCAAGGCTTACAATTGTCTGAAGGAATTTCTCTGAGCACCAATGTCATTTATTTGTGCGGTCTTCGTGGCTTGCAGCTGCATGGCTGTCTTGGTGCCACCACGACACGCCAGTGGCTGGAGAGAGAGAACATATTTCTGTCAGCTGACAAGGCTACCTAGTGTAATGCTGACAGCGCAAGGGGTGAGATTCAAACTCACACCCCTTGCAGGACTCACTCAGCATGCAAATGCCTTCACCACTTGGCCACCGTTGCAGACAGGGTTCCCTTGAACAGATGCACCAGGATCACAAGCAGCAGTCCATGATTTTAAAGGACTCCTGGCAGGCTAGAACACAGCATTGCTGCAATGCACAGAGTGCCTGTCATATACCTTGGCACAATAATTATGTTCTGGCAGCCTGTTTTTCACTGACGCCACATTCAAACTCTACACGACGTGCCACTTATTCCGCTTGAATTTTCATCAGGAACCTACATTCACTAGCCAATCATCATGTCAATAGCATTGCGCATTGCATGCTCTCCAGCCTCAAACACTAGACTTAATACGTCAGGGATATATTTGCACGTCGTAGTGACAGTTTTTGGAATCCAGCAGAATCCGACAATGCACTCTTTGCCCCATTCTAGGCTTCCAATGATTCAGCTATACAACTGAGACATCCGTTCAGCCACGCGCACTGAAAGAACAAGTTGCGCTCGATGATGGCTCTGCTCCACAGAACTGACTGTGCAATGCCAAATTTACCCTTATGATGCATTTTATACACAGATTCCTGATCTACACATCAAAGAAACTGGTCAGTCAGACCAGACAAGGAGCAGAGGTAAACGGTCTTTGTATGATACAACAGCAGGATCCTTTAGAGCAGGAAATCGTCTTCTTCAAAGTCTGCGAGAGGCCCGCTGTCAAGACGTTTTCCATCCTTCTTGCCATTCCTGTCCTTGCTGAGGCTTTCATGCAGCGCTTTGTGCCTGTAGCCCTCTGGCGCCTTAAAGAAGGAGTCCTGCGCACACTCCCCCTCTGTCGGTAGCGCATGGAAGTTGCGGAAGCTGACGAGCGCATAGACTGTCCACAGCAGGGGCACCTGATCCCACACCATGCACGTCAGATTTCTGAAGAGCCCTTATTGTGGTGATGAGAAACCACATGCCTCACATGAATGCTGTGCTTGTCATTGTGACGCTGAAAAGGGTGCGGAGTCCTGAGGAGTCATTGTAGAAACTGGGGAAATTGGCAGGACGACAGACAGAATCTTACTACAGCCGATGATATCAGTCCGATTGAGCATTTAACCTGGGCTTCTTGCCCTGCAACAAAATGACTGCCGAGGCTTTCACAGTCATCTTGGAAGGTTCATGGATTGCATTGCCTTGCGAGAGGAGACTATGGTCCGCGCCTGCATCTTGACGGGGAAGAGGTACATGTTGCCGTACTTCTGCAGAAACTTGCCGGCGCGCGCGAGGTGCTTGTTGGCGGTGCCCACGATGTCCAGGATTGGCAGCAGCTGGCGCAGGCTCATGGGGAAGTTCTCCGCCATCCAGCAACGGCCGGTGATCGTACGCACGCCCTTGGCCGCCTTGCTGGCATCAGGAGCCTCGCCCTCCTCACCAGGATCCTGCATTGCATGACACACACTGAAGAGGTTCCACTGTACAAATGTGTAAAGAGATATGCTATAAGGTTCATTGGCTGCTGCACAGTTGATGTGCTCAGATTGCGTGAAAGGTCTCCAATTGGCTCAAGCCAGGAAAGCAGCTCGGAATCTGGTCTTTTGCAGGAATCAACACTTGGGATTGCTGCGACTGATGGGGAATAATGGATACAGTGTGAAGGTACCTCATGAGCGCCTGGCCCTCCGCGCAGAGACACAGGGTCGATGTAGGTCTCCCTCACAGAGTCCTCTTCAATTTGCATGGCCAGGTAGTCGTCAAAGGAGGCACCCTCCCGCAAGCTTATGGGCGCCTGCGAATTCAATGGCAGCTGACATGACAGTCTCTCCTGCTAATGCATCTCAGCACACCGATCTTGCTCAGCTGGATCAAAGCAGGCTGCCATGGGTGCAACACAGCGAACGACTTCTCACTAGGTGCTAAAGCAGGAGGACACAGTCCGGGATGCTCCCAGCACCACTGTCAGCTGTCTGCCACTGTTGCATTTCGTGCTTGACAGCTCCTCTTATGACAGATAAAGATGGAGGGGTGCATGGAATGTTTACCTTGGTGATGGTGACAGCCTTCATCTTGCCTGCCGCCTCATACACATACGTCTTCCACCCCTCAATCTTCTCCGTTTGGTCCCCTCCGAACCAGGTCTTGAGAGGCTTGAACGCAAAGTCTGACGCCTTCATCTTGGTCCTCCCAATCTTGTCTGTCATGGCAAGGCTCACCTGCATGGCTGGCATGCTCAATGACATGACACGACAAATCAAGCGCCATGCATGCCCATGCCAGCTAGACATACGTGCCCACGCAAGGAACACAAAGCATGCACCTTGGCAAATAACCAACAGCTGACATGGCAATGATTGGATTGAACCACAAGCAACTGCACACCTCATCGTCCACATCAACCTTGAACTTCTTCTTCTCCTTGGTCAGGTCCACCACAGATCGCTTCTTGTGGTCCACCAGCAGCAGAGAGGCTGGGGTCTGGCCGCCATCAAACAGCAGGGAGAAGTGGCCGCGCTTCCATGTGGGGATCAGGGTGCCTGCCTTGTCATCCACCCCCTGGAGGGATCCATCCACGCGCATGGATGTTCCCTTCTTCCACACCTGGGCCAGTGCTAGTCAGCTAAGCAGACACTTCCATTTGGCCTCCCATAGCATGGTATCTAGCGTGTTGGGGGACAGGCAGCAGCAACTCACTCAATTGTCTTGTGCTAATTGGTGGATGTGAAGTTCAATTACCTCATATGTGTCGTGTGGGGCATATCTCCTGAGGATCAAGCCCAACAGGGGGCTTCCCAGCTCCCATTTCAGCTGCAGGCAATCCACTTGTTAGTATCACACAACCAGACAATCTGCAAGAATAGAGTTGAGCTTGCTTTTGTGCTTGTACCTTGAATGTGAAGTCATCCAGATCCCGCATTGTCTGCAGCAGTGCAGCTCTCTTCGCCTTCTGCTCTGCCTTGAAGGCAGCGACGTCAGCTGCGATGAGCAATTTCACCATGGCCCGGTCTCGCAACGAGATGGCTTCATCCACGGGCTCCCATCGCCGGCTGTTCTTCAGCGTGAATGGAAACCCAAACTCCAACAAGGCCTGTACGAGCTCATGTTGATGCCGCAACACTGCCACATGCATTACCTGCAAGGAATGATTTTTAGCCCCTGTAATCAGAGCTCTGCCCCCTCAGAAATCTGAAGAACAGTGAGTGGGAATTGTACATGTCAGCCCAAACGATTTTTGTGGAGATAGATCAGGCGGTGTAGTTGTGAGAGCTCACTGTGTTGCCCTGGGAATCCAGGTCCCCTAGCTCCTCTGGAGATCGATCATTCAAGAGGCTCAGCAGCACCGCTGTCTGACCATAATATGCCGCTCTGCATCACATTCGACACCAAGCAATCAGATAGATGCAGGTGCACATAATAGCGTCCTTAGCTGCACCCCATTACTGCATTCCTTGCAGCAGCATGCCCACGGCGACAGGCAGGACCCACCTGTGTGCTGGATACAAGCAACGTGTCCTGTTGGGCAGTGAGCTCTGGCTGCTTGTGCTCGCTCCTGCTGAGTCCCTCAGCCTAGCTTCACGCAGGCAACCTGACTGTTTTCCTGCTTCTGGCTGACTGCAGTGTCCAAAGGTCTGCAAACTGGGACTGGTGTCCCCCTCCAATGGAATTGAAGCCTCGGTATTCGTACAAGGCGCCAGGAGATCGTCTCCTGAGTGGCACACACATATTGTCTCAGCATAGACCATCTCCTCACCCTGTCGTGATGGTTCTAGGTTTATGTGCGAGCATGGGACGGTTAGGTGATAAAGACGTGGTATACACTATCAGTTCTGTTTTGAGGCCGCTTTCGTGCCCACAATCAATCTCAATTGGTGCACAGGTCAGCACGAACCTTGTGACTCATGCCACAGCACTTCCTCGCGATCTTGCTCAGAAATCGTGTCCAGATCATCGGCAGCATCGAACCAGACGTCCCCATCTGCATCAGTATCTTCAGCACTGCAGCCTGCGTTAGATGGGACCCGTTCATCGTTATCAGAGACAGCGTGCATGCTGATTCAGTCCTATTGAACTAAACCCCAAATAGATCAAGGTTATTGATTAAAGAAGCGACTGGGATTCTCACTGACTTACCTGTTCCCTTTTCTACGGAACATCACAGCACTTGTGGGATGACGTCATATCATCTGGGTGAGGAGGGGCAAACTTCATGGAAGGTGTTCCTTCATTCCCACTTCCCAGAGGACAATTACCCGGGACATCTTGGAGTTCTCAGATGAGAATGATAGCCTGAAGAGAGCGCATTGAGCTCAAGATAGAAACAGTCAACATATCAATGTGGCTGCTTATCCCTTGCAACCTTCGCTTTTGTCCTACGAACTCTTGGCAAAAATATGTCTATTTTGAGCACCTAAAATCCCAGCAAGAGATAGTCATCCAGGCATACTGAGTGGCGAAATTCACCCAGGAACGCCAACCCAGATCACTAGTGCAATTTTGTGCTCATGAGGACTCCCAAGCTCTTCTGCCAGCGCACGCTCTGCCCAAATCTCCAAGTGACCTCCGTAAGGCGGTACCAAAGAGCAGTCCGTTGCCAGTATGAGCTGGAGCGCATCACAAGGAGGGCACCGCCCCCTCCTCCTCCCCCGCCACCACCCCCAGCTGGACCCTCCAATGTAGTCAATCCACCTCTGCGTTATTTGTGAGCTCATTATCTACGACAGGATTGCCTGAAGGCTCAAATATGCGGCTGAAAATTTTTTGCTGGAGCAGGCTGATAGGCGGTTGTTGCTTGCGGGAGCAGCGGCTCTTGTTGTGGGCATTGGGGCTGCGACTGTGTTGGTGTCAGAAGAGAAAGGAGCAGCGGGCGACAGGAAGAAGGACTCAGATCCTTGGCTGGTAGGGGCACACGCATGCATGTCAAGTAGTCAGAATGCATTCATGCACCAATCTGGTAACTCACTCCTGCCGAAGGAGAATGGCCACAAGAAGAACATATGTGATGGCCCCCTATGGCCCTCCTGTCCCTCTTTGAGTTCCTGGAAGGAGTCCTGTCCGAGATTGGTCGGATATTCAGGGGCTGTCATGCTATTCTGCAGGAGCCAATGTTGGAGGCTAGACGGGCAAATGTCATGGAGAGAGATGGCACAGTTCTTGTGAGGAAGGCAAATGGCGACTGGCTCTTCCTGAGGAAGAGCCAGTCCAATCCGAAAGCCTTTGTGCTTGAGGGGGAGTATGGAGATAAGTACCTGCTGCAGCTGGACACAAAGGTAAGTAGACTCAAATTGCCCCTTGTATTGGCATGCAAGAATCCCAATCTGCCCCCCAACCTGGTAGGCAGTCTTGAGGGAAATGAAGCTGTGTGATTCTGTGATGCACTCAAATTGCTGACTGTGATGTCACCTCTTGCGCGTGCAGGTCAGCGCGCTCAGCATGGATGTCTTGCGGACTTTCTTCTCTAGGCACGAACAGTGGGAGCCCAAGCTGATCCCATACAGGAACTGACCAGTGAGAGGCGTAGCCAGCTTTTAGATGAGCGTTGTACATCATGCCTCAAATTTTGGAATCGTTCAACACAATTGGATGCTTAGGCACTTGTACATCCATATGCCCCACATGCAGAGACAGGAGGGCATGTTTAGCCCTGTGCTCATGTTCAGAACCGTCCCTGTGCTCCTGATGTGAATTTTTTTTGTGCATCGCCAAGATGTTTTATGGAATATTTAGGTGGTATATTTAGGAGGAACATCCGCAATTTTGTTACAACTGTGGCCTTTCACGTGTCGACAATCTCTGTAGGCTTCTCAGCTGTCTGACCCTTTTGGCCAAGGGCAGCAGCCACAAGCAGGGGCAGCTTCTCCTGAAGTTCTGCTGACTGGGACCCATCACCGGACCTGAGCATGCTCACCACATCTGCATGGAAGCTAGATAACAGATCATGAGTCTCCTCACTTAGTCCGCCCTTCAGGCACCCAATGACCCCGCTCAAAGCTCTTCCTGGCACGCTCACAGCGCAGCCATGCACCTGCAGCATATTTGCATAATTCGCCTAAGCAGCCAGCATCAATTTTCACCACACAATACCAGAAATTGCAGGCATGTGCGCAAGTTTCTTCCATCTGCATGCCACTGTGTTCATTGTGCATGTGGAGAAAATCTGAGGTAGGGTGAGTGCATCACCTGCATGACAAGGAGGGGCACAGCCAATGAGAGGGCAGTGGCAGGATCCGATTCCTGCTCAAGCTTGGCCTGCAGCGCTTGCCGCTGCGGTTGAAGAGCCGACCTCTCTGCCTTCTTGTCCAAGGGACGCAGCCGCACTCCTGCTGCCGATGCAGCTTCCTCCACAGCGCGCACCAAATCCTGCCGCATTCCCAGAATACGATGATAAATCTAGGTAGAAGTAGTATCACATCTTGTGCAAGGACCAGGTACGTCGAGAACACACAAAGACAAAATGTGTGCATTCTCTCTGGGCTCAATTTGGCACAAGACAAAGTCCAATACTTATGGCTCAAGACCTTGTTGAGCAGAGACATTAACAGGAGGGTCTCACCTGGGCGCTGCTGCCATTGAAAGCCTCCACTGCAGCTGTTGCTGGTCCCACTGTGTCTGAGGGCAGCCGCCGAAGCAGTGCTGTGCGGTCTGCAGCAGTCAGGCTCTCCTCCATAGACATCTCTGGCGCATCCTCTTGCTCAGCCTGATGGATCATACCAGAGATCCTGAGCATCCATGCAACTTTGCTGTACTTGCAACCAATGCTCTTGAAATATATGCCCTTGTAGTGTCACTAATGGGTCAAATGACATGCCTCTTGGTACGTGAGGAGGAAGTCCACAGCTTCTGTGCCAAGGCCCTTCAGCAGGTGCCGGTGCAGGATCTGCGCCGTAGCCTCGTCCTCTGCAAACGGCTTGATGCCATTTGCGTACAGCTGCAAACGTTCAAATGTCTCCTGCAGACTCTTGAGCAGTGTCTCCCGCCTCCTTCTCCGCGCCTGCAGGAAGAGAATGCGGTCACAATCTGTACTGCTCAATACCTTGCATGCCTCACAGCAGGCAAGACAGCGTCGATCGTGGCAGAACTTCAAGCATTCAACCCGAGCTCATCACCTCTGCTCCTGCGCTGAAGACAGCCGTCAATGTCTTCTCGTATTCTGTGAGCGCTGCTGGCCTCACAACGGCTGCCAGAGCCCCAGGCAAGCCCTCCTCCACTCCAGCGCCCTCCACCTGCATTGCAAAGGCAACCGTGTTACTGCTGTACGCAGTATGAGACATCAGGAATGCTACTGGCCATAAGTAACAAGGAGCACATGTGAGCAGCACAAACCGGGAAGACCTGGCAAAGGCTCAGGTATCAAGGGGTTACTCGAGTTGAGATTGGGAACCCCTCATGTTGGTAATATGGTGTTTATTTTCCCCTTGAGTATACAGTATATATTTTATCACAACCGATGCTCTGTTAGCAGGACGCGCCTCAGGCAGCCACTCCAGCACTTTGTCAGTCAGCGCATCCAGGCTGAGCAGCTGCGCAGCAATTGCCGCATTCGTGTTGGCGGCGGCCGCCTTCCCCCGGCCGGTTGACGGCTGCGCCGCGGCTGACGCAGCGCCTGATTTGGCGCCAGCTGCCTTGCCCGGCGGCGGCCCCTTGCCACCCTGCTTTTTCCCCTTTGGCCCCTTCTTCCCCTTAGCCGCCTTGCTGCTGCGGCTCCAGTCATCGTCGCTGTTATTGTCTTCCTCCACTGCGGCCTTCTTTTGAGCAGTGGTTTGCTTTCCTGAGACAGGGCAACCTGGCTGAGCAAATGATATAGTATCCATGTGGCAAGGAACAATATGGTAAGGATACAATATATACCAAATGTGAAGGTACACCGGGACAGATAAAGAATTCAGCAGTGCAGGTGCATTCACCTGTTTCGCTGGTAGAGGTGGCAGCGGTGGCAGAGGATGCAGTGCGCTGCTTCAGAGCCTCTTCTGCAGCTCTGCGGGCCTCTGCTAGGGAGCGCTGCTTCAGCCCTTCCAAGAAAGCACCGCTCACCACACAGCTCTCCGCTAGCAACTGTCCTTTGTCCGCTCCTTGGGCCTTGGACTCTGTGCATGCAAGCATTTGATGTGGGACAGTTGCACACTCTCAACCTCTGTACTCGGGCGAAAACGTCACTGAACACCAAGGTCGTAAAACCTTGTCTTGCTTACTTTTAATGTGCTACAACAACGCAACAGTGAGCTGAAATGCATGCACTCATGCATATGCTCCTTACCTAGCGCTTTCACAGAGGGGCATTGTGCGAACAGATCTGCTGCGTCACTGGCTGAAAGGACGCTGGGGACCAGGGGCAGGCAGTCCACCCAGCTACTGCTTTCCAGAGCCTCCTCGACCGCCGCGTCCAGCTGTTGTATGAGGGACGGCGCTGCAAATGCTGTCTGCAGTGGGATGCCATCTGGAAAGAGGGCCTCAAGGTGCGCTCGCGCATTGGCCACCCCCAATTTCGCCACAGTGTCATATCTGCGCAAAGACCACCAATCCCACTAACACAAAAGGGCAATTAATCTACGAGTGTGCACACCACAAGTAGGGGCCACCAATGAAATTAAACATTTGGAATTAGACCAGTCTGGCATCACCTGCTCGTCCTGCACGGTGTGGCAAAAAACTTGCACCGGCATCTGATATGTGCTGCAAAGCAATGCATTCAACACAACAGAATTTCACATACATTCAGGTGACTCACCCAACATAGCTGTTTTGCCTGTAGAAGCTGACGATGGAGTCCTGCTGGCGGCGCAGGTAGATGGCAGGTACCCATGATGTGGCGCCGCCGCGCAGCTGCCCCTGGATAGCACCCTCCGCAGCCAGCTCCTCCACAATGGGGGTCACCATCTGCGCAGCTGGGCTGGTGCCCCCCAGCTCCAGGCTTTTCTTGAGGCTCGCTATCTGCACCGGCATGCAGCAGCCGCGCAGCGCGCCCCGTAGCTGCATGGAGCACACTTGCATCATGATGGGCTCTGAAATGCCTCAGATACATTCTATGAAGAGTCTCCTGGGCTCCTTGTCATCTCCATGTTTAATGTGGATGATGCCTTTTGGCCTTGCTCGAATGCTCGGTGCAAATAACCTTGTCAGGCTTTTGGGGATGGGTGCAACATGAATGGCGAAGGGCACCTGCGCCTTTATGCGGGCGATGTAGGCCGGGGTGAAGATAAGGCCAGACTCCAGTCTGCCCTGCACCAGTGTGCCCATGCGAGGGGTGATGATGGATAGCACCAGGTCTCCAGCCAGCTGGAACTGACGCGCCAAGTTGCTGATCGCGACCACACCCGATTCCTGCGGTGCCAGCACTGTTTTTCAGTCCTCCTTTGTACTCTAGTGTCAGTCATGTGTGGGCTGAAGGTTCAACGCTCCAGTAGGATTTGAGATATGACTGGGCATGCGTGCCTTCAGTGTCTCATTGACTTCCACTGCGAGGCTGTCAAAGTAGGACAGAGTAATGAGGTCTCCTTGAATGCGCTGCAGGGAGCCGTTGCTGCTCTTAATGGCAAGATCAGCTTGTCTCTCACAATGAACAAGATCCACTCCTACAGCTGCCGGAAGATCAACCTGTGCATGCATATCCCCTTTAGCGTTTTGATGACCATGGTCTCCGGATGTCTACCTTTGACAAACTCGTGACATTCTCAAACGCCACATACCAGAGCGATTCTGCCGCCAGATTCCTCGACAGCCTCCAGAATCTGCTTTTGCAGATGCTCTGGAGTGAGGTACTCCCGTCCATCCAAAGTGTGCAGAAGGCCATCACTGAGCAGTCCTAGCTTCTGCAGCTTGTTGATGAGCTCCACAACATTTCTCTCGTTGAGCCTCACCTTCAGGACAATCATGCAGGATGTCAATTATTGGAGAATTATGAGTTGGTGGTTTCAGTCTGTCTGATGGCGGATGGGCAATGCGTACCACAGACTTTTCCTCCTGAGTCGTCTGCAGAGCAGACATCAACTCTTCGATGGAAAAATTCTCCATTGTAAGTCAGAGGATGCAACAATCTGAATTTTATGTAGATATTGCAGACTAAAGAGTGTCTGGCTTTATGAATGTGCTGGGCCCGGCAGCCATAAATTTTCCCATCAGATACCGCACAACGTTGTCAATGCTGATAGACACCCGAGGCAATTTCAATGCAGTTCCAATGTCAGGCAAATTGCTTAGGAGTGTGGACTTCAAGCAGATTACAGAAGGTGAGTCATCCCAGCTCCATGCAGCTTCCTCTGCAGATTTGAGGCGCATGCTGGTCTCTTGCATGTCACATATTTTTGTTGTGCAAGTATACGGCATGATCACATGTGCACAGCCTGAAAACATTACGAGACGGTGTCTGCACGCGGCGCCGGCCAGCCGGCCAGCTTCGGCGTGCGCATCCAACTTGGACTCGGAGTCACCGGTAATAAATGGCCAACGTACTTAACTACTGAAATACATGTGCCGCTGTTCAGTAATCACTTAGAGAATGCTACAATCTAGACCTTGGTGGAGCATTTAATTCAGTCCATTTCCTGCACTGTATTTCGCTCTGTCGGAAGACTTTCATTGAGCAGCTCCAGTGGAGGCACTGGCAGCACCTTCACTCCATTGAGACACCTGGGTCACAGAGCGTGGCTGCGGCAAGCATAGCCAGCGCAGCAGTCTCTACTCTCAGCCAGTTTGGGCCCAGCCCCACAGGCTTTGCACCAGCAGCAATGAGCGCTTCCAGCTCCTCAGGAGTGAAGTCGCCCTCCGGTCCGATCAGCAGCAGCCCTGGCTTGGCATCAGGCAGACTGGCCTGCCTGAAAGCCGCAGCTTCGTCCCTCAGAACTTGAGCCACAGGCGGAGCTCCTTCCAAACCCACGAGAGCCAAGGGAGCTGCTGCCACAAGCTCTGCCAGACTGTTGGTATGAAGCGGCCTCCTCATCACCAATGTGTGAGCCCTGCGCAGTATGCATGCATGCTTATGCATATCCTAGAAATTTTCGAGACACACTGGCGGTGAAAGTTTGGCAAAGACAGAAACAAACGGCCCCCACCTGAGGCATTGCTTAACGGCTGCCTGCGCCACACGATGCCACCGCTTTTGCCGGGACTGGTTTGGGGTTTCCACATCTTCCAGTTCCTCCTCGCTGTCCTCATCTATGGTTGCAACCTCTATGACCACCTGCTTCCGCCCTGATACATATAACATGTCCTCAGGCACCAAACTTCTCACGGAGAGCTTCTGACATACACTTGTCTACGACTGCAAGTCTGGCAGAGCCCACTGCCCTTCACCCACCTAGGTGAGGAGATCTCACAGAGAGGATGGGCCGCAGGCCCCATGCACCCATCTCTGTGCACTTCTCCACGAGCCAGTCTGCGCGACCACCTTTCAGGCTGAAACAGGCCGCCACCACCTCCCATTTTGGCCCTTGCCACTCCACCTGCCAAAATGCTGCACATGTGAGAAGTGGCATTCAAGGTGCTGCGCTTGTAGATAGTGCATACCGAGGCACCTGCTCTGTCCAAAAACAGAGCACACCTGTCTCCTGTTCTCCATGGTCTCCACGTAAGCTTTGTTGTTGTGCGCGATGCCTCGCAGCTCCGCCAATGCAAGGCCTCCGTTCCCATCACACACCTCCAGCTTGGCCCCTTCTCGCAGCCGCAACACTCTGCGCACAACATGCTACTAATGCATGCAAGAATCTGCATTGAAAGGAAGTCATCAGCATACATTGCTATCTGTCAAATCACCTGAGTGCATGATGAGTTTCATCCGTGTTCAGCTGGAAAGTGGTCCCGGCACAGGAGTCCTTGAGAAGATCTTCAGGAACATAGAAGCGAGGCGGACGCTTTGATGAGACGATCTGCACACGCCAGAATTTAAAAGTGGTCCAAAGATATGAATCATGGATCATACACCCCATCCTCTGCAAAGCATGCCCATGTCGGCCTCAGACTAAAATAACACTTGCCTGAGGGCCTTGTGCGCCAGAAGCTGCTTGACAACCAAAGTAGTTTTTTCTTACGACAACAAGGGCATTTGTCAGCCCTTGCACGCTTGAAGCTCTAGGGAAATGTGACTCTGGCCGGCTCCTTCCAAGGAGAAAAGCTGCGCCAGCAAGCTGCCGAGTTAACATGGATCAGCACTGCCAAAGTTGTAGATTACTGGCGCTGTTGGATGGACATTCGCGCCTCATGTTTGCTACACAAACAAATAACAAGTAAAAAAAATGAAGGAGATTTCCGACACTATGAGATTTTCGTTCCGCGTTCCGGCACCAAGCCCAAGAATTCTTGGATATCTTGTCAACTGCCGAATAACGATGCCTTGTAAAGATATGCTAAGATCCCAATGTATTCTGCATAATTCCAAGTAATTTCACAATATTGGAGCGTGTTTTGCTCAATGTATGTTGATAGATCAGCTACCATCTCCAGACAGCTATTCTTGTAATGGGCACTTCGTGACGCATTAAAGTTTTGAAATGAGTGCTTTCAGAGATCTTGTCATGGGTCAGGGCTGCACACCCGAGAGTGCACCCACAGGGAACAATCCGTTGGCCAAGCTGTTCACAGGCTTATTGGACAGCAAGCAAAAACACGAGCAGCTCGCACAGTTGCCGGATTTAAGAATCACTAGTACAGACAGGGAGAAGATCGCCAGTAGGGCAAGTGTTGTGACTCGCCATGTGTTCCCAGGTGAGCATATCACTGCCCACCAAGTTCTTAGGAGACAATATTCTTTTGCACTAATGCCCTGCACAGTCTGCTGGTTGTGCTGATAATCTACTTTTCTGATGCACCAGATGCCAGCAAGGAGTTTCAGGCAGAGCAGGTGCAGTCATTCCTGCGCTCCTTGGATGGAGGTGAAGGGCCGAGCTGGCAGGACGACCAAAAATACCATCAGTTCTTTGCACCATCACAGCCACCGGGGCATCCCCGAGAGGCCTGGGCAGATGAGTTTGGCGCCCACCCCTCTGCGCACGCAACACCCTTCAAAGCACCCATGGGCACAGCTGGACCCTCGACACAATGGGCAAATGAGTTCCAGGTGAAGTCCGGCTGTGCAACATCTACTTCCGTTTTGCAGTGCGCAAGCACACTTCCAAGCATGAGTTCTCGTCTTTTGATCCATAAATTTAGAGCTTGAATTCTGGCAAGTGTGTATGACATGCAGAGGCGGGAACACTCCTCAGGGCACCCTTCAGCCTGGGCAGAGGAGTTCCGGGCTGGTCCCTCGCATGCGCCAATGGCCAATCTGACCCTCAACAACAGCAGCCAGGCGCCTTCAGCATGGGCAGCAGACTTCTTGGGCAGCAGAGGCCAAAATTTGCACCAACCACATGGCGACATGAGCCGCTCAGGGCACGGCAGCCAGTGGGCTGAGCAGTTTGCAGACGCCCGACCTAAGAGCGAGCAATGGGTGGACGAATTTGCCGCCCACGCTGCACAGGTGACCAGATCAAACCAGATTCCCCTAGACCGCCCTTGGTGGTAAATAATCAGATCATAGACTTCTGCAGTAGAAATGTCTCTTTCTAATCCGCCCAAGCCAGAGGAGCGCCAGATATAGTGCCCAACCCTATTATGGCCTGCCCAAATCCAAATTGGGCTGCAAAGAGGCGTTGGGGAGCTCGTTTCGACAGCAAATCCGTAAATAGATGAGAGTCGAGACTATAATGTTCAAGCAAGTGCCTGTGTGCGATCACTCTAGTCGTGACCTTGCTGTGTCCTGTCACCCAGGAGGTGCAGTCTTCTCTGACGCCTGAGCAGCGCAAGGCCATGCGCGGCCCATCAGCTAAGGATCCTGTCGAGGATGACGACGCCGCCAGCTGGGTGCACCAGTACAACGAAGAACTCGCCAGGCCCTCAACCAATGCCTTAGAATGTGCGCTGTGAACTTTTTCGTGGGGCAAAACATAAGCCTCAGTGTTTCCACTTTGTGCTTTTGAGAGCTGTACCTTCTTATGGGGGCTCTACGTGAATCTGGAAATTGGAGAACTCAAAAGGCACGTGGACTTTTGGGTTGTGTGATTTGAATCATGCTGATATTATGACTGGCTGTGCTTCAGTTGACATGGGCGAGCTGGAGGCCAGTTGTGCGCTGATGCCAGCACAGGACAATCCTTACAGCGCGCATGCGCTGCCGCTGCAGATTGCTCAGCAGATGGAGCGAGAGGGACGCCTCAGGGCGGCCGCTCTGGCCTACGAAGCTGCAGCACGGGTGAGCCCCACATTCTCAGCCTCATCTGCCTTAATATTTCCTGTACTTACCACGCACCGATGCAAAATTGGAGAAGCAGACGTTCTGCAATTCTAGAGCGCATCAATTACAGGCATGCGTACGCGGCGTGCTGTCAAGAAGGAGTCAAGAATATACTTCAAGACCTGAACAAAGGAAGGAGCATACAGATGCACTGAGCATATTGAGAACATACTGGTCTGGATAAGGAGGGAGTCGGAACGTACAAAAAGGGACTCAAAACATATTCAAATTGTTTGAACAAACCGCCCATTCTGTTTGATGGTGCCCTGCAGGTGGCTCCGCTGAATAGGGAAGCATGGTGGCGGCTAGGGAGGTGCCGGCTTGAGCTTGAGGATTTCAGGGGAGCATGTGGGCCTTTCACCCACACGCTGAAAGGCTGGCCCACACACCCAGCCAATGGGGCGGCCTGGAGGTCACTTGTGCAGGCCGCGCTGGGCGCAGGCCAGAAAGAGCAGGCCTCAAACGCTCTCCAGGGGTGGCTGCACAGCCTTGCTGGCGGCGCAGACGCTGCAATGGCGCTGGGTGGCGGCGGCCGCGTGAATGTCAAAGAGCTGCAGGCTGAGCTCCTGGTGAGCTTTGAGCCTTCCCATGGTTCTGCCATGCTCATTCTGCTCAACGCATCCGCAGCACACGACGTGGCACGTTGCTGTCTCGAGAAAGTAACTTTTGTTGACGAGAGAATGCATTCTAGATGGCCATGCAGCATGCGCACTGGTACTGCTGTTGCCAGATTTCGTAAGTTTTGTTGCTGCATGCTTTAAGAGCCAGTACAGGATCGGTGCATTCCAGAAGACTCTGCAAGTGACCTTAGAAGTGCCCAGATACACCTCTTTGTTGCACAGCAATTGTGCATGAAGCAGGCACATTTGGCTGCCGCTGAGCATGTTCTTGGGCGGTGCAGAGGAGGGCAGAGGCAGCGCCGGGAGAGGTGCTGGCATGGGAGATGCTGGGCTACCTGCACAGCCTCCGCGGCGAGCACGCAGCGGCCACGGAGGCATTTGGCAAGGCCGTCGTGACAGGCGCGGGCCAGGACAATAACGCGCTGTGCCTACTTGGCAGCTCCCTCAGCCAGCAGAAGCAGCACTCCCAGGCCGAGCGCGTGTTCAAGGCAGCCACGGCGTCGTCCGAAGCCACCCGCGCCTGGGCCGGCCTGGCCAGATGCCAATGTGCACAGGGTGCGCACCGATCATTATTTGTTGTCAGTGAAGAATGTGGTCAACCTGAGGGAGGCGAAATCTTAGTAAGGAGTCAACAGGTAATGCCGGTGGAAGCTTATAGTGCTTTTAAGTGGGTTCTTGTGGAATATTTATCTTTATATGGACTTGCTGTTCCTTTGGAGGGGAGCTGTGTCTTGTCTTACAAGGGCTGCAAGGTGCAAGCTCTGCTCATGTGTATTGCTGATGTTTTAACTGTTGGCGCAGGGAAATATGGGGAGGCAGTCCAGAGCTACAGCAGGGCGTTGGAGCGCCGCCCGGACACCACATCCCTGTGGGACAGTTTGGCTATGGCGCTCACTGCCCTGGGCCGCATGGACAAGGCGGATGCTGCAGCCAGGCAGGATCCAATCGTCCTCAGGCCAGACAGTGTCAAAGCTATGTAATATTGGGTAAGGAAGTGAGGAATGCCAAGATAATCTGGGCTTGATTGGGCAGGTACAAGTGTAATTTTGGATCCTGTATTTCTATGCCCAGATACTCGGGGTTTAAGTGTGTAAGTACAAGTGTATTTTTGGAAACTGTACTCCAAGACCGAGTCAGGTCATTCAGTTGTACAGCCTGAGGCTCCGGAGGTAAATTCTACAACTGATATCACACAACCTTTCTGCTGCATATTTATTAAAAGGCTATCACTCGTCTCGCAAAAGCGGAATGCAGACATCGTTGTGTGCAGAAGGAAGAAGGCCAAGAATGCAAGAGACATGGGAAAGGACCTTTTCAACTTGAAAACGTATTCTAGCCTCCTCTAGGTCTCTTGCTATACTGTCGCATTGGCGGTCTTATTACAAAGGTGCAAGGAGTTTCTGTTATGTCCTATGGGTGCTCCGTGTGCCTTGCAATGCCATGCAGACCAGCATTTTGCTCACAGTCAATGGAGTCAGCCTCCTTGTCAGGGCCATGTAAGCGTTGCGCATCCCACTGTACAATGCAGAAGTTGGACTGCACACATAATCAAGCACCAGTACTTTTGGTATCTGCATCCTCATCCATTGGCTGCGGCTGAACCGGCGGGTGAGGCTCTGAAGGATCCTGATCCCCACAATCATGCATCGCAACTGGGGCTGGCTCCAGCAGTTGCTGTGGCAGCAAGGGCTCTGGAGCCGCAGGTGCATCCTCGCTTCCTTTCGCATCTGCAATGCAGTCACAACGCAACCAATTTTAGATTTAAAGGAATGCCTCAAAGATCTGCTGAGCATATCAGCCCTACCAGAGATCGACAAAGAAACAGAACCTGACAAAGTCATCGCAGTGTTCGATATGCAGTGTTGACACACAGAGCAAAGATGGGATGTACCTGTCTGGGACGAGGGCTGCTCAGGAGCCCCTGAGCTCTCTTGCTGCACGGCGGCTGCTTGGTTCCCAGACAGCTTCTTTGGCAGGGGCACCTTGAAGCCGTCTGGCGTCACATTCTGCTCTGTGGGCGTCTGGGATGCAGCCTCGCCCGTACCCGCCAGCTGCCTCTGCTGCTGCAGTGCCGCACTGCCCAGCGCAGCCTGCACAGACATCCACACAATCTGACGCAGCTGCTACAAAACGCCACTTCTTCTCTCTGCAACAGTCGCTCCATTTTAGCACAGTCTGAAGTTGAACATTCAATCCCCATTGTGCACAACATCGCGACAGGTGAATATACCTTGGGAGCAATGTGAGATCGCTGTATCCCAGATTTGCATCAGAATAGTTTCTGAGAAACCACTGAAGATGAGATGGTGGGTTGCCTCACCGGGAGAGGGAAGGCGGAGGTGCTCTCTTTGGGCGGCAGGTACAGGCCCAGTGGGCTGGGTGTGTAGACTCGGATGGGTGGCAGCTGCCCGGGAGTGCCGATGGGGGTGCTGCTATCGGCAACCTGCACAGGCGGCGGCGGGCCCATCAGCCCCGTGTCGCTGTTCTGGCGCGAGGCCCCCCTGTGGCGCTTGCCTGGAGCCTTGAATGCGCGGATGCCTGCACACCAGCACCCTTTAAATTACTTGCAGCACAAAAGGGAGTGGAGCAGCGGCTGCTTAAATATTGCCTGCAGCATACTCGCGCATGAAGCCGTGACTCCAAAGTTGATTCTCATAGAAAGCCAGGTGGCGCTTGACGCCCATTGACAGCAATAACAAATGACGGCACCAGCATCAACGAAAGAAAGCGCATCAATCTCAAGGGGCATGCACATAATAATAATTGTGCAAACCTGATAATTTCTCAAGAAAAATAAGGTGGCAGAGCAGGCGTGACCCCACCTGTGCCGACTAGCAGGCCGGGCCAAGAGGTGGGCGGGTCAGCCGGGTGCAGGCACACGTGGCAGAAGTGCTGAAGCTGCCGCAGCGTCAGCGCATCCGCCACGCTCAGGTCCAAATTCAGCTCCTCGCCAACGTTGTTTGCGGCCCCCGGGTAGCGCGCCAAAATGATGGCGATCGCCTGCTCGTACTGCTCCCCGCTCAGCCGCGCCATCTGCTCCAGCAGCTGCCTCTGCACGCACCACCACTTCTTCCTCGGCTGACTGTTCCTAAGAATTTCCTCAGCTGAGTGCCCACGCAGATGCAGCTCTCGCAGCAGACTCATTGCGCCATCAAGTGAGCTTGCCAGGAGATTGGAACTTGATCCCGAAGCAGCGAGCGAGACACCAGCAGAAGCAGGGATTCCAGGTGTTGATGTGCACATGCTGCAACCTACATCAGAATCGTACTTAAAGCCCATGAAGAGGAAGCAGGCGTACGATGCCAGATAGGGGCGCACCTTTGCGGAAATGGACATGGGCTGGCAGGCGGCAGCGGCGAGGCTCTTGGACTCGGCAATGCGCGCCTCGAGCGTCTCAAAGTGCCCCTTCAGGCGCGCCGCCTCGCCGCGCAGCGCTTCCCCGGCTCGCGCGTTGGCGCTCTCGCTCAGGCGCTCGCGCACAGCCGCCTCATCGCTGCGGCTTGCCACCTCCGCCTCGATCAGCTTCGGCACCACCACCGAGTTCCACTTGTCCTCAAACCTTGCCTGCAGGTCATGGGATGTGCCTCTGTAAGGATTCTCCGACAACTTCGCACCACAACGCCTGCCAACTATGGAGCAAATACTGAGTGAGTTAATTCAGTCAAATCGTTAAAAGGGCTGCAATTCCTTGGTTCACTTTAGACGGTGCTTGAACTCTCACATTTCAGCCAGAAATCACCCCTGCTGGCATTCCCAATGAGCAGCTGATGCATGCGCAAATGGAGCGGAAGTGAAACTCACGAGGAGGGTGCTGGCCATGACATAGACGTCAGTGCCGGGCGGGTTGTAAGTATGTGCATTCGCAAAGACTAGCCGGAAGTCTGCCGCAAACTCTGCAGGGGTGGCGTACTGGCCGCCCTCCACCTTCCTCTTCACCCACTTCAGGTCCATGGGGCTCTTGACCACATTCAGGTAGTCTGCATACCGGGCTAAATCCACCGGATCAGCAAATGGCCAGGCCCACTGCAAATAACGACACACATAAACTCAGCTTGAGGATGAGATGAAAGGCTTGGCTTGTCGTCTCATGAAGGCTCGTCATGAGCACTACAAACATATGCCTGAATCATCTGGTGCAAGACTCATCTGGATGTCAAGACTGAAACGCACCTTGTGCGCCAGGATGCTCTTGAGGACTGACATGCACTGCTTGCTCACGATGTCTGCCAGTCTCAGCTTCTGCAGCTGCGCCATACGCTCCCTGTCAGCAGGTGTGGGCTCCTTTGGCGGTTCTTGCTGGGGTATGCACGCGTGCCTTGCTCGAGCCACCTGCTCAGGCCAAGGAAAGGTCACCATCCGATTTATTCCTGCGCCCTGAAGCGTGAGGTCAGTGATGACGCCTCACACAGGCACACTTGTCGCTGCACACTGCGCACCTCCTGTGTCAGAAGCTCCACTTCTGCTGATATCTGTGCAAGGTTTCTCTTGAGTTCCCAACACCGCTGTTGCTCAATCTCCATAGCATGTCTTTTCCGTCTGAGGGAGCGTTTGGTGGCCTCATCGTCGGGATTGATAGCTGTATCTGCCATTGCCACCACTTGGAAACTGATATTAAATTGATCAGACGGCCTCCTTGTGCCAGAAGATGTTTTTTGGCCCCTGCACAACAGCGCAAGAGAAACTGGTCTGAGAGACTGTGAGCTCCCAAGAATCAGAACATAACAGCACAAAATAATAGAAGATTGCAATAGAGACCAACAAGTAAGCAATTAATTGTCGAAATGAAGGTGCACAAACCTTCAATCAGAAGACCTGTCCAACCAACAATTCAAGGTTTCCGCAAGATCGATTCGAAATGCTGTATCAGGCAGATATATGCATCATCTTATGCCACCGATGCAGCACCTGACGCTCAGGAACAATGCAAGTTGGGAAAATCACTCTGGGAGAGCTACATCCGCAGAGCGACACAGGGCGCACGCCAGCAGTGCATGGATGGTTTCAACAGAAGCAAATAACAGCAAGGTGAGTTCCGAGCAAGTGAGACGAGAAAGCTTTCTGTAGATACCGGAAACAAAGAATGCTACTGCATTACTGATACATTGATCCCTGTGGGATGTAGCCCTGCGCAGGGATTTGATTGCTAGGGCTACATCTCCATATGGATGCATCGTTCACTCAATGCTGGAAACTTTACTCAAGATATGGATTTATACCATAAGAACGATACTAGATTGAGTTGAGATTCACTTATCTGCTGAGATCACTGCGGGAAAGGTTTTCATATTTCAACGATCTTGATAGTAAAGTGTGCTAAATTTCGAGGACGATGTCTGGCAAGACGGAAGCTGAGCTCGCTCTGCAGCGAAAATACGAGCTATTGCGCAAAAAAAAGGTACTTGCAGTGATTGCTTTTGGCTTGTTCCTGTGCTTCTGACTTGTGCACACCTGTCAAGAGACACATTGAACACTCAAATTTCATTTGATTTTAGGAGGAGAAAGCGAAGCAGCAATTGAATAAGAAGAACGAGGAGCAGCAAGCACAGAAGTCTGCCGCATCACAAGGCCTGCAGAAATCAGTCCAAGCCACAGCAGCCAAAGCAGAGGAGGCCGCGCCATCAAAGCCTTTGACACCACATGAGAAGGCTCTTCAGGTCCAATCGTGTCACCTTTGGCATTTCCAGAGCCATGTTGAGCAATTTTAGTTGGTGATGCATTTGTTGACAGCTTGGGACGATTCCCTGTGGGTGGTGCAGGCACTGAAGAGAGCTTCTAAAGGTGGGGTGGGAGCAGGAGACAGATCATCCGGAGCGGCCAGCAGAAGTGGGGTCCAATCTCAGCGACCATCTGGTTCTCTCACGCAGACTAAGCAAGCTGGCCCGTCCAGGTACAGTTGCTAACGCCCATGGCGCTTTAGCTGGACATTCATGCATGCATCTGCAGCGATTGGATTCTTCGCCACTGTTCATCATGCGCCTGATGGATGACACAAGCTGCAGGGCAAATGAGGACGCCAGCAGACCCAAATTATCACCAATGGAGGCCGCCAAGCAGGCTCTTGCTGCAAAGGTATGACATCGCAAAGCCCTTTTGTAGGCATCATGTTCGGGGCAGACCCCGTGTACAGCGGATTTGTGATTTGGTGTACGCTGCACGTGCAGAACAAGCAGAGCGCCCCATCAGCTGCCAGAAAGGTGCCAGGGGTCAAGAGACCACTCGTGAAGCGGCCAGCACCGGCGCCTGTTTCGCCGCGTGCTGGCGCTGAAGAGGCGGCTGACGGGCAAAGCGTTAAACGACAGAGGACATCCGAGACTGCGGGGCCTTCTGGCAGGTACATCTTTGTAAAGTCACTTGGCTTCATGGTGGATGAGAACATTGGCACTGGTGGTCCTGGGCTCAACCACTCAGTTGGCAACCCCTCAGTCGGGATTAGTCTTCATGGAGGAAATCGCATGCAGGAGTCCCTCGTCCTTCTTTGTATCAAGTAACACAGACTGGGCCCGATTCACCATGTATGGTTGTACAATGTACTGCTGTGTTGCTGCAGGGAGGGAGAGGCACCGCCCCCACCAGTGACCCTTTTTGTGGGGGACCTCCCGCCCTTCTTCACAGCCGAGGGCCTCCAGGCGGTCTTCTCGCAGCTGGCAAGGGTGGTGGATGTGCGGGTAGTGGGCAACAAGCTGTTCGGCTTTGTCACCCTTGAGAGCGAGGCGGCTGCTGCGTATGTGCTAGAGACCAGTGATACACAGGGGATCTACGCAGAAGGGGCACCCCTCAGAGTATCTAGGGCGCATGACGGTACATCAGAATGGCAGCAGGTGCGGCCATCACTGGCGCTGACCATTATACTGTGCACTCCAGCAATTGATGGGCATCTGTGCTCAGGGACTTGTAGGACACTTCTCATGTTCTCAAGTGGCATGAGCAAGAATTGAACTGAGGTGTGCCTTTGCTCATGTTGCTGTGTGCTTTTGCAGAGGGGCCCTGGCAGTGATAATCCTTGTCACGCGCACACACATGGCGGGCAGAATGAAGAGGGGTTCAATCCATATGAGCACCCCAAAGTGCGCGAGGCACGGCTGGCGGCCAGGTCGCTGGCAGAGCAGATCGAGCACAACCAGCTGCCGGGCATGAACTGTGGGCCGCCGCCGGAGCGACCTCTTGTCTGCTATGACGATCTCTGATCCTTGGAGTCGTTATGCAGCATATACAATTTTCATAGTTTTGGAAATCGATTAATGTGATGATGAGCTTGGAAAAGCTGCTGCCATCAGTGAGCATGTGCGCACTTGCAATTTGCAACACCATATGGATTGCATACTATGATAGTGAGGCTCAATTCTAGGCTAGGATGTGAATAATCTGTAAGTTCTGCTAAAAGCTTTGCTGGTGCTTGGGGCGTAAAAAAGAATCGTTCAAGTTATCATGAGCTCATGAAATTAATATCCCAGATCCTCGTCCAATGAACACTGCTGGAGAGGGTAAAAGTGTAACGCTTCCGTAACGTTAACGCGACCCTCGTTACCGTTGGAAAGATACGTTAGGGCCATCGTGTGCTGGGACGAGCATTTCCCACATTTGTTGCCATAACCTGGGTCCAGAAATTCAATATCCCCGCAGGACTTCGATGGATGACACCTCAAGTGTGGTATCTGCACCCCAAGCAAAGCAGATCGTTCACGAAAACACCTACATCACGAGCCCAGAAGGCTATGGGGAGGCATGGAATCCCCAATAATCCCTTTAAAAATATTCAACTCGATCCTATGAAAATCCCAGCTCTAATTTTCTCTGTTTTCCTGGTCCTGCAGACGTTCGTCTTTAAACCACAGAAAGTGAAAGAGGTGCTCAAGAGAGCGATCAAAGAAAAAATGGAAGGGCAAGCATACGATCCAGTGAAGGGATCGCAGGTGCGTATGTCATATGGGCATCACCACTAAGTGGCCAAAGCCTACCGTGTCTGCTTTCTGCTGTCATTGCCTGACTTCGTGCTTGTGTTGCTGCAGCAAGCAAAGCAGCTTGCAGAAGTTTTGAGAGAGCATGTGAAAGCCTTGGGCTTTGATCGACATAAGTTGATCATACAGGTATCTTGGCTCCAGGAATTGGTTTTGGCATTCCCTAGTTGTTGCTGAGACACATCGCAGATATTCTGCGCCGTGTTCCCCGAGTGGCAAAACTTGCTAGCAAAGAGACGTAAGGTTCAAAGAGCAAGCCCTTGCCTCCAGGTCACATTGGGACAGAAAGCAGGGCAAGCGCAGAATGTTGCTTCGCGGTGCCTTTGGGACCCACACACTGATGGAGCAGTGTCAGAGGAGTACCAAAATGAATCCTTGTATTGCCTCTGTCAGGTATCCAGAAACACCGAGCTTGGTTGCCCTTCATAAGATGTCCAGCTGTATAAATGATCAAGAGAGTCTAATTGAGCTGTTTGCTGAGGCTCGCATCTTGGCTGGTGTTCAGGTGTACTGCTTGTACTTTCAGTAATTATCGAGATGAAGAGCTATGCCATTACAGAAGCTTAGCGCCTGCATGCACTCTTGCTATGCAAAGAAGAGAAATATGAAGGGGAGAACAAGGCTTGGGGCAATGTGCGCTTCTTTATGGCACGTACTAATCTTACAAGCATGACACTATTCTGATTAATGCACCACAAGACAAGTCCTAGACTCGTACATTTGTGCGCATGCACAATGTTCCTCTCGTTCAGACACTTGCTGTTCAATTAGAACCTTCAAGAAAATTTTAGCTTGCAAGATCACAAAGACACGCAAGAGTGCACTGCTCCTTTGCTTCAGACATCAATTTGGCTCATCTGATCTATAAAAGTACACAATAATCATCAAGTTCAGGATATCTCGAATCCCCCTCTGGCATGTTGTACATTCTACAACCAATCCAGCATCTGACCACTTGGTACATGCTCAGCAGCAGTACATCATCACGTCGAACAAGCACAGGAAGCATCACAAAGCCACAGCCACAGATACAGAACCATACACAGCTCACAGCTACTCCACAACACATTCATTGTCAGCACGCCTGTTGTACAGCAGCCGATGCCCAAATACCGGCCTGCAGCAGTACCTGAACACACTCTCAATATTCGGATCCAAATTCTGGGCAGCTTTGGCCCACAAGTACAAGTCATCCTCCTGATGCTCAGCGTGCTCAATCTGGGGGCAGAGTGTCCTGCAACGCTCGGCCCCTGCCTTCCTGGGGCCTGCATGTTAGCACACCGCTCATGCAAAGCCAACATGGACAGCCGCGCCTGCAGTGCAAGCGCACATCGCCCGGCATGCTCGGCGGGCCCCGGCCGCGCGCGTGCGGGCGGCGGCTGCGCGCTTTTTGGCGCGGGGCATCGGCTCGAAGGTGCGCGAGAAGAAGCGTTCAGAGGCGCGCTGCTCTGCCAGCACCCACTGCTCGCCCAGCTTGCCCCAATTCTTCACGAGGTCCACCGACGCCTGCTGCACCGCGCCCGCTGCTGGGGACCTGCATGCAGTTTATTCTCACCATGAACAACAAAGAGGACAATTATCTTCACTGTCGCAGGACCTGCCTGTACCGCAAAGGGTCCATCACAAAACACTCAGCTGCGCATCGTTGCTAGCAGCAAGAGCATAATTGGATGGCACTGTGGAAGATAAGAAACGCTTTTTGTATGCATGGCCTGCGACTGCTGCTGCTCCTGCTGCTGAGAGGATTTTATCACACAGCACTCAGTTGCATCTCGGTGCAAGCTCCAGGGGGGATTTATGTAGTTGTGCAGTAGGGGTTGAGAGCCGGCTCACCTGACGCTCTCATAGGCACGTAGGGCTTCAGGCGTGGGCCCATGCAGCGCAATGGTGCGGCCCAGCTCCAAAGCATCCTCCATCGTCTGGCTGGTTCCCTGTTGCAGCAGAATGTAGTGTCAAAACGGGGAGAGCTGCCCAGCAGAGACTTTCCTCACACAAGTACCCTGTGACCGCGACACAGAATGTGCAATTGACTGTCCTTACACTTCCGCAAATGCTTCATGCAGCACTAATGGCACTAGAAAAGGCCTTGCTAGAATACAAAATCTGTGCCTGCTAGACCATGACAGAAATCAAGAGAGGGGCATGTCAGGGACGACACACTCCTGCTTGCCAGCTCAATGAGTCCAAGGACCTCACATTTGTGATCCCATGTGGGCTTTTATTCAACCATCTACCTCTGTCCTGGCGTATCCCACTGCAGCATCCTCCACCAAGCTTCCTATTATATTGCACGACAGCTTGCATCTATGCCCCGCGCAGCGATGGCATCCTTTCAGGTATAGACATTCAATCCATTCATTTCCATAATTCGCATGGTGAGACCCCCGAGAGGGCGCACCTGGCCGAGCGCGGCGGCGGTGAGGTGTGCGGCGTCACCGAGGAGTGTGACGCGGCCGCGGCCGTAGACGTGGCAGTCGGCCGGATCGCGGTAGAACAGCGGGTGCTCCGTGATGTCCTCCAGCGCCGTGTCCCGCAGCATGCCCACCACGTAGTCCGGCCAGCCCCCATCCGACTCAGCCAGCGCCGCCAGGCACCTGCCCAGTTTTCACCACCTGTATGAGCCCTCGCCTATCACTTTTGAAGCTCTACTCGAAGTTCTAGCATTGCAGGGTGCGCTCCTCAGGCGGAGGAGCTCGTGCATTAGCTAGACCATAAAGCAAGCTGGTGCGGTCACAAATGAATGGATCTCTGGTCCTTGCACGTGCCCAGCTGCCAGCATACGAAAACTCATTTTAACCCTCCCTCTCAGCCTGTACAGAGTGCTTGCAAAGCCAAGAATACCAACTTGCCGTGTGTTCCTCAGCATACAAAGATCCTCAGCCTTGCCATGGTGAGACATTGTCCATCTGACAACATTGTGGATGATGGGAGTAGTTCAGGTGCACAACAATCACCTGTCAAGCTTCCCCCGGGGATCCCCCGTGCTGCCGTTCTCGACGATGTAGCGCTGGTTGCCGAGCCTTGTGAGATCTGCCTCTGCCCACGGGACGGCCACGTTCCAGGTCAGCCTGTTGCCTGACAGCGCGTATGTCATCACCTTGCGCTTCTCCCCATCGTCTATGAAGTTCAGCAGACCCGCCGGCGTGGGCCAGTCAGCTGGCCTCTCCCTGCATGCACAATTTTTTTTCAGTATACGCCGGATTTTTCTTTTGCTCTACAGATATTTGAGTGTCCGCTGTAGATCTGAGCAATAGTGCCCAAGTCACGGCTTGCTGATGTGTTGTCAATTGGAGATGCTTCCACTTTGGACATGTTTGGATGGCATGGTACTATGTTGTACTCCATCAAGGTCGACTGCCCCTTGTAGATCTGATTGAGTTTGCTAGAGTCCCAGCTTGCTAATGAATTGTTAAATGAAACCGGTTGCACACTGGACATGTTCACATGGCATGCCATATGAAGGGGAGCTGCACAAGAGGTGACTCACCGCATGGCGCGCCAGATGGCAAGCCCAGCAAAGCGCGGCAGGCCGTCAGCCAGCAGCTGCTTCCTGACCTGAGACAGGTTCCCATCCGCCCCGATCAACACCTTGGCCCTGTAGCTTCGGCCGTCCTGCAAGGCCATCAGGACAAATCTGGTTTCCACGGTCCAAGTGGAACTCTTTCCACTTTGTGTGCAGACCATGTCAAGTTCATGACCCCTCTTGAGCCGTACGTCACAGTCTGGCACTTTGACTAAGATATTCGCCATCTCTTTGGACTCTCCACAAGATCATCAATGCAGCGGAGGTGCAAGTGCTCTTCAAAGTGCATCAATGCTCATCTTGTATGACGGCGCAGCGATGTTACCTTGAGGTGAACAATGACGCCTCCCTCTTCCAAGTCCTCGTATCGATCAAACAGGCTGCCGATTTGGAGAGCGCCGGGTGGCAGATGACTTGCCCAGAATCGCTGCAGATCATACCAGGCCACTGGGAACAGTCCCCCACCATACTTGGCATACCGCTCGCGTGCAGCAGTGCCATCAGTCCTGTTCCATGACTGAATCCAAGTGAGCCTTGGGAAACTGATAATTCGAGACGTGACGATGCTCTGAAAATACCAGGGATGCATGTGGGATCCTTGACACATGGAGAATGCTGGGCGCAAATTGCAAATTGGACGAGAGAGCAACTCACGTCATGATGATCTGACCAGTATTCTTCAATATAGTCACGCTCTGCGCATCTTCGTGTGGGGTGAGGTGCTGCAAACAGCTCTCATATAACGCTGTGTCCATCGCCTGAATAGCTTTCAAAGCATTTGGAAGGATGCCCTGCGTTGTGGAAGGGTATCTATGGTCGGAAGCTTGCCAGAGAAACTATAGTTTTACTCTGATGGCTTTTTAATGTGCCAATGTATTTCCGCACTGAAAGGTCCCTTTAAGCATAGTGATGTACTCACCACAACGAATCCCGCAGGTCGAAGAGATGATGCGCGTTCAAATACCTGCCAAGATCAACAAGGTCGTGAAACGCGAACACTATTCAGCAATCAGATGGCGCGCTCAAAAGGTGAACAGCGATCTGACGAGCAACGAGACCAAAGCACGAATATTACGCACAAACCTTTATTTTGAGATCTGAATCAGCAAGGCTTGCGCAAACTCCCGCGCTGAGCCCCCCAGGTCCGCCACCGACGATGGCAACATCGAGATCCTCCGTCATACCTTTCTGAATGTTCAAGATTTACAGAAGGTGAAATTTTCACTTGAAATTTTCCATCCGAAGGATCTATGATGATGCCGAGCTGTACTTTTCCAATTCTAGTGTATCAAGTGCTGGTGCAGAGTGGCAATTGGGTAGTTTGCAGTGCCCATCTGGGCAAATTTTTGGGCAGGCATGCCTATGCACTTCACTACTCCATTTTTTCCTGCAGAAATTCTTACAGTTCCAGAGCGGAAATCTGCAAAAGCTTTTTCGAGTACATAAGCTCAGGCCGCTTATGATGAGCTCGGGCGGCATTCAAAGTGAGGCTTGCAGGGCCGCTTCAAACTCAATTTAGACTGTTGACACCGCAAGGACTCCTGGGTCGGACCCAGAGGGTCTGCTGAAAAGGTCTGCAGGTTACGATCGCTGTCATGTGATGGTATTCCTCCTTCCACCAAGCTTGTTACCAGCGATTGGTATCAATCGTTTGCCATTGCTGTCTTCTTTTCAGACAGAGCACCTGCATGTGCCATCCTCTCCGCTGCCAGAGCAGATCTTGTCTTTGAAGCTGCAGGAACGGCAGTGACCGTGCCAAATGCAGCACTTGAGCTCGCCCCTGTGACATTCAGCAAGAGAGACCCATCAAGGAATGCAATCTTCTGAATCAAATGGCAGTGGCCATGTACATGTCCATGGTTGCAATCCCGCTGAAATGCCTTGCATGCCAATGAAAGTCTGTGGCATCACCTGCAGGACCCTCAACAGGAGGCTGGTGTGCATGAGGCAGACTCTGTGAGATAGCAGGCACGGTGGGCAGCTGTCCGTGCTGGGACTGGCTGACCAGCGGAGCCGTGCTCGCCAGGGAGTTCATGATCTGAATCCTCTCCTGCTCCAATTGCATATAACAATATAACTCAGTGAAACTTCCTGATCAAGGTTTCAATTCCCTTATGCAATTCCCAATGATCATTTCTCATGAATTGACATTTGTGGAGGTGCTGGCCGTGGTAGTATCGATGGCAGAGTTTCCTCACCTCGACGCCTGTCCAAATATTCTGCAGGTCACGTTTCCGTCGCCTGTTGTTCAAGGTGATGGCCGCCAGTCGGCGCAGTGCCCCAGAGCCCAGGCGCCATGTCATGTATGCAGCTGCAGCTACCCAGAAGCCTCTGTACAACGCTGTCAGCTCCTGGTCACCACAAGGGATGCACGTCAGCCTCAATTGGAGGTTGGGATCTGCATTTGGGTGCTCTGTACCTCTTGCAGATCAGTGGCACAGTCCCTGTCACTTCTGCGTGTGCAAGGTCAACAGCTCCGGAGGGGGCCAACCTTGAACGGGGTCAATCGGATCAGGTGGTGCACTCCAACTAGTCCTCCGGTCAACAATCCCATTGTTGTGAGCTCCTCTGCGATACATTCTGGTGTGACAAGATCCGTCTCAAAGCTGTTAATTCCTTGTGACATGCCCTGCAAGGCAAAAAGCGATTGCTTGAGATCCTCACAGGTGCATGGTGTCACACAGAACCACAAGGAAATTAAAATGCGTCGTGAGAGCACACCTTGCTTTCCAGATTCAGAGCGTCTACGTGCTGGCAGAAGCTTGTAAGCGCCCTCTGTACAGCCTTACCGTCTGTGCGATGTATCCTCGCCAACTCGTTCTGCAGTCTCTCGACCTGCGCGTTACAGACACATTTGTGGAGCGCGATCAAGGATTGAGAGAATATGACGTTTGTGACAGCGCATGAGTAGATCACCAGGACCAAGGTGGGAGCGGAGAAATACCTCTTCAGTCAGGCCTTGAACTCTACTCATATCACCTTCACTGATTCCGCCTACTTCTCTGGCTGGATCCATCTATTTAAGGTTGCAGACGTGGTGATGAGGTCTTGGAATGATCAATATTTTCCTTGGTCTCAATCCACGACTGACACCCGACACCGGTCTTGACCTTAATGTGGTCTCAACAAATTTCCATCTTTACCTAAGGACTGGAGTTCATCAGGACGATCTCGGTGCACAGCCCGAAATAGTTTCGAGGTTTCAACAAACGGAACGCCCCCTGCCGCGTGGCACGTTCGAACCACGGAAGCAAAACGTTATGTTGCTCTACTTGCCTAGCCTTGGCACCAGTAATAGGATGTACAAGGGTATACAGGTACCGAAGCGGCCTTATAAAGTCACTCACGTCTGACAGCAGATTCTTTCTTGTCCAAGATGATCGACGCTTGGTTGCCGTCCACGTTGTTCGTCCTGTCAGCCGTCTTCGTACTTGTTGTACGTCTCATCCCTCGAATATACTGCAAAAATACGGATTATTTGTTGCTCCTATTAGAGTATTTTATGTTCTTTGTCGTTAAGCGGGTACTATGCATCTGCCGATGAAGCTGTCTCCAATAAATTCGATTATTGCATTCTTTTGTCCTCGAAACATAGGATCACACGTTTATAAGTTCCGATATTTTCAGAATTGCAAATTTCTTGTGCTTCGTGTCTTCACTAATATCTTTGGCTTCTCCTCCGTCCAGGCTGTCCTGTATGGCTTTCATCCTCTCAAGCGATGGCAATTGAGAAGGATCCCAGGTAAGAGCGAACTTCAAATTTCTGTCTTGGTCAAATGACTGTCAGGCGCAAGGTGCCAAGTATTTCGAAAGTGCACATGGAAGCTGCTCAGGCCTCTCAAGGGTAAGAATGTGATTTGCAGGGCCGACACCGCAATGGTATGCTGGAAACCTGCTGGAGATCATGCGTCAGTCAAGCTACCATTACTACATCCGCAATGCACGGAAGTATGGCAAGGTCTTCAAGGTAAGGTCTGCTGCGCTCCTGCACTTGCAAGGGTCCGCCCTGGGTCTGCCTCATGCATGTAAAAATCCCGGGCTGCGCTGCAGGTGTGGTTCGGCGCTACGCCAGTCATCGTGGTGACTGATCCTGACCTGGGTCGTGCCGTGAATCTGCGCAACCCCAACCGACACACAGCCATGGGCCCAGTCGCGGTCATGTCCCCCAAGGATCGCATCTTTGACAGCGAGGGCATCCTACTCACTAAAGAGTACGCCCTCCACTATCACTTCTGCTTCACCACTTTCACTAAAGTCTACAATTTTGCAGGTTCCTTCTCATGCATTAGGACGCAGTAGGGCACGCCCGTCACAGCCTGTAGAACATGCATGTGATTTGGGTGATCACATGCATGCATGAATGTCCATTCTGCAGTCAGTAAGTACTGAACCATGTGACTGCTGCGCAGCCGTGCCTACCACCGGAGCCTGCGCAATGCGTGGCAGCCGGCGTTCTTCAGCGAGAGCCTGAACGGCTACGCGAATTTGATGAACAGCGGTGCTGATCGCCTGATCAAGCGGCTGGGCAAGGCTGCAGCCAAGGGGCAGGAGGTCAACATCTGGCGCATGCTGGGAGACCTGACAATGGATGTTGTGGGCACTGCCAGCTTTGGGTGCGGACTCCCACCTGAGTCACTCTCCATGAGGATTGATCTGCTGCAAGCTATAGAAGTGCAATTACCTGAAGCGGCATCCGAATCCAACTGTGTCATGTATGTGCCCATCCCTGATAGCACACCATGTGGCAAGGAGCTGATTGTGCATTTACTGTACTATGCATACCCTGACACGCAATGAATATTTGCAGTACCTGAAATGTTTGTTGGAGATGATGTAAATATATGTTGTGACTGCAGGGTGGAGTTCAAGACGCAGGAGGATGATGACGAGGACCCTGCCTCCAGCAAGGACTCCAGGGAGCTCGTCATGGCTGCCCAAACCATCTTCCAGATGGGCGGTGCGAACTTTGCTTCATCTTCAAACCCACACCATTTTGCTGCATGCCATCTACAATGTCAGGACGGCAATCTTGGACTTCAGTGGTGCGGCTCTTGACTAATTTTTAATCAAGTGCTGCCATTTGAGCTGGGGAGCTTGTGTGTTGTCAGGTGCTGGAGGCAGCCTATATGTACCTATTGTGGTCCTGTGTCCTGCGCTGCTGCCCTTGGTCCGACTTGTTGCTGGAGCTTTCCCTGATGCACGCATCAAGACGGTATGACCTGATGATAATCGTCAAAACAATCTGCCTTCATGTTAGCTTAGATTGATATGCAGTTGAATACCACTGGGATCTGAAGAAAGCATGATTACGTCACTGGTGAGTGCAGGATGCCTGTGTGCTTGACCTGCCACTTTCTGGGCATGCCAGTGGCTTAAGAATGCTCACTTTGTGCGTGCAGCTTGTGAAGGCGCGGACAAAGCTGCAGCAGACATGCTTGAAGTTGCTGCAGCAGGCCAGAGAGCGCATTGCAGCTGAAGCCAGCGGCAAGGCTGCCAAGCCAGAGAGGGGTTTGGCACCAGGCAGCTTCATGCAGCACATGGCCATTGCAAAGCACCACGCTGGTGTGAAGAATGGCAGCCCCTTCACTGACACCGAGATTGTTCAGCAGGTGCGGTACAACCTTCCCCATCAAATGGGTCAGATATGGAGTCTAAATAAAAAACGGTAGAGTTCATTGTGTATTGAAGATTGTTGAAGAAGTGTGTGCCTGCTGCAGGCATTTTCATTCCTCCTGGCAGGCTACGAGACCACAGCCTCTGCATTGGCGTTCACTATTTACAACCTGTCTGCAAATCCTGACAAGGCAGCGAGGCTGATACAGGCAAGTTCTCTCCCTGTTTATGCTACTTCTAGTATATTCACACTGTTCTGTGCATTCCATTTTGGAGTGCTGTTGCTCTTGGGTTGCTGGCCTATACCTGTGTGATCTGCTGTCCAGCACTGAAGGGTGTAGGGTGGCACAAGATTGAATCTCTTGTGGCTTTCTATCAAAACAGTGAGGATCAATGCGTGATGCAGGAGGTGGATGCGTTCGGGAGGGACAGAGTGGCACAGAACAGCGACTTGGAGGGGCTTCCATACGTGCAGGCAGTTTTCAAGGAGGCGCTGCGGCTGTTTCCTCCGGGCCACCTCAGCATCCGTGAAGCTGTCGAGGACCTCAACCTCAATGGGTTCCTTGTCGAGAAGGGCTCTTGGGTCCACGTATGCTCCACATCCGATCATCCCGGACATCCTTTTGAGACCTCTTCTGTTCTGACCCGGCTTTTTCTGTCCCAGAAAGGCTGTGCCATTGTGCTAATTGTATTGGATGCCTCCGGAGAATCACTGGAGCACATGATCTTTCTCAGTGGTCTGAGAGTGTTGCGATGTTGCGCAGGTGTCGCTGTGTGGCATTCACCGGGACCCTGATGTGTGGGACAAGCCGGATGAGTTTGTGCCGGAGCGGTGGGTGCCGGGCGCCCCAGAGGAGGCCACAGAGGCCCAGAAGAGGGCGTGGATGCCCTTTGGCGACGGCATCCGTGCGTCCCCTGCAATTCGAAACAGATATTTTCGTTGCAAGTGGTGTTCTTTGCAAATAGGTAAAGGAGGGCCTGTTCATAACCACTGTGTTGGTGTGCAGGTGCATGCGTGGGGAAGCGCTTTGCTTGGGAGGAGGCGCTCATTGCGCTCTTGCGCATCTACCAGAGGTGACCAGAAACATCGCCAATGGTTTTGTATATTAGGAAGCCCATTGTTTTGATGCATCTGTTCTACACTGTTTTGACAGGTCTTCACAGGGGTTGTATGGGTTGCAGGTTTGAGTTCAAGCTGTCTCCAGGACAGGTGCCGCTGGAGGTCCGCTCGCCCTTCACTCTCGGCCCTGCTAAGGGCATCTTTGTGACGCCCATTCTGCGCGGGGAGGAGTGATTTGCTGTAGATCATGGATAAAGAAGCGCGTGCTCTCTGTTGCTTGCATGTGTGCTGTTCTTCTTGTGAGGCTTGGGAAGAGTCTCTATTGAACATTCATCGCTTGAAAACAGAAGGCCCCTTTTTTAGTTGGAACTGCATTGCCTTGTTGCAATAAGTTGCTGCAGGATTGCTGCACCCATTGTGTTCTAGACCTCATACTTACCGGTATCCAACTGTGTAGCGCTCTTGACTTGTTTTCCTTCATGCTTCTGCATGCAAGTTGTGTGCTTGTTCGGGTGCCTGCCTGTCAAGATGTATATGCTTTTGCATATTTGGCATTATCTTTTCTTTGATACCACGTGAGCACTCAGTGATCATTTCTGCACATGCTCACATGGTTGCATGTGTGAATCATGCCTGTCTCAGATGAATAGGCAATATCTCTATCAAGACTGAAAGATCTCTAGATCTATAGCTAGGGTGCAACTCTGACCTCATGCATTGATGTGCAACTTAAGCATGTTTTACTTAGTAGGATTCCCTTAAATGCACTTATGATCTGTACGTACAGTAGTATACTCTCTGCATTGCGCATGCGTCACTTATGAGGGCTCACTGCACTGTGTGTGCAAGCATTCAGCTGCAATATAAAGCTTGATTGACTTCTCAGATTAGGATATCTGTAAGCTCATGAAAGTCTGTCGATGTCTTGATCTTAAATACCAGTCTGCCTGCTCTGAAGCCAGCTTCAGCTATAGCCATATGGCTAGTCTAGCTGCAGCTGTAGCTATCCCATAGCTGTACATTTTCCAAGCTGGGAGATAAGTCATGCAGGCCATGTAGCACACCAATCTCCTCTCTTGGCATCTAAGGCATCTAAAAAGAATCCTGTGTTCTCTGATGTGCTGGATTCAATTCGAAGAGAGAGTGTCACATACAGCTGCCTGGCCACGGGCCACCGAGATCTTGCCCAAATTGGGCAGCATTTCTGGTAGCCCTGGAAAATGCGCAGATTACCAGGCTCAATACATCCGCACCACTGGACATATCTGATTTATTATAATGGTAACAACAGTGTACTGTGTCCTTCTGTATTGATCAGGGAATGACATCCGCAGATACAAAAGGGCTCAAACCACTGCACCATATAATATGAGCTTCTTTGGCGAAAGCCGCCTTAAATAGATATCGAGGCATCATCTTGGCGTACTGAATATGAAACATTCAGATATCTAGCTTCTATTGGAATTTGGGGCCGGTGTCGGTATGGATTCGATAGGCAGATCTTTGGGACTAGATTTTGGGAGGCCTTGCTATGCAGTTCAGCTGAGGATCACGCCACAATTGAAGGAAGCCCTCATAAATGCCAGCAAAGCGGGGCAACCAACTCGGATGCGTCTCGAAGGGGGTGCAGGGGTGAGGAGTCCTGTGGCCAGCTGGCATCGAAGCTTCCAAGCAATAACCATACGCATGCCTTTGGCAAACTTCAGACTTGCAATCATACACTTTGATAATTTTTATTCATTTTGTGTCTTGTGAACACGAGATCGCGTCGGCATGCCTCCCAGCGCTGAGATCGCCTCACCTGCAAAAGCATGGCTACTGAGAGGCTCCTACATGGGAGCAGCTACGGGCAAACTGATTGACACCGATTGTCGCAGGCCATCGTTGTTGGGGACCAGGAGTATGCCTTCCAGGCCAACGAGGAGACCTGCTGCGACCTTCTAAGAGTCCCGGTGGACAGGGTTGACTGTCCAGCACAGGAGGTTGCTCAGATCAGGCAAAAACTCCAAATACAGGTGAATGTGGCTCATTTTGTAAGCATTCATACGCCACAACAAGCTCTTCCGATGTCTTCCCAATGTTATTTGCTCGAATTTATAGAATGGTTGTGTTGCAGCGGACACTGGATGATGAGGAGCGCAGGCGAGCTCGAGACAGGCGCGTCATGGCTGAAGAGCAGCAGCATGTCCGTACCCTGCAGCGCCTGGAGAAAATCCCAGTGCCAGTGAAAGGTGACCCCAGTGATAGTCCATGAAGGCCGTGCAGCTGCATGTGCTGACAATGTTTCTAAGAGGCGGCCTGTTCATTCACGTTTCTCTGTCTTCCGTGCCCATTGATGTTGAGTGCCTTATCTGCAGCTCTCCAATATACTCATGACTGTACACAGGTCCCCAGAAAGTCAAGAGGGCGTCCGTTCAGGCAAGGCCTGTCGGTGCTCAGCAGAAATCTGCCGCAGCCCCCAATCCTTCTGGTACAATCTACAACCGCGCCTCCACACCACCTGTTTCCAGAGGTCCCACACCGCCACCTCCTGGCGCCTTGGGGCCTGGAAACAGGGGCCTCACACCGCCGCTGCCCAGCACTTCCGGCCAACCAACTGGCCACCCAGATGGTGCTGCTCCTCATGCCAGCCCGAATTGCCAAGACCGCTCAGTGTTGCAGCATTGCTATTGCGGCACAGCCTGTCAAGTGCTACCTGTCAAGCCTGCTCTGACTGATGTTGAGCTGTTGTCTCGCAAGAAGTGCCACAAACGCATGCTTGTCTAATTGTTTCCGTGTACATTTTGCAGTGGTGCGCAGTGGGACGCCTCCAGTGGGCGCGCTGGGGAGCAAGCCGCCCAAGAGCAAGAGCAATGCGCTGCTCTCCAAGTTGGGCGGCAAGGGGAGCCCTGCGGCTGGCCGGTCGGCCGCGCCCAAAAACCAGCAATCGCGGTTCAAGGAGCCGCCGCCGCCTGCCGCCATCCTGGGGGCCAAGCACAGCGTCGCAGTCTGCCTTCTGGGCCTGCTCTCTGAACGAGACTTCAAGCGCCCGGTAAGTATTTGTCCATCCCGTGTAGACTGCATGTCATGCACCTGTCACTTAATTTGGCATGGAGCTCACCATGGTCTCAAGATCACGAAGAACAATGTCCTGAGACTGGCAGCAATCTTGTCAGGATTAGAGGTGTCGCCACCGCTTCACCATGATAGATATAAAATGCTTTTTGGGCTGAATCCTGAGTGCTGCATTGACTCAGGCGCAAGTGGAGCAAGCGCTGGCAGAGGTGGCAGCGAGGGTGCCGGTCTTCAAGCCGCCCACAGGGCAGGCGCTGGCAGACCAGCTGAAGCGGGTGGCAAACTACAAGTCTCCGGGCATCTACGTGGTGAAACCGGAGTATGAGGCCCAGGCCAGGAAGCTCAAAGAGCGGGCCGCCGCTGAAGTTGGAGGGGTCAGCCCTGACCCGCGGACCCCCAGCCGCAGCACCTCCCCAGAGGAAGCGCCTGCCGCTCCTGCCAGCCAGCAGCAGAAGAAGGCGAAGCAGCAACCGCAGCAGCGGCAGCAGGGCAATGGGAGGGGAGCTGGCGGAAGCCAGCAGCCCATGCTGGAGCCCCAGCAGGGGAAGTTGCTGCATGGAGGAGGGCTCCCCAGGCCTGCTGCAGACAGGGACACGCAGATCACTCCAGAGCCCTTTCTGCAGCTGGTGGAAGATGACCTGGGCCTCCCATCCTCACAACCGTCGCCGCTGCAGCGCGCTGCGCCGCCCGCAAAGCAGAAGCCGCGGCCGCCTGTTGGTAAGGCCCAGCCCTCCGGCGCTGCGGCTGTGTCTGCGCTGCAGCAAGTTCATCAGCGGCAAGGGCAGGGGGCAAGTCAGCAGCAGGGCAAGACCACTGCAGCAAAGAAAGCGGCCAAGGACAGGCAGCAGCCGCTGCCGGGTGCTCAGGCCGGCGCGCACCGGGCAGCAAAGCCACAGCAGCAAAGGGTCAAACCAGCAAGTGGCATGCATACAGAAGTGCTTAAGCAGCTGCCGGCGCCTGCACCTGCCAAGCCAGCCAAGCGGTCACGGACGGTGGGCTCCTGTCCCCCTCACTGCCTCTGCGCACCTCTGTGCAAGTCGTGAGTGCTTCACTGACAAAGCTCTTTTGCGCTGCTGACCAGTGTGAGCTCAGGTAATATTTGGCTGCGCTGGCGCAGGTGTTGGAAGAGAGTGACGATGAGAGCGATGACTGGACACCGGGAGCGACGGGGAGGCTGCGCGGAAGCAGCGAGGAAGCTGGCTCCGGCTCTGGCAGGGCTCTGGCTGGGGGCTCCAACACCACCTCCAGCATGCCTCCCAGGAGCTCACCCTCATCTGAAGAACTGCCCAACATGCCGCCACAGCAGAAGAAGCAGCGGCTGGAAATGACGCCACCAATGGTCACTGGTAAGATTGCTTTTCTCGCTCTGGGCAATGTTCGGAATGCATGACACATAAGCACGGCAACTTTCGGCCTTGTGAAGATGTGCACACTCCTGCCAGCAGATTCTGCAAAGTCCATGACATGAGTTTGAAAGATGGCTGTGATGGCGCAGAATTGCCGAGGGCGCCGTCGGCTCTGGCCAGCTCAAACTGCGCGGATGACTCCTGGTTTGCAGTGTACGAGTCACGGCAGCCCATACAGCACCCTCCAGTGGCAGATGCGCCCCATTACAAGCAATACTGCGAAGAGTACAGCGCAAAGTATGACGTCTACCACAAGCTGCACCAGGAGATGTCCACAGTGACCAGGTGATACCTTCTTCTCTCTGCATTCCTGCGGCATCAGCAGAAATAACCTGCTTGTACTTCAGAGCATGTGACTTTGTTCGGACCGAGCTGGGCTTGTTCTTGCACCCCTGCCCTTTTATCCCATGTACTAGCTGTCCCCAACATCACATCTCAGGGTCCACCGGTGTTGAGTTGTATAAGCAAATGGCGGTCCACTGAAATAGAGTGCCTTCAGGTATGTGAAGGCGCTGAAGGAGGGTGCCCAGTCGGCAGCGTCCGAGGCCAGCCGGCAGGAGTATGGCGCGCAGGCACAGCGGCTGTACTCGCGCACTGAGACCCTCATGCAGCGGTGGGCATCAGCATTCAAGGTGCGAGCCTCCTACTTACAACACCGAGAGTTCTCCCACGGGCTGCTGTACAAAGTAGGGTACAGTGGATTTAATGTACAGTATGATTACCTATACCTTGTTCCAAGCAGGGTCAGTGCGTGCTGCTGGTTGCTGCAAGCTACTTTCCCTCACAGTCAATGCGGCTGCGTTAAGCTTCTATTTTGCTGGGTGTTGGAAAGGGGTCTTGAATGCTGAAAAGTCTGGCTCGCAGGTGTTGCATGCGGAGCTGGAGGATCTGCTCAACAAGCTAAATGAGTACCGGGGAGCAGCTCTAAGAGGCAGCTCTAGCCTGCAGGCCAATCCGTCGGCAATTGCAGTGTGATTAGTTTTCTGTTGTCTGGCAGTAGATAGACAAGATATAGCTAGAGCCTGGTCAAGCCTATCCCCAATTTTGTAGATGTCGATTAGATCTTAGAACAAGCATTTCATGTTTCCAGCTTAAAAATTGAAGTGCAAGCGGTGCAAAGTATGTGATTGATCAATGGTAACCATGTTGATCTGAGCTATGCAGATGTGCAGATCTGAGCTGAGTTGCAATTTCTAAATTACAGCAGAGCTGGCTCGTTGATATCATGATAGATTTCGGAGGTCTGTCCAGGTATACCGTAGCTACTGCACCTGTACAGCTACTACATGTAGATAGGGATGCAAGCCCATGATTTCCCCAAGAACGTCTTTATTTACATTTTGGCAACAAGGAAGGAAGATTACACTGCATCATCTCCAGAGACTCCCCATCAGAGTTAATCCTTTTCACCAGGCTTCTATCTGGCGTTGGGCAGCTCATGTTGCCCAGCCGGGCAGGTAGAACCCAGCCATGTGCATATGACGCTCTATCTCTGTGCGGCCTCTGCATCGTACAATCAGCTTGCACCATTAGCGGTAAATGATATCATCGATAGTCACATCCAAGAGACAATCGGGCATAGCGTGAGGAAGTAAAAGATGGTCAAAGACAAGACGCATTCCTCCATGTCCTTGGTGCTCTGGTGCAAGATCTGAATATACTTACTGGCTGTTACTTTTGATTCTTCAATAAACAATAAATTGTCAAAATCACAGTAGATCCTGCGTTTCGAAAAGAGCATTCCTGTCTCTTTTTACTCTTTTTTTACTAGGCAGAGTGCAATCGCCTATGTGCGGTATTCTCTTGATCGGCAGGAGAGTCGACATAAAGAGAGACGGGGAACAAACGGTAATAAAATCACTCAAGAATCTGAGTCACCCCAACGCTTTGTATGCATTTCAGTGTGCAAGTGCACGGGCATTGGCATGGAGGAGTACACTGTAAGCACCTTGAATCTATAGCGCTTCCCTTCACGCAGGAGTGTGTCCAAGAAGCTTCTGAATTATTTCTATCCCTGGAACAATTTCTACCTGCCCTAAAGGCACGTGGTCCAGATGCAGTTGGGCATGGACAGGTACAGAGGGCCTTCCTCAGAATGAAATCAAGTGTACCGCAACTGGTATACTTCATGAACAGCATGTTGAACTTCTAACAGGTACACTTGAGTCAAGCATCAGTACTGGAGTTGGCTAGCTCACTGCTTCAGCTACGGGGTCAGCATACAACTTGCGCCCCTCACAGAGATGACCAGGGCAACATCTTGCTCTTCAACGGTGCACCATCTCCAGCCAGCCAAACTCCTTAGAATTCATGCCAAACGCTATATTACACGAGCCCATTCCCATGCTGACGGATGGGACCAAGGTCTGAGGATATCTTTAGTGGCTGTGCAGGTGAGATCTTTGGAGGGTTGCACATTCCTGAGGGATGCAATGACGGCCAGGTGCTCATGCAAGCCTTGGGGCAGTGCAGCACAGATGTCCCTTTATTTCTGTCTGAGCTGAGAGGCCCCTGGGCGCTCATGTACTGGCAGGCTGCATCTGGGACCCTCTGGTTTGGCCGCGACGCTATAGGTGGTTCTTTAACCCACTGCAAACACCGTGTTTCCTACTTGATGTGCCAGTGATGTCGAAGGTAAATGGCTCTTGGAGTGCCATGGACATGAGGAGCATGGATTCTGTGCTGTGCAGGGCGGAGGAGCCTGTTAATCCACTTTCCAGACGATTTTTGCCAGGACCTCTGCATTGCCAGTGTCTCGTGCCCATCAGAGACATTACAAAACACTTCCACATCCCCTGAGGCATGCAATGGCAGGCTCACAGCAGCTGAGGATGGAGGCGGCGGCGCTTCATCCGCAGCAGTGTCCCAGTTCTGGGAGGTAAGACCAGCTAATTTGTCTGCCTGTCTGAGGCCAATCTCTGACTTGCAGGACCCCCAGAATCCTTTGTATTATTTTTCGCGCACCTGATGAGCAACCAGCAGGATACTCAATCATGCTGCCTGCGTGAGCAGGAGGTGGAGCCTGGCATATACAGCGTTTGTTTTGGGGACAGCAGGCTGCTGGAAGGCAGGGCATCAGGGGCCATGCAGAGGCATGCATGGGCGGACCCACTGCTAGACAATCTGGCGGGCTACCAGCGCCCTAGCAGCCTCATCGCCCCTCAGCCCGATGTCAAGGACGAGGACAGAGCACTCGCATTTGAATGCGCAGCTGACAAGGTTCCTCCCATCCACCGTCTATGTCTGCAAGTTCTTGTGCATCCATAATTTACATGTCTGTTCATCTTTGCATTGAAACAGCCAGAGCATAATCTCTGGTAAGACAGATTGGAGGCCCTTAATCGAGCAGCTGGAATGAACTTAATGGCGCACATTGTTGCCATTAGAGGACTCTACAACAATAAATGTTGCCTGCCTGACGCAGTCACTCTGGAACCTGACGTAGTCACTCAGGAATGGTTCATGTGATGTACAGGTGTTGGAAGCGCTGCAGAACGCTGTGGCTCTCCGCTGCAAGTGCATCGACATGCCAAACGGCCTGCACTGGGATTCAGCAGCTCAGGATGGCTTGGCGCCTGCTCCTGTGCTCGTCCTATTCTCGGGAGGAGTTGACTCCACACTTCTGGCGACCTGCGCCCACATGGCGCTGCCGCCAGACACCCCCATAGACCTGGCCTCCATCTGCTTTGACGGAGGCAATTCCCCTGACAGGTAAGCAGAGTTGCTTTGCCATGTATACTGTCTTGTTTGACACCAGTCATGCATGGGTGGGTAACACTGCGCCACACAATCACCAAACATTGCCACTCCATTCACCTGGAATAAGATGTAACGTTCAAATCATACCATATGAATTGTCTCTTATTGCATACAAAAGCAAGAAAGTATGCTGGCCTTGCAGGATGTCTGCTTTGGATGCGTTTGAGGAGCTGAAGGCGTTTGCGCCAGTGAGAGAGTGGCGCCTCATTCTGGTGGATGCCGGCTTGGAGGACGTGGACCGCAACAGGCTCCACATCTTGGGTGAGCCAATGCCATTACCACGCTTCCCTTCAGAGGTATGCATCGATAAGTGGTTGACAAAGTCTACGACAGTTCTCAACCTCGATAAAGGAAGAGCCTTCAAGCATCATGGCAGATCGGGTAGAATGGAGCCGATGAACCCATTAAATATTCCTTCCACCCCCAAGTGAAACAGAGGCATTCGCCTGTGCAGACCTGTTGCGGCCGTCTGAGAGCGTGATGGACCTCAACATTGGAGCTGCCCTGTGGCTGGCCGCTCAGGCAGAGGGGCCCCTGCTCCTCCACAGTCCCGGCCGCCCCAGTGCAGCGTCCCCCAGAACCAGCAGCGCAGCCGCTCCAGCTGACAAGGAGCCCACATGCAGCCCGCCAGAGCACTCTCAGGGCAGCCGGACCGGTAGCATAAGTGACGCAGAGGCAGAGAGGAGTGAGCAGCCGTCCAGCAGAGGGGAGGCAGCCAGCAGTGCCCTTCAGGAGGGGGATCCGAGCCAGGTTAGGAGCGGCATGAAAGAGGGTAGGCGGTACAGGAGCCGCGCGCGTGTGGTGCTGCTGGGCCACGGCGCGGACGAACTGTGCGCCGGCTATGGGCGCCACCGTACCAGGTTCCGCTCTCACGTGCGCCTCTCCTCCCACCCAGTGGCTTTGCATCCGCCAAGCGCTCAAAAGCTGGAGTGTGCATCCTGCCCTTCATTGCTTTCTGAAGGTGGACACTACTCTTGGAGATGTTTGCGAGCCCACCTACGAGCGTCTCTGGATGAGAAAAGACGGCTGAAAGACGCATGTGAAGCCCAGTAGTGAACACCAGGCCTCCCCCCCCGAGATGTACGCCACTACACCTCGATGATTGGACCGGAGCTGTGCGGGGGCAACATGAGACTGCCCAGCGCATCAAAGCTGCAGCATCAGAGAGCAGTAAATATAACAAACACCAAAAAAAAAAATGCTGACCCCTGGCGGCAGGGTTGGGAGGGCCTGTCGGCGGAGCTGGCGCTGGACGTGGGGCGGCTGTGGCGGCGCAACTTGGGCCGAGACGACCGCATCATCGCCGACGTCGGCCGCGAGGCGCGCCACCCCTTTCTCGACGAGGCCTTCGTCGCCACACTGCTGGCGGTGCCGCTGCCGCTCGTTGCGGACCTGCAAGCGCCACCCGGCGCCGGCGACAAGATGCTGCTGCGCGCCGCGTTGCGGAGGTAAGACTGCCCACCTCGTGCCTTGGCGCCATATCAGACGCCGATGACAAGGGGGCAGGAAATTCAATGCTCCTCCAATGTCTTGCGCTGCTCTTGGAGCCTGCGCGCACGCCGCCAGGGGTGACGATTTGCTGATACCTTGATATGGGCTGAGATACATGGAATACTAGTGCAAGGCATGTGGAATGTGGAAGGCAGTTCTGTCTTGCCCGGCTGTTGAGCCATGGACATGCCTGCACGCCCATAGAGAAAAGATGACTGAGTGTGTTTGACTGCTGTGATGGTGCAGCATGATACCGATGTTCAGAGTGGCTGTTGGGGGTGCAGGCTGGGCTTGAAAAGGGCCTCAGTGCGCGTGAAGCGAGCCATCCAGTTTGGGAGCAGGCTGAGCAGGCAGGCCAACGTGCGCGACTTTGGCAGCAACCGAGCCGCCAATATGGCCAAAGCCGGCGGCCTGCACCTGTCTGATGTGCCTAAGGGAAACGGTCGTGCTTGATGACCTGCGACACTTGTAAGAATCACTATGAATAAAGGGCTGGTTTTGGGCTCGCTCTGGAACCGAGATAGGCCAAGAGGGCCAGGACTTGGTCCAGCTGCAATGGCCCATGCATGGCCTGCTCAAGGGCTGTTTAGCCATGAGACATGACACTTCGGTGGGCTAGAGCATCCCCTTCGAGCAGAGAGGATTTGACAATGTCAAGTTCTAATTGTAGATGGTACTGGTGTTGCCAGCAGAGTAATATGAACTGCATGAACCAGGAAGCACAGCTCTCTCTGAAGCTTGAGGACCGGTGCGTACCAGGCAAGTTTGGAAGTGCAATGACACAGTGCAACGGCGGTGACAACATTCACTGATGCTTTACATGCATCCTGGAGATGCAGATGGGTCTCACGCACATGCATGGTCCCTTAAATCTGGTTGCACCCTTTCAGCGTGAATAGACGACAACATACAGGGACAGTGTTTGCGACGTCAACAGCGCAACGACGCAAACTTTGCTCGAATGGCTGCTAATGCCTCGAATGAGGCAGTCTAAAAACAGCGCCGCACAGCCGATCCTGTCACACGGGAGCACCCCGCACACCCCTCCCGGTCAGAGAGCACCCCTTTTGCTCAAGCTGCCGCCCCCCTCTATGTGCAGGGTGCCCCCCGCGTGTGCCATGCGCATGGCGCAGCGCCCTTATTCAAGGGCACACAACACAAGCACCTCCTCTATATCCGGGTAACACTGAACTTGGAGCATTGAACAATACAGTGGCAGATCTGACGCCTGTGACAAGAAATTGAACAGCCCTCTCTGCAGTGCCCAAGCTACCTAGTGCCATCCGGCTCAATCTGTCCAACGCCCTAGATACGCCAGCCCCTTTTGGCCCGACTCCGGTGTCTCAGAGCAGCCCATGGCAGGATAGCTCTGTAGCTCTGTAGCTCAAGGACTGGATAGTATTGATATCCAACAGATGAATTGGGGAACAGCAGCTCTCATTATTGCAGATGTTCCTGGGCCCTGAAAAGGTGAGGAAAAGCTCCAGACGGGCATTGTAAGCCCTCCCTGCTCACCAGAAGCCTTGCAAGCGACACTGACCATCTATTGCCGCAGGGAACAGGACAAGTCCTCATGCAATGGCTGGCGCTTCTGGCTGGGCTGCTGCAGCGCTGTCTGTGTCATTGCCTTGATCCAAGCGCACAAGCTCGTACTCAACCAGTGACAGGTTGTGGTCCAACTGCATATGCACATCGTGAGCTTTAATCCTGTCCAGGTCATGCAATGACCATGGTGAGCCTTGGATTCTAGTAAATTCCTCCAACAACTGAGCAAATAGGAGGTCAATGCTGCATGTTCTGGGTGTGCAAGGAAGGGCCACCAGGAAATTCAGACAGTTGTGGTGCCGGGAGGGAGAGAATGAGCCAGGCACCTTGGGCTCGAAATCTCGGTCGTGTGTGCTCTCCAACTTGCCCCATTGTGTGACCGCCAGTCGCATGGAACCCTTATACATGTCAATTTTTGAGTTTCTGAGGATCAAGTACTCCCCCTTCTGTGCTATGTCCACTGCAAGTCAAAGGGAAGTACATCAGCAGAAAACGTGTGCTGCCACAGGGACCATCGCACTGGCGGCGTTTTCTAAAAACCAAGCATGTAGTCCAAACATCGATACACCCTTTGCTCAAGGATTGGAAACATCCATCAGTGCCATGTCTTTATATAAAATCGCTTGATGGGTTGGTTACAACCCTCCCTGAATATATTTACGTCAAATTTGTGCAAGGAAAGAGTTGTGTACCTTGCTCATTTCTTGCTGTGAGAATGATGACTCCTGTCTCATCTCCTATCAAGCACTCTGCTATGCGCGGTGCTGTTGTGTTCGGTCGCGGGGCTTGCCTTGTGAGCACCACGTTGGCCTCGATCACCTGGAAAATTTTGCCCTTAGGGTAAGCGAATGTTACAATGTCAATCAAAGCCAGCGCCAACAACATCCTGAAAAGCACTTTCTCCTTTGTGTGCCGTCAACTTCTATCAGTCACATGAGGAAACCACGATTATGATGCTGCTGGTCGACAGAAAAAGATTGGCAGACTGCTTCCAGCTGAAAGTGACATCGCAAGCTGGACATGGATTCGGGGAGTCCTGCAATCCCATGCCCCCCACGAGAATTGCGATTCAATCACTGGCAAGCCAGCTTTTCAGAAGCATCAGCAAGTAGCACCGATGAATCAGTGACACCGTCAGAAAGCATCCTAATGCTGGTTGCCGGGGACGCCATGCGCCCATAATTCAGCGTGAACGCCCCATCGGGGGGCAAGGGCGCCACTCACCTTCACCACCAAGTTATGCCCAGAGGTGTCCGGTCTCAGCTGGTCAATCTTTGTGAAAACTGGTTCCCTCTTTTGCACGGCTCCAGAAGAGTCCATGGTGGCTGTGCTGCCCGGTGAAGCGGAAATATCTAGCACATCCAGGTGAGCACCCACTTAAGCTCTCCTCACTGGACCGCTCCCCGTTACGGGCCAGAGAGGGATGACCATCATGTGTAATCCACCGGGACCCTGACCTCTAGGCAGCATCATATATGTAGCCAGCAGCTTTGCATGTGCCCTTCGATGTGAGTGCATGAAGGATAAGCAGGGGCTCAGATGCCACTGCTGGCACCATGCGCGCCAGCTGCAGCCCATATACCTCATGATCATGAACCTGACGTGTCTGTTAGGACATTAGTTGAAACTAATTTGTATCTCATGCAGGTCACCGTGACCTGATGCGCACGGTGCGCAATATTGAGAGGGCCTTTAGTAGCCCGGGAGCTACTCGTGCATGACAAGATGGTCACAGAGCTGAGCAATGGTGTCTCACACATAATAACATTTACAAAACAGTCAGACGCTATAGGGTCACTCCCTCCAACACCAGCTGGCAGGCTGTTTCCAAAGCTGGGATCCACGCTAACAAGCAGCAGCAGTTTGCAGGCAAACAGACACCGACTTTGCGGACCCCACTGCCATTGTTTTTATGTCTTGCACTCGCACCAACTCCTGCAGGAAGCGACGGCCTCCGTGCAGTCATCTCACCGGCACCGAATGTCAATTCAGCTTGACAGGCGGGCCACATTCTGGCGCACGCTAACCATGATGGCCGGAGCCGGGTGCCCTTTGACGCAAAGCTCAGAGGGCGGCCCGGCATCTGTCACCTAGAAAGGACCACACCTCAGCAGGGCAAATTTTTCTCACAAACGCTAAGCCAGGATATCGGATATCAGCGGTGGCTTGGCAAAATAACACGCATTAACGCAACAGGTCAATGTCCCAGAATGCGTCCTCTACCTACCGGCAGCAAGCCACTGGACACTGGAGCAAATCAGGGGTGTACTCACAAATTTATTTAAATCTGTTGCTGCATGTATTCGCGGGGCCCTTCCACTGCATACTTTGTTGGCCTTGGAAAAATGCCGCAATGAATGAAATCTACAAGAAGTAAACATGCAGAGCACAGGCCGAGAAGAAAAAATGCAAGGGTATTAAGTCCTCCGAGTGCTGAAGCGACAGGCTCTGCTGACCGCCGGGAGAAACAGGCCCCCCATAACAATACAGAGATAGAGGCAATTTGCCAGCTGGGAGGCCGCAAGAGGGCCCTGGCCCACGCAACTCTGCAGCATTTCTCAGTATTGTAGACCGCGTTGCGTTGAAAACACAGAAGGAGAGAAAACAATCCGCACATGCAATGTGCGCCCAAGCCGTCCCGTCCGCACGCCATAGCACGGCGCAGAACAGCGCCAAGTACTTTAGACCGGTCACTCATCACCTCCCTCTTTTATGACTCATGCTGCGCCAGCTCAGACCACGTGAGCAAGCGTCACGGGCGACTGAAGAGATATATTTTTCACGCGCCGTCAAGGCAGGGGGCCAAGCCTCAGGGCGTCCCGGTCGCATCAGCCCCCTGCCATGGCGCCAAAAGCTCCTACTCCTAGCAAGACCTGACCAGTGGGATTTTATACATCGCGCCCCCTCCTGCGGCAGTCTTTGTCACCCGAGGCGCAAGCGCACCCGAGTGCGACAGCAAAAGTCTGGCCACGCATCGGCGCAGGTTGCGCGTGGTGGAGGCAGCTCGCAGAAGGGAAAGCTGCCGCCACAGCAAACCACAAGACTACTCATTGAATACATCGCTGGTCTCACACACTTCACATCTGCGGCCCCCCGCCAGGATGAAACTCAAGACACCTCTAGCCTTGCACGCGATCCAGGTTGGTGCTGCAACACAGAGCATCTAAGAATCCCTTCCCTCCCTATACTACCTTGTCTTAAAGCAGATCCCACCCTCCCACAAAAGCCCCCCTCCCTCCTGGAAAGCTGCACCAGGGATCCCGGCTATTGAGGCTGAGGGATTGAGGATGGCTGCGGTGGTGTACAGTGCACATTATCTTGGCAGGCAGCAACCCAGCTGGCCCGATGTCTTGCACCCGCGTTATTTCCTGGACGAGAGGGGTAACGCAAATCATATACCGAGAAAAGCTGCTGTGAGGAGCCTCACAGCAGTCAAGAAAACCCATGATTCCTCTTTGACAAAGGATCTCAAATCTCAATTGATATGGCAGAATCTCCCAAACAAGGAGGCAGCTTTGTTACTCTGCATCGACTTCCATGCCGCCTCAACCTCATATATTATTCATCGCTCCACTGCAGCTCATGTTGAGGGACAGACTTGTCCTTCCATATTGCTTTGTGCTCCTCAGGGAGCGCTCTTGGCCAGGTCTTCAGCGACCTCAGTCATGCCGGTGTCGTCCAGACCGCTGGGGATGTCCTTGTCTGTGCCGGCCTCGTCCTCCAGCTCTCCCTCCAGCGAAAGGGTGCCCAGAGCCTCAGTCGGGTCCCCCATGTTGAAGAAGCTGTACTCTGCCGCCGTGTAGGTGTCCAGGCTGGCGGGGGCCACTGCGCAGCAGCCATCACTTGTCATCACCACTTGCACAGGGAGGGAGTGCTCCGCCACATCAGCAGACAACGATGCTGGCATGGATTTCAGAAAAAAGGTAGTGAAGCAGCCCGTGGGTGGCCAGGGGGCTTACCAGGCTCCTGCGGGGCGCTCGGTTCGGAGGCGGCCTTGGCCGCCAGAGCCTCCAGTGCAGCATCCATGGCTTCCAGGTCCATAGCGGGCTCCATGGCATTGCCTGCTGTGGGCAGGCCCTGTGCTCCAGCCGGCGGTCGCGCGCTGTCGAGGCTGATGCTCTTCGCGAGCGGCCTGGCCAATGAGGTATCAGCGGCAGAGCCGAGGCCGCCGCTCTCCCAGAAGGTGCGCAGGCTGGCGGGCACCTCGCCCTGGCCGCTCTTGGTGGCGCGGCCGTCGCCGATGGGCGCCTGTGCGCCGGGTGCGCCGCGCATGTGGCTCGGCAGCTCGCCGTCCAGGCTGCCCTGGCTGGAGTACTTGGTCGGCGGCTGCCCGGCCGGTGGCCCAAACATGCTGCCCATCTCCAGCAGGCTGCTCATCGTCCCTGGGCGCGAGCGCGGCGTGGTCGCGTGGCTGCTCACGCCGCTGCGCGCGCTGCCGGGCTGGATGGCGCCCAGGCCTCCGCCTGCGCCGCCCTCCCAGGGGCTGCGCGAGCGGAGAGTGGGAGGGAACAGCGCTTCGCTGCCGCCGCCGTCGCTGCCGGCGCGCGGGGCGATCGGGCCGAGCCCGCCGCCAAGGTTGGCTTCGAGGGGGCCGGAGAGGCCGCCCAGGCTCAGAGCCGGGCCCAGCTGGGAGGGCGCGGCGCTCTGGGCGCCGTGCAGCTGCGTGCTGGTCATGTCCCAGTGCGCGGATAGCAGGTCGGCGCCGGGCTGGTTGGCGGGCTGCTGCTGGTTGGGCTGCCAGTCGAACAGCTGGCCCAGGGAGCCGGGGCCCAGGTTCATGATGGGCGCGGGGGTCTTGGGGGTGGCGCTGTGGGAGCCTGCATCGCTGCCGGCGTGGCTTCCTGTGGCTGCAGCAGCCTGGGCCTGCTGGGCCTGCTGCAGCTGCTGGAGCTGTACGCACAAAGGCCAGAATATCAGCAGATGCTAAGGGCTGTCGACACCTCAGCCTAGCTAGGCTAGCCAGCATGAAATGCCTGGTCCGAAATTATCACTGGTGAAGTACACACGAAAAGTGGAGAATGCAGACCTGGCTCTGGCGCAAGTAGTGCTGTTGGGCCAGCTGCTGCTGCTGGGCGGTGGCCTGCGCATTCTGCTGAGCGGCGGCACGGGCAGCGCGCATGCGGGCTACCTCAGCTTGGTGGCCCTCGGACAGCGCGCGCACATCAAAGGCGCTGAAGCCGCCCAGCAGGCCGGAGTTGACCGCCTGCTCCACGGTGAAGCCCGCCTGCGCCAGGCCGCGGCCCATGTCCACCAGCGCTGCGCGGCTTTGCACGGGCCCACCCGCTCCACCGGGCTGCAGCATAGAAAAGTGCTTGTCAATATATGGTAATAGGATGCATTTCTACACCTGACGATGACACAGGAGCCTGGAAACACACTGCCAAGAAAAGCCAGATTCTGTGCAGTTTCATGAAAGCAACCTGTCCGAGGATGTTCTGGCCGCTTCCCGGCGGCTGCGCGCCGCCCAGCCCGGCCAGCGCAGGGTTATTCATCAGCGACGGCGTCACACGGCCCTGTAATCCCCACAATAAAGACAGTCAAAAATTGCCCCAAGCACTTGCCTCTCCACAGCCCACAAAAGACATACCCACGTAGCGCAAGCGCTGGGATCTGACCCTGAAAGCACCTCACGCAAGACCACCAACAGCACAAGCTCATCCTCAAGCCTTCAATTCAGGCAAATCATCCCTGTCTAAGAGATAGCGTGGCAGAGGGAAGGCGCACCTGCTGGGCAGCCTGCTGCGCGTAGAGCTGCTGCAGCTGCTGCTGCTGGCTCATCATGGGGCGGGTGGGCTGGCGCTGGGGCGGCTGCGGAGCGTAGCCGCCGCGCGCCGCCGCGGCAGCGGCCATCAGCTTCTGCTGCTGCGTCATGCCAATGCCTCCCAGGCCTGCATTGGGCATGCCCCCCAGGCCGCCCACGCCTGGAGTGGAATCCAGCAGCCCCAGCTGCGCGGCCATCTGATTCAGCTGCTGCGGCGGCGCGTTCATCAGCATGTTCAGCTGTGCCGGGGTCAGGCCTGCGCAGACACGACGTCTCAGTGCCAGGCGCTTGCTGCCCAAAAAAGGCAAGAGCATGTGCAGTTGGCTACACGGCAAGAACGGCACATTCAATGCTCATCTTCCAAGGAGACAATGGAGGGGTGTGCTTGCTCACCAGCGAGCAGGTTGTTGCGGTTGGCTTGAGCCTGCGCGGCCTGGGCTTGGGCATGCAGCTGCGCGTTCAGCTGCGCCTGTGCTTGAGCCTTCGCAGCCGCCAGCCTCATGGCTTGCACCTGCACACAGTGTCGTTGCCTTCAGTGACCACTACATTGCAAGTCCCCCATGTTGAGAGCCTGCTCTTCTCCTCACACAAATTAAAATGCATGCATGCAGACCACCTGGTGCTCTCATGCTCCTGATAATTCGAGCAATATAGCAGAGAAACGCACCTGCTGGACTTGAGCAGCCTGCTGAGCAGCGACGGCGGCCTGGGCGTGCGTCTGCACCCGCTGAGCCTGCCAATTGGGCTTCAGGCCGGGGCGAGGCGCGCCCAGGCCGGCCGTCAGCGGGTTGTTGAGGCCGAACGCCTGGCCGCCCAACAGGGCCCGGTTCTGCGGCTGGGGCTGCCCTGGCAGCTGCGCCGCGGAGGTGCGGTTGATCGCATGCACGCCGATGTTGCCGCCAAAGCGCATCTGCACGCACAGTCGCATTGTCACTCAGCAGGCCCCACCAAAACCATCTACCATTTGGGCTGCACTTAGTCAGCAAGAACACGGCAGGTCGACATTTGGAAGATATACATTAGTGGGCACACCTGCTGCGGGCTCGGCTGCGGCTTGGGGGTGGCGTTGCCAAAGGTGTCAGCTCCAGGGAGGCGCTGATCTGCCATTCCATAGGGCAGGCCTCCAGAGGGGAAAGCCATGCCGCGCCCAGGCACCGGCTGCTGCTGGGGCACCTGGCCCTTGTTCAGCTGCTGCAGCATGGCACTGCGCCCCAGAATTCCTGGCAGGACAAATGAAAGGAGGAGTCAGATAAGAGGTCCCAACCTTGAGAGGAGCATGCATGCTCTGGAAGGGAAATATATGCCATGTATGCATGGTCTGCAGGACATACCTTGCCTTTTGGCAGGGAAAGCGTGTAATAATAATAATATTAATAATAATAATAATAGTAATAATAATAATAATAATGCATGGGCGCTAGATGCACGGTCGTGGCACCTTGGTGGTAACATCACAATCCAATAGTGAAGAATCAGATACTTCGCTTACCAGCACGATCCGCTTGCTTCAAGAGATCTTGGTTGTAGCCTGAAAGCCCGGCAATGTTGCCGGCAGCAGGATTGGCCCCTCCAGGGACTTGACCAGCACCTGCAGCGAACAGACATTCAGCATATTCCACACCTCTGATCACACCTTCGTACGCACAATGCAGCTGCCAAAAGCATGGGAATTCTCGCAGCCATCAAGGCATACACTGTTTTGCAATGCCATCCGTCTATTTTTGCACCTACAAAAAAATCTGGCAGTGCAAGAAAAATCTTATTACCCTCAAGCAGAAACACACCTGCCCTGGTCGCTTGCATCCTCTGCTGAGCGAGCGCCTGCTGCTGCGCGTTCAGGCGCATGGCCTCCATGATGTCATTGTAGGAGGCATTGCCGCCCAGCTGCTGCTGCAGCTGCTGCATCGCAGTCATGTCCAGACCGCCCAGCCCGGGGCCCAGCTCCGGGGCGCGCGCAGCGCCGCCGCCGCCGGCCAGGCTAGCCGGGTCCATGAGGTGGCTGGCCAGGTTGGCGTTGCCGGCAGGCACTGCGTACGAGGGGTCGAACAGGTTTGGCGCAAGCGGAGCCTGCCCGGCCATCGTGCTGACGGTGGAAGCCGGAGCCTGGCCCTCCACGCCCTCTGCAGGGGCGTCCTCCAGGGCCATGTTTGCCAACGCAGCAAATGCGCTGAGGCCAGGGCCCGCCTCGACCTCGGGGCCGGCGGTCGTCGCGGGCGGCGGTGCTTCTTGGCCTGGCTCAGAGTTGGCCGGCGGCGGCAGCGCGTCTGCGGGCTGGGTGTTAGGGGGGCTGTGGCCGGCGGGGAAGTCGTGCGCGGTGCTGGCGCCGCCGGGGCTGCCCTTGGGCTGCGCGGCGAGCATCTCGGAGAGGCTGCCGCCGCTGGCATGGCGCGAGGCAGACGCGCCGCCGGCGTTGCTTGCACGCGAGGCGGGGCGGCCAATCGGCTCCGGCGCGCTGGCGGGGTACTTGCCCATGCTGTTGAGCAGCTGCTGGATGTCCGCAGGCGCCAGTTTGCCGGCGCCGGAGAAGGCGTTGCTCAGCCCAGACGAGTGTGACACCAGGTGGTTGCCCTCGGGTGCAGGCCAGTCCCCAGGCTGAGGGTCCCTGCTGGCATCGCCATTGTACCCAGCCCCGACTGGCGGTGTGCGGTTGTCAGAGCGCGGAGGAGGCTGTCCGGCGGCGCTGTAGCCCTGCGGCAGCATCGCGGCTGTGGGCACGCCCCCCTGGAGGCCGCGGCTGAAGGACTGTTCATCGCTCAGGCCGGGTGGCAGGTACGGCTTCAGTGCGGCCAGCTGTCCGTTGCTGGGCGAGCGCGTCATGTTGGCAAACATCTGCTGGATGTTGGGGGGGCTGCGCTGCGGCGCTGTGCCGTTCTGCTGCCCGGCTGACATGAGGTCCAGCCCGCTGGGTCCCCGAGACAGAGGCGGCATCCCAGGCAACGGCCCGGGCCTCTGCGACTTTACGCCCAGCCCATTGTTTGCCAGGAAGTTGTCGTAGTCAGTGCCATATGCGTTGAGGTCGCTGGGCTGCATGCCGGCTTGCTGCCCTTGCCAGTTGGGGTGGATCGAACCCAGGCCAGAGACCCCATTGGCCCCATACTCAGCCTGCTGCATGGAAGATGCATTTAGCAGACGCTGTGCATCGCTGGCATACATCGACGACATGCTCTGCCCTGCACTGTTGTTTTGAAGAGCCTGGCTGAACTCCGAGTGGCTGCTCTGACCCAAATCGCCATTTAGGTTGTCAGCCATGCCAGGGAAGCCACTGGCAAAGGCATGTGCCATCGATTTGCCTAAGTGTACTTCTCCAGCCTAATAGTCGCCCATACGCAAGCTACCTGCACAGAAATTGCCACAATAAAGCTAGAGGTGGCAATAAGCCATTATGGGCACCGTCAATTAAGGGCGACTAACTTTGCGAGGGGCCAATTCTGCCACGCCTTTGCTCAAATATCTCTGCACGCATCCGCTGCAAGCAGCGCCACGCAGCGGCAACAAGTCCAGCAGTAGAAAGGGCCTCCCTGCCAGCGTCCATCTAAACACCAGAAAGCACACAGACCGCCGGAGGGCCGGACGGACTTCCCCGGCACAAACCCGATGTGGTAGATGCAAGCTGGCGAATAACATGCCAATGAGGGTCCTAAGCACGCGCGAAAGCCAGCTTCAACCGAACAAGACCGCCTCACACGCGGGCTCCTTCCTTCGTGGATGACCTTCCTTTTCTATTCTTCTTCAGACGTGTCATTTCCAAGGTCAGTGCCACCGCACACAGTCATAAATACGTACCCTGTCAATACGATGCCGCTGGTGGATCAGATGAGCAGGATATAGGCGAGCAAGAGCCAGGTCCTTTCCGCGCAATTGCCTAAAAAACTTCCCTGTGTGTTCTGTTGCACGGGCGCCGATGATGACGCCCCTAAGACACCGCTGAGGGCTGTTGGTGCGTCAGTACATGGCTGTGAAGATCACCAGGACGCTTGATAGTTGGCAATGTGGAGTCAATTTTCCACTCCTAAGGCAACGGCACGCCCCCTTCGACCAGGCCCCATCCTCGGCTGCTAGGGTTCGTGGGGTCACGACCCCATTCCGGGGGTTAAACTCTCCCTTCCCTCCGGGAATTCGTTACGCGGAGCCTGCTGCATTGTGGGAGGAGCAATCCAGTTGTGCTCGATCTAATTGTGATGAGATAGTGGTTAGAATCTTTAGAGGTCGCACAGGTCTTAAGTCGAGGTCGATACTTGTTGCGAACATGGCAACATGTCCGGCTGACATTGTGGCTGAGCCTGGCCTCAAAAGCAATTCAGAATGCCTGTCGGATCGCGGCAGAAATGCACATATATCTCTGATGCCAATGACGTATATCACGCCTATCGCACAGATGGTCCAAAACCTCTGGTATGTACTCATGCCCTTGCCAGATCAGCTCTTTGACGGGCCCTCAATCACTGAATGTTTCTGGATTTCAACTGGAAAGATGAATTTTATCTGAAATTTTGTCATTTTTCAGCGATTACACGGTGCTCTGTTGGCATCAGCACGTTCATATGGGGGGCATTGCAGGACTCCTGGGAACCCAACTGGCAACCTCATACTGGCAGTCGCAGAAAACAGGCTTGCTACTGACCTTCTGAGCGACAAATTATGCGGAGGTCTGACAAGTGTACCTTCGGACCTGTTCGGATACCCGCCTGGCCGCGGCATGCCACGCCTGAGAGCCTCTCTGGCAATTTATGCACAGAACACATTCATGAAGGTGCTTCCGATCGCATACAACTGCCTCACGTGACAATAAAAGTTGGCCAGCCAGTGGTCAATACCCTTCACTGCCTCAACACTGCGCATGAACGTTATTCTGTTGCTGGGCAGGGGGTCCCTCTGGAAGCAGACAAGATCACTGTGCTGGCTGGCTGCGGCAGTGTCTTGGACTTGCTCTTCTTCTGCATCGCTTCAGAGGGTGATGCAGTCGGCATCCCTGCACCCTATTACCCTGCCTTTGACAACGATCTGAAGGCAAGCAGGCATCCGCTCAAATCTGTGACACTTTGCTTGTGGTCTTAACCAGGAGCCTTGTACACACTGAGGTGTATCAGTACTACCCAGGCCGAAATCTTCACATGTGCTGACTGTCACGAACTCTGTGCAGGTTCGGTGTGGGCTTCATTCCCTGGCGCTGTATCTTGATAGCAGCAAGCCAGTATCTTCACAGCTGGATGCGATGTGGGATGAGCAGAACTTCAGAGTTTTGATTGTCACAAACCCCAACAACCCCACTGGAGAGGTCATCCCCAAAAATACGTTACTAGAATACCTCAAATGGTGCTGCAAGAAGGGGATACACCTGGTCAGGTATGTGTCGCTATTTGCTGTGGCTCGATGCTGTGTCTTCTGCCAGGATGACATCTTCTATAAGTGTGACTCGGACTTCATACTACAACGCGGGCCTGTGTGCTGCAGCGATGAGATCTATGCGAACTCTGTCTTCAAGAGGAAGGAAGACTTGGTCAGCATGGCGTCCATACTGGAGGAGTGTGAACCAGAGCTGAAGGCCTCTGCTCGAGCACTGTGCCACGTCGTGTTTGGGCTCAGCAAAGACTGGTATGCACTTGTCACAGCCCTGTAATGACCGCAGAACGATTTTTGAAAGAACACTCATCTCATGTGTGATGTACAAATTGGCAGCATTTGACATGCATGAAGATGGCTGCACTTTATTAAGAAGGCATCTTTTTTCCTTGTGCAGGGGCATTTCAGGCATGCGTGTGGGCTGCCTGTACACCCACAATACTGAGCTCACAGGGGCCCTTGACAACCTGGGCTACTTTGCCATGCCTTCCACACTTGTGCAGGAGGCAGCGCACCAGATGCTGCAGGACCATGACTTTGTCAATCACTACATTGCTGAAAATCTACGGCGCCTGGAAGCCTCCTATGATGCCCTGACAGGTGGGTGGGCTTCGCGCTGTGATCTCAGCATGCTTATGTCCTTGTGAAATCATGAATCCACTTCAGGAAGAGCAAGCGTCATTTTCTCATGATGTTGAAGCTTTCAAGTGGTTCCTCCTGCTGCAGCTGCTCTTGAGAAGGCAGGCATCCCCTACACTCCAGCGCAAGGGGCCATTTTCTTGTGGGTGGACATGCGTGCTCACCTTTCTGAGCCTACGTGGCAGGTGATGCTTCACACATCTATCCACAGAGAAGGTGTTTTCCATTAGTTTGGTGACTGGCCTTCCGGTGTTGTTGTCCAAGCAAGTAGAGTAGAATTCAGTAATTTTAAAAGTCATCCCTGGTGTGCAGGCTGAGCGGCAGTTTTGGCAAGACATTGTGGATCTGGGCGTCTTGCTCACGCCAGGTGAGAGCACAGTCATTTGGCCTCAACCTCTGGTACTTACATGCTTCTTTGCATTGCTTCTTGGATGAACCTGCTTTGCACACGCTTCAACAAGACCCAAGGCGTGCATTGAAAGTGCAGGTTGAATGTGCATGTCACTGCAATCGCAGGGAAGGACTGCCATGGCCGGGAGCCTGGCTTCTTCAGGATCTGCTACGCCTCTACTCCAGTTGAGGGACTGCTTGAAGGTGTCCGGAGGATTGAGTCGCACATCCAGCAGAAATGAAGCTCCTGAGCAGCGCCTCCACTGTACAATGCAATAAATTGCAGAAGTTCCTGCATCTGGCCATTGCCGATCATTCAGCTGATTGCTGCCGATGGGTGTAATGCGCCGTTGTACTTGTCATTCTTTCAGGATCTAGTTGACGTCTGCTGGAATTCAAAGACAACCATCTTGTGTCTCACCAGGCCATGCCCATATGGGCGCCAAAACTAAGTGCTGGAGCTCCAGCTCGTTTCAGGCAGCCTGGCTGTACGCTTTTTCTGTGGAATGCGCGATATCAAAGTGGAACGAGTGACGAGCTCACGCTCTAGTGATGCTCTAGTGGAACCGTCAAGGCTGTATAGCTGATTGGAGTTGGCAGCTCTTAGGGATTCCAGGCTTTTCAGAGCCCCTGACCAGGTCCACCAATGCGATTGGCCGGGGAGATGTATCAAAGGATAATGCTGTCATCAATGTAGCATGCGTGTGCGGCAAACAGCCCAGCCTCATTGTAAGGCATCTTAACGCTTGTATACTGAAGGTTTAGGTAATGTATAAGGAACACACATCTGCAGCGGTTCCTGATGTCAATTGATGTAAGTTGCTGATGTCAATTGATGTCAGTTGCAATAATCTTTGTGCATGTGGATCCGGGAGCTGCGTACTTGTAGAGTGCATTTCATCCCACTGCTGCATGACTAATCTCTTACAATTTCAAGTGGTACTGGATGCACAGTCAGCATGTCACCATCAATCATGACATCTCTCAATCCACATGGTGATCCATCACACACGCTCAAGCTCATCGTGGGAACTCAATACATCTGGTCCCTTCTTTGTCATTGCAAGGAAATTTATCCTTCCCAAAAGGTAGCATATCTTGCAATCATGCTCGGACCCACCAATGGCCAACTTTTTGGCAACACCAACTACATACACACAAAGCAACACAAAATGATTGTTGGCAAACTCTCAAACGCATGTGGTTTCCTTCCAAAAGCTGTTTTCATACTTCAGAGGCGGATCATGCTGCAAGGAATGTATCGCACATGCAGTCTTGAACGCAATAAAACCAATCAAATGCCGTGGTATGTTTCATGAGATGACTTGGCTTCCGCCGCATTCCAGCAATGCAATCTATTCAGGGCACTCCTGTATTGATAAAATGCAAGGTTCCATTCTGGCCTGTACACCGTTCAGCAGGCCATGCAGACCGCAGTGCACCATGTTCAACCATTAAGCTATACAGTGCCGAGTGCTCGCACGCCCTCTCTTGGCCGCCAATCGCCCTCTGTACCGGCCGATCAATCGCCCTTCTATACCAGCACGCATGCCACCACTCAGGCAATTTGCCATGCGAAGCCCATCTCGCAGAGCCAGAGAACTGCCAGCGCTGCGACAGAACTGGCTCTGTGCAGTACAAGGCTTGAGGAGGATCTGTCTGCCAGGGCTCAGGCGGAGGTGCTGTTGAGTGCGCATGGGTTGGGGTTGCCTGAACAGGAGGACACGCGTGGCACGATGCCAGCGCCCTTGGTGAGCGCCAGGGGATCCATGCCCGGGTGCGCCCCCAGGAACAGACCCTGCAGCGCACACCGCCCCAATAAATACGGATATAGACACAGATGTCGTGACCAGTCTGTGTGCAATTAGACACCAAGTCCTCTAGAATCCAGAGGCGTTTGTGTAATAGGCTGCTCTGACCCCACTGAGTGGAGAAGTCACAAGCAGCCCTTTTTACACAAGGTTCTGGAATCCCAGAGACTTTTGCGTGCAAACTGGCTGCTCTGCTTCAATCGTCAGAACAGATACAACCAGATCTTGCGCTTTGCTTCAGCTTAAATCACGAGAATTGCATGAAGAAGCCCAATGCTCGATGCTGCGCAGCGCCTGAACGTGCCAGCACGCGCAGGCACAATGCTTGCAAAGAACCCTGACTGCACAATGGAGAACAGAATCACTGGAGGGAGGCTGAGGGCTTACCTGGATCCAGTTGAGTGTGTTGGGGTAGTAAGTGTCCACAGGGGGCGGCTGCAGCACAGCGCTGGTCGGCGGGTAGGTGTCAGCCACGGACATGACTGAGAGGGAACCCCTCAGGTCTGCCGGGGAGAATGGCGCGGCCGACGTGAACGTGATGGTCTTGGGCGCCCACGGCAGCAGGATGAAGTTGTTGTCGCTGAACCTGCACCACAAGAAGCATCACCACTCAGTTGCCTATTGAGACGTAGATTCAGAAGCAACCCTAATACAGGAACCAATTGGCACAAGCTGATTCTCTGGTGCACATTGGGGAGCTTGGTCAGCCAAGTCAAACAAGTGCCCAGACATTTCATGCGCAGCTCTGCAGGGGCTCTTAGGATCTGGGCGCATCAAGCAAATCTGCTGCCTTAGTCTGGATAAACACCCCACAGAAGCCGGTCAACATGGCCATCTACCAGGCATAAGATGGAAAAATCGCATGTGAGTTATGCATGAACAGTGAAAAATTTAAAGAGGGCTGACCTGCCGGGCAGGGTGGATTCAAGGGCGACGTGGGCACCCACAGCCTTGGAGCTGACAACAAAGGTGGTGCTGTTTGAGGAAGTGTTGCGGAAGTCGTCCCATGTGATCGTGGGCTGCCCAGATAGCGCCACCTCCTTCAGGGGCACGGGGTAGATCTCCCAGGTGCTCTGATATGTCGCCGGGCTGCCTGCCGGGCTGATCGACTTCGCCGACACCTTGCCGGCCACGTCCGCCGGCGCTGCTGCCGCCGCCTGCACCCATGCATGAACCGCCGTCAGTCCCATAGATACTGTAAAATGCAGACTGAAAACGATCTGAGGTGCCAAGGGTCCGAGGCTGCTGCTCTGTAGCTCCTGACGTCAAATATCGCACCTGAGCTCATGTGCAAGATGCTGGCTTTTGAGGCTTTTGCATAAGAGCACACGCGCAGATTTGCTGTGGCGTTGTGATGAACTGACATGTCGAGGACAGGCAAGCTATTCAAGGACATCATAAAAAGACCATGATCCACTGGATCAATCCCAGCTTTGGAAGCTCCACGATGAAGAAGTTGCCATGGTGAAAAAGAAGTGCAGGAGCGCGCCTTGATCTGCACGAAGTACTTGGAGAGGTCGGAGGGCTTGGCGCCGGCCTCCTGCAGCGTGTCCTTGAGGTCGAAGGTGAGGAACTGCTTGGAGCCGAGCGCGCCAATCGTGTACACGCTGCTGTGCGACACCGCGGGGCCGTTCGTAGCGTTCCAGGCAATTAGCTCCACCGTCACATTCACTGCAGCACAACGCGCAGCATGGTTTCAAATCAAATTCAAATCCATCCATGATGTCCACTGCAGCAAACCTCCTGGCACCAAGTGACAATCTCTACATGCAGCTAGTGTAGATGCACCTTGCCTCTTGGCAAGAACAGCGTGTCATGCAAACAATTATGCGCCTTCCTGCATGCCCATCCTCCTGCTTTGGTAGGTCGTCATCCAACAAACACCCCCTTAACCACCACAACAGGCCGTGTCCAATGGCAACCTTGTGCGTGCAAGCAGGCATAGGACGTGCCCCAAAGTGGTGATAAAGAGAGCGCTTGGATCAAAAAGTGGGGCTTCAACCAGAACCCATGTGGGAGGGATGGAGCACAGGCAAGTGAAGTACCTGCGAGAGGCTGGTTGACGTCGGATGTGAGAAAGACGGCAGCGACGTTGGTCTTCTTGTCGTAGTCGGCAGACACCAGCAGAGGCGCGAAGAAGTTCCTGGCGGTGTAGTGCAGCAGCTTGTAGTGGCCGCCGTAGTCCACCGAACTCCAGGAAGGTCCCTGAAGCGCCACAACACTTCAGTGTACAACACGTGCCTCGATCGTGAACCTGGATAAGATGAGAAAGAGAGGCAATAGCTTTGATGGGTGGAGGGAAGCCAGCATGCTACAGCGACAGGAGGGCCACATGAGCACGCTCCAAGAGAAGGAGCAATGTACATGCAGATGGCAGCTCTGAGCTCGGTGGTGCTCAGCAAAAAGTCCACCGTCCCTGGGAGTGGTGGCAGAAGTAGCCATAGACAATGCAAAAATTCGTCGGTGTCCGTGGCCCATCTCGTCTGGAGAGCCGGGGACCCTATCAAGTTGACAAGATAGGCCAGCGCCCTGATGGAACATAGCGCTCTCCATGGCGCTGATATGCTGCTGAATAGGACAGAGCAAAGGTAATTACAAGTAGATTGCTTGGGGAACGAGAAATCCTCTCGACCTGAGATTCTGCACGCACCTGCCAGATGTCGTTGAGCTGCCAGTAAAGCACGCCCATGGTCATGGCCTCTGGGTCGGTCTTGATGCGGCGCCAGTATGCGGTGGCCGCTTCATAGCACCGGGACTGGACCACCTGCAACATGAATTGTCCTCTCACAGGTCTGCCACTGTTGAGTAATCTCCAAATCTTGAGCTAGTACGCTGGAAAATATGCTCTCTCTTTGCACACGCAGCTCTGCGGAGACTGCTCTGCCTCTGTTTTTTGTCTAATCTTGTCTGAGATGGCATGCATCATTCCACTGCAAAGATCAGCCTGGCCATGCAAAAGAAGATAAATGAAGCAGAGGGCGGGGTGCAATGATGAATGCATTTAGATGAGGAAGAAGGGTGGCTTGCCTGCGTGAGGTAGATGAACTGACTGAATTGGAAGGCCTGGTTGCCGCCTGGGGGCGCCTTGGCAGCGGGCAGGTTGAAGTGGCGCGCAATCTGCGCCACCAGCGTCGGGTTGCCATTGTCCTTGCGGTTCCTGAGCAACCCAAGAACGCGTTTACCACCAACATAGCGCACTCCTCACTTCTTTGCAAATGTTGGTACACATCCTTGTTCATGCACCCACTTGCCCCCAAGTCCTCCTATAGGATTGCCCAACAACAATCTTCAACCAGGAACAAAATGGCTCGTTGCAGAGAACTGCAGAGGTATCCACAAAGTAAGGCATCGTTGAAATTTGAGCACAGAGGGTTGCGGTGCAGCACCTGTAGTTCATCATGGGAGAGGTGTAGGACCAGTCCTCGGGCGCGGTGACCTGCTTGAGCGCGGAGAAGGAGGGGTAGCTCTGGAAGCCAAACTCGGACACAAACTTGGAGCGCGGGTACACGCGCGGGTCGGTGCAGTCCCCGCCGTAGTTGTAGTAGTGGCCGTCGCCCCAGCGCGGGTCCGATGCGTCAATGCCCCACCTGCAAACGCATTTTCCCAGTCAAGCTGTGCAGTTCAGCCTCACTTCTGCTGCCAAGGAGGTGCAAATGTTCATGACACCACGGACTGCGACAAACAGCTCATCTGCAGTCCATGCAGAACCTCTCGAGTGTGCCTACTCTGGCCATGCCCCAGCATGTAGTGTCTCTGCAACAGGAAGGTCTTCTTTACATCTATTCTTCAAACCTGGGGCACAAATGAGCCCATGCAAAGCCATCAAAGAAGCTGCAGCTGACTGTGTCGGCAGCTTGTCGTCATGACAGCACGGGGGCACCCACCTCTTGGCGTAGGGGTCCGCGCCCTTGATCTGGTTGGAGGGAGAGGAGTCCACGTAGGTGGCGTTGGGGTCGACCGCCAGCAGCGCGTCGCGGATGGTGTACACGAAGAGGCGCATGTAGTCGTCCGTGAAGGACTGCGGGTCGTCGCGCGAGTCCGGGAACCAGCGGAACGACGCCTCCACCTGTCGTTTTGAATATTGATTTAAAAACTCATTCTGCCAATGGCTGTGGCGGATTTGTGATATCTGCTTTTCTGGTTTGTCAGTGACTGCGGCACTGCGGATGATATGTGATCTCTAATTTTGTTTGCGTGATGGCAACACCCACTTCAGGGGCAAATTGTGTAGTGGCTGTGGCAACTCGGGGATCTGGAAACTGCTGTCTAAACTTGTAGACACTGCAAGATATTATTTCTGTGGCAAGAACAGAGGGATGCCCCACCTCATTGCCACCGCCCCAGATGGCCAGCGAGGCGTGGTGAGCAATGCGCCGTGCCTGATAGGTCACCTCCTCACGCACCTGCATGCAGAACATCACATCAAGGGCTGTCCAACATATCAGGGGATGTGTGATCAAGTAGCTTTAAAAGGATGCGGCTGGTGCCCTCTGGCGCAATAAGAGCGGCAGCAAAGCTCAAGACAGCTGGAAGTTCTGCAAAGCAAGCCTTGCCTCTAAGGTGCAAGGTGATGATTTTATCTCATTACTATGCCAGAATTAAGATGGAAAGGTAGACTGTTGACAAGCAGGTCCTCTATCTTTATCCAACGATCTGATTCATGCATGCTCTTCGATCAAAATCAAGGACCCTCCTTGTCATCAATCTACTTTCAGTCATTTGGACAAGCCCTCTAGATCAAAGCGCAACATATATCCACCTAATCTCTACCGAGAGGGCTTCATGCATGGAGAAAGCAAAGGCAGGGCGGCAGCAGGCGCTCACATCTGCAAGGAAGGCGGAGTTGGCGGGGTAGAGCGAGCAGGCGAACATGGCCTCCTGCCAGACGAGCATGCCGGCGCGGTCGCACATGTCATAGAAGTCGTCGCGGTAGTACATGCCTCCGCCCCAGATGCGGATCATGTTCATGTTGGCGTCCACCGCGGTGTCCACCAGCTGCCGCATGGCTGCCGCCGTCGACTTGGAGTGGAAGATGTCCACCGGGATCGCGTTGGCGCCTGCCGCACATCACATCAGAATTAGGATGCAGATTTCTCACAGATGACCAAGCGCACTTGTGTCCTTCGCAGAGCCATGAGGAAACAGAGCTTGCAAAGGTAGCTGCAACATGGCAGGATCTGGCCACTTTATGGCGATGTTTCTCTGGTCGCCGCCAATGGCGGAGCCCTGCATGCCATCTCAGGTAGATTGTCAGACACGCACTTGAAGGTTTCAGCTGCAGCAGGGAAGCCAGCTTTTTCTCCTTCTCTTCTCTTTCAGTCTTGACCACCTGAGACCTGGCTAATGCCTTCAGATGCATCTCTGTCATAGCTCCATGCGCTGGTGGGTTTTCACAAGCAAATGAGCCCTAAGAGAGGCGCACCGCGCGCAAAGATGGGGACGCCGTTGACGCGGAAGTAGAAGGACTCCCACTGCACGTCGCGCGTGAATGTTTCGGTGCGCCCCTCGCGCACAAGCTCGATCGTGCGCAGCCCCACGTTGCGCGTCAGCGTGCTGTTGGAGCCCGCCGAGCCGTTGGAGGCTGGCACATAGACCACGGAGAAGGGGTACAGCGTCTGGCCACCGTATCCCGCCGGCCACCACAGATCGAAGGGCGGCGTCACCAGCACCTGCAGTGCGCAGGCGTCCTCCCCTTGTCAACCGCTGTCTTGACGCACTTGAGCAGTGATATTTGTCAGGTTGGCTATGAAGCAGCTCTGGCAGCTCTGTTGCTATGCTTTGCATAAGGGAAGGTAGCAAGTCATGTGCAGGATGCAGGCCCAAGTGTTCACATGGTGTGGTCAGATGGCAAGATAAGGCATGAGAGGGGCCCCAGAAGGAAGGGCATGAGAGCAGGAAGCCAAAGATGTTTCCACTGGGGTGTTCCAAGGATGTTTCCACAGGCCAGCATTTTACCTGCACGGTGGCATTGTTCTCGCCGGCGCTGGTGATGCTGATGTTCTGAGAGGCGGACCAGGGGCCGCTGCCGTCGGTGGCAGAGACGGTGAGCGTGCCGGTCTCGCCGGCGCGCGGCGCGCTCAGGAACGCCTCGAAGACCAGCACCACGCTGCCGTTGCTCAGGTGCTGCTGGTGCACCGTGGCCTCTGCAGCCCAGACAAGACCCCGTCACTTGCATATATGTGCAACAATGATGTGTCGATGTCATGCTTGCGCACTGCAAGCCTGTATGGAGCTGCGGCCTGTCACAAAATAGTGGCCATATAATGCCAGGACACTGCCAAGTGTGGGATGCAAGGGTTGCAGAAAACACGGCATGCCCACTTCAGGAAGCGTGGGACTGTTGCTTCCACTGCAGTGGAGACCCTCGGTTAACAGATCTGAGGGAAATGCATCATAGCGAGCAGCTCATTGGGTAACAGCTTTTAGAAAAATGCAATGTTGGAGGCCACCGCACCAGTAAGGATGGCGGTGCTGTAGGCCTGCAGCTCGACGGTTCCGTAGAGGCCCGCCGGGGCAAAGGCGGGGCCCCAATCCCAGCCGAAGTCGGAGGCGGGCTTGCGGATGTAGTTGTAGTTCGACATGCCGCCCGGCTGCGTCAGGCCCGGCACGTTGTACCTGTATTTGGCCGCGCGGTTGATGGCTGCCTGTGGCGCCGGCTGGATCACAATTTTCAGGGAGTGGGCCCCCGTCGTGCTGTTGAGCGCGGCCTTGATGGGGATGCGGTACTGCCTGCAGAGCACCGATGGGGAGAGATGAGTTCTCCCTTTTAGGTTCAAATAAGAGAGTTCGTCAGGGCATGCCAGAAAGCGCACGATTCTGCCTGCAGAGCACTGATGGGAAGACAAAATTTCTCCTTTTCATGTCTGAACAAGAGAGATTGTCAGGTCGTGTCATAATGCGCTGGGAGTCGGGAATCCTGTCAGGAACATATGCTGCAGGAAATTTCAGGGAGGCCTATCCTGAAGGCCCAGCATGCATTGGGATGGTAAATGAGCAAAGTGGGTCCTTGGGGTGTTCCTGTTAGAGACAGTATGCATGAGAGCTAGAGATGGCACAGGATTATACGTTTAGCAAGGCACCGTGGTGGGGTGAGGATACCTGTGTGCATTGTACACGGATCGCAGCAGTGTGTTGTCGACGTAGATGTCCGCAACGGTGTCCACACCGGTCAACACAAGATCCAGATTGTCTTGAGACGCCATGCTCGCGCTCACGTTAAACAGCCGCTCGAACACCCACGTCTCAGACGCTGTCCATCGCAGAGCGAGCTCATTGAACCTGTGCCATGCAGGGCAGACTTCATGGAGCTATCGAATGTATGGCATGCTGATGAAAATCGGAAAGCATAAGAACCAATCTTGCAAGTTTCATAATTTTCAAGCCCTTACTTCCTGCAGCGCCATCAAAAGCACTCCACACACAAGCAGACACTTTGCAGCAGTCACAATCAACATGTGATCGGATGGTGCTTAAAATAAATAATTGATTCCATGCGCAAGTATGCCAGACTTTTGTACTTCATAAGCCTAGTACAGGGAATCTTGCGAGCTTGAGTCACCTCTCCAGCGGATCCGGCACGAGCTTGGCGTTGTGAAGCGCCTCCAGAGCATATACAGGCACAGCAGCATCTACAGTGATGGATCCATTGCCGTTCTTGATCGTCCAGCCAGCGCCAGCAAGATCGTTGATCAGTGGTAGGTTCGACAGCTGGGCATTAGAACACGACGAGAAGCTCAAGATCGCGCTCAGCACCGTCAAGGCGCACAAAAAGCGCCCCATTTGGCTATGTCGCGAAATTTTATCGATCGCGGCACAGAAATTTGTCCCAAGACAGACTGATGAGCACCTAGCGAATGCCTTTCTTACTGATGGTGGTAGCCCGAGGAAAGGACAGATGGCCTAAATCCCGAATCTCCCCTTGTGGTTGTGAAGCCTAGGCAGCTGCTTCCAAGGCCAGAAGAGCGCCGATCTTTGCGCTGGATGCGCCTTGTCCGACCATGAACATCGATGATGGGGTCAAGCCTGAATAGGCTCCCTGTGCTGCATGACAAATCTGGACCAATGCACAGCCATTCTGGCATGTCCGATGAATTTATTTTGCTTGTCCAAGATGCCTAAGTTACTCCAAGTCTTGCTTCAAATGTGAAGTGGTGAGCACTTGTCGTGAGACTCATGCACATCGATCCAGGAAGTTGCTATTGACATCACAGTGTGGCTGGACATGCCTAAAGAGGCAACACAACCGTGGGCATGCAGCATTTCTAGCGAAACGATTTGCAGAATTGGCAGAGTCAATACGTAGATGAGGAACTCCTGTCATAATCTAAGTAACATCAATGTACTGCAAAAGATACTGTCAACATTCCTGAACTTTCTTAATGGCCATGCCTCAGAAATCAGATGGCTTTGCTGCATGTCTTCTCTTATGTGGGCAGATGTGGAACAAAAAGTCATTTGTCAAATAGTCCAATGATCAGAGATGTTTGAAGGTTGGCTGGGGGAGATTATTACAAGGTTCGTTGGGCACTTCCTAGACGTCAAAACAGAGCAGCTGCGTGTCAGTCTATGGAGCGGTATGCACCTCTTTAATAACAATTAAATGCAAATGAGAACTGAGCGTGGTTGGCGGTATCTCTTGTTTGCGCTCACCACTGAATCCTCACTATTACTAGCGACAAGAAGGATGCTGGCATGGCCTGTTCAATCTTTCGGACAAATAAAAGAACATCCATTACGTGGAAATCAGTATCCAACTCGAATGATGCTGATATCAGGCTGGAGCACAAGTTTGGTGCTGGAAAATGTGCGTGTGAAAGTCGAGGCCTTCGAGTACCTGCAGCTTCCCTTCAACGTCAGAGAGGGATGCATCGGCAGGCTGGAGATCCAGGTGCATCATGAGTCTTTGATATCACTACACAACGCAATCGTTGTGTCTCGTCTGTGCATTTGTAGGACTGGCCTGCAGGATCCAGAGCTCATGGTGCAGTGGTGGTGCAGGTGCCCTGGCGAGCCCTGCAGAGCAGACCTGTGGTGCTGCACCTGTCAGATGTCTGGCTCTGTGCCTGCCCACGAACAGAGGCGGAGTGGGAGGAGGGCATGGCTGGCCAGCGAGCCCAGGCAGCCAAGCAGGCAGAATTGGCAGCTCTCGATCTCATCCGCCTGTCCAAGCCTGGTGGGAAGGGGGCAGCAGCTGGCAATGAGGGCAGCAGCCTGGCATCCTCATTCCTGTCCCACCTGGGCACGATGCTGCTCAACAGGCTGCAGATGACCATCCGCAACATTCATGTCTGCTTCAAGGTATGCATGTATGTGCAGCACATGGACAGTATCCAACCGCAGCCAACTTGACTCTCTCTGCATGCGCTTGCAATGCTGATGCATGATAGCCACTGGCATGCAGGATGACGCCACCACTCCTGGCACAGAAGTTGGCTTGCGCTTGCAACTTCTGGAGACAACAGAGCTCTCCAGTGCCCGCCTAGGGGCTGCGCCTGGGGTGAGTTCGCAGCCCTGATACCACTTTGGTTGTATGGTGGAATGTATCCTCCTCATTTTGCAATGCGTCACGTTGGTGAATTCCTAAGCAATGTGCATCACAGGGGGCAAAGCTGGTGAAGGATATGCATGTGGAGGGGCTCAGTCTGTACTGGAAGACAGCAGACTCCTTTGCGAAGGATGAGAAAGCCGTGGACACTGTCGGGGCCTGGCTAGATACCATGGATGCCACCTCAGGCATGCAGCACCAGCATGACCCTTTGGAGGGCGCCATATTGCCATGCCTGGACTGCAATATGCGCCTGACCATGTCCTCAGGTACACCTGAATTTACGCTCCCAAATACCTCACCTATGTTCAAGATGGGGGATCTGTTCATCTGAATTCCTGAAAGCTTTTTTGACTTTATAATATCAACATTGTGTGAGCAATGTGCGCTGATCATGCATGCGTGGTCACCAGGGGGTGAGGAGACAGTGTGCGGCACCACAGTCCTTGTGCAGCGATTAGAGATGCAAGTAGAGCACAACCAGCTCTGCAGCATGGTTGCCCTGGCAGACAGAGCCCTGCTATGGTCCCTGCGCAGCAAGTATGCCATCCACAGGCCAGCAGGCTGGCGCTCTGATCCTGACAGCGCTGTGCCCTCGAGGTAGGCATTTCCCACACAAAGCAGCAAACAAGGACCTACCATTGCATCCCAGTTGCTGTTCATTCCACTGCCATTGTTCTGTTACATTTGCGAGGAAATATGTGATTGGCGATATGCAGGCGGCTGTGGCAGTACGCCATCAAGGCAGTGCTGCAGGATGTGAAGAAGCCTTCCCGATGGCTGAGCTTTGCAGAGATGTCCAACTGGCAGCAGCAGAGGAGGCAGTATGAGAAGCTCCACCTTCAACGGCTGGATGCCTTTGCAAGAGCAGGAGAGCCTGAGGTGGTGCATGCGAGTCCCTGATGTTTCTAATTACCCAGCCACAGGAATGACTACATGTACAGTATGGAGAGCAGAATGTCCAGTCTTGGGACCTTGATCAAATGATCTCAACATCGGCGACAAGGCCGATGAAACGGTGTGTGCAGGCTGAAGTGGCAAAGGAGCTGGAGGCCCTGGAGGCGCAGCTGCCGGTGAATGACATCTTGCTCTATCGGCTGCTTGCTGAGCACAAAATGCAGCAGAGGGAAATTCATGCAGCCACAGACACAGATGCCGAGCCTGCGCAAGGTTCTTCTGAGAATGCAAGGTCTGTCAACTGGCCTCTGTACAAACCATTGATGACCAGATGCTTTTCCAATATTCAGTGTCGATATTTCTCTCAATAATGCAGGAAGAGAAAAATCGTATTTTGCTACAAACGCTGCATGTGTGATATTGCAGGCAACAGAGCTGGCTGGGATGGGGTGTCTCCAGCGTTGCTGGCTACCTGGGGTATGTACCCTCACAGGATGCGCCGCGGCAGCTGTCCCCGCCGAGCGAATTAGACATCCAGGAGCTCTTCCATGACTTGGGCTTTGACCCTCAGACGCAAGTGGACAGCCGGGACGCCTCCAGTACTGTGGGCATCAACCTGCATGTCAGCGTGAGTTCCTTCCTTCGTCTTGTACACGTCCTGGAAAGGCAGAAAGGCCCTGTCATCATATGTATCTTGAGCACATCTGAGAATTCTATTGAAATGTAGGTCAATGCCGCCATTCTCGCCATGTATGATGGCCCCGCTGCAGCGGACAACACTGGTGTGATTTCCATGGAGGCTGGGGATGCAAGCATCGAGGCACACATGCAGTCGGGCAGGCTGCAGCTGACATGCAGCGTGGAGGACATAGCAGCGCATGACCTCTGCACCCATGGTGCAGGCATTTCAGAGATGCTGCTGACCAGATGGGACAAAGGTATATGCTGTGGTACAGTCCTCTTACTCCAACATCATATCAAGGCATTTTTCCTGGCCAGTTGACGGATGACAGTTGGAAGAGTCAAAGGTACATATTGCCCACTCATTGTGGATCTTCCACTTGCAGAGGCTGCCTCGCCTTCGCATGCTGACGGGGACATGAGCTCGCCCTTTCTGGAGACACCTCCCAGCATCTTTGCCAGCAGCTTCCTAGACCAGGACTCCAACCAAGAGCCCCAAGCACCGGCGCTGCATGTGCATTATGACAGCGGAGCCCCTCGCAGCCAGATGGATACATTCGGAGACGAGCAGAGCAGTGTCAGCGATGCACAGCCCAGCATGGAGGTGGCAGTCCAGCCGTTGCAGTTGATACACCGCAGCGCATGCTTTGCTCGCCTGCAGGGACTGCTTGGTGTCATGCCGAAAGACCTGCACAGCGACGGAGTGCTGCATGCCATCAATCAGATTGCCTCGCCGGCCGGACGCGCTCTCGCAAAGGCCGAGCTTGCAGTGAAATCCGGGCCGCCAGTGAGGCTTCATGTTGAGGTGAAATTGCGTTTTCCGCATGTATAAAATCGCGTAAATATTACACTAGTGTCGCACCTGCTCTTGGTAAGAAATCTCATTGCAGCAAGAAAAGGAAAGCGCAAAGCTGCTTACTGAAGCGTCCCATCTGTGTGTGGGAGGTTGTGGATTTCATGGTGGTGTCAGGCGGCAGTTTTAGCCAGGGCAAGCACGCATATGCTGCTCTGTGCACTGGGCCTGTGGAGCTCCAGAGTGTCCAGCAGTTGGACAATGCGGCGCTGCAAGGCCTTGTGGCAGAGCTGCGCAAAGCAGTCCATGCAAATGGAGTGACCCGGCCATGGCAGACTGTTGCGGAGCAGGCATGTCCCCTAATGTAGTGTTCACTTCAACCCTACCGCATCCAATAACTAAGTAATGACAGCGCTGCATGCAAAACTCAATCCACCTTTGTGACGGCCAGAGGACGATTTCAGGACGCAATTATGCCATGCAGGTTGAGCTGCACGTCCTATACGATGCGTTTGAGATGAGCGTGGGCAGCTTGAAGCTGCAAGTCAGCAGCACAGCAGATCCTCGGAGGAATGCCACCCAGGTCCTTTTTCCCCTGCGCGTCTTGTGCAGCCTGCGCATGAGCAAGCTCCCAGACCGGTTGCTGCCGCAGATGCGGCTGCAGGTGTCAGTGGATCCAGTGGAGGTTAGCCTCACACCTGACCAGGTGGCCTTGCTGGGCCAAATTGCAGCGCTTGAGCAGAGGCCTGATGTCAGCGGAGCACCTGTTGCTACTACTGCTGCTCCACCCGCCATGGTCCGCATAGAGACGGTACGCCATGGCACCACGTGGTTCCACAGACTGTGAGGCACTGTGCATGCATGGGGTCGCTTGTTTCCTAGAGATCACAGATAAAATCCATGTTGTGGTGTTCAGGTGACTGCGGTGCCCAGAGTGGAAGTAACGGGCAGGCTAGCCGGGCTTGTTGCTACATACGACGATGGCCGAGGCGCCGACCCAGATGCCGATGACACCCACCTGATGCTGCATGCTGGGCGCTGCAGCTTTGTGGCTAATGTCTTTGGCGAGAGCATGCGCTGCGAGGTGACTTTTGAAACTTTGCAAAAAAAATCCAGGGCTGCAGATATTTTCATTGTGCTTTGTTTGCATCGGCATCTCTTTGTCAGGTAATGCGGTGTCATGCTGCACAAATTCTGCATTATAGCAACGCTGCCAAGCATTGTGTGACATCCTATACAGGTCACACTGAATAAGCTGGAGGTGTCAGACAGCAGTTTTTACACTGTCTCACCGCCGCGCATCTGGGGCACATTGCCACGCCTGGCAGGGCGTCTGAGCATAGAGCAGATTGCGCTCCTTCTCGAGCAGAGCTCAGGCCTGGGCTTCATGCTCTCTGTTGAGCTCTCTGGCGCTGAAGCAGAGGGCTTTCAAGCAGAGCCTGGCAACTTCATCGGGAGGTACTGACACATGGGCCTTTTTCTGTCTGTTTTTTTGGCTCAATGACCGCCGCAAAATTGCTGCAGGCTGCAGCCTTCTTGAATCAGCACTGCGGATTGTCGTTTCATTTTGACGGATTACCTTGGCAGGTTGAGGAGCTCGGTTCCTACGACTGGGACTATCACCCACATCAATACGAGGGACCTGCTTCAGACCTCAGTAACCCTCCAAGATGGGTGCTTTGGTGCCGGCACGCTCATGCGCATTGCTGCTCTGTTCGTCAAGCCTCCAAAGCAGAAAGCAGAGGAGCCAGTGCCAGCCTCTGGCCTGCAGGCTAGTCCAGCAATTGATACTTCGAGCCCCGCAGCTGAGAAGGGACCATTGTCGTCATATGCCAGATTAGGGGTTCCTCAGGAACCCATGCTAGCCTCATCGTTCCAGCCAGGGTGAGCTGCCACCTTTTCCTTAACTTCTACAAGCTCAACATCCAGTGTCGCACCTCCCCATGTGAGGATGCTTGTCCTGAAGGTGCTTTTGAAAAACATGGATGCTTGCGCATGCAGGTCTTCCCAGCCCACAGGCCGCTCGATCAGCACAGAGCCTGGAGGAACCTCACAGACCGAGCTGGAGCGCTGGGAATCAGCCTCGGGAAGCTTTGATGTGGATGGAACGGCGACGCGCAGAAGCAGGGACGGCAGCAGCTCTGCCTCCACACATGCAAATGAGGCCCCACCTGACCCTGGCGCTGCCGCCCAGGAGCTGTTTGCGCTGGATGAGGAGCTCTTTGAGAGCCCCTCCAGCGAACCATCCGGGCAGTCCTTGGATCGCCGCAGCACAGCGGACCAGGCCGAAGCCTCGCACAATGCAGCGGAGCTGGAGGATCATGCGCAGCCGGGCAAAGCAGCAGTGGCCGAGCGCGCGGACGAGCCGCCGCCGGCGCGGCTGGACCAGTTCTCGCTGCAGATACTGCGCTGCAGGATTTTGTGCCCGGACTGGCGGGACACCTCCTTCGCTCCCGGCAACCCCAGGGACGCAGACGACGGCCAGGCTCTGGTGCTGGACGTGCCAGAGTTCTTGCTGCAGCTGCCGGCACAGGCGCCGATGCAGCACCTGCATGTCCACCCGGTGCAGGAACACCGCTCTGGCGCCCCCACAATGCCGTCAGGCAGTGCGCAGCCATCAGGCGGTGGCGGGCAGCAGGATGCGGCGCCTGCAGACACCCCGCCGCAAGGCCTGGATCCCGGGCAGCTAATCACGGCTGGCGCGCAGCTGGGCTTCTACGTGCAGGTCTTCGACCCGGGGAAGGGGTTTGCAAGCGGCCCGCGACGGCCCTTCCTGGCAGTGCCGGAGTTTAAGATGCTCACGCACACTGAGCCCAGGCGCGAGGAAGACCTGACGCATGCGGCAGGGGGTGAAAAGCAGCCGATGACGTCTTATGCTGTCAGCCTGGACAGCCTTCAGGTGACCGCGGAACCGCACATGCTGCAGGTGCTCAGGGCAGCTGCAGACTGGGGCAGCAGCGAGATGGCGCACATCCTGGGGGTGTCAGAGCAGCAGACCCCTGAGGGCACGCCTGCCCCAGGTGCACAGCAAGACAGCAGCCTCCTTGCCGGCCCGCCGTTCAGACTGAGCATCGGTGTCAACAGCCTGTCAGTCAGGGTGAATGGCAGCGACGAGGCGGATCCGCCCCTGCTGCTTGGCCTGCATGCCCTGTCAGTGGAAGCATCCAGAGCACCGCAGAGCTTCATGTGCGGTGCCTCCTTTGAGCGGCTGCTGCTGCACCTCTCGGGCATGCCAGAGCCAGAATTAGAGACCCAGGGGCTTGACATGTCGCCCCAGAGGCCAGGGGGCCTTGCTATGGGCCGATCTGCATCCGCGCCGTCCGCGTACAAGCAGAGGACGGGCACAGTACTCGATGTGCGGCACTCCCAGTCTTATTGCCAAATTCATTGTCCTGAGCACAGAGTAACATCCTTAGTTCCCTTCCCATGTGGCTTGTCTTCCAGTCATTAATCTTGCGGCTGCCATTGCATTGCCAGGACTATCGTGTAGACGACAGACCAAATCTCCTGCAATCCTTTACCACATGGCAAAACAACCTGATTGAATGAAGTTATAAAGCCTGAATATCCTGGCTTGGTGGCATGCAGGCGCTGCCAGCATGGGGTGGGCTGGATCTGGTGGAAGCTGGCAGCAGCTCCTCGCAGAGCTCAGCCACGTCCGAGACGCCGGTCCCGGCCGTCCGCACGACGTCAACAGGCCTCGCTGAGCTGGCGACCCTGGGCTCCAGCCCCGACACCTGGCCGCAGCCTGTCATCAGCGGCCGCCGCGGCTCCGACGTGCTCTCTTGGTCCACAGCGCTCGACGCCGCCGTGCGCGGTGTGTTTTGAAGCCTTTCACTCCCACTGATGTTGATTTCATATCGCGCTTTATTTGACAAGAGTGGTGACAAGAGTGGCGAGGTGCGTCTGCAGAGCACTTGCATGTACTCGGGGCTGCCACATATACCTATCCTACCTCATGTGGGACATGCCAGTCCAAGCAGATACCACACAGGATGCAAATTTCACGTGATCGGGTTGATTTAGTCGAGAGTGTCTTTACCTAAAAGGCATGTGTTTTGGGTTCTTCAGACCAAGAGGAGGAGAGCACGCCCAAGTCTGCACATGCCAGCAGCAACGGCTCGCCCAGCTTCTCGCCGGCTCTCAGCCAGCGGGACAGCGGCGACACCTTTTACAACGCCAGCTCTGGAGCCTTCTCCCAGTCCCTGCACCGCGTCAGCAGCAGCGGCACAGAGACCTCTGGAGGCTCCGGCACAGAGTGGTTCGAAGCTGCGGACTATGACAGCGACACCATTGGCACTGCTTCCAGCGCTGGCATGCCCCTGGATGTCAATGGAGCCCTGGAGGATGAGCGGGACAGCAGGAAGCTTCCCCTTCTGCTCGTCCAAGGCATCGATGAGGGGAGCGGCGTTCTGCAGATGCCTCCAGCTGACGTGGACAGCAGCCCAGCAGGCCTCAGGGCAGGGATGACATGCCACATGCAGGGGCATGACCAGACTTCCCTGAGGATCAATGGTGTCCTTGTGCGCCTGTTCACACAGGTGTTTCTTCATTGCCTCCTGAACGGATGACTGCTTGCATGTAAGTGTGGACTTTAGGGCTGCCCCGATCTGAGACAACCTGAGATATCATCTGTGTCTGCAGGGCTGGGTCACTGTGGTGCAGAGGCTCAAGATTTGCATGGCAGCGCTGGAGAGGGTCGAGAAGCTTCCTGCAGAGATGCAGAGCAGAGACAGTGCTGTAGAGAGGCATGCTCAGATCATAATTCAGAGGTGCCAAGAGCAGAGTATCTCCATCATGGCCGGTCTGTTCGTCTGTGAGATAGTGGCCACGAATTACACAGGTATCGTCCTGTGCCCCTGATATCCTTTCTTTATCAATTCTTGTACTCTAGCGGACGAATCCTTATATAAGTCAGACGCGATGCATGCAGGAAGCGGCCTCTCTGTGCCCTACATCTCTGCCAGCCTAAGCATGCATGGATCTGGGAGCTTGTGTGGAGGCCAATTGCGGCTCTCGGAGGTAACACTGCCACAGGCAGCCCTCAGAGTGGGCCTGGCACAGCAAGACGGCAACAGCGTCTCCTTGAGCAATCAGCACGATGCGGGCGCCATATGCGCGCTTTGCGATGCCCAGGTATTTTGTACTTGCCTGAGGAACAGCAGTTCGTGTTTCTGCTTGCGGGAAGCTAAATCCCATCATCTGGGCTCGTCAGACAATGCTGCAAGAAGACTCAGCGCATGCATACTTTCAGGTGGGCCTGCAGGGTGGTGAGCACGAGCGTGAAGCAGCTCTGTTGGTGTCTCTGGAGAGGATATCAATATGGGCGTGTCACAGCCGCCTTTGCATTGCCATGGTGTTTGCAATGGCCATGCAAGATCTGGCTTCCGCGCTCAAAGGGGATCAGAATACCTCGGATGCTGGCAAGGTAATGCATGCAGCACCAACCAATTGGCCTCTTGCACATGCAAGATATTCACTCTGCCGTTGCCTCGTCCCAATTGTCTGCTGCTATTCTGGCATGATGCTTCCATTGCAGGGAACGCTCTCAATAGTTATTCTGCTTAATGCAGGCAAGTCTGAGTCTCCCAGAGGGGTTCAGTGGGCGCGGATCATTGCGCATCGGATCCGCTTCGGTCATGCTGAGCAGTGACACCAGCGCTGGCGACCTGCCCATCTTTGATGCCTCCATCCTGGACATATCTGCAGATGCCACGCTAAAGGATGAGCAGATCAACGGGATTCTCAAGTCCCAAATATGCGCCAATGTGTACTCCAGCCAAAAGGATGGATGGGAGCCTGTTGTGGAACCCTGGAGCTTTGTCGTCGATGTCAATGCTTTCCTCCCCAGGTGAGCTGCTAAGTATTACTCAAGCTCTCCAGCTATACAGTAATTCTATTGGGTTACAACATGATAATCCCATTCGCAGCTGCAGACTCAAGATCACCATAAAATTTGCTGGCATGCAGGAGTGAGAGCGAGCCCGTTCAGCTGCCAGTCCAGCACTCCATCGCTGTGTCAGCAAAGGAGGCATTGGACCTGACTGCCACCTTCACCCTAGCTGAGGCCATCCACAAGTCCAGCTGCTTGCTCGAGGAATTGCGCAGCGTTGCAAAATCTCCCCAGCGCCTGGAGGCTGCCCTGGAAGGCAGCCTGCATGGGAGAGGATGGGGTCGCGCGTCTGTGTGCCGGCTGCAGAATGACACAGGCCTCCCTGTGCAGTGCTGGCTGGGCCCGACCCTACACCCAGATCCAAAGACTCCAGGTGAATGGCTGTGTCCACACCCTGCATCACACGCGCGAAGAGACTGATTTTGATTGGTAGCCTGCACACCTTGTCTGATGCAGCCATCACACTACCGAGTGCATTTCACAGATGGATATTAGTCCAACACTGGTGTGCCACACAGGGGAAGAGGGTTTTATGATGGTGGAATCTGGGGCGTCTGCCGCTTTGTCTCTGCAGTCTGTTGTCAGTGCCTCCTGCCGCAGCCAACTGGCCAGCTGCCCAGAGCAGTTCTTTGATGAGCAGCCGCCCTCCTCTGCACTGGCAGCCTCTGCCTCCATGGGAGCCCTTCAGAAGGTCACCAATCCCAGGTCAGCTCATGATCTTTGCCTGAAGTTCACACGCCCCTTCCAGTATGCTCATAGCAGGAAAGTCAACATAGAAGATGACTGCGTCATGATTTGTGTGTGCCATGGCAGGAGATCGCGGCCGGCCCTCATGGCGGTGTATTACAAGCTGGATGGGCAGGAGGGCGTTTGTGGGCCGCTATCCATTGACAGGGAGAGCCACGGCATGCAAGAGGTTGCTGTGCGCACAGCTCGCTCCTCTGGCTTGACCAGGATTCACCTGGCCTTTGATGTGAGCAACATGCGCAACAGGGAGCCTGCTGTGGTGCTGCACTCGGGAGTACAGGTGAGGCATAGCATTTCATTACTGGCAATGCTGCCATGCTTGGGATCAAAGAAGACTGTTGAATGCAATATGCAATGGATGCAATTATCGACAAGAGCAGTCTTAGTTGAAAAACCTCACATGATGACTGCTGTATGCTGGTTCTGTTGGCATGATGAAAGATGGATGTGCAGGTGGTGAACCACACCATGCTAAGGCTCAACATTGGCGAGCGCACAGCTCTCAATCGGAATGTGAAGATAATACACACGCTCGCCCCCCATGAGAGCTTCTGCCTGTCAGCCTGCCGCAGCGAGCCAGGCCTCATCTGCTTCCAGCCAGCTGGTGAGCCCCTCAGAACGGCACCTTCCCTTTGTTTCTTGGAAGACCCACATCACTTGCTTGTTGTGCAGAAGGGGGTTCTCTCGGCATTGCTGAAGGTCATGCATATGCAATGTACAGATGAGTACACTTGATGCAGTGTCTGAAATCTGCGATGCAGTACCTCCTCTCTAATCTGGCGCTCTTACTGTTTTTCTCGTTTGTACTCTCTCGTGATTTGACTCACAGGTTGGCAATTCCGATGTATGCTTAGGTGAGCAGGATGAGAACAGCCACTACCAGTGGAGCCCATCCATTCGCCTGCAGCCTCTGTTGGACCTCGTGCAGCCGAGCGGCGCAGGCGGCAGTGCTGAGAGGGACCCTGCTCCGCGCGTGGCCCGCCACCTTGCATGCCAGGCAGCGCAGGGCGGCCTGCTTCAGGCTAGCTTCTGTGTCGGGGTCATCCCAAGCCGCAGCAGAGCAGGTAAACCCTGTTCCTGACTCACATGGTGCACGCTGTCAACACGCTTCAGACCTCAATGAAAAAGTGTCTCAGACAGTAGCCCTCCATCTGGGTGGAGATTGAAACTATGTTGCTGTGGCAGGGTGGGACCTGATTGTCAAGGCGCCACTTGTGGTGGAGAACGCTCTTCCCATGCCCACAGAGATCTCCCTGAAGAGGCGTTCCAATGATGGCGCTCCCAGTGGCGCTCCCATGCGGTGAGCACATCCAAATTCGAATTCCTTAGAAAGTGTGTGCCCACATCCTGTCAGTATTGCCCCAGGCTGTGAGTACTAAAAAAAGGACCTGCAAAGAGCAAAATGGACTTGGGGAAGCCAAGTTCAGCATGCCACATGACACTGCCTCTCAGTAAAGCCCAAGGCAGTAGCATACAGCATGCTCACTTGGCAAGTTGCTGCTCCTTTTTGCGCAACCACAGCCTGGCTCAATATGCAGACAAAGTCGCTCTTCATACAACGCACTGCCAGCTTTGACTACAATGTGATGAAATGCCTCTGTGCTGCAGCGTCTCTCTGCGGCCCCGCCATCCTGTCTTCCTGCACCACATGGACATCACCCACCTGGCAGAGATCGTCATCCAGCCATTCGGCTACCTGAAGAGCCCTCCTGTACGAGTACCTGCTCTGAGCAAGGCAGCTGAAGGATCCCTAGGCGGCCCCTCACGGTACCTGCCTGACTCAGTAACCTACTAATTTTGTGTCATGGGTGAAACTTGACTCCAACGGAGTCCTGAGAAGCTACTTTTAACGCAAGCTAAAGACAAATGCATGCATACAGTGAGTTGTTGTGACAGGGGATGTCAACTCTGGCTGACAATATGACCTTTTGTGCAGGTCTGCTCCTGTCGAGGAGACGGCATCGGTCAGCTTTTCAGTGACACAGGCGGGCGAGAGCCGGGGCGTTGCCACTGTGCAGCTCAGACACATGGTGGATGCCGAGTGCGGAAGCCACATCCTGCGCTTGACATGCGCCCTCTGGGTCTACAACTGCACTGGGGTGCCTCTGGCCCTGCAGCAGAGCGCGATGGAGGATGTTGCCAGGGACGACAATGAGGTGCAGCTTCTCTTTGGCCTTTTCGCAGACCCTAAATTTCCTGATGTGATGGGAACGACCATAACCATTCATGCTGCCGATGATCCATGCGAGGTGGCCTTGCGTTGGGCAAAAACAAACGCACTTTGCATCACAAATTTGACTTGGGTGTGCAGGTGATGCGGGATGATGTTCCCAAGCAGTGGGTTCCGCCCTTTGAGGGCAAGCGCAGGCCCAGCAGTGCTTCGGCTGCAGCCAAGCCTCCAAAGGGGAAGCCTCCAAAGGAGGGCTCCTCTTCAGGCAGCCTGCAGGGCCTGGAGGCGGTCCTTGGCAGCGCCAGGGAAGACAGGTGCCTCTTTTGTCTCTTGAGGTTATGCTGTACTTCTTAAAAATGCAGGTTTAATGCTTGAGTTGCTCAGAGGGATCAACGCACATGGCCAACAAGCAAGGCGCTGTAGAGAGGTCCTGAACTCGGCATCTAATCGCAGGAGTAATCAGCCGCCAAGGAATCGGTCAGCAAGCCGGCTCGGCGTGGCAGAGAGCTTGGAGTACCAGCCATCCTACCTGACACCCACCAGGTAAATCCATCCCCGCATCATGAACCCAATGCAGTACTCAGCTTGCCTGTCCAGCTCAAGTATTTACACTCCTGTGTCTTGCTCATCCCAGAATCGAACGTGTGTGCACAGGTGGCCCAGCATGCAAGGGGGCATGCCGCCTTACCGGCGGCGCGTGCGCATGCAGCTGCGCGCCAGCAATACGCTAGCCCCTCTCGGCCGCACCTACTGGTCTGACCCAGTGCAGCTGGACTCCCTGGGCGGCGCTGCTGTTGTCAGTGTTCCCCTGCCCACCGCTGGTCCGGCCTCTGTGATAACGGACGACCGATCGGCATACATGCTCTCCGTCACCGCCAACCAGGTCAGCCGCTGGCACCAAAAAGCCTTTGCTCTTCAAAATTGCATGTGGCTTGATGTGGAGTCATGTGGCATATGAGCGAGTTTTGGCTTGTTGAAATCATCCTGAGAGTAATCTGCCATAGTTGGACACGAATGATCAATTTTCAACAGTTGACAAGTATGCTTGCGCACCGCTGTATCTTCCATTTTGCCCAAGCATGCACATTCGTGTGTGTGCAACAGACAACGATAGCAAGGATTCTGTGGTCTCATATAAGGCACTCTTTTGGTGTTTGGCAGGTGCCGGGCGCGGATGGCGCGCTGGCCGTGATTGTGATGCCGCGGTACGTGGTGCACAACAGCCTGGGGCTGCCCCTGCAGTACCGGCAGCAGGGCACGGCGACTGAGAAGGAAGTGGAGCCGGGCGGTGCCAAGGCGCTGCGCTGGGCAGACGCGGACAAGCCCAAGCGGCTGTGCCTGCGCGTCCAGGAGGCCGGCTGGCGCTGGTCTGGCGGCATCGCTCTCGACTCCCCCGGAGACCTCTTTGTGAAGATCCGGCACCGGTGAGGCTCAATCTCCTACCTCCAACGCCTCATCAGCATGCCTTCATCACGACTGGCAGTGCGTTCGCATCAGCCTCGTTCTTCACGTACCCTCCAGAAGATTTGTTGGAGGGAGTAAGGTCACTTGCTGGACACCCACATGCCAATGCTTTGGTCGAGGGAGCATCCAAAGCTGAACGGGCCCTGACCCAAGCCCGATTGGTAGTACGGGCTGTGCATTGCATTGCAGAAGGAGTGGCGAGCAAAGGACTGCTGTGCAGGGACCGGGGCGTGACGATGCTGGTGCGAGTGGATGTGTGCGCGGCAGAGGGGGGCGTGCTGGTCATCAATGTCAGCCACCAGGCTGCCGGCTTCACCCCGTACCGACTGGACAACTGCTCCCCTGAGGAGCTGCGCCTCAGGCGAGTTTTCTGAAGATCGCATGCCAGGGAAAACATGCTGGCCCTGTTTCTCCTCCATCCAGGCTCTTGCTGGGCCTGGTGCTTCCAGCAGTCACTGATGACTCTTTGCATTAGCAGCCATCACTTCTATGCAAGCTTGCCGGTGACGCTTTCAAATGCTGCAGTCAGAGGGGTGCGCTGATGTGCAATTGTATCCACAGGCAAATCGGCTGCGCGGAGCAGGAGGATGTGCTGCGACCATATTCGCACCTCAACTACGCCTGGGATGAGCCCTCGCTGCCGCACAAGCTCGTGCTGTCGCTGCCAGGCAACCGTGTCCTTGGCACCTTTGACCTCGATAAGGTATGTGTACACATCTCAGTCCTCTTGTACAGCTCTGCAGCTCATGCCATGGCAGATGCTTCAAGTTTCATGGGGTTGCTTTGATATCTTAACATGTTGCGTGTTTCTTATGGCTGTTATGTGTCATGGGTCAGGGAGGGCGGTCCCAGCCTGACACATGACACATAAAGGATGTGTCATGTGATGTTATGTGTCATGTTACTTATGGATGTCATGTGTCTCGTGTCAGGTTGGGCGGTCCCAGCTGGTGACAGTGCCAGCAAAGGAGCGAGTCCTCCAGATTGTCACCAAAGCGGAGGGCCCCACATGCGTCCTGACCATTGCAGACCTCCAGGTACCCTGCTGTTATCAGCCCTCCCTCTCACAACGCCCGCCTCATTGTCAACTGCCATAATCAGCTAGTGTCTGCTCCATGGCATTGATCTTGCTGTGTGTTCCATGAAGTGATCTTTTGCTTTTTATTTTGCTCTTAAAGAAATATCTGAAGAGACATGAGTATGATCCAAGATAATTGGTTATGGTGTATATTCAGAAGAGAATTGGCTTGGTCTGAGATTGTATTGGTCTTGGACAGTTGCATGTGGGACTGCCGGTGTCGCCGGCAGACGGCAGCGGTGCAGATGACCTGGGCTGGGAGAGATGGAGCGGCCCACTGGCTGATAAGCCCAGTGCCCTATTCAGCAGCCAGGCGAACGTCGTGCGCGCGCCCTCCGCGCTGCACATAGAGGTAAGCCTTGCGGCTGTGCACTCATGTCATGATGTGCCCCGGCGGTCCCCACTTTCTGCCCTCTTCTCACACCCCAGCAATTGTGACATTACAGAAAATTCGATGGTGGCAGTCTGTCGGTTCCATATGACAAAGCCTGTTCCTAAAGAGGTGTCATGCATGTGCGCAGGTGCAGCTGGATCTGGCAGGTGTGGGGCTGTCCTTCACGCGGCCCAGCCAGGAGGTGTTCTATGCCAGCATGTCAGGAATCCGTGCGCGTACGACCACCAGCAAAGTGCGGCACACCCTGGAGCTGGAGATCCGCAGCATCCAGGCACGTCCCATTATGCCTCTTCTGTCATCATGATAGGGGGCTTGTCCTCTACCCAATACAGTGGCTTTGGCAAGCATGCAAGGATGCGTTTCATTAACAGCCAGGACTGTTGATGTTGTGACCTAATGCTGAGGAGAGGCTCAATTGAAGCAGAGAGTTAGAAGGATCAGGGAGAAGATCTGCATGTGGCTAACAAGGAGGTATGTTCTGGAACAGGTGGACAACCCAGATAGGGGGGCGATCTATCCGGTGGTACTGGCCATGCCCGCGGCAGCGCCGGGCCTCAGCCTGACCATCCTGCCGGAGACGCTGCCCTCGGGCACCCAGTCGCGCAGCTCCGCCCTGCGAGCCCGCGCAGCCGCCTGGAAGCGCAGACCTGCTTGCGTGCTCTGCGTGGAACGCCTGGAGGTGTCGCTTCCTCACAAACCTCTTTCCGGCTCCTGTCAGAAAGATCTCCTCAATTGGCGCGCTTACCGGCTTTAAATAACCCGTGCCCTGGTGAAAGAATTATAAATGCTCCCCAGCATGGTGGATCCTTGAGAATTCCTGTGATGCTCTGTGACAGCTAGAGTCACTGTTCATTTGATGTCAGGCTCGCGAGGTGTCTCAAATGTCTGAGAGATGGTGCCTGCAGGTGCACGTGTCACCGCTGGTTCTGGAGATTGACCAGCAGCACATCATGGACATCCTGGCAGCCGTCAACCAGGCCCTGCAGCCTTTCCAGAACCCCCACAGCACCAACAAGAGGTAGGCTTCCGCATCATCCCACCTCCCTCTTAGCCGCATGCATCCTTTGACTGGTGGCCTAACAGTCGATTTTCACCATCATGCACAGGCAGTAGCTTGATGCACGTGATCCTCATGGATTGAAAGAGCGTGTACTAAGAATGGAAATAGGCAGTTGTACAACACCTGGTTGCCTTAGTCGTTACATATAGATCATGAAGCTACTTGTTGTGAAATCATGTGTCTGCTGTGACAGGAAGCCCGGGCTGGACCTGGACGTGGACGTCCTGGCGCCAGGCTACAATACGCGGCAGCTGCAGCAGCTCAAGGTGTACATCGCGCACCTGCTCGTGTCGCGCGTCACCGTCTACATGAGCTTCCTGCCCGCCGAATGGCGCCATGCCGGCGCGGCCAGCGCCGACTACACTCCCGGTGAGGCACCCTGCCTTGGAAGTGCACACATCCCAGATGATCTTACATGGCACTTCATGCAGCGCTGTTCAGCAGTGTCGGTGGCTGCTCCATCACGAGCAGAGGTCACGGAATGCGCATAGCCATTGGACTATCAGTACATTGGGCTACCAAGCACTGTTTCTGTTAATTCGCAAAAGGCGAGTTAGGGGGACATGCTGTAGTGTCGATCATTTGAACACCATGAGGAGCCATCAAGCTTTGTATCATAACTGCGCGACGCCTAGCTCCTGATCTTGATTATGTTATCAATACTACATGGCTCGGGCGCGCATCATGCATGCAGCCTCAGAGGAGCACAATCAGACACGCTGATGCGGTTGGTGCAGGGGGGGGCAGCATAGGCACGGGGATGCAGCGGCTGGTGGCGCTGGTGGGGGAGGTGGAGGGCGGCCGAGTCAGCCTGGCCCCCCTGCGCATGGAGCACCCACTGCTGGGCACCACCGCGCTGCAGCAGCAGGTCTACAGCCACTACATGCGCGCCGCCCTCCCTGAGCTCGTCAAGCTCGTCGGCTCCGCCAACGTGCTCGGTGCGCCCCTGTTTCCCACTGTAATATATCCAGACCCCCTTCGGCCACACCTTCCACCTCGGGCGTCATTAGCTAGGACCCCGTGTCAGCGGTGTTCTCTTATTGATGATATCCACTTGGAAAGGCATGCGGGGGCTTTGCAGTCTCTCGGATGCCCGAGCGTGGCTGTGGGTGTCAATCGTGATAGCCGCATCCTTTCCTGAATTTGTCGAGCCTCCCATGTGTGCAGCACGTGATTGTGCCAAACAGTCTTTAAAGGACGACCATAATTCCAATTCGATGGGTAGAAAGCGGACAGTATTTGTGACGTGATGATGACAGAGAGTATGACAGCAGAGGGTGACTCATTATGGAGGCTGGCCACTACTGCGCAGGCGATCCGGTGCGGCTGTTCCACCACCTGGGCGCGGGCGTGTGGTCCTTCCTGGCCAGCCCAGCTGCCGGATTGGTGGAGGGCGCACGCGGCCGCGCCCCCGAGCGCTTCGCGGCCGGCGTCGCCGCGGGACTGCGCGGCCTGCTCTCCAACATCGTCTACGGCTTTGCCAGCGCCACCGCCAAAATGAGCCGCGCCGCCCGCCAGGTGCGCAGCTGTAGTGGACCTGAGGTCTTAACAGGTTGTGTTGCGGGAGGACCATCTCATCATCTAAGAACCTGGGATTTGGGGCGCTGCGTCACTGGTGGTTCTTTCACTGAGAGGACCAGATCAGCGCTTGCTAGTTAATTCTAGATGGTGAGCCATTGGTCAAGCTGCTGAGGTCTTGCGAAAGAGAGGATGCAGCCCCACTAACAAAGACAGGCAAGTCCCATATCTCCTTTCTGACTGATCAGCATGGCCTGAAGTGCAGCATGTGTGTGTTTTCCAGGGGTTGGTGGTGCTGGGTTTCGAGCCGAGGGATGCGGCGGCCGGCCCGTTGCGCGCGCGGCTTCGCAGGCGAGGGGAGCAGGCGATGCTGGAGCCGGGCTTCCTGGACGCACTGCTCAGCGGCCTCGTCGGGGTGCTGTCAGAGCCTGTCAGGTAAGACACCTGCTATCCTATCTGGCGTCTCACCCATTCTTTAAAAGCTTTGCAATACCTAGCCCCCATGGGGGCTTTTGCAGGGATTTGACCATATTCCAATGCATCTTGTAGACACCGCTTATTGCGGGGATGCTTGCAAGAAGACAACTGGTGTGTCTCTCGAATGAGTGCTGCCCAAGGCGTAGCAAAGGCTCGCTCAGAGCTGTTCTTTTCCAGCATGGATGAGAGTCTCATTATGACACATGGTGCCGCGGGAAAACAGGGGTGCGGACGAAGGGGGCCTGCCGGGGCTGGTGAGGGGGGCGGCGCGCGGGGCTGTGGGAGCGCTCGTGCTGCCGCTGGCGGCGGTGCTGGAGACGAGCATGCGCGTGGCCGACAGCATCCGCTCCGCCGTAATGGGCATCCCCCCTCTGCTGCCTCGCGCGCGGCCGCCGCGCCACGTCGCCCCCGACCTCCCGCTCGCGCCCTACAACTGGTCCGAGGTGCTCTTTCAACCCCGTCCCTCTCCACCATCCTATTATTCTGATATGGCAACAAATTTTACTTTGGCTACACGAGCTGTACTGCCAAACTGCAAAGCAGGGTCACTTCGAGAGGCGGCAATGGAGACGGAGGCGTCGTGCTTCCTAGGAGAGCCTCGTGCTGCACGCTACAATTACTGTGGAGCACAGAGTTGGAGGAGATTTCTGGGGATTTTCTGTCGAGGCGCGGGACGCATGGGCAGATGAAATCTGCGTTTGCCCAGTATGGTGTGGAATATCATGAAAATGTGTGCGGCAGGCGATGGGGCGGGCGTTGCTAGTGGGGCTGGAGAGGGGCCGCTACGCGGCCGCGCCCTTCCTGCTGTGCCGCCAGCTGGCCGGGGGGTCCGACTTTGCGGTGCTGACGCGGCGGCGGCTGCTGTGCATCTGCGCGCCCAGCCACACTGCGCCGCCCTCGCTGCGCTGGGCCGTCGCGCTGGAAGACCTGTTCCACATCCGCAGGCGCGCCCCGCAGCTTTGTGTGTAGCCCCTGAAACCATGTTGAGCATTCCACGACAGAATGCATTCTAGTCGTCTGACGCCAATGGGCCTTTGCTTGTGTTCACACTTGCTTTGCATGTGGCACGTGAGAATATGACCTGCTACGTGCAGGACTTTAAAAGCCAGACCAAATGACCAGGCTCTTCCTCATGCAAGATGTATTGATAGGATGCAATCACGTGGACTGTCAGGACCCCCCTATGGCTGCATGTACTGGTCCACGACAGTAGCTGATGCGGATATGGGGGAGTGTGGGTGTGCAGGCAGGAGGCCAGGCTGGTGGTTGTTGCGCTGCAGCCGAGTGTTGTGCAGCCGGCGTCGCCCATCGCGCTGCTGCGGCGGCCGCCCCTCGTCCGCCCCTCCCGCTCCCCTCTCTTCTCAGCGACGCTCGCCTGCAAGGTGCGCTGCGCTGCTGCATCCATTTCTGACACGAAAGTGTGCACCAGCATCCAGATTAGTGAGCATGATCAACGGGCCTGCAGCTGTCCCATTTACTTCATTGAAGATAGGTTATGATTGTCGATAATGGTTTCTTGGTGGATTGGGGAAGAACACTCAAGCGGAGACGAAAAGACAAGCGAGAGGACACTCTCAGATGTTACACATCATGAAACACTTGGGACATTCACTGGAGCAAAGGGGCAAGGAGCAGACCTTCAGATTCTTGTGCTGTGGCGCGCAGGGTGCTGGGGATGCAGAGATGCTGCAGCAGGCGGTGGAGTACGCGCAGGCCAGCGCGCAGGTGCACTCCCTGGCGCAGCTCCTGGAGCGCATCAGCCACTCGCAGCACTGGTGGCAGGCGCGCGCTGCCGCGGGAACAGAGCCGGCTCTGCTCACAGGCGGAGAGCTGAGCACGCAGGGAGGGCTGGTTGTGAGACGAGCGTCCGAGGAGCTGACGGGTTCGGATTCGCGTGAGGAGCTGCTGGCAGCGCAGATCTTGGCTGCTGTGAGGCGGACATCTGGAACCCGAGAGGCGCAAAGCTCTTTGTAGGTTGTTTGTGCATTACGTTGGGGTATCTATAGAGGTGTAGCTGCCAAGTTCTTGGCTATTAATTGCTAGGAAGGGATATTGCCCATTTTTTCGGGCTCGAGAGGTATTCTCAGCGGTATGAATGAGCGGTAGCGATAGCTGTTCCTCACTCTGTGTCCCTTGCTTTCAATATAGGCAGGTAGTCAAGACAGTCTTGTATTGTCTCCAGCTGTATCCTTCTCTGCAATTGCCCGTGGTAATACCGTCCATTAAATTTGCTTGGCTGTCCCACTCAAGCTCAGGAGTTACAACGAATGTCCCTATTGCAGGTCCCTAGAAGGACCTTGCACTCTTATACTAAGAAACAAAGAAGGGTGCGTACAAACAATTCCTTCAGGCCCAGTGCCAGTCACAAAGACAGACTTGGACGACACCATTTCTCCAAGATCACAGGATAGAATGAACCCAACAATAATGCCTTTGTAGCAGGCGAATTCCGCCCACCAGTCACCCTACTATTAGTAGGTAGTAACCGGTAGTAGGGACCCTTCACAATCTAGCAGAGCGATGCAAAAAACCATTATACAACCCCGGAGGAAGTCAACAAGTCTGACCAATGAGCAAGTATTTATGCAGACACGTGTGTACAGCCAAGAAGCACAAACCATGACGCAGGAACTGATGCGCTGCTGCTGTGAAGGGTGACAGTCTCATCCTGCGCCGCGCTCACGAGTCTCTTCTACTTCCCAATGGAGCAGGCATGCTTGCCTCTCACACTAAAGACAATGACAATCTACGTCCTCAAGCCCCCCTCCTCTTGATTCGTGCCAATCACTTCAGTGGATGCATCCTCTAGATCTTCTAGCCAGGCAACGGAATGAATACAACATTCTGGACAGGTTCACTGGGGTTTCATGACAATCACGACAAAGCACTTCCACGGGAGAAATATCAGACGAGACAAATGGCTGCAGCAACCTCCGCGGGAGCCCACTTGGCAACGAGACTGACAAGGTGAGCTGTCAGCGTTGCTCACTGGGTGATCAGAGACATGTGGCCCTCTCGAATGATTTCCTCCAAGTCAAGCTCCTCAATCTCTCCGCTGGTGTACTGGATCCTGCAGTAAAACATTGTGACAGAGTTGGCAAAGGAAATTTCTGCTCCCATCCTGCTGATCACGTGATCGAGCACGCTCAACAAACATGCATGACTGCCCTTAAAACTGTGTTGCCCTGACATATATGCAGGGCCAAAAGGCAGGACTTACTTGGCTGTCCTGGCCTTGGGGTTGACAGAGTGGATCTCCACCAGGTACCACATTTTGTCATCCGGCCAGAAGAGCTGCGTCCACAAAAATATCTTCAAGCGCTGCACCTAAGAAGCTCCTGTGCTGAGCCAAGGCCGGCTTCTCTCCTGACAAGGGATCCTGTCCAGACCTCCACGCGTGGGCACAAGGATGTCATTGATCCATAGAGGATCGTCAGGGCGCTCACCTCAGCTTGCCTGCCCTTCAAGGCAGGCGTGATATCGTTGAAAATCAGGAGTCTTCCTGTGGGCAGGGGAGCATCTGCAGCCTTGGCAGGCGCCACGCCTGGATCCTGCAGTTGACATGGTCCACGAGTAAGCACAACGTAAGGAGGATGTCACAATGAGATTGTATGCGCTCGTGGCTCCACTGTGAGTCAGGTATTCCTTCAGGGCAGCCGTGCGACAGACGCACCATCTCCACCCGCTTCCTCTTGTTGCCATCCTTTCCGCCAGCTCGATGCTTGCCAGTCACGATCTCATACAGAGTGGGGTGCTGATTTATGCTCCTGAACAGCCGCAGCCTGCCCAACGGAAAGGAGGCATCAGGACACAATCCACCTTGATCTCCGAGGAAATTGCAGCGGCTCCGCGGACGATGCAATTGAAGCAGAAACAACGAGGCCCACCTTGACGGAGGGTCCAGCTTTGCGCCATAATAGAACGCCACAGCACACAGCCACGAGTCCGAGTGCACTGCCACAAGGGCAAGCCAATCCCTCTTCTGCATTCCGTCGCGAGCGAAGTTTATGCCCAGGCAAGGCTCTGGCAGCTCTGGAGGCACCTCCTCCGCTGGCAGATCGACGCTCCAGGAGCCGTCCGTCTCGCCTTGTGCCAACACAGGATCCATCTGTCAGGCAACTAAGATAGGCAAGAACGGACCTCGTGAAAGCTATCGGACTTGTTTCAGGGCATTGAACACTCACCGTACAAGCACAAGTTCTCGCGCTCGGGATCTGCCTGCTTGTAGAAATCGTCGACGTCTGCCCCAGCATCACACAAAAGTGGTCAGCGTTGAACCGGAACAGCGTGAAGCCGACACACCATACAGCAAACCCTCTTCTGCGGCCCTACCGTGCGTGAGCGCCTGTAGCAACCCATTCCTTCGGAGCTCAAAATCCTCGTAGATGGACTCCACCGTCCTAGGCGTGTCTCCCATCGTCCACCTGCTGTCTTTGACTCGCGCACTGGCTGGGCTTCCCTTGGCACTCCGTTATTCGGGCCTGATCACCGACAAAAACTTAACGTCCCCCGAAACTCACGAAAGGCGGGACGCAATCCGTTGGCGGAGGCTCACAACAGCCTACAAACGCTTGTGCAGCTGGGCGAGTTGATCAGCGAGGGAATTGCGTGAAATATATCTGTCAGCCAATTCAGGCAGCACCTTCAAATGCCTCCACCAACAGATCCAATACAGCAGGGCTCACACAGCTTGTGGAACGTGCCTGGCCATCAGGTCACATTTGTCAGACGCCAGGCTGCTCAAGTTCACTCGTGCACAATTGCTGCCCAGAAGCAGCCGCCCCCCGGCCAAATACGAGCTACTGCAGCTGTCGTGGCTGCGGCTCAACAGCTCACTCAGGCTGACGGTGCTTCCATTCTGCCAACTTTGAAGTCACTTCAAGTCTGCACCAGCGCATCAAGTTGCTGCGGTAGATTGGATACTGGGGATCACGGGCAACCCTGCATCAATCCTCATCAGGCCCTGTCCCGGTTCAGGCCAAGGGGCCAGTTTGTAAAAGCTCCGGAGGTAAGGGATCCCCATCTCACTGATGTGTGATGAGCTTCTGACTGCTGCCGTAGCCCCAGCAAGTGATTGTCACTGTCATCAACCTGGTGGTCTCCTTCTGCTCAAAGTGGTGCCTGCAGATTGCAACAGCAATGGCGCTTACAATCTGACATGGGATGACTTCGCAATCTGCAGTCCTGAATGTGAAAGCATGGCCCTCGCTTCATGAGGACAGCAAATCTGTCAGCTGAGGGTGCAAGGAACCTGCGTGATGGAAAGCACAGAACGGATGAGGGCGCACAGCGTCACCTCACGTGTCCTATCAGTCATTAATGTACAATGCGGACTCCTGACACGTCGCTCTGGCTGATCAGATTCAGCTGCTTGTCTCCTGCATAAGGGGCAAGACCTCTCAAGCATTGAATGACCTGGTCCTGTGAAATGCGTGACAAGGCCATTTGATCCGCCCACTTACAACCCTCACAAAGCAGTGCAGCACACCTTTCCGTATGAGATGCTCTATCAGCTGATAGTTCTTCTTGTCCACATCGCGATACCTGCGTCAAGAGATGGTTGTGCCCAGTGTCCTCTCACAAACAGCATGCATGGAGAATGCCCCTTGCATGAGGATGCGCTGCAGAGATGATGCGCAGCAGAGATGTATAAGGCAGGGTGGGGATGCGTGTAGTCTCACCTCTCAAACTCTGAGCGGGCATGTGCCATGATTGTGTCTCTTTCATTTGGGCTCCTATTGTGGGAATGCCGCACAACCCTCCTGTATAGGTGGATCACCTGTCTCTGCAGCACAGTACAACACAACCAACGTTGTTTGTGCATGTACTGCAAAGCACATGCTCTGGATGATTGTCATCACCTCATATATCACAGACAAGTAGCTGTTTTCAAGTCCCCAGCGACATTTGCAACACATCAGACCTCTGCAACTGCTGCACTCTTCACCGTGATCTCCCACTGACTTCTAAACTGTCTATCAGACACTGTACTGGTCTTGCAGATCTAGCCTTCACCCCTACATAGAGGGATTCACCTGCAGACCCGTCATACGTGGCATTGCCATCCTCCGCTTCAGTACAATCCTGGTCTCGAGAAGTAGACAAGGAATATCAGAAATACAAGTTCGTATATTTCATCAGATGCCCTGTTTTGAGAAGAGGCATACTACATTCAGGGTCCAATCTCACTGGATCATTACCGATTTACTTTTCACTGTGTTACTTCCCATTCAATATATAAATAGGATGTCGTGAATTAATAATCTAAATCTCTGATATGAAGTGTTGCGATGTCCAATATTCCTTTTGCTTTCCGAGATTGAGAATAGGAATGCACCTCTTTGTGGCAGGACACAATATCCCTCAGTGCAGTCTTGTCTGCACTCCTGGACATGTTTGCTGAAACCATGACCTTGCTTTGAATTTTGACGTTGAGCAGGAGATGCGACTTTATACTCAGATCTGCACTGCGGTACAGCAATTGATCATGATGGCCGGGGTTTGACATTGCCCGACTGCCATCATGCATGGGCGGCCCCGGGCCATGATGGGGCCCGGCCGGCATTATTCTTTCTCAGATGAGTCATCTGTAGCGCACCCGCCGCAGTGCGTCTCGCAACCGCCCAAGCCGTCACCTTGACTCAATACCATGACATATGCAGGCAGGAGACTTGCATTGAGTGGGAGCCAAGCGGGGGTGATGCGAGGAAGGTACAGATCTTGCTAGCAGATCGCATGCTGACACTACGCATCTCTGCCGCGGCAGCTTCAGTCTAGGTGCCAACAGCATGATGCATGCTTGAAGTGCAGCACCGGAGAACAGCAACGGATCGCATCTCAAAAGGCTTCAGGCGATTTTCGCCTCCTTATTCAACGGCCGGCAAACTAATGAAAATCACTCGGAGACAAGCGCTCTTGATCACATGTTCACAACACCAGTGATTCTGCTATGATGCTGCTACCCTGCTTCACACGTTGCTGCCACACAGGAAAGGGAAATCTGGGGCTGGTCACTTGATGGTTCTATGGTCGTGAATTGCACCCTCATCACTTGATGTCTACAATTTTGATAACGGATGCATTCCCGATGCGGTGCAGCGCCACAATGGAGTCACCCCTCTGGCAGTACTTGAGCTTCTTTGCCACAACCAGAGCAGCCTGCGCACAAAGAAACAGACATAAATACTCCGAACCATCTGATACCGGTAAATCAACAAAAGCGTTTTATTTCAGGGATGTGTGATGTGTCTCACACTACTGCGATACGGAGAGAAGGTAAGCAAGACCATGCAAATGCATGTCACAAACTTTCCTCGCCATCATAAGCTACCATGCACCATGCATCCCAGAAAACATCGATCGGCCGATAGTGTTGTTGCTGACTGTGGGAAATGACGGAGTCAATTTTGATGACGATCCGGCGGGCGGAGACTGACCGAGATGATCTCATCGGTGGTGTCAGTGTCGGTGGCGCGCGCCGAGCCCTCTGCCAGCAGCGGCAGCAAGCCGCGCGTGACCAGGCACTGCCGCGCCGGCTGCTCGCCCGAGCACGTCCACGTGAGGCTGTCGGTGGTGAGCACGGGGACCGCCACTGTCAGCACTGGGATGCTCGGCCGGTACTTGGCCACTAGGCGCGCTGTGGAGCCCCCTCGCGTCAGCACCACGATCAGGCTGGCATGCACCTGCGCCAGTTCCACACCATCAGACTGCACCTAGCTGCTGGCAACGTGCTCTTTGCTCACTGTCATCCCATCGGGATTGAGATGAGCGAAAACGCCGTATTGGCGGCACACTATGCTCAATGTCATCCTGGGAAAGGGATCCAGACCTGCAGGATAAATTATGTAGGGTGAAGTGCATGATGCGTGAGAAGAGAAAGTATGGGTACCTTGTGGGCTGTCCGCACGGCAGACGAGGCCAGCGACTCGAGGGGAGACATGGGGATGGGTGTCCGCTTCATGATGGCCTTAAACAGGCTGTAGTAGTCCAGGGACGCCTCGCTCTCACTGCAGATCCTCTGCATCACCTGCGCAATCGCCCACAACAGCAGTCATGGTGCATGCAGAGTCACACAACCTCATCTCCCTGGTCAAGAAGAGCATTGTTCTGCCTCACATATACTCTGCCAACCAGGAATTTGACAGCCCCCAAAAATTCTCAGGAATTTTTAATGAGAGGAATTGTCAACATGCTGGGCCAGGCAGGGGGGGAGCACGTGCCTGCACGGCCTGCACTGGGAAGCTGCCGGCAGCTGTCTCGCCGGACAGCATGACGCAGTCTGTGCCGTCCAGCACTGCATTGGCGACGTCCGTCGCCTCTGCGCGCGTGGGCCGCGGGTTCTTGATCATGCTCTCAAGCATCTGCGTGGCTGTGATGACTGGCTTGCCCACCTGAGACAGCACCCACACACCGCGTGATCAGTATGTGGAGATACCCTGATATACACTAAAAATATGTCGAATCCACAAGGGAAGGCCAAGCGTGCTACAGATTGCTGAACAGAGGAATTTGTTTAGAGCAGTCCTATGGCAGCAGTTCTGCGCAGGGCAAACAGCGCCAGGCACGCACCATGTTGCAGGACTGGATCATCATCTTCTGTGCTAGGAAGATCTTCTCGGTGGGGATCTCCATGCCCAGGTCCCCGCGGGCAACCATGATGGCGTCGCTCTTCTCCAGGATCTCCTTGAAGTTCTGCAGGCCCTCCTGGTTCTCCACCTTGCTGATGATCTTTATTGTGCGCCCCTTGGGCCCCAGCACCTGCCACAAAGCACTTCAACTGATCAATCACTTGCATGCAGATCCTCAAACCAAGTCACTATTCTTGTGAGAGCTAGTGTCTACAGGCAGACTCTACATGTGGTGAATGGAATTTGACCTAGCAATTGTGGCAGCATGATGGCAACAGTGGACACCTTTCTGATGTAGTCCAAGTCGGAACCCTTGCGCACAAAGGAGGCCGCAATGAAGTCGATGTCGTTGGGCAGGCCCCACTGCACCAGATCATCCTCATCCTTTGCTGTCAGTGTCGGCAGGTCCACCACCACTCCTGGCAGGTTGACATTCTTCCTCTCCCTGTCATTCCAAGATAATGCCTTTGGTCAAGAGCCCGAAGCAGTAAACAATTTTTGAAGGCAATGGTGTGCAATGTACGCATGAACTTTGCACATCCTCTGCAAGACTGTCGTGGGAGGACAATGATGCGGATCAAAGGCTCACCCAAGGACGGCATTATTGAGGCACTTAGCACGAACTGTGCCTGCCTTGACGTCTGTGCTGATGACCTCCAGAACAATTGACCCATCCGCGCACAGAATCTGAGACCCCTTGTGCACATCTTCCGGCAATTTCTTGTAGCTGTAAGCAAAGCACACAGTCCATCATGCACTTACTTCTTGACGTATCTTTTTTACCTTACTTTGCAGAAGGCATAAGCACTTTAGTGTTCCCGATAGAGTGAGGGAGGAGAGCTTGCCTCATGGCAATGAGGTTCTCGTTGCCTTTTGTCTCGTAGTCTGTTGTGATGGTGATCTCTTTGCCCGCTGTCAGTTTGATGGGCTTCTCATCCACCAGGAAGCCTGTCCTGATCTCTGGGCCCTGCATTTCCACATTGTTTCAGACCAGGAATTAAGGCGGGGCATTATGTCAGCTGCACTGTCAGTACTACTCCACATGTGCTACACATGGAGATGCTTGCACTGTCTCACCTTTGTGTCCAGCATCACTGCGCACAGGATCCGAGTGTTTCTCATGGCCTGTCTCAGTGTGTCGAGGGTCTCCTGTTCATGCAGTTCAAATTACCATCTGAGAAAATTGTGGTTATGTGCAATCAATAGATAGTTTATGGCACTGTCATAAGGAGCACCAAGATCTCACAAAGCAGATCGACCTCAGTCTGCAGATGGACATCCCAATGTAATCTGAATTTAGGGTTCAACCGCCGGCAGGTCTAGACTGAGTCCAGTGATATGATGCTGCAGTAAACATGCCTGATGGTAATCGTGGGAGCCGTGGGAGAAGTTGAAGCGCGCCACGCTCATCCCTGCCCTCAGAAGCTCCTCCAAAACCTCAACAGTGCGGCTCTTTGGTCCAAGAGTACATACGATCTGCACGTCCAGTCACACAAAAGAATATTCAGGTAAACTGGTGAACAAGTATTATTGGGCAATCATCATAGTCAAATTAGTCCTGGGCCATAGTCTGCCCCCTTACCTTTGTTTTTGCGTTGCCAGCAGGGGCACCAGTGAGAATCGAATCAAGGCCCATTTGCACCATTGTGACTGATTGATCTAAACAACAAGCAGCAACAATTTCAGCAGTCCAAGCTGCTATTTTGATACTGTAATTCGCCAAGCATCTTCTCCACATAGCGTTGCTCTCTGCTTGGTTCGCGGCCCTCGCTCGATATACCAGTTCCCTTCAAGCTGCTAGGGTCTATGCTAAGGATGGAGTAGCAACGTTGACCCATGTGAAAATGGCAACAATACTTCCTCGTGCCACCAAATTTAGGCGAATCTCGTCAGACCTTACTTTCGTTGCTGCTGCAAATTTCTACTCGGTTGACTGTGTATTGCACTTAAATTGTTCCTTGCACAGATCACAGATCAGCATCGCATACGAGTCAGTACATTTCTTCTTAGGATCTTTATACTTCCCCAACGTTGAATTTTTTGAAATGCCTGGATTCCTTGACGACGCCATTACGCAGCTTGACGCAATTATTGCCAGTTTGGAAGCGGCCTCCCAAGCTGACCGCACCTCCCCAGCAAATCCAGGTAAGTTGCATGGAACATTTGGCAATTTTGCGGATGTCCGAGATGTAAACAACATCGTGAAAAAAGTGGGCCTCACCTCTTAACGTTGGCATCACTTGCACACAGGTATTAGCCTTCCTGAAGGCTCTCAGCACAAAGCAGCCACCCCCATTGCCGCGACGACACCAGAGACAGGTGAAAAGTCAGTTCCTCCACCATCAGAACCTCAGGCACAGAAGCCCAAGGCGAAGAAGGAGAAGAAGCCTGCAGCAAAGGTCTTAGCTCCTGCAGTCCCGGACAGCGGCCCAGGCCTCTTCGCTCGCGCACAGCTACAGGCATGCGCAGTTTTATTTCTGAACATACAGATGGCATTGTCTATGGCATTTAGAAAACCAATTAGTGCTGGTCTGATGACTCAGATGGTGAACACAAGCATGTGCCGCTGCAGGTGGCAAAAGTGCTGACGGTAGATGAGATAGCCTCAGACAAGCTCTACAAGACCACCATTGACATAGGAGGAGGCCAGACGCGCCAGGCACGCACCAATCTGATCTTGTCTCACCTGCTATCACACTGCAGCGAGAGGGATGGCAAGAAGGCCCATCATTGAATGTGTGTGGAATCCAACGGCTGTGCAGCAGTCCACCATGAGGTTCTGTGGCAGCATAGTGGCAGCACCAATAGAAATATGCTGCAGGTGGTTGCTGGCCTGAAACAGCATGTGGAGCGGGAGGCCCTATTAGGCAGCCTGGTGGTGGCAATTTTGAATTTGAAGCCGGCCAAGCTGGCAGGGGAGGCGAGCGAAGCCATGCTATTAGCAGCAGATGCTCCCTTGGAGGCCGGAGGAGAGCTTGTCAAAGTCCTCATACCCCCAGGTGAGGTTTCTTCCCAATAAGACAATGTGACAGCCACTAGCTCAGACGACCACTTTGTGAGTGTCATGCATGCCGACCGCATCCGCCGCTTTTGGAAAATATTGACACAAAATTTGCTGTACGTCCAATGCTGGCTTCTTCATTTGGATGAGTTAAACTTGTGTCATTTCGGTTTGTGCAGAGGGCTCGTCCGTGGGGGATCAAGTGTCTCTGGAGGGCAGCAGCCCTGCAGAGGAGTATCCAAAGGTGCTCAAGTCAGGGCCTTGGAAGGATATTGTGGCAGGCCTGTCTGTGCGCAGTGGACGGGCCACCTTTGAGGGGCAGCCGCTTGTCACAGCAAAAGGTTACGTCAGCTTGCCAGCTGAGATGCCAGATGGGGCAGGCATACACTGACAAGTGTCAAACGTTGTTGTTACCTGCCATCCTGGAATAGGTCTATGGCTGCATGCACAATCTTGAGCTCAATAGCTTGAGCTGTGTTAGCACACTATGTCAATTTCGATGATGCTGTCAAATTTGTGCGCATGCATGCGTAAGCCTCGCCCAATCATGCTGTACTCAAAGACTGGAGAGGATGTGGGCTGCATTTGGGTGTCCTCTACTCATCTTACAGCTTGTATTCACTTGAATGATTAACTCCAGTCTGAATACTGATCAGCTTCGTCCAATCAAAGAACTGCCTGGCATACCTGTTTATACCCTTCATAGGACACATGTGTACACCTCATTCTACAAACTCATGGGCAACAGGTCTGAACAGGCATGACCATAGCGTCATGCAACGCTGGCCTAATGCAAAGAATACGTACTGCAATGATATGCAACAACCACCGCATCAGGTCATCAAGTGTCTTTGCACATTTCGTTGCCTACAGCTGTCATGCCAGCCAAACCATAGCTACAGGTGCACCATTGAATAAAGTGCACTTTAGCTATTTCACTGCTGCGCAACTGAAGGGATTCTCTATCCATTCAAATTCATCCCCTTTTCAAGTCCTACTGTCCTGTAAGCTACATACTGTATGTTACCCATTACTGCGTAATCCCATCAATGGCTAAGATCTAGCTGCCCACATCATCTGATCAATCTGAATGCCTCCTGGTAGTGTTGGTCATCTTTTGCTGAAAGGCCACGTCTCCATTGCTCTGTAAAGAGGAAAGTTGAGGAATGCAACAGAAAATACCTATCTCTCTATGAATTGAGAACTAAAACTGGCTGCCTCTGACCCATGCTGGCACAACCAGCATGGACCAAGTCTGTGGCCTTACACAAGGCTGCCAGCAGTGCAACTAGTTTGTACTTACAAAATACTTAGTCACGTTGCCTGGACCGCACAGTTCACTACTCGCCTACAGAGCTTCGTTCAGATGAGCAATGAAAAATGCATAGATGAATTTTATTCTGCTCAACATGGCAATGCTCTAATATACTTAGCTAGGACACCCTGATCACACTGCGCCAGTGAATTGCAAGTAGACTTGCGCATGCTAAAGTCAGGCACCCTTGCCCGGTGCCTTCATTTTGGTCATCATTAAATCCCGATTTGGGCTGTACAGAACTCTGAACTGAGAGGTCTGCCAGTGCCTCATGGGCTCATGCCCCGAGCCCCCATTGCGGAGCCCGTCCTCTCTACTTGAAGTATCCATTCATGCCTTGGGGGTAGAATGTGCCGGGCTGTGTGGCATTCCCTCCGTACACAATGGCCAGCACCTCCTTTGGCGTGCGCGTGAATGCCACTCCCTTGCCATTCTGGGGCACCAGGTTTGCAAAGGGATATGGCGTCGAGCGGCCGTCTGCAGGAGGCACCACAATGCCCTGGTCCTTGCCATTACCGGCCTTGCCGCGCAGATCGGAGAATCCCTGCACACGGCAGATTTTATGTTGCGATGTAAATGTGCATGCCACCTGTATCTGAGGTTGCTCCTGTGTGCACTGATACTGAAAGGTAGGCGGGCGGCCTGCCCAACACCCCCTGTGATTGTGCTACTGCACCAAGCTGCATGCTCGCAGTTGTGTGCTCTTGCCTTCCAAAGCTCGACCCGGCAAGCCCACTAGTCAAGGTTTTCTATGACATCATACCAAGGTAAATTACAATCCGGCACCAGCGCAGGCAGCGAGGTGATTACCTGGACGAAGTCGAAGACGCGGATGCTGTAGGGGGTGACCATCTCGGTGCCCTTTTCGTACAGCAGCGTGCGCAGGATGGCTGCATGGTACGCCTCCACCGGGAAAAAGCCGGCGATCGTGGTGAGCACGGTCTTTGACACCAGCAGGGGAATTGCGCCGTGCAAGGCAGTGACTCCGACGTCCTCAAACAGGAAAGCACCTGTCTCGAGACACAGCAGGACAGTTATTATTATTATGATTACACGCTTTTCCTGCCAGAAGCAAGGTGCGTCTGCAGACAAGCTGCAGTAAAGGCTGCCAAAATCCTACCCCTTGATGGACTCGCCAGATCCAAGCAAGACCCAATCAACCGTGGGCACGGTGCTCAGGACAGTTGGAGGCCACACTTCTGGCCTGATAGCATGTGAGGCCAGTAGCACACAATTTTTGGTCACCTAGGATGAAGTTGATGTCACTGTTGTAGGGGAAGAAGCCGTCAATGCCGAGAGCAGCTTTGGCAAGGCTGGTGAAGGCACCCCCAATGTCCATCTTTGGGCAGGGAACCGCGTCATTACCCAGCAATTCTCGAAGTTCAGTGACCTGCACACATGATGAGATTGAGTGAGCACAGTTGCAAAAGGGCCAAGCACATTCCAGCTCCCTGCAGATTTTGCATTTGCACTCGAGAGAATTGTTTCACGCAAGCTGCAGGCAGGTTTCAGGGATCTCCAAGCGCTCACATGGTTGATTTCATCATTGACAAGCTCCCTGGCAATCCTCAACAAGTCCGGACTGAGGTTGGCCTTTAGCCCTCCAGTCGATCCGGGGCCGCTTCCCAAGGTACTTGTATTCAATCCATATCCATACACGGCGTTAGAGTAGTATTCAGCCTCCAGGCACTCCAGGTTAAGGGCAAAGTTAAGGAGGTCGTTGTCCGTTTGTGCGACAGCGCTGCTGGCAAGTAAGACGGCTGTACAGGCAGTGAATCCGAAGTAAAACTTCGAGGTCGTCATATTCAAAACGAATGTAATCTGTTGGATCTACTTGTGGGACCACCTGCACAGACAGCAGCAGCCGTGATGGAGACATGGTTGCTCGGCAGGCACATCCATTGCAATATGGGTTAAGCTACCACCCCTCGATTCCTAAAACGGCTTGAAATAAGATCAATAGATAATCAAATACAGTTTTCGCGCCAAGTATCCTTCTTATATCTGACCAGTACTTTCTGGCATGGAGGTTCCGACCCAACTTCTCAGGGCCGCTCATTCACGATGATCTGCTACGGAAGAACTCAAAATTCAACTTTTACAAGCATGGACCATTGAAGGGATCGTACTAAGGGCCAGATAACCTAGATCCCTTTTCAATGGTCCGCAGCGAGGGTCCTTACCGATATGAACTAGCTTGTACGAGGCCTGAAGGAAGCTTAGATGTCAATCAGAGAAGAATTATGCCTCGTAGGTTAGTCTTGGCTTGTTATCGTGACCCAGCGGCTAGACATTCCACCTTTCCCAGCTCGATGCGTCCTGATGGCGCAGCTGACCCGGAAGTTACAAAACCAGATGGCGTTCCCGTCCGTGATTTGAGCATTGCCGCCAATTGCAGCAAGTGCATACATGCATGCAGAGGGTGCAGTGTTAATACGGTCAACATAAAGAGATACAGTGAGGCTATCTCAATTTTGCACGGTGTTAATATCATGTATGCATCAAAAGGCATAGCGCAGTCTGATCTTCCACCAGAAAGTAGCTACCGTATACGTACGTGAAGTAATCACACTGGTTCAAACTGAGTTTTGATCAGCTGTGTTCAAGTAAGGAACTGCCTGATATAGGAGACGCCTCACTCTACAACCTCATGGGCAACAGGTCTAAACAGGCATGACAATAGCTTCATGACCATCATGGCATGATCATGCAATGCTGGCCTGATGCAAAGAACTTCTTTGCATCAGGCTTGAAGACTTCTTACTGCAAGGGTACAAACTTTGCATCATGTCACGAAGTACCTCTGTGATTACGTCGCTATATAGATATATCATGCCAGCCAAACCTTATATATATACCGGTATATACGGGTACCTGTAAGGCTCGGAGCACCATTGACATCAAGCGCACTGTTGCATTGCTGGACTCCATTCATTTCAATTTCAAGTCCTCAACGTACATATGTGTCCCAAAATTGCGTACTCCCATCAATGGCCAAGATCTAGCTGAAAACATCATCTGATCAATCTGAATGCCTCCTGGTATTGTTGGTCTGAAAGGCCATGTCTCCATTGCTCTGTAAACTTTACTTGAAGAAGAAACTGATCCAGGGCTGCAACAGAAGTTGTCCTGTTCTCAGTGAGTCGAGATATAAACAGTTGCCTCTGACTCAGGTTGGTAGTGCCAAGTTGGCACAACCAACACGGGCCAGGCTTGTAATGTAACATTCAGACAAGGCTGCAACATAGCCATGTCGCCAGGACTGCACAACTGCCTGCTTGCCTGCAGGATTCCATTCAGCAATAATGAGCAGCAAGCGTCAGTTTACAAACATAAAGAGGACTGCTACTCGTTCAGTACACCAATGCATAATTAAGGTATCCTGCTTGCAGCACTCACACAGCCTTGTGCGTGATCAAGCCGCAGAAGAAAATCCCACTGCCCGGTACCTGCTGATCATCGTTCAACTCAAAATCAAAATCAGAACAGTGTCATCTATCAGTACCTCATGGGTTCACTTTTTATGCCTCGATTGCTGCATTTGTCCCCTCAAGTTGAAGTGCCCAATCATGCCTCTTGCCTCCGTTGCTGCGCTTGTCCCTTCCACTTCTACCTAAAGTACCCGTTCATGCCTTGGGGGTAGAATGTGCCGGGCTGCGTGGCATTCCCTCCATACACAATCGCCAGCACCTCATATGGAGTGCGAGAGAATGCCAGTCCCTGGCCATCTTGGGGCACCAGGTTTGCAAAGGGGTATGCTGTGTCACGGCCGTCGGCCGGAGGAACCACAATCCCCTGGTCCTTGCCGTTACCGGCCTTGCCGCGCAGGTTGGAGAACCCCTGCACAGGGCAGAAGTTTCGCTGCTCAGAAGCATGACTTTTTGTGTGGGTTGCTTGGTAGTGTGGTGTCAACATCAACCCCTGTCTGAGGGGTCAAGGCAGGCAGGCTGAGGCAGCCCCTATTGTAGTAGCAGCCCCAGGGCATCGAACCAGCAGGCGTGCACTCGCGACTTCCGGGCTTCCATAGCACGTGCTAGCAAGCTCGAGAGTCAGCGTTTCTTTACCACATGACTGCAAGGACATCAGGTGATCAATGCTAGGGCGGCGAGGGACATGACTAACCTGGACAAAGTCCCACACGCGGATGTTGTAGGGGGTGACCATGTCGGAGCCCTTCTGGTACAGCAGGGTCCGCAGGATGGCTGCATGGTACGCCTCCACAGGGGATATGCCAGCAATCGTGTTGAGCACTGACTTTGAAACCAGCAGAGGAGTTGCGCCGTGGAACGCAGTGACTCCAACGTCCTCAAACAGGAAAGCACCTGCCATGCCACACAGCAGCAGAGTGAGCAAGCCACGATGTGCCACCACAGCATGCATGCTGTGATTCCTCTCAGCTCAACTAGCTCAAAACTGCGCCTGCATTCCCAGCTTATCTGCTACTGGCCAGAAGTTCATTTTCAAGCCACATGTACAAGCTTTTGAATTGAGCTGACATATCAGGCAGTTCCCAAAGGAGTATTAAACTTTGTGTTAGGCCAATGTGCAGCATTGCATGCATGAGAGGCATGTAGGTGCACCTAGGAGGAAATTGATGTCACTGTTGTAGGGGAAGAAGCCGTCAACGTTGTTTGCAGCTTTGCCTAGGCTGGTGAAGGAACCGCCAATGTCCATCTTTGGGCAGGGCACCGCGTCATTGCCCAGCAACTCCCGAAGGTCAGTAACCTGCACATCAAGTAAAGCACAATTCATGCACATGGGTCAACCACATTCCAGCTTTCCTGGCACAATTTGCCTCTGCACTTCAGGAAACGTTCAAGCGAGTTACAGTTGAGTTTGAGACATAATCAGGAGCTCACATGGTTGATTTCGTCGTTGGCAAGCTCAGTTGCTATTTTGAGCAAGTCTGGGCTAAGGTTGGCCTTAAGCCCTCCGACTGATCCCGGACCGCTGCCCAAGGTACTACTATTCAGCCCATATCCATAGACGGCGTTAGAGTAATACTCAGCCTCCAGGCACTCCAAGTTCAGTGCGAAATTCAGGATGTCGTTGTCCGTTTGGGCGACAGCCGTGCCGGCGAATAAGACGGCTACACAGGCGGCGAAGCCCATGGAAAGCTTTAAGACCACCATATCCAACAGTGGTAGGACCTTACTGTAGTACTGTACTTAGAATCACCTACACAGACAGCAGCAGCCCTGAGGATGGATACAAGGTTTGTCGATAGGCCCTTCAACTGCAGTAAAGGTTGCGCTGTCACTGTAGGTATGTTCAAAGTGGCGTGAGAGTAGGAAAATGGATAACTAAGACAATTTCTCGCCCAGAACCCTTCTGATCTCTGACCAGTACTTCCGGCGAGAGGTGCCGACCCAAGTCATCTGGGTCGCTTTACGATGATGCTCTCATACAGCACAACCTAGAAGTCACTTTGTCACAACGGACCGAAAGAATTTGGTTACCTGGGGCCAAATAACCAGGCGCTGGTTTCAAAGGTCCGCAGTGATGTCCTTACTGATCTGCACTAGCTTGTAGACGATCACAGCGAAGCTCAGATGAAAGAGGGACTCGGATCTTAGTGTCTATGGATGCTCATTGCCTGCTTTTGAGGACCCAGTGGCTAAATACTCTATCTTTCCGAGATCGATGCGTCAGGATGGCGTAGCTGGCCTGGAAGTCCCAAAGAAAAGGGCGTTCCCGTCCGTATTCTCAGCACCTTGAAGTGCATGCAGATGAACATAATCTTGCCGATACTGCACTCTCTGTCGAAATATTGATCAATGTCTTTTCTTATTCCTCAGAGGGCGTTATGAATACCATTTCAGGTGCTAGATTCATGAAAAAATGTTGAATGCTACTAGTAGTAGCAGCCAGTGGCTGCTCTGGGGCGTCCAATCATTGCAAGCGCATCTTCTTTGGGTCAACCATCCAGCCCTGGTTTAGACACAAAAGTGTAAGAAGATTGTCCCTGCATTACTCAGGACAGGTTCTTGGCCTTTACTATCTTAATACCTTGGCTGCAGCTCCCAGGCACTGCAGCACCAGCAGGTCCTGGAATGGCGCCATTCCAGGACCTGCCGGCAGTACATGGTAGGTGCCCTCAATCTCGAACCCGTCCTTTACCACCTGCGAACACAGCAGCAACCTCATACAAACTCCCATGAGTTCACTTTTCTTGCACAAACCGATGCTGCAACTTGATATTAATTGATCAAAATATTTTACCAAATGAGGTGGACCTGTCAAGTCCTGGAATGATTGAAGTCAAACAAGACTTGGAGTTTCTTGGTTTGTCTTTGACAAGCAGGAGGAAAGCCGAAGATGGAGAAGGTTGGAAGGCTGTCATGCAATGCTGCTGCGACGCACCTAATCCTCATGGATTGGAAAGGAGTGTATTAACACTTGTTTTTACTTTGAAAGAACTTTACTCCTTGTACACATGTAATATCATGCTTGCAGCAGAGGCCACGTGGCCCCGTGCACAAGCAGCACCCATTTTCACTTGCAGCTGCTGTAAATCAGCCTTGGACTAATTTACAATTCCCCCAAACCCGAACCCACTCTCCATAAATATGTATACATATAGTGAAGTCAAGCCAGTGAAATCAAAATGTCGGAGACTGCTTTGATGTTGGTGGGTCAGCCTTTGTACATCTTATATAAAAAGTGCTTTGACAGCTCATGCGAACTTCTTGGTGTAGAAGCAAAGAGGAGGCACAAGGCAAGCCAGCAAAAGCATCAAACAGCAGGTGGGTGCAAGCCAGATCTCCAACGCTTCTCTCCACAGCGTCTTCTGCAGCAGCATTGCGAAGGGCAGCCCAATCAGCAGGCCACCCACTAGCCTTGCCCCGAGTGCTTCCTCACTCTGAGCCAAGCAGCATGACACACCAGCTTCAAACATGCTGTCTATCAAATGTACAAAATGCTCCAGTGAAACTTGCAAAGCTGATCATGGGAGCATATGCTGGAATGATAGACTAGTTTCTGGGACCAAGGACCCTGCCTGCAAGATTGCCACCATTCCACAGAAAGCCCCAGAGAGCACTGCTGCCAGCACCCTGACTATTATGAGCTTCCGCTGCCCCCTTGCCTTCCACTCCAGTATAGACTCCAGGACAAGGAGCTCTGCATACAGCCGCATTCACACAACGGTAAGTCTCAGGGATACTATTGATGCAAGCACTTGTCAATTAACATGATATGTGAGGCCGAATCAATGATGCCTTTAAGGGTGCTCACCTAAGTGGCAGCTGAGAATTCCAATAGGGCCACAGAAGATGGTGTTGGGGCTGCTGACAACTGCAGCAAAGAAGTTTGCACACACGCCGGTGACGGTGCTTAGCAGCGCAAAGTTCACCGTGTTGTACCTGTGCTCCAGCGCAAAGGAGACCAGCAGGAGCACCGCGAAGCTTGCCAGAAGCTGCACGAAGCTCTTGTGCAGCAGCAATGAAGTGAACCACCTGCGCATTGCATGCGTTGGTTTCTGGAGCTTTCAATGAAAATGCGCGGAAAAACCAGACACATCAGGCAGCATGCATGCACCCCAAGCATCAATCTGGACGCTAATAGATAGGGGTCCTGACAATCAGAGAAAGCTTTCGCCGTTGAAAAAGCGCACATCATGTGTTATTACCTGTATGGTTGACCGGCAGAGACAGTTGCCGCACTTAAGGCTCCCCATTGGAGCAAATACTGGTCAGAGAGGGACTCCCAGTTGCCGGTGTCTGAAAAGGAAAACCAACCAGATAGGGCATGTGGATATGGGACAAGGTCAGGGACGCTGCTGTTGTTATGACTCTGAGGACTCTTGGGATTCTGTGTCCCTGCATTATACAGTGGGTATGCCCCCGCCATGAAGGCCCAAGCAGCGGTAAACATGAGCAGCAAAACCCCAACAAACAGCGGCAGCCCTCTCCTCTTTCTTGGTGTGCACCTGCAGCATATAGTGATTGTCGTCAACAAGATTAAACGCCCGGCTGTCTTCTCTGACAAGATCTCAAAAAGCATTTTGCACACTCTCCTGGCATCTTCTGGTGCACCGGAATTGTGGTGAATATTGACGGCGGCAGAGAGCTCACCAGTCAAAGACACGAATGCTGGCCAGCAGAAGGTGGGTAGCTGTTCGATCAGCAACCCCAGCGTAGGACCTGTGTTGGTGCCGCTGCAGGGCCGCTGTATACTGCGGCCTCTGAACACAGCCATGCCTCAAGTCATGGGCCGACGGACCCGCTGCAGAATCTTGAAAGCTGGGGTGCCTCGTTTTCCTCGAATTGCGCCTGTAGGGGTGCTCTGTAAAGCCATGACATGGAAGATTTTCAAATTTCCTGAGGTGGAGTCATTTGGCAAACCCTCTTGCCCAGGTGCAAGCGTCACGAGCAAGCACTTCAGATCAATGCACAAGAATCTTACCAGAGAAGAGAAGATTTGCCAAGTTGAGTAGTCTCAGCCGGACGGACCCCCTACTCCTTGGGCTCTCCCTGGAACCCCAGAAGCGATTTCAGCTGCGGACCCAAATGAAATAAGTAATCCACTTGGGTGAAAACTTAGTACGATGCGTGAAGCATTGCACCTTGGCAAGTTGATGGACATCTCCTCCTGTACGTATGTTTGTCCTGATGAGCTAGCCTCCTGGTCCTGCATTCGTGATGAAGCTGCTGAAGCTTCCATTTTACAGTGCCGTGCAATTTTGGTGCCTCAATGATGTGTCGTCAAATGTCAAGCATCTGATTTGCTGTACGGCATCTTGTCATGAGTTGTGATCACAGCCTGTGATCGCAGCAGTAAATTATTATATTTCCTTTCTTTCTGCCTTTTGAATTGGTAGCGTGTCCCTCATTAGAGGCGCGGCCGAGAAAGCTCCCTATGAAAAAGCAAAAAGACGATTCGCTTTTGTGGGGACTAACAAGAGGCAATTTGTTTCAAACAGACTGTTTGCGGCAATCTGAATTGAGATAAAGAAAGTAGGAAAGCCATGGAGGCAATGGCAGATGATGCGCGGCAAGCGCAGCAACTGCTGGAGCCTTTGCCCGCAAATCTTGCGGCTGGCTACTTCAAGGAGGTACCAGGCATTGTATACGTCACAGCTATACTTATATAACAGCATGTACATCTTACTCATTACTAATCATGGGACAATCGTGCGATCAAGTCTCGGTGTGCTGCAGGTCATCGACAGGGTTGGTGTGGACCTCGAAGTACGCCTCGCCTCAAAAATCAAGGGCAAAGGCGTTTTTGCCAGAAAGGTAGAGACTGCAAGACCAAGCCGGCCGTGAGAACAGCATGATCGTGTTCAAGAGGCCGTAAATTGGCAGCTAGTTTGAAGCTACTGCAGTCTGAAACGAAACCTTGAAAAGTAAGTATTTTGATTTCTTGCGCAGGCCATTGCTGAGGATAACGTAATTTTTGAGGAGCCAGCCCTGGTCGGGGCACAGCACACGGCCAACAGGGCTGATGCTCTGGTCTGCAGCCGCTGCTTCACCTTTATTGGCTCGATAGGCATGCAGATAGCACACCGGCTGCTGTCAATGAGATCTGAAGGTCTTGGCCTTCACCCATCTTTTGCATGCCTCTGCTCTGCCACTTTGTCCATGGATCTTTCTTGTGACACACGGTCGAGTTGCACAATGGAAAACTGCGGACAGACTTTGATGCAAGCGTTATGGAAGTCGCAGGGCCCGTGGATGTGAACCCAGATTACCTCAGAGGCCTCTGGTCCGGCGTGGCAGAGCTGCCTCACAGTGACCGCTACCCTTTGCCAAAGCTGGTGAAACTCCTTCCTGCCCTTCACCGCCAGCAGGCTTGCCGTGATGTTTTTCAGAATGCGCATGCCATCCATGACAGCCAGGAAGACCTGTGAGCTCCATTTCACACAAGGGAGCTTGCCGGAAGGGCTGGATTTTGCACAGGATCAATGATGCCGCCGGATGTTTACACAGGTGACCTGCCTGGGCGGCTGCACGGACACTGTGTACTGCAGCGAGGAGTGTGCGGCTGCCAACTGGGCCGCGCACCACCGGCTGCTGTGCTCCGGCCCGCGCTCTCAGCCCAGTCGTATTAGCGTACCCGCAGATGATGAGCAGTCCAAGTGCGCCCACACAGCCAGCTTGCACTTTTCCCATGGCAGCAATCGCATACTTGCCGCTCTGCTGCGCCAGCACTGCGAGCAATGACACTATATTCATTGTATAAAGAACTTGTGAATTTCAAGTAGTACATGGACTGCATACTAGATATCAGAGTATGTGGTCCTTGATGTAAATTAAATCAATCCTGCCCGGTTTCTGTGTGCAGGCGGCCGGCGTTTGAGGCCCTCAGTGAGGCGTGTGATCAGCCGCAGGTGCCAGGACTGCAGAGCTTGACACCGCCCATGAGACAGCAGCCGCCAAATCTGGCTAAGGCGGACGCGATACGACGCTTCAAGGAGCACGCCGATGAAACCAACGACGCGTTCCACATCGCCGCGCAGGTCGTGGCCGGCACGCTGCTGCGCGCTGAGGAGCTGCTCAGCAATGGCTTTGCACCAGGTTCAACCCTTTGCTAATATTCGCGCCTCACACCTGCCGCACCTCTACACCATAAGCGGTGGATATTGTATCCATGTCAAGCAAGTCCTGCCCCCACATTGCTCCCTGGGGCTTTGGACCAGCCTGCAGGGCCCAGGGATCATTCAGAACAGAACGATCAGCCATGGGTAGAGTCACTGCCTTGTTACCTGTCTTATCAGGTGACTGTCATGTAATGGCCTTTGCACAGGTGACCCATGATGGTCAGTACCCTTAGCTATAAAAAGAGATTCACATTGTGCTGCTGTGCTCCTGTAGAGGCTGCCGGAAGCAGCAGCGAGCGCAATTGGGCGGCGCTGCAGAGAGCGTGGCGGCCGTACGCTGCTGCCTGGAAGGCGCACTGGTGGGAGTGCGTGGCCATCCCCGATGACGTCACCGACGCGGCCTGTTTCCGCAGCGGTCAGGCTCCCACAACACATCTCCATGTGAATTGAAATTCTTTGTGTGTCTGTGGGTGGAGATTTGGAGATCTGTGGCACTGGCATGGGCTGTCTTGGGTCAGTTTGAGAAGCATTCCCTGTCAGAAGGAACAAAGACGAATGGGTACATCACAGCTGGATTCACACACAGATTGAAAGTAGACACATGCAAGCCCAAGGCGTCAGGTGAAGCGACGAGTCTTGTATCAGCAATTCTGAATGGCAGGATGATGTTTTGGCTGCGCTGCAGATCTGCACGAGCTGGCAGGTGATTCGCTGGAGCTACTAAAGGAGTTCCTGTATGATGAGCGCTTCCCGGCCCTGTTCCACCTGGATGTCTATGGCTCCATCATGGGCATCTTCGAGCTCAACAACCTAGGTGAGCACTCCTGAACGCTCAATTTAAATCCTACTGGCTATTCGTTTTGGTCCTACTGGGTTCACCCATACAAGAAACCGCGCGCACCTCTGCATTGCCTCTGGGTGCCCTATTCAGAATAGAGAAATTGCAAGGACAAGGCAGCGTGGGCGCCATGCAAGGAATTTTTGCTGCGGGCGAGGTTTTGGTATCATTGGAAATCATCGCTAGCTTGAGTGGGGCACATACTGCGGTGATTGACAAAGGTGTTATGTCAGGTATATATGTGGCTTCGCCAGTGGAGGACTACTTTGAGCTGTGCCATGCCGAGGACGGCGGCCTGTCAGAGGAGGAGCAGAAGCTGACGCACCTCATCACCCGTGCGCCGTCTGCTTCTTTTTGTCTTGCACACGAAAGTGCTGCTTCATCAACCAGTACTTCCAGATTAATACTGTGCCACATTAGTGAAGTACATGCCAATGAAAGCTCATGCCTGCATCAGTGGCGTCGCTGTGTGACATCTGCTTGCAATGCTCTGTCGCTTCCCTATTTGATATCCTGCAGAATTGCAGTCCAAGCATTCATCATCCTGCTTAAAATTGCGCAACACGAGAAGGTAAGACTAGCATCACTGGGGCGGCAGGTCCGCTGCTGGACAGCTTGGGGGAGTCCTACGGCGCCGGCTGCGAGGGGAGCGCCTTCTACGCGCTGCAATCGTGCTGCAACCACAGCTGCGCGCCCAACGCCCACGCCTTCAAGCGCGCGCATATCGACACCGACGGCAGCGCCACCATCCTTGCAAGGAAGCCCATCGCGCCCGGCGAGGAGGTCTGATCCCTAAATCCTCCTCACTGTATTGATGCTGGCTATGATATTGCACTGCCCTGCTCTTGTCGCCACGGACGTGGCAAGAGATTGCTTGAGGCGGATGGCGATGCGAATTGACAATACCTAGCATGCTTGTCGGCTGGATCTTGATGTAACATGATTGGAACGTCAGTATTGAAGTGTAGGGTCCCGCAGTATGTTGTATGGTCTTCTCTTCGAACCCTTGTCCCTGAACCATGTTGGGCCACATACAGTACAGAGTATAAGAAGAGTGAGATGTGCTTGTCTGGTCTGCACAGGTGTGTTTGTCATATATAGACGAGGATGCGCCGTACCACGACCGGCGGGCTGCGCTGGCCGACTACGGCTTCACCTGCGAATGCGACAAGTGTGTATCTGAGGCTGCAGCGCCTGGAAAGGCCACCGCCTGATCGGGCAACGCTGTGCACCTCGCAGGAATGCATACAAAATTTGTATTACAAACCATTGTCAATGGCATTGTCATTTTTGTGGTGCATGTGGCATGATGCCTCCAGATTGTGTATGTGGTGGCAGGTGGGTTTGCGCCAGTATTTCCCTCTAGAATTTGTTTTGAACTGCTCTATATTGGGGAACGCATGATGACTTCTGCAGCATGGGTATGATGGCTGCAATTAAAGCAGCCTGAACATAATCAGGGGTAATAAATTAAACACTGGTGCTCTATACATTACCCTGAACCAGAATGCTGTGGCACCTGCCTTGTTTTTGCATTGGCCTACGCTGATCTAGAAAGATAGCTGAAAATAACTTCATCATTCGTGCTGTTTTTGCATGTATTTTGCATATGTATAGCGTAGCATTGCAGAATGGCCTACTATGAGGATAAGGTGAGAACTTGCTAAATGTGAGAATCCAATCTTGATTATGGTGCTGGTGCTGGTGCCAGCATCTCTTGTGTTAGTCTTGTGGACGGGCAGATGCAGCGTGCTCAGAGACACGGAGTTGACAATGGCACCCTGGTTTGTCAGGTGACACTGTGCAGACGCTTCCACAGGACCACTGAAACATCGGCCCTTTTTCATGCAACCCTGTTCGCAAGCAGTGTGCTGTGGTGACAGGCTGTCAATGACAGCTGAGCTGTAGCTGTAAGATCCTGGATTGAATTGAAAATTAGCTGGGCCTTGATAGGCAAATCCATGTGCCAATGGGATCAGGACTGCATCACATTGGGAGCAGAATTGGTGCAATATTGTAACCATTCATTATTATATTAATGCTCGTGTCTTTATATGTTTAAGGGCAGCAAGCATGATGACTTTCTCCTCTGACTCCATGTGTGTACACATCAATGCTTTACATGTGGACCAACTTGAAGCTATTAGAAGCTATTAGAGCAGTCAATCATTTGCGTTGCACTCATCCGTTTTGGCTCAGCAGCAAGGAACTTCAGATCTCCAGACCAAAAAATAAAATCACCAGCAGAAATCGTGTCTTCCTGGGCAGAAGCAATGGTACATGTCTGCTTCAAAGTGCCCGCTGCATGGCAAACAACATGAAGCACAAGACTTTTGCAAAGAATAAGTCTAGTCTGCTGTGTGCACGACCAGCGGCTGCAGGTGCCTGTGCATGAGCCGGCTGCCCTCAAAGCTCTGTGCCCATGACATGGGTGCAATGGAGGGGTGAGCTCCAGGCGAGCTGCCCTCCAGTGGGGACATTCCGCCGTTTGTGTCGAAGGATGCTCCATGCAGGTACCCCTGCAGTGACAGAAGTCCCCTCTTTAGAAGACACTTCTTCCCTTTCATGTGCACACACACACACGCTTCCTCCAATTTCATCCGCGCACACATGCATGCTTGCCTCCCAGCAGGGTCGCAGCGCATATACCGCAGTAGAGCCAGGACCCATAATCCCCTCTGCCCCTTGCGAAGGAACTCCACTATAATCCAATCTACCAAGCATTTTGGAATTAGTCTAACTGTCTATCAAGCTGCTGCTGATCAACCCGTAGTGATCAGATGCAATCGGCAATCAGCAGCCTTGGCCAATTGTTAGGCCTATGATGAGATCGAGCAGACGCTACATGCAGCCTGGCAGGAAAGTAACGGCCAAGCAAAGTACCTGGTCGCTGCCGGGAGTGCTGGAGGCCGGGCGCTTGCGCGAGGCGCCAGCAGAGATGGGCCGCATGCCGATGGGCGCGTGCGGCCACAGCGTTGCGGCCGATCCGGCCGGCGCCAGCGGCTGCCGGTGCCGCTGCGCCCCGGGCACGTCCGCGTCCTCCTCAGAGGTGTCGCCGTCCGATGAGGACGACTCATCGTCGTCGCTGCTGGAACTCGCCTCGTCATCATCATCTGCACACATGCACATGCTGTTTATTGAAAGAGGGAGCGCCATTCCAGATTACCACAGCGCTGGAACAACAGCGGTCAGCTTCACAGAACCACCACGAACAAGTATTACAAAACAGTGGCCGCCAGCTTGAGAAGAGCATCACAGCCTGCTCTGCAGAAAGCTGCACCCCAAAAACAGGGCCAGTAAATGCCCCAGCATCGCCAACTCGCGACTGGCTATGCTCTTGCGTTTGCTCGGGCTATTTGGGTATCCGAGAGGGCTAGTGTGTCAGTCAGGTAAGCAGGGAACCGGAGTTCGCTGAGGGGGCTAGTAAGAGTGACTCACCGGATGACTCGCTGACGCCGTCGACCTCCTCGTCGCTGGACATGTCGGAGGCATCGTCGTCAGCCGGCCCAGGCGCGGCGCGCGGGTGGCCGGCCTTCCAGTGCACGTATGTCCTGCCCAGGTCCAGGTGGCGCGCCGAGTGGCGCAGCAGGAAGGGGTCAAAGGGGAAGAACATCTCCAGCGGCCTCTGCGCGCGCGCCGCCTCGCTCCGGCCCGGGAGCAGCGCCGCGCAGTCCATGAGCTCCAGCCGCTGCGCCAGGCGCGTGAACTCGGCCACCACTGTCGGCAGGCACACCGCCAGCGGAGCCAGCCTGTTTTGACAGCAACGCAAATTCAGCATCTCACCGAGGACACTTGAAGAACAATCATTGGTGCCCTCCCCTACAGGAACAAAACAGGGACAGAGATATGGAGGTGGGCACCTTCCGAATGGACACCGGACTTAATAAAGGAGTTTTGTAGCGCCTCAGCTGTCCAGGGTGGGCTTCGGCATGATCAGAGCCATTAGCAAAATTTTGCCAAAGCTCACTCTGAACAGATCAATGCTGAGGCACTCCATGCCACCAAGGACAAGCAAAACGTCCTCATGCAGGTGAAATTGGCTGAGGTCAGAAGCCAAGCGTTCAAATGGAACTTTGTTTCAGGGCGGCGCCGCGGTTTGATCCATTGCGGCGCGCTCAAAATGGCATTTCTCTCATCACTCCTCAGCCGGTATCTCAATTCATCAACAACTGGTAACGCCCTCTCAAGCGCCTCAGCACTTATCTGTACAAATAAACTTTGGCAAGGTCACGGCTCTCGGGAAGATCTCCCAAAGCCTACCCTGAACAGATCAGACGCTGAGGCACACTCAAGTGAAAGAGCAAGGCAGACGTCCTCATGGAGGCGAAAATCGTTGAGGTCAGAAGCCAAGCGTTCAAATGGAACTTTGTTTCAGTGCGACGCCGCGGTTTGATCCATTGCGGCGCGCTCAAGATGGCATTTCTATCATCACTCCTCAGTCGGCCTATCAACACCTTTCTTCCTTCTCAAGGCAAATCTAGCACGCTACACATATTTTCATCGTCTTGCTCTACTTGGTGCAGCCTCAAGCAGCGAAGAAGAAGCAGCGAGCATTACCTGTGGTGCAGTAGCTTTGGCATGACGTCTGTGAAGAGCTGTCGGACGATGTCTGCACTTCTGCCACCTCCACTGTTCGAGTCTGATGGGGATGGGGATGGGGATGGTGCTGGTGCTGATGCGTCCATGAGCTGCTCCAGGCGATAGCACAGCACATACAGCAGACCCTGGCAGGCCGCATAGAACACCTGCAGAACAACAGCCGCCTGTTGGAACGCCTTGCACAACCACCTGATAGGTATGGAAGCAATGCTGCGAAACTTTGTAATGTCTTTGTGCAATGCAGAAGCGCAGAAAAATACCCCGAGGCCTTGCGCATCTTCTGGGTGCCAGGCATCATGCTAACGACACAGTGACTGCATGGCCACAGCATGCGCCAGCCAATGGGTTGGTCAGAGAGGTCGAGGCAGGGCCAGCACCTGGTGTTGGATGCCTCTGAGTGGCCCAGCATCCATGTCCAGCCGCGTGGACAGTGGTGCAATCGTCAGCGCCGCGCGAGCGTCCTTTGCATCCTGCTCCTGGCAGTACGCCAGGCACCAACCCGCCAGCACCTGAATGTGCACGATCACAACCATTCAAAATTCCTACCCTCCTGAAATACCCCCATGGCATTGCATGTCCTGGTGGCAGGTCCTGAGCATGTTCCCAATCTGCAAACGTATGCACCACAGCTGCAGGCGCAGGTGTGCCATTATAGCGGCAGTCCTGGGGAGGCAGCACAGCAAGAGACAGGCGGGTGGGGTTTGGGCATACAGTAACACGAGAAGATGGTATTGCAAGCAGGGGCAGCGCACCTGGAGGGACTCGATGAGGATGTGTTCGGGGACGAGGGCGGCGCGCGCGAGGAAGCTGGCCATGTAGGCGGCGGCTGCGGAGCGGGTGATGGGCGCCACGTTGGGGCTGGTCAGCTGCCCCAGCAGCAGCTGCACCAGGCTTACGCTGCAGTGCTTGGGATCCTGCACAGTCACACACTCTCTCAGGCAACTACCTTTCATGTACTTTTTTATACACATTCATTATGCATCTGGCCTGAATGATAAGTCATGCAATGGCCTGATCACCACCTTGAGTCATATTCAAATTGGCGTGGAAAACATCAGAACTTCTGCGGACCTTCTGATGGCTAGGCGAACAACTGTATGCACTTCCGAGGTGCTTGAGGGGTAGATCGGCTGCGGTAGAAAGGGCAAGGGGAGGGGGCGTGCCTTCTCGCAGAGGTACCAGAGCAGGTACTGGGTGAACTTGGAGCGGTGGGTGTGCAGGATGGTGCGCTGGAAGGTGTGCAGCGTGGTCGCCCAGGCAGCATGCAGCTGCCCCGCCTCGCAGCGGCGGCCCAGGTGCTCAAACACAAGGCCCATCAGCGCGTCCAGCTTCTCTGCTGACTCCGTCGTCGGCTGCCGCCCCGACGGCGACGCCGCTGTCTCCACGCCTGCATCAGCACGTCCGTGAACATTCTTACAACCTGTGCATGTGTGCTGTAAGGTAAATACCGCGCATCCTCATAGCTGTCATGAGAGTGAGATGCAAGCACCAACCAGTCACATAACCACCATGCTCCAGCATGCTACATCTCACAGAGGCTTACACGGGGATTGCGGTGCGGTCTCTTTCATAAGCATCAGGGGTTGAAAGCGGGGCAGGCTGCACTTAAAACTTGTGTATGAGTGGGACAATCACCCCCGGCAGCGCCCTCCCAACCGCCGCGCCCCTGCAGCCGCTCTGGGGCCGATGCCGGCTGTGCTTGTGGGCTGAGGTGCAGCTGCTCCGTCTGCCCCTCCAGCTCAAATATGTCTTCCTCCTCCTGCTCGCTCTCGCCCTCCTCCTCATCCGCCGCATCTGCCCATGCACCCACCAAACTCCGTCAACCACCTCTTTGACAGCCAACATGTGGCGCGTCCTGCACTCGTAACCTGCCCTTGCCGGCCTACAGTATTTCCAAAGGAAAACCTCCAGTCCAGCATCGCGCTTCCGGCCGGACAATTATAACTAATGCTCCAGCCCAGGAACACATCCTGAGTCTGCCAGCTTGAGTGCGCTGAGTGGAACTTCTGGAGAAAGGGCAAGGGCAGCTGGGGGCAAGGCCACCAGAGGTACAAATGGGCATGTGCGCACCGGCTTCAGCGGCGGCGATGTCCTGCCAGCGGATCTCGACGTCCAGGGACAGCAGGTGCTCGGCGGCCGCCGCCAGGATGCCCTCGCGCACGGCTGCGGCTGCCGGTGCCTCGGCCAGCGCGAGCGCGCCGCGAAGGTAGAGGCACTGCGCGTCGCGGTCGCGCAGGCGGTGGGGAATGCCCCCGGCTATCACCGACATCAGCCGCGACGGCGCTGTCGGCACCAGCATCAACACCTGTCGCAACAGTAACAGAAGCTCTGCTCAGTAGCCGCAGGCATAGCCATACCACAGCGCTCCAACATCCTTGAAACCTCAAATCCAAGCGTGCCAGACACGCAATACTAAGAAGCTGACGAAGAAGCATGGGTGCCATGTGAGGGCTTAGTGACTCGTGAAGCTCAGTGTGTGAGCCTTTCCTAGAAGATGTACAAGCAGTCTCCTCATGCTGTCATATATAGCATGGGAGGAAAATACAGATGATGAGAGTTACCTTTTCCAGGGCTGCAATGACCTGCTCCTGGATCGCCACCAGGTCAGGGGACGCCTGCCACTGCTGGCTGTCAGGCGAGCTCTCGCCTGGAGACAGCTGCACAGGAGGCGTGGGAGGCGGCTGTAAGCCCATGGCCAGCACTCGCAGGCACAGGGGCACCAGCGCGCTGTTGGCCACCACAAGATGCGTGACCAGCCTCAGCAGCGCTGCTCTCAGATCCTGCGCACACACCCTCACTTCTTTGAGACGATGCTGTCATGTGCCTTTCCGGCGTACACAGCATCATCTGTGGGGGGATATGCTGCCAGGCCCTTTCCATGCTACCTAGCGCAATAATTATAGCAGTGTTTGCAAAGCGACCAGAGCTTGCAGGATCGGCACACTGTGAGCAAGTGCAGGGCAATCACATGGGACTGGGCAAGATGTCATCCATGCGTTTCTGCTCGCAAGGAGAGTGCTGTGCTGCTCACCGGGGTGGCTTGCCATATGGAGATGTCAAAAACTTCATTCAGCAGGCTCTCATGCTCATGCTCGTGAAGGCTGGACACGCAGGTAGTGAGTGCGTCCAGGACACTGGTCAGATACTCGACTTGCTCCTCATCCTTTGAACCCAGCGCCTTCTCTTTGATGCGCCGTATCTGGTCCACTAGGCTGCACAGAACCAGACCTTGGTTTCAGGAACCACGGACAACGTTTGCTGGAAGCCTGAAGAGCAGCGTGCCTCCAAGTGCATCGTGCAACCCCTACACTTTGGTGTAGCATATGGTGGCGACCACCAGGATGTAAATATTCAAAATTTGCAAGGAAAGACTGCGTGTAGGTCGAGAAAATTAGGCACTTACTTTTTGTAAGAAGCTGATTTGACGCCGCCCTTCTGGGACTTCGATCGGACCGCTTCCTTCACGTGAAGTCTCAAAAGCTCGTCCAAATCTCCTGCACCGGGTACATTGCACCACTCAGCTAAGGGCAGAACGCACCTAGGAAGACCAGGGCTTGCGTGATCTGAAAATGCTTGCCATCGCACCTGCATCGGCGTCTCCAAGCAATGGTGTGTCATGAGCAGCCATTATAAAAATATTGCTTAGGATGAAGGTGTCATCCCCCCGACAATGAGACGGTGTGACCACATCTCAAATAGACAATCAGACGACAGTGGCGACTGCGAGCACGCAACTCGTGGTCATGCACCAACGGCCCCCAGAATATAAAGATGGCAGATGTATTTCTGTTCTGGGTTCCTTGGCGAATGAATTTGAAGAGGAAGGGGTGAGCCGCACTTGGAGACTACTAATGTGCATCACGTGGTGCCAGCAGGTTTACTGATCAGCTTCGTGCTTGTGCAAGTCGCCCATTCTCATCCTCTTGGCTGACACTGACACTCATGTACTGCCAGTCTCCTGAGTTTGCTTCACAGATTGTGCAGAACTGTCAAATCTTGTCTGCAGATCAGATTCTCATTCGCCACTGGCTGCTGGTAACTCCTTCTCCTAATCGATTCAGATATCTGTACTGTCCATGTAACCTGTCATAATGTTCACTTCAGATTTCACATGCTGCATTGGGGGGAGCAGGGGACACCGCTTTCTTGCTTACCTTGACTACCTTTGTGCTTGTGCAAGCATGCGTTGAAGGGCTCACCAAGGCCTTCATTGCTGCATGTGTGACTGCAATGATTGCCTTGCTGAAGAGCGGCCAGGTGCTTGCAAAACACCCAGCACATATATTACGATACATCAGAAACAGAAAACCGCCTGTTAATGTAAATATTTATATTAATGTTAAAGTAAATATTTACCTGAGCTCATGAGCTCATGATCATGATGGGATTACGACCAGACTCTAATCGGATTAGATTGATGTGCCCAGTGATCTCAGGATAAAGTCACGCATTGCAATGCTATGATTGCGCGCAGGACAGCATGCTGTTGCAGGACAGCATGTTGCGCAACGTTGCAATACGTTCATGCTATGATGTGCCATCTTTTTTGACACAACAGTCAGACTCTCACTTGACAGTGCCCGCAACAACAGCAGCGCGAGCAACATTCTTAACATCATGGCAGCCACAACGCAAGGCGCGCTCATTTCCTGGGCACGGCGGGGCCGATCTGGGGCTCGCCGCTGATGAGCTTCTGGTTGGCGCGCAGCACTGAGCCCGGCGCGGGGTAGGGGCGCTGCTGGAACAGCGGTCCGCTGGCTGTGGTGTCGGCCGCGCGCGGCTGCGCCCCCTCCATGCCCGACGACCAGCCGCCCAGCGGAGCATCCGAGTACGCCGACTGCAACGGTCACACCAAGCGTCTCATCACCCACACTTGCTGAGCGCATGCAAGCCGCTCAACGTCCCGGGATTGAACAGCAACAGCAATTGGCAAGTAAGATTTTCCCAAGGAGCTCCTGGGAGATTTTTCGGAGCTCCTCAGCATCCTGAAAGGATCCTGGACCCCAGTTTTGGGAGGTTCCTATGACGATGCTATTCTGGCATCTGAGACCATGGCAAGCCTTCAATCCTGAGGTCCAGGATCCCTTCAATTAATCCAAATGCTTGTGTGCAGGGGCGGGAAGGGTGGCTTGAGGGGTGACTCACGGGGTCCATGGGGTCGATCTCGTCGCGCTGGCGGCGGGCAGCGTGGCGCCGCTCCTGCTGCGCCGCAATCACCTCCCGCCGGTTCAGCCTCTCCCGGGGCTCCACCGGCACCGCAGCCGCCACCTGCATGGCAGCTGCTGGAGCAGCCGCCACTGGCACCGCTGCGGCATCACCTGCAGACATGGACACGACGTGAGTTCATGGCCCTGAGTTCATGGCCCTGCAAGCACACCTTGCCACAGACAGTGCGCTCAAGCAGTTGTTCTCACGTTCCTGCAGATTAAACAGACTTCTGTTGGATGACGGCGCAGTATTTTACGTCAACCGCGTGATTGTATAGTGCTAGCGCACCTCCAACGAGTCCGAGGTCTTGGTAGTAGCCCAGGCCTTTGCTTCCCATCTTGAAGACATACCCCTCCACGCGCCCTGTGAAGCTGGCAGAAGGTACAAAGGGCCCGCTCAGCCCAGCCGCAGCTGTGGGCCGCTCCCACTGAGTTTGGCCTGCCGCAGCCAAAACAGTTTAAGTTCTTCAGGCCTTCATATGTCCAGCACCTCGAGAACGGGTCTGTCTCGCCCACGTTTATGTGGTGGCTCCTCAAAATTTGCTTGGCATCAGCATGTCCAGGTGCAGGTCCCTTGCCTCTCCCAAGAAAAGACACTGGCAACATGAAATAACAATCGCAAGCAGTGAAATTTGGGAAGTCCAGAGGATCAGCACCTGGAGCAGCTGCTTCCAGATTGTGCTCATTAAATGAGCCATTCACGCAATCTTGAAAGATCAGGGCTATTGGTCCACATGGCCTCTCAATGCCGCATTTCACTGATATTGTGATGCAAGTGAGCCCATCAATCACTGCATCTGACCAAGGGGCATCCGCACCTGTGGATGCGTTGAAGTAGTACACCTGCCCAGTGCCAGGGTCGGCTGCCTCACTCCACCCAGGAGGAAGTGCACTGCCGCTGGCCTTTGGTGGCGGCGGCGCCTTTGCAGCACTGGATGCCGGTTTCTGCAGTGCACAATGTTATGTCAATCTCGCAATGCACAATAAGATCAGTTGCCATGCTAAAATATACAAAAAGGAGCGAATTATCTTCTGAACCATGCACACAATGGAGGCTTCATCAATCATGGTATAATCTGTCTTCTTTGAAACGCTAACACAAGTAGGAGGGTCGAAGAGGACTTGCCTGCTGGACGGCGGGAGCGGCGTTTGCAGGCGCGCTGGCCGCAGCTGCAGGCTTGGGCCGCACCCAGCTGCGCTCGCCAGTGCTGACATTGTACCAGTAGGGGTGGTTGTACGTGGGGTCAATAGCCTCCGCCCAGCCCTCGGGCAGCGCCTCAGAGCCGCTCGCCACTGGGGGAGCCGCTGCAGCAGCAGGAGCAGCAGCCACACTGACAGCTGCTGCTGGCTGGACAGGGGCCGCAGCAGCTGAGCTGGCAGGAGTGCTCGCATCAGCCTGCATGCAGCAAGAAACTACCGTCCAAATGCAGCCGCGCATGACAGTGATATTGTGCTGAAGGCCATTTTGATGGCGCTTCAGAACTACGCATGGAGCCACAATGGTTGGAATAAATGAGGCAGCCCGCATAAATCTGAAGCGCTGTCAAGGGATGTTATCACCTCTGTCAAGCTTGGACATGCTTCGAATTGGCCAAAGCAATCATTGCAAGTGGCAAATGGCGGCACCTGAGGCAGGATCCCCCGCATGGCCAGACGTGCACGCAGCAATGGGGGCAGCTCCTTTGCAGGGGCCGGAGCGGCTTGCGAGGCCCCATTGGAGGTCGGTGGTGCCTGCTGCTGTGGTTGGGCCGCAGGCACGGGTGCCGCCCGGATGACGGGCTTGGCGAAATATGACGGCCGTCGCTGCCGCTGCAGCTCCGTGGGTGTGGAGCCTGCCGCCTCAGCAGCCCCGTCTGCAGCACAGGGATCACGGAGTGAAGCAAGCTATGGAATTTCACAAATAAGCCATTGTCAGGACACAAGCCGCAGGAGCTGAGGCAAGCCAACTGCCATTCTGGAGTTATGCTCCCCAACTCCTTTGTGTAATTGTGCCCACGGCGAGAAGCAGAAAGAAAAGGGTGCGATGCGCACTCGACGAGCTTGAAGTCGTCCGCTCCAGGGACGGGTCCCTACTGATCGCCACCTGGCCCACTGTTCCCTGTGCACCATAGAGCTGGCCGAGTCCTTCCAGCGCCCCCTGCTGTAAGGGAGCCGCGCTGGCACTTTGGGTGTTGCTTGGGGCCTGCCCAATGGGCAGCTGCTGCCCCACTGCGGGGCTGCCCGGCAGGCCCATTGGGTGCATGTGCTGCTGGAAATGCGGCATGCCTCGGGCCTGCATTGGCGGTGGCCCCGGCGGCTGCCGAGGCGGCCCGGCGCCGGGCTGCTGAGCCAGATGACTGCCTGCGTGCATGCATCCAGCGGGTTGAGTCCATCTTTACTGGAGACGATCTGCCTTATGTGCAGCCGACACGTATGGAAGAAATGAACAACACTCCCATGTCCTCCAGGCAATCCACCATAAGAAGGGCAGATACTACAGCCAGTGGTGTAGAAGGTTCCCTGCGGGTGAGTATGAGGCGAGGGCTTGAGCTATCATAGGGCTGGAGCTATCACACCGTGAGGTGGCTGGGCGTTGAAGGGTGCAGGCGGCCCAGGAGGGATGCTGCGGATTGCTGGGGGGCCGGGCGGCCGAAGCGGCTGTGCATTAGGCGCCAGGCTGGGATGTGGCATTGGCGGGCCAGGGGGTCTCCTGGCACCGGGCGGACCCGGAGGCTGCATGCGCACAGATTGCTACAACTTGACTTTCGGCATTCTTGTGACATTACTTGGCGACATCCCCAAAGTTAGCACCTCATCCTCAACCTAGTGCTGGTACAGCACTACATGACACGGTGCTTTGCAAGTACCGTATAGTGTTATATATGGGAAAATAAAATGAGAAGAGGACCTGAAGGGGAGGAGGGCCGGGGGGCCGAGGTCCGGTCAGCCGCGGTTGCGCGTTGCGTGCAGCCACCTCCTTGAGAACTGCGGAGGGGGGCTTGTAGTGCTGCCAATCGCCTGCGCCCCTCTCCCTGCTGGGGTCCCCGGCCCCCTGAGCACCCACGAACACTGCTATCATTTGAGACAAGCGGGCAACCATAGCACTCCGTGACCGCCTCCAAATGTCCAATGCTGGAAAGGTGGCACCAAATGGAGATCATTGTTCACAACATGTGTAAAGGCAGTGTGTGTACCGGTCTGTCTCCTCGAATCTCATGCTCAAGTCGTCGCAACTTGTCCTGCAGAAGCCATACTGGTCCTCATCAGCATCCTTGGCATGCATGCATATGGAAGGTGGCAGGCATTCAAACAAGCATGCACCAGGGCAAGCAGTGCATTGCAGTGATGTGCACCTTGACAAGTGCCGGGTCATCTGTCTGGGCAGGTTCCACCTCCCCAAAGTCTCGTTTGTGTCCACTGAAGGCAGAGAAGGAGGGTCAGGCGATAACTTTCCTTGGCTTAAAATTTTCCTTCCTATTTCTTAGCATCTGGTATTTTCCTGTCTGGGAAGGAAAAATCAAAGAGGGTGACCAAGAGAGGAGCAGATGCTGACCTTTGCTGAGCCATAGTCGCTCGAAGCTCAGCGTCTTGCTCCTGTAATACTGCAGCTGTTGCAATCTGATCAACATCGGCCCAATTGTTGGAGCTCATCGAAGGAGGTCCAGGAGGTGCAGGAGCACCATTTGCTACCATCCAGGCCGGGAGCACCCTGTCCCTGCCCCGCCCAGCCATGTTGACCTATCGAAAGACAGCTCAAATTACTGCTGTGGTTAGATGTTGCCGAAATAATTGGATCTCAGGAAATATTGCGTTGACCAGGAAGAACCTCAGATCAGATTACTGCTTCTTGAAAATTCTAATTCTGGATACCGGTACTGGTGAAGCTCAAACGCGAAATGCAAGTAACTTTGGAGTGTTTTACATATTCAATCAGACGTCCTTGGACAATATGCACTATTGCTCTTCCAAGGGGACAGGGAAGGCACTGCTGCACAGTGGGCAGGCTAGGAACTGACCTCTCAGTAACTTGATCTTCAAATGAAGGGATATGGGGTAAGATGGCAATGAACCGTGAACTTTATGACATACTTTACAATGAGCTTTGTCAAGCACTACATTGTTCTGCCCAGACAAAGACCGGCAAGTGAGGACTTGGCATGCTATATGCGGCAGACTGCCCAGGCTCCCAACTTGCAAGTTGGGATGAAAAGCGAGCCCGTTTGTTAACCTTCGAACAAACATTTGTGCACAGAAGGGCCCAGACCCTTATTTTATCCATACTAGCATCTGTGTGGCCATCTGCCATCTCATGTGGGTTCTGCTCACAAGTCAAGACTTCCACCCCCTTTCAAGATTGTGATCAAGACTAGTCCAAGACCAGTACTGAGAATCACAAGATGTCATAAACAGTGTCCTGTGTTGCACACGAGTACACCATGTGATATATGCACTACTCATCAGACTCCTTTTGCTCTCCTATCTGAGCCAGGGATAGTTCAAAATCTGCAGGTGCAGCTGCTGCTGTTCATTGTCTTGCGTTCTGTAATTAATTGCAGGACCATTCAGACCAACATTGGGAGACACCATGGACTCAACATGTCAGGCAGGCTACTGCGCTGCCTTCCTTGGACAGCGCATCCTCTAAAATACACGGCAGCTGGCCGCTTGCTGTTCTGCAACTCGGGCCAGCCCACCACTAAAGCACCTGGAAGAATGGGGTAGACAGGGACTCGTCATCACACAACATGCAGGTAAGCTTCCTTTTCCTCTGCTGATGCACAACAGCCTCCGCTGCGCATGGGCTCACAGCATCAAGGTGTGCAGCGCTGGCTCACCATCAACCATCTAAACTTCCTTGTTAGCTGGCAAGAATGCAGCTGTCTCCCCTCAGCCGGGCTCGTCGCCGGAGTCATCAGAGTCAGAGGGTTCGCTGTCGGCTGGGCTGATGGTGGTTGGCAGATTCATGTTTTCTGTGAAGTCCCACAGGCGCCAAAGGGTGGCATTCTCGAGAGTGTCAAAGTCCAGCTCCACCTCGCCATTGCTCTGCAGCTCCACAGTCTGCCCCTCCCTGATGATCGACAGGATCTCTGCAGCAGGCACAGCCACAGTAGCAGGTCAGCATCCGTGCCGCATCGCCCTGACACTCACCCAAGCTGACATGTCATGTACACAGGATGTACATGTCAGCTTGTGTAGTATGCAAGAGGGTGCAGATTGATGAAGAAGGGGTGTGTAAATAAGGCTGCAGTCCAGAGGCAATGGCCCGGGGAGCCCATGCCTTGGGTTTTTGCCAAGTGCCCTGAGCACAACAGGGGGAAGAGGGTCTCAGGAAGCGCCAAAGAGGCTGGAATCAGTTTGAGCACTGATGTCGACCCTTTGGTCTTCAAATGGGTCGGTAGGCATTGCGAAAGCAAAATTAAGAGACATGCATTACATTTGTAGAAGAGAAAGGAATTCGAATGGAGGGGAAAAGGGGAGAACCTTCCCTGCCCTGCGATGCAGCTGTTCAACCAGGTAAGGAGCAAGTCAACATGGCTCTGTAGAGTGCTGGGTGCCCAATCCCATGTATGGCCTTTCAAATAAAGGCTTGAATGAGCCCTCAGCACAAGAGTGTCCTGCCACATGAACTGATGCATGGGATAATCAACAGTGGGCTGACTCACGTTCCATGTTGTCATCCTCTGCGAACTGGCCAAGCCGGCTGGCAAGCTCCTGCATCATCTCCATGGGCATGGGCTTGTTGTTCACGCTCTTCATGCGCTGCAGGCCCTCCTGAACCCCACACATCACAATCTTCAGCCCTGTCCATGCAATGCACCCTCTAAAACACTGCCACAGGTCTCACCCCTTGACTGCAGTCGAAGAAACAATCACTGCAGCAGTAAGAATGCATGCCCAATACATCACTCGATCGCAGACAGTACACCAGGAGCCTGTCTTACTCGGACTCCTAGAAGAGCCCGAGATGCCACCGTGCACTGTGTCAAGCTTTATCAGACTGCCGCCCAGCGGAATGAAAGTCTCGTGACATTGGTGGGCATCTGCCTTAATGTCTACAATTGTACAGGCAATATCGGGGAACGCTGAGTCGACTTCAGCCAGGGCCGCACCCTGCGTCCGTTGCGCTGGCCGCTGCTGCTGGTCTTGCGCGCGGGCGGCTTGGGCTCGGGGTCCAGCGACGGCTCATACTTGTGCGCAGCGATGCCGCCCGTCACGCGGCGCCGCCGCCCGCCCTGGTCGTACCCGGAGGCCGCCCAGAGCTGCTCGAATTTGGCGTCCGCGCGCGATCCCGCCTTGCCCACCACCGTGTCCTTGTGGTTGTACAGCGCGCAGTTGATCCACACCTGCCGCATGTCCTGCGCGTGCACGCATGCAACAGCACTCTCACGCCTGTCCTTCACAGGGCACCTGTGCAACTCCCTGGCAACTTTGGAAGGTCAGCATCTTCTGCCTGCTCAGCCCACCTTAACCGTGCTCAACAGGATACTACGAGGAGTTGCTGCTTGGGACGTGGCTTACAGCTAACCTACGCGGCTGCCTTCGCATGCGCATGTGGTGGTATTCAGGAACGGGAAAGAGTGATGCAAACAGCAGCCGAGAAAGAGCACGAGGCTTACATCGCAGAACTCCTGGGGGTTGTTGTACTGGCGGCCCTCGAGGCGGCCACGCATGGTCCCCAGGTCCATAGGCACCTTCACGACTTTGTGGTACTCTGGGTAGTCTGCTGCCTTCACCGGCGCTGCGAAGATGTACAGGTTCAGGCCCAGGTTCTTCTCCACCTCGGTCAGGATCTCAGTGCACTTTGCATAAAAATCGCCGCCACCCCACGAAGAATTGCCCAGGGAGCCGCCCATAGAGTGCCGCTCCCCTACAGCCAGGCAGAATACCATCTGCACAGATAATCTCGCAGAACATGTCCACACAGCACAGGTGATACTGTGGCAACAGGCAGACATCGCTGCGTGACATCACTACTACGATTGCATGAGCCTCAAGAAAAGATACGAGGAATTTCAGCACTGCCACAAGCTACCAGCCACCCAAGATGCTGAGACACCAACAGCAGGGTGCATGTGCTCCCAAGGCATCAGCCGTGCAGAGACGTGCCTTTGCCACCACGGCGACCGTTGTTAAGGTGAGCAGCTTTCGGGTGGCCAGCCAACTCCTGGGATAAAGGGAAGGGACATCAGCCGCCATATTGGTGAGGGAATAAAGAGCGAAAAAGTGCTCTCAAGGCGACGCAGATCGTTTCATAAATACGATGGGAGGCTTCATCGAAACTTCACACTGTGGAATATGCACAGAAATGCACAAACTGGGCGCCGCAAGGAATGCAAGGGGGTAAACTGTCTCTCTCAATAAAACATGCTTTGAAGGAAGGCAAACCCAGACGCAAGTCATCAACATGCTCAGGATCAGAAAATGGGAAAATCACTGCCGCAGCTTGCGCTATGCCGGTGTTACAAGAAGGCTTCATCCAGCTTCCAGAAGCACAGAAGCAGACATCAGCCAGGAGAGCTACCTGAGCAGAGTCGGGCTCCTTCCGTTTCCGGTTGAGCTCAGAAAGGCTCCTCAACGGCGCAGCGTTGGGTGCACGTGAGTGCATCTGGATCAGCAACGCTTCCAATCGCTTGACCTGCCGCTCAGTGACCAAGCCGCGCGAAAAGGCCTTATCAACCGGCAGCAGCACCGGCCCGCCATTTGGATCGCCCAACAACTTCTCGCTGTGACCGATGACGGCCCCGTTGTCGAGTCGCAGACTCAACTTCCGGTATTTCTCAATCATCTGGACCATACGTGTTTTAGGCGGATTTCTCGGCCGTCCGTGGGTCTTAGAACACCACACAACGTGCAAATGGAAGCTACTGGTCTCCTCAGGAGCTACAACATAACGTTAAAGGCACGCACGCTCACGGCGGAGCGACAGCAGGCGATCCCCGTTTGGGCAAGCTTTGCTACCTTCGAGGTGACCCTTGGAGGGTATTTCCACAAGGGAGGCACCTTATGCGAAAATTTAGAGAAATTCGCCAATTGGCCTAACCCGCCAACTCACTCGGGCAAAATGTTTTGTCAAACAGGATGTAATTTTGCAGAATAAGTAGTCAGGCGGGAGACAACGCCATCTGCTGCATGAGCTCTACCAAATCAGGCTTCGGCGTGGTTCCAAAAGAGGCAATATATAAGACCCTCCACATCCCTTGATGGTATATTATCAGGGAAATACGATGGCCTCCAGGTTAAATTTCAAATTCTCCGCAGAAGCAGCTGAGACTCATGCAGCTGCTGAGTTGTGTCATTGTCAATTGTCGATGACTCACTGACAACAATTTGGTTTGGATCACCGAAAGAGTTTATACAGCGCTGAGCTATCTGGAGGGCCTCTCAAATCATGCACTGTCTTCGTGCGATGCGAACTGACTCGACCTAGGACTAGACGTTTGGACCACGCAAGTTTCGGCGACAATTGCTTGTGATGATCATAAGAAGTTAAACCCGGTAAGCTTAATTGTCTGTAAGGAAATAAATGCACTTCCTACACATTCCCTTCGCACTACGACTTGTATTCAGAGTCGGATGTGATGCCAGAACAAAGAAGGTAGTATGTAAATATTCAGTCTCAACGTTTCAAGTTTTAGCCAAGACTTTTCTCAAAACTCTTCGCTTTGAAGTGTCCCCCCAGGTCTTGAAGAGCGAGACGCAACACGAGGCATTGCTTCTCGTGCTGCTCTTTTGCAGCATCACCTTGACAGCATCTGCCTATACTGTATATGACATAGTAACTATATGTTGCAGTTCCCATGATGCCTGCCATGTCAGCAGTATTTTTTGGTCATTCGCCATAAGGCGAATGTCCTTTACGATCGGTCAACCTGGTACGGATTATCTCTATCTTTTGCCCCTTCCCTATGCCATGTGGCTGCTCGTGAGGCGGCCACAGCAGTTGAACGGAACGCGAGGCGCAGTTTAGAGGCCTTTCCGGGGTGATTGCCCCGTTTTTGGCCCTAGATTATCTCTAAATATCTGCCTGGCGATTGGCTTTACGGGCCTGCGACTGGTTCTGCCCCCCAGCTCGCGTATGACCTCGTGGCCGCCCGCGGGCGCTCCCACTTGTTGCATCTACATTGGCCACTTAGCGGGCCATCACCAGTCACGTGACATCGCAACAAAGCCAATTCCTGAGCTGTTTCTTTGCAATACTCTGTCAATGATTGTAGCCTAGCTAGTATACATCAGGAGTTCCAGCAGTTTGAAGTCAGACTTGAAGTTGCAGGGTTGATCAAGCTCGCCAGCATGGTAGTACACTTCTTGTACAGCATGACACCCACTACTTATTACAGAAACAATCAGGAGCACAGAACTCCTTCAGCCGCCATTGGCGCCCAGGCCCAGATTCTTGGGCCGCATGACAGCGTTGATTGGTTCTGCCCGCCCTTGGCTATTCCTGCCAAGGCCCGCACCCTGGCCCTCAAAGCCATACTTGGCCAGCATCCTCGATCCAAAGCCTGCACAGAAGCCAAGGAGATAGCTTCATCTCCTGCGCTCCTCTCAAGCAAAGCCGATGCATTCTTGTGAGCCTCGATTCGGCTGACGCCGCCGCAAGCAACAGCCCACAAGCCCCAATGCAAGTGCACGGAAGTTTCAGAGCAGAGCAGCAGACACAGTACTGCAGCTGTGGCAGGATCTAGGGTGAAGCCGGCACCTGTGGTGTGGCGCTCGAAGCTCCCAAAGCGCAGGCTGGTCTCCACGATCATGGCAGTGGGGGCATGGTCCTCGGTGGCCGGCCCCGGCGGCGGCGCGACGTTGCCGGCACGGGCGAGCACGGCGCGGCGTGCAAGCTTCTCGCGCTTCTTGTTGGCGCGCTTCAGCTGCGCGCGTGTGGTGAAGATCCCCGGCTGCAGCTGGGAGACCCGGTCCCCACACTCCCCTAGTTCCCCCGGCTCATTCTCCTCCCCGCTCACCGTGGCTGCCCGGCTGTGGCTGCTCGAACCTGTGCAAACACATTCCCTGGCTCAGGACAGTCCTAAACCAGACAGCCCCCAGCCACCCGATAGACTAGAGTATTGCAAAATACAGTCATGGCTTACAAGGAGAGCTGTTCCATGGCCACAAGCTGATATCATCTGAGGTCATCATCAATACTGGAGTGGAGATCAATGCACTGCAGAGGCATGAGGCTGCCAGGCAGGGCAGGAAAGGAAGCATAATACTAATGAATTCCTGGTCGTGTGCATGATGGGTGAGACAGTTGAGGCATACCCAGCTCGCTCAAGCAGCGCTTGCCGACGCCGCGCGCGCCAAAGCCCAGGCCGGTGTGCACGGCAGAGTCTGCGTTCAGGAGCTCCTCATCTACATTCATCTGCAGCTCCTCCAGCAGTGGTGACCCTGATGCACAAGACCGGCACATTCAGACAAGTTCTCAACCCACAGCCAACATCACTGTAAGCATCCTCCATGCTGTGTATGCTCCCAGCGTTTGCCCACACCATGCAGTGCAAGCCTTTCCTTCCTGCCTGATGCAACAGAAACCTGCTGGATACAATCTTGGTCACAGGACCACCCACCTGGCCTAGGCTCCTCCTCCATCACGTCCGGCAGCTGCCACCTGTCCATGGGCTCTTCGGCAGGTAACATCCCATGCAGCAGCTGCGGCTCCATCGCGCTGTCATGCAGCTGGGGCATCGACGCCAGATCAGGCGCATCTGCCCCCAGGCCCCCCAGCGCTGGCTGGATGACTGTGTGCTCCACCTGGTAGGGGTCCACAACGCCACTGGAGACAAAGCCCACCGGCTGATTGTACCGTACCGGCGTGGTGGTGTTGCCCTGCTTCCTCGCCTGCAACTTCTTTACCCTGTTGCCTGCGGCAGACACAACCAGACTCGGGCCTGCACTGTTGAACACCCTGTGGGCATTTGTGAGGTGTTTAGATAATTTCCAGAAGGCAGGCAATAACGACTGAGGAGCTCCAGTGAAAGATGTGGGAAGGTCAGCCTCACTGCAGCACTCTCCGTCAAGCGGCAAATTTAATGAGGTGCGTATTTCTTGGTGGAACTGTCTTTGTGCTTTCTGAAGCAGAGTCAAGCAACAGCGAGAGAAAAAACCAGCATCAAATGAAAGGTGTGCGCACCCTTGCCCGAGGTGCTGGGCTTGGTGACGAGGGGGCGCAGGGCAGCGGCGGCGTTGTCATTGGATGCCAGCATGTGCGCGAGCCTCTCGCGCTCGGCTGCCTCTGGCAGGCGCGTGTGCTTGGTGGCCGCCACGATGACAAACCGCTTGCGCCCGCTGCCCTGCTGCCCCGACTTGAGCCCGTACAGGCCCGCCGCCTTCTGCACAAATGCGTTCGCGTAGAGGCTCATTGGCGGGAACGCCTGCAAATACCAGGACTTGATGTTAGCATTTTGATCTTTTACTGTCACGAAGCAGGAGCCATGCTGCCGTGCCGTCAATTTCACCAAGCCGCGACTCCCGTCCAAAGACAATCGAGGTGCAGCCAGAGCAATGCCTTTCTTGCGGCTGTGTACACACGGAATTCAATGTTGATCGCTGCATCTTGCGGAATTTCGCGAAAAAGGTTGCAGGCCCGCACCTTCATGTCACCTTCCGCCAGCACGAACGCTTCAAGCTGCGACACAATGGCCGCCGCATCGAAGCCCTTCGCGGCGGCGCGGGCGGCGCGCTTGGCGTCGACCTTAGCGCGCTTCAAGCGCTGCTTCTCGCCCGGCATCAGCATCCCATGCTGCCCTGGCGTCGCCAGGCTGCGCGGCCGCCGGCCCGACCCGCTCGTCTCACCTGCCGTGCATCCACACAGTCAGCACTCATTGCCCGTTGGCAAGGATTGGAGTACAAATGATCAGGTAAATCTGCACCGCCCATGGGAAATGACAAAGCACTAGCGGCAGGGGTGCCCCCACGGTATCTTGACCATTCCAACTTGATATTTCACTATCAGGAGAGCCTGCACCAGCCCGCACATCTGAGAGGCCAAAGCCATCTTGCTGAAGGTGGCGTGATTGTGGCCAAAGCGTGTGCTGCTCAAGTGTCAAGTCAGCAGTTCCAAGGGCATGGAGAGAGGAGGGAAGCTCACTCGCTGAGTAGACTCGCAGGCGCGGCACATGCGTGCACATGGTGAAGGCGTGCTCCAGCTTCAGCCCCTCGCCGAAGTCGCAGGTGATGTCTGTGATGCTGATCTCATCCGAGTCTGACTCGTCCGTGCTGTTCTCTGTGTCTGCCTCCCCGCTGCTTGTATCCGCATCAAGGATGTGGTCCAAGCCTGCCACACCCACACATATGCGTTCAATAAATATTCTGACCTCATTGCACGGTAGCAGAATGACTACTTCAGCAAAGGAGCATGAGGCAAGTGTATATGTAGATATGCAAGGCACTATGAGCCAGCACCTTCCCAGCAGTCCCCCTGGCCATCAGCAAGCGGCCCATCACCGAGCTTGGCCTTGCCAAAATTCTGCATCGCCTGCCACACTGCCTCTGCTGCCTGCAATGGTGCACATCAGTGCTCATGCCTGACAGCCACGTCCTACATTGCTCTGATGAAGTGCTGCCAATAAATGCTAGCACACTAGGAAACATCCAGCCAATCATAGCCGCCGCGAAGGACATCGCTCCTCTGACGGGAGTCGAAATATCAATGCCCCCATCCCCATGTGCCAGTCTGAAATTACACTGAAAACAACCTGGGTTCCCATGCTGATCTGCTTCTTACATGTGCCAATCTGTTTGCAGCGTACCTTGCTGTCCTCTGGAAGATCTTCACTATCCTCAGCCTCAGCTGCTGTGTTCTGAAAGTAATCTAGCGCCGCTCCATCGTCGCTCTCTTCGCCCTCCAGGTCACTGGTAAACAATCATGGCATCATTCAAATTAAAGCATCCTAAAAGTGTATTGCCAGCAGGGAAGCGTGAGCATAAACATAACGTTAGCTATGGCAGAAACTTACCGCAACGTGCTCTCACTGGGAAACGAAGAGTCTCGCAAGCGTGGCCCCTGCAAACACAAAAACAAGGAACCTGGAGTGTTTCCATGGGGCAGATTGCATTGCTGACATTTTTTTAAAAATTCACAAAAGATGCCGCAGGCTGTTTTAACAGGGAAGGGGCGTCCGACCTTTCTGCGCCGATTCTGGCTCTTCCTAGAGAAGCTCTGTACTTCTCCTTGTGAGCAGTGTAGAGTCAGCCCTCCTACTCTAAGCGTACCGCCTTGGTTGCCGTCTGTATGACCATTCACCTGTGGGCAATGAAAGCATGCGTCCCATGATGCTTCTATCGTTCGGATGTTCAAATGGTCAACTGCAAACCACTAGTAGGCTACACAGTAATGAAGACTGAAGGATGCCCTTCGTCCCGCCTAGCCGATGCTGACATATGAAGGAGGTCTCAGACCACGATAGTATACGAATCTGACCGCTCGTGCAACCTGGGTATCGCTAGTGAATATTCCTCAGCTAAAATCCATTCAAAGGTAAGTGTTCGCTCTGTGCTTAAAGACAGGCGTTCCCTCAAAAGCCAAGAAAAGCTCAGCACCTCTTCATTCAAAGCCACGCGTCCTCTGCCAAGTCCCCCTCTCCTCTTTCCTCTTGGACCATACACATCACCTCTGCTCTTGCTTTTCCGTGGCATATTGACCGAGGTACTAACGCTTCAATCTGTACCCAAATTTTTCAGAGCTTTATAATGCACCTTTTTGAGGCATTGCAGCAGCCTGCTTGATTACAATGGATCGAGAAATGAAGAAAAGTGTTGGTCCAGGTGTTTCTCCGGTGACGCGTGGACTTCGTAAGCGATGTGTCATCGCGTTGCATGCATGCCTGATGAGACCAAGTGTCTCGAGGGCACCTCAAAATGTAGAGGTGCTTACCGGTTGTATGGGGTGCAGTGAAAAATGCATGGCCTCCAGCTGCATCTTCATTCGACTTTATGCTAGCTCCCCAGATCTAGACGTCTCGCCGCGGAATCCCATGGCCATGGACACGACTCTCTTGCAAGAATATTGGATCATACTGCAGCTGATTGAAAGTGCGACCAGGGTTCCATGTTTTCTGAGGAAGATCTCTGCCGCAGGTGCACCAGATGCACATGCATGCAATCGCAACCGCGCATGCACGAGACATGCTTAACGATATTTAGTCCGCCCAATCTAGAGGAATCCTCTAGAGGATTCCGGTACCATTGCTCCTCTAAATGCGGGTCCTCCAGGAATTATGGCCTTCCCAAAAAAAAATTAGCTGCAGCTCGACATAATAGCAATTTCACAGATTATATAGAGAAGCGAGTGCCTACGTGCGCACCACTCTATTTTAATACTACTCTGATTCAGACTCATATATTAGCACACGCACAGGTATCATACTAATCTATGTAAACACAAGCTGGTGCCGACGGCGCCGTTGCGCAACATGATCCAGATATGTTCAGAAAGTTTCACTCTATTCGATGGAAGTACAAAAAGTTTCACCGAACTTTGGCAAGGATATTTTTCGCAAGGCAGCTGCCTCTAAATTGCTGTCAGCATGGCAGTGGCTGCAATGCATGCAGTTCTGCATCTGTACTATCGCGGCAAAGAAGCTGCACTGACAAATGCGGCGGAGTGGCCACCTGTGGAAGACTGTGGCTGCGCTGCTGTGCCGGACTTCTTGGCCTTCTTGGTTTTCCTGCCGCCTCCGCCCTCTCCATCCTGGACAGGCAATAAATATTTCAGAGTAAAGCACACGCTCATCCCAAGAGCTCTGTCCAACTGATGATCACTCATGGTCTTTGTTGCCAAAGCTGTAGGTTGATCAGGGTCGCAATTGGCAACTGAAGGGGTATAATCTGCTGACACTGACCCTCTGCTGATCACTGATGAAAGATCATGAAAAGGACACGTCAACGCAAGCCTGCAGCAGATGTACAGGGAGATGCACCTGCCACACGGTGTCCTGGCGAGGGCTGTGCATGTGCCTGGCGAGGCAGTTGTCGCAGGCCTGGCCGCAGCGGCCGGCGGCAAAGCGCTCGCCAAAGTAGTCTAGCAGCAGGCTGTGCCGGCACGCCTTGTCATTCGTGCAGTAGTCCTTCATCTGCATGCGACAGCCACATGTGTAGATCACCACACCATGCAAAGCCGTTAAGTCACTGCATCCGAACTCCCAGCTTCTCTTTGCTGGCAATGCCTGGGCACTGCACATTTGTCCTTTCACCCAATTCTATGCGATAAGGAACTCATAATCAACCTGGAGGAAAATGGGAATATACCTACTGGCTCGCAGGAAGCCTTCCTGGTTGCTTGCCATTCCAGGGGTGCGGAGATAGCAGTGCTGACCACAATATCAAATAGAGCAGGATGCCAGCGTGCCTTGTTCAGAAGCTCCATGCCCTTGGTGAATTTGGCCTTGGAGCGGCCGCGGCCGCCGCGCAGCAGCCGCACGAGCCGGGGGATGTCGCCCGCCGCGTACAGCAGCACGCACTCTGAGTGCTTGCCGTCCCGCCCCGCCCTGCCCGCCTCCTGGTAGTAGCCCTGTGTTGGTATTTTCAATAAAGTCAGCTGCTGCGGTAAAGTTAGGAAAGTACATGCTTCCAGAGGCGCCAGATATGCAGTCATCATAATGGAGAGGCCTTTGAGGATGCACAGGAGATGCACAGTCTTGCAGCTAAATATCCTGTCCTGCTCAGCCGGAGGGCATACACTGACTGAATGGGATAGTACACACTGGTGCGATGGCGTGATTGTATAAGGGAATGTGATGGCATACCTCAATGGACTTTGACAGGCTGTAGTGGACCACGAAGCGCACGTCTGGCTTGTCGATGCCTGCACCACACTTGTGCCAGCTTCAGTGCGTGCATGTTTTTTGTTGGGGACTCCTACTCCTGTTTCCAAATGCAAAGGAATATTCAGGGGGCACTACTGCTCATGCTTGAATTTTGCAAGCGAGCTGGCCAGCACAGCCAGCACCATGTGTTGGCCAAAGCTTGAGAGCAGACACTATTAGTGACAAACAGTGCAATCGCACAGTGCAAGTCGTTATAACATGGTTGAGGGGTGAGAGATGGCTGTGCCGTGCCTCACCCATTCCAAAGGCAATGGTGGCAACCACGACCTGCAGCTCCCCACTTCGCCAGTCGTTCTGCACCTTCACCCGCTGCTTGGGCGTCATGCCAGCGTGGTAGCTGTGCGCAGAGATCTCCCCCTCCTCCTGCTCCAAATTAAGAATCACAATACTGTAGTACTCATTCTGAAAAGCTCACTAATTTATTTTTGGACTTGTGGGATGGATTGATAATAGGTTTCCAGCAATAGATTTCCAGCCGTAGGCAACCTGCATGCGGGATCATGAAACAAATATGTGGCGCCCAACATTGGGCCAATGTGGGGTTGCGAGAATGCAAAAAAAATATTTTCTATCGTGCAGGATAGCTCTGCGGGAACCCGTTAATAATATTGGAATAATGCGGGGTTTAAATATACTACTACAGTATATCTCTCAAGCATTTCTTGCAGGGATCTAGGAACGCATGCCAGATCACCATCATGCATGCATGCCGTTTTGGGGGCTTTCAGCACACCTTCAGGTATGCTGCAACTGTGGCTGTATTGTCCCTGGAAATGACATATATAATCCCGCTGGCATTCTTCCCTTGTGCTCTGCACCGGACAATAATCTATTGATGCACCTATTTTGAATGCTCTGTTGCATAACATTTCTAAGAACCTGAGCAAATTGTCCGAAAAATAGATTAGCTCTGTGTAAGAGCAAGGGAATAGTAATTTGGTGCGTGCCCACTCACTTGATGTAGTTCACAAGTGCTTCCAGCTCGGCTGGCTTCCCTTCTGGGGTCCTGCCAGTGGGCTTCTTCACCACAGACAGAACCAAATTGCTCCTGAAAAAGCTCACCTGCTTGCACAGACTTGCATGCTCAGTGCAAGCATGGACAATGGCTGCCATACACTTCGCATGTTGCTTGCTTATGGAATCGTTAGAAAGAACCAGACCACATCACAGAGTGTACAATGACAAGAATGGCCCAGGAGATGACTCACCGTGAAGACAGGACAGCTGGACATGCCCAGGATGCTCAGGACATCTGTCTTCACTTTGTCCGTTGCAGTGGCAGTCAGAGCCAGAATCGGGATCCTGGAGAACTTCGATGCCTGCAATAAAGCACGTATGATTTCCTGTACAGCACTGCTATTTGTGCAAAATATGACATGGCTTCAATCACGAGAACGATCAAGATAGTCAAATTTGATTTGGTCTCACCTTGACCTCGCCAATCTTCTTGTAGTCTGGTCTGAAGTCGTGGCCCCATTGGGAGACGCAGTGAGCCTGTCATACTGAGAGTCATAAGCAAGATTGAGCAGACCGTGAGAAAGTGCACACTTTTAAAGGACAGGCAAGAGAAAGCAACTTTCACGCAAGTATGATACCTCGTCCACCACAAAGCGAGCCAGAAGGCCTCTCCTCTGCAGGGACTCCAAAGTTGAGGCGAGTGCTGCACTGGCTACCAACTGCTCTGGGGTGATGTACAGCAGCTTCACTGTTGGCTGCTCTTTCTGCAGCTCCTGCGTCAGCAACACAGCTGTCCTTCCTCAACCACACAACACGGTCACCAGCCAATGGAGCCGCTGCAACAAGCTGAAGGAAGAAGCTGCAACAGCAGCCAGAAGTGGGAGAAAGACTCACACTGAAGACAGCCCTCTTCTCCCTCTCAGTCTGCTGTGAGTTGAGGTATGTAGCCGGGACCCCTCCACTGGCTGTGGTCACCAGGGCCCTCACCTACACCATGCTGGACACCTCTAAAGACCCAAAACAACCGATTTACACGTGGCAGATTCATAAATTGCGGCCAGATGCACTGCATGTGCGCACCTGGTCTTGCATGAGAGACAGCAGAGGCGAGATGACTACAGTGAGCCCTCGTGAGATGACTGCAGGAAGCTGGTAGCACAGGCTCTTTCCTGTACACCATCATTACATCACTTCTAGTCGGCATGTGAAGCCATCCTCTGTCTTTGATGGATACAGCAGGTGTTGGCCAGAATGAGTTTACCTCCACCGGTCGGCATCAGCACAAAAGCATCTCGGTCCTGCAAGGGACAGAATATCGTTTAGCACTCAATTCTGCACCCGCAAATGCACAAGCAGAAGTTCTTGTCAGATCCAAGGATGCACACACTCACCTTCAGGACGGTCTCAATGACTCGGCGCTGCTGCTCTCGGAATGCGCTGTTGCCAAAGACTTTCAGGTTGACAAAGTCGAGCAGATCCATCGCCTTCTCCTCTGCTGACATTGGCTCGTCCACAGAGCGTGCCTGTGGCCGGCTGGGCACATAAGAGGCCTCTGGTGGAGCAGCTGCAGTAACGCAGAGCAGTATTTTAGGGCAGGCATGACCACAGCGCTGTGCAATTCGCCGCCTTGTTCTTGGATTACTGCTGTGAGGCTGTTGGATGACATGGATGATGGGCTACTACTGGCTTGTGAAGCAAATGCTGTGGAGGCTCGCACCCAGCGGGAGCTTGCCAAAGAATGATGTGATGTTGCCTTGTCCAGTGGACCCTGTCGCTGCCTTCTTCTTTGGAGGCTGCACCACTTCGATGCCAACGGCTGACAGGTCATCCTCGTCTTCAAAGCTCTCAATGTCATCTGGCTCATCCAGGATCCGCCGCCTGTGGCCAGAGCGCTCCCTTCTGCACGCATGGAACTGCCCTTCACTGGCGGATGAGTCCTCAAGAGATCCACCGACGCTGTCTGCCTCTGCATCCTCCTCTGACTCCTCTGGCTGATGCCAGACTGCAAAACAAATGGAGCTGCTGGTCAGCTCCATGCATCCATGCATGGAACCTCGTCATAGGACCTTAGATGTATTAGCTTTGTATATTACCTTGCGGTTCTGGGTCAGCTTCATCGTCTGTGTCGCTTGGGATGCGCCTTTCATGCTTCTGGAGAAAGTACTCAAAAAATTCACCAAAATCAGCTGCGCTCACTTGAGACTCGTTCTTATCTTTGCCTCTAAGGTAAGCCTGAAATGTCTCCAGTACGATGTCTTCACCAACGGTTTCGCCATAGCCAAATTCAAGAATAGTCTGTACAAGTGTATGATGCACCATGGCCCCTCCCAGACTTCAAGATGGCTTGGCATTCCTTCTCACAAAGACACCGATGACAAGGGATTTGGACTTCATAGGCATTGCTTGAGGAAAATTATTGTTTACGATCGCAAAGATGAGCAGCCTCAGCATGCACGGCAACCAGTCTGCTGTGATAGTATAATGTGACGATGACAGACAGTCCTTAATGCTTTCACATGCCTGCACAGCCCGTCTTTGCACGAAGTGGCATCTGTCGTATCTTTAGGCTACAGTCATCTCAAAAAAAGCGATCGACGGAGCTGGATCCAGACGTAATGATTTCTTGAAAACGCACGTGCCATCACTAACGTAAGACCTGAAGGAGCAGGGGCGTCGTGCGAGATTGCAAGCGAAGGCATCCATTTGCTCGGAGCATTTGTTTGGATTTGCTGGTTACAAAATGGTTTTGACTCTGGATTGATTCAGATGAGGGCATAGCACGCTTTGGTGCGAGCAAACGCTGTAAAATTTTGTCCTAAAAGAACAAGTGTGTAGGGCATACTCATTCACCCATTGCATCAGCTTTGTAGGTAGCCAAAGGATGGGTCAGGGCCAAAGTGGCCAAGCAGGCTTCCCTGGACAGGGCCAGCCAGGGGAGAAGAAGGATCAGGTGTGGAACACGCAGGAGTTGTTCGCAAAAGTACCTGACGATATTGATTTGCATCCAATACATTTAATGTATCAGAACCATTTGCACTCGTTTACGCCAGTGTCAATCACTTTAAAACCAGTGGTCACTGTCCTACGTTTCTTGCCTGTGCTGTCCACAGCAAAAGGAGAAGAAGAAATGGGAACCACCTCCGCCTCCACCACGTGTTGGAAAAAAGCTGAGGCGGGCAGGCCAGGTATGCTTTGCGAACGCACCAAAATCTGCGTGATGGTCTTCACCTTCTGGGCCATCAGTGGACAGCTATTTGCACATATGTATGCACTTATATTGCTCTTCCTGTCTAATTTCTGCAAACTGAATGTGTGTATCCATTCGTCGTTCTGTGCAGGCATCTAGTCTTGGTGCAAAGCTCCCAGGCATCACCCCCAACGCAAAATGCAAGCTCCGGCTTCTGAAGCTGGAACGCGTCAAGGATTGGTTGCTCATGGAGGAGGAATTTGTGTCCAATCAGGAGAGGCTGAAGCCTCAGGAGGAAAGGAATGAAGAGGAGCGCACAAAGGTGTGCATTGCTATCGCTTTCGCTGTGGCTCTAGTGACACAGTTGGATCCCTTTGCCATGACAATCAGCACTTTTCGTGTGCATGTGTTTGCTCAGGTGGATGAGCTGCGTGGTTCCCCAATGAGCGTGGGCAGCTTGGAGGAAATCATTGACGAGAAGTGTGTTCCCTCACTCTGCTCTTGAACCCTTAGCCTGTGTACTACTCCTGGCATTGAAGATCAGTGGCACCCTGTGCAATTCAAGTACTGAAGCAGCATTGATCTGTGCTGCAGCCATGCGATCGTCTCGTCATTGGTGGGCCCGGAGTACTATGTCAACATCATGTCCTTTGTGGACAAGGGCCAGCTGGAGCCCGGCTGCAGCATCCTCCTGCACAACAAGGTCTGTTGTTGCAGACAATATTGCATGCACACACCAATGTCTACCATTATGCGATTTATGTTACCGTCAAGTCATCAATGGAACTCAGTCTGGGTTGTTCTTTGCAGGTGCTGTCAGTAGTGGGCATTCTGCAGGATGAAGCAGACCCCATGGTCTCTGTCATGAAGGTGCGCGCTCCATCACATGCAGGCCTGCAACAAGTGCTGATCAGAATTGGTGTGTCAAGGCTGCTCTGACATCCCACTGTCGCAATTTGTCAGGAAGCGTGTGTCTGACAAGATCCATGACGGCCTCAAGAATCAGACTTCATGTGGCGCTGCAGGTTGAGAAGGCTCCCTTGGAGTCCTATGCAGACGTGGGTGGGCTGGAGCAGCAGGTGCAGGAGATCAAGGAGGCTGTCGAGCTGCCCCTGACTCACCCCGAGCTCTATGAGGACATCGGCATCAAGCCCCCCAAGGTTGGCCCCCTTCAGGCAGCCCTCCTTTATGTACCTTTGCATCTGGATATCCCATCCTGTTGTAACCTGCTGGAGAGATGAGTACCCTTAAATTACAATATATCCATTATCAGAATGCTTCAGGAATGCAGCCGATGCTTGACAGGGGTGCCTTAATGCATCATCCTGGGGCAAATTGGAGGCACAGGATGTCTGACATCATGTATGGCGCACTGCTGCAGGGAGTGATCTTGTATGGGGAGCCAGGCACAGGGAAGACCCTGCTAGCCAAGGCGGTGGCCAACAGCACCAGTGCAACCTTCCTGCGCGTGGTGGGCTCCGAGCTCATCCAGAAGTACTTGGGAGACGGGCCCAAGCTGGTCCGCGAGCTCTTCAGGGTCGCCGATGAGCTGGCGCCCTCCATCGTCTTCATCGGTGCGCCCTGCACTTTCTTTTGGTCCACTCTGCTAATGCACATCGTTCTTGAGGCCTGACTTCTTGCATACGGTGTCAAGCTACTCAAGTTCACTGCAAATGGGCCGACTAAACTTGCCTTCATTTAGTGAACAAATTCTCATGCCGTTCCTGTGCACTGCCTAAACGGCGCTCTGCCCAAATAGCTCTCAAGTCTTGAGACTCTCAACCTCTGAGAGAAAGGAGAAGTCAGATCCAGGTTGCAAGTGATTGGTGTCCGCAAAGGGGATGAATCATTAATTATGGCATAACAGATGAGGTGGACGCGATCGGCGCGAAGCGGTACGAGTCGCAGTCTGGCGGCGAGCGCGAGATCCAGCGCACCATGCTTGAGCTGCTCAACCAGATGGACGGCTTTGACGCGCGCGGGGATGTCAAGGTGCCAAATTCTTATGCTCACTGCTGCACGCTGCGCTCTGCACACTACTTGTATTCAATTGCTTCTTGCTGCTAAAAGCCTCATTTTAGAAGCGCAGCCCATGCAAGCACCATGAAATATGTCATCCTGTTATTTTCTACCCTAGAATGCCTCGCGCATGTCCATCATTGCTTTTCTCTCAAGCACTTGCACTTGCACTGTCAAGAGTCCCGCCGGCATTGGAAGCTTGCATAGAAAACAGCCGGCGCAATTTGCATTAACTAGTGGCCGAGTCTGACAGCGGCTGATTTTACTGCCGGGCAGGTGATCATGGCGACGAACCGGATCGAGTCTCTGGACCCGGCGCTGATCCGGCCGGGGCGAATTGACCGCAAGATTGAGTTCCCGCTGCCGGACACCAAGACCAAGCGCCGCATCTTCGGCATCCACACCGGCCGCATGACGCTCGGCACCGACGTCAATCTGGAAGAGTTTGTCCTCTCCAAGGTGCGCGCACACTTTGTCCTCCTGCTGAACAGTGCCTTCGCGAGGCTAGCAGTCCTGACGTTTCTGCAAGATTTCATGGGTTCAATCCCGTCTAAACAGCTGAGCGAGACCTAAGTGGTGCCTTGCTTGCCTGTCCAGAAGGTGTTGGCACCGTTGAAGCTCTGCAGCCAACAGACAATTCAGCAATTCCCAGCATTGGCAGATAATAGGACGGCGTTTGGAAACTGGGATTTTTAGGTGAGATTAGGCAAGGGGTCTGCAAGGGGCAATAAATTATGAGTGTTGCACATGTGGCAGGATGAGCTGTCGGGTGCGGACATCAAGGCGATGTGCACGGAGGCCGGCCTGCTGGCTCTGCGCGAGCGACGCATGCGCGTGACCCACACGGATTTTAAGAAGGCCAAGGAGAAGGTGCTGTACAAGAAGAAGGAGGGCGTCCCAGAGGGCCTCTACCTCTAGGCAGCTGCAGACAAGATCTGGATCAGTAAAGGCGTCTGTTGGTGCAATCGCATTCTGAAGTGGGCTCTCTTTTCAGTGGCCATATGCTTTGCTAATTTGTGGTTTCAGCCCTGTAGATGTGAATGTTTGTAAGGAGCTTGTGCATCCACGAGTCCTGGACATGCCTTGCTAATGGAGCTAAGCAGGAATTCCAGTTGTCATGCTGCAGAGCGCTCTCAAGCATTGATATTGTTTATGAAATCATCTTACACAGTTATTTCATGGGCAGACTTCCATGCAGCGCTAACTTGAGCTCGCAGCAACCATTAGTAGCACATCACAATCTTCATGCAGAACACATACATGCAGTTCATATCTCACAATATTGCTCATACCATTTGCAAAATTTTGACACATGCATTCATGGACCAGACAGATTATTATAGGGTGGACAGTGTCCACTGGACACAGTTTGGCGGAGCAAGAAAAATCGCAACTGATATGATCACAACTTTGACATAGTCTTTAAGCGCACTGAGCGGCTGGCAGCCAATCGCAAGTGACACCAGCATGGGAAAGTCGAGCCACAACATCAGCAATTTCAGTCTGCAATCGAGCTCGAATGCCCCGTTGCCAATCGATAACCATGATAAGATCGCAGTGTTAGGTAGGTAATTGCATCTGTAATTCGCAGTGCAGATCTGCAGGAAACACAAACTTGTTAATCTCCTTCTTTATATTGTGAACAGCATGCATGTCTGCAAGAAATCGAAACACGCCCTTGCGGGCAGTGGAGCTCACATGTGACACTCACAAAGCTCTGGACTCTCTTCATGTGGGCTCAGTGTAAGGTTGTTATCATCTCAGGGCTGAGCCCGTGAGTCAACGTATATTTATGTCATTTAGACAACATCATAGCCCACAGAGTCTCCTGGCAGACACTCAGATATATGTCAACCGCATCATGCACTAGACACTATGGAAAGCACAACATTTTGGACATTACCTGCTGTCGGCATCCCTCAATATGTGGCACTCCATGCGGCAGATCACTCATTTCTTTGCCTTGGACTTCCCTCCAGCCTCTGCCTTGGCAGGCTTCTTCTTGGCAGGCTTGCCTGCAGCTCCAGCGCGCTTGGCAGGAGCCTTCTTTGCCTTGCCTGCAGCTGCCTTGGGCTTTTTCTTGGGCCCTTTGCCGCTTGGGCCTGCATCATCCGCCGCCCCTGGATGCTGCGAAGCTCCCTGCGACATACATACCGCAGATCAAGGGTCGCCCATATGCTTTCTTCTTTCTTCTTCATTCAAGTAACTTGCTCAGATCCTCTGTGTGCCACACTAGCAATAGCATCCCTGCCTGGCTTACTGAACATGCCATAGTTTGTAATGGATGACACTGTAAGAGACAAAACTTGACGTTTGGGTGCGTTGGGGCCCACCTCATATTGGTAGTTGTCATCATCGTCGTAAATGAAGTAGTTGTCATCGGCGTTGTCATCACCGGGGGAACCCAGGGCCCCCAGCGGCCGCAGCTGGATGTACTGGTGCCCTAGAGCCTCCACACGCGCCTCCGTCGCGCTGAGGTTCACCACGCACAGCGTGGTGGCACACGGCACCTGTGCAGCCACACCGCTATTGACACATTGCTCTCCTCTCTAACAGGAGTACCCTTTCTGACTGCTTCTGCAGGCATATCAGGAACAATACATTGTGCAGCAGCAATGGCAGGGGCTGCTTCTGTGAGTTTCTGTCAGATCTGTTACATGGGCTGTGCATTAGGACGCACTTGGCAAAGTAGGGTACAAAGCAAAGGACTCACAGTAGTGGCGGCATACACAACGCCCTTGAGGTCCATTCTGAGCTCTGGATTGCTGTCATCGCCTTCCACCAGCCATCGGCCCACCACCCCAGCATCGCCAGTCAGGTCCACCGAGCTGTCATTCCCGCCCTCAAGCTCCACTATGAACTGCGCAAAATGCACAAATCCATGTAAGCCGCAGCAGGTACTCCCTGTTACAGTTAAAGTTACTGCATTTGATGATCAGAGTGACTGGTCTACCCTTGGGTGAGGACTTGAGCATAATGAGGGGCTCCATGCATGCGCACCTTTGTGACAGGCAGCTTCTCAGGCATCATCACAGGGATCTCTCCAGCAACAGGAGCCAGCACAGCAATTTTGCTCACAGGCGATTTGGGGCCTTTGGCCGCCTGACTGCCCACAATAGCCTGTGTCCCCTCCCCTCCAACGTCGTTGTCGGGCTGCAATAAAGTACAGATCAGCCATGGAAACACTCGACTGCTGTATTCCGACAGTCTGGGTGTGCCCATCAGCATGCTCACATAGTGGTCAGCAGGACTTGCATCACCATGATGCATACCTGCTCATCCTCTTCTTGTATTCTCCTCAGTGCTGCTTTACCTCCAGACCCTGCTGCCTTTCTCGATGGAGCCTTTTGAGACGGCCCTGCACTGTCCTGGCTGGAGAATCGTTGGCTCTGTTGCGTGGCGACCATCGTTTTCTGTCTCTTTCGCGCAGGTTGTTGCCCCTTCCCGCTACCTTCTACATCATCGCTGTCACTGTTTTCGCTGCTGAGAAGCACCCTGTTCAGATTTCGCTTGGCCTGTGGGGCTGCTGCTCTTCCACGTTTCCTTGGTGCCTCTTTCTGCTCTGCTGCACTCCCAGGCCCGGGACCGGCTCCTTCCTCAGCCCCATCGTCACTGGATGCAACCTCCAAGACCTCATCGGAGTCACTGAGGAGCTCCAGAGCCTTGACAGGCGAGTTATTTTCTGACAGCCAGTCTGGAAGCGGGGACCCGCTGTTCGACCTTTTGCAGGCATCACCCTGCATAAAAAGTTTTCATTGATTCAAATTCTGGAATTCTTGTCATGGGATACTAATGAAAAGTGTACAGAGCTGAGCCATCATCAGTGCAACGTCAACAGTACCTTCAATTGGGCAGTGCCAGATCTCTCGCCCAAGGGTCTGTCATCACTGTCACTACTATCCATATCGACTTCGTGGTAGGGCACAGGGCCGCCAAATCATAAGATCAAGACCGTCAGCATCTCACTAATGAAGCAATGCAATTTGCTGAGCGCCTTGACCCCACGGAAAGAATGGCGCTTCAATTTTCTTCTTCAAGCTCAGAGAATCGGAGTGGGGTTCAGTATGCCCTTTCTCTGAACTTCAAAGCCTGAAAATTTGGCCGCATGCGGTTGCACGGCCTCTGGCGTTCCCTCTACTTGAGACTCCTAAACAGGCTTTCATCGGACGAAGCTTTGACCTGGTCAAGGATCTCGACCTGAACTTCTATTTTTCGACAACGTGCTTCTCTTGAACCTGATTTGTCAGTAATTCTTTCAGGCACCAGTTGAAGGAGTGAAGAATGAGTGAAACCGTGATCGCAAGCAAGAGTTCTCGAGGGACGGCTTGGCAGCATCAGGCCGCTGCCAGCAGCCTTTCCGCAGGCGCACCTGCCCACCACACTTCTGAAAGCACAGAAATTAAAGACTCTAACACGGCGAGCACGCCATCATGCCAGGACACCTGCACATCGGAGACCGCAGGCTTCTGGTACAATGCTTTTCAGTCCGTTTGCAAGGGTCCGTCTCAGCCCTTGAACCCCCTGGAGATCTCAAAAGAAGATATCACATGATTGATGTGTTAGAGTGCATACTAAGAACAACAGAAAAGTCAAAGGCATAGCTGACGTTGCCTTGCCAGATGCTTCTTAGCCTTCGCCAAATATAGTTCAATGTTTGCTAGTTGAGCACATTGCGGATTACATCTGAAGCTCATGCCAGCATTTACCTTGATGTTGCCTGTCATGCAGCTGTTGACGTCGCAGACCACATCCTTGCAGGAATATTCGGGGTGAACCAAAGCAAGTACAGTCTGTATGAGAACGATCTGGACGCACCTTCCTTGGTACGCAAGAAGTTCCTGCGGAAATACTCTGTGTGGTTCAAGCTGTCGGATGCAAAACCAGACAGAAAATCAAAGGAATAAAGCAGAGGTCACTTGCACTTGTTTGTTAATGGATGTGCAAAGCATGGTCTGGCTGAGCTAGGATACTTTGTACAGACATGCTGCAGCCGGACATATCATTTGAAGAAGCTGAAAATGTCTTATGTGTTGAAGGTGGCATCTTGTTCGAGGCAGAGCTCTACTACCTCCTGGCGGAAGTGGTCTACAGCTTCAGAAAGCGATGAGGAAGACTCCTATGATATTGAAGCGCCAAAGTACAGATCCCCGCCTCGCCAGTGAGATGCTCCATCATTTTCTGAGCACAGCCAATTTACATCCAACAGCAGACTTTGATCGCGATCAGCCCGTGCTGTAGCTGCTGCTGAGAGATGCTTGCATGGTCAAGTCAGCATCAATGCATCTTCAGGAAGGTTTGTCAGCTTTGTTCTGAGTAATCATTTAGGCAGCAGGACTGCTAGCACACGGTTGCCTTTCATCTCAAAGGCTTAGAATGCCATGACTTGTACGCATGCAAGGATCTGCGAGTTTGTGGACGATGGCCGTGCCTTCCCATATATCCCCGCAAGATTTTACTCAGCACCAGCCACTCATGTGCACTGGGCCATTCATGCTTTGCCCGAGAGTGCACGGCAAAAGTTTGAAGTACTGAGAGAGACATTCTCACGAGTCCTAGGAACAGATTTGGCCTGTGCGCCAAGTATTGCTATCTCTGTACTTGTTTGATCCCAATTTGCCAGATTCATTTGTAGATCATGCTGTGACCGGATGGAGTGTGTACATGACAGAACACCTGTCAAGACAGATCTGGCGGTGCAAGGAAAGAAGTGTATATATATGTCTTGCTTTCCTGAAGTGGGTAGGAGGCCTCCTAGGAGGGAGGTCGCTAGAGGATTGTTAGATTCAATCGCAATAGCCAGTTGCTGGCAGCTATCAATTGAAGCTTGCAAGGTCCATTCCTAGCTGTGAGTGCTGTCCATGTGTGGCAGTGGGTCGAAGAAGGCTGCGAATTTCTTGGCTGTGCTTGTCTTGTGATCTGCCGCAGCCGTATACTGTGCTAAATTATGCAGATGGTATTTATAGATAGAGCCTTCGAGAGGTTTCTGCCCTCAGTGCCCCAGTGAAATGCACCTGCAACTTTAAGCTTCATGTGATTCTGGAAGCATGTGTACTGATCAACGGCATCATGTATTCAATTCCAAGATTATGAATGGTTGCGCATCGGTGGCTTATTAAGCAGGCTACAAGCCAGCAACATCTGGCCTACAAGTGACAATATCAGCTACATTACAAATACTAGGAAGTTACTATTCAAATTGAGTTTGTACTGCTCAATACCACGGACGATAGAGTGCACGATCTCAACATATGACATGGTCAACTCAACTGCCCGTCTGCTCGCTGCTCAACCGTCCTTTCAAGACTTCCATGAGCTTCTGCTTATTCACTAGGTGGCCGTGGCGCAGTGACAGTATGTATTGCCTGTCCCCTTCTACATCAACTGGCAGGAGCGTCTGCTTAGCAATCTCTGTAAGCTGAGTCTGAGAGCAGCCTTGCAGAGGCGCAATCAGCCGTCCAGCAGGAACAATATTGTCCTGCATACAGAGCCCCATATATCAGCAACTGCTCCATGCATGCATTGCCAGATTTGCTGACCTTTGGAGAGCATTGGCTAAGCCCATTGCCATCGCAAAAATATGCAGGTTGCTTTGTGGCAGTGCCACAAGGAAGGCTATGGATGTTTAAGGAATGTATGTAGAAGAGCAAGATTTGCACAGTCTTTATGCCAGAACAGAAAAGCACACCCAAGACCTACCTCACGGTTCCCCCAGAAGTCCAGCACACTGAAGCACAGGGAGGACTGGGCGTCCCCTGGCCTTTGCAACAGCGACATCTCACCAACATAGCGCCTGGAGTAATACCACAGCGTGACAGACGCTGCTGCACAGCCCACCACCAGTGCTGTGGCCATGACGGCTTGCACACTGGAAACACTCCCCTGCACCAGATCAGTAACTCATTGGCTGCATAATCGAAGATCATGCCATATACATAACGTGATGTACACAAATTCCTTGAGGCCAACGCAGCGTTTGGCAGGAAAATTGCCACAGGCAGGTCATGTCCCACATTATTCATGTGGGACATGACATCGACCTAATGACTTGCCTGTACAAGGAATGTGTTGATGGGGATTGCCAGGGCGGCAACCCCTGCCAACTGGAATATCTTCAGCCGGACCAGCACTCTGAAGGGGATCATGCCTATGCCGCGATACAGCACAACCTTTCCTGATGCGCCATTCCCATCTGGCCCTTGCACACGTGCCTCTGTCAGCGGACTGCTGCTGAAGCATCTATTCCCCTGCAGAGGGTCCTTCAACACCTGCCACGGGCCAATACGTGAGCTCTGGGCTAAGCTTTGCTGCCAGAAGAAAAAGGTTGCGAGGACGACGAGCCATCAGGTGCTATTATTACCTGACTATCCGCGATCTTGAAGGAATTTGTCTGATGCAAGTGGACATTAATGCCAGGGCATGCTGGAGGCCATCTTGGAAAACAGTGGTGCGAGAATTCTCGAAGCCCCTTTGAGCTAAAAGAGGCATCTGCAGATTTTGATATGTGATCAACATCATAAAGACCGCATACTGCCGCTGCCTGATTTGGGACTCGACTGGCGTAATACCTCCTTGCAGTCCTGGACACTGCCTGCAGCATGAGGGCTGACGCCCTCACCAGAAATACAAAACGATGATGAGGATGACAGCTAACACAGCCATCGCAGCATAATCAATCCACCAGCTCCCTTTCTGAAGGGCAGGGTCGCTACTTGAAGCCTTAGAGATTGGAGGTGCCATCGTGGGCAAGTATGTGTAGGTGCTTGTGTCACAGCGCGCTGGCGCTTGTGAGGCCAAGCAGATGCATAAAAATAAATCAATGGATCATGCAATTATTAAAGAGCTAAAGCATGCAGAAGGCATGTTCTGATAGCACGTGGTGTATTAGTAAGCTCAAAGTCAACTTGACCAAAGCAAGTCAATCATCCTTGATGGACGCATTTATTTCTGTTCTACAAATTGAATGTATTAAAAAATCGGATCGCTTTATGACCTCGGTGCTTGAAGTGCCTGCCTCAATTTCCCGAGCCGTTTATTACAGCACGGCATGTGAACAGCGTCCTGCTGAACTGGAGGACATATGCTCTTAACCCACAACCCCTGTGTAGCTTACCAAGGTCAGACAGACAGTAATGGAATTGAGAAAGCTTGGAGAATTCGTGCTGCACAGCACGTTCCGTATTGAAGATGGCGAACACGTCCTTGTGCATAGTCCTGTGGAGGTAATTCCTGCTTTCAGTTGAACGGCTCAGATAGGTCAAGTGAATTTTTGTCCCATGTTAGCAATTCTTTGTCTTTACCAAATTGATGGTGGACTAAATTTGGACACCGTGAGCAGCCTGCAGCATTTCTTGGATGTGCCAAACAAGGAACTACATGCATGCAAGGTTGCTCAATTGCAGCCTGTGTCAGCCCTTCTCCCACTTCTAGCATTGTAAGGCTCAGCGGAAATGGTAAGATGTCCCTTTTCTTGAGGGCGCAAATCACTTGTTGATTAGATGCTAGAAGAGGGGCTCTTCATGGAGACCTATGGTGTCAGACCTATGACGGTCTATGAACGGCAGGTCTGAGGCTCCCAATTGACATTCAAAAATTCCTGACTCTTGTTCATACACTGCAGGTGGTCCAGTGGTTACGTCCTTGCCAAGTAGTAGGTTCTTAGGGCGCCAGTTGCAGACTCCCACACAGCTCAAAAGGAAAGCCAAATCGTTATTGGAAGGCGATGGGTTAGCATCCATCAGTGAGAACGGCTGCATGCTGGCAACATGTGATGTCAAGCAGCCGGACAGCATTGCACTGCGTGAAGTGTCCACAGGAACTACAAAGCTCGTGCAGCTTCCACAGCAAGTGAAAGCCATATCTCAGCTGTGGCCTTGCTCGGATGGTAGAGCAATTGTTATGTGGGCTGCCAAGCCAGGGCTTCCTGAGCTCTGGCTGTGGACTTGTGCTGCACCGAGCGCCATAATTTCTGGCAGCTTTGAGAAGGTATGTGATTGTGCTCCTTGTCTCATTACCGTGCCAAAGCACCACATCATGTCACAGGACAGCGATATAATTGAAAGGCATGCCTATTGAGGCATCTAATATAGTATGCTGCAATGCAGCCTAGCGGTGGAGGCTGGGTGAAACTGCCTGCGCTGCCGTCGAGGGCAGCATTGCAGCTGAACGGGGAAAGAGAATGCAATGTCAGCATGACAGCCGGTTTTAGGACAGAATCCAAGCTTGGCACTCGCGCTCAGATTGCTGTAGCGCTCTGGGACGCTACCGAGGGGGGCGACGTGGACATATTTCTGCTGTTGCAGCCCCTTCAGAAGGATGAACTCCAAGCTTCCGTGGAGTGGCAGCATGTCTCACTCAGCCTCTGTGATGTCTTGGACCGCTCAGGAGACATTCAGAGCATGGATGCAGCAGCAGGTGCGTACCTTGCTGTATCTGGCTGAGTTGCTCAATCTATTATTGTCACATATTTCTTCTCTGCCTGCAGCGCATCCTGCAGATTTGTTGTGGCTGAGATTTTTAAATTCTACTGTGCAGAGAGGGTTGCATCAGCAGGCAAGCAGCATCATCACATGGAGAGCTTTGATGACCTGGACTTGGAGCAGGCGGCGCAGGAATGGCAGATCCTGCCTGCTCCCAGCCTGCTGCCCTATGGCGCTATATTCTCTGTCAAGCTTGCTTGGAACCCAGCAGGCAAGTCACCTCAGGAAGACTCCCTGGCTTGAATTTTTCAACAGTGATGAGCGTGAATTAGGTCCCTGGAAACTGATGCGTTGCGTTTGACGACAACTGGTGTTTATATGGCAGGGAGATTTCTGGCAGCGGGGCTGTCCACCACTCGGGACAGAGCCTGGATAAGCATCATCCCAACTGCACCGGCTGCTTGGCAGGAGGCCCCTCCAATGGTACCATTCTCTTTCCTTTCATTGCATGCAATATATTCCATGGAGGCAAAGAAATTCACGATTACTCAAGACACAGCAGGACTGCCCTTAGACTTGTGAGATTTTGCATGTGACTGGGTGTCTGTGTGCTCACCCTGCAGACGTCATGGAAAGGAGAGGTCCTTAGCAGTGGCTCACCATCCACCCCATTGTCCCCAGCTGCCTCGGCTACTCAGAAGGGCCCACTGCTGCAGCAGCTGCACTGGGTTCCTGATGGAAGCGCTGTGCTGGCGCTGGACAGAGCAGGCAATTTGGGAGCTGTGGACTGCAGGGGCATTGTGCAGGGCCTGGCCTTGACTGTGGCCAGATCCAAGGTACCACAAAATTGCAGTTTTACCCACCTGTCACCAATATATGTCCCAGGAGATATTAGTGATAATATGGAGCCTTGTGGTGGACAATGTGACATTTGTCAATGCACAGGAAGACCAGTCGCTCGAGAAGGATCAGCCAGGGAGTGCCGGACACCTCACACATGCAGACTGGGGGACACCAAAGGGGTCGGATGGCGGCGCTTTTGCCATGTGCCTCTATCAAGATGCGCCCAGTAGTTGGACGCACCTTGTGCTACTGCACGGCTGCCACATGACCCTCTACACTGTCGGTAGCAACCCTGGGGCGCCAACTTTGGCGCCCGCGCCCTCTGCCCAGAGGCTCAGCTGGGACCAGGCTGAGGATATATCTCTCCATGACACCTCAGCCAGGAGCTCAGCAGCGGGTGTGAAATCTGTGGACGGAGGTTCTGGGACCGACTCTGACGGCAAGGTCGGCGTCCGCCGCACGAAGTCGGTGCGGCCGCTGTCAAAGCTGACATCAGCGCTGCGCGCTGACCTGGACCTGCTGGTCAGGTGCGTGTCAGCGCCAGCTCAGCTCGCTGATGTGGCAGACAGCATCAGCGCACCAAGGGTTCACGGCCAGCCGCAGCCTAATAACATGATCTCGCCAAAGACACCAGCCACGGATGATCTCAGCACGGTCGTCAAGCTGAGGATCAAGACAGGGCCGCGCAGCCAGCATCACACCAAGACGCCTCGCGCGCCCAAGCCGCAGGACAGCGCCGATCTCGGGCAGGTGGTGAACAGCATAAGGAGCGCCTCGCTGAGCTCAGCGTCCGGCCAGAACAGGCGCGTGAGCTTCGCTGAGCTGGACGAGGTGGTCGACGGCGTCGCCTCCTCCGCCAAATACCCTCCCAGCCCGCACCCTCGGAAGATCTCAGGCGCGGCTGCAGTCCCGCAGCGATCGGCGCTGAAGACCGCTTCACCGGCGGCTCGGCTAAGCAACAGCAGCGCCTCAAACGCGCCGCACAGCCCACATGAGCTGGTTCTCATCACTGCACTGCGCGCCACTGTGTCAGCCGACAACAAGCAGCCTGCCACCGACGCTGTTGTGCCGCACGCCGCCGCAGAGCAGGTCAGAGCCGGTCATGAAGGGTCTTTGGTAGACACGCACCATTCCAAGAAAGGCACTACGACAGACAGAGGTGGAGCGCAGCTGGGAGCCCCTGGCGCAACAGAGAACAGCGTGCCTGCACGGAGCATAAGTGCTCTGCAGGCTAAGGTTGCCCGGCTGAAGGCGCACTGGTCGTCCATGCTCAAGCCAGCCGCTGCTGCCGCAGGGGAGGCCCCTGTTGCACTCAAGGGGTCTGAGCAGAACCTCCTGCCACATCAGGGCGCAGACCATCTGATCAGGGCAAAGAGCAGCTCGGCGCCGAGTCTGGGCAGGCCCAGTCTGGTTCACCAGCTGGCAGCAAGAGGCCCTGTGGTGGAGAGTCGGATCACTGGCTGGGCGCAACCAGGGGCAGGTCCGATAAAACTCACAGCAATGTTCAGCCGCGCTAGCAAGCAGTCAGCCAGTGTGCGACGGACAGGCCATGCGCATGGGCAGGCATCACGTCTTATGCTGGAGAGTAAAAGTGTGCATAAGAGCAGCGCAGGCCTGGACTCCTACACGCTCACACCGGCAGCTGCTGTGGCGGAGGACGAGAGTGACAGTGACTGGCTGCCCCTTGCCGACTTGTGGGGCCCCACTGTCTGCGTCCTGCCAGCCGCCCAGTCAACCAACCCCACCGCCAAGAGAGCCAGCACTACTACATCGCCTGCAGCCTCAATCATGGCAGCTTTTCCCTCTCCAGGGAGCGCATTTGAGGAATCGCTACTCCCAGCCAGCAGAGGCCGACTGGCTCAGAGGGACGCAGGGCCTGTGGCAGAGGCTGTGGAGGAAGAAACAGAGAACGAAGACGCCGCTCTGATGACACCGCCAGCGAGTATAGCTTTTATATCGGTCAAGGAAGGCAGCGGATTTGGTGAGCTGCCGCAACAGATGCAAGATGGACAGGTGGAAGCTGGCTTGACACTGGACCAGCAGCTGAGCATCGAGCGGCCCAGGGCATCCCCCCGGCCGGGCAGCTCCGGGCAGCTGCCCAGGCAGGTGCTGGAAGCTGACGCTAAAGCTGCCGGAAGCCTCGACCGCTACTATTCCCTGCCCGCCACACTGTCGCTGCCGCCAACGGTGTCGCTGGATGCGCCGCTGCTGCAGAGCCGCACCTCTCTGCTCCCCGGCGCCTGGGCGAGTGGCGCCTACGGCGATGCATTGGATGAGTTCTTCCTGGACAGCCCCACCATGCTGGACGGCCCGGTGCGGATCTGACTCTCACTTGTTAGTCCGCCCAATGCCCATGCCGAAGAAATCGGGGCCCCAGGGCATAATACGGCCCCAAAAAGAGCAGCAGAAAGAGAGGCTGGGGAGCTGTAAGCAGCAGCACACTCACAGATAGATGAATTATAGACAGGCTTGTTGTCAAGCGAATTTTTGTCGCAAAGAGGTGGGGACACAAGCGCAGCTGGCTTACAAAAGAGGCTCGGAAGTTGGCGGCAAGAGGTGAGCAGTATGTGATGTGTGCAGGTGGTGGACAATGGCGAGCCGACATTTGAGAACAGCATGATGGCGCGGCACGCCAGGCAGAACGGCCGGGGCAAGGAGCGAGGGAGGAACAGCAGCTCCAAACGCGCCTCCATGAAGAGAAAAACTCAAGTGCGTGCTCTCACAGAGGACCATCTCAATCTTGTCCTTACAAGAACATTATTTCTGCTGTACCATATGCAAAGGCTCAGAGGCACTTCAGATGAAATTGAGAGGAAATGAAGTTGAGATGCGCTGCAGGGGGATGTCACAAGCATGGACGGCGACCCAAAGCTGAAGGAATCGCCACGGCGTAGCCTGTCGCCCTTCAGCGCGCGATTCGCATTCAGCTGGCACCGCGCGGCACAGGAGATGCGGCCCCCGGTGCCGTCACCCGGCCCGGCCGCGCCGGCGGCAAACATTGCGCGGACGGCCACTGCCGCAGACGAGGAGCAACAAGAGCACCTCCCTGAATACCTGCACACCCGCGTGGGGCCTCTGGAGGAAGGCCTGGTGGCAGCGCGGTCGAATGCATTACTGCTGAATACCCCTGATCCCCTGAGAATGGACCCTATGCGAACTCTTGGTTCTGCGCGGCGACGGCGGCGCAGGTCGACAGCTTCCTCTGAGGAGCCGCCGCCGCCGCCGCCGCTGCGCAGCGAGAAAGACCCGTTAAACAGGTGCGAATGCTACGAATTTTGCTTCTGGAGCTGTAGCGATATTGCAAGTCTTTGGGTAGTCCTCATAAGCACCAGGTACAAGATCTCTGGGACCTCAGCTGGCCTCAGGGGAATGAATAATAAGTAGAAACCGGTGATGCGGGATGTGTCATGTCAACAGGGACCCGGTGCAGTATGCGGCCAGCCCGGTGCGGCGCATGGAGACGGCCAGCGCGCGGCGCCGCCGGCCGCCGCAGCCGGCACCGGGGGATGCCGCGCCTGCTCAGGCAACCCCTGGTGCTGTGCCCAGCCGCGCTGATGTGGTGCCAATTGCGGAGGCAGCTTCCAAGGATCCTGCGGCAGATGCAGGCCCTTCTGCAACGCAGAAGGGCACAATCAAGGCTGGCCTTGTTGTGACTGCCGCGCCGAGGAAGGAAGATGGTCGGTATGGGGAGGGACAGGCTGATCACCGTGTGAGGAAGCCTGGGAAGCCTCAAGGCATGCACAGGGCTGAGAGCTGCAGTCCTCGCAGTCCTTTAGCTGGCAAGACAAAGCATGCTGGCATCAGGCATAGGGTGACAGAGGATGATGAGGTCAGCTCAGGCTCTGTGCTATCAAGCAGCAGCAGTCTGGACTTGTACCAGATGCTCAAGGCCAGAAGCCGCCGTAAGCAGGAGAAGCAGCTGAGGCATGGCAGTGTGGCCAGCCCAGCTTCTGCCAGCAGCTGCTCTGCATGTGCCGAGGTGTCACTTCAACACGGATACCTGTCCCGCAAATTTTGCTGCCTTTATAACTGCATGCCAAACGGTTGCAGCTATGGCATCATTTGTCCTGTCACAAGCACACGGTGATACCATGAGGACGTCAAGCTGTCATGAATCGACTGAACGCCCCTGTTATGCGCAGGCACCGGATGACTTCGCTGCGACCCCGCCGCGGCTGTTGCACCCGCATCGCCTGAGTGGATACACCCAGCAGCATGCCGCGCCAGCAGAAAACAGCGGCATCAGGTGTCACGCTGAGCCAGTTTTCTCCTGTCCTCCACTTGTGTTTTGCTCACTCACATTTGCATGCATGGCAGGCTGCAGAATATGTTCTGCAGCGATGGTCTGCAGCGATGCTGTGCAGCCTGAAAGAGAAGAGTCTCATGCAGGTATGAAGTTGTCAGTTGGGAGTTGGGTGACAGGCTGGTTGATGTGGACTGGAGATGGGGTGAGAACCGCGCTGGCAGACCCCCATCTGCCTTCTGGGATGGCTTTAAGAGCAGCTCTGCCAGGAGCGACCCACAGTGGGAAAGCAATTTAAGGTGGGTCTATGCCAAATCCATGCAATGACCTCATTTGTCCCTGCCCCGTTCTATGCATGTCCCGGTTCTATTCTTGGCAAGTAACATCTGTGCGCAGAGTCCAAAATTAATTTTGTGAGATGTACTTGCACAGGCTGCTGCGAGTGGACGTGCAGCAGACAAAGCCCTCCCCCAACTTCAGAAAGCAGTCTGGGGCCTTTGCTTCTGTGCAGACAGCTGCCGCGCGTGCAACAGATCCCCAAGAAGAATCCATCAGCCTGCTGCACGAGCTCAAGGGCCTCGTGGCAAGCCTGAAGACATCGCAGACCCAAAAAGATGGCACACAAGGTCCACCATTCTCCAGTCGCTCAGAGCTAGTTGTGTCCTGAGACCTGAGAGGCTGCATGAAGATTTCATATGCATATGCATGCGGTTGCTTCCAGATAGACGTGAGGTATGGTCTGTGCCTCGATCTTGTCTGTGCGTATCGACATGTCAGCCGTGAACATGTTTGCAGCGAGGGCAGCTTGTAAGTGTGCATTCGTGTGTGCAGAGGCAGGCGCAGCAAAGAAGGTGGCGGCGGCCAGGTGCATCCAATCGGTGTACAGGGGCCATGCGGTGCGGCGCAGCGCGTCTCTGCTGCGGCTTGCCCAGCGCAACAGGGCCCCCGCATCCCCCACAGAGACCTCCAAGAGGTCAGGCTTCCCCCACCAACAATACCCACATGATGGGCAAAACAAAAGCTACAGCTAATATCACTTTCTCTGAAGTCCACTTTGACGGACTAATACGCATGTGTTGTCCTGATTTGGTGGAACAGCGTGGTTGCTGATCATTCCTGTAAACCGGAGATAATGGGTACACTGTCGTGCACAGTCTGCGCAATCTAAACTCGTTAATGCTTCTGCCAGGGACGCCGCAACGCAGATAGACGACCGCACGGCGCAGTCAGCACAGGAAGCCAAGCCAGAGGGCTGCCTCCCCATGTACCGGGCCGTCCCTGTTCGCGCAGTCTACGTGAGCCCAGGCCACACCATGGTGAGCTGCACTTGAACCCCTGCATGCATGCAAATGTTCCAGAGCAAAAGCCTGATGGACTCGCACTGATGCAGCATAGTCCCTGTTATGAGAAATCTGAGGTGATTTCGAGGATGCCAAGAGGACAGGTGAGCTGTCGCGCAACCCCAAATCTCTGATTGTACCAAAAAGGTTGGGGTTGTTGCAAGAGATTGCAGGAAGATGCAGAAACACCCATTGAATCCGTTCAGTTCCAACACTCGCTACTGTGCCCCTGTTCAGGCCGCCACCAAGCTGAACGGTGCAGCACTGACCCCACAGCCGCCGCTGGCCACGACTGCCGCCGAGGTGGCTGCACTTGACAGCTTGCGCGCGCAGATGAGCCAGACTGCTGCCACAAATTCACATGGCCACTCGCTGAGGGGAGCCTCAGGGGCTGACTGGCAGTCTTTAGGTGAGGGGCCTGAGTATGATGTGCTTCTGGGTTGCAAGGTGCTTATTGTGTCGATGCACATTCATTGTTTCGGGATGCGGCACTCACTGCCTTCTTGCCTGGTATATCTTGCATGCTGTCTCAGCCTGATTGGGTCTGATGAAGCCTTGATCACCATGTCCGATTACTGTGTCGTGCTATCTGCCCTTTCGGATCTTTCAGTCAAGGATATGAGCATGCATTGTGGCAGGTGCGAGGGGCAACCAGGGCTTGGGAGCTGGAGGCGGCAAGGGCAGCCCCAGAACCAAGTACATCCACCCTTCCACTCACCCCGGAGCCTCCTGGGGCAGCCGCCATGCGCACCACATCAGTCTTGACAGACCAGCCAGCAGCTTTTCCGCCAAGATTGGAAAAGGCCAAAAGGTGGCCACTGCAACAGGGAGAAGAGAGGTGGGCAGTCTTTGCTGAAGCTTTTTGGGTCCGCCATGATGATTCAACATGGACAGGTCAATGTTTCTGCTCAAGAGCTACAATTGGGAGAGCATTGCATTGCTTTGGGAGTTACTACAAAGGTGTTTGTGCAAGCAGAGGGTGCTGCTGTGACTTGTGCGAATGTTGGGGCACCTCCATTTATCACTTGATAGCATTTTTGCAGGACAACTCGGACATGCATGCGATTGCTGCCCAGCTGAAAGGGGTGATGGCATCATTGGCTGACGTTGAGAAGATTGCAGGCGCACTGCAGGCTGACAGCGAAGCATCCCGAAAGGTGACCTCTCGGGCATGACTCATATACATATGAAGCTTAAGCCTGATCAAGGTTGCTCATGAGCTTCAGTATGCTTGGTGTATGCAAGTGCTCCATCAAGGCAGAGGTTTTAGTGCATGCAGTGTAATCATGCCTTGACATATCTGTGGTGAATCATGCAGTTGATGGAGAAAATAAGGAGCACCGCCCGTCAACCAGGGGGCACCTTGAACAAGGCATAAGCTGTGATTGAACATGGCAATATCTTTCAAGACTAAGAAGAAGAGAAAGATGGATTATACAAGGGCAGATTGCTTCTGGCAACAGCAAAGGTTTAAACTTCAGAAATTTCAGACTTATTATAACTGTTGCAGGAACAGTATTGTTGCAATCGAGAAAATGTCCTTCCGACCGCTGAAGAATAAGTTCAAACTAAAATACTTGCATGAAGGGCATTTGGAATGCAGAACAAAAATACGAGGCACTCACAGAAAGGACTGGAATTCAAAAAGTGCTGGCGCGTATATTGTACAGAGGATTTTTTAATACAGCTGGAGCTGGCTTTGTTCCTCAATTCAATGGCTTTGCATAAGTGTACACGCCTTTGTAAACCTTCTTCCCGAGCCATCCTGCAAACCCCAGCCAAGTCTAAGCACCCATGAGAGAAAGGCATGATATGCAAAATATCTGTAACAAGTCTGCACGCCCTGTTGTAAAGCTAGTAAGCCACGCATGCAATACAGTTACTGCTTCAAGGTGAGCAGAAAAACACTCACCTGCATCAACATACTGCACCAGAAGAGGACACGGCCGGTACTTTGGATCGCCAGTCCCTCCATGCAGCACTCGCATGATGGACAGGCAAGTGTCCAAGCCTGCAAACAAGGCAGCCATCATTCACTGAGCATTATTGCATAATGCCTCAGCTGGCAAAGAGAGAGGCATATTCTCCATGCCCGGCCATGCTGTCAAAGAGGCCAATAGAAGGTGCAGATTACTGGGAATTGATTGTAGCACTGACCTATAAAATCCGCCAACTGCAAGGGGCCCATTGGATGGTTTGTGCCAAGCTTCATCCCCTTGTCAATATCCTCTGCAGTCCCCACTCCCTGTCTCATGACAAAATACAGTCAGCGCAGCTGGGGGGTCAGCATTTTAGCTGTAAGCTATCCAGCTTGTGGAATTTGAGGCTGTTTCAATCCAGGGATCACACTGCTGACCTCCATCAGGGTGTAGAAGGCCTCATTGACCATAGGCATGAGAATACGGTTGACTATGAAGCCTGGCCTGTCAAGAGACAAGCAAACAGTCTTCCCTAAGTGCTCTGACAGCGCCTTTGCGGTCTGGAAGACCTGTGATAGCAGCACAGGCCAATTCAGCCAAAGCGCAGATCATGCACATCTCACTTTTGAGCATTTCTACTTCATTCAGAAGTGCACGCAGAAGTCTAAATACAATTTTGAATAAATGGACAGCAATCGCGCCTCGTCACTGGTGGCAATGCCTCTGATGATCTCCACCAAAGGCATGACCGGGACAGGATTCATGAAATGCATGCCAACCTGCACACAGCAACTGGTGTTTTGCACAGAATTTGAGGACAGGCTTAAGGTCAGATGAAGGAAATTTGCGGCAATGCGGTCTTACCACTTGGCTGTTCCGTTTCGTAACTGCAGCAATCCTTGTAATAGAAATTGAGCTAGTGTTGGAGGCAAGGATTGCCTCAGGCTTCACAATCTGCACCATCAGGGCAAGGCATCACCAGGGATCAACACAAGGACACCTCCTTGGTAGGGACCCACGTGACAGCGGATGACTACCTGTAACTACAAAGCTCCCCAGAGAATGTCCAGATCACTTCAAATGCGCACCTGATCCAATAGCAGAAATGCTGCTTTCTTTGATGACTCATCCTCATTGATGGCCTCAATAACGAAATCTGCTGGTTCCAGTGCCTGCAATTATTGCAAAGGTCACACATTTCTGATCTGAGGCATTTGAGGAGGATACGATGTCCATTTATGAATTCTGGTTTACATGCTCGGTTACATTTACCCTGCTGTGCTGTGACACCAGTGGACGCAGCACGTCAAAATTATTGCAGGGCGCGTTCACCTGCAAGTCAGAGGATGCGCTGATGCGCCGTGCAGCAGCCTCAGCGTCCTCTTGGGTCAACTTCTCCTTTGCCACCGAACGTTTGAAGTAACGCTCAGTATTGATGACACTCCGCTCCAAAGCGCCAGAGTGGCTGTCGCAAAGGATAACGTCCAGCCCTTTCATTGCGGCAACCTGAGCTATGCCTGTGCCCATTTGTCCTGTTCAAGCAAAGAAAGGCATTAAGGGTCATGCATAGTCGTAAGTCAAAATTTCATGGCCCCCCTAAGGTCCCGAAGCAATGGAAATGATTGAAATCATATTTAATGATACTTGCCTGCCCCTACAATCCCCAGTAGGCGGGGCAGTAACGAAGCCATGGGTGATCAACTTTGTAGATGACCGATACAAGCAATCTGTGACGGCGCTTCAGTGAATGCACGAAAGTATTATCAGTTTGTCATTTTCTATCGTGCTCTTCTTCTGACCAGAAAGCCTACGTATGAGTACAAGATGGGATAGATTGTCTCGGAGATTTGGCTGACTCAGCGAAGTTTGCAAGCAGCTTCTTTCAGCTGCCACATCGAGATCGTGGGAAGAATGCATTTGATAAGGGACATTGTCCAATCTCTGTCGTTTGCTTTCTTTGGTGCCTAAAACACAAATTTCAAAATACAGCGAAGCCCAAGAGAAAAATCTTTCTGCGCCATATGTCTGCCGCGTTGCTGTCAGTTGCACCATCAACTTTACCTGACTTTGCCTGTCGTCCGGTCAATCTGACTACCAGATAGTCTTTCAAGATGGGAAGCACTGGAGTCGAGTTAAAGCTCGCAGGCGCCTCGAAATCGATCATTATTGTGCCGTCCTTGGACTCGACCGTGGGAGAATTAAAACTCGAGATCGCCAAAGCCACAGGTATTGCTGCCGACACAGTACATAGTAAGGCAACTCGGGTTTTATAACAATGTGATTGATGTGCAGGGACTTAACCTGTACTACTTGAAACTATGGCGTTGGATGGTAGGATGAAGCAGCATGGTGGTGGCTATATAAATACTTTAACGGCCACCGTTCATTCTTCTTGCAGGACATGCCAATCCTCAAGATTTGAAGCTCATAGTTGGGGGCAAGCGTCTCCTGGTAAGCTGCAGTGACCCCGGGGATGGACCTCTAAACCTAGCCTTGCTGCTCCTGTTCAATCCATTACTGCATCCATGACTAGCACTTTGCCATCCACTTGCACACTTGAAATACCTTGGTGGGATGCCAGGATGATTTAAAGGCTCTCAAGGACTATGGCGTGACAGCAGCCTCGCGCATCCTGGTTCTGGGCTTGCAGAGTGCTGAGGCACAGAAGACTCTGGCGGATCAGGAGGCCAGAGGCAGGGAACAGCAGGAGAGAGCTGAGCGGCTGCAGCGCCTCAAAGCAGCTGCCTCAGAGCTAGCCAAACGATCTATGAACAACAGGTGAGCCACTGCACAGGCCAACCCTGTCCTGGTCCTCTGCTGTTGACCTTCCAGATGCCAACAAACTGACGACACGTCATATAAGTCACTGTGTGGGAAGTCAGTGTTGTTGATTCTCTTTTTGTGACAGTGTGGGGGAAGATAAGCATTATGATCTGGCTCTGGAGAACCAGCATGGCGATGCCATCATGCTGGACAAGGCAGACCAGGAGGCTCTGATCATGGGCTTGTCCCTCCACGACAGGGGGAAAGGGCTGATGGAAAAGGTATTTCTCCACCTCCCCAAAACTCCCTGAAGTAGTGCTCACAGGACACGCTTCATGGTTCATGGAAGGAGAGCGATCCCAAAAGTTTCGTGGGTTTTGAGGGCTGATGTGCCATGAAGAGCATGCCACAGGTCATGTGATTCGGGCCCTGAACAATTGTTGTGTGGCCTTCAGGAGGACTACCGAGGCGCGCTGGATATTCTGCTGGTGTCAGAGGAGGCCTTCAGCTGCTGCAACTCCTCCATCAAGCACAGCGCTGACAATGAGGGGCTCCTGATGCTGGACATCGTCTGGTGCGTACTCTAAGGACCCCAAAATTGATGTAGCAATCATCGCATTGCGCACCAGGAACCCCCTATTGCCATGACAAGAACTGCGCTTCGTATTGACAGAGCAACTTGTGCACTTGCACATTGAGCTGCATTCCATAAGTGCCAGGGAGAGGCTGACTGACTGCCAAGAATAGTAAAATTGCTTATTATCAAGCATGCGGCTGTCCAGGTGCTACTTCCAGCTGAGGGATGCGGCCAGCCTGGGCGCTGCAACCGAGCGGCTGGGCAAAGCGCGATCGTGGCTGCAGCGCAGCCATGGGCCTAACCTGGAGCGCATGAAAGTGCTGCACGGCGACTTCACCCCTGAGCTCACCACGTGCGCTCCACTCCCCTCCCTGCAACTTCCCAATATGAGGCCCAAGGCAGCTCAACCGCTTCTGTCAGTCCCTTAGCATGTCAGTGTCTTCCCTGGATATGCAAACTGGCCTGGACATAAATATTGCCTGGCATGCAAGATCTTAGTACCCCTTTCAAAGTGCTTCTCTACGACAAGTGGGCTGCTGCAACCTTTTTCTTCCCTGGTTTTTTTATTGCGAAGTTGCCAAAGCTGTGGTGTGGTGGTGCCAGGTATGTGCGGCTGGAGCTGCTGGAAGGTGTGGGGGCGTTCCATGCGGGTGACAATGCCAAGGCAAAGGCGGCGCTTGAGGGGGCGCTGGCCAAGTGGGAGAGGCTGCAGGTGTCAGACGACCGCCTGGCCGAGCTGCTGGCCATGGGCTTCACCTCCAGTGAAGTGTGCTCCTTCCTCCAACATCTCCAGCACCCCTTTGCGTTGCTTCCCTTAGAAATTCGTTGGCAAATACATCTTTAAAGTGCATTAATGCTCCACCAGACCTGGAACCGCAAGTCAGCAGGGGCAATTACTACTGACATGGCGACACCCAGAGCAAAGCATTTGTGCTGGTCCTGCTGTGATCATCCTATTATTGAGCAGCGCATAGATTGCAAACTGCAGGAGTCCTTGCCAAGCCATGATTGCTGCATTTATCTAGCCGGGAAGTGGAACAGGTGGCAAAAGCACACACCGACCAAGATATGGTGATGGGCAGGCGACGCGGGGCCTGCGTTTCTGCGCGGGGGACTGCGAGAGGGCCGTGGGCTTCATCATGGAGCAGCGGCGGCTGCAGCGCGAGCGCAAGGACCGGCAGCGGCAGGAGCGGCGTCTGCGGGCCGAGCAACGCAGTTACGGGCGCTGCCCCAACGGCCTGCACGTGGACATGCAGCTGCTGGAGCGCCTCACCCTTCTTGGCTACGAGCGCCAGCTCGCCGCCGAGGCCCTGCGCCAGGCACGTGACTAATATTCAGTAAGCGTTGTTAGTAAGGCTTTATGGGCAAGAGGAGATAAGAGCAAGATCAGATGATTTGTTCTTCCTGAACCGTAGGGCTACACGTTTGCCTGGCAGCCCATTTCTGCTGCCGCGATGTTGCCATAGGCACATCACTCAATGTCGGTGAGCAGTTAAATTGTGACAAGTAAAGCTTGGAGGACAAGGCGAGAGCAGAGCAAGAAGATATGGTTTGTTTTGCCGCATGGACTGGGCTGTGCGTTGACTTGGCAGCCCGTTCCTGTCAAAAGTGTGGTGCAATGCTGGAGCTGAGATCTGGGTCGTATCTGCTTCCTGTCAATTGATCTTGCAAGAGTGGATGGGTGATAGGGGGTGTGTTCAGGGGGGTTTCTGCTGGAGGCCATGCCAGAGTGGGTAGATTGAAAACTCGTGTGGTCTGTGCCAGGTCAATAACGACATCCAGGTGGCTCTAGATATCCTGAGCAACCCCATGGCCAATGCCTCGCTGCAGCAGCATCTGGCCACGATCAAGCAGGCCTCCAACAAGCGAACAAAGCCCACTGTGGTGCGTCTGCGGTCCACATCATTCTTTACCTTGTCCCAGAAGTCTACACTTGTTGGTCTCCTTTGTGGGCTATGTATCCATGTATTTCCCCTGAAAAGATGGTGAACTCCGCATGCCATGGGCTAAGCTTGCCAACGCTCCATTCAGAGGGCTGTGTTGTTTGAAAGAACATGCTTCTTACAAGAGGGGCATGCAGCGTTGAGTGGCTGTGCATGTTGGCAGGATGAGGTAGCCGTGGCATCCCTGGTGAGCATGGGGTTCCCTGAGAGCGATGCAAGACAGGCTCTGGAGCGATGTGCAGGCAGCAGCGATGTGTTGCAGGCTGCAATGGAGTACCTCTTCAGCCTGACGGCAGAGGGTTCCACTGGCACGCAGGCAGACACAGAAGTCCAACAAGCCACAGGTGCGCTGCACCTTGCAAGCACCCTCTTTGTGATGGTTGCTTTCAGTGCAGAGGTTTCAAATGTGGTAATCCTCAATTGGCCATCTGGTAATCTGCTGCAATGCAAAAAAAATTGGTTGGTAGGACTGCGATATGGCTTTCTCTGCCTTGCAGATGGTTCCAATGGCATGGAACAGGAAGGGCAGGCAGCTAGAGCGGAGCAACCGGGCCCCAGTGCTGCGCCGGAGCATGCAATCCCAGTCCGCCAGCCATCAAACTCACCAGGCACTAGCAGCAAGGTGTGCATAATTTCCCACACATGGGCTACTGCACATCTGCTGACACCTCGATGCAAATCCGTTGTTACGTACTCACCTTGGGCAAACAGTGTGCACCCTCTTGGTCTGCAACAGTGCCTCAATCTGTCAGATGCTGGGTTTGATTTGCTACGGCATTCTTGAAGTATCACAGCAATAGAGATAGGGTTAGTCTGTAGAATTACTAGCTGGTAGGATTAAAATACTGAGAAACTGTATGTTTTGCTTCCACGTGGCCAGGGATCAGACAGGGATGAGGAGATGGAGGAGGAGCTGACTTCCTCAGCGCGCACCGACCCAATGTCAGCCTACGACATCGATGTGAGCCAGGAAGGCGCTGCCATCCAGGAGTACATGGCCCTTCTTGGCAGCTGCAATGTGTGAGTGCAATTGTGTCATGAGTAGGCTTGCTCATTCTGCTTTCCTAAGCGAGTGAGAGCACTTTTGTATAGCGTCCTGCATCCAATCTTTCTGCATACAAGAGTCAAAATTTGTATACAAGTGTACAGAGGTGCTTTGCCAACACCAGCATTTGCCAACAATCGCAACCAAAATTTCCTTGTTCTGCAAAGCACAAAAATCGCTATTTGAGTAATATTTATAGGGCTCTGTAGCCACAAATTTTGTCAAACTCAAATCTTCAAGCCCGCTGGCCCTAATGGTACTTTGGGCCCGGTAGAAGAATCAGTGTTGGGGGGTGTATTTGCTGTATTGTGCATATTTGGAGTCAACTCTGGATACAAAGGCAACACTGTCCTCACGAAAATGCCATGTAAAGAAAGTGCAAGCAAACTCTTATCAAGGAAACGAGGCGCTAAGTAGGTTATAGTAGGAATTGCCAAGTGGCGCCATGTAGATAGACATTTGTTCTGATGGTCATTTGCTTTCTAATTTAGAAAGCTGATATCGACAGACATCGGTCTGGCAGCGCTCGATGGAGCCTAGACACTTGCACGCTCAGGAAAGTTTACAACTGGCCTGCGCAGCCTGCAAGGTTGTCACAGGGCAATTCTGACACGATCTTGCCATCGACTTTTCAGACACCCACAACCACATAAGTCTAACCCAACTCAATGGCACGCGCACACATTTAGCAGAAGGAGCCTGCTCGTTCAACACGAATGGAGATGAACGTTTAATTACTGCATGCATGGTAGGATCCTACTCAGCTGTGACATGGATTTTGATGCCGACAATTGCAGCCATGCACTTCACAACTTCCAGGTCTTTGAGGGAGAGGACTTGATCCTGGGCCCTAATCTCAAGTGATCTATTTTCATCTGTGCATAAACACCACAGCACTTCTCTGCAAGCAGTCAATTGCTTGAGGTCTTCCCTTGCGTTATGTAGAACAGAACAAAGAGCAAGATGATGGCTCACCTTGACTTTAGTGCCATTCGCCACCCACTTTACAGCGTCTCATGAATGTCACAGAGCTTCTGTGCTATGTACGCCTCTGGCAGTCCACAATTCCCCTCCATGCTCGAGACCATGCCAAACTGGTTCTTCGCCGCATGCTTCCAGGCCGCACTCCGAGTGCTGGTCGGTAATCATGAGATGATCAAATATCTTGCCCTCGCACAAACCTGTAGACAGCAACAAACATTGCAGCTGAGCAACATCTCATTGCATATGCTCTGAGCACTCAATGGCTGCGACTTGCAAGAGTTTATATTTTTTGATTCTGAAGCAGTGGTGAAAACGATACACTATGGAAGACTGATCTGATGATTGTGGCACCCGGTGCCGAATGCAGCAGAGCAACGCACCAAAGACACCATGGGTATTGACCGTTTTGGAGCTCAGCAGGTGCCTCGTAGCGCAAAGTGGACCTCAATTTCCGTTTGCTTCAGTATACTGCTCGTATCCATGATGGCCATCTGGAGCTGATGGCAACCAGCACCGCATGCACCTTGGATGATGTGAGCTTGCACTCAATTTTTTTTCGAGGAAATCTGTATTCCTACGAGGTGTAGCGCTTTGTGCTCTTCAGCCAACATGCAGCTATACCCTGCTCCAGTGCCCAGAATTTGCAGGTACTTGACTACCTCGTGAAATGTGGTGATGGCCTGCTGGCGCAAGTGTCACATATTCAGTGTTGCTTGACTTCTGAACAGTGAAAAGGAAGCGGTGGAGCGTAAGGGTGCCAAATCAAAAAGAAACACGCCAGATCGACGCACCTTGAAGATTGTAAGCAACTTGTGCATCTGAGACAGCTCTATGTTTCCTGACGCTTCATCGAAAGACTTTGGAGCTCTGGGCATGCTGTGAACTCGGGTGCACCAGAAGCAATGCCTCTAAATGTTCTCAAGTTTCTGAAGCGCGCACTCCTTATTCCGATTTGCAGGCGGCCTAACATCTCAGCAATGTTTGCCAGAGAGAACGCTAGAAGTTTATTGCCTGCAGCTTATTTTTGGAGCACCAAAACTATTTCGCAGGCTGCTGTGAAGGTGATAAATGTAAGCACGAGTCAACTCGACAGCGAAGGGGACAATTCTCTGACTGTCGTTCGTACTTCGACTCACACTTATTTCAAAGGCTGCAATAGCTCCCCTTTCCAGATCAGGTAAATACCTGAAAAACATTGCACACAGTGGCCACAAGATACACGAGGTCGTGTTGAGGAGATGACTCACTATGCAAAACATCATGATGACTCAACGATTAGGACAAGGGTGAAGCAGAATATGATAGGAGTATCAGACACACGCAGATCATCCACTGACAGCAGTGACTTTCCACATGATATGCGATGATGATGCTATCTCAAGAAAAAGCAGTGCCGCTTGCAACTGCAGCGGCACGGTTATCTTTCATGCGGAGCTATAACCCAACTTTTGGAAGCTCTCAGGACATCCTCGGTAAGCTCTCATGAGATGTGATCACATGCAAAACAGCTGCTCCCTGTCAGCAATGACCGACTGATTTGTTGCAACCATGTCCTCATGTCCTTCATTGAATGTTCTGTTCTCATAGACACGGGCCAGCTCAGTTGGCCCATTTGGTTCACAAAACTCGCAGCTCAGCTGAGCACTCCACTCAACACGAAAGGTGCAAAACTTCACACATCAAGCAGAGTTCTCAACAACAGACGGCTCGCCGTCAGGACTCACAGGACGGCTTTCTGACTCTTCTCTCTCTGGCAATGACTCATCCTTCTGCCTCTCAACTTCCTCAACTGCAGCAGGTGGCTGCGCACTGATGCTGCCACTTGAGCTCTGCCCTCTCATTTTGCTCACAATGCCAGATGGCACCAGTTTCTGTGCCTTGCTTCCCAGTGATCCAATGCTCCCAGACACACTTTGCAAGTCTTTCACGAAGTCCTGCACACACCAGGAAACAACGATGATAATGTATGTATTTTTCTCAGGATTCATCACATTCATCTCGGTAGCCTGAAACCTCGTAATGCTAGTGAAGTTGCCAAGGTTACCTCTGTGGGACCAGCAAGCACCACTGCCAAACTCCCTGCTGTGCAAGGATCCGTTGCCTCCGCGTTTGAGCACAAGCAGAGATGATTTGAGTTCAAGAAGAAGGGTGCGAGACGGGGATGGGCCTCACATTGGCGCTGTTGTATGAAGTTATCCTGTTGGCGGCGGTTGCCAGCAGACCAAAGACCCCCAGCCAGCGGAGCAGGTACAGCGTCTTGAAGAGTGCCAAATAGGTGACCGCTGCCCCCGCCCCCGCTGCCACTACTGTGGTCGGCCTTCCCCTGTCACCGTTCACACAAGGTCACAATTTGCCCACAATCCAGTCTCGGTTCCAGATGGCGATCAAGTACAACCAGCAGCCTCCAAGCCAAGTAATGAACATGCTTAGCAATGTACCGTTGTGCTGTGCTTGTGACAAGTACGCAGCACTCTTGGGAAGCAGAGCGCCCTTCATGATTGCATTTGAAAAAGGGGAATACTGACTGAGGTAAGAAGGGTGCGCACAGAGATGAGCTGGTGGTGCCGGCCAGGAGAGCCACGCGCTCGCCGATGACATCAGCGGGTGACGTGGCGTAGTCTGACGCGCCCTGCTTTGCTGGCAGACCCTCGTTCAACCACTGCCGGTAGCCGCCCTGTGGGACACAAAAGCACGATTCAGCCATCTCCAAATATATTTCAAGCACAAAGAATGTGCCGTTGCACTGTAACCAGCGCTGCACCCAGCACCAAATAAAGGTGGCACACCTTTCTAGAAGTCAACACAAGACAACTACAAGCGGTCTCAGGCTATCAAGTGTACTTACAGGCATAAGAAAGAATGTAACGTTGAACAAGAGAACAGGGTAGTCACCTCCACCACGTAGGCTCGGGGGAGGCCGACACTGCGCAGGGTGCGCGCTAGTTGGATGGCGTTCCTGCTGCCGCCGCCATCCAGCACCAGCAGCTTCGTCCTGGATGACACCTGCATTGCACCCAGCACAGCAATCAGCGCAACCCCTCCATGGTACTTACAACCCAATTCATGAACAGTGTACCCACCCGACAATGGCATTACAGTGTACGATCTCTTCGCATGGACATAGATTTGGGCTGGTATGGGAGGCTAAGATGCGACAGGCCAGTCTGCCCTGGATTCTGCGAGAAATTAAGCGAGGGCCAACAAGGCCGGCGGGTGAGTAGCGGCAGGCAAAGGGATGAGTCACCTGCGCGAGGCCGGAGACGACGGCCGCAGCGATCTCGAAGGAGAGCTGGTTTGCGTTGCGCACGTTGCGCGCCAGGTCGCCGCCGATGTACGGCAGCGGCACAGCCGCCCCCTTGCCCAGCGCCCCCCGCAGACCCACCACTCCATCACGCACCCTCTCATCCTCAGACCTGCAGTTTTGGTGTGTGAGCATTGCGCACTCCGCAAGCAAAGAAAAAAACATTTACATGTGTGAGCATTGCATATTCCGCAAGCAACGGACAACACCAACGCTACAACTGCCGGCATCCTGAGAGTGAGGGCGCCAAGAATGAATGCAGCATGCAGACAGGATCCTGACAGAAGCGGCAGAAGCATCTCTGATCGAATTCCAATCTGCATGCGTCTATGCCAGACAAGCATATTAACAGACTGAGAACTATCGGATTGGCCTTTCATGACAAAGCGCGCAAGTAAAACGCCATATGACGATAACTTACTTTGTGCAACAGGCAGCGGCACTTTTGCATGTGATGGAATGTAGGGTCACCTCATGTCAACAAGTACAGCGTCCTCGTTCTGCAGGACGTCCAGTGCATTGCTCGGCTGCAGCAGCCCCGCGTAGCCGCCAAACCGGCCGCGCCACCAGGAGAGTGCAGGCAGCCCAACCGTGGCCCCAAGCGTTGCTGCCAGCAGAACCGGGTTTGCAGCCACCTGGATAGCATGACTGCCTTAGCTGAACCGTTCAACAGTTGAGATTTCCATCTTGAATGACACCCTCGTGCTGCTTGCAGATCAGCTCAATTTGTAGAAGATGCCAAACTTTGCCAAACAGGTATGCAAAGTGGTGCATTACTGCCTTAGCTGGACCTATCACTAACTAGAGAGCCATCTCAGATGGCACCCTCATGCAGCTTGCAGATCTGCTAAACCCACAAAAGGTGGCTGACATGTGCCGAGTCAAAGGGATGCATGGTGGTGCAATGAAGGCACAGGGGATGGAAAGGGAATGGGAGCTCACCTGTGACAGTGCATTCCCCAGAGGCTCCCCGACTGTAGACAGTGCGGAGCGAACCGGCTCTGGCAGACTGCCTGCGGCCGCCTCTGCAGCCGAGGATGCTGCGCTTGTGCTTGCCGCAAGGCTCTCCTACGCAGTATACGCAAAATTCACTTGCATGTTGGGATGTATATCACTCACCTGCTGACATCAGCTTCAAGTCAAGTGAATGCTCCAAATGCTGCAAAGTATGCAGAGTGGACAGTGTATACCAGAGGGTGGGTACCTGGACAGAAGAGGTGGCGTCGCCAAAACCGTCTGCCAGCTCCTTGTAGACTGACAGGGCAGAGTCCACCGCTCCAGAGGTGGCTTCATTGACGCTGGACAGGGCGCCGGATGCAGCTTCCTGCAGGGAGGAAGCTGCACCGGCGGCAGCACCCTGCAGGCTGGAAGCTGCCTCCGACGCAGACGCCCCCAAACTGCCAGCTGCCGCAGAAGCTGCGTCCATGGCTGCCTTGGTCTGAGCAGAAGCACCTGTTGCATCCATTCACACATGACTTTGACAAGAGCACCTGCGTTTCAGTCTGCCCCGCACGTTGCAACAGTGAGGGCGGGAACAGGCATTGTTTTTGGGTGAAAGGATGCACCTTCTGCCAGGGAACTGGCTGCAGCAGAGGCTGCATCTTGGGCAGAGCTTACAGCGTCTGTGGCTCCTCCGAGGGCGCTCTTAAGCCCTGCTGTCGCATCCGCAGGCACTGACAGCCCCTCACCGGCCCCCGCATCTCCCTTGCTTGAGAAAAAGGCGTCTAAACTTGAGCCCTGGACTGGCCCTGCACAGTCCCAAGCAGTGGAGATGTCTCAACTCTGTAAATTCCTCACTCCGCAAAAAGTAATTGTACCTCGAGAGTGCATCTTGACTTGTAAGATATTCATCGCCTCAATGAGCCGATAAGTGATTGAGGCAGCACTGCACAGGATTGGAGAGAGTTGCACCTGCATCAAGAGGCGCTTGGATTCCGGATGCTGCATTTGTGCCGGTGCCATCTACCAAAGAGCTGCCAAGCTTCCCTGCTGCTTCACTGGCTGCAGGTGCACTTGTCTGGGCTGAGATGTTCTCCAATGTGGATGTATTACGAATGGCCTCCTCCACAGGCTTGCTGACGGACTCTGCAGTAGCGGCTGCAGGTGCGGCAGGTGTGGGCGGAGGGGGCAAAATGGGCTCTGGCTGGGCTGGGACAGGTGTGGCTTTGGCAGGGACTGCTTGCTTTGCAGGACTCTTCAACGCGTCATTCAGCACGCCCCACAAGTCAGTCTCTGCGCTGGGCGCTGCTGTAGTGACAGCAGCCCTTGCAGGTTGACTCCTTCCGGGAGCCCTACCTCCTGCATTGCAGATCCACTCCAAATAAGCATGGACTAGCGAACTCGAAGGTCAACGTGTGTTATCCAGTCAAGGAAACAGGTCATTACAGAGGATACACGCAAGCTGAAATAAGAGTCACCTGTCCAACGCCTCTGTAATCTGTGACATCCATGTGACAATGCCTGCAATTATCCCACAATAAATTACTCCACGAACAATTGATGTGGATGGATCCCAGTGTGTTGAATCTTTCCAAACATTACTCAATCAATGTAATTTGCGAATTATTCCAGCGCTAGAACACATCGGAACACTCCCTACCTGTGCGTGTCCCGAGCAATCAATGGTGTGTCTAGGCCTCCAAAGACCTGACGCTACCTGAGTAGCCATCGCGATCTGTCCTACCATGCACTCTGATAATTCGAGCGCTCGTTCTGGGTTCCTTATCACGATCCACATGTATTCCATACTTTATAATTAGCCACCTTATAAGGGTTCAAACTTTTGGGGATCTGGAATGCGAGGGTTGGCTGCATGCCAACGCAGGTCAGCGAAGCGACACCGTCAGCTAAGGATTCTTTCTTTCAGATCTCTTAGCTATATTATCGTCGAGACGTTCAATCCACGATTATCGATTCCCTCTAGGTATACTAGGGTGTAGGCAGATCACATGGTAGCTTGGACCGGACACATTAGATTTCGATGGAAGTATCTTTATAACGCATGAAGTTGCACACTGTTACTTGAGCTTACTTTGAAAGAGGATGGCGAGCGAGGGCTGTGCTTGGCTGGACATCGAGGAGCTTCTACAAGATGCGGCAGATGCCCTGGAGGTGCCCAGTATCCTTTTCGCCGCACGCCTCATAAGCAATGTTTGTGTGTTTATATCATATTTGTGCCTCGATGCACTTGATTAAATGGGAACTTATCTACAGGAGGGTGAGCTTCTGCATGATGACCACTTCAGCCTCTATGAAGCGATGAGTGCTGTGGAGATTGGCGATCCCAAATTGGATGCGGGCATGTGCACCAATCCTGAGCCCAGGTGACCCTCCAACAAGATTTGTCAGCTGGAGAGCATGCCCGAAATGCTTTCGTTCGACGCCAAACCTCTTGCAAGTCCCAATGAAAATGCTGGAGGACGTATTAGTAGTAATTATGGATCCACAATGGCAGGGATCTGCGATCCTCGAGGTTCACTTCAGATATGTTCTGCAGGGCCGCACCAGAGGTCGTGCCTGCAACCAGTCTTAGCTCATCGGATGCACTGGCAGTGGCAGATCGCCTTTTTGCTGCAGAGGCCACGTGGCATCAGGGCAACAACCTCCCACAGACCGTCTTCACCTGCATGTACATCTTGCAGCCAAGAAGGTGAGCCAGGCAATGGAGCATATCATGTTGAGGCCTCAGCGTAATGCTCTGCAATTCCTGAATCTGAGCCTGCCTACATGTGAATCACACCCTCAGCTGTTGCCAGGGATTGATTGCTGGGATTGTGGGAATGTGTGCAGTGCTGAAGGGCACATAGCGCTGGAGGCTCTCTGCAAGGCCACTCATGCCACATGCATAGCAGTGCGGGACCTGGTCTTGGCCGGCAATGTGTGCGAAGTGAGTCGACATGCTGCTCCTCACCGTCATCCTTTGCTTGGCATCCCTCACTCTCTGATCTTGCTGCCATTTATCAACAGATCTGTCGCACAAGTGCTGAACCCTTGCATGCCCATCATCCTAATCTATGAGTCCATCAGTCCTATTCGTTCATTCCTATTCACTTTTCTGATTGAGCAGATGTACTGCACAGGACGAGGATTTTGTGCTGCACACATTTGGAATGCACATGGAGATGGGGCTGAGGGATGCAGATGTGTCAGCGCTGGCAGCTCTGGCACTGGCTGAAGAGGCCCTGGAAGCCTTGCAACAGCAAAGCAAGGGGAAAGGCTCAGCCGGCGCAGCTGCAGGGCAGGGGATCTCTCAGGAACACATAGCTGCATTCCTTGCACGAGTGCGCTTCAGGAAAGCCCTTCTGAAGGTGAGCTGCACCTGTGTCATGCTGCACTTGATGCTCAAGGAAAGAGACCTCCGGGATTGAAGATGGGCTTGATGGGTGGTCAGTACATCAGGAGTAATCGGAAAAGGGGACACAACGGACCTGGAAGATTGCAATGCTCATAGCTTGGCAAAGAGTAATAGCCGAATTTTTGCCCACCCAAAATAGCCTTATCAAGCTCCTTCTGGTATAAGAGGCAATGTGACTTTGTGTTTGTGTTTTTGGCGCACCCTTTGGAGGCCAGCTGTCGTCTGGGAGCCTGTGCGGCACACACAAGGCAACCACCATGTTGGGTTATGATGGACGCAGTGTGCAAGGCGTGCTGGCCAGGTCACTTCTCCAAAGGATGATGGCTGCTGGTGAGAAATCTGGGCTGGTGCATGCAGGGGCTGCAGCGGGTGCAGAAGGGCACAAAGCAGGACCAGGACTTTGCGCGGAAGCAGTTTGCAGCGGCGCTGCAGGAGCTGGAGCGCATGAGGGACAGCGCTCACCCGCGACCCCAGGACGCTGTGGGCTTCTGCCCGGACGTGAACCGGCGCCTGATGGCGCCCGTACCCCCCAGAAACATCACAGTAAGGCACTCGCCACATGGCCTGTAGCCCCTGCTTGACCTCTTTCTGACCTGTCGTGATGTCTTCATGAGTGCGTGACAATCACTGCTCAGGCTTCTTTTGGGATGCATGTCAACTTTCAGCAAGTGGCTCAAAAGTTAAATTGATTAGGAGTATGTGTTGGTGCTGCAGTTCCTGACCAGTCAGCAGAGTTGGGACCACTACGCCAGCCTGCTGCAGCACCTGCTGCTGGTGGGCAACATTGTCAAGGTACCAGCTCTTTCCCACCAACAACATCCCAATCTTTCTGCCCTGCTTCATGTAAGCCCCTGCGTTTTTGCCATGCATGCTTTCGGGTGTGGGCACTGCATTGACCCGATCAAGATTTCGATTAATAGTTGCACCAAGCTTTGCTAGACACATACAGCGCGCCCTAACCTCAGCAGACACATGGTGACGCAGTCTGCTCAACACCATGAGGACACAGCTGAAGTTGTTGCCTAGCGCACACTCTCGGACATCATACGGAAGCATGATAAATTAAAGACAGCTGACCATGCGGTGCTTGGCGCGCAGGTGGGCAGCTATGAGGAGCTGAAGGCGTTTCTGATGGACTTCTCGGGGCGTTCCTGCGGCGCCATCCCCCGCTCGGCGCTGCACCTGGCCGTCAGCGGCAAGACCACGCGGCTGGGCGAGCCGACAGGCCCCTGGCTGCCGCGCAAGCCCATGCTGTGCTCTGCCCTGCGCATGCCCTCCTCCACGTTGCCCAGCGGAGATTCCGCACTCTTTGTCGACCAGGCCTGCCTCGCTGTGAGCCCTACCTACCCCGATTAACTCCATCGATTCTTGACCCTCTGTACAAAGATGATGTTGCCAGGAACCCCCTTTATGTCCCAAATCCTTTGGTGCAAACGCCGGGCAGAAGCATCAGCTTCTTGGTGCACGCTGCGATTGATATTCTCATGTTCCGGGCACCTTTCCTGGAAAGTTTGAAGGAAATGTGGTCCAGGCTGAGGTGCCCGTCTTTGCAGGCCACCATTTTGTATCCGTGTGTGAAAGAAAGCCTCTCTGTTGATATGCTGCCACGCTAAGCAGTTGCCTCGTACATTACAAGGGTTGGCTGCATGCGCGCAGGTGGCAGGGTGGTGCCAGGACATGTGCCTGAACCGGGCGCGGCAGCGGCGGCGGCACCGGCGAACAATAGAGGACTGGGCGCACTTGCACGACCACGCGGCCAACGCCGACATGTCGCCTGAGTTCCAGGTCTGGATGACCGATTCCGGCTGGCACTGGGAGATGAAAGGCAACGACCCCCAGGCGCGCACTCATTTCCTTTCCGATGGGCTTGTCTAATTTCTTTTTTGGGTTGTTCAACGATGATTCCACCCCTGTGCATTGAAATTGAAATTCACGGGGGCCTCCATTGCCAGGACATGGCTGTCCTACAAGGTGCTGGGCATTGTAACGTGTGGTCTGCTGGTCTAATGAGGCATTTGGGTAGGGACAAACTTGTCTTCCTGCAGCTTCCCTCCATGTGCTTTTGGATGACTCACTTTTTTGGTTATGCCAGCCATGAGTGGGGGAGAGTTGGTGCATGGCTTGAGATTGCAACATGGACAACCTTTTGCGGGGTCCCATGGCCACGCCTTTGCGTGCTGGAATTGTCTTTTTCAGTCAACAATGACAGGGTACTGTTGACAGGCTGAGGAAGGCTTCTTGTCCTGGACATGCCTTTGATGGCTCCATGCTGGGCATAGTATGTCTTCATCTCTTGAGGGGTACAGGAGAAGTCTTGTGTAGGGCAGGGGCTGAAGCATATTGTGTACGGCGCTGCAGGGCCCGTGTGGGTGCTGGGTGGAGAAGGAGTGTGCCAGCATGCTGCTGCAGCACCTGCAGCTGGGCTTTGAATTGGACGTGTACGCGCCCGAGGAATACTGCATGCTCTTCTGGTGCGCTGGTTGTACGCTATGAGAACTTGTCGCACCATTCCCTCAGGCTTCTTTCAAGTAGCCCTTGTAGAAGTGCAATTCCTCAATGCATGTTCGAAGATCTGCCCCTTGGCAAGGGGTGACATGGCATGGGTATGACATAGACAGGTCACACCGAGCGCATGCAAAGTGCTGGGTGTTGTTGCAGGTACTGTGACTTCTTGCACGGGGTGATCGAGGTCAATGCACGGGATCTGCTGAAGGCAATGCCGCCTCCCAGCGCCAAACTCCCAAACACACCAAATAGTGAGCACTCCTCCGATGTCAAAGATTCAGTAGCATGGTTGGCAATGTGGTGCATCTGCTTGATTGTTGCTTCCTCAAACTGCACAAGGGGGATGGTTTGTGCTTTGTTGTACTTATGCAGTCTTGTTGTTTGTTGCAGGCAAAGCTGCAAAGAAGAAGCCGGTGGCTGGCAAGAAGAACAGCCCACCAGAAGGGGCTTCATGTGAGCAGGCCCTCCAGGCAGAGGTGCGCTTGCAAATCACAATGATGGCTGGACCCATCTTACTGTACCATAGGGTTGCGAGGTCCTAGTACACATCTAAAGACCCTGCCTTACTTGTGCTAGACCAGGGGCAAAAGTCCTATTGCCTGCATGTCCAAGACTTGCACATCCCCATGCCAGCTCACCTTCCGACATACATACAAATGCTCTTTACGCACTGTGTTCTTGTTGAGACTTCCCGCCCAAACCATGCCTGCCTGAGCCACAGATTGCGTCAGCAGTTATAGAAAATTAGCAATCCCACCCACAGAAATCCACTTCAACGAGCAAAGATGAGACATCACTGCTCTGACTCTATGGTATGCTCTCGGGGGGGCCACGTGTTCACCCATGTCATAACGCTCTCCCAGAACACGCCTCGGGCTCCATCAGGCCGTCTGCACTTCGTTTCGTTTACATTGTTTTACACGTGCAGGCGCAGCAGGCGGGCGTGGAGCGGTTGCTGTGCCAGGCGCAGATGCGCATGACGGCCGCACTGTCAGCGGGGGGCCAGCTGCGGCCCTTCCCCGCGCCCTTCAACAGCGAGTCCCAGCGCTTTGAGCAGCGCTTTGGCTTCCTGCATCGCCTGCAGCGGCCGGAGCCGCTCGCGTTCGACCAGTACGAGCGCTCCGTCGACATCTCCAGTGCGTCACGCTCCTATTCCTGCCTCCTCATATTGCCGCTCCTGTGCTGGACTTACTATGTAGACGTTGTGAATAAGTATCCTGGCCCCTTTGAATGGAGGGCATGTTGCTCTCCCGGCGATGCACGGTGGATCACTAGGCACTTCTGTGTGTTGGGCCATCGCATGGGAAAAGCAAAGCTTCCTTAGTTCTGAAGCGCTGGGTGCCACATGCTTGCACGTGGAGTGAGTGGGTTTGCCAGGCCCTCCGGTGGCATCAACTATTGTACTGTACTTCTATGCTGCATAGAATTTGCTGCTTGTCTGTACAGAACCTTGCGCGTGTCACAGCAAAATCGTACCATTCTGCTGGTGTCTTTGGTTTGTTGTGAGCCGTGCGTGTGTTTGCCGGAACAGCCTGCACCCCGGAGAGCATCCTGCAGTCGGCGTTTGATGGCTTCCGCGAGGCTCGGCGCGTGGTGGCAATGCTGCTGCAGCTGCTTGGGCCGGTTGAGGACGCGCGCTCAGAGCAGCTGCAGGCACTGCTGCGCATCTCCTCACAAAACATGGTCGCTGTCAAGGTGGGGGAACCTGCATGTTGTGAGTTCTGTGCCTTTATGATACAGCTGCCTCCTGCTTTGGTGATACAGAGACCTGCACCGTCATCTTGCTTTGAGGAAAGTCGTCTCCTCATTGTTATGTCAGGCGCGAGAGGTGGTGCAGTGGATTGCTTGTATACTCTGCATGCATTTGTTGATGCTGACAATAACAGCGGTGCATGCATGTGAAAGTAAATAATGTACATGTTTGGAATCTCATGCATATGGTATGCGTGTAGGTGCTGTATGACGCTACAAAGGCCAGGGCGAAAGAAAATGGCACAGTCCCAGTTACTTCGGGTGCAGAAGCAGATGGCGGGCAGATGTCCAAAAGTGTGAGCAGCCCGGCTTCAGCCCAGGACCAGCCTGGAAGTGAAGGGTCCGCAAACCAAGCGGAAGACAGCGAAGCCAAAAAAGGGGTGAAGAAGGGCTCAGAAGTGTGGAGCGTGCAATTTGATTTCAGCCACCACCCTTACTACCCGGTCCTGCGACTGAAACATGCCTCGGCACCAAAGAAGTGATGGAACAAACTGTGGAACCCAAGTCAAAGACAATTGCCACTGCAATCAATTGAAGCAGCATGCAATCTGTCTGCCAGTTGGTCTGTAGCGCAGATTACTCAGGATACTCAGAAAGTGTTTCAATGCTGTTTTGTTTCCAAGTTTGCATTGTACTTGCCTACTTGACTTAGGGAAGTGAACCCAGCTCAGGAAGTATTGGCTCTGCCTGTCTCTTGAGCCTTTGCCAACCGTTGGCCGGTTCAATATTTGCCCTTGAAACTGGGCCTGCTGCAGATGCTAACTGTGTAGGTGTACTCTCTGCCCTGAACAAATGCTGGCACTCATATTGCACGGCTATTTCTCAAACAGCGCATTACTCAGCCGCTGGTGGCGGTCAAAGGCATCATCGTATGCCAACTTCTTACTGGGATCTGGTTGGAGCGTCTGCAGCACAGCACACAGCTGTCATCACCCTGGCATGAATACATGACGTAAATTTTGCATGATCCCCCATTGTTCAAGCATTCATGCAGCATGCAACAAACAGCAGAGTGGTGACAGAAGCATGCAGCACCCTCTTCATTATCAGCACCTCATCTTGCTGCTAAAGACCTGATTATGCTGCTATGCAACACCCTCTTCTAGGAACATTCTGTGCCTCCATCCAGATACTGAAATCAAGTGCAACACATCGTTGTGCTCTACAACCCTCTGGGGAAATTTTGTATGGAAAAAACTGTCTTAGCCGCAAGCCCACAACAAGACTGCAGAGGGGATCAGGGACGGGTGCCAGAGCCTCACCTCGGCTTCGCAGGGCGGCTCGTTCTCGGCGACGTAGTCAGCGACAGGTACGCCAGCGCAGACTGCAGCGGCCTGTAGCGCGCCGCCGAGCGCGGCCGACTCAGGCTCCGCCGGGAATCGCAGCGGCAGCTGGAACGCATCCGCGATGATGCGACGCCAGAGACGGTTCTTGGAGCCGCCTCCCACCACTCGCAGCTCGCGCGCACTCACCCCATACTTCTCCAGCATGCGCATGCCTGCACCAAATCGATGGCTCACTGATTCATTTTTATTTTTGTTTTGGTTTTGATCTGGGGAAAAAAAACTAGCCTGCCTGTCCTGCCCAGTACCCCCTAACACTATTTACAGTCATCGAAAAGATTTTAAGATCGTTGGGTAGGATGTTCCGAACACGTCTCTTACATGATGCCATGCTGAGTGACAGACATTCAGCCATCAGAACAGATGTCAGCAGTGCAATGCAGGCTCATTCGAGTTGACATGTCTATTGGCAACCTTGCCAAAAATGCTTGTTGTGTCCGCTTGCTGCCCTACTACCCCAGGCAAGTGTCTCTCTAGATCGTTGCAGAGGGTTCCCTGCCTTCTAGAACCATACTTGTATCAATGGGAGGCGCTGCATCTTTTCAGCAAGGGCAAACCGCACACCGTTGAGCAGGGAGAAGGTGGCGCCCTCCAGGGCAGCGCGGTAGAGCAGGCCGGGGCGCATGCCTCCGGGGCGCAGCCCAGTGAGGACGCCGTAGGAGTGGGGCCAGTTGGGCGTGCGCTCGCCCGTCAAGAACGGCAGGAAATTTACCCCCTCACTGCCTGCTTCCTCTTCCTCCGCCAGCCGAGTGATTGTTTCATGGTCCAGCCCGAAAGACTTCCTCACCTGCGCATCACAGGCTGGTGGGTCAGCCCTGCTGGGTGTTGGCAGATGCTTTGTGCAGGATACAGGAGTGCAGTATACAGTAGGCGGGATTTCCTATTGCATTGTCAACCCTGCCAAGCATTGCTGTTTGTCTACACATTCCTGCACCTCCACACGCATGCTCGCATGCCACCCAGTCCACTGCTCTCTGTTCACATGATGATTCCGACATGTGCATGTGACACAGGGGAGATACTCAGGGTAAGCCAGAAATGGGCTGGTCAAGGGGGAACAGGTAGCGAGTGTGGCAGGAGCGGTGCAAGTGCGTAAAGTGGAGAGAGCTGCGCACCTCTTCAGGCGCGAGGGTGCAGTTCATAGTGCACAGCAGCGGCATGAACTGGCCTGTCGAGTCGCAGAACGGCGCGATGCCCCCGCTCGCATCCAGCACCGGTATCTTCGTCGCTCCAAACAGCGTCCCTGCATAAAGCCGGTGTCATCTCATCTACTTTTTCCAACTTCATCACACAATGTTTACCAGTCAAGGAGCTTCTCAGCATTTCCACCACACAGGGGACGACAGTCAAGAGCTCCTCATAAATCCATCACACAATGCATCACAGTCAAAAGCTTCTCAACAGATCTATCAAACAAGCCACATGCGTTTGACAGCATTGCAACTGGTAAAAGCTTCCAATTGGAGATGGACAGGTTCATGGTGGCAAAGCATGCCTGAGGTTCCCAGGGAGACGACCCAGTCGCCCTCTTTAACAGCCCCGGCGCCCAGCGCGCTCATCTGGTTGTCCCCGCTGCCGGGCGCCACGGCCACGTCCTCCGTCAGCCCAAGCTCAGCTGCAATCTCCGGCCGCAGGTGACCCACCACCTGTCACGTGGGTCACAGCTTGTCACTCAACATTGCCAAATCACTGATGCACCAGGATCAGGGCCAGGCTGTTACATAACATCTAGGCTAAGCAATGTCAGTGATTACTGCTACCCACATTCCTCAGCTAGAGCAGGAATCACTTATCCGGTGTTTGATCTGCACTTTTGGTGCATGATCTGACTAGTCCGTAGGACAACTCCAGTATTTTACTTCAGTCTCACAAGTACAATATTTCAGCATTCAAAGTAACGTACCTCATTTGGGCCAATCAGTTCAGGAAAGAACTCCGGCAGGCTCTGGTCGATGCTGCGCATGCGGGCCTCGTCAAACTTCCTGTTGGCCGTGTCAAACAGGCCAGTCCCACTTGCATCGCCCGCCTGCAAGACATTTTCAAAGCAGCAAACATGACCCTTTCGGTGGATGTTGATGCATATCTATGACTATGCAAGCTGGTTTTGACGGTCGTCCTTGCAGTAGTTATGCAAAGAAGGGCATTTTCTCACCTCCATGACATATCTGCCAGTCAGGTGGTAGTTGAAGAAATCATGCGGCAACAGCACTTGGCGGAGCCTTGCAAAGTTATCGGGCTCCTTGTTCTTCAGCCACAGGATTTTGGACGCCGTGAAGCCAGGCACCAGGGTCCACTCCCACAAGTCAGACAGCTGTTTAGCCTCATCCGCGCTCTCCACATCACACCACAGTTTGGCATTCCTGATGACCTGAAATGCAAAGTTTGGCACACTGCAATGTCACATGACAATTCAATAGAACTTCCATGGTTTCCGTTATATCAACTGAACTGTACTTTGAAGTCTGAACTATGTGCATAATGAGTTGGCTTGCATTGTCATTTCCTCTTTAGCTTTGGGGAAGCAATGCATGCACAGACCTGTCCTTCCCCATCCATGGGAACAAATCCATGCTGCTGTCCACTGATACCGATCCCCTTGACGTCTTTCCTATCCACTTCGCTCAGGGCGGACTGGATTGCCGCAAAGCCTCCCTGGAGCCCAGTGCTAAAAATATCAACACACGATCAGAGTGCAGACTCTTTTGGCCTCGAACCAATATCATTTGTGATCTTGATGGACACTTGCAAGATTCTTTTATCAAAATATTACTTTTCTGCAAGGTATCATCAAGAGACACATCAATGTCCAGTGAGACAAAATATCAATGCAGCATGTGCACCTCGATCCAAAGAGACGGATGCTGCTCTGCTCGACCTGGTACATTTGTCTTGATCACGTCGTACTTGTAAGCTCCCCGAGACACCACAGCTTTACTTCTGCTGTCGTATACTACTGCTTTTGCCCCTTGAGTACCGACATCAACTCCTATAAAAAGGCCTGCCATGCCACCTCTCCTTTGCTACTAACTGCCTGAAATTGTCATAAAAGACGAAGACAACACAATCCAGCAGTTTGTGAAATTGCCAAGACTGTATGCCTGCGGCAGGAGGATTCGATTTGCCCGCATGCCTTGGGGGGCCCCAGCTACTACACAGGTTCCTCATTGGTCAGCATTTTTTGAATTTGGGACGACAGTCGGTGTGACGATAAAATACCAAGAGATCACCTGCTATGTGGAAGCATTTACCCTCTATCGGTTGCTCTTCTGCACAGAAGAGACGCCTAGAATTGTCCAAGGTATACAGGCCCAGGTCATCACTTGTACTACATAGCATGACTTGTGGGTTTTTTATATGGGATTCAAGTGAGAAAGGTATCCTTCCAAAGCTTAGGATGATCAATCATGCCAGTTTGGCTTAATTAAAAGGTAGGATATAGACGCACTGTGGGTAACAACCTGATGGTGGCGAAGCAATTGCAGCCCATCAGGATGCTATCACTTGCATGCATGTGCGCATTTGACGTACAGGTCTCAATTTAAAAAATTGCTGCAACCCAAGCACATTGAAATCTTATGTACGTTCTGACACCCCTAGTCTCTGGTCTAATCACTGCATGCTCAATTGCATGCCAGAGCCCCTGAGCTCATTTCAGGAAGCCTGGAGTCTGTGAGAGCCTGCCTACTCCTGTCTTCCAGCTGTACTAGCACAACCACCCCTGATCAGAAAGGACAGTAATATTGTTACTAACAAAGGGCGTGCCCTCAGAAGCCTGAACCTTGCACTGGGAAAGCACGGAGTCGCTCAGTGATCAGGTATCCAAGTTCAGCAGAGTTCAACAGAGTTGTCATCATTTGATCCCCTCTGTACCCACAATTTTATTTCTGGTCTTTGTTCCCAGTGCCCTGGCTCTGGACAACCTACTACATGTCTGCACGTCTGAGAGCCAGCGTTCAATGATCGCCATGTCTCAGACTTCTCACACTTAATTTTCATCAAACACCTGCACTGCTCTACACACACGTCCTATTCGGACAGGAGCCGAATAGCCCGGCTGTGCCTGGTCAATACAGAGGATCTCCTGAGCCTTCCAAAGGCATTAGCAATAGCAGTGCTGTAAAAAATAAAATCTTGACATTTTGTCGCCTGTACAAATAAAGTACATGTTGAATGTTGCCCAAGTTGCGCCCCGCATTGCTGAAGATTTAATTTCTTAGCAAGGCAGTCAGTACACTTGGCAGATCCCCAGAAGCTATTTACCCCATATTAAGTGTTGCGCAAGTGCTTTCAAAGCTGGGGAGGTTGGCGGATCTTCAAGGGAAGTCTCGCAACCGTAAAGAATACTGCACCCGTCGTCATAGGCCCTATGAGGCGGTGGTATCGATATATCACCCCTCAGGGCAGTTCCGGGAGGGTGTATGCACAGGTGGAAGCCGCATTGCCGGCTGCCTGGCATCTGAGCTGGAAGAAGGTCAGGATGAGGGTGGACGTTGTCTGGATGGCAAACCGGTACTGCATGACACCAACCGACATCATCAGCAAACTCAGTTTGACAGCCTTGATACAATCAGGCAGAGTGCGCTTTAGTCTCAAGAAGCTCATAGATCTAAGTGTGCCTAGGTAAATACCAGCCAGCTGGGGAGAGGCATAGCATGCAAGGTCACTTTCAGAACAAGTGACACATCCGCACCCACTTCGACAAACAGGCAAGAGCTTGCAGGACGCCCAGACGGCGTGCGATTCAGCCAAAATTCTGTTGAAGGTGTCTTGTGGGGCATCAGCCAGCCCGGGGTGTTGAATTGATGTGCAGAGGAACAGCATGCATGGTCACTTGCAGGTGTGCACTTGATCATTCTTGGATGGACACGCTGGCAGGCAGGAGTACCTGTGTCTCAAAGTTGGTCGGAGGCACTGCCGGGTTGTCCACCCACACGCCGGGTGACACCTGCAGGGGTGGCGCGTAGAGATAGTCCGACGCGCCGCGCACGAATGTGTACGAAATCTTGGGCACGCCTGCGGCAGATTTCCATGATATCACAACGCTGTCATCCCAGGAAGAGCACGCCTGGGGTAGGCTCAGCATGGCACATGGCACAGCACCATACAGCATTACGTGCGCATCGAAGTTATAGACTGCATTTTGTCTGCACCTTGCCTCTTTGCAGGAAAAGCGTTCAGTAAAAAAGAACAAAATTCCAATAGAGCACACGTGTGCCTAGTCACAAGTGCAGCATGGCACCATGCATGGCATCTAATAGAACACATAAGTTCCCTGGTTACAAATGCAGAGTGTGAGTATTCCCCACCTTTCAGGGAGTTGTGGGCCTCCAGAGCAGCCGACACGCCAATGCCCTCCTCCGCATTCACAGCTGCATTGACAGATTTTCACCCCTCAACCACCCATTGTTCTAGTGGACTTCCCTTGCAGTCCTCAAGAACCATCACACTCATGTCCCCCTCAACTTGATACACAATCCAGGACCCTTCCTTGAGGCGATTTGTAGCCCTGTCCCTTATCAAGCTGCATCCCTGCCTTGGCTCCAGGTCCAAAGGTCAAGCTGGCACACAGTAGTGTCCAGTATATCCCAGGTTGGTGGTTCCAAGGGATTGAGTGCCTGCCTGTGACATCATACTGGGTGAGCGTGGAGTTGTTGGCCAGGTTGAGGGTGAGAGCAGTGTAGTTGCGCGCCACCATGTCCCAGGGAGTTCCACTGAAGAAGAATTGGCCGTCTATCTCGGCCGCTTGAGTATAGTCCAGCAGCCGAGGGCCCGTCCACGCCGGCAGAGGAGGGTAATTCACGCCGGTGCCTGTTGATTCCAAAGATCAAGTAAGTGGCCGTGCGCATTCAGCAATTTGCGCATGCTGTATGATTCTTTGCATTGCAGCTGCATTCTGATTGGTTGGCAATGGTCTTGGTGCTTGCACTGCCTTGTGTGTCTTGCATTCTCCCTGTGGTAACGTGTTAAACTAGCTGGATTTCTGGGCATCAAGGACTGATCACGCATGTCTTGATTCTTTGGCTCGCAGGCACCAGTTTAGAAAGGTTCTGGCCACAGCAGCAAGCCAGAGGGCTGTCTTCAATACAGGCAGGTTCAGGGACTGTCACGGCTGGTGCAGGCAGAGATGAGTTCATGTCTTGCCAGTGTTATGTGTGCCAATTCATGCGCAGCAAGGCAGCAGAGGAGTGCGCACCTACTGCTGTGAGGTTCCAGTAGATAGTCTCGTAGTCGAGGAGGGTCCTGTTGAAGTCTGCCTGCAGCTTGATGATGCTTTCAGCAAAGAGGGGGGTCTTGGCGGCGGCAAGGACCTCGTCTGCCAGCTCGGTGCTTGCCGCGGTCTTTGTCGAGAAGATGCACTGCCCATACAGCGACCTGGCAGCAGCTGGTGATGAATTTATGGTGACTTGGAAGCTGCTCAATATTGCTGGGCACGCAAAAGCTGGGAAATGTGTGCATGCATAGTGTGCCTCCCAGAAGGCACCTTGAGGGTCAGCTTGCAACAGCACAAACGATGAGCAGAACTGTTAAGGGGGAGAAAGGTTGATCAGGGAGGCAAGAGCTGCGAACTTCTCACCGCACAAGAGGGCCTGCTTCCTCCGTGGGGTAGGTGCATATGTTGGGGAAACCGGTGCACTGCTCTGTCCAGGAAGCAAGCTTACACTGCACAGCTCCCACATAACAATCACTCAAGACAATGCCACATGCGCTTGAGAGAGAAGCATCATCGAGTCATGTATCTGGTGGGATGACAGCCTGCAGCTCTGACTAGGGGGTACCTGCCAGTTGACGGAGAAGGGGGTCACAGCAATGTCGCCCAGCCGTGTCTGTGTGGTGAAGCCGTGGGGCGCGCAGGCTCCAGGTGCGTTCAATGCACCCCCCACCTGCCTCAACCACATCATTGATCAACGAGTCGGTATGTACACATGTGCACATTAACTCTGTCTCACAGCCTAGCCGTGTGTCACACTCTGTTGGGCTCAGGCCCGCAAAGTACTGAATGAAGCTGCCTGTTAGGGGGTCTTATGCATGGTGCAGGCTTGAGAATTATGAAGATAGTGGTGGACAAATTTGCCGGTGAGCTGTGGTGGGGGCTTGCCTGGGAGCTGTAGCCAGATGTGCCAACGTAGATGAAGTCTTTCACATAGCCCGCGCACTCTGCAATAAATGCACTGCAGAGCGCCGAGGATTCAGGGCCGATGCCTGCAAGTGCAGGCAGCACCCTGAGACACATGGTTCAATGGGTGGCAAGCTATAACGACTAGAATTCAGGATTCCGCTTGAACGTGGATCACCTGAAATGGCAACCGCGACAGATTGACCTAGGAGGATCCCGGTGTAGACTTGCTGACAAGGGTTGGTGTTGGCTGGAGCCTGCAACTTGTTCTGGAGCAGGCCCAGAATGAATACGGCCTCCGAAGTGCCCGAGAACGTTCCGTCGTCGGCCACCATAATAACGGAGATCGGCTTCACGGATTGGAAGCGCGCAGCGCATTGCACAGGGAGAGTCTTTGGAAGATAGGCGGCCTACGCAGTACATCAGCTTTCCGTCAGTTTGAATTTCCCCTTACAGACCACCAGACGATGTGCTTCAAGCCCTTTAAATGGTATCTCGGAAAGCTCTCGATGCCTTCAATGAGATCTTGAGGATTGGGGGATGGCCTGACTGGGCTTGACTTCGTACCTCCCCAACAACCGTCTCGAGAGACGATGACAGGTTGAGCAAGCTCTGTCCCTCAGCTTGAGATACAGTGACGAATATCACGACACCAAAAAGAATGAGTGAGTTCATCGAGGATTGCATTCGGGCCTCGAATCCGCGGGGGGCTGTCGCCGGGACGTTTGTATGGAACAAGATGGGAGTAGCTGGGAGTTCTTCCGAGAGCAAAGGACCAGCAGCCCTTACAATAAGCCTTTACCTGCCATCAAGACCCACCAATTGCCCACTACTCAAATTTCCTACGAGCAAAGCGTCTGAGTACGACCTTGTGCATGTCACATGAGTCACATGAGCCTTGGAGCCAAGTTTAGCTCCCAGTCAGAGAGTCTAGCCTAGTAGGTCCTGGCGACATGATGTCCTCCATTAATGGAAGCTGTACCACGTATCTCATCTTTACATATCTCTAGGATTGGTTCACTGACGTGTAGTACTATTTTAAGCCTCTTTGGCCTCTCCGGAGAGCAACGTAATGGAACATCCTTGGCCACCAGCTAGGGTGCTGCACCTTCTCGCAATCACCCAGCAGACTGATGTGCTTCTTGTGGCACTCAATAAGTATGCTACAGAAACCGCGTGGGCTCAGCTTCCGGCTGTTCTAGCAGGTACGGAGGCCTTACGTTTCGGATGCCGTGGGCATTGTTACCTGACATTTGTTGCTCAGCCGCCTGTGCTAGATAGGAATAGCAACTGATAATGTTTCTAAGTTTGATAGTACATGTCTAGTACAATATCCGAGCGGCACACCACTTCAACCCTGAGTTGGACTTTGTTTTTGACAGAGACCAGCTTGTACGAAGGCACCGAGACGCCTATACCACATCGGGAAAGCCTTGTATGCGAGCTCGTGTTGGAGGTAAGCTCTCTTGCCACACTTCACTTCTCCAGAGTTGTAACTGAAAGCACTACTAGTGAGTGCAGCCTAGTAAAACTGCTTTGGGGTAAGCATTGATGCTACAGACTAAAAGCAGCTGCAATCACCTGCATATAGGGTGCTTTTTGGAAGTTGCGGGCGCAGCTTAAATCTGTCAATCTGCTAGCAGGCTGCCAAGGCTCACGACAACGACCTCACCTCGGACCAGCCCACAGAGCTTGGGCAGGCGGTCATCGCTTCACTGCAAGACTGCATCTTCGGCTCCGAACTCAAGCAGTCTCCATTTCTACAGCTGGTCTGCTGCCAAACCTATGAGAAGGCACGCTCTTCCCTACAATTGACACTTGTCATGCCACGCTTTCCTTGCCTTCCCTAACCAATCTGTACACAACAGCTCTTGCAAGGAAGATGATTGGTGTTGCTGATAAACCAAACTCCTTCCCAGCATCCATGCCTGTGTCCAATGCAGGCATGCATGGCTCGGCTGGCATGCATCCGATTGCTGGAGACGGCAGTGACGCCCGCCAACTGCTTCACGCTGCTGCACCTAGCCACCAGCTGCAAGCTGCCCAGCCTGGCGGCTGCAGCACACGCAGTTGCAATGGCCGACTTTGCAGACGCATGCAGGTTGGACGACAGGGGCTTTGTTGGGCTGCCCCTCAAGCTGCTCATGCATGTGCTGGGCTGTGATGAATTAGTCACAGGCAGCGAGCTCCAGGTGTTCTCTGCGGCTGCGCACTGGGTGGGAGCAGACAAGACCGCCCGCCTGCCCCACTTCCACAAGCTGCTTGGTGAGTCATAAATCTGGCTCCATCGGGCACACAGTGTCCGTAATGCTTATTCTCGCCACTGAAGCAGTGGTTCTTGCACCAACTTGGAAGAGTGATCATTAGCTATCATTGAGGTGTGTGGATAATCGCCAGTAAGCGAGAGTAAAGGTCCCAAAGCCAGCAAACGAGAATCGTTTTTCGTTGTCACTTGTGTGAATCACTGGAACCAAGCCTGCCAGCTTGACCTGATAAATGTGACAGCTCATGGGCAGGAAAGGCCCAAATGCAATTATCATGGAGACTTGCATGCTAAGGTGTTGGTGGCTGTGCAGTGGCGGGCGTGCGGCTGGGTTGCATGAGCCGCAGCGAGCTGTATGAGCTTGACACACACCCTCTCACGCCCTGCTGCCCTGAGGTGGGCCGCCCACCCCACCACCCCTATTTTCTCAAAGGTTCTGGCAGTGGCTGTCATCCTGATGGCCGGTCTGGACTTCATAATTATTCAAGTTCTTAGGTACAGATCAGCAACCCAAAAGGCAAAGGCTATAACTGTCTGGTTGATAATGACCCCTCGAAGGGTATTGCCCAGCTTTAGTAAGATGTCTGTCTGGCTTGAGACAACTCCTGTAATCAGCAACTTGAGCGAATAGCTCCTTGCAACTCTTCGCAGGTAATGAAGACAGTGGCCTTTGCATACTTGGAGCTGTGCTACGGAGGGGCGGCTCGCGCGAAAACTCGGCCGCGCTGCAGCAGAAAGGCACTTCAGAAGCGTGCACAGCGGTGTGCAGCGGCCTCATCAGCTGCAGAGGGAGCTCCCGTGCACCAGCAGCTGCCGCTGTGGGGATGCCAGCCTCTGCAGTTGCTGCCGAGCGCTCCTGAGTGGACGCCCATGGAGTGCTGCACTGCACCTGCCAGCTCAACGGGCACGATGGATGGGCCATCCTTCTGGCCAGAATCTCCCTCTGGGGTCCTGCTCCAGCCTGCATTAGCACTATCCAGCCTGGCTCTCAATGGTGGCCATGGAGGCAGCTCCTACCAGAGTAACATACCATTGTCAGGCCCTGTGCAGTCTGGTATGGGACTCAATGCGGCAGTGTTCAGGCCACAGCAGGCATTCTCAGCCAGTGCAGCAGACGAGCAGCTTTGGAGAGCAGGCAGCAGCATGGGTGTATCTTCCAGCAACCAAGGCACGGCCGCAGCAGGCTTTGGAGGAGTGGAGGCAACGCCCCTGGACGAGTGCCACAGAAGCATTGGCGCAGATGCGATGATGTCTCCAGTGAAGCGCAAGGCTCCTGCTGCGCCTGCAGAGGAGTATGAGGCGGAGGTGATGCAGCCTGACAAGATGCCCCGCATCAACTCCTGCAGAAGGCTGCGCTTCTTTTGATGCCAGCCTGAAGGGTGGAGGATGCACAGAACAGAACTTGTAGCAGCAGAGATTGAACACCTTGAGCATGTACGAGAGAATATTTGGAAGGTTGAACATATTGCATTGAATCTGCATCTGAATTTTTGCAATGGCTTCCAGCAAAACCAGACAGAGAAGTTGATTTCAGCAAATCGTAGCTATGTTGATGAGCTCATGCACAGCGGAATTTGTAATTATGAAGGGAGCTGCATTTTGATTGCAATATGGCCCAGAGACGCATGTGCACAGTGTCCTGCTATGCTAAACTTGAAATTGCTGAGGTGCACGTTGCCATGTATGGGAATGCTGCTGTTGTGTGACTGCATGCATGCACACATCCAGGATTGTCTGCAGGCGCGTCTTTGTGCATGCTTTGTCTTGAAGATCCAGTGTGCAGTACTTCATAATTCATGTAAGCATTGGAACCTTCTCAAGTTATTTTGACTCCATACTTATTTTTACCAGCCTTGTCAGCATATGAAATCACAGCCTTCAAATCAAGGGTGCTTGAACCGAAGTCGCTGACACTGTCAAATCGGCAGAAACTTTTGCTAAAGCTATCAGCTACCGCTACCTCTCCTTCAGCAGCTGATGAAGCTTTGACAGCTGCTCCTGCAGTTTGTCTGCGATGCTTTTCACTGGCCGGGTCACTTCTGCATCGCTGCTGATTCCTTCATCCCTCTCTACAACTGCAACTTTGATCAAGTCTCCCAATTCGTCCAGCTCATCTGGGGAGATGTTGGCCAGGCTCAGTGTTCCAGACGCCTCCGCTGCACTGCCACCAATCATGGCAGCACGCCATGCAACCTCAAGTGTGAGGTCAAAGCCGGCCCTGCAGTGCCATTTGGATCTCATAATCTGCAGCGTCAGAAATTTGTTGGGTACAGCAACACCACATGGCAAATATAGCTGCAGTGAGCACACAATCGCATCTATAGCACAAGGTACACACCTTCTTTTGCCTCGTACAATCCATACATGAGCTTCGCCTGTCGAGCTCTTGAGCTCTGTGAGAGTGATGACTGCGGTTGGGGTGCGGTGTTCCAGGCCCACTAGAAGCGCCTTCAGCTGCTCCTTGGCCCACCCAGATACATCCCTCTCCTCGAAGGTGCCTGCCTGTAGACATGCAGACTGATACCATCAGGCCTTTCTTCTTGGAGGATGATAGAATAAGAAGCATAGTGGTACAAATCCGGGGACTGGATGCTGAACCTGGTTCCAAACGGATGCCCCTTTCTCGCTTGCTTCCCTAGCCCGCCTCTCCTCTTCCTTCAACTCAGCCTCTGTAAGTCTCTGCCGAGCACCAAGCCCATCAGAAAGCTGCTCATTGTTATACTTCGTGATGAACTTTGGAAACCACCATGAATTTGACAAGCCATAGATACCTTCTCTGCTACAGTCCCTGAGCTGGTTGAATGCCCTGCCGCCCAGTAAGAGTAAGACAGATCGGCCTGCGTTGCAAAGCAGATAATTTGATCTACAATGGATCCTGTGCCATAACGACCGAAGAGATGAAAGTTATTGAAAGTTTACAAACGAAAAAAATCAGGATAATCACCTTTGCGGTTGCTTGCTCAACAAGTTTATTTGCCATCTGATTTCCATTCGTGTCAGGCATCGATGAGATCAGAGATAGCTGCGCAGTTCCGACTATCTACCAACAATCCCAACGGATAAGAAATCTAAGAAATGATCTATACTTCTTGTTGCAAGCAGTGACTTTGAGCAAGAGTAGTCAATGGCGCGTCATGCTTTACAACAGCTTGTCGTCAGTCTGCGAAAGCCGATTTCCTGCTTCCTGTCCAAGACGCCAAAAGATCTAGCAATGCGGGGGATTGCGCAGAAAACTTGCATTTCCACTGGAGTCGATGAGACGATGACTGGCCTTCTGAACCCTAGCCATCAACCCTGCGCTATATCCCTTTACTTCTCCAAACCCTCAACACAATGGATCAGGGCCGACTTTCAGTGTCACAAGTTTTGCACTTTTTGGACACGGAGTGACGGCTGCCTGCAGATTGTGGGTTGGACACTGTGGGAGGTAGCCGTGGGGTGTCTAAGGCATGTGAGGGTCCCCTGACCGGCCCAATTGTAGAAATTAACGAGACATTCTAAGTTCATAATTGGAAAGGATGCAAACTGCTTTGAGCCAACAGCGCTGCTTGCCGGCCAGCACATCTGGAAGATGCAGTCTTACATCCTTTGATTGTTCGGAAGATTGCCCAGGCAGCTCAGGCAGGCTGTTGGGGCGCTTGGCCAAGAGCAGAACCCTCCTGCTCAGAAGAGGCTCAGCTTTGAGGGGCTCATACAGCCGCAGATGCAGTCTGCTGCCTGCATGCTGCCAGCCAAGGGCTGCAGGGCATGTGGGAGCATTACAAATCAGGAGCAGCGCCGCCAAGCGCGACGTCCGAGCACAGGCGAGATCTACGGCAGGCCAGGTTGGCGTCGCCGCGGTTGAGGAGGTCGTGGACGCTCCACACCCGGAAGTGCTCAGCTATTCCTCGCTGCCCGTCAGCTTCGCTGCACGCACAGTCAGAGATAGCTATCTGAGTGTCCAGAACGTGGAGAGCTTGACGAGAGAGCTGGCAGAGGTCGGAGAGCACTTGGAGAGGCTGGTTGCGTCTGAGGACACCCCGTCTTCAAGGGCTTACTCGGTGCGTTTGATTTTCTGCATCTTTGAAGCACTTCTATTAAAGGACGATGTAGGCGTGCATGCTCGGTGTGAGACCTTGACGTGCGGGAACTCTCCCATTTCGCTGTCCCATCTATTCAGCACAGTCCCAACTTTCTGCTATTTTGCGAATTCCTTTTTGAGCAAATTCTAAAATTTGCTCATCGAGCAGCAGATGGAAGTTATTGTTCTGATTACCGTGGAAATTGTCTGTCCAGCTTTGAACAGGCATTTAATATCTTTTTGGAGCAGCGTCTTAAGAGAGATATCTTCCGTCTGACTGACGGCGGATCTGTGGAAAATTTGCATGAAAATTTGCATGTGCATGATGCAGGAGAGCGAGATGAGCGAGGAAGATTACAAGAGGTTACAGGAGGCTCGCAGGCAGCATGAGGACGAGTTGAAGGCGCGGCGTGAGCTGCGGGCCATCCGGCGAAAGGCCAGTCAGGCAAAAGCTGCCGCCGAGAAGGCTGCCACTGCTGCAGCGCCGATGGTGACCAGCTCAAACCCTGTCAGGGAGCGCACACGATCAGGTAAACACATGCGTCACTCTTGCCAGCAATGCAGCTTGATAGCAACATGCCTCAGGGCATTGCATGATAGTCTGTAGGGCTGATGTCATTCCCACTTGTTACGGTGGTGCATGCCGGACTCATGCAATTGTCATAATTCTCGACGATTTGGACAGCATTTGGAGCGAAGGAATGCTTTCACTGCTGCACATCCCACCGCTTGCGATTCTGATCCTGTGCGGCGGTGTGCAGGCGTGCCAGGCCAGACCAGGGACGGCGGCGAGACAGCCGCAACAAGCAGCGCGCCTGCGATCGCAGCAGCGGTCAGCACCACGGGCGCAGGGGCACGGGGGGCCAAGGCGGCTGCTGTGAAGGCGGCCGGCCGCGCAGCAAGCGCGCGGACGCCGACGGGCGCCCGCGTGACGGCTGCCGCGCGCACGCGCAGCCACGCGTCCTGGGGCAAGCGCCACGTGGAGAAGCCCACCAAGGATGCCTTCCAGCGGCCTGCGCAGTCCTCCGCTGCCAGCGCCACCAACACCACGCTCTATGCCGTCACCAAGGTGCACCCTCCACCCCATCTCCTTCATGCACCCTCACGTGTGCTTGTCTATTGCCACATCAACCCCTTCTAATGGTTAACCTGCCTGCTACTGCTCTCTGCAATGCCGCTTCAGAGGAGTCACTTCCTGGGCTGTGTGCATGTGTCACTGTCTGAGGATGCTGGTGTAAATGGTGACTGATGGGGATGTTGTGTGTTGGGAGCAGATGCAGGGCTTTGGGCAGCAAAGCCTGCTGACAGCGGCGGAGGAGAAGGTGCTGTCCAAGGCGGTGCAGCGGCTGATCGCCATGGAGGCCAAGCAGACAGAGGCCACTCAGCGCCTCGGGCGGCCCATCACCGAGAGGGAGTGGGCTGCCGAGTGTGGCCAGTCCTCCATCCACGCCTTCCGGAAGGCCGTCAAGGTGGGCACCACTTGATCAAGCATGCACATTTGACATTTGTCGTTGGAGCCTTGCCTGCTCGACTGCTGCCTGGAAGTGAGAGCCGCTTTGTTAGAGTGAACAAAGCTGACATGTGCAAGCGGGTATAAATTGACTGTATCCTCCCTTAGCATGTGCAGCAAAGTTTTATCAGCAGTAAATATACGGGCAAGGGCACTGGGATCTGTCGTGTAGACATGCAAAAGCAGGAAAGCAGACAACTGAATGATATGTGCGGATGTGCAGGTGGGGCAGGAGGCTCGGACGCGGATGATGAAAAGCAACGAGCGGCTGGTGTTCCACGTGGCGCGGCGCTACATGAACCGGGGGCTGGACTTCCAGGACCTGCTGGCGGAGGGCATGAGCGGCCTCTGGCGCGGCGTCGAGAAGTTTGACGCCGACCGCGGCTTTAAGTTTTCCACCTACGCCCACTGGTGGGTGCGCCAGGCCATCACGCGCGCCATCAGCGAGCAGGTGACCCCCCGCTCCCCTGCTGTTCATCATCATGATGCCTTGCTTTACGCCTGACTGCCTTTGAACTCTGCAGTCCTCCCAAAACATCACTCCGTGGATATTGTGTGGAGATCGTTATTTTTCAGGCTTGCATGGGTGCCGAGAGACTGCGTGTATCTGCGGAGGGTATCATTCAGAAAGCAGGCATTGCGATCGGTAGAGAGAAGGAGATTGAAGGGAAAAGTACCTGGTGCGGAAGAGGACAGGGGAATAATGTATTTGTTGTGCGGTACAGGGACGGGTGGTGAGGCTGCCGGTGCACCTGCACGAGCTGATGGCCAAGGTGACCAAGGTGGACCTGGAGTACCAGTCGGAGCACGGTCGCCGCGCCGGCAATGAGAAGCTCGCCGAGCTGGTCGGCATCAGCCAGGAGAAGCTCGCCATGCTCTCCAAGGTCTGTCTTTGCTCCGCGGCCCCACCCCGAGTGTCACCCCTGAGAGTGATTTCAGGAGCCCAGAGTTGATTGAACTAGGACCTCGATGCATGGCAGTACTGGTTCATGCCAGTGCGCGACTCGATTGGCCTGCCTGCCGGGTGCTGATCAAAGTATGATTTGCCGCTTCCAAACTCGCCAACACTGCAAGACCATTGAGCAGCTGCAGCCAGCCCTGCTTACAGAGGTATGCAACATCCCTGACAAGAGGTCTTCATGCGCGCAGGTGTACATGGCGCCGACGAGCTTCAACGCGCCGGTTGGCGGCAGCATGGATCCGGGCGCGGACACGGTCGGGGAAACGATTGCGGACGACAACGAGGCGTCGCCGGAGGAGGTGGCGGTGCGCCTCAACCTGCACCAGGACATGGACAACGTTCTGGCCACGCTGAGCGAGCGCGAGTCCGGCATCCTGCGCTGCCGCTATGGCCTCGACGATGGCCGCCAGCGCACCCTCGAGGAGGTCGGCCAGATCTTCAAGGCAAGTCCCCCCTACCTCCTCTCCCTTTCTGCCTTCTGTCAGCGTCGTCACGTGTTTCCAGGGCAGCTGGCTCTCACATGTGCATCAGAAAAGGAGGTGAAAAAGTTTCATTATCATGTATGCCGTAGTTGCTTCTACAGATGCACTGGGCCTTGTGATGTACTAACTCTGGGCAGTCTCGAAAAATAAAAGCCTGTCTGAATGAATGTGCGTATGTGTGGCAAGTGGCAACCAATGGTACACGTTGAGTGGCATGCGGGTGTGGGGGCTGACATGAGCTACTACATGCGCAGGTGACGCGGGAGCGTATCCGGCAGATTGAGGCCAAGGCGATCCTGAAGCTGCGCCAGCCGGACCGCAGCTCCATCCTGTATGACTACGTCAACGGAGCCTCCACTCAGAGCGTCACCTGGCGCGGCGGCCGCTCCAAATGCCACTCCAGCTAGGCGCCTATTTGAAGTGCTCCTTAATGCGCGCGGCTGCACCTGCACCCGGCACGGCTGCCCTGCCGCCTGGGCCTGTGCTGGACTGGCGCATGGAAGAAACATGTGCAGATCGGCGCGTGTTCCTGGGCTGGGGGTGCTTTGGAGCGGGTCGTCGTTGGCGCATGCTGTGGGTGCAAAGTCAGATTTTGATGTGAGGAAATGCGGAGTGTGCGTCGTGGGCCGCTCTTTCCAGGGCAGGTTTTGCTGCCGAGTGGTGTTTCCTGCACGTACTCGTGCAGGGGTCGGAACCGTGGTGCACGTGTACCATCATCACGAATTGATTGCTCCCGGTGACACCCTGCAGAGGACAATGTATCGAAAGTATTGCTCCATCAGAGGGGAAGACAGGATGGAGGCATCAGTGCATTTAACAGAGGAATTTTAGGCAAACTCCATGGCCACAAACGCTTGAATTCTCTAGCGCAGGAAAGTGAATGGCCTAACGCATCATATATTATTGCAGTTTTGCATGTAAGCATTGATTGCACTGCTTGCGAAGTTGCAGGTATGACTTTGCCGAGCAGACCGTGATCATTACCTTTGACTCACCTGTATTACTAGATCCTTTTTTGACGTTGGGCTTTTTTGTTCAAGCCTCAAAAGGACCATGATTGGCAGGTGTTTATGCGCAAGAAGCAGCTGTGATGCTGGCCCACCTGTAATATCTTGTTGACGTCAGCTTGTCGTCATGAACGTTATTGAATGCATTGTGCGATGCGATTTTCAAGGTGGCACTTTACTGATCAGCTGATGACGGTCTTATGACATGACCCGAATTGAAAGCGATCTTTGACCATAGCCTGGCACTAAATAAACGTCATCTATAATGTTCAAGAACCGTATTCCACTACAGAGCAAGTGACCTACAGAGGACAGTTACTAATTTTGCACAATCAATAAGCAGTGAAGGACTCCGGCAACGTGCTACCTCAAGACCCCAAACCTAGAAACCAACCCGACTCTCTTGGGATGCTTTGTGCTGGTGAGTATCTAATGCTACAGGGACATATGCATCGCATTATTCAGACTACAGTATAATTTGACTGCGGGGTATCATTGTGCCCAGTACCTAATTGTTCGACACTAGAGTACATTCAGGTGCTCATCAAATTAAGCAATGACACCATCGTTTCAATGAAAGTGGTGCCCCTTTTTGCAATCCCAGCTCCCTTTCCACTGCCTTGATGGCAAGCTCGAAAGGATCGGACCCACGCAGGAGAAAAAATAAGGGAAGATCCTGAGGTGGCTGGGTGAGGAAAACCCCACACCTCAATAGCACTTTAAGGCCAGCAAGCCACCATGCTTTGCAAACCTTTGCGGCTCTGCATTATCCCTAGATGTATCCACCACATCCGAAGCACAACACTCAGCAAATCCTCTTCACCCTAGAAAAGGACTCTGGGTCAAGAATGCTGCCAAGACCCTCTATTCCATTGGGCCCTCTTTCGCTCTTTTCACTCTCCTTTTGCGTGCGCGAGTTATCCATGTGTGCTTTGCTGTTTTCAGAATTTGCTAATAAGTCCATATGCGAGTGGATGATCCATTCCACACCATGAGAAGATTCTGATATGCCTTTCCTACTGCAGACTTTATCTCTGCAGAACAGCGATTGAAGCCCCTCTGAAGGCACTCCAGTCCCTTTGCACAGCCTCGCAGAACTCCAACAATCAATGGAACCTCTGTTCCACAGCACCTCCCTCCCAGCACACCACCCACAGTCCAGCCATCAGCTGCACTCCGTCCATCGGGAATGCCCCTTGTTTCAGCCTGGAGAATTAAAGGTGTGCCGACTAACCGTTACATAACCGCTGAGTCACCACGCGCTGTACTGACGGTTGGGGGCGTGGCCGGGGGGCGCGGGGGGCGCGCGCATCGGCTGCGGCACAGGCGGCGGCGGCGCGTTGGACATCGGCGACACGTCGGCGAATCGGTTGTCGGCAAAGGCAGGCACGGGGGTCGCGAACGAGGGGCTGGGCAGACCGAAGGGGTTGAAACCTGTGCCCATGTCCTGAGACCCTGTGAATGAGCCGAGACAGGGTGTCAAAACGCTCTTGAGAAGAGCCCCAAAACGGAATGTCAAGCCTCACATCTTAAATGTGATCAATTGCTGCTGATTATTTTTGAATGGAGGATGTCCCCAGATATGTCGAGGGGGCTTTAGATGTGTACTGTTGAACGCCATGGACTTACCAGCAATATCGATGGCTGCTGCAGTGGGTGCAGGGTGCTCAGAAGTCCCGTTCGCAATGGGAGCCTCGGGGAAGGCGGCAAATTGCTGCTCAGGAGGCGCCTGCATCCCAAAACCGCTGTCAGACAATCCGCCTGATAACCTCCCATTGAAAGGGTAGATTTGCATGCATTGCCTTGGACTTCTTGAGTCAACCAGTATTACCGAGACACCACCTTGCATCGTGCATATTGATGCAAGCAGAGCATGAATGCATAAGATGAGGGGAAGACCTGAGACAACTCCAGCAAACTCACCAACAACATCAACAATGTCATGAGCAACAGTAGTAGCCAGGTCACCTGGGAGGAGGCTTGGGGCTGGAAGGGGGAGGGATTGGGGGCAGAGTGGGGTGGAGCAAATGGCTTGGAGACGGCTGCGTGGTCACCAGAGCCTTGACCTGGCGCCTGCAGCGGGGTGATAGGCGGAGCGACAAAGTGGCCGGAGCCGTTTTCAGAGCCAGACGTGCCGCGCGCTAGGCCGCTTGTGGCAGTTGCGGGAGGCGAGAAACCTGCATGACATATTTTGTTACGCCTCAACTCGCATCAAAATAAGGAGGCTTGGAGACTCCCAGGTGTTATCACACTAATCAAAAGGTTCAGTGCCTAAGCCTGCACGATGATACGGCGACCAATGCACAGTCTTCCCCCAGGCCTTGTGTATATTTGCCGCCAGATGACAACGGGGCATCCAGGTGCTTGCGCAAGAAAATTTGATTTTAATTCAATGACAACGAAGATCTTGAAGTTTGTGGGCAGGGAAAAGCGCGCCTTCAGAGCCGAAGCTGCCGCTGCCGGCGCCGCCGAGGGACGCGGTGCGAGCGGGTGGGGAAATTGCGCCGCTGGCCGCGCGCGCCAGGCTGCTCCCCGGCCCCGAGCTGTTGGCGCGCATGAGGGGGCCCGAGGCCGTGCGCGTAGGAGAGAACGCCCCGGACAGCTGCCGCACCGGCCCAGGGGGCGCCTTCAGTGCGGGAGTGGGAGTCGCACCAATGCCCGCCGACCCTGTAACAACCAGTAACTTACTGATGGGATTGTGCAATTTATACAAGTGCACTCATCGACCATGCGCCTGACCCTCACACACGTATACACAATCGCACATTCCAATGCAACCTGTTAAGAGTGCACCGTGTGGACAAGAGATAAAGTGGTGCCTTAGCTAAATAAGCCACACAGCACTGTCATGGTTTCAAGGGAAGTAGGGTGCTCCACCTGCGTGCTGTATCCCGGCGGATCCCAGGCCAGAGCCGGCAGAGGACAGCGGGGGCGGCTGCAGCGGGGAGGATCCGAACCCGGAGCCGGCAGTGGACAGCTGCGCTGGCTGCACCAGCGAGGAGGCGGGATGCTGCTGGGTGGGCGCCGGCAGGAACGATGCCGCCTGCAGCGGCGGGAAGCTGGTGGCAAAGGCCTGCTCGCCCAGACTGGAGGAGTTCGCAGGCGTGGGGGGGACCTGCGGTGGCGGCCCAGTGGCGGCGGGGGGAGGCGCACCCCCCGCCGCTGCCGGGAACGCCCCGGAGCCGGTCGGAGAAACGGGCATCTCCACATCGCTGGAAGCGCTGAAGCTGCGTGTCGCGTGCGGGCTGGCCGCGAACGCGCTGCCGCCAAAGCCCTCAGCGGACGCGGTCGGGGACGGCAGCGGGAGGCCGGAGCCGGAGGACGTGCGCGCGGGCACCGGCGGCAGCGCGGCCGCACCGGAGGAGCTGCGGGAGGGGCCGGCGGAGCCCCCCGGCGGCGGAGGGGGGAATATCCCAGGCTGGTTGGGCGTCTGCTGTTGGGGGAAGGAGGCCGGTGGAGGGAAGTACACTCCGGAGGAGCCGGCGCGCAGCTGCTGAGAGGACGGCGTGTGGTTCGCCGGGAAGCTGGCCTTGCCGAAGCTGGAGGCCCCGAAGGGGTTGGAGCTCGGGACCGGGGTGGTTGCGGCCGAGGCGGCTGGCGGCTCGGGGAAGGTTGCCTCGAAGGTGTGGTCCTCTTGGGACGGCGCCTGGCTCGGCCTTGACTCCAGGGAGTGCTGCACAGGTCACATGGGATTTCAAACAATTCACTCCTGTGGGTTGCAGACGAGAAGGAGGAAGAGACAAGCGCAGGGGATATGGTGAGCATATCAGAGGAAGGGGTCGAATACCTGGAAGGGGTCAAATGCGGGGGTGTCGGGCGCCTTGTCATCCGCGTCAGGAGTGCCAGTGTACGGCCCCAGGCCCAGCAGGTCGTCCAGGGAGAAGTCAGAGGTGGCTCGGGGAGCCGTGTTCATGTCACTGGCATTGGGCGTGCCACTCTCTATGCTCTTGGCTTCCTGCACAGCCCCAAAGTGTTCTTGAGCAATGCAAGTTCCCTATTTTCCTATGTATTCCGAGCTTGATTGCTGTCAGGCCACAAGAGCGTTGTTGGGGACCGCCCGACTCTTACAAGGTGAAGCGGTCCGAAAGCAAGGTCGAACCTGAGTGCTGGACGCCTCTCCTGAGGCCTCCGATGTCTCCAGCAGCAGATTCTCCGCCAGCAGCAGCTTGACAAAGGGGAACAGCTTGTTGGAGGGCGACTTCACCAGATCATCCAGGGCCAGCTGCATGCAACAGCAGGCATGTCATACTTGCCCAATGCAAGTACCTAAATTTCCGGATCACATATGCTTTGTTGCCCGTACTCCATCAGGTATGTCAGTCAATGTCACGCCATCATGGTGGTGCCAACAAGGACTAAATATTAAGGTCTTTTCACCAAAACAAGCATCCACAGAAGGGGCAAAGTTATATTCATAGAAACAGCAGCCAGAGAATATAAAAGGGAGCAGACCTGCCAGGTGGCGCCACCTGGCGACATGGTGATGGAGCGCATGAACTTCTGGTTGAACTTGCCGCTGCCACTCATGCTTCCAGAGCCACTGATGCCCAGCTTGCCCTTCAGCCGCAGCGACTCCTGCTCCCTCACCTGTGAACCAATCACTGCTCAGGATCACTGCTCACAAGGTCCTGCATACCATTTTTCAATTCTGACCAATCGCTGGGCTCCAGAACAGGATGATAGTGACACGGCAGGCACAAAAAGCATTGATTGCCTACCATGTACTTGTACATGCGTTTGAGGGCCAGGAACTTGAGCTCAGGGAATTTTTCCCAGGTCTCTCCCACAGCCTGCAGGCACGGACCAGGTCATTAAGTAGTCTTCCAAGATTTTTCAAGATTGCTGTTATTACACAGTGCTTCGTGTCGCAGGGCAGTGCGAAGCCTAACGGTGACAGTACCAACTGGAGTGCATATGCTCAGCATTGTCAGGTCCTGTTGCCTACAGTTTGGCAACAGCCTTGCTCCCTGACTAGATGGCAAACAAACAAAAGGATATTCGAGTTCCCACCAGTCGCACAAATCTGTTTCGCAGCTCTTCAAGCAGCTGTGTGGCAGTGGCAGCCTCCTTGGAAGGGACGGTGCGGCCGCCCTTCAAGGTTTGCTGGCAGTCAGCTTCTAGCATGTCATACAGCTGGAACAGGGTCTCAATATTTTCTCCCTTCTTATGCCCAACCCTGAAAGCAGTAGCCATCGGTTTTACGGCCATCAATTTCAACAAAATCAAGAAAAACAGTTGGAGGTACTAGAAGAGCGAAGGTTCATTCCAGGAGAATAACATGGCACCAATTTACGCACCCTGAGAAGAAAACACGGCCGATTTCATCGCGCAGGACGCGCAAAGGCACCTTAATATCGTCTTTGCTCCCTGCATCTTGCAGCTTCTTCACCAGTGCTGCAGAACCACAGCTTGGCACAGTGAGGCACGCTCTCTCAAAATAAGAACTCCCGTGTAAAAATAAGTACTTCGAATGACCTTAAGACACTCGACCACCATATGCGTTCCTGACTTGCGAGCAGCCCAGAATCTAGGGTTGTGCATCATCACTTGGAGATTCAAGCTTGCGGCATAGTTAGGACTTACAAACTTATTCAAATGCATGCCGATCGTGCAACAAGAAATAATAGTGACAGTCTTGCTATTAAACTCAAGACAACTAGGTGGGGAAGACTCGCACATATAAAGTTCTCCCCGGCTATTTTGCGATTCTCCTCCAAGGTGTCGCCATACGCTCCCTTTGTGACCCGCTCAAAGAACTGACGGGAGTACTCCGCCACTGAAAGAGACTGCGCCAATAAACAAAAGTGCTCAGTGGGCCATGGGCTGATGCAGCAGCTCCATCCTTATGTGACAGTGGAATCTAGGTGAAGGTCCTCACTCCGTGACAAAAATTTGAAAGGATATCACCTTGTCAGCAGGAGCACTGCCTTTTGACGACATCCTGATGCAACAAAGGTATTGTGCCCAGATCAGTCAACGAAGGTTCACAGCGAGTCAGAATCTCCTGCACAACATCAAGTAGATCTGCCAATGTCAGAGTAAGATACAACTTGACCTATTTTGCTCACACAAGAGTCCAAATTGTCCAAAAATACGCCAAGGACTGAGAACGAGCGCTTGAAAGGTGGACTTCTTAGTAATGCCCACGACCTATTCTGGAGTTGTGGGCCCATGTCCGCATGCATGAGCATGTCCGATTGTGCACACTACATAATGGTCCAACGGACATTTACTGTCCAACAGTGTCTGGCATGCGTGCAGTTGACTCAAAATGAGGCAGCTCCAAGCAAGCCTGAGCTAGTGTACTATGCAGGGCTAGCGCGGCGGCAGCTGCAATTGTTGACATCATCATCATGATGATGATCGATATCATTATAATATGGTGGGGTGCAAGTTCAAGTAAGCTTAATCAGTCTTCAGATGATGACAGCAGAGCACTTCTAGGCAGTGCATGTCTGCAACTCACAACAGCTGCAGAGCACTTTGGCATCTTCCTATCAGTAATAGCCCCGGTTGGTGGTAGGCGGTACAAATACTGAGCACCGTGCGTCATGGTCCGTGCCCATCGTTGATTGGGTCTTGCTTGGATCTGGCGAGGCCAACAAGGGGTAGGACTTTAAAAGCCTTTCTTTGCAGCTTGTCTGCAGAGTCTGCAGTGCAGACGCACTTTGCCTCTTGGCAGGAAAAACGTGTAATAATAAGAGTGATAACAATGTTGAATGGGCTCGCGACGCCGGCTTCAGTTACTGACTCAGTCGGACGCCACCAGTCGTAGGCGCACAGGCCGGGCATGGCACGACGCCATGATGGGCATCCATGGCATCTATGCAACAACATGCATAGACTGCAGGTGAGCATACCGTCTTCGACATCACTCATTATAGCTCAGAACGAAGATGAACAGAAACTATAGCAGCTGCAGCTGCATGATGAAGCATGCACAACGCACATAATTGACCAGAAATTATTGTTAAGATACGGTATCACAATACTTGATGATTGTGAAACAATAGAACAGCTACTGCCGTGAAATGCACATATGATCAAGAACCTCCACACTTGAATCCGCTTGCCAGTGTCTTCTGCGAGCTAATCTGCCATTCACATATCCAACTGACTCACATCCACTGACTTGACACGGATCACAGAAACACTCTGAGCCCAAGGAACATTGGTGAGAATCCCACTGCTGGTCTGCCAAAAGTCCCAAGCCAGCCAGTCCCTCTCAGCAATTAGCACAATATCCCGCAATTCTCTGAGCAGCATGTGCCCTCTTTCCTGACGCCTTACCCCTAAATCGGAGAGGACGTGGGCCCATAAATTCCAGACATCACATGAATCTTCATATATTGTCCACAGCGTCGCAGTGTCCATGCATTGCAGCTGGCGTGTTGTGGAGTTGTCAGTGGGACTCTTCATGGTCACCTTCGTGGCTCTCTCCATGGCCCTCATCATGCTCAAAGTGCTGAGCGTGGCCAAACTGCATAGCACAGCATATTTTGCAAGCTAGTCCTTCCACAAAGATGTATTGAAATGTGCATATTTTATGCATGTGGGGGTCTTGTAATCGCAGTGCTACATCCATTTCCCCAGGCAGGTGAGGAGAGACATCATACCAGCAGAGTGCTGCCATCGTGGTAGGCGCGGTAGAAAATCCAGAACCTGCCAAAACGATGTGGGTCAGGTTCAGTGACACCCCTGATGCATCTCACTTTGCATGCAAGGTTACAGGGCAAACAACATAGCACAACTATAATACGCAGGAAAGATGGAAGGGCATGCCTACTCACCACATGAGCGAAGCCATGCCTTCTCCCCACAGTACATGCCATCTAGCAGGCTTGTACAAGGTGAGTCCAGCATATGTGACTGGGGGCCCATGATCTGCAAGCAGGAAAGAATGGAGCTCAATCTTTTGCAGGGCCCTTCATGTGAACAATCACCCATTTTGGCAGACCTTCGGGATTTTAAAATAATACAGCCAATCAGCAACTTTTCTTGCAAGTAGTCTAGTCGCTGCCTGTATCATAACAGCACTCGCAACAACCTTATTACTCCCAATATCCCCAGACACGGGCCTCAAAGTGGCAGGGATTGGTTTCGAGAAGTACCATGATATTCTTGATGAAAGGAATACAGCCTAGCTAGCAAGAGAGGCACAAAGTCCTGAACCTAGTGAGGCTCACTCACCTGACGCCATCCCCCGGCATTGCTGAGTGGACCGTATCACTGAGCTGCTATTAGCGGCAGATGCTTCCCTCAGCGGCTGAGATGCGCTGCCTGAGCCCAAAGTTGTGACCCTGGAGCAAAACTTTGCAGCGCGAGCCCAGCTCGCCATTAGGACCTTCGAAGGGGCCTACTCCTGCTCGATCAGTGCATAACCATTATACGAAGGGATACGAGCGCTATCCGAATGACTGATCAGCGTCTTGATGCAGCAAATTTTGTGCAGAGTAAGCTTGTTCCCAAGCAGGTGGTGAGACAGGGGGAACCCTGGCGGAAGGAGCGGGGGGTGCGGTCTGCTATAAACGCTCAGGGACGCAAAATTATCACTTTCTCACCACAGTAGAGATCATAGCACTCTTTATGGCTGTTTGAATGTGAAAGCTTGACCACGAATGAATCTCCTTGCGTTACTACCTTCTTATGCAAGTATCGCATCTCTAGATCAACACTGAAACGCACGATCATAAGATGGATGATAAGGAAAGGCAGACTTTCCTTGAACTGCAGTCTAAGATGGTGGATCACACATCCAAGCTGAAAACGGTGGGTGGCCCTTGCAATACTCGCCGTGCATACCCTTTCTGCAGTATTCCCACTTTGTGATGGGCATGAGTGAGTTTTCAATCTAAGGCATTCCGCATTCTCCTGCTCTCCATGTAGGTGCAGCAGCAGATGGCAGTCCTGGCCAACAATGGGAGGCGAGCAGCGCTCACAGTTGAACAGCTGGGCACAGTGCCTCACACAGCCAGGACATACAGGACGGTTGGAAGAGCGTGAGTCCAAGCTTCCATCACCCATAGACAGCGCCATCCATAGTGCTAGGGGCTCCTGTAGCTCGTGCACACATCTACTTTGTTGCAAATATCTGTGCATGCATGCGTGCAGGTACTTCCTTGCGCCTCGAGCGGAGATCGTGGACAACCTGAATGAGAAGCAGGTCTCCTACAGCAATGAGCTGGATAGGCTGACAAAGAGCAAAGCTGCGCTGGAGAAGGGGCTCAAGGGAGTAGAGGGGGAACTGCGTGAGCTGCTTCAGTCTAGCCCAGCTCTGGCCCAGCAATTGATGTCCCGCAGCAGCTGATATTGATATGCACATGCGCATAAACAGCATGCTTGCCTGATGTTTAAAAAATGCAGACAGAAGTGCAGTATTTCTTTGTTGCTCGACCACCAAAGTCAAGAAGGGAACATGATGAATACTCTAGACGGTGCCGCACCGGGTGCTGAGCGCTGGCACTCATGTCATGGCCTGCTGATTTTCTGATAAGGCCAGCCAATTCAAGTGCACACAGTGATGCATGCTCTTTGAAGGTGTCTGCATGCTGCATAGATTTGACATGCAACTCATTGACAAGATGCTGCAAAAGAGCTGTGACTTCCTTGTATTTTGTTAAATTCGTGACTGGAGTTAGCAAAAAGTCTGGCCCAGTGCACCAGAAACATGTGGATCGCATGTGACAACAAAATCTACTTACACTTCTGGCTGGCACCATATACCAGATGCTAAAGAGCACATTTACACTCGATGTGGCATTATTGACAGGCTTCCTTGCACCACTGACAGAGCCAGTGACTGGAGCCATTGCCTTCTCAACAATAGAGCATGTGAGAACACTACAGGCACCGAACATCCCCAGCAGAGGCAGTACAAACAAAGCGCCTGATGCCGCATGCACAGCACTGTCTAGTAACCGGCGGCGAACTCCTGCGGTGCCACATATTGGGCTGCCGCGGGGGCTGCCTCGGGGGCGGCGGCCGCGTCCCAGGAAGCACCACCCGCTGGAGCAGCAGCAGCGTCCCACTCAGCAGCAGGGGCAGCCGCTGCTGCCGGAGGCGCAGCCCACTCAGCGTCATTTGAGACGCCTGGGCAGCGCCAAGCACAACCTCAGCGACAGATCCAGCAAGCACAGAATAAGCTCAATGCACATTGTCGACGGCGCTCAGCATCAAATCTGTGCAGCAGAGCATACGTCCCAGGAAAGCTGCTCCATCTGCCATTGTAGCTGTACAATGTCTTACAGGCACTCAAAAGAGTGAGCATCTATGGGCAGATAACCTTTCTTTTTACATAGCAGTTCCCAAGCCCTTACATACACTGTCATGAGATGATCTGAGATGACGGCTGTGGGAACGCACCCTGGGGAGCAGGCAGGCCAGCAGCGCCGCCGTAGCCGGCCTCGGGAACGCCTCCGAATGCGTCGGCAGCGGGGGCCTCCTCGCCGTCCTCCTTGGTCTCCTCGGGCTCCCTGTAGAAGAACAGGTCCACCACCACATCCCATGCCTGGCCAGCCGCCAACGTCCCGCGCATCTGCACGCACCACAGCTTGCTCTGTCAGAATCTCAGCACATGACAAACTTGCCGGCCCACAGTTTGGTCTATGTCAACTTTGCGAAACAGTAGTCCTGACGCATGCTGAAAAAAAAGCGTGCAGTCTTTGCCTTCGAAACACCACATTCGCATAGCCAGAGACCGAGTCACATGCTATCAAGGGCAGCATGCTGCCCCACAGAGGCAGTTCACCATGTCAACTGCGTGATGTATGTATGCACAGGACTTGACAGCGCCGAGCAGCCCACACCTGCAGGACCATACGCGAGAGCAGGTAGTAGAGCACTCCAATGGAGTGCTTGGCCTTGTTGTTGGCGGGGATGGCGATGTCCACGTAGGGGAGGGCAGAGTCTGTGTCACAGAAGGCGATGGTGGGGATGTTCATGTAGGCAGACTCTTTGATGGGCTGGTGGTCCGTGCGGGGGTCTGTCACAATCAGCAGCCGCGGCTCCTCAAAGTCCTTCTGGATCTGATTAGTGAAGGTGCCTGCGCAGAGACGGAGTGGTGCTTAGTGACACAAGAAGCCTGAACGATTGATGCAATCACACTGGACTGCTGTGGCCCCACCAGGGTCCTGAATAGCTTCTGTCACACGCTCCCTTTGTCCATATATAGCGTTGGAGGAAATTAGTGCATGATACATTCACATTTGTGTTACTTTCCATAAGTATGAATCTTGAATACTGATCCCATTTAGAAAAACAGAGAGCCATATAGATCGCAAATGCTATGCCAGGGAGGGTACTAGCCAGGGCAAGCGAGCACACCTGGAGTGTAGCGACCCGCAAGAGCCTTTGCTCCAGTGTACTGTGCGAACTTGAGCACAGCCCTCTGAGCATAGGGGCGGGCGGACTGCACCACCACATCCTGTGGGTTCTCAATCGCCACAATCACGCGAGCAGCCAGCTGCAGCTTGTCCCATGTCTTGCCCAGATTAATCACATAGATGCCATCCTGCCGCCTCCTGTAGATGTAGCGTTCCATCTGGAAATCACACTGCTTTGTGCCCAAGTGCACATTGGCAGCCAGCATAAGCTGGATATCTTGTTCCCTTTGAGACAACGCCATGTTTGCGCTGTCCCCACACCACACTCACACTGAGTAGGGTGAAGGATTGCTGATAGACAGCACGGATCAACACAGTACGCTCAGCAAAATGACCAGAGCCGCCTCCAACTCAAGCCCTCGATCTATACATTTATCCACCTCTCAAACCCTCCCGAGCTCGAGTGTGCCTAATGTGGCACACAGACACAGCAAGACTTCACCGAACAACAGGACCATCGCTTGATAATTTATCAATGATAACCTCAAAGAAAGATAAGTAAACAGTGCACCAAGAACTATTTGTGAACGCAAGATGCTGGGTTGATTGAATAAATTTTCACCGATCCCATCCTAATCGGTTATGGATCGTCAAGGAACTTACAATAACAAATTATGCTGAGGTGTCAAAATGTGTAGTTGACTGTTGGTGACAGCTCCACAGTCGAGGTGCCATGTTCTCTTTCAGCCCAGAAGAGAAGCATGCTCTTCTCCTCTCAACTTTGGCAGGCTTGTCAACCTCCATCGGTGGGGCGATTGCGGTAAATAAACAGTCCTTCACAGTATATTCTCGAACGCAATGCAATAGCGATTGCTGCTTCCTGCTTTGCTGCTGGATCAGAGGATAACACAGAGCCAAGCCATGTCCTGTCACTGTCTGTCAGTGCTGGAGAAGAGGGCAGCATATACATCTCTTTGCAATATAGAGAACAGGTAGCACCATGCAAGCCTCCTGAAGAGAGGCCAACTTGTGCATTGCAGATCATCAAGCGGCCTGGCCCTGGCTTGCTTGCCTTCCTCCTAGGAGTGGCTATAGGCGTGATGTTTACGCTGTCCGCGGCCGAAATGTACATTAGGAATGCTTATGAGCACGGTTTCTGGAGCATCACTGCTTCTGTTCTGGGAGGAGTGGCCCTGTACTACTTTCTGCAGCCCTTCCTGCCTGACTTTGTGGACCACAACCATGACAAGAAGGATTCAGAGGTCAGTCCAATGGATTGACCAGCCTCTGATTTTCGGCCGTATTTGGTAGTGCGGAACACCCTGCTTTGAGCTGGGCAGAATCCAGCTTGCACCAACTGTTGGGGCCCCCATTTATTGAGGGTGATGTTTTGCAGGGGGAGAGCATCACAGGGAATGAAGACAAGCAACATCTTAGATCAGGTACCCCCTGGTGAATCGTGCTTGATTCGACTACCGCTTACATGCAGGACTCCTCCTCTTTGAAGTGTGCTGGCATGAGATGCAATGGGCAGTTGCAGGCAATGGTGCACTGCTGAGGAGCGTGTCAGCAGAAAAGGGCGGCTCAGGAGCGGTGCAGGACAGCCCTAGGGAGAGGCTGTCACCCAGCACTTCGCAGCGAGCATCCCCATCTTCAAAGCCCAGCAGCGATGCTCCTGCCGCTCAACCGACCGCTGCCAAGTGAGCACACACACACACAGCAGAACTCAAACTTGATGCACCCATTCTCACATGTTGTGTGGTCCCGCAAGCTTCCGCAGATGCCCTTCCAATGGGACTGAGGCATGCAACAACAGGCATAGGGATATGAATGGAGACGCTTGTGCTGGCTCAGGCTGCTACAATAGCCTATTGCCTCAGAGGCACGTAAAGCACATCAAAGCAGTCCGCGTGCAGGGCTGAGCGCCTGTGCTTTGCTGGTGGTCAGGGCAGCGGCTATTCGGGCGGCGGCCAGCGAGAAGCTGCGGTCGGCGGAGCTGCTGCGGCTCGGCTTCGTCATGGCGCTCGCCATGACGCTGCACAACATGCCTGAGGGCTTTGCGGTGACCCCTAATTCCTATGCCCCCAATTCCAGCAACTTTGGGCTCGTGTTGTCAGCACAGCCACTTGTGATGGACCCGTGCTGAGTTCTGGAAATCTTAGCAGCGCATGGTATTGGGGAGTGCAAGTGAGTAATGGGCAGGCTCATTTGTGCAGTGTGGGTGCAGGTGGCCTTCTCGGCATTTACAGACTTTGGAGCCATCATGGCGCTGGCAATAGCCGTCCACAACATTCCTGAGGTGGGCAATGCACCTCTGCATGATTTTTCTTCAAATAACTTCCATGGCAAGGTATCTGCACATCTGATTGGCACGCTGGATGATGTGAGCCGGCTGTGGCAGGGTGTCATTGTGGCGGCGCCTGTCTTTGCTGCAACAGGCAGCCGCTGGAAGGCCATGGGTGTTGCTGTGGCATCGGTGCGTGCCCCTTGACATGTTGCTCTGGAGTTGAACATATGTGTGGACTCCCTGAGCTCGTCTGGTTAAATGCAACTCTTTCTACCGGCCTGAATTGACATTGGTGAGAGCAGAGCTCAAATGTGCATCCCTTTTGCAGGGTCTGTCTGAACCGGTCGGGGCGCTGATAGCGCTATTGTTCGTCAAGCCATTCCTGACACCAAACTTGCTTCAGTACATGCTTGCGTTTGTCGGCGGAATAATGGTACGCAGTTGCCTTCATCTGTGTTTCTGCTATGTGGAGTCTGAGCTGCACTTTGAACTGCCCGGTGTCAATCATCTAGAAATCATCGTTGCTGCATGCCCGATTTGCTGGAAGCTTGCAATATAGGTCACCTGCATTCAGCCTAAAAAAAGGTGTGAATAAAACCGTGAAGGGGCTGGTCTTATGCAGATCTCTGTATGTGGGCTGGAGCTGTGGCCAGAGGCAAGGAAGTGTGAGGATGACTGGAGGCTAGGGCAGGGCGTGCTAGCTGGGACTGTCATCATGGGCTGGACGCTGTATATTGGCATCTGAGCTTTAAGCATTCTGCATTTGTATATGTTTTTTTCTAAACCTTGTGACGCAAAGATTCTGTTACAATTGATGAATCCTCGAAAGGCATGCTTCAGGAGAACAATCTGATGCCATATATGATCGACTATAGACAACGATATCATATTGAGCCTGAAATGCATGACTCACTCAGAAAGCTGATTGTTGCTAGTCGTTGCAATCTGCCAAGTTGAAATATCAAAAGCTGTGGTTACTTTTAAGGTGGATCTGGTCCAAACTGTACTTCATCAGGATATGGGCATGTACTTACAACATTCCAAAAATTGCCTGAGACACACAAGTAGTAATGTGCTCTTAGCTTGAGAGCCTGAGCACAAGCAATCAGCTTTACATTCTGACCTGAGACAATTGTGTCCCACCTAATGGTGCATATCGTGAGCAGAAGCAGTAAAGCAAAATCAATAGATGATGGCAACTTGGTTGCCAAAGGTTTCAGAAGCGAAGAGGGCCCGTGCAAAAGATCTGGCATGAGAGCCGTATCTGCCTGCTTAAAGTGTCTAGCACCTGCTGCCCAACAATGTTAGCAACAATAATGAGCACGAATAGGTGCATCAGGCCTGTTGCAGAAGGCGCTCCCAAAGCAGCAATTCTATGCCAACGACTGTGTACAACATAGAATGCCTAAGGTGGTGTCCAGAAGATCAACAGTCAAGTCTGCACAGAACGAAGGCCCCGAAGCATGTGCCGATCACTCTGCTCTGCAGAGAAGACGGCCTTGAGAGCACTGACTGCAGGCTGCCAAATTGACCAATCATCTGCTACCTCATCATCTGCCTGCACCACAGAGAAATACAGTACTAGTCTTCAAGTGTACTTGCTACATCCTCAGGAATACAATGGTGTTGTCACAAGCTGCACATTTGCAATGCTACCAACTTGCCAACTCATTGCGCTGTGAGCACCGTTCAGAACCCCACTGTGCAAGCAAAGCACAGAAAGTGAGGCACACATTGAGCATTGATGGGTCGGAATGATGCAATTTGCAGCCGAGCACTGACGAGATGCAGGTTCTTCTCACCTCAGTCGCAAGGGAGGGGGGTTGTTGCAAGAAATCAGTGTCTGCATCTGCAGGCGAGAATAATGAGTCATCAGAGTTTTCTTCTGCCTGATCTTGCTCCTCCTGTCCCTCCCCTTGCTCCCCTGTCACCCGAGGTGTCCTCTTCCTGTGTTTATGGCTCATTGACGCCTCAGCAAAAGGCAGGTGCATGCCAGTACTGCTGTCATTAGCCCCTGGAACAGCAAAAAGAGACCACACTCATTCCTCACCCATGAAGCAGGAAGCAAGCCAGCTATAATATCACCTGCTGTACAAGGACTGCACTACCAGCGCTTGCGCAGAGATCAACACCTGATTGGGATCGGGGCCAGAGCCCAGAGAAGGATGCATGGAACTCCAGCTGCTCTTGCATCTCTGAGGGCAGGCGCTTCTCAAGCCTCCAGATCGCGATGAGGCTGACCATGCACCAGAACACTGACAGGGCCACGATCCCTGCTATCCAGATCTGCAGAGCAGAGCAAGTTGTCAGTTGCAAGCAATCCGTCTCGAGGGTTATAAGTGCACCCAGTTGGAGAGACGTTCCAAAGCATTCGCGAACTCCTACTAAATTTGTCAAATAGAGTGGCAATTACCTTTGGTGATCGTGCCATTACAGCAGGAGCTGCAGCTGTCGTGTGCACTGCTGTGCCTTTGTGGACATTCATCCTCCTGGAAGTGCTGTGTCCACGACTTTGACCCTGCCGGGCTGTACTGCTGGACAGCCCTTCATGAACTGTTGAAGATGATAATGTGGAATTCCCCAGGAAATCGTCCACCTTCTCCCAATCCTCAAGATCTGTGCTGTTGGACATTGGCAAATGTTGTTCTCTCATATCAGCCAATCTCCCACCGAAAGCTGTCAGTAATGTCTCTGATGCGTTCCAAAGACTATACAGGTCTTACGAACTTATCTCTACAGGGAGCACTGGAATAACATCCAGTTGATACAAAAGTGCCTTACGTCCACATTCCTTCCTGCAATACTCCTGAGCTCATGGTCTTATCACCTCTTTATGTGGATTTTAAAGCATGCAACAGGTCATGAGGATGTAAGATCAAGGAGCAGAAGATTCTCAATCAAAACCTCCAGCTCCCGCACCAGCTCAGCACCATCATGACGTGAGCGTGTTTGCCCCAGAAGGTCCAGCGCCCACACCGCCATAGTCTTCCTTCTCTTTGCCCGTAGTATAACCCTTGAACTTCAGGAATGGGGTACATCTCCCTGGTGCTGCTGCGCAGCACTCTGGCAGCACTCTTATTCTTTGGCGCATACCTGCGTGAAACTGGAAGGTCTTCGTTGCTTATCACCGCCTGATTGATGGATAGAAAGGAGTGGATACAGGCTCCTGCAGGGCGACAAGACGGTCCCCCACGTCTTGAGCATTTGTGCTATCGGACGCTTGTCAGCCATCGCGACTGGCTTGGTGTGTACAGGATCTTGTGATCTGCTTCTCTAATCCTGCTGTTTAGGCGCAACATTCGCGCTAAACTGCATCTCTCGTGGCTCAGGGGACCTAGGCGATGTTCCTTTGGTGCTGGTGGAAGGCATATTTGATGTTTGCTCAGCGGAGCAGCTTTCTCGTATCGAGGATGAGACTAGGTGCGCTATATGCCCGCCATCATGGCTCTACAAGTCAGGAATACCCTTCAGAACTATTTGTGAGCATCTCAACCCATCCGTGTCGCAGGCTGGGTGGCCGGGACATTGGCGCAGAAATCTCGCCATTCTGGAAGAGAGTAATCATGGAGAGGTTTGGCCTCGAGGCGCTACCTACAGAAGAGAAAGATACCGATGAAGGCAAGGACACCGCTTCTCAATGGACTTCACACCCTTCAGCAGTTCATGCATGTGCCCCAGGGACAACTTCCAGACACAACCTCCTGCCATACAGTCAGCCCAGCTCATTCTATTACAACTGTGTGGCTGCAGACAGCATAGATTGGAGAGCGCTGTATGAATGGAGGCTGCAGGAGTATGAGGATCACACTCGGACTCTAGGGCAGCGGCTGAAACGATTGGGTGAAGAGTGTCTTGAGGACAAAAATAGGCGTACCTTGCAGGCATGTATCGTGCCTCGTGTCCAACTTGATGTGCTCAACCTGGACATCAATTATGGATACTGTGAGGGTTTGTCTGCAAGGTTGCCCCTTGGGGATAACACTGCAGCTCCCATAATCAGAATGTGTATCTCAGCTGTGACGTTATGCTGGTGCTCTCCAACAGCCATTTGCAAGGAGGAATGCTTTGAAAGAAGAGGTCACTCAGATGACAATGCACTGCTTGGATTTTCAGGTGATCCAGCACGCTCCTAGGAGGCAAGCTCCCAGAGGGGCTGGTAACCGTCTTGCGCCGCCGCCGCCAAGGTCCCGGCACCGGCTGCTCAAGAAGCTGGGCATGCGTGCCGCGCCCAGCAAGAAAGCGCCCATGATCAGGCCCGCCCGACGGCCTGTGCGCCCGGTGAGCATCCAATCGCTCGTGCTTTCAGGATAGAAGAGCCTCAGCTGGATCCCTGGCTTTCCTTTCTTGGCTACCTACACTCTTTTTCCCATGTTTTCCAGTCCTAAGGACTGTGTGTAGCTTTGAGCATACACGAGCACGCAAAGAAGGCGCCTGCAGGCTGCCCTGGCCAGCAGGACAATTAAATTCCTCTGCACTAATTCCCTACTAGACTTCAAAGAAGAGCACCAGTCACGCGGTTGCATTCCTGCAGGCACCTGCGCCAGAGCCACCTGCCAAGTGGGCATCCACAGAAACGCATAGGGGCCTGCTGCTTGTGGAATGCGACCTGGGCTTGCCTGGCGATCCACCCACCACAAAAGTGGCTCCCGCTGCTGACTCAGCGATGACATCACCTCCCCTGCCAGCACCCACCGACAACCGCTTCACACACATGCCGCGGTTTGAGGAGCCCAGGAAAGCCTGCGCGCAGGCCGGGAAGCAGGGTCGAGACAGTAAATGGCCTGCCCGATCACCTGGCAAGGCGCCGTCCCAAGCAGATCGTGGACAGAAAGCATTTGGAGCGCTGGCTGGCAGATTCAACAGGGGAAACACAAAGCCACCGGCTGCATTGGCTCGTGGGGCAGGAGTGCTGAAGGAGAAGGGGCAGCAGGGGAAGAGCTCTATGAAGAGGCCGCCACAGCCGCTGACTCCAGAGGGCCCTGCCAAGCGTAGGAAGCCTGAGCTACTGAGCGCATCGGCGCTGGCGGCAATTGCAGCTTCCGGCAGGCGCGGGGCAGCTGCCGGGAAGCTGCCGGCAGGTGCTGGCAACAGGCAGCAGCTGCCAGCTGCTAAGCCCGTCAAGGCAGGGCAGCCTGCAAGAACAGCCATAAGGCCCGGCGGATCGCTCTCTGAGAAGGGTGCGCGGCAGTTGGGCCAGGGCAGTGAATTTGTGAGGAGCAAGGGTAGCGGTGGGAGCAAGGTGCAGCCTGCCAAGCAGCAGGGCTTTGCTACCCTCATAGAGACAGACATCTTCTGATCTCTGCCGATCCAGGCGTGACTAGAGGGTGTTTAGAGTCGCAGGATCAGCGCGTTGATAGCTAGACAGAAACAGTTTTTGAGAAACACGTGTTTAGCCTGTAGAGTGGAAGTAACCCCTGTGCACAAGTGGCAAATATGTTGTACAGACATCGCGCATGTAGATCTAGATTGTACATTGCTTTGCAGATAGTCTGCGTTTCTGCATAGCCAGAGCTCTTGAGGCATCTGACATCCAGAGCCTCCCAATTGGGAAAGTAGTCCCTGAGAATGGGAAAGTAATTCGCTGCGACTGCGACGATACGTGCTATTCTTATAGTGCGATTTTCATTTAGTATACTCAGGATATTCAGTATGCTTAGTACGTACAGTCGGACTTTACATTGGCAAAGAGCTTGGTTGGCCAGGCATAACGCCTTGATAGCCATAGTTTTGAATATGCAAACAAGACGGGTGCCATGTAATAAAATCACAATGGTTACAAAAGGGAAAACACTCCAGTTCTCTTTTTCACAGTCGGATCATATACAGTACACGCAAATCATCAACCCTTACAACGGGCTTACTCTTATCAAGATCACATTCATTGCCGCCTGCATCGCTAGCCACCAGCCATTGCATGCATGTTTGTGTCACACCTTTCTCTGTAGCTCATCCACAACATTAAGCTGCATTTGATCCTCAATCCCGTGATCACTCTGAGTGCCCTGCCAGAAACCCGCTCCTGAAATGCCTAAACTTTCATCATGTTCGATCTCAACCCGAACAGCTGATCCCCTGACTGCGGCTGAAAGCCACAGCATTCCCAGTAAGATGGCTCCTCAAGAGACTCTCTTCAACTTGCTTCACAGCCCCTTGGTCACGACCCCTCAGGGGGTACTGAAGACTACTGAGGAGTACCTGGTAGTCTTTAGTACCCCCTGAATTCCTTGACGGATGTCACACGCCGTTGGCAACGAGCACCTCACTGCTGGCAGACAGGCGCGAGGTGAGGCCGGTGGAGTCCTGCGCCTCCAGGCTCGCCGCGGAGACTGTGGCGCTGAGGGGAGAGAACAGCGCAATCGCCTGCGTGTTCCAGGGAATGCCGCTTGTGTTGCACACCTGCGCACACAATTCTTTCACGGTTTCAACCTCTTTTTCCAGCTTTCTTTATCAATGCAACCCTGCATGCACATCAGCCATCCTGCACCGGGTGCCGCATTGCGCGGCACAGAATATTTTGCCTTGGGCCTGTGGCCTGACACTTGCTGATGACTGCAAAGTATGATACTGCCTGACACCAGACCCGACAGACCCGACACGGTAGGCTTGAATGGGCAGCAAAAGATATATGTCAGGAGGGCCCAAGTCAGTAAGATGGGTGGAAGGACGCTCACCTGGGTCCAGACGTAGGGCACGAAGAAGTCCTCCGGCGAGGCCTCCTCCTCATACGTGAAATGCAGCTCTGGGAAGCGGCGCAGCTTGTCCGCGCGCCAGCCCCGCATGCTGCCTGCCAGGCCAGCACACACACTCTCAGTACGACAAAGCAGACTGTGCAAACACAGCTGCAGTAAGTGATCGTGTTTTTCACCAACCCACCATTATTGTTATTGTTATGTACACGCCACCGCTCATTCCTCCTTTTACGGGAGCAGATGCATCGACTTGTAGGCAGTGCAAGCGCCAGCAAGGACAATTCAAAATTTGTTTTTTGTTGCAGACTGCACCTGTTGCATGAAGAGCTACATCTGCACATGCGCAGTCTTTGGGACGGACCCTGCCGCGATTGAATTGACTGTGCTCACGCATATTGGATGGGGTCAAGGCAAGCAGAGAGTACACGTGCAGAGGATGAAGTGTGGTCTAGAGGATGCGCCCTCAGCCCCGAAAGATGATATTGTCGTTTCATCAGGGATGAGTACCGACCAAAGTCTCATCAGATTGTTGTGACTCAAGTGTCATCACCGAGCACCCCTTCTGACCACCTCCAGAACTCACTAGCAGCCTGACACTATCCAGAAACGTGCCTCCCTGCATCTCTTCACATCAGACCGCATACAGCAGGCAGCAACCGCAGCCATTTTTAAAGCCCCTTGCTGGCACAATACCATCTAGACCACTGAAAAGAGCTGTCGTGTCTACTATTCCCCCGACAATACACGTTTGGGAAGGGAGAGGTCCCACCTTTGACGACCTCCAGAACCTTCTCAACGCTCCAGTCCCAGCCGCCAGCCTGGCGTGCCGACTCCACTTTGTCGTTGAAGTACTTGATAGCCACAACCACGTTCTCCACGAGCTCTGCAAACACCGTGTCCTCCTGCACCACATCTAAATTAGCCTACATCTCGAACACTGCCAAGCAGTGCTGACCAGCCCATTATAATACTTAGATCAGTCGAGTGGCTCTTGTGAGGTAAGTGCAAAAGTGGACGAGGATTTGTCCAGAATGACTTTGCACGGTCTTCGGCGTTCCCGAAGCTCAGCAGGACCTACTGACGGATCAACATCAAGTTCAGGAATTGTTGCTGGCTGAAGAGAGTTCTAAGAGCCTTGAGGCTGATGGCGCATGCCCAAGCACACGTCTGACAGCACGACATCCATTGCCGCAGCCGCCTCTAAAGGCACGTGGGGAGAGGGTAATTACTAATACAACAGATCTATCATTAACCACCTTCAGCAACGGAAATGCGCACCTTGAAGGGCATGAAGACCTCCTGGCGGTGCAGCAGCGCGTAGACGAGCTCCGGGTTCTGCGGCAGATTTGTGATGATTATGCAGTTCAGCACCTCCAGCACAATGCGCAGGAAATCGCCGTACACCTGCGAGCAGCCAAAATGCATGCACTCCTTGAATAACCGCCATGTTCTTGAATCAGAATTGATCGAGGCAAGAGCACTGTGCACCCACCTTGATGCCTGCTTTTCAACACAACCTGCCTGATTCTATCCTGACAGAGTGATGTGAGGTTGTTCCTACCCACGCAGGGCTGCACACTTGGAAGTTCAACGATTACCCACCTGCAGCTCGTCCCCGCGTCCCTTGCCTGGCCCCTCTGCAGCCACCCTTTGCAGCCGCTGGTACCTGCAAGCCATTGCTGTCAGCTACAGTAGTGGTATTGCCAAATGTGTCACATGACTGCCAGAGCGGGGGCAACGGAAATCCAGCCGAAACACACCCTTTACTGTGCTGACCATCTGCATGGCAAACCAAACTCAAGCTCGACAAACAAACGGCAGCAGTGGAGCCAAAATGATCCTTACAGGACCCAACCCAGTGACCCGGACTGAACAACACAGCCAGGTGGGAGCTGCCAAGGAGGGGCGCGCACCGGCGGGCGAGCATGTCGAAGAGGGAGACGAGGCGCTGGGCGGCGTGGGAGGAGAGGTTGTCGGCGTGGGGCGCCAGGTTGGCGAGCGCTGCCAGCGTGTTGGTGTGCAGGTACACGTCGCGCAGCTTGGCCAGGTTGAAGTGCGCCGTGCGCAGCAGCAGCACCACCAGCAGGCTGCCTGCACATGCCGCGGCACATTGCATCACTTAGATCAGTCAAAATTTGGGGAAGTCATTTTCACAATTTCCTGAGTATCTCGAGGATCGGACGTCCTTCCCAGCTGCCTGCGCATGCCGTGGGGGTTGCACCAATTCAAGATCCTTCAAATCCTAAATTCTCCTTGTCCTTTTGACACATCTTTCTGGAGTGCCTCGTGCAAAGTGGGTGAGTCTATCCCAGCTGGTGACTGGCCAGTGCCCAGAGGCAGGGGAGGTCTGACACCAGGAGAAAGTCTCTAATTTGGTAGAGCATTCCGTGCAGGTCTATTTGGAGGATGCCGCTTGGGCTTGCAATGCATGCATGGGAGGGCATTCCTCGCTCTTCCTTGCAGCTGATGCGGGCAAGCAGACATAACAAAATATGGGAATGGATTGGACGGCGCACCCAGGGAGGTGCGGTTGAGGAGGCGCTCCTTGTACCAGGGCACGGAAGTCAGCTGGACCTTGTGCACGTTGGCAGCAAAGGAGGCGTCCTGGGTGAGGATGAGTAATATGATGAGCAGCATGTAAAGGTGGGAGGGTGCGCGGCCCGACGCAGTGTACAGCATCTGCACACCAGTAGGATCCTTCACTTTTATTGATGTCCAATCAGCACCTGATGGACATCAGAGGCACCAAAGTTGCAACGCACGGGCAAGGATGCATCATGGCATTTGGTTGTGTGGAGCCACATCAACAGGAGAGCACATGCACAGCAGGACGTAGACAGAACATTGACTGCGTGCAGGTATGACAGGAGAGAGGCAAGTCGCGCACATGTAGGAGTGGCAGCAGGAGGACCTCCAGGTCACTGCACACCACAGACAGCCACCTCAGAGTATAGATCATGCCAAGTACCACTTATGCACATCACAGTGCAGAGGTGATATGATCCATTCTCTGATCAAGCACCACTAAAGCTTCCACTCCCAACCTGTTCTTCTGAATAAAATCCAGGTTTTGCATGCCCATGCGGCAAGGTGGAGGGTGGATGTGTACCTTCGCACAAGGACGTAGTTCTGGAAGTTGAGGCAGGCATGGAGCGAGTCATAGAGCAGCAGCGCCGTCCTCTCATTGTTCAGCGAGGCCCCCAGCGCCTCATAGAGGCCCGAGAACGACACCGCCGCCACACCGCTGCCGCCGCTGAATCCGGCCTCCGCCGCTGAATCGCTGCCCTGCTCATCTGCATCCTGCAACCAGGCATCCATTGGTCACTATACTGTACTGCTGCCAAAGGTAGTCAACATGCGGCACGAGCACTAATGCTCAAGCTGAACCAGAACTTCTGTGACGGTAGCACATCAGAAATATATCAGGTAGAAGAGACTTGACTTTACTATCTGTCTCTAGAGGATCCCCTTATTGAACTGAAGCTAGCTGTAACATCAGCTGTAGCTATCGTTGCAAACCTTCTACTACCAGGAATATGTGCAGTGCCTGTTCCTAATGGCCACTACAATCCTGTGCAGAAGGGCGTGCCTGCATGCCGGTGAAGGCTCGGCGGAAGGTGTTGTGCTGGCCGGACTCGACGGAGGGGGCGTGGTGCAGCAGCAGCAGCAGCAGCAGCAGCGCCGCCTCTCCCAGCGGCGATTCGGCCGCCTCCAATGGCGAGCTGCGCACCAGGAACGTGTACGCGCGCAGCGGCAGCCACAGCACCGTCGCTGCATGACAGACCAAAAGATTCATGTCTCGTTTTGAAGTCACGTGTATGCACGCAGAAACTCCTGGAGACCAGTTGCTCGATACAGAACTGCAAGCAGCAGGCCCTCCCAACAGCAGGAAATGATGAACTGGTGGCCCTTCACACGCTAATCACACCACCCTCCAAAGATAAGTCCACCAAGTGACGTATGCCTCAACGCCTATAAATACGAGACAGAGTGTTCCAAGGTGGTCAAAGCTTCACACCCGCTGCGCTGCGCACGAGCCTGAAGACGCTGCGCTGCCTGTCCGCGGGAGGCTGGTAGACCTGCGCCCCCTTCGGCAGGGGCCACCGCTGTATGAAGTGCTGCAGGAGCGCCTGTGCACAGAACTCCCCTAAGCAGAAGTCCATCTTTCCCTCAGCAGCAGCTCCCCACAACAAAAATTTGCAGTTTCCAGGCAGAGATGATCAAATGACCAAGGTACACACCTGCAGGAGAGCAGGGACGAGGTCCTCCTGATCCAGCAGGGCTGATGTGAAGGGGTGTGCATTCGTCTGCGCAGTGGCGGTTGGCGTGTACAGCTGCGTGGAAGTCATGACTAGTAGGAGGTTGATGACTTCCCAGTCCAGCAGATATGTGGCCGCACTGCAGCCCAGAGAACTGTACAGTCATATGCATCCAGCCGGAAGGCTATAACTCAATAAACGAGGGGCCCTTGGGCAGCCTGCCAGGTGGGTTTTGGAAATCTTGACATGCCCAGAGTTTGGTGTGAAGTAATTGGCAGCTGGCACAAAGATGGCTGTTGAGCAGGAGGCTGAAGGACGTGCCTGGCAGTGCGAGGGGATTTGGGCGGGGGCAGGCACGGGGGACCGGGGGAGGGGACTGCAGACTGTATGAGCTGCGCTGAAACCAGCACTGCTACAAGCGACCGAACGAGCTGGACAAGCAGAGAAACATGCCCTCCTGCAAACCACACAGCTGGAATTGTTTCTGCACTGACGCCATGCAAGGCTCTTGAAATGATGAAGGGGAAGTCAATGTTGTTCAAGTATAGAAGCAAGGTGAGCGTTGTGGGTGATACCTGGGGTGCCATTGGACAGATGGGAGGCTGGTGCCTCATTCACAAAAGATATGAGGTGCGCAGCGCTCAGGTTCTCCGTGAGGTGTTTGACGAGGATGCGCAGAAAGCATACAGCATTGGCAGCTTGCTGTGCCCTCTCGCGGTTCTTCTCTGCCCGCGCCAGTAGCTCCATGACATGGTGCACCAGCTTCTGAAAATGATGTGTGGTGCCGTTGTTTTGCACTGCGCCAAATACAAACACACTTCACAAGGGGCAGTCTTAATTTTGTACATGCATCGCCACAATTGAAGCTCGAGCTGTGCTTCAAATACCACAACAATTGACACAATGCATGCGCCTCCAAGAGGAGGCTAAGTGCACTAACCAAGCTGCTCGCAGTACGACGTAGTGGCAGCTTCCAGCTCTGATGGAGGTAATCTCATCAGCGGCACCGGGAAAGATAAAAGATGATTCCAAAATGCGTCTGTCACATCCCGCGTGCTTGTCCCGACGAACTCTGACAGCAGCTGTTGATGTTGGGCAACAACACCATCAACATCCATCGTTGGTCTCTTGTAGCGTTAGTCGTCCAAACCGTGCAATATACAGCGTTACAGCCCAGCAAAGTTCTACTTGTATCCTCCGTGCCTAAGCATGCCGTCAAGACCAGAGCTTCCGAACCAATGACAGCTTGAGTTTCAATTCTTCCCTTGTGCCAGCCAGCCCTGATAAGGCAAAGCGCACGGGGACTACCGGCAATTTCAATTACCAATATAAGTGATTGGAATCATGGGCGAATCCTTATATTGCACATCGACATGAAGCATCTATGCAGAGAAGCTGCAGCAAGTGAAGGTGGTTTGGAAGTGCATATGCTCTGCGTAGAAATCAAACTAGGCAGAATTGTAGTCGACAAGCAGGCTTAAGTGTGGGTTTGCTTATCAAGTGCCAGGTGTATGCTATCGATTGTTAGCGCCAATTTCCGCTTGGTATTCATGGCCAGCTACTTCTGATTTAGGGTTGTAACCCTTCTAGGGCCTGTACTTCCCGTAACTCCCTCGACTGGCAGCTCAATTTCATTCATTGCTTCCTCGTCAAAACAGCTTCGACAAGGCTTATCAATCGCAAAATACTTCTGGAAGATTCTCGATTTGGAGTTAATTGTGTTCGATCGCCTGCAGAGCGTGAAGCAAGTTCAGAAGAATTTGTTGTGGATCTCTTTAAGTAGAGCAGAAATCTATTATATCCTTGTTGGAAGGGTTGATACAAATCTGGGACACAAGTGCGTGGTCAAATTTTCAGCTGTGAGGGTACTTCTCACCAAAGCCCATCATGGCAGCGAGGGCAAGGAATGCAAGATTACCTCCTGAAGTGAACAGGTGCTGACATGTTCATCCCAGCATTCTTTTGTCAAATGGAGGATTATACGAAGCACTTTGCTTAGGATTTTCCGTTACTTCCTTCGAGGTTTTAGTTGCAATTACCAAGGTCCCACACTGTGCAAGCTAACATTCTTGCAGTGGTTGTCCTGTTCAACATCAGATGGGAATGATGCCCTCGTGCAGGGTGCTTTACGTCAGGAACCTTCCCTTCAACATCAGCTCAGAGGAGATGTATGACATCTTTGGGAAGTTTGGAGGAGTGCGGCAGATCAGATTGTGAGTGCTTCTGGTGGTCCTAGAAGCCTTTCTTCATTTCTGACCTCTGATCTGTGATGTCATTATTGGTCATTTTTATTGGTCATTTTTGGTCTTTTTTTTTTCAAACGCACCAGCGCCAAGCCAAAGGTGAGTTGCTGCTGATACAAAATTGCTGACTTGCTGGCTTGTTCTGCAGAGGAACATCCAAAGAGACGCGCGGAACAGCATATGTGGTGTATGAGGATATCTATGATGCAAAGACAGCCGTGGACCACTTGTCAGGCTTCAATGTGGCAAACAGATACCTCATCGTCCTCTATTACAACACATCAAAGCAGTCAAAAAAGGTAGGCAGCTGCTTGTCTGCTGTACATCAAGCTTTCAGCAACTCCATGGTGATACTTCCCCATGCAACAGATGAGAACACGTCGAATATGTGTCATGGAACAAATCTTTGGAAGGACTGTGTTTTGGGAAACTGAAGGCTTTATGTGCAATGCAGACCAGCACAAAGGACAAGGAAGAGGAGCTCAGGAAAATGCAGGAGAAGTATGGGGTGGATGGAGAGCAGCATGCAAGAAAAAAGAAAGAGGAGACATGATCCAGCGCTGCATGAGGAATATTTTTGATTTGCAGATCTTCAGGAACATGACCCAGATACGATGCTGCTGGCTGTAATGCCGTTGTACTGAATAGACTCCCTAGCAGCACCGGCAAAAAGGACTGTTAGAGACCATTGCGCATGCATGCAGTGCCGGCTCTGTCCCTGGCTACATTTGACTCAGGCACTGTGAGTGTTTGTTACACTTCTGAGGGTTCATCCAGATCCCAACTGCGTTGCAAAGCCATTGGCAGTTGAAATGATTGACAAGGACCACCGATTATAATGTACAACTTTTACCAGTGCAGCAGTAATCACAATCGTGCCGTCAAATTCAAGGCAGTGCTTAAGCAGAGTCCTTTGTCCATAGATGTCCTCAACACTGGCTGCTATCTTCTTGGGCGCTTGGACGCCCTGCCAGCTTCTGCCTCCACATCAGCTCCCTCAAAAATCATTTTGATGGGAGCGAGTTTCAGAGGACCCCACAAGTTGGATGCCTTCACCATCGCTTTGCTGCTTACCTGCAACACCATGTCACGTACATCACATCCCACTTACGCCCACATTGCACCAAAAAGCCAATCAGATAGATCAGGTATCATTTGAAAAGTGCAGATCGCCTTTGGCAAGTGTTGGACGCTGTACTTGTTATAATTCTGCACACTCATGCGTTGCATGGCATGTTGGTATTCCTGGAAAGCTGGCTAAATATATGCTGGATGAGCAGGTGACCAACCAGATGGTCTTACCTCTGCTTGGCGGAGGGCATCAGTACGGACTTCAGCATTGAACAGCTTGAGGGCCCGTAGCACGTGGCCCAGCCAGCTGGCCGGCTTGGCGCCGTTCTCAAACAGCCAACAGACGCCGTCCCACAGCTCCAGCAGAGGCACCAAGTGGGCGCTTGAGAGGGGAACTCCCTTCTCTTGCAGCCAGCCCAGCGCCCCACAGTACCCCTCTATCACCCCCTCTATGTCCTTGTATAGCTCCCCATCTGAGCTTGTGTACCTGCACAGCCCATTCTCTGTGACACTTTAAGCGAGAACTTGCATGCATACATTTCAATGGCACACAAGTACAGGTCCATGCTGCAATGGGGCTCTAGCATGGCAGATAGTCATGTTTACCTGTATTTCCTGAGCACTGCTGCGCCTCCATTACTCCCCATCCATCTCCCTGCATCTTGTAGCAACCCCATGGCCATCTCCTGGCAATCCGCTGCACAACATGCACCCTTGAAGTACCATTCAGTTTACATTTAATTCTCAGCCCAGGATGCCAGGTATCAGAGAAACCAGAAATAAATCAGGGAATTGGTAGCTTATGCCTCACCAAGATTCTGGAGAATGAACCCTGCTCTGCGCATGAGATACCCACAGATATAGGAGTACGGATACCACTGATGATTGGCGTTCTCAGGCCTTCTTGCCATTGCTATAGCCTGCTTGAACACCGCCTGATGGTGCATGAACCGTCACGGTGGTCAGCTCTCAGCCGCAGCTGTCAGAAGCGTGATCAAGCTATGTTAAGAAAGAGAATTCTCCAGTTCTGATCAGGCTGATGTGCCTACCTGTGCAGTGTCTTCGCTGCGGCATGTGCACCTGGCGACAGCTTCTTGCTCCGAGCCAGAGGCAATGGCTTTGTCCAGACCATCCTGCTCCTCTATCTGGCATTACCAGACTCCAAGTGGGATCTCGATGTGCAGGACAGTATTTGGCTGGTATGGAGACACACAATTCAGTGGGTGCGTGTGCATGCTAGAATTACCTCCAGAAGGTCTGCCAGGGTACACAGGGCAGCAGGGTACATTGCCTCTGGGTGCTTTGAGCGGATCTCCTCAAGCAGCAGCTTCTGAAGTACTTGTATCTGCAGGCAAAACCTGTCAGGCTACCGCATCTTCTCAAAAGGAACTTACTCCAAAGTCCACCAGGCACACTAGGAGAATTCATGCATGCAGTGTCTCGGCTGGATCATGATCGTCTCACCTCTTCTGAATCAACACCGGTGTTCTGACGCGCTACGATTGCAGGGTTCAATGAAGCCACCAGTGCTGTCACCGTCATCTGCACATGAGAAGCACAATTAGCAGTGGTTTACCTATTTTTACATGGATTCACACACTTCCTTAGTAAAAGGCCTTACAAGATCCTGATTTTGCCGGTACAGTCTCTGTACATGAGCTGCAAAATTGTTCATCTTGTTCCTTGGAAGACTCTCCAAAAGTACACGTCATCAGGCAGCACACCTTGGGCGTGCAGCTCACAGCATGTCCCCCATTGTACAGCCACCCCCTCCATGCTTCCTCACTGGGAGCAAGGCCCCTCTTGGCCGCTGTGTCCGTAGTAACCTCCACACTTTCGTTCCGTTCATAAATTAAACCAATCTTGATCCAACAATGGTCCTCTGACACCTGTCACCACGGTGTCATCAGCATTTCATGGCTATTTTTAATGGGCTCTGTGCTTCCTTGGTTACTACATTTGAGGGACGAAGGGCAAACCTGAAGCTGGCAATTGCGCAGGTCTTCATGGCACACTTGTTGGCTGAGCCGCTGCAAAACTGCCAGCACTGTGGTGACGACCCCAGCACAGTCAAGCTGCCGCTTGCCTTTGCCAGACTTGGTCTCCAGGATCTGGCAGAAGGTGGATGCATGCTGTGCATGCAGCACCTCCTTGCTGAACACGCCAGACAGCTTGGTCCATACTAGATCTGCTACCCACTTTATCTTTCCCTGCAAGATTTAAGATGTTAGCATATGATATTGCTTGATGAGCTATGGTGAACCTGCTGCAGATCAGAGAAAAATTGGTGACAGCACTGCTAGTAAACAGAAGCAAGGGTAGTTGGCATCACCCGTGCATCCAGAGCAGTTTCGGCGCGAATTCGGGTTTCAACGTCATCCACGAAGCCTTGAAACGTTTCCTCACATGCAGAAATTTCCTCCTGTAAGGTAAAAGCATATCAAGTATTGGTGATGGTGTGCTATACAGATCACTTTCATGAATGCGACCGGCATTTTCCGCAGTAAGACGGACCTGCAAGGATTCGATATTCAGATTGTCCAACTGCTCCTTGGCTGTATAACTTCGCTCCAATAAGCCGAGAGTGATGGAAAGCCTTGCGATGTCTGGATTCTCTTTCTGTAATTCTGATCGAAAACAATCTATCACCCAATCAAAAGAAGTATCCATTCTATACCGTAATTGACCAAATTACACATGACCAGGACACTGTCGGGTTGAAATTCGAGGGCAAAGGCAAGGTGTTCGATCACGTGGCAACGTGTAGGGGACAACCCTGCTCCAACAGTCGAACGAACTCCCCTAGTCTGCGAAAAAATGCACATTCTTATATCCACTCTTGGCCTGATTAAGTCAAAAAGGGGGGTGAAGGATTCCATGTAAGTCCTATACCCTTTCACTGAGGCTGCCCCAAGGCATGAAGTCAACTCTAGTGACAGTAACAAGTAGCCCAACTTGCACTCTCAAGCACTCGGCGTCTGACAGGAACGCATGCCCCAGATCAGTCTAACAACTAGATAATAGCCATTACCAAGCATAGATTCAGAAACTGCAGAAAGAGCATCTGCCAAGGTCAATCGTCATGGCATCAAGGACGCCCAAAAATAGATTTCCGGCCAACCCCAACCCGGTTGCTTCTTGGGATAGACAGTGAGCCTATTTGACTGGCTCCCGGCAACGGGGTATTCCCTCAGACGCTGTCTCTCCCAGCAATAGCAATGCACAATTGTACTGTTGGCCAAAGCCACTGTGATCACTTGCGGCTCCAGATTCTCTCTATCATGATTTCCCGGGCCTCCGGGGTCGCTAATGCAACAATGATCTCAACACCAACCCCAATAGTTTTGATGGACTCCACCCAATCTGATTAACCAATAGTTCGTGCAACAACTGGCATGCGTTCAACGGCCACCCTTTCGTTTCGCATGGACCTGCACAACGACTGTTCCCCCGCGCACGCTGTGGGGCAGTCCACTGCCCAGCAGGTGGTTCACGACTGCCCTGCCCAAGCTGCCCTCTCCCCCGCTGCTGTGCTTACCACGCCCTGTGATCACCATCAGCTCTGCAGTCCTCACCTTGGCGCCAACCAGATGCTCCTCCAGCCGCCGCAGCCTGCACCAGCATCCTGCTGCAGTCACCACTGACTCCATCCACCAAGGATCAAATCATGGAGTTAAAATTTTTACTCAGTATGAATCGCATGCCGTCAAGTTCTGCATGCTCTCTTTGCTAGTCAGTTTTTGTTACCCTGACAGATGGGGCAGCACCAGCATTGCACAGCCTTGATGTTCCACTTTCTGGGGCGTTCCTTCCAGTCTCTGGGGAATTGCGGCACTTCCCTGACTTCAACTCAGATTTAGGCAGGCTGGAGAAAGCAGCTAGCCTTTACATTCCCGTGCTCCTCATCAGAAAGAGCACAGTACCAGAAACCACTGTGGACATCCCATCGTGAGGAGTGGGCGGCCCATCACCGGCGATCCACAGCGGCAATGGCTTCTGTCACATGCAGGCCGTGCAGGTCCAGCGTGCACACGTCAAGGCCCCTGCCTTCGTTGTTCGCGCGCTCTATTGCCTCCGCGGCAGCCGCATGCGCCGCCAGAGCGCTGTTGCGCAGGAGCCGCGCCTCCCTCGCGTATTTGCGCGCTCCAGAGTGGTCCCCACCTGGCGCCATTCATTCGTGCCTTGGACACAATGGCTTAGCTTCTGCACCTTGCCACATGGCATAGCAGCTCTGGCAGACATTTAAGGCAATATCTGTTGAAAGAGAAGGGCTCTCAGACATGCCAAGCATTGAATCGGCCAAGCAAAGAGACCCCTGCAAAGTCACAGCAAGCAAGTATTTCCATAAAAAGCATGGTAACAGGTCTGACCTGAGAAGGAGGACCCCGCCTTCTGCGCAGCTTTCTGCCACCGCCGCGTCAGCTGCAGGGCGTCTGCCCGGAAGCTGAAGTAAGCGTCCTCCTGTTTGTCATCCTCGGGGTACACCGGCACAGATGGGCTGCTTGCCACATGCATCTTGGCAGTCCCGCCGCTGCCCTCTCTAGGCGTCAAATTCTTTTCACCTGACACAGGACCCACATGGGCTGGCGGAGTGTCTCTAGGGCTCTTCAAGCCAGACGGCGTGCTGTGGTTTCTGCCCTGTGTTAAGGGCGCGGTTGCCTGGGGTGCACCCAGGCGCCTCTGCGGGCTCGTGTTGGGGCTCATTATGGGGCTTGCATTGGGTGTGCTGGGATTTGTGTTGGGCGCACACAGCTCTGACAGGATCCAGGCTGCAGACCCCACATCGCTCCCTGCTGCTGCCAGCACGTCCTGTGACACAAAGCCCCCATTAATTTGGTGTTAATGGTACTTCTAATTGCACAAAGAAATGCCATGCTGAGGTCAGGCTAGGGGTGGGGGATCTATAGATGTAGATCCTGCTGGGATGGAAGCTTCAAGGGTGATCAAATCAGGAAGGACACCTTCAGCAAGGCTTCATCAGCCCAAGGATGGACCTCTCGCAACGAGCCCACAGCACCCTCCATATTATTTGATTGAGGGGCTTGGCCTCTGCTCTCGCTGGGCGGCCAGTGCCGCTGGCCAGCACGCTCCCCTTGCCGAATTGCTCCGGCACTTGCCGTCCCTCGGCTTTCCAATTTTAGTCCATCCATGCTCGTCGGCGTGAGATTCTGGGGTGCCCGATGCGCGCTGGTGAGCGCTGGAAACGCAGAGATGTCTGAGGCTGGTGCGGCTTTCTGTGCATGTCTAGGGTATTGGGACAGCGGTTGCTCTGCACGGTGAGCTTCAGCTGTCAGGACGCTCCAGCCCTTCCCCGGCTTTGCATGCGTGCTTGGTCTGGACGTGCTAGTACCCTTCCTAGCCTCCTACAGGTTCAGAAGAAGCAGCATCCGTGAAATCCTTGCATGCTGCAAAATCGATTGGATTGAGTATTAAAGATTTGCTTCATATTCCATTAGCACATTTGCAGGGCAATGCCTTTGTACCAGCAGATGTAAGGCCCACCTGATTGACCATACTCCTGGGATTCACGCTTGGTGCCATGTCAAGCAAGGCATTTGCTGCAGTGTCCACGCTGCCATTGCTTTGGTGCAGGACATCGCGGAGGATGCCCTGGTCCAAGGTAGGAAAAAGTTTTTGTAGGTAATTCACATCTTGAGCTTGTTCCGGAACGCTGATAGGATCCATTAAAATGCTGCAGCCATCCTCATCGCCGCATCAGACATCGCCAGACAGATTAGTCCATGTGATTCACAAGACGTCGAGGTGATCGGTGAGGCAAGCTTTGCCAGCCACGCATGCCCCCAGCCCCCACATGGCTCTCCTGATGACTCATCATCATTGCTGCGATGCAGCTTTCCTTGTGCTACATGCCCAATTTGACTCAGAACTCTCTTTAGCCATACGCGAGCTTGTTCTCGTATCTGATACATACTTGTCAAAGGGAGACTCCAGAGACCTTGCGGAGGACCATGCTACTATGAAAATGTGAGCCTGTTTTCAAGTACATGTCTGGTTACCAGTAGGCCTTCGGCAATGCTAACGTGTTTGTGATTCGACAATCATTCTATTTTGTTCATCTGTCCGGCTTGCCTGGAAGTTTATGCTATATATTGTTACAGGACCGACCGGTCACTGACACTCAATGGAAGTCCTTTTCTGCAACACGAATGGAAGTGTCTTGCCTTTGAAATACTCTAATTATCCGTCACTATTACTCAAATGTGTAAGCAAGACATTGTTCTGTTGTGCAGAGTTGAAGAAAATATTGGACCAATAACAAACATCGAAGTTCTAAAAGTTCTGGAGAGGCGCGGGGCTAATAGGGAGTGGTCAAGGAAGAAGACCCTGCCGTCAGAACGCAAGGTAGCATTGCAATTACCGCGTTACCTGATGTGGGACACTGTTGTGTGACACTATATCTGGGCTCATTGCTGAAAAGCTATATGAAGTAAGCTAAAGATGCATTTCTTCGCAACAGGCATACAGCTACCTTTTGCAGCAGCACCCTGAGACTCCCACCAGGGAGGAGCTTGCTGCCTTTTTCGAGGATTTGAAGGCATGCCCAGTCCTCTCCTCAAACCCATGCCAGTTCGACAGAGGTCCTTGAGGGACTGGAGTTGTATTGACCAGTGTTTTTTGTTATGCAGCCCTTCAATCTCAGCCGTGGGGAGATCCTGCAGATAGCAAACTTCAGGCCAGCTGCCCTTGTCGAAGTCCACCTGGTGAGCAGCTATAGCTCTGCTGGCAGTGTGTGGCCAATTTGGCATGACACCCCTGCTGCAAGGTTGCTTAGTTCCTTTTTGCGATAGATGTTTGCCTCTACCTGAGGACGTGGCACATTGTGATGTCTCACTGCTGCATGCGCAGATTGTGGACGACTGTGAAAAGCGGCTGAGCGCAGAGCAGCAGGACGAGGTCTTGGCCCTCGTGCAGAAACACCTTCCGCAGAAGGCTCCATAGGAGATGTTCCAGCAACAGTGGCCGCACATCAGGCACTAGCTTCTCTTCATCTCCGCATGACGTGAAAGTCTCGGCAGTGAGCAGAAAAGAACTCAGCCAACTCAGCATCTTCACAAGCAGTCAGACAGGCGCTTATAAGCCACTTGCAGCTCACCAGCAGATAGGTTGGCCTCCCAACCAGCTGGAGCAGAGGACACAGAGCGGCAAGAGATTCACCGCACAAAGCGCTATTCCACACAAGATTGACTTGGGCAGACAAGTAGAGGGAAGGAGGAGCCACAGCCAGCCAGTAGCACTAGCAGAAAGTGGGATCTAGCATAAGCAGAGATCGCCCGAGGCCTTAGGGTCAGAGGATTACACATAAGTAAAGGATAGATAAGAAGGAGGGGAGAGAAGCGGAGGGGAGAGAGCTCTGGGGGACCTCCTGAGCGCAGCATGGCAGCTGGGTCCGGCCGGGGGGCCGGCCAGAGGGGGGACTACTACAGCCTGGACGCTGTGCTGGCGGAGGAGACGCTGATCCCCTGCGTCTTCAAGTGCGGCAGCCGCGGCGTCGGCCGCGCGATCGACCCGTCGTGTGGCGCGGAGGACGTGAAATCGCGCGCAGCTGTGGAGCTGCCGTTGTGGATGCTGCAGCCGCTCACCTCCCGCGACATGCTCACCGTCAAGTGCGCGTTGACCCCTGCTCTTGTAGGAGAATTTCACACCCATCTTATTCTTGATTGCTGCAATGTTGCAGCTCTGTGACGGTGTGCTGCCTTGCATCTTCTTATCCTTACGGCCGGCGGGGTGAGCATGCACCAATGAGAACGGGAAACTGTAGGAGATCCCCATGTTTCAGGAAGCGTTGTCCAGTGAACAAGCGGTAATTTCAGGACTACATCCTGCTTACAAAAGCCCTTCAAAGTTTTTGCGGTAAGCATTGGTGTTGAAGTGCTGTGCAAACTTGGCAGGGCACCGCGGTGGTATGGGGAGAAGATGCGGCGCAAGATCCAGGCGGGGGCAGGTGTGGAGAACCTGCGGCTGCGCTGCCCTTATTTCTATGACGTGGCCCTTGCGTTGCATGCCACCGACGGCGCTCCCTCCGTCGCCGACCTCGTCATGTCAACCTTCCGCTCCCGCTACCAGGTGGGCAGGAAGCTTTAGACAGCAGGTGCCTGCTGTCATGCCGGTTCTATTGCCGCGACTTGCCACGGCATGCTCTGTGCCGTTGCGCGCCACTGCTGGGAAGTTTCAGAGCTTCTGCGCTCCTGCATGTGGCATCTGCGCATGCAATGCAGACCAGATCTGCTGACCAGTGCAAAGGCCCATACACAAAGCTTCTGTCAGCCTGTGGATTGATCTTATCTGTAGCGTGTGGAGCGTGGAGTGATCTTCAATGACAGATGAAGAATTTTATAAATTAAGGCAGAGCGAGCGCTGGAGATCACAGGAACAGCTGCATCCCAAATGAACATCATGCAGCAATAATGCAATGACTCATTGCATGTGCGCGCAGGAGATACTGACAAGGGCGCACTCGAATGAGTCGGCCAAGGAGATGGCGCGGATAGAGGCACTGCTGAGTGTAGAGGAGGCCGCGCTCTTCAATTCCGGCCGCGCGTCCCTCGACGCGCTCAACCGATGGCGCTTTGGCGGCCGCGCCGTGCCGACCCGGCCGTCCGCCAAACGGCGGCTGGACGGCGCCCCGGTCAATGGCGCCCGGTAGCAGCGGAAAGGGCGGCGGCGGAATGTACGGATTTTGTATTGGCGGCAGACGGTCCGAGGTTTCCCAGAAGTCTGTCATATGGCGGAGTGCCCAAGAAGCTCCTGGTTTTGGATTTGACTATAGAAGGTCCTGATAAATGTAATTCGGTGGACTATCCGGACCTGAAGGATCCTGACAATTCCACAGGAATTCTGGAGTGACGGCAGGTCCCGATTAACTCGTAAACTTCTTTCATGGGAGAATGAGCCCCCGACATGCTCTCAGAAGGACTGCTATTTTCCTGTCGGCATATGAATGAGAGACAGTTAGTCAGAATGAGAGACTGGATCGTGTGTCCAAAGGCAATGCAACGGGCTTGCATCTATGTCTGAGAGCATTGCATGTGCCAGCCTGGAGTATAAACAAGTTTGAGCGGCATGCTCCGACCAGACCATCCCACTAGCAACGCATGCAAAAAGGATACAGAGCACGTCGCTTGCTTTTGCATGTCTCCCTTGGATGTCCCAGTATCGCATCAAGCGTGTTTTCGACTATTTGATTTGTGCAGTGGCACAGTTCGGTAAGCAGCGCGCATGCATGCAATACACAGTCTCGTGTACGCATGTGGTATATGACTGCCAGCTTTCTAGTTAGCCATAAGCTTTGAACAAATGAACGCTTTAATGGTGCATCTGTGTGGCATACTGAGGCCAGCCAGTCTACTGGCACAAATCGCGATAGACCGAGGGTATGCACACTTGCAAATCATTCTTTATTCTTGTAAAAGGCACTCGTGGTACCACTGGCCATTCCATCCAAGCAGCAATTGCTCTATTGCACAATTGTTGCAACAGATCCTGCTGACGCTGCAAGTATGAGAACAGTTGCAACCCAGGAAGAACGTCAAGCAAATCCCTACTGTGTTCTGAAGCATGCATAACTTTTTACGAGCCAGATGCAGCTTATTCAGGAGTGTCCAACTATTGCTGCCGGTGCTGGGAGATCATGGCAGCACACGCAGCCTGACCTGTCGGTTGCCCATGTAAGTATAGTTTCTGTTGCGCACAGCCCTCTGCGCCTCCTCAAGGGTGGAAAACCGCACCACTGCTCTCAGAGTGGGGCTGTTCTGCCATGGAGCCTTGCCCTCTTCCTGTTCCTGCTGGTTCTTCCCATCTGTGGCTAAAGCGTTGTTGTGCTGGAGCTGCCTAGAAGCGTTGAATCTCTCCAAATCATCATCGTAGTACCTTAACGGCAGCTCCTCCTTTACCCGCTTGCCCTGCAGAAGAGCCAATATACTTAGTCCAGTAGTCTCAATCTTTTGTGCTCAACGGTCTGCACAACGTCTAGTGCACTGGCACATTGCTCCGCACTGCCACTTCATCTGTTGTGCTCTCATTCACCCTCCTACATCCCTCTCAACCTTATTGTTTGCGCTGACGAGGGCCCAAATAAGTGCAATGGGTCCGTGCTTGAGGGTCGAGTGACCGAGCTTGCGGTGGAGTCTGTTTGTTTGCTTGTGACGCAAGAAATCTTTTGCCGCGGGGCTAGAAATATTTAAAGGAGGGCTGGGTCGCCGCCTGGCTGCTGTAGAGGATGGATTGGAACATGCCCAAATCGGCATGTGAGTGGGAGGATCTCACCATAAAGGCCGATCTTCCCATGGGATGGGTGCATGGGGCAAGTTTCCCTCTTACGCAAAATAGTCCACTCTGAATGTGCTGCAATTGAAGTATGCAGAGCAGGCAGTTGCACCAAACAACATGCAAATCTAGGCTTAGTGCCCTTTTGCATACCATACTGACCACATCAAACTTACTTCCGATTGTTTGGATGTCATGCTGAGCGCTGATTGTTATAACTGAAGTCACTTGTGAATGCTGCCTGACAGAGAAGCTTGTTCTCTTCGGCAGAGAAGAGTGCCTTGCGTGGTGAATGCAGCGTAAGCAGGGGAGAGGAGCTTACAGAGTTGATGATGGTGGCAGCATTCTGCTGCAGCTCGTAGCCCTCAAAGTGGCGGACGATGCCAGAGAGGGAAGTGCTGATCTCCAGGTTCTCCATCAACACGGTGCGCCCCTGGCTCTTCATGGCCAGTGGGCACCTCAGGTGATCAATCATGTAGCTTTTGTTGTCTATGGGCCTCATGATGGCTCGGTGCGTGCCCTGCGCACACATTACCATCATGATTGCATTTCAGAGACTGTTGGGAACCACCTGAGGCTCAGTGGTCTTGTGGGCAGCCTTCCACTGCCCATCTTTGTATCACATACTCCTGATGTGTCTGCATCTTGTCCAAATTTCTGGCAATCCCAACACTGTAAATACCCATGCAAATCAGGTGATGCAACACCAAAATCCGTAACGTCACTACCTCCCAATGAAAATATGCAACTCACTGATGTGTTGCCAGTGCAGCACTTGCGCATGACAAGCGTGCAGATGAATGAGTTGAGACTCAGTTGGGGATTCTAGAATTGCAATGGCAATGGAGCGGCACCAGGAAGCTTCTCTGCAGCAGCGCTGCTCGCCTGCGGTCCTTGTCCGTGTGGAACAGGATCCACCAAGCCTCTGTCTCCAGTGTCTGCGGCTGGAATTCTGGCCTGCAACCAAAAATAGACCTCTCCAATGACCACCTGTTGCTTTTGCCAGACACGCTGCAGGCCATTGAGCCAAAGAGGCTGGTCACTTCGACGCCTTACTGGCTGCCAGCACCCGCTGCACTGGTCACATTCGCTAGGCCTATTGTCTGAAGGGCACGGGAGGGCCAGCAAGCAGTATCGAAAGCACCCGTAGCTGCCGAGGGGGGAGAGCCCTTGCTGCGCTTGGAATGCTTTTGTGCCTTTTGTCATGCAGAGGGGGTTGCACCTTGAGCTGCACACATAGGAGGAGGAGACCTGTACCTGATGTCGCCCTCTGTGACGTTGAATCTGGCGAAGAGGCGCAGGACATCGCTGCGAATGACGCTCTTGGTCAGGTTGGAAATTCGGACAGGGTACCGCTTCGGAGCCCGCGGCCGAGGCTCTCGTGTCCAACTGCCCTGTTGTCTATTGGGCCTCTGAGCGGGTCTGGCTGCATGGCTGGTGGGTGGCTGCCCCAATTGCTGTGAGCTGGGCGCTTGTGCCACTGGTTGGGGGACAGCAGGAGATGTAGAGGCAGCCTCTGCGCACCAAAACCAGTTGATACTTATTATCTGTGCATCTGCCGACGAGGTGTATAATAAACACGAACATCGGTGGGTGAAGGTGCAGCATTGAAAATGAAAGGGAGGTGGACATGAAAGCACCTGCTGACGCTGTTGCTGGCGTTGTATCTGCCGAGAATCTAGCACTTTGCAGATTATGGAGCTGCAAATCAAATCAAATGTCAGACACGAGCAAGCGCCTTTGTATTTGACTTGACGATGTGACGATGTGCATGGTCTCGTGGACTTACCAAGGCTCGGGACAACATCAATCTCCTGCATTTTACACTGTTATGGAGGATCTGCATCATCTTAACATGCGAATGGTGCGCAGGTTGATGCACAGCCACTGAGACTGTCCAGATCACCCCACTTGATCTGCGAAGATGGTGAGTGTAACTGGCCTTGACAGGTTGTTGTGCACCCTCAGAATCTTTACAAAAGCGCAGAGGAATATTGTTGGTCTCGCCTGAGCTCTAATGGAAATTGGAACAGACTGCATGCATGTTGCTCACCCCAGCACTGGGGGCATAACACGACCCAAGGTAGGGCTTTGAGACATGCAGGAAAGTTTCTTCGGGGACACTTTCTGCGCATTCATTCTGGAGTACTCGAGAGCTTTGGAGTTGTGCAGGGAAGACATCATTGTGATGGCAGGGAACGGGAGTCTGCTACCCTGCCAAAGCGACTGTTTTCTGAGATCCTGTGACACCAAAATCGTCAGGTGTGCACGCATGGCTTCAAAGAACGCGCTTGACACTCATTTGAATTACCAGTAAGATCTTACGAAATTCCTGTGATCGCAGATGTGAGGAAGAGAAATCTGGCAAGCAAAAGAAAGGTCTCTTCAAGGTGGAGTTGGAGACCAGCCCATTGTATCCTGAGAGCGGGGGCCAGCCTTTCGATAAGGGATCTATAACGCTGCTGGACAATGTGGTATGATTCCCGTAAACAGTTGCAAGCGCGACCAATTGCAACAGCTTCCACCAGCTTCTCAGTCCTTGTTCCAGAGATATGGACTTACAGGAACTGTACTGTATTGTAATTTCTCTTGGTGTAGACGTGGAGTGGAATGATACGTATCACGTCAAGATATTCGTTTTAAAGAAGGTGTTGCGCAGACTTCTATGCATGGAAGGTGTGTGCAGAGGAGCAATTGTGTGGGATTGTGTAGGTGGAGATACTGGATGTGCAGCGCAGTGATGATGGCACAGTCACCCATTTCACAGCCGTCCCAGTGCCAGAAGGGGCATCAGTGCGCGTGGCCGTGGATTGGGACCGCCGGTACGACCACATGCAGCAGCACACCGGCCAGCATTTGGTCAGCGCAGTGTGCGATGAGGTCCTCGGAGCAGACACCGTCAGCTGGGAGCTGCATGCCAGAGCCGCCAGCCAGGGCGGCAGCAATGATGTCATGGTAGACCTGGCCACCCCCAGTGTCAACCCAGAGCAGATGCAGGTGAGGCTACCGAACTGGAAATTCTGATCCTGTAAACAATCGGTGCAAGGTCTGTGTGCTCGGGAAGGTACTGAGTGAATGCTGAAGGATGCGGGTGAGTTCTGGGGTGTGCTGCAGGCCATTGAGCAGCGATGCAACTCTGTGATTAGGGAAGCTCATGCGGTGCGACAGATCCTGGTAGATGACAGCAACAGGAAGGGCTTGTTAGCATCTCGACTCCTGAGAGGCAACCTGCCGTCACCAGACAGGGTGAAGGGAGCTGTGAGGCTCATAGAAATTGAAGGAGTGGATGTTAATTCCTGTGGTGGCACCCACTTGCTGTCCACCGCTGAATTGCAGGTATACACAAGCATCTGGTGGTTTCAATCTCAATTGAATTGCCTTTCAAAGAAAGGTGATTTGCACCAAATAATACAATTGATGGAAATCCACCCGTGAGTCCACTTTTTCTCATTCCTCCCTGCTGCAGGTGATCAAGCTAGTAGGACTTGAGAAGACAAAGGGCATGGCAAGGTTGCATTTTGTAGCTGGAGATAGAGTCATCTCTGCCCTGAGCGGCTTCTTGACCCTCGAAGCCAGCCTCAACAAGGTGAAATGAGTTTCAGATCTCAAACTTCATGTCACCGTGCATGACAGTTGCTGAGCTGCTGAAATGCTGCGATGAGCTCAGTGAGCTCGGCAATTGAAGCAATACATTGTGTGGGTACCACACAGGCACTGGGCTGCGGCACAGCGGACTGGCCAAAGATGGTGGGCAAGATCCAGACAGAGCGAAAGGACCTTGCGAAGAAGGGCAAGCTGCTCACAGAAGAGGTGGCCACAGCTGCAGGGGCTCAGCTGGCCGGAAGCGTCTCAGAAGGCACCAGTGTACACTACCACAGGCAAGCTGGAATCCATGCTGACCTCGTTGTCTGACAAAATTCAGCGCTCCAACTGCCAAACATCTTGCTGAGGCCGTAGAACCAGGATTCAAACCACCCTTTTGCAGAAATTCTGCGTGAATGCCAACCTGAGCGGTGCACCAAGGATGCGCCCTCAGGAATTCCTATGCTTACAAACAGAATTGCACAGGCAAGGAAGGATTCTGCAGGTGATAGGTTCTCAGGAGTGGTTGGGCTTGTGCACTGCAGGGACGACGCAGACGCCTCCTTCCTGGGCCTTGTCGCAAACGCTGCTTTGAAGACCAATCCAGCAGCGCTGTTATTGCTCACAGGAGGGGCGCCCTTGCCCAGCAGTAAATCCGCCAAACCTGGACCGGCAGTCTTTGTCGTGGCTGGGCCGCCAGGTGATCTGCTGCTTCTCTTCCTCATATAGACTATTGCGGCTACTGTCCAAGAACTTTTATTGACCTAATCATGAATACCGTGTTCAAGCGCTCATTCCAGGCCTCGAATTGCAAAAGAAATGGTAGACTATTGCGTGTGCCAAAAGCAATGTCGAGATGATCCTGACAATCGGCTGCATACTGGCACTGCTGTGTCTTGTCATCAAACATGTCCTTCTGTGCAGTACAGTGGTGTTTGCTATGACGATCTATTAGTTTGGACACCGTTGAAGAAAAGCTTGTGGTGGCAGATGCTGTGAAGCGCGCTGGACCCAAAGTGGCGGAGGCTCTTGGAGTGAAGGGTGGTGGCCGACCGGGGCTCTACCAGGGCAAGACTGCATCACTGGAAAAGGTGGCAGAGGCCAAGGCAGCGCTTGACAGGGAGGCTGCTCACTCATGATCCTGGCAGTGCTGGGAGGATTGAGGCTGTGACAGGCAGTATTCTTTGGCAGCAAGAATGTGGACAATCGAACGCATGCATGCAAATTTATTTCTGAAACTGTACTGCCTGCTCCAGTACAATGCGTATCACTCCCCGTCCTTGAGTTTGTCTGGAGTGCAATCTGCCGTCATAGCAGTGCTGTGTCGGTATTGGTCATTGATGATGAATCTGCCAGACATGTGAACATCCAGTGAAGCTCAGTTTTCAGGCCAGTTTTCAAGCCTAGCTAGCCTATAGGCTTAAGCTTATAAGTCCCTGGCCAACTATACATCGCGCTTGGAGTTGGGAACCTGTAGGCACCTGAATTGCGTGGACATTTCTGCGGTGGAGTCCATCAAGGATACGGTATTGAGAAATATTGCAGAATTGACAAGCTTAAGGCTCTTCAGGGTTTCCAGGGGATCGAGCTATGAATTCCCTACATGCAGGGGTCAACCCTACCTAAGGATGGAAGTCTTCCCATCGGATCGACAAGCCTCGTGCAGGGATGCCTTGTCCACCATTTCAAAGCTTCGATGAGGACTCCGTAATCATCACTTTGCTTTACACGGCTCAATTGCGTGTCAGGACGCTAAAGAGCTTGTACCCTGTAGATGACAAAGGAGCTGATGAGGCTACGATGAGTGTGCAAAGCTCATCGAGGCAATCGCAGACACCACAAATGCAGATTGTTAGGTCTTAGAGCCGACGACGCTTGAACTTCGTGGGACTTGGTGGGCAAAGGGAGGGCCATCACCTGTACAGAATAAGATCAGCCTCCTGAGACTACTCAAGGAAATGACCCTGGTGCCATCGTGAACTCTCAGTGCTCTATGGATCAGTCTTCAGCCCCCAAGTGGAATCCAAGCCACTTGAAATCGGCAAAACCCGCTGGACTGCAACTCGATGCAGCAACGCTAAAAAAACTCAAAGATCAGGCTCTGGAAAAGGCTCAAAAGATCCAAGAGAGGGTGCGAAGCGAGGCTTTTCATGTCACTTCTTCAGATGCATGTTGCTCCTCGTGAGTGACAAAGTTCTGGTTCTGATGCCTCTGTACATTTGGCCTTGCAGGCTGGCAAACAGATGGGACAGAACATTGCCCATGCAAAGATAGCTGTTCACGATGTGGCTAGCTCGAAGGATGCCAGGGAAGCTGGCGCCAAGGTTTGGACGCTGTGGAAGAATGCAGAGGGAGGAGCTTTTGTCCTGGCCATGGCAAGGATCCTGGTGAGTGCCTCAGACATCTCCATTGGAGCAACTGCGCATTTCCATTGCTTACACCTCATTGCACAGAGTGCAGCTGCCTGTACCAGGACACGAGCCTCCTGTTATTTTGTATCTGTTTGCTGCCAATTTCCTACTGCTGCTCACTGACAGAGAAAGGTCATTGTCCAGGTTTGCCTTTACTTCATCAACCTTGTTGTGGAAGACTACGAGCAATGGAACTTCATGCAGTCGCCTGAGATGGTGGAGCGACGCAAATTCTACCCACACAGAATCCCTGCCTCACGTGCGGCCTGTCCCTATAGTTGATTTTAAAGCATCAGAGCGGCATGCATATGTGTTTATATGGTGCTTGTGGAGTGTTGACACGCATTTTGAAAGGTTGGCTAGCGTGGATTTGTTTGATATATGTGCATGTGCAGAAGCAGCTGCGCAATTGATAGTATGTTCTAATTTAATTTGCAGGATTTCCATACCTGGGACTCTTTGTGTTCATACCGGCGGCAGTCTTGGCAGCAGTGGGCGTCCAGGTTCCCATCACTGCCACCATAATGACCCTGGATATGATTTACAACAGCTCCAGCCTCATCTGGAGCCAGCTGTAAGCCTGATTGCCCACACTCTACCTCTCTCTCCTGCAGGCAAACAAGAACAGACAGATTTCAGATCACTGTCCTGAATACACAGCTTCATTTTGATGTGCTTGGAGGTCGTGATCTATTGGAGCTGTCCAGATAGGTGGTGTGCAAAAGGATCAGCATGGTGCAGCATGCGTTTTGAGGGTTGCTTACCGAGTGACATGAAAAAATTGTAAAGATGTGACTGTGTTGTCGCCTTGCAGACTCATGCTTGTGCGATATGGGCAGAGGCCCAACGAGCTGACAGTGAAGAAGCTCGCCATGCTGGGATGTGTTGCCCTCGTCCTGGCGCACTCAGTCAAGGACATCCGGGAGAAGCTGCAGAACAACACCTATGCTGGTGAGCAGACCTGCTACAGGCCACCCTGCCTGGACTTCCCAATGAAAATTATAACACCACGTTATATTGACGATTGCTTCTAAAAAGTAGCAAGCAAGATTTGGTGGAGGCATGTAGCTCAGTATATGATTGGTGTTCAGGGTTGCTGCTGGGGGGAAATGTCAAGAAGGAGCCAGGGGTGCGCAAGTCCCTGGTTCTTCTGTTCGGGCGGCTTCTGATGACACTCCTGTTCCTGTACGTTGGCTGGGTCCAGGTGTGACTGCATGATTTGCTGAGTTTGTGCAGTTACAATTCGCTGTCTAATACAAAGATTTCCGCGGACTCGTGAGAATCAGTAGGAAGGCGTTGTAGTCTCTTTAGCTCCCAGCCTATCAGACCCGGTGATTAAGCACGCCTCTCAGCAAGATAGCTGTGCAACAGTGCTCCATATTAGGCATTGTGAAAACCTGTGCTCACAGGCATGACATGGGCCTGTGACACTGCTGATAGATCTGTGATGTCTGTGAGTGCAGATTCACAGGGTGATCATGAGGGACTGGGCGCTTTGGTCCAAGTTTGAGAACGATGGAGTGTGGAGGAAGGACGGCCATGTGAGCACCGCATGCCTCCTGCCCTCACCCCTGCTTGTTTTGACATCCCTGCACCTCTCTTGGGCCACCAGTTAGCAGTTGTTTCTGCAAACCAAGACAAACATGCCCATATCAACGACATGTTTGCCGTTGCTGATGATATGCACTGACCGCTGCATCCCATGGGAAGACAGACTTTGTGCCCTCTACTCTCCTGTTTCTACAGTTGCCATGAGAGTTATATACAACAGAACGCAACGCGTTCTGCTGTACGCGTTGCAACGCATTGCTGTACGCGAATGGCACGCAGTTCCAAGTAGTATGCCCGTTTAGTTGAGGCATTACAATTTTTTGTGTGGGTGCCAGGACAACAACTGGCTTCTGCTGGAGTTTGCGCTGTCGCTGCCCTTTGCCGTGGGCTACAAGTTGCCCCTGGTTTCGCGGCTGCTGGCCCTCACGCTGTCCCTGGAGGCCTTCACCTGCTGGCCCTTTTGGGTTGACTGGCCCAGCTGGTGCGCTGCTGCCTGCTTTATCCTTCCCTTTGATCCTTGTTAGATTGGTCAGTGATGCCTTACTGGCAGAGAGCCTTCCTCCTAGCAGCACTGCCAATGGCCACCAAGCACCTACCTCTCTTGGCAGTTGGTCAGTACACCCAATGCTACAGAGATGCTCGCCAGGTGTGTCAGTAATTTCCAGCGCGTCCAAAGTTACAAACAAAATCTAGAAATCCCAATTTGGCAATTTGGAGCGAGAGCAACCAGAATAGAGAATTTGAGATATATCAGACCTGAGGCAATGTCCATGTGCGCACCACTCTGGGTGCAATAACAGCAATCGTGCCATCATGGTGGGGCCTTTTTGGGTTTGATGCGTGATTCTCTGGCTGAGCATAGATTGTTTGGTGTGTCTGGCAGGCAGTACAGTGCCCACGTGCGACTGCACTTTGTGACCAACCTGGGCGTGGCTGGAGGCCTCATCCTACTGCAAAACTTTGGTGCTGGCAGGTAAGACTCACTTCCAGGCGAACCTTTCACACGTGCCAGTCCACTTGAAGCAGCAGAAAGTTGAAGATAATTCCAAATCTGCCTGCCAGTTGATGTCTCTGTTATTGTCTGCTTGTGCAGGTACACAGTTGATCAGCTCATGAAGAAGAAGGCTACATGACATCTCAAGGGGAGAGGGGCCCCCCGGAAGATCTGAACATGACGATCTAGGACATGGAAAACTTTACAATATTGATAACGTCAATCTTTCATAACACAGAGCTTCTGGCAGGAAAAGCGTGTAATAACAATAATAATAATCCTGACAAACCTTCAGTGCCAATCGTGTTGGCAGTGCCTGATGTTAATAGTCATCTCACACACCACACTTTGCTCCGTCTCATCAGCACAAAGTACAATGAGTATGCCTACACATAGCTCTCACAGTGGCGACTGGTACACAGACAAGTCTTGGAACGGAAGAAGAGTCACAACAAAAAAAGGAAAGCCTTCCTATACGTATGAATTCTACATAGCACAATACCTGTGTAGTGCAGCACCAAAAGCAGCTGCTGCATATTGGCCAGCACTCAGGCGGCACGTGGATCTCGCTGAAGCCTCTGTGCCTTTAATGATGGTGGTCGATAATACGGATGCAGGAATCTAGACGAATGGGTGCCTACTTCAACTGGCGGTCATTCTGATGTGCCTGCACTGTCAAGGTTAAGACTTGTGGGACCCACTTGAGAAAGTGGGTATGCTGTTTCCTTGGTAAGGCTCCGTCGATGAAAGGTTTCTGGGCGTTCCATTGTCCCCCTGCAACCCACAATTATACTCTATGACGTTGTCTGGGCCCAGCTTTCCTTAACAGCTGAAATGCTGGAGTAACAATAGACATCTAAAGACATCTCCGTCACGATTACTGGCACAGAGATAGCATTACCACGTGGTGCATTATTTGATGGTGCAATCTGTGTACGCCGCTGGTTGTGCCGAAGAGAGGGGTCAGGAGGAGACTCGGCACCGATTTGAGGAGAGGGTGATCTGCTGTACATGCCGAGGTTCTGCGTAAGGACCCTTTCTGCGAGCTACACACTTGGCATACTCTTCTCGAGTCACAGATACATTGAGGTTGAATGCTATTGCCAAAGGGGGCATGTCTTGCCAAGAAAGGTTCCTCGACACGCACCCCGCTTGAACAAGCGTCTGTGATCCGTGTTGTGCAGAAGGGAGACCACAAAACGTGGGAACAGGAGTGCGTAATTCGCTATGATGTACGTAATTCCCAGCATATTAGATTGTGGGACCAAAAAGAGCGCTGCAGCGGCTGGAAGGGTCAACATGAGGATGTTGGAGAGCAGGAACGCGACAGGGATGTCTCGCTCACCCGCAACGGCCAGAAGGACGAAACGCTGCAGCCACTGGGGTGGAACAGAAAGATACTCCCTCCTCATCGCCACGACATCCTTTAGATAGCTGCACCGACTGTGAAATAGAGCTGACCACAGGCGAGAGGCACGTCACACATCGCTCCTAGTCCGAGACAGATTCCGCGTGATCAAATGCGTGCGGAAGCGAGTTGCACGTATAGATCATCAACACTCTCCTGACACTGCCTTCCCCTGACAGAATTGCAGTCGCTCCCAGCAAATAAACATCAAGTCACCGATCGCCCTCAATCCTAGGTCAATCGACGTTTATATCCCGCGCGTGGGAGCCACAGTGCCCCAAGTATGCTGCTGTAGCTTCCACCAACATGAAGCCCGCCGCTGCCGTTCGTCTATCATTCTGTCAGATTTGCACAATGGGAAGGCAGAAGCGAAGGCAAGAGAATGGACACCGTTACAACGACATATAATTCCGTGAACATGCACTGTCGGGGCAGCTTGCTCCATGGCAGTGTATATGTAGCCATCAATTTGACTCAGTCTGATGCAGCCGTGTGCAACACAGACCACACAGGATCAAGCGTATAAGTATAGAGACATCCTGCAGCAACATAGCAACACCAATGTCTTGCGCTGGGCTTGCTGAAACTTGTGTCAATTGATCAGTACTCTACGCTATCAGGATCTCGCAAAGCTGCAATCAAAGTCTGCCAGTCTTGTGCTCTGGGTTCTCCGGCGCCCTGGTGTGGCGCTGTGCGGTGTGGCAGGTGTGGTGGGAACGGGTACAGAGGGGACAGGTTCATCTGTTGAGCCTCTGTCAGACTGGCTGTCAGAGTCGCTCGAAGAGCTGCTATCCCCTGCAAATGACACATGACATTTGATAATGCCCTAGACACTAGCGAACCAACCAATTCTCTGCACATGTCATTCACCCTGTACGTATCCACAAAGTGTGCTGTGGACCAAAAGGAAGATGCCCACAAAAGGGGCTGTGAGCAATTTGTATGTAGCAGAGAAGACGCGCAAGTGAGGCGGCTTACCGTCTGACAGGTAAATCAGTGCCTCCGCAGCGCGGTTCTCGGCTGCAAGCTCTGTCCGTGTACTCCTTCGCCTGGGGGCTGGGGTCATTGCTTCCCGAGAAATGAGATCTGCAGCCTGGAGGACGAGCAGCAGCCAGGCGGCATCTAACTGCACAGGGCTCCTGGATGGCTTGGCTGTCTTTGGGGGACATACTGGCTTTTGCCTGCAAGTGCATTGGAACCATTTAATATGCTGCGGTGTTTCCTTCGCCATAAGGCAAGATTTATGGGTGCAAAGACTCTTAGACTCTAAAGACTCTACTCGGAGTACGATTGCAAGGACGAGACAAAGCTGTTTTGAAGACAATACATACAACTAAAGCTGCTATCTATGCGTTGTTCCTGTGCAGTCATTAGAATATAAGAGGAGAGCAGACCTTTTAGAAGCAGCCTTCACCATGCTGCTTGCCGCGACGTCGGGGGGCTGGCAATTTATTGTGAGGCTTCGTGGATTTGAAGAATTTGTTGATCGTTTCTGTATCCAAAGCACAATCTGCAATCGACAACAGAAGCATGTAAAACAGGATGGCCATATCGGGCACAAAATTAGAGTTGATATGCCCTTCCAAATACCTGAATTGCATGTCACAATTGCACCAGGTGAAGTAAGATTGATTGCTGAATCTGACCAGAGGAATTTCACAAGTGATGTTCCAGACATTGCACAAGTGATCTGGAGCAGTCTGTGTCTGACCATGCGGCGATAAAAGCCCTGAAACGCGATCTGAATGGTGTGAACATGTGAGATGGGAGAGAGGCCACTTACCCTATGTCAAGCAAGCGCAGATGCTCACGAAGTCTGCTAATTTCTGACTTGCGCTCGCTCGGCTTCTTCTGACTTTTGCTAAGCCCCGATTGCGCTCAATGCACTACAAATATATCGGAGACCTTCGCTAGCCTTACACGCAATAAGGTTGCTGCTGATCTTTGCCAATTCTGTCCAGGGCTCGCTTCGTATTTTGGTCCGAGGCCAGCAGAGTTACTAAGACTACTAACCGCTCCCGTAACTGCTTCAGGTGGCTGCGATCAGGCAAAATCCCGGAATTCAGTGTGCGATTAGAGGCCCATCTGTGCACGGTATGATTTATCCATCGTCACTCAGTCAATATCGTCAAGTGTGATGCCCGCTGCATGAAAGATGTGGCCATCGACATGACCATGGAAAGCCCGAACCAGGCACCCACTTCGCGTGATTGACGATGATACTGAAATTTTTCATTTTCAATACTATATCGATTCAAAACAAGCACATTTGTTCAAGATCTCGAGTTACCATCACTTTGAGTGTTCGAGAGCCCTAGTCAATTCAATAGTACTCGTTGTCGTGCTGCAGTGTGTTGCAATCCGTTCTAATATAAAATCATCCCGGCTTCACAGAGCATCAAGCTTTTCAGACATGACAAAGAGGTGCCAGTACTACCTCCACGAGAAGAAGCGCTTCTGCAGTTTCCAGTCCAAAGCAGGCTTTGACAAGTGCGGGAATCACATCGAAGGCGAGGGAGCGGTGAAACGCGTCCCTTGTCCCATAGATCCTCACCAGTAAGTCTCTCCAGCACACCCCTTCTGTTAGATCTCCACCTCTTGAGGACTTCTGGATGTACTTCCAATTTGCATGCAACGTGGTCATCCCTGCTCAACATACTCACACTTCTCTTCAATGGCGTGCAGCACCGTGCTAGAGAAAGAGCTGGACTGGCATCTGCCGCGTTGCCCAAAGGCACTGCAGCTCCAAGAACAGCAGGTTCGGCAGCAACAGCATGGCCAACGTGCCACTGACAATTCTCATGCGATCAGTTGGCAGGCCGTGAAACTCATATATGGCTGGGCATGCAGAAGATTGCAAAGGCATCACTATCCTTGTGTGCCCGGGCAGGCCCAGCCATATTACAGCCCAGATTGCAATGCGGGCAGCAGCGATGCTCTGGATCACAGGGCTGCAAGCTTGGCAGCTGATGGCAGCAGGCAGACGCATGCGGGCAATCTGAGCAGTGCAGCTGGGCGCATTGCCTATGCTCGCAGCCTGGGACCGGAGCAGTTTTCTGCCCTGCTGGCGCGCATAGAGCTCGCCTATAACCAGGCAAGTCCTGGGCTCCACAATCTTACTTGCTGCCTCATGCATGCGGCATTAAATTTTTTTCCCTGTATAGTCTGCGTTCATGCGCTCTTTGACTGGAATGTGGGTTTGAGGGGTGTTCTGTGTGTCCAGGTGTGTGGCAAGCTTGGAGATGCCACAGAGGTCATCCCTGGCGAGTGCACCTCCATCCTGGAAACGCCCTCTGGACAGCCGCTGCCCAGCACGCAGCATGTCAAGGCGTTCACAATGAAACATGGTCGCCAACAGGCCGCCATCCTCGGGCAGATGCAGCAGGCCGGAGTTCTACAGGCAAGTCTTGTCTTGCTAATATTCTACCGTCTGACTGAAAGCTGGACATGCCGAATGGCAATGACAATGCCTTGTCATGTAGCAGGATTCCTTGCACTTTTCCCCTCTGTGTTGACAAACATATCTTCCACCCTGCAGCTGCCTCAGACCTTTCCTGCCTGAGATGATTCGCACAGCAGCTCACTAAGCAAAGGGCTGTGTCAGCATTGATGCCTATCATGACCTAAAGACTGTGTTTACAGGACCCCAGGAGCACCACGTTTGTGGAGTTTGGTGCTGGGAAGGGTTACCTGTCGTGCATGCTGGCCGAGAGCTTTGGAGCTGCCGAGCTTGTCCTGGTGGATTGCAACAGCTTCCGCATGACTGCCGACCGGTGAGCTCATCTCAGGACACCACCTCTCACCAAAGTAGATACGCTAGATGCTGATATACTTACTCGGCCATTGCTATCATCCTATCGCCCAAATCTGCTTCCTGTCCCAGTGCTCTGCCTTGCAGAGCAGCAGGGGCAACGCTGCGGCCTTGCCAGGCTTGGGAAGACACAGTCATGTGATGATGTCAGCTTATAAAGATATAATAGCATCACATTCTAGAGACCTGTTGGGAGCCGCCTGAGGCTCTTTGGTCTTGTAGGCAGTCTTTCCCTGCCCATTTCATATCAAAAATCTCTAGCATGTCTGCATTCCGTCAGAAATTTAGGAAGCCTGAACCTAAACCGGCCCACAGTTGCAGGCATATTCGGTGGTGCAGTACCAAGTTGCTCCCAGTACAAGTATCCCTGAATTGTCTCATATTGGGGCGATCGAATACAAAGTGGTGTTTATCCAAACTGTTCTGCTATTGCACGCCTCAACCTGTATTGCATGCATGCGCAGGACGCTGAGGAGGCTGAACGCGAAGCTGCAGCGGCTGAGGGTGGACATAAAGGACTTTGAGCCGGCCGGGCTGCCCAGCGTGGCAGGCGGGCAGCCCTGGGTGGCCATGGGCAAGCACCTCTGCGGCGCGGCCACCGACTTCACGCTGCGCTGTGTCGCGCGCTCAGCCCGCTCTGGAACCCCCGGTGGCGGCCCCCGACCCCCACCGCTGGGGGCCCCGTCCCCCGGCGCTGCCGGGAGCGTCGCTGCCGCTGGACAATCCCAGAATGGGGAGGGGATTACAAAAGAGCACATGTCAGCGGGAAGCAGCGAGGGTGCTTTGGAGCGCTTTCCAGAGGCAGTTGGCAGAGCGGACTGTGCTGGGCCAACTGCAGCTTCTGGAGTGGCGGCGGTACATGCAGCCACCTCCAGCTCAGGTGCACACCAAAGTATTCAGCTTAGTTTCTGCAGGATCTCTCTGATCGTGCATGCTTTGTTCATCCTGGGAGCGCGCATGTTCCCACGTTGGACTTCCAACAACTACACCATGTTTGCTAAGTTTCTGGAGTGACCCAGTAGAGGCGAGCTGTCTGCAGGTGATGGGTCAGGGGTGGGGGGCTTGCTGGGGTGTGCGGTGGCCACCTGCTGCCACCACCGCTGCACATGGGAGCACTATGTGGGCAAGCCCTTCTTCAGCAGCCTGGGCTTCTCGGCTGCTGACTTCGAGCTCATCAGCTGGATGACAGGTACTGTGTTTGTATGAAGGCTTCCGAGTCTTCTAGAGAGCAATGGTGCACTGTGACAAAAACGTAATGTGCAGCAGCAATCACTCCTGCACCACAGAGATTCTAAAGTGAATGAAATATATTGGAGCCTTTTGCTGCCTTTGGACAGGGGTTGTCATTGAGCCATCGAGCAGGGCAGACTGTGTCTGTGCCTGCCTTCGAGTCTGTGTCGGTGTGTCTGCATCTAAAAACAGCTTTGCATGCTTGCATTGAAAAGTGGCTTGCGGACCTACAGGGTGCATGGTTGCTCTGCAGGCTGGGCCTTGTGTGGCCATGGGCGACCACGGGAGAGGCAGGCAGCTGCATGCAGCGCTGATGACGAGGAGGCTGCTAGTGATACTGACACCACTGACAAGCCCAATAATGCAGACTCCTGTGCTGCGGTGCGCGCGCGTGCCTGCAGACTCCCTTAAGTCTCCTTGGCATAAATTCCTGAACAATGCAATGACATCTTTTCTGTGACCTGTTTTTTCATATAATTCGCATGGATTCTGCAGCCAATACTGAATGTGACATGCTGATCTTGTCTGTGTATGGCCTGCAGGAGGGGGATGGTGATATAGAGCAAGCACGAGGTTTTGAGCCGAGCATGAGCCTGCCAAGGGAGAGGAGGCAAGTGATAGGTGCTCAGTGCAAGCGGCTCATAGATGCAGGGCGGAGGCACTACTTGCGTGAGAACGGGTTTTCAAATGCCAATGCTGTGCAGTATGTGGATGGAAAGGTCTCAGGAGAGAACTGGCTACTTCTAGCACCTTGATCATGATGAATGTAAACTTGATATTAAGTACTTGGACACCGTGTTGGCGTATGCATCTGCAGAACATCAGCAGAGTAGCTTCACAGGCAAGTAAGTATGCTAAACCTCGCTTGCAGTACAGGACCGGTAACACTCCCACAACAAATCATGGAATGTTGGAAGTGGTATCATCAATCCTTCAGTTCTGCCATCTCCTGTCTCCACCTCAAGTTGCTCTACCGTGAATACCTATCACAATGATAATGCAAGAATCGAGACTGGAATGCAACAATCCAGGTGTACTTGACGGTACCAAGTCATCAAGGACTCAGTTCAGGCTGGAAAACGTGCAATAGGTGATAATATAAAATAATTATTTATCAGAGATGTCGTGAACCTCCACTATTTGAAACCTGAGAGAAGATCCTCAGTCGCCTCCGCTGAGCAGTTCCTTTGAGCATGCCACCAGGTTCTCAGCCTCCGCTGCTGTGGCCTGCCCGCTGCCTCGCCACCTCACCCGCCCCTTCCCATCAATCAGGTAGGCATACCTGGACAGGGCAAATTGATATTAAAAACAGCAGTTCAGCTCAGAGCTCACACAAGCTCACGCTCACACTCAAAAAGCGCTAGCGGCTGCTTACCACACCTATTTACGCACTCTCTTCACTGTCGACAGCTCACTTCACTGTCATTGGCATTTGACCACAATTTTCCCAAAATCATCCCATGTCAGGAGGAATTATCACCAAGTTGAGGGATTTGCCACCAAGGTGGTCACACTCTCGGTCTTTTCAATCCTACTGTCTTGCATCCGCAGAAAACTTCCTCGCTTCTCACACCATGCACTGCTCAGACCCTTCCAGCAATTGTAGCTGCTCGACAGTATTGCATGCCAAAAGAGAGGAAAATGAGAGGGAAAGATTGAGCATGCGCACCCTGTCAGCCGATTGGTCATTCCCAGGACCCGCCGGATTTCAGTCGCATCCCCAAAGTGGAAGATGTGCTCTGGTTGCAGCTGGCAGGCCTCAGCGGGTGCTGTGGGCTTTGTCAGCCCGCTTCGCAGAATCATCTGCTTGAAGGGCCATATTCTCATCACCTGTATTGCAGCACTGTAATTTGTGACACAGCCACCTGCATGCACTGTCTGGCGCTGCGCTGAGACTGAAAAGTGGCATTAAATGTACAGGCATTTGTTACTGCGGCCGAATAATAAGTCGTAAGAGATTTTTTTTGTTTGGCGGCACCGGCTGCATGCCGCCGCAATGAAGCCAGAGTGGATCTCTGCCAAAGAAGCAGTGGCCATTGAATTGGCTGAATATGCAACGCCGATGTTCTGAGCCCCTGTTTGCTCACAGAACTCACGGCATCACTGGGCTCCCAAGGCAAGTACTTTAATACGCCTGGAACCCTCCCTAAATCTTTGATTTTGAGTCTGCGGGATGGATAAACAATAGATCCCCAGCCTGTGGAAAGCTGCCTGCGTTATCATGTTCCACCCAAAAATCCTCTATTCACTAGGAGAATGGGCCAATTTTGGAGGTGGCGGGAAGGCAAAAATAAAGTACCCAGCGTGCGAAGGGAAAAAACTGCGGGATAACTTCTGCGGGAGTACTACAGTTTTAGGTACATTTTAGTAAGTGCGGTTTCTGAATCTAGTGTTACAGCAGGGCAGCACGCACCACAGACTCCACGAGAGACATGTCAAACCAGCGCGCCCCCGAACGCCCCTGCATCGCTTCCCTGAAAGGCTCGCTCCACGAGCGCAGCTTGTCCTAGCGCAAGCGCAGTATAGACTGAGACGTTTATGAGAACTACTCTAAACTTTGGGCCACTAGAATGTGGAAGGATCCCTGGGTTGCAGGCCAAAACCCATTGCTAAAAGCCGCAGGCAATATCCCATGTATTCTAGTTGCCACTGCATGCCATATGCATCATCACACAAGTTCTCGGTACAATTTTCGCTCGGCCTCCTGTAGAGTTTTTAGCCATAGGAGTCTCAAGATGCTGCCCTCACCTCAGCGCCGGCTCTGAAAGCGATGCAGAGGAGCCCCACGCGCATGCTGTCTTGGGAAGGAGGGAACAGCACCTCTGCGCCTCCAGGCTCCACCACCTTCATCATCAAAGAGTCCCCAATGCTTCATCTTACACACCCTGCTGCTACAATATATGAGATGCTTTGCGACCTCTTCATGCTGCACGAGATCCTTCAGCCCTCCTTGTTCCATGCAGACGCATGCATCTCAAATGTGGACCTTTTCAAATCTATTACAAATTGGCATTGCATGGGATGAACAGCATCCTCAGCGCACATTTCCCAGTCCGGCCATGTCATGCAATCTGCGTCAGATGTGGAAAGCGGTCTGGGCTGACAGACAGACAAGTGGTGCGCACCGCCATGGGAGGCAGGTGTGGGGAGGTGCCAGCTGGGGAAAGCTGCTCAGAAGCCTGGAACATACGGCCCTGTGTCTCCTTCAAATCCTTGAAGTCGTCAAAGTAACCACGCTTCATCTCCTCCTGGATTACCAATCAGCGTGTCAGAGGTACATGCTATGATATCATTATTCACGAGAGAGATCCTTTGAGAATGCTACTGCAGATCGTGAAGGAGCCGATTGCCACAAACTACGTAGCTAGATGAGGAGGGAAGAACATCTCTCACACCTGAATTTCACGCTTTCGTTCCTCTGCCTTCTCTTTATCGAAAATCTGCAGAATATCAGCTTCATTTGAGTGATGAATCAATGTGTTGATCATGGTATGTATCTTCGTAACTTTATCGTTTGCCAATGTTGATGCGGTGCTTCGTACCTCAAAGAGTTTTATCCCTCTTGCCTTTGTAAGATTGTGATCCAAGCTAAGCGACGGCATCAGATCTGACAAGTTCTGAACTAGAAAGCCATACCCTTTGATCGAGCTGAGGCGGCATCGTGACGCCAACATTATTATGGATCCAGTAAAATCTTTTCAGAGGATTGTATCAAAACAAATCCAGTGCGTTGAGATCGCTTCATCCAGCACTAAACGCATGAATGCCCGGAACAACTCTCGGAACACGTGGCATGACTGATGAATGACCATCAGGATACAGGTTTTGAGCAGACAATGGCTCTGTCTGCACACTGGCTTGAAGCAGCACTTCACATTCTTACATCTCTATGATCACGCCAATGCTTGAGGCAGTGCTTGTATTTGTCCCAAGCAAGCTCGGCAGCCAGCAGCTACCTGCAGCTACTCAGTAGGCTTCCAAGGTAGGAAGAGTCCATGCAAGCCCATTTGTTCCGGCCCATTCATGATCAAGAGTGTGGCACCACAGGCATGCCGCACAGCGACCAGAGTCTCAAGAAACACTCAAAGACCTTGGCAGCGCCCGGAAACCCACAGATCTGGGATATCTAGAGGTCACTCCACAAAGCTCAGGTCGGGGCCGGTGCACTCGGGCGCGAGGCCATGCTGGCGCAGGTAGTCAGGGTTATGGAACTTGCTGAGGTGGCGCTGCCCACCGTCGCACAGCACCGTCACGATGGTGTGCCCCGGCCCGAGCACGCGCGCCGCCTTGACGGCCCCGACGCAATTCATGGCCGCACTGCTGCCCACAAACAGGCCGTCGTTGCGCAGTAGGTAAGCCCCCATCTCCACCGCTTCCCTGTCACTCCCCTTGAACGCATCATCAACCTGCGTGCATCCCAATCATGCACCTCAGCAGAAAAGCTAGACGTGTAGCATACGAGTCATGTGGAGGTCCGGGTCTCAAAAGCACATTGTGCTCAGCATGTGCTGCTGTCTGCAGGCGCCACCCGCTGCAGCTTGTCCAGAAGTTGCATCACAAGAGCGTCTAGGAGTCAAGAAGTGGACAACTTGGCAAAGGGTGAGCTGGAGCCATAGAAAGGGTGGATCTGGTGGGGCAAGGGCGCGCCTGCGCGAGGGAGAAGTTGGCGGTGATGCGGTTGATGCCGATGCCCTCGGTGATGGTGTCAAAGGGGTTGCGCAGCCGCTTCCCCTCGGCCTCCTCACGCGCGTACAGCACCCCGCGCTTCACCTTGTTGAACAGGCTTGACCCAGGAGGATCCACCAGCATTACCTGCAGACATGTGCTTACTTGCCCTACATGAAAACTCCTCTCCAGACTGAGGCCATATTATGTGAGATGGAGCCATTCCATGCTGTGGTGGCCATGCAAGCACGGCACCATTGAAGATGGATGTGCTCACAGAAGAGTGCAAGGAAATTACAGTCATGCATCAGTTGCATGGCCATGCACGGCTCATCCATCGCAATGACATTTCCAATGGTGCCATGTGTGCAGTGGCCGCTATCATCGCAAGCAGAGTGCGTGTGCGAGCATGTGCTCCTGTCATACAGCAACCAAGCTGACTGGATCCCTGGCAGGGCGTACAAACCAAACAGGTGATGTGCGCACCTGAATGCGGGGGTCCCGGGATTTGAGGTAGCTGGAGACGCCGGCAATCGTCCCCCCGGTGCCGGCGCCGGACACAAAGGCATGCAGGTGGCCGTGCGTCTGGCGCCAGATCTCGGCCCCGGTGCGCAGGTGCGCCCGGAAGTTCGCCAGGTTCTCAAACTGATTTGCGAAGAGCGCGCTGCCGGGCTCTGCCGCTGCCTCCTGCGCATGGAAAGTGTGCGTGTAAGCTTGCGGGAGCGGGGTAAACCTGTCATACGAGAGTGGTGCTGCTCTACAACAAGTAAAACAGCGTTAATATTTGATATATGACATGCCAGCAGGAAGTGCAGCACATAATAGAATACTGATAGAATCCTCAGATTAAGGCCTTGATCAACACTCGCATCATTGCAATGATCAAGCTGGCGAGGTATCGTTCAATGGCTAGAATCCACTGCTGGTTAATGTGCTCTAAGAGCCCACAGCAACCAATTTTGCTGCAAATGTGCCCATAAAATCAAGGTGGACGCATGCTCAGCCAGCCGAGAACGATTTTCTTTGCAGGGGAGGGAACCCCACCCGGCGGGCGACGTTGACAAAGTGGCCCGGGTGCGTGATGGAGACCGGCCGCACGCGCCGCACATCTGCGCCGAGCGCCTGCAGGAGCGCGGACTTCTCCTCGGCCGCATCGTCCGGCATCGCGATGCGGCAGCGGCAGTTGGCCGAGGCTGCCACCATGGCAAGGCTCACCCCTGTGCTGCCTGTCATTGGAGTGACATCTTGAGACAACCGCCAGAACTGTTGCAGGGCAAATGCGCATGGTGGACCCAAAGCTATTATGGTCCTGCTGCAACAGCAGATGCTCCAACGTCCAGCGCTTGCCAAGCTGATCATCAAGTCAGGTGCCAGACATTGAGATGGTAGCAGGTGAGGATTGTATGATGAGATAAATCTTGGACACCATTGCCTTGAGTCCCGAATGGCAGCTGCAAGCAGCCCCAGTGCAGGATCACTAGATGCCACTGAGGATAATTCTATTGGGCATGCAACAAGCCTGCACACCTGCTGTCCCCTCTGTGATGAGACCCCCCGGCTTGAGGCGGCCGTCTGCCGTTGCCTCCTGCACCATCTCGAGCGCCACTCTGTCCTTGACGCTCCCTCCCACATTCAGCATCTCTGCCTTTGCCAGAATCTGATTCCCCAGCATTGGAAATTCACTGGACACTTCTCTGGCACAGTGGTGCTATTGGGAGAATGGGCAGACGAGGCTCTACACATGCACAGAAAGCTGGGGCTAACCTCGCATCCGGTCTGCTCTGACAGGCTGCGGATCCTGACAAGAGGTGTATCTCCAATGAGGCCCTCGATCCCATCAGCAATCTTTCGCCAGCGGCCATCTGGGACTGCCCAGGAGGTAAAGAGTTCTTCACCCCTCCTCCATCTCTGCAGAACCTGCACTACCTGAAACAGGAGTTGGGCAAAAATAAACAGCTGCATCACATCAGATCTGCCTTGTCCTGAGCATCCGAATAACTTTCTGCTGCTCTCACCTGGACTGAGATGGAGATCAGACCTGCAGTGGCCAAGGCGATCAAGACAGCATCCTTGCTCACTGGCATGCACTACGGCTGTTACCAACTTCAATTATGGTCAGCCATCCTGGAGTACGTAATTCTGACGATGGGTGTTCCCGTAATACACTGATCACATAATGTGATCTAAACTGAGTGTAATCATTGCTCTCGAGCTGAATCGCAGCCCAATCGTACCCAGCCACGCGCTACTTCAGCTTCTGCTCTGTAAACAGAACGTGCTGGCGTACTCTAGGATCGTACTTAACAAACTGCAGCTTGTTGGGGAGGTTGCGAGGATTCTTGCGCTTCACATAGAAATAGCCTGTGCCAGCAGTGCTTACTAGCTTAATGAGAATACTTATGCCCTTTTTACCGCCGGCCATAATGGAACATGAAATCTGTGAACACGCCCTCCACCTTTCTGAATGAGATCATCTGGGACACATAAACGTCTGGAAGTCCAACCAATGAATGTGCTTTGTGCGGGCGCAATTATCTCCCTTGAAGTGCGCCATGCAAGCTTGGGTCGAGATAAAAACATCGGATAAATCGAGCCCTGTGGCTCGGTGCTGGATCTGCCTCTTATTCTCGCCTTGGCTCAAGGATGTTGCAGCGGCGCTGAGCCAGCAAATTTTAAGTTTCTGTATGCGTGTTACGTGGATCAAGGCGGTCCGCAACGACGAGGAAAGTCTTGAGCTGTGTCTCGCGTCAAGTTCCGATCGGAAATAGAAGTTGACACAAAGGTTGCCGTTAAATTGGCTGCACAGATCCAATTCTAGAAAAGGCGATATGATAGCTTTCTTATCGACATTGTGATATTCAAGTGTATTTGGAAGCGTCGAAATAGCTCTTCGAAGAAGATTTTGAAAGATATTTGCGAAGCTCTCAAGGGCGACTAGAGATGGTCAGCCTGCGCGCACTGCTGGCAGGCCCTCAGATCAACACACCGTATGTATTGCAGCCTCTTTCAGCTCGCCCTTGCTCGAGTAAGTGCCCAGGGGGCTGTCCTTTCAGAAAATGAACTCGCCTGCCAATCCGCCTTGAAGTGACCTGTATCAGGACACTCCTGTGATCAATTTATACAATAATATATGTGAAAGGAGTGTTTTCAGTTTGGGACGACCAGAGCGGCCGTTTGTTGTGATTTTTTGCAGAGAAAGGGTGGGTTGTGCAGGGCGACGCAACCCAGTGAGAGCAGCTCCAAGGGAGGGAGCGGCGCCAGCGGTGGAGGGGGCAGAGACTGCAGTTTGGGACCCAGAAGGGCTTCTACCCCCAATTGGCTCCACAACAGGGGGCCACTTTGAGCGGCGAGCTGCGCAAAGAGCAGCCAGGCTGGCGGCTGCCGAGGCAGAGGCATCGCAGCTGGGCATTTTGGGCAACGCGGATGCAACTCGAGAAGCGATCTTCCAGCCAAACCTGGCGCCTCAGGAGGGGTTCACACCCACGTCTGCCATCTCAGACAGCTCCTTGAGGTATGCAGCAACTGATCTAGAAATTCTCGATGTTTGTGCCACCTGTTGCTTCAACCAAGATGTTTCCGAGCACCGCAGTGTGGCAGGTTCTCTTCTGCACTGGCACGTCAGAATGTTAGCCTTTTATTTGCAGAAAACATGGAGCGGAACCAGAAAAGAACACGTGATCCACCTATCTTTTTAAATGCGGAATGGGTTTGTGCAGGTCAGAATGCGAGATCCGCCTCGAGAAGTTTATGCCCATGAACTTGGACTACCCTGGGCTAAACCTGCTGCACTCCGACCCGCCAATATTCAGCATAGACAATTTTCTGACCGCAGAGGAGTGCGAAGGCATCATCCAAGGAGCAGCAGGTCTGTTTTCAAGTTAAAAAACATCTATGTGCCCCTGTGAGTAGGGCCAAAACAGCTGCGCTCTTCAACGTGAGTTATTGGTAGAAAAGGCAGGCCTGTCCAATATTGGAATGATTGCATTAGAGAAGATCTGGATTCCGTGGGTTTGACGTGCCATGGTAGAGAAGGTGCCAAGACAGGAAAGCTGGAAGGGAGCTAATGAAAGGTTGCTCCAATGCACCTAGCCCTGTGGGCTGGCACAAGCATGTCATGATGTGAGTGGTCAAGGTTTGACAAGTGGCAGCCTTCCTTGGAACACATTCAGGGAACTCTGTTTGCTTGTGCAGGTCGTCTGGAGGCATCGTATGTGGGGTCAGGCAATGCGAGCGAGGCGGCGGCTGGGAAGGCTGTGATAAGCCGGCGCCGCACGAGCCAGAACATGATGATGGACGACTTCATGACCACCAAGAACCCCAGAATGGCGCGCATTGTGAAGAGCCTCCACTCAAAATCCCTTAGCCTGTTTTCCGCAGGTGCTTATTCTTTCCTTCGCTTGACATTGTCTCATAACGCTACACTTCCGCTCAAGTACACTGAAAGGAAAGCACAGAAACGGATGGCCTTAAAAAAGTGTTCTGTTGGTGAAAGCTGCTTGCAGTTCTGGGACGTACCTGATATGTGCAAAATGGCAAGAAGAGGGAAGCTGATGTGCAGGTGATGGGGAGACGTGGGGAACTGCAGGGAGGCTCCCAAAGCCAGGGCAGTTTTGCTTTGAGTCTTTGCAAGTGGCGCGATACCAGGACGGTCAGTATTTCATGGCTCACGAGGTGAGAACTGCTGCTGAATTTCTATGGGCCCAATGATGATGCCTGACCGGGGGGTACAAAAAGACCCCCTGTAGACTTCAGTACCCTCTGGCGTGATAGGTGCAAGGGTGACTAAATAGTCCTGAACCCGCCACATGGCTTTTTAGCATGAGCTGATCTTTTTGATTTGTATGTGCAGGATGCATTCCCTCTGCATGTGGTGCCTGAGAACAGATTCCAACGAACTGCAACACTGCTGCTCTACCTCAACAGCGTGGAAGAGGTGCAATTCTTCTTCTTGCTTTTACGGAATTCTGCATCTGCAAACAATTGCCAGACCGCGCTCTTCACATGATGTGCCATTGTTGACTTGTAGGGGGGAGCCACACACTTTGAGCTGCTGAACATTTCGGTGAAGCCTGCCTGCGGCAAAGCACTGCTCTTCTTCCCTGCCTTCATGGATGGCAACCCTGACCCCAGGTGAGCACCTTTCCACAGATGCTCAGCAGGACATCTGCCAACATGGGTATAATGCTGTCGGATGCGAGGCGCGCAATTTGGCAGGCATGGACCAGCATTTGTCATGTCTGACTTGGTCGTGTGTCCGAGCTTATGCATCTGCCTGCATGTCAATATTTTCTTGCAGTCTTGCTAAGCTCTTGCAGTCTTTGCTTACATCAAGAGCTGCACAGCCTTAGATGCCCTTTTTGTGTTGCCAGGACCCTGCACACAGCCACAAACGCCTTGGACACAAAGTGGATTGCGCAGCAGTGGGTGGCATGCGGACATGCCGTGCCGAGCGCCCCAGTCGCGACAAAAACCTTTTCCTTGAATGTAAGCCCGAAGGAGAGCCAGCAAGGACCACCAGGTAAAGCCAAAGGCAAGAAGGCAGACAAAACAGCTAAGAAGGCTGTGAAGAAAGGCTTTGGAGCAACGTGAGGGATTCTGAGCGATCTGAGAGAAAACGTGATGAGTGATTTTGCGCGGCAATCCAAATGAGAATTTAAGTGTCACTGACCTTGGCAGGTAGATTTTGCACTCGTGTATCAATGTGATGCTTCTATTGTTGTGTTTGTGGGCGTGGCTCTGAGTTGTGGTGCATGTGTCAACTGATATCAATAGAGGAACGTGCCACACAATCATTGATGCATATGCTGGACATGTCCAGGCTATGTACATGTCGGATATGATATGCCAGCAGACTGCCAGTCCTGTGAATTTTACACAGCAATGTTCGCATGCACTTGCAGTTTCATCATCTGATGGGTGTACATATCTTCAACATGTAAGCTCTCCACACATCTCTTGCTAAAAAACCATCAATTAAGGCGATGCCAAGAAGGCCACCGAACATGAAGGACAATCCCTCTGACGTATTGAACCTGACCTAAATCCAATCAGTTGACTTGCACAGTGTGACACCTGCTCTAAGGGCAATGTATCATCCGTATGGTACATACAATCTACAATGCTACAATATCCCTCTCAAATCTGCAATACAGGCCTTCAGAAGGCCTTCATTCTCATCATTCTCATCAGTACGAACATAGCAGTATATATGCAGGGCTGCTATTTCAAATGAACATGCGTACAATATTGTACAGGATCTGACCAAATGCCGAGTGCCCCTCAGACACTGCTTAATAATACAAGTGCCAATCCATCCACAACAATGGTCCCTCTGCATGACGATAATGCTGAGTCTGCCCCTTAATTGCGGTCTGCATGCACATAGTCCACAAAGCCAAGCTGCTTTGGCCATTCAACTGTTTTGGTGAACCATTTTGTGGACCAATACCAAAGTGCCACAACCCCTACGGCCTCATACCACGGGCCGCCGCCATTGAGCACAAAGAGCGCCGTTCCAAAGACTAGCAGCACATTCCAGATCTGCACGCAGCACACATTGTATCAACATGCATGCTTCAGCAGTGACACAGGGAAACTCATGACACTGCCGAATGATTGCTTTCCAACAACCCTTCGAGATAACCGGAACATATTGCTGAGCAGATGCCTTCTTGACCATCAAAAACCGCGGTGACTATGCACACTGGACTGAAGTAAGGCAGACGAAGAAGCCAGTGCAGCGAGAGCTTACTGTAGCAGCCACGCGCATGTAGCCATTGACAGCCAGCATGGTCTGGCAGGAGGGGCAGTTGGCGACATGCTGCTGCCTGCGGCCGAGCAGGGCCTCCCTGTCCGTGGTGGGCGGTGGCAGCGGGGGGGTCCCCGGTGGCCAGGAGGGCCCCCCACCTGCCGAGCCCAGCAGCCAACCGTAGAACTTTTTGACCAGCACATCTGCTGAGGACGGCAGGTGGAATCCTGCCTGGGACCCTGCAGCGCTCACATTGTGCTCCTGCACGCACAGATCATCTGTCAGGCAAAGGAAAGTCTTCATTCGTGCACGGCTCAGCCTGTGAACAGCGCCTTGGAGCATTAAGTACATGTACAGGAAGCACAGAGTGAGAGAAGTAATTGTCCAGAGTTTCTTAGATCCAGTTAGAAGACACGTACATCATAGCCACAAGGCTAACCTCTATAAAGAATGCATCTGGATGCCATCGAGAAATGTGAACAAAGTCTGTGGATTTGGATACACAGAGCACACATTCCCTGCAGCAACCCTCTGCAGTCTCAATAGAGGAACCATCTCCTTGCATTGAGCAAACCTGGCCGTGCAGCAGGCCTCCGACAGCCTCGAAGATGGGGTGAAGGTACATGTGCCGCTTGCTGCGCTCCTTGGCCACGAAGAACTTCTCAGCGGCTGCCACCAGGTGCTGCAGCTGGGCCTTGCCGGCGCCAAAAGGGGCTTTCAAGGCCTTGAGCCTGTCTAGGGCGGCGCCCCCCGGCGAGCCGGCCTTGTGCCAGTAGAACAGGCGCGAGCGGCCGGGCGAGACCGGCAGAATGTACATGCCGTGGATCACGTGGCCGTTCGCGCCCACAAAATCATGCCTGCAGACAACCAGCATGTCAGCATCTGTTCGCCTGTTGTATTCCAGGGATGTGTAGTGTGCTTCGTGGAGACATGACCGACTCCTATGTGAATTTTCTGATTGACAGAGCCACTTTGATGCATTGTTGTCACATAAATTGTAGAGTGATGTGGTTGTAGTGTGATGGTGCTGTGCGTTGTCCTGTGATTGTAAAAGGGTTGCACCATTTCTTCCGTCTAGGAGGTCCTCTAAATATATATAACCAGAGAAGCTGGGCTGCAATTACTCATACGACAGGAACACAGTACCTGCAGTGTTGAGCTTGATGTGCATCATCCAGGTGCCATCATTCAAGTGATAGATACGAGAGGCGCTGAAAGCCAACAATGCATGCACTGTAGATGAAAGACTCGCAGAAGTGAAAGAAGCACGGGTGGCCTCTGGCAAAGAGATGACTAGAGATATGGACGTGGGCGCGCACGTGATGTGGCAGGGTGAGTTGAAGGTGACGGTTGCGTCGTAGGGGTGTCCTGCGGGTCTGAATGCGCGAGCGCACTCCATAGAGATGACCGCAGAGCGGCCCTCGGTCTTGCACTCTGTCAGGGTGCTCGGCATGGGCTTGCCCTGATCCCTGCAGACGCAAGGCGTTCCTTCTTTTAGCCCCTTTTGGTTGGATTTCCATTATGGTGTGTTGCATGGCAGTGCCTCAGGAGAATGGCACAATCCCACTCTGCCTTGAATTGTCGATTTGGACAGCAAATCTAGTTTGGTGAAGTTTTCAATTCCAGCTCCCAGGGTGATTGAAGTATTTTCGAGGTTTGGGCAGAAATTTTTGAGAGCACACACTCAGTGGAGGAAAGTGACTGTTGCAGCAGCTTGACATGGGGATAGGGACGTGCCTGTTGAAGAGGCCGATGCCATGAAGGGTGAAGGAGCAGGCGGAGGGATCCAGTAGCATCTCCATCAGCCCAGCATAGCCGTAGTAAAAGTCCCTGATGTACCAGTCAACGTACTCCAATGACTCCTGCCGGAACCAGCCACACAGAAATATTGTGAATTATTAGCACGACTACCAACACGCTGCAGGCATGACAGACCTGAGTGGGGGGTAAACATGCAGGCAACCACTGTGGGCAGCTTTCCGAGAGGTCCCAGACCAGGATTAATAGCCTCTTTAGACTCCACACTAGGAGCTCCAGCCAATATCTCACAAATGGAAGTGTTCCAGCATGCCAGCAATTCCTATGGGGAAGTGCCTTCTTTGGAGATCTGTTCTCCAGCCTTCTGGAAGGTTGCAGCGTACAATCAAGTTGCTGAGTCCTGGGCAGGGCAGAATTGCATGACCACCCTGAAAGGTGGCACGCACCTCTAGAACAGTGTCCACCGAGGGCAGCACGAGCGATGAGTCACGCGCGGCACTTGGTGAGCTGTCAGGCCAAACCCACACGGCGCCTGCGCGCAGCTGAACCGGGAACGCCTCCACACAGGCAGACGAGCTGCAACATGCTGACGCATCCTCTGCCTGAACCACGCAGAAAAGAATGTGTCTGACAATGTCATGCATGAATCCGGGAGGAAAGCCGTATCAGAAGTCAACGATCTGCCCTGCATGTAAAATTGCCCTTGATGCGGAGGATAGCATGTGCGCCCATGAATATGGGCTTTGTGGAATGCTGTACTTGGGGCGTTTGCAAGTGTTCCTGATGGAGAGCAAAGAGTTCCGCGGTTGGGGAGGGACAGCACCTGGGGAATCCGGGTGCACTGGCCCTGGCCATTGTACTGCCAGCCGTGGTATGCACATTGGATGTCGCCATCCTTGACGCGGCCCTCTGCAAGGCTCCATCACCAGATGAGTCAGCTTGAACGTATGTGTCTGGGCTGCATTTACAAAGCCCTACTCCTGACACCCTGAGCTCGATGCGGAAAGCCTTCACATGTACCTGAGAGTGGCGCATATCGGTGAGCGCATCGATCAACTACGCAATTCCACTCCCCATCAGACCCTTGCCACAGGACAAGTTTCTTCCCCAAGAGCGTCACTGGGATTGGCTTGGACCCATCGACGTCCGCCAAGATCGCCACTGGGTACCAGTTGCGCTCCCAAGAGAATTTGTCGTCGTCCAAGTGGACTTTGGTATCCCCTGATGTGTCTGCCAGGACTGAGTGACCATTCTGCTGAAACCTGCATCTGACCTCTGCCTGCCTTTGCGAACGCCAAGATGACGCCTTACAATTTACTGTATTTTTGCTCACCCTTGGCCGGAGAGAGTTAGCTGGTTGCGACAGAAATCTGACATCCGAACGCTGATGAGCAGGGTTCGAGGCAACTGAAACGGAGAGTGACAATCTCATTCTGGCAAGATAGCATTACTGGAATTCTTCACTATTTAAACAAGGCGTTGACATAAACTGATTATACCAAATAGGTTGATGCCGGGAAGCTTTCTTGGAAATCGTTTCTGTGACGTCACCGATGAGTATTCTTGGCGCGCCTTCCGTTTCTCTTTTGGTCTGGGACTTCCGCCCCTCTAAAACTGCCACAACATATCTTAACAGACTTTTGGAATATCTTAGCGATCTTGATTGTGATTTCCAGTTCGCATTGAAGTCGGACGCGAGACGGTGACGGAGAGATTGTGCTGCGTCAGCACTCAGTCAAGATGCTGAGCCACTCACAGCGTTTGGCTGGGCCACAATATTCGTGCAGCACATCCCTGCAAAAAACGCACCATAGTGGCAGAGGCGCAAAAACTTCGAGACCAAGGCCATGCAGCTGTGCTGTTGGCTTAACATCAAGGCCCACGTCTGGCTCTAAGGTTTGTCACACACAAGATCAAACCTCAAAGGACGCATCCTGTGCTTCTTACACCTTTCAATGCTTACAAAGATTAATTTGTGCTTTTGGAAGTTTTACATTTCCTAGTAGTGAAAAGTCCACAGTACCAGGAAGGCACGCAGAGAGGTTTCCTTCAGATGCTAATGACGATCTGCCTTGACGACCTTCTGTGCATATCGTGGTTTCAGGCAGCGGGCCAGCACTTCAGTCTCAGGCCTCTGCATGGCGATCTTGGAGTGGAAGTTATTGGTGTCAATCTGAAGGGTGGCATCAGTCCTGAGCTGCACGCGGAGCTGCAGAAGGTCATGCACACGAAAGACCTGCTGCTCTTCCGCGGCCAGGTCAGCACTGTTCTTCTGTGCTTGCCTACATCATTTTCTAAGCCCAACAGAAGTGTGAAGAAGAAAACCCCAGAGAGAAAGGATTCAAAGGAGAGCTTCCACAAGGAGCCTTGTTATCATGTGCCCCTTGCCTGCCTTCAAGCCGGCATTTCAGATTACAAGGGAACAGCATTTGTGAAGGGATGAGAGCTGCACATTTCTTGGTGCTGATGGCTTCTGGTGCAGGATTTGGAGCCCAGGGACGAGGATGCCTTCATGAGGGGCTTCCCGCACAACGAGCAGGCTGTGGCCTCTGAGAACCTGAGCAACCATTACTTCAAGGACTGGCGCGTGCCAGACCACAAGCTAGTGGCAGTGAGTGCCCTCCCTTTTCGTAGATCCAGACCTGCATTCCCCTTTCATTTGGCTCATGCAGAGCCATGCACATCTTCAATTTCTTCTCTGTACGAGGCGAACTTGAAAAATAGTCAAGCAGGTCACTTGATTCTTCTTTGAGGACAGAGATTGGACCTCAGCACAGAATTACTAGTCGGTGTGCCTACAATGGTATGTTAACAAATCTCCTGCTCTATTTGCTGCATGCAGGTCCAGTTCAGCGGCCTCAAGCTGGAGAACCATTTTGGAGTGACCTCAGAGAAGTTCAACCTGTCGGCCAAGAACAAGCAAGCCGGCATCTCCTTCAAGACCCTCTGGCACATGGACCTCGCACAGAATCAGGTCCTGCCCCAATCTCTGCGCACATGTATTTTGCACCGCCGCAAGCTTCTTTCATGGTCATCTTTCACTTGGGCCTGGACTATAGCACCCCTTACTCACTGCTTGTGCCTGCAGCTGTGAATCTAAATATACCTCACCGGGTTACGTCCCTTCAGTACCCATGCGCGGATGCATGCAGCTCAGGAGATGCATGCCTGAGGGTGAGTGGTTTTTGACATGGGCATCATTAGCGTCTGACATGCTGTCGTGGCTGTGCAGATCCCGCCCGAGTGGGTGTCTCTGTACATGCTGCAGAAGCCCACCAACGGCGGCGACACTCTCTTTGCCAGCACTGTCGGTGCCTACGAGCGCCTCAGCCCTGACCAGAAGAAGCTCGTCGACTCCCTGGAAGTTGTCAACAGGTGAGATGCCCTGCACCCAAGCCTGCTTGCCTTGTTTGTCTGCATGCATGCAATGCATATGTAGGGCTTGTTTGCACAGGTGGTTCTTGTGCACAGATGCACTGGGGATCCACTTCTTTCACCGTAGGTGATGCACTCATTATAGAGGAACTTGTCAACTCAGCTTTGCAAGCCAGCATTACGGGTTCACTCTATGTGACCTCTGAGGTTTGTACTCCTGTGGTCCTTAAATCTGGCGTGTGAACTCACAGGCGGCCAGACTCGTTCGAGGGGACCTTTCAGATTGATGAGACTGGCACGTGGACGAATGATCCAGTCCAAGCCTCGGGGAGAGTCGACTTGGAGCCCTCTCGCCGTTTTGAGTACACACAGCCCTTTGCCATAAGGTGCGCTTGAGAGGGATTCATGATTCATGGCTAATTGCAAGTCATCCTTGCAAGGATGTTTGCCTCTGCATCCTGCAAATGAGTGAGCCTTGGCTAGCCAAATGTTTCAATGGTGAGGGTAGCGGTTGCCCTGTGGCTGCCACAGCTCCTGAGCCTGCCGCTCTGTGAGTTAAGAGGATTGCACTGCGTAACATTTATGCGGTGTATGGCATGGGCTTGGGCGGTGTATGCATTGCATTATGAGCACCGAATGCGCAGAGTGTCATTCTGATCAAAGGCAGAGGTGACGTGAAGGTCAAGCCAAGTGCTCTGGCGTGCCTGCAGGGATCCGTACACAGGGCAGAAGTCGCTGCTGTACCACACGCGATTCTTCCACTGCTTCAAGGGCTACACTCGCGCGCAGAGCCGCGCTATCATCGAGGAAGTGCTCCTGCCGGCCATCGCGCCGGAGAACACCTACCGGCACGAGTGGCGCAACGGCGACTTCATAGCCTGGTGTGCACCAGTCCTCCAATCTACAACAGCCTCGTCCTCCTTATAGCGGTCCTGAGCCGTGCAATCCCAGTACTACATTGCCGATGCGCCAAATTAGGCTGACAAAAGTGGACATGCTGGATCCCTATGCAGCAGCGCTGTTTTCACAGCGCTGGGTGAAGCGCCATCTTGTGGCTTCTCCTGTGAGTGAAGCTGGGTTCACAGTGTTGCTAGGATACATGTAGATGTGGCAAATGTGCTGCAGTGCACCTCATCCTCCATGGCACAAAATGTAATTGAATGTGGCCCTGTTGTTGCTGCAGGTCCAACCGCAAGATCGTGCACACCTCTACGGACCCGGAAAAGTATGCTGACGAGGCGCGCCTGTTTCACCTCGTCTTCCTGGACTCGCAGCAGCCCCTGCTGCCAGCCTCCGCCTAATATGGCTCATGCACTCAGGGGAAAGAATCAAATGACAAAGTTTTCTTCTACGCCCCTTTCTGATGCAGTGCAAGCCCGGTCGGCGCAAAGCTGACTCGGCGCGACCCTGACATGCACCTATCAGTTGCAATTGGAGTTTGGATCATGCACAGGCCTTACTAAGCAGCAAATTTGCACACAGCAGGCAGCTGCAAAGGTGTTGTTGAAGGAACACGAGCCCATCCAATGAGGGTGTTGATTGTATGTACTGTACCTTGCCAGAGAGAACGGACGCAGATGAGGATGTGTATCATGAACAAAACAGCCAAAATACGAGCAGGACTTGGTGGTATGCAGCAGAGATTCAGATCAGTAGTTCAGAGTGGGTCAACAACGCATGCAAGATGTAGTCAGGGTGGCCGATGAAATGAATCCGCCAGAGATACTGGTTGGACAGCACAGCCTAAACCAGATGGATTGAGATGAGATAGAGAATTGCAAAGGCAGGGGTATTGTGAGATTGCTTTCGTTGCTGTTGGAGATGTATTACTAAACTGTTGTCATTGGTGTACAATGCATGTATACAACCCACGATTCCTGGTAAAGCGTATTGTTTTGGGTTTTCTTGAAGCGCTGATCAGAAGGGAATGTCCACATATGTCATTAAGCGGGGTCTCAGCTGAGATGCTCTGGATCTGAGTGCAGATATATCTAATTAAGTGATTGGTGAATAGATTGCATGATACTGTATCTGTTGAGAGTTGACCAAGATGGATTTCTGTAGAGTTAAATGCATGCCTGACCACCTGATGCAAAGTGTTTATTGAGAGTCAGTGATGTTGCAATGCAGACATATCTGTGTGTGTTGAGCTAGGCAGTGAAAACTCACTCATATTCACATGCTGTAACATTCTGTTTCGATATCTTTTCAAGCTCAATCATGATTTTCACAATTTGAAGCCTTCCCCAGCTGCGATTGTCAAGCTGCAAGATAGCTTCAAAGCAGGCAAGCATTCATTTAAATGAAATTTCCAGACAATAAGATCAGAACCTGAATTGTGCCTCGATCCTTTGCCAACTGATTTTGTGGCATATTCCAACAATCCTTATGGAACCAAAGGGTCCACTATATTTGAGGAAGCAAACACTGGCATCAGACCCCTTCACGCTGACAGAAGCTGTTGATACAGGTTGCGCACAGTGTAGTGCGAAGGCAACATCGTTCGATAGCACGAATTTAAGGTCCTGTGAGTACTCATTCAAAAGACCTAACAAATGCAGGGAACATGCATTCAGGAGATGGCAGCGGCCTTCCGGGCCTGCGTGCTCTTCTTTTTTCTCCTTCTCCTCTCCTTCCTCTTTGCCTGCTCCTCCTCCTCATCATCCTGCAAGCATGGCTCTTACAATCTCACAATGCCACAGCTTCACACCTCTTCCTGAGACTATAAGGAAAATGTTCCCCTGTGAATTGGACCAAAAGATTTACCTGCACGCCCAAACAATGTCCTCAAAAGCCCAGCCTATGGTCTGCAACTCACACCCAGGCCACATCTGCGATTGGAAATTGCACAGTTCGCCTTTGAATCGCAAATGCAATAGATTGCATGCAGGCCAACTCTGCAACTGGGAATCGCAATCGATGCGAGCGCCAATCACATCCAGGCCAGATGTGCAACTGCCAGTTGCAGGGTGCAATCTCTACAGGGGCTGAACACCTTCTGCCATAAAAACCTACGCACTTCCAGCACTGAAGATACTGTGAGTGACAGCGCACCGAATCCAGATTGCGCATGGTGATCTCCGGCCGTCCTCCCCTGCCGGGATCCCCGCCATTGCCGCCACCGCCGCCGCCTCCCCCACCACCGCCGCCACCGCCGCCGCCTGGAACAATGCTGACTCAACTCAGCCAAGGGTCTGCTTACTGCAAGGGATAGTCTCAGTCTCACTCGCAAGTAGATGCTCGTAATGCTGACAGTCAAGATGCCTCTCACAGTGCTACTGACTCCCAAGCGCAAGCATTGGCAGCAGCCAGCTGCTCAGTGATGAGCACCTGCTTGTTCTGAAATTGCTTACGTTCAGTGAGGCGCTGCAATTCAGAAACGTCTCCGCTTCTTATATCCCAGGTGATAACTTTGTCCCAGGCGAGTTCCATGAACTGACATGCGCCCCATGTAATGACCTATCAACGCCATATCTGAGAGCCTGTGTGAGTGTCTGAGGAGCTGCAGGAAAGGAGGCTAGAAGAGATGTGCACCTCCGCCGTCACCGCCGCCGCCGCCGAAGAAGCCGCCGCCGCCGTTGGAGCCCTCCAGCACAAAGTAGAGGCCCAGCAGCACCAGGTTCAGGGCCACGTTGCGTATAAACTTGTCGCCGCCCCCGCCGCCCCCGCCGCCTTGCTGCAACAGATTGATCACCAAAAGTATAAGCTTTGTTTCAGCTGTAAAGCATAGACTTTTTCAGTTTTGAAATTGATCGTTCCGGCTGCTATCAGAGCTCACAAAATAGGCCCTTGGGACAGACATTGATGCTCATCCCGACAGTGCCTGGGCGGCAACAGGTCTGTGCTGTTGGGATTCAAGTCCTCATGCCGCAGAACAGAAGTTCACACGCGTGAGCCGCGTGAAGCAGGCAGGCAAGCCTGGTTAGGATGAGGAGACCAAGCAGGACAGAATGCAGGGCCTTACGTTATCGTTTATGGGTGGCAGGATGGGAGGCCCAGTCGTCCGCTTCTTGGTGGTTGTGGGTGACCCCTGCTTCTCTGCAGCCATCACCTGCAGCTGGCCCCTGGGAATGCATGCCTGCATAGCCCACCAATGACAATCAGGACACCTCAGCAGCACACCTGTCCACCTGACACTCAGTGCCGACGGATGGGAAAGGCAAGCAGCTAACAGCAATTGTCCAGAGCATTAATGCATTCATTCTGCAGTCGATGAGATCATCATTCCGGTTCATATGCTCAAGGTTCCAAATCTCCTCAGTGTGGAGCGGTACAAGCTCAGAACGGCAAGATGTAGCAGTTTCCGGTGCGCCAGGAACATCCCTTTCAGCTTAAAACTCTCAAAAGTAGGTAATGACTATTATATCGAAGAGAGCACAAAACGACAGTGAAGATCAAGGTGCAGCACCTGCTCACTGCGACTCTGAAGCTGCTCAAACGGTCCCCTGTGGCCCGTGCTTTGCCGATGTTGCCGTTCTCGTAGCTTGAGAACTTGCCTGGATGCGCAATTCGCTGTCGCGATTGGTGTTGCCTGACCCTGCAAGGGCAGCTTTCCAAGGTCAGGTGTGAGCAAAATGCAAGCAGAAAGAGATAACACGCGACACTTACGCACTTCTCACTCACGCACTTCTCGCTCTAATGCACACAACTCCGTTGAAGAGCACAGGTGCCAGACATTGCGCTAGATATCACCTGGATAAGAGGAGGACACAACTGGACTTCCGTCTAGTCAAGATACTGGTAACTTCTCCTGCTAGCGTGTACCATGAATGCAATTGCATACTGATACAGTAGCAGCAATCAAATAATTACTATGTCTAGAGAACATACCGATCGGCGAGACAAGGGCAGGGTGTGTTGGCACAACTGTAAGTTGCTAACTCTCTGGCCTTGCATGTCCTTTTAGATCGTACGTGTTAGGAAAGCGTATTATATATGATATCAAATTACTCAGATTGGGCCTTCTTCGCGCAAGACAAGGATACCGCTGTGGCCGATCATAACGCATGTGCACAACAAAGCGATGGCTGAACAGCGATAGGTCGGTCTCCGTAGGCGTGCCCTCCAAACATCATCACGTGGCGTTCCTGAGCCAGAACCCTCTCTTGCTTTCCTTCATGCTGCACATTCTCTACGATGGCAGCAATCGTTCAATTCAACCTTTGCAGAAAAATTCAACCACAGAATTGGAAGGGGACAGGTATGCAACTGTGCCTGCTCTAATCATGACGGCACTTCAATTGATAAATTTGTCCCCCGGGCCCACGTAATGCACTCAAGGATAATCGAGGGAGTTATTTCTTTGGGAATTTGAAAGCCGCAAGCACAGAATCCAGGGTGACTACCTCTCTCACTATCGACTGTCAAAATTTATTGCATCTCAAAATAGGCCACCAAAAATGTGGTGCCAGCAGTATGCCGCAAGCTTCACTGACCGCCAAAGTAAATGTAATTGACTTAATTCGACATTATATCAACCACCAAAAAGCTCACTCCTTGCTGCGCTTGTTCTTGCCCCTGGCTGGCTCTGGCGTGTCAGGGTAGCACTCTTCGAGCAGCTGCGTTTCATCCAGGGAGTCATCACTGGACCCATGCCTCAGTGCAACCACATTGCTGGCCGTCTCTCCCTCGGGCACTTCTGAGGTATCCCTCGAGGCTGCCTTGCCATTGCTGCTGGCTGCTACACCCTCCCTCTCCCTTTCTCTCTCCATCTCCAGCTGCACATAGCGAGACTGAAGTTCCCAACAAGGTGTTCCAAAAGTCTACATGTGACCATCACTCCACAGTTCTGAGGGATTGAGGGGACTTCTTCAATCAAGGCTGCTCTTTATCTTGATCACTGGATGCAAGGCATGCACCAGTGAGTGCCGGGCAGGGGACCGCACTATTTTCAGGCCACCCCAGGCCAGCAGGTCCCCAAGCATTGTTAAGACTGCTGCCGCAGCTCTCACAAAACAAAACATTGGAAGAAATCCCGCATAATAGCACACCTGCCCCTGCCACCATAAGGCACTCTGCAGTCTTCCAAACAAGCACAAACTGGAATACCTGCATGTAAGGCGCACCTGCCAACCCCGGTCTGACAGTATCCGAAACCCTCAAAAACTTTCAAATCAGGCACTGCTCGAATTTATGCCAGCGCACCTGCCGCCGTTGTTGTTCTGTGGCGCGCGAGACGCTGTCGTCAGATTTGCTCTGCAGGCTGGCGCTGGCGGGCTGGCCGCTCTGGCGCGCCACGAGGGAAGCATAGGTCCCCCCCTCCATCACCAGTTCCTCGTGCGTTCCCTCCTCCACGATCCGCCCCTGCTCCATCACCACGATGTTGTCCGCCGAACGCACCGTCGACAGCCTGCGCGCACATGCCGCTACTTTCAGATATGTTGTATATTTTTGCTTTAGTGCATTAGTGCTAGGCTGCAGACTTGTTGTAGGCCCCGCAGTGGGCCCTGCTTTGGATACTGAGAGATTTGCCGCCACATGGCCTATCATCATTCCGACTAAAAGAGATTCCTTTTGCATGAGATCCTACCACTAATCAGGGTCGGGGGTATCCAGCAGAACAACTGAAGGGGCGGATGCAAATGAGGAGTCATTATCCTGCTGAGTATGCCACATCATCTACACCTAGTTTATGATTGTTTTGAGGTAGCCAACATGCCACGTGCATTCAGACTTGTGCAGGTTTGCCCCTGCAAACTGCTGTCTGTTCTCTCACATTTGCATCTTCCAGGAATCAACGAGCTGTACATTTTGGCAGACATGCAATCTCTGTCTACAAAGTGCTCAGCCACAAGAGGCATGACAGGTTGTCTGCAGTGCGCAGGTCCCCCCCAAGCACGCTGCAGCTGCCGGCGACCCCCCCTGCGGCGGTGCCGTTCCCCCCGCGCAAAACCAGGGACATCCATGGGGCCATACCTGTGTGCAATGACCAGCACGGAGCGGCCGGCCGTACGCATGGCCCTGTCAAGAGCCTCCTGCACCGCCGCCTCACTCTCCGCATCCAGCGCGCTTGTAGCCTGGACAATGAGCAGTAAACCTCACGTGTCAGTGCCCTCTGCAGCGATTGGGCAGAGAGAAGAAAACGACATCATGCAGCAGCTTTCAAGGGCCTGAAAACCTTTTCTGCCCCTTTATCTGCCGACGGCAGCTGTGCCTTGAGATCCCAGTCAAGGCATGGCAGCAAGCCAGCAGGAAAGCGCAAGGGGTTAAGGTTGTTGGGACAAGAAGATGATCAGCGGGAGGAAGCAGATGCAGCAGACTGAGAGCATACCTCATCCAGGATCAGGACTTTGGGCTTCCTGATGAGCGCTCGTGCCAGTGCAATGCGCTGCTTCTGGCCCCCAGACAGAAGATTGTCTGTCACCTGAAGCACAACAGAATGCCTTGTTAAACGTAAAGACACTTTTCTTTCGCCTTATCATCACCTCTCCACATTAGGTGCATGGAGCGAGGCATAGAATAGCAACACACTAAAATTCTGTGCATGGCATCAATATGGCCGGTGAAGGAAGTGTAGCATGCCTTTGTGTCATAGCCATTTGGAAGCGCTGTAATGAAGCCATTTGCATTTGCAAGCTTTGCGCTCTCAATCACATCCTCCTGCAAAGTGCAAATCAAGGCGTCAGCTTCAATCGGGATGCACCTAGATACCCCCTAAAACATCAGCATGAGTCATTCAATGAATCAAGGTATACGTTCAAATGTATCAAATTGCCTATGCGCCATCGTTGGCCATAATAGGTTAGGAGAGCTGTGTGCGGCGCACCCGGGTCACTTTGCCTTCCAAGCCATAGGTGATATTGGCGGCCACGGTGTCAGCAAACAGGGCTGGCTGCTGCGAGACCACGCCCAGCTGAGACCTGAACCAGTTGGCATCCAGCTCCTTTATGTCCACCCCATCAGCCAGCACCTGATCGCACCAGAAAATCATCTAAGAGTACAGCTTTTTTTTGAGTTTCTGCTAGCCAACCTCACTGGTAAACTCCCCCACTGTCTCCATGGACGGCACTTATGGACAAGCTATACTGGACTCTGCCCATTTGGAAGGACCTGGAGCCAGCTGGTCCCCAACAAAAATGCCCTGCACGGCAGAGGCCCACCAGCAGGGAGCAAGGAGGCACATGTCGAGGAGCACGGTCTTCTTAATTCACCCCCTTAATGACCCGTACCGCAATGTTGCAATTTCAGCACGACTGCAACGGTTCAGTTCTGACCTACATTGGCAAGGAACATCGAAGCTGGGTAGTGGTTTGCAGATGGCTTCACATGCAGCAAAGTCTTACTAACGAAATTGTGTGATTGTTTCTTTGTCTGCAGCACTCATCAATCTTGCCAACATGTGAAAGGACTGGCGCGCACCTGCCCCTTGGTAGGGTCGTAGTGGCGCTCGAGGAGGGACACAAGTGTGGACTTGCCGGAGCCGCTGAGCCCCACCAGCGCCAGCAGCTCGCCCGGCTTCAGCGCCAGAGTCACGCCGCGCAGCGCCGGCGACTTGGGCCTCGTCGCATACGCGTACCACAGGTCCTTCACCTCCACCTGCAGTGAGGAATTTTGGTCATCATCTCAGTGGATGGATGTGTGTGTATCATTTATAAAGAACGAAAGGCTTGGGAATTCTAATGCCAAGCTTGTCAAGTGAGAGGGAATGCGCAAACGTGCACAAGGTGTTGGTCATTATACAACAGCGCTGCAGCTCTATCCTCATGCAAGCACCTTTTCGTCTGCTGTGATGTCCCAGTGACACCAAGCACTGCAAGAAGTATGGCAAAGGTGACCGGGTGAACATGCAAGGTAAGGTCCACGCTTGCAATGAGATTGTTTTCCAGCATGCATAAGATTCCATTTGCATTCAAACCTCCATATTTACGATTCTCACGAGAAAGGACAATGTCTAATGTCTGCGCAATGTGCAGACTGTCTGCGCATTCCAGACAGTCCCCCCTGGCAGGAGAGGACTGTGACAATGGACTTTGGTCTGAGTGCGAGGAGGTAAGACTGACCCGCCCAGAGAAGCTGGGGAGGGTGCGGCCGGAGGACAGCTGGGGGGCGGTCCCCCGGTCCAGGTAGTCCATGACGCGCTCAGAGGCGCCGATGGACTCCATTATGCCCCCCCACTGGTCGCACACGCTCAGGCTGGCCGCAGTGACAAACTCCACGTAAAGCACGAATGTGGTGAGTTGCTCCGGGCTGATGCGGCCGGCCAGCGCCATGCTGCCACCCACCATCAGCGACAGCACCTGCGCATGCGTCAGCAGCTGATGTCAGCGCTTAAATGTAAACAGCCTGTAATGATGATGGCACGCCAGAAATTTTTGCAAAATCCTGGATGAGCACCCGAGGGGGACTCTACTCTCGGTCTCAATGCCCCGACAAAATGTCCCAAACGGCATTGCAGGCCACCAAGCCAGCAGCTTATTCGAGTGAGTGTCACTTGACGTGCCGGCATGACATCATGCGAAGAGACCCTCTTTAGGGTGCCTGTGCTTGTTGACTAAGATATTGCCGGCTCGCGAGGCCCGTCCAAGGCATGAGCATTCCATCTGCCATCCAAGGGTCAAGTCTCCTATGCAGATGCTCTGAGATTGCTTCAAAAAAACCTACACACGATCTCGAAACCCGGGAGCAGCGGCGGGAATGGCCGTACCTCGCAATCTTAATTGATATCTTGCGTACAAGCACAGCTTCGGCTCTAGCCTCGCATGGGGCCAGGCAAGAGACTGTCAACAGCAGATCGCGCCTTGGTGAGGTTGAAGAGGGAGGCGTTGGTGACGAGGTAGAAGAGGTAGGCGGTGGCCTGGCGGATGGAGATGCGCCGCAACATCGCCAGGCAGCGCCGGTAGCGCCCGGTCTCCTTTTCCTCCGTGCCGAATGTGCGCACCGCCCGCGCCAGCAGAAGCACCTCCTCCGCCACCTGAGCGCACAGACTTATTCAAACCTTCTGGTGATTTCCAAACACATTGCTGTCATCCTGTCGTTGGCAGTAAGAGAAGCGAGGCTTGTTGTGCCTCATGCACCTCCAAAGAAGCTTCCAGACCAACAAATGGGCTCAAGATTGTGTTGAGAGAATCATCAATTAAGTACCATTCCTGCACATGCACCTATTGGGGAGGATTTCTTGACCGGGGTGGGGCACTGCCCTGGCAGGAGACACCACATGCATTGTGCGGCTGCTGTTCCGTGACTGCTTCCATCCATTCAGCTGCAATACAAAATCTTTAATGCGCTCCTTCAGCTGAGGGGCAGGCGCACCTGGTTGGTCTCTGCGAGGCCGTCCTGGTAGGCGCGCTGGGCTTTGCGGGTGAAGCCGCCGTAGCGCAGAGCCACGGCCCACAGCAGCACCGTCACCGAACAGCACGTCAGCGCCAGCTCCTTACTCAGCATCCACAGGTACACCGCGCCACCTGTGACCAAGTATCATCAGTCACACAACATGCGGGAGCATGCGGAGCACGGCCTCAGATTCCAAGTATTGTACTCACTGAAGACCGCGAAGGTGTTGAGTATCCAGAGCCTCATGCCTGTGGAAGAAGGGACATTCTGCTGGACCAAGATGCATGCTGTGACGGGAATGAGGTAATCTTTGCCCAACAGGCAACGTTCAGCTGTGGCACAAGACATGTGTAGCATGCAGCCATGGATTCGTGCGCAGCATATTCAACAGCAAGCTTCCTGCAGCATGAATCCAGGGTCTCCGGCATCACACTTCTGATGAAACTGCAGAGAGTCGCATGTGACAGTAATACATTATAAGATGAGAACCTCACCGATGCATTGGAGGCCGTTGCGCAGGGCCACATTGAGGTTGGTGGACAGGCACCGCACGACTGCTTGGCAATCTGCGCCGATGCGGCTCGTCAGCACTCCCACCTCTGCAGAGTCGAAGAATTCTACCGGCTGCCGAATCAGCGTGCCAAAGAGCTCCGACCTGGTCGCCACACGGTCATGTGAGCTGTTCTGCTGCCCTTCCATTCAGTAGCCATGCTTGCGCCTGTGCTCACTTCAGCAGGTGCATGCTGTGTAACCTGCCGCAAAGACCTGAAATGTGGAAAGTCGATCCACGTGGCATTTTAATGTCGGAAGTGTCCTCACCTGAGATTTTGGATGAGATCTGTGTTCAAAAGGCTGATCAGAAAGCCTCTGAGTCCGGCAAACAGCCCATACATGACCGACAGCACCTTTGATCCACCATCACGAGAGTCAGTGCAACATTTTGCTGCCTGTAAACTTTGCTGCACAGGCCAAGCTTGTGAGCATTGCAGACCAACTTGTGCTGGCGGGTGAATGAAAGCTTACCGCCAACATTCTCACATTCTGGTAGAACTTTGCGCTGGAACCTGACTCTGTGACGGAGAATATTGTGGCTGTGGTGAAGTGAGGAATGGCCAGCTCTGACAGGGCTGCAACTGCCTGAACACAACAGGAAATTTTGCCTTGGGGGTATGTTTCAACATACCTGTAAATTTCGAACATGCATTCACACAAAGTTCCTTAAATAGTGCACAAGCAAACTCACCATGCAGAACAGTGCAGCTGCCAGCATCAGCCCATTCACTTCCATAATCTTCCAGAGCTTTGATGCAATGGATCCAAGTTTCCTGGCCCTCTGTGCCTTCTCATTCTTCGGCTCTCTTCCCAGGGACCACCAACTGTCCCACGCTTGGAGTGGTGCACTGAAAAAGGATTTCCGCCCCTTCGGACCCTCATCCTGGCTGGGTGCAAGAGCGGCTGCTGATGCCGTGGCCAGGATGGGCGACAGTCTGCATCGAGAGCGTCGTTGCAGCCTGCTGTTGCTGTGAGGGTGCCCGTTGCTTGGGATACGAGCGGCCCCCAACGAAGGGATTCTCCCAAGCTGCTTGGCCCGTAGTCGAAGGCACTCTGATTGGCGGGATAAGAAGCCGTACTGGCAACGCCGCGTTGCAAGTCCCATAGGTACAGGGAGCATGCATCCGCTCGAGATATGGCTGTGTAGCAGCATCTCCTGATGCTCAATCGCCTCAGGTTTGACACATCACAATGTCAAACTAAATTTAGCCACGCTGTATGAAGGTGTCCAGCTGCGGAATATGCTGCAAACCTACAGTGTCTTGCACATTAACTGCCAAGTGCAGTTTTTTAATTCACTTGGAAGAATGCTTTTCAGCTCTTGTGAATGGATCAACACAAGTTGTTCGTGAGGACAGTCCAATTGTGGCTATACTCGATTTTAATCTCCCCCCATTATCTTGTGTAGATGGCTGTGGCCAGAGATCCAGAGGAAGCTGAGGCGAACGCTAGTCCACGTGACTGTTCACATGCAGGGACATTCTTGGACCCCGAAAGCTTCTGGATAATAGTGCACAAATGAACCTGTTGAAGTGAAGACAAGCACTGCATGCATCTCCTGACAGTTGCCTAAACTACTGACAGGTTCACAAACGCTGTAAGAATCTTGATGCCGATCAGGACGATCAGGAGCCTTGTCAGTGTTTGTCGGCAAGATCAGGACGTTACAAAGGGCTTTTTTGTACGAGACATTCACAGATCAATAAACCAGAAAAGGAGTGTCTACCAATGTGCTTCGAAAAACGCGACGGTTCCCCGCCAACAGATCGCTGCTCCTAATTCTGATGATAGCGGCAGAAAGGTCGATGGATGGGAGGAGAAAACGGATTACGTCTCATTGGACGGCGGGATCGACGGTGCAAATTTTGATTGGTACAAAGCTTGGTACGTCCTTACACAGGCTGGGCCTGCCACGGCTCTGCAGGGACATGCTGCATTTCTAATTGTGCTTGAATGGGACAGGTATCCGGTAGCGATCGATCAGGAGCTCGACCCTGCGGTCCCACACCCTGTGCAACTGCTGGGGAAAAGCCTTGTCTTGTGGAAACCGGGCGGCGAGGAAGCTTGGAGGTCAGCATGCAATTCTTAATGGAAAGAGCAACCCAGCAACCCTGCAACCATATCCAGGATCACTTACAAGCACTCCACACGATGGCCTGATGCAGGGTGTTTGAAGACAGATGTCCTCACAGACTCGCGCCTTTATCAGAAGGGAGAATTGAGCCCACCGATGGCTCATTGTTTTGCAACTATCATGGTAAGTTCTGCCTGTTCCCTTTGAGCTTCCTGACGTCTCAGAGCAAGGACGGGTGCACAAAGTTACGCAGCCGTGATGCCTTGTCAGGTTGGCGATTTGATGGGGAGGGAAAGTGTCTCAACATACCACAGTTGGCCGGGCAGCAGACCAGGATCACAGAATCTGCCAGGTGACTCATGACATCGATACCTGCTTTATAAACATCTGCAAGCTGCTCCAGATTATCGGGGAGAAAGGTGTTATTGTTGACAGAAAGGGGTCTCTACAGGGCATGCGCAGTCAGCTATCCCACTTGTGTGGACGAGAACCTGGTATGGGTGTGGCCCAGCAGCGGCGCAGAAGCTCACAGAGAGGCTGAGAGGCAGAGACAGAACAACGGTGGACCTGGTATCACACCCCTCACAGGGCCTGACGAGCATCTCGTGGATGGCTGGTACATGAGGTGTGCTAGGTTTGAGAGAAATGTTAAATTATGCTATATTTGACTGAATTGTATGTCTCAAGATCTGCATGGGGAAGGACGCTAGCAAGGGTTGAAGAGAGCATGGCTGTGAACGCGAGCAGGGATGTCCCTGTGAGGTGGGAGACAGTGCGAGAGAATGCCTTCAATGACCCCTCCCATGACAATGTGCTGCACCATGGCTATTTCATTGCCAATCGCTCAAATGCTCAGGTCTGGCCTCCGCCAACATTGCCATGGACATGCATCATCCAGCCACCAAAAATCAAAATGAATTGTGTGGTGTGATGCAGACAACGTACACTGTGGAGATTACAGACTTCAATGCCCAGGGTTTGACGTCCTGGTGGCAAAGCGGAGAGGCAAACGCGCAGAAGATCCATTGCAGGTCCATCTTTCCTTGCGCGGCACTTCTGTCCCACAGGAATGGTGTGTGTTCCTGCTGTGGTGTGAGAACACAATGGTTCTTGCAATTCAGATGTCCACTTAGGTCTGCAATATTCCATGCAAATTGTATCAAATTGCATGATGTCACCTTATGTCATCATATCGGTTTGCAGGATCTTCTATGGGATACTTTGTGCCCCTCGCCCCAAACTTGACGCGCCACTTCCACGGCATGCTGAGGAAGGCACCACCTGGGCAGAGCCCGCCGAAAGATGCTTCTCTTACGAATCCAGAAGAGAAGGCACGAATACACCACCCAACTATACCCTGCTCCGCTTTGTGGTCCGTCCTTTCAAAATGTTGCAGATAGCACATGCTCATTGACGGTTACTTTGCAAGTGAGAGGTGTACTTGTTTCTGCAGAATTTCCTCCAGCTGGCGCCTACCTGGAAGAGCCACTTGGTGTTCCACGATATCCTGGACGCTGACATTGCCATTCAGGTGATGATGTCCAAATACATCAATACCCCTCTGCAATACCAATATAACAACACACGCATCACAAACCATGGCTTCTGCTCAAATCAGCTCCTTAAAGTTTTCACCGTGTGCACTGTTGCAGGCAGGCGTGGACAGGAACAGGGCGCAGCATAAAAAGGTCTTCACCCCAGCGGCAGCTGACCGGCAGCCTGCAGCCTTTCATCAGTGGCTGAAGAAACACGGCAGAGGCGCAGTCCCTTTTGAAGGGAGCACAGACGCTGCTGGGGGAGCGCCAGGAGTACAGATGCAAAGGGAGCAACTCTTGGACAGGTGAGCCACTACACAAGCAGCAAAAGTATCTGCGCCCCTTGGCATGTCCATGTTCAAAATCCTTCCTGCGGGAGTGAAGGACTTGTTTCGACAGTAAATATGATCGCTTCTTAATGGAGAAGCGAGTCCAGCAGTGCACACAGTGTTATTGTGCGCACTATGCAGTGCGCAGTGCGCTGGTCTTCGCGGCAGTCTGGAGATCAGAACCATTTGATGTTTAACGAAAGCTTGGGCTGTGTGCTGCAGGTTCCTGACCCACACAGTGCACTGCAGCGCCTGCCGCAAGGCCTATGCCGCGATGCAGCTGCTTCAAAGGCTCGCCCTCGTCGCAGCTGCGGTGCTCTTCTTTGCTGCCTGCGCAGCTGTTTCCTACACAGGCCTCTCTGCTCCAGTGATGGTGCTTGGAGCGCTGTCAGCGGTGGCCCTGGCAGCTGCAAGGAGGCTGCGCAACACTGCCCAGAATTTTGTCTTTGTGGACTATGATGAGCACCACATCTCCAAGCGATCTAGTTGATGGGAGCTGATGGAGACTGCACGGTATTGTCACATCATTGTACACTATTTTTTGTACATTGAGGCGATATTCAATCAGCCTGACTCAGCGGAGGCTGCAGCTGGCCCATATTGTGCTTCACGGCGGCAATTATGGTTGACTATCTGCTTTCTCTGCACTGGTACTTGTTGCGTGGATTTAAGATACTTATAGAATCAGAAGAAATGTGGAAATATGGGCTGTTAAAGAACGACGAGCAGTGGAATACCTGACGATTCCTCGTTCATACAATGGCGATCGCCTATATAGGCATCTACTAAGGACGGACACGAAACCACAAGTAGGTGGATCTCGAGCAGCATTCCATGCAATTCACACTTTGCTCTGGGACGTCATTGAGAACGGTGCTGGCATTGATGCGACCATATGGCTTCTAGTACAACCGTGTAGTGCATGAGCCTCGGAATCTTTGGGCAGATTTAGTCTCTGAACTCTGGGAAAGCGTTGTGAGACAGAAATGACGAACACACGAAGTACTCGCTCCAGTACGCATGCACCCACCACAATAGAAGAAGCAAGGACACCGGATCCTGCGCCGTTTCTGAAGAAAACGTGCGTTTGTTTTCCTAGTAGAGCTGTCGCCATACCTCAGCTGCAATCCGCTTGTATCGAAAAGCACCCGGTTGAGCAAGTCCTCAAAATTAACAACACGAAAAAGGACATCAAGAGCCCAATGGGGCTGTTAGGATTTTTATCAAACACTTATGTAGGTGATGAACCAGTAAGAGCAGAGTTACTGAGTGGGCTGCCATCGCAGGTATGAGATGGTATCAGATCCTGATCTGAAGGAAATCATTTCATGGAGCAAGGACGGTCACAGGTAAGGCTGATGTCGACGATCAGCTCTCCACATCCTTTACTACCTTGGCTTGTCAGGAGCCATTCTCAGCCTTGACCTCTTGTTGTTTCTGCAGCTTCACGGTTTGGAATCACTCTGAATTCGAGAACAACGTGTTGCCAAAGAAGTTCAAGCATCAGAATTTCTCCTCCTTCGTGCGGCAGCTCAACACATATGTGCGTCCTTCTCCTACCCTTTGTTCTAAGCCAATGCACCGTCATCACAGACCTTGAAGCATTTCTTGTCTTTTGTGCCTTTTCATTCCAGCCTGCCTGCCTGAGTTGCCCTTGTTGGTGGTTTTTGACAAAAACTGTGTGGAATCTGACCTGCAGAACTTCAGGAAGTCAGACCCAAGCGCATGGCAGTTCTCCAACGAGCACTTCATTAGGGGGCGTGCCGACCTGCTGCACTTGATCAAACGCAAAAACAAGGCATCAGCCTCCAACCACGACAACAACATCGTGCCGGGAAACGCTGCAATCGAGGTACACTCATTATTTCTCTGTCAGCTGTGGACCCCCCTAGTACTGTTGACTAGGGTGCACCCTTTGCTAATGTTACAATGGGTTGTTTAGAACAGCCATAATTTGACAATTGCATATGCCGTTCATATACAATTTTGTCCTTGCGGAAGTGCATTCTGATCAACCACCCACTGTAACCAAGTGCTGATGGGGAGGCATACATGTGGCCAGGTGGGGTCCTTTGGAGGGGTCATGGATGAGGTGGAGGCACTCAAGCGCGACAAGACTGTGCTCATGCTGGAGCTTGTCCGCCTGAGGCAGCAGCAGCAGGTACACCCTATATCATCTCCATTTCATCTTTTCTCCTGGCCCCTCACGATGACCTGTGGACATGCATGACCTCATGCAGCTTCAATTTACCAAGATTGGAAGTTTTTGTGCCCCTGCATGCAGCTGCAGCCAGATCTGCTAGCCAGCAGCTGATCTTGCCTGTCTATGGCCCATTCATGGTGCTGTGATCATCCGCTCTGGTCCACATTTAACAACAGTGCACGAGGGCTGCACATGGCTATGGTGGAGGCCAGCAGAAATAGTCTGTCTGAAGTCGGTGTGTTTGTGCTGGGGCAGGCATCAGATGCGGAGATCCGGACGATGCAGGCAAAGGTGGAGAAGACAGAGCAGGGGCAGCAGAAGATCATGAGCTTCCTGCAGCAGGCAGTCAGCAACCCGGCCTTCCTGCACCAGCTGCTCAACGCCCACCAGTCCAACAACCGCATGTCAGAGGAAGGTGCGCGCATCAGGAACCTATCCCGGTCTACTCTGTCCTAACATTGGGGAAATTAAACAAGGGGATTTCATTTGGAGTATCGAGGCTGTTGTATACTGCAGTGGTCCAAGCCGTCTGTCTGGATGTATCTCATGTGCAGGCTGCTGACGCTGTGCTTGGCAGTGCGCCTCTGCAGCCTGGCCTGAAGGCTGCCTGGCAATGCGCTGCGCTGATGACAGTCTTACCGGCCCACAACAGATTTTTTTCATGCGCTTTTAAGCAATACCGGACCCTTAGGTGCCAGTATGACCTGCTAAAACTTTATTAGCACCTGGTAAAAATGGCAGGGTCCATTCGTTTACCGCTTGCCAACTTGCCTGAAAATCGTCAACGATCATCGTGAATACAGGGAGAAGGGCCCAATCAAGGCTGTCATGTTGGTCATTCGTAGCCATGCCATGAACTCTGTTGCTTCTCACTGCAGGGCGCAAGAGGCGGCGGGCAGTGCGGCCTGGGGAGAGGGCTGACAACACCAAGGCGCTGATCAGCTACCAGCCGCAGGAGGAGGACTTCAGCTCTCCCTTCTTGCACCTGCTGCAGCGAGAGGGCCACCACAACCTCCAACGCTCCGCCAACCCCCTGCTCCCCGCCAATGGTGCGCGCCCCTTGTTTGACCATGTATTTGTCGAGAGGATGGCCTTCCCCGCTGTTCAGATCACGGACCGCAAGAGCCAAAAGCCTAACTCCCCTTTGGGTTCTCAATGGGCGACAGCATGCCAACTGCATGTATCTGAAGAATTCGATGTACGTGGCGACTATGCCTGCAGAAGGACCTGACCGCAATGTACCTGATTTTTTCCTGATGCGTGCTGTCACCTACTTGTACTTATACTCTGGCAATGTCAGCTGCTCTTACTTGTCGTGTGCTCTGATGTGTCAGGGCAGCGCATCTGCTTGCGCAGTTGACTGTGTCCGAGCGAGCAGCAACCATAGCAGAATGCTAAGACCTGTAAGAATCGGTGGTGCAGGCGTTGAGATGGAGATAGAGGGGCTGAGCGACGACGATGTCAATAATGCTGACGTGTCGGGGCTGAATTTTGACCACCTGAATCTGACCTCTCACCAGCCAGTGCGCTCTGCGGTGACCATAAACGAGCACCTGCCCCAGGAGCTGCCCACCCTCGATGACATTCTGCAGCCCATGCACATACCCCAGTCCTCAGGTATAGCCCTGGCAGAGAGCAGTTCATTTTGCATGCTTGCTTGCTGAGGATGCATCCAATCCTGTTCAGTACTCAACTGTAGACTTGAAAAGTCCCAGTTCTGAATGCACATTGACAGCCGGCAGAATCTGCTATGAATGTGCACTGTGTGCCGGGATTTTTTGCGCGTCTGTGTTTTCGCTGTATGGCGATCTGGAGACACTTTTGCGCTGCCATGCAGTGTGACTTATTCTGCAAGAGGCAATAAGGGCAGTGCTGAATATAGAGAGGTTGTGTCTGCACAGGGTATCAGGCGCCCTCCTTCCCATCCAATGACATTGGCGCCTCCGGCCCGTTTGCGCCGTCCAACGCGAGCGCGACCGACTTTGGCATGCCCGAGATTCTGCCCAACGTGCCGCTGCCCACTGCAGACCTGCTCAACTCCCTGGGCACCGCCGGCGACGGTGCCTTGGCCGGGAATTTTGCACACAGCTCAAATAGCGCAGGTCCGGCCCTGTGTTCTCACTATTTCTGCAGTTGCATTTGTTATTTTTCTATGCATGTCCACAGGCATGCACTACTGGGTAAACCGGTGCGACCTGCACGGGCCCTTGTGCCTGCCTTCAGGCTTTCAACAGATTTTTCACAGCTTTCCCACCGAATTGAATCTGTGACGTGCACTACATCAAGGCAAGAGCTGTGATCGTGGCAGATACCGTGTACTGGGAATGGCATGCAAATTGGCACCTACTGCATTGCCCCTTATGCTGCCGGCTCCTTTCAATTATTTCTAGCAGTGCTCTTATATCCCTGTGCTGTGGTCTGCTGCAGGCATGCCGGTGATCCCAGAGAGCTCCCCGTTTGCGGCGACGAGCGCGCAGGCAGACGGAGGCGGCGCAGCGCAGATGCTGGACCTGCCGGCGACGGACTACCTGCTGGGGGATGTGCCCGAGGGCAGCCAGGAATTTTGGCAGATGCTCAACAGCTCCAACTCCCTCACCGCGGAGCTGCCGCCCTGGTCGCAGGAGAATGGGGCCTCCAGCGAGGGGCTGCCCTTCCTCAACAACGGTGAGTCAGCATCCTGGCTCTTGAAACCTTGAGGAACAATCATTTGGCCTGTTTTTTCTGCACTCTGCACCGGTACACTCATCAGGGATGTGGCCTTGTCTTGAGGCATTGTGCACCTGAACACTAGATTTATCTGGGGTCATTCTGATGTCGAGCCTGTGCAACAAACTTTTTACAACACAGGATTGGCTTTACTTTTAATAACTGTTTTGCTGGGCGGGTTTTGTTTTAGGTGAACGGAGATTGTGTTGATGTTGTGTCCCAGGGAATTCTGACAATTGAAGATCGTCGTGCAGGGTTCAAGGATGACGTGCAGCTTCAAGACTCCATGCAGCAGGCTCCTGTGAGAGCTCTCTGAAGCAGAAGCAGCACAGTGCTGGCTTTATAGAGATCAAGTTGGCACCGTTGTGCGTGACTACAGCACGTTTAGGCAGCAAGTGTTTTTCACTCGATGTGCTATGCCTTAAGGGCAGCACATGCAGTCTGCGGCACAGCGTGTCTATCTAAGCCTTATAAATTTTGTATTATGCATACTTTCTCACACGTCTTGTGCTAGTTGCTGGCCGATGCATAATGTCTTGGGAGATCCAATTTTTGAGCACTTTTGCCTGCATTCTCAGTCACTTCTCCAGATTGGTCTGCAGCCAGTAGATATATCATCGTGGTGTCAAGCGCATCAGTGGGTTGTGAGCCGAATGAACAACAGGTTTGACTGAATGGACGGGACAAAACTCGAGCTGCAAAGTGGATATTGCGCAGTCCATATGCACAGCTGCGGCTGCTGCTGCCATGTGAATATGTGGACAGATCAACTTTTGGGGATTGCATTTGTATATGTATACCTGTTCAGATCAACATGACTCGCCACGTGCACCTAGCGAGGGCCCAAACATTAATTGTTTGTGATGCAATGCTCAGTGCGAACACCAGTTGGCACATACTCCTTTTGCCTTTTGTTTATCAAGGTTACACTACAGATGGGGTCTCGGCCTATGGGTATATACCATGTTCTAGACCATGTAAAGGACGTTACTCTTGAACTCAATGCTCCTTGATTATCAAACTCAACACCCATGTCACTCCTCTTTGACTCTGCTTCCACCACACATTCAATCCTCCACTGTACACACAACAATCACATAACCAGCCACAATTTTACTGAACACAACCTGAAATAGTACATAATGCCTTTAAAGCACACAGACACCCAAGCATCAGAAGTTTGGCACATCGCGCCACATACTACATATACACCATCAATACACATGCATCCGTTTCGTATGCCAACATTGCATCAAAGCTTCAAGGCTTCAAAGCAGATGATCTGTTGTAGGACTACAGTCAAGAGCAACCTTGCATGCTTTATGAATGCAGGGGCAAAGACTTCAATTTGAAGAAAAGAATTGCAGTATGGCTTGAGATCAGGTCGCAATATTAGCTCTTGAGCCATTCTCATCACAAGCAGCGTTTCAAAGTGTACATAACACAAAATTCCAACAAATCTTTCACCTCGGCTGCATGCATTCTACATGTATTATACAGCTAAAAGGGGCTTCCTCATCTCAACCTCGGGCCATAGAACCTCCTGCATGCGTTTGTAGGTGTTGCCAGTATCATTTTTAGACCGTGCTCTGAACGCTCTCTCGGGCGGCGACCACAGGCGTCTTGCTGTCCAGGAAGGCCAAATGGAAAAGGCGCTCTGAGGCATCAAACATCACATCCGGGGTGTTGGAGTGAAAGACCATGCGGTTCGACCTGCGTTGCAGACGAAGTAGATCTTACTGACAGATGGGTGCAGCCAGTCTGGCATCAAGCTTTGATGCATCCATTCAAACAAAGTGACTTGTTAAGGGGTTAAATGCATGCATTAGCAGGTAGCAGCATGTCTTGGGAGAGGATACAGCCGGGCTTCGGTACAGGGTTGCTTTTGACATCATCCTGCAGTGCAAAGGCATGTTCGCATTGAAATTTCTGCTGACATGCCTTTTTGCCTTGCTTGATGACTTTTCAGGTCAGTTGAAGGTGCGGCTATGGGGCGCACCATATGACAAAGTCGCCCGGCTGCCACTTCATTTCCACGACCAGCTCTGGGGCAGTCGCTGCCACCAGAGCCTCCTCCAGAATCTCACGGCTCTGCTGCCTGCTGTAGCCTGCGCACAGAAATGTACACCCTGAGTATCACTGTGACACCACCTCGCAATTCACTGCTCCTATGGTCTCTTCAGGCTGTCTCATAGGTTCCTCCTACCATGCAGTCTTTCGAGGTGGGAACATTGTAGAGGCTGCAAATCATGCAAATGCATGAAAATGCCAGAAAGAGACCTTCCGGGTCTGACCCTGCACGAGCCAAACAGCGCACGTGCTCCCCGGCCGGATTTCTAGGTGGAGTGGTGTGATGAACTTGAGATCACACAGAAACAGGGGACTCAGAATCACTTGAATTAGTCATTTGATTTGGAGTTCCCTGCACAGGAGGAACCCAGGGAATTTAAGGCGGTTCAAGGCTCACCAACAAAATTGGTAAAGAGCGCAGTGTTGTAGAAGATGCTCTTCAGGCCGGTGTACGGATCGCGGATGACTAGCGGGTGCACCATGTACCTTGGCCCGTACTTGAGCTCTACGGGCTCTGCGTCCGCCAGCTTCACAGCAGCTTCCACGTCGTCCACGCGCCAGACACCGTTGTCATCGATGGTCAGGCCCCGGAAAGCGCTGTCAGCCCTGCAGAATTTTGCATGCATGGTCGCTGGCTGATAATATAAAAATTCCGCAAGAAGATGCATGGTTTCCTGTGTACCATGTGGAAAAACATGGACCCAAGTAAAACCCCACAATGCCATGTATAATGACTGCTGTAGGAACCATTTGGCAGTAGCATGTCATGAATTATGAGCTGCGTTGACAGACCAGTACTCCAAACTTGAAGGCGCAGTTCAGCTGCAGGGGCTTCTTTCCAGCACTTGGAGGATGCAGCTCTGGCAGTGCATGAAGGTCTGCGAGTTTCAAATTGAAAAAAATGCCCTAGCAACACAGCAAAGGTAACTGTAGAAGCTGCGCACCTGTACTCGCACTGCAGGGTCTCGAAGAAGGCCTTCTTCTCTGGGGACAGCAGCTCGTACGCGTGCACGGCGCTGGCATACAGCGTCTCACCCCCCACTGTGGGGGCCTTGAGCATGTAAATGGAGCACAGCTCTGGAGGGCACACCAGCTGCAACAGAGAACCTGGTATCATTTCTGGGTGACATCCACCACACTTGGCCATTGGCCATTGCTCTGAAGTGCAGAACTTCATGCATGCATGGCAGGATGTGAGTTCATCATTTCGTATCTTAACGGAATGTGACAAGTCAAGGCTATCTGCGTGACCTGGATGCCCAGCAAGATTGAAGGCAAACTTGGAAGGCCCCTGCGCACCTCGTTCTTGTCCATGTGCCAGACTGGGACGAAGGATGTCTTCCCACGCACCTGCAGCACACACCAGATGTCCCGTTCAGCACCGAAAAATTGAAATTCGAAGTGCATTTATCTGCACACTGGTAACAGGGACAGGGTGTCAGCCCACTGATTCTGGCAACCGACACCTTCCCAAGCAGAAGGCACGCTGAGTTATTCTGTGCATGGGCAAGACAAGTTTCAGATTTCTCTAGCACTGCATAGTCAGCTACAGTGGTCCGCACGCAGGCACTTGCCCTCTCTACTCTTCATCTATCTGTGAATTTGCTGTTGGTTCGAGCTCCCCAGCCCCTGTATTTGCAGCTCAAATCGAACTTGGGCAGGCCATAACAATGATGGCCCCAATTTCTCAGGTGCTGCTCTAGATTGGGCGCACTGAACAGCGAGCTGGCAGGCGGTATAAAAATTGTGAACCAGCCCACGATTGATTGGGTCGTGCTTGGATCTGGCGAGTCCATCAAGGGGTAGTTTTATGGCAGCCTTTAAGTGCAGCTTGTCTGCAGGGCCTCTCGGCAGGAAAGGCATGAAATGATAATAATTAAAACAGCGGGCGGCAACTAAGTGAGAGGAGGTGGCCCTACCGCCAGCATGGGGTGGCCGGGGACGCGTTCGGGGAAGAAGCCATTGCAGAAACGCTCCTCGGCGATCGCGCTCTCGTCGTGGGGGAAGGACTGCAGGAAGCTGCTCTCCTCAGCGGGCCCCATTGTCTGGCCACGGTACAGTGTGACCCCATACTGCCACTGCGCATCCTGCAGCATTCACATGCATGTATCAATGAGCGAGTGATTATGGCACCGTCTTCATTATAGAATATAGAGGTCAGATGGGTGGAGACATTTGGCGAGTTCATGTGTTGCTTGCCTTGGGCATTCACCTGTCAATATCGCCAATAGATATGATTGATCGTGCAGAGCATGGCGCATCAGCTGCCATGCTAATGTGCCATGCTTGACATCTGCAGTGGATGGTAGGATGTGACTCTTGCAAGCAGAATAAGTCAAAGGCATTTGTCTGGGATCATTGGGAGAATTGGGTTTGTACCTGCAGTAGGGCCTTTGTGGAGTCGGGCAGCGGCTGTGACAGGTCGACGCCGATCACTTCAGCGCCAAACACTGGATTAAGGGGCCTGAACTCGATGCCCAGGGACTTTGCGTGCTCCTGCGACAGCATTGTCTCACACTCAGAGCTCCTCGTAGAAAGCTTCTGGCGGAGTGCCCAGCAGCCAGCCGTGATACCTGGCCCGAAAGCAATTTGTTAGCGGTGCCAGGGATCACAGAGGAGACAAGCAGGCGCAGTATAGACACCTTAATCTCTGGCAGAGAGGCTGCACGACGAGCGGTCTCCTGGAAGCATGTAATGGTAGCTGTGTGCGAACGGCCTCTGTGCACTGAGCCTCGCACAGCTGTGTGATACCTTGAATGGAGCACTGCTGGCACAAATGTAGGTGCCCTCGTGGTTGAGCACGTCACTGCAGTGCTGGAATTGCGGTGCGTTGTAGACAACTTCATGTGGGCCACCTGCAGGTAAAGTGGCAGGCATCAGGAAAACGAGCAGTTGCCACCTGATCCACGTAAGTCCTCGTCCTTCAAAACCCGAGAAAATAGATGCAGTCAAAGAAAATTTTTGTGAGTACTCCGCTGCCATTACTGCTGGTGGCTACGAAGTACAAGGTCAATGCCAACAACTGCTGACAAGGTTGACGCAGCAGGAGTGGAGGAAATTCAAGCGTACACAAGAGCTGGTTTTCCACTGCGTTAAACAGATCGACGCGAAACAATGGATGATATAACAAACAAGACGGACCACCTTGCAGCAAGGAGAGAGGACCAACCTGCCAGGTACAGCGTTTTCCCGAAAGGCAGGACTGGCGCTAACAATATTCAAGACAACAATTGCCGGCGTCAAGTCGTCGGTCTCAAACCGTCTCAAATTAATCCATGCGTAAGACTTTGCCTTCACTCCCTCGAAGCAAGCCACGAGCAATCGCGCGCGCGTCTTGAAGGTGCACCTGACGCACATGGACCCACGTGCTGAAATGGCGGGAGGAGAGAAGCTGTTCGCCCAGATCGCAAGAAGCTACAGTGCAACAATTTGATGGGAACAGACATCGACCTAGGCCACATCGTGCGTTGGCGCAGCCGCGATGTCCTATCGTATGGAGCTGTGTAGGCAAACCATCACGACCACGACACAGCTCCGAAACGGGCTTTATGCACCTAGATCCCCAATCGGTGGTCGTCTAAATACCCTCAGGGCTCCTCGGCGTGTACTTATGCCCTCGAAAACGCGAAGGGGTCGGGTTTCAGTCGTCAGTTTCAGGACTGAACAGAAGTCCAAAAGTGAACTAAAGGTGACTAGTCACAAAGGATGCCTCACATTCACGCTCTTGTGTTCTGATCAATACCAGGAAAAAAGAAGGACTAGACTACGGTATCACAGCGCATTGATATCAGGAGGGAAAGTGTCTTGGTAGCTCTATTTGTCATCAGCTCTGATTGAGAGCAGGAGATGTAAAGCTTCTGAGCACACAATCTTGTTTCAGGGCAAATTTGAACAAGTGGGATGGAGCTTGGAAGAGTTGCACCCCACATTGGGCGCCCAAATCACTGGAGTGTCAACCGATCCGTCATCTTTCTCTCCAGAGCAGAGGACTCTGCTGGCAGCTGCATTGGCCACACATGAGCTCCTCGTCTTCCCAGATCAGGTAACCCTTTTGTTTGGACACTCAATATCACGACCTACATTTGCTAGCCTATCAGCACTGTGCTCGGAAGGCATGCAAGAGGCAGTGGCAAGGCTAGGGATTGAAGGCAAGTGCACTCATTGACTAGTATGCCTGCAGGTCCTGACGCCCGCTCAGGAGTTTGCCTTCATCACCAGCTTTCCCCATGATGAGCGCGCAGTGGCGCGGGCCCAGGACAGCCTGAAAGGGCAGAGCACTGACTCCCCTGTGCTCAGGATCCCAGACTGCCCGTTGATCACAGTGCGCCCAGCTTCTCTCGTGGATGGGACCCCCTTCATACTGCAGAGGAGGGGGTCCCAGTGCACACTTGCTGTCACTGGAGCTTTCCTAAAGCTGTTACTTGAGAGTTCATCTGTACTGTCACTTGAGTTCACTTGTATGGAAGGTTGCAAAGTTGTGAGGATCAGAGAGGGGCAAAGAGGGTCTCAGTGCTTGGAAGAGATTTTCACAAGTGTGCTTCTGGTATGGGTCAGGTTTGGCCGCACGGCATAGCGCTGAACGATTACTGGGGACTGTCAACCCCAGAACCGCTGTGGGAGGACCACCACGCTGCTTGGCGCCAGGTACTCCTCTCAATGCTTTGTCCATCTGGCTCCTTGTCACGATTTGTCAAATGCACCATGACATGTCTGTGCCCCGGCTGGCGGGAGGCAGTAAAAACACCGTGCCCACTTTGGATCTGGCGAGTCCAACCAGGGGTGGGATTTGTGGCAGCCTTAACCTGCAGCTTGTCTGCAGACGCACCTTGCCCCTGGCAGGAAAGCATGTGATATCTGTACAAAAATAAGATGAAAACACAGAGAAGATAAGACAGCTCCAAGACAAGTAGCCGCGTGGTGATGGAACGCAAAGCGGAACCAAAGCTGCGGTGTCTGTTTCAAGCATTCGGAAGCAGAAGTTCCTGTACATAAGGTATCCACTGACAGTATGGATACCCTAAGGTATCCAATGACAAAAATGTCTGTGCTGCTTCAGGATTGGGGTGACAGGCCCGTCAGCAACAGCCTGTCAGCGCTGTACCATGTGGAGAGCAATGATAAGAACCACACTTCCTTCACCAGCGCGACGGCCGCATGGGACCGCCTCACGCCAGAAGAGCAGACAGCTGCCGCGAAGCTCAGGGCAGTGTACAGGTGAGCTTTGTTAGTACTGGCTGACTAAGATTCCTTTAAACCAAGACCCTTCTGTGATCGCACAATCCCAGGGATCTTTAGGGTCCACTCGGATCCCCTCCCTGCAAGCTGTGGTAGCCCCATTGGCACGCATGTGACATTAGGCTTTGGTGCCGCCCAATGCGGCATCATTTTTGAGGTTAACCTCAGTGATATTGACAATTCAAGAGTCTGTTCATGAGCTCGACTGGCCAATGATTGAAGGAGTGAAGAAACCGAGACCTGGAAACCTCAAAGCCCCCAATCAGGCCCCACAGGGAATATGATAATTAGACCGCCAGCCCCCTTTATTTTCTTCTCTTCCTGCGACAGAGACCTTCTCAAATTATCTTCAGGGACCAAGGGTTCCAATTGATGCGCAGGCGCGACGCGTTCGCCGGCAGCGGGGTGAATGACACGTGCGAGCACGGCGTCCTGCGCATGCCGCACGATGCGTGCAAGGGAGCGGTCGCGGCGGCTGACGCGCGTGGCACGTCCGGGACGGCCATGCCGCTGTTCAACGAGGATCCCCTGACCGGGGCACGAGCGCTCAACAGCCACCCCCTGCACTTCTACACCTTTGAGGGTGCGCGAGATACTGTTGTGCTCTGCCTAAGGAGAGATGCTGGGACACGCACTGTGGTCTGTCTTCTGTCGGGCAGAGCAAGAGCACTCTTGCATTCTCTTTTTGCTTGTCAGCGGAAAGCAGGGAAATGGGGTTCTGGTTGTGGACGAGGGTGACATTGGCAGTCTTGTCTGCATCCGCTGTGACTATCTGCAGAATTGTCAACGGATGACGGCTGATTTTTCGCTTGCTTGCCTGTGCAGGCATGCAGAGGCCTGAGGCGGGAGAGCTATTGAAGAGCTACATTTTGCCTGTCATCTCACCCGACAAGGCACTGCTCTTCCCATGAAGTTTCAACCTTTGCGTTATCTCAGCTCAGGTCATATCTTTGGGGCCTGCCCTGTCGCCAACGATACGCTAGCGCTCTGTATACGCCTTGATGAGCTAAGCAATGTATCATATCTGTTTGACAGGTCTTGAAGGTGACATGGAAGCGCGGAGATCTGGCGATCTGGAACAACAGGAGGGTGCTGCACACCGGCACCCCAAGCCGTGAGGCAGACAAATCGGCCACTCGCCTGTTTCACATGACCCTGCTGGACTGCGACACTCCCCTGCAGCCCATCGATCCTTGAACGCATGCATGTCACAATACGAAGATTCTAAAAAATCCCACGGTGTTTTCTCCCAGCAGAAACTTTGTACCAATTGTATCGTTAGAGAGCCTTGAGGCCAGAATTGCCATGAGAACATGTGTATTAAGATCTGGGCTGTGGGGGACTGTGTTGTAAATGCCATGTATTGAATTGTATATGACTGAGCTGTGTCACTTCAGCATTGCATGTTTGCTTGTATGTATATTGGCAAAAGCGGGTTTGATAATGCATGAGAATTTAGCTTGTCACCAGATGGCGCCAAGGTCTAGACTTGAGCAGCCCTGTGAATAAACACTACTCTTTCACTTGTCATCCTTGTAGTTGTATCCTGGTAAGCATTGTGATTAGACATGTACATCTTTGTGGTCGCGCGCGATGAGTCAGATTTATTGCCAATGTGTCTAAATCTTTCAATGTGCCATGCCCTTGCAAGCCTTGTACAACCGTTACGTGTAGCAGTCGTGTAACAGTTCAAGATGTTGAACCTCTGCAAGAATCCGCAATGTCACAGATGCTTGATGTTTCCAATTGCCTACCAATTGCCTATGCCAGCGTGCTCTCACTGCGCATGCATGGCAGCGACAAGCATTGATGCACACTCGTCCTGCCCAGCACCATAGCTTGAGCTAGATAATATCATGATCATGAACGGGTTTCAATAGTTCCACAAAGGTTTGCTCAATGCCTGCATGGCTTGCAATGATGCGCGGCTGGTCAGACCGCGGCATGCAGTCGCCTTGTAGGCTTTGGGACAGCCGCCAAATCAGGCACCGGCAACAGCCGGCTGCTGGTCAGGCTGCGGCGGCGGCTGCGGTGAGGCCGCGCATGAAGCTGCACTTGGACTGCACCTCCAGCGCGATGGCGGCCTTGAGGTAGTCCGTGCGCGCCTTGGAGCTGCGCAGCGCGTTCCACTCAAAGTAGGGCACGTCCACCACCAGCCAACCGCGCGCGCGCAGCAGCTTGTTGCGCAGCAGCGTTCGCCCCGTCGGTCTGCGTCCGAAATTGGAACGTGCGTTCAAAATTATGGATTCCAAAAGGCTGTAGGTTTTAGCGCGCCCTATGATTGCTCCAACGGCAGGGAGTCAACGGGGTGAAAACTTTACTCGGCACTCTGCATTCAATCTGGATGCCGAAGGATGTTTCCGGGTGCCATTAAAGCACGCCTGCTGCTACCGTCAGAGTCTGAAAATTCTTGGCCATGCACTCAAATTGCCATTGCCATTGCCCCTCTTCTGAGGATGACATGCATTAGCTTACGAAGCTTGTTTTGTCCGACATGGAAGCAGTGGTACCTGTGCTGCTGCACGCCGTCCACGACGGGTCTGTTGCAGGTGTAGTGCTCTACGCCATCTGCCTCAATTGCCACCTGCTCACAAGCAAACTTGCGATCAGCAAAGACTTGCGCAATCTCCTGCAGCCAATAACTGCAGCTTTATCACCGCCCGCCATTACCCCAATAGAACCTCCAGAATACCCCACCGTGATGGCCTTGCCGGCATCCACTTCATTTAAACCAAAAAACCCCCTCTAGCAATGTCAGAATGTCATACATGTCCAATGCTTCATCCAACATTTCCAATCCTTCATGTCATATATTGGACATAAGACCAATGCTTCATTCATTTGATGGGTGCACTTCTAGGGCACCCATCCATACCTTTATGGGATCGCCGTCGGGGTGGGGCAGGAAAACAGCCATGTCGATGGAGAAGACTCCGTCGTTGTACTCGGGGTAGACTCGGAATCCGGCGTTGCGCACCGCGTTGAGAATGCTCCAGTGCAGCGACGACACACGCACCTGCGTCTTCACCTGGTTCCACGCCTGTGCAGATGACAGAGGAGAAACTTTATTTCTTTTCCATGCCCTTACTGACCTTGTGTCACTCTCATTTTAAAAGCCAAGGATCCGCCTACATGGAGAGCTTGACGAAGGTACAGAGGAATTCTTGGAATCAGAAACAAATTTCAGCCAAGTCTTGATGTGTTCAAAGAGTGCGGAGGAGGCCGCAATGGTATGTGGTGCTAGGCATGCAAAGTACAAGCGCAGAGCTGGTCAGGTCTGAAACGTGATGGAAGGCATAAAATGACAGTATAGAAAGGAATTTGTTTCCTGGAGCCACAGCAACAACTGAGCATCCGGTATCTCTTCGGCGCCTGGGAGCTGCCTAGAACTTTCCAACAAGGCTAAATCCCTGAAGCCTTGGGTCCACATTTCCTGGCCACTGATTAGGAGGGGTACACAACAGCTGTGGCGCGGGCAGCGGGGGCGCGCTTACGTCTTTGCAGGATTTGAAGAGGGCTGCTGGCATGGGTGGCGCAGAGCCCATGGGAAGCGCCGAGAAGAGGTAGAGGTGCGCCTGGAAGAGCTGCACGCGCGCATACGTGTTGCTGTCCGCAGGGTCTATCAGCCCGTACACCTGGCGGCACCCACTTGAAACATTCATGTACCTGTTTTGACGATGCATGCATGCTTTTTAGGGACACCTGCATGCGGCAGCAGACAGAAGCACTTTCACGAAGATGTTGAAGAAAGATCATGGAAAAAAGTTGGAAGATGTATAGATGCTGCATGGTGGGGAATACGTGGCGACTGGCTCTTGGTTGAGCATTGCACGCAGCAGCATACGAGCCCGGATGCCACTGAGGGAGTGTCGAGCTATAGGGCAGGAAAGGGGGTTGGCTTGCAGACACTCAGTGCGTTTCTCACATGCCTGGAACAAAAGACAGAGCGCGGAAATCGTGAGGTAGCCGCCTCTATGGGAACTGGCTCAGGCGAGGACGCAAAGCCACATGCCTGTTTCGGGGGATTCCATGACATGGAGAGGTCGGACATCAACCTACATTCCCCACAGAGACTGCCTTGGGTCTGTGCGGCATTTCTTCTTTGCTTCAGGCAGTTCCACAGAGGCAGCTCACTCAGAGCTCTCTCACCCACATCCTGATATCTCCATACCACAACTCATAAAATACAGATGAGAAGACAGGGCCCCCAACCTAAGCCGGCCCTCCAGTGCGAAGCTTGTCCGGAGTTAGATCTTTCATTTGTATCCTCCGCATTGCCAACTCCATGCAGGCAAAAATCAAGGGGGTAAAGAAATGGGTTCTGCAGGATGCTCGGCCCACCTCGGTCGCCATGTCAGCGTCCAGCTCATCGAGCACGGCCATGGCCCAGAGGACATTGGTGAGCGCCTGCTCGGTGTCGGCCTTGGAGCGCCTGGGGTCGTACAAGATTCTGTCCTGCCGCTGCCGGTACACGGCCATCAGCGCCTCGCCCGGGTGCTCCGCCAGACGAGCCATGCCCCATATCATGTTGCACAGGTTCTGCGCAGCGCACAGTCGTTTCAAGCTCGTCGCCTCAAGGGCACTGCTATGCTGCCCAAATGCAATGGACCTGCAAATGTGGCTGCAAATTTGCCTTGGAAAAATTTCCCGCACCGCCGAGGGTGCGGGTTTTAGAATGACTACTACAGTATTATGGTGCAAGATTTCACAACCACCAGGCAATCAGGCGATTTGCTGATATGGTGTCACACTGCACAACACAGAGCATGGGTGAACCCACCTGCGCGTCGAATTTTTGGATGAGCTGGCTGGTCTGAAGGTGTTCGATCATGTGCTTCATGTACGTCTCCCCGGGGTGATAGCTCATAGACCCCAGCGCCCACGTGATCATGCTAAAATTCACCGGGGCTGCGTCGTTTTGCATCACTTCCATGGAACGTGCCACAAGAGCCTGCACAGGCACCAAAAATGGCATCTCTGCTCCGCTGCAGTCAAACACGTCATAAGAATCATAATAGGAATCACGCACAGCAGCCTGCATGATACATAATCCTCTTGCTGTGAATTCCTGGCGCCAGGTGGGCCAACAGTGCATATTGTCGGACACGGCTGAAAGCTCTTGTAGGGTTACATGGTACTAGTGTCAGGAGGCAAGCAGCGTCTGCAGATGAGCTTGATGTCAAGGCTGCCACATTCCAGCCTCTCTTGGACTCGCCAGATCCAAGCAGGACCCACTCAACTGCTGGGACGGTGCTGAGAGATTGTACCGGCCCCGGCCAGCCGTGGCCAGCGAGCAAGACAATAAGGGCCAAGTTGCTGTGTGTCTGAAGGGAAGCGGCGGCTTCGTACCTCGATCATGGGCAGGTAGGGACGCCCCTTCATGCCATACATCTCTTGTTGCTTCAGGTCCTGCTTCGCCAGGCCCCACATGATGTTCGAGCAGCCCTGCATGACCCCACATCACCCAACCTCATGTCCTGGACAGCGGACAAGCAAGCAATAGACGCCATTATTAATAGCTCTACCTAGCTTTTAAAAGGTGAAATTATTCCTCATGCTGACCAGATTCACACAGCATGGACAGTGCACAAGCTGCCAAAAACCGCAAGCTGTTCCAGCAACCAGTTGCCATTGTCTGCCTTCCCCGCTGAGCCTGCAGATGCCTTTCAGCAAACAAGCTTGAAGGCTTTTCCACCGGCACATGCAGGACAGAGATCCATAAGGTATAGGCTCCTCAAGCAAGGCCAAGCAAACCCCGGCGTTAGTATGACAAAAAAATGGCTGCATGCGGGGGATGCTGCGGAGCAAATCACAAAGATCCTACCATCTGCACAATGAAGATATACAAAGGTTTCAGGCCATCCAATCAAGGGGAACAGCCAACTCTTTCTCACCTGCTGGTTCATGTTGTCGGTTTTGAGGGTGACGTGCTTTGCGAGCGCAGGCAGGAGCCGGCCCTCACAGGGGTTGATGCCCAGAATGCCGCAGGCCCAGAACATGTTGGAGAGGTCGATGCCGGTGAAGCCGCCCGCCGCCGCCGGCTTCATCAGGTGCTCCCCAATCGCATCCAGCACTGCCCCATCCAGTGGATTCACCTGCGATGTGCCGGACACCGTAACCTAGTGGATTCACCTTCGCTGTACCCACACCACTACTAAGTGGATTTATTTTACCAAACGGTGACAGGCCCGCTGACATCACCCTCTTGCAGGCCTTGTTGCGCAGCTGCACACCAGCACATGCAAACACCTCTCATGAACGCGTCACGGTGCTCTGGCAGCTTCTGATATGCAAGAAGTGGCACTTGGTTAACTTTTCCAACACTATGGCTGCACTCAAAGTACCCATCATCCATCACAGAATAAAATGCATAGGATCCTCTTGATCCAAATCATGCACATGCATCATGAGCGAGAGACCGCAGCATGCAAACGGAGCACAGGTATAGCATGCATGCAGTGGGCCCAAATTCAACGTCTTTCTACAATGGCATGCACCCAACTCACTTCAATGATAATAAAGCAGAGGCTGTCATAATGATATATTTTATCAAGCATTGTTTGGTAGGATGGTGCAACCTCCAGTCTACCTGGTGTAGGCATCATGACAGCTTTGTGGTTCAGGGTTATGACACCATATGAGGGGACTGAACAATCGACTGAGACCCCCATGGGTACAATGACCAAGGGCATTGGAAAAGGGATTGCCGCTCACCCGCAGGCTGGCGAAGGACCAGAAAGCGTGTGCGCAGCCCATCGAATTGAGGAACTTGCCGCCCTCCTCCCGCGACAACTCCATGATGCGCTCGCACACGGCGTTCAGCAGCCGCCCCTCTGCGCAACCACACACTTTATGGCACTAGCGCATGATTGGGTGGAGGTGAATGGATGCCAGTAGCGAAGGATCTCACAAAGGGACCAACGAGGAACAGCCTATCAAATTGCTGGCATGCATCCTGGCCTGAAAGAAGGGCTCTTCTCAAAAATCCTGTAGAAGAGAAGCTGAGAATAGAACGGCACCGGGGAAACCACTTGCCGAACATCCTCCTATGGTGATACAGTGGAATGCAGCATGCAAGTTTGGATGCCCTGCGTACCCAGGAGGTGTTGGCGCAGCATGCCCAAGGCTTACAGCACATATATTGGTTTAAAGAATGCACCCAGAAGGAATCCTGATGAGTATTCCTGCCAAAAGGTGGAAAAACGCACCCAGCAGGTTCTGGCGCAGCATGCCCATGGCCCAGAGCACGTTGGGCACGGCGCGGCTATCCATCTCCCCAGCCATGCCCACCGCCATCTCACTCAACTCCGTCAGCAGCTCCCTCAGCCCCGGCGTGGAATCCACAAGCGTGTCCACGTGCGCCAGCGGGTTGCGCTTCTGCAACACATGCGGTGCAAGACTCACATCGGGGCACAATTTTAGCACTCATTAGCGTGATTCCATATTGCATCAGGGCTGTTCAAAGCACGTGAGGCAGCAATTCCACAGGAGCTTGGCTGAAGGCCTCAAAGGTGTTTCCTGCCATATTGCATGCAAAGGCGCATATAATTTCAGACAGCTAAATGAGACAAGGCTGGGAGGCACGCCAACATGCAATTCCCTCCTCACCCTGGAAAGGAAAGCAGTGCCCCGATTAAGAAGGCTGCGCAGGCCAGGGCCGCAAATAGGGGGACAAAAGAAGAAACTGTGAAGGGAGGTAGGCGCACCGAGCTGACGGTGTTGGCAATGCGGCCGAGGCGGTGGATGCAGCTGGACACCTGCACCATGTGCATGTCATCTCGCCGTTGCTCCAGCAGCAGGCGCAGGTCGTCCACGTAGGCCTGCAGCGCCTGGGGCGTTCCCTCCGCCACCGCCCACTCAGCGCGCTCCAGGATAATTTGCTGCGGGTTGCCCGACAGCATGCTCGCCGGCTTTGGCGGCGGCGGCCGCGGCGGCCGCTGCGGCCGGACCGGCCCTGCGCGCTCAAATGCGTCATCTTAGTTACATTGTCCAACACATCTTTGTCGCATTCTATATTTTGCCAATATTGCTAATATTCAAACGCATTTTATTTTCAGAAAGATCGCATGCGGCGCATGCAGTGCATGTGATCCGCAAGGCAGCCCCCTATTCTGACATTGGCGCTCGCCATGCCTTGCATGCTTTGCATTCACTCTTGACTTGAATTTAGTTTGCTTTCTTCCTGTCATGCTTCATTGACAGGATGGAGGCATGCGAGATTCAGGACCTTTTGAGTCCGTATTTAAATAAATGTGTCAGAATGTGCGGCCTTGACGTGAATCTTTCAGCTGCAGGCAGGCAAGGGAAGGCTTGTATATACAGTATCAAGAACGGCGGATTACACACCTGGCTGCTGCGGAGATTCCCCGGCACGGTGCAGCGGCGGCGGCAGAAACCTCGGCACCGGTCCTTGCTGCCACGCTGCCACACCCGCCGCCTGCTTGCCCTCGCGGGCTGACGGCCCATCCCCTTGCTCAGAGTCTCTACGCTGGTCCCCCAGACCTTTTCTGTCTGCAGGGGCCAGCTGCTGCTGCCCCCATCCGGTGCCCTGCGCCTGAAGGAATCCAGGACCATTATCCTCCGAAAGTAGCGGTCTCTGCCGCGGCCGGCGGGGGTTTCTGGGCCCCGATGGGGGGCCCTGCTGCCACCGATGGCCCCCACCCACGCCCTGCAGATCCTCCTGATCTGGCTCCCACCGCAGCTGGCTTTGCTCCCTGGAAGCTGACGGCGCCCGCCGCCGCGGCCCCCGGCCCGGCGGCCGCGCACGGTTCTGCTGGAAAGCCCCTCCTGCCTGATCAGGTGTCCCTGGGGAGTCGTCCAGTGTTGCTACTCCTGCCCCATTGGCATGCCGAGCTGACAGCAGGCGGTGATCTGCTACAGAGTCCCCGGCTCCTAGACTGGGTCCGTCTGCTGCAGCACGCACAGCGTGCAGGTGGGGTGCTGGAGACGGCGAAAGTGGCTCTACAAGGGTGCTGTGGAGGCGGTGAGCTGCTTCTGGTTGGGCCGGGCCATCTGCCCTCAGCAGAAGATCAACGGCGGTGCACAGGCCGGCGTGGAGGGTGCTCCCAGCCTGAAAAACATGTTGAACAGCAATTGCTTGGAAATCATGCAGAGAGAGCGCTGGATCACCCGCAACGAGTTGCAGTGGAGGAGCAATCCCTGATAGGCAGACAACAAGAATTCCACAGATTTCCATGAACTCTTCACAAACATGGCGTGATGGAATTTGATCGCTTTTGAAATTGAAAATCCACGGATTTTCTTCCAATACCGCGCAGAGTTGTGTGCAGTACACACCTCAGATTGAGGCAGCAGACGTAGAAGCGACACATGGAGTCTCCTTGCCGACAACATAGCTCGTTTGGAAAGCATTTAATTACACCTGAATGCTAGCATATTGCATTGGATTGCTGAACAGGCGCCCAGGCTAGATTTTCCGAAGACCATCAAATTGATAGTAAATGCTGTGCTTTTCCTGAGCAGAACAGCTGCTTGTTTCTTTCGCAATCTCCAAGCAGTAGCTGAGATCAACCTTCTGATTCCGTAAAGAATATTGTTTAGAGTAAACGTGTAGAATCAAATTGTTTCGGAGGTCATGGCGTCTCATCTTCCGGAGTCGGCACCGATGGTGTGGCGGTGCCTCCCCACATGCACCTGCCTCCTTGTACAGTACAAGTTGTACTGCCTCTGATGTGAAGGAATGGGGACTGTCATGAGTCGTCCAAGAGGCACAATGCGAAAAATCTACAAATTTTGGTTGGGCCACTATTTAGTGGTCACTGTTTTGAGGGACAGACACTTATGCTCAGACCCGCCCGGCGACTCGGTCGGACCCGGTCCGGGACCCGGTCTCAGACTGTGCAGACTGCGCACGCGGGGGACAGTGTTACGCGGTGTTTTGTAAATGGAGTGCACACAGGTTTGGCGTGAGAATGAAGCACTTGAGATCTGGCAATCACTCTGCCGTGCAGGATGTCTCATGCAGGATATTTAATTTCAGAAATCTCAGCAATGACGGCTGCCATGTACTACGGTGTATGTTCTTAAAAACGGCCCGGCCGGCGCCGCGGCGGCGGCTGGGCCTCGATGTCACAGATCATGAAAATAGGCAGATCTACTAGAGACTGCTAGCGTCAGGAAGCCTAACAGGTAAGTGCCTCACTCTACATGATGTACTAATCACGATAAACTCTGCAACTGCAAGTCTGCACGCATGCCCACACTTCTGCTGATTAAGGCTCTAGTCTACTTGCTACAAGCCGCCGCTCTTTTCCTTGCCAACCCAAAGCTGTTTCATTGAATTCTTCTGCTCCTTTCTAAAAGATCCCTTGCTGTTCTTTGTGGCCCTCCTGTCTGCCACTGACAAAGCCTGCGGAAGAAAATGCACACATTCCAGGACTGCAGCGCAAGCGTGAGAGCTTGAAGATATTAACGTGTCGTGGACAGTCTGATCACAGAACGCACAAGAGGGTCAACCTGCACCTTGTCTAGCTTCAGGGCAAGGCGCCGCTTCTGTTTTTGTGTAGCCTTTCCTCGCTTGGGCTTCAGCTTGGGACCCTTCTGCTTGAGCTCCCCATCTGGCTGCTCTAGGGACACAAAATCGCTTGTGTCCATTTCTGCGATCACAGCAGCATCTCATGAGCTTTTTCCAGCAAACCGAGAGCCATTCAACCTCAGGTGACAGATAACTTTAGTAGAAACTGGCATCTAGTCACACGCCGGACCCCGAAGGCCCATACCTTGTGCAACTTTGTCGCCTGCACCAACGTCACTATCAACATCCATGCCGAACGCGCCCTTGTTTTTACCTGAGGTTCCAGTCCGATTGTTAGTGACGGCAGTATTAAACATCTCGAGGCCAACATTAGTGGGACAGTACGGCGCATTTATAGGGCAGGTGGAATCAAAGATTGGGCATCAGACTCACGTCTTTTCACCATTCTGTATTCAGAATACCGCGGTGGACCTAGACAGCAGTGCAATAGATCTCCACCCTCTTTTTTAAGGTCCCCAGCAAAATGATCTTCTGCTGACCAGCAACCAGAAATTCTGCTTACACACAGGAGTATAGGTGTGTCCACGATATTATTTCAGGGAATGTCTCTCGGTTAAGTTGCCAAAATGTTGAAGGAGTTTGCTGGCTATCAAAACCCTGAATAAATCCCCGAGATTACTATTTTTCAAAATTTTTCGAATAGGGCGTTCGGTTCCACCTCCCGATATATCGGTAGATCTGATGCGTCCGTCTTCAATGTAAGCTCAGATACCAGGTTGCCATTATCAAGGTTGTGCCAGCTTTTCTGGGGCTCATCGTTAATGTTGTTACCAGCCATGTGGTAGTCCATCAAGTCTTGCAGAAGTGAGAGCAGCAATCTCTCGATTTATATAGACAAGGCATTTGTTTTATATATATATATATATATATCAGTCTCTGGATTTAGACTTGATTCTCCCATTGTCACGACATGCCAGCATACAAAACATCGTGATGCTGATCCCTTCGCGAGCAGTGGGTACGTTGCCAAGGTCGTGTAGTCAGAGTCTCGTGTATTCTTCACCGAGGCCGGTAAAATCCGATGTATGGTCTGAACAATTGTGAAGGTCTATACGATAATCTGCATTGTACTTATGTTCACCTTTTTGTGGGCAGGTCCAAGGATCACCACATCAAGATCAGCTCATATCTGCCATGCCAGTCAGGCTCAAGCCGTGCGGAAGACTGCTGTTATCACTGGGGGTACTCGTGGTATAGGCTTTGCAGTGGCCAAGTCACTGGCCAGGTGTGTACCGGCACCATCCTCTCATTTACTAGATCCTCTATGTTTTCACTGATGATGATGATGATGACTTAGCCAGAAATTCTTGACGCGATGGCATAAATGCAGGGATGGCTACAAAGGCCTCGTGCTGGGGTACAACTCGGATGCTAAGGCAGCAGAACATGCGCAACAGGAGTTGCAAGATGTTTATGGCGCCACAGTATTCTGCGTCAAGGTACAGGATGCAGCTCTCAACTTTTTAAGGATCCTTCTTGATGCTGTAACAAAGCCCTAAGTGGATCTATCCAGGCCTCACATCCGCTGCAGTAAATCACTGGGCTCCGTGATGCTCAATGCTGGAACATTGGAACGGGGCAATGCCAACTCATGAACATCTGACATGCAAATCTGCGCATTCTCAATTGATCTGATAGATTCCCTGGCATCCAGTCGCGAAGTAGAGCACTGGACGCCTCTCTATTACAAGACATGCACTGACGACTAAGCAGTAAACAACATGCATGCAGGGGGATGTGGCGCAGAGGGAGGTGCTGCAGGAAATGTTTGGGCTGCTGCGCGACCACTTTGACAACCGCTGCACGGCCTTTGTGCACAACGCTGGGCTGCTGGCCGGCTTCAGCAGCATGTCTGAGTACGAGGGGGCGCCCACTCTGGAGCGCACCAGCAACCAGCAGCTGCTGAATCCCCTTGATGCAGAACTCAGCAGGTGCTCATCTCCCCACACCTCTCATCACATCTCCGTTGTCTTCCTGGACTTTGTGGTACTAGCGTTTGTGCTGTTGCTACCTGCGCTGCACTCGGTGATATTGCTGAGAAGAAATAGCCAGCACGAGAAACACGCTCAACACCTTGATGGCACACGCCCTCAAGAGTCTGATCCTAGCAGCGATGTCACAGGACTAACAATTTCAATCTGGTCTAAAGCCCCACCACAATGTGGTGAAAAGAATACAGAACGATATTTGATGTTGCCCAGATTTGCACTCAAATAAGAGACAGTGTGTGGTGGGTGTGCAGTGTGGAGAAGAATTTTGAGTACTACTGGCGGGTGTACACCCTCTGCTTCCAGCTGGGCCTGAAGCAGGCGATGAAGTGCGAGGGACTGCGCCATGTGGTGGGCATCTCAGCCCCGGGCTGCAACCTGTCACAATCGCCCCGCCTGTGGTTTGATGACCGAGGGCAGGTGCAACCTCTGCCTTTCAGCTCTTTAATCAATTTGGTTGTATTCAAGGTATCAGGTGGCGGGGCCCGGTGTAGAATTTGAGCACCGTACCCAAATTTGATTGGGTCTTGGTCGGATCTGGCGAGTCCAACAAGGGGAAGAATGTGCGGCATGTTATACCTGGAGCTTGGCTGCAAATGCCTCTGACACAAACAGAGTGTGGTAAATTTCACCATAGAGATATCTCAAGTGCCATCAGGAGATCCCCCAAGTTGCTAGGCTGAAATGACTGCACAAGCGCCCATCTTTACCCGATAGTATAATTGCTGATATGCCAGGTCGTCATTTCAAGGGTGCTTGTTTGTCAGCTCCGCTCCGCTGCTGGCTCAGAAGTCTCTGAACTGGGATTCCGTCAAGAATAAAATTTGATCTGGCTGCGTGCAAGTGCAGGGCAAGGCGGGCATGGAATACCTGGTGAGAGTGGCTGCCAAGGCCTACACCAAGCAGGGCATCAACTTCAATGCCATCATCCCCGGCAACGTCCTCGCAGGTATCTGCCTTTCCTTGCTCGTTCCACTGCCTTTCCTGCAAGTCAACTAGCATTTTAGGAATGCAAGCATGCTTTGCGCGATTGTGCTGAGCATGCTGGTGAGACAGAGATCAGGGCAGGCTGAGGTGTGCATGTTCTTCTTCGGAAGTTTGGATTCTTTTGAGGCCCATCCAGACTCATTGGCTCACTGCTTCTGACCAGGGGGCACAATCCTGGCATATGAGAGCGGAGAAGAGCTGAAGAACTACTATGACAACCGCCTGGAGACAACCACCGGCCGCTGGGTGGGAGCTGAGGAGATTGGGGATGTTGTCAGCTTCCTGTGCTCGCCCCAGGGCTCTGCAATAAATGGGCTTGCCATTCCAGTGGACAACGGGCTGCACCTCTTTGGCGGCTGAAGCATGTGCCTGTGCTTGGTCTGGCACATTTGTGCTCTGTGTTGGAATAGGCCTTCAAGAAAGTGGAGGCAATTTTGAGGGCTCAGATGCACCCATGTCTGGCACAGATTGTGTGTGAAGCCTATGCTACTGTCTGGGAGCTTTTTCACCCAAGTGGGAGCAAGACTTGTGGAAAGCTGGTAAAGAACCCTTTGGAGAGTGAAGTGAAGGGCACTGCCTGCTGCCTGTCAGTCCAGCTTGTTTTTTTGTGGCAGAGGTGGCTATGCATTGCAAGGTACACGTTAGTGGTCAAGGGATTACCAAGGAGGAGCCTGGCTAGGACTGTTCTAATGTGAACATGAGGATTTAGCCAGCCCAATATGTCCACTACATGAAGATGCACCCAGCTAAGAATTTCCATACAAGCAACACCAGCATTTGCCGCAGATGCACTTGGTTGTCTTCTCAGTGACCTCCTCATAAGTCTTCGGCCTCTCGCCCCGTCTCCGGGTGTAAAAGCACACCTTCTTGCTGCTGTATGCAAATCCATCTCCGCCAGAAACAGCAGTGCCCACAACAAACCCCCTACCTATTAAGTTATCCATCAGCTCAAACAAGTCAGCCCCAGTTATTTGCGGCTCTGGCTCAAAGCTGCCAACAATCATCTCTTCTAACCTCGAGGCAGTATCGTTTGCTGACTCCAGCCTTAGATGCAGCCTCTGTGCCGTCAGGATCAGAGTCCTCAGCGGCAGATGACCTGGAATGGTCACCTGAATGATCTTCAAAGGCTTGAGATCAACATACAAAACCTTCAACTGTGTAAGGTTGTGCAGGCGGGGGCACAAGCTCAGATTGACCGGCACATATTCAATTGGGCACTCAATCAAGCCTACCCAATCATTATCCCAGTCCGCCTTTATTGTCAGTTGTTCCAACTTGGGAAATGCCTGCAGAAAGCTGAAGTCGTTTACACCATTCTGGTGTTGATCGTAGCAATCAAAGGTATCCACTTGATGCCCAACTGCCCGCCACACCTCCTCAAAGTGCTCTGCAGCCAATGCGGCGGAGTCCAAGTGAAGAGCCACTCGGCACCGGGGCCGTAGTTCCAAGGAGCCAGGCAAGAAGAAGGAAAGCTTCAACCATTTCAATCTGGGCAGCGACCGAAGATTCAAACCGTCAGTCTTATCATAGCGGTCTTCAATGTCCACTATGCCAACCTTTCCAAAAATCTCCAGCGATTCCAGGCTGGGAAGGTCTGAAAGTGTTTCTTCCAAGGCATCCTCCCCATCGTAGCCCACCAGATACAAATGCTTGAGAGCTGTCATGTGACTCAGAGGAGGCAGGGCGATGCCCCATATGCATATGCTCATCACCTCAACGCAGTGAATGCTGGTGAGCATCCAGTCAGAAAATCCAGGATCCACAAGCTTGTGATCTCTGTGGTATGATCCACTGGCTAAGAGTGAGAGTCTTCTGACTTGATTGGGAGCATTGCTATCAGTGAAGAGAGCCTCCACAGCGTTTTTATCCGCCTCACGCCACTGGAATAAAAGGACTAATTTCAAGTCTCTCGCTGCTTGCCAGTGTGTGCAAGCCCATCGCAGCGAACTGAGCATGGTTCCACCAGGCAGTGATGTGAAATCCTGCTCAGCTTCATGGTCCTTCCAGCTCCAGCCAGCTCGTGGGAAGTGCAGATCGAGAGAATGCAGCTGCATGCGGCTGAACATCCTGCAACAAAGCGCCCCAGAGGTTGCCCACTCACCCACTGTCATGTGGCCAGCAATGCGCTGCCAGATCTCCTCTGGCAAGCGAGGCATGTTATTACCTGTGCATACGCAGATCAATGACATTAAGGATGCTGCTGCTTGTGCCGATCCCCCCTCGGGCAGTGAGCTGATCCGCAAGCTGCTTCACAACAGTCATGGTAATCGCTGCGCCCAGAAAATTGTCTATCATTTAGGAGTGAACGGCAATTTTTCTCAGGCGATGGACCTGTGCACGCCCATTTTCTGATCTCTTTGATCAGATGACTTCAACAAACACTCATCTTGATATCTTCACCCACCACATGCTGTAATGAGGATAATTGAGCGTCCAAGATCGCCGCACCTGCCATGATTGGCTAGATTGATCACCATACAAACCGCTTGCTGCGACTTCCTTCGCTGGAAAAGCGTCAACGCCTCTGTTGCCTCCCCCTGAAGATGTCACCACCTTGGAGATGGACCCATAACAAGTGCTGGATTTGCGGATTGGCAGCAGATACTTCTGCAAGTTCAAAGAACAGCACAATCGCCTCAGCCTGGAGGAAATTTTTCAATTCTACATCCATCTTGCCCAGTTGCAAAGCACCGAGCCGAACCCGTTCGGCGGCGTTGGTCAGCTTCGCTGTCGGTGCGCCATCTGCCCATTTGCGTTCCTTCTCATAACCCACTCGCTTGTCCCCACGCAGACATTCTGCGACGAAATTTGTTTGTTGCTTCGCCTCCATCGTGCAGAGTTGCTCTGTAAATAACTAAAAGGGATAACCTGATACGAGCAACTTCGAGCAGGCTGAGCAGTTGTGTGCTGTCAGTAATGTACTAAACCAAAGACTATGACAGTTCCTGGAAGTTTTTTCGTTTTTCCCTACATTTGAACACATCTTCAACTTTGACTGGCTGCCTTCGTCGGCACACCACCAACGTCAACGAGCATTGCACTGTTCCCGAAAAGAGACTACCTGATTTGCGCATACACAAATCGTTGGACATATTGGGTACTACAGTAGTCAAAACATCAATCGAGCATAATACTGTGCCGATCCGATCGGTTTAGTAAAGTCCTAGACTAGTGATAGAGCTCCTCAAGTTGGGCCCTGGCCGTTGCTTCCAGTGACCCATCCTGGGAGGTGGAGGCCATGCATGGAAGGAACTCTTTGATTGCGGCTTTCGTGCTCCTCTTCCTCTCTGCTCCCACAGGTATGAAGGCAAACCGATGATAAAGGGCCTCAAAGGCTTCTTTTTGTGGTCACTGCCCATTCTGGTCAGTGTCATGTAACTGTTGGATTGACCTTTTTAGTCACTCCGAGAACTGTCTTTCCACTCCTGTCTGATCTGATAGCGTGCTGGGGGCAGGGCTGGCACAGGACCTTTCGAATGAATCTTCCAAGAGAAAAGTGGACGGGCAGAATGTGCCCAAGCTGACACTGCAGCTGGCAGATCAGCAAGCCTTCTTGGACAGGCATGGGAGCAAAGTGGGGCTGCACGCCAGAAACATCCGCAGCATCGCCGCACCAGTGAGTGCTTGAGTGCCTTCATGACCTTTTTGTCATATCCGTGTGACCTTGAAAGATTCTGTGCATTCAACACGGTATTGAGGTTACTTCTGTGTTGCAGGATTTTCCAGAGCAGGATATTTTGGGGGCAGGGACATGGCAGGAGGTCCCGGGTAGTGGGCATATCTGGAGATTGGCCATTCAGTCAAGTGGCGCTCAGTCGCATGTATTGATATTCAGGTGATCCAAAACCACCTTCCTGCTTGATCACGTTCGCGCCGCAAGCTTTGCATTTACACATTCAACGCGATGTCTAAGTCGGGGGCTTACATGCAAGTTCTGAAACTTGCTTGCTTGAGTGCACTGCAGCAAGGTGTTCTTGCCGGAGGGCAGTTCACTTCGTATTAAATCACAAGATGAGGACGTGTTGGGAGGCGTCTGTGGTCACAATTGCCAGCAATACTCAGCGCAGGATATCAATGTGTCTGGCCGCCTTGTCGTGCCTGAGATCCAAGGTGAGGCACTAGCAATTCGCTGCTGTATGACGGGTGTTCAATTGTAGCACGCAGCAAGTGACACTCACAATGTAAGAGCTGCATGATTTGCGGCTGAATCGCTTGTGAGTTGCAGTTCTGACAAGCTTCAGGGAATGGCGGGGCACTTTATAAGGAGGATGGTGTGTCTATGCAGGGGAAACAATCATCATTGAGTATGTACAACCAAGTGCACCCTTGGATTCTGGATGGCCTCTGCTCAGGCTGGCATCAGTTCTCCAGGTACACCTACTGCTACCATTCCACAGAACCCAGGAGCTCGGCCAAAAGCTGCAAATCTTGGGCTATTTACAGTGTGCTATGTGGGGAAGTGTTTGGGAAGTGAAGGAAGGACACTTTTTGTACAAAAAATGTTTGATCCTTTAAAAATTTTGCTCACAGGGGTTCAAGGAGAGCCTGGCGGAGGTTGCGCAGAGCAGCAGGAGGAGGGCACGCCGTCTGACGGCCCTGCCGCCAATGCCAGCTCAGCCGGCCCGGCAGGCGCCTGCAGCTGACCCCGGCGCAGCTCTGGGCCCTGCACCGCCGCAGCAAGCACAGGCCGGTGCCCTGACATGAACTGCTGGGTGTCCTGATATCAAGTGCTTTACCACTTCCCGGCTGTGGCAGAGTTGTCTATCGTTAGCTGAATCTCTTGCGAAAGTTCCACCTGTTCTCTAACAGTAAGGCTGCATTGTGTTACTGGTTTGTTTCTGCTTCTGTGTGGCTTTCATGGCACATGGCAGGCTACTTGTCAGCATGCATGCATGCAGACTCATAGCTGAGCATGGATGGTTACCATCCAGAGTTCCGCCGCATCCTACTGCAGGCTGAATGCATTCTGGCTGGTGTGATGCAGGGGACGCAGTTCAACGTAGATCAGATGCAGATGACAAGCGATGGGGTGAGTCAGTGCACAGCTAGTGTTGAGTGCGCGCCTGCTTGGGCTGAGGAGGCGTCCGGTGTCATGGACATCTATGCCATTGACATGCGGCTCGGGGCTATGGGCCTCTGCACAGGTATTTACTTTGGCAAGTTTTAATTCAAACTTCAAAATCGATTAAATCGATTTTTCGAATTTTTTTGAACTGGCAAATTTTCCTTGTGGAGTCAGGGTGTGCTGGGTCCCATGTGCGATAGCAGCAAATGGGGTTCAGCATGTGACCCTTCTGATAGTTCCTTGCCATGCATAGCTTTCTCGTGAAAGAGCTACATGCAAATTGTAACAGATGTGAAACTGAGGCAATGTCTTAGTTGTGCCAATCATGCTATCCAGCTTTGGGTATGGTCTGTATATTGGTCTCCAAGCCGAAGATAGAGTTTCTGCTGCTGTTCTGCAGGCACAATCATCAATGCACCGCTTGGGAAGAAATTCCTGTTGACAGCAGACCACTGCTTTGTCGGTAAGTGCTCTACAATGGGCGGCTCCTTGTACCCTCCTTATGGCTTACAGTGTCAGGTGGAATAATCAGAAGGGAATTTCTTTCTGATTTTCAGTATGATTGCTTGTCTAAGATGCCAGAGATTTCAGATACAAGCTTCTCTTTGATTATCACTGACATGCTTATGTGCTGTCCCACAGACAAGGTGGACATTTCAAATTTCCAGTGGTGGCTCCTCATCTTCAACTATGAGACCCCCTGCAGATCCAAAGACCGCCCGCCTCCCATCAGACAAGTCATACAGGTGGAACCTCTTCTATCTGGTGGTCTCCCACTGCTAAGTCTGACACAGTAGACTGAGGATTGCCTGATGTTTAACATGGTGTTTCTCTGCTTGGACATGCCTCTGCTATCATATAGTTGGCAGGTATGCCGCTTTAAGAGGGATGAGAAAAAAATTTGAATTAATGATCTGCCCTAAATTTGCCAGGGCACGAAGCTGCTGTTCTATGACAGCAAGTCGGACGTGTTGCTGCTGGACATTCCCAACGCCATCCCCGATAACTTCAAGGCCTACAAGGTGGGCTTTGACGCTGAGGAGGTCACGCCCCAGCGCGCCATCTCCATCCACCACCCTGCCGGCAACATCAAGCGCATCTCCTACGCCAACTCCACGTGAGAATCCTTCTCCTGCGCCTCGATAAATCACTGCCTGGGTGCACTATGGGTGTGTTGATCTAAGTGTGCTTGTCCTGAGCAGCAACCAGAGCTCCTATGCCAACTCCACGTGAGAAACCTCCCTCCTATATCACAGGGCCCCATGCATGGCTCTGTTCTTTTGAGTGCGCAGCGACAGGAGCTCCAAATTTGGCCATGAGAAGAGTGTTCTCCATAAGAGCGCCCAGTGCATGGCTGTGTTCTTTTAACTGTGCCTGTTGTGAGCAGCAATAGCCGCTTCATCTTACACCAACTCCATGTGTGAAACAGTCTCACCCAATGCCTGGCTCTCTTGTTTGAATTTGCCCATTGCAAGAAGCTTTCGCCTCCGTCTTCACCATTTGCCACACACATTGTGAAGCAATAGGAATAAGATAACTTCAGGGGCGATGTGTCAGGGACTTGCATGTGGCAGTGCCGAAAGGGTTATATGATTAATGGTAATTCCTATATTAATACATCGAACAAACCGATTTTTTATGTGTTATGGCAGAAATGACCAATTCTGAGTGGCAATGTCCTGTCATGTTTCAGGGACTCGATCACGACGAATTTCCAGGCACCGACCTTCTCAGAGGACATCCACCCCACCAATCAAACCCACTTCCAGGTGAGGCGCATCAGCGTCTTTTTGCCCGCATGCTGCTCATGAGCACGCAGCCATGAGCGCACCAGCGAAGGCGACCCCTTGTGCCTAATGTGCTTGTGCCAAGACTAGGCCTTGTTGTACATCTTGTTGTGCACCACCATTGCACACGAAAGAGCTCGATTGCAGTGTGCAAGTGGTGCCAAGATCTCCCGGTGGTCCTTTGCGTGATGCCGGATCACAGAGCATTCTCCCTACCCGTATAATATACTCCACAGCTGAAGGAAACACTTGCATGCTGTTCCATGCAGGTCAAGTGGACGCAGGGGGCCACGCAGGGGGGTTCATCTGGGGCAGCGCTGATAGATGCTGACTCTAGGAAGGTTGTGGGCATCCTGACTGGGGGGACGACCACCTGTGACATCTTCAGCGGGGCCGACTACTTTGGCATGCTCTCAGTGGTGCGCCGCTGTGCTGCAGCCGAGCTCTGGCAGCTAGTGTGCCTTTGCATCCTTTTTGCACCGTGTCTCATCTTCCTGAGGGAAATTTAGTCTCAATAGCAAGCCTGTGAGTGCTAGCCTGCCAGTGCCAGATTCTCTGGCAGGCAGCATGTGCCAAAGTTTTTGATTTTTGCACATGTGTCTTTGGAGCCTGTGGTCATATAGTGCTGGGGTGGATCCTGAATTCCTCTCATGTGGATTCTGAGTTGGTGTTCTGAGGGGTGAAATGATTTGGGCGGGCATAGGCCCTCTGCAGCTTATGATAATTGCCTTTAGGTTTGGCTTCCTGAGAAAGGTCCAGATGGTTCCTGCAACTGAGAATATATTCATTGGGCAGGCGTGGCGCAACGGCCTGCAGAATTTCCTGTCGGACGCGCCGAGCCTGACAGACAGCGGCCAGGGGGGATTGAGCACGGTGACTCAGTACGCCGGAGGGGTGGTTGTTGTTGATGCGCTGGAGGGAACGCCCCTGCCCCACCACGGCCCTGCTATCAATTTCTGGCCCTCTGTCTTCGTCATGGGGCCAGAAAACGTCACCCGCGTCGCTTTCTAGTGCGCCCCTGATGTGCTATCTCTTTCTATTCAAGCTTAGCTTGTGTAGTTGCACCACCAATTCCCTGCCAGGCAGGACTTTGCCAGGCATACCAAGCTGATGAGGATTTGTGGAACACATATGCCTAGCACAGTCATGGGGGATCACCTTTCAGTGAGTCTCTGTTGTGCACTCCACTCTTTTTCAAGATAGCCAATACTGCTTGGCCCACAGGTACTCGTTAGGTTTGCATGCAATAGCACGTTCCTGCCTGCAGAATGCAGCTCTGCCACTTCACAGTTCTTGTGTTAGTCACAAGCTTGGTTAGACATGGGGAAGCTGCAAGTGACAACCTGACTTTTGCATGCAGATTTATACTGTCCTGCACAGATATTAATACCTCACCTTCTGTCTTTTGTGCAGTTTGACGGACTCGCCAGCGCCGAATGAGGTGATTCAAACGACCATTGTGGTCAAGGGAGACCTGCCAGGCAATCAGATCAACCCGGCGCCCTACATCACCCTCTCAGAATACAGCTTCAATTTCACGACAGACAATTGCTGCCAGCTTGCACAGCCTCTTGCAGTTACCACAGGTGTGCACTTCCCTGCGTCCATTTGCTTGTGCCTCCTTTAGTTCTGCAGTCTTTGTTTTTGCAGTACTCTGCCCTTCAATGAGAGGCACTTGGATGCATGCATGTATGCAACTTGCATGTTAGCATCATATCAGTTGATTGTCAACTGCAGCGGCCCATTCTATTGCTTCCATGCCATTGTCTTGAGGAACTGTATTGTGCATGTGCTCATAAACAGAAGTTCTGGTTTTGCCCCGGGTCAATCTTGAGGTTGCTGAATTCTGGGTGTGCTGCAGCGCTGGGAGCATCAGTTCCTGGAGACCTGCTGCGGCTGCAGATTGTGTTCTGGCTGACCAGTAGCACAAACGCCAGCTACCTCCATGTCTCCACCATGAAGGTAGGTCCGTCTGTGAAGCCTGTCCAACTCATTGAAGAGCCTCACAAATCCTTTTCCACACTTACGGCAGCAACTTTACGTTATTTTGGGTGGCCCCATGTGAAATGCTCACTTCGGCCCAACCTCACCAAAGCTACGCTGAAGGTATTTGATTTGTGCAGGGCAAAAGATTCATGATTTTCTGGTGTGAGTGCAGGGCATCATTCAGAGCGGGTTCACAAGCTGGACCACCCTGCAGCCTGTGGCCTGCCTCAAGGCTCCCTGCTACTTCACAGACCCGGTAAATACCCTTGATATATTCTCCTAGCATGCACTGCCTTGCACACTGCGCTTGGCTGCTGACAGAAGCAGCCGCATTTGACCCGTCATTCCTGAAATGGGATCCCCCTCTGCACAACAGATTCACATGTTATAGGGAGGCGCAAGGCCCTGGGGTGTTTCAATTGGTGATGTGGATGTACCCTCTTGCGCTACCAGAGACAGATCTACCGTGTCTGATTGAAAACATTTGCTGTTCTCAATCGAAAAAAGTTTTTTTCTGTGTGGGCAGATTCTGGCAACAGCGCCACCCACTTATCCCCTGCCCACGAAGGCGGTCTTCCGGTACGCGCCCACGAGCGAGACAGCTGTGGCGCAGGACGTGTGCCTGCAGGACGGCTTCCTCGACCTTGCCACCATCTCAGTCTACATCAACGGCACATTCACATGGTCAGTGTAGCTATATATATGGTCTCTGACTCCACATAGTATTAAGTTGAAGAGAGCACTGTCAGATAAATTCTACAAGATTGCTCGTGCAAGGCGAGCACACTTCAGCGGATTAAGATGGCATTTCTCAAGCAGCATCATGGCGCGGCAGGCACCTCAATGAGACGTGCAGACTCCAAATCTTCCGAACACTTCTCATATGGAGAGTCTCTTCTTGTGCAGGACGCTTAGCCAGTCGTTTGACAACTCGGAGTGCGTGCACATCCCCGCGCTGGAGGTGCCGGCCGGCATAGCGCTTTACACGGTGGTCTCCGATGCCGACGACTACGAGGCCGTGCTGCCCATTGGCGCGGTCAAGTCTGTGGCCATCCGCGAGACGGCCCCGCCGCCGGCCGTCGCGCAGAACCGGCCCACTGCCGCCGCCGAGATTGTCGCCGCCGTCAACGCCGCATGGCAGCGCGACACCTCCGCGCCGCCCCCTGCGGTCCCCCCTGCCACAACCGCCCGCGCCGGTCCCCACGGTGCCGCGGCCGGCGGCGGCAACGTCCCCTCCGCCGCCCCCGGCCCCGGGATCGCGGCAGCCGGCGCGGCCGGAAGTGCGGTGCAGCCGGCGGCGGGAAGCAACGCCGCGGCGCAGCCGGCCGGGGGTGCGCAGGACAAGGCGGTGACGGCGTCGTCGACGAGCGGTACAAACCCCTTTGGAGGGGAGAAGGGCGGCCAGGCAGAAGCTGCGCGAGCGTCGAGCGGCGCGCCGCCGGCCAGCCCGCAAGGAAAGTCAGGCGCGGGTGACTACATGGACGGCGCGTCCGCGGCCGTCATTGCGATGCCTAGCGCATCCCTTAACTCAAACGGACGATAGTAGACTGCCATTTCTATTCTTATTATAATTCCGTAAGGCCACAAGTCTCGTCTTCTGGTGCATGCATGTCAACCAGCACATACACTATTCTTTCTGGAAAGACCTTGATAGCATGCAATGTGTGCCACGGAGTGTGTACTCTCTATTGATTAATTCTGTGCCAATGCAAGATCATTAGTTAAAAATGAGCTAATTTGTCGGTTGGGAATGGGAACACAATAATACTGAGCAAGCAGCACTTCTCAATGCAATTTTGTGTACAATGCAATTCTTTGTTGGGGGCGCTTGCCCACTGCTTTTGAAAGATGTGCTATTGAGTGCTAGTGTCAAGCATTGCTGCAATAAAATTCAATGGAATGCTTATGCTGCAAAGGTGCAGATGGTCTTGAAAGCTGGGGAGGAATAGTGGCGGATTAATATGTGTAAGATCTTGCTTGCATTGCGCAACCAACAATAGCATTTGTGCCTAGACACTGCCAAGCTGGTCTCTGTTCCTCGCCATGGGTTATAACTCATGACTACTGTTTATGGCATATAAGTATAATTAAAAGAACGCTTGTGCAGGGCTTTAAAGGGATCATCTCTATGAGCATGCACATTCTGCCACTGGAGCACCAGGCTGACTTACAACCTTTACATTTGCCTTTTTTTGAGGGACACACCTCCCTTCATGAGACTGTACTCCATTCTTTTGCTTCAGGCATGCACAGTGCACCTTAGATATGTACAGAGTGCCGCTGCATCAGGCTGAAAAGAAATAAAGAAAAAGGTATCATGGCAGAATTCAAAGACAATCCACCCATTCCTCATTCACCGTCATACTTTTCTACTCAGAACACATGTGGGAGAAACTTACTGAACGGAAAGACCGATGGAGCCACAATTACACCGTTGTGAACGGCACTTGGCAAGCAAAAAATTGATGTCCAGATTTGGGCCACTCCACGACAGGAGCTCAGCTGGGAATATCTGGCACATGCCAGGTTCACACCACAACTGGCTCGTGACACAGAAGCCCCAATTAGGCAGCGATTGTCAGGGACTGCACGGTGATTCAACCTTGTTCTTTTGTCTCAGAGACCAACGGGTGGAACCCCCTAGACTAGTTGTTACCCCCTAGTCATCCTAACACATGTGCGCAACTTCATGTCCTCAGCTCTTGTGCTGCGGATCATCCTCTCGGTTGCACACTGTTCGCTGAACAGCAGCCATAACATGCATTGGATTGTTGTCCTGTCAGAAAAGCTGCCATGCGTGAATTCACCGCAGAAAGACTCCCCTGTGAGGCTATCAAAGATGCTTGAAAAGATTTGAAACACTTCAACCCTGCCCGCCTGACACGACTGGATAAAACACCAGACATGCCGGGAGACAGAATTGGGTGCTTTGTGATAACGGAGAATGCATGTCGGTCACCATCAAACTGCAAAGTCAATTTCACAAAAAGAAGCCCTTTTTCCAGAGAGCGCATTTGTTTGTCACTGCCTGCTGCAGTATACTTGGCATGGTAGCCGAATAGCCGGATCAGCTGTCAAGAGGTCACTTGGCCGTATGGGAACAAGGGTAATTAGCGCCCTTGCGTTCACTGGAGGGAGGCAGTTGCGTTCAGGGGACCTGGCGCATGCTCATGGCGCTGCCGGCGTCGGCCATGGTCTCCATGCGCTGGCCGCTGCCGCCGGACGCCGTCGAGCTCTGCATGTTGGCAGCCGTGCCCTGGCTCTGCATGCATGTATACCGATAGTTTAGTCAGAAAGCTCTCCTAGAAGGCTAAAAATCAAAGGTCAACGGCGCAAGCTCGAGGCATGAGCACGAGGCACCAAATTCATCAATGATGTGTTGTAAGCGCAGCACGCACACATCAACTGCCCTCAAATGCAAAATTATGTCTTCTTGTCAGCATAGCAGCATGCACAGCTCCCGAGAGAAGCAAAGAGGGCAACGCGGCTCTATACGCGTCATCACCCCATAAGACCATGGCATGCAGGTCATTGTCACACAGCGTTCAGATTCCGCATCACACATGTGACACTAATAGAATTGGTTCTAGATTTGGCGCTCATGTGAGACTGGCTGGCTGCAGCTCCTCACCAAAGGCACATGACAGGTTTGACATGCATGCACTGAAGCAAGCTCAAAGTTCAAGGGTTGTGGGAGCGCACATTGACTGGGCGCACGGGTCCGACGGTGGCCTGATCGGTGGTGGCAGTGGCGCCCGATGACTTGGACTGCGAGAGGGGGGCATAGCTGCTGGGAGTCACATCGCGCACCGACTGAGTCTGCTGCGTGCCTGCACACAGAAGCAGCTGTGCATCAGAATCAAGCAGGCAGAAAGGCAGGCAGGTTGGAAAAGAGCATCCATACGATCAAGAGAAGCCAGACAGCGGCAAACATCACCCCCTGGGATGTCCCAGACACTAGCTATGGCACAAGTTGCACCGTTGAATGAGAATGCGTGAAGAAACGTAAACAATTGCAGGGTCATACAGATGGTGGGCATCTCTATCCCATGACATAAGCCTTACTGTCACCATTCAGAAGTTGGGTTCCTGGACTGAGAGACCAAGGCATTGGGTTCAGCGGCGCAACCGCTGATATCCAGGGTGCTAGGATATGAGCATGACACCAGTGTGCTCAAAGATTTACAAATGCAGGGAAAAGTCCAGGAAGGAATGAGCCACACCTGCCATGGAGGTTGAGCCGTCAATAGAGACGACGCCCACTGGCTTGGTCCCTGCTGAGCTGGAGGTGCGAGCGCTGGGTGTGACTGGGCGCACTGTCTGGGCATAGGGCGCCGAATTTGCTGTCGTTGTAGTTCCCTGTCACAGGGGGCACGCAAAACCCTCAGTCAAAAGTATTTCTTGCACAAATTTCAGACCGGGATAAGTCCTTTGTGCTGTGCTGACAGGAAACCTCTAGAAGCTGGCTAGTCATCGGTACTGCAAAGGTCTGTCCAGGGTGTGCTTCAGGGTGAGGACTTGACTTGGGCTGCTGAATAATGCTGACGCAAGCAAGGCAAGATTCGAAATGTTGTTGTCGCCCTGGGCTGGGTGGTGTCTACAGCGATGGGCGAATGCTGCCGCACCTGGCGTGCGCTAGATGATGCCGCCTGCTTCAGCAAGCGACCTTGCACGGCTCCCACGGAAAGGATGAGCACAAAAATTAGGCTGGTGACGACCTGCAGGCACAGAAGGGCAGATGAGATCATCGATTCCTGCTGCCATGTCACAGCCGTCCAGGTCCAGATCGACATGCAAGCGCACGGGTACAACAATCGTTCCTCGATGTCGTGATGGCACAAGTGGACGCTAACAAATATGCCGACACCATCACCGATCTTGTCGAAACATGGCAAGATTGAGGGGAGTGCTTGCCTTGAGGGAAACTGCCCGCTTGTCCATAAGGCGCCTGTGGTCAAATCGCTGAGAGAACGAAAAGGAATCGAGCTCGAGCTTCCTGCAACACAATAACAACTTAATTGTTAGATGCTCGTTATGCTCACTTAAGACGCTTGCCTTGACAAGTGGCCACCCCGACAATGCAATGTAGGGCTTCCGAAACCACGGCGTTAGCTCGAGAGTCTCCCCGACATGGGAATCCATCAACCCAATGTGATTCAGAGGCTAAAACATCGTGAAGATACACAGACGATACTTGGGCATACAAGCGTGTGTGCAGAAGGATCGTGACCAGTGTGGCTGACCTGTTCACACGGGTATGTCCTCGTTCACAGATGGATTGCTTTTGTCAAGGCAAACTGTGTTCGACGCTTTTAATCTCAACGAATTCAAGGATATTATTCGGTCAGCTTCTGATTGCTTGCCTCCACGTTGTCAGCAAAACCATTCTGGCAATTCTGCCAGCCAACGTGAAGCTTCCCTTTTCCGAAAGCCAAAAGAGGATTTGAGCTGACGTCGCATGGTCTCGCAAGGATTGATCCATCTGACGATTTCTTTGATTTATTGATTTATCTCTCCACACTGAATTAGAATAGCAAATTCTACTTCAAATTTGCGTAGTCAGCAGATACTGAAGGTGCATAAATTGCAGCTCAGATCACTAAACAAGAATATCAGATCACTTCATCTCTTGTCTTTCGAAACTGCGATTATAGGACGATCTGAAACAATGCAATTTGCTTAATTATACTGTAGGGTTTCTTAACCTGCACATGCCGATGCGGTTAGCGCAGAACTCTTCATGCGCTCAGAGGCTTTGGAGGCCAAGTCAACAAAAGCTCACTTCGAAGACCTTCATACTGTCCTTGACCCCGCCGAAATCTTCGTATATTCCTTTTCGTGATATTAAACCGTCGAGACCAGCAATAGGCCGCTCTCGGGCAGCAGCAACTCCGGTCAGCATGCAGGCACATGCTTTGCGAAACGAGGGCACTGAGCTTCACACACCATTGAAGGGATCCACACTGGCCGCAGTTTTGGCAGAGCAGCTGTCAACGGGTTCTTCTGAAGGAAGAAGAGAGGATCTATTGTTCATCTTTGCAGCTCTGCAGGTCTTAACCCATCCCTGCCAAAAATAAGTTCCATTGTCCCATAACATCACCATGCTGTGTGGATAGGGAACTTGCCATGCTTGCCAGAGCACACATTGTCACTCAGTAAGGATTAAACCAATAGGAAGGGCTTGCATTCAGCTACCGAGATGTATTTACCGTCTTGGCCTGGGTGCAGACTGCTGTGAAGAAGATTGCGCATCTGTTGAGCCGTGCGGGCATCGAGGACCTTTTTGGAGAGGCCACAGCGGCTGCTGGATCCGCCGAAAGGGACAAAGCGAAAAAGTTGGATGTGGTTGCAGTGCGCCCCAATGCATCACCTTCCATGCTGTTCCATCTGCATTCTCTTAAACTTGAACCCTCTCCCGGACTGCTGAGCACGCATTCAAAGCGTATTTCCTCATGCAGCCATTCTTTGACTATTGCATCTGCTTGACAGCCAAACACAGAAGAGCTCAATGGCACATGAGTCAGCTGTATTTTTCTGGGGAGAATGTGCTTTCTGTGCATGTTGTGCAGAATGAGGTGTTGAAGCTGGCGTTGGAGGGCACGGGCAGGGTGAGTCTGATGGCATCAGAAGAGGACGACGAGCCAGTCAGCGTCCAGTCAGCATGCGACAGGGACGGGAGCAGCTATGTGGCTGTCTTTGACCCGCTGGATGGCTCACGCAACATCGACGCCAGCATTCCGACCGGGACAATCTTTGGGCTCTACCCTGCTGCCACACGTGCGAGCCGGATCCCAAGTCACAATGCCAAGCTTTTTTAAAAGTTCCTCCAGAAAATGCCGGTCAGGAGTGGGACCTACCAGCAAGCAATGGATGTCCTCAGCTCGCCGGCATGTGTTTGATGTGACATCATTGGGAAATTAGAAGTTTGCCATCAAGCAAGCAGCATGCAAATTGAATTTAGCCGACATAGCAGGATGCTGTGCATGCATGCCTCATACTTCCATGCTGCCGCTTTCATGCAACGGAGGGCTGTGTCAGAAATGTTGCTTTGACACACCTGGTCTTCAAGCATTGGACAGGCCTGCTGTGATAGTTTTCAATGACAACCTCATGCAAAGCAGGCGGCGACCCCACCGACGCTCTGCAGCGGGGGACGCAGCAGATTGCGGCCGCGTATGCGCTGTACTCATCTGCTACCATGCTGGTGGTTTCCTGGGGCAGTGGAGTGCACGGCTTCACTCTTGACACCACGCTCGGCGAATTTGTGCTGACTCACCCACACATCCGCATCCCCCAAAGAGGCGCGCTGATGCTCTGCCTCAATCTCTCCTTCGTTCACTGCTGCAACTACGATGGCTTTTGACAGCAGATGAGACAGCAGATGAAACAGCAGATGTGGTGACTAGCCAGAAGCCTTCCCATGTGTCCCTATGGCGCCTTTAATGGGATGAGTATCTCAAGTAAGTGAGGGTGCACCCGTTGATCCATTTCTCCAGAGGCAAGGGTACAGCAGAGAGCTTGTTGTCATTGGACCTTCCCTACATCCTCCCTGCTTGGTGGCTGAGAGATAGATTCAAGTATTAAGATTGGACTGGGACGGAAGCTTTCCTGGTGTGGGCCAAGAAGACATTGCCTGTCACCGGTGACAATTGAGACTTGCACCGTTGTGTGTGCAGGACAGATATACTCAGTGAATGATGCGCGCTACTTTGACTGGCCTGAGGGGCTGAGGCGCTATATTGATGACATCCGGCAAGGCAAGGGCCAGAACCCGAAGCAGTACTCTGCCCGATACATCTGCTCCCTAGTTGCTGACTTCCACAGGTCTGCCCGTCTTTTAATCACATTGCATATGCATCATCTTCCTGTCTGTAAGGTGCACTGCTCACAGTTTAAGGCATACTTCTTTCCTGTGCAAGAGCTCTTGTTGGGGCCCTATAAAATTGCACCATTGGGAGAAGGAAGGACGATTGCAGCAATCATGCAGCAAATGTCACACTTGTAGGGCCTGTTTTTTCGCTAATTTCAGAGTTCTGACAGGATTGTTTAGACTGGATATTAGGTGCTGATGTGGTGTATAAAGGAGTAATAATGTGCAGATCTGAATCAACAGAAAACCTACCACTGTCCTGCTTGGCAGCAAGAACGCAGATGACAAGCAAACGACCTGGCTCGGTTTCTAGGGATGTATCCACTTTCAAGAATATGTAATGGTCGCATTCAAATTGTGTGGTGAGCAGGACGCTGCTGTATGGGGGAGTTGCCATGAACCCTCGCTCACACCTGCGGCTCGTCTATGAAGCCAACCCCCTGGGCTTTCTGGCAGAACAGGTAAAATTCTACCGCCTACGGTTGCTGAGAGATTGAATACAATTACATAGATTGCGCCCCTGCTGAGTTTTGGGGCGGTGTAAGTACTGAGTGCCCTGCCCACGATTGATTGGGTCTGGCTTGAAACCTGGCGAGTCCAGAAAGGGGTAGTTTTTGTGGCAGCCTGTACCTGGAGCTTGTCTACAGACGCACCATGCCTCTGGTATGAACAGCATGTAACATAAAGATATCCATGATAGGCGCATGCCCATAGCTCATTAACTTTGTGGTTTATTACCAGGCTGGCGGGAGGGCGTCTGATGGCAAGCGGCGCATTCTGGACATCCAGCCAGAGAAGCTGCACCAGAGGCTGCCCCTGTTTCTGGGGAGCCCAGATGACATAGCAGAGCTGGAAACTTATGAGGACGTCCAACAGATACACAACCCTGGCTACACTGTGTGACTTTGTTCCGCCCCTTGCTGGGGAGATGCTTGCCCAGAAGGGGCGCCATGAAATGGGTGCCCAAACCCAAACCGAGCTGCAAAAACAAAGGCTGGAGTTTAAAACAGCAGGAAAATACACAGCAATGAAGAATAGAGAAAATGAATAAGCAATTGCCTACGTGCGGGCCATATCTAACGAGGGAGTGAAGCGGAAGCTCACAAAGCAGATACCAAGTAGCTGCGCAGCTACTGCATGCAGGGGAATTCCAACGGTCTAGAGCAGAAGAGTCTTGAGAGATGTTTTGTATGCTACATGTTGAGTAGAAAGAAGAAGCATTTGCGCTGCGGTCTGATGGATTGACCTGCTTAGGTTGCTTGATTCAGTGGAACCTTCCAGCACCATTGGACTTGGTTCTCTGCAGCATGTAAAACACATGGCAAGGGGCATTGCAAACATGCAGTCAGACCTGTGTGCATGCATGCAAATCTCCATGCCTGGAGGCATGCCAGGCATTTGTATGCAAGCACATTGCACAGATCCAAATTCTTGTGTTCCTTTTGAGCAAGTCCAATTGAGGACTACCACGGAACCAGAATGGTGGACTTTGAAGTTGTTAAGGGAAATTCACCCCTTGGCAGGGGTGTGGAGGATATCATGTACATGTGTCATGTCAGTCTGACTGTCGGCGCAGAGAAATCTACTAATACTTCCAAACTGCTCAGACACCTTCTCGGAAACTTCCAAAATCGTTGCTGGCTTGGGTTACGGAAATATGGCTTGCTCGCCTTGCGACGATAAGCTCATAGCTCACGCTCCTGCTGCAATGATGCTCGAACCTTCTCTGTGGAGCTCCTCCTACAAGCTACATGACGGCCTGGCTTGTCTTGTCAAGACGACCTACTGGGGCATGCCCTTCTGAGCCAAGAGGACGATTTCACTAGGTAGCCCAAAAACGGAGATCTTTGATCAGGTGTTTGCTTGGGAATTATCTTCCCTAATGGCCAAAAGAATAATTAGATGGATCTGCAGATTGAGGTCTTTGCTGATGATCCAGGAAAGGTGGCTCACCCCTGTCAAGACAAAGCTGAAGCCCATGCAGCATGCTTGCCAGCAGAAGGGCAGCTGCAATCTAACAGGGAGGCAACTGTTCACAGCAAAAGCAGTCCCAGTACAAGAGAGTGATAGGCCTGAGCAAATACCTGACAGTCTGCAGAGCAGCAGAATTTCAATAAGTACTGCCCAGCTGGCATCGTTTTCCAGCCAAAGCAGAGACTCTCATAGCACAGCACACCTCCTAAAGATGTCAGACACAGCTCACACTGTGATAGGCATGCACTAGTGAAGGAGCTCAAGACGATCAACTCCTGCATAAGGATGCTGCATCCGCAAATGGTGAGCACGGCGTGTGAAACTTGATCAGAGTACGATACTTACTATTTGGGCCCACGTACATGCATGTCTCAACGAAGAAAACTTGATAATAACAAGCTGTTCCTGCCAGACACTAATTGCACCTGCAGAGAACCTGCCCGTAAAGGCTGCCATAAGTTCCACCTGTTGGTGGACTAGTCAGATCCATGCAAGACCCAATCAACCAGGGGCACGGTGCTCAGTATTTATACCACCCCCGCCAGCTGAATCCTCAACTCTGCAAAAAATTTCTGGAACGGTTGCAGGGGACTAATGTAATGGACGGGGGATCTGCAAGAGGAAGGCAGCATGACAGCTTGATTGCTGAGCAGGGCAGGCAGCTCAAAGCCGCAGTCAGTGCCAGGAAGCGGATGCTCGGCAGGGTGCATGCATCATTCATGGCTCGCGAGCAAGAGCTGCATTGTCTGCAGGTGCTCACTTGTTTCTCACCCCTCATCTGATGACATTGTTCCAAAGATCAAAGCTTATTATTCGTACCACCCAGTGGCCCCTGGTGAATGCAACACCATGACTGCCTGGCACAGTGCCAAGGTGTTACGCCAGTGGATTGCGGATTGCAGCGCATGTGCTCTCTCTCCTGCATTCAAAAGTCAGTCACAGATAGTTCATGTAAGACAAATGCTCAAAGCAAGATGTCCCTGGCTCAACAAAACTGGCCCAAACTACTTACTGAGTGACAACCTACTTCCCTCAATGTTCAGTTGAAGGGTCCAGTCGGTGTTAAGGTGTGGCAGTGCAGGTATTCTTCCGCTCGAAATGTCGGGACGGATTTCGACAGCGACAATGCGGGTGTCTCAGGAGCAACCGCCGAATGTACCCGAAAATCAATTGAATAAAAGTCCCAGTGTTTTTTCTGGGGACCAAACCTGGGAGCATGGCGTACATTTCGTTTCATCTACCCCTTGGCTGTCCCAGGTCGGGCAACTAAAAACTTATGTAGAAGCCGAGCCATGATTGCAGCTCCTTGCAAATGCAGTGACACATCTCATGGCAGTAGGATATTTGCAGTGAATGCAAGCATGCAAAGTCGCGCTCTAAACTTGCATCACACCAACACATGCTTACAACACACGCCATATTCAGAGTTCTAGGCCACATTCCCAGATATGAAGTCGCCCAACATAAGCTAATATTTCCTGATTTGCAAGCCAACTGTGTTCTTGCACTGCTCCATCTTCACCCTAAAATCTAAACCTTAAACCCTACACCCCATCTTCATGCAGGCAGGACCAGCAGCAGTGGCAGTCACACTGTCCTGCATAATACCCAGTCAGATGCCCCGGCACCATAAACATGGTGACGAACGTTAAATCCCAAAAATATCCCTCATCATCGTGGTCACCATTATATAGATAATTCCTCTCTAAGCTTCGGCCCGTCAGTGCCAGCTGTCTGTTCATACTGTCAACAAATTCATTCTCTTGTTCGAAATCTTCTTCCCTATACCCCACATTTAGCCTTTGTATGGAGGCAGCAAAGACCTCCACATCCACAATGACAAGGCTCAGTGTCTCATGGCTGTCAATGTACACCCATTCTAGGTGAGGCAAAGGGGGGATCACGATAGTCAGGTCATCCGCCTCAACATGCAGTTTACGCAGGTGGCAAAATGCTGGGGATGGCAATGAGCGAATATCCATGCTGTATTGCTCACGATACACGAGGCTGAGTGGATTGCAACTTTGTGCTGCCTCCGTCAAAGGCAAAAAGTGCTTTGCTTCTGGCTGCCAGTGCCAATCACTGTCACGGAACTCCATCTTTCTGCTGCACACCTCTATTCCTTGCACGCCCAGAGACTGCTTACTGCGCACAACTACTGTTTGATCTTTGAACGAGCTCTGTATTGTCATCGTGCAGCCTTCAGGTATGGTGTACCCCATGCAGGGAATGATGTCACTCATGCACATGTGCTTGAGCGACTTTGGCATGACCACATTCCAGGCATGTGCCTTTTCTCCTACATACAATGTCTGCAGGACTGGCAGGTTGCCCACCATGGCCTGTAAGTCATACTGCATCTGCAGCTGGCTTGACACGGGCTTCAATATGAGATGCTTCAGCCTGGACATGCAAGGCATGTCCACCCGGATATCTGCCGCCAGGTGCAAGATGGTCAATCCCTGTGCTCGCTGTAATATTGCGGAAAGCCATGGCAGCCACTGAGGCCCGGGTTGCTCGGCTTCATCCCCGCCACCAGAACCATCTCCACAAGAGAGATCGAGGCGCCTCAGTTGAGTCAAGTCAGGAGCTTGGCATTCCAGTGCACTTCCAAGGATAACTTTGGGGTCCGCACATGACGCGTCAGAGGGGATGTCAATCTTGATGGAGTCTGCCTCGCGCCAATGTTTGGTGAGCCATGTCAGTGCGGACACAAAGCTTTCGTAGTTGTCCACTTTGAGCCCTTTGGGCTGGAGATTCTGGAGAGCTTTGCAGGCGCCACTGGCCATGGTCCATTCCTTGGAGGTCATCAGTGAGGATATCTGCTGCCACAGCTCCTCTGGGAGGAGAGGGCATCCCTCAGGCGCGGCCACAAAAGATTTCTCGCAGACTCCTTGCCATGTTTCCTGGAAACACCAGAGCAGGCTCTTTATGTCGAGCATATCAAAAGCACTTCGAAGCAATCGTAGAAGGCGCTGTAAGGACGGGTCCACCAAGCTTCGTAACAAGTTTTCAAGCTGAAAACGACAGGGCCTGTTCGTCTTCAGTATTTTCGCATTCAGTCGGCGGCTGCAAAGCACCGTGCAGCAGCCAAAAAAATCGGAATCCTAGACAAAATGAAACAGCCAGGGGAAAGCCACTTTGACCAAAGCTCGATTCACTGCTTTGTCTCTTTTGGGGGGGCATCCTCGTCTTGAAAAGCGTGGGCGGACCTTCATTTTTGGTACCGACCGATCAGCCCCTCTCAGGTGAACGTGACGTGGGAATTTGACGCTCTTTTGTCAAAACGACACATAGCAAGCATACAGGATCGACCTGAAGGCTCAGAAATCATTATTGTGGGTTGTTGTGTTGGCTTTGGCCTTTCGATATTTCATTCGTGCCTCGCTTACTACAGTTGTGCTCACGTGAGTAGGGGTGATGAACATAACAACATTTGTTCTCTTAGGTACCCCCTCTAATGAAGCAAAACCACCCAGTAATACAAGGAATCTGCTTTCTCAAGTATCAGCTCTGACTCGTCTTGAGTCTCGTCTTTTGAATAGATCCAAAATATTGCCGACATGCATGCAGCTGGCAACCATTGGCTGCTGATTATGCACAGCTGGTCTCTACATCACAGATGAGGGCAACATGCAGCCAGCCTTGCAGATTGTGGCGGCTGGTTTTGTGCCATCTTGTCTGCTTCCTTCATTGTGGGGTTCCTAAACAGAGATTAATATACGAAGACAGCCGCCGCAGCCGCCACTAACACTGACAATATCACTGCAACCACCGTGGCAAGGGGCTTTGACAGTGAAAGGGGGATTTTCCAGGGAGGTTCAGGGTGTCTGACCGGGTAGGTGTCACGCTGGAAGTTGGTGAACTCCTCTGGGCCCTTGATGGCGATGACCAGCTCATCATAGTCTCGGGCTGCCTCCAGCTCAGTGGAGGCGTAGCGGATGTGCGGACTCGAATTGTTGCCTATGCATGCACCACACTACGTCAGAAATGGAATTCAAGGAGGATCTGGAGTCCCTGGGATTGGCATTGCACTCGTGCAGTGCAGTGCCCCCGGAACATAATTCCAAAACCACCGTCAAAATCTTCAGAACCTCACGTATTTTTGGAGGTAAAATATGTTTTCTCGATGCTTTTTTGTGATATCTGTTTATAAGGGATTATGCAGAGAGGATAGCACCATGGGCTGCACAAACTAGGGTACCCACCTCTACCTGATACCCACAGCAGGCTTCAAGCCTTGAACCCAACAGAGGACTCTAAAGTGACTTAACTCACTACTACTGGTCTAATGTTACCTCAAAGTCCCCTAACCCCCAAAAACTAAGGGGATATAAGGGGCGGAGGAAAAGAATGCACCGATTGGGAGGCTGCTGCGCCAGCGGCGGTTGTAACTGTGCCAGGTCACGCCCTTGAAGTTGGACTTCTTCGCCACCCCCTTGCTAGCTGCTGTCAGCTTCTCCGCCGCCTTCTTCCTTGGAGCCCGCGGCTTCATGATGCCCGGCCCCTTGGCACCTGCGCAGTGAGGATTCCATCACTCAAGAAGAGTATCCGGATGGTGCCAGACAACACTTTTCCGTGCATTTTACAAGCATTTGAAGTTGGGGGTACAATGCTTGGTGGATCAAAAAATCAACACCGAGATTTCAGTCCCTGGTCAATACGAGAATGGCAGATTCGTAACTCGTCAAGACCTGAGTTGCAGCCTCACAGAATGGACTTCTGGTTCAATCGCATTAATGCATGAAAGTCTTCCCACTGCAACACTGTCAAGCAGCAAGCAGCATTGTTTGTTGGACATGCCTTGCTGCTGACAAGAAAAGAGGCCTATTTAATGAAGTTTAACACACCAGCGGTCATGGCGTATGCAGGCGTGGTCGGGCCGTGAGCCTTCAGCTGCGCGGCGGGTGGCAGCGTGACAGAGGGTGCCGGCTGCGGGAAGCTCCAGTGGGAGCTGGGAAAAGTCTGCAGAGCAGCCGCAGCAGCCTGCACTGGTGCGGATGGCGGTGCTGGGCTGTAGTTTACCGGCAAGTGTGTCGGCGTGTGGCTCATGAGAGCCAGCAGGTAATATGTGTTGTCGATGTCAAGGGTAGGCCCGCCAAGCACATCCCTGTCCACCAGACACCCCAGTCACTAGCAAAGAGGATGTGCCTTGAAGTTTGTTCAAAAGTAGATCCTCACTTTTCTCCAAACTCCTCCATCTCCAATCAATCCTCACTCTTTTGTAGCTGCAGAATGAAAACTTGATTGTCAGGAACTGGGAATGCCTGTTGTTGAGAGCCAGGACATTGAGAGCAGTGCGCGGCTCTGTGGAGCTCTGGAAGCCACTGGAAGTGGGCCTCAATGAAACTTTGTCGAGTAAGAAAGTGGACAAAAGCTCGTCGCCTTACCAGTGTTGCACTTCAGGCAGTGGTGTCTTGGGAGAGGTTAGCTGCGCCTCTAGAACAACACTGACTGGCCTGGGATCCTTCTGAAAGAGTGCTCGGCTGGAGACTGGGTTCCCCACCGGCTCTGTATGCACAGACACAATAGAATCAGCACTACTTTCTATGTGCCTGGGCCGAAATGAGCATAAGGGGGACGGCCAGGAGTGGTGAGTGGTTTCCCTCCGATCTCCAAGCTGATAAAGAGCAATGATTGCGACTTTAAGGGAACAAGCACAGAAGGGGCATCTCGTGTGCAGCGTGAACAAGTCAAGAGATCACTGTGTTCAAGAGAACTCTCTGCGAAGCTGCTCACCGATATCGTGGGTCCACGGGAAGATGCCCTTCAGAAAGATTTCCTCGTAATCGGAATAGCGCTCTGGTAGAGCATCGTCCAGCCGCTCGGCCCTGGTCCAGCCTTGGCTCCTGGACCTGCAAGCGAGAAAGACTGTGAGGCACAATGATGATATGATGGAGCCAGTGGACGCTTTCCAGCGGCGCCTAGCAACGTTTTCACGGTGCAACGGCGACCTGATTGTATACATGAATCTCTGCGGTAGCCGGGAGAAAAAGCGCGCGATGAAGTTAAGCACTTCGATACCGGGACACAGCGGCCGCTATAATGTCTCCCTGCATCTACGATGGCTCTGAAGCTTCACACATAGCACCAAGTGGGCTTGCGAATGAGAATTCCTTGTCGCGCTAGCTTTCAAGGTCCGTCTGCAGGTCCTTTAAGTTCGCGCACCTTCCAAGCGGGGTTCCCCAGTTCTCGGGAGGATGTGCAGGAGCCATATGGTGCGCCTACCTATGATATTGGTACTCGTTAAGTCCGTATAAGGCCAGAGTGAGTTTTAGGACTGCATCTCTCGTTCGGCTAGGTGGGTCCTCAGGTCAGGGTTTACGGAACGCGGTCAGCTCGATCTCAGGTGGAAAGGTTGCTCACGCCCAGAGATATTGCTTACACTGTGCCAGCACGTGCTTGGGGATGAGCGCCATCTGCTTTTGAGTGCCCTCCTGTGCAGTCTTTTCGGGACCAATATCCTGCTTTGTATGGTGCCGCCATTTAGACCATGCAACAGTTCATGTGGCAGTTGGATGTTGTCAGTGTTGCACACTTTGTAATGGATTGTTCTGATGACTTGGATCATCCAATCAGCCCTGGGCGGCTGGAGTTGATGTGTAATCTCCTTCCTTCCTTCCTTCGTCCGTCCCCTCCGCCCGCCGCACCTGCGGAGCACATAATGTCGGAGGTGATGTTTGAGTTTCTGCAGGGCTTGCAGTGCCCCTCGAACGAATGCAGAAGATATTGAGCGGCAGTTTTGCAGGTTGCTTGGGATGAGTTCCAGGCTAGATATGCATGCAACATCGCAAGCCAAGCAAAGCAGCCGAAAAATTGCATGCTGAGAAGCGCCAGGTTGCCAATGCCAATCTTCTGGAGGCGTTGCAGGAATACCAAGGAAAGACTGCATCAATTCGCCGCTTCGTGGGGGACATTTTGCACCTGGAGAGGTCAATCCGGCAGTGTCCTCTGATGCGCGAGCGAATGACCCGTCTCCAAAGCGAGACTGTGGCGACGGCGGCGTCGGCTGCGGCCGGCTGGCCGTCTCCGCCGCTGCTCACAGATTGATCTGGAGCAGAAGGAGGTATACACAACCCTGGCTACACGCTGTGCTTGCAGAGTGGACTGGTAGGTGACAAAGCAGATTAGCGGTACCTTTGGTTGCAGTAGAAGTAGAACAATCTGGAGTAGAAGAGTCCAGAGAGAGATTGTGTGTCCTGTATGTTGAGTAGAAAGATCTGCTGCTGCGGTCTGATGGACTGACCTGGATGGGTTGGATGGTTCAGTGAATGTTGAATCGCTATTGGAATTGGTTCTCTGCAGAGCATCAAACATGGGCATGCGGCATTGCAAGCATGCAGTCAGACATAAGGCCAAAAATGGACGAAAAGACTGTTGCAAGATGACTGTACCACATCATGTTCATGATGGCTTAGTTTGCAACTGCTCCCCATGGCGAAAAAAATTTAGGCCGCTGCGGTAGCCAGATCCTGGCCGTTCTCATGCATGATGACCGAGGTACACAGCAGCACCGGCGGGTGACTGCCAGCGGAGCTGGTGGCTCAAACATTGTGCTTTCTGATGTCAGTACTTGCTCATGATGATAGATCAGCTTGTTGGGCAGAAAAATATATTCAAAAAAAAAACACCAGGCCGGGGGTTTGAACCCCCGACTGGTGCTTTGATTGAATTATCGCTCACTGGGCAGGCACATATTATCGCTCACTTGCAATTTAACATTGCACGGATGCTGACCAGAAGCGTTTATGTAGCGCATGCTCGTTCTCCGTGGTGCTTGTCGGACCTGTTTACATAACCTGTTTAAGGCTATACGGCCACAAGGTCTTTTTGTTGTTGTTGCGTCTTGAAGGGTATGAAGTGTTGAAGAGACCTCATTGAAAACGAACGATAGCCGTCATCTCCTGCTCTCCTGCTCGTCTCTTTGGGGATCGGCAGCACAGCACCTGCTTGCTGTCCCAAAAAGTCCCTTTGGATTCGAATCTCACCATTGAATTGCTATCTTCTGCAACATTTATAAGACCAGTCCCTACATTCACCGACGTTGCAAGATTTAGTCATGCATGTATTACTATCATAATATTACACGCTTTTCCTGCCAGAAGCAAGGTGCGTCTGCAGACAAGCTGCAATAATGGCTGCCATAATCCTACCCCTTGATGGACTTGCCAGATCCAAGCAAGACCCAATCAACCATGGGCACGGTGCTCAGTATTTATACCGCACCCCCCAGCCGGGGCCAGAAGGTAAACCTCGATCGAGGCTGCAAGCATGATGAATTATTATTATTATTATTATTATTATTATTATTATTATTATTATTATTATTATTATTATTATTATTATTATTATTATTATTATTATTATTATTATTATTATTATTATTATTATTATTATTATTACACTCTTTTACTGCCAAAAGGCAAGGTATGTTCTGCAGACAAGCTGCAGTTAAAGGCTGTCACAATCCTACCCCTTGTTGAACTCGCCACACTGCCACTCAAGAATGCTACAAGGCCATCACATGCAACACACTCAAGAGGAATTCCTATCAAGAAATATTACTCACCGTCATTGTCTGCATCCTCCGGGTATGGCTGGTCGCCGTCGTCCGCCAAAAAGGCGCTCAGCTGCTGTTCCTCAGCGCTGTCCTGCGCGTCCCTCCAGAGGCCTTCCCTTCTATGGTCCCTAAACCCTCTCAGCTGCGCCTGCTCCATCGCCGCCCGCGCCCGCAGCACGTACTCGATCCAAGCAAGACCCAATCGACTATGGGGACTTTGACTGAGAAATCATCAAGAAAAATTCCAGAATTTTCCTTGGTACAGAGTTTTCTGAGAATAATTGCAGCAAGTTCTAAGCAACGGTCTCAGAAAATTCTGAGATGACTGTGGGCTGGAAAATACTCAGAAAATATTGTACCTTCCAAAGAAAACTCAGAATATTCAAGAAAAGTTATCTCTTGCGTGCATGCATGCAAAAGTCAACATGCCCGGAGGCATGCCAGGCATCCGTATGCGCGCACATTGCACATATTTAATCTCTTGTGGTTCATGTTCACATGAGCAAGTCCAATTGGAAAGTTGCCACGGTACCATAATGGTGGAGGTTGAACCTGAAGCTCTCAAGGAAGGTTCAACCCCTGGCAGGGGGTGTGGAGGAAATATGATATGCGTCATGTCTGTCTCACTGTCGGCACACAAAGAATCTACAAATACCTCCAAACTGTTCAGAAACGTTCTCGGAAAACAGGAATTCCTCACATACTTGTTGCTGCCTTGGGCTCCAAAGTCTCCGGCTTGCCCGCCTCGTAATATGCTGATCACACCGCCTTGGCTGCAATGATGCTTGAACCTTCTCTGTTGAGCACCTACAAGCTGCATGACGGCTTGGCTAGTCTTGAAGACGACTTACTAGGGCATGCAGACCTGAGCCAAGAGGGCGATTCCACTTCTGATGAGGTACGTACCCCAAAAAACGGAGACGTTAAGCTCAAGCAAGTGTTGCTTGATCATTATCTTCCGTATCGGCCAAGGAGAATCAGAGGGATCTGCGGACTGAAGGCTATGCTGATGTTCCAGGAGAGGTGGCTCACTCCTGTCAAGACAAAGCTGAAGCCTATGCAGCCTCCTTGCCAGCAGAAGAGCAGTCTAACAGGGAGGCAACTGTTCACAGCGAAAGCAAACCCAGTGCAAGAGACCAATTTGCCTGAACACACCCCTGACAGTCTGAAGAGCAGCAGTACTTCAATCAGTACTGCGCAGCTGGCACCGCACCCTAGGCAAAGCAGACATCTGTGTCTCGCTCCCAGCATAGCTTCTGGAGATGTATTCACAAGACACACCGCGCAGTATGACAGGCATGCACAAGTGAAGGAGCTTGAGACGGTCAATTCCTGCATAAGGCAGCTGGTTCTGCAAAGGGTGTGTCTGCAGCAAGCCAAATTTGAACAAGGTACACTCTTTACTGGACCCACGTGCATGCATCTCTCAAGTTTGCCTGAGTCACACATGATGACTGTTGCAGGGGACATGTGTAATGGATGGTGGCTCTGCAAGAGGAGGGCAGCATGACAGCTTGAGCGCTGTGCACGGCAGGCTTTTGAAAGCCGCAGTAAGTGCCAGGGATCGGCTGCTCGGCAGGCTGCATGCATCATTCATGGCTCGCGAGCAGGAGCTGCATTGCCTGCAGGTGCTCACTCATTCCTTGCCCTCACCTGATTTCATTCTTCTAGTGATCAGGGTTGTAACACGGCAATTACCATCTGCGCCATGGTGATGGCAGCATGCCAACTGCATGGCACAGAGCGAACTTTTTCAGCCAGTCGGTTGGGGGTTGGATTGCAAGCGCATATGATCTCTCTCCTGCATGCAAAGTCAGCCACAGCTCTGTACACAGATTGATCTGGAGCAGAAGGAGGCAGAGCTATCAGAGGCAGATGCCCTGCTGGATGTAGCTGCAAAGGAGATTGGACAGCGCATCAAGCTGCCGCCAGCAGTGCCTGAGAGCCCCCCAGGGCCTGTCAGCCCTTCCAATGGAACGCATGCAGGTGAGTTTGAAAATGCAAGAGGTAGTCTGTTTGCTGGATTGAATTGCGATGGCATGAGTGATTGAATATGCCGTTTCTGCTGGGTGCATTATCACACTTGGTACTCTTGCATGACCGAGCAAGGCCTGTCTATCTTTGCATCCTGCCTTTCCTACCTAATTCTTTCATATTCAGCAGGTCAAGCTGGCACCTTAGGGTCCATTGGATTACATTAATGCGAGTCTGTCATCTGTAATGTTAGTACTACTAACTAGTAGTCAATGTTGACTCTGCTCGCAGGCAATGATACGATGTCGGGAAGAGAAGCAAAGGGCAGCGAATCCTCAGCAGGACATAGCACAAAATCTGTCCTGAGCCCGTGTGCCAAGGCATTTGACAGCCCAGATGATGTGTTCAGCAGCATTGAAGGGCTCCTGGGCAGGCTGGAAAGGGATAAGAGGGTTCATTGTGCGCGCTGCGAGAGCAACAAGAGTTTGCATGCGTCAACCCTGCGCGTGGTAGACTCTTTGCATGAAGGCCAGCACGGACACAAGTCTTGCGTGTTTTAAGCTGATTTTGAGTGCGTGTAAGCCACTCATACCGGCCTACAGCTGTCACGTTGGTGTTCAAATAAGAAAATGCTGATGTCAACATCAGCTTCTCAATCTCAGGAAGCTACGAGCTCGAGACTTTCTTGAACATCTCTGCGCAGTTTCTGTAATTTGAAGGATAATTTCTGTTGTGATCTGAGAATGTTGTGAAGCCAATGTCTGAACTGTCTAGTCAGTTTGAGGAGAATATCTCAACTGTGATCCATATCCAAGGGAACGTTCTCCCATGCAGGCAGATTAATATGTATCGGTGTATACTCCGTCGTTGTCACCCCGTCAAACCATAGAAAATGGCATGAACTATTATCCTGCAATCACCGGTCCTACCCCATTATGAGGCCATCATGAGGCACCATGAGCAAAGCCATCGACTGGGATGCGTATGGGGTGCGTTGTTTTGTTCAATATTTGACACCATTCCGAGGCCTTGTATTGTGAACTGTGCTATATGATCACACGCGTGCTTGCCAATCGCGCAGGAGGTGCTAGATGAAGCCTTCCATAATGAAGAAGATGCCTACCCCAGAGACTGTTCAGAACACAAGGAGCTGCAGGTATCGTATCAGCTTCAGTTTACTTGCTGGCAGCTATGTTTCTCTAGCTTATGGTCTGATCGATATGTCAATGGCTCCAGGATTTCGTGCCAAAGGTTGCTCGTCTAAAACATGCAAGAGCTGCCGCAGCACGCGAGCAGCAACAGCCAAACGGGGATGAAACCCAGAAGCAGGTAATCCTTGAGCATTCTAGTTGCATTTGATGGCGGAATCTTCCCTTTCTCAGGCCCATCATGATGTTCACCTGCTCACTTCATGTTTCCCTTGCAAGCGTGAATGTCAATGAGGACACCATGCCATACAGGCCGCTGAGGAGCTGGGAATTCCAGCGGTGTATGATGTCCGCTATCGCATCAATGCCGCCATAATTACAGATCCCAGGCGAGCTGCCAGAGCTGCGCGCCACATCGACCGCATGCCTGGCGGGCAGCATAGTGAAGGCAGCGCCTCTGGTGCCCAGGTAATATCAATATAAGAAGATCATGTGCTGCTTGCATGACAGTCAGGCACTGCTGATATCAATTCAGAGGATTGCTGCTTGAAACCGCCCTTGGATCTACTCCATAGATTTTGCAGGGGAAAAATCCAACGTTTTATCAGCAGCTGCTCTGTATGTCTTTGTTGTTCAAGGCCTGGAAGTCTGTCAGCCAGGCAGAGGAAGCCAGCTGGAACCCAGGCGTGACAGGATCTGCTTAGGAATCTTGGCATCTTCTCCGAGCAGGTAGTTGAGGATCATAAGGCAGCCCTGCCAGTGTACGAGGACTTCTACCAGAAGCGGCAGCTGCAGAAGCTGAGGAAGCTGCTGCAGGACAAGGCAGCGCTGCCCATCGCCGCTTTTGAAGCCCCCATCATTGATGCCGTGCGCGCACATCCTGCAGTGGTCGTGGCTGGCGACACAGGTCATGAATCCTCCTCTGCTTTGCATCTGCTACCATTCGTTTCAGCATTGGGCACCGCTGTCGTCAGCGAGACCTTTAGGCCGCTTAGTACCATCTGATGCCGATGGAACTTGGCAGCATGCCTTTCTTGTGCCCTTTTGTTCGCTGAGCCGGGTGCAATGTCTAAGTGAAATCAAGAATCATCTCGATTGGTCCCTTAGAATGCTCATCAGTGTGTGTACCCTCCTCTGCTGTTGTATGCGCTGCTGTTGGAAGTGTGCCTTTTTTCTCACCCAGTCTGCTGAATGATTTGTGTCATGTGACAGGTTGTGGGAAGTCCACACAGCTGCCGCAGTTCCTCCTGAAAGCCGGCTACTGCCACGTGGCATGCACACAGCCGCGCCGCATATCTGCCATCTCCCTCTGCCGCAGGTGCCCTCCCTTCTTGCATTCCCTCTCAGAAATACATCCGCAGTACCATGACAGTCATGCTGTATATAAAATGGCATGTGAGATGGGCGTTGTCCCCTTCGCATAACCACTCAGATACACGCATCTCCCCATATAGTGCATTTCCCAATAACTTATCCTGACAGAGCTCTGCTACTTTGGGATGGTCCAAGATGTCAGTACCTGTCTGTACGGTCTCCTGAATGCAACGTTACTGATAACTAAACGCACCTGCAAATCACCTATTAAGTACTGTAAGAGTGGTTCTTATGTACAGGGTGGCCTTTGAGACCCTGCAGGAGCACAGGGATGACATCGCATACCGGGTGCGGTTTGACTCGACGGCCGGCCGCGGGACGAAGGTCACATTTTTGACGGAGGGCGTGCTCCTGCGCATGCTGACTGCCGACCCCAAGCTGCCCCAGTACCAGGTCGTCATCATCGATGAGGTCAGCCACCAGCCTGGCATGTTCCTATTCTTGTGCCTCCCACCTGTCTGCACTCTGAGTACACGACAATTAACAGCCGGCACCAGCTGCTCTTGTCAACTGGTCTTGCTTTGATGACGGCTCTCGGTAGAGCAGTTGCCGTTGGATGGGAAATGGCACGTCCTGCAGTAAAACTTCAGCTTCTTGGAGGCAGGAGATGCGCGCGAAGTGTGAGAAAATTGGGCTCCTGTGAGCTCTGCATGGTTGTGGTGCAGCCTATTGTATCGTCGCACACGCACACCAGCACCCTTGTACCTGGTTTCTCCCACACCACAACTCAATACACCAGTGAAGGCAAGCACATATGGAATGGATGTGCAGCAGGATCTGCATGGCAAAATGATGTTTGTGCTTATTGTTTATTGGGGCGCAGGTGCATGAGCGGCACCTGAACACAGACATACTGCTGGCGCTGATGCGGGCGCTGCTGCTCCAGAGGCCCGACCTGCGAGTCATCCTCATGTCAGCCACCATCAACGTGCAGGCCTATTCTGACTACTTTGGCGGAGCCCCCATCATCCAGGTCAGCCTGCTGTGCACATACACTGAGACCATCGTGACTATCTCAGCTGCTTATACTTCGTGACAACCAGCCTTACATGCGTCCAGGGAGCCCACAAAATCTTGCAAGGAGCAGAGAGAGTTGTCTGCAAGTCCTGCCACCTGTAATATGTGGTCGGCTCCCTGGATATTAGTAATTGTATGGGCTACTACATACCCATGGCATTCACGCCTCACATTTTTTTGCATGTGACAGGTGCCTGGCAGGCTGTACCCAATCACAGTCCAGTACATGGCCGAGAACAGCGCCGATGCAAGGTCACAGCGGCGGAGTAATGATGAGAAGAGGGAGCTGGCCAGCAAGGGCTTCAAGCGCCGCACCATTGAACGCATCGACCCGGCTCCATACCTCAGGTGAGCACGCTCATCCCTGACAGCACTTGACACTGAGATTTAAGCACACTTGCTTCTTCATGCTGGGCCCTGGCACCCTATTGAGGAGATAAACAGAATGTTTGTGCCTCCTGCTTGTCTCATATGCACTGCCCTCCTGGGTCTTCTCCTTGCACGCCGCGGTCCTGCAATTGTGACTGCCAACAGCCGCAGATGCCGAGCAGCGATGTCAAGGAGAAGATGCCTGAAGCAACAGATTCTAAGCCTTTCTAATTTACCCCCTGCCATGTCACACATTCTCCAAGAAATTGTTTACCGGGCAAACGGGCAATCAGAAGCTGTACTAAGCTGAGCGATTTTGCGTCTGCGGGCGCCAGGTTGCTGCAGCAGATAGAGCAGACTGTGGCGGGGGATGAGAGGGGGGACCTGCTGGTCTTTCTGGCGGGCATGGAGGACATCTCAACAGTGGCCGAGCACATCAGGGAACATGTGCAGCGCAGCCACCGCTGGCTCGTGCTGCCGCTGCACAGCGCGCTGTCCGTGGATGAACAGGACAAGGTGTGCTGATGTTTTGCTCCTCAAGAAAGTACCATTGCTGGTTTGGATTTTGGACCCGTTCTTGCAGGGTCAGAGATTTCCATTTCCAAGACAACTGAGCTCTATCTGCCCATTTCTTGCACTCACTGTGGGAAGTACTACTGGCGGAAACTTGTTGAAAGGGGGTGAACCTGCCTGGACTATGGCATGAAGCCAGTTACCCTTTAGCATGCATCAGCCCTACTCCAGCCCCCTTCAGCTTCTGTCAGTCCGCGGCCGTTTCCCATAGTGACTTTGTCAAGAGTTCTGCTCTTGTCCAATCAACGTGTCTGTCTGAAGAAGCCATGCAGAGCAGCATGCTGCAACGCGTGCAGTATTCACAAGGCAGACGTTGCTTAATGATGTGTCAAGCATTGATTGCTGAAGTTGATTAGCAAGGCTGAGTTCCTCAAGTCTTGCTTAATGATTGCGTATGTCACTCAGGTGTTTGATATTGCACCAGAGGGCATGCGCAAGGTGATCCTCTCAACCAACATCGCGGAGACATCGGTCACAATCGACGGTGTGCGAATTGTGGCCGACTCCGGCCGCGCCAAGGAGATGACTCATGACCTGTCATCCGGCGGCGGCAGCCTCCAGGAGGGCTGGATTTCCAAGGCATGCGCCCTCATGACCAATTTTCCCTCATCTTATCTTACAGGAGATCTCCAGCAAATTCCTTGGCATTGCGCATTGTCACTGTGCGCTACATGGTATGTAGTCCTCTCTGACATGCTTCCGGCTGGCAAGGGCTGGCGTTGATACTGAGCACCGTGCCCTCGATTGCTTTGCCCTTGCTTGAATCTGGTGACTCCGTGAGGTAGAATATGCATGGCAGCATGTAGTTTCGAGCTTGCTTGCAGTCGCACCTTGCCCTCTTAGCAGGTACAGCGAACATATGAACAAAAAGGAGAGGATTGCAAGCTTCCAACTTTTCCTTGCAGGCGAGTGCGGAGCAGAGGAAGGGCCGAGCGGGCAGGACAGGGCCGGGGCAGTGCTTCAGAATGTACACAGAGGCACAGTTCCAGGCATTCCCAGCTTTCCCTGCTCCAGAGATCCAGAGGGTCCGCCTGGAGTCTGTGGTGCTCCAGATCAAGATGCTGGCAGGCGAGTCAGCTTCACTATTCTCGTATGCAATCTCTCCTTGCCATCTTTTGTTGTTGTTACACGTTTTCCAGTCCTCAGGACCAGGCGGGTCAAGCAACACCTGTGCTGTTGCTTTCCATTCTTCTCGGTTGTATTGTGTGCCATCTAAGCGAGATGAGGCATGGTTCTGACAGCATATTTAGGTGCAGGCTTTTCTTCCTTTCCACTAGGTTAAAGTGGCACTCGCATGATGATTTTTGTTTTGAGTGCAGGGAACAGCATGGACCCCAGGCGCTTTGGCTTCATCGAGCCGCCCTCCAAAGATGCCCTTGAGAGCGCCATCACAGCCCTGCAGAAGGTCGGCATCTCTTTTGAATATCCTGAAACTGACCCCGCAGCCCTGAAATATTTTCTGTGAATGGCTGTACTTGTCCTGTACTGACGTTTTCTGCAAATGGCTGATCAACCCCTGAATCCTGCAAGAGGACCCACAGGACCAATACCTTCATATTCATGTAAACTGGCCCTTTCTGGCCCATTTGCAAGATTTAAATTCGAATTCGAATATGAATCTGAATTCAGGTGGGTGCGCTGACGCCAGCAGAGGTGCTGACGCCGCTGGGCTCGGTGCTGAGCTGTCTGCCGGTGGATGTGCACATTGGCAAGATGCTCATACTGGGCTGCGTGTTCCACGTGACCGATCCTGTGCTCACCATAGCGGCTGCGCTGAGCGTGCAGTCCCCATTTCTTAGGCTGCCGGCTGACTCTGACGCTGAGGGAATCAGGTGTTGCACCTCTTTGTTCTGCATGCCTGACTGCCTGTGATCCCAAATAATGGTGCACCCTGAATCCAACGGACATTATCAGCAAGAGTGGAAGAAAGAATAATACCTCTTTTCCGCTCCCATTGAGAGATCAGAACTCATTGCATGGAATATCTCGCTGAGGAGATTACTGTGCTAGGCAGCAGGTTGCTGCAGTTTGAATGTTGTGGCGCTGGCTGCAGGGAGAGGAGGAGCTTGTTGGAGTCCCAGCATGGGGACCCCTTCACGCTGCTGGCTGTCTTTGACGAGTGGATCAAGGTCAAGGCTGCTCGGCAGGAACCCACACGGTGGGAGAAACACCACCACTTTTTGCAATGCAATCTCTTGTTTTTTGGTTTTTCCTTCCACTCAGTTAATCTCAGCCACCACTGATCCATTACTTGCTGGCATCATCCCAGCTAGTCACTATAGTCACCGCAAGATGTCCACGCCATTTAAGAGTACCATATGAGGCGCAATGAACAGCATCTTGCGCACATTTAAAACGAAAATGCTTACCTGAATATGCAAGGATGATGTTCGATTGGAGTGCAGGAAATGGTGCAAGAAGCGGGGGCTTGAGGAGCAGAGGCTGTATGAGATGGCCAAGCTGCGAGCGCAGTTTGAGGGCCTGCTGAGGGATGTGGGCCTGCGCTCTCACGGTGCTCATTGCTGTTCTCACTTCCCACATGCATGCAATGCTTCAGACAGGTTGATGTGTGTGGATGCTCGCACGGACCTCATTGCTTCCTTACCCTTCACATGCATGCATGCAATGCTTCAGGCAGCTTGATGTATGTGGATGCTCGCTGGTGCTCCTCAATGTCGCAAGTTCTCGCATGCATGCAATGCACAGAGAGATTTGTGTATGTGTATGCATGCTAATTTCAGATGGAGTAGCTCACTTCAAGCTGTGGCTTGTGGCAGGATCTGGAAGAGGAGGTGGCAGCGGCATGTCTGGCCGGCACTGGTCAACGTCAAATCGGCAGGACCGCAGGTGAGTAATTAAAAAGTATATCTTAATATCAAGGGCGTCATACCCCTCAGACTTGTGCTGGTGATGTAATAAGAGTGCTTGACCGCAGCTTCCTCAGCTTGCATCCTGGCTGTCGATGAATGCAACCATTTCATAATTTTTTGTGATTCAAGATATTGCATTGTATGTATATTCGTGCTAGACTGCAGACTAGCATAGGCCTTGCTGGTGTGGCTGCGGACACCCTGCATGTATCCCCTGTAGTCTCTGGCTGTGATTTGCCATTCTTGTAATAACAAATCTAACCATTCTTCATCAACAGCCATGTTGAATGATAAGCTGGCGCTGCTGCTGCCAGGGCGGCGAAGGCCCACGTGCGAGCGCTGCAGAGGCAGCAGGAGAGGGAGAGGGGACGCCGCGTGCTGAGGGCCGAATCTCCCGGGGATGGCAACCCTGACAACTCTGATGCAGAAGGCTCTGACATCGGCGGCGGCGGCCGCGGCCGGCAGCGCAAGCGGCGCAGGACGAAGACTGATGAGCAGGTATACAAAATGCCACTGCCTTGCCTATTTTGCGTGAAGAATATAGGCCTTCTCTGGATGCAAAAAGGGAAGCCCCTATCTGGATCCAACAATTGGCAGCAAATGCGCGCGGAAAGAGTCAAGTCACATCAGGATTTTGCATGTTTCTGCGCAATGCATTGCTTGCATGCAGTGCAATGCATTGCTTGCAGAGATCCAGCTCCCCGTTGCAGTGGAAGAGTGCAAGGCCACTGCCATACTGGCACAACAGCGCAACGTCATACGCTTGATACATCTTCATACAACCGCAGGCGCTGGACCTGAAGAGCATGGATCTGGAGGCCAGCGTCGATGTACGAGCGATGGCGTCCGCCGCTCTGAGGAACCTCACAGTGGCGGATGTCAACCTGCTTAAGGCCATCCTGGCCGCAGGACTGTACCCTCAGGTTGCATCCTGACTGGCATCATGCTTGCCTCCTGTTGATCACTAGCAGTGTCACGTCGCCTGCTCCTGTATCCTTGTGGGTATAGCTGTCCAGATCCACTCACAAGCAGTTGTCCCTCGAGGTGTTTTCAAACAAGCAGCCGAAGACAGCTGTGACAAAATGTAGGGTAGAACGTCACTCTGATGAGATCAAGAGAAAGGACGCTGCAGCTGTCTCAGCCTCAGCCTCGGCACAAGAAGCTTGCAGAGAGCATGCATGTGCCAGGTTATAATGCGTATGTTACACCCTGTTCCTGCAAAGAGGCAAGGTGTGGTCGCAGACATTCTGCAGGTACAGGCTGCCAAAGACGCATGTCATCCCATTAGTATAAACAGTCTGATGTGGCGCCAGGTGGCGGTGCCGGACCCGCGCAACTCGCAGCGGCGCGGCCAGGACGCGGCGTTCCTGACACAGCACCACCGCGGAGAGGCCGCCATCCACCCAGGCGCGTATTTCACCCCTCGCACTCGCACTGAACTAGTGGCCCAAACTCACAGGCTGATCATTCCTGGCCCTTTCTGCAAAGCCTGGTCCTTGGCATGGTACCATGACATGAGGAGCACTCCAGATGTGATTGCATGGGTCTGGTGACATTTGAAATCCACGATAATGCTGAAAATATCGTTATAGTTAACAGTCCTATGGCCTTCACCCAATAGGCAATACGTCACCGCCTGAAACGTCACAATGGATCACAGGGCATCCTGTCAAGTGGGGTCCACTCACCTTAACCCCTGCCTCCGCCCCGTCTTTTGCAAAGGCTTTCAGGCACTTCAAGCCCCTGCGCCAGGAGAACATTTTTTAGGCTCCAGGGCCAGCTTCCTTGCAATGCACCCGAAAAAGAATAAGAAAAATAATCAAGATGTTACATGTGTACAGGGAGCGTGATGTGCGCATCGGCGGCCGATCTGGACCCGGGCACGGCGCTGGCGTACGTTGAATTGCTGGAGACGAGGCGCGCCTATCTAAGCAACCTGACTCCGCTGCCAGCGCTGCCGGCACTGCTGTTGTTGGCTGAGCGCATCGGCGCCGACGCGGCCGCCACCCGATTTCTGGTCGACGGCTGGCTGCTGCTGCGCATGCATGACGGCTCCGGGCCTCAGGTGACTCACTGCAAGCATGAGCATAGTAGGTGTCGTAGATGTGTTTCTTTTGGCAAAGGCAGCCGTAGATGTTGGTGGCAACTAAGACGAGTCATCCAGCTACTTCTTTATCGACGACTGGCTGCTGCTGCGCATGCACGCCGGCTCCGGGCCTCAGGTCACACCCTTCAAGCACGTCAAAGTTGTAATGGAGTCCGTACATGTAATGTCTGCAGCTGCATCATAGACAAAGGCAAGGTATGAGATGAGTCGCATGTCAACAGATTGCAAAAATAATATCAAACACAATGTATGGCAATTGTGGGCGCAGTCGGCCCATGGGGCCTTAATGATGCAGCCTATGAGAACTCAACCTGATAGTTGTGAAGCTAAGATCTGATGTCCACAATGCCCTGCCATTCTACAGGTGATAATCGAGATCAACAGGCTGCGAGCGCAGACGACCGCGCTCCTCAACTTGTGCCTGCGACGAGCGCGCATTCCGGGCCTGCCCAACCCATCAGCCGCCGCCCCGGCCCCCACTGACATTAGCACTCAGGGCCTGGCTACAGAGGTGATCACTCATTTTCCTGACCTTCTTATTGCCGCCTCAACTCACTGACAGATCACCTTATTGCCTATCTGCGTCGGCTTTGGAGCAGCCTCACAATTTCCCGGCCTGCCTGCAATTGGCCGGCCCCTCCTAAATCTGCGATTTGTGCGGCATTACTTCAACAAGCTCAGCGCTGCAAGGGGTCATGGCGTGAGACACATCGCCCCAACGCTGTGGCTGTACTTGTGATCTGCAACAAATTTTTTGCGACACTTGCAGTTTTGCGACTTTTGTAACTTTTTTAGTCCAGCCTGTAATGAACAGTTGGGGTCTTGAGCGCTGGATTATCTTCATTGCAGGAGGAATGTCTCTCTGCTGGGCTACCGGCGTTCGCAGCCGAGATGGTGAGAGATTGGGCGAGTCTTGCACTGGAAGTCAAGAATTTAGGGAGGCATGATGACGGGAGCCTGGAGGAAGAGGCAGCCACTGGCCTGGCCAAGTGCCTAAAGTGGCGGCTACAGTACTCTGTTGAAGTCCTGTCTGCCAGCCGTGCAGCCTCAGAGTACACACAGGTGGGTACCCGGTGAATAGACTTAAAGGCAATGAGTTATTTGTAGAGCGTGCTTCAGAGTCCATGCGTGTGTGTTTGTCAGAAGCAGCATCTTTGGGCTGAACCTGCTGACATGATAGGTGCAGAAAATTCATGGCTTGTCATGGTATCTCTCACATATCGGACCCATATGATGTCCTAAGAGTCTGCAGCCCACTCTGTGCCGTGCAGTTTGCAGAAGCGATCAACTTTCAACACCGCCTCTTGGATATGGATAGGGAGCTAAGGTGTCACTTGCACATCTTGGCTAACATATATATTGGCGGTGGCAGCTTGGAGACTTCTGTGTGGTTCCGCAGAGGAAGGCAGACACCAGTGGGGATGACAAGGCGACTGCTGCCACGGAGCCAGACACGGCGGCTGGGCTGCAGCTGACCCCTTGGCTGCGGCTGGGCAGCCTGCGCGATCAAAGCTCCCAGGCGGCCGAGCATGCGCTCATGCCGGCACTGCGCCGGCGCTGGCGGTGAGTCAGCCACACTCATCAGTCATGTGATGAGTCATTCATCCTGATATGGTAACGTTCCTGTGTCGTATTGTGTCGTATGCCAGGTCGGAGACGCCTTGTGACATTTTGCTGCAAGTGTCCTGGTCCTTGGTGAATGTCAATGCACTGTGGAAGCTTGGGAATGCAGTACAAGTACAGCACCACGCCTGGCTTCTGCACCAGGTGTGCCAGCTCCCTCTGGCAGTGTCAGGTCCACTGCCGCAGAGAAGTTGCAGTTGGTGGACTGCAGTGTTCATTGCTCACAGGAATGCATTGTCATAGCTGCAGCACTTGCGCAAATTTGTGTGTTTGGATGAAGCAGGTGTCCGGCCTGCCGGCAGGAGCTTGTGGCAGACGCTTCAGCACTTACAGCGCACCTGTCACAGTGCTCAGCAGCGAAGGAGGAAGCTCACAAGGGTGAGGGACCAACGCGCAGCGCAGAGGACATCCTGCAGGCCGGCTATGAGCTGGCGCGACAGCTGTATGCGCCTGCTGCCGCTGCACCGGCACAACCAGGCATGCGCCACCGCTGCAGCATCAACATGCTTGTCACACATGCTTGGATTCTTACTAAAGTTTGGAAGGTTGTTGGCTGGGCTAATGGAAAATCTCCTGTTATTGCCTCGGTTGGGAAACATGTTGCCAGCAGCCAACACTCCCTCAAAATGAATGGGATGTCATCATGCGCATCAAGCATGTGCACGTCTTACATTCAACTGCATGCAAATGAGGGGCTGATATTTACTAAGAAGGGGCCATGACTGCATGCAGGAGTGCCCATGGCATTTGCTGCGAGGGACGCTGAACTCCTACTTCCCAACAGCAGTGAAGAGGGACCACTTTGGGGCAGGCGCAGCAAGGGGGTTGCCGGGGCAGTGGGGGGAATAATCGACCGCGCTGGCACCCTCGAGGGAGTTGGGAGGGTAGGCGGCAGGGATCATGCAGAGTTGGTAGGAGATATGGGTGTCATTGGGCAGCCAGGCACTACAGAGGGAGCAGTGCTGGAGAGAGAATTGGACAGAGGAGAGGCTGAATTGGAGCAGCTGCAAGTGCTGCGCAGAAAGGCGCAGGCAGAGGCATCCAGGCGGGAGCACTGGTGCAACAGCTGTGGCCGCGCTTTCCAAATGACGCCCACGGAAATACTGCAGCACAAACGGACGCATGCCACTTGATACTTTGCTCGCATGCTCATGCATGCCAACTTTTAAGTTGGCTTGCTTACTCGCTTTATGCTTCTAAACCAGCTCAATCTGACCATGCTTGCTTCTGGTTTAGGAACAAATATTCAGCTATCGCACGAGACAAAACATGTATGTTACATTTGGATGCCCGCTTGAAACCATCCAGTGTAGACTGAGGACATCGGGTACCAAACATGCATTGAAATAGAGAGCAAGACAAGCTAACATCAAATATCTTATTATATGTCTGTCTAATATACTATAATAGTATATCTTTGGCCCCGGCTGGCGGGGGGGCGATATAAACACTGAGCACCATGCCCACGGTTGATTGGGTCTTGCTTGGATCTGGCGAATCCAAAGTGGGTAGGATTTCGGCGGCCTTTACTGCAGCTTGTCTGCAGACGCACCTTGCTTCTGGCAGGAAAAGTGTGCAATAATATTAAGAATAATAATGTCTGTCTCTACACCCCAGGGGCTGATTCATGAACAATGACTCTCAAGAACCTGAATAGATGTAAGACCACCACCTGAACAGATCATTCCCTATGCAAGCAATCAATTATGTCCACCTGAAATTCCTCAAGAGTCCAACTCAGGAGTTGGCAGCTCTAAAAACAATATATCTGGTATGCTCACAGGAATCTACCCTAGACTAGCAGCACCACTTTAGGAACCGGAAGAGGGTTCATTCGTTTGCCAAGAGTAGCACACACTCTGTCGCATATCCATACAAAACACTCAGCACCAGCAGAACAAATTCCTCGCAATGAGTGAACTGCCGGCAGGTGTGCACACGCACAATAGAAAAGAAGCGCAAGAAAAGCTGAAGACTGGCACATCACGCACACTTCATTCTGCTCAAGAAATTAGCCGTCTGCTCTATCCAGGCAACACCTTCTGGAGATCCAGAACGGTCTAGGCAGAATGCAGCTGTTCATGGCCAGCCGTAAAGAATATTTACCACAAACAAAAGGGTGGACTGGAAAATTCTCAGCCACACCGAGAGAAGTCCAGTGCCAGATACAGATGACTGGTTTGCTGGAGAAATAAAGAGTCTGGGTGCCGCAAATCGCACGGCAAAAAGAGACTGACCTGCCTAAAAAGTGGGGTTTTATTTGCTAGAACCCACATGATAAAATTCCTCTCGACATGGACACAGGACGCCTGCGCCTTTGCAGCTTAGTCTGCTGTGTCCACATGTCCTGCTCTGTACTTCTGACTTCTGCCAAATATCGCACCCATCAAAACATTGACAGACTTGTCATTGTCCCCATTGGTGAAGACATCCGATCTGGTGAGCGCGTCATGTCATTAGCTCACTCCCCGCTGACTACAAAGGGTCCTACAAGCGCAATCCTTGAGGATCCCCTCTGCATGCAGGCACAGCCAAGCCAATGCGCAACTCTGCATAGGTTTACATGGCAACCAAGCAGCCGCTTCCTGGCACTAAGGGCTGCATTCAGCCGCCCGCTCAGCTGTCTGCTCATGCTGCCATGCTGCTTTCCTCTTGCAGGGCCTTTCTGGAAGCCATGGCCCTTGCAGCAGCTCGTTGATTCCCAGGGATCTCCTCTGCACGATAGGCACAAACAGCGCACCCCTACAGGCTGCGGCTCTTGCAGCGGCGCAAGGCGAGGATGTCTTGGCGAGGCTCGAGGGAGTGCGTGCGGCGGTACTCAAAGCTGCGGCGCGAGGCCATGTTGTCCAGGTCGCGACCGGTAACGGCCATGGCGTCTGGGAAGCGCGGATTCGCGTCCCAGAAGCGGCCAATGCCCACCTGGCCAAACATCTCCTGCAGGGGCAGCACCGCCGAGCGCTGCCAGTCCATCTGCCTGCGCCAGATCGCAACCCAGAAGTTCAAGGTTTGCATGTTAGACCTGATAGTGTCAGAGCAGAAAGGGATGTTCAAAATGGCCTCTCGACAGCTGCAAACCCAAGGTATCAACAATGGCCAGTCACCTTGCTGAGCTGCCTGACGCTCAAAGACAGTGTTCCAAATATTGCAATTTAAGCAGCTTGTGGCCATCAAAGGTCAAGCAGACATTAATCAATCAGACATGTCAAAAATTTGGCAATAATCATACCCCGTAGCAATGCACTTGTAATCTAGTGCCATCACTCCACAGAACACAGTGCTACACTTACGGAGGCAGTAACAGTGTGGGGCGAGTGTACCGCTGTCTGGCCTGCTCCTCACTGAGCGGCTGAGCAGAGTCTGTTGGGGCCAGGCCAATGCGCTCCATGAACCTGTCAACGTTGTCCTCCCTCAAGCAGCCATCCAGGAGGCACCACGCATAGATGTGAGGATTGCAGCACACCCTGCACCCACCCAGTGCCACAGCTCAGCTCACAAACCTACTCAGTGGGCTGCTGAAGGACTTGCTCGAGATTTCGTGGTATGAGACTTTCAGACTGCTACACTGCTTATGCACAGTGGAAGCTTGGCCGAGCTAGATGGCGCGACCTCACTTCACTTGATCTTAAGGAGTGCTTGAGGAACACATCAAGCTTGGAGTCCTGCTTTGCACGGGGCGCACCTTTCGTGCATCAATAGGTGGCAGCAGACAAAGAGGTGGTCAGCCACCACACGCTGCAGCATGCCTGGATGTACGTGCAGGAAGTGCAATGCCTCCTTGCTGCCAAAGCTACTGGGCCCCAACTTCTGGCTAGGTGATACAGGGTTGCAGTGGCGTCCCACCAGCCTAACAAACTCCTTCAGGCTGGCAATGTCTCGCTCATCTGGCAGCTGCTGGTGCGCAAACCTGCTAGCAACGCTGCATGCTACTGCACAGGCACCTGATGCAAGCAGAGACCCAAAATCTCAGGAGGTGAGGTGCTTCCAGCAGGGTCGAGGGTTTGTGCTCTCCTGTGCAGTCTCATTATTGAACAAATCAAGAGGAAAGGCCCGAGGAGGTTGACCGACCAGAGAACCCGAGCGCACCTTTGTGCTGTGCCGCTGCAGCAGTTTCACACTGCGGCCCGCAGAAGAAAGCCAGCCCGCAAGATTTGCAGCACATGGGTGCTGAGAGCAGCTTGCCGCACGCCAGACATAGATGCCCGGAGCCCAGACGCTTCCAGTTCATGGGGAGGCTGCCATATGCTCCCTTGGAGGCAATTCGGTCAGCGAAGTTGAACGCTAGCGCGTCGTCCATGAGAGGAGTGTTTTCCATGGCAGTTTTTTACATGTACACGCCACAATTGACGCGATAGAGTGACCCTTAGGGGCTGTGCCTCGATGAAACAAGCGGCGTCTGCAATCTGCGAAAATATCTGTTTTTGGGATGACCGGCGCTTCGACGAGCCTGTGCCCGTGCCTCACCCTGTAAGATACCGATAACCCAGCCTAAAAGCGAAGTCAGGTGGCAAGTGTGCAAGAATCGACACTGGATGCACAATGCCCAGCCGATGGTACACTTCGAGCCTAGATTGTTTGGCGTCAGAGATATCTAGCCTTCCCTGGAGCGCGCCAAGCGGAGCACTGTCTGATGCAGAGAAGCTGCCCACCCATAGGGCTTACTAATTTTCACCTATTTTATAATACGGTACAAACCCTTGTTTACCCACGTGCCGGCACGAAAGAACATTCTTGGATCAAGAGTGATCCCAGGCTTGGCTGCACGCGTGCGATCTCTGAGAGGGTCGTCCAGGATCGCACTGAGAGGCAGACTGTTGGAGAATCTAAAAAGGGGCTGGCAGATTGAAGGCCCATCGAGGGCACTGGACGCACTAGGATAGCAAGCATAAATGTACAGAAATCTTCCTCGATCACAACAATTTGGTGGTCTACAGATTGCTTCTTGCTCTCGGCCTGCCACACGAGTCTGCTTGTCAGCGATCTGGCAGCTAGGGTCAAACAGACGACTTCATCGACGCGCTGCCTTGCCTTGCTATAGACGAGTATGTGTGTCTCTTGCCGCAACAACAGCTTCGCAGTCAGCACGAGAGCAATCTGACAAGAAGACGAAGACATTGTGGGTGCAAACGAGCGAAAAGGCGAGCACCTATTTTTCAAAGCATTGCCAGTTCCCTCTTGCCATCACCAATATTTCTATTTCATTTCGAATCCAAATTCTAGCCCTCAGAGAACCTGTCACCTTCCGCAGTCTGTGCTGACGGCTGCCTTGGAAGCCGGTGTGACAACCTTTCTCTTCGACGGCCCCAGCACTGCTCTGGCGCATGACTGGAGTCAGCTCGCGCGGTTCACTGCAGTCTCCGTGGATGGCACTGATATCAGGGAACTCACCTCCAACAAGCGGGTGCTGCCTCCTCCCCTGGCTGCATGTGTGTGAACTTGGACCTCGGCTGCATTATTGGATGCGTGCTTTGCACAATTCCATGGTGAGGAAGTGTGTGAGATTTTGTTCACTGGGCAATCTGCTTTGGCAGCTGGGCCAGCATCGGAGCGTTTCCTCTGGGGAGGAGTTGAAAGCGTTGCAGTCCGAGAGCATCGCTGATGGCATCACCGTCCTTGACATGGCGGACTGGCGCATCATCCCCGCTGAGAACCTGGTGGCAGCTTTTCAGGCAAGCCTCTTGGGCTCCTTCAATACACTGAGATCTCTTCAAGCATCAGCATTGCTTCTGCAAGAGCTTTCATGTCAGTTGTCTGCTCCTGCTGATGGTTGGGGTGTAATACTGGGGTGAGCAGGGATCAGGAGCGCAGCTGATGCCGATCGCAACATCAGCAGCAGATGCAAAGATCATGCTGGAGGCACTAGAAACTGGCACCGATGGGGTGGTCCTGCGGACAGACACAGCAGCTCAGGTGGTCTACCTGACATGGATATCATCGCGCAAATGAAGGTTTCTGGTTGTACATATATATGCATGCATGCATGAGAACCTTGAGTTGTTCTGGGCTGAAGCCGGCTGTGGCAGGTGAGGGAAGTAGTGGAGTGGCTGCAGCAGAAGGAGGCAAAGGACGCAGAGCGCCTGGAGTATGAGGTTGGCACAGTGACGCGCTTGGAACCTGTGGGCATGGGAGACAGGTACTCTTAACGCATTTGTGAAGATCGCCCTCCTCGACTCTTTTCCCTCTTTCAGCACAAAATTCTATTGGATGTATTGCAGAAGTCCGGAAGCCACTCCAAAATGTTTCACAATGGACGAGTCCCTGACAGGCATCCTGCCAATGTCCTCAGGGTGTGTGTGGATCTGGCGAGCCTGCTGGTCCCTGGGGAGGGCCTCCTGGTGGGCTCCTTTGCCAGGGCGTTATTTCTGGTGCACTCCGAGTGCAGCGAGAGCGCATACATCAACAGCCGCCCCTTTCGCGTCAATGCCGGCCCGGTGCGCATCATGTGCCCTTCACCGCACTCCATTTCATTTCACCCTTTCCATCCACCCCAACTTTTGCATATTTTCCCCTCACAACCACGTTTGCACTGTTGCTGCGGCCTGCTTATTATCCTCGTTCCCACTGTGCTCAAGGTGACTGCATTCCGTATTGCTGCATGTGGTGACAGACGAGGCCTTGCCTGTGCCCCATGTTTCCTCTGTGGGAAAGGCACTTGCGCTGTCACTTTCTTCAAGCTCATGACTGATCACTCAGGTACTCCCTGTGGCAGGTGCATGCATATGCGGCGGCGCCAGGCGGCAGCACGGCGTATCTGGCCGAGCTGAAGAGCGGTTCGGAAGTGCTGGTGGCTGACGCGCAAGGGCGGCAACGAGTGGCCATTGTGGGGCGCGTCAAAGTCGAGCGGCGGCCCCTGGTGAGCATTGCTACAGGGGGTACTAAAGACTACTACTAATAAGTAGAGTAGTAGTCTTTAGTACCCTCTGATTGCCATTTCCAGCAGGATTCTGCACTGCAAAGCTGTCCTGTGGTTATCGAGCACTGCCTCGGGCCTCTTGGAGGGTACGTGCCCCTGCATCTTTGAGGGAAGAGAGAATGCAATACATAACGGCACTACGGGCGCCAAGGCAGGAGAAATGGCTGCTTCACCGCGTAAACATAATGCATTTCAGCTCTTCGTAGTGATCTGCACTGCACTGGGCTGCACATCTCTGTCACAGCATTGAGATGTTGAGTTCATGTGTTGCATAGAAACAAAAGACAATCGCGAATGTGTGCTGTGACGGCCGTGGGTACCGGTATGACAGATGTCAGCAGCAGGGATTGATAAGACTGTGCAACTGCAGGTGCTTTTGGAGGCTGAGACTCCAGATGGGGAGGCGCACAGCCTGCTGCTGCAGAATGCCGAGACTGTGCGACTCATTGGCCCGTCAGAGCCACTAGGCAAGGTGCTGGGGGGCTCAGCGGCGGAGGAAGACAAAAGTAATGTGGAGTGGCAGGCAGTGTCTGTGTCTGAGCTGCAGGTTGGTCAGGCTGTGTATGTGAGGAGACAAGCCGCGGCCAGGCACACTGGCATAAGCATCGATGAGTTCATAAGGGAACGATGATGTGATCACACAGTCCATCTTGCTCTGCAACAACATTGATTAAAGCGACATACATGCAGGAGGGATTTGAAGGCATAAGATCTCCAAGACAAGTATCTTGAAGCTGTTACCAGATGTAATAAGACTGACTGCTTCTCGTCACTGGCCATGGCATGAAATGAGGCGTCATGCTACATGTCATGATGTCACATGTATATACCAAGTTGGAAATGTCTGCTGGGAACCATGGCAGTGGTGGCTACAGCTAGGCTTGACTTGCAATGGCTTGTTGAGCTTTTCCTCCCTGAACAAACCTAAAACCTTAGTACTAGTGTTCTGCAGTCCCTCATTATAATTGGTCTGTCCAGAAGCTGAGCTCTAGGCTCGTTGACCACCAATTCAAAGGGCACACCATAGGATGCATGCAAGGCTGCATGCTCAGGCCACCAGGTTCCTGTACATGTCAACCAAGGAGCGGGATACTTTCAGCTCCGCATCTGCTTGCCTGCAGGTTTCACATGTACTCATCAGAAACACTAGAAATACACAGTTGAAGCAGCTTGACAAACTCAAATATTTCCCATTAGGCAGGCAAAACCATCGATGATATCTGCAAAGGAAAGAAGCATACTCCAGCTGAGGAGCCAAAATTGCCGGAATTGACTCTTTGTCTGCAAGGTTCAGCCTTAAATCTTCATTCTCCCTGCACACACTTGAAAGTTCCTCGTGAACAACTTTGTTATCATGATACAGTAGGGATATGCGCGCAGGGGTTTGAGAATACAGGCAAGGTGGAGGGTCACTCTTTCAACTCTTGCAACTGTCCCGCGATTTCGATGATCCGCGACCTTTTATCGTCAAGCTGCCTGCCTGCATATGATCAATCCATGAGTGAGTTGCAAGACGAGATTCGACTAAATAGTAATTGGTTGCTGTATAGTAGAAAGGGACCAGCGGAGCATGTCTGCTAGATTTTGCCCAGAAGTGGGTGCCGTGGGAAGCTTACTCTCGCAATGCTGTCATAGAAATTCGTTCGATCTCGTATAGTTTCCCGCAGTAGCATAAAAGTTGATGAAGAGGCACTCTAGTTTCCAAGATGTGTTTGTTTAGTAAACCCTACTTGTCTTCTTTCCTATGCACCAGGAACTAGCGAGGTGTGAGTGCACACTGAAAGTGGTTGAGGCTCTTCACCGACGCTTTCAGGAATGTGACATTGTTTTGATGGCTGACTGCTCTCCTGTTTCCAGCAACAAGGTAGGTGCTAATGGAAAGCCGACAGGTTTGATCGGGGATCGATGTACAGCTCTATACCTAAAGATGCACACTTACGATGGCGCGTATTTGCAGGATGCTTGGCCATGGCTCTATCTGCAGGCATGCTTGACAACCAGGTGCAGTAAGTCGCGCGGTCGATGTTTGACCTTCAGCCCACCCTGGTTGCCGTGAGGCCGTTCTAGAACATCGCTATTGGAACCTCGAACGCGGTAGAGCTTCCGAGTGTGATCGTGGTTTTGTGCGCTTGGGACTGCTCGCACGAGATTTGGAAACGGCAAAGCTTAGTCAGTGGTAGTCATTAAGGAGGTCAAGCTGGGCACAACTTGCGTTCACTCTTCCTTCGTACTAAGCAAAGCAGACAGGATAGACAGGGAAGACAAATTAGCATGGGTCGCTTCAGGCATTCAGATTGAAGAGAGAAACACTCAGAAGATCGAAGGAACAGTCCCTGTTCCTAGAAATGAACGGCTGGCATTTTAACGGAGGAAACGGCTTGAATAACATATCACAAATCCCTCCTCAGAACGCTTCCGCTCCATATAACTTGGGCTACAATGCCCAGCCGTGGCAAGGCTACACACAGGTACCTATGGTTGCTCATATAGTATAGAGCCAAATGGCTTGCAATGCAGCTTTTGTTAGATTTTTCATATCGACTGGTCCTCCTGAGCAAGATCTTCCATCGCTCGGAATATCGGAATACAACTTATAGCAAGCAATGTGTCTGCTCTTAAATGGCAATTGCGCACACCAAGTCGCTCGTGATCAGATCTCCTGAGTCTGTATGTTCCACCAGCAGCCAGGAGTAGCACAAGGGCCGGGCGTTGGAGCTTCACAGCCACCGCTGCCTGCAGATCATTCCTACCATCCGCCCTTACCAGGGGAGCATGCTGACCCACCGCCACTGCCGAGCAACAAATGGTCCTCTGCTCCGTTGCTTTCGTCAGAAGCAGCTCCTCCTCTGCCAGAGGAGCCTCCAAGCCATGGCTCAGGACAGGGGTATCCCCCAGCTGGCCACCCCTGGGCACCATCACCAGCCGGAGGCACAGGACAGTATGCATCAACACCTCAGCAGCATTTAGCCGGCCCCCAGGGACCCTACCCAGCCAGCTACCAGACAGGGACTCCTTCACCGCACCTCAACGGTCATGGGCAGCCACCCTGGTCCCAGGCAGGCTCGCATGACCCGAGCTATAATGGTGCTCCCTGGGCCACGCCCACTGCGCAGCCGGCAGCCTACTCCCAGCAGCAGCAGTATGATTACCAGCTGCAGCAATATCCCATTCAGGCAGCCTACGGGCACACGCCATCCCCTTACGGGCACACGCCTTCTCCCTACGGGCACCAGCAACCACCGCAGGGAGGACCGCCAAACCCGTATGCGCAGATGTATGGGCAGCAGCAGGCCTGGCGGGGGCCGCACGGCCACCAGCAGCCTGCGGTGCCTCAGCACCTTGCATCAGGTCACGGTATCTCACACCAGGCAGGTCACCATACGCAGGTGCGTGCACAATGTGGCAACATGGTGCCATGGTTCCTCCACCGCACCTGTGAGTGGATGGGACGTCAGGACAAGCACACCATATAAGTACTACTTCAGTGACGCATGTGTTGCGTTGTGCAGGCTGCACAACAGTATCAGCAGCTTCCTGGGCAGCAGCAGCCGGGCGCGTGGGCAGCCCACACCCCGCCCGCGCAGCAGCCTAGTTGGGCGCAGTCACCCCAGCCCAGCCCTGCTGCAGCAAATGGCTACCCCCAGCAGCAGCCCCCTCTACCTTCAACTCCTGCAGAGGTGCGCTGGCCAACATTCAAGCATGGCTATCAATCATGTCCTGCAAGGGGATTGCACGTTGCGAACATTTCATGCCTCATGTCCTGGCCCACCTTTCCTCCTGGTCAATCGCGTATTGCTTGTTTGAACGCAAGCTGTGTCCTTGCTGGCGCATTTATAGCTTCCATGGGTGATGCAGGCTGTGCCAGCACATGCAGAGGTCCCAGGAAGGCCGGTCCTGCCATTGAATGTGACAGTGGTGGACGACCTGCTGACTGGACCGGGCAGGGCAAAACGGCCCAAGCTCATAGCGGTGGTGATCCGCGGCCTGCCGGGCAGCGGAAAATCCCTCATTGCGCGGCGGCTGCGCGACGCTGAGGTGGCGGCCGGGGGATCCGCCCCCCGCATCCACTGCATCGATGACTACTTTGTCACTGTACGCCTCTTCCCTTGACCTGATGATTTGCTGGGTTTTCCCGCGCAGTATTGCATATGTACGCATGCCATCTTGCCAAATTGTATTAGCATTGCGCAGGCTTGGCTGGCAATGCATGGGTGTGTGGTGTGGTTGCAGGAGGTGGAGAAGGAGGTGTGGGAGAAGGATGCATCTGGCAAGCGGAAGATGAAGCTGGTGCAGGAGACTGAGTACTGCTATGAGGCTGACATGGAGGGTGCGTGGAAGTCTTCTCTTTTGTGCTGCCTAGCTGCTGCTGCTTTATATACAACCGATTGTGCTGCATGATGTGCTGGACGTTCCCTCCCTCAAATTTTGTGGGAGCGTGAATGCAAAAATTCATGAGCACCTGACAGTATCTTTAAACAAGAATGCCAATGGTGTGTTGGGGTGCTGTCTGGCCAGGAGTCTACAAGGCAAGCCTGCTCAAGGCTTTCACGCGGACAGCTGAGGAGGGGCGCTCGCCTTTTGTGATTGTGGATGCGCCAAATCTTCGAGTGGATGACTTCAAGCCCTATTGGGATGCTGGTCAGGTTTGCATTGGCCCAGCTTCAATGATTCAAATCCTTTCTGCACAGAGACTTTCAAGTGCCAAGCAAGTGGCTGTTGCGAAAGGGACATGCTCGTGGACCTCACAGGGAATTATGTTGCAGCAACTGGCTCCTGTGCTTTATTTGTGATTGTCTTAGTTGCACGTGCAAATTTGTGGGGGCATCGTTAAAAATGTTTGGGTTCCTGGACACGGCAGAGGGCGGGCTATGAAGTGTATGTGTTGCAAGCGCCCGAGACAGACCCAAAGGTGCTGCTGCTTTCTGCATATTTGCCTAAAATATCGTTAAAAAGTGCTACCGATGTATTGAATGCATATGTCTGGCCGTTCTGTGCTCATTTTTCACCTGCGTTGCATTATTGGACACGTCCAAGAAAGTGTAGAGATTTCAATTACGTTGTTGAGGAGCTGGTCAGCATGACATGCTGAGGGCTCTCCAGCAGCTCATATTGGCGTCCCTGCATCTCCATGGAGGTCTTTCTGGTTGATGTTGAGACAGTGAGGTGACCAGCTAATGGGTTGCTGTCCTGCATCCGAGACTCAGGTGGTGTTCTTGCAATTGTCACAGGTCTGTTTCGCGCGCAACACTCACAGCCGCACACTGGAGGACGTCACAGCTGCCCAGCAGCAGTGGGACCCAGTACCGCCTTCCTTTCCCCAACTGGATGCAACCTCGCTGCTTCGTCCCATTAGCAAATCACAGGTCTGATTTGTTGCCAAATCCCCTGCTGCAGCCACAGGCCGTGAAGACTTCGACTGCTGTCGCTTGACATGTTTTCTCTGCTCTTGTGCGTTTGTTATGCAGGTAAAGATTGGCTTTGCTGGACGACATGTGGTGTAGCTGTGGACAAATGCTTTATTTCCGCTGGCGTTTAAAGGGCCCTCTATCCAGCAGGACAGGAGGGCTTTTGGTTGCCTCATAAAGGACACGTAACTTGAATTTGTTTCAAAATTTGTGCAGGCGGGCATCAAGGAAGTCGACATGGAGGATGAGAGCGGCGATGAGAGATCAGAGCATGACGCTGACTCACCTGCAGCGAGTCGCGCCAACAAGGGCCGGTGAGATCTCTTAGAATAGCATTGCTGTAAAGGAGGCTTCCGTTTTTCGCCAGAGCAGGACTTGTGGAAGACAGTCAGCAGAATAGAGTTAGGTGTCAGGAGAGGGGTGCAATGTGGCATGCTCTCCATGAAAAGTCATCGCAGAGCGCTTCTATATTTGATGCGCTGGTATCTACAGGTGGGCCAGTCTTGACAACGGTGCAGAGGCGCAGCCAGAGAGGCCCAGAAAGATGCGCAAGACTCGTTTCACTGAGAGGACAGAGTCGCCCGCCGCCAGAGATAAGCAGGCGCGCAGACTCCTCCTGCTGCCAGCTTGTGTTGCGTCTTGTACCTTTCTAGTTGCTTTCGTGGTGCATGAAAGAACACAGAGCACTGTGTAAAATTGGAGATTGTGTCAATTTCCGCACAGGGTGCCTGGAAGGCAAAGAAGAGGGTACGCTGGGCAGACGAGGCCGAGGAAGAAGACACGGGCTTCCACATTGGAGGCGCCTCCCTGCGTCAGGTGAGCACCTGCGGTGTCAGGAATCCAAACAAGCTATCGCACGTGAAGTTGCACCTCATTCGTGAATGCTGATGTGCAGCCTTGTAGACTCCCTTCCCTTCGTTGGCCATTACATTGCCCACAGCCTGTGTTGGAGGAGCTCAATTCCGGATCAAAGTGCAGTGAGTTTTCTTTCCCTTAAACGTTTAGATGAAGGGCTATGTCACGGTGCTGCAGCTGGAGACGGTGTATGTGCTGGAGGGATTGGGTCCTCCCAAGGAGGACAGCTATGGGCAGAAGAGCTTCTCTGATCAGGTGCATGTTCCTTGTGTCCTGAAATCCAACTCGCATTGCAGACCTCAGCATAGCCCTCGCAATGGCTCCTGTTTAGGAAATGTACGTGTCCGGTATTGAGCTTCACGCAAATGTTTTGTCCAGGTGAAAGCAGACCACAAGTCAGAGCAGCACAACTTCCGAGACATCCTCCTGGGCCACCGGCGACCGTCGTGAGGCTTTAAAGAATTATTCCCACAGCGCTCCTTGCTGTCAGTATCCTTTGTTTGAATGTGAGCCATGTGGGAGGGCTGATTATGTGACTTTGTATTTGTCCCGTCTAAGAGTCTGACACAACTTTGTTTTCTGGGCCATCTGAGGTGTTCAGAATAAGGCCCCAGTCTGCCACCGCCACAACTCAGGTGCGCCCACACTGTGCCTGTCAGGTCAAGAGATCAGTACTCGTTTCATGCCACCCGTTTGTCTTCATCGCCTGAACTTAACTTTTGTATCTTGTGGTCGGGATTAAGCAAGCCCGTCTTTAATAAAGTACCTTCTCTGGGATGCTCACCATCTCCATCAACCTCCCAGCTAAAAAGTGCATATTGCCCCTTCTCTGTGCAGGTGCAGAAGGCGCGGGACATGCTTGAGTTGCATTGTGTGATGGGGTGAGCTTTGCTAGTGACCCAGAATTGTTGGCAGGCGGTATTTTCATCGCCTCAACCATTTTGGCAGGTGCTAACATGCGTATGCATAGCGCGGTGGCTGTTTGTAAGTGTGTTGCCTTTTGCAACGCAAAGCCAAGGTGTGTTCAACTTGGTGAGCCAGAGCAATGGTTTGAGAAAGAGTGAGAAATTGTGTCCAAATCTGCCTAGCTGCCAGCTAGGCCTATATAGGCTAGCCCAGTGGGCTCCATAAGGGTGTCTGTATGTGCAGCTGTCAGATTGTAATATGGTTGTGTACGACGATAGCAAAGTTCTCAACGCCTCTGCAACTTATTCGATTCATACCATTCATGTGCTGATATTTGAAAAACCGGCGCTAATAGCTTACATTATGTCAACAGCTGCAAGAGCCGCTCTGCAAGTTGCAGCTGTTGACATAATATTTTCTACGCGGCGTAGAAAATGTGCTTGATCAATATCATGAGCCATGCGGCAACGCAGGCACAGCAGTGTGTCAGCGGCAGCAGCCGTCAGATCGCTTTCTTAGCATAGTGCAGCTGCAAATAAGGATAGAAATGAAGCTGCTTTAGCAATGCAATGCTTGCATGCTTGGACAGCCAAATTTAGCTTTCCTGGTCTCTCAAACAGACCCTAAGGCGAACCCCCTCCTTCCAAAGTTCACTGGAAGACAGTTTCGAAGGGGTCCTTGTCTGTCTGCATGCAGAACAGCACGTTATCGTATTTGATGCCGCGACTGCTCAGATCCGCGTGCTAAACAGACGGGTCAAGTGGGATCTTCAACAATTTAGTCCACGTTCAGTGTACGGTCATGTCAGTATTGGTAACAAATTCCTTGTGATATTGATGTGAGAAGCCCTAGGGATGGCCCAGAATGGCGCCGAGAATGGTGGGAGTATTTCTCGGGGAGCGCTCAGGTAGGATCTATCCAGCCATCGAACCTTGTGCAGTGATAGGAATTTTGTTATGGGGAGGGTTCTACAACTATCACGCTGATATCCTTGGATCATGAGGCAACATAATGACATTGAGTTTGGCCCTATCCTCAGCACTTGTGTGCTGGTACAAGGTGTTGTAATAGTCGAAGCCCTGACCAGATGAAGAAAGTCATGCAGTGCTGTCATGTTTAATCCGGCATGCATTGGGTTGATATGGCAAGGGGCGCTTGAGAGACCCGTTCCTGGCCTATCATGCTTTGAAATGCAGAGTATAGCGCACTTGACAAATATTTAGTATAATCTATGTGCAGGTCCCATCTGGCCTTGGAAGATGACGACCCAACTCTGGGCGACAAGTTCAGCACAGCGACCCTGCAGCACGATGCAGGGACGGGCCCCATCCCTTCCACGGTGCATGGTGCCCCCAGCACAGCCGCAGAGAGCAGGGAAGTGCTTGCGCGCCTCAAGCGCATGGCAGGCTTTGAGTCACAAGACTTCGACCCAGCGGTGCCCTCCATGTCCCCCTTCAGACATCATCATGCAAGGCCATTATGTCACCACTGAGGCTTTTTATACATGACATCCCGAATGCTGCAGCAACCCAGCTTCCCATGCATGTACAACAGGTTCCTCGCGTGTGTTGAAACCTTGCACTCTCTGATGTTTGTTCCCATGCAGGAAAATGATGTGGAGAGGGAGTTCCAGATACACAGGACAGAGGAGGACTATGCACTGGCAGAGTTTTGGAAGTGGACGCTGGCCTTCTTGATCGGGGTGACCATGGGCTGCATCGGCTTCATCGTGGACTGGGGGATCGAGACCCTCAATAACTTCAAGTACTACCACACCGTCGGCGTCATCGCCTCCAAAGGTACCTAGAACATACCCCTGCAGTGGTGTCCTTGCAAATCAGACCTCCATGCATCCACTCATTCATTGTCTTGCACCTCTCGTTTTCAGTTCTGCTCGAAGCCCAAGCACCCTTTTTTGCTGGGTGACTCGTGAGCACATGCTCATAAAATGCATTTACTGTGTATATTGCCGTGCGATTCAGAGCCAAAATTCCGGATTGAGAATGAAATGCAAGAGGCTGAACCTCATGTATATGAGCCACGTATCTATGATACGATTGCATTGGCGCAGGAGGATTTGCGGCGCCGTTCTTCATGTACGTGGGGATCAGCCTGATATATGCCAGCGTGGCGGGGGCGCTGGTGTCATTTGTGGAGCCTCTGGCGGCCGGGAGTGGCATCGCCGAGGTCAAGACATATCTCAACGGCATCCACATACGCGGCCTGCTCGCGGTGAGCCACACTTTGGCTCTTCCTAGGAAGATGCCCACATTCCCTGCAGGGCCTCTGAAAGCTGTATCAGTGCATCCGCGGGGGCACGCTCCTCATCGCCTCTGCCAAATATATGTGAAGATGAGTTCATACCTTGTGCGGCCTCTCGCCTTTGTATGATTGGATATATCCGGACGCGCACCACACAGGTTTGAGACATGTCCCATACCCTGCATGACCTCTTAAAAGAAGAAGTAAAGAATCACCCCGCGGAGTATGCTCCTGGAAACACGCTCAAACAGATCAGGTCTTGCTGGAGACGATGCAGCTCTGAAAGGCAGCACATGGGTGCGTTTGCTCCACCGGGACTGCCTGCGCGTGTGTGCAGGGGGCAGCTTCAAGTATGTAACACCGTAGATAATGAATTCAATAAATGGAGAAGGTCTACATGGCAGCTTGCTCCTTGCTGAGGATAGGTAACTGAGGAATTTTGGGCAATGGACAGGTGCGGACACTGGTGGCGAAGTTGATCGGGGTGGTGTTCTCAATTGCGGCCGGGTTGATAGCGGGCAAGGAGGGGCCCTTCGTGCACGGGGGCGGCATCGTCGGCGGCGGCATCGGGTCCCTGGGCTCCCAGTGCGTTCCCTCCACCCTTGTGCTGCTGCTACCCACAGTACCTCCAAACCTTCTTACTCTGCAGCACCAGCGAGTGGTGGACACTGGGGCCGGCGTGCCATTTGTGCATACAATGGGACCACTTGTGGACCGCATATTTTGCTGTCTGTCACCCTTATCCTGCCATTCACAGTAGCTCCGTTCCTTCTTACACTGCAGCACCAGAGAGCGGTGCAGATTGGGGCCTGCCATTTGCACATTCACTTCGACCTTCCATGGACTGGATATTCGCTGTTGCCGCCTGTGAACTGTCTGTGTGTCCATTTCTGCCCAGACGCTTCTATTCGATTTCTGTGTATCGTCATTGGTACATGTGAAAGTCGCCTGCTGAATGCTGGGGCATTCAAGCTTACAGGTTTGTGATGCCATGCGGCGCTGATGTCACGCATGATGATGTCATCGCAGGACGATGACGTCGATGTTCAGGGGGAGGTGGCGGCTGGAGGTGCCGCGCAAGTGGGGCGGCTTCTTCCGCAACGACGCCGAGCACCGCGACTTCACCGCCATCGGCACCGCCGCAGGTCCGCCCCTCGCCCAAGCACTTATTCCTTGCATTACATTGCGCAGACCATGCTAGGCATGCATGCATGCATGTGTTTGCGGGCGCGCCTGGCCTGTTCGGTGGTTCTGTGCTGTACTTATGAATGTCACCAGTGGATGCATCAGCACATTAGCCGCTACCCTATGTACCAAAGGGCCATCAAAGTAATACAGACCGACTGATAACAGCAAAATCCCTGTCCAGACTTTGTGTCGGGCCTCCGTAAAGATTGCAGAGGGGACTGTCAATCAGGGGATCTGTGAAAAGGGTGCATATGTGTCTGGCCAGGTGTGGCGACGGCGTTTGCAGCGCCGATCGGGGGCCTGCTGTTCACCATAGAGGAGGGCGCCTCCTTTTACTCCACGTCCATCTTCTGGCGCGGCTTTGTGTCCACCGGCATCGGCGTCTTCACCCTGCACTTCCTCGTCGAGGCGGCGGTGTGTGCTCTAGTAGACAGTTCTTGAAATACATCCAATGTCGCATTTATCATTTGTTCACCAATGGGGAAAGCAAATCCCATGAAGCCAGCACCACTGCTTGTCTCAGAAACAAAATGTGACCTGCATGCACAAACCTGCAGGTGGTGTCCTGAGACGCTCTATGGATGAGTAGTAGAGGTGCTCTATTATGTCGGAAGAGTCCTGGGATGCAGAGGTGTCACATAAGGACACTTTGCATATGCGGACGGTGGCATCATGCAAAGTGTTCTAGCTGTGACATCTTTGCTAGCATGACGTCTCCGCAGACACCTGCACAAATGCGATAACTATTCATGCAGATTTCATTACGTCTGAACAAGGACAAACCATCAATATCAATCTTGGTCGTGTATGAAGCTGTTTTTGCGTCTCAGAGTTGATACTATCTGTGCAACGAGGCACTGACGCTGTCGCTTGTGGCCTGCACACAGCAACACCCGCAGAACATCCTGAGCGCGCACTTTGGGCGATACCGCGATTTTGGGCTGTACACCGACAGCCTGGCATTCTACGGCTCGCGCATGTTCTACTATGTGTGGGACGTACCCATCTTCTGCCTCATGGGCGCCATGGGGGGCCTCATGGGAGCGCTGTGGGTCCACGTCAATGTCAAAGTCACTGCCTTCCGCCACCGCTGCATCCCTGTCAGGTGCGCCAGCTGCTTGTGCATAATGAACCCAACTAAATATTCAAGGAGTTGCCAATTCTTGGTTCCCAAAAATGTACCTATTGAGGGCATCTGGGTGGCCTCGCATTATTGTGCATCCTCCTTGATGATGATAAGCCCGCATGCTTGCGGGTATTCAGATTCCCCTTTTGTATGTCAATTGTCTCTGCCTTGACTCAAGCCCACAGGTGCCAGGTTGGCAGCGTGATAGTCTGACGGTCATGACATGTCACAAAGCCCAGTGACAGGCACGGATGAGGCGAAAAGTAAATGTGCATGTGTGGTCATGCATCATTTCATCACAGGTCACCATGGAAGCGGCTGGTGGAGGTTGTTGTGCTGGTGCTGGTCACAGCCTCGCTCTGGTTCACCGTCGCCTACATGTCACCCTGCAGAGCGCTGCCGGGCAAGGCAAGCACCTCCCCACCTGCTTCTGCCAGTCACTCTGTCCATTTGATGTGTTTCCTGCTTGCGTTTCCAACCACATGTGCATGTAATTGCTTGCGGGACAATTTTTCATTCCATGCGTGCCTTGATGGGTCAACCAAAGAGCACACCATGGGAACCACTGTGTGCATTCTATCTGGGGCAATGGCGCAAGAAAATATTTCAAGAAAGTGGTTCTGTGATGCAGGAGGATTTGAAGTACTTTGAGGCGAGCGAGGATGCGGATGAGGAGTTCTATGCCGGAGGAGGCCAGTTCAGGCGGCACGGCCTGGAGCACTTCCCGCAGCTGTGGTGCGAGAATGGCACCTACAGCGTCTATGGCCAGGCACGCCCACCTCAAAACACCCTTGGATATTGTCAGGGACATGATCAATCCACTATTGCCTCCCTGAGCAGCATGTTCTTGCTGTTGCCACTCATGCATGCAAAGAGTTTCGGACCTTGTTGCATCAGAGCTGTTCTATGTCCTTTGGCCCTTGTGTCGCATTTCATGCATGATAATGAGGCTCAGATATTGCAGTGTAGAATCCCCACCGCTGCAAGAGGTTGCAGACAGAGTTACAGCTCTCTTGTTCACAAGCACCTGAACAGTTTTACGTATCTGGTGCAGAGCTGTGTGAACAGTAAACTGGGTGTCGCACGCATTGGGGGTTACCTCAGAGTCTAGCTGAAATCTAAGTGAAACCTATTGCTTTAAAACAAGTACTTAATAACTGCACCTGTCCTGCAGGTGTTCTTCACGCCGCTGAGCCAGGCGCTGCGGCTGATGATCCATCTGGGGGAGCCACTGCCGGAGGCGCGCCTGAACGAGTTCCACTTCGACTTCAGCGTTCTGGGGCTCTTCTTCGTGCTGCCCTACGCGCTCATGATGTGGACCAACGGCGTCGGCGCATCCACCGGCATGTTTGTGCCCGCGCTCGCCGTCGGAGCCACAGGTTCCTCCTAACCAACTTCGCCCTGAACCTGCAAGCTCGCTGGATGCGCAAGAGCCTTGACCTGCAGGGTTGCCTCCTCATTGGCACGTGCTACCCACAAGGCTCAGCTGCCCTCTGTAGGCGCGTTTTCGCTGATGCGTGAAATTCTCTCTTACCGTCCCTTCGACGGGAGCCAGGGGCCGCACAATTGAAGTTGTCACGCATGCGTGTACCAATACTAACTAGGCCAGCTTCTGCAGAGCTTGCACATGCGCTCTCTGCGTGATGCCAGCTGCCAGAGCACTGTGGTGCGGCGTGCTTATGATGGTGCCGGGTGTGCAGGCGGGCGGCTCATGGGTCAGGTGGTGAGGGCGATGGTGCAGTGGGCAGGCGTCTCCCTGCCGGTGTCCCTCACCTCATACAGCGTGGTGCGCTGCCTGCTCTAAATTCCAACGCCCACTGCAGTTTGTCCTTGCTCAACCTTCTTGCACCTGCACTTCCTGCAGCCTGCACTCGCTGCAGTCCAGCGAGCCATCCTCAGTCAGCCGCATGCCGATGTCAAGTGTCATGCACCAGAATTATTTGTACCTGGAGGCTGATCAGTTTTGCTGTACTGCCAGTCGTGTCATTCCAATGGCACTGGGTCAGCGATCAGTAATTGATTGACATGCGGTTAGCAGATTGGAGCAGCGGCGTTCATGGCGGGAGCCACGCGCATGACGCTGACGACTACAGTGATGGTGATGGAGACAACGGGCGCCATGCAGCTGATTGTGCCCCTCATGATCACCGTCTTTGTTGCCAAGGTGCGGCTGCCACACGTTCCACTCTTGAACGCTTTCACTCCTTGCTTGTACATCTCTATGCAGATCCAAGCTTTTCGGGCAGGGCCCTGCACTGCATTCAGTCTAGTCCTAGCGGTCTTGAAGGAAGGCCTTGTCCGACTGATCAGGCAGAGAGAGCCCCATGTCAGGCTCTGTCGAAGGCATCGAATGCGCTCCCTGGGTCGTGATGTGGAAAGTCACTTTCAAAGTGCCAGATTTTTTTGTTACCACTCTTTCCTTGGATGCAGGTGGTGGGGGACCAATTTGGAATGGGCATGGATGACACGCACATGAAGATCCGGGGGGCGCCCGTGCTGGACGAGCCCGCGCTGTCACCCCACCAGAAGATGATTGCCGACAAACTCGCCGTGTCCGAGCTCATGTCCATGGCCGTCGTGGCCCTGCCGCCCGTCGTCAAGGTAACCTCATTCATCCATCATGTACTGTGAAGAAGGTCCTGTGTGAAACATACCTTCTCTTTATTTTCTTCTGCAGGTGCAGCATAGCTGGTGAAAAGCAGGGGCTGCCTCGGAGAAGCACCATTGCATTGAAAGGAAATTTTATTGGTTTCTTGCACAGGGAATCAAACACATACAGCTCATGCTGTGTAGTGCCAGCTTTCCCACGAGCACACTTGAGAAGCCATCAGCCTCAGAAGGAACAATTGTTATCATGCATGGACAAGAAGCTCACAGCTCAAGGTTTGCTTGCGCTCTATACCGCCCATGTCAGTTTAACGTCGTGCTTACATAATGCTGACGCATACCGGCGGCACATGCGCGCAGGTGCGGCAGGTGGTGGAGACGCTGCGCTGCTGCTCGCACCAGGCCTTCCCGGTGACGCCCGACGTAAAGAAGGCGTTCGACTCCGCGGAGCCCTTTGAGCTGCACGGCCTCATCCTGCGCCACACCGTGCTGCACCTGCTGCAGCATCGCATCGGCTTTGTGGACCCCGCGCATGCCGACATCCCCCCGCCGCGCTCCCACATCCCCTCCACCCAGGCGGTGCGGCCCTGCGCAGAGACCTGCCTGATATCGCCCCATGACTTGCATGACACGCACACATTACATCCCCCCGCCCCGCTCCCACATCCCCTCCACACAGGCGGTGCGGCCCTGCCTTGATCTTCATGCCTCACTCCACAGCCATACTCTGGTTCCGAAGCGGTCTGCTTTGGGCCAGAAGGCATGGTATGCCTGCTTCTCAGGCAACTGTAAGCATATCTGGGTCTCCGCTCCTATGCAAGCCAGAGCATTGTGGAACGGAATTTGCTGGCAATCCATCACAGACGTCACTTGGAGGGCTGGCCCCGAAGTAAACAGCCTGAGCAACTGTTCAAGTGATTCGTGCATGTTGCATGCGTGCTGGCTCTTCTATTGTAGCGCTGCCAGCACAGGCTTCCTGCTCCGCGAGTCTGGGTGAGATTGTTCTCGCTGAGACACAGCCATGACTAGGGTGAGTGGTGCCAAACACTGCAGGCGCGGCTGAAGCTGTTGGAGAAGCTGGAGCAGCGGCCGCTGAAGCTGCGACCCAAGGACGACCAGGAGCCGATAATCCGCGGCCTGTCCCCCGCGCAGCTGGAGCAGATGGTGGACCTGCGGCCCTTCATGCAGCGCAACCCCTTTGTCGTCCATGCCGACGCATCCCTCTCGCGCGCCTACCGCCTCTTCCGCACCATGGGCCTGCGCCACTTGTTCGTCGCGCCCCCCGCGCCCAAGGCACGCCCTCTTATCTGCTGTTTTGTCTTGATACTTTGTGGCCCATCATTTGAGAACTCTGAATGGGCATAGAACGTGTGTCCCTACTCCTTGAGGCTCCAAGTTTAGTATGTTCCTTCTTGAAGAGTCATGCAAGGTGCAAGTGATGGTGTTCCCGGCCCATTCAGGGAGCTTGCATGTTGCGTCCCAGAATGTCTGGCTTGCACTGGATGATTAGGAAATGTTTACAACTACATAGAGACAAAAAATGCGGGCTTCACGCGTCGCGGTGATTGTGCAGGTGATGGGTGTCATCACGAGGAAGGACATCGCAGAAGCCAACGCGAAGCTGGCACTGGGCCGCAAAGCCAACCTGGGGCTGACAACCCCCTCGGACCGCCTCGTGCGCCACGGCTCCCTCCCCTTCATCCCCTACGGCGCCTACGACCCCACCGTCGGTTACTCATCATCCAGGTGACTCATCACAGTCGCTCTGCCTCAGCAAGGCACAATTCTGTGCTCAGTACTCGCATGACTGTACTTCATGGGTCTGCAAGTTCTATGGCTCTGCCAACGGGATGGCAACCCCCTGATCCCCAGCTTCTGGGAATGGCTTCACATTCCCAGAAGGCCATACTGGTCGATTCAATACTGTTCTGCCCAAAGTACTGTCCTGTTTAGAGGAGACAGTGCTGCATGTTCTGTGCGGGATATTGTCGGGTTAAGATAATGCAGTGCCGCGTGTCCTGCTAGTCCCAGTCCTTCGGCCCCATTCCCGGGCGCAGCAGCGAGTCCCCCCCGAAGTTTCCCCCAAGCAGGCAGGTTTCCCCGCTGCGCAGGCTGCGCACGGTGTCAGAGGACGGCTCCGAGGGGGGGACCACCCCCCTCACAGTGGCGCTGTCGGACCGGCCGTCGCCCGAGCGGCCGGGGCCGGGCTTCGAGCACGACCTTAGCCGGCGCGCGGGGGCGCGGCGTCCGCCACCGGGGGGTCCCTCGGCCGCTGCGGGGGGCGACTCCCCCGCCAGCGCGCGCGGCGAGAGCGAGATGGCGCGCCTGTTCCGGGGGCCTCCCTCCAGCTGATCCCGATCCCCCCAAGTCCCCTCCCCCAATGTGAGGCCCGAGGCCCCCCCGATCCCGTCCCTCTGTCTGTCCCATGCTCTCTGTCAGATGCAACGGCGTAACTCGTGTCCTGGTCGTTGGCCGTTCTGGAGCAGTTTTGTTCCCTGGCGGTTCTATAAAATCCGACAATGGTGAAGTACTTTGCTGCTATCAGCGGGGCCTGAGCCCAGAGTGGTGGCTGTTGTGCTGGTAAGCAAAGAGGGGTTGAAAACCAGCTGATGATGGATTGCTGAGTATTGTTTCAGGATACGAGAGGCAGTTTTGGAGGAGGGTGACGGGAGCGGTGAGGAGAGCAGTGAGTCACGGCCCTTCTTGGAGCCCCTGGTGATGTCCAGCGAGCACAGAGACTGGCAGAACGGCTTGCCGGGGCCCAACGGGGAGCGCGACTCGCGGAGAAGAGGGAACATATCTCGTGGGGAGACAGAGATGGCCCCTCTCCTGAAGTAACTTCACCTGTTCAGATGCTCTTCCAACCCTGCTTTGTTTTCGTTTGAACTAGTCGGACCAAGGATCCTGTCTGTTTCAGCGATCAAGTAGGGCTGCTGGCCAGTGCACAAGTAGATGAGCTTTCGAAGCAATGGCTGCGGCAATCAAGAACCTGATGATGTGCATCAAACACCCGGATGCAAGGATCCTGACACACTAGGATGTAGCATGGCTCTGCCTGTAATGTATGTCAGAACTCGACAATCGGATTGTGGAAGGAGGATTGCAATTGGGCCCTGGATAGAAATACAGTGGACACCCATTGACAGGGACATGCAGAAGGCCTAGGGCATCCCTGCTTTTCAACATCATTTGAATATGAAAAGGAGCGTCCCGCGTTTGTAAGTTTAGCAAGATGAAGAATTAGCAATGCAAGCTGTATCATGCATCAGGTACATGATGTCCCTTCAGGCTTCACCATTTTCCCCCTGCAGCACTGCACCTTAGGGGCAGTAAGCTATCAAAAAAAATGCAGCGAGGGGAAGCGTTTGTTTGCAGCCCACAGAGCCACGCAGTAATGTCTTGAAAGCTTTACACAGACACTGCGCTTAGCAATACTTGCAAGTAGCAAGCCATGCCCAACTGCTCAATTCGAAAGGAGTCCTGAAACGCTTTCTTGCACCTATCAAGTTGGCATGGGCATTAGGAATAAAAACACACGCAGTGCTGCTGCGTGGCTGACTATCTTGCTTGGTGGAGAACAGACAGTCTTGACAACTGAGGCTCAAACTGCCCTGTGGCGCGTCTTTATCCGTCACAGCTGCCAGCCTCTCCGCTGAAGGCCCTCTCATCTCAAGCGGCGGGCCTCGCGCTCTGACTCCAGGAGTGTCAAGATGTCACCTGGCAAGCGCACAGTCCAAGTCTTAATACAGCTTCTCCCCAGGATTGTATCACACCGCTCCAATGAGCGACTGCTGAAGGATGACATATTCCGACACAGTGGTGTCTTTGTCTTGCTCCTGTAACCATTATTACAGCTCAGAACATGAAGAGCACAGCAGTGCAAGTATGACAGGGCTGTTAACAGATGTGCTCACCCTCACGCACGGGTCCCTTCACGTTCCTCATGATGAGGCGGTTCTGGTCGTCCAGAAACTTCACCCTGACTTGTGTGACCTGCAGGACAACAAAAAGATAAAGGACACGAAAATGTCCACCACAGTGGTGTTGAAATACAGTGCATCACTCCTTAATATGCAGCTCTACTTGAATGGAGTGGTGGCTGTGAGCCTGAAGAGCATCAGTAGAGCATCTGCAAACAGTCTCTGCTCTACAATTTGCAAAAACCAACCTGTCCACGAGATCCTGTGCGTCCGATGACCTTCATCACGATGGCGAGCTTCACAGGCTGATCCTGTAAAACAAAACACGGCACACAAGTTACAAATTGGCTGCGAAGCTCTGCCTTCAGTCTGAGCCTGAGCATGGGGCACACAAGCTGCTGATAGGGCCTTTCTAGTCCACTTCAGATGGAAGCTTTTAGAAGACTCCCACGCAGTATAGATTCCTTTGCCATCAATCAATAAGTTTGCTATAATCTGCACAGCAACTTCTTGCGCCGTGACTTCGGCCTGTCAGGATCTTTGCAGCCTCACCATGATGGCAGCCTACGAATAACGCTCCCCCTTTGTAAAAGCTCCGGCGATCTATTGCCCAGCGCTGTTTGCCAGTACTTCTTGGAAACATTGTGAAATCCAGGCGGCTGCGTGCCTCGGCTTCGCCTTGCGTTGCGCGACTCTATAGATCTGCAATAGGATTACTCAGCGACAGGTCATCGTCATCTTGCTGGGCTTGAGGCAAAGTTTCTGCACAGCAGATGCGTTGGCGACTCCGCTGTATCTACATCACCTAGAACAGAGCCATCTTTGCATCTTTAAGTCCGACAACGGTTGCCCTTAAGCTGTTATAATCAAGAATCCAGTATGTTGACGGCTGCAGCTTGCGTTGAGTGCAGCACGAGCGCGCCTGCAGCAATGTTGACAAACAAAAAGAACGTTAAATTGTCTGGATCCCGATCTGTGCATTTACCAAAGCGATTTCCGTCCATCAGGTGAGCCCTTCCTTCCGAGCTGTTTCTGAAGTATAGTTTCGTCTAAAAGCAGCAAATTGTCACAGCAAGCTTTAGAAAACATTGCAATGCTCAAAGTTTAGCAAGGTGCGTCCTGAAATAAGATCCCTACCTGGCTTGCAGGTTCCAGCAAGGTGCCAGCTGCAGGACTGCATCAGCAGCTGTCTTATGCAGAGCAGGAGGAAGCCTGCAGAGACAACGGGAAAAGGCGTGGCAACGAGTGACATGCACGTATCCTGAACCTGAGACGGAGAAGGAGCGATCCTCTGTGGACTTCCCTCAGGCACATTTCTCCTCCCACTTAGAACTTATCTCAAGGCTCTCAAGGAATCCGCTTACACAGCTTCTCAAAGCTAATTCTAGACACCAAGGGATACCGCTCTCATCAATTTACTTGCAGCATGATCAATAAGCCAAGTTCAGACCTCATAACAGGCTTTATGACAAGGACAAAGCATGTGTAGCACAGCCAATAGGAATCCTGAGTGAAGTGGTGGTTGGCTACCCTGGAGCCCAGCTTTTATTGGGTATGGGGGGGCAGGCCCCTCAACCACCACTCAGTAACCTGTTACAAGCCCTTCAATACCAATAAGCTTTTCCAAGTGCTATACAAGTTCAATCCAACGGTCCAGCTTGGATCTTGCGAGTCCATCAAGGGGTAGGATTCTGGCAGCCTTTAATGCAGCTTGTCTGCAGACGCACCTTGCTTCTGGCAGGAAAAGCGTGTAATAATAATAAAAGTCCAACCGGCTCACTTAGTTACTATGGCTGTCTTCTAATCGCCTCACTGCTCAAATTGTTGTGGCATGCAAGACCATGTGCATGCTGCCTGACAGGCACATAAGTTTAGAGCACAGGGAAATGATGTAAGCTGCCAATCTGCAGGAGTGGATGACGCCGCAGCCGAGCAGGAGGCCAGACCCGATGCCAGAGTTTGAGAAGCTGGAGACGCCGCTGCCCAAGAAGCTGCCGGGGGACCCAGAGATCCCAGACGAGGAGGAGGAAGAGGAGGAGGAAAAGAAGAAGAAGGACCCCGAAAAGGACGACCCTGAAAAGGAAAAGCCAGACGCACCCCCGGGCGAGGAGTAAGCTTGAGATGCAGTGCCAGTGTACACATCAGCAAATGAAACATTGTGCATGCCTCAGGCCTTAAGAATGCAGATGATGTAGACCCATACAGACTGACTGATTGACAAACATCTGCTTGGCGCTTCAAGCAGTTTGAGCAAAGTTTGATCTGCCAAGGGCATTTGTTTGTGCGTTGATGCGGCAGGACCATATGCAATTTCTGTTCAGATTTATCCCTTGGTAGCATGGATGAGTAGGTTAATGTGGAAGGTGCTCTGTGGGCAGCAAAGCACAAGCATCTGCAGCATGCATACATAGGGAAGTGCTGTTTGCTTATTACAGCCACCATTTTCTTGTGCTTTAAGCAAGGCACATTACTAAAAACATATATCAGCTGCAGAATTCATGATCATTTTCTTAGAGAATCAAATCAATTTCTGGTTCCTTGAGTTCCATACTTGTGAGTTGTTCCTAACTCACAATTATGCCTGTCACACACTACTGCATTCACTCCTACGCTACTGACTGAGGGACACTGATCAGAAGTTAGGGGTGTAATACATGTATCAGCAGCAGTGCTCCCGCATCACAGCCTGCCTCCCACACGCTCCTGGTCAAAGTCCCAAGTGCCATTTGGTAAAGAGCAGAAACACCTACTCTTCACCAAAGCTGTGACTGTGCTGTTTCAGTACACGAGCGATGTTCCCCTAAAAATTTAGCACATGCCAAATTATACCTCTCCCAAAGCGGTGTGCTCCGCCTGTCTAAACAAGACCCACAGTAGATGCTGCCCCAGTGCCTCCCCACACCAAAATTTTAGAGTAGAGCCATCTGACCGCAGTCAAACACAGCGCTGTAGGCAGCAGTCGAGCCGAAACATGCAAGACAGCTTCATACACATCCTGCATCGTGCATGACTCTGCCCTCTGCACATTGCAGTACATTCAGGCAGCACGGGTTGGACTGTCGCGCAAGATGGGGCTGATCACTCCCCGTAGCAATCAACTAACCTCAACGCCAGATCAGACCGCAACTGATGACTGCTGGTCACTAATCCTGCCGCCAGATGGGGCGGGGCAATGACTCATGCCTCATCCCACTGCGGCAACATTCCGCGGGTATAGACTTGTGGTCAAGCAATCCCACGCCAGATCAGGAGGACCAATGAGTCGCGGTCACGTAACCCACGGCGCCAGATCAGGCGGTGGTGACCTGGTGCAGGGCCTGGGCGAGGCGGTCGACGTTCTTGGTGGTGACGCCGGCCATCGAGATGCGGCCGTTGCGCGTCATGAATATCGCATGCTCCGCCGCCAGCCGGTCCACCTGCAGCATCCGCATTAGCAATTCACTTAGCATACAACGTACAGTAGTCATTTGCAGAACAGCATCTTGGGGTTTCTGACATGCCTGATCACCATCCTCTTAGCATGTGCAACATGATCTGGCAACCTACATGTACGCCTCCCAGGCACCTTAAAAGTATCAAGCAATAGCAACAACCCATTCCAGAGATGGGAGAACAGCTAAGTGGATGTGTTATATATTGGGGCACGCCGGGGCACGCTGGGAGTGGCAGGTGCGCTGCACTGGCCATGAGAGCCATCAGCACAGAAGGCGATGTCATGTGCACCCTATGAGTAATGGTAAGAGTCAAGCCCACCTGCTCTGGGGAGATGCCGGAGAAGCAGAACATGCCGATCTGCTCGGTGACGTGGTTCCAGGGCAGCGGGTTGCCCAGGTCCTCCAGGTTCTTGCGCAGCAGCGCCCGCATCGTTATTATGCGGTCTGCCATGCCCTTCACCTCATCGTACCACCTGCAAACGCCGCACACATCACAATTGGAGGTGTCTTGTGTGTTGCACGCATTGTTTACCCATCGCAGTGCAGCCAATTCTACTTAATCCGGCGCTCGCTCTGTCGTTGGTGTCTGCACCTCTCTTTCTCTGTATTGGCGTGTTGCACGCATTGCAAGCAGAGCATGCACGGGACAGGGGAAGGCATTCCCATCAATAGAATTTTCAAACTATTACAATGACGGTCGTGGACATGTGAATAGAGTTACAAAGGGCCCAGGAACTCACTGCTGCTTGAGGGCGGCGTCTCCCAGGATCTCCTTGACCAGCAGCGCACCGTGCAGGGGTGGGTTAGAGTACATCGGCCGCGCAATCGCCTGCAGCCATAAAAAAAAACCTTTATAGTCATTGCTCCTGACATGTTCCAGTCCAGTGCAGCATCGCGCGGCATTTGTTGCACCTGCAGCTTGCCGCTGTAGCTTGCAAGCTGTAGGCAGGAGCCCTAGGACCAGCAATGATTCTGACAGTACAGAACATTGTCAACATACCTCACACCTCACACGCGCCGGGAGCACGAGAAAATGAACGCGCATGAGACAGAGGGCATTGCACGGAGGGTGATGCATGGTGCATGTTGCAGTGCAGCAAGGTGGGGTGCAGGGGCGTACCTTCATCTGGGACTCGACAGAGGCGGTCTCCTGGGGACTAGCGGTGATGAGGGAAAAGCAGCCGGTCCTCTGCCCGTACAGGCCCATGTTCTTGGCGTACGACTGGGAGCAGCCCAGCTGGTGGCCGTCCGCCAAAAAGGTGCGGATCGCCTGAGCGTCGCGCGTGCAGTCACCGCTGGCAAAGCCCTGCGACAAGATAATTTTAAAAATAAACTTTGAATTTGAAAATTTACATCCCTTAGGATTTTCAAATGCTCGTGACCAGTGCAGCTGCGCTCGGCATTGGGACATCCATGTGTACATTGTGCACAATGTTGGTACCTGGACCTTCTGGCAGGAAGCCCAAACATTTTAGGTTGAACAGGGGCTGCTCACCTGGTAGGCCATGTCGAAGAAGGGGAACAGCTTCTTCTCTTTCATGAGCTTTGAGATCTCCTGCCACTGGTCCACCGTGGGGTCCACACCTGCACGCATTATTGAGGCAGCCCTCTCAGGCAGCGCCTCCCACCTAACCCGCCACACAAATTGCCAACACACCCACCAAAATTTGGATTCAAATTCGAATATGAAGCGCACCTGTGGGGTTGTGTGCGCAGGCATGCAGCAGGACCACATCCCCTGGCTGCGCAGTGCTCAGGTCCTCCAAGAGGCCCTCCTGGTCCAGGCCCCTGGTCTCGGGCTTGTAGTACTTGTAGATGGCCTCCTTCACGCCAGCATCCTTCCAGATGCTGCAGCACCAAACATCTACTGATCAGCTGAAGCAGGGGAAGGGACAATTTCAAGCACGCATCTCAGCACGCATTGGCAGCAAGAGCATGCTTGCGGCTTCACACGTTGCTGCTTTCATCAGCACATCACGACGTGCATGTGCATTGCTTTTTGGCCTCAGCAGCCGAGCAAGCATATTCTGCATGCGGGAGCAAGTTGCTGCTGGCAACTCACTTGTGGTGGTTACTCCAGGTGGGCTTGGGGATCCATATTTTGGCGCCGGGCATGTAGCGTGCCATGAACTCCGCCATCAGCCTACACGAACCTACGCAGTTGACACATGGCAATCCATTTGTAACCACCCAGAAATGATGCCCAACGCACCAACTGAAAGGCATCTCCACAGCAATATCAACATTTCAGATTTTCTCAATTGCACAAATTGTCCGCTCGATAGAGTCAAAGACAATAGAGTGAGGGAGCTCACCAGTGCCAGAGAGCGACTGCACAGCAGCCACTCGGCCCTCCTTGATGCAGTCTGCATCCTCTCCAAAGGCCAGCTTGATTGACAGGTCATTAAAGGCCTTGAGGCCTCCGATTGGCAGGTACTCCATGAAAAGGGAGCCTGCAATGCGCGCCTCAGCCTCTCGCACAACGTTCAGCACCACTGGCTTGCTGTCATCGTCACGGTATGCTCCCTGCACCCAATACAGAAGAATGAATTTCTTGCAGCATCAACAGCCCTCATCAGCTTGCTGGCATCCTGAATTTCAGGGAAAGATCAAATGCGCCAAATGCGGGTTCATATTTATATTCCTGGAATTCCAGCTCTCTATGGGGGATCAGCGCACCACTCCAAGGTTGATCTTGTCGGGGCGTGTATTGGCCAAAAATGCCTCGGTGATGCCGAGGATAGGATCCTGTAGAACCAGTAATTCATTCAGAATATTGTTACCACTTGGGCTTCATTGATGAAACAAGAAAATGACTCCAATTCCCTCAGATACTTTTATAGATCGATGCAGCGAAATGCATTGAAGAAACACACCAGAGCTGCAGAATCTTTCGAAGAACAAAATCAAATATAGTCAGTCTCACCTTGGGAGCTGTAGGCACGTCTGCAAACCAGGAGAGGCTTTGGCTGGCCGCCGACGTGGTGATGGCAGCTGCATGCACGCCGGACTTATGTGTGCCTGCCTGCCGAAGCAGGGATGCAACACCAGAACGCAGCATCAGACAAGATTTTGCCCACAGAATTCTAGATATTTGGTGGAAGGAATGAAAGATATTGAAGCGTCTGCTTGTCCAGTCCCGTGACTCCGCGGCACGCCGTCCCATTGCTGAGCTGGCACCTTCCTCAAGCTTGGCAGCTTCCGCTTGGCCTTCCTCACGTAATTCATTCGAATGCAAATTTCTTTCCTTTGCTTAGAAGAACATTGAGCCATCTAGGAGCTTTGATGTTGCAGAGAATTCTCTTTCAATACTGCTCTGCTAAGCAAACAACATAAATCGACAAAGAACGGCGATTGAGCTGCGTCATGGGTTCCCCAACATTCTGGATCGCTCCTACTCTGGGTTGCATACTAGGCGTGTGCAGGCACTTTATAACAGTTGGAGCGGTTCTGGCCGTGCGAAATAAGCGAGAGTTTGGCATACGAATCGATTTGAATATCCAGAATATTTCCAAAGCACTGTCTGCAAGGTCACCCAAGGTTTTACAATGCTTGCTTGTATGCAGGATCTGAATCCAATGCCATTTGCAGCTACAATTCTGAATTGCTGTGGCTGGATTGTCTGGACCGTACTGGTGCAGAAGTGGTATGTCTTCTGCACGGATGCCCCAGGCTTGCTGTGTAGTATTTGGATGACATTCTCTCTGTATCCATATGCGTCTGGAAAGGTAAGCCTGTCGCTAATTCCTTCCTTCAGAACTTCAACATGATGGATGCCCTTTGTCGCCGAATTGCAGTGGATTCCTCGCGAACGACCAACATAATGCGCATGCAGGTGCAAAACCAGCTAAATGCCTTTTTTGTACTGACAGCGGCGCTGTGGTGTATTTTAGCGCTTGTCACAATGATTTTGCATCAGTACTCAACGCAGGACGCAGTGATAAATCTCTGGTATGTGATCATCGCAGCTGATCAAGACGTTTACCCCTCATGGACACCTGGTTCAGCTTGCAAAACCGGTTGCTCGGCAGAGCTCTGTGACAAAATTTGCCTTTTGCAGGGGCTGGGCAGTCAGTATGACGCAAGTGTTGCTGATGGCATCACCCCTGTCTGGGCTGCTGATGGCCATAAAGCAGCGCAGCTCTGCTAACTTCCACCTGGGCGTGTGCTCACTGGGCTTAGTGAGCAGCGCTCTGTGGACTATCTATGCAGTGGTAAGACAATCTATCTAGCAGTCTCATGTGGCTTGGTCTCTGTCAGCCTGGCATCTCTGTGCACTCACTGTGCCCCACATCCACTGGGTCTGGCAGTTGAGTACTGTGTCAGCGCGCCATGAATGCTCTCTGCTGCTGTGCAGACGGACAGGAATCTCTTTATAGGCATCCCAAACTTCTTGGGAGGGCTTCTCTCCTGTGCCTCGTTGCTGGTTTGTTTTGTATTTCCAAGGTGAGATGCCACCCCATTCTGTTGTCCCAAACAGCTGGGCTGAGCCTACTGAGGAAGCGTGTCACTTTCCAGTGAGATTGAGCATGGATGAAAATGGGGACCGTCCATGTGCAGAACCAGGCCCCAGACGCCAGCACAGCCAGATCAGCCTCGTGCGCGCACAGCAGCTGTAGAGCTGGGTTGAGCGTAGCGCTGCATGGCAGCTGCCCTCCTCGTCCATTTATTGTTAAGAGGAAAAATAATTGGACTCTTATATATCTGGTGGCAACAATGGTCAATGCATGGGACTTCCTGCCAACCAGTCTGCACGGGTGCTTCTAAACGACAGCATGCACCGCAAAGACTCGGAGTATTTTTGCAATTGCTCTTAATATATGTACCCGATATACCCGGTAACTCCGGGGCCGGCCAGTGAACTGTGGACCCAGGCAATGCCTGTGTTTCAGGCATTTCTTGCAGCCACCACTAGATTGATCTTGGATGTAGGTCAGACCTTGAATGCCAATGTTAAGATATATCTGAGCAGCCTTGGCATCACTGACGTGTTTTGACAAACTCATTGCTGGGGGCCCTCAATTTTCAAGATCTCCATTGTTAAGTGATGTCACCGTCAACAGTAGCAACTCAAAGTTGCCCAGTTTTGCAGAGAAGCTGAAACAGCTAAGTCCTGGAATAATCAGTTTCTCTGCAAATTCACCTTAAAGGCCATGCATGTCCTGCTTTCGCGTTTCCAAGCTCTACTGAAAGTACCTGCTTCCACCAGCTTCCGGCTTCCGGAGGCTGCCTGACTTTCTTTCGGAATTCCTCCAACAGATCCTAAGAGGTGTATATAGCACCTCAAGAAAAATCTTCACATCCTCCTTGTTTTGTTATTTGCACCAGTGAAACCTTTGTTAACAAAATATCAACAAGCATGGGACCCGCAACAGCCTGGATCGCCCCCACGTTAGGGTGTGTGCTTGGCATCTGCAGGCATTTCATTGCGACGCGAGAAGTCCTGGCTGTTAGAAATAAGCGAGAGCTCGGGGTGGGCCCCATGTGCATTCCTGCAAACCCGACAAGGCCCCAATCCTGAGTCAACTGGTTCACAGCAGATGTACTTGCTTGCAGGATCTCAACCCACTGCCATTCGCTGCAACTATTCTAAATTGCTCGGGATGGATTGTTTACACTGTATTAGTACGGAATTGGTACATTTTCTGCACGGACTGCCCAGGACTACTATGCAGCATCTGGATGACGTTCTCTCTGTACCCATATGCCAGTCACAGGGCAAGCCTCACGCAACGCTCATTCCACTAATTGTGATGGCGTTCTCAATTTCATGCTGTAATGTACTTACTTTTATCAAGCTGGTGGAGATTCGGGATTGTGGGTGCTGTGCAGGTGCAGAATCAGCTGAATGCCTTCATCATTTTGACAGCAGCGCTGTGGTGCATGCTTGCTGTAGCAACAATGATATTGCAGCAATACTCCACCCAGCAAGCAGTGATCAGCCTTTGGTAGGGTTGTGTTTGTTACTGTACACTAGAATATCCGGACGACCACGCAAGCTGATCTGAGATCTCTAGAAAGCCACAGCGTTATATTTTTTTGTATGTTTCAGGGGTTGGGCAGTGAGTATAACCCAGGTCCTCTTGATGGCATCGCCGCTGTCTGGCCTGCTGAATGCTTGGAAGCAGCGCAGCTCTGCAAACTTCCATTTGGGCGTGTGCTTGATGGGCCTGATCAGTAGCTGTATGTGGGCTATATATGCAGTGGTGAGCTCACTGAACTTCACTTCCTGTCATGATCACATCTCTGTCTGCATGCAAGTATTATTGTTATTATTATTATTATTATTATTATTATTATTATTATTATTATTATTATTATTATTATTATTATTATTATTATTATTATTATTATTATTATTATTATTATTATTATTATTATTATTATTACACGCTTTTCCTGCCAGAAGCAAGGTGCGTCTGCAGAGAAGCTGCAGTAAAGGCTGCCAAAATCCTACCCCTTGATGGACTCGCCAGATCCAAGCAAGACCCAAACAACCGTGGGCACGGTGCTCAGTATTTATATCGCCCCCCGCCAGCCGGGGCCAAGGGCATGCAAGTCTGCTTATGGTTATTTCTGATGTATTGATCATTATGGTGTTTTTGCATGGTGCAGACCGACAAAAACTTGTTTCTAGCTATCCCAAGCTTCTTGGGAGGGCTGTTGTCTTGTGCTTCATTGCTGGTGTGTTTTGTCTTCCCGAGGTGAGGGCCCTTCTGATTACACACACGTTAACCTTGTGGCTGATCCATGACATGGAGTGGTTGCCTCTATATTGCTTGGTGTTCTTTGAAGGCCCCAAAAAATTGCCCACCCGTGGTGCTTGATTGTGCATCCACAGGACCATACCCCCAAGGCCAACACAGCAGCTTCAGGAGCAGACACGCACAGCAGAGAACGCAATTGAGATGGGATGAGGCATCAGCAGGAACCACGATGTTGCAATTCCATTCGGGCCACAACTTGCTGCAAGCGTGTACCCCTCACGAAGCAGAAAAAAATGCACTGCTGAAGCTGTACCAAAGTGATCGTGGTCAACAAATTGTCAGGTCAGTTTTGCACAGTAAAATTTACTGAGTACTGAGTAAAGTGTGTTGGATGCTCAATGGCGAGCAAACTGCCACTGTGTTCCTTGGCAGGTTGAGTTGTATGCATATCTATTAAGATACGGGCATTCTTTCGGTGCATGGGCTGTCTTCCCACCAAAGTGCTGCTTCTGGATTGCTACCAACGATGTGAACAATTTGCAACTGCCCTATAAAAATCCGCGGATCCCTGCTGGTGTTTCCCAAGAAAAATAGATGCCGCCCAGATTCTGTGAATCACCCCACTTGCTTAGAAATTCTAGTCCAGAGTGCTGCTCATCGCCCTTGAAATTTGGGCGGTCGTTTCTCTGCAAAGGCTTGCAGCGCCTCGATTCTGTCCTCTGTGTTGAACAGCTGCGCATAGTAAGCGCGCTCAAATGCCATCCCCTTGGAAAACGGCACCTCGAAACCGTCATCCACCGCTGCCTTCGCTGCTGCCAGGGCCAGTGGCGCCTTCTGCAAGCTCTGCTCCAGGATCTCCAGTGCAGCCTGAGACAACTCAGCATGACTTGACCCACAGAAGTGCTTTTGAAGCAAGTCGATCAAGCCATTGAGAAGACAAATGAAGGGACAGTGGGAATTATTGAGTGGGAAGGCAGCAAATTCGTTTGGAGCGCTGATAAGGTAAGAATTTGAGGCATGAGGCAACTTGTTGAGCTGGAAGGCAGCACATTCATATAGTACCTCTTCAGGGTCATCAGACAGAATGTCAGCAAGGCCCCAATCCACAGCTTCTTCCCCAGTCAGCCGTCTGCCAGTGAACAGCAGCAGCTTGGTTCTGGGTGGCCCAATCAATCGCAGCGTCCTCTGTGTGCCTGCAAGCATGCTCCGCACTCCCAGACTGCCCCTCTGTTACCAGCACATGCCTTCTTACATCAGCAGAGGAACAATACCCAGCATTGCATGACAGATAGTGGGACGTAACATGTTAGCCAAGAGAGAACGCAGACATGAAGACAGAGCGAGCGCCAATGTAGGGAGGAAGGGCTGCCTCGTAGGTGAAACAGACAGCATCAACAACACAAACACCTCCTGGCCCAGGAGCAGCACAATCACATCAATACCATTAGGAAGGAGCAAGCAACGCACCGCCCACTCCAGGGATAATGCCAAGGCCGGTCTCAGGGAAGCCCATGGATGCTCTGCCGGACACAGCCCTGAAGTCTGCACCCAGTGACAGCTCAGCACCTCCCCCGAGCGCTGCCCCATTGATGGCTGCCACCACTGGCACGGGCAGCCGCGCCATGCTGTCAATCAGCCCCCGCACAGAGTCGCCAAAGCGGATGATGTCAGCCGGCTGATGGCTGGCACGCTCCTTGAGATCTGCTCCGGCGCAGAACGTCCCTGGGCATTGCACCCACCTGCTTCATGTGAGGCATCCCTCGTGCCTGATTTTGCTCCGAAACATCCCTTGCCAAAAAAAAACAACGTAATTTGTTCTAGCCAGTTTTCAGCTATGTTCAGTTGCCACTAAGCCCTGCCCACCTTCCACTGTGCTGCGAAGCAATACTCCTCTGCATTGCCCTTCCTTCACCATCTCGTGCAGCTGTGACACGCAGCCTTGCAAAGCAGACACCATCGCGCTGCTGAGCGCATTCCTTCTCTCAGGGTACTGCAGAGTGATCTGACTGACCTTCCCTTTAAGGGCGCTGATGGCTTCTAGTACTGCAGGAGCCTTCTGAGATAGGCCCACCATTATCTTCTAAGTCTCTTTTATTCGACGAGCAGTACGGAGTGGAGGGATCGAAGGTGGATGGGATTCAGATTGGATGATCTGGGCAGGTAGGGTCTGATTATTAAGACATATGCACGATCTGTCAAGATAGACCTATTCCGACATTTCTCATGTACAATGCGCCGATTGAGAGGTCAAAAGTGATATTGAACGAAGCAATTTCATATCTCGGAAGGGATATACAGTATTCCACCCCTTGGAATGTTCGCAAACCCTACGTAGGTATACAGACCATGTGGATGATCATGTTGGGTGGGCGATGGCAAATTGAAGCGAGAAAAGTCTACCTAAGTTTATCGATCATTGTAAGAAGCACTTTCAGGATTTGTCGATCATGGAGTGTCTTTCCACTGCTTCGACGACGTTGGCTCCTCACAAATGCTCCAAGAAAGTGCTCGCAACTCGCCCTTCTTGCAGAAGACCAGTGACTCGTTCAGCTTGTCATGCACAATCTCAGGCAGAAAGGTAACATACAATCATATTGTAATTTTGCATCTGCTGTCACGATGACTTGTTGGAGCCTGGACAGCAAAACACCTGCTGGACCTCACTACCAGAACTTCTAGTTGAGCATCAATATGGTCAAACGGGAGATGGGCGTATTTTTGACTTTACAGGGTGCACCATTGCCTCGGCCTGAGGTGATGTCACTGCTGCGCAGGTCACCACAAATATGGACTCCCACGTCACAGAGGTGTGTGCAGATCTGCATTTCTGATAGGGAACTCAAAGACAGCGCAGCAATTATGCAAGCTCCTGATAAATCAACGACGAATAAGTACCATTACAGAAGACCAGGCTGAATGTCAGCTTAGCTCTGCGGGGTATCTACAGACATTGTTCTCAAGCTCGAGAAGGAAATGGCCCTTGATCGGGATCTTGGTGCATGCAGGGACGTGAGTAACCTGGTCATCGCCGGCCAGGGGCCTCCTCCGCCCAACCCGGCAGTTGTGGAGAGATTTCAGCAAGTCATCTCGCAGCTCTTTCAGCAGGTGAGCAACAGAATCTTGCAGACATCTGCTGGCGCTGGTTGACATTGAATCGTCTTTGAAAACCTGTCCCTGGACTACCGGAGATGTGCGCAGAGATTGCTTGTGATTGCCAGTGTCATGGTCAACAGCTTGTCAGGAGCTGACGAGTTGTGTCACTGGGATTTGCAGCGCATTGTGCGGATGGGAGGTCCAGTGGATGATGACATGGCCAACCTGATTGTGGCCCAGCTGCTCTACTTGGATTCGACCTCCAGCAAGGACATCATCATGTATGTCAACAGCCCTGGAGGCTCTGTCACAGCAGGTGAGCAGCAGTATCAAGAAGCCTGATGATCTGAATGATCTTATATAATGATCTTATATGACCTGAATGATCTTCATCTGTATAGTCTCTGCCCACGTGATATGTTGCTCTTGGACAAACCAGTATGCATTGATGACATTTACTGAGACTGGCCGGTCAGAGTGCCTCAGAATTGCTGTTTTCTTGAGCGGTCACACATCATCATGGGAATGTCAGGATCTCAATAACATGGCTGGAATGTGCAGGCATGGCGGTGTTTGACACCATGAGGCACATCAGGCCAGACGTGTCCACTGTCTGTGTGGGCCTGGCAGCATCCATGGGCGCCTTCCTGCTGGCATCAGGCCACAAGGTACCGTCACATTCTTGTCGTGCACAGCAGCGCAAGGGTCAACTCCTGCTAGTTATCACCTTTATTGCGATTTCTGTAATTTTCATACTGCCTCCGTACCGCAAGCGGTCACTTTGACATGTCCACGTGAGTCAAGAAGCTGGTGTCTGTGGCTGTCTCCAGGGCAAGCGCTACTCGTTGCCCAACTCGCGCATCATGATTCATCAGCCGCTCGGTGGAGCGCAGGGCCAGGCCGCAGGTAAGACTATTACAATGCACCATTACTTGTGCCATTGTATGCCATTGTGAGCCTGCCGGATCTCCTGAGGAAGCTCAAACACAAGTTAGTGGTTTGCCCCTTTGGTGCTGTGTTTCTGTGGACAAGGGCCACTGTGGGCAGAGACGGTGGCCATCCTTCGAGGGGTGATCAAACTTGTTTTGTTCAGTGCTGGGGATCTGACACTTGGGACTGTGGCGCAGATATTGAGATTCAGGCGAACGAAATCCTGCACCACAAGCTGACCCTCAATGGCTACCTGGCCGAGTTCACCGGCCAGTCTATGGAGCGCATCACCCAGGTACCAGCCTAGCCCCTATCATACCATGCCCTGCACCGTGATCTGAACTTGCCCTGAGCGCAAGCCAGATGATGCCCTTGCTTGCGTGGTGCCCCTTGTGGGGGAAGTTAAATGATCACTGCTGCATGGGGAAGAAGTGTTACGTGATTGGCATTGTACTCCCTGCAATCTTGGAGATCAGTGCATAGCCTAAGTAGACAGATATAAGACTATGAAATGACCGGGACGGCAATCGGGTACAGACTTGTTATAATTTAATTGAATATAGGCAAGAAGTGACCAAGGGCTTGCATGCCAGCATGGCGGATGAAATGCACTAGGCAGCTGAGAGCCAGTGTGAGCCCGGGACACAGCCTGTGCCCTACAGGAACCTGTGGCAGCCAAGAGAGATCGGCAGGATCTGGGGAATCTTGGGTGTGAATTCAGTCCAAGCCAAGTAAGTCATGTGTCGCTGCTGTATGCAGGACACCGACCGCGATTTCTTCATGGGCGCCAAGGAGGCTGTGGACTACGGTCTCATTGATGGTGTCATCACGCGGCCGCAGCTCGTTGCCGCCACCAATGGCGCATCGCCTTGAATGGCATTAGCAGCAGCTGATCAACTCATGAGCTGCTGAGTGAGGGTGCTCGTTGAGAATGCTCACAATTGGTTGCGGGATGAGGAGTCCAAAGTTGCATGGGAAGATAGTCACCTATGCATGAGTCATCTCGTCGTGATGAAACGATATCTTTGAGCTCTGAGAGCACTGTTGCATTGGAACTTTCCACTGGTGCTGACTGCTTCAGCCCAACAGAATGTATCCATATGGCATGTCTGATGCAGCAAGCGAAAGACTGTAAAGTCTCCCAGTATCACTCAAACGGTTGACGATGCAGCCCTACCACCTGATAAGGACAACTTATTATTTATATGTTGAAGAGGATGTAGAAGATCATTGCAATACATTTGTCAACTCCTGGACAACAAATATGAATTCTGGCTGATGAGAGCTTGGCCAGCAGAGTCCAAGAAATTTATTTCCTGCCGCATCTGCAGGGCACCCGAGTAATCAAAATCCACTACTTTAGTGGATGTAAACGCTACTAATGTGGTGGATTATTGGCAATCAGGGGCCATGCCACCTGGTAACACATTCCATAGCATGCCATTTTGGTAATAAAAATTAGGCCTTTCGTCAGTAAGCATGGAGAATGATCAGTGATGTGTTTCTGTACCGAGCATGTCACTTATTATTGCTAGGATCCCGTGTTACAAGTGTGGCAGTGACAAGGAGAAGCTTCATCCGAACTGCGCAAGTTCAGAACGCTTGACTCGCTGTGTAGGTTGTGATTATATTATCAGATTCTATTCAGAAGGTCTGACAAAGGACGAATACGGCCACGACGCTGTTGCCGACTGGGTCTTCAAACAAGAGGCAAGGGTGCCATTGCAACGTTGCAATGCCGTGGACTCAGGGGTCAGATATTTCCATCAGAGCTGCCTTGGCCGAGATGAACCTTCAGCATTGTCCAGAGCTAATGGCTACTATTCTATTCGCGGGAAGATTGAGAGCGAAAAGTATCCAGAGCTCAGAAATATTACCCACAAATGCTGTGAGGACTGCGTCATTGCAGCCCAAACCAGGGGCAAGGATCTCAATGAGGATAAGTTGAATTTTATCATGCATCAAGGAGTGATTGGTAGGTCTCAATAAGCACTCCATCTTTGAAGGTTGGGAACACCTATGTTTTGAATCTCCCCATGACCTTGACACAGAGTAACTAACTCTGACTTTTGCGTTGCGTTCAGAGGCAGAGACCGGCGACTTGGAGAGGAAGAGAGCCGATAGGCGATCAAGCAAGATTCGAGGCATCATTGGTGGTCAGCAGGCTCGCCTCGAAGACAATGGGACGACTTCGACCGCCATCTTTGCAACGAGACACCTCAATCAGAAAGTCAGCTTCAGCAAGAGCGCCAGCAGATTGCTGGCAGCAGTGCCCAACCTGAACAGGACAGTGATGGCAGCCTCGTATCTCCAGGCCAGTGGACTTCAGGCAGGCCAGACAGCCCAAGGACAGGCGCAGAGGGGCGCCACAGCTGCAGCAGGCGGCATGCAGGGTCCCGCAGCCCCAGAGGCAGAAGCTGCAGGACCTTCGCAAGCGCCACAGCCAGGGATCAGCCGCAGGCAGCTCAGCGCTCAGGGAGCCGAGCAGGACATCGTCCAACGGTGGCTTGCGTTCAGCCTCAAGGCCTCATCCACCGTTGCAGAGCTGAAGCGGTTCCTGCTTGACAGAGGCCAGCGGCCAGTGATCTTCACCAGAAGCGCGCTGCTCGCCAGGGTGGAAGGGCTGCTTAGATTTGAGCATCCAGAAGGTAGCTATCCATGATGGCTGTAACGATCAGCGCCTACACATCTTATGCCTGGCAAATTAATAACATGTCCTCACCATTTCCTCTGGACATCTTATGCGCTGGCAGCTAATGGATGCTGTCATGCAGGTGGACTGGAGCCGAGTGCGGCGGCGGTTGAAGAGATCACAGCCGCTGTTGAGGCCGCAGCCCAACCGGCACGGCAAAGACCAGCAAGGCAGAAGGTGGGCATCTTGTTGAGGATCCTTATGTTTGCATGTGCTTTGTGAACGCCTCTCATCTGTCAAGCTGCTGGTGCAGTGAAAGCGAGTTTGGCTGAACACACTGATTGTAAGTTATTGTTGTTACAGGCGCCGAAGAAGTCACAGCTTCAGATGGAAGCGGCCAAGTCCATTGTTAACAAGGGTGAGTGGGCGCTCTCAGCTGGAAGCTCTGATCACCTGGTGACTGTTGCACACCCGAGAAGGCTTTAACTTCTGCAGATTTGATGGAAGGGAATGATAGCCAGTCAATTGAGGCGCTCACATGTTTGCAGGAGTGAGCAGCGGCCTGCCCGTGGTCAAACTCAAGCAGATTGACGAGTTGCTCTGGACCTTCGACAAGTGCCACTACCTGCCGCAGTTGGGGGAGAGCACTCCCTCGATTGGTGTCGCTCTCTGGGCCGTCACAAGCACGCTGCACCGCGACGGGGAGTTCCCAGCACGCAACTTGTCCCAGTTGGGTCGTGCTGCCAAGGCTCCTGTTGGTTTGGTGCGCGCTGTGCAGCCAGGCAGCGATGGCACCCAGCTGCATATGGAGATATGGTTCCTCGAGGCGCGCGTGCAGACAGATAGCCAGGGGGAGCCCGAGGCAGCGGTGGCAGGGGAAGGCGGTGGGGCACGCGCAGATGTGGAGGGACGGGGTGCAGGAGAGGCAGCCACCGGTGGGGGCGTGCAGGAAGGGCATGGGCGGGGTCGGGGCAGGAAGCGTGGCCGCCGCGGCACAGGCGGGGCGCGTGGCAGCAATCGGCCCAGAAGGGGCAGCCGAGGCAGGCTCAGGCGCCCAACCGCCAGAGCCGCAGAGTTTTGGGGTCCCCCCACTGAGGGCGACGAAGACGAGGTTGGGAACCTCTTCTCTGAGTCAGATGCGGATGACCAGCCAGCGCAGCAGCACAGTGACCCAGCAGAGCCAGAAGGGCAGGCAGAGGGTGTCCTGCCTGAGGCCAGCGAAGTGCCGCCGCAGCCCACAGCTTGTGCGAGCCAGTCGCCGTTGCACGGCTGCTTGCTGGCAGATGAGTCGCCGCAGCCTGTGCCAGTCCCCAACGTGCGGCTGAGCATGCAGGGGCATGCCGCATCGCCGGCCAAAATGGCTGTGCTGGTGATCGACTACCGGCACATTGCAGCGGCCCTCTGTCATCCAAAACGGCTGAAGGTGGCTCTCGGAGGCGCTGCCGGGAGCTCGCCCATGAACGTCGAAGAGGCTGCAACTGGTGTGGCGCTGGCAATGTTGCTGGCTGAGGAGCAGAATGCGGCGCGCGCCGGAGAAGGTGAGGAGCCATCATGGCTCTCTTTGTCCTGGCTTATATGATTCCACTCACAGTGAGTTTCTAAGTTATAATGCCATGCGAATCATACCCCGAAGGTTTATCGACAGGTAATTGTCAGCAATAAGCTGACGACAGGCATGTGTTGTCTAGGTGGGAGTGCTACGGCAGCGGAGCAGTCGCAGTCAGCCTTGGAGCAGTCACCGCTGTCTGGCGCCATGGTCTTCTTTGATCCTGCTCTGGAGCTCGCTGCCGATGAGGAGCCAGCTTCCTCCTACCGCTCTGCAGATGGCCCAGCAGGCATGTACAAAATCCTGCTCTGTCATTCCTGTGAACTTGTCAACTGACTGCTCTCATACGCTGGTGTAGTTGATTTGTTCATGTCTTGTCTCTCAATGCTGAAGTGTCTGCTTGCCCCTTTGCCTGAGCCATGCCTGTCTTTCACGCACCCTGCTCCACATGCTGTGCTTGCCCCTTTGCCTGAGTCATGCCTGTCACTCACGCACCCTGCTACATATGATGTGGTAGAGTGCCGCACCTAAGGGTCATCTGGGTAATACTAACAACAGGAATAAATTTGAGCTTGACATCCTAGCAAGACACTAGGGAAGATATTGCTTGAATGCGGTAATAATCGCGGATTGTAAGCAGCTGTGTGTTGGTGCGCGCAGGTCGACCGTCCCTGGAAGTTTCCTCCCCTGGGATCAACATGGAAGCTGCAATGGGTGTCATCGCAGGGCTGGCATGTCAGCTGAACCCCTCGCCGCAAGCCAGAGGCCATTCGAGCGCGCACAGTGACGTGCAGATTCTGCCAGATGACACAGTCTATGTCCTAACAGATGACAGGAGGATAGTGGGGACGGCAGAGGTGGTGCATATTGGGCCTGGCACACGGTTCCACGGTGCTGAGCTTGAGGGGTTTGGTGTTATTTGCGGGCTCACCATCACAGACGCAACTGGGGCTGGACACCAGAAGGCATGGTTGAGCGACACAGATGAAGTCAGAGCAGGCAGAACACCCTTGGAAGCAATTGGGGGCAATCAGATGGTGGCAGTTCCCGAGAGGTGCCTTCGCTTTCTGAGGCGCCCACCGGCGGCTGGAGAGTGACTTGCAATGTGATCTTTGCACTTTCAAGCTAAGTCAGTTTCAAGCTTAGTCAGAATTGGCGTGTGAGCATGACGCAAATGTAGCATCAATTTTTTTTATGTCCTAAATTTGATATTGCAATGAGGACTGTAGTAGGTTGTGACCAAGTCTGCCTCACTACAAGGCGTTGCACATCCATGCGCTCTACGCAACTAATATTAGTCACTCACTTGTCCCTCTCTGCACATGTGCGCAACAATCATGACGGTAACCAGATATCATGCATGTAACAATCTGTAAGGTAATTTTGCTCCCGGTTGCCTCACATGCTCAACCTTCGAATCTGAAGTGGCCAGTGGGATGGAGCACTTCTGCTTGAAGACAGAGCACTGCTGCTGACCGCCACAAGGTAGTGGCGGTGGAGGGCAAGAAAATAAATCCCCTGAGCCTATCTTATAATATTATTAACCCCATCTGTCATTGAGCAGCCTGGCTCGTTCTTGCTGTTTCTCTACGATGTCGGTGTCGAAATCCACTCACATAGAATGTTGAACGTGGAAGAATTGCTACAAGATTCTTCTCAGCATCATCGCACTTCTTGGTCGCTGCATAAAGACAC